TGGCCTTGCATACAAGATCATTGAAGTTGTTACTGTTAGCTGATGCCTGCTACTGGTCATTACAGGACACAACATGCAGGTTGGGCTTAGGGATGTGCTACATGCAGTCTTGCAGACCTTGTCTATTAGTACAGTGGTCAATACTGTTTTGTGCAGCACATAATCATCACCACTATTGACATTACAATTCTCAGTGCCATCCACACTGTCCATTGTCTTGTTATACAGAAGATGCTCAAACTTGATGTTTTTTCTAGCTATTGGGCTATGGAAAAGACAGTCATATTGGTATGTGATGCCAGAATAATATATTTGCTTGTCATGTAGGAAATATATGCACCAAGCATATTAAGATCATCCCTAACAATCCTGTGCTTATTTATACATAGGCATGCCATATATATACCCTTGTCCCTACCTTCCACCTCACTAGTGGCCATTTGAAAAACCCCTCTCTTTTATTGGATCTGAATTATTGATAATCATTGATGATACTAATTTGAGCTAATTATGGCCAATTATTCATAATCATGTTTTTGATTAAATTTGAAAATTAAGGTAGCATTGTCTATACTAGTAGAGTCCCATTGAATATTATACTCAATCATAGTTTTACACATTCTAAATCCAAATTGTGTAAGTGCCACAATTTGTTTTTATCCTATATAAAGTGTATTATTGATTTTCCATTAGTTTATTATTTTCTTAGCTAGTGTTTAAACTAAATCCTGAAAGACCTGACTTTTTAGTTATTTATTGATCTATTTATTTATAAGAGAGAGGAAAGATAAATGTTGAATAAAATCAGAGATGTTGAGGTTGCCTATATTATGTCTACTTATTTTGATTACCAAGTTTATATATTAGACCTTGTGGCTTAGTGGCTTAGAGCATTTGTCCTGGGTGCTTGCATACATGAAGTTGTTGGTTCAACTCTGGCATAAGGCAAGTTTGTTATAAGGTATATTCTGTATTTAGGTATTTAACTAGTACTCTAATAGACATGACTCTATAAGAAGGCTATGAGAACTGTGATGCTTGATTTATTATGATTTCTCTGAAATTTCAAGTTATAATCAATCCTAATAATTCCTAATTTAGAAAAATTATGTCTAATTAGAACAGGTTTAGGGGGGGGTAAGCTAAAAATGTCTAATCCTAATCATTCTTAATTATGCATAAATAGAAATAATTAGAGCTTAATACAAGGGAGTGGTTTCCCAGATGATAAAGCTCACTGCAATACTGTGCTATGGAGCTGCTCATGGTGTGGTCTATGCAGTTAATGCTTGTAAGGCATATAGTGAGAGCTTGGCAAGGTCTCTGTAGGTACAGCAGGCTTGAGGTTATCATGTGATATATGTGGAGATGAGCAAAAAATGCAAGGTAATGACTATGAGACGTGAGAAAAGACTGTGTTAGCCTGATACCATAATGCTAAGGTTGTAGTGGGCATCAGAGAGAATTGCTCTAGGCTGCAGGACCACCCAGTGGTATCTGGGGTACTCTCTGAGGCCAGCATGCTAGTGCTCGTAGAACTGCAAAAATAGGGTCTTAGCACTTAAAGAGGTGGTGCACTTTTCAATGGATTCCCTGCATGCCGCAAAAACTATTTCCAATCAGCCCTAGCATTATATGCACATAGTGAGCATAAGCATTGGGTACCTTGCCAACACCTCTCTGGTCGAGCTATACTAGGTGGGCTTTGCCAGATTATAGCAGAGCAATGTACAGGACATAAACAAGCAAGACAATAGGGCTGCTTGTCATTTTTTCCATCACCAAGCCCTCTTTGCAATAACCAAATCAGAAGAGAGGATCCAGTCAAAGTTATACTTTTTTGAGCCTTTACATGGGTGTTTTGTCTACTTGTTTGTATTTGGTATATTCTGAATTTTGTTGCTTGGATCATGCTTTGCCAAACTAATGGGCAAACAATACATAGGTGAATTGTCTGATGCTTGGCTCAATTGGTGGCTAGATATTTGGTCTCAACTTCTTGCTACCTTTTGAGCCTGCTTCTTCTTCCATATCTGGCATTCCTATATTATCAACATGTCCTGAAAGTATCTCGATCTATACTTTCCAGCACAATTGTTCATCTCCCCCCTGACCTTCAATATTCTGAATCATCTCTGTAACATGCTTATCACGTTAACTTTGGCATATGCTTGACACTATCCAAATGTCCTGTTTTGTCCATGGCTCCACAGCATAGAATTTGTGAAACACTTTTTTGGCCTTGCAAGAATGATTCTTCCTAACCTCACATTCACACAGCTCTTATATTTTGTCAAGCATATGATGCTTCAGCAACAAATTTTACTCTCTAGTGCTTTCTAATAGAAGAGGGAGTGCAATGCACATGCTGGCTACATTTTTAACTTTGATAAATCCCTTCTCACTTCACTAGAGCTCTTAAAGGCCTGTGTCAGACTGATAAGTGCAAATATCAGCAATATTGCAGAGCTTAGATATACAGAAGCTGTTAAGCTCATCAAGAATATTCTTCACCTGTCAATCCCTTCCCTACCTTTCCAGCTGTCTCTGCTAGGCAATCCTACAAAATAGAGCATGGTGAGTAGATCTCTAAGCACAGACAAAGAGGTTGGTGCATCAGACTCTGACATCAATATTGGAAAAAGGACAGAGAATGAATTTGAAGTAGAAAATACTGTAAATACATTAGAGGAAGAACCATCTGATCTGGCTACAAATGTTACAGCAGCATTATTTAATGCTGCTTGCAATTTGGCACTGTCAGATGCTCAGGATGAACAGGTGCTAGAGTCCAAAGCAGCACTATTTCAGGCAAAACTCATGCCAATCAAACTTCCTCTATTGCCATCAATCACTGTCATCCTTTAAGAGTGCCTTGCGAGCACTTTTGTGCATGATGGGAAACTATCATTGGCATGTATTCTTGCTACCCAAAAATCACACCAGGCCTCAACAGGGGTGCACTTTCAATGAACAACCCTTTTAGACCCTAAGTTTGCTAAGGCAGTTAGTACTATGGTTCAGCCCATGATCAAGGCTACCAGGAATGAACCCAAAGTAATGTCTGTTCGAGAGGCATCACACCATGTCTATATAGTGCAGAATATTGATCCAGAATTGCGCAAGCCAAAGACAAACTGAGAATTAAATTGGCAAAACACATTAAGACATGTCATGCTAATCTTGTTCATAAGTAGGTTAATGATCATTTGCACCAAAGTTCTTGTACTAGCTTCTATGCATCTTGAGATCTTATCCCTAACTATATGGAGAAGAATGTCAATGCTGTGCATAATTTTTGCAAAGGCTATTTTGTGATCATGCGGAATGTTACCAAGGATGGTGGCTAGTTCTATATTGGCAAAGTCCTCAACATCTACAAGAAAGGTGCAAGCAAACAACACAATTTAATTGATGTTGCCACTTCAATAGTAGTGCTTTTATATCTATCATTATGTATATTTTTGCCTGTAATCCTGATCAGTATGTCTTTTCCATGGTTCATAATAATTGTTAATTTCTTCTATCTTAGTCTCAAGGTCACTTCAGCAATGATGAGTCTAGCTCTAAGGATGAGGATGAGGATGAGGATAGGAATGAGGACAAGGATGAGATGATTCTGGCATTTTTGTGCAGGGATCCTAAGATCAAGCTGCATACACACTCTAAGGCAAGCCATTTTCTATATAACCTTGGCTCAAAATCTTTAACAGAAGATTGTCAGGATTTTGTATGATTGACATTGATTGCAGCTTCTTGCTGGAAGGCACTTACAAGGCCCAAGGTAAAAGTAGCTCTCAAAGTAGCTTAGTCTTTGGAGGCAGTTAGTAAAGGTACCAAGACTTGACTTTTTTTCTTGCATGTAATATACATCAATGATTCTCATATATTGAAACTGCCCACAGAGGCCTGCAACAAGGAAGAAATAAGCAAAAATAAGGTCTAGACATCAAGCATGACAAATTGTGACAAATTGTGATATATGTGATCATCCTTATCAGTTTTAATATTTTTCTAGAGCAATTTTGATAAAAAGTTAATAATTTTTAGGCCTGATTTAGGGGGTTTTGATAGGGAAACATTTGGTGGAGCTTTCCAGGGCCTGCTTGAGCAATGTTGGTGAGAGGATCTATAAGGGAGATGGTGTGTCCACAAGACACTTAGAAATACAGAAGAAGTTCTATATTATGGTCTACTTAGTGTATGACTCTGACATTCTGTAAAAGGTTTACAGGGTTTTGCATAATTTTCGGGAGTGTTGTGCCAGAAAAAAACCAAGTTTCCAAGCACTTTGCTCCTGATATGGGAGAAAAGTGCCAGGCCCCCCTATGTGACCCATCTGGTGATCACACTCCACCACTGTCTTTGAGATTTGATTGTTTGTGATCTCTACCTAAGCAAAAGTCCTAGAGATGGTAGAAGAGGAATAGGCAGTGCCATGGTAAGATGAAGTACTACAAAGAAGCAAGCACACAATGTACTAAGAGCGGTAGCTCCAGTAGGCCAGAGGGTGTGACAGGGCTTTGTTGATCATCCTGACCTGCAATGCCCAGGTACAGGTATTGGCTCAGGAACCCAGTTTTTTACTGGCACAATACTCTAGAAAATTATGCAAAACCCTATAGAGAATCAGTCTTTCATAGATCAATATACAGCTGTGGACAAGCAAAGTTGACAAATTTTGACACTTGTTTCTAGGGCTTCCCAGCTACACCAGAATTGATAGCAATGCTTGAGTAGATGTTGTGGAAATATTTTGAGTAAAATCCTATGAGCCATTAGTCTAGAAAAAGTAATTTTTTGACCTAGAAACCTCCAAAAATTGGCTGACCTCATGAAAAAGGTCTATAAATCACATAAGATACACCAATCAACTCTTTTCAATGAGTTCCATTTGAATCCATCAAAAATTTGCTGAAAATATCTATATTTTATCGCCAAAAAATTGTCAAGGTGATGTGTATATAGGCCAAAGTGCTCGCTTCTCTTAAACCAGGCTGATGTCAAGAATCAAGTCTCCCTTCTTGAACAGGAGATTACCACTCACAGTCACATCTGTATATTTCTCCCAAAATTCCATTGTGAGCTCAACTTGATTGAGATGATGAATAAACTGCTTATTTTTCCATTTTCAATTTTATTTCTTTCTGTTTATTGATTCCCTTTTTTGGCAGTGCTGGGAGGACCCCCGACAATCCCGCCAGAGGTATGTTTGGTGAAAAGGGGTAAACTACCGGACTTTTTTTGGGGCCTGCGGCCCTCTTTGACTACCGGGAATTAATCAGACCTTGAGTACAGGCCCTCCCGCTACCGGGAATATGATCAGACCTCCAAAAATCGGAAAAAAATCATGAGAAATCAAAAAAAAAATCGCGTGATAACACGATACATGTTAGGAATGCGGCAAACCTATCACGAAGTGCGTATAGTAGAGAACTAGTCCATATCTTGTGCATATTCCACCACTTTAGGCAACCGGCCCTTAATCTCTTTGATGGTGCTCTCGATGCTCTCCCTCTTTCCCTTCAATGCTTTGTAGTACTCGTAGTCTTGTAGTGAAATAGCTATATTTTGGCCCAGCGGTGAGGGATTTGCCAGGAGAGCGGCAAGATACGAGCTTGGTTTAATGAGCTTGAAAGTCGATACTTTGAGGCCTGTGGCGTGACGCATGGTTGATGAGAATTGACGTGCCGCAAAAGGCTTGAACAGCTGTGCAGCTATATAGGACACGGCCGAGATGTTCGAGAAATCAGTCACCCAGCTGTGGGAACTGTTCTTACCAGTCGATTTTGCGTAGATAGAGAGCACCGTTAACCAACACGTGAGTAAACAGATTGCAAGGAGGTTCAGAAGATAATAGACCTACCCTGAGCAAGCCAGATCTCTCGATTGTGGAAGACAAACCCGAAGGATGCCCCGGCACTAAGCTCAACATCATTACCTTGTTCCAAGGTATGACTTGCTTGCACAAGTGGAAGTGCCGGTGTGATATTGGCGTTCTCTACGAAAGACGGCAGTTTATGCTTACGACAAATCGTCCTCCTTTGCATCTGCATCTGCGAGAAGTTAGCACACCTCACAACCTTGGCTAAAATCACAGTAAATATGGAATATATATTTTTTTTGAACCAGATTCTGACTACCGGAACCGTATCATACCTTACTGAAATGGGCAAAACTACCGGGAAATAGCATAGACCTATGGTCCCAAAATGGGCCTCTACACTACCGGAAATTTTCAGAGCTGCGGCGCTACGCGCCGCACCACTACCGTGGGAAAAACATACCTCTGGCGGGATTGTCGGGGGTCCTGTGCTGGGGTTCTGCTAAGTACAGGTATTATGAGGTCTATAAGGAGAGGTTTGATGATGCAAAGAAGCATGCACTCAAATGCCTCGACAATTGTCTTGTCGAGGTCATTTGTCACTTCTTCAATTGCTCATGGCATTTTATAGATGCATATTGCAGAGGATTGACTAGGAAGGTGGTGGAATAAGCTATTCGCAAGCAAAAAAGTCATCACACTGTTTCTCAAAGTACAATGATGAGCATCGAGGCATTCTCAACTAGTTTACTTCACATGGTGTCACATGTATCTTTTTTGGGGCATCTAGCACCCGTAAAAATCCACCAAAAAATTGGCGGGTCCCAATTTCTCGAGTGAAAATCCCGAAAAGGGCGTTTTTAGATGTCTTTTGACTTCCTGAGTCTGAATCTGCAGTCAAATTTCGTAAATTTTGGGCGCGTCAGCCGCTACAATTGTTTTTCTTTTTTGTCGACTTTGCTTGTCCGCGACTGCAAGTCCACGACTCGATGACTAGACCAGTCGCGGCCAGTCACGGGACGATGACGTCTGTACGAGTAAATAGGCTATCGTCGCATCACTGAAAAGGGAATATATTACTGTGAACGAGGTCAACAAAGGACTGTATATATCTCTGCGGCTACAAGTCTAGCTCGAGTAAGCTATTAAAACCGACAAGCATGTGGCAGTGGGAGTAAGAATAAGGAGAGGTATCAGGTACCGTTAGCAAGAGTCAGATGAACGACGCGATTAGGGGAGAGGACGAGCCGAGCGCCTACTCTAGACGTTACAGTAAGGTATGTAAGACGAGCAGGTGAGGAGGAAGACGTGCGAGGTCCAAGCAGATATACTTTATTGTACGATGGGGGAATAAATGAGACAACATAAAGCGAAAAAATTGCGAGGACGTGAGCAAGAAATCTGGGGTCGAAGTCCGTAGGAGCCAGATTGACCCTCATGAATTAGAGCGTGAAGCATAAGCGTCGCGGGCGATCTTGATAGATAAGTAAAAACAGAGAAAAAACGTCTACGGACGAACACCATATCAACACTCTGTTCAAATTCAAGTACAATGAGATGAGAGCCCACCAGTCGATTTATACGCGGCACTACCAGTAGCGCGTGCGCCAAGATGTAGCCTCAGCCACCTCCATTCTCCTAATTCTCCTTGACGCTTGCATTAACCCAGAACCCGCCATCAACAGGACTGGTCCCGGCACTCCCCGGTGGTGTTTTCATGGCCACGATCAACTTGTTCGCAAAATCCGAAGTCAGGTAAGCGCCGAAATGTTGACAGTTATTGTCCGCGGTATGGCTGCGATGCAGAGGACGGCGGAAGGATTGGTCAGTCGGAGGGGCAGAAGCCGGAACAAACAAGGGCATGGGCGGAGGTGGCAGTGGCATAGACGGGGGCGCAGCAGCAGGTTTGCGAATCGCGCGACGAGATCTGCGTATCCAGAGTGACTGATGAGCGTGGGCGGAAGGAGGCGCGAAACAAGAATGATGCAGGGCACGTACCGCAGCGCGTCTCCAACACTGCCACTTCTCATCCGCCCGTTGAGGGATGCGGACATAGGCTGTGGCATGTTGTCGACGTCGACGCTCAAACTCCCACTGCGGGAGCGCGAGCCACCGGTGGGGCTCATGAGCACCGTGCGTTGGAGCGCGTTACCAGCGCTCCGCAGAGGCGACTTGATGTTCCCCATGACGCTCGTGCCGACCGTGAGGCTGCTTCTGCGTCTCCTCAGCCTAGGGGGTGGGGCCGTGAACGAAGACACACTGGCCGTACTTGAGGCTCGCGAACGCGAATGTTCAGATTCCATTTCGGTGATGTATGAAGGGGTCGGGCTTGGTGGATATTCCGAGATATGAGACTTCAGACCTGTTGGAGTCGACTCGAGGTCCTCCGCCATGGGTGACGACCCGGAATCGGTGTGACGATGAGGTCGGGGGGTAGCGAGGAGCCCTGAAGCGAAGATGGATGAGTAGCCACTCGGTGCGTGAGCTGTGGTTGCCATCGCGGATGTCGAGCCGTTGCAGAAAAGCTGAAAGAGGTTCTGAGAATTATAAACCGGCCACGGCGGAGGGGTGGTGTCTTGGAAAGAGGTTGAACTGAGTGGACTGGTTGAACTTGACCGAATGAGGAATGGAAGGGCGACAATAAAGGCAATAGGCGAAGCGCCTGTGTTGTAATACAGGAAAGAAAGGAAAACAAGCGCTGAGTTGCAAGCGTGGAGAAAGACAATTTATCGCAACGAGGCTCGCGGTTGGAGGAGTTTGAACCTCTCGACACGCCATAATTTACGTAACAAATTATCCGCCCTTCGTCTTCCTTCGTTCTTCCAACGTCGCGTGAACGCGCAGCATGTCCGCAACAGTCCATATCAGCTCTTCCCCGCCACGTCGAAGTGCCTGACACTGTCTAGAAAGCCACGACGCTGCCAGAATCTTATGTTCTTTAGCGCCAGAAGTACGACTCTAACGAGAACAAGGGCATGCATCCCATGTGGACGACCATGGGAAACAACACCTGATGCGATCACCGTGAAAGTAGGGAGCGGGCAGGGAAGTGCATGTTTTGTTATATAGCACTTACGCGTGCTCATAGATTCACCGATATCGAAATAATCGACGGAAAAACGAGCTTTTGAATGGCTTCGATTTTTTAATGCGACTACTGGTGGATTCTGCTTGCGGCAATGCCGAGAGGCACCAGGGCCAGCGATATTTGATGTACAGTGCCGGACAAGCAAAGTCGACAATTTTAGTCGACTAATTTTCCCACCCTCCAGAACCACCGGAATTGATGCGCATTCAGTAGACGAGCATTTTGAGCTCCTTACGAGCAAAATCCCATGAGCCAATCTCACATAAATTACATTTTATTGATTTTGATCCTCAAAAAATTGGCCAACCCCCAAATTAAATGGTAGGGCCTCAAAAATAGTGTCAATCGACTCCATTTTTTAATCTGAGTTCAATGGTAGTCTTAAATAGTCCCGAAAAAATATTACTAAGGCTGTAACGGCGGTGCATTTCCGAACCACGACACACCAAGCTCCCAACTTATGCAGCATTCAAAGCGTCCTCGAGGGCGCCCTCCGAAAAAGAAACATGCATCAAATATTCAGCATCTTTGCAAAAAATCAATCCACACGAGAAACTCACCTGAATTTGAGTCAGACACTGAAGAAGACATGGAGGATATTGATCTTGATAATCCATAAGACAGAGACTAGCTCTCATCTATGAAAAACCTGGTGAGTTCTCAAAAAATTACATTATAATCAATACTGGATAGACCATGAATAGCAGGTCCACATAAATCACAACTCACATGGTCCTATTATCAACAATAAGTCAGTGCATATGCAGCAATACCTGGAGTGGAAGTGAGTGTGAGAGGGCCAGACAAAATTCAATAGTTATTTTTTGGTAAGCAAGATGACAACCAAGAATGGCAAGGCAAAGGGATTGCAGCAGACTCTTACAGAATGTAGCTTTGATGTCTACACAATAAAGGCCAAGTATTCTCCAATTTGTCCTTTTAAGAGTGACACTTGCTATATAGCCTGACTCCTGACCAGGCAGGATGATTTTTTTTTCAAGAATTCCTTCTTGAGCAGAAATCAGAAGCTTGAGGTCACATCTGCATCTTTCTTCTGAAGTTCCATTGTGAGCTTAATCCTATTGAGATGGTCAGTTTCTTCAGTCTTTTCTTTTATGGCATGTTCATATTATTCAGTACTGGGGCTAGTACAAGCATTCGTACTGTAAAATTTACAAAGTCAAATTTGAGGATGCAAAGAAAGTGACACAGCAATGCCTCAATAAGTGTCCTGTCAAGGTGATTCACCAATTTTTTTAATCAATCATGGTGGTTTATGGATGCATATCATAAGGGGCTTATAGGGAAAGTGGCAGAGTGGGCTGTATGCAAACGGAAGTCACATAGAAGGGTTGGGCAGTGCACAATGATGTCTGTTGATGCAATGCTGACCTGAGATTGACTCAGATTGACTCTGATGCCATTTTAGGCCTAATTACATTTTGTTTTTTTCGCTCAAAAAATTGGCCACCCCCATTTTACCGTGGGAACTTCCATAAAGGGCATTTTTTGACTCCTTTTGCTTCCCTGAGTCCGAATCTGAACTCAGTTTGTCCCAAAAAATTCCGCCTGGGGAGTTAGCAAAATTGTCGACTTTGCTTGTCCGGCACTGTAGGTGCTTGAATGAAAACATAGATATTTCCAATATGTAGATCGGGTGCCCTATAAATAGTGTCCCTTCGCCCTCCCCACAAAAAAATCAAGTACTCAAGTACTCAGTACTCAATGGTCAACACTGTCTACTGGGTAGCCATTCATTCGAGTTCGTTCCAGGAAACGTAAGCCATACCACTCAATGGACAGCTGCAAAAATGTAATCGACTGCAAGCCTATGCAAGTCTTCAAATTCTGCAATGCTGCAAGTAAGAATCACAAGGGGCAGTTGCTACCGCTCATTGACACATTTGCGAAGTAAGGGCCTACGCGTTAAAAGATGAGTGTGTGTTGATATCATGTTATCAGAGAGCGCACCGATGTGGTCAGAAATGCTGGTGCTCAGCAGCGAGTTCCCGTCGATGCAGTTCTCGTTCTCCTGCCCTGGGCATGCAACAGTGACGCTTGCCTCTCCCGTCTTGTCATCCGTCTCCTTGATATGCACCTCACCGGCCGAGTGTTGGTATCCGATGAAGCGTGGAGGGACAAGAGGGACTGGATCGTCCTTGTGCGTGATGAATGTGAAGTTTCCTCCGAGCTGAGTGTATCGGACACAGCTCAGAAGCGATGACGCAAAAAGGTAGATGCAATGCATCGTACCTCAGAATCGACGAGGTCGGCCCAAGCTTGGTTGCCACCGCGAGGAAGTCCAAACACGACGGTGCTAATTTCGACAGAAGGGCCCAGATTTTGGCGTAGCATCACAGCATCCATCGTGGCGATAGCGGCACCCAGGCTATGCCCAGTGACAGCTATTTTGGACGCATTGTTCTTCGCAAGACCGGCCTTGACAGTGGCCAAGACCGTGTCGGCAGTGCGTCCGTGAGCTTTAGAAAACCCATCATGAACCTGTACATCATCTGCATCGAGAAATGGGAGGTATCAGATCAAAATCCTGACGTGAGGTCGGATACGAACCACCGGCTTTAGGGAAGAGGGTTTGGTTGATGTCGGTCTTGAGGAACTGCGCATCGTTGATAATGGACAATCTGGTTTAGGCAAACAGTATTATATGATTAGATATATACGATAAGCCTATTGAAGCGAGTAAAACGCGTACACATTTGAAGCATCAGTCCCTTGATGAGCAACGACGATGCTGGATGTCTTGGAATCGTAGGAGACGAAAACTACGGTTCAAAACGTGTCAGCATAGCACTTGTCAGTCAGTCCCGATAAGTACTGCTGTGCAACACTTACATCGCGGCGTTGCACCCCCATCTGTACGGCCTATCAAAACGGGTCAGTACAACTCCCACAATCGCGTCTTCATCAGATCAATTTGAACGTACCACCGCCGACCACAAGCGGCGTGACACCGTTCATGCCCAGCGCCTGACACGGCGCGCCGCAGTCCCACTTCTCCACGGCCTCGCTCGAGCAGTACGCAATGCGCGCGAATTGCGCAGGGCGCACAAACGCGCTCGAGATTGTGCTGGCCGAGACGGTCTGTGTTGACAGCGAATTTGACGAGCGATCCTGCAGTGGAGCTGCACGCACGAGGATGGGGAGCGCGAGAAGCGCAAAGGTGGACGGGAGAGAGAACATTGCTGATTTGATCAGGATGGTCGGACGGCAGGATCTCGGAAGGTCTAGATATCACGACGATGCAGGTGGAACTGGACTCGGAACAATGAAAACGAATGAACAGAGTAGGACCGGCCTACGCGGTGAAGAAAAAGAGTGAAGGGAACCGAGGAGGGTGAGAGGAGTGGATTTGAGTGTCCTTTTTATACTCCCTTAGCCTCGATTAGCCCTACGTACCCGAGATGAATCGATACCAGGTACCGAGTCCCGACGGCTCGTGGCGCGTGGCGCATGGCAGTTCATATACTTCATCACGTTTTGTCATTTCGATCGGGTAGCAACAGAACCGTCGTGAAGGGCTGATGTAGGAGGATGTAGGAGGATGTAGGCAGTCTCATCTCAGGACCGCTCACCTTCACGCGTTCGGGGTTCGGGAGTGGCTCGGGAAGGTACTCGCCTGATTTGGAGTCATCCCACGAAAGTCATTGTATCCGTCTACTGTCCGACTGATTCAGGTGAATATGGTACACAGATCATGTCGGTCGAGCGTATTGATGGAGGTAGAAAATGATCAGCTGAGCGATATCACCGAATCATGGTAGATCATACTGTGCTCACAGACATGCCTTGACATCAAATGAAGATACGCTCAGAGATTGATCTCAGCATGAACGTACGTTATATGGATCCTCTGACTTCTACCAGAAGATATCAGAGTCGCTGGCCCCCGTAGAAGTCTTCTTTGATGAAACGAGGAGACATAGTTTGAAGAAGATCTAAGCTATATATCATCCATGGTGATCGTGGCATGCTCTTGGACTACATGTGATAACGAAAGACCAGTTTGAATATTTGATACAATCTGCTAGTATGTGTTCGCTCAGTAAGTTATGAGAATATGGTACCTAGAAATCCCAAGTCAGGGCAGCAAATACGACGCTGCCTCTTCCTTCTCCTTCGACTTGAAGCTCCATATTTCCACCACTGTCTTCCCTGCCCTCTTGCACATGATCGCACACACTTCTCTGCGATACACGACCTTCCACACGCTCTCACTCTGCTCCGTCATCTCCCGGACATAATCGCCGCTCTCGAGTTCATACAGTCGCACGCGCCCGTCGTTTCCGCCCGTGACAAGGAACTCGCCGTCGAACTGCAACGCAGTGACCGACGAGTCATGGGCAAGAATCCTGTGCAAAACCGTGTACGTGCGAAGATCGAAGGTGATCACCCGCCCGTCTGCACCGCCCGTCGCCAACAGCGTCAGTGAGATCTGCAGTTGGCAGACAAGCGCGGTGTGACCCTGGAGGAGGGCAAGGCAATGTCTACGACGTAGCCATTGAGACTCACGATCAAGCGGTTGTACATAGTAATAACGTACCCTGTATGTGAATCCCAAACTCGCACGGTGGTGTCCAGCCCTCCAGAGGCGACGCGTTCGCCGTCAAATGCCACCGAATAGATCTGATGGATGTGTCCTCGAAGAACGTGCAGGCAAACCCCCGTATCAATATCCCACACCTGATGGCCCGATTAGGAACTGCATCAGCAGCAAACAGGCATAGATGCTCTGAATACACACCCTGCACGTGCAGTCGTAGCTCCCGCTCACAGCCCTATTCCCGCACACGTCTAATGCCCGTACGCTAGATGTATGTCCCTCTAAAACCCGCAGCATTCTCCCCCGTCGCACATCCCAAACGCGCAACGACATGTCGCGCGAGCCAGATACTGCGATGGGTCGATTGTGCAGCACTCGCAGGCATCGCACTGTTGATGTATGACCGTGCAGCACGTATATACATTGCCTAGATAAAATGAGCACTCGGGCGCAATCCGAGCAACGAGATGAAGAGAAAGGGATTACCCTGATTTAATATCCCATACCCTGAGTACTTTGTCGCATCCGCCACTTACAACCAATGCATTTGGCTGTCCCCATCCTTCCGACGCACCACATACATCACTTTGTTTGGCATGCGGATGCTGATTGTGCCGATCATCCTCAGGATAACGTAAAGGCTGATCTAATCCCAGAGCAGCACGCATCGTCCCAAGCAAAATATTGTCAGTGTCCATGCTGTGCGGATCCGTTGTGCTTGTCCTGGCCGAGCTCTGGTTCTGATTCAACGATCTATCCAAGGCCTCTTTTAAGGGAATAACCATCTGTAATTCCTTATCAGTATCGCCTCGAGCACTGCGACGAGTCGCTTTCCGGATTCTCTCTTTGTCGGCTGCATCTTCGCAAATGTTGTCTGAGTCTGGCCCTACCCATGTGCCCCCACAGCTGACGAGGTTGACCGCCCATACACCCAGCTCGTGTCCGATGAGGGTACGTACTAGGACACCCGTATGGGCTGAGAAGACATGAATCCGGTGATTTGCGAGACCTGCTACGAGCCAGTCTTTATCTAGTGCGACTGAGGTGACCACGCCGGAGTCAGGGGTAAGAGAAGGGACTCGGTGTGTGCGCAGGCAATGTCCACCCCGCCGCCAATTCGTGACTGAAGATCATTCGACAAGCGAAGGCAAAAAGGACAGAATACGGAACGCACCGGTTGTGTAGGCGTTCCTAAAGAAAACACGATAGGAAGGCTTGAGGTGCACTGAGAGTGTAAGTGGTATATGGGTGGGATTCAAAGGCAACCGGGGCAATTGATTGGGATCGAGGACTCCCTGTTTTGTGTCGGGGGATTGGGGGAGGCGAATCATATACCCTTTGGAGACGTCATGAATAATCCGTTCCGCAGGATGATAATCATACACGTCCGCCTTCATTGACTCATCTCGGTTCGCCTCGCGGTTGAAACCATACACGTCGCACAGTCGTCTCCATAGGGACTCGTCGGCCGCAAGCTGAGCCCAAGATCGACTCACTTGAGCTACGCGAGCGAGGGTTTGTGGCTCCTCTACAAAAGACAGAATGTAGAGAGCGAGCTCCGTAGGTAGCTCGAAGAGGAAGTCGCGCTTTAGGAGGGGGGCAATGATGGTTGAGACAAAGAGGAGTTCGGAAGGGGTACATTGCGCTAGAATAGCGGCAAGGAATCGCCGCCGCACAGACGGGATGAGAGACTTGAGACGGGTCACTTCGTTGCGTAGATCATTGGGGAGCCCGTTGTGATTTGAGCCGAGGATGATGTCGGATGGGCGTGGGGAAGATGCGGGAGTAGGTGGAGGGATGATTGGTATGTAGATCGTCGAAGATTCTGGGGACATTGCGATTTCTGGGTGGTGAATCGTGTGAATCGTCAAAGAGCAGGCTCATGCTCGAGTCCGTCCGTTCCTCGTCAGATACCTCACGGGGCAATACAAGCTATCTGTCGCATGGAGGCAAGGCATTATTTGGTTGGGTGGTATTCAATCAGATTATGCAGCTATGGCCAACCTGTTCTCGAGAAAAAGATTGAGGCGTAGAGTCTTTGAGATGTCTGATTCCGATACTGGCAGAAAGCGTTGGGCTAAGATCTTGACGAGCCGAGGACAAACCCAGGAAGATGGAAAGCGGTGGGGATACTGCCACAAGAAACCCCATTCCAGGGTTAGGTCTAGGGCCGGATGAGTCATACACCGCACGTTCTCCTCACTATGGCTTCTGCGCAGACTTGCTTAGCACAACTACCTCCTCCCATGACGAACAAACGTCCCCTCACCCCTCCCTCTTCCTCTTCTTCACTTGATACCCCTACCCCGAAAGCTGCTCGAACATCGCTCCCTCCAACGAAGAACCCACCACTCTTTTGTACTCTACCACCAACGTGCCACCCGCCATCCAACCGCCCAACACCTCTGAAGGACGCCAAGGAGCTAGAGGCACATTATGCAAAGTATCACGCCCATGTATGCGAGGTATTTGGGTGCATGTCTGTATTTCCGGATGCTAGGACGCTAGACCTGGTAAGAGACGCAGCGCGTGCAACTTACTTTTCGAGCACACCGTCTCCTTAATCCAATGATCAGGAATGCTGACACCTCTCTCATAATTGAAATAGCATTTCACCGAATGTCACGATTCACTTGCAGCAGTGCGCAAAGAGCGGGGCGAGAAAATAGTGGGTGCCTCCACTGTTCATGCAGCTGCACTAGAATTTTACTTCCCTTCATTCACCAGTTCGCATGCTTCCAAATTACCTGCGCGCGAAAATTCTCGACCCCCAAAACACGGCGTCTGCATTTAATTCAAGCGCATGGATACCCCAAACAATACTTTTTTGCGATCACGAATAAAGGCGTAGGTGGCCTCTTGAAACGCTGGGGCGAGGGTGCGAGCTTAGTGAGAGGAGACTGGAATGCTAGAGAAGGAAATAAGAGTGGCGATGCGGACAGCGATGACAGCATTGAAGATGAAGATGACGAAGATGAGGGCGACGAGATGGCGCAGGACAAGTTGACAGAGAACGGTCTCGCGGGCTCGCTGGGATCGGTGTCAAGATCAGGGAAGGTTCAAAAGGATGAGAAAACTTTAGCAAGCAGCTCCATCGCGAATGGCTCGGTGCGCGGCAATGAGAAAGGAAAGGAGAAAATACAGGGAAACGCAATGGATGCGGATCTAGATGGCCTGGAGGGCTCGATGAGCTCTCTTTCCCTCGTCCCATCATCTATCCGTTTTGGGCGCGGCGGCAAGAGTGCGGTGCTGGGGAGAGGTCGCGGGCGGGGTGCACCCGCCGCAGGATCTCGGAGGAATATCATAGAGGAGTCGAATCATGGCGCCGATGCCAATGGCGAAACGCGTTCAGACGAAACCCAGACGGAAGAGAAACAAAGCTCTCAGCAGACGGAACCTCCGAGGGACCCAAAGTCTAATGAGCAGCGTCCTCCACGTGGAAAGGGAGGTCGTGGAGGGGCACCGCGGAGTGCAAGGCGTGGCGGTTTCGGACACCCTTCGCCAAGAGGCGGGTGGATGGGTGCAAGGGCCTTCATGGCCCCTGGCTACGGAAGAGGTAGAGGAGCTGGTCGAGGCAGAGGAGCCGGCGATTAAAGCGAAGCATATGGCTTGCCAGCATTTATTATCAGTGCAGGTCGTTCGCGATTCATTAACGAGGAGAATGGGCGTAAAGGATTTGTTCCGACGACGGGAGGATCTGTATTGGCGATGCGAATATATAGCAGCATCTGAGAAGCACGATGTGCCTTGGAAGGTATGCTCCTGTAGACTAGATCAAGAATCTGTACGTGTTTTTCGGTGTGGGTTGTATGCTTGTCGACTTTCTTGGGATGTGTAGCTGTAGTTATGGTATTTTGTTCGGGCATCGCGAGCGAGCAATGAATATCTGATTGTTGGTATTACATCTACCTGATCCCTTCCATCCCTCGCCCCTACCTTAGGAGGCATTGGGCTTAATTCCGTACCAACGCGAGAAAATTCCTTCGGGGTCGTACTGGTTTTTAATCTTCTGGAGCCGCGGATAATTCTCCCCAAACAGAGCCTCGGCTCTGGACGTCGGAGCAACGTCCTTAGAAACAGGAACGATCTCTTCACTGACTGTAAACCCACACACCGAGCTCAAACTCCTGTGATAAAAACGGCAGGGAAAACACGTACTGTAGTTTCCGTAGCCCGTGTTCTCCGCAGGTGGAACTTTATTCTCCGCGCTGAGCGCCAGATTCGTCAGTTCTGTAGCGGCCAGCCTGACGTCCGCGAGCTTGTCCGAGCCGTCATTGTCCCATCTAACGAGTACCATCGTGCTGAGGCGCGGCCGCCTGACGTACGCGGTCGCCTCTGTGGGGACAGAGAGCACTTTATTGACCGGAAAGAACTCGTAGATGAATATCACGCGCAGCTTGTGCTTTTCTGTGAGCGTGTCAAGGTGCGAGAGGATGTCCTCTGCGACATCAGGTTGTGGACCGCTCACAAAGACGGACTTCATGTAGTAGTTGCTTCCAGGGGCTACACCGTCATTCTGTTCAAGTTGTGAAATGCGTGAGGCACTTGCCGACAAAGCAGATTGTGTTCCTCTCACCTGTAGGGTGTTTAGCTCTTCATAAGGGATTTCTTTGCACAGGTCAACCACAGGACCTGATCGCGGGCGGTGAACACCTGTTTGAAGGATTAAACATTTTACTTGTTCAGTGCTCACCCAGATCGAATAATTGCTTGAAGTGAGCACGACCTTCCTCCTCTGACCCATTCCAAAACAACACGAGAACGATGCATGGCTATCGAGCAGGTTGTATCAGAGCCAGTAGGAATACGCATAACAGAGTGTTTACCTTCCCATCAGGGCCCTTCGTCAGAGCCTGCAATATCGTTTCCTTCTCATCTGGACCCTTCTCCCACCACTCGGCCAGAATCTCATTCATTTTGGCAAGCACGGTGGGAGGGAAGATTGATAGGCCGGCGAAGACGCGTCGGCGCTGGGGGTGGAGCTGGAGCACGAACTCCGTAGCGACACCGAAGTTGGAACCCCCGCCACGGATAGCCCAATACAGGTCAGGGTTTTCAGTCGCATTAGCTGTAAGGGCGGACCCATCCGCAATCACAACGGTCGCCTAGAAAATACCTTATGAAACGAAGGAGAGACTCCCGAGAGACAGGAAAAACAAACCTGGACAAGGTTATCGATGACCAATCCGTGCTGGCCGGTAAGATAGCCGTAGCCACCTCCAAGAAGAAGACTAATGCGACAAAGGGCTTCAGGGTCCATGCCCGAGGCACTTAGTCATGGACTCACCCGCCTACTCCAGTCTGTCTCCTTCATAGTGAGAAGTGAAAAGGCGAGAGATAGAAGAACTCACATGGTCGACAGTCCCAGCGACGGATGCCAGTCCATGAGCAATCGCGGCCTTGTCAACAGTGCCCCAGACAGCACCTCCGCCAACATATGCGAGCTGCTTGTCTGGGTCGACCCTCACGCTGGCCAGGTAGCGCGATAGATCGACGACGAGTCCTCCTTCGATGGAAGACGCACCTGATGGGCTATGACCGCCCCCACGAATAGCGAGGGGCAGGTTGTTCTCTTTCGCGTACTGCAAAGCATCGTGGACGTCGTCATTGTCCTTCACAAAGGCAACAACCTTGGCATGGCGCTCGGCGTTAACTGCCCACCGAGCGATGGCTTTGGCATAATCAGGATGCTCTGGGGTGATCCAGTCGCCTTTGAATGTAGCTGGAGGCGATGCCATCGGTTGTATGAGTGCAAGTGGAGATGATGGTGAGATGACAAGATGAAGAGAAGATGTCGGACTTTGCTCCTATAAACGCCTGTGAACTGATGGCGAGGTTTGTCGATATTCAAGTGCTTAGGGGAAGATGGTGACGTCATCCGCCTTGGCTGTCTTTGCCAGATTTGAACGTTTGAACGACGACCGACAGTTTTTTCGTCGAGAAGTCGAGAAAATGTCAACAAATGTCTTGATATCGTCGATTGAAGGGACATTGCCTTCAAGAGGATATCGTGCAATGGTATGCATACGAGGAACCGCATCGCACTCACTACGCCGCACCGTTTCCGCATAGCCCTGTCAGAACTCAACTGAGCGTGGTCACTTGCCGAAGATAAATTGCTGAACCAGAGAAAACTGGAGATGTACTTTGAACATGCAGATCCAACGTTGAATGACAGGCATATGATCAGGAAATTACGCACCTATATACATACCCAGTAACAAGCTCTCTTGTCGTGCCGTTCAGATAAAGAAACGCACAGTGTACAGGTATCAGTATCTCGGCCGAGGCGCACGAGCGACTGCTGTTGCTAGACTGGATCCGCTTTACGTCTCGAGGAAATGGAAGGAATTTTGGGCTAAGTTCCAATCATGAGATACATTTCACAAGATGTCGCTGTCAGGGAAGTGGTGGAAGAAAGGATCACGAAGTCCAGCCCACTGTCGTCTCATAGTTTGTTGTACCGAAGCACCAGTGGATCCTGGGGTGCCTCTGTTGAGAATTCAGAGCCAGGAATGAAAGAAAGCCTAATACGAGTCGGAAAGGCAGTCCTCCTCCGATGGACCTCTGTCACTCCCATATTATACAATTTTGGAAGTTTGTTGATAAATTACAAGTGATCGTAAAATCCAAACCTTTGTGAATGGACAGGCCTTCTCACGACAGAGAGCAATACAGAAGTTGGAATTTTGAGTCGGAAATCGACTGGACAAAACGGGAGTTACATGGGCTGCATCCCTTCATTCTTATCAATCGCCTCTACCCTAGACACCATCGGGCTTGATTCCGAACCAGCGCGAGAAAATCCCTTCGGGATCGTACTGTTTCTTGATTTTCTGAAGCGGCGGATAATTATCTGCAAACAGAGCCTCGGCTCTGGACGTCGGAGCAAAATCCTTGGAGACAGGGACGACCACTTTGCTGACTGTAAACCCACACACCGAGCTCAAACTCCTGCGATAAAAACGGCGGGGAAAACACGCACGATAGTTCCCGTAGCCCGTGTTCTCCACAGGTGGAATCATGTGCTCCGCACTGAGCGCTAAGTTCAACAGTTCCGTTGCGGCCAGCCTGACGTCCGCGAGCTTGTCCAAGCCGTCATTGTCCCAGCTGACGAATACCATCGTGGCGAGGCGCGGTCTCCTGACGTACGCGGTCGCCTCTGTGGGCACGGAGAGCGCTTTTTTGATCGGGAAGAACTCGTAGATGAACATCATGCGCAGCTTGTTCTTTTCTGTGAGCGTGTCAAGGTGCGAGAGGATGTCCTCTGCGACATCAGGTTGTGGACCGCTCACAAAGGCATACTTCATGTAGTAGTTGCTCCGGGGGGCTACGTAATCGTTCTGTTTGAGCATGTGGATTGCGTTAGGCACTGAACGGCGGAGTAGATTGTGAGCGGCTCATGAAGGGAATTCATTTCTTCGTACGGAACTTCCTTGCATAGGTCAATCACAGAACCTGATTGCGGGCGGTGAATGTCTAGTTTCGAAAAATAATGAACTTGAGTCGCTCACCCAGATCAAACAATTGCTCGAAGCGAGCACGGCCTTCCTCCTCTGACCCATTCCAAAACAACACGAGAACGATGCATGGCTATCGAGCAGGTTGTATCAGAGCCAGTAGGAATACGCATAACAGAGTGTTTACCTTCCCATCAGGGCCCTTCGTCAGAGCCTGCAATATCGTTTCCTTCCCGCCCGGACCCTTCTCCCACCACTCGGCCAGAATCTCATTCATTTTGGCAAGCACGGTGGGAGGGAAGATTGATAGGCCGGCGAAGACGCGTCGGCGCTGGGGGTGGAGCTGGAGCACGAACTCCGTAGCGACACCGAAGTTGGAACCCCCGCCACGGATAGCCCAATACAGGTCAGGGTTTTCAGTCGCATTAGCTGTAAGGGCGGACCCATCCGCAATCACAACGGTCGCCTAAACAATACTTTATGAAACGAAGGAGAGACTCCCGAGAGACAGGAAAAACAAACCTGGACAAGGTTATCGATGACCAATCCGTGCTGGCCGGTAAGATAGCCGTAGCCACCTCCAAGAAGAAGACTAATGCGACAAAGGGCTTCAGGGTCCACGCTCAAGGCACTTAGTCATGGGCTCACCCGCCTACTCCAGTCTGCCTCCTTTATAGTGAGAAGAGAGGGGACGAGAAATAGAAGAGCTTACATGGTCGACAGTCCCAGCGACGGATGCCAGTCCATGAGCAATCGCGGCCTTGTCAACACCTCCACCGACATATGCGAGCTGCTTGTCTGGATCGACCCTCACGCCGGCCAGGTAGCGCGATAGATCGATGACGAGTCCTCCTTCGATGGAAGACGCACCTGATGGGCTGTGCCCGCCCCCACGAATAGCGAGGGGCAGGTTGTTCTCTTTCGCGTACTGCAAAGCATCGTGGACGTCGTCGTTGTCCTTCACAAAGGCAACAACCTTGGCACGGCGCTCGGCGTTAACTGCCCACCGAGCGATGGCTTTGGCATAATCAGGATGCTCTGGGGTGATCCAGTCGCCTTTGAATGTAGCTGGAGGTGAAGACATCGTTTGTATGAGTGCGAGGGCAAATGATGCTGGAACGAAGAGAAGAAAGGTTCGAGCTTTGCTTTGAAGCCTCTGAGTTTGCCCCTTCTGATAACGCCTGTGAACGGATGGCAAGGATTGTCGAATTTTCAGTCGGGATGTCACCTAAGGCACTGACTCGATGACGCTGCCTGTATCATCACCACCGTCTTGCTCTGTTGATATTTCAATCAAAGGGTGGGGTTGGTCGATATTCGAGTCCGGATGCGCGTGACACGCTGAGAAGATGATGGTGATGTTTATGAACATGGCGAACATGATGAGAACCTATCTCCCGCATGCTCATTATCTTCCCCTGTTAATATTTGTGTTGGGATGTTGCCTGAGGCGCTTCTAAGGGAGATATGGCGGCATAGTCCACCGAGATCAAGGCTCTGATGGTTGCTTGTGAAAAGTGAGACGACCTAGGTAGATTCAAACGATGACTAACAGCCTTCTGAATGCCTGCGCTTGTATTGAACAGATGGTCTGTTCGAAGAGAGACCCACCGGCTAATGGCGACAAAGGAAGGCCATAGCGTTGATTGAAGAGAATATTGAAGGCACCATCGTTCTACGTTGGCATCCAACGGTCCGCATCGCACCGTGTCGTCCAGATGAGAGCTGTGCGGAACCTATGAGAACTACCGAATAAACTTCGACAGTGCATATCCGCTCCTCGACGACAATCATATGATCAGCTGTACGCACCTACATAGCAAAAAATTACAAGGGCGCCGTATGTGTGTTCATCGTGATGTTTCGATGGAATGGGATGAATAAACGCACAATGGACTAATGTCAACATCTGAGCCATGATGCTGATGGTGCAAGATCGTATCCTGCCGAGGAAAACCAGAAGAAGGCAGAGGATCTGAGCGCTAAGTATTCCGATGATGAACGAAATGTCGCCGTCAAAGATGCTGTGAAACAAGACAATGCAAAGGATCCAGCCTGCTGACTTCCATCAATGAGATGATACAGTCAATTTTAGCACCGAAGCACAGGTAGATCCTTGTAAATCTGCAACTCCCCACTTTGTTGGGGATTCGATGACATGGATGAAGGCAAACAACAACTCAGAAAGGCAGTCCTTGTACTCCAGTGAGGACCTCTAGCACTCCGCCACAGGTGTTTGTAACGCTTTGCCCCGCACAGGGCCACAATCGTATCGATCTGTGGCAGTTCTGTGACAAGTCAGCAAATTTGTACGGTCCGGTGTAATGGTCAATAAGAATAGAAATGAAAGAGTAGCCTCAGCAACGCGGGGACAATGAAGGAGTGATCCGGGTCTTGGTCGTGTGGGTGCTAGTGTACGCTATTATTCTTCTGGCGCCGGGGTTTAATAGGACGCTATTGTCCCTCGTTTCCTCCGTGGGCTCTCCTCCTCCTTTTGTCCGTCAAAGTATACTTAACCCCTCTCCTCCTTCTGCTGCGTCCCTCAGCCTGCTAGCTAGTCTTGCATCGCATCTTTTCACTCATCTCTATACGACCCCTTTCTCGCTCATCAATACCCGTCTGGCTCATCGATACTGTATCCATAAACTACGATTCTTTCACGTTTTCTGATTTCTTGCTTTTGGGTTTCATCCGCTTGTATCCTGGTTCCTCTTGTAGCAAACACTAACGACAAATCTTAGAAATCATTGTGAGTGTCCTCGTGCAGCGCACCAAGTCCACGACTAACCTTTTCTTTCCTCATAGAGCATTTCTATATACGATCTTAAACGCTGTCTAAAAGCCCAACATATCAATGTCCATTCAAGCTGTCACTGCGTCCCAGTTCGAATCTACCCCCAAGCTGGCATACGAATTTCTTTCCTGCCCTCCTCCTCAGAAGAAACGCCCTACCCAACCTCTTCCCCCGTGTCCCACAACGCCCACCTCCCCTGTTGTCCGCCGTCGTTCCCATACGACCTCGGCTATCGCAGCGTGGGTCGCTCACGTCCAGCCAGGATCCCCCGCTCCCGCGAGTCCTCCTTGTTCGGCTAGCCCTTCGTGCTTGGGGCGCCGCCCTTCGCTGTACAATCTGTCCCGCAGAAGCTCCCTCACGCGTTCCCGCCGTCCATCCGTGACTTCTGTCCGCGTCCCGTCAGCCTCCTTCTTAGCACTCGATACCCCGCACTGCTCGGTCACGCCTTCCTTCAAGGACTATCAGCCCGATCTGCTCTCCCTCGGATATACATACGCTTTCGTTCCCCTCCCCACTCCTGCTATGGCCTCCGAGCACCTCGATTCTCATACGCAGGCACAGAAGAAGCTGCCCGGGCGACTCATCATCCCCACGTTTCCCATCTCGCCTGTGAAGACATCGCCGAAGAAGGGTACCCTCCGCCGCCTGCGCGCGCTGTCCGTCCTCAAACCCCGCACTCGCATGCGCTCCAAGTCCCTAAGCTCACCCACCTCACCCGCGCGCAGCCCCTCAGGCAAAAAGGTCAAGGCGAAGGGCAAGGCCGGCCCCGCCCGCCGGCGCTCCAGGTCATCCGCGAGCACGACGGCCCTTGCCATCGCGCGCCGCAAGAAGGCGAAGTACGCGTTCGAGTACCTCGCCGCGCCGCTGCAGAACGAGATCGCGCTGATGCAGTTTGCCGACGGCGGGAACGTGGAGGAGAACATCCGCCGCGTGATGGAGCGCGAGGCGCGCAGGGCAGCTAAGAATGGCCGAACCGGTGCCGAGCCCGCGGTCGCCGACGTCCACCGTGATGGCCGGGGCGGCGTGTGGTGGGACGAGCATGAGGAGTGGGAGTACGCACACCTCCTGGGCGGCGAGACTTCGTTTGATGTGGCCGCCGAAGACGAACATGCGTGGGTTGATTTCGATACGGCTGCGAACGTCACCTCGACAAACACTGTGGTAGAGTCGGAGGAACGCCGTGGGAGCGTGTCGTCGCAGGACTCTGACCTTGACCCGCGTTACGCGCTCCCGGCTCCAGGCGTAGAGAGCAGCACGGACGACCTCGTGGCCTTCGGCAGCGCCCTCACGCCTGTCGCGAGCTGCACCCCTGGCCTCTCCGTCCTGTCCATCCCCGCGCGCTCGAGGCGCACGGCCCCCCACCTGCGCAAAGCCGCCTTCATCCGCGATGCCTACGCGTTTGTCCCTCCAATGTCGCCGCGCTCGCCTGTCACCCCCGCGCGCGCTGTGCTCAAGGGCAAGGCTCGCCGCCGCCCCGCACCGCTCACGCTCCTTCCGCCTGCTCCCCAGACGAAATGCCCTACCAACTCACCAGCCGAGCAACCGAGCGCACCTTTCTTCTCAGACTCATTCGCGCCTGCGCCTGCTCCTGCGGTGTCAAAGCTTGCTGTTGTGGCAGAAGTTGCCAGGACCGGGAGGGGCATCAATAAAAAAACCTCTCGCCTGAATCTCGCAGTAGGTGGAGGCGTGAAGGGATTTTTCAAGGCGATGACCGGGCGGAAGGAGTGAATGATTGTCTTTTCGAGATGGCTTTAGATTGTCTAGTTACATTACTTATATTCGCAGAATGCTCGTGCCTGATGTAATAATGATGTTACGACTTGCTATTGACAGGAACATCAATCTCGTTATCTACAGGTACACACCGCAAGTAAGGAATAGTAGAACTAAGAAGTAAGTATGCGCAACAACGTCGAGAATTGCGGCCAGGCGTCTGCAAATTGATGTAGTAGATTCCACATTTGGGTTGGAAATGGCACGTGCCGCAATACGCTCTCAGTCATTCCTGCGACCGCCGACGACCCTCCAGCCTCATACAACCGCCAATTGCATTTCATCGCAGGCCTCTTAGTGCTCTGTTGGCGTGTATTAAGCCACACGCGGACATGTTCTTCATCGTAAATACCCACTCTTTCGCGCAAACATAGACACCGACCCCGTTTCTCTCTTCAGAAGGAACTAACGCACACCATCCTCCTCCACCCATCCTACTTCGGCCCTCGCATGATCCAGTTCCTCGAATCCAAGCTATACGCTGATGTCGAAGGAACATGTTCCGGTCAATTTGGATATGTCATCGCCGTCGTGTCCATCCTCGAGTATGGCAAGGGCGTGGTCCTCAGCGGAAGTGGCCAAGCAGAGTTTATCACGCGGTACCGAGCGATCGTGTTCAAGCCGTTCAAGGGAGAGGTCGTGGACGGTGTCGTGAACAATGTGAACAAGGTGAGTGGCCGTATAATGTTGGTCGAGCTGAATCCGGACGAACTAGTGTAGATGGGCTTCTTCGCAGACGTGGGCCCCCTGACGGTCTTCGTCTCGCACCAAGTAAGCACTCAGATATATCTTCTTTGACTGCCCGACAAAGGCAGGCCTGATGCACACCTTTTGCTTCTGCAAGCTCATCCACCCTGACATAAAGTTCGACCCCAACTCAAATCCCCCATCGTTCGCCTCCGATGAACAGGTACCCTTTCTCTCCCATTGACCGTTTCTTCGACTACCATTTCCCTTGTCCATGACAGATCATCGAGAAAAATACAAAAGTCCGCCTAAAAATTGTAGGCACCCGTGTTGACGCGACGGAAATCGTACGTATCCTCCCTCTTGACGTGACCGTGACAGTGTTCAAGTTCTTTGCAGTTCGCAATCGGGACAATAAAAGAGGACCATCTGGGAGTCATCGAGTGATATGTTGTTTTCTGTTACCTTTACCCGTCGTATATGTTACTACTTGTTCTATTACTTTGTCACTTCGTCGCAATTAGCATGCTTGTCCTGGAAGGACCTCAAATATAATACGTGAGTAAAGATGTCAAACACTCTTCACTAGAGAAAACATCATCTCATATGTACAAGCTCAGCGGACATGCAATAGATATTACGACCGTCCCGTGATCCTCATAAGTGAATGCGGACAATACAATTGAAACAACGGACAATTCAACAGAGACAGACACGTCTACAATACCAAAACAGCTGCCAACCCATGCTCATTCTTCGTCCTCGAAGCGGAGGATCTGCGCGTCCCCATCGACAGGAACGGTCCTGTAACCTCTTCGCGAACGGAAGTTTAGGACGAACGACCCGACCGTCGACGACACCGCCTCCCATGCCACACCGGCGACCCCGATGACAAACCAAGGGATGGACGCCAAGGTGTCCAGCGTGCTTGAATCTGTCCGGAAGGATGGTCTTGTATCTCCAGGCAGACGGATCATTCTAGGGAACTCGTTAGCACACGACATAACCTCACGAAAACATGTGTCACATACCCTCTGGCCATGCCGCTCTTGCGGTAATACCAGTAACCCACTAGCGAAGTGAAGGCAAAAGGTAGGACGAGCACGAATAACCAGAAGAACGGCCCGTGCGCGCGAATGCCCGGACACAGATGGGCCTTCCCGAGATGCGGCGTGATCCCATCCTCACAAGAAGAGTAAGGAATCTTGCGGTACGCTGTGCGTTCGTACCAATAGTCTGCCCCGTTCCGACAAGAGTCGTCGTCGGCAAGTGGACTTTCGCCCTCCGACAACACGCACTTGCCATCGGCATTGCGAACATGATTGAATTCACTGGCATCGTCAAAGTGAGAAATGACTTCATGAGATCAATGAATGACAAAAAAACGAACCATTCGAAATCGGACTGGGTGCATGCGCAGTTTTTGACAATCTTGATTGCAGCCTTTTCTTGGCCGCCGACTACACAATTTTTCTCGCGAACGCGACGATGGTACAGAGTCTGAAAGGGGGGTGATCACTGAGGTTATGCAACACCCTTCAAATTCAAGCACCATACCTGTCGACCAAATAGACAAAGCTCGGCTCGTTCCTCGCTGGGACTCCAGAGCTCGAAATCATCATGGCCAGGGTTTTGTGTATCGAGAACACCTGGATTCACATTGCATGAGCATCAAGCAACACTCACACCGCTCCCAACTCACATCGCGTATGGGTTAAAGCAGAGAAATCAAGGTGGACGGCGATCGAACTCGGCGACCTTGGGTAATTGCCCAGGAGGAGGAACCGGCGGCTGGTGTCTGACGGCACCGTGACGATCGAGCGCACACGCATCTTTTCGTTGTCAAACTTGTACTCGCGCCACGTTATTCCTTCGTCGGTGCTGAACAACACGTGGTCCGTTGGTTCCTCGTCGTTCGCCATGACCAAGATGGAGCCAGAGTCACCAAACTCCCAAAGGTGAGCGTCCTTGTGGACCTCTTCCCATGTGAAGCCTGCATCCCGACTAAGGAAGGTATCGCTCTCTTTATAGGGCGCCAACTTTTCGCCCACGTTCCCGACGGCCATCATTAGACCGACCACGGATGGGCTGCTGTATGTCGCTCTTGGGTCAAATCGCTCCGTATATCCGTGTACATGAAGTGCACAGCTCTGCAGACTCTTCGATCAATCGGCTGCACGGGAGCACCATCAAGGGAAGACCTACCGCAGTGCTGCACTCATACCTCCGACCCATGGAATCAACTTTTGGAGGGATGAGAGGTTTCCAAGTGCCACCTGCACATAATATGAGGACGAATGCGCCCACGTATCGTCGGTCTTACTCACCATCATTGTGTGTGATGCGAGTCTGCAACTGTTTCGAGCGCGTCACCGACGCCTCAGCCGGATTCGACACGACATTAATGATGGCAATTCCATCTAACCCGATCATCTTTTCAAAGTCAACATACCCTCGGTCGTCGCGATTCACGTTCTCGATCGACAGCCCGAAATAGGTCCCATTGGAGTTGGACTTGAGAATGTTACCCCAATACGGGCTCGGAGGCTCTGACATTGTCAAGTGGAGGAATACCGAGTCGGTACTGGACTCCAGAATGGTGTAGGCCTGCGTGCAGTGTTAGCGGTTCAGCTCCAAGGCGAGTGATAGATCTTCAGACTCACATGCTGTTCAGGACGCATATTGTTCGGGAACTGGCCGGTAGCAAAAGTCCTCCCATCCAATGATACCTGGAGATCCAGCGATCTGCGTTCAGGAAGATACTTCGCACAGGGTCAGCCTTCATTTTGGTGCCCTAAGAAAACAGACAATACAAGAAAATCACACGCACCTCCGCTACGACCAGGTACTCCGAGAACTTCGCGAACCCAACAACATTATCGAACAGCTTCGTCTTTTTCTGGAAGAAGTCCGTTCCGCCCACAAGCTCAAGTGGGTTCGTCACCTGGAAGAAGCGTTGCGATCCCTTCTTGTCGCGGTACGACTCGCATATGATTTGCGAGGGGTCGACGAGCAGCTCTGAGTCGCGGGCCCATGCGCAGTTGCGCACATAGCTCTCGATTGGGTACCACTTACGCCCGTTGTCACGCGAGTAGGCCGCCTCCACGTGACAGCTCTCCGCGAACGCGTGACAATCGCGGTTGCCCGTCCAGATCAGGTAGTCCGACTTCTGTGGGTGGAAGTGCAGCACTTGCAGCCCGAACGAGTTCGGCGGAGTTGGTGCCGTAAGCGTGTTCCACGTGCGCCCGTTGTCGGTCGTATAGTAGAACGTGTTGCCCTCCGTGATCAGGTAGGCGCGGTCCTTGGTGAAGGTGTGGTGGTAGAAGGCGAGGAACTTTTCTTTCGGGTTGATTTGATTCCAGGTATAGCCCTCGTTGCTGGATTGCCAGATGGAGTTGTCGGACAGGCGTACAAGGATAGTCTACAATTGACTTGAGCGAACTTTCTCCACTCAAGGTCTCAGGCAGACGCACCGTGGAATCCTGGAAATATGCCTGTTGCACAACCTGCGCCGGGAACGTAAAAGTCTGATGAATAACCTCTCCTTCCGCAGGTTGCGCTATTGAGGCAATCTTTCAGCAGACACCCGGTAGATGACCTTGATTCACGGCCTACCTTGCGAACATTTCTTCTCAATGGGTTCATCTTTCTTCAGGCCCCTCTCCCGATCACAAGTGTTTCCAGGAATACGGCGGTACCCGGACGATCCTTTATACATCTGGTTCTGGTCCATACAGACTCCGGCTGGGATAGGTTCCGGGCCAACTGGGATGCACTTGCCATCCTGACGGACAAAATTGTAGTCGCTGCGGGCAGAAAGAGAAACACCCGTCAAGATGTGATCGTGACGAATGATGTAAAAATTGCATACCACTCGAAATCGTCATCGTCACAGGGGCAGTTATCTTCATGCTCGACAGGGTCCTCAAATTTATTCCCGACATAGCAATTCGCGTCAGGCTTTCGGCGCTTATACCATTGCTATCCAAAACAAGCAAACCAGATATCAGCTCCTGATATGATCAAAGACATGTGGCCTCGTCACGATAGACACACCTTGTGGCCCATCAGGCATTCCTTGCCCTTAGCAGTGCGAGCGTACCATTTCTCGAAGTCGCTCTCCTGACACTGCTGCGAGCGCACGGGCGCAAAGTCGAGGAAGACGGTGACAAACCGACCACGGTCTGTCGCCTCCTGTCGTCCGAGTTGGCCGATCATGAGGAATTTCTGTGACGTTGAGTCTTGGACAGTGGACAGCGCGCGTGCGCGCATCTTGATGCCAATATTGAGCGCATTCCTGTATGGAGACAAAATGATTTCACGAATCAGGATAAATTACCTGATGACAACGAAGATAGACGCACCAGGTTTTGCCGAGGTCCGTCGAGTACCGCACCGTATCTGTCGAGTCTTCGTCGTTGACGACGACCATAATACTGCCCTGGTCACCAAACTCGTATTTGTGCGCATCCATGCGCACCATCTTCCAGCTCAAACCGGCGTCGGTGCTCAAGAACGTGTCGCACTCCTCGTACGGCTTGAGATACGCGCCAATGGAGCCGACGCCCATCACGAATCCAGGCGCAGGCGACGAGAACACCCGCCCAAAGTTGTGCGGGAGCGTGACCGAGTGTAGGTGCAGCGCGCACTCGTCCGTATCGGCGGGATTGCACCCGATGCGATGGTTCTCCGAATCCACGCTCGGCGCTCGCACGGGCTGCCACGAACTCCCATCATCGAACGTGATGACCGTGCGGAGCTGCTTCTGCGCGCCGCGGCCCTCGACGTCCTGCGCATTCGCAACGACGTTAGCAAGGCCGACTCCGTCGACGCCGTACAGGTTCTCGTAGTCGACGAAGCCCATCTCGTTTCGGTTCGTGTCCTTCAAGCTCTCGACGAAGAAAGTCCCGTTCGAATTGCTCACGAACAGCGTGCCTACCGCGCCCTGGTCCTGGAGCATGACGTCCACCGCGAGCGAATGCGTCGTCGACTCGACGATTGTGTACGCGTTCTCGCGCAGGCGCGCGCTTGACGCGTGTGGGAACCGCGCCTTGGCCCACGTCCGGGCGTCTACCGAGACATATAAGAGCATCTCGCCTCCCGCAGACGACAGGTCCTTCAGCGCTACCACGGCAAACTTAGACACGATCGCGAGCGCGAGCACGCCCCGCGCGTTCTTGCCGATACCGAGGTCCTCGACGGTATTCACGGACTGGAAAAAGTCTGTACTAGAGAAGAGTTGGCTGGACGATAGCGAGTGATGACCAGACATGGAGGACGCGTCAAATCCGACGCAGTAAATGAGGTCCGGGTGTGCGTCATGCCTGAAGTCTTTACTGCTGTGTGCGAATTGGCAACGAGACGTCTGCGAGAGTAGCAGCTTGGGTTCGTCGCTGAAAGCCTCTTTTGTGTAATACGTCTACGAGGTGTGAGAGCTAAGGCTCGGAGAGATGCGACCGCGGGCGCGTACGACAGACTCACCTCATCATGACACATTGATCCCCATCCTGAACCCTTGCACTGCACACCCTGATAAAGGATGTAACCATATTTGCTTTGGTCGGAGTGGAACGAGAGGGGTCTTGGAACGAAGGCGGGAGGCAGGGGCATAGTGAATGAATGCCATGTTTTACCGCGGTCTTCCGTCCGATAATGCTCGTTCTTCTTCGTGAGGACGAATGCCTAGACACAATTATCAGCGTCAAGGTCCTGGTTGCCTGACATCACAGTACGCCGAACACATGCACAGCTATCCCAAACGGAAACATGGGACTCACCATTCGATTGTTAAACGGGTGCTCGATAAACATAGCTGCAGCTCCTTCGGGGATATCGGAAGCCCTCTCCCAAGATTTCCCCTCGTTATTGGATATATACAGGTTGCCCTCAATAACATCGTGGTACGCGACAACCTAGTGTACGAACAAAAAATCAATGTGGGATGGGAGAAACGTGGCGGGGTGGGGACACGCACGGTTGCGTCATCGAAGGAGTAGAGTTTCGCAGGGAGGTTGTGGAAGTAGTTGATCGAAACCTCTGGCTCTGCAGCGCGCACGACGAGCGATGGCAGCAGCAGACAGAGCAGCCAGGTCAAGAGCATTCTCGCTCCGAGGCCAGAGGCCATGGTGATAGACTGATACGGCAGCCTCTTCGGATGTATATTTAGAGCAGACCGCCGCAGCCGTGTGAAGATTCAAGGTGCCTACAGGCGAGTGTTTTACGAGTCCAGTAGAAATTATAAGAGCGTTGCGTGTACGAATTTCTGGATCCACAAGAAGTTGGGGAGAAGGGAACAGAGATGAATGTTGGGCGACGTGGTGGCGGGAGCAGGGCCCTGAGCGCTAAATATGGATATGATGGAAGGCTGCGGCCGAGGCAGCGGCTGCGCATTCTTCTCTACGCTCCCGAACAGTCTCTTTATCTTCCAACTCTGTCCTGCGATCGTTCGACGCTCACGTTCACGCCGTAACTCAGAGAGATCGTTTCCTACAATTCGACTTCGCTTCGACAATAACATCGTCCATCATATGTGCAGCGCTCGCGAAGTTGAATCTTGACCATAGTACGTGGCGCGCCCACAGTCCGACATCCGTTGACATCAATGGAGGGCATGTCAGCCAACGATACAAAACACGGACCAGGCTGCCGACCGTGGCATCACTCCTAGAGCTTCCCTTCTCTATCGTCCGTCTTCGTTTCAATCCGCGTACTGAGCCGATGAAAATCATTGTACAACTCCACGCTACTCTCACTGTGAGCTCTCTGATTCCGTGGGTACGTAGATACTCTATTGCTACAATCGAATGTTTCTGTAGGTTGGACTGATCGCCGCGTGTAATCCATGAACATTGTTATCTTTAGTTTGTAACGTCCAGAGAACTCCCGAACGGTGAGTCGGTCAATTTCGTATATATGATATAGTCACAGAGCAGCGGCAAGGTCAGGATTCTAACACTGAATATCCTTGGCCCATGTGAGGAGAATTCGACAGTCTCATGAACTGTGCCTCTGGCGCATTGGCCTCTACTGAGTCACTGGCACTCACGAATTGGAGACTGTCTTGGGGCCTTGAAACCCTTAAGGAGCACTCCCTGATCTTCCCTGATGTCCTAGAAGAGTGTTTCAAACAACGATCAGATCAGTGTTCAGTTTTGAAAGAACAATGTAGACCCATAGTACGCTGTTGAAGGGTTCAATCATGAGCGCGGCGGGCCTGGGGTGCTGGGCGTCTATCTGCGCCACTTTATACGTAATGGAGGTCAGGCCTCTGTCAAGACCTGTCGGGAAAATTGGCTGCCAGTTGTCGTTGTCCGCCTTGTGACTTTTCGAATCCGTCGAAAGGTACTGAAGTAGATCGAATCCTTGTTGCCGTCATGCATACCGGGCTGCTGAGTGCTTTACTAGGGCTCCCCTCTCGTCTTCTCCAGGTCTCCTTACAGAAATTATCGTCCATCTCCTCACAGATCGAGCAGCTCCCAATTTTCGTTCCAAATATGTTCAAGAGGTCATCCATTACAGGCATTTCCCTTGATGCCTCAGGCCTCGTGGCGCTGGCAGACCTCTCGACTATCGCACAAAGAACGGCCCTCACGGGTACTGCTTCGTTTCTTGACATTCTCATCCTCGCGCCAGGGATCCATCGTCACCAGGCTGCATCAGAGGTCAATGGCAGAGAGCTTCCAATAACAGGTGCAATGACTACTGGATATGTGTTTCGCATTGAGAACCAGGCAACTGTCAGTTATCTTCAGAAAATAGGACGCCCCGGGCGCCTCGTGAACGTGCTCGTCAAGGAGCGGGCCACGAGACCCTTTGGCGTGCAGTGGTTCAAGGTCAAATTCTTAACAGGCGGTGCTGCTGCATCCGTATTGTACCACTTGATTGTGGTCTTGACCGTCATCACTATGACGCTCCTTTTAGTGATCCGCGATTGGTGGGCCGTAAGCGTATTGCTCATGCTAATGTTTGCGCGCATCATCAACGTAGTGGTGATCAAGCAGCGGATCGTGATGGGATGGAAAGGGGCGGCAGAGGTGGGAGTACAAGGCGATCTATTGGTGCTACTCAGCCAAGATCGATGGGTGCGAATGCTGGGACTGGTGGATGATTTGAAAGCAGTAACTTCTGGGCAGTGGCTCCGCGACGAAACGACGATCGAAGGATTTGCCACAAGTTTTGCGACGCTGCTGGTCTATGTCTCCGCAGCGCTTGCAAGTAACGCATCTACCATCGGTAGCTTCTTCATCGTTTGCTTGATGCTCGTATCTGTGGCTTTATTGGGGCTATGTAACTCCCTCACAGATTGTCTGCAGATGTTCGGTCGCATTGTGACTACTACAGGAGAGTCGAAGAGATATGAGCGGAGGCTGGATATGGCGAAGGAGCTGGTAGAGTCCTCTCAGCGTGATGACTGGGCCATCGGCCTAGGGCTTATTCTACCGGGAGATCGGGCAAAGAAAGTTTCCGTCTAGGTTGATGGGTCTTCATAAGCATCTCTTTACTCACAGTGTTTCGCTCTGATTTACACGGTTTGCGTATGGGTCTTTCAAGCCTGCGCTGCCGTAGATACGCTCTTCTGTATCGTTTACTGTCAATCGCTGTTCGTCTGCTGCTCTACGAATGTACTATCAATATGTCTATTTTCGCCATACTGACACGGACGATGGGACCCGATCTCTGCATCTGTACTTCCAGATGACTCAAATATATCCATTGCCCTTTCAGTGGCCCAAACCTCGTTGCCGCAACTTTTCCCTGTCCTTGAAATTTGGCATCCTGCTTGTCCCGATGGTGCACTCACGTCTGCCCTCGTTGGAGGCGGTAATAGAAAAAACTCGAAGCAGCACAATCCTGCAAGACAATGCCAGACCAAACGTCGGGAGCAATCGCCCTCAAGTGAGCATCGAAAATTGAATGATCAGGTTGTCCTACAATACACGACATTACAGCAAAATATATCTACGCCACAAGAAAAGAAAAGTACTGCACGCGTCCAGCGTAGCAAACTCGACCTCCAGGATACGAAGCATGAAAATGCGGCGAGACATGGGAGGAAGGGGGTTGCAGGGGAGGAGTGTGGGGTATGTAGACCAAAAACTATAGAGCAAGGTATAATACGGGTAAAAGTCTGGGCGTGTTCGTGTTTCGTGAAGTCCGATGTGTAGAAATGTCTTATGCATCTGAGGATGGAATGTAGATGGGATGGAATGGGAGCGCGGCTGACAACAAGCAATGTCCTGGTGATCGATTATGAGGGCGAGAGAGGAGCAGGCGAGTGATCGCATATACAGTGGTTAGCAATGCGATGACAACGACAACGAGCAGAGGAGGTAAGTCCGAGGTGAGATAGGCAGGCGAGCTGCTGAGCGGTAGACGTGTAGTAATAGCAAGCAGGGAAGACACAAAAGAGCGAAATGAGAAAAGAGTGTGGGGGAGACGTCTACAACAGCAGCAGCAAGGTCAACAGTACAACGAATACAGAGCTGAGGGACTCAGCGCCAACGGCGCGGACCTGGGAATGCGCGCCGGACGTAGTCTGTTGGGTCTTGACGGAATTGGAGGAAGATGGGGCGGATGAGGAGGATGTTGGAGATGCGGAGGGAGGCGCGGCATTGTAGAACGACCGAATTATGTCTGAAGCTTGCTCGGCGAGGCCATATACAGGTGCTTGGAGCTGCACACGGTCGTCAGGTTCTAGGAACAATGATCATGAAAACAGATTCACATACATGAGCGGCGAACTGGATAGGGAATACGGACGCGTCGACGACACGGACATTCGCTGTCACACACACAAACGCCGATTAGCTCCACCTTTCAACCGATTATGAACGCGTAGAAAGACTCACCGAGACCATATACGCGCAGATCGGTGTCAACGACACCGCCTTGACTGAGCGGAAGCATCGCGCACGAGCACGAAGGGTGGAACTCGGTTCCGACGTTGTTGGCGAGCCACTTGTCCCAATCGTCGTCAGTGCTGACGCTCGACCCGGGTGTCACCTCGCCCGTAAGCGACTGGTTCAGTGGTGCAGTCTGCGCGACGGAGCGCGCGAACTTGAGACCCTCACGGAGCAGGGTGATGTCTGCACAACTATCAGTTCGTTTCCGGGAATGAGTGAGGTCCGAAATAGGCTCACCAGCCGAATGCGTGAGATAGCGCGGGTCGATGACTGGTGTGTCGAAGGGATCCGAGGAGTTGATGTATAGGTACCCTTGACTGATATCGCAAATGAATGAATCAACGCATGAGGCCCCTGCAAATGCAAGAATTAAAAACGTCACATACCTGAACGGACGCTGCAAGGCAGCCTGGACGGCTACGGTCGACGTCGTCAGACTGAGCAGGATCTCGACGTGCCCGAGCGGGCTCATGAGCAGATCGCGCGCGCTGACGTTGTAGATCGCCTTGTACCCCTCGATGACGGTGCTGTCTGTGCTCGGAACGAGCGAGGATGCCGAGGACTCGAACGCGTTCACGATGTCGTTCTGGAAAGACGATGCAGAGTTGCCAAGGAGAGATGTGATGTTAACGTAGGCGGTGGCCGAGTTGATGAATGACAGGAATGCCGACGAGCCACCGGCGACCTGCAATGCATTAGATCCGTGAATACACCACGTTCTTGCACTTCGCGCAGAACACACTCACCGAGGCAAAATTGTTCGAGCTGTGCATCGCACCTGCAGTCTGCTCCGTAGTGCCGAACACCAACTGCGTGCTCAAATGATCCTGGAGATGCTGCCCAACACCTGGCAGAGCCGACTTGACGGCCACACCGGCGGTGTTCAACACGTCCTGCGGCCCGACACCGCTATGCATCAAAATAGCTGGGCTGCCGATAGAACCGCCCGCCAACAAGACCTCCTTGCGGACATTAACCGTCTGCCGCGCGGCCGTCCGGCTCGCGGCATATTCGACCTGACTGGCGGTCAGGTTGTTGGATGCGGAGCTGTTACTGAAGATCATGCGAGTAACAAAGGCATTGGGAAGAATCTGGAGGTTCGAGCGCGGGGGAAGGGGGTCGATGTACGCGGAACGGGAGTACGAGCGCGTAAAATTTACAGGGTTGATCGTTGAGGTTGCGATGAACGCGCCCCAGCCCTGCCCTCCGTAGGCATCTGGACTCTCGGGGACGCCGAGCGCTCCGAGGGTAGGGATCCAGTCTCCAACCAGAGGGTCGAGGCTACACGTGAAAGCGGACAAGCATTTACTCAGCACTGAGGCGTCAATGGACCATCGGAGGGCGCTCACTAGCCAGGGTATGACACATGCAGCGGTCCATTGGACCCGCGGCTGGAAGCGGCGTATTCGATGTTCCCTTCCTTCGCGATATCCGAAGCCGGCGCGCCGAACGTCTCGCTCTTCTTCATCGCAGCGAGCAAGGCGTTCCAGCCCCACTTGCTACTCGCGTTGCTGTCGATGGACGAGACCATCCCAGCCCATGCGTCCACCTCCACCTGCGAAGGCCGAACGCTGTACATGCCGTTAATCGCAGATGAGCCACCGAGGACTTTGCCGCGAGGCCAGGTAAGAACGCGGTTGCCAGCCTGCGGCTGCGCAACGGTGGGGTATGACCAGTCGTACTGAGAGCCTAGAATAGACTGGTAATATGCGTTTCCGGGGATGTCTGTAAGGAGTTCACCGAATTAAATACAAGACGCTGGGGCAAAGGAGGGGGACGCACTGATGGAAGACGCTGCAGCGTCGCCAGAATCTCCCGCTTCGAGGACCAAGACGGTAGTATTGCTGTCCTCAGACAGGCGAGATGCCAGGACGAGACCAGCGGTTCCACCGCCTGCGATTACGAAGTCGTAAGTGCTTTGAATTTGGTCCTGAGAGGCGATGTTCCGAGCACGGAAGAGGTGGTGGGCGTGAAGGTCGTCATGAGGAAGACAGGAAGCGGACAGAACGAGTGACAGAGTCAGTAACAAACGTGCTGGCGGGGTCATCGTGAGGAGAATAGGGAAGGGCGTCGTGCCAAGGGGAGGGCAGAGAGAGGATGAACCGCGAAGCGGAACTTATGTAGGTGCAAGAAGCTGTCACGGCAATCGTGTCAGATCAGCACAGAAAACTTAGGACAGTTGAGACTATTACCTGGAGGAATGCTCGTGGAGTAATTGTGTTGCGTTGTCTAGTGGGCGTGGGGCTGGTTATATATCACCAACACTAGCAACGACTCGACGTTCTCGACCGAACAACTGCAAATTGAGCCGTTCTTTGGAGAGCCAGAGCGATTGCATATGGAGCAGCTGGAAGAGGCTGGCCAACAGAGGGCATCCTAGACCGCGCCGGGAAAGGCGGGCGCTACTGCATCTACTCATTTTCCGGGACGTCGAGTGCTTCATTCCCCAGCGGCTGTGCACCTCGTGTCAACAATGTCGGTCAATATCGTGTAGAGAGCGCGCTGGATGTCATACAGCCGTCTTCAGGCGTCTGCCTTGCAAGGCCATGGGGCTAAAGCTGGCTAAAGTCGCCTCTTTTCTGCCCTGCAGGTTGTTCCTCGGTGGAACGGATGGCGAGGTGTCGGCGCAGACTGCTTTGGACCCGAGTCTGCCCGACGTAGTATACGGGCCCTGCCGAATATTCACGAGCTTGGCGTCCGATGTTAAAGGGATCAAGCTGTCAAGGCAGTCAAGGCACAACAATGGGCTTACGCCTGGCCTCCACCTGCGGTGACATGCATGCCCCTCACATCTCTCGCAGAGAGTAAACTCAACATTGAGAGTGTGGCACAAGCCTGCTGCATAACATCTCGCGGGCCGGGCCACGACGTCATTCATGTCCATTTGCTTGCAACGGACAGCGACTTCGCCATGCTACTTATATGTTGCCAGTGCCGTGGGTGTCAACGACCCTTTCCAGGCGCTGTTGTACACAGTCAACTATCTGCTCCTGTATGGTCATCTGTCCCGGTGACCAGTATTATCTTGTATGGCCCACAACTTATCAGAAGCAAGAGACAGCTGATTTGGACAGCTCATAAGCTGTATCGAGAGGAGACATGAGTGCCTTGCCATGTCTTTTATGCTGCCGTTCATCGTCGCCTATGCGTTCGCCTCCGCAACTTTATGGACAACGACCAGTTGCTTCGCGTTTCGACCACCTCCATTGCACATCCGAGAAGTGCTACCTCAACCTCGAGTGAGGGAGGTGTTAGACAATGCGGCCTTTATTTTTGAAGTATGCATCTTTAGCCTTGAATTGACCCCATGGTCTCACCGCTGCTCAGATGCCAGTGGATCACTTCGGAGATACCAGTGGCATTTTCGGCAACCGCTACTGGGTTAACGATACTTACTACAATGCGGGAGGCCCAGTGTTTCGTTCGTCTTGATCTCATTTCCGTTACTTGAGCTGTCTCACCAATCTATGTCAATTGATGGAAGTTTTCGACTCGGGCGAGCAGAATGCTGAACCACTGTTGCCCTACTATCTTCAGGTGAGTCATTCAGCCAGCGAGGATAACTGGTCGAAAGCGAGGCTCGCGCTTCAAGGAATATCATGGCTTGTCAGCTGTTATGCGCCTTGCGAAGCGCTACAAAGGACTGGCCATTCTCTGGGAACATCGCTTTTATGGAGAATCTCTTCCCTTTCCTGTCAACGTATGTGATTTACCTTTACCTTTTCCTACCTGTGAGTGCCCACCGCATTCAGGAAAATACCACCGCAGAGCAATGGCGGTTCCTTACCACGGACCAAGCCCTCGAAGACGTCGTCTACTTCGCCAACGCCTTCATCCACAACGCACGCACGTTCCACCCCTCCTCGACGCCTTGGGTCTGGGTCGGCGGCTCGTATCCTGGTGTGCGTGGTGCACTCTTGCGCCAGCGCAACCCAGAAACCATCTTCGCCGCATGGGCGAGCTCCGCACCCGTGCACGCCCAAGTCGACATGGCGAGCTACTACGCCGCCGCCGAGCGCAGCCTCACGCGCAACTGTTCCGCAGACTGGGTCGCGGTAACGCGTCACGTTGACGGCGTCCTGCGCTCTGGGAACGCGAGCGCCGCAATAGAAGTCAAGTTCGCGCTACTTAAGGCGTTGTTGAGCGGCCCAGGGGGCAACACGACGGGTGCACAGAATTTGACGAAGAGCCAGGCCGCTGCGACCAGTGACGTCAACGCAGCATCGATACTGATGGAGGCGCTGAATTTCTATCAGGTCTGCCCGAATACAGTTTGGCTGATTGATTTGGAGCTGATGTACATTGTATGCGCTGGCGCAGTACTATGGTTTTGAGGCTTCCGTACTTCCATTTTGCAATATTGTTGAAACGCGAAATTTCTCCTCGGATCCCGTGGAGGCAGGGCTGGCGGCGACACTCGGTGTGGACGCTGCGTTCAAGGCTTTTCTCACAGGCATCGCAGAGATTGACTACGATTCCATTCCGGGGGTCCCTGACGATCCTGTTACCGACCGGTCATGGATGTGGCAGTACTGCTCCGAATACGGTCGGTGTTTCTGTACACGTCTATGCTTGTTAACCGTTGATATTTGTCTTCTTTGAAACCAGGATTTTACCAGCGCGGCGATCCCACTAACTCCCTTTCCATTGAGACATCTTTCCTTTCGTTAGAGCTCTTTCAAGCAGAATGCAACTCGACGTTCCCGGAAGGGCTTCCGTCGTCACCTGCGGTCGAGCATGTCAACAAGTATGGCGGGTGGGATATGCGTCCATCGAATGTCCTGTTCACAAATGGCGAATGTGCGTATCCAACATCTTACGAATGTTGATATAATCTAAGATATCTCATTGCTGCGGGATCTTCGCTAGTCGACCCGTGGCGCACCATGGGTCTTGCCTCGATTGAGGCCAACTCGCCCCACCGCACTCCAACAGCCTCGGTCCCGCGGTGAGCAACCACTTTCCTCCCTTCGTCGAGCGGTACGTCCCATGTCATCTACTTCCACCGTAAGGTGCAACGAGCCTGCGCCGGGCGAATCTTTCTTCGGGATAACGTACGCAGGCATGGTGCATGCGAGCGACATGCGTGTGCTGCTGGTTCCCGATGCGAACCACACAGACTTTAGGACGGTCGGGTTTTACAGTCCCGTGTCGCAGGAGCCGTTTTATACAGGCCTGGCGTTGTTTCAGTTGGCGCTGGACGAATGGCTGCCATACTTCAATCAGGCTGAGGCACAGAATGCAGAGTAGGCACAAACGCGACTGCGGGAATGGTTTTGTCATTGTTTTTATACAAAAGGTCACCTGAACATTTTCCTGACGGCCAAGGCACATGGTAGGACCTAAGCCGATGCTCATTTGATGGCCTTGCTTTTTGTTGAGCCTGTCCCGCTAAAACCAGATTTCGTGACAGCCTTACTACCGAAGTACTGACAGTCGACCTCTCTGAGAAGTGCGAAGATCTCACAGTGAGCCCGTAATTAGGACGAATCGTAGGCTCGAGCACTCACCAGCACCTTCTACGCCTCTGACTTTCTGAGAGCAAGCAACGACATGAGTCGTATTTATCAAACACAGCAATCTCGGGCAATTGACAGATATTGTCGTTTTGAGTCAACAAATGCCGGCAAATGTTGCCAGAATTTTGGTTCAGAGAACCGTTGACAATTGTTAGAAATCCATATATTAGAGAGAGTTTACAGCAATTGCTGTCAATTGACAACTTGGAGGATAGCAGATCCCAACAATTCCCAACAATTGCCGACAATTGCCGATAATTCTCAACATTTGTCAGCAATTTTCGGCTATAGCCTGCAATCGGGTCATATTATGGGAATTATCTAGAATTATTCATCGTACGCGAATCGTTGAACGTTCAGACTTGCCCTATCCCTTGTAGAGTCGCATCTCGCAAGCAACATCCTCTTAGATAGTCAGCTTTGGGGCTTACAGGTTCCTCTAGAATGTCAGACAAGGATGTCCTCATCTCCATGGGTTTCGAGGCTGCCAGGGTAGATTGTACGCGTCATCCACATGCTACTTCTCCGCGATCGCGCAGTGTTTACTTGAACATGAGTTAATATTCTTCGCAACAATAGGGGCCCTCAGGGCGACGAGCAACCGTGGACTTCAACCAGCGATGGACTTCATTCTCGAGCACAATGACGATCCGATTCCCGAACCCGGCGCCGCACCACCCGCAGGCAGTGGATCTACGGGTGCGAGCGAGCCGATGGACGAAGACGAAGACGAGGACACAGCTGCTATACGTGCAGCGTATGGAAAGGTCAGCGCCAATGTCGCTAGTAGCCCCGACGTAGGAGATGGGGAAGCAAAGGTACGGGGTTGTATGACTTATACGGACAGACGCGAGCACTAATCTGTTTGTTTGATGAATGCACACAGAGTATCAAATGCGCCGTATGTTCCAAGGTATTCAAAAACACAGCATTAGCAAATTTCCACGCAGAGAAGAGTGGCCATGATCAGTTCGAAGAATCGACAGAAGAGGTAGAGTATCTCCCCTTACTCTATTTGCCTCTGATTTTGGCTGATCGAGTCGTTCAGATCAAACCGCTGACAGAGGAGGAGAAAAAGCAGAAGTTGGACGAGCTACGCAAGAAGATGGCCGAGAAGCGTGCCAAGAAAGCAGTCCAGGAAGCTAAGGAGGCGCAGGCGAACGAGACAATCCGTCGTAAATCCGGAAAGGTAAGTAGAGCATTCCCTACAATGTCGCTCGATCCGTTGAAGTATATCTATAATACGCGTAGGATATGGGACAGATTAAGGAGGATATGCAAGCAAAGCAGATCGCCAAAGAAGCGGAAGAGAAGCGGCTTGGTATGTGAACTGACCAACAGTACATCGCCTTGCTAATGCATTGTGATATCGTATTTCTACAGAAAAAGTAGCTGACGCCAAAGCGCGCGCAGCCGTCAAGGCGCAGATAGAACAGGACAAGCGTGAGCGGGCGCGGCGAGCCGCAGAGGAGAAAGCGCGCAGGGAGGGGCGTGCTGTCGATGCGGCCCCCACCACCGCCCCCACTGCATCTGTTTCTGCATCAACCGCTGGAAGTTCAGTCGCCGGAAGGGACTTCAAAGACACTCGGCTACAGATCCGAATGGCCAGCGGCGGCACGCCATATACCACGACACTACCTAGTGATGCCAGTTCGTGTTTTTGTAACTTGATATTCGAACCGTGAAGGCGAGAAGTTGATATTTTGATATTGATAGCTCTCCGAGAGGTCGCGGAATATCTGGCTGGACAGACCCTAGCGGTGGACGTCGAGACGGTCAACTTTGCGCAGCATTTTCCAAGGTACGTCGGTACAAGCTTCTCTTGAATCTTGAATGTCTCACAACGTGGCATCCTGTAGGAAACAATTCTCGCATGCTGATTTCTCCAGAACGTTGCGGGAGCTTGGTCTCACGCCTTCCGCTGTGTGTACTAAGAATACTGTTCATCATGAGCATGACTGACATCTCGTAGGTTCTCATCGCGTCGTAGCGGTTCTTTGTATCATACGCAAGCATAAGGTGGAAGATGTATGTACGCTGTCATGGACCTGTCTTGTTGTAACAATTGTTGAAGGTCGCGGAGTGAGGCAATCTGCATCTTCTGTGCCAACTTAACGCTCTTGTAGTCGGTAGGTATTAACACAAATTCTCGCTATCTTCACTCCATGCTTTGTACTCCGGTGGCTTGGTAGATCATTGTCAGATCGCGCTCTGAGTGGTATAAACTTTCAACGAAATTCTTTTGAGAAATTCATATGGCCTCGGAGGGGAGCTCGGGGTGGTTGAGTGATTGAGGCGTGACATCTAAACGTGTTCACGATGATTCTTCACGACATACCTGCAGAGCTTGTTTTCAGGGACAGTTATGATGCAAATAGATAATACAATTGCGCAATAGAGAAGAGAGCTAGATGGATGTCCGCGCTTGGTGGTATTAGTGAAGAGTCCTGAGAGGGAGCCGCGTCAGTGCTGGCCACAATCATTCATCAGGCATATAGTCCCAGACACTGATACTCCCATCCTTCCACGCAATCGCGATCCTTCCCGTTTCTTCGTCCATCGCAATCAGATTCGCTCCTGGTCTAGGCAGCTCGCCAAACACCATGGTTGTCTCCACTTGCGGGACGCCAGATCCGTTCGCGTTAGCCTGCCTGCGATCATCTCCTCTGTAGAGCATCGTGCCGGCCACGCGCTGCCACTCTTCACGCCCGATGGCAACAGGCCCCGTATCGAGATCAGACAGAGAATCCGTGAAGAGCGCGGTGCCGTACGGGCCTACGGCCGTATCGACCACGGCGAAGAGCTCGATCGGCGAATGCGTGTACCGTAGAATCACGGGCGGAAATACATATGATACGCTCTCGGTCGAAGTGGTCGTGGTTCCCGGATGCAGATGCGGGTGTTCGTGTGCGAGGTCCAGGCTCGGGATCGGGGGCGGCTCTATCAGGGCGAGGTTGGGGCTTTGGGTATGCGCGGCGGACGAAGGGGCGAGGACGAAGTGGTAGAGCATGTTGATCGGCCAGGGATACCACGATCCGAAGCGAATGAAGATGTTGATAGGCGGATAGTGGCCTTTGTCGGAAAAGGCGGAAGAGGGCGCATAAGCATGTATCTGTGGATATGCTCTGATGCTGTCGATTCGCCAGCGCCAGCGATGTTCGACAGCAGGGAGGACAATAGTATTGGTCGAGGAAGATGAATGGCCAGTCATCATGGCGTCCGGATGGGGCACGACAGGCGAGGACGGCGGACTGCCGAGCGGTGTTGGTAGATTGAAGAGTTTGATAGTTGAAGGGCCAATCGTGACGACAGTATCGCGCAGGAGTACAACACAGACTGTTTCATTCATCTATTTCGATGGGCTTAAGGGTAGTCAACTCATCGAATGACAAAAGACACTTGTGGTGAACTCACATGAGGAGCATGGGGATCGCGCAACTCATAGAGCATCTTACCAGTCATCGTGTCATGCAACCACACATTACCCTCTTGATCACCAACTGCCAGAATGTCACCGCTCAAGAGCATAGGGATGCCCTTTGTCGGGTACTCAGCCAAAGTCACAAAGTCCGCGATATGGTGTATGTGCGTGCTATTGGTGTGCTCCGACGCACGGGGAGCGAGCCCAAGAATATACGTCATCATTACATCTCTACAAGCGTGAAAACTCAGCGTACGATCCTCTCAATGTCACGCTCGATAGATACAGTCCTCATGAACAATCTGCGAAGGAGGAAAGCCAAGGAGGAAAAATAGAGGACACGCACCGTTCAGCTGATGCGGCGGCTAGCATCACCGGGCCCTCGCGCACCTCGTTGACTGCGAAATAAACCGGATGTGTGAAACTGCGCGATGCCACTGTCACTGGCGCCGCGGCTAGAGCACCAGGTGTACCGACATCGATGCACTGCAGTAAGTGCTTTGGGCCCGTCCAGGAGGCAAGAGTCGAGATCGGGCCACCCACGGTGAATAAGAAGACTGAATAGCGGCTGCCGCGGCCTGGAACGAGGGACAGGCCCGCGGGCGTGCAGTGTGCGAGGACAGGCGGTTGCGCGATGTCGCGGGTGCGTCTCGGGCGCGCGGATGTCCAGTTGCGGCGCAGGAGAAACGCGCGTCGGACGAGAGACTTCAGCTCTGCATCGGAGAGAGAGGAGAGGGCGCGCAAGGGTGGGAGAGGGGGGATCGGGATGTGCGATGCGATCAGATATGCGTGTAGGACCGTGTGCCAGACCGCACGAGAGTTTGTGAGGAAGGCGAGGGCCTTAGAGCACTAGCGATACACACAATAACGGTGAGCAGATCGCTTAGGAGAGTGAAGTTTACAGGCAGACATCGGCACAGATGGTTTCTAACTGCACACCTGGTTTAAGGAGAGGATGTCTTTGGGTTCCAGATCACGAACGATGAGCAGAAGAATGTCGAGCGGGAAGATAAACTTCGTGGCATGGCCTGGAAGAGACTCATCTGAATTCATAAATGATGACATTGTCGCCACAGATGTATTGGAAGTCGGCGGGGAAAACGCAAGGTGTCGCAGTGAATGAATGAGACGGGCCTGGCGTGAGAATCCCTGCAATGCATCCCTCTTTTCTCGTCAGGCAAGTCAAGTTTCAAGCTCACACGACAAACCTGCGATGCGTCCCTCTAGATCTTGCGGCGGACGTCTCAGCGGAGGAGGTGCGAGCATACAGATATTCGAACAATTCTATCCTTTGGGACGCCCCATCCTGACTTCATTCACCACGCTCCAATGTCCCTGAGCCACATGTCCAACGTGGGTGTGCGTATAGACATTGCTTTGGGACAATACGAAGTAGAGGGAGGAGGAAAATCAAGCCTCATACAGGTTGAGATAACACTATTTACTGCCACCTGGACACTGTACGTGACATTCTCCTTGCCACTTTCTCATTTGCTTCAATACACAGGTATGTGTATATCCTCTTTCATCCCTCGAAAACCACAGTATTGTAACGACCCTTACACTTCCTCCAAAAATCATTCCCCAGATCTCTCGTCGCCCCTTGCTTCTCTAGAGACAGCACTAGAGTATCAGTTCGTACCCTGTATCCGTTCAGAAGACAGCGTCGTGCGGAATTCAAGAACTCAGGGCTGCGGGGTTCTTGTGAGCTTGATCAGGAGGTTATGAGTATCGCACGCGCATTGCTGACGCGGATGTAAACTAACCTCACACCTCACATCCATTATAGTATCTGAGCACCGTGCGACGTTCACGTCTTGTCATACATCTATCGACAACTTTGCGTCAGAGGCAGGCTCTTTGCTCCGACGGCGCATACGCCTGAGGGAAGAGTGTTCTCCACCTCAATTGAGTTCCGCGTGTTATCATGCTAGGATTGTAGCTAGCGCTGTCTCGACGAAAACTGGCGTACAGGTTCAAATGATCGTAGTAGAGCGAGCTCGTTCACGTCCCGGCATTCCGGAAGCTCTCCACGCGCGACAAGCGCAAGCTTGCGACCGTCTCACACGCATACATCTCGATTCACAGAGAGAGAATGTGATGCGCATGTACACCGCTTGCTACGTGCGGCGAGCTCGCCAAGCCCGATTACTCTCTCTTTGTTCATCCAACGTTGTGCTCAATGATATCTGTATGAGTGCTCATCTTTGCGACACTTGGCTGTTGAGGTCTTTCCGCGGCTGCTCGAACATGGTGAGTTCCGGTATGTCACTGAGGCAGATTCTAATCTGATATTACTCCCTGAGCACTGCAGCTTCCTATCCACATCAGGCTACCATCGGATGTCGTGGACAACGCAGTGCCCTCCACTCCTCATCCCATGCTTCCAGCCAACTCTCGCCGCCCTCTCTATATGCCCGCATCATTGCCGTTGATGCTGGCCTCTGAAATCGTGGCTCCTTAGGAAAGCTGATACACCTTTCGAGCACGTCCTATCCATTCCTCCAATGTGCGCTCCATGATTTAAGGCGTCACGACTCTGTCATTTCGCATACTATTCTTTGTGGATACGCATGACTCTTCTCTTGGGCAGAAATGAGGCGGTATCATGCCGCGATTGAACCCTGACGCGAAGTTAAAATTGTCAGCTTCTCATCAGTTGGATGTGGACGGGAAAATTACATCCGATGCGCAATGGATCATGTCTCTATTTTTGAAAGACAGAGGTACACTTTCAGTTCACAACGAGCCTAGGAGCGAGGTGGGAAGTAAGACGATGCGAGACGCGTCGACGGTACGCCTCACCTCGCGAAATCTATTTACGAGGCGTCGTCGCCGATCTGTCTCGTCGTGCAGTCCGTTCGAGTCCGAATGTGGATTGATGTGTAAAGGCAGGGGCTCGGTAGTATGTAGTGTTCCAAAGGTGAACACCCAGAGCATGCTGCACAACAATGAGGTGAGGTTGCAGCTGGTTGCAGTGCCCCAGTCTCGAAAGCCTGGACATAAAAACGCGCCTTCGTTCACTCCGTGATGCTAAATATCTCAGTTGCATTGCATTCTTTTGCTCAACTCCCGAGCTGCGAGAGTAATCTATGATTATATCGAGCTGCCGGCTCTGCAGAGCCATTAATGCCTCACATGCCCTGTTCGGGCTTAACAACATGGCTATTGGATCTACTTGTTGCCTTTGATGTTGAATTGGGTATTCATGGAACAGCTGTGGGATAATTGGATCAGGAGGTTTCTTCTGATGCATGAGTGTGTGTAATTTCTGGTACCTATGCAACTGATCAAGCTACAAGCTTCAAGCCTCAATACTATGATAAATCTATGGATCACGCTAGATCTTTCTATGATCAATATCTTTTTTGTTCAGTCCATTGGTGATATATAAAGTATCGTAATGCATGGTCTAGAGTACTTTATACCCCTTCATTCACATCCACAATCTCAGCATCTGCCTTTACAAGTGGTCCATATCATGAATGTGTCTGAGAGTCCCAAAATTGTTCAGCACGCTGGTACTGTCCTTTTAGGAAATATTTTGGAGCTAGTCATCATATCCTTCTTCTCTGGTTTGTTATCATTGTCTTCATCTTAGTAGGAGACTCATCTAAAACTCCAACATCTAGGAATTTATACAATCCTAATGCTTTGTTTGATATACCTTTTCTAGTAAGTGTTTTTTTATTTTTTTAAAATCTTGGAACTTTCTCAAGTTATATAGCCAAGGAAAAGTTATATCTAGGGCCAAGTCTTATATGTTTGCTATTACTTTGCTGACATTTTTCACAATAGCAATCATATGTTTATATGATATAATTGATGTCATTCAAACTATCCCAAATCTGCTTATTTTAGCAGAGAACCAGACATTAGAAAACAAGTTTTCCAAGATTAATCAAGACATTAAAATTTATAATACTATAAACTTGAGTTTGCAAATAGTCAATGTTTGTTGTTATTTATACTCTAATATATAAAGGAGACTAAGACTAGTTTTAGGCCCTATTAGGAAATACTGTTATTGTATGGAGGGCTCAAACATTATGGGCAAACCATTATATTATGGTCTTGCTGAAAGGTATATTAATAGTGACCATAAGTTAGTTTTTATCTAACTTTGATTTTTATGTACAATACTAATATGTCTTTAGTTGCTTCAATTTCAAATTGTGTGCTCAACTCTATTGGATCAATAGCTATATTTGACTTGTTGGATTATTATTCATTGTATCTTCAAATGATACAATGGGGACTAGAAATAATAATGAATTCAGTAGTCACAATCTTAATAGCATACAAGGCATGGTCTGTATTTTTTTGAAGGCAAAAGCTTACTAGCATAACTAATGTTCACTATTTGAAGGGAGTATCGACAATCTGTCAAGACTTACCTAGCAAAAAACAAAAAGACTCAGATTGAAAACATTCTTGCTTTGCTTGTTGAATCTGGCATCTTGTACTGTGCTTTATGGGTATAAAGATTATAGTTGTCTTTTTACTAAGCTAACTTATTCAAACAGATTGCTCTTATAATTTCAGAATTTACATCTATTAATGGCTTAGAAATTGATATATTTTCTAGCATTAGCATGGTTTTTACTGTGGGTGATTTTTTTAAATTTTTTATTGACATCTCTGAGAAATTTATTTAGGGAATATATCCAACATTGATTATGATTGTGGTTAGTTTAAATAGCACAGTTGAGGAGATGTCAGGAATTTCAATTTCAACAATCCATACCTCTATTCAGCAGGAGCTAGAGAATACTAATATTCCAGCAGAAGCAGAAGTTTTTCATTTACAAACTTTTTATGAGCATAATATTGTACCTAATGCAGAAATTATTGAAGAAACTCAGCAAGACTAGACTGGGTGAGTAATCTTCTAATAGTTTCAAATTATAGCATTGCTCATTCAATGCCTCCAGATGTTATTTTTATAGCACTTGATAAATATTAATTCTGTGGAATTCTTATCTTGACTACATAGGCTTCTTTCTTGATTTTGATAAATATTTATGGAATAGAAGAAAAAACCTGTATGATTGAAAGAATGCCATGTGGATTGGTGAAAGACTGCAAGATTCAACATTGGACTTAGTCCTATCAGCAACACCAAGAACATTTCTTTCCAAAGATGCAAACAAATTCAAACAAACCTGAGACTATGTTCTTGAAATCAACTGCATAGTGCAGCAGTGCCAGCATTGCACAACATGAAGCACAAATTAGATATGAGATTGAAGAGGTGAAGACACATAATGAGTGATGATTAGCTCGCAAAATATCCGAGAAATAGCATAGCAAATTCAGAAAAGGGAAAAGGGAGTGTGAGTACAAATAAGACAGTGATGATCGTGTCAAGCAGGGTTCACCGCACGGCGGTGTGTACAGTAGACGTTAGTAGTGGCGGATTTCTGAGATTAAAAAGAACATAGACCGAAAATCGGCTACAAGGTCACATGCCAGAGATGACATAGGCAGGACTAGGATGCAAGAGGGCCGGAGAGATAGATACGTGAGGGACAAGGAAGTGTATCTGTTAAGTGTATCTGTTATAGGTAGGTAGAGCGCCGAGAGCGGCGCGAGGCGAGACATGCAAGAGCGGAATACAATGACAGAGCAACCAACGAGACCCAGACCGTCCGCGAACAAGCGCAGAGACAGACAGAAAAATACAAAGATCAAACGCGCGAGCAACAAACCACCAATATAACGCCCCAGAAAGTAGCTTCACACCCAATGTTCCATGGGTCGGAATAGAGACTCACTCCTCCTCACCGTCCCCTTCGCTCAACACATCGCCGTCCCTCTCCGCAAACCGCATAGGCACCGACCGCCGGCGTCCCCGCCCAAGACGGATACTGAGCAGCTCGGACATGCTCCGCTTCAACGCCGTCGCCTTGCCGCCGCTCCGACCCACACTGCCTCCAAGCCCCGCGCTCGATCCCGGCCTCGCATCCTGTCCCGTGTTCGCCTCAGAATCAACCACGCTGGAGCCCGCCCCCGCGCGTGCGCGTGTTGAAAGTGGCGAGAACGCCGACACGGGCGTAGATGATGCCGAGGACGTCGAACTTGCAAACTCGAGCGACTTGCCGCGCCTGCCCCAGCTCCCACCGATGCTCAGCCCAATGCCGTGCCCATGTGCGTGCGCGCTCCCCGTGCCGTGCGAATGCCCACTCGCGCTCGCGCTCAGACTGGGGCTCATGCTCCCGCTCCCCCTGAGCTCCCCGAACTCCAGCGCACTCGCGCTCCGGCTCGCGTCGCCACTCACGCGCCCACCCCCGCTCCGGCTGTGCGCCTCGCTCAAGGTCCAGGGCCCTGGCGGCGTCTGCAGCGGGACGAACGAGTCCGAGCCCGCCTTTCCCTTTCCCTTCCGTAGCGCTTGTGCCTGCGCGCGCGCAGACGCGAGAGGGGACGCGAGGCTGTGGAGCGCAGGCGTCGAGAAGGAAAGCGCGAAGGCGGGAGTAGAGCGCGGAGAGCGCGGACGAGAGTAGGTCGATGTCGCTGGTGGGGACGGACGTTGGCGTGAGGTAGAAGAGGTGGCGGGAGCAGAATTGGGAGTATAGGAGGCGAGGAGGCGGGGAGAGGTCGGTGAGGTCGGGCGTGGGCGAGCGTTAGGGATGGAGGCGGGGGTATATGCGAAGCTGGCCGAGTATGGATGGACCTTCTCGAATGAAGGGCGCGAGGCTGTGTGCAGATCGAGTTAGCATAGGCAAGAATAAAGTTACAAAAGCGAAGAATCAGAGTGAAGATTCCCCAGTCAGCCGTCGAGATCTAATCAGATCGAAAAGGACGATGGCGAGGGGCAGATTGAAATTGCGATCGACGCCGACAGCGCGGAACAAGGCTGGCGACTCGACCGCAACGTCATGGCAATCCCATGTATCGGCGACGGTCGAGAAATCCAAGACACGCACCTCGATCCGACCTCGTTTCAGCCTCGACATTTGTTTCCCGAGGAGCTCCACGCCCCGACTCCCGTTTCTGCGTTCGCTCTCGCCCCTGTTCCGCCTCCTGCTCTTCTCCGCTCTCCTGCCTCTCCATCTCCAAAAACGACATCGTCCCATCATCCTCGTCCTCCTCTGCGTCCGCCCCCCGCCGCGCCTGCGACACCGCCAGATCCATCCCCGCAACCGCCAAACTCCGCCGCTGCACGCCCGCCCCCCTAGTGCTCGTGCCCGCCCCTATCATCACAGGCAACGGCGGCACCGATACCCGCCCGCTCCGATTCGGCGACGCACTGCGCCCGCGACTCCGACTGCGACCCCGGATCGCACGCACGCTCGTCTTCGAGTTCGCGGCGACGGTTGCGACGGAGCCCGAGGTGGTTGCCGTGCCCGCGGTCATGGCTGAGCTCGTCGTGGACGAGGACGGCAGGCGCAGGCTCGCCTTGGACGCGCGCATGCTGCGTTTCCGCGCGGCGCTCACGCGGCTCACCTGGCTCGCGGTCGAGCGTCGCTGCGCCGCTCGAGCGATGCGCTCCTGCGCTACCTCGTCCCTGTCCTCGTCGCGGTTGGGCCCGACCATGGTGAGTCGTGCCTTGGAGACGACGGCGGTGCCGGTGACGCCGATCACTTCGACGTTGCGAATGCTCGTCATGTCCGAGATGACTGTGCTTGCGCCGTCGATCGTGGTCGTCTCCTCCCAGTTGTCGTCCTCATTGTCGTTTTCGTCCTCGTTCTTGTCCTCGTCCTCGTCTTCGTCTGCGCCTCCACGGTCTCCACGCGTGATCGAGTCGGTATAGGAAGTGGCGGTTGGGGTAGCGATGGGATCTGCAACCGAGTCCGAGAGGGCACACGGCGCCTCATCGGCGCCGACATTGTCGAGTGAGGGAATGGTCGACACTGTGGGTGCGTTCTCTTCTTCGTGGTCTTCCTCTTTTTGGTTTTGGGCGTTCCTAGCGATTTCGGCCGAGTTCACATCGCCCGCATTGTGTCCACACTCCTCTACACCCACCTGTACTTCCACATCCACCATCATTCTCTCCCCTTCTCTTCTCATCTCCTCTTTCTCCTCGCCCGAATCAGACTCCACATCGGGCTCGACTTGCACCCCCACCTCCACCCGCTCCCTCGTCTCCGCCTCCGCCTCCGCCTTCTCCTTCGCCTCCCTATCTACAGCCTTCGCCACGTCCTCCGCAACCCGCCACGCCTCCTCCACCTCCGCCTCCAGCTGCTCCACCCGCGCCCGCACGCCCGCCAGCTCACGCCCGCGCCGCTCATAGCTCCCGTTCAGCTTCCGCAGCGCAACCGCGAGCGCACTCGCGCGGTGCGCGTCCCGCAGGTGCACGAGCTGCGCCGAGCGCGCGCCCGCGTGGATCAGCGCCTCGGTCTGCACGTCCAGCGCCGTCGCCGCCTGCGCGAGCTGCACCGCGAGCGCCTGCAGCGCGCTCGAGCCCGCGTCCCCGCCGCCGTTCACGCTCATCGTGCTCCCGTTTCCGACGGTCGCGCCCGCCTGCGCCTGCGCGACCGCGTTCAGCGACTGCAGCAGCATGCGCCGGCGGCCCGCCTCGAAGCGCCACCGCGCCTGCGCGCCCGCACGCTCGCCGTTCGCGCGCTCGAGGTCCTGCTCGAGCGCGCCGCCGGGCGCGACGACGGCGGGCTGGAGCAGGCGGATGGCGTGCTCGCGCGCGGAGTCGCGGATGGCGGCGGAGACGAGCGACTGGAGCTCGGTAGAGGAGAAGGTCCACTGGGCGGCGGAGAAGGGGAGCGGGCGGTAGGTGGGCGAGGGGAGCGAGGGCGGGGCGAAGGTCATGGGGTGGGAGGGGGGGAGGAGGGTCTGTTTGGGGACCGGGATCGGGGCGGGGGGCGTGCTGGTGTCGGTGCGTGTGGAGGCGAGGGTGGGCATCATGAAGGAGGGGGCGAGGTTGGAGGAGGTGGAGGGAGAAGGAGGGTTGCGGAGGATGGGAGAAGGCGCGAGGGGCGTTATCGACGAGGCCATGGTGGATGTCGATAAGGATGTTTGGGTGCGCGTGAGTGGCGGTGTAGATGGCGGTTTATTCGTGATCCAGGATGGCGAGTGGGGAAGCGAGAGCGAGCTGTGCGTCGGGTCTGCCGGCGACCTCTGAAACTGAGGTGAATGAGAAGTGGACGCAGTGGACGTGGATGTGGACGTGAATGACGTGGATGCGGTGGATGTGGAAATGCGTGGGGATGCGTGGGGTCTGATCGGCGTCGATGTGGAGAGGCGTGAGGGGTCGGACGTCGTAGGAGGTGAAGGCGGTGGGTCCTGAGCAGACGAGGGCAGCGGGGACGAGGACCGGGCCGATCCCGTGGGGTGATCGGCGCCAGCACTGGCGCGCGATGCGTACGGAGGTAAAAACTCGTGCGTCGACGATCCGATGCGCAGCGATCGGTGCGGGGACGCAGAGCGAGAGCGCACGTACTCATTTTCGGCTTCGAGCGCGAACGAGGGCGAGCTCGACTGGAAATGGGACTGGGACTGTGTGTGCGACGAGGGCCCGTGCACGTATGTCTTTGACTGTGTGTGCGTGAGGCCGATGGTATACGAGTCGTCTTTCGGGAACGCTTTGCGGGCGCGCGGGCCGGCGGGGAGGCGGGGGCGATCGCGCGCGCGCTGGGCGGGGGAGGAGGAAGAGGATGGGACTGGGGATGGGCTCAGGATTGGCGCGGAAGTGGGTATGGAGGGTGGGGGCGTCGAGGGCGCTGCGAGCGCAGGTGTGGAGGAGGACAATGATGATGACGACAACGACGACGATATCGGGTCATCCATTGCGGCCTATTTTTGGGTGAGTGCCAGCAAGGGGTGAACGAGGACTACGGGGAGAGCGAGAGAGAGGCTGACCAGTGATGGCCCCCGTCGAGTCTCGAAGTCAATGTGCGGTCGAGCGAGGGTTGCGGAGTTGCTTGTGAGATGGGCGGAGGAATGGGAGGTATGCTACTATCTTTGTGGACCGCGAAGGCGATGGTGGGAGTGTCAGACGGTGATAGCGGGCAGGTGCTTTGCTGCACACAGAGCCAGAGGGACACGGTCGATGCGTGCGCGCCTGCGTTCGCTCGTCCGAGGGCTCGAATGGAGCACTGTTTGAGCGGCGACTGGTGCGTTGGTCCGTATTCTGCGTTTGGGCGTGTATTTGCCTCGACTGGCTCTGCAGGATGGGAGTGCGGCTGGGTATGGAATCCGGGTGCGGTGATAGCTAGTGGCTATGATCCTGATCCTGATTAAGTGGAGGATGTCGTCGTCCAGATGAAGATGGGTTGGCCACGAGGGCTCGCTGAATGATGGCGTTCAGAATGTACGGCGGGGTGGAGATGAATGTATCGGCTGCTCGTCGAGCGTGATGGCGAGCTCGGCCAGCGCTGATGCTATCACGTAATTCATTTTCCCTTCCCTCTTCCTCCGTCCACTGCGTCTTCTCTCTTCCATTCCATACACCCGCTCACACCCTCGTATCTTGTGACCTACCACAGTGCGCACGCTGACGCTGACGCGTCTCCCTCGAGCACGCAGCGAACCCCCTCCGCCGTTGGCCCTCTTTCTTTACACCAGCTATCAGAAAGCACAGATATCGAAAGCATGCTAGGAACGCGCGACGTCAAAAATCACCGTGCCCGGTGACGCCCACAAAGGCGTCTCTAGAGATCAAGGCACGCATATGCGCCCAGCGCTCGTGACGCACATGAACACGTACGCATGTCCTACTTCTTGACTGCCATACTCGCGCATTCCTACTGCCGTTCCCGTCGCACGATGGTCGATCCAAGCTCGACTGGATCACACGCACTCACACCTGCGCGCGCGACGCATCGAAACATCTGCGACTGCCGAGCTGCTCCACCGATGCCCCGCGTTTGTGTTGACGAGGTAGATAGGGAGAGCTTCTCCAGCCAATGACTGAGTCTGCTATTCTGGATCAGGCATCGAGGTCTCGAGGCAACGCACAGGGCTTCGCACGGCGTAAGGGTACATCGTTCGCGTTTCATATCGATACGGTGGGAATCACGCCTCTTCGAAACGTCGTGAAACGATCGTTCGACGTCAGACATCTCTGACTGGCAGCCTGCGATCGAACAGAGGCGACGATAATTTCCATGAATAACCCCTACATCTTCTCGGCAGTCTCAGCAGGCTCGCGATATCCTCCATTCATCATTCTTCATGCTATAATTGCCACATCGGGCCGGCCTTGGCGTTTCTCGGCCTACAATCTGGCAATGGGAATATTCTACAGTGCCGGACAAGCAAAGTCAACAATTTTAGTTAACTAATTTTCCCACCCTCCGGAACCACCGGAATTGATGCGCATTCAGTAAATGAGCATTTTGAGCTCCTTACAAGCAAAATCCCATGAGCCAATCTCACGTAAATTACATTTTATTGATTTTGACCCTTAAAAAATTGGCCAACCCCCAAATTAAATGGTAGGGCCTCAGAAATAGCATCAATGAACTCCATTTTTCTATCTGAGTTCAATGGTAGTCTTAAATAGTCCCAAAAAAAATTACCAAGGCTGTAATGGTGGTGCATTTCCAAACCATGACATACTGGGCTACCAAATTATGTAGCATTCAAAGCATCCCCAAGGGCATCCTCCAAGAAAGAAACATGCATTAAAAATTCAGCATCTTCACAAAAAATCAATCCACTCAAGAAACTCACCTGAATTTGAGTCAGACACTGAAAAAGACATGGAGGATATTGATCTTGATAATCCATAAGACAGAGACTAGCTCTCATCTATGAAAAACCTGGTGAGTTCTTAAAAAATTACATTATAATCAATACTGGATAGACCATGAATAGCAGGTCCACATAAATCACACTCACATTGTTAAGCCGGCTAGGCTTAGTCGCGTGCACGTGATGCACTGAGGAGGGTTCCCTGGGCTGAAGCTTATCAGTTCCACGATTGACTCAAGACTTACTGAGTCCTTGACAAGGTGATGGGCAGTAGAGGACGACGAGAGCGTTGAGACGAATCTCTTGCTTCGTCAGACTTCGTATGGTTCTTTAGATCTGACAGAAATCGCGAAGCGTGAGCTGGGAAGGCAGCCAGACGCCGGGCGCAGTGCTGAGATCAAGATGTATACAAAGTGAACGAGCTGAGGCTTCTGAGAAGCTCAGCTCCCCTATATATAGTACAGGACTATTTAGGGCGGGACGGACATATGGTCCGCGCTTCGAAACACTAAGTACTATCAACGATCGACATCAGTAAGCCGCAGTCATCGTTCGTACTCCGCGGCTCGCGAATGTAGCCATGTATAGTAAGTAAATCAAATGTCTGTCCGCATCAATCAGAAGTAAGGAACCGATCGTGATCCAATCAGTAAGCACAATAGAAGAGGGACCGATCACGATCGACGTCAGTCATCAGAACAAAAGGGGAAAGCATAGTAGGTAAGCGTTCATGCATCAGCATGTGAATGATGATCAATCCGAAGCCAAGACGAAAGCGTTCATGCATAAGCATGTAAATGATAACAGTTCGAGTCCGAGTCGAAAGCGTTCAAGCCGAAGCTTGTGAATGAGTCGAGAAGAAATGCCAGTGAAATCACGTGCTGAGCACGTGTTAGGACGCGGTCCTAACACTACCCCCCCTTTTACACAAGTCTTCGGTGTTTGGAATGCGCACCGATTGTAGGCGGCGGTTCGCGCGGGTGGTCGACGTCGTAAGTGGGGATGGAGCGAACAGGGTATCCTGTCCACATGGATGTGGTGATCATGTGTTCCAGGGCCTGCTTGTGGTAACCGTACTCCTCTGCCACTTTGTCCATTTGCAGACGAAGTCGATTAACGGCTCCGCGATGCGCGTCGTAATCGCGCATAAAGTGACGCGCGGTGACGTCCGTCCGCATCCGAATGCGTGTGATCGAGCAGTCTGCGAGGAAGTGTCCTTGCCGTCCGCATTCCCAACAGTAACGGGCTTCTGGTGCCGGAGGTGACCCAAGAGGAGAGGGAGTGAAAGCGGGAGTTGCGGGCCAGACACTTGCCGATGCACTAGCTCCTTCGTGCCAACTTTCCGATGCGACTGGAATCGTCCCAGGGTGAGAGGAGGACGTGTCGACCGGTTCAACAGGGGCGAGACTTTCTCCGACAAGGGTCGCGGATGAGGATGCATCAGGGGGTGCCGAGGGCAGCGTCGGAAGTGGTCGACGAGCCTCGCGATTCCGGTCGGTTCTATCGGAGTCGTGAGGAGGACTCGCGGGGAGCATGGGATCGTCTTCTTCCAGTCTTGCAACCACCGTGGTTCTTTCGGCCGAGACCGCATGTCGAAAAGATGTCGTGTTGTCCGACCGGGGGGACCGAATTGGCGATGCGGGTGTGTAGGGGAGATTCGTCGTCAGTGATGACTCTTGGGTTTCAGGAAGGGAGAGGATGAGGGGTGTGACAGGAAGGCGTCCAACGTCTTCGGAGGGCCTCGCAGTGTTTGACTCGCAGAGGAGTTCCTCGGGTCTAGGTAGATGATACCCATCCTCGACCGTGACGTCCGATCTTGCCATGTACCAGGGTCTTTCATTGTCTGCTGGATTAGATCCTTCAGACCAGTACGCGGCGACGTGTTGCTCTCCTCGACTATTTGTGGGAAATAGTCGTTCTGGTAGTGTTCCTCCCGGCATGTATTCTTCGATGACTAGGCACTCTCTTCCGAATCCCGTAATGCGGAACCAACGTATGGTGTTTCGTCGGAAAGGAATTCGTGCCAGAGTGTCGAGCCATTCGGCTGGGGAATGTCGGAGGAGAAGATTCATTGCGAGGGACGTATATCCGGTAGGACGGTAGCTGATCATGTCGCTGCGAAGGGCTGGGAGGTTAAATAGCCCTTTGTTCCTATAACTGGTGAGGGCGAGATTCGAGAGAAGAGTCATCTGGTGTCGGCTCAGCGGTCCTTGATGCACCTGATATGCTCGTGTCATCACAATCTGCTGCAAATAGAAGAAGAAGTTTGCAGGATCGTCCAACCCAGATTGGTCCAGCATGATTGGAGCCTCGTCGTCGGTGAAGGTGATGTGATAAAGCGCACCGACGAGATTCGGGTTCAAGTAATGAGTCAAGTCGTAGATGGGGGAAGGGTAAACGGGGATGAGGACTCGGGGGGTGGTGTTGAACTGAGCAAATATTTGCCCAGCATTAGGTGTGTGGGGATCCTCGAGACGACTAGGGAGACGGGCGACGCCGATTTCGAAGTGCGGGTCGTCCACTGTGACGCCGTCAATGTGGTTGACGGAAGCGAGGGAGTCGGAAGAGTCGTCAGAGTCACTGGAGGCGGCTGAAACAGGGCGTAGGAGGAAGGGAGGTGACTGAGAGTGTGAACGATCGCGGGGGTAGGTTGCGTGGTGGAAATCCGCCATGATGTAGCGAGGGGATTCGAGGAAGTGGAACTTGCGGATGGTCAAGGACATGTAACTTGGGGAAACGGGATGACGGTTTTTTGTCGACGATGATCTCGTTTTTATACGAGGTCACTGGCGATGAGACAGGAGCCCTGGCAGATGGCTCCAACGAGAAAAGCAGCGAGAGAGATAGCGAGAAAGGTGGCGGTCGCGACGGCGGTGTAAACGGCGACTTCTGCTAAAGTGGGGTTCAAGGGGTTCATAGTCGTTTACCTGTCCAGGCTAAACCACGACTCGTCTGCTTTTGTAGTTCTTGGTAGGCTCGTACTCGCCAATTAGGGCTGTCCGATCGTTTATGCTGTGCCGTTGATCGAGGCGAGTCTAATCTGGGCTTCTGTGATCGTGTTCCTTGATCGTCGATCTTTGATCCTGTCCTTCTTGATGTCGAAGTTGCTGATGGCTTCTTGAACTGCGCCATCCGTGCTTCGAGTAGTTTCTTGATCTGGGGAACCGTCGCTCCGGTATCTAAAAGCTTCTTCCAGATGGGATTTTTTCGGAGTTCTTCTTTGAGCTTGGCGTCCTTCTTGTCGTGTTCTGCCGCTATTTCCAGAATCCCCAATGTCTTGAACTTTGCCGAGTAAAGCGTCTCTGGGATTTGGAGGCCTTGGACTCTTCTCCTGTTGCCGGCATCTTTTACGTCCTTTAGCTGGGCGGTTGCGTTTTCTTTGAGCTTGGCTGGGGTGGTCCCCTTGTCGAGGTATGTTTGCCCGATACGTCGACCTTCGAGTTTGTACTCGTCGTCCTTGAACTGTCGATTCAGCGTTCGTGCTTTTTGCTGAATCTGTCGGATGGTGTATCCTTCGTCTAGAAGCCTTCTTCCTGGCAGGTCCAACAGCGCCTTCGTGATTCGATCTTCTTCTTGTTGGTCTTCTCGATCTTGTAGGATTTGGCGCATGTCCTTTCCTGTGGCAAGGAGCCTCCTTCCATCAGGACTTTTCTCGAGTTGTTTCCTAACCTGCTCTTCCTCGGCTTCTCGATTGTCTTCCAGGTCGGCCGTCAATACTCGGATGGATGCTTCCCTTCCTTTAGGTGCGGACGGGTGTCGTTTATAGAACTCCGCGACGGCTTCCTTGGCATTGGTGACGTTATCCGCTGATTCCCAAGAGTTATCCGATTCCGGATAGCCCTTCCATTTGATCAGGTACTGGAGGATCTTCCATCTTCCGAAGCGTCGGGCTCCGACGATCTTTTCGACTTCGAATTCTTCTTGCCCCGCTATTAGGTCTGGTGCCGGTTTGGGGTAGTTGGGTCCATGTGTTGCGTTCTCCTTGTAGGGCGTGAGTCGACTAGCATGGAAGACGTCGTGAATGCGCTGCCAGCTGTTCGGCAGCTTCAGCTTGAAATTGACTGTGCCGATAGTGTCGATAATCTCGAACGGCCCAAATCGTTTGGGTCTTAGTTTCTCCGATGGGTGGTCTGTGTGGATGTTCTTCCCATCTAACCATACTTGGTCTCCTTTCTTGAAAGGCGGTAACTCCGTTCCAAAACGGTCGTGCTGTATCCTCATGGCTTCGGCTGCGATTTCGAGGCTGGCTTGTGCTTCCTTCCTAGCACGTTGCAGAGCTTCGAGTCGCGCGTCGGCGGTGGGGACATTCGTGTTTCCTATAATTGCCGGATACGCCCTCGGTTGTATCCGTGTAGAAGTTCGAATGGTGACTTCTTCGTGGCTGAGTGCTGGTGTACGTTGTGGGCATATTCCGCGTAGGGAATGAGGTCGGCCCAGTCGTCCTGTGACGAGTTGCAAAATGCCCTAAGATATTGCCTGTGACGAGTTGCAAAATGCCCTAAGATATTGCTCCAGTTCTTGGTTCATCCGTTCCGTGGCTCCATCGGTTTGTGGGTGATATGCTGTACTGAGCGCCGATTTAACCCCTAGTTCCTTGAGTAGTGCTTGTGCCACTTTCGACGCGAATTGGGGTCCTCTATCCGATATGATCTTGTCGGGTAGTCCATATCTTCTCCACGTGTGCTCCAATAATAGTTGGGCCGTCCGGTCTGAGTCAATGTTCTTTAGACATGGTGTGATGACGGCCGTCTTCGTGAATCTGTCTGTTACCACGTGGAGTGAGTCGAATCCATTTGACTGGGGAAGGTCCGTGATGAAATCCATGGTAATCGTTCCAAACGGTCGGTCTGGAATTTCCGTTGGCTGGAGAGGAACCATCGTCGGATGCGTGTCGTTCTTGGTAGATTGGCAGGTTGCGCATCCTTCCACATATTGGTGGATTGTGTTCGATATTCTGGGCCAGGTGAATTCTTGCCCCACTGCTGCTAGTGTTCCTCTTTGTCCTGGATGTCCTGCGGCTAGATTATCGTGGTTCAACTTGATGATGTCTCTGCGTAGTTGTTCGTCCTGAGGAACATAGATTTTTCCTCTGTGTAGGACGAGTCCGTCTTCTTCGTTCCATTCCTGTAGGCCTTTCTTCATGCTTCTTGGGCCTAGCTCCTGGATCTTGGCTAAGGTTTCGAGTAGCCACTTGTCCTTCTGGTTTGCTGTTATGATTCGATTCTTGAGGTCTTCGTCAAAAATTGTGACACCTCCTCGTCCTGTGGCTCTGATGTGCCATATCTCGTGGGGGTCCAGTTCGTCCTCCGTGGTGATTGCGTTGACGTTTGCGAAAGGTCTTCGGCTCTTTTCCGGTGTTTGATCGAAAAGTTTGGGTTCCAAGAGCGTTTCGCCTGAATTGTCAAATTCCACCCCCTCTTTATGGTCTGGACGCCGTGACAGACCGTCGGATTTATTGGTCGTCCCCGCCTTGTGCGTTAACTTGTAGTCGAAACGCGAGAGGAATAACGACCAGCGTGCTTGCCGACGGTTTAACTTTTGGCTTGAGCGGAACCATTCGAGGTTCTTGTGATCCGTCCAGACGTCTACTGGGGTCTCGGCGCCCTCCAAGTAATGTCGCCAAGCTTCGAAAGCTCGAACGACCGCTAGCAACTCTTTGTCGTAGATCGGGTAGTTGCGTTCGGTGGGTGAGAGCGACTTGGAAATGTATGCGCACGGGTGCCATTTCCCATCTGGGGCGACTTGGGATAATACTGCTCCGGTAGCGAAGTCGGATGCATCGCATTCGATGCGGAAGGGGTTCCTGGTTTCCGGCATGACGAGTACTGGAGACGAGATGAATATCTTCTTGAGTGCTTGGAATGCCTCCTCGCATGCCGTCGTCCAGTCCCAACTGCGCTCCTTCTGTGTCAACTCGAATAGCGGCCTAGCTATTTTCGAGTAATCCTTGATGAATCTGCGATAGAAGTTGCAGAATCCCAGAAACGATTGGACCTCCTTGACTTTGGTCGGTGTGGGCCAGTCCATGATGCCGGCCACCTTGATTGGGTCCATTTCCAGATGTCCATGAGAGATGACGTACCCGAGATAGTCAATTTTCGTTTTGTGAAAATGACATTTCGAGGGCTGCAGGTACAAGTCGTTATCCTGCAATATCTGTAAAACCTGTTTCATCGTCTTGATGTGTTCATCCATAGTCTTTGAGAACACCAAGATGTCGTCCATGTAGATGGCCACTCGTCCTGCATAGATGAGGTCCTTGAAAAGCGAGTTCATCATGGTTTGGAACGTCGCCGGCGAGTTGGTGAGGCCAAAGTACATAACCAGAGGTTCGTACATCCCTAGATTCGTTACGAACGCTGCCTTGTGGACATCCTTTTCGTCGATGAGGATGTTGTTGTATCCAGTGTCGATGTCCACCAGCGAGAAGTATTCCGCCTCTGTCAAGAGATCCAGTAGCTCTTGAATGATCGGGAGAGGATACTTGTTCTTGATCGTTATTTCGTTAAGCTTCCGGTAGTCCATTACCGGCCGTAGCTTTCCATTTTTCTTCTTGATAAAGAAGAACGGTGATGCCATGTGCGACTTGGATTCCCTGATGAATCCCTTCTTGAGACTTTCGTCGATGAATTTCTTGAGTTCTTCTTGCTCCATGGGACTGAGGCTATAAAGTTTCGGCCTGAGCGAGTGTTCCATGTCGTCCTTGAGTTCGATCTTGTGATCCCATGGTCGTTTGGGAGGTAATTTCCCGGGTTTTCGTCCTTTGAAAACCTTCCTATAACTCCAATATTCCTTGGGTACGATTTCCTCGAAGGATAATTCGGGTTTTCCTTTCGAGGCCTCTTCTGCCAATTTTTGTGAATTGGTGTGCTTCGTTTGCTTGCCTATTGCTGCCTTGGCAGTCTCCGCCTTGCGTGCCGGTGTATTGGCGACGGAGGTTTCCACGCGATGGATGTCGTATCCTTCCTCGTGGTCGTTGTATAACTCCAGGGCTTCTAGTTGCCCTGTCTCCAGATACCTGACGAGGTATACTCCATCTTCGTCTAGATCCGTGGAAGGTAGAGCCGATAGCGGTCCACCACCTTCCTGGGGCTCCTCTTCTGCCCATGTCGGTGCCGTGTAATTTCTGGCTTGGGGCCTGAGCGAGTACTCCCTGTTCGTGCCTTTGGGTTGCGACCCCCGGATTTTAGGCATTATCCGCGGATGTGGTACTGTAGTGTTTCCCACTTTCCGACCTAGCTGTCCTTTTCCTGGCTTCTGCAATGGGATTGAGTAGTCGCGCTTTCGCGGTACTGTCACCATGCGCCGTACTCCTGGTTCTTGACGTCCTGGTTTCCTGAAGGCCCTTTTTGCCTTGACTGGTCCTCCTATAATGTCGCATGTCGGTGGGCACCTGGTGAAGTGTAGTCCATACGCGTGCCAGTCGACCTCTGGGTTGTGTTCCAGTAACCAGTCGGTTCCTAAAATGACGTCCTCTTTTCCAATTTCGGCAATATAGAATCTTGCCGACTCGATGTGGGCTCCCCCTTGTTCGCCTAGGACTCGTAGTTTGAGTTCTGCGAACCTCGTGATCGGTCCTCCTTTGAATTCCGTGTTTTGGACTGTGTTGACTGGAATGGGGTGGGGAGTCCTCTGCGTCCTGATTCCATGCTTTTCCACAAAGTTGGGATGCATGAATATGCCTGTTGCTCCGCTGTCGACCAGAGCCTGTGTAGCAGCCTTTCGATTCTTGCCTATGAGTTCCGTCTCGATCCGAAGTGATGGTGCACCACGAGTTTTCATTTCGGAGAGATATAATGTGTCTGGATGTCCCTGCTCTTGGTCAGCATTGTCACTGGCCAGAGGAGCGTACCGATTTCCTGCAAGAATCCTTCTCTTCACACCCGCTGCCGGTGGAAGAGACTTTAAAAATCCTTTGATTCGCCGTGAGCGTGTGCTTCGGCGATTTCGTCTGGGTGATGTCCCGTTATCATGTCGCCGTTTACTCCTGGTTTGTCTTCTTCCGCTCGGTATTCTTCAGGCTCTTCGTCTTCTAATTCCAAGGCCCTCATAGTGCGAGGTCATGGAATGAATCTTCCCCGGGCAGGGGGAGGGAATCTTCTTCTGGGTCGGGAGGGGCATTCGCGTGCCATGTGCCCGGTCCTTTTGCAATAGAAGCACTTTCCTTCTTTGTAGAGCCGGTTCCTTTCCTCCGGCGTAAGTCTCTTGAAACGAATGACGTCGACCTCCAATTCGGCTGCGTCTACGTCCATAGGGGCGTATTGGGGCTCCCTTTCGTGACGTGGGGTCGGGGCGAAGTTCGAATAGTAGTTGGTTGGGGTGAAAACTTGGTACTTCCCCTGCCTAAGGTCTCGTGCGCGCATTTCTTCTATGCGCATCGTCTCGTGTCGTTTGGCCTTGGCTACTAGTTCGTCCCATGTCTTCTGTGCAGCTGGGTCTTGATAAATTCCTCGGGCCAACTCCCATTTGAGGCCCCGTAGGAAGTGCGTCTTCTTGGTCTCGAGATCAACCCCTGCTAGTTCGGCGATTTGCTCGAACAACTGGAGGTACGTGTTAAAGGACTCCTTTCCTTGGTTGATCCTGGCCAGCTTGTCTCTGGCATCTGCTGTCTTGTCGAATTCCTCGAAGTCCGTCGAGATCTTTTGGCGGACTGAGGTCATGTCGGTCGTGGGTTTCCACGTGTAGTGGTCCCAATCGTCGTTCGTGTTCCTGGCCTTGGTGAAGTTCCTCGCCCATATCCCTGCTGATCCTCCTTTCATGTAGGACAAGGCGTACGCGATCTTTGTAAACTCGTCCGGGAAGTCGTGTTTCCTGGCGAGGATCATCAGGTCGATTTCGTGGAGGAACTGCTCCGTTCGTTTTCGGTTTCCATCGAAGGGAGTGGGTTTGGCCATAGCCGGTCCTTTGGACTCAGAATCTCTGGGATTCGTCGACATTTCGTTGGACGGGGGTTGGGGATCGTCGGAAGGCTCTCCACCTATATCTGGTTCTTGAGTAGGCTCTTCTTGGGTGCTTTCGTCCAGTGAAAGAGTTCGAAAGCTCGTCTGGGAAGGGGTCTCTTGTGTCGGGGATGTGGTAGGTGTGTTTCTTTGAGAGCGTCGACTTCCACTGGCTGTTTCTCTGGGTAGATTGTAAGGGTGGTGCCTCGGTGAGGTACGATGTCGTTGTGGCGGTGATTTAGGCTTGATTCTTCTGAGCTCGTCTGCGACGATTGCGAGCTTAGTGGTCTGTAGTTCGGGTGCGGCGTGGATTTCCTTCTCGAAGAAGGGTTTCTTGTAGAATTCTTCTTTCCCGACTCCTGTGTAGAATCCGGTGAGGATTCCTCCGATGTAGAAGTGTCGGTTCTCTTCGTCACAATAGACGGTGTCTGGATCGACGTCCTCGGGTAGGTGTTCGAAGACGTAGATCGGGTTATTGTGGTACGGGCGTGGGTATCCTTTCGGTACGATTGGATCAATCTTGGATTTGTTGTAGCCGATGCGAGGCTACTCCTGTGTATACTTGTCCTAACGCTGAGTATATGATGGGGGTGCTGGGTTGATCCCGTTGGCTAAGATGCTACTGTGGTTTTTCCAGGGCAGGGAAGAGTGAGCTCGTTCAAGTGTTAAGCCGGCTAGGCTTAGTCGCGTGCACGTGATGCACTGAGGAGGGTTCCCTGGGCTGAAGCTTATCAGTTCCACGATTGACTCAAGACTTACTGAGTCCTTGACAAGGTGATGGGCAGTAGAGGACGACGAGAGCGTTGAGACGAATCTCTTGCTTCGTCAGACTTCGTATGGTTCTTTAGATCTGACAGAGATCGCGAAGCGTGAGCTGGGAAGGCAGCCAGACGCCGGGCGCAGTGCTGAGATCAAGATGTATACAAAGTGAACGAGCTGAGGCTTCTGAGAAGCTCAGCTCCCCTATATATAGTACAGGACTATTTAGGGCGGGACGGACATATGGTCCGCGCTTCGAAACACTAAGTACTATCAACGATCGACATCAGTAAGCCGCAGTCATCGTTCGTACTCCGCGGCTCGCGAATGTAGCCATGTATAGTAAGTAAATCAAATGTCTGTCCGCATCAATCAGAAGTAAGGAACCGATCGTGATCCAATCAGTAAGCACAATAGAAGAGGGACCGATCACGATCGACGTCAGTCATCAGAACAAAAGGGGAAAGCATAGTAGGTAAGCGTTCATGCATCAGCATGTGAATGATGATCAATCCGAAGCCAAGACAAAAGCGTTCATGCATAAGCATGTAAATGATAACAGTTCGAGTCCGAGTCGAAAGCATTCAAGCCGAAGCTTGTGAATGAGTCGAGAAGAAATGCCAGTGAAATCACGTGCTGAGCACGTGTTAGGACGCGGTCCTAACACACATGGTCCTAACATCAACAATAAGTCAGTGCATATGCAGCAATGCCTGGAGTGGAAGTGAGTGTGAGAGGGCCAGACAAAGTTCAATGGTTATTTTTTAGTAAGCAAGATGACAACCAAGAATGGCAAGGCAAAGGGATTGCAGCAGACTCTTACAGAATGTAGCTTTGATGTCTACACAATAAAGGCCAAGTATTCTCCAATTTGTCCTTTTAAGAGTGACACTTGCTATATAGCCTGACTCCTGACCAGGCAGGATGATTTTTTTTTTCAAGAATCCCTTCTTGAGCAGAAATCAAAAGCTTGAGGTCACATCTGCATCTTTCTTCTGAAGTTCCATTGTGAGCTTAATCCTATTGAGATGGTCAGTTTCTTCAGTCTTTTCTTTTATGGCATGTTCATATTATTCAGTACTAAGGCTAGTACAAGCATTCGTACTGTAAAATTTACAAAGTCAAATTTGAGGATGCAAAGAAAGTGGCACAGCAATGCCTCAATAAGTGTCCTGTCAACGTGATTCACCAATTTTTTTAATCAATCATGGTGGTTTATGGATGCATATCATAAGGGGCTTATAGGGAAAGTGGCAGAGTGGGCTGTATGCAAACAGAAGTCACATAGAAGGGTTGGGCAGTGCACAATGATGTCTGTTGATGCAATGCTGACCTGAGATTGACTCAGATTGACTCTGATGCCATTTTAGGCCTAATTACATTTTGTTTTTTTCGCTCAAAAAATTGGCCACCCCCATTTTACCGTGGGAAATTCCATAAAGGGCATTTTTTGACTCCTTTTGCTTCCCTGAGTCCGAATCTGAACTCAGTTTGTCCCAAAAAATTCCGCCTGGGGAGTTAGCAAAATTGTCGACTTTGCTTGTCCGGCACTGTACTGCGTTCCAAGACTGGTTCGCGCCAGTTCGCGCCGCAACTGCACACGTCCAATAGCCTATCGCTGGCATCTCTGGCCCCGAGCCTACCGCGGGTTTCGGCGCAACCATTGCTCCCGAGACGCGTACTGTCTCTTGCCCGTCGACGCCTGTCGACGCTTGCTCGCTCGTGCGTTTTTTGCAGCCATCGATCAGGAGAAACGGTTGATGTGAGATCGATTACCCCGGTGCCTACGCGTACCCTGGTTTGCCCTCACTTCCTGTGCCCCCTTCGTGCAACAGGCTGCAGGCGAATGTAGAAACCTACGCTCGCGGACTCTCGCACCTTACATTTTTACAGCACAACGTCGGCCTTCGCGGTTTTAGATGCACATATTAAATCTGCACTGCCAACAGGGCAAGTACATTTACCGACGACGCAGGAATGCGAAATAATTATAGCCGTCGTTCTTTATCCCATCGCGCTCAATTTTGCCCTACTCGTTTCTGAGCTTCATTCCTGTCTCTGACGCCGAGGCATAGCACTTCCACCTCAGGCCTCTACTGTTTATTCTCTGATACACGTATGCTGGGCGCTTTATTCAGAACGGAGCGAAGGGGGAAAAGGTGCGTTGTCCTGCAAGAAGGCATCTTATAATTCGAGTTTCTGAAGATCCCTGAATCAGGATGGTCGATCGCGCTGAGAGTGCAAGAAGAGTGCACCCACACAAAGTTGGCCGATGAGCATGACGAAGCTGGATCCGGCACTGGAACGGTAGCGGATGCCTGCACAGATGAACGATGAGTTGGCCTCCATAGTATAAGGATAAACGATCCAGAAGAAGCCCGCGATCCGCCGGCAGTGGCAATCGCCTAGTTCAGTAAACAAGTACTCACGAGATGAACCCCGACGCATACTTGTCCGTAGTTTCGACCTCGTTCCCGTCCTCATCGAGCGCTTTCGAGATGTTGAACCTCGCGAGGACCGACACGACCGCGATCCATACCGCCTCGCGCGCCATGTACCGCCCGGGGCAAATACGTCTGCCGAAGCCAAATACGGCGTCGGGGAAGGGCGCGCCGTTCGGTTTCGAGTCGGCGGTGAGGAAGCGCTCGGGCTTGAAGCGGCCAGGCTCGGGGAAGACGGTCTCGTCGTGCAGGATTGCCCTGGAACAATTTGTGAAGACACGCACCGCGAGTAAAGACAGGGCGCAAGACGCACCAGCTGTTGCCGATGACGACGGAACCTGCAGGGATGAAGTACCCGTCATACACATCATCGCACACCACTCGATGCGGGATAGCTAACGCAGCCAGCAGTAATACCATTCCTCAAATTAGCGGCCGTCGAGATTCGTTGACAGATAGAATTCGCACCGAGAGGCACGGCAGGATGCCATCGGAAGACCTCCTTGACCAATGCACCGATATACGGAAGCGCTGCCTCGTCCGTAAAATCTGGGAGGCGGTCGGTTCCTACGACGCGATCGATTTCTGCTTGGGCTTGCTTTTGTACCTCAGGGTAGAGGACCATGGCGAGGAAGAAGGTTTCGATGGACGAAGCGGTCTGTACGAGACAACACTAATCAATTCATAGTCTCGAAAAGACCATACAGACGTACGCACCGTGTGCGCGCCAGCTTCCAACATGTTTCACGTAGAGTTCAGAAGAACGATCGTTTACAGGAGATCGACTCACCCAAATACATCGTGCCTGTCGTAGACTTTATGATGTCCTCATCGACATACGACTCTGCCCCCGCCGTGCGTTGTTGCTGGATCATACGTGACGCGATAGATGGGATTCCCGTCCCATTCATCTATAGGATTCGAAGATACCAATGTGCCCGAGGAGTATATATTCCTATAAGGCGAATCTTGACTCACGGTCGCGCCCTTCGCAGCCCGGAATGGGATCTCTAAACCTCTCGGCGCAGACATCGCACAGTCTTCCGCCTCTTTCCGAAATGAGGAACCGGGGATCCACGTAGGGAGCTTTGCCACTGTCCACGCCGTCAGCGATGTGATAGCTATGGAGGGCCGGAATGCTAGAACACACAAAAGGGGAAGGTATCGAATATGCCCGCCCCCGGGGTGCACCCCAAAGTCATTGCTTTCAGGGATTCCTCCGCAGAGCCAATATACGGGTCGTTCTTTGGCTGTACGTCGATTCCGTATGCGACCTCGAATATTGTCTGCCCTGTCATACTAATAGTGCACGGCAGGAACAGAACGGAAGACGAAGATAGGTAGGTGAATAAACATTCACCCGTATGGGGAACTCTCACGTACTGCCTTATGTGCGTCATGAAATCCTTCGGGGCCTCCAAAAGTCGTTGCAGCAGCTGGCGCGTTGCTTTGAGTTGAATAGAGCGGAACTCCAGCGTGGCCGCAGGGTGTAGATACCGGTGGGATTCTCGGCGCATATTCCGCCACCGTTGTCCATACCGCGAGAAAGCCATCGTCCAGTCGAAGTTGAGACTGGATTTCACAGTTAGTGATGCAGAAAGCGACAAAGCGCGGCTCCTAGATACGCACAGAACATTCAAAGCCACAAGGGGTGGCCTATCGCGTGGACAGTAGCTGAGATCTGAGGACGCCATTGGGGATTTACGGACATACCTGTCGGAATACAGCGACGACCGTCTTTCAAACAGCTCTTTAGCGGCTTTTTCCGAGTTCAAGATGATTATATGTGTCCCGAGTACCTCCGCATGCACGATGTCGGATCCTGTGTAAATCATCAGGATATCGCAATCAATGTATGTGGGTCGGGCCTTCTGGTAGTACGGGAAACCACCAACCAAGTTCTTTCACCCATTTCTCGTACGCGATCCACTCGTGACTTTTCGGCATGTCCAATGCATTTCCTATGACAGGATAGCCTTTTGGCCCAGGGGGAAGAGGATACAGTGATTTCTTTCTGCGGGCGTAGAAAGTGCCGACCAAGCACAGGACGAGAATCGCGACGATATCCAACATATGTGCGTCGTTGATCTCTGGAGATCAAAGGAGCAGAGACATCCTTAGACTTGCTTAAATCATGATCGGCGTATGCACACATGAGCATGAGTCACTTGCTGAAATCTTTTGTTCTCGACAGTTGAGAACAACTGAGTCCGTACATTATAGTCATCTGGTCAAAACCCCTCTAACTCAGACAGGATAAGATTAACGAACACCCACTGGCAACAATAAGGGATGCTAAACATAGACAAGGACTCCACGTACCTGTATTTAGACTGTATCTAGATTCGGACTGTACCTGCATATCAATTGTTCACTGACACACGTAGAACCGAATGAAACACGTATCACTGCTCTATTGCAGATCATGTTGGCCCTGGTCTGACTGATGCTCTCCAGTTTAAGATTGTTCCATAACAGCTGTACATCGGTTGCACTACGGGACGATTTCCGACGCTGCCTGGGCTGGTCTTCCCTACATCTCTGACCCTCGTATCAGTTGCTCTGAGGCCATTGACCTCGGTCGGATTGCGCACTTGAATGGAACCGGATACCTAGAACAATAAGCAGGCCATGAGCGTGTTAGCTGCGGATGAATGCCAGAGACGCACGAGATGAATCCCGGTGTATACTCGTCGGTAGGCTCGATTTCGTTCCCTTCTTCATCGCGTGCCTTCGAGATGTTAAATGTCGCAAGGATTGACGCAATGGCTATCCATAGAGCGTCGCGCGCCATGTATCGCGCGGGGCAGATTCGTCTGCCGAATCCGAATGCGGCGTCAGGGAAAAGAGTGTGCTTAGGGTTGGCGAGGAAGCGTTCAGGCTTGAAGGGGTCAGGGTCGGGAAAGACGTTTTCGTCGTGTAGCATCGCCCTAAGATATATGTTGTAAAGTGCGAGAAAGTCAGACGAACTGAGGGTACGTACCAGGTGTTGCCTATGACAATCGACCCAGCGGGGATGAAGTACCCTTCATAAACATCGTCGCAGACGACCCGGTGAGGAATCGCTATATGTGCATATTAGCAACAATTAACATAAGGCATCTTGTCCTCGACTCCTGTATGTCTGTATTTAGCCCCGAGTTTCTCCCGGACAAGATAGAAAATCTGGGCCATAAGTGAACCCCTTAAGAGCTGCGTCTTCGGAAAGGGTGCTGACACTGGCCCACCACTGGCATTACGCCGTGCGGATCACATCTTTTCAGAGATATCGAGATTCAGGAAATACGAACCGAGAGGGGCCACTGGTCGCCATCGCAATACCTCTTTCATCAGTGCAGTCACGTACGGTAGCTCACTTTCGTCCGTGAAATCCGGTAAGCGGTGTGTCCCGACGACGTTATCAAGCTCAGCTTGGGCTTTTCTCTGCGCTTCCGGATATAGGACCATGGCTAGAATGAAGGTCTCGATTGCCGATACAGTCTTCAAAAAACCAGTTATTTTATAGTTAGTAAATGAAAGAGAAGAAAAAAGAAGAGGAGCGTACTGTGTCTGCGCCAGCTTTCAATGGGTTGGGAAGTAGTGAGAGAGGTTGCGTATATGTGAGAACAATGAATGCTCACCCAGATACATTGTCCCTGCTGTATGCTTGATGAGGTCTTCGTCTGCAAAGGACTGTATCATCTGTGACATTACCGATGAATCTACAATCCCATTTGCCTGCAAATAGACCAAATGAAGCCTCCTTTATCGATCATTCTCATGCGATAGAGATTTTCAGCTTACAGCAGCATCCTTCATGGAACGGTACGGCTTCTCGATTCCGTGCGAGACAGAGATCGCCCACTTGTCTGCCTCTCGGCGGAATGAGTTACCAGGGACCCACGCAGGGAGCTTTGCCACTGTTTTCAGGTTCAACCGTCTATTGAGCGATAGGAAAACGAGAACAAAGATGGGATGTGCAAAGACGTACACATGGGAAAGGTATCGAACATGCCCGCTCGTGTAGTGCTTCCAAATGCGAAAGCTTTGAGCGCCTCTTCTGCGGCCTCAATATATGGGTCATTCTTTGGCTGCACGTCGATTCCGTACGCGATCTTAATAATCGTCTGCCCTGCCATGCTGGACATCGCATTCCACATAAGGTCATACCACGACTCGTGGTCCATGTGAAGAACTGCGTACTGTCGTATATGTGACATGAAATCGTTTGGTGTTTTCAGAAGCCGGTACAGTAGTTCCAATGTCGCATGGGACTCGATTGTATGATATTGGCACGCAGCGGTGGGGTGAAAATAGCGGTGGAATTCTCGACGCAAATTTCTCCATTGTGGACCATATCCGGAGCTTGCCAATGACCAGGCAAAGTTGAGACTAGATTTCATTGAACTTAAGAATAGATAAGAGTGTAAGGGGATGTGAGGCAACGGTACGTACAGAGCATTAAGAGCTATCAGTGGCGGCCTATCATATGCAGGTTGATTAGATTCTCAGCGTTTGATGTGATGACTGTTGGTCACTAGTATACCTATCAGAGTAGAGTGACGACCTTCTTTCTAATAGCTCCCTCGCCGCTTTCGCAGAGTTCAGGATTATCAGATGTGTCCCAAGAGCTTCCGCATGGATGATATCAGAGCCTAGATCAATCATTCAAGATATGGTCAGTGTCGCCAATCTCCTCGCGGGAGTTGGAGCATATTGAAGGCACTAACGAAATTCTTTCCCCCACGTCTCGTATGTGATCCACTCGTGACTTTTAGGTATGTCCATAACATTACCCAAGACAGGTAGGCCTTTTGGCCCAGGAGGGAGAATACACGCAGATTTCTTCCTCCATGTATAGAGTATCCTTGCTACAAATAACACTAGAACTGTAACGAGATTGAGGGCATGTGAATGCATGTTAGTGGATGAAGTGGATTGCCTCGTGGGAGTGCGATTGAGGATGTTTTCACAATCTGCTTCCAACGACAAAAAATTCAAGGTCCGATGATCCTGGTAAATGCCCGGTGAAACTGTTTGACATGTGTGCCGCGCCCATACAGGAACATAAATCCCAGTAAAGGATGTAGTGATGTCATAGCAGGTTAGAAGTACCAAATAATGGTGCTGTAACTCAGTTGTAACTCCACATGCGCCGTGCGTCGCTTCTCGCGAGAATAGGTTAAGGTCTACATTCGCAGTCGCTTCGACCGAAAATTATGAACAACGGCCAAGTGTTCTCAGATGATTGTGTGCCTATGCGCCCTGCTCTAATTAGCGCACAACGACACTAAAGTGAACAATTGGCCATGCTAGATAAGAACTGTACCTGTACCAGTCTCTTCCGACCCATTGAGAGATTATCAAAGCTGATCAATTGCAGTCATTTACTTCCCGCGGAGCAACGAGGAACATGCACAACGGGCGTTGCATTAGAACGCTGTGTGCCCTTTTATCAATCTACCTGAATTAGATTATGTTTCCCCCTTGCACTAGCCGCTCCGCAGCACTCGACCGCGGTTGAATCCTACATTCGAAGGCGACAGGAAATCTATACAAAAAATGTCAGTCCATCACATGCCCTACTCAGTGAGGAAGACAAAAGAAAGTGGATGGTCATGGCAACCCCTAAGCATGCGTACTCACGAGACGACGCCGGAAGTATACTCATCCAACGGCTCAACCTCATTGCCCTTCTCGTCGAGCGCTTTACGAATTTCGACAGTCGCAAGAATAGAGGCAATTGTGATCCAAACTGCATCGCGTGCCAGGTATCGTCCAGGACAAATCCGTCGGCCAAAACCAAAGGCAGCGTCAGGAAATGACTTGTTCCCATTGATAGCGGCACCGAGGAAGCGCCGAGGGTTGAACAGGTCTGGGTCGGGATACGTTGTCTCGTCATGGAGAATCGCCCTGAAAGACAGGAGTCTATGATACATCCACAGGCAGGATGAATGAGAACATGAGACACACCAAGTGTTTCCCATCACGATAGAATCTTTTGGAATCAAGTACCTGGCGTAGACATCGTCACAGACGACTCGGTGAGGAATAGCTAATCCATGTCAAGCCGAAGACTGTAAGTACACCGCCATATTGAGACGCATAGAGGAATGCTCACCGAGAGGTGCCACTGGGCGCCACCGAAGAACCTCTTTCATGAGCGCGGTCACGTATGGTAGCTCATCTGTGAAATCAGGGAGGCGATCGGTCCCGATAACACTGTCAATTTCGGCTTGAGCCGTTTTCTGAGCTTCAGGATAGAGAAGCATAGCTAGGAAGAATGTTGCAATGGTGGATGCGATCTGTCAAGAGGAGTAAGTTGAGATATGCACGGATTCGTGGAAACGAATGTGCATACTGTGTCTGCACCAGCTTCAACGTTAAATAACCATGATTAACGTCGAACATTGTTTAGATGCATGGAAAGACAGAAGGGGTAGGTGCTCTTACCCAAATACATCGATCCTGAGATGTGCATAATGACGTTCTCATCCAAATGAGATGTCATTTCGCCAAGGTGCTGCTGCTGTATCATCTGTTCTACAATGGACGGATTAGCTGTCCCACTTTTCTGCAAGCGTGGAAGGGAAACGGAAATCAGAACGTGAAAACCGCAAAACCAATTCAATAATCACAATAGCTTCTTTGACGGCATAATATGGCTTTTCAATCCCCCGTAGTGCGGACATTGACAAAGTTTCTGCTTTTCTCCGGAATGAGTTACCAGGTATCCATGCTGGGATTCTTAGTACTGTTCACTGATGATCAATGATTCATCAAGAGCAAGAGAGGAGAGAAAGGTACAGATGGGAAAAGCATCGAACAACCCAGCGCGAGCAGTGGTCCCAAATGCCATAGCTTCCAGCGCCTCTTCCGCGGAATCAATGTATGGATCATCCTGGGATTTCACGTCGATTCCATATGCGATCTTGATGATTGTCTGCGCGGCCATACTATGTTGCCCGTCCTTCTCAGGACATCGCAATGCACGTAGATGAGCACAAGGATACATACTGTTTTATGTGGTTCATAAAATCATTTGGCCTGTCCAACAAACGGCGTAAGAGCCCAAGCGTTGCGTTGGATTCGATGGAGCGGTATTGTAGCGCCGCCGCAGGGTGAAAAAAGCGGTGAAACTCCCGGCGCATGGTGCGCCATCGTGTCCCGTACCGTGAGAATCCCAAGGCCCAACGAAAGTTGAGACTGGATAGTTGTAGGTGTAGAAATCAGCCATGGTCGAAATTACATCAGCAAATACGCACAGGACATCCAGGACCACCATTGTTGGCCTGTATTTCGAGTTTGAGTTTGAGTTTGAGAAGAACCAGCTGTGCTTCATCGTATTCACCTGTCGGAATACAGAGACGAGCGTCTTTCAAATAGCTCCTTCACTGCTTTTGCAGAATTCAGGATGATCAAGTGCGTCCCTAACGCTTCCGCGTGAATGACATCCGACTCTACGCCAAACACAAGTTTTACAACCAGGGTGCCATATCTGCGAAGCAAAATCCATACTCAGCTCTTTGCCCCATTTCTCATATGTGAGCCACTCGTGGCTTTTCGGAATGTCCAGTGCATTCCCTAAGATGGGAAGACCCTTCGGCCCAGGAGGGAGAGGATATGCAGGCTTTTTTCTTCGTAGAAGAACGCCGGCGACACACAACGCTGCGATGATATCAAAAATAAGTGGCCACATGATTAGGATGTTGGTGGTAGGGAGCAGAGTAGCAAGTACACTCGCACATGATATACCCAAGGCCAAGCGGCTCAAGATACTCTCAAGATCCAGGACGGTCGGATCATATCAGAAGTACACGAAGAAGATTGAATGTTGCGGACCGGCATTTACAGCATGTGACAACATCGCACAAGGCGATGCCAAAACCGAGCCGCATATCTGTCATACTTTGACACAGTTGCGGCCTATGCGAAATGATCGTCAACTTGTTCTGTCTAGTTTCGAAAGAACCCTGAACAGCCTCTCGAAGGCGGGTCAGAGGCGCCAGGTGGCGGTGCTACAACTCCACATGAACCGTGCGTTGCTTCTCGTGAAGCCCCCATATTTGAGTGAACCTTTTTCGTAGTCGCTTTGTCCAAAACTGGTGCAAGGCCAAGTGTTGTCAGATGATCGTAGGCCTATGCGCCGCGCTTGAATCAGCACATAACGACCTTAAAATAAACCACTGGCGTGTGAACGAGGACATTGCGGGATAAGAACTGTACCTGTACTAGTATTTTTCGACCGATTAAGGGATTGTCAAATAAACGATCAATCGCAGCCGCATATTTCCCCCAGCACACCGAGAAACATGCACAACGGACGTTGCATCATAATGCTGTCTTGCCCATACAAACCTGCCTGAATTAATTTCTATTTAGCCGACCCTTGTGCCAGCCGCACCGCAGCACTCGACCGCGGGTGAATCCTACATTTGAAGGCGACAGGAAACCTACATATCACATATCAGTCTATCACATACGATACCTAGTAGGGAAGGCAAAAGAAAGTGGATCATTAAAGCAACTCGTAAGCATGCGTACTCACGAGACGACCCCAGAAGCACAGTCATCCAACGGTTCAACCTCATTGCCCTTTTCGTCGAGCGCCTTACGAATCTCGAATGTCGCAAGGATAAAGGCAATCGTGATCCATACCGCATCGCGTGCCATGTATCGATGTATCGCCCAGGATAAATCCGTCGTCCGAAGCCGAATGCGGCATCAGGGAAGGAGGGGGTGCTAGCGGCATTAAGGAAGCGCTGAGGGCTGAAGAGGTCTGGTTCGGGATACGTTGTCTCGTTGTGAAGAATCGCCCTGCAAGATACGATACATACACAGGCAGGATGGATGAGAACATAAGACGCACCAAGTGTTTCCAATGACGATATAATCCTTGGGGATCGAGTATCCGTCGTAGACATCATCACAGACGACTCGGCGAGGAATTGCTAAGCCATGGCAACCCAAAGACTGTCAGTACACTATCATATCGAGACGCACGGAGCGCAAGGAAAACACACCGAGACGCACGGCTGGGCGCCATCGAAGGACCTTTTTCATGAGTGCGGTCACGTATGGCAGCACAGCCTCATCTGTGAAATCAGGGAGGCGATCGGTCCTGACAACACTATCAAGCTCGGCTTGATCTCATTTCTGAGCTTCAGAATTGAGCACCATAGTAGGAAGAATGTTGTGCACCGTACCGTGAGAATCCCAATACCCAACAGAAGTTGAGACTATATGGTTTCAAGTATGAAAATCAGCAAAGATCGAGTTTGAATCAGTGGATACGCACAGGACATCAAGGACCACCATTGTTAACCTGTAGTTTGAGTTAGAGATCAAAAGAATTCAACTCTACTTCAACATACTTGCCTGTTAGAAACAAGTATGATGTTGTAGTGTACGATGCAAGTCAGGCCGCTGTTGCATATTGAGTAAAGCCGCATCACGTACTGTTGTATATGTGAGGAAAATTTCGTCGGCGTGTCCATCAGCCGGCGCAATAATCCATGTGCTGCGTCAAGTTCGATGGGATGGTACTGTCGCGCAGCCGTAAGGTGGAAGTAGCGATGAAACTCCCTACGCATGTTACGCCATCGTGGACCGTACCGCAAAAATGCCAACGTCCAGTCGAAGTGAAGGCTAAAATATTGAATATCTAGTGAGTGACATCCTGCGACATGAAATGATGTTAAAGTTTTGGGCTCAGCATTACACACAGAATGTTGAGAGCTATCAAGCGTGGTCTGTCGAGCGAAATCTAAGAGATGTTGACCATGTCGTCAGAGATGTACGAACGTGCCTGTCGGAATATAGAGACGACCGTCGTTCGAATAACTCCTTCGCCACCTTTGCAGAATTCAGGACGATCAGATGCGTACCAAAAGCCTCCACATGGATGATATCAGAGCCTGTATTGATAATCAATTTTGTGAGATCGCTATGTTCGCTCGCGATATGACGGAAGACGAACCGAACTCTTTGCCCCATTTCTCATACGTAATCCACTCGCGGTTTTTTGGAATGTCTAATACGTTACCTATGATAGGCAGGCCCTTTGGCCCAGGGGACAGAGGACATGTAGCCTTCTTCCTCCGAGCATAGAGAATGCCACTGAAACACAGCAGGAGAACCGGGACGAGATCCAACAAGAAAATCCACATATGTTGAGAGACCGTCGTTGAGTTCGCGGAAGGGCAGAACAGTCAAAACCACCTCACGACTTGTTCGTTTATATGGCGAAAGCCGCAACATGGGGAGGTTACTGTGAATACGTGAGTGTTCCCATAGGAAGGTCAGTATGGGATAAGTAGGATCGCACGACGACAATAGATATGAGTCCTCTTGAAGATCATTGGTAGGATGGTCTCTTCGTCAAGAAGAATAGTTAGATGTAATCGACGCCATTGAGATGCTAGAATAGACAGCGATGGCAGCGCATCTTATATATTGCTTGCTCGGCCAAGCGCAGATACAGGGTAAGGCCTAAAGTTACGAGTTACTATGCAACTATTCGAAGCTTCTGACATCTATCAGTTGTCAGTTTGGGCTAGATAGCATATGTTGATGGAAGGCATACCATGATTTCATCGAATGGCAATGGTCTTGTTCCCGCGGCGAGATGAGAGAAAACAGACCGAAATGGAACAAGTCGCTCAAAGGCCCGGCGCTTGTCGGCATAGGACGACCCACCTCAAAGTGTTTTGGCTTCTAACGTGGGTCGATCTTCTCAATCTCAGTGCCGTCTCCGGGCATTGATCTGTACCGAAGGCTTGCGGATCCCCCGGTGAAGCGTTCGATCCTGTTGGATACGTGGTTAGTCTCCGTGGCTGACCTTACACAGAAGACGGTCATTCGGTGTAAAGTACATAGCGTTGGCTGACATCGCCTCACGAGAAAGAGGTGAGATTACAAAGAAATCCAGGAAGACAGGGAGAAAAACAAAGGTTGGTTGAAAACCTGAAACCTAGCATCAGGTTAAGGCTTCGGATTCCCACGCTTATCCTCCTCCTCCGCGTACCACCGTCCTTGGCCTGTCTTTCAGCCATAATTCTCCACTCCCTCTCTGTTCCCCTGCTGTCTACTTTCGTTTGAACTCACTATCTCTGTCACCACATCTAAAATGACGAAAAAAAATCAGCAGAAGAAAGAGCAGGAGGCGGCCATGCCTGCCGAGACGAACGGCAACGACGAGTGAGTGTTTACTTGTCCTGACCACGTTCCTAGCCTTCTTTTATCGTGGCAAGCCGGATGCTGCGTTCCGTATGTCGTAAGAGCTATTGCCGACCAGGCGAACAGGCGAGTCTGTACGGCGAGGCAGAGGATACAAATCCTAGACGCGTATGCCTGACAGTGCCAAGTTGTCTGCTCCTTCATACCTCGATCAGAGGCGTTGGCCATGGACAGGACTTGCACGATACACGGCTGGCCATCTCAAGCTGACTATTTTGTCCCTTCTGTCCGGCACAATTCAACAATCTGCCGTCACTAACTCAAATCCTGTCAGACATCCCATAGACGTCGACCCTGAATCTTCGCCGCCATTCTCTCCGATCGATGAAGTCCTTCCAACACCCTCCTCGAGCTCCAGTACAGTCAAGACTCCAGAGCCCGAACCCGAACCCAAAATGGACCCCGTCGCCGAAGGTGAGAAGCTGAAGGAGCAGGGTAACACCGCCTTCAAAGCGAAGAACTACAGCCAAGCCGTGGACCTCTACACTAAAGCGATCGCATTCCGCCCCGCCGAGCCCGCCTATCTTACCAACCGCGCCGCGGCGCACATGGCGCTCAAAAGGTTCCGGCCGGCGCTCGCGGACTGTCAACAAGCAGCAAATCTACAGGCCGCCGCGCCCTCTGTGAAGACGCTCATCCGCCTCGCGCGATGTCAGCTTGCGGTCGGCTCACCGATCCCAGCCTTGTCAACCCTGAGGGTGGCACTTGAGGCTGAGCCAGGGAATACTGCTGCGATCCAGCTGCAGGAAAAAGTGCTTGAGCTGGAGGCCCATCTGCGGAATTTTGAGGGTGCAAAGGCGCGGAAGGAGTGGGGAATGGCTCGGCTTGCGTTAGATCAGTGCATGAAAGGTATTGAGGGTCAAGGCGGTGACATCCCAACGGAGTGGAGGCAATGGCGAGTTCAGCTCGAGCTTGTGCGGGGAAATTGGGACGCTGCGAATACCGCTGCAAAGTGAGTATCGGTTACCATGTTATGAGATGACTAGTGCTGATTGGAGGACTTCAGCGACGCGTTGCGCTTGCAGCCTAATTCTTCAGACGTACTTACGCTCCGAGGGTTAGTGTTATTCTTCTGTGGTAAAATTCCACAGGCGCTCCAGCATGCAGCCTCGGCATTACGATTCGATCCTGGACACGAAGCTGCACAGCGATTGCGGAGACGAGTTAAAGATGTTGAGCGGCTCAAGGAAGAGGGAAATCAGGCTTTTAAGTCTGGCAGGTTGGCTGTCGCACTTAACAAGTATACCGAGGCATTAGAGGTGTAGTCGTCATCATCCTAGTTCGAGGGCGCAGCGCACTTACTGTGTGTATGTGTTTAATAGCGAATTGGCGAGAATGAAGAGGAGGGCAAGGGCGGCCAGATCCGTGCAACGCTTCTATCCAATCGGGCGACGACGTTCGTAAAGGTATAGTGCCTCCAATCTCTTTCTTCTTGCATTATTTGTCTTACACTCTTCTCAATCAGCTCTCAAAATACGACGAAGCGCTGACAGACACAGAAGCGTCTCTAACCCTGCAACCATCCGCGTTTAAGGCTCTGCGAACGCGCGCCCGGATCAATATGCACCTGGAGAAGTACGACAACGCAGTCGCGGACTTCAACACCTCGATTGAGCAGGCCGAGTTCGAGGGCGCGAACGGGGATGTACGGACCCTGCGCAGTGAGCTGAAGAAGGCGGAGATCGCGCTGAAACGGAGTAAGACGAAAGATTACTACAAGATCCTCGGTCAGAAATTCTCTTTTCGGCGCGGCATGTCAGTTGCTCATGATCTTGCTTTATAGGTCTCGCCAGGGACTGCAATGAGATCGACATCAAGAAAGCTTATCGCCGAGAATCACTGATACATCATCCTGACAAGGTACATACTGTTCGCTCATACTAACCAACATCGCTGATCGTCAATCTATTTTGATTCTAGGGTGGTGACGAAGAGAAATTCAAGCTTGTTGTCGAAGCGCACGCCGTTCTCTCGGATCCGCAACGACGCGAGCGTTACGATCTCGGCGAGGACGAGGACGGGTCAATGGGCTCAGGTGGGCCGGGCGGTATGAACTCCGCTGACCTGGCGAACATCTTCGCGCAGTTCGGAGGGCCCGGCGGCGGCGGCGGCGGTGGATTCCCATTCGGACACAGTCATGGAGGTGGAGGCGGGTATGGCGGCAGGGGCTTCCCGCCTGGATTCTGATTTTGTCCGTGGTTGGCAAGTGTATACTGATGAACATGTAGTGTCCGTTATCTGTATGCCTTTGAGTTGCAGTCGTCTCCGATTGACCTCGCAGTGCTTCCCTTATACATCTGTAATGAATGTCACACATAGATTACTGTTCGTCAAATTCTGGAGTTGCAATACGCTGTGGGCTGTCGAGCTGGGGTGCTTGAGGGTCGCATCAGTGCTAGCAACTACATGAATGGAAAATAATTGCCATGTAATTTATCGGAGGAAAAAATATATACAAATGCGGTGTGAGCTACAAGAGTTCAAAACGACCTTATGAGAGTTTTCTAGCCGGAGGCAATCGATCATGGTCCAAGAAAACCATACGTATGATTATTCAGTTTTCTGCAGGCAGTACGAGACCCGCGCACTATCTACTATCAGTACCAAGAGCACCAACCCGACAAATTCGATAGATCCATAACACCAAAGATACTGCAGGAAAAAATGATTATATAAATAAAGGGAGGACGTTTAGACGGTGCGATGCGATGAGGGGAGTATGCTGCTGCTGCTGCTGAGGGAGGCGCGACATAACAATGCTCGAGGTCAGAGGGTGGAGTTACAGTATGCGACGGCAACAACATCGTGCGCGGGGCGGGTCATAACGCTGGAGGAAGTAGTGAAGACGTGCATTTGAGTCGAATATGTCCATGCGGGGGTGCGGTCAGTGGACAGATGGGTTATTTAAAAGAAGGTGAAAGTGCCAGCGACCGCGGCGAGCGCGACCGTGACCTGACCAGCGCGCGAGGCGAACGCGTGGACCGAGAGCGCAGCGCCTGTCTGCGTCGACGCTGATCCGGGGGTGCCGCTCGCGGACGCAGCGCTCGAGGTAGCGGAGGACGACGCCTTTGTGGAGCTGGCCGCAGCCTTGGAGGTGACGAGGCCCGAGGACGTGGCAGCGGCGGAGGACGCGGGCGCAGTGGTGGCGGCGACGGAGGACGCCGCAGCGGATGTGGCGGCGGCAGAGGACGCCGCAGATACAGCGACAGAGCTAGCAGCGCCGGAAGCGCTGCCAGACGCTGCGGCGGAGCTGGAACTTCCAAGGTAGGAGGGCGCGGCGACTGCGGTGCTGGGGTCTGTGAGGGCGCCGATACCCCAGCCAATTTTTTGGCCGTCAGGCTGGGTAGTGTTCGGAGCAGCGACGGTGCCGCCTGAGGCATCGGCGATGGTGAAGCGCGTAGTCCAGTATCTCGTGCTGGGGGAACCGGCATACGTGAATTGGTAGAAGTAGATGGGGGCATTGATGGTCACCTGCGATGATAGCGCGCATCAGAGGGAGCTTCAGTGAAAATTAAGAATTGCGGGACGTACGTCAGGGCAAGGGTAGTCGTAAGTGGTAGCCGTTGTTCCGTCAAGAGTGGCCACAGCTGGGAAAATGAATTTCAGTCAGAAAATACGGTAATTGAGCAGAATAGCCTGTGTAAAGCAATGGGCATAGACGAGCAGCGAACTCACTGGTCAAGTGAACCATGTTCCAGTTGTCGCCCGTCATCAGCTCAATGGCCATCGACTTCCAAGCACCCGTTGTATCGGCGCCCCACGCAATGTGACAAGTCGCGCCTTCATTGAAGACTGCGCCAGGACCGGGCTCCTGAGGGTCGGGGTCCGCAGATACCAGAGTCACCAAGGATAGAAGAGCAGGCAACACGAAGCGAGAAAACATGGTTATGGCTAAAGTTGGTCGCTATACGTGAGCGCGTGGGTCTGCGGAGAAGGTAAGCGGACGCGAATGAAGATATTGCAAGATCTACTCGCAAGGAGAATATCCAGAAGTCTCGAGGGTCTGTAATGAGGGACTGTGGTATTTAAAAGATTGAAGAAAAGAGCGACGACGAGGCTGTGGATGGCAGGAGACTCGCAGACGACGACCGTTGGCCATCGTTGAAATATGTTCCTCGGTTAGCGCACGAGACCCCAGAACAAGGCACGACACCCCTATGGATAATCCCAAATTAGGCAACCGTAGAGTTCGCTTAAGCGCTCACTGCGCTCTCCGGCACCGCTCAAGGCCCCGGCGGGAACGTCCAGCTCGTCGTGCAACGTCGAGGCTGCCAGCGCTCTTTCATCGACATGCAGGCATTCTTGCTCCACCTTGGGCACCCTCAGCTCACGGTATTTCCTTGCAGTGTCCTGGGGGATCTGTTTTCTGGCCTCCGGTCATAGTACGCCGGTCACCCAGCTAATCCAGTTTGATGATGGCCTTTCATGTCTTCGAACAGCGCCGAAGTCCAAATACGCCCTTGCATAAGTCCATTTTTATCTTTGGAGTCAATGCTGCAGCCTCTTGCAGCCTGCCTTGATCTTGCAGATCATCTTGATGGATGAGTTTCAGAGGCATCCATCAATGTTGTCTAAATGTGTGGGTTGGAAAGTCGAAATTTGACGATTTGAATAACAGCAGGACACCTTGGAAACAACAGCTTCGACACTAACGTTGCGCGCTGATCATGAGCCATTTCCTCTGAATGGCGGTCATAACAGCTGACTCGCTGCTGATATTTATAGAGCGCACGTCCTTTGACGCCTACCCCTTTCAATTATCTGAAGCCTGACGTGTACATGTGGCAGATGCTCAACAAGGATCTTCATTGGCGAACAAAATCATCGCAAGTTGACGGGGTGGGAAGGTGGGTGGTTTGACTCGTATGGTCACCCACGGTCGTTCTGTGTTGATATAGCAGCGCACATGCGGGAAGTCTCCTCTGGTATATGTGTATGGGCGCTTCCATTTCACATATGCATTAGAAGAACAATCTGCATCCATCTGCATCGCGACACCACTGATTATTCGACAGCCCTCCGGGCATATTCTATACGACTCAAGTGCCATCGTGTAGAAAAGCTAGCAAGGGAATATGCCCTCCAAAGATGGGCAGAAGGCGTTACCTGTAACGCTAGGTACTAGAAAATGTTATACGAAAGACGATGAGATGAGATAGCAAAGAGTGGAGAGACAGCATCTAGACCAAAAGCAACGGATAATAGGGTATCATGAAGGCTGAACTGAGCGGAAACGGAGCCGCCTAACAATTGACAAAATAAAGAACAGGACACCTGATACATTGAAGAATATAAGAACGAGGGAGCTTGCTATAACTGAACGGCAGGTTTCAGTCCAAATGTCTTGGTGACCCTGTTCCAAATTTGTGAGCGAGACTATCATTGTCAGCACAGTTTGCGCACCACATCTTGAGACTGATCCATGTAAACCGGTACGCGATAGTCCACTGCCTGGTTTCTATAAGGTCACGTAACATCACAATGAAACTTCTTGGAACGAGACTATAATCGATGAGCTCAAGTTCATGGACTTCAAGCAATTTCTCGCCTGGAATGGTGGAACGCAGAGCACGGAATCGTTCTAATGCCATCTTGGCGGTTGGTCGCCGAGAAGGGTTCTGAGATGTCATATCTCGCAATAGAATCAAGAGGCTGGGTGTCTCATCTGCAGCATCCTATGACTCAAATTACTTCAGATCACTGTGACAGATCCTGATAGAAAAGCGACAGACCTTAAGCCATCCATAAAGCGTGCGTGCTGTCGCATAGACATCTGCGGCAAATGGATTGTAGTTGGTGGCTCTTCTCATCTCAGGAGCCCGGTGCTCCCTTCCTTGAGGAAAAGGTTCTGCGAGACATTTGTCAAGACTCGCGTCTTTTGCAAAATACTGAGAATATCCGAAGTCGATGAAAAAGTATCGCGCAGGAAATGTTGATCGCCACTCAGGAGGAGGCCATATTTTATAGATCGGCTCAGACGGCGTAGTCCAAATCTCAGTCTGTGGCACCGTCCCGTGATGATTAATGAGAATATTGTCGCATGAGATATCCTAGGAAGTATCAGTCGGAATGAGATATCGGTGCGATGTCCAATGCGCGGCGAAACTTGCCAGGTGTGCTATGCGATTTTCGTGCAAAAATGCGAGACCCTATTTTTGAATAATTGAGCCAACAGTTTGTGAGCATGAAGGGGCCACTGAGTGATCCACTTACTGCCAGGACCTGATCTGCGAAATCAAAGCCCTCCGACACATTCAGAAAAGGCAGTTCATCGCATTGATCGCATAGTGGCATGACAACGAAGTGCCAGTCATGAAATTCGAGGAATTCTAATACTCTCACTGTCGCATTCGCAGGATCTGAGCGCAGAGGTTCCGAATTGAGTAGCTGGAGAATTTCCAGCTCTCGTCGCCCTTCGTCGCCCTTCGATACTACCTTGATGACGACATCTCGGTTCTCCCTATACGAAATGACGTGTTCAATATCTTTCAAGCCGATCAGGCAAAACGCATGACACTACCTATCCCGAGCAGCGACAACTTGCGATAGCTACGAGTGCTGTCAACAGTTCCACTCCTTTCGTTCAGTCTGAGCTACTCACGGGAAAAAAAGTGGGTTTCAACTCGCTTCGATCTCCGTATAATCCAAACGAATCAAGAGCAGGGTATGGTGGCAAAGACTCGTCAGGATAAGTCATGCTATTGCGACCGCGCGAACGAAATCGTTGATAGCCCGCTGCATTGAAAAAACTACTCAGTGCCTCCCATGGCTGCTGCCACTGAGGTTCGTTCGTTGGACAGATATCTCTCCATGCCCGCAGTGAGACGGGAAGGCTCTACGTAAACTAAGATAAGTAACATATGTCCGGGCAATATAGAAACGCTCACTGTCTCCTCATCAAGAAGCATAACCATTAAAATATCCAAGGCATAGAAAATGTGCAGATGCTGTGAGAGTGGCCTTGAGGTGTAGCGAGCGTGTCAGATTTCGTCTTCAGGTCTATACGAAGACGAAGAGATGAACAACAGGGCCACGAGAAAGTTGATCTCGATATACAAATGGCGTCACATGCACCAAAGCTTTGCCGACGATGTAACAACTCAATTTCGGGTATTGATCCCATGTTGAATATTTCGGAGGATCAGGCTGGTTGAGAGGCTGTGGAGATCGACTCAGCGCAAAGAGAGCCGAGCATATGCAAACAAGAGTTCAATTGCCCGTAAAGTGGGCGCCAAGCTAGGGTTACAATGGGTTACGCTGTTACAGCAGCCTATGGAGGACATTGGGCGTGTTCCGCGGTGTACGCGTTGGGTCGGCAGCAGTCATGGTCCTCATACGCTCGACCTTCTGGAGACCTTTTGGCCCCGTCGACGCGTAAGATGCTTTGAAGACGGCCGGTCCGCAGCCTTGGTTTAGTTTGACAGCAATCTTGGCTTATAAGGAGGACGCATCAGTGTGGGGTCATACTGTAGCCTCACCCCTGTCAATAATGTCTCTCCCGACGGACACAAGCGTTACCATCGTAGGAGCTGGGCCAAGTGGCATGGCTTGTGCTTTATCGCTCACTCAGCAGGGTGTCTCTGACATCACCATCGTGGATGCCGTGCAGCAAGCAGAACAAAGCTCGCGTGCTTTGGTGATCCATGCCGCTACGTTGGAGGTAAGCTCGTCACGCATTGTGCCATGTGCTCTTCGGCCCATTGACCTCTGGATACACAGGCTCTCGATTTCATTTCCGTCGCAGACGCAATCATCGATCTCAGTATCAAGGTCTCCGAGACGCACGTCTTCGACAGGAAGTCGCTGATGGTGACTATCGACTTCGATACGCTGCGGCCGTACACGCGGTACCCCTTTAGCCTATCGTACCGCAGCATATCACCGAGCGGATACTAGGCGAGAAATTGAGCGCGATAGACGTTTGCATACACAAACTTGTTCAGGCAAAGACCGATCAGAGGTCTTTTCAAACCCCTCTAATATTCCATAGCCAGCCAGATATAATGTATGTGCAACTCAAGTACATCGTTTAGAAAAGACTGTGGGCAAGATAAGGCGACATATGGGACGTCAGGTCTTGGAAGAGTGAGATGGTTGAAATGAGATGTTTAAGAATCGACCGGGGCAGTATGCATCGAGAGCAACTGATAATAGGGTATCATGAAGGCTGTAGCGAGTGCGAGCGGAGCTGCCTAATCATCTGTATAATAAGACACCCAGCGCATTGAAGGACACTTCTCAAGGGAGCAGGTTACAATTGAACGGCAGGCTTCACTCTGAGTGTCTTAGTGATCCTAATCGACATTTGTGAGCGGGAGACCCAAATGACAGTACATTGTACGCACCACATCTTGAAACTGATCCATGTAAACCGGTACGCGTTAGTCCACTGCCTGGTTTCTATGAGGTCACGAAACATCACAATGAAACTTCTTGGAACGAGACTATAATTGATGAGTTCAAGTTCGTGGACTTCAAGCAATTTCTCGTCTGGAATGGTGGAACGCAGAGCACGGAATCGTTCTAATGCCATCTTGGCGGTTGGTCGCCGAGAAGGGTTCTGAGATGTCATATCTCGCAATAGAATCAAGAGGCTGGGTGTCTCATCTGCAGCATCCTACGAGTCAAATTACTTCAGATCACTATGACAAATCCTGATAAGAAACATGATAGACCTTGAGCCATCCATAAAGCGTGCGTGCTGTCGCATAGACATCTGCGGCAAATGGATTGTAGTTGGTGGCTCTTCTCATCTCAGGAGCCCGGTGCTTTCTTCCCTGAGGAAAAGGCTCTGCGCGACATTTGTCAAGACTCATGTCTTTTTCAAAATACTGAGAATATCCGAAGTCCATGAAAAGGTATCGCGCAGGAAATGTTGATCGCCACTCAGGAGGAGGCCATATTTTATAGATCGGCTCAGACGGCGTAGTCCAAGTTTTAGTCTGTGGCACCGTCCCGTGATGATTAATGAGAATATTGTCGCATGAGATATCCTAGGAAGTATCAGTCGGAATGAGATATCGGTGCGATGTCCAATGCGCGGCGAAACTTGCCAGGTGTGCTATGCGATTTTCGTGTAGAAATGTGAGACCCTATGTTGAATAATCGACCCAACAGTTTGTAAGCATGGAGAAGGGGCCACTGAATGATCCACTTACTGCTAGGATCTGATCTGCGAAATCAAAGCCTTCCGACACATTCAAAAAAGGCAGTTCGTCGCATTGATCGCAGAATGGCATGACAACGAAGTGCCAGTCATGAAATTCGAGGAACTCCAATACGGGCACTGTCGCATTCGCAGGATCTGAGCGCAAAGGTTCCGAATTGAGTAGCTGGAGAATTTCCAGCTCTCGTCGCCCTTCGTCGCCCTTCGATACTACCTTGATGACGACATCTCGGTTCTCCCTATACGAGATAACATGTTTCAATATCTTTCAAACAAAGCAGGCAAGATGCATGAGACTACCTATCCCGAGCAGCGACAACTTGCGAGAACTACAAGTGCTGTCAATAGTTCCACTCCTTTCCTTCTGTCTGAGCTACTCACGGGGAAAAACCTGCTTTTCAATTCGCTTCGATCTCCGTATAATCCAAACGAATCAAGAGCAGGGTATGGTGGCAAAGACTCGTCAGGGTAAGTCATGCTATGGGAGCTGTGCGCACGAAATCGTTGATAGCCTGCTGCAACGAAGAAACTACTTAGTGCCTCCCATGGCTGCTGCCACCGAGGTTCATCTATTGGAGTGATGTCTCTCCATGCTCGCAGTGAGGCGGGAAGGCTCTACGTGAACCAAGATGAAGATCATATATATTCGGATATTGTTCAGCCACGCTCACTGTTCGCTCATCAAGAAGCATAGCCCTGAAGTCTTGAGAAAGTATAAGTATAAAGAGAGTTGCTGTTGAGTCTAGCAAATGGGAGGATGCCCGGGAACAGCAGTTCGTTTCAGAACAGAGTTGTGTAAGTAATTTGTAATCTATCTCGCGACTGTCTGCCGTTGGGGAGAGTTGGGGGCTGGAAGTGCGGGACCGGGCACGCTCGGGGTTCGAAATTTTCGGCCTCGCGGGGTGTCGGTCCACTCAGGCGTCTCCCTCGTCGTCGACGCCTCGCGCGTCGCGGCGGGCCAATCGTCCCTTATTTTCTTCAGGAATACTCTCACAGGCTCTACCTACCCCTATGCAAGATCGCAGCGCCGCCCGTACAATCAGGCCTCCCGTGCACGCTCTCCGGCCGCCCCGTCCCCAGGCCCTCCCGCGAGTAGCCCGAGTCTCGCTCCGGCGACGTACGTGCCCCCGCTGACCTCATCGCATACGGGGCCGGGCTCAGCCTCACTTCTCTCTCTTTCTTCCACTTGCGTGATGGAGCGACAACGTCCATACTTCCGGTGACAGCAGCGATGACAAGCTAGGGTTTCCGACAGGGCACTGCAGCCCGTGCAGATGGTGAGTGTCGTTCCAGGACAGAGGCCTCGTAGGTGCCGTGAAAGACGGGAGACGGGACAGCGGCTATAGTCGGCTGCTGTCTGGACGAGGGAAGCTCAATGCGAGACTCAGCAGGATTCAACGCGCTTAATGATGAGGGAAACTCACATTAGAGGAGTATAATATAAGAGCTCCTCGTATTGAGGGTGTTCACCCGAACCGCTCGCACCAGATTGGCCCTGCATGGTCTGAGCCGCAAGGGCGATAACTCTAGACGGCGACGATGGTACCACAAGGAAGACAGTGACAAAGACAACGCCGACCATGCCCCGATGATCACGATGATCACGGTGGTGACAGCGGTGACACAGGTGACAGCGACGACAACAACGGCTCGACGACAACGACAACGGCTCGATGGCGCCGGCGCCGGCTCAATGACGACGACAGCGGCGTTGCGACGAAGACGGGTGGGCATCCACCTCATTGCCCGAACCCATGCCTGATGTTCCGCAGCGTCTGTCCTCAACGGAGGAGCTGCACACTTCGATTCCATGTCGGTCATTCCTAGAGAGGGGACTGATTTGCCGTGCCCTCATGTACTCGTACTGTACATCCATGTACTTATTGTACTTGCTGGTTCGAAATCTCATTGTCGAGCACTTAGGTGAACTCAACACCGTCGAGATAGTCAATGCTATTGAATTGGACTTGCCATCGACTGTAAGTCAGTGTCTCAAGTTCTCAAAGCTATTACTGATGTAAATTGAAGCTCAATCCACACAGCATCACGGCATGCGCCAAAATCTCTCAATTGTTTGATGAACGGCCATGTAACAGCTCAATTTCAGTCATATACACAAGCGCGGCACACTATGTACCAAACTGTATCATACACTTGATGTCGACAGCCGTTCAATCTGAATGTATGCCGGGTACCCCGACATGGATATTCCGTGCCTATGAACGACAAGAGACCTTTACTTTCTTCACGTCTTGGTTCTCTGAGTTGATCGCATTTCCCGGCCCCATACATCGGTAGGTGTACCATCGTCTAAGACGAGGCTGTAGAGTATGTCGCCACGAACAGTTTCCTAAAGACAAGACATTAAGCATCGAGCTCCTAGCAGCGGTCAATCGCCATACATTCTGCCATGTGCGTACCGACCATTGACCTCCTGATGCACAGGCTCTCGATTCCATCTCCGTCGCAGACGCAATCATCGATCTCAGTATCAAGGCCTCCGGGATGCATGTCTTCGATAGGAAGCCGCGACTGGCGACTATCAACTTCGATGCGCTGCGGCCGTACACGCGGTATCCCTTCAGCCTCATCATACCGCAGTATGTCACTGAGCGAATACTAGGCAAGAAATTGAACGCGATGGGCGTCCACATACACCGCCCGTGCAAGGTCGCCGGCATGCGAGGGGACGACCAGGGCCGGCGCACGATCGATGTCTCATTCGAAGGAGGCAAAGTCGTGCTCGCCAAGTACGTCGTCGGCGCAGATGGCTCACATTCCCCAGTAAGCTGCGGCCCACAGAGGCTGTCTTGACTTCTCTCACTTACTTGCGAGCTAATTGTGCATTCATTAAGGTCCGCCAAATTGCAGGTATCGGCTTTGTTGATCCCGATGGCCAATCTGTCGCTGGAGACGAGATCAACGTATTCTCACAGATGATCCTCGCAGATGTTGCGTTCTCCTCGCGGCCGAGGCTCCCAGACGAGGGCTCCTCGTTTGGCGTCCTTAATTCGGGTAGTTTCTTCCCGATTGCTCCGCTACCCGCGTCTGCGGGCAGTACTCTCGAAGTTCCCCTGCATCGCATAGTGTGCGGGGTGCCTGCCGCCTCAGGTCTACCGCCGTCGAAGCCGCAGACGCCTTACGTACAGGACCTCGTCGACAGATACGGCCATATTTCGCTGTCGTCCGGTCCTACAGTCAACGAGAACCCAGTGAAAACCGCGGAGATAATCTGGTCGTCTCGGTTCCGCATTCACTCTGCTGTCGCTGACCGCTTCTTCACACGTTTTGGTGGCAACAACGCACAAGGGGGCGGCGTCGTATGTCTTGTCGGTGACGCGGCGCATATCCACCCACCTGCAGAGGACAAGGCATGAACCTGGGGCTTCGCGATGCAGTCACCCTAGGGTCTGCTATCGCTGCACACATGAAGGACACTTCGCCCAACGCAGACGCGATTCTCGAATCGTATGCGACGCTCGGGCGCGATCGCGCGTTGACGGTCATCGGTATGGTCAAAGGAATAGTGGGTAGGGTGGGGTGGATCACGACGGCGAAAGGTCTGTTGTTAGCATGGATGCTGATGGGCAAGTCGGCGTAGGTGAGGAGAAGGACCGCATGGAACTTGAGCGGTCTGGGTATGTCATGATGCGCAGGTGACTGATTAACAGGTACTTACTGAGATCTCAGGTATGATCTAGTTTGAGAGGACACATGTGAAGGAGAATCGATGTTTGGCGGAAGAGAATTCCAAGTGAGAAAAGGTTGAAGCAACGCAACTTCGCAGCGCCTAGAGGGCAAAATGACTCAACAAGACTCAACGGGCAGAATGTTGAATGCAGCAACATGGTTCGGACACTCGCAATGGTCACCTTCGAAACATGCTGGTATGCTCGTGCGCTGCGGATGGTTCATTGCTACGGTGTCTGATCATGTCTGCTTGAGTTATGTCTGCTTGGTATCATGAATGAGAATCAACGAAGTCATAAATAACAATGCACAAGAAAGAACTTATGAGAGAAACTGCACACAAACTAGGTTTAGTCTTCAATCTTATGGATCTGGAAATTGGGGTACCCATCAACACAACAATAGACTGGAGTCCGAATCAATCATACCTCAGCAGCCAAGCCTATCCATTCGTTCAGGGATCTCAAATACTCGTCCTTGCCCTCGTCGACTGGTATATCAGGATGCCACAAGACAAATGAGTCGAATTTTGCTGTGGGTCTAAGCACTCGGATCGCATCTTCGTCTCCGTCAACGGTACCCTCTGCTTCTCCGTGCAATTCCTCTGCATTATCATCAACCTCCTGTGCAGCTTTTGCAGTCTTCTGCTTTCCGCTCGTCCGCCCTCTGCCATTCCATTTCTCCTTCGTTTTCGTCCTCTGAGTTGTGCCAAACTTTGACGAGTCGCCGCGCAGAACGATGCCAGTGTATCCCTGCGGTAGGTCGACGGTGAGCCCTTGCATCGCGCGCCCTCGAAATGCCGAAGTAAATCGCTTTGCAGCCGACTGTGACGGACCAGGAATCGGCTGACCATCATCCGGAAGCTCATTAGCCTGATTCAATGGAGTGGTATCAATTTCCATAAAGTTTGGGTCTGTTGTTTCATTCTCGTCATGAGGATTAGACTGGGCGGAGGGGATGTTCGGAGGTAGTGGGAGAGACACGGTTGTTGGTTTAACGCGGAAATACGTGGAGACAGGGGCGGGGCCGGAGTGAGAGATTTTAAACGGCATCAAATGAGGAGAGCAAAGCGGTAGAGATCGCTTTGCAGAGGCAATTTCGATTGTCGATGCCATCTTGGTCGTTGTCGAGAACGATATCGGGCGCGTTCGGTTGACAGACTGTGACATGTACCGTTACATGACGCGACGCGTTGGGTCACACCTCCTCTCCTCCCACCATTGTCTGACTCAGCACGTCGCAATTCCTGACAATTCTGGCCGACTCTCGTTGGAAGTTTACCTTGATTGTCAGAATATTTTGTACACACAAAGATAATCCTACGCTTGTCTTGAGCTGCCCGGTATCATCTTGTTCTGAATACATCATCAAGGCGTGCCCCGCTGAGGGTGATTCAAATTCAAATGGCGCGAGGCGCACACTCTCCCGCACCCACACTACCGAGGGTCTCCTTCGTCAAAGTCGAGGATGACTTCTCGAAGAAAGCTGCAGGCGTTCATGACCAACAGCAGAGGTCGTATGGGTGTAGGTTTTGTCATTGCTTTCATGCTGACGATGACTTATCGACTTTCATAGACAACGACTTCGCCGAGTTCCAGCGTCCAGATGCATATATTCACTACATAGGTGTGTTCCCTAGAGCCTCTACAGCTACCAAATTTGCCATCTTAGACTTCTTGCATGCAGAACCTTTGGAGGTCGAGCTGGCTAAACAGGTGGAGTACGATATGGACGAGCAAGGTACCGCACTGGTCTCATATACCTTCACCACCTATGACACCACTCAATGCTCTCTTCAGACCAGGATTGGCTGGACAACTTGAACACAGAGCGTAGAGCGGCCGGTTTGGATCGCATCTCATACGAAACCTTCGAGATTGTCATGGATCGATTGGAAAAGGAGTGGTTCCATCTGGTGAGTCGCCGCATTCGTAAGCTGCTGTAAATCCCAGAGAGGATTAAGTTTATCACAGACAAAGGACATACCGAAGCCAGACATGGTCATGCCGTCCGAAGATTCTACGTGCGCTATTTGTGATGACTCGGAAGGAGAGAACACGAACGCCATCGTCTTTTGCGACGGATGCAATCTAGCAGTGCACCAAGGTGAGCTGCTTTATGTTTCAATGAGGTCTTGGGCAACCGTAACGAGCGAGTCGATTATGGAGATTGCTATGGAGTGCCATACATACCAGAAGGACAATGGTTGTGCCGTAAATGCACGGTCTCCCCGGAGAATCCCGTAGTAAGTATCTCAGTTCAGCATTCTGAAGTCAAGGCTTCACAGTTTGTAGAATTGTGAATTATGCCCAAACGAAGGCGGCGCCTTCAAGCAAACTGCTCATGGGGACTGGGTTCACCTGCTCTGTGCAATATGGGTACCGGAGACCAGGGTGGCGAATGATGTTTTCATGGAACCTATCACGGGCATGGAAAGGATCTCCAAGCAGCGATGGAAATTGGTACGAGAATACGTACTGACTCCCATATCTGCGATAACTAATTGTCGCTGTAGAAATGCCAGGTATGCGATATCCGGCAGGGCGCCTGCATCCAATGCAGCAAGACGTCGTGTTTTCTCGCCTTTCATGCGACATGCGCTCGGAAAGAGAAGTTGCTCATGCCCATGAAGGCGACATCTGGCTCTGAACCACCAACACTGCAGTGTTTCTGCGAGAAACATTTGCCCGTACGCCAATCCACCGACGCTTCTTATGCGGTATATACATTCTAACCTTCACGATGGCTAGAGAGAGCAAGCCGAAGCTCGTGCTGCAGCCCTCGCCGCTGAAGAGGAAGACGCCACGACAGAACATCCTTCCAGTCCAAAGTCATCAAAGACAGCACGCGCGTATGCTAAGACATACAAGCTCGGCCCCCCTCTTGTACCCGCCATCATAGTCAGCCAGATCCTCCAATACATCCATAAGATCATTGTCCGCAAGAAGCCTGAGTTTGTGGAGATGGTAGCGCGATATTGGAGTCTAAAGCGCGAGGCGCGGAGAGGCGCACCACTTCTAAAGCGGTTGCACCTGGAGCCCTGGACGGTATCGGCAGCGATCAGAAATCAGACTGATGATGAGAAGACGAAGAAACTTGAGGTGCGTATTACTTTATGTATCATATATGTGTTCAACAACATGCTTTGTTCTTCTCGTGCAGCATATGAGGCGCCTCAGACAGGATCTCGAGCAAGTTCGGATGCTAGCCGAACTCTGCCGCAAACGTGAGAGCAGAAAACTCACCCAGGCAGAGATTGTGAGAGACTTGCTGTCGAGAGCCTTGCTCCCTCATGAGCCGAGCTTGCGCGAGGCATTCCGTCAGATTACACAGTATGTCTCCATCTACATGACAAGGATCATTATTTTAAATCGACATCAGGAACGATCGGTATGACTTTTTCAAAAATCCTGTCTCCCGAACGGACGTCCCAGATTACTTCGACATCGTCAAGCGTCCTATGAATTGGGCCGCCATCGAGGCCAAGCTAGGTCGCCACGAGTATTGGGACCTGCAGATATTCAAGGTACATCTAGACTTGTTTTCGATTTGTGAAGCTCTTAAACATATCATTTCTAGGACGATGTCCTTCTAGTCCTTGATAACGCTATGCTGTACAACAAACCGGGAACGCCATACTTCAAAGCTGCCCAAAGAATCAAGGCAGTATCTGAACCCATCTTAGCCAGCCTCAACACTTTAGTGCCGCCTCGCCCGCAGCTTAACGCTGATAGTAGTGTGGTTCCAGCTGCTGAACATATAGACGGCGAATCTCTAGTGGACAAGATGGATGAGGCTTCGCAGCACCGTCATATTCCTATAGGTGACCTTGAGCCCCCGTACCCCGTTCTTGATTTCTTCGTTTCGGACGAGATCAAGAAGGAAAGCGAATTCATTATCAACGAAGCACCGATAGTTTCTATCTTGAAATACGAATTTGGAGAGCTCAAGCCGCCACCACCGCCACCAACACCGAAGCCCAAACGTGATCGCAAGGCAGACAGAGAGAAGAAACGCTTGGAACGCGAAGCGCAGAGACTCGATGCCGCGCCCGGCTTCCGAGCCTTGCGGACCAGACGTGGAACCGCCGCTGTCGCGGCATTCGAGGCAGAAGCTAACGAGTTGCAGGGGGACACATCTACCTCCGCCGCCCCTTCCGCGATCCCAATTCCTGTACCTGTGGAAGGGCAGCTTCCGGAACAGCAGCCCCAAGAACAGCAGTCCCAAGAGCAGCAACCTCAAGAGCAGCAGCCTCAAGAACAACAGCCTCAAGGACAGCAGCCTCCAGAACAGCAGCCCCAAGACCTCGCGCCACCCACACACCCCGCTGCAGTAAAGAAGGGCAAGAAACGCGGCGCACCAGTCCTGTTGGGGCACGCAGAACCGCCGATGGTGAAAGAGGTCGACCCTCAGGCATCGTTCAAGATGTTCGACCAGGGCTGGATCTTGCCTCCGGATCAGAAACGAGGCGGTCGTTCGGGAGTGGAGAGGGGCCCCGTCCCACCGCCGAAGAAAAAGCTCAAGACGGGTGCGGTTTCAGGTGCGTGAATCCAGGTCACCGCCCGCGTATGTGCACCACTCAACTTAATAATGGTTTTAGGAATGAAAATTCGGTTGCCCGCCATGTCTCCCATGACGGAGCGAGCTCCTTCGACGAGACCCACAGAAGATTTGAATACGAGTATGAGCGTCAACACCGAAGCTATTTCAGTTGCAGAGACGTCTACGTCTATAGCTGTCCCTCCTAATGACGTGCTGGAACTTCCTATGCTCATCGACGATGTTCCCACCACGATTGAAAAATCTGAGGCGGTGGAGGTAGGCCCGCTTTCCGTGGAGGCCATTGTGGAGACCGCGGTGGAGACCGTGGCCACGATTGATGTGCCAGAACCTCCCGTTGATCCTGCCCTGCCCAAGGCACCTGCTGAGATGACCTCGATTGCGACTTTGCCGGCTCTTACACCAGCACCGTCAAGAGGGAATTTTCCTCCTGCGAATGACCACACAGGAGGAGATGTACCTTCAAAGCCAGCTCTGGATATCAATTCAGCCCCTACGATCTTGCCAGTGGAGTCTGTCCCGGACGAGACTGTCAACATTCCTTCGGTCCCTGCAGACGTTCCAGCACCAACCATAGATGTCCCACAGGTCGTAAGATCCTACACGCTCGAGCCGAACGAGAAATTTGCGCAGGATGTCGACGGCACGATCATCATTGAAGAACTTGATACTCCACAGACCCGGAAGGCCAAGTATCTGCGACGCCGAGCACGTCTAAATGCCGAGCCGGCCCCGGACGCGCCAAACGCCACAGAGCCTACGACAAGGCAACCTATCGCAGGTCCTTCTAAGCTACCTGCCGCCATTGAAGAGTCGGAGCTCAGCTCGCTGAGTGACTCCGACGACGAAGCTGTCATGCCAAAAAAGACAAGAAAAAAGAAGAGGTCCAGGAGTTCGATCTCCATTCGTGCAAAGAAGCCACTGCCCAACTTACCGGGGAAACTGGAAGACGGAAGGATCCTCGAAGCTGGCACACTTGGTACGTCTGCTATCTCGCATTCTTGCACACAATACGATGGTGCTGATATACTTGGCATCATTTAGTATGGGCGCAAGCTCGTAAGCTCTTCAGACTAAATAGAAGTTATCTAGCTCACGCAAACGCTATTTTCTAGCCACATACCCTTGGTGGGCGGCTGTTGTATTCGAAGCTGACGACCCCGAAGTACCCCCCTTAGTGCTGGAATCGAAGAAATTGCCTGCAGCCAGGAGAGCCACACACCTCGTGCGCTTTTACGACAATGGCAAATCATGGTTCGTCAATTTTGCCACCCTTACTCGCTCGGTCTCTATCACGCCTTTTATTCTAGGCAATGGTTACCTACGGACAAACTCAGATTACTGGGCGAAGATAAAGGTAACCATTATCACGAATCATCGTCGTCAAAACTGAATAAACTTGATGCTTGTGTCGGCAGCGTTGGATCAAATGCTTCTGGTTCATCAAACTTTCAAGAGTACCAAATCAGAGATGGATTGCCACGCATCATACAGGCGAGTGATCGTCTTGATGATCTCTATCCCATCCGAAACTAAGTGCCCGATAGCGAAGCGCTGAGGGAGATGGAGACTGAGATGGACGACGGAGAAAAACACGACAGTGATAGCGCACGCCATGAATCACCGTGAATGGACCAGCGTAGTTAATATGGCGTATCACATATGCTACTGTAATAATTTACTACATAACATGGGGATCATATAAGACGGACATCTGTTAAAATGCAGTCGTCGTTCGCACCGTCTACAGTCTCGCTAGTGTAGCTGGTTTTTCTTCCTCTACTGTGATAGATTGACCCACATTTCCCATATGTTCGTATCTTTGGCACCGTTAGAGGGAACAAAGGGATTAGATGCCACCGCTGTCCGATCTGCCATCCTTTCAGTTGCAACAGATGCGACTCGAGGAGGCTGTCTCGACAGCATGGAATACAATGCATAATGTGCTTCATTCTGAGTAACTCAAGAATCATACTTTAGAATCTCAGAGCTGATTTCATAGCATGAATGATGAGTTGGGATTCCACCCCCCGAAACCAAAATTAGTTGAAAATTATGGCCCTCAAGGGCCATGAACAAGAGGAATCCGGGCTACAGCTAGTGCGACGAGCGATGACGACGTATGCATACGATCGTACGTGCGGGACTATGTAGCCTAAAGTTATACAACATGGCACCAACATATGCCTCTTCTCATTAGCAAAACAATACACACCACCCATGAAGGCCACATCCCACATCTGTTACCAACCCTCCCTGCCGAGTGACTCTCCATCTTCGCCCGCCTGTGAGGCTATGGTCCGAAGCGCGCACGACGCGACCCCGCGGCGAGGGCGGTCATGTATTCGGGCAATAGCCCAAGGGCGACGAGGTACTGGATATTGTATAGGGCTGACCTCAGGGGCAGGAGGCGGCGCGGGCAAGGAGCAGCGCACGACGGCCTGGTACCGTCGATTGCAGCGGAGTCTACGGAGGGTGCCGCGGAGAGATCTTGTCTACTCCCATGGCAGCGACCTGTAGGAAAGGAAGGCAAGGGCATGGTGAGGGTGGCTCAGGGTTGCGATAGTAGAGAGAGCACTCACCCTGAGGGTACGGCGGCGGAACATAGTGCCGTCCTTGTCCTGCGTGGAGTCGATGTCATCCTCGATGGCCGGGGCCACCTTCTTGGGGAACAGGCTGCAGAGGTAATCACAGGCTGTGTAGTCTGACAAGTGATCTTCCCTGTTGCAGTGGATAGAGTGTCAAGAGCTTGCCGTGTGGCAGCCTGCGGAAACAACGGTGAGATTGGGCCACTACGCCACAGATAACAGGCACTCACTCTTGATCGCTGGTAGTTTGACAGGTGATTTTCTCGTTGCGGTCGAAGATAAGTCAAGGGCTTGTCGCCGTCCGACTGTTGCATGTTGTAAAGAGTCGCTGAGAAGTGGAGATGGTGGGAGGAGAAAAGGCGAGTGAGGAAAATAGCAGCCAACCGGGCTCGTATTTATAGGACGCCAGTGTGCGTTTGTTGTGGTCCCAGATAACGCGCAAAGAAAAAAAAGCTCCCGAACAACCACGGCTCACCTGGGTTTCTGATTTATCTTGCATGGTCAAGGATTGCGGGTGAGGTAAAAGATTAATCATTCGCCACCCTTGGCAGCCCTTTACACGCACCCAAGAAGCTCCTGTTTGCCATGTTGGCAAAGGCAACAAACGGGATTCTGAGGCGAAGAAGGTCAGATCTCTCAGCTCAAAGGCGATCAAATCCATTTATCTCGGCTACGAGAGTACCCTTGTTCTCTTTACGAACGTGCTAAAGGACGGGCGATAGAGCTCACGCTGATTATGTCCAGCCCGCCGCGATTGGTGCTTGCCAGGACCCATACTTGATCAATTTGAAAGGGCAAACGCGCCCTCCCCTTCAGCTTGATCTTTTGGAAGGCTGAGCCGTATCGATCGATGACGATCAGGAAGAAATGCTACTGTTGGTAGATCTCAGAGGGCTCATTGAAATCCAGGGACCTGCAAGTATAAACGGCATTTTCACAGACTCGTATTGATGCCTAAGGGATTCTGCGTTAGCATCGCGAACACGAAGGTGAACGCTTGAACAGCGGCGATCTTCAGTCATTGCGGTGAGACCCCACGGGGAAACGGATAAAACTATGCACGTTTGGACACGTTTTCTCAGGCAAGTTTGGACGCAGCTCTTCGGGCTATGATCGGGGATGCCCTTTCGAGGACAAATATCCCCTCAGTTTAGGTACCAAATGAGACACGCCGGGGTCCTGCAGACACGCACGTCTGCTTGAGCAGTCGGGCACGGCTGCTCCCAGTTGCTCACACACAGACAGCCTGTATCGTAGCCGGCACTCGAATTCTCACGAAATTCCATTGCGAGAGGTTCCGGGCTGAGCAAGCCAACACGGCGCGCTGGTAAGAACGCGGCCATTCCCATCTGCCTCTCGCAGAATCTGCCACGTCAGTGCGAAACCGAGTTGATCACAAACCTATAAGATCCAGTCTCCCACCCGCCTGCCTGCTTCATAAGTATTCTCTGAGCCTCTCTCCTCCTCGACGCCGGTCATCATGCTGCCTCAACTATTGGCCTTGACCCTAGCGATCGCGCCTGCGGCCGTGTCCGCTGGTCTGTTCCCGTCGAATTCGCTCGTGAAGCACTTGGACGCGAAGGGTTTCAGGCAAGCCCTCAAGGAGAACGTGCGTACCGGAACCCACTCGTTCCCGCCCTCGTTCACTGATGTCCCTCCAGCGGACGAGTGTGATAGCCTTCGTGGCGCCATGGTGTGGAGTGCGTACCAGCATATTTCTCGATCGTTGTGCAGCCCGTAATCGAACTTCCGATTCCAGCATTGTCAGCGGATGGCGCCAGAGCTCAGCAAGGCTGCGCTGGGCCTGTACCCACTAATACCCACATATGCCGTCGACTGCGATGACGCGAAGAACCGACAAGTGTGTGCAGAACAGGTAAGGGGCCTCTCAACATACATGGGCGGCATACACCCGGCATCGCACTCGAGAGAGCTTGGTATCTTAGAGACACGTCGCCTGACACTCTGAAGCCTTGCATTTAAAAGGATTTCTGACTAATTATCCTTAGGGCGTGAAAGGCTTTCCCACCGTCAAGGTGAGCGATTTTGTTCCGTCCTGGCGTATTGTTTTAACGTCACACAGCTCTTCCCGCGGGGTAAAGACGTCAAGCCCATCACATTTGAAGGCGGTGAGCGTACGGCGAGCGCATTTTACTACTGGGCAACGAGACGCGTCCCAAACAAGAACAAGAAGTTATACCACCTCGAAGACATCGAGCCCTGGGTGACAAAAGCACGTTCGATACTCCTAATTTGTATCATACAGACCCCGAAACTGACGTGCGCGCGTGAAACCAGAACATTGAGAAGAACCGCGTGCTGTTGCTGAACAAGGGCAAGACGGTGCCGCTGCTGTGGCAGGTCCTCGGGAACAAGTACAAGGACCAGCTCGAGTTCGGCAGCCACCGCGATCGCAAGGGCAAGACCGGCAAGGCGCTCGGCGTCGGGATGGGCGGGAAGAAGGAGTCGCGGGTGCTCGTGTACCCCGCCGGCTCTACATCGCCCGTCGTCTTCGAAGGTGCGCCCGCAGCCCCCCACGTCCGACACGCGTTCGCACGGCCTCACGTACCGTCATCGCCGCCTCCGTAGGTATTTTGAAACACGACTCGCTCTCCAAGTTCTTCGACTCCGTCATCGACGGCTCCGCGGACCTGAAGGTCGTGAACGCGCAGGCGAAGGACGAGGAGTTCGCGCTTACGGAGGAAGAGCTCGAGATTGAGCGGCAGCAGGAGGCGCAGCGCATCGCGCTCGCTCACGGCGGGTTCACGGAGATGATCGACTTCGAGGAGGCGGTGAAGAAGTACGGCGCGGACTTCCACGACGCGCACGGGTACGGCGGGATGATGGGCGAGATGCCGAAGAAGAAGGATGCCGCCGCGGCCGCGGAGGAGGGCACCGCGAAGCAGAGGAAAGAGGAGGACCCGATCCACAAGATCTTGAAACACCAGCAGGAGAAGGAGAAGGAGAAGGAGCGCGCGCAGCGGGAGACGACGCCGAAGACGGGCGACGGCGGGCAGATCGTGTTCCAGGCGAAGACCGAGACCGGCCACCGACCGACCAGCACGGCGCAGAAGCCCAAGGCTACCGAATCGGCCGGCGACGTCCCGTCGGAATCTGCCGAGACGCCTGCGCCTCCCGCCGAATCGACCTCAGCGTCGAACGAGGAGGCGGGCCATGTCAAGGACGAGCTCTAGACATTTTCTCTTGCTGGTCTTTTTTGTCTGTAGGTATTTCTGTATAATGGATGCGCGATTGGCACTGGGCAGACGACGTGCTATTTAAGTACGTTTACGATGGAATATCCAAAGTAGCGAGCTCTAAGCAAATTAGACTTCGAACTAGGGTATCTGCAAGATGCTGTGGAAAAAATCTACGTGAGAATCTAGGTCTAGATCTAGGTGTCTAAAGCTCTGCAGGGGTTGTGAAAATATTAAGAATTAGACACTACCCATCGAGGGAGCGATTCGAATAAATAGCGAGAGTGACCGGTGTGTAGGGCGGTCCAAAGCGAGGATGTGGGCGAGAGTATGAGTAAAGCAAGCGAGAAAAACAATGCAAAAGATCTAACGTCAGCATATGCAGTGTCGGGATTAGAGATTAAAACAACAGCAAGAAAGAGAGATGAGAGACAAGAGGGGTCGGCGATTAGGGTAATTGGGTGCACACGTGTGCGCCTGCACGCTGCAGGTCAAAGTAGCTCTGGAGGACGTCCTTCCACTCCTCGTCATCGCCCGCGCCCGAGTCGAACTCGAGGGTCTTGAGCTCGGGGAACGCGAGATAGATGCACTTCGCGAGGCTCTCAGGGTCGACGGGCTTGCCCGCGTCGCCTTCGCCTTCGTGTTCAGTCGACGGCACCGGCTGGCGTGCACACCCGATCGTGAGCACCTCGAGCGCTGCCTGCACGTGGACGGCCTGCGGCGGGTGCGCGGCGCGCGGGAGCGTGCAGACGTCCATCGGGAGCGCGAGCTCGCGCAGGCGGGGGCAATGCGTGGCGAAGGCGGCGAGGCTCGCGGCGGTCGCGCGCGGTTGGAGGGAAAAGTACGCGGGCGCGTCGAATGCGTCGACGGGGTGTGTCCAGAGGCCGAGCGACGCGATCGCAGGGAACCAGCGCGCGAGGGCGGCGAGGTCGGCGTCGCTGAGGTCGGCGGGGACGGAGGGGTCGATGCTGAAGTGCTCGAGGCGCGCGAGGCGCGCGAGCGGGCGGAGGGTGTCGAGGGTGAAATGCAGCTTCGGGGGGAAGGCGTGGTCGGGGACTTCGCAGAAGCTGGAGAGGGACTCGATGGAGAGGGAAGTGAGGGTCGCGTGCGTTTTGGAGGCGAGGAGGGTGAAGGCGGGGATCCAGTCGTCGACCGGGCGCGGTTTGAAGTCGGATTCGAGGTGCAGGGTGTGTAGAATGTTGGAGGTGGAGAGGTGGCCGAACAGAACCTCGACGATGGATGGGGCGGAGCGGACGCGAAACACTTGAAGAGAGGGAAAGATCTGTGCGGCGGAAGAGGAGCAAGGGTGTAGTGCTTCGGCGAGTGCACCCGCATCCATGCCGTCTAACTGAATACGTAAATCCTCGAGGTACGGAAAAGATGCGATAGCAGAGAGCGCGCGCGGCGTCAGGTCGCCGCCGACGCACAGCGACAGCGTGCGCAGGCCGGCCATAGTCGCGACCGTCTCCGCCATGCGCTCACAGATGCGGCCGCGGAGGCGCAGGTGCTGGAGTCCCGTTGCGACGCGCGCAACTTCATCGAGGTAGGCGCAGAGCGCCTCGCCGGGGTGCGTGACCGCGTCACCCGCCTTGGGGCTTATGAAGCTGATGTCGATGGAGACGTCGCGGAGGCGCCCAGAAAGGTAGAGCGTCGGCGGAATGTGCCGCCGCGCGGCATCTCTGAGAATGAGGCGAACGGAGGTGAGGGCGGGGAGGAGGGTGTGCTCCGAGTGGTGCGCCCTGAGGAGGGTGAGAACAGCAGGGGAGAGCTTGGTGAATGTACGGGAGTGATGCGCAACTGTGCGAACGCGGGACGCGTAGGAGAAGAACTTGGCGAGGGATTCGGGGGATATGTCACCATCAAAGGACTGTGCCGCATGTCAAACGGGTGCCAAGATGAAGACAGAAAGATAGCGAGAGAAGAAAGAGAACGTGGACTCACGGTGGTATTTTCTTTGAGTACGGCGCCGGGTATTAGGGAAAACAAGGGATCCGTCGAGTGCTGGAAGCGCCACAGGAAATCGAGCGCAGGGTCTCTCCACGCCTGGCACACGCGCGCGAGGCTAGCGAATGTGTAGCGAATGGGCTGGCGGTCGACGTCAACGTCGCCATCTATGTGTTCGAACACACCTCTAAGTATTTCATCTATGAGCAGAACGCGGTGCATCGATCAACGAAAGCTGGTGCAGTGGGTGGACGAGCAAGAGCTGTATGGAGATCTAAAATGGGAGGAAAAGAGAAGAAAAATACACCGAGAAAAACCGCGATGATAACGAAAGCGCAAGGAAAAAAGAGAGGAGAGGTGTTGTCGAGAGAGTCGCCTTGGCTGGTTGCGGTATCGAGGGAGGGAGAGCGGGAGGAGGAGACAGTCGTCGTGACCCTTCCGGTCAAATGCCGTAATCCCCAAATTTTGTGCGTTCTGCGCTCTCATTGGCTCCCGATAGCTTACTCCGCGCCACATCCCTGCCGGCGGATGTGATTTTCGCAAATTCAAGAGGCACAACGTCATGAAACAGCGCAGAGAACTCGCAGAGATAGAAAGCAACCATCAGATCTCAGATGGAGACCTGTTATTGCATATTCTTCCAAGTGCATAAACAACTGCAGCATGAAAAACTTAGTCTCCGTGGCTGACCTTACACAGAAGACAGTCGTTCTGTGTATAAGCGGAAACCCAAGACATCCCCGCGCACGCCGAACAACCGACACCACTACCTCAGCTACTCCACCACCGCGGCGGCGTACGACCTGACCTTGGAGAACCAGAACGGTCGCTCGTTCTTCAAAGCCAGCGGCGACGCCTCCCCCTCCACGTCGACCGAGTCGTATCCAATGAACTCGAGCTTGTTCCACCGCCCGAGTGGCCGCGAGCGCAGGGCGAGCGTCATCTGGAACGAGTAACGCGCGCTCGCGTTTGCGGGGTCGTACAGGTTCGTGATGAACACCGTCGTCCCTCGGAGCGTCCACGTGCCGATGTAGAAGCCCTGAAATTGTGTTGAGTGCTTTCAGAATGTAAAAGGGAAGAGGGTAAATACCTTCATTCGAAGACCGGGCCTGAAGATAGGGATGATCTGTTGTGGCTCAAACTCCTCGTTGGCGAGAAGTGATATCACTTGACCGTTTGAGAAAAATCGACTAACAAAGCAAGGTCCATGTGAGCCAACATCAGAACATAAAGGAATATCGCACGCACAGATAACGATGGTATGTGATTAGATGGCTCATCTGCGTATTTGTGTAAGGACCAACAAAAAGCGCGCGAACCAAATGGTACGTACATTAACCCAGGCGTTCTCGCTCACGCCCTGTCGACTGTAAATTCCAATCAGCTCAATATTTGAGAGTCAAAGCACGGCGCGGGCGTACATGTAATGGCATACTGCAATGTAGACCCCATCCAACCGGACTCGGGGCCGTTCTATGAATACACGTCTATAATCGGCATCGAAGGCGTCTACGATCGCGTCCAAATCCTCGTCATCCGCTATCTGTGGCGGCTTGTACGTCGTCTCCACGAAGCGCCTGAGCATCGAACATCGACGTCAGATCAGCCTATACGTCAGTAGAATGGCGCAATGAGGCTGCCGCACCTCCAAAACGACGGCTCGAGGGTCAGCACGCGGGCCTTGCGGCAAGTGGACCCGAAGCGCTCGAGGGCGGACGTGTTGAGAAAGCCAAGGATGTGGATAAGGACCTCGTCAGGCAGAGAGTTGAGCGGTGTGCTCTCTGTTTCGTCTTCCGGCTCGAACAACAAGACACTCGGAAAGTCCTTCACCATCTTCGCCAGGAGCCCCGTCACATGAGCCTCATGGTGTGCATGGTGCACATGCGCGGATGGGAGATCCAAGCCTTTCATACTCTGGGTGACCCGCTCAACCGCAGAGTCAGCTGAGCTCGTCTTCCGATGCCCAGGAGGCCGCTCGCCTGCAGCAGTGGCGGCGGCGAGAGATTGCTGCTCGGCTTTATGATATGCCTTGTCGACGTCCGAATCCATGCGAAAAGCGATGCGGTAGAGGCGGAGGGCTTCGTCAAGCTGGCTGGCCTGCTCGCATCGCACCGCCTGTCGATAGACGTTGATAGCGTTGTTTCGCGCACGAATGGAGACATTGGACACGAAGGCGGTAGGAGCAGGGGTCGTGGTAGACAGTCTGGCGACACCAAAAACGTTGAAGGGTCTCTCAGGGACAACGTTTGACAGAGGCGGAGGAGCATCGGTGGGTGGTGGGGGCGCGATGATCGACGTGGAGGCCGGGCTCGACGTGGAAGGCGGCACAGGAGCAGGAGCAGGAGCAGGAGCAGGCTGTTTCTTCTGCCTGACCTCCGATTTCCACTGCTCACGGAAGCGAGTTAACTCTTCCGATTCATCTGTTATCGTGCTCTCGTGAGACATAAAGAAAGAAGAGAACGAGAACTAGGCAAGCAAACGAACGGACAAGTGTGCAGCAGCGACTCGATGACTCATTACAGAAGCAGTGTAGTGGACTACGTCACACCCTTCACTCGCGTTGTAGTCGCATCACAAACCGACTAGGCCCCGTTCGTAGCCGCACTACAATCCCTTGCAAATCGCCCAATCAGCTGACTCTCCTCTTTCGCACCACGTCAGTCGTCGTTGGCGACGACAGTCCCGGCCTTCCACCTCGCCCACGACCAGCGCCGCAGCTCTCGGAACGCGAACCACGATGGAGAGCAACAAGGAGGAAGCCCTGCGCTGCCTCGCCATCTCGCAGAAGCACCGCGCAGCCGGCAACTTGCCCTCAGCGCGCAGGTTCGCACAGAAGTCAATCGCCCTGTTCTCGACGCCCGAGGCGGTCAAGCTGTTGGCGGTCTTGGACTCCGAGAGCGACCCTTCATCGGCGTCGTCTTCGGCATCGTCATCCGGCTCATCCTCGGGCACTGGGCCATCGAGCTCGACATCGTTCACTTCAGGCGCAGAGACGCATCCTTCGGCTTCAGGAACGAAGCACCGGCACACCGCGTCGACTGCGCGCTCGACTAGTTCGACAACAACGAATGGGAGCGCGAGCGAGAAGAGAGAATATACGGCGGAGAATGTGGCGGTGGTGAAGAGAGTAAGAGGATGCAAAGTCACGGAGTATTATGAGATTTTGGCTGTGAAGAGAGATTGCGAGGAGGCAGAGGTCAAGAAGGCTTATCGGAAGGTGCGTTTTCGACTTCGCGCTTCAAACTACATTATGCTACATCATGCGATACTGGTCAAACCGTCGTGCAGCTCGCCTTGGCCTTGCATCCAGACAAGAATGGGGCACCGGGGGCTGATGAGGCCTTCAAAAGTACGTCGCGTTTTACACCGATTTTGTTCATGAGATTCACGGTCTTTGCGTGAAGTGGTGTCCAAGGCGTTCCAGGTGCTTTCTGGTGAGCGAGATTGTGAACGCATACAGTTGATGGATCCTGACCTTTCAACAGACCCTCAAAAACGCGCTGCTTATGATCGACATGGGTCTGATCCCGAGTCGAGATTTGGTGGCATGTCTTCCTCGGGGCCGTCACCAGGATTCGCAACAAGTCCATTCGGCGGAGGCGGTGGTTTCGAGAGCGAACTGAGTCCTGAAGATTTGTTCAATATGTTCTTCGGGGGTGGAGGCATGGGAGGCGGTGGGTTTGGTGGTGGCCCAGGTACGTCTTTCGAAAAGAAGCCTCTCATGTCTACATGTCAAGTCCTTAGCTTCTTTTCTGACCCCGTTCTTCAGTCTTCTCAGCGACGTTCGGACCAGGCGGCTTCCGCACAACGCGCGTGCACACCGGCCACCCACGGCAGCGCCAACAGCAGCAACAAGCCCAGCCGACGGGCCCGCGCTCCATCTTCGTCCAACTCCTTCCCCTTATCCTCCTCTTCGCCTTCTCCTTCTTAACCGCTCTCCCCAACCTCTTCACCACGCCCCCAACACCCGACCCGCGCTTCTCTTTCTCGCCCTCCTCCCGGTTCAACCATGAGCGGCACACGGGCGGTCTCGGCGTCGCCTATCACGTCAACTCCGCCGAGTTCGCAGGGCACCCCATCGCAGCTGAGATCGCGCGGGCGGCCGTATCCTCGGGGGCTGCTGGGTCGACGGGGTCGGGGGTCACGGAGAAGCAGTCGCACAAGCTGTGGGAGTTCGAGAACAAGGTGGATCGGGCGTACACACAAGAAATGTACGCGCTGTGCCAGCACGGGATGGACGCGCGGCAGCGCCGGCGGGACGCGGCGGTCGGGTTCTTCGGGATCGGTGCGGACTGGGACAAGGTGCGGCAGATCGATGCGGAGAAGGTGGAGAGCTGCGAGGTGCTGAAGGGGATGGGTTTATTGAAGTAACGCGTCGCTCGGCACTTAGAGTATTCACGCGCGTGCGTGTGCTTTCTTTTCGTGGATTTTTTTGTCTGATCGGTTTTCTGTGTGTCGCCGCTAGACGCATCGCGTTTCTGCGTGTGCTTATAGGATATGTACATTTCGTGCAAGAATATTCTTGGACTGGCCCTGCAAGCTTGCGTTTGCTGTGTGCCTGAGGGGCTTCTGCAGACGCTACACATCCTAATTTATGATGAGTACTACCTATCTATTATGCGTGTGCAGTTTGATCGCTTCCACGACATCCTTCACTCAGGCTGTCACTGGATTTGGCATATGCAGCATCCGAATGCCGAAAGGGTCCATCGTTTGAGGCTGTGTTGCTCGGCTACACGATCGCCCAAACAAGATCAATAGCAAAGAGCTGACATCTGATGCGTTTGAGAATAATCTATGTTTGCAGCTGACCAGAGAACGCATTCGGGGGGGCCAAGCTGCGAGCGTTATGGATCGTGGCATTTCCCTCTCCCGTGCTCGTGACTTCTGCTCGAGAATGTTGAACAATCAATCAGGTGTACGAGCCAGCACCTGCCAGTCCATGGACCTGGCGCATCGCATTTGCATCAATGTAACATGGCTACACGCGAGCCCGGATATAATGCATCTCAGCTATCATCAGAACACATTCCGCGTCGTTGCAAGTCGTTGCTACACGTAGCACTCAGACGTCTTTGAGTTTCCGGACAGAGATACTCTCCGTTTTAGACGCCATCATGCATCATCTCCGGATCAAATCCCATCATCCCTACTCTAACTTGGCTGATGGTCCAATGGTCCACTCCTCACTTTGACATCAAGGCGAATTTTATGTTTTGATGCGATGCAGCGTTTCGTCTCTTAAGAATGAGCGTCTCACTGCGTTTCATCATCTTGAACTTGATAGGCGACACCAACTAGCGCGCTTAATTTTGCCGACCGGGCTTGTAGGGTGGTATGTACAGACGCAACATATAAATATCGGGGCGAACGAGATGAAGAATCCTCAGCTAGCCTGGTCTTGCTCACCTTCGTTCTTTTGCAGGTACTGGTTGCCTAGAGTCTTTTTATCACGAGCCGTAATTCCTCTCAGACGAATCTTTTGATCTATTCAACCAACGTCCCTTACACTTCTCACTTCACTCAGCTCTCTATTCATCATGCGTACCTCCACCGTTATTGCTCTTGCTCTTGCAGGTGTTGCTGCTCCGGTTCTCGCAGCTCCCATGTTCTTGGAGAGCAGGTCCATCTCGTGAGCCTAAGCATGTTTCTGTACGGGAAATCAACTCACTAGTGCTTCTAGAGATGATCTCTCGCTGCTGTCTTCCTTGGAGGACCCTGATGATGTCCGGTCGCTCTTCACCAACCACCTTATCGCCACTGGGTAAGTCAGATCATGAACTCTCGTCTCCCGGTCTAACTTCCCGCACTATGAAGCCCTCTGCCCACGCGGGAAATCCAATCTTCTTCGCCTGGCAAGGTGGCTAGAAAATTTGGCTCAACAAAGGGGAGGAAGGGGCCGGGTTCTGCCCCGAAGAGACCGTCGTCCCCGAGCACCAAAGGATCCGGCTCTTCGCCGACGAAAGGATCTGGCACGCCCTCCCCGAGGCCGACAACGACAAATAACGACCCGCCCACATCGTCACCGGATAACGGGTCTACACTGAACAAGATAATCGAGACCGCCTTGCCGTTCCTCAACCTCCCTCCCTTCTTGCCGAATCCTGTCACCACAGAGCCGATCACCACAGAGCCGGTCACCACAGAGCCGATCACCAGCACTGACCCGGCTGTCAGCGATGACACTACCGTCGACGATGGGAATAGCACCGTCACCGACACTGGCTCCAATTCGACGGACACCGCTTCGTCGTGAGTGCATTCTAGCATCCACACCTAAATGCATTAATATGCTTACCTTCGTGATCTACAGGGAATTGGAGCGTCGAGGACACTTCAAACGCCAACTTACGCACGAGGTGAAGAGGGAGCTCACGCGCATGCTTATGGAACGCGCTTTCGCAGACCTTGATTGAGCGGCGGTGCATGACTGTGATATACGATAATTCGCCTCTAACACATACGTAGCTCCTGATACTACATTCTTTTCCACTGCTAAGTTCGTTGGCCACTGTCAGAGAGATGCCTTCGTTATCTTATCGTATCTTATCTCGAGCAGATAGGCGCCGATCTCATCGCGACGACGTCAGGAATGGGCGGCTGTCTTTGACTCTTCAACCAACACCGCTATAATATCTGAATGCTGCATATAAGCTTGAGAAATTTTGGTTGAATGTCTGCACACAGTAACGTTGATCGACTCGGAGGCGCATATATGCTACGTCAAGCCAACTATTTCATTTCTTCATGGGTTCAGACGATTCCGAAGCAGCACGGACCGTGTGTTCCCGTACGCGTTCACCACTATGATCCCATGATAAGCTGACCCATAATTTCTATTATCTAGGAGCTGTATCTAATAGATGCGCTCCATGGAGGATTCCTGGCGAAGGCGCTCTACTTGCCTTTTGATTTTGACAGACTACGACAGTCCACAGCTCTAGACAGATGAATCTTCTCATTCTCTGTGGATTTTCCCTCCTGAAACTCGTTTGTGCATCCATTCTTCTTCAGACTCCGGTGGACCTAGGGCCGTTCTACAATAATAAGGCAGCCGCACGAGACGGATACCAGGCTAACTTTGATGGTGCGCACGGGTCATACCCTGCTGAGTACCTGCCCGCAGGAACATTGATTGATCAGAATATTCAAGTCAGTGGATTTATTCGCATCTAGCATTGATTCTCTCACATGATAGGTCGTAGTATACGCTGCCAGATTTCATGAACCCGGACGAGATTGTTTACGACAATATCAATTGCACAGGGCAAACGATCCCCTTGCCCAGAGGCAAGTATCATTCTTTCAACTTCCTAGGTGCAACAGATGGTTCCGCTACCTTGAATGGAGAATTTTTCGCGATTTACAATGATCACACAATCGAGCCGCTTGGGTTCGTTATCGCTCCATGGTGGCTTGTGAACCCTTCTGATGGGTACGCTGCACGAGAGCTTCCCTGGTGACCTTCGCAACCACTGACTCTTAAGACTCTCCAGTCCTGTAGTTGCACCATTTTTGAATGAACTGTACAACGGGACAATGCGCCGCAATTGTAAGTAGACGCGTGTCTCCGTGACGTGAGTAGCTCACCTTGATCAGATAACACCACCCGCATGTTCACGTTCGAGCATCATCTGGACAACTCGAAGGACCTTGTGAGACTGATTATGCCAAAGCAAGCTCTTCTTATGCCTCAATGATTGCACGGCTACTGAAACAAACACTGTCTAGCGAGACCGGTGTTTCTGAGACTACAGGAGTGATCAGCATTCATGTGTTTGCGATGACTCTTCTCTCCAATGGTCAGTCACCAATCGAAGCTCCCCCCGAACTCGATGTTCAGAATGTTCGAAGTACTACGAAGTGAGCCGTCCCCGTCAATTGAATGACTACTCAATTGGAGCTCGTATAGATTTCGAATAATCGGTGATGCCAAAGTTCAACTGATAGAAATCAAGCTCAATAATCTTGCCCCATCCAATTCTGGCTTTTCAACCTGGATCACCACAAATCATACTGTTGCTCTTGTCTCAGACGGCCTGAACACGGTCCTTCCCGGATTTTTCAGACGTCTTCGCGGAGGAGATCAAATCCGGATCATCGTGGGAGTCCAAAATGCCGAGGGCGTTGATGATGGCACAACTATTCATGCAGAAGTGCTGATTCGCGATGAGGAAGGAAGGACTGTTTCAAGATCACATGGATGGAAGGTGACAGCCGGCATCCCGCCTTTTGTTACTGGAGATACCTCGTTGAAGACTCATGAATCTCCTGAGTGGTTTGATGGTGCGAAGTTTGGGTTGTTCGTTCACTGGGGTACGTGTGTCGTGTTTTCAAAGATATTTCTTATTGAAAAACCCGACATGTGATACAGGTATCTATTCCGTACCCGCATGGACGATCTCCGGGACCCAATATGCTGAGTGGTATTGGTACTGGCAACACAATCCAGCCAACGCATCTTCTGCCGTCTGGACATACCACAAAGAGGTATATGGAGAACAGTTTCTCTATGACATGTTCTTCGACAACTTTACCGCATCGGCGTTCAACGCGACAGAGTTCGTGCAATTCGTAGCGGACATTGGTGCCAGGTATTATGTGCGCTTCACACCCTCCTTCGCCGTCGATTGATACTAGCTCTGACTCAAATCTGCAGGTGCTGACGACGAAACATCACGATGGATTCGCACTGTTCGACAGCGGAAACTCGAGCCACAGAAACTCGTTGAACTACGGTCCAAAGTAAGTTGATATAACTTTCCTTGTCAAATGCATCGGTTGATCGATCTCAATAGGCGTGATTTAGTTAAGGAAATTGTGACAGCAGCGAAAGCGACTCAACCCCAGATAAAAAATGGGGTACGAGGGTCTATGCTATTCTTACCGCGCGAATTTACGTCCGACCCTGCCATCTGTTTTCCATCGTAGTTGTATTTTTCTCTCCCGGAGTGGTTCGTGAGTGCTCTGTATTGTCTGGTGTGATTTCTATTCCGTCTAATCTTCTTCAGAATCCCGCATTTGCGAAATATGGACATGCAGATACAGGGGATGACCTGTATCATCGTCGGTCGCAAGACCCTTCTAATGTATGTAATGATATTCACAATGCCTACTTACTTTTGACCATTTCACATGTAGCCTGGCTATAACATACTCCAACGAACTGGATGGGCGGGCGGTTTAGCTCAGTGCGCCATCCTTTTAGTGTTCACATTCCTTGTCTGACGGCTGCGATCCGGTTTCAGCAACGCCTATAATTGGTCAGCGCCACTGGAGAATTACACAGGCTACATTCCCGTCGATGACTTTTTGCAAGACATTATGAAGCCGCAGATGGAGACGTTGATGTATGACTATGACATGGATATCATGTGGTGCGACGTTGGCGGTCCATCCGTGTACCCAGATATCGGTACGTTTATATCTTCCATTCGGCCTTGAGAATAATATCTATATGCTCATGAATATGCAGCTTACCAGTGGTATAACTATGCGGCGGCGCAAGGCAGGCAAGTACTCGCGAATGCGCGGTGTGGAGCTAACTACTCTGACTTCGATGTGCGTTTCCACCCTTTTATTCTAAGACTGCCGTTGTTCATGTTCAAAATCTCAGAACCCAGAATATTCGAAAACGACTCACCTGAGTGCGTATTCAACGACGTAGTTGTTGATATTCGCCATACACCCGTCTGATGGGCGATGTTTCCCAGAGCTGCGTAAGTGGGAGTCGAGCGAAGGCTCAGATCCATACTCGTACGGCTTCAACAGAAACACGACATGGGACCACTATCGCAACGCGACTTACATCGTGCGATCGCTCGTCGACATCGTGTCAAAGAACGGAAATTATTTGATTGATATCGGACCAATGGCGGATGGCACGATTGTCCAGCCTAGTCGAGAGAGCTTACTGGCCGTTGGAGCCTGGTTATCATTCTCGTGCGTTCACAACATCATAAACCTTTAGCGAAAATCGATGTCTCTAGGCCTTGTGTTGCAGCGGGGATGTCATTTACGACAGCCAGTTTTGGTACGTGACTGCAGAGGAGAACGACTTGCGCTTCGTGAGTAGTCTTCCTTTTCCACCCATGAATGGTCGATTTCACTGTCGAGTGTCTGCACTATCAGATGACGAAACCTGATGCTTTTTACATCGTTACCCTTTCTTACCCTTCGGACGGTGTGATCACTTCAATTTCACCGCTGCCGATTATATCGGGGGATGTTGTCGTGGTCTTGGGACCTGATGGAGACAGCAAACCGCTGGAATGGAAGTGGACACAAGAAAGGACTTTCAAGTTATGGTTCGACCTGGCTTTGTTAGATGGCGTCGAACATGCTTGGGCTTTCAAAGTGATCTACACCTAAAGAGTGGCTGCCAATCAAACTGTGCCTTTTGCTTGCATCGTCAAAATCAGAGACACTTTAATTCTGCCAAGACCACAGGCAAAATAGACGAAGTGCAATGCTTTTGCAACTGACCTGACTTTCCTATTGGTATCCACAGGGACGGGGTCATTGGAGTGCAGTCACAAGGCTGAGAAATTGCTGGTTGTGCTGGTAAGTCTACAGATCAAGTGTCTCAATAGAAACAACGGGTCAGATGCGTACCGTGAGCCGTTTAGTATTCCTGGCAATTCGGAGTGGTTACACCTGCAATTGCGAACTCTTCCCTAAGCTAGGTATGACCATTCCACTTCAGGATGATCCAGACAACCCATCGCCTCCTCTCTCTTTCATCTTCTCCCTCAGCTCTTTCAACCTGCCATACCCTCCTCCCATCACCCTTCACCTCTCTTTCGACAGCTTCTTGAATCTGAAATCCCGCGTTTTCCGCCGAGTTCAGGAAAGTCTGAATTGTGTATCTCCCCGTATGTAATCCCGCGACGAGATGGACCCGCGCGTGTTCAGTGCGTGATAATGTACGGCTGAGGGTGTCGATGAGGAGATGATGCACCTCGGAATTCCACAGTGTGTCCGCGGCTACTATGACATCAAATCCAAAGGCGGGCAGTGAATCCTCACCCACGGCAAGCTGGCTGTCATGCTTTGGAGCCAGTAGAGCAGGATCAGAGCCCCATGCAAATGGGACAGCGCGACATCGATCGGCGACATGATTTCGCTTCACGTTATCCTCCAAGGTGCGGATAAGTTCGGCATCAGGATAGTCGCTGGACGTGACTTCGACATGAGCATATGATTTAGATATTAGTATGCTAGGGAGACCAGCACCAGCGCCGAGCTCCAGCACTCGGATTGGTCGTGTTGATGTCGATGAAGGATCGTGCCGGTCAAGATGCAAATCCTCGAGATGATCTGCGATATAGAGGGATGCGACCCAGATAGTGGACGCATGGAGAGACCAGTTTTCTGCTCGAGTATCTGGGGTCAAAAGTGAGATCGTGAGTGGTGCGTGAGCCGCTTCTGGTGGCAAATCCAGCGACGCCGGGCGGATGTGAGTGAACAGCGATCCCGCAGATGAGTGCATCACCGGTGCAAAATCGTAAAGAGTTTCGAGAGATGTATACATAATGTCTTCTGGGGATGTTTCAACATTATCGGTGAGGGAAAATGACATTATGATGAGGTTGAGACTCTGAGAGGATTGGATCCTGATTCTATATGGGTGGTGCCTGAGGTGGTTGTTTGGATCTAAGGCTGCTGCCAAATAATTGCGATAAGATAAGATGTCATCATGACTCAGCGCGAACACTTCAGCCACTCGAAATCGTGGGGCAACGTTCCTTTCGACACTTACGCCAGCATGGTTTGCAAGAAATGCGAAAAAGTGTGTAGCCGCCGCCATTATACCCCACAGCTCTCTAACAGCTCCTTAGAAATTATCTAAGGTAGCGGCACCGGACCCATTCACGTCTACCTCGTCCAGCATCAAAGACGGCTCACGGAAGGTCGGAGAGAATAAGCTCATTGGTCGTCCTGGGCCCTCAAAAGCAGGGGGATCCAAGTCTAGATTTCAGGTTTGTCTATTGCACACTAACTATGGTACTATCTCTGACTTCGATCCAGCCGTACGGGGGGAAGTGTAAAGACTGCAAGCAAACAGTCACGCAGAATCGTGCCAAGTATTGCCATGGTGCGAGGCTCTCTTTCTTGGAGAAAGATGTCATATTTGACTTGATGTTACTCAGGCTGCGCATTTAAGAAGGGACTGTGCTCGATATGCGGCAAGCAGATATTGGACACTACGGGTTATGCGATGCAGAACAAATGAACCTCTGCCTCGATTATGATGGAATCACGGACGCTCGGTGTACGACGGTGCTGTATTCTATATCTATTATGTACTATGCCTTGATTACCACGTTCATTAATCCTAGTTGACGGCGCTGCTGTTTTGCAGTGCCACCGATCCTTGGATTCTGACTTGGTTGTCGCATACATTCTCCCCATCTCCGAATGAGGTGGCGACTAAACGGATTGATAATCTAGAATGAATTATTGAAGGAAAAGGTCGCGCGCATACTGAAATTACGTCTCGGATGGCTGACGGTTACGAAGAGAAAACAAATGATATAACGATAGCAATGCAATACATGCACGACACTACTATGCAAGACAGGATATGGGTGGAAATGCGATGCTCGAAAGTAAGATGGAACAAGAAATCAAAATAGACATCGACGAAATATAACGCACAAGGAAAATCCATGATTACACTTTCTGTCCAGTTCTCTGCTCGAAAATCTCCACGTCGATGGTATCCATGGTCAAGAATCTCCATATATGTACGTGCTTCAACTGGCCGTACCTCCTCAGCCTCCCTATCGCCTGCGTCTCACATGCATCATAGATCTCCTGGGACGTCGCCAGTAGCGGTGAGAGGAAAATGGCATGGTTCGCGCACGTCAGATTCGCGCCGGAGGCGCTTTCGTCCATGACATTAAGCAGCAGGACGCGCTCGCCCTTTGCCTGCTGGAACTTCTCTAGCGCCTTCGATTTGGCCGATGCAGAGCCCTTGATCTCGAGGAAGTCGATGTCGTTGGCCTTGAGCGCCTCCGCGACTTTCTTCATTAGGTCGGGAAACTGGACAAAGAGAAGTACGCGCTCCTTAGCGGGCACTCGTTTTCTGTCGAGCAAGTGAATGTCAGTATTGCGATTTCGCTGCATGGCAGAACAGGAAACGTACTTGATCAGGTTTATGATCTTCTCAAGCTTCAGACCGAAGTGCTTGCCCTTCCCGTCCCGCTCCTCGTCATCAACACCAAGGGTATCACCCTTGACGACGTTGAGCATCCTCGCCAAGGCCTTACACTCGCCCGTGTCGCTAGAGACGCACTTCTCCTCGGCAGCACACCCCCTGACGCATGCCACACAGCCAGCATGACCACAAGACGACAGGATGGCGATGTCGTCAACGGGCACCTCCTTGCGTCCGCACGAGGGGCAAGACACGACAGGCGGGACCTCGCGCTGTTTCTGCAAATCACGCACAGCGGTGAAGTAGCGCAGCGACCGCACGCGCCCGACAAGCTCCTTGTTCAACCGGCGCAGGACGTGCGTGTGCTCGCGGAGTCCCCACATCATATCTGAGATCTTCTTGGGGATTCCCTCCTCCTTGCCCTTCGGCTTTCCCTTCATCTCGCTTATCCTGGTGGCCCTATTTTGGTTTATGGGCGGCTTGATGCCGACTTTGAGCATCAATTCCTTGAGCATCGCCGTTGCGTCGCCGTCGCCAGTGCCCTCGGTGAAGTTGACGCGGACGAACTCCCGGAAGAGCGTCTCCTCACTGGTGATGGTGATGCCGGCTTTTGCGAGGTCGCTCTCGATCTTTTTCTCCATTTTTAGCGCCTCACTGAGTTCTGACTGGAACTCTGTCTTGCAATCCTTAAGCTGCTTCTCGCGCTCCTGGACGATGACCGAGCAGGCTTTCATGGCATTCTCCTTGTCGGAGGTTTCGAGTTCGAAGTGCGAACACCGCTTGAGGAGTGCTTCCTCCGCAGTTCTTATAGATGAGCAGTCAGAGATTGTCCTCAAGGTCATCAAAAAGCCGTACAAGACTCACTTGCTGTCACCCAGAGACTGGGCAAGTCGCTTTTCACGATCACTCTCGGTTTTTTTGCTGCGCTTGATGGTCATATCGAGAGCACGAAGGTGGTGTTCGAGCTCGAGGTAGATTGCACGCTCTGCTGCTGGAAGATTGATCTTCTCGATTTTCTCTTCCCAAGGAATTTCGTCGATCTCAGCGACATTCTATGAGGGCATGTCATGTCAGGGTTTGAAGCATTGTGATGAATAAATTTGACTTGCCTGGCGAACGAAGCGATCCAGGAATGCTTGACCAACCTCATGGCGATGAGCATGCCAGTCCAAGCTGTGCGTCTCCCGGAAAGAGTGGAACTTCTCCGCAGCTGGAAAGAGGTTAACGAACGCATCAAAAATAAAGCAGTGCGACATACCTGTTTGCTCCCGACGTCGTTTCTTGATCTGCGCCGATTGGCCTTCGCCATCGTCGTCAACACCTAGATGTACGTCCAAGAATGCTGCAATGGTCTTCACTGCACCGAAGTCATGGATTGGAGGAGTACCGGAGAGGACCCAGCTGCGATCTGCAGTCACTTTGGTGATGAGAGTATGGATAATGCCTTCGAGGTAGGTATACTCGTCAACAACTTTGCGCGCGAAGTGAAACATCTCCAGCGGTGGAGCTTGCATCTCCGACCAATTTCTTTTTGCGGAACCGCGCAACTTCCAAGGGTCCTTGACTTCGCGCAGGGGTTTCGGCTTTTTCTCCTTTTTCTCCTTTGCGTTGTCCTCTCGTTTGCGCTTTTTTGATGTGCTGGCTGATGTGGCAGAAGACACGCCTCCTTCATCCTCGTCAACGTCCATACCCTCTGAGTCAGACTCCTTGGCCTTGGCTTTCTCCTTCATCTTAGGTTTGGCCTTCGATTTGGACTTGGCTTTGGGCGCATCTGAATCCTCTTCGGAAACCTCATCCTCGAGATCCTGACTTTCGACTTCATCGTCGTCGTCGTCGTCAGACGGTACAAAGGCCTCGGGAGATACAGACCGGGCCGATTTGTACTTGGTGAGCTTGTTCTTTTTCTTTGGGGGCTCGTCGTCATCGTCGTCGTCGAACGCGTCGTCGTATCTGACTTTGGTGGCTGCAACTCGACGTTTACGAGGAGCCTCTGACTCTTCGTCAGACGATGCCTCATCAGCCGTCGTCTCAGGCGTTTTCAATTGTAGACTGGCGAGGCTGGGGACTTCGACGTGACTGAATTTCATAGACGGCGTATGTTTGCTGCTGACAGGCACGCCAGATTGTTTGGAACCATGAGCGACATCTGCCTTGCTCATGCCGTTCGCTTTAGGCTCCTTGACAGCAATGGGTTGCACACCCCGAATGCGCTTTGAGGGACGCATAGCTGCTTCAGTTTCTTTGTCTGACACTGAACGTTAATCCTGAGTTATTCGCATGCTGGTGGTCTACGCACCTCTTTTACGCGCTGCATGAATCTCGGCCATCACATCCAGCGAACCTTCTGTTCTAAGCCTGTCCACTTGGTCGCGAAGACATCCAAGGGATTCGTCTAGCCGTGTGTTGAAGTATCTGCCGTCATTCTTGGGAAGAGAGCCTCCCGCTGCAAAGGCTTCTAGATTATCTAAGTAGTTGATGCCTTTGAATAGACTTGACGCAACGATGACGATGTCTGCCTCTTGAACGTCTTCGATCTTGAGCGAATTGAGATGACCCACGTTCTGGAGAAGAACGACTTTGAAGGTGTTATTGCCAACAAATTTTTGGACCTCGTTCGCCCATTGCTTCGTCAAATGCCCGGGCACAACTACAAGCGTCGCAGAAACTCGAATCTTGCCAGGCATGTCTCCTGCAGCGTTCGCGTTGGCAACTTCCTTTTTGACGGCCTTCCTGGTGGAGTCGATGAGACCGAGGGTGATTGCGGTCTTTCCGTACCCAACTTCATCTGCAAGGACACCACCACGGACACGCACAGGCTGTTGCGCACGGCCTTCAGCTCGCCAACCGAGAGGTTCAAGAATCGCTTCCGAGATCTCCTCCTCCATAAAGACAGGTGCGTCCGTAGCCTCCTGACGAATCATCCAATCGAGAGAGCGGAGTTGTTCGGGACGAAGGCGGGTGACGAAGCGAGGAGGCTGTGAGTGCTCGGGGTCGCGACGGTTAGAAGAGAGCTTGAATTTGGGGAGGATCAGCTTGACCAGAGGTTTGAAGTCGGTGTCCAAGCGCCATGTGACAGTACGCTCGGTTTTGGTGCCGTGATGAGGAAGGCGCGACAGGGCACGATGGATAAGAGATGCAAAATTGACACCAATGCGCACATGTGCCACTTCATCGTCGTCAAGTTTGAGTTGCGTAACGAATGGTGCCGGACGACCCTTTAATCGACGTTCGTACTTGCCGGCCTCGATGCTGTCTTCAATAGCAACAACGCCCTTGCCCTGTTTGATCCAACGAAGCGATGGAGCAGGTGGGGCGCATCGGTCACAGTTCGCATGACCTTCATGAAGCGATACAGCCTGCCAGGAGTTAAAGATACCGTCGATGGTTTTGATCCGCTCGACCAACCAAGACATAGATCGGAAGGTAGCACGCTCGTGAATGTGCTCAATTTCCTTCCAGGCTCCACGAGGCCACTCAATCCCTGCCTGTGATTGGAGGGGAACTCGGGCGACAAGCAAAGCATTTGCGGTTAGGCAAGAGTTTTCCTCCAGCGAGATATTGAACTCTTCCTGAGGAACCGCATAGCGAGCATCTTGACCAAGTGCTGACGGCTATAAAACATTGACTTGTCAATATGAGAAGTTAACGAAGAAAGAGTAAGGTGCACCTTCAGCTGGACGCCGACAGCAGCAGCATACTTCTGCGGGATGGAGCATTGAACTAGCTTGTCGCTCACACTTGATTGTCTCCACCCAGAGTCAAGACGCGCAACAACTGGACGAGCTTCGCCGTATTCGTATCGGCGGATACTACTCGCAAAGACGAACCCATCATCAGCTGGGTTGCCGCACCGTGAGGGATCTATCAGCATGAAGAGAGGGGGCTGCGAGGCGTCCTCATCGGAGACATTCCTCTTGTGCAGCGCGCTGTTGGCCGTTCCGCATTGATCCAGGAGAGTATATAGACCTGTAATATCACGATCGAAGTGGGAGACATCATCTTGGGCGACGGTAACCTGCAGCTGCGAGTACACGGTACTGTCCTTGTATTGTTCAAGTTGGAGGCCCAACTTCGCTTGCCAAGAAGACACCAAATCACCGACACCCTTGATCATGATGTCCACCTTCGTCGTGTGCGGCAACGCAAATTCCCATTGGCCTTTGAGCAACGCGTCCTTGCAAACAAGACGAGCGGCAGGCAACAGGAGGATCTTCCGAATCTCGGCATTTGCAGGCTCGCTCGACTCCGGTTTGGCGAAGAAATACCATTCAGGACGCCCTGAGTGGAGATATAGCTCAAGGCGAGCTTTATCCGATTCATAAGTGGCCGACCAAATTTCCTGACGCTTTGTTTCGACGAAACGCAATTCAAGTTGAGCGGCCTCCGAGACGGCGGAGCGCCAAGCAGACCACCGTTTCGAAGGTATTGACACCCCAGCGTGCTCTTTGAGAGAGTCTAGGAGCTCTGCAGTAGCGTTGGAGAAAATAACACACATCGGAAGGAAGGATTTAAATGACCGGTTGAAAATGGAGGGAGCAACTCTCGGTTCCGCTGTCACGTCGATTGCCTCGTAATTGTGTTCAGGCCGGCCTCCGCACTTGGCGCAGGACGTCCATCCGCAATCCTTGCACCGATTTAGCTGTCGCTCGGTGATATCCTTTCGCCCTTCGCATTCGCACAGACGTACGCTGCGCATAGAATCCGCTATGATCAGAGGAAGCGCCTGATCAACCGTCGTCGAGAGGTCTAAAGGCTGCTCGGACAGCTGATCTTCGCCAGTGATATGATCGCCGACCGCTGGAGCATCGACATCCATGACACCTGAGTCTTCCTCCATCTCCTCGATTATGCTAGTCCCCTCGTATGTGGTCTTCGCGTCACCTTCTTTGAGAAGCTTGTGGCCGAGGATCAAGGCTGCAAGAATTGCAGTACCAACGACAGTGGTGGACATGGCATTGCCGGCCAAGTCTGCGAGTTGATCTTCCGTCTCGCGCGTGAGCAAGAGCTCGTCGATAGGAAGACCTTGCATGTGCAACGCCTCAAGTCCAACCATGGGACCCCCTCGGTTGGTGATGTAGGGAATCATGGAGGGCGTCAGACAAGGCGAAATTCCGACTTTCCCAGAGCCAGTTGACCGATCCACATTTTGAGAGAGGTTCCAAACCTGACTGTGTATCGAGAGAGAAATTGAGAATCTGCATCGATATCGTCGAGGAATATACCCACGTTTTGAAAGCAGGGTCAATATCAACAATCGCAGAGCGGAGGAGAGATATGTCCATCAAATCCCACACACGCTCGACTTGACCTTGAACCCAATCTGCCCAACCGAAATCCAGCATCTTACAGGAACCGCCTAAAGACGTGTTCAACATTGCATAATATCTCATGACATCTGAGACGTGCTAACCTTCGTCCCAGTTTGTCAATGGACGTTTGGTTCCGAGTTTCTCGTCGAGCCGAGCACGTTGATGTCGGGATTCACATCGCGTCCAGTCAGTCCGACCGGTCTTCCTATCGACAGCATTGTAACTCTCCTGGACAAGCTTCTCTCTCGACTGGAAGATGCGAGGGTCGTCCGCGGGCAAGAGCCAACCATCTAACGACGACGATGCCTCCCGCCGAAGTTGAATCATCTTCTTCACCCAATTCTCCGCAATGTTCGACTTCTTCGTGTTAACAGCCATCATATATCCTCGCGTTCGGGTATGAGGGATGTAATAGTACTTGGTGTCCAAGAACATAGACTCGGCACTATATCCAACCTTGCGGAACTCGCCTTTGACCCCGTCCCAGGGAGCAGAGCACACATTCTCCAAAATGACGATGGGAGGCTGGTGTTTCTTGACCCAGTTTAACATCCCGAAAAATGTCCGCCCTGATTCTCCACCTCCATCCAAACCTTTCTTCTGGTTATTCAATTGCGAGTAATCGACACAAGAGGTGCCGGCGATGAGTATATCGACATTTCCAGGTACAAGGGCCTCAGATCCGTATGCAGTATATCTGCAGAACATATTTGAACACGATATATTGGAATAGAAAACAATTTGCGTACGCGTATTCGTCACCGAGCTCACAAACGTCGCGGAAGAGGAGAGGCGGCTGGAAGTTTCGTTCGATGTACGCTTGTTTGAATGGTACAATCTCGCAGGAAAAAACATGCTCGATCTCCAAGTCGATGCCGTGTTGGGCCTGGATAGCTCGCCTGATCAAGCCAAGAGCGAGGAGAGGTGACTCAGTGCCAGAGCACATAGTCGCTATGCGCAGCTTGCGGCCCTGGATGCGTCGTGCGACGTCCACGATCTCGGGCATACGACGTACGATATCGGCAAAGATAGCTGGAATGTCAGAGATGGGGGCCAGGTTGGATTCGTCGGGCGGTGTGTAGTCGTTTCTCCTCCTCTTGCCCTTGTCTTTAGGAGTCTCCTCATCGACTTCCATACCATCTTCCAAGCCATTTTCGTTGTCATCTACCACTGCATCGCCATCGACAGGCTCCTCGGATGCCTCACTGTCATCATGGTCGGAGGAAGGCCCCGGCTTAGGCTCGGGCTTAGATTCGGATTTGCCACCACCGAAAAAAGCGGTGATTGGCTGTTGTCTTGATGGGCCAGCAGATTTATTTCCTACGGCCATGGCACAAGCCAAGTGGGTGGAGTGGGTTGATGGTAGTGGTTCAACAGAAGAATATATGTCTCGCGTCTTTGTGAGCAAGCGTGACCGAACGCGTCGAGTCACAGCGGTAACACCGCGTCCATTTTTCCCACACTCGCCGATCATCCCTCTCACGACACAATGGCGATGGCAAGGTTGTCCGCCAAAATGAGAGACATCTTCGGGGATGACACATTCTATTGGGCAGATAGATCTTACGCTGTTGACTGGTGGGAGTTTATTTGCTAGAAAAGACAAGGGCTAAAGTCGTAGCACAGGGCAATAGCGACTGGAGGGCTGCTGCTGTCCGCATACATTTCAAAGCTCCCAGTCTTTAAGCGCGAGTTCTCGCTCGAGGACCCATTGATTGGAAACCCCCATACTAATCAGCAGTGAGGGTACCATCCAATTTTGCCGCGTTACTTCGACGCCCAAACTCTACATCTGACAGGATTTCTGGCACAACCAATGGCATGATCGCACTGGCTATTCCCTTCGGAATAGTTGGAGCGTTTGGCGGATTCAGAGGATCTCTCCGAGAAATCCACCATGGCCTCCTCGCAGCTTATTCTGGCAGGTATATATATATGACATTTGCCTTCCAGGATGCTCATTTCATTTACGGTTTGGTTTGTTGGTTTACTTTGAAGAGCCCTGTCGGATCTAATCACGGAATCTCTGAAGAATCGAGTCGGTAAAACAAGTTTGATAGGCTCGCAATGCTGCTATTATTTTATCACGTTTGTGTCACCCCAGGTCGCCTGCGCCCAGACTTTTTGGCTCGCTGCAAGTGGGACGCCGCCACGCGGGCGTGTACAGGGTGTGTGCCGTTTTCCCATCCGGTTTGAATTGTTCATCCAAATCACCACACAGAAAGCTAGGGGACATTATCGATGGGAGACGATCTTTTCCATCTGGTCATTCATCAACCGCCTTTGTAGGAATGACGTTTCTATCGTTATTCTTGGCTGGAAAAACAGCTGCTTGGTGTTTCCACGCACCTGCTCCTCCGAGATCTTTTCTCGGCAGCCGACTGCTGCGCTTTGTACTGTCCCTCCTCCCAATGGCCTTTGCAAGCTGGGTGGCCGTATCCCGAGTAGAAGACTACGTACGTTTCTACCTTTGCTCAATGCGCGAAATTCGCTCATCATCCCGCAGCGGCATCACAAAGAAGATGTAATAGTCGGAAGCATCATTGGCATCGTATCAGCCAGTGTATGCTACCTCATCTTCTGGCCAAATCCGTTCTCGATTGACAGCTTTAGTATCGAGAGTGCTGGTCGCCCCAGGGCAGTATACCGAGAGCATGATTTTGGAAGATCAAGGAACACAGGATACGAGCTCACCGATATGGACCATGATATAGAACCCGTGTAACAACAAAGACATAATGGCGCTTGGTTCATATAGATTCACACATTCACAGAAGTCATCAAAGTATGCAAGTACACTCAAGGTGAGTTCAATATAATTGAATTCCGACCAGACGAAACCGTGATCCGTCAGCGCAAGAAGCACCAATCCACTTGGAGCTGAATGACCACGACGTACAGCCCTCAACCGACTCAATCCACCCGTCTTGTGGCTTCCGTTACGGTATCATGACACCCGGACATGAACCCTCGTATCCTTCGCTCACACCCAATGTGGTGCTGGTGAGTCCGAATATCAAGTGCTTTGTTTCAAATGGTCGCCACGACATCGAGAAGGCTGTGGTGGGACCAAATGTGCAGGCCGCTAGAGCAGAATCGGTCATCTATTGTGAATCTGATTCAGGGCTGTCCAGGCGACGCTGTTATGATCCGAGGGAATTGAGTTAGAAAATGTGTGAGCGCGTGTGCGTGCGTATGATGAAGCAGTGGGTGACACGTGCAGTGATCATCAGGTGCTGACGCTGAAGAGCTGAATATAGGCGGGCTTCTGCATTGTGAAGGTCCTCTTATTCAATTGAGTATCCGGTACAAGCACCGCTCATGACTTTGCACCTCTAAACGATTTTCCGTTTTGTATTGAAGTCTATCAAAGTGATATCACAGGCGCGAATGCATTGTCCCGACTGGCGTCCTCAGGCATAAGACTCATAACCTGTTACACAATTCCACCCTCAACTTCTACCCTATCATTCTTCAATGTCGTCTCCGAACCCTCATCAGTGCTGTCTGTATGCGTCATGTTTTCGACAGATATTACACTCGGTATTGAGTTAATGGCCAAATGCCCCACATGTCGGCTTTGCGGGGGTGCACTTGAGCGACTTTCCCAGCGAATCGAACTGCGACACGACGGAGTTGTGACTTCTGATGGGCCCGAAAACAGGTTCGTCTGAAACCGCACTTGCAAAATAATGAGGCAGAATACAATTCCCTGCATCAAGATCGTTGAGCGTCTCAAGCCGATGTGCCTGAACTACTGAACACATACCCCAAGAGGGCTCAGAATATCCATGGCCGGGTACTGACCGTTCGAATAGGTGAGAAACGCACAAAGAAAAGCGATGGCGCCGGAAGTTATGAGCGCGCCGCTTTCGATGAACACGAACATGACTGGGAAGAGACTGCTCATGTTCATGCCAATACTCGACCGGAGTCGACCTGTAGAGTAGATGCGCCATGATATCATGGCTGAAAAGAGATGAATATACCTTCAATATAAGCAACAATGCGGAAGGACATACTGGTACAATAGACGTTGATTGCTATGGTCACAGAGAACCACACTATGGTATTGGGATGCGAGGTCGCGAAGACGGTATCGCCCGGTGCAGAATGTCTGAATAAGTACATAGTCATTATTCCAGCGACTGCATCATATACTGTTAGACGATGTGAACCTCACGAATGAACGGACGCTTTACCGAAGGCGGGAAATAAAAATAGAATCGGGGGAATGATCACTCTGAATCGTTTCCCGTATATGACATAGCAGCGCCATATCTGGTTAATTTTTGTGAGATCGATGCAGGAGACGAAGATAGAGGAAGAGAAAGCATGCGTACAATTATGCTATCATTGAGCAATGTCTGAGCCCAATATAACACTGTCTTGGCTATGATTGTTGGACTAGACAGGTTACCGAAGTAGCTGCTAGCCCCACCGTCCATGGTTCCCTGCATCACGAATGCATCGATAGCTCTAACAAAGTCGATGACGAGGTGCTAGACACGAGGTTGAGTCCTGTGGACAGCTTGACTGCATATAATAGAAGCATTTACCGCAGTTGCAAAAACGAGCATCATCAAAGCCACTGGGAGGAGCAAACGCCCGACAGAGGGTTTTTCTTTGCGCTTCCAGAATACGGTGAAGATTGTGATCCAGCACAATGCGAAAAAGATACCTGGAATATTCTGTATATGACGACGGCGCTATCCCACGGAAAAACGGATGGCGCACCGTACGCGAAAGTTTCTAAGAAGAGAGCCAGGAATTCAGCCTTGTCCAAGGGTATCCCCATAGAATTGTTAACTTAGACAGCTTGTTTGTGAAGAGAATAGTGAGGACGACAGGGAGAGCCACCGGAGGATCAACAGAGATGAGCAAACCATTTAAAGGGCAATAGAGGTGGATGCTTGACACTCTAGTGAAAATCCGCCCTCCGCCGGTTTCGCAAAGCGATCCATTATACGACACCATGTCTTCTAAAACAAGGAATTGATAGCCTGCATTTTGATACAGCTTTGTGAAAGTTTCTCAGTGTGAGAACTGCAGCGGCGGCGATGATAGTGCGGTGCACCCTCTACGAGATGATGATCAAACCGAGTGAAACAGAAATGGAACTGATGGTCACTGGTCAGCAACTTACAGTACCGCACCGCAAGCTTTTAACGATGCCGGCAACACCCGAAAAGGTCTCATTAAGTGTATATCAACAACCTGACGGCTTAATTCTCGGCCATTCATCGATGACCACAGCTGCAAGAAATATATGGATACCCTGGGCTGGTCCATTCGTGTATACAGAGGCTCGCGTGCGCTCGCAACTAAATAAAGGCTGTCGCTATAATTTTGACAAGAGTTATATCGTCCGCCACCCACGGGCCATCGTCCTGCATCTGCATGCCCCATCACCAGAACCGCATGGTCTCCGGCTCAAGACCCTGTGCCAGGCGCAGTATGTTCACGTTTGACGTCAAACTCGAGAACTAGAACAAAAAAACCGCGTCATATCAACGAGAGCGCATGCTACTTGACAGCAGCTGCACTCACCCCATTCCCAATGAACACGTCTGCCCGCTGCGCAATCATCATATCAATCGCCTGAGCCACATACTTCTGTTCCCAACTTAAGCGCAGATCGCGGCTCGTCTGCACGCTCTTCCACTCCCTCAGCTCGCCCAGCTTCTCCTTCAGCTCTGCTAGCCACTCGACCTTCCCGTTCGTGAGCACGTACACCCGATCCAGGTTCCGCCCAGCAGGTGTCTTGAGCACCTCTCTGACGCGCCCGACAATCTGTTCGATCCGCGGGAAGCACCGCGCCGCGTAGACTGCGTAATTCTCCGGCGTATTCCAACCCGCGCCACCGCCCGCCGGCGGCTCGAAGCGGTCCGGCAACGACGGAATCTCGTTGAAGCCGGTATAGCGCGACGTCCAATTTGCGAGGTTGATGCAGTGATCGACGAAGTCACCCCGCCGGACGTGTAGCGCGAGGAGGCCAGGGAGCGGCATGCGCTGGCGCCGCGCGCCTTCTCCAGGTACGATTGCAGGATGGATGAGCGCGCGGTTGGTTTCGACAGCAGAAGTGATGAGCGGGGACCACGCGAACTGGGTCAGGATGGGCGACTTGGAGAACGAGGGCCAGATATCAAGCAGCCGTTTTGAATCGCCAAAGAGCCTGGACGCGTGTCATTTTGCGTCAGGGGCGGATGCAGACAGAGGGATGACGAATCAGGTTACTGACCAGAAGTCAAAGATTTGCTGCGTCTTGGCCTCGATCTCAACACACCTATTATCTATCTGGTTCAATTTGTCCACCCAAGCCTGAACAAGCGTCGCGGCGGACGCGTCTGGAATTTGCCCGTTGACTTCGGAAGGATTGATGACAGTCTTGGTCTCGCAAACGTTGTGAAAAAATGCGGGGACCACTGCTGGTGGGACAGGGGCAGGAGGTGCAAAAGGTGCACCCGCCATAGGTCCTGCAGATGTGTACGCGAAGGTGAGCAAAGCCGAGCGCGGTAACAAGTAAAGCCAGTTCAGATAGTACATTCCCCATTAGTATGCGCATCGCTGATGATGAATCGAAGCGACGCTTGATGCTCACCCCAATCTCCATCTGCATATGTATCCATTACATAGAGACAGCGAATAGATATCTATCTTGTCCAAGCTCACGCAGATGTACTAGACAGAAATAGATACGGACGACACATAGACATTTGGTAGCACAGAAATAGTGACAAAAATAGATAGCGAAAGTAAAGATAACTCACCAGAAAGCAACGCAGTAAGTGGGATACGGGAAGGAATGAGATTGCCATTGTAGCTTGAGAAATCCGCTGGATCATCGGCGTTCCACGTGTAGTTGTCGAAGACGTGTCTATGGGGAAGGTGGAGGAATTAGTACATGACATTACCATATATGGGTTGGATTTCAAAAGCATGAACAAGAAATAAACGGCTGAATAGTCTGTAGGAAGACAAACAGAATTGGAAGTAGAGCACCATAGAGACTTGTCCAAGGACATCCGGCAAAGTGATAAAGAGGGCAAACGATGAGACGGATATGACATATGACGCACATCCTTCGTGTCAAATATGCGAGATGAGCGTTCAACATGGCTTCCTGCATGGCATTGCCCCACCCAATGGCTGTCCACACGAATGAGGACGAGTCGGAAAAAAGCAGAATGCAACAGGGATATACGCACCTACGACGTGATTGGCGATCCACAAGTACCGACCTTCCCTCCCTTGCGGATAACTCAACGTGATCTCGTGCTGCGGCATTGCTTTCTCCTTTTCGTACCATTCATAATAGGTCGGTGGGTTGCTCGGCTGACCAGATAGCGGTGGTGGTGGAAGCCATTCGGGTTCGGGGGCATCCTCCGTCCTGGATGAACGCAAGAAGAACAGGAATAGGAGGGCGACAACGGCGAAGATGGCAAGGCAGCGTCGAGGGTGGCGGCGGAAGCGGCTAGAGGAGGGATAAGGAACGTTGTTCGACGGCAGCCATAGTGTATTAGGAGGCGAGTTGAGCATGAGAGGTGGAGGTGTTGGGGAGGAGCAGTGGGAGAGTCGGCGCACTGCTCGAGATTCCGCTCCACACTCGGTCCTAGCGCATGGCTCCTGCTCCGACGCTGTGCCCGCAGCGCTCCCTTCTGCAGCCGCCTTCAGAAAACCCTTGCTGATGCCGCACAAAACGTAGGGACGCCGAAGCTCAGGCCTGCAAGGTGTGTGTAACGCTGCGGTGAAGCAGTCGGATATTCACGCGGCCAACGAGCCCGACGCAACTCCACACGTCGGTCCGCAATTTCCACAAATAAATTGACAATGACACTAAGGTCAGCCCTCTGGTTCCTCTTACTTACACCTCTGTCATGAGTGGGGGAAATTCTGAGTACCCAAAACCATGTCCTAATCACCAAAAACACGTAGTCTGGAACGAGGTTGGTTCTCGAGTTCGATCGTACGGTGCCGGCCTTCTTTTATCAGTGACCTCTATTTCTCGAGTAATATGTTCATTTATTGTTGAACCCCTACACATTATGTATTATTTCTAACGGCATCTCGAGCAGTGCTCGCGCACATATGGTTGGTTTCCAGCTAATGCTGACAATATCAGTGCTATATCAGTGGATTACCAGCCTACAAGCTGCGGCTATCCCTTCTTTCTCCCAATGGTTTCCATATCAGGTTCGACATTATATGTTCAAGGCTCACATACATTTCCAGATATCACTCCTACCAGATTATGGCTGCTTCTTGTTCACATGGTATACACCATCAATCTCAGGTGTCCTTGAAGGTCCTTGATCACATAATGTGCATGCTGTTACGACTGCTCGTCGGTAACCCCAAGAGTAGGAGGTTCTTCCCTAGGTCACTCGTGGAGGATGTGTGGAACGGTGGTCTCGACTGTACGTGTAGCACAGGAGCCAGAAGTGTATTGCGATGTAGCAATGAAGGAGTACTGTAGGAAGACAGTACTGAACGAAGATTCCTGTATGTGAAGATACAGGAGAACGAAGTACTGTGGTAGGAAGACCACAGTGAACGAAGAGAATAGACTGAAGATCCTCAGCCTATTCTATGGGCCTTTTATACTACTTTGGGAAGTAGGGCGTGAGAATACCGAATATGTATCTGTAGGTATTCTCTAAGTCGTCTCTCTCAATAACGACTACTCTTGTGCTTCTCCGTCTGTCTCCTTCCGGCCAGGAAAGACTAGGAGGTTCATGCCCTGCGTGTGAGTAATTTATAAGGCGGCGTTCCATGCCCGCTAATACAATAGGCCCGTGATACTCGACCAACGATAAGGTGATCCGTTGGGAGTGGATGACCAAGGTTAATATCTGTACCTTGGTGTACGCCTCACCGTGTGAGGCCGCTTGATATTTGTGATGATCGTGTCGGTATAGACCGCCGTTAAGGCCCGACAGAAACGTGATCATAACAATACCCCCTTTCTACGTCCTATTCGCCTGGTAGGACAGCGCTTTGCGCTTCATCGCCACTCCGCGAGTGGTGTGTGGATGAATAGAAACTCTAGCATGTGGGTTCCGATTCGTGTCATCAGGTTCTTCTTCTTCCTTCTCCGAGGGCCAAACCTCAGTGTTTCCAGGATAGTCGTCTATCCTCATGATTTGTTGTTCCTCTTGACGACAGTGGATGGCGCCCATGGACAAGTAGGTTGATCGCTTTACGAAGGCTTAGGCCTACTTCTCCAGGCTACCAGTCATGACGCCCCAAGCAGTATCGCTCCCATACGGTGAGCTCATCTCCGGTGAGGTTGCAGCCAAATCCCAAGCAGTATTGTCCCCATACGGTGGACTCATCTCCGGTGAGGCAGTTTACGGCGTCCAGAGTTTGTTTTTCACAAACGTGGGCCTATGGTGGGGAATACCACGTGTAGTATTGGGTTCGAGGCAAGGATGTGAAGAGAATTAGACTTGAAGGGTGCAGCGAGGGATAAGGAGGAGTCTGACTCCTTTCCCAAGTCTGTCCGTTCGCTTGCACGAGTAGACATCAAGACCACAGCTGATATATTAGTCGGGGTGCGAGATATATCCACGACTGGCAGTTTAAACGTCATGCGGGACGGTCCGTAGTTTATCGTCGTTTCGGACGATCCGTAGTTTAACGTCTTTGCGGACGTCCTTCATCATCAACATGGAATATCTGTGGGGAAAGATGTTTCTGCACGCCGGACCATTCATCGGTTATGTGCATAGGGCCATAGACCAGACTTTACCCGCTCCAGATTCCACTGAGGCATGATGGACGGTTTATACTATATCAAACCGGATAACTTGTAACGCCTCAATGTTATGAGACCGCTCAGTTTAGTGCCGTGAGGTAGGCATCCTCGCAGTTTAATGCCGTGCGATAGGCATCCTCGCAGTTTAACGCCGTGCGATAGGCGGACTATCGTCTGACTATGTCCCTCGAGTCACGATAGGCTTTTCCTCCGAGGATGAGGGTAGTTTAATGTCATTTCGGACATTATCAGCGTCGTTCTCGTCAAGGACGACGTTGATGATGATCCCTGTACTAGAAGGGACGAATAGTTTAACGTCATCTCGGACGGTTGGTGACCACGGTCTTGGTCAACAACCACAACTCCTATTCGGTAAGGAGCACGTAGTTTAATGTCATTGCGGACCGATTGACACCATGGCGGTCAATCCACAACTCCTATACGGTAAGGAGCAAATAGTTTTGTGTCATTGCGGACGATTCAGCACCAGAGTGATGAATCACAACTCCCATGCGATCGGGAGCAAGTAGTTTAACGTCATTGCGGACGCATTGGTGTCCAGGGGATTGGACGTCAATGACAACCCCCAGGTTCAGGGGCACTAGTTTAACGTCGTTGCGGACGCGCGGTATCTTGTCAAGATCGCCACGCACAATCCCTAGAACGAAGGGACAGTAGTTTTACATCATTTCGGATGCCCGTAGTTTTCCGTCGTTGCGGACGTCGAGATACCATTGGCCTCGAACAATCCCTATGTGGAAAGGGACAATAGTTTAGCGTCATCGCGGACGTTGTTTCGCCACAAATATTGTGGAAAAACAATGCTTAGTTTAACGTCATCCCGGACGCATCGTAGTTTATCGTCATTGCGGACGAGACCTAGTTTTACGTCGTCGCGGACGATTGTGGCGGAATAGACTTTGGATGAGTGGCCCGCTCTTTGTCGTTCTTCCGCTATGTGGGCCAGACGAGAGTCGCGTGATCTAGTCCCTTCCCACTAGATCTTTGACTCGAGGCACGTGTCCTAGTTGCCTCCTGACTAGGTCTTGGAGCGGAATTTCTTGTACTTCGACTCCGAGACTAGACTGAGCGCTTCATGAAGAGATGCTTGCTCTTCCATGTCCCCAGACCCCTCGCTTGGATTTGAACCAAGACGACCCGATATTCTTTTACCAAAAAGCGAGTGAATATCGGAAGCGCTTCGACCTTTATATAGGCAGGGTTCTGTGACGCGAGTCCTTCCGCGCTTCGCCAGAATGCAACCACGCTCCTTTGGTCAATGGTAGTTTAACGTCGTCTCGGACGATGGGTAGTTTTCCGTCATTTCGGACGAAGACTAGTTTAACGTCATTGCGGACCCAAGTAGTTTATAGTCATTGCGGACCAAGCCTTTGGTAGTTTTACATCGTTCCGGATGTAATTTGTGGCCTCGCATCATTAGGAAGACTTGTGAGGTAGAGGCGGCCCGCTCTCTACATCATCTCATGCGCCAGCTGTAGGATCCCCTAATGCGGAAACGATCCTGTAAAACGGGAGATCCAAAGTGGGACGTCCCAAAACACCAGTCAGACCTTGACTGTGAGGGTTCACGATACGAGTTATGCATCATAATTTCTTGACTCGGACTTGCAACCGGTTATGTATGGGCACTTCGCTGTACCAAGGCGAAGGGCCTGCTTGTCGACACCTACGAGTAGAGTATATGTCATGTAGAGGGTTCCCTAATGCGGAAAAAACCCTGTAAAACTGAGGATCCAAATGGGACGCTCGATGCATCTGTCAGATTAACTCCTTGACAGCGAGGATGTGAAAGGTTCCGCCGTAGGCTGTACGTGGAATTATGCCCGCTGTTGTCCTTGATTCGTACCATCATTTGAACCTAGGACTAAAATGGTCAGGTACTTCCCCTGCCTTCTTATCTTTTCACAGTTTTAAGACATGCAGGTCCGATAGTTTAGACGTCATTCCGGACGCGGGGTAGTTTAACGTCTGTTTCGGACGAGGTCGTACAGTTTAACGTCTTGAGGGACGATCCTAGTTTTACGTCGTTGCGGACGATTGTAGTTTTACATCGTTTCGGATGTAATTTGTGTCAGGGGAAAGGAGTTCCTCAACTTCCTTACCCCCTTTCTTCTTCCTATGCCCTGTTATTAGTCCGTTTAATAATCGAAGGGTCCTTGATAATCCCCGCCCCCTTCGTCAGGTCGGTAGTAGGGGTCAGCGTCGTCGTAATTTCCTGGATCGTCTAGAGCATCCCATGCATCGAGCTCGGATCTAGTCCAAGAGCTATTTCTTCGAGCCTCCGAATCAGCGCGGCGAGTTCTGCGGCTACTTCGGTTATCCTCTCTTTCGTTCGTACGAAATCGAGCACTAGGAGGAGGCGATCCAGGCCGGTGTCGAATACTCCGGCCAGCAGTTGTTCCGCGTCCGAGGGTTGCCTGGTTTCCCCCGACTCCGCCTTCCCTCATTTCTTCGATAGACGGGCGGTTCCTCCTCGTCGGTATTTCCTTGGGATAAGGGAAAACCTCGTATCCGGTGAGAGGGGGGAGTCGCGGTATGGCTATGCGCTGTAGGAACCTCTCGTTGTCTCGGTGGAGGGCGCTCCACGATCGTACGCGGAACCCTTCTTGGATTTGATACAGGCGTGGGATGTTCTCCGGGACGTGGTACGTTCCAAGTGACAACTCGGAAAGGGTCGGTTCTGCTTGGTTGGACGTTTCCCAGTTCTCCTCCGAAGAGGAGAGCTGGAAGGAGCTCTCGGTTGACATATTGGGAGAACTCGTCAGGGTGGATGAGGAGGGCTCGGGGTCGCCCGTCATTATGGGCGTACCAGGAGGCTGTGTCCGGGTCGGTTTGGAGGGCAAGCGTCCTGATCTGGAGACTGGCACTAGCCAGTCGTCGAGGTACGTCGCTATGTTCATTCCCGGGTTGTCCTGCCGAGAAGTTAGCGAGTCTTTGGAGGGCCATGGCTGTGGCCATTTGTATTACCGCGGAGATGGTGTTCCGCTGGAGGAGCGCGTCCGCGTGTCGCTCCAGTTCTCCGGCGTGAGGATCTGTACGAGGGGTAGGTCCTCCCATGGAGCTGGGAATCGGTCCACTAGTTGGTACTGGCGGAGGTGCAGTTTCTGATAGAACTGGTATTGGTTCAGCTTCTCCATGGCCTGGGAGTTGAGCTGTCGTTCTTGCTCGAAATCCCGAGGGACCTGCAACTCCACTAGGACGCGTGCCTTCACTAGGAGGTGGAACTCCCACTGGTAATGGGCCAAGGCTCGACTGGTTTCGGTCATCAGAACTTTCATGCCGTGGTGCACCTCGTGAGGCCCTCTCCGGTGAGGGTCTTCGGGTTCTTTCCCTTTCCTTGAACTTGGCATAGTCTTCGGCGTCGTCGTCGGGGAAGTTGTTGGTATGAGGGGTGAGGAGGACCCCGGTAGATCCTGGTTGTTGAGGACTTGTTCCTCTATCAATTCGTCCAACATCTGGTCGGTGAGGACTTGTTCCTCTTTCCACTCGTTCGACATCTGGATTGGCGACCATAAGGACGACATCGGGGGAGGAGTTTCTGGATGGAGACGAAGCATCGTGGTCGTCGTGGAGGAGCATTCGAATGGGGGAAAGTGTTTGAGAGGGAAGGAAGGTGAGAAGATGTTCTTGTTGGAGTCCTCTTGTCGCTCCTTTTATAATCTTTCGTCTCTCCTCTCAGGCTGTTCCCGGACGAGGTTTGTCAGGGTATTGGTCATGGAAGTCTTTCATGGCTTCTTCCGCCGTTCCCTTTAGGAGAGTGTAGGGCTCCCAGGTGTTGTCTGATTCGGGATATCCCATCCATTTGACCAAGTATTTGGTTCCCCGTCCTTGCCGTTTTGAATCCATGATCATTTCTACTTCATAATGCTCTTCATCGTTCAATACTTCCGGTATTGGTCGCGCGAAGTTTTCTCCGTGGGCTTCGGTTTCTCTATATTTAGTGAGCACTGCGGCGTGGAATACCGGGTGAATCTTCCACTGCGGAGGAATTTGGAGTTTGTACGCCAGGGTTCCCACTTTTCCCAGTATCTTGAAAGGGCCATATCGCCTAGGGGCGAGTTTGAACTTAGGATGGGTTGTCCGAATGTGGGTTCCTTCTAGCCATACTTGGTCTCCTTCTTTCCACTGGGGAAGTTTCCTGTGAAGATCCCGGTCTTTGGCGTAGTTGCTGGCTATTTGTAAGCTAGCCGCGGCTTCTTCCTGAACTTCTATGATTGTCTTAATGCGTTCAGCTACCGCAGGTACCTTTGTCTCTAGTGCCGTGTCAGCTGAATAGGGAGGATTGAAACCGTATAGCACTTCGAAAGGGGATTTTCCGGTGGTCGAGTGCTTCCGTGTGTTATGTGAGAATTCGGCGAACGGTAGAAGGTCTACCCAATTGTCTTGATGGTAGTTGCAGAACGTTCTCAGGAATTGTTCGATCTCCTGGTTTACCCGTTCCGTTTCTCCATCTGTTTGGGGATGATACGCCGTGCTGAGAGCGGCGGTGATTCCTAGCCGTTTCCAGAGTTCTCGGGTGAATTTGGCCGCGAATTGAGGGCCCCGATCGGACACTATTTTGGTCGGCAGTCCATGTCGATTGAAAACGTTATTTTGGAAAAGCACGGTTGTTTCTTCTGCCGTGATCGTTTTCTTGCATGGGGTGATGACTATGCCTTTTGACAGACCTTGATCCACTACCACATTAATTGAGTCGAAACCTTTGCTTTCGGGTAGGTCCGTGACGAAATCCGTCGAGATGAATCGCCAGGGAACGTTGGTGGTTTCCAGAGGGTGGATAGGTGGGTGTGTCCTGTGTGTCAAATTCTTCGTAGATTGGCATATGGCGCATCCATCCACGTATTCATGGACGAATTTTGTCATGTTTTGCCACCAGTAGTGTCGTTGCACCATTTCCAATGTTTTTGCTCTACCCGGGTGTCCTACCGCGGGTGCATCATGATGTGTTTTGACGATGAGTCTCCGGATGACGTCATCTTTGGGGACGCATATGTGGCCGTTGCGTCTGGTGATTCCGTCCTCATATGTCCAATGTCCCAATAATCCTCTCATCCCTTGTGGTCCTACTCGTAAGAGTTTTGCAAGAGCTACTCTTGTTAAGGCGTCATGTTCCGATTTCGAGTGTCGGATGAGGGAGATGAGGTTTGAAGAGGCAATTTCCGTGGATTTTATATGCCGTGTCGGGGACGGTTCTACCAATGTTTCGTCGGATTTGTTGAAAAGCTTGGCCGGGAGTAAAATTTGAGATTTGTTGTCAGATTCTACCCCCTCACTTAGATCTGGACGCCTGGACAGAGCATCAGAGTGATTTGTCGATCCTGCTTTATAGCTGAGTGTAAAGTCGAATCTGCTCAAATAAAGGCTCCAACGGGCGTGTCGTCGTGATAGGTCTCGCGCCGTTTGGAAGTGTTCCAGGTTTTTATGATCTGTCCAAATCTCGAAGGGGTGTCGTGCGCCTTCGAGGTAATGATTCCAATGTTCCAACGCTTTGATTATAGCCAAGAGTTCCCGGTCGTGAACGTCGTAATTCCGCTCTGCTGGTGAAAACGATCCAGAGAGGAAAGCGACTGGGTGCCAGTCACCATCTTTTCCTTCTTGTAGAAGGGTAGCTCCATAGGCGATTAGTGATGCGTCCGTTACTAGTCGATATGGGTGCATGGGATCTGGATAGTTCAAGACGGGTTTACTGATAAAAGCTTTCTTTAATCGTTCGAAAGCTTCTTGGCATTTTGTAGTCCAGTTCCATTTCTCGTCCTTTTTGGTGAGGTCATGTAGGGGGCGCGCGATGAGTGAGAACTTGTCAATAAAGCGCCTGTAAAAATTCCCTAGACCCAGGAAGGAGCGAATGTCGCGGACTGTACGTGGGATTGGCCAATCTTTTATTGCGTCCACCTTTGAGTCCTCCATGGCGACATGGTCTTTTGAAATTGTATATCCCAGGTATTGGAGCTTTTCCTTGTAAAACTCGTATTTTTCGGGTTTCAAATATAGATCGTTGTCGCGTAGGATTTGGAAAACCTGGTTTAGGATTTTGACGTGTTCTGCCATGGTTTTGGAGAAGACGAGGATGTCGTCCATATATACGGTTATCTTCCGGGCTGTGATGAGCTCTCTGAAGATCATGTTCATCATAGCTTGGAAGGTGGCTGGTGAGTTGGTCAGGCCGAAAAACATCACCGTGGGTTCGTAAGAACCTAACGGAGTGATGAAGCTCGCCTTCCACACATCTCCTTCTTTGATGCGTATATTGTTGTATCCCCATCGCACGTCCAATTTGCTAAAAATGATGGCCCCTTTTATCACATCCAGTAGTTCCTGGATTAGTGGAAGGGGGCACACATTCGGGATGGTGTGCGAATTTAAGTGGCGATAGTCCTGTACCGGGCGTAGTTTTCCATCCTTTTTTCCTATAAAGAAAAATGGGGCTGCTGTTTGCGAGGTGGATCGACGGATGGTTCCTCTCTCTAGATGTTCCTTGATGAATTTTCCTAATTCGTCATGTTTCTCTGGGCTCAGGGCGTAGATTTTGGGCACTTGAGGTTTGAAGGTTGGTTTCAAGTCGATGGCATGGTCCCAGTAAGTGTGTTCTGGGAGTCGCTGCGACTTTCGTTCGCTAAAGATGTCCAAAAATTCGTGATGCGCCTTGGGAACTCTTTCCTTTAGATTGGTGACGATAATTTCGTCTTCCAGGTCTTGGTCGAAACTGGCAAATCCTGACGGTTCGGGGGCCAGTTTCCGAATAACTGGGTCCCGGGTGGCCTGTTTTCCTGAGGGTTTGTCTGGGAGATCAGGTTCTCCCTCGTTTGGTGAAAGAGATGGCTTGTCTTGAGCCTTTCGTTTCTCTTCTGCGTATTTCCTTATGTCCTTTAGGAGCCATTTCCTTTTGAGGTATGCTCGTAGTCGGACGCCAAACGTTCCGCTGTGATCGCGGAGTCCTACATCTTCCGATAGTCTTCGGAGATGTTCGAGGCGCTGTTTTTCGCGCTCATTGATGCGTGGTTTGTGCCGTGGCTCCACGTCTGATAACTGCCTGCTGTATGGCGGTTCTTCCCTTGCCCTAGTGAACCCATATGGTTGCTGGCATTTCTGGGGGCACCGATCAAAGTGCACTTCACGTCGCCTCCATTCGATGGAGGGATCGTGGTATTTCAACCAATCTGTTCCCAGGATAAGGTCGTCTTTCCCTAGATTGGAGATAAACATCTGGACGCGCTCGGTATGCGTTCGTCCACTGATGTCCCGAATGGTGAGGTTCACATCCAAGGCGGATCGGATGAGACCTGCTTTGTTAATGGTGTCGTCGACGTTCCGGACGCGAATGGGGTTGTTGAGTGTATAGGTGGGGAAACGATGTTTCTTGACCCAAGTTTCGTTTACTATAACCCCTTCGCAGGCCGAGTCGATGGTTGCCTTTGCTCCAGCGTTTTGACTCCTGTTTGATACTTTCACGTTCAGGCGTATGGGGGTGATGATACGGTCGTTCATTGCTCCGATACGAATACAAGTGCGGGCATCAAACTCGGGTCGTCCTTGACCTCTCTCCTTCGCTGGTGAGGGAGAGGTCAGGAAAAACGCTCCGCGTGTCCCAGGATCACTTCTCTTGCTTCATCTTCCCCTAGTTCTCCGAGTACTGCTCCGATTCGAGCAGAATGACTGACGCTTCCGTCTCCCCGTCGTCCGTTAGGTAACACAGCGCGTTGCCCATGGTTCGTTTGGGGTCGTCCGGATGAGGTAGAGTGAGGACGTTCCATCGAAGGACCAGGTTGTGGTACCCGCTGGTCGTTGCGAGGGACATCCTCTGTCTCCATTCCTCGATATATTCCCGCTTGGTTTCCCATAGCGGGTGCGTCGTCTTCTCCCTCCAAATCAACCGCGCGGTTTCCTCTCCCTGTCGTACCCAGGCGTCTTTTCGAGTTTCCTCGAACTGGGCGAACGCCTCTGCGTGGTGACCAACAGTTAGCGCTAGAGTGCCCTGGTTTTCCGCAGTTGGAACAGGAGGTGGTTCGCTTGCCGTCAAATTTTCTCTTTTGACTTTCGGCGTTACGCTTTCTGGTAGCGTCAATGTCCATGTCAACCACCTGGTTGTTCATTCTGCGAGGGGCGTTTGTGGAATTGTAGCGGGGAGAGATTTGGTTATGAAAACGATTCAGATAATCGCTTCGAAAGGAGGTGGAGTTGGCGAGGATGGCTTTTTGAGCTGTTCTGGCTCGAAGTCGTCCATCTATTTCGCAGGCTGTATTGATCCAGTCCTGAATCGTATCCTTTGGCTGAACTTCCTTGTCGTATATTTTGTCCATGACGCGCGGGTCTAACCCGCGTTGGAAGTAAGGGACTTGCTCTTTATCGGAGATGTCGGCATCGGCGGCGATGAGAATGAATTGGTTGGAGTATTCATCAACCGTCATTCGTCCTTGGGAGAAGGCCATGAGTGCGCTTCGCGCCTTATCGGTCTTGCCCGTCTCCCTGAACTGTAATTTGAACTTGGCTAAAAAGTCCTTCCAGGTGCCTAGATCGGTAGGTGGATCCGCTCCTACTGATTTGAGGAGGAAGTTCTCCGCCCAAGCTCCCGCCGTGCCGTATCTCATGCATGAGAGCACAAGGGATATTTTGTCTTGATCGGTCTTGTACCGATCGGATTCTGCTGCGAAGAGAAGGAGGCATTGGAGCATGAATTTCTGGGATTCAATGCGGTCGCCTGTGTAATTGTCTGGGAGTTTGACTTTTCCTCTTCCGGGTTGTACTGTCGCGGAAGGGGTGTTTGTAGAAGTCGAAGCTTGTCCCGACATTTCGGCGAGTGGTTCGTTTCGGGTGTTGATCGGTGTTTGGTCTGGTGAGTCGGAGTCTGATTCCGAGGTTGTTTCCTCTTGCTCCGAGTCTTCGGGGATTACCGGCGCCGGTTCCCTGTATTGTGGGGCTAGTTCCCACTGAGCTTCTGTTTCGTTCCAAATATCCTCTTCTTCTGTTCCGTCTTCAAGGGTGAAGTAATAACGCCCGTTTCGGTATGAGCAGTTATCGTAATTCGGAGGGGCAGTTCCGTTATTGTCTTCGTAGACCCAGAAGTCCCCTTCGCGCCGGATAGGGCGATTGTTGTGACGGAGTTGGTTATTGATACGTCTAGTGCCGGGTGGGTATTCCTGGCCTAGGTCTTGCTCCAGAGTGTGTGCAGTAACACTTTCTCAATGGGGGTCTATATCCCCACTGAGCAAGGTTATGAGAGAGAGTGTGGCAGCAAGCTAGTGCGAGCAAGGTAGGGGCAGAAGAGTCTATTCTAGTGTTACGACTGCTCGTCGGTAACCCCAAGAGTAGGAGGTTCTTCCCTAGGTCACTCGTGGAGGATGTGTGGAACGGTGGTCTCGACTGTACGTGTAGCACAGGAGCCAGAAGTGTATTGCGATGTAGCAATGAAGGAGTACTGTAGGAAGACAGTACTGAACGAAGATTCCTGTATGTGAAGATACAGGAGAACGAAGTACTGTGGTAGGAAGACCACAGTGAACGAAGAGAATAGACTGAAGATCCTCAGCCTATTCTATGGGCCTTTTATACTACTTTGGGAAGTAGGGCGTGAGAATACCGAATATGTATCTGTAGGTATTCTCTAAGTCGTCTCTCTCAATAACGACTACTCTTGTGCTTCTCCGTCTGTCTCCTTCCGGCCAGGAAAGACTAGGAGGTTCATGCCCTGCGTGTGAGTAATTTATAAGGCGGCGTTCCATGCCCGCTAATACAATAGGCCCGTGATACTCGACCAACGATAAGGTGATCCGTTGGGAGTGGATGACCAAGGTTAATATCTGTACCTTGGTGTACGCCTCACCGTGTGAGGCCGCTTGATATTTGTGATGATCGTGTCGGTATAGACCGCCGTTAAGGCCCGACAGAAACGTGATCATAACACATGCCCAGTGCATCTGGGAAATCACTCTCTTGTACTATGCTCTAATTAGTTCTATTTATGCATAAACAAGAATGATTAGGATTAGAGACTATTAGCTTATCCCCTCTAAACCTATTCTGATTAGACATAATTTTCCTAAATTAGGAATTATTAGGATTGATTATAACTTGAAATTTTGGAAAAAATAGTAATAAATCAAGCATCATAGTTCTTACAAACTTCTTATAGAGTCATGTTTATTAGAGCACTATTTGAATAGCTGAACACAGAATATACCTTACAACAAACTTGCCTTTTGCCACAGTTAAACCAACAACCTTATATATATAAGCATCTAGAATGAAGGGCCATCTGGAAACCCTCTCATATTAGATCCAAATTATACCTAATTATTGATAATGTTTATCTAGGGTAATTAGAATATATTGTGAATGATTATCCATAATTATCTTTATAATCAAATCTGTAATAAACACTATGTTGATTATAATTCTAGAGTTTACTCAAAATCTATAACTCAAGTATAATACTACAGACTCTAAATCCAAGCTTTATAAGTGACAGAATATATTTTTACCCTACATAGAGTTTTTTATTTTTATTTAGTATATCATATTTTTATTTGGTAAATAAATTGAGATTATAAAAGCCCTAATTTTTCAAATATTTATTAATCAAAAATAAATCAAAAGTGAGTAAGTAATAAGATAAGAAATACTGAGATTGCCTAAATTATGGCAATATATTTGAATTACCAATATATTAGTTTAGACCTTATAGCTAAGTGGCTTAGAGCATCTGTTTAAAGTGTATGTGGTCATAAGATTATAGGTTTAACTTTGGCCAAGAGCAAGTTTTTCATAAGATAAGACTTTAGCTTTAGATATTCAAGTAGTAACCTCTATAAATATCTCTAGGTTACAGATTATAGTAATAGCAAGAAATAATAACATTATAATAGATTCTATTTTTCCAAAAATCTATCCAGCTAATTAGCTTTAATTAGCTATAATTAGCTCTAAAATAAAGGGAGGGTAAGCAAAAGATTGCTAATGCTATTTTAGTAAAATTTCATAGAATTATCAATAATTAGAGCTTAATACAAAAGAGGCATTTCCTAGATATAATGCTCTAAGCCACTAAGCTACAAGGTCTAATATATTAAACTGGTAATCTAAATAAGTAAACATAATATAGGCAATTTCAATATCTCTGATTTTATTCAACATTTATTTTTTCTCTATCTTATAAATAAATAGGTCAATAAATACCCAAAAAGTCAGGCCCTTTATGATTTAGTTTAAATACCAGCTAAGAAGATAATAAACCAATGGAAAATCAACAATATACTTTATTTAGGGTAAAAACAAATTATGGCACTTACATAATTTGGATATAGGATATATAAAACTATAATTGAGTATAATATTTAATGGAATTCTACTAGTATAGACAATGCTACCTTAATTTGCAAATTTGATCAAAAACATAATTATAAATAATTAGCCATAATTAGCACAAATTAGTATCATTAACAATTATCAATAATCAAGATCCAATAAGAGAGAGGGGTTTTCCAAGTGGCTACTAGTGAGGTGAAGGGTAGGGACAAGAGTATATATATGGCATACCTATATATAAATAAGCACAAGATTGTTGGAGATAATCTTAATATGCTTGGTACATATATTTTCTACATGGCAGGTAAATATATCATTCTGGCACTATATACTAATATAACTGTCTTTTCCACAGCCTAATAGCTAAAGGAAAACACTAAGTTTGAGCATTTTCTATATGACAAGGCAATAAACAATGTGGATAGTGCTAAAAATTATAATATCAATAGCAATAATGATTATGTGCTGCACAAGACAGTATTGACTATTATACTAATAGACAAGGTTTATGAGGCTACACATAGCATATTTCTAAGCCTAATCTGCATATTATATCCTATATTAACCAGTAGCAGGCATCAGCTAACAATAACAATTTTAATAATCTTGTTTGCAAGGCCAAGGTACTGAGGTCTTCATAGCCTCTTGTGGCAGCTGCCAAGCTGCCAACAAAGTGGCTGGGGGCATCAATGCATATTCCTCTCTTTTTATGTCCCTTGTAAAGGCAGCTAGAAAGCCAGCAAAAGAGCTATAAGATAACAACACAGGCACACATAAAAGAAAGCAATATGCTGAAACAGCACAGAACGTGCCACACCCCCACCTTTTCACTAACAGAGCAGTAGCACTTACTATTTCCTGCTACTAATTAAAGACTTCTTGGTATGGAATTAGTGCTAATATCATGAAATTAGAAACTATCCTCACAGCTACAAAAAGAGGTGGTTCCCAATTTGGAAATCCAATGCTCATAGTGTATTGCTCCCAATTAGGAAATTAGACGCTTTTAGATGCTATTAATGCTTTTAGATACTTTTAGACACTATTAGATATAATCTAGAGCTAATACAAGGGGGTGGTTTCCTAAATATGTACCACTTGTGTCTCAACTTCTGTATATGACATTCATCCATCATAACTCAAACAGGGACTAGGCAATGTCCAAAGGGCCATGTATGATAGAGGGTCTGCAACTCTGACATTCACTAATGTGGTGAATGATTTATTCTATAAAAGAATAGGCAATCTCTGAATAAGCCCAAGGGTGAGGCAGATATAAAATCACTTACCTAGTATACACTGTCACTCTTATAAAATACCCTATGTGCATGAAACATATGGCTATATGCACCAGCCACACTATGTCATGAGTCTCGACGAAGTTGTGTCCAGTGATGTCGGTTGGGTCGAGGAAGGATTCATGGTACCCCAACCGGGTCATAACGGGTTTCATTCCCGGCTTATCCCGTCTATAAATCAATCCCATCATAGACTCATCATCTTCATGTTCGTTTCGTCGAATCATCGATGGAACATTGATACCATCCTCAAGATCTTCCAGATGTATCTAGGTGTAGAATGCGATAGCTACATTGTACCTAGCCAGTTTTATTCCCTTGTTTGTGATTGGTATAACTGTGCTGTCAATGTTCAGATTTGTCTCCAATTTTTGCGACTCATTCGGACCCAGTGTATAGCTGTATATAGTCATAGTGCCATGAGTTCATCTCGACCGTATAGTATCACAAGGTATCACTCGATGGCAGAATTCTTTAGGCCGCATTGACGAGCACCGTCGTAAAACAAAAGGCTGGACTTCACCGCCTTACGTTGTAAGTCCCCCCAGTGGCCGTTGACAAGGTGAATCCCTAGTTCTCCTGCGGCCATATGGTTCTCGTCATCTTTCAGTGAGATTTTCTTCGTTTTCGTTATCATCTATAATAAACCATGATGCTCGAGTCGAGGACCCCAAAGATGTGCCTCATAGCCAAGACTTCACGTCGTGAGTATCGATGGTCTATTTAGAACTGCTTTACTCACTGTATGCCAACAGCTACTGGACAAGTGCTAGTCGTCGGTCCTGTGCTTTGGTTTCACAACTGAGACTTACCGGCTGGTGTCAATACTAAGTTGACACTTCTACTGCCGCTGAGAAATTGAAGGCACACAAGGAAAACTGTTTTGATGTGGACGTATAGTGTCGAATGGATCGACAATAGAGGTATGTCAAAGCCGATATTGACTATGCATTAATCTGTGCGAGAAAATGGCGTACTGCACTGGTGTACAGCCCTACCGCGTCACCATCACGAGCCTCCACCTGCTCGTACAAACATCCATCTGTCTCCCACTCGCTGCATACGACCTGCTGGAACTCCTCCAATCCCTGTTTCCGTATCGCTCTCCGGGAGCGGCACTGGATCAGTATCGCCCCCGAGAACGATAGCGTCTGAAGCCTGTTCGTTCATTTGGTAGCCCCACTGTCCCTGTTCTTCTCGGCCACTGCCGTACATGTAGCCACCGCGTCCACCTCGAGGAAAGTGGCCTCCGCCTCTTGTCCCTTGCCAATTTCCGTTTTGAGACGTCGGACCAGCTGCCCATCCCTGATTACCCTCCTGGTATCCGTTTTGAGGCTGAACAGGCATGGGTGATTGGCCAGCCATGCCGCCCGCGGTCAATGACATGACAAGTGTCATGAGTTCTTCCTGGGAGGGCGGATACCCATGGGTGACTTGCCACCTCTGCCCCAGGATCTCCCACGATGTCGGCGCCGTAGGATCAAAAGACGAGATATCGAATGTGTCTAGCCCAATGCCGTGTTCGCTGCTGTGGTCGTTAGTCTTCGGGGACATGACGGTAGATGTCGTAGTGATTGGTCGTCGGAGTTCTGAGGAATGGTTGCTAGCGAGCGGCGCCGACGAATCTGACAACACAGCTGAAAGCGGTGATCGACTGTATCTGTCGTTGGAACTGATCGATGTACCATCTTCAGGCACTCTGACATCTCGTCCGAACTCGTCTTTTCTTGAATTCGAAGACCCTGCGGCAACCTGCTCCTGTTCCCTAGCCGCCATGGAAGTCATAGGCAGTCTTGGTGGAGGGCTGTAAGGCTTTACATCTCTCCTCTCTCCGTATCTACCACGTGGTGGACTTCTAGATCGACTCCGCCGACGATACGAAGGACCTCGATCTTCGTCCGTGTTTTCATGCCCTCCATGGTCGTCCCATCGACCTTTTCCCCGGCCTCGAGAGGCTCCCCTAAACACGTCCCGATAGCCATTGGGACGGCCGCCACGGTTTCTACCGTGCTCAAGCTCATCGCGTCTACCATATCTAGACTGGCCTGAACGGTAATGATCATCTCGATATGGTAACGAGTTCTGCTGTGAGTTTTCGGGAACCTTGACAGCGGATGATACTGCAGGCGAAAATGAAGGTACTACTGCCGAGGAAGATGGTGCAGATGGCACAGGAGGTCCTGCGGCAGCAAGTTTCGCCGTTTGTGTTAGCCGCTGCAATAGCTGCAGCTGATTAGCGGTCAGCTGCGGGGTCGAAGTTGGCACCGTCGGTGCATGAATCGTGGAAGGCACCAATGAACTTGTATTTGCTGTTGTTTGGCTGCGATATCCTTCATGAGCATCCTGACCAAATGCGATGGAGAGCGGACAAAGCGCGCACCCATTTGGCTGACTATTGATAGCATTCGCGGCTTGAGTCAGGAGAGCGAGCAGCGATGACTGTATTGATGGATCGACGGTCGGTGGCGTTGATGGTGTATTGATGGGAGGGAAAGCCGGCCCAGTCACTGGCAGCGTCGAAGCTGCCGGAGAACTGGAAGACATTGTAGGGTTTTCGCTGGCGGACACTGACGTAGAAATAAACCAGACGTTATTTCAGTTGCTGGTCTCAGTTTTCCATAAAATGTAGAAACGAAAGGGCGACTGCGATTGCGCAAGGAGGAGGTACTTAGCGAACGTATACTGCTATTATGATAAGCACCTTTATTAGCATCCTTCAATACATCCGTTAGTCTGGTTAATACTGTCGGTGAGAACGTATTCGATTTGGCCCAGATATCAACGATCTTCTGCGATTTTTCCTAGAATCCGCAACCCAAAGGCGAAAAACGTGTTTGTCAGGGATCTTCATGCGCGAACTTGGCTGCAAAAGAAGGAAAAACCGTATCGATGCAATCATGTGACTGAACGCGCTGGTGGTGCGAAAGCGCGCGCTTCGCTAGCATCTGATCTTGGCGCGATGTAATCACCATCCATTAGCGCAGCGAGAACATACGGTGTGCTACAAAGTGGCAATATGCTTTGGCATGTCTCGAGGAATCCCAGGTGGGAATCACGTCATGGTCAACAAAGGACCGTGAAACTAGGTAAAGGGAAGCACAAAGCCTGGGGGGAACATCGTCTTGTTCCCTCTGCAGGTGACATCAACAAAGTTACATGAGCACTAACATGGCGCGGTGCTAGTGGACGAACTACGATGTCAGTACCAGATTCGTCACTAACCTTTCCTTCGGAGCCTGCGGATGATATCATATCATAAAACACGCCCTCGAGGACGGCTTCGAGCTTGGAAAGAAATGTAGCACAGTCGCCATGTCCAGAACGGGCATCGCCAGTGAGTCCTTGCTTGTTTGCTCGATGCCGAGCAGCACGAGCGAGGGCATCCACAGCATATAGACTAGATACTTTGCAAGACGCTGGCAGCGCCTTGTGCGTACGGTATAGGAGGGAGACCAGCTGTGTATCATTCTGATATGGAGAAAGGATGTCGTCAATGTGCCGATCACAGGTTTAATGACAGACACCCACTTCCATACATCCAAGGGCGACCTCCGTGAGCTTCTTTATTTTGGACTCAGACACCCTCCTGCCCTTGACAGTGTCTTTCAACACGGACTCGAAAACCTGCGGAAATCATAGTTTGTAAAGCAGTGAAAACAAGGCACCTGACTTTATCCTTACCTCTAGTGATGCCATTGACTGTTATGATCACCTGTAAAACGCTCTCCACCGCACGTAAGTAATGAGATCAAATTCTTTGTTCAGAGGGAGTCGTCGGAAGTCGTTGGAGGTCGGAGAGCAGTGTGAAAGGCTTGTTTGTTTGTGTTTAGGTGGAGTCATTGCCGTTTTCAGTGTACGTGTGGCGCGCTGCAGACCTCAGCAGACTTTCCGAATGAGATGGAAGTAGCAGACAATGTTGGGTGGGCCAAACCTCATAGAACGCAGAGGTGATTCAAATGCAAATTATCGAACCAGGGCCGTAATCATGACGGTCACAGAATATTGAATGATCAACCCGATGTCGTGTGGGAGGCCGAATCGGCCACTGTATGTAAGTAAGGATAGTAAACATGAGGACTACTAGCTATCAGATTATCGCGCTTGCAGATGTCCTCCCATAAGCTTGTTGACGAGACTGGTGCGTTGTGGCATGTCTGCAAAGAGAGCCCTGACAAGCTTCACTAACTCCTGCATCTCGAAGTCGACGAGCGCGCCCTCGTCGAATAGATAGCTAACATCTGCTAGAGATGCCTCCTGGAAATCGTGTGGGGGTCAGATGGCAAGGCCAACAGAGAGAAGAATCCCGATTCACGAACCAAGATCTCCGAAAGGTACGAGAACTTGAGCCACGAGGGAACATATGCGACGACGAGTGATGGCTGCACAACGTCTCAGTTATTCATATCGGTTTCTTCCAAAAACAGAATCTGACCTGGTCCGGATCTTCCATGAAGATGCCTTCGATAGCATTCATTATCCGACAAAGTTCGCTCAGGCGATGAGATTCCACCTCCGTGATATCTGGCAAAGCCAAGATATCGTCGAGGATAGTCACCAGAGCTGCCTCCACGAGAGCGCCTGCCGCTGCGTAGTATTTGCTTTTCCGCATCACTCCCTTTGTCATCGTGCATGAGCAAGAAGGTCATTGTGATATTGCTTCTGAGTAAACCTACCTTCCACTGTTTCGCGACCCTTCGGATTTGGCTCAGCGCACTTGTAACTGCGGTTTCGCACTCATCAAACCGGTCTTGATCACCTGTTTCCACGAAACCTTCAGCCTCCCCTAGGGTCTCCAGCACCGCGAGCTTCTGACGTTCCTACATGTTGAACCGCGCCCATCCACCCAACCGATCAAATCGGTGTCTCGACACACAGAGATCAAGAATAACTCACAAGAGAATCCTCAAACCAGCTCGTCCCTAAGACCTCTAGCCGCTCCCCAGCCTCGATCAACTTGCTTTTCACGTCCTCCTCCTTCTCTCCGAGCGCCAGTCGCGCCGCGCACTCGCTCAGATACGCACAATCATTCGAGAACACGACGGCTCGATCCACCGAATCCGCCAGCGCCCGTGCAAATCGCACAGGGTACAGCGCGCGGAATAGATCGAACACGGCGGGCGCGGTCTGCAAGAGCACTGTCCCGCGCTGTCGCGTGTGCTGATGCTGGTGCTCCACGAAGCCGGCGAATATCACAGGCGCCGCGGCGATAAACTGCGCGCCCTCGTACAAGACGGCCTCGACCGCACCCGCGACGTCCCGCGCGCGCGCAGACACGGCGTACGTCTCTTTTACTTGTACCACTTTTGGCTTATTATTCACCGGCACGGTGATCCTCGGCGGCCGACTCAATTCGGACTTCCTGGTGATAATTGGTGTTGGCGGTGGAGGGGCGACGGCGGGAGCGGATTCGATGCTGGTCTGCGGGGTATGTTTTGGTTTGCCCTTGTTCGCGAGCTTTTCGAGACGCGTCGCGCGTTTGGGCGCGGTCTCTGACCTCGTGATTAAGGCGAGGGGCAGTCGGTCGGGCGCGGCGGCTGAGTCGACGTCAGCCCATGGGTCGTCCCAGGCGGAGCTGGTGTCCGTTTCGGGAGAGGTAGAAGCTCCGCTGCCCTCGTCATTGACAGGTTCGTCGCCTTCATTCCAGCCCCAGGCATCTGCCGGATCCTCTTCTTGTGAGGCCTCAGGTTCAGGAGCAGGAGGAAGAGAGGGCTGAGGGACTGGCTCTGGCTCTGGCTCTGGCTCTGGCTCTGGCTCTGGCTCTGGCTCTGCGGGCTCGTCGTCGAAGCCCCACCCATCCGGGTCCTCCGTTGGCTCTTCAAAGCCCCATCCGTCTTCCTCTCGTGCCGTGATAGCCTCCTCATTTGAGCTGCCTATCGCAACTTGCTCTTCTTCGAATCCCCACGCGCTTTCCTGTTCTTCTAGCTGTTCAGGCGCCACCTCTGGAACGGCGTTGGACATTTCTTCGAGTATCACCTCCACATGGATCCTTCTGCCCTCATCGTCCTTGATGATAACCTCTCTCGCCTGTTCCAGCATCTCGGCTCTTCTCTTGCGTTCGTAGTGTGTCGCGATGCCGTCCGCCCATGCCTGGACCTCCCGGTCGCGAGTATCCTGCCCGAGCATGTCAATCACATACTTGCCCTCCAAGTCCACCGCCTGTTGTACGAGATCGACGAACGCAGGAAGCGCGTTGAGCGATGAGGGAAGCAGCGGAATGAGAAAGTGTTGCAACAACGCCGTCGTGAGCGGCTTGCATAGAGACTGTTTAAAAGATGCGGCCTGAGTGGGTGGAAGTGCTGGAAAAAGCTCGTGCTGCAGAAAGCCGAAGACGGAGGCTAAGTTCTTCAGGCGCTGAGATCGATCCTCCGTGTTGGACGGCGAAGGATACAAGGTGAGCGTGTGCTCGGGCGTGCCCGTAGCGTCCTTGCCTGTTGTGAGCGATACTGAGGCAGGCTGAGAAACGACGAATCGGAGGTAATGTGTCGTGAGATCGCGTCGAAGGGTCGCTAGGTGACTCGCGAGCGATGCAGGAGCAAGGGACGACATAATGGATGACAAGGTGAGCGTAGCGGAGGATTGGCGGACTTGGTTGCGCATGAGCGCCATTTTGATTATCACGGGCGATACACTCACCTTGGATTGTGGGCCGTACGATGATCGTGTGGGCAGAAACTACGATGCCTCGGTTGTACGCGTCACTGAGCTGTTCCTCGACGCGGTCCTTCACTGCTCTGAATTGTCGCTGTTTCATCGTTGAAGCAAATGCGTCGCGTGAAAGTGCGAAGCAGCTGACTTACCTTCATGTCCACCATAGCCTCTGACTGAGCCAGGGCTACCGGCGCCCCGCTCAACACCCTGTCCAAGCCCTCCAAAGACTGTACGGCTTCAGGAAGCCGTCCGTCATTGACCAAGCCATTAAGCGCATCGAATTCTGTGCGACATCGCAAAAGATGGCTCAGAGATTCGTGCAGCACCTCCGCGTCCAGTGTTTGCTGCGCAAGCTTCGCGTGGGCGGACAGGGCACTGACCAGTGTGGGTATGAGACCTGACTTGACCAGACTTCAGTCATGTTCTACCAGGATCACGGATTCAAGTACCTCAGGATGCGACACCGCGTCCGTGAGCGTGTCCACGTTGTCTGTGAGCGTCTGCAGGCGATGCTGCACAGACTTGGAGGTGGAAAGCAGGTGGTGGAACGCGGGCAAGTCTGCGTTCAGCCGCTCATGAATCCTGCTCTGCGGCATCAAGTCTGAGTGAGGCACAAAAATAGACAAGATGTTCGCTCGCCACCTTTGTTTGGAGAATCGCCTCGTCGAGCTCTGCTATCCATGACGTAGCGAGGTCCGCGGTCAGGGTTTTCGTCGTGGCTGACGAGATCTTGGCCAATATTTGAGTTGAGATGTCTTGCGGAACACCACGACGTGGGAGATGGGAGGGGATGGGAAACGCCATGTCGAAACCTGCGCGACGTCGCGTCCTTTGGACGGTTGTGCAAACCCGTGCAGTGGTCGGCGTAGACACGCACGGGAGGGTGATGCGCGACAGGACCCCGGACTCTCTGCACTCTATTATTTCCTTGCCTTGGGTCTCGTAGAAATTATCTGACAGTAACACGAGGAGAAATTCGAGGATCAAAGTACACGTCTACAAACGGAATACATTCAGTCTGCAGTCCCAACTACAACTCGCCAAGAGGCCCTCGTCGTACAACGACCACGCACACCCAACAACAAACTCAGTATGTGGGTCATGAATGTGCATCAGATGCGTTCGACCCGCTGGCGGAGCCGTGGTCCATCTGTGTAACAGAAAAAAATCAACATCAAGCAAAGGGCAAGAAGAGTGCAACTTACATTCGGCACGTCATATCGTACCCGGCACTTGCAATGATATCCGGTCTGTGAGGACTCCACTGCACCTTCCGCACGGCATATTCGTGTCCCATCAATTGGGCCTCACATACCCCTCCTACAGCGCCTCCGCCTTCGACTGGGGGAACCATCCGACAGTCCCACACCCTGACGGTCTTGTCGACCCCGCCGCTCGCGAGCACCATTTCCCTGTACTTATTCCAATCAAGCGCGAGCACTTCTGTGCCAGACGCAGGCACTGTGATCGCCGCTGTTGCGAGAGGTGCAGTGAAACTGTTGGCAGCGGGAGAGAAGGACGGCTGGCGCAGGTCAAAGACTTTGACGGTTCCGTCTGTAGAGCATGTTGAGAGGAGGTTCGGGTTGTGCGGGGAGAAGAGCGCTTGGTACACGCAGCTGTGGTGCGCTTGGAGGGTCGTGAGCGATCGCGGCCGCTCTGGTGTCCACTAGTTTCAATGTCATCTGAGCCTACAAACGATGATGGGCACGACTTTGTGGTACGCACGAGCTTGACCGTCCCGTCCCAAGAACACGAGATGAATTGGTCTTTCTGTATGTTGGACCAATCGACGCAGAAGACCTCGCGTGTATGCTCCTGCCACGCCCGTATCGGGAGATCCTAGATACCCTCCACCCGCCTCTCAATCTCTGCGACATCCAGAAGAACAACCAAACTTACATTTAGCATGATATCCCATAGCTTGATCGACCCGTCTCCAGAACCAGTAACAAGCTGATTCTCGTGCACTTCGGACCAGGCGACGTCATATATCCCGTCCTGGGTCTCGTAGCTACACCCAATGTGGTGACAATGAATAAATATTTGGGGGGCTGGAAGCGCGAAAGAGGGGGGCGCACAATTTATCGAGGACGACCGAAGAGAGGGGTCCTGGACCCAGGATGACTGAAGCAAGGTGTAGGCGTCCGTTCCCGACAAGACCATAGTTGGCCGATGATGCGACTGCGATACGATTTGTGTGGAACGGAGACCAAGCGAGATTGTAGTGGGCAAAGCCCGGGGTATGCAGGACACCAGGAGGACGTGAGTTCATGTTCTACCCACGCTTGGTGCCTCTAGTAGGCCAATGCAAGCTCGATGGCAGATATGAGAGTCAGGATCCAAGAGGTGGGCCTATTCGAGTGCGTTGAAAGTGAATTCCACAGACAAACTCGCGATTTGGTGGTCGAGGTCGTGGGCGTCAGAAGGCAGACCCGCGTATTGAAAGGCGCGTCTGCTCTGGGGCGGTAATCACATGCGAGTCTCAGTTCCCACCATCCCACTCTCCGTCCTCTCCTCCTCCCCACCGCCGCGCCTCCCACCAGCGGAGGCCATCGGTCGCATCGCAGACTTCCTTGGACGCGGGAACGTCGCTGTTCTGACCGGGGCAGGTGTGAGCGTGGATTCTGGCGTCAAGGCTTATAGGGGGAAGGATGGACGGTACATGAACCCAAATTACAAGTGCGTGATCGTCCCCGTCCTCCGAAGCACTTCCAAGCTCAGTCTATGCACACGGTCATAGGCCAATATTTGTAGGCATTTTATCAGAGCCCCTTTCAGCCGTTCTAGCACTAAGTTTGTCGTGTAGTATCACCAACTTGTAGAAGATGGCCCCAAAGGCCATGCTTTCCGGTAAGCACCTAAGATCATACCATCTCCCGTTAGATGAATACGAACCTCGTCACCGTCGCAGCCAGCGCTACTGGTAAGCCTGCTCACCACTCCTCACCTGGCAGTGCAAGCGCAGATTCCTAAGCCGGCTTCGTCAGGCTTCGGTCATACATCGGCTATCCAGCCGTCCGCACCACGCTCCCCAACCCGACCCATTTCGCGCTCGCAGCGCTCCAGCATACTTCTGTCGTCACGAACCTCATCACGCAGAACGTCGACGGGCTGCACCACAAGGCGATTCGACATCTATGGGACGACGCTCAATTGAAGGCGGGGATTTTGGAGCTTCATGGGACATTGCACGTATGCCTGCGTCCCCTCTGCTGGTTCGAACGCCCTGAACGCGTGCTGAGGCTCATCCTTCATGCATACTTAGAAGGTTCATTGTAACCACGGGCACGGAATGGACCGCGACGCGTTCCAAGATTTGCTTTCTGCTGCTAATCCCCAGTGGGCAGAGTACATGGACGATCTGGAGAAGAAAGGGCAGAAGCCAACGACGAACCCCGACGGAGACGTACGTGAAAATACTTTGCTGTCTCACAAAATTATGAATATTCCGCACGGACAAACTGATACAGGTGGCGCTGGAAGGCGTGGCCTACGACGAATACGTCGTTCCAGACTGCCCAAGCTGTCTGGACGAGGGACGATTGAACGACACTGTGCGGTCATTTTCTTCTTACAGAAAATAACGTCGTCATGAGTTTGCGCAATCCAGTTGAAGCCCGACGTGATATTCTTCGGGGAGTCTATTAGTAAAGAAGTTAAGGATCGCAGGTACGCCCTATCTCTCGCTCGCACCGGTCCTCCCATCTTATCCTGCCGCGTGCAGCTATAACATTATAGAAGAATGTGACCGCGTCTTCATCATGGGCACCACCCTCGCCACCTATTCCGCGTTCAGGTGTGTCCTGTTCCCGCGTGTTCGATTCCGCAATCGCTTACAGTCACCCCGCGGACCGCACAGGCTCCTCAAGCACGCCCTCGAACTGCAAAAACCCGTCCTCTTCGTGAACGTCGGCCCCACTCGCGCCGACGGCCTCCCGGGCGTCGAGAAGCTGGACGTACCGAGCGGACTCGTCATGCGCGATGTCGTCAAGGCCGTTGTGTGAGCCGCCCTTCTGTTGACCGCGCCCCTCGTGTTCTATAATTTCTGACGCTGCGTCGTTTTTCGATTGATGGTGTGGTGCAGAGGTACGCGCGCGATGTACGATCCAGTGATCAAGGACCTGCTTCTCAGCGGCGTCGTTAATCCCCCGCCAGACGGGTATGGTGATGACGAGGTCCCCCCTGGCCCCGTCCCTTCTCTCAAAGCCTTGTAGACTACTTTTGCCATAGATGAACTCTCCACGGTCGTGCTATCTCTCGCGGTGAGTTGTGTGACGAACGTCAAACACGTCTTTGTCATAGCAGAACATCATCAAGTAGCATGCATTTTATTCGCCCCCGAAATATACCGCAATGCTCCGCGGGACTTCAACGAAATAGAAAGGAGACAACAACAACTACTGATATACGTGCGCGTCGATATATATACAGCCCACAGATGCAACGGAGAGTTCGAGTGTACAGGGATGATGAGTGACGTGTTAAATGATGCAAGAGCGATGAAATAAATCTGGGCTGAGTGCAACAGACAGATACTGTAGGATGGAGGAATTATATCCGGCTAAGATAGAGGTGTATGCAAGTGTACGAAGAACTAGAACTAGAGAAGAGGGATGACGGTGCCTCGAAAAAGCGAGCAGAACAATTCCATAGCAAAACAGCAGCGCAGGACAGCAGATAGAGGGATGGGTGAGGAGGACTGGGGTCGATGCGAGGTGGGGATGAATGAAGAGCTCTTGTGAGAGCCTGGTGTCCTGGGGGAAAAGAAACATGAAAAATACTACAAAAAATCGGGGCGGTGTCTATGCGGCTGCAGGTGGAGCAGCGGCGGGGGATACTGTAGCCTTCTGCGCTGCAGATGGAGTGTCATTGCCTTCGTCGACGTCGCCCATCATGGCAGAGAGACTGTCATGGTCGGAAGAATCAGATGATGACGCGTCTAAACCCGCATCTGGCTCTTCATCAGGCGTTGCGTCGGTCGTCGGCCCACCGTCTACATCCATCGCGTCGTCGACTTCTTCTTCTTCTTGGCCTTCTCCCAGCATTGTTTTTTGGTCTTCAAGATTAGAAGAAGAGGATGGGTACTCCCTTGTGACCCATACCGCTGGTTTCAGCTGGGTCCAGTTCCAGGTTTGCCAGCTTCGGACACTACAGTCGTCGGTCTCCAGAGGGTCGATGGGGAGGGGGGAAGTGCGGACGGGACGGCGACGCGAACGATGGAGATACTCGTCGAAAGCAAGGAGCTCCGAGGCACGGAAGCAGGCGAGGGACGAGATGAAGGATTTCTGGGCTCGAATTTTCTGTGGGGGTGGGGGTGGAGTGGGCGGGAGATCAGATGCCTCGGCTCTAGGCTCTGGCGTTTCCTCTTTGATTTCCCTCTTCGGTAGCGAGGGAGAATGTGAGGTCAATGACGCCGTGTCTGGCGTTAGAGGGGGGGTGGCAGAGTCGAGGGCACGCGGTTGCGACGCGGGGGGTGATGACGAGAGGGAGGAAAGCTATCCGACACGGAAAACAGAAGGGTGGAGGTGACGCATAGCGTTAGAAAGTCCCCCGCTTTTTGGCATCGGGGATAGGCAAGGCATACCTGCTCCTCTGCATCCTGCCTCATCGCCTCGACGATCTTGAGCGGCTTCTTCAAACACCTCTCACGGTGCCTTGCCCAGTGGAAGGGATCGTACGTGCTCTTCGGGGAAAGCTTGATTTTGCTGCCACACCGCCTACATTCCACCCACAGTGGACTTAATAGTGTCACGAGCGGATCGTCCTTCAATTTTTGTGCCCGCTTCTTCTCCGCCGCGGTCAATGGGCGCGTCAACGCGCCTTCCACAGTGCTGGGGGTGATACTGAAGAGCATGGAGTCACGGTCAGAAGGGCAGGTGGCACGCGGAGAAAAAGAAGCGAATCATGCCTTGAGATGTCGGAGAGGGGGGGAGGGGGCGTCGAGGTTCCCCCCGAGCTGAAACGCGCACCACACGCGGTCAGCCGTACTGCCGTGAAACGCGCGCCGGAAAGCGTGTTGACGTACCTCGAGCTTGCCCCCTGCGTGGCTTGTGCATTCTACAGTGCCAAAAACGTGAATTATAATTCTTGAGCCCATGGTCCGAGTGAAGAGCGACGCACCGAGGGGAGTGACTTCCGCGAGCGGGCAAGTGTCCTGTGCAGAGCGACATGAGAACGGGGCATCAGAAAGACACGGCTGGGAAATTACTGACCGCAGAGAGGACCGGGTGGCCTGTTGAGCGGGTTTCGAGCGTCTTGTCGGAGGCATGAGGTGAGGGGGGAGGAGGAAGAGTAAGGGCCACTGAAGGCGCGGATTATTGGACACTTTAACGGAAAGGGAGATGCATTCGGCACTTGCCGCGCCCGCATCCATACACAAAGCAAGGGAATAAAGCAATAACGTATTATTCCACGCACAGAAGTATAAGCTACATACACAAGGCATCCAGAGACAGTGTAGACATCATCAAAGTGGGGCGGTCGGCGTCCGTAGGAACAAGAAGGACAGTCTGGGGATTCGCAGTAGGGGGCGCACGTCATGTAAGGAAAGTATGCAAGCAGACATATAGATAGAAATTTTTCTCGTGTCTTGTTCGTGAATTTACGTGTCTTTGGAAGAGGTCGAGGGGGCAGGAGGGGGAGAAGAGCTCAATCCCGCTTTGAACCCACTGACGAAGCTCTTGAAAGGAAGGAGCAGCCAGTCCACTGCACGGTACGATTCGGTACGCGCCCGCGTACGAGGGCGCTCTTCCCCTTCCTCTTCCTCGTCGTCCCGAGCGCGCTTCTGGGCGGAGCGCGACGCTCCAAGTGTCTCAGGCGAAACTGCAGTTTCTGTCGATGCCACAGACGGAGGCGGGAGAGTGTCTGTCTTCGCAGAGGAATGTGGGCTGCCGTCGACGATTGCAGTAGAGCCCGCGACCGGCGGCAGAGGAGTTGCGATAATATCAGAGGGGGCGCTTGGAAGAGGATCTGTCTCGTTAGGTCCATACAGGGAGTTAGGCACGAGGTAATCACCTCTGGCAAGTTAACTTGTGTTCTTCCCATTTTGTCAGATCGTAGTCCTCCCCCTCCAATTCAATGACCGAACCGCACTCCCCACACTCCACACTCTTCTTGGAAAAGCTCTTTGCGACGGGGTCATTAACGAGCCTCAATTTGCGTTCTGCTATTGTTACACGGCTGCTCGGGCTGCGCATCCGAGGTCCCTATAAGTTGATGGCCGGGACCCAGACAAAAAAGACGCACAGTGACCCAGAGCACCTCTGCTGGTGCGTGTTCCAGTTCCCCAACGCAAAGCGGATCTTCGAGCCGAGCTTGACCCACGTCTTACAGTTTTTGCACAAGACCTCGTAGGGTCTTACCTCTTCAGCGCGCGGGTCGTTCTCGAAATAAGCCTGCCTCTCCGCCTCGCTCTTTCTAGTGACCTTGTCAGAGCTCGAACGGACAACAGACGGAGACCCTTCGCCCTCACTCCCCTCTCCCTGTGTTCGTTCTTCGGCGTGCTTGTTCTCATCCGTGACATTCTGCCTGTTGACGAAATAAGACGAACATCGACCTGTGAGAGGGGGAGCACGCGTACGGCTTGGGTGCTTGTTTCGCCTTTTTCCTACATTCTTTGCGATGCAACAACCAAGGCCGCATGGCGTATGTCTGCCTGGCATTGAGTGCCACCCATTCATTGCAGCCCGTGCAAAATGCACGATGTGGCTCGACTTCGCGGCACTCGGGCTGATCTTTGAAAAACTGCTCGCGCTCCTCCTCACTCCTTCGGACAGTTCTGGAAGACTCGGCGATGGAGATATCGTCTCGCCCATCAGGGGACTGTCCGCGATGAGAGAGCGGCGATTTGTCCATGATGGAGGGGGCTTTCATTTGTGGAGTCGAGGGTTTGGGTTCTGCCGTGGGTACGACGGAGGAGCGCCTGCTCGTGGGTTTACTGCTAGGTTTCTTAGCTGGTGTTTTCGCCAGCTTTGCGTCGCGAGAGCTGTCAGAATTGGTGGCAGGGACCCGGACGTGAGGATGGTGCGTAAGGTCAATTGTCCACAAGCGACAGAGTCAAAGAGCCTCGGGCTTACGAATTTGCGTTAACTTTGGTGGACGTGGTCTATGCGGTGGTCGAAGCGCGAATAGGAATGCAGATGACACGCGAACTAACGTCACTGGCTTGGATCAAAGCCCGAATATAAGACTGACCTCTTTCTGTGGACTCGGTGGCGGAGGCATTGCGGCAGCATCCTCATCCTCATTCGCATTTGTATCCGACTCGCTTTCCCTAGCTGCCGATAAGCCCCTGAGCTCTCTACTGTGGATAAAACTCACTCTGTAGGCTTGGAGGACTCTCTCCTTTTCTGATTTGTACACTGAGGTTAGCCTCATATGAACACGGGTCGCAACGCTGTTTCATTACTCGCCTTGGCTCTGCCTGAATAGGTTTTCCTGGCTTTACTTCTGGGTAACCTCCCTCAATCAATCGTTGGCACTATCGGAAAGCGGTGACAACATACCTCCCTCCTGAGGAGTGGGTATCGTCCATGTTATGTCCAGCGACTGTACAATAGCTAAAAATGCGATCACTTAGGTATGCGATGTTATGGTGACAGAATAAAACGCGCTGCTATGTGGTAGGCTTATCAGACACACGTGCATTTGGCTTAGTCAGCGGTCATTGTGCTCGGATTTGGTGCTTATAATCGGGCCAGCAGAGGCTAGCAGCAGCCAGGGATGCACGTTGCGGTCTACCAAGACCTTCGCAAGTACGTCTGTTTGCTCGTGCCAGGTGATAGACCTTTTCATTTCCAGTGGGAGAGACGAGAAGGAATAGGTGGATTAGTTTGAGACATCCCAATCCGGTTGACAGCGACGGCGCCTGAGACCAATTGTGATCTCAACAAATGCACAATAGCTTGCTCATTTACGGCCACCTTGCTTCCGCCACAAAATGTTCTCAACCTTGTTCTGTTCATTTTCTTGTGTGTGCTTTGACGACAACAATGGGCTGAAGAGCTGGCTATTAATCGATTGATGTTCTACTTGTGCTCGCAAAGCCGCGCATCGTAACCATCAGGGCTGAGATCTACTTGGCCGAGAGGATTGCAGACTCTGGTTGTGGTGGTGTCGGCACGGAGGACAATCAACCCGCAGAAATGGTTGCTGCGGCACAGAGAAGGCTGGCACTAGGCTGGTGGCATCGGCCTTGTTGTCCGTGCGGAGCACGCGTGTAAGTTTTTCCCCTGGTGGCTCGAATCATATTTATCTCCCACATTGTTCTCTCCTCCTACCACCACCCTCCCTCACCTCGTCCTGTCTTTCATATACCGCTCTTTCCTGTGGTCGTTCTAGTAGATTTCCAAACACTTTGCATCCTTAGCAGCACTTCACCATGGTCGCCCTCACCACCCTACTCCTCGCGTCCCTCCCCCTCGCGACCCTCGCTAACAGCTCCCCATGGGCTGCCCATCGCAAAAGACAACACCACGTCGGCCGCGTGCAAACCCGTGCCACCAAGTATACCCTCCAGGAGAAGTATCAAGGCCAGAGCTTCTTTGAGTGAGTGCTCAGTCTAAATCCCCAGAACGATCAATGAACGAACGTCGTTACCTCCAGCAACTTCAATTTCTTCACCGGTTCCGACCCCACTCACGGCAACGTCAACTACCTGTCGCACGCGGATGCAACCAACGCAGGCTTAGCTTACACTCAGAGCGACAACACAACCGTAGTGACCGTTGACAACTACAGCAAGCTTTCCTCTGGGGCCAATCGTAACTCGTACGCGTCCTATGTGACTCCACTGGCGGCTCATGCGACTGATTGTAATGTATGAAATAGGGTCCGCATCAGCTCCAAGAAGACGTTCAGCAACGGTCTGTTCATCGCCGACTTCTACGCGATGCCACACGGCTGTGGCGTCTGGCCCGCGTGGTGGTCTTCCGCTGATCCTTGGCCGACTGCCGGCGAGATCGACGTGATTGAGGGTGTCAACAACCAAAATTTCAACCAATACACGCTCCACACCAATGACGGCTGCACCCTCGACAAGAACCCCCCCACTTCCAGCAGCAAAGTCGCTGCCTTCACTGCCAACGTGCTCGGTACGCAGTGCGCCAGTGGCGATGGGAGTAACGCCGGCTGTGCGTTCTCCGACACGCGTAACACGTCCTTTGGCCAGGGCTTCAACGACGTCGCTGGCGGCATCTTCGCGCACGAGTGGACCAACTCGAGTATCAAAATGTGGCACTTCCAGCGTGATGAAATTCCGGCCGACATCACCTCCGGCAACCCTGATCCCTCCACCTGGCCCACTCCCGCTGCGTTCTGGTCCTCGTCAACCTGCGATATCTCCTCTCATTTCTACAACCACGTCCTGACCCTTGACATCACGCTTTGCGGTGACTGGGCTGCGGGTGCTTACGCCTCTTCCGGATGCCCCGGGACCTGCGCAGATGCCGTGGCTGATCCCACGAACTTCAAATGTAAGCTTTCATGTTACAGCCTTGCGCTAATAGAGCTCTAAGACATATTTTCCCAGTTGCTCAATGGAAGGTCAACTACATCGCCGTCTATCAACAATAGAGCACCGTCTCTTTGACTCTGCCTCGATCGATACCCATAACTTATGGAGACAGCATCACGGGACGGCCCAACTAAATGCATACTTATTGAGACCTAGTAGGCCTTGGTTTGAAAACGTTTGGGGCTCAGAATTCATGTTTAATGCTGCTGAGCACCTATTCTCTCTCTAATTCAGGGCTGTGCCCATGACGACTTACAAGCAGTTCCGTTTTGCGTAGGTGGAGGATGTTGTATTTATGCGTTGCGAGACCCAATTATCGATTTCAAACATGTGGCCGCATGGCCAGTGAATTCAGGAGTTTCGGATGCTCATGCTCAAGCGCTCAAGTTGCGTACTTATGTGCCTGTGCATGAGCAACAGGCTCGCTACACCCTATCAGCATTGATGTTCCTTTCCATCTTTCGTGTTCCGTGTGTTCCAAATTTAGGGTCGCGGCCACAACCTCAGGCTTCAGGCCTCAAACAACCCAAGCTTCAGACCCCATTTCGAACTTCATGCTTCCTCAACGTCATAGAGAGTCCAGGACTGCATCCTGGCGCTGTGTAGCGACGAAGGATGTGAGGTGAACACATGTGCGGTCTTGTTCAAATGTCCAAAATGGATTTCACTTCTGCTGCGGAATTGATACTGTTCAGGGTTGTGGTTTTCCTCTGTATATGCGAACCGGGTTTTTTGAAAGCGACAACCCTGCTTCATGTCTATTCAGTAGCATCACTACCGATGCGGGGAAACCCAGGTGTGCAGCCGTATTCTCCGACGGGATCGTATCCTGACGTTAACACAGAGTGTATAGAGTTAAGAGCCTCAGGCAGTGACGATCTGTTCGAACACGCAAAAAGACCACCGTTCCCTGTTCCCGACCTGTTCTGTGCGGGAGCAAAATTTCACGATAGCAAGGCATCTTCCGGATGTTCTGGCGGAATAACGCCGAGCTCGCCTTGTGTGAACGCGTATACTTGTTCACGACATTTCCATTGCGGCCATCACTCAGTTTCGCCGAAATTTCTGATCGTGACAACGGCATACTGACGCTCCTAGAGCGGCCTAGACGACCAAATCCTCAACAGGCCTCTCCGTTCGAGGATGTGTCTGCCTCGAAAATGGCGCAGAAGCAACCCTGTGGATGAGATCTGGCACCCTCAGAAGAATAGATCCCGCGTCGACGGCCCGCTTTGCTGCATGAGACTCGCGCTTGGCGTACCAGATCTGTTCGGAGACGAGTAGGTATTCGGAACATTTGCGGACGGGGGTGCGGACGGGGGTGCGTACGATACTGAATATGGTCGAATGGTCGAACTCTTATGTGAAAGTGGTTGATAACCGTTGGGCGCATAATTGCCACCATGTGGAACTCATGGGTTATATAGACGAGAGTGTCATGCCGCGGGTCTTTTCCTTCGTGCTTTGAACTCGAAGGCTTTGAGTCTCCCACTCGCGTTTCTCACCTTGATCAATCGCACCCATACACTACTGAGCGATGTTACCTGCACCTCTATGGTTGCCCAGGCGCGCTACCAAAGTAAGTTGTTATAAATTTCACTTCCTCTTTCAAACCTCACACTTGTTGCAGGCATGTACAAGCTGTCGGTGAGCTTTTGCTTTTCAATCATGATAATGGCCTTCTACTAACTCGTCGCCGCAAGCCATGATAAAATACGGTGCGACGACTTGAGGTAAGTCGCGCGCTCCATCGATCCGACGACGAGAATCTCTACATCACTTATCTTATGGGTGCTTATGGATGCAGACCATGCAGTGGATGCCGAAAGAAGGGCTTCGTCGAAGCGCAGTGCATCGACGGCTGTGAGCAGTGCCGACGCTCTCGGACACTCTGCCAGGGTGGCCTGCCTTGTGCTAGATGCAATAAACTGCGCCTTGATTGCTCCGACGATCCGAAGTTGGGCTTGACTATGATGGCTGAGCCTGCTGCTAAGGCGCCGTGCGACCGTGCGAAGACGGCATGCCTGGCCTGTCGACGAGACAACAAAAAGGTGAGTTTCGCAGTGTCAACAGCCAAATGGACGATATACTGACCTATGAGCCGGCAGTGTGAAGATCAGCGGCCTTGCGCACGGTGTGTTGCAAGAAGCGAACCATGCGTCCATGTCAGCCGTGGACCGAAAATGGTGAAAGTGCGATGTCAGTCTTGCAGGGAGATTAACAAGCGATGTGAGGATGCCCGGCCGTGTCATTTTTGTTCTGACACGGGGAAAGAGTGCTTCGACTTGCCTCGAAAGGGCAAGGGCCATGGAACCAGAGTCAAAGCGGTATGCGTCCATGAGATTACTGCATTTCTCAATGGATTTATTGCTTATGGATCTAGGCATGCACTAATTGCAGGTCAGATTTCAGCTGATTTTTGCTGGTATGTGGGTGATGTAGCCGACCGTTCTGACATGCTTGTGATAGGAGGGACAAGGTCAGATGCGACGGAGACCGGTACGCCAACCCAATGCGGTTCGGCAATAGCAACACTGATATCTAGTGCCGTAATACAAGGCCGTGTCTGTCCTGCTATCGCAAGGACTTCGTTTGTCGTGATCGATTCTTGGAATCGAAGGAGAATCAATCGGGCTCAGACTGGGGTCCGAACCGCCCCGCCGATTCAGATGTTCACAGACACACGCTATCTGATATTCTTTGCCCGGAGGGTTCGTCTTCTAGTCTGAAAGCTCCTGACGTATTACTTACAGCGCTTTTCAGACGACGGCAACAAGGAGGCACAGTCTGCTAGTACAACCCACACCCCTACATCATCGCCCGTGATATATCATCCTCTGCCTGTTCCGGTCCACAAGACGTACACTCACCTTCCGCCGATAGAGCCTTCTCCGCATTTTCACGCTTCCACTGCTAGCAGAGCAACATACGAGTCCTCGTTCTCTAGCACAGACAGAGATGGAAGAAATGCGGCTGATTCCAGACACAGGTTGGCAAGTTTGCGGATGCGTCAAGCAGGGTTCGAGTTGCCTTGAATTCGTTCATGATAATTGGGGTTTCACTATTCTTCCAACTTCATGGTGTTTCTAATTGGACGTTGTGTCACATACGTGATCAGCCTCGTTGCAAGAACGTAGTGTATTGTTTGGCGGACAGAAGAGCGGTCATATGAGCTTCATTTTCCCTCCACAAGTGAGGCAGACCAAGACTGGTAGTCTTGTTTGGGATTGATCGAGTTCCTACAGGCAAAACCGGAATTCATTCCTTCATATCCTATAATGAGTTTTTGTACATTGACATTGTCCGCATCTTCCCTTCGTTCGTTCCTTCTTTTTATCCCTTCTTTCCATCCGTGAACATTGTGAACAGCTGATCATGAGACGTGTCTAGAGATGTGTTTTACTATAGGAAGCAACGATCAGAAATTCACCTTGCCTTGACTGGATACACAACTCACCGTAATAACCGTGGGCTTCTCTCTGCCCAAGAACTGCTTGAGGTTGCTGATCTCCAGTGCAACATCGATCAAGGACTGCAGGCCTTCTGCAGTGTCTCGTGCGAGCTCCTTCTCCCCAGCTTCCGCCGCGACGTAACGCTCCACGTACATCCGGACCGTCGCACCCTGGCTTCCGGTGCCGCTCAGCCGCCAGACGACACGGCTGCCATCAGAGAACGTGACGACCTGTCCTTGGTTCTTGCTGACGCTCTTATCGATCGGGTCCGTGTAGTTGAAGTTGTACGCAGACGCAACAGTGAAGGTGGCCTTCGCCGCAGTGTAGGTCTTGCCGGAGAAAGACGAGGACCCGATCAGCTCGTTGATGTGGTCGACGAGTTTTTGCGCGCCATCCGAAGGAACTTCCTCATAGTCGTACCGCGAGAAGAACGAGCGGCCGTACTTCGCATAGTGCGCGTTGAGAATCTCGCGTATACCGATGAGCTTGGAAGACGTCTTGTTGGCAGCGGCGATGATATTGAGCCACGCTGCAGGAAGACATCAGAATAAATTCTAAAGCCGATGTCTGCAACCGTACCGATAACTGCCCAGATTCCGTCTTTCTCCCGAATATGATCGGATCCCGTACCGAAGGACTCTTCGCCACAGATCGACAAGCGGCCAGCGTCCATGAGGTTTCCGAAGAACTTCCAGCCTGCATGTAACTCATCAAACGTCATTGGCACCAGCGATATCGCAAGGGACTCACCAGTTGGCACCTCAAAGTACTCGAAACCCTTCTTCTTGGCGACCAAGTCGATGGCAGCGCTCGTGGGCATGCTCCTCGCAAGGCCCTTGACACCGGTCTTCTTGAAATATGGGATGCTATCCGCCCAATCCGCGATGATCGCAACCGAGTCCGAAGGGGTCACAAACGCACCCTTGCCGTAGATCATGTTGCGGTCGCCATCACCATCGCTAGCAGCACCGAACGCGATGTTTTCTTTCTCCACAACCTCAACGAGGGAGTGCGCATACGTGAGGTTGGGGTCGGGGTGTCCTCCGCCGAAATCGGGGGAAGGCACGCAATTCTGGATCGAGGACGTAGGGAGTCCAAGCGTCTCGACGAGAATACCACGGGCATAAGGGCCGGTGACGCCGTGCAAGCCGTCAAAGAGGACACGGAAGTCAGATTTATGCTCCGATAAGAAGGACTTGATGAGAGGGAAGTCGAAGATAGACTGGAGGAGCTCGACGTAGTCGGAGACTGAGTCAATAATGGATACCTTGAGAGGACCATACGTGGAGTCTCCGAGCTTGCTGAGGTCGATCGGGGGGAGCTCGATGACCTTGTACGACTTGATCGTCTTCGTCTTCTCAAATATTTTCTCTGTGACATTCTCCGGAGCTGGGCCGCCGTTCTCGACGTTGTACTTGATACCGAAGTCGGCGTTCGGGCCTCCGGGATTATGCGAGGCCGTCAGCAGGATACCGCCGTTGGCCTTGTACTTGCGGATGACGTTCGATGCAGCCGGCGTTGACAGGATACCATCCTTTCCAATGATCAGCTTTGATACGCCGTTGGCCGACGCGATCCGAAGGATCGTTTGGACCGTTTCTGGAGAGTAATAACGGCCATCACCACCGACAACCAGAGTGGCTCCCTTGAGAGAGATAGCGTCGAAGATAGCCTGAACGAAGTTCTCTGTGTAGTGCTGCAAGTATATCAGCACACGTCCACACTATGTCCACGATAGGTATACCTCCTGCTGGAAGACCTTGACCCTGCATTTCCATTAAATCGCGATCTACGACGATCGTCGGCGCTACTTACCTCTTCCTGAGCCCCGAAGTGCCGGGCTTCTGACCATCAAATGGCTTGGTTGGGATCTCTTTCACCTGATCGGACATGATGAGACGTGTCGTAAAGTGAGGGGAATGGAACAAATCGTGGAGGACAAGCAGGAACGAGGGCACAGGTCGGCTACAGACTTTATAGCGGCCACACGTGATCGAGATCTACATGGCTTCCTATCTTGGAAGTACCGAGAGGGTATTTACGGCATGACGAACGTGCAATTAAACATCCAAACAATTCACACATTTCGTAGCCGAACACCGCATTCGTACAAGACCATCTCAAAGATCTTACAGCTTTCCGCCATACTGATCTGAGCCAAAGATTTCTGAAAAAGCGCCTCCAATCTCCTTCAACATATCTTGTGTCACGACGCCCCTTCCTTCTTTCTCAAACGCTCGCCTTGATGCCGCCCTCGTCACCATGCTTGCACCCGTCGCTGCTAGGATGGGTATTCTTGATGCTGGCAGGTTTTTATCTCCGAACGCGCCGTCCTCGTAGCACTTGCCCCACGCAAGCATTGCACCGACCGATCCGCTCAGAATGTCCCCTTGTCCTCCACAGCGTTTCAGACCGCCGGGAGTATCCACTACAATGATCTCTTGTTGCTCTGGGTCATTCTCGGGCACTTTGGAGAGTGCGTGTGCCTCGCGAGAAGTGGCCCCTTCCGTGTTTGTGGCTATGATATCTTCAGCACCTTTCTGGAGAATCGCTATACCACCCAGAGCGCGAGACACGCTGGACGCGCGGTCTTCAGGTTTTGTTTTTGGGTCGATACCCTGCACGTTGACGTTCAGTGATGTAAAATATTTTTCACTCAGAAGAGATAGAAAACATTACTGCCTGTTCACTCAACCTCTTGAACTCGACGACGTTGGGCGTGAGCACCGCCCGCCGATATCCCTTGATGATGTTCACTTCCTGACCGACCATCCACAATCCATCTGCATCGACGACGACGAACATGCCTTGTTCCTTAGCGACATCGAGAGCCATGCGCGCGAAGGCCTGCATGTAGGGCTCCCGCCCGAGGCCGGGCCCGATGATGAGCACATGCAGGCGAGCTAGCAGGGATGACATCTCAGGTCGAAGAGAGGCTGCTGATCTTGAAAGTCAATCCGGATGGTCAGATCAACAAGAACGTGAGCGTTCCAAAGCTGCTTACACGTCTTCTCGTAGGATAGGATGCACGATCAAGTCCGGCGAGTACGACTTGATGGCGCCAGCAGCCGTCGGGGAGCAAATGACATGCGAAAGGTCGACGCCCTGATCCCAGGTCGTGCGTCGTCAGATCGCGTTCTTAGTATGGGAAGCAGACAGACGGACCACTCGCAGGGCGGAGATTGCTGCGAAGAACGGTGCACCTGTATAACTTCACGTACTATGTTAGAAGATCCCCTGATAGCTTTATGCCACACACTCCAAAGCTCCTCCGAGAACACCAACACGTCCTGCACGCGCAGGAGTAAGTCGTTGCAAGTGGTCCAGAAACACCGTTTCGCCTCACGAACCTGACTGGCCCTTATGCAGCGTCCCGTTTAAAGGCGGGATAAGGTGCCGCAGCTGATACATTATTGTATTTGGAACAGGCATGTCGGATATCGGATACTCGTGAATTCGCAGGTGTGAGTTGTAGTCGAACAATGCTGAAAGTCGCCGAGCATCCTGATCAATTGGATATCAATGACGTCACCTACACCGGCTTCGGCCGGATCGACATCCTCAGAATTTGCACGAAATGTCGGAAGAATAGACATCATTCGCTGCCGAATCGACCCAAAGATTCCATGCAGTATTTTCCTAAATCTATACGCGAGTACATAGGAAAACAAAGATCATCATCCGAGGAGAACCAGCACACAATATGACCAAAGAAATGCCTCCGCGGTCCGTATATGTTCAAAAAGAGCCTCTTCACCAGAGCGTTCCATAGTGCACCATCCGCACGCTCGATCGGTGATGGGGCACACAAAGCTTCCTTCTAGTTCTGAATTCTAGCAAGTGCTTATGGAACAGATCATGACGCAGGCATGTGCGCCTTACTAGAAGACGGGTAACGATATGGGGATCCCTTGTACCATGGGGGTTCTATCCAAAGGAACCGTAGCAGCAACATCCACACAAGGGGTGCTACAGCGCTAACCGTCGTGATCACAATAGCGACCGTGAAGGTCTGCGTAGCCCAGCCGAAAACGACCAGCGCGAGTGCAATGGCAAGCAGCGCGATATACATGCAGACCGCACCAAATGCGAAGCCGAGCCGCATCAAAAGATCGGTATGTAGGATGTCCTCCTTTGTTTGGCGCAGCCGGTGCGACTTGAAGACGTGGAAGATGCCGCTTGCGATGAGCGTGGAGAAGATCGAGAGAACGAGAGAAATGAAGAGGAGAGAGTTGACGAGGTTGGAGAGGTGCACTTGTCGCACGCTCTTGGCTGGACTGATCATGTAGGTATTTTGGACCAGGCTGAGAAGGTTGGCGATGAGAGATGCAACGAAGACGGACTGAGGAATCGTCAGCTCGCGACGGGCGCCTTTTCAAGCAGAGACGACGGGCATACCACAACAACCACGCCCGATGATGAGCGCGCATCAGCACCAGGTCCAGACTTCGCCAATTCCTTTATTTCATCCGTCTCCACCTTTCGCTGTACTTTTGAGGTCTCTACCATCATTTTTATCCCAGCTTCGATTTGCTTCACACTGCTAGCAACATCTGACATATATCTTTGAAAATTCGCACCACTGTCTGGAGTGGTGAAGCCTGTCAACAAAGCTTTCAGCACGGTGAAAGCAAGCAACGCACCACCCTCATTGTATTCTTGTATCAGGCCTTGCATCGAGCTGAAGTCGCCTTTCTCCATCGTCGTACAGGGAGAAAGATATGGACGAAGTCGAGGCCGCTCAGCTGATTCATGCAAACGGTGGTTCGAATGCATATGGAAACTGCGAGGCCAAGACCATAACTCCACGCTCGAAAAACGAGACATGGGTCAGGATTCCTTGCATCACATCGATAAGAGAGATAGCAGCAAGCTTCCGAGATGTAGACGATGGCGAGTACTGCTGGTGTGTGCAAGCATGAAGTCTCGAGGATGCACAGAATATCGACGGGATATTTTGAGCTATATGGGGTCCTACCAGGGTGGTCACATGTGCTTTGGGGTATCCGGGCTCCGGCAGCCTGCCTGCTGCACCAGGCTTGACTCTCTGAATCATCTACATATCCCGTCGCCGACTTGGAAGGCTGTAGGTTGGGCTACTTGCAAAAGAGAAAAAAAAAACACTCCTTTTGTCAATACTCTCGATCTCTTCCTGGCTTATTTTCCTGAATCCATACTATCCATAAGCAGCTCTCAGACGTCTCGTAATTCTGGCGCTTCTGTCATGCTCAAGTGACACGGCAGGTCCCTAGGTCCCTGGAAGAGCGGTTTGTCCGCCTCGCAAAATATCTCGCTTGTGCAGAACAATCAGGATCACGAGGCTTCCTGGGGAAGCGTTCAGTACGCGCTCCACACGTGAACGCGGGGACCCCCGCAAAGTTGATGGCTGTGGGAAGCATCCACCCCGGGGACGTGTGCAGTGTAATCTTAGCCCAATGGCGTCGAACAGATGCCCCCTTCGGCAGATCGCATCCGACGCCTGAATCTAAACAGGGTCTCAAATAAAAGGACAGATTCGTACCGTGTTGGCAGTTGGCCCTAGCTCTCTGTTAGCGCTACCACCATGTCTCAACGCGACTCGCCTCGATCCTCGACAAACCTCGCTGAAGAAAAGGTCCGTGCGGACGTGCAGGAGACGGCGGAGTCGCCGCTGTACAATGCCCATATCGACGTTTCTGGCATTGATGAACGCAAGTTGATGCGCAAGATCGACTTGCGCCTCATCCCATGGCTGTCGCTGCTCTACTTGTTGAGTTTCCTTGACCGCACGAGCATCGGAAACGCAAAGGTACGTGATCGTTGCTTCTTCTCAGGCCTTTCGCTCCACGCGTCGAGTGTTGACGTCGATGCTCGATAGTTGTATGGATTGGAGAAGGACCTCCACATAACGGACAAGCAGTACCTGATCAGCCTCACGATTTTCTTCTTTCCCTACTCCGTGTTCGAGGTATGAACCACGTCAGGCTTCATCTGGCTAGATATAACACAAGTCGGTCACTCTCCCACTGCTCAGGTACCCTCCAACGTCTTCCTGAAGCGTCTGCGGCCCTCGATATGGCTCTCTGCACTCATGTTACTTTGGGGAATCATGATGGTGCGCCGAATGCGCCCGATGTTTGGACGCGTTCCCCGCTGTTGACACTCAGGAACAGACCGTGCAAGGGCTGGTCCACAACTACGGGGGGCTACTCGGTGCGTCTCCTTCCGCCGGGAGCACTTCAGGATCCACCATCTCACTTATCCTCTGGATTGCTCCAACAGGCATGCGATGGATGCTCGGCACGATGGAGGCCGGGCTCTTCCCGGGAGTGAACTATTATCTCTCATGGTACTGTCCACGCTCGCCGTTTCTCGACCCGTGTCAGCCCTCCCATTCGCTCACATGCCCGATATGGAAAAACGCGCTGCAGTTGGTACAAACGCTCGGAGTTTGGTATCAGGGCCGCCATCTTCTTCAGTGCGGCATCCGTCTCGGGTGCATTCGGCGGTCTGCTCGCGGTGCGCGTCTCTTCCCGCCTCTCCTCTCCTTTCCGCGTCCTCGCGCCCACGGCTCGCGCGCCCAACCAGAAAATATACTCACACGGGCTGCTCCGCTCCGCAGGCTGCCATCTCGAACATGGGCGGGATCGGAGGCAAGCCCGCGTGGGCGTGGATCTTCATCCTCGAGGGGCTCGCGACCGTCCTCGCGGGCGCGCTCTCCTTCTTCATCATCCAGGACTTCCCGGACACGGCGCGCTTCCTGTCGGACGCGGAGCGCACCGTCGTCGTGCGGCGCCTGCAGCAGGACGACCAGTTCTCCGCGGGCGGCGAAGAGCTCAAGTGGAAGTACATCTGGAAGAGCATATTTGACTGGAAGACGTGGGTCGGGAGTGAGTACTTCATAATCCATGCCTTGACGTTTGCTTTGCATGCGTGAGAAAGGGATCGAGCGCACTTCCGATACGCCCGTTGGTGTCCTGTCCTGACCATTTGTCTGTCCTGTGATTAGTGATCGTCTACACCGGAAGTGACATGCCCCTCTATGCCTTCTCGCTGTTCCTCCCCAGCATCATCAACCAGGTCCGTCCCGTCTCCCGTCTCCCATCTCCCACCTCTCAGAGCCTCCTCACACCATCCACCCATCTCCACCTCTAATCTAATAATGACGCCCGTTCTCCCATCGCCCCTCCCAGCTCGGTATGTCCTTGTTTTCCCATGCCCTGCCGTCCGCGCGTTATTGATCTTACGGCGTGCAGGCTTCAAGGCGACGCCTGCGAACCTCCTCACGGTCCCCGTGTACGTCTTTGCGTGTCTCATCACATGCCTGGTCGGGTACGTCGCAGACCGGCGCGGGCAGCGCGGCCTGATCAACATGTGAGCACCACCCGTGGCGGCGGCGTCGTTCGCGCCGCCACCGCCACCATTGTCGTTGTTGTCGTCGGTGTTAGTTCGCTGACGCGGCTTTTGGATCTGGATGATAGCGGGCTGCTCTGCCTCGGCGGGGCCGGGTACATTATCCTGATCGCATCGCGCAACGCCGCGCTGTCGTACGTCGCTGTGTACCTCGCGACATGGTACGTCCCGCCCTCGCCCCGCCCTCGTGTCTCCCGCCCGCCACTGACTCTCCCGAATAGTGGAATATACCCTCTCATCCGTACGTACGCGCGCTCATTCCATCGACGATGTCGGATTTTGACAGGCGGTCGCTTTGTCGCCTCACGCAGCAAACACAATGTACGCAGAATTTCCCAAAGCCTGCGGTGCGGCGCGGCGCTGACGACGCCTGTGTTTGTTTGTTTTTCCAGCGCGTGGGTATCGAATAACGTCGAGGGCTCGTATAAACGCAGCGTCTCCCTCGCGATGGTCATAAGCTTGTGAGCCTCCCCCCATCTCCTGCGCGCTAGCCGACTGACCGACCGACCCCGCGCGCCAACGCACAGCGGCAACATCAACGGCGCCGTCAGCTCAAACGTCGTACGTGCCTCCTTTCCCTTCTCACCCCACCCCACCTCACGCCGCCCACCCCCACCGGCCGCAGTACCGCGCGCGCGACCAGCCCTGGTACACCCTCGGCCACGGGCTCGTCCTGATGTACATCGGGCTCGGCGTCATCGCCTCCATCACGTACTACACCTTCCTGCGGCGCGAGAACGCGCGGCGGGACCGCGGCGAGCGGGACGAGGTCATCGACGGCGTGGACGGAGAGGAGAAGGAAGGTGTAGAAGAGCGCGAGGAGCGCGCGCGCCGGAATGGGCGGTTCGCGAGCGTTGCGGAGGCGAAGCGGGAGAAGGGGGACGAGTGGAGCGGGTACAGGTATACGCTGTGATTGTGAGCCCGGTGAGAGCGCGAGAGGGGGGGGGCGGGTCTGGTCTTTGGAGGATTGTTCCTGCGTGTATGATAGCGAGGTGTACTGTATCTCCCAAACGATGGCAATTTGACGACAGTGACTGCCTCCATCCACCTGACCCGTTTCAGAGACGACGTTTCAGAGACGACGAGACGCGCATGATCGCATAATTGTATAGATGACGCTATAATGGCACAGGAGAGCTAGAGCAGGCACACAAAGCCAAACCAAGGCAGGGAGGATAAGCACGAAGCACGACGCACGCCCGGGAGACGAAAGAGGAAACCGTACACGCCGGAAAGGTCGAATAGAGTATATACAGACAGAGAGAGACGCGGAACGGGACGAACGAGCGGAGCGAGGCAGAAGCGGGGGCAGAAGCGAGAGAGGGAAGCAGAGTAGCAGAGTAGCAGAATATACAAGGGGTCGCGCAGGGACGGGAGGGGACGGACGAAGTGTAAAATTACAACGTGTGTTTTTGGCGCTGGAGCAACAACACGACACAAGGTCGTCTGACGGTCGAAGTAGACAAGAGAAGAGAAGAAAAAACATTAGATGACCGGGGCCGCCAGGACCAAGGCGCTAACGCCCGTCGACGGGGACAAGCATGACGGACAGCCAGCCTTCCACGCCAACACACGAACCGCCTTCCACCCGCGATATCTCCCCACCCGCCCCTCAGGCCCCGACTCGAGCCCCCGCCCCGCCGGCTATACCATGCGATCTACTTTTCCCCCGCCTCTGGGCACAGCGTGTGGCATGGAATCAAAACACCGGCCACCTAGGCCCCCTGGCGGCGGGAATATGCGCGCGCGCGGGCTCGCCCGGCTGACGTGGCAGCGCGCCGGCGGCGGGGAACGGCCACAGAAAGTAAGCGGCGCCCGTGCCCGTGCCCGTGCCCGTGCTGGCGGCGGCGGGGTCCGCGCTCTGCTCGCGCGGCGGCGGCGGGTGTGCGCGCGCGACGGAGGACGGGAGCGGGATGGGTGTGATGTCGGAGGTGTGCACGCGCGCGCGCTGCGTGGGCGAGGCGGGGGCGCTGCTGCCCGCGCTGCTGGTAGTAGTGCTGGTGGTAGACGCGGCGGCGGCGGGGCTGAAGTACTCGGCAGCGGTGACAGGGGGGTGGTCAGGGTCGAGGGGGCCGCTGGGCGGGAGGACGGCAGAGGCGCGAATGACAAGCTCGTTTAGGCGGAGGACGCGCTCGCTCGGGGAGAGCATGCGGGTGCGGCGGCCCCAGCCGCCCGGGAGGTCGTCCGTGTCGAGCTCGTGCTCGTGCTGCGAGTCCGCGTCTGCTTCGGGGTCGCGGTCGCGGTCGGCGGCGGAGACGTTGATGGCGTCCTCGGGGCCGAGGAAGGCCTCGTAGACGGCGCCCTCGAAGAACTCGTCCGAGTCCGGGTCGAACGCGCCGTACGTCCATTTTTCGTAGTGCGTGTGCGCGCCTGCGCCTGCGCCTGCGTGCTCGTGCTCGTGCTCGTACTCGTGGTCGGGGGCGACGACGACGACGGGGGCGCGGGCGTGGGAAGAGAAGAGAGGGCGGCCCATTGTGCGCTTTTTTGAGTGATTATTTTTGCGGGAAGGAAGGAACGGAGGAGGGTTGGAGGGAGGGGAGTGGGAGGGTGTGTGGGGTATCTGGGTATTGGGAGAGTATGTACTTTGTCGGGGTCGTCGTCCGCCAGCGCGCTCTCAAAAAAGACGCGCCTCCCCACTCGATCACGTAAGCGCTTCCGCTCAAGCTCCGCACCCGTTGCTGTACTGTACTGCTTTTCATAGCCATGTTTTGCACACAAACATGTGCCGTGCCCTACAGCTGGTCATTCGCGAGAGCACTCGGGGCTACAACTACTGTAATCCAGCCAGATATCATCCCACACACGATATCAGCACGCCGCATGGATCCTAGTAGAGGTCATTCGTGACTCGTGGCCATGTTTGGATTTGCACCGTGGGGCCGACGGGCAGTCGCGTTTGATATCTGTGTGCAACCGACCGACCAAAGGTGCACGCTCAAACGGAACCACCAGTCAACGACAGCCTGTCAACGGCATCAGCGACGGCGTCCAGCCCGTCTTCAAACGTCGCATACGAGGCACCACCCACCCACCACGACTCTCAGCCAAACCTCCGAGCGTTCCACTGGCCCACGCTCTCGACCATCGCCCACCTCCCCTTCGTCCGCGCCCGCGCTTCGTCCTCCTCGCCCCCATCCACCGCCACCACCTCCGAGTCATCGGGCACCAGCACGATCGTGCACGTATCCTCGCCCTCTTCGCGCGGCACCAGCATCGGCGGCGCGTACGGCGTCCTGTGCGCCGTGAACGCGATGAACGGCCCCGTAAGGCCCGGCTTGTCCAACGCGTTCCTAAAAAAATTAAATTAAATTAAAAAAATAAACAAGTTCGCGTCATGTTTAGAATGGCCAGCGAAGGAGGTGGGTGGGAGGGAAGGAGACGCACACTGCGCAGTCGAGGATGGACTGGACGAAATCAGGGTTCAAAAGACCGCGCCACTGGAAATGCACGACGTCGCCGACCGTGGACGGCTCTGGCGGGTCGTACACTGCCACATACGGGTCCGCGCGATCGTTTACTCGTAGCCTCAATGCGCGCGTCAGCATTACACCGACGGTCCCGACGATGGTGAAGTCAGCCTGACCGTTGTGCGCCGAGCGCAGCCATGCCGACCCACTCGAACAGCGCGCCCATGTCGTCGAACCACGCCTCCGCGTCCGCGTCCGCATCCGCATCGTCGCTGTCGCGCGTTTGCGCGTCAGTTGCGGTTGCGGTTGCAGCGGCGCCGCTCGCGAGCTTGCGCTTCTTGGCGGCCTTCCCGCGTTCCCTCCCGCGCAGCGCGGCCAACCGCGGCGCAGGGACGCGTACGTCCGCAAACGTGCGGACTGTGGGCCTGACGTGGTGCCGCGCAGGCGTCTGCGGCGACAAGATCGCGGCGGCTTTATCTTCGAGGGGGGGCGGGGGCGGATGTCAGTGAGGCGTGCGGGAGGACTTGGGGTGCGTGCGTGCGTGGACGGACGGACGGACCGGGATCTTCGGTGTAGTACGAGAACTCCCATTCGCCCTGTCCTGTTGCGTGGCGCGTTTGGTCCCACCTGTCCAGCGCCGCGCGCATCACGGAGGCGCCCCCTTTCCGGCAGAGGTTGACGGTCTCTTCTACAGCCCATCGCGGACGTGTTGCCGTTCAGCACGCACAGACAAAAACGAAAGACGAAAGACGAGACGAGGGACGCACGATACTGCTCCTCGCAGCCGCGGAACGCCTCGCGCACGCGCTTGCCCCGGATCCCGGCCTCCTCGAACGTGGCCTTGCCAGCGCTCAGGTTCAGCGTTAGGGACGTGTCGCGCACGAGGTCCCACGCGTCGGGGAGGTGCCTGGGCGTGCTCAGCGCGTGAAGAAACGGCGAGGGCGAGGGCGGGGGCGGGGGTCTACCGTGCGCTCGTTAACACCGTCCTCGTCGCCTGCAAGACCGAGCTTGACGGGCACGTACGACGCGGATGACTCTTTTCGTTTCCCGAGCGAGGTGTGCCCCGCAGCCTGGTCCCGGTTCTCGGCATCTTTTTGGGGAGGAATCACCACACCGGGCTCTTGCGCCGAGTCGAACAGCGCGACGAGCCCGGTGCGCGCGGTATAATACACCGTCTCGAGCTGGCGGAACGCGTCCTCGATCTCAGGCGCCGCGGGCATCACCACATCGACCTTTCTTCGTATTACCAGAGCAGCAGCAGGAGAAAAGGCGAGGTTTCAGACGGTGTGAACGAGGAGGTGGAGGGGCGCGGACGTGCCTGGTGGACGAAGGGGCTGGAGAGGCTGAAGGATTCGATTTGGTTGGAGCGGACGTGGCCGGTGGAGATGAGGGTGCGGCGGGGCTCGAGGTGGGGAGCCATGGGCGATGGTACGAGGACCTGGATGATGTGGGAGGGGTCGTTTGCTTGAGTAGAGATGCGCGAGCGTGCGGGACGGGGCGTGGCGTTTGCTGCATGACACGCCTACACGTGATATGGCATGGCTGTCACAGCACCTCTGACCGTCTCAAGGACGGCCACTGTCTCGCTCTATGAGTCTATCTCGCCGTTCGAGCTTGCCTCAGAATTTGTGATTCATCGAACGCTTTCGTTCCATCCGGGCATCGGCCTGCATCGGCGTAGGATCATTCATCTCTTGTCCTCTCTCGTGATTTTTATCATCTTCTGGCTTGTTCAATCGTGATGCCGAATTCCTGACCTTCGAGCTTCACGCCTTCTCTGAGCCGGACGGTACATTACACTGCACAGATCGCAGCTCATGGTGACAGCATCGCTGAGACCGATTCAGCGTCGGCAATCCTCTTTGGAACCAATGCTCATGCCAAGCCGAGAGCCGGACGCTAGCTTCTTGCCATCAACCGCACGCGCTCACAATTCCCAGCGCACACAGGTGCCCATCTTTACGAAGAGAAGGCGCGCTTCCGGCTGGGACAACGCTATCGATCCCCGGCTCACCGCACGCCGCATCACGCACTCGCGAGGCGGAGAGTGGCGCTTCCAGATCCTCTCTTGCCATATGCGTGCACCCAGCTGACCCATTCATCATTGCACGTCTATTTTCTCTCTCTGAACCACTCTCGATGACGAACCGAGAAGCCTGCGGCTTAGGCGACGCGCGCAGATATAAGTATATCGAGCCCCAAGGCCCCCTGCGCCCGAGCCCCTTCCTCTGCCCACGATGTCTGAGGTGCTGTCCTGCGGCTCGTTGGCCGTCGCGTCTACGTTTCTCGGTCTCGTGTGGTATCGCAAATGGCGGGCGCGGCTCGCGCCTCTGCCTCCGGGCCCAGAACCATGGCCGTATGTGGGCAACATCCAGGACTTGCGGCCAGAGCAGCTCTGGCTCACTGCCAGTGAATGGGCGCGTAAATACGGTGCGTGTTCATCTTACGTCGACGTGGGCTGTCATCGTCGACTCGCGCCCTACCATACTTCGGTTCGCGGTGATCTCCGTGTTCTGATTCCAGTAAGACCATGTCGCGAATGGATTCTTGGCCAAGAGGGATGACGTGACGCGTCGCGGTTATGGTGGCCAGCGTATGACAGGCGTCGAGCGCCACCGTTCAATCACCTCTTGATGCGCGCACGGTCATCCTACTTACGCGCTCTGCATTCTCCGGGATCACGATACCGTCGGTGGTGCATCATCGTGTTCTCCTCCAATGGGGGCTCGTGTGCTGAGTATGTGTGGCTGACCGGGCTGTCTCAGGATGTGTCGCGTACGTACACGTCTTCGGGCAGGGCGTCGTGTGCCTCAACACCGCCGAGGCCATCGACGACTTCATCGACACATGTGCGGCGAACCGGTCATGCATATCGACTTCAGAACCGTCCATGTCTCCAATATGTATGTTCAATTCTTGTCGCTTCATCTGTTCTCAATGCGAACGTTCAACTGGGATCCCACCATCATGGTACTTTATAAGCATCCTCAGTCGAGACTCACCCGAGCTCACCGCAGCCTTCTTTCGCGACAGCCGGTCTCCACAGGTTCTTATTGGCGGCAGCCTCCAGCGCTTCACAGTGCAGACAGGCTGACCGAAGCGCACGACGAGCTTTTATTGGAGTCCGGCGCAATCGATCTGGTAGCGCGCATACGTGATAGCCCAGATCAGTGCTTCAGTCACATTCGGCGGTATGCCGCCAAAGTCACATTGCGCGCGGCGGGAGGAGTGGAAAGTTCTGAGGGCGGTGGAGAACTAGCGAGCCACGCCGAGGAGACGACGATCTCGCCTCTGGACAAGATGAGGACTGGTGGGGGCATGTGGGACATCGGTATGCTTCTGTTTAAATCGACGGCGTTGCGCCTGTCGCTCATGATAGCGTGACGGGACGTCCACGCTCCACGGACATGAAGCAAGACACCTACCGGCACGGCTTCTGAGCGACGACTTCCAGCGCAAGGCCGTGATCTGGCGCGACACCGTCAACGAGCTCCGCAGGCGTTCTAGCGAGGCTGTCAAGGCGAAAATCGTACGGTCCTGATCCAGTCGCCATCTCCCGATCTACAGCACTGTACTAAGAGCGCTCTCTCGCTTGTTATTGTCTAGACGTCGAATGCGAGCGCTTCTGGTTCCGCGGTGCGTTCTGATGCTCGACGGGATGGCGCGGGGGAGCCGGGGATTCTTGCTGCTAACGTGGATCTCGTGAGTCGGTTACGTCGCACGTTGACCGCTTGACGCCTGAACATCGATCAGATGACGGCAGTGATATCGCACTTCGCCCTCGCGATGCTGTTCTACCCAGACGTCATGCGCAAAGCGCAGCTGGAACTCGACCGCGTATTGCAAGGCCGTCCGCCGCGTATAAACGACAAGCCCCGTCTGCCATACACCACCGCCATATTCAAAGAGTCGCTGAGGTGGGGCTGCCCCGTGCCGCTCGGTACGTGACCGAAAAGACCGGAATGGCACGTCGATAGTCGCTTCAATTTGTGTGCGTATCGTAGGTCTTTTGCATGTCCCGACGGAGGAACTCGAGTACAGGTGCGCGCGTATCCCTCGGGGATCGATCGTGAGTCGCTCGCCGGTCTTGTTGTCAGTCTTTCACCCACCGAGACCTGTGCGCGTAAACACAGGTTGCCGCGAATATATGGTACGTCGTTGTCAACGCCGTCGAGACATGTTGGTTTCATTATGAGGATTGGCAGGAACGTCATGCGCGACGAGGCTGTCTACCCCCGCCCATATCAGTTCGACCCTGAGCGATTTCTCGTAAGCGCCGCAGACGGGCCCTCCGCCGCGAACGGGCCCTCCGCCGCGAGCGAGCCCGACCCACGACCCTACACCTTCGGCTTCGAGCGGAGGTGCGCATGAATTCAAGAATCAGGCTGGGTTCGCCGGCGTTGCGCTTCTGCGTTGAACAATCCTTTGCGCTTGACAGAGGGCGTACGGCGGATCTCGGCGAGTCTGCCTGCTGGCTCGTGATCGCGACGATCCTCTCCGCGTTTGACATCGTCAAGGCCCTCGACCCTATCACCCGACATCCCATCGACCCGTCGATCGAGTTCGAGAATTTCGTCTATAGGTGCGTTAGCGATGCGTCTCGGCTCTCGAGGAGCTCTACGACGACGGATCTGAACTCTTTCCCAGGATCCCGCGGGAGTTCCCAGTCGATATCAGCCCGCGCTTGGCGGCCGGAATTCCGACGGTCCAGCTCGCAGTCGGGCAGGACGCGATGTAAGTTGCGACGATTCATGTTGCTTCGAGTCTCTTGAGTGTATTTTTCAGTGTTGTACTATGTAATTGTTGTATGTATACTACCCGACGCGATTGTTACGACGCTCACGATGTATCCTGGTGCGCCAGCACGGAGGGAGCTCTACCGAGGTGCGTCGTAATCCCTATCACAAACCGCATCCAACTGGGAAGTCATGGAGAGCTTGAAACTTGAAACTTGAAGAGCCACCATCAGTTTCAGGGTTCTCGAGGGCGGAAGATTGCGTAGAGCTTTCAGAACGACAAAGAGGGTCGAAAACTGGCTGATCCAGGAGTCGCTGGTGATGGTATAGTAGAGCCTGTAGCTATTCTTGTCTTACGTTAGGAAAAAGATTCTGATAGGACGCGTCTTAATGATTAGTTCGGTGATTCGACATGACGGCGGCAAACATAAACGGCTCGTAACTTACGACACGCATTCTAGCGTCAGGTCTTGCTTTATCATTGCATGGCCGCCAGAACGTCTGAGGAGAAGGGTGGGATGATGCCGGCGAGGCTGCCGAACGACTTGGCTCACTCAGCCGTCCTGTTTTTTGGAGTGACGCTGGGAAGATGAGTGAAGACCACTTAGTAGTAGTGTCGTACTAGTGGCGCATCAGCATCGAGGCGGATGTTGTATTAGACGTGCTCTGGTTATGAGTAATCACTTTCCAAAAGCAATACAACCCAACCTATCGTGATCTTTGCTATCAGCACCGGATCAGATCGCTCAAACATAGTGGAAACTCGCCGAAAGCACCGTCGTTGACTGCGATCTACAAGTAGGTCCTCAAAGGCTTCATTGTGGAGAACGTTAGCATATGGATCGGGGAGAGATCAGTGCGGCGGTTCCGGAGTGTTCGGGTTTGCGATCTTGTGAACGCGCTGTACTAAGCATCCAGGGGTATAGATTGCGAGGAGCGAGTGCACACCCACACATGACTACAGAGTACGGTATATTATGCATTCAATTCGAATTTCAGAGTAACAAAGACGCGTACACGTTTCGTTCAACATCTCCAAAAGGGCACCGCATATGGTTACGCCCACCAACCAGGTACGAAGGAAATGAATGTCATAGATCTAGAAAAACACGGCGCAGATAAGTTGTGGCACCGTCAACATCGCAGTAGGGTCAAATCAAAGACGTACAATATTCATCTTTTTCGTGTCTAGCCTTACTCGCTTCTCGACATTCTGATTGACGGCTAGGCGGCGGTGTATGGTTGTGTGGCGTCAAGGCCGAGGCTGCCCGTGAGGCTGTTCATGATATCCAACTTACCGGACTGGCGCCAGCGACGAGATCTGTATGAGCGCCATCGCCAGGAAAGGATAGCTTTGACCATGAATGTACCATCGGTGAATGAAATAAGCGCTGTCTCCTTGAGCTTCGAGTGTACGACGCACCTAGGCATCACTTCCCAGACAACCAGTGGGCCTTGCCCGGTATGCATGTCTTCCTAGGAGCCCCGAGACGGTATTTGGAGGACTAGGCTGAGGGTTTTCGTATCTTTTCGCTCGCCTTGTCATGAGCGCCGGAAGACTTGTGGTTGAAAGAGGCGATGGGACATCTTTACTCGATTCGGCTCCGAACCATAGACTTTCTTCCTAATTTCCCCATTGTGATGCCAAGGACAAAATGGTCCGCCCCCACTACTGCTTATAGGAGTCCAGGTCCAAAACAAGGGTTTGGCGCATCCGTCAAATGTGTTGATGACACTGGACAGCATTTTTTCTCAATCGCTCGAGTAAAAAATCAAGTACGAAACTCAAAGTGAACTATCAGTTGCTGTATTGTTCTCTGGGAGCTCGGGGCAGCCTGAGTACATCATGACAAGATGCACCCCATAGGTCCACTTGAGGTAATCGCGTTGATCAGCATAGATTCGTGGCGCCAGCGAGAGGCGCTCGTTGCTCTCTCAACCAGATCCGGCCAGTTACAATTATCTCTTACTTCCTTCACCAACGGAATTGCATCAGAAGCCCTCAAGGAAGGTCAGAAGAACTCGATTCTCCCTTCCTCGCGTTCTCAAAGCCTCTCCAGCCGTGTCAGCGACGGCTGCCTGTCTTCACTCTCGACAAAGTCTACTTGCCAGTCTCTGCAAGTGCTCACTTGAAGACTTTTAGAGCTCACTTTGTTCTCATATCGAGGAAGACACGCGTTCTGATATTACTACAGGCCCGTAATCAACGGCCTACTATCGTCTCCCCGGGACGGACGGTCTCATCATATCTTTGATGCAGTTATGCAATAATATTCTCTTCACCTGCTATCCCAGCCGTGATGTGGTCATCTCCCGATGGCTTTAAATCTTTATAACTTGCCCTTCCACCTCTCCCACGTCTTTCCCTCACACCTCCCCCTCCCTCCTACGGCCATACACTAACCATGCCGTCCGACGCTGCTGTTATTGGTGGACTCGCCGCGGCCGCCGTTGTTTCTTCTCTCTTGATCCGATGGCGCAATGCGCGGAAGTTCCCCGTCCCACCTGGTCCCAAGCCATATCCTTTCATCGGCAACGTCACCGATTTGGATCCTCGGGAGCTATGGGTTACCTCTGCCAAATGGGCGAAGCAATATGGTACGTGCACATGTCGGTCTCAGAAGGGGGCATTGCATGGGATCACCTCGCATGATCGAGATGCATTGCGGGATCAAATCCCATTCATTTATACGGGCGTGCTAACGCCGATCCGTTATTTAGGTGATATTGTGTACACCCACGTTTTTGGCAAGGGCATCATCTTCCTCAATTCAATCGATGTGGTCGATGACTTGATGGACAAGCGCGCGGCGCTTTACTCCGATAAGCCGCGCTTGATCATGGTGAACGATCTGTGCGTACATTTTGGTTTCTCGTTCATGAATGTATTCTGATGTCCTCGGCAGTGTCGGTGCTGGCAATATGGTGATTCGAATCGTATCATCTTTACTTTTTGAAACTGACAGCGCTTCAGGTTGTCTTCACCAACTATGGAGATCGTGCTCGGCGGCAGCGTCGGCTCATGTCCCACACCTTGAGCGCTCATCACGTCCCCCGGCAACACGAGGCCATTGAGCTTGAGGCGCGCGACATGATCGGGCGTTTCCTGGAGGGCGGTGACACGTTTGCACACCTCCGGAGATACGCTGTTGGTGTCATCCTCCGTGTCGTCTATGGAATTGAGATGAAGGACGGGGACGGCAGCTTGAGGTTCCTCCAGGTTGAGGAAGAGACAGCTGAACTGCTTTCCAATGAGATTATGTCCGGCGGTGGTGTTTGGGCCGTTGACATGATGCCATGGCGTATGTCTTTTCTCGTTCGCTCATCGCAGTGCACATGTCTGAAGTGGATTTTATAGTCCGTCACCTTCCGTCCTGGCTTCCTGGCATTGGCTTCAAGCGCAAGGCTGCTGAGTGGAAAAAGGTCTTTGACGAACTCCGTGAGGGCCCTTGGGAGACTCTGAAGGACAACATGGCCGCTGGAAAGGCTCACCCGTCGTTCTGCTCCGAACTCCTGACACAGGTCGGCAAGACTGTTTCTGAGCAAGACCAGACGGATATCAAGGACACCGCTAACTCTATGTACAGCGCTAGCATGGACACTGTACGTTGTGCCCTCTTGGGGTCAGGGATTGAGTGACTGACAGCACTCTAGACTCTCACCATCATGTCGCACTTCCTGCTCGCTATGATGCACTATCCTGAGGTCCTCAAAAAGGCGCATGCTGAACTTGACAGTGTGCTCGGGCCTGGGCCTGGTCGCATGCCGACGTTGGCGGACAAGCCTAAACTTCCTTATATTACTGCCATCTTCGAAGAGATTCTTCGTTGGTCAGTGCCTGTGCCTCTTGGTGCGGTATTTTCGTGTGAATGGAGTGATGGATTAAACCCTAATAACATTGAATTTGTAGCTCTTCCCCACTCATTGCTTGACGACGATGAGTACAAGGGCATGCATCTCCCTAAGGGCTCCATTGTAAGGGCTGCTGTTTGGTGTCATTTGGTGCAGACGACTGATATACTTTCGTAGATTTTCCCTAACATCTGGAACATTGTCCGTGACGAGAGGCTGTACCCCGATGCCCACACATTCGATCCCGAGCGGTTCATTGAGAAGGGTGACGGCACGTACAGCACGAAGCAGCGTGATCCACGCCAGTTCGTCTTCGGTTTCGGTCGCAGACGCTGCCCCGGCTCGCATCTCGGTGAAGCCTCAGTCTGGTTCCTGATTGCTTCCATGCTCGCTACACTCGACATCAAGAAGCCCGTAGACGAGAAGGGCAACGTTATCGAGCCCCATGTCGAGTTCGACAACTCAATCTTCCGGTACGTTGTGGCTTTGTCTTCGCGCGTTGTGCATGAATACTGACGGGTTGACGTATAGCACGCCCACCGAGTTCAAGGTTTCTGTCACGCCTCGTCCACAGGCTAAGGCTGCTTTCAAGAACTTTGCGCCTGTCAAGCTCGCTGCTTGAAGTACTGCTTGTTCTTGGGTCTCATTTGTCGGGCGTCATGTTTTGTATAGTTCATCTCCTATTTACTTCATAGTCTGTATTCGTTCGTTACTGCGATAGAGATAGATATCGTGCGAGCAATGTATTAGTGGCAGCTCGTTCCACGTTCAGATCGCTTGTTCGGAGCAAGAAGTGTCATGATCATGTTGTGCACCATGAAAAGAAGGATGTCAATCTGTCGACTGCACAAATTTTCTATGTTGGGATACTCAAATCGAGATGATCTTGAATGACTGCGCCTTCAAAAAAGGTTTATTCCATTAGCACCCCGCGCGTGTCTCCCAAGATGAGATTGTCGATCAGCCGCGTACGACCGATCCAGACTGCGCCGCTCAAGATGACTGGACTCCTCCCCCTTTTAGTCTGGGATTCGTCCTCGGGCAGGACTGAAAACGAAGAAGGGTCATTGAATTCTATGTAATCCACCTTCATAGTCACCTTTTCTTTCGTCGCCCGAGCGTTTCCCTGCTTGTCTCCAGGCAGCAATGAGCCTGCACGAGAAAAGACCTCGATCGCGCGCTGCACGCAATCGGCTTTAGATTCGCCGGCACCCCACGCGCGGGCCCCAGCTTGTAGGGCAGCGTAGAGCGCTGGTGCCTTCTCTCGCTCCGCGGGCGTCAGATAGGCGTTTCGGGAGGAGAGCGCCAGACCTGTCGTGGGATCCCGCGCGGTCGGAACAATGTGAAGGCGGCTCGGGGACGGATATGACATGTGCAGGTCCGTCACGAGGCGGCGGAGAAGCAAGGCCTGCTGAATGTCTTTTTGGCCGAAGTACGCGTTCGTCGGCTACGGGCAAGAGCATTCGCATCCATGCGCGACTAAAGTGTGGGAGAACTGAGTGGGCGGACCTGTATAATGTTGAACAGCTTCGCGACCACCGTCGCTACACCTCTAAAGAACGTGGGCCTGCTCTGACCCTCCATCTGCTCGCCATATCCTTTTACCTCGACGAACGTCCCGGTCTGATTTTCGACGTCTTGGCTGATGCCAGATGGATACATCTCTGGGACCGACGGCACAAACACTGCAGATGGGGCGCGAGGTCGGGATGAATTGGGTACCGGATGAGACAGCGCAGACAATAGCTTGAGGTCGTGCGGAAGTGTGCGAGGATATGTCGCGAGGTCCTCATGTGGTGCGAACTGTGCAGGGTTCACAAATATCGAAAGAACTGTCAGATCATTTTCGGCAAGTGAGCGCTTCACTGGTCGGGATCCCGGAAAACTATGAGCAGATGATCACGCAGCCCACGGCTTTTGTGGCTCACCGAGGGACAAGTGCCCGTCGTGCAATGCTCCCATGGTGGGGATAAAACCAACACTTTTCTTCTCATCGAAAGCCTTCTGCCTCCATTCTCTGTATTCCCGAACCGTGGCAAAGATTGGGATGGCCGATGCGTCAACGGCTGCACTCGTCGCTGTGGACATCATTCTAGGCCATATATTAGAGGGGCGAAGTTGAGGAACAAGAAAAGATCGTAGTAGATATTGAGCCATCCACGGGATGAGCGCAAGAGAAACGAAGTATCGTACGAGACGGCGGGTGAATGTGCTAGGATGACATGGCAGATGATGGTGCAAAACCAAAAACATTAATCACAGGCATGGTACACCTAACCCTGGAATAAGGTCCTCATCCGGCATAATATTTCTGTTGTAGTCACGGCTGTCTTCGTTTTTGTCGTGGACTGCCATAGTCTCCCGTGGTCCGCTCTTTGAATAGAGTGAATATAGTACGGCCCTTCGGGCACCACCTGGTTTTGGTTGGCAGGTCATGTCCAGAATGTTCATGTACTCAAAAGTTATTCCGACCCGTGGGGTGTGGAAAGACCTTACAAACACAGTAAGGTACTTGTTGATAAGTCTACTCTTCTTTCTTCTGGATTTTTTCTCCAGCTTACAACCCAGATGGTATAGTCATTGTTTACTCATCCGGCATCGTCGCCATCTAAGCCTATTACTCATGAGCTCAGAAATCGCTGTCCATGAACGCGCTATCCAGGATGATTTATGCAGTCTATTCACACTTCGTATCGCTATCATCTTCCACGCCCCGCACCCATGTCTACCCCTTCACCTAAGCTCTTCCAGCCTTTGACTTTCGGAAATGTCAATCTGCAACACCGTGTTGTCATGGCCCCATTGACTCGTTTTCGTGCAAACGCGGAGCACGTCCACACCAATATAGCTGTCGAATATTATGCGCAGCGCGCGAGCGTACCGGGCACGCTGATTATCGCCGAAGCAACCTTTATCGCACCTCAGGCTGGAGGTTACTCCAACGTTCCCGGCATCTGGTCCGACGAGCAGATCGCAGCCTGGAAAAAGGTATGTTTTTGCGTCGAATCTTATGCGCTACGACTCATTATCCATTGATCAATCAGGTGACGGATGCAGTGCACGCCAAAGGGTCCTTTATATACATACAGCTATGGGCCCTTGGGCGCGCTGCATATCCTGCTCAGCTTGCGAGCGAGGACCCTTCTTTCCCATATGTCTCAGCGGGAAATATCCGTTTGGAAGGTCGTGATGCCACGCCGCGCGCGTTGACTGTGGAGGAAATTAAGCAATATGTCCAACTGTTCGCGACCGCCGCTTCAAACGCGGTGCATAAAGCAGGATTTGACGGGGTAGAGATTCACAATGGAAGCGGGTACCTACCCGATCAGTTTCTGCAAGATGTGTCCAACAACCGTACGGACGAATACGGTGGCTCCATCGAGAACCGCGCTAGATTTGGGTTGGAGGTCATTGACGCTATCACGAAAGCCGTTGGCGAGAAGATAGTTGGTACTCGGCTCAGCCCATGGGGGGCATACCAAGGTGAGTTGTTTCTGATGAATTCTAGAATGCACCTTCGTGCTCACTGTGACCTGATTTAGGTATGGGAATGAAAGATCCCATTCCCACTTTCTCGCATTACATCACGGCCATTCGTGATCGTCACCCCGACTTCGGCTATATACACCTGGTAGAGCCTCGCGTAGATGGTGGGTCGGATATTGAAGTCCCGCAAGGCCAGACAAACGAAGTCTTCCGAAAACTTTGGGGATCTAGAGCATATCTCAGCGCTGGTGGGTATACGAGAGAGGACGCTTTCAAAGTGGCGGAAGCGCAGGACGCACTCATCGCCTTTGGACGGTATTTCATTTCGAACGTGGGTCACAATCGCCATCGTATATGCATACTGGCTAATCATGATTCGGACAGCCTGACCTTGTGACGAGGCTGAAGGAAGACATCCCTTTCACAAAGTACGATCGCAATAACTTTTATACCCCCGCAACACCCGTTGGTTACACTGATTATCCTTGTCATAATGAGATGGAAGCTGCTACTCTGTAGTGCCATGAATGGGTAGTCTGTTTGCTTCGCTTTCTACTGCGTATGTGTCAGATGTAATTGGGATCAATCTTCAATGGATACCATCGCTTTGACTGCGCCCTATACCCATGCCTTAAGAATCGTCCTTTCAAGAGGTTCAAGATCTAAATTTCACAACCACTTATGGCCCGGGATCGCAGCTGTAGGTGTTTTTGGTAGCCAACAAATAAACACTCACGGTCCGCTCTTTGAATAGAGTAGATACATATTGTTCAAGGTAAAGGAAGGTACGACAATATAGACACCCACCTTGAGCGCTCCCGGCCTCTATGACAGTCTTTTCTTCCGAATGAGCCCGGCTTGACCGTACCGTTTTTCCCATTCCCGATCCCATGCCTGCCATTGCTCCTCGATCCCACTATCTAACCAGACTGCCCACCCGTCCTTCAGTCGTATCCATTTCGACACGGGATTCCTTAAGATAAAATCTCGACCTTGTCCGAGTACAGAGTCTGGATTTCGAGCGGGAATGTACTCCGTCACAAGATACCAAAAAGCGGCGAAGACTACGCCAATCGTTGCACCCCACAGAACCTGATGATGAGAGTGATACGCCAAATGCAGCCTGGAAGTCGGATGGCACCGTCAACGAAGATCACGGCGGAGAATTGTGAGATGCTCACCTAGAGTATGCTACGACGACAGCCCAACCAATCAATGCAAAGTGGACCACAGCCTGCCATAGGACGTCAACAGCCCAAAAGCCGGTCGAGACAAATTTGTGTCGACAATGCAGGTGCAGGACAAGAAATGTGGCAAAAAATGCCATATATTGGCTATGCGATGAAGGAAAGCCGTAGCCATTGCCCACACTATCTGCAAATCGTGACATGGCTATGTCAACACGACTTTTGAGACTAGCTACACAAACCGCACCTATAGGCCGTTCTTGCTTCACCAAACGCTTGACAACCCAGTTCAGAAATTCACAAAGAAGCTGACCAGCCCACATGTTGATGATCGTGACTTCCCGCGTATAGACGGCCAGAACGGCATAACTAGCCTTATCCGAGTTGATGCTGGTCAGACGAGCGTTGATCCATGGCATCGAACGGGAAGCGACTGACCATCAAGAGGATGGGTGATAATGTTATGAGGGCGAGTGCGAGCGAAACGTGCGAGGATGCATCATCTGAAAACGTTCGGTAGTCAGTAGACACGACTGGAGGGAAAGGAGGCTCACAGAGAACGTGGGTCAAGTCTAGCGATGCTTTCTGGTCTGCCATCGTCTGGCGAGAGAGCCACACCAAACCAGGGTCAAGTAATATTGACACAGTGACTCCAGATTCCGCGAATGATGTCGGTACTGGGAGTCAGACTGTCAAGCGTCCAGGGTCGGTGTCACAGCCAGGAGTAAACAGAAGTGTCTCGACTCAAAAAAAGGCTAAGTATATGTGTTGAAAGACGCGAGGCTGTGATTGAGCACGAGGTCGTATCAGGCTATACTCGACTGAGCGCGGTGTACGAGGGTGCACGTGACGACGACTCAGATTAAGTAGCACACAATAAACGAGCCTTTTCAAACGACTAGCCGACGTGTGGCTGCGACTTGTACTCTCTTGTACGATTCTTTCATGAATGGCTCATCTTCAACTAATTGGAAACAAAATGGCAGGCTATGTCGATATGACATTTGATCCACATATTTGCAGCTTATGATAGTCTCACTATTTTGTGAGAGTTGATGGAAATGATGCCTTTGTCCTTGACAGCATTTGAATTCTGGAAATTTTGCTGACTCCAAGTGGCAAGCCGAGTGTGTGGGTCACGATGATATGGATGATGAAACAATGTCAATGGGCATTCTGATGTGAATTACAATTATCCTGGAAGTGACAAACCAACAGGTCTAGTCTGCTAGCAGTGCCAGAAGTGAAAGCAGTATAACAGGACATTTTGAAAGGCACTTTCCTCCACCTTCCCCCTTGCATCTTTTAGACTGCCTATGGCATCTGTCCTGCAATTTATGACACTTCTACAGCCTTTACTGTCTATACTCACTAATAGAATCCTTATTCAGACTAATGACATATGTTTTGATGATATGATTGGACCCTGCCTTTTTAAATAACCATTGATCTCTCATACTCTCATCTACTCCATTTCTACACTTCAAGACTGGTTGAAGCTTCTTTTTGGTGCTGCACTTGAGGTATGTTGATGTGTGTTTGTCTCCTACTCTAGCTGGATTGATTCATTTTTTATCACTGCTAAATTTGAGAGTGACAATATTGTATATAGTAAGTGATGTGCTTTAATCTATAATGTCTTTGAGCTGACCTATGAGTTTCAATCAGAATAGATAATGTTTTGGCTGGCTTCACTTCTGGAATGGTGTAAGTAGTTCATTCTATCTTATATCTCAAATTTGTCATATATTCACACTGTAATTTGCTAGGTCAAGTTCAAAAATTTGTGGTCAGCACCATGGATCTTAATATTGTTAACAATAGCACAGCTATTGATGAAAAAAATAAGTCCGACAGAGTCAGCGCCTAGGAGAAGTGGCTACTATTTGTAATAACAAACTGATACAGTGTACTAGATTCTGTGCTTACAAGGCCAGGGTGGATGGATCTCTACATAGAGTTTATGTTGGCTAGCTGGTACTAGGTGAAGGAGATGTTCAAGAGGCTTTATGTTCCTAAGAATGACAAAGAGGGCAAGGATATAGACAATGTGGACAAGAAGGGCAGTAATTTAGGGTATAGCTCATCTTTTAAAAAGGAAGACTTTACCAGTGGCCTTATAGACCTCTTTGTGGACTTGTCTTTGTCAACTCTAGCTGCTCCAACCACTGTTGTTCCACCAAACTATATTGGTCTGGTGCACTGCACGTGGGCACCAATTTTCTTAAAGAGACAGATTAAATGGCTCATAATGCAGTTTGTGGACATGCTGCCAGACTGGGAGTTCTCTATGGTTAGCCTGCAGGGATATCTGATAAGCTACAAAATCTGACCCATAGGGGCTGTTGATGATATTGCTCAGTAGGTTAAGAGAAAGACTTAAGAGGGGAAGTCAAGGTAAAGACTGAAATATAGCAAGTTGAGGAGGGAAAGTTGGAGAACTAGTGTGACATAAGTTTTAATACTTCAAAATCACTCTTGTAATTGATACTATGCTAAGGTGTTCTGTTTGCTTATATCAATAAATAATCTATTCTTGGCAGCTTGCTTTTGATCTAGAGTGATGTCCACAAACATCTTAATATGCTTTTTTTCCCTAATGACAATCGATTTAACAGAATCATATATAGTGCCATTCAGAAGTGCTTTTCTTGGATAGAAACACACTGACTGGATGCATTCTGATATAGTCATGAACTTGTGTGGGTACATGACTTCTTCATTGTCACAAACTTCTTGCAGACCATAAAATCCTATGCATGACTTACATACATGCCATACTGATTGACAGCCCACTAGCAGTGCAGAGGATGTCCTGAGGACTACAGATGATAAAGTAAGTGCTTGCTTGGGCCCAAATAGACTGAGATATTCTTTAGACTTGTATTCACTGCTATTGGGAATTATGTGAAAAGTTTGTGGAATGATTTTCTGTAATAAGGATGGTGAGCTATGGTTGATGGTTAGACCTGATAATATGCTCACTCTAGATAATTCTAATCAAAGATCTTTGCCAAAAACATCATCATCTCTGTCAATTTCTTTTTGCTTCATTTCTAGCACTGCCTAACTCTTCTTTTTGCACAGGTTGAGCAATAGATCCTAGATCATTTGTTGAAGCTTGATCACACTTGCCTTGAGAAGAGTATAACAGCTTTGACACAAACCCTTAGAGAATCCCTCACAGAAAGTGCAAAAGATGCCTTCCTCATTACAATGGACATATTAAGCTTCAACATTAAAAGTGGAAATGATAGGGTCTATGGTGCAGGCTCTCTTCCAATATTACCATTGCTATGATTTGTAGGAGCAGGAAATATGCATAGCTAGAGTGATCTTTCTAATAATATTCCTGCAAAAGTCAAGTATAATGGAAAGCACCTGGGAAGAAAGTGTGATGACAATACCAGAATCTGATTGAAAGCCCTCCAAGAGTGTCTATGTGCTCAATAGGGAGTAACAATAGTATTTTCCTAGAAGAATAATGGGAATGTGACATTCTGTGGCTATGTTAAGTACAAGAATACCATTGAAGTTGGGGATAAGAACTCAATCATTGTCAGACTTTACAAAATCAGCATACATGAACAAGAATATTGCCTTGAGTTTGTCGACCATCTCTTTTTAAGACCATGGGCTATAAATTTTATTGCCATCTATAAGTATCAAGTGTTAGGCCGTTAGGCTTATCATGTGCACTTAATGCACTAAGTCGGGTTCCCTAAGCTAAAACCAAGATTGACTGCCCAACGAATGAAGACAATGGCTTGTCTGCGTGCGTGATCCAAGAAGTCTTGGTTACTATTGACCTTTTCTTCGAACAAGTGGAGAAGATGATTGTTTATGATCGACCAATGTTCTTCAGGAACGAACAAGTCTTCTCCGATAGAGCAGATCACTTCGGGTGGATCCCAGCGAATGACTCGATAAGCGGCGAGTCCTTGATAAGCGATAGAGACGGGAGAATGATAAGGGCTTTGAGACGAATCCAGTGCTTCGTCAGACTAGGTATGATTCAATTGATCTGACAGAGTTCGTGATGCGTGGGCTTGGAAGGAGCCAGACGCTGGGCGCAGTGCAGAGATCAAGATTGTATACGAAGTGAACGAGCTGAGGCTTCTGAGAAGCTCAGCTCGGCTATTTATACGTACAGGCTATTTAGGGCAAGCCGGACATATGGTCCATGCTTCTAAACACTAAGTACGATCAACGATCGGTGTATGTAATCTGCAGCTCTGTGCTTTTATCCAAGTATAGTAACAATGACGATTGTCTGTCCGCATCAATAAGCAATTCAGGAACACAGTTAGGTGACATCATAACGGGCATACGTAAACGTTCAAGCCGAAGCTTGTGAATGAGTCAGTAAGGTAAGCGTTCATGCATTGGCATGTATATGTAATCAGTCTTTGTCACCCGAGGATGCCAATGAGTCACGTGCTGAGCACGTGTTAGGACGCAGTCCTAACACTACCCCCTTTTTTACACAAGTCTTCGGCGTTTATGGCGTGGACCGGTTGTTGGCGGTGGCTCGTGCAGGTTGTTGATATCGTAGGTGGGGATGGAGCGATTGGGGTAACCAGTCCAGAGGGTCGTGTCGATTATGCGTTCCCAGGCCTGTTTGTGATAACCGTATTCCTCAGCCACTTTATCCATCTGCAATCTAAGACGATTAGTGGCTCCGCGATGCGCGTCATAATCGTGTAGAAATTGATGCGCTGTGACGTCCGTCCGCATCCGAATGCGTGTGATCGAACAGGCTGCGAGGAGATGTCCGCTACGTCCGCATTCCCAACAATAGCGTACCTCTGGTGAAGCAGGAGGCGCGGGAGGAGAAGGGGTGAAAGCGGGGGTTGCGGGCCAGACGCGTTCTGATGCACGTGCTCCTTCGCGCCAGTCTTCCGACGCGACTGGAACCGTCGCAGGTTGAGAGGAGGACGCGTCGACAGGCTCAGTAGGGGCGGGGCCTTCCTCGACGAGGGTCGTGGATGAGGGTGTAGCAGGGGGTGCTGGGGGCGGCATCGGAAGTGGTCGACGAGCCTCGCGATCCCGGACGGTTTGTTCGGGGTCGTAAGGGGGACTAGCGGGGAGCATGGGATTGTCTTCGTCCAGGTTAGGGATAGGGGCAAGCTGGTTTCCCGGGAAGGGGTCGGTGTGAGCATGTGGGAGTGTGGCCATTGCCCGTTCTTCAACTGCCGTGGTCCTTTCGGCCGAGACCACATGTTGAAAAGGCACCGGGATGTCAAGCTGGAGAGGGGGAAGGGGCGGCGAAGGTGCGAGGAGGGGAATTGGTGCTAGGGGTGACTCTCTGAGCACAGGGAGGGAGAGGATGAGGGATTTGACGGGGGGACGTGCAATATTTCCGGAGGTTCCCGGAGCATCAATGATCCTCTGTGACTCGTAAAGAAGCTCCTCAGGTCGGAGCAAGTGATACCCATCCTCTGCCATGACGTCCGATCTTGCCATGTACCAGGGCCTCACGTTGTCTGATGGGTTAGACCCTTCGGACCAGTACGCGGCGACGTGCTGCTCCCCTCGACTATTTGTGGGAAAGAGGCGTTCCGGCAGCGTTCCTCCCGGCATGTATTCTTCAATGACCAGCCGTTCTCTTCCAAACCCTGTAATGCGGAACCAACGGATGGTATTCCGTCGGAAAGGAATTCGTGCAAGAGTGTCGACCCATTCGGTTGGGGAGTGGCGGAGGAGGAGACTCATGGCGAGGGAGCTATACCCGGTAGGACGGTAGCTGATCATGTCACTGCGGAGTGATGGGAGATTAATGAGTCCCTTGTTCCTATAGTTGGTGATGGCGAGGTTTGAGAGAAGGGTCATCTGATGTCGGTCCAGCGGTCCCTGGTGTACCTGATACGCTCGCGTCATCACAATCTGCTGTAAATAGAAAAAGAAGTTTGTGGGATCGTCCAGCCCGGATTGTTCCAGCATGATCGGGTCCTCGTCATCGGTGAAGGTGATGTGATAGAGTGCGCCGACAAGGTTGGGGTTCAAGTAGTGGGTCAAGTTATAGATGGGGGAAGGGTAGACGGGAATGAGAATGCGGGGAATGGTATTAAACAGAGCAAATATTTGCCCAGCACTGGGCGTGTGGGGGTTCATGATGCGACTAGGGAGACCGGGGACGCCGATTTCGAGGTGTGGGTCGTCTACAGTGATGCCGTCAATGTGGTTGACGGAGGCAAGGGAGTCGTAAGAGTCGTTAGAGTCATCGGTGGCGGTTGAGACAGGACGGAGGATGAAGGGAGGGGAAGTGGAACGGGAACGATCATGGGGAGAGGTCGTGTGGTGGAAGTCAGCCATGATGTAGCGAGGGGATTCGAGGAAGTGGAATTTGCGGACGATCAAGGACATGTAGCTGGGGAGCTGGAGGAAAGTTTTTTGTCGACGGTGGTCTCGTATTTATACGAGGTCACTGGCGATGAGACAAGAGCCTTGGCAAATGGCTCCAATGAGAAAGACAGCAAGAGAGATGGCTAGAAAGGTGGCGGTTGCGACGGAGGTGTAAATGGCTACTTCTGCTAGAGTGGGGTTCAGGGGGGTCATAGCCGCTTGCCTGGCCATGCCAAACCGCGGTTCATCTGCTTTTGTAGCTCTTGGTAGACTTGTACTCGCCAATTAGAGCTGTCCGATCGTTTGTGCTGCGGCATAGATCGAGACGAGCCTAAACTGGGCTTCTTCGATTGTGTTCCTTGATCGTCGATCGTTGATTTTGTCCTCCTTGACTGCGGAGGTACTGATCGCTTCTTTAACTGTGTCATCCGTTTGTCGATTGCTTTCATGATCTGGGGAATTTCCAATTGTGTAGATAGAAGTCTTCTTCCGATTGGATGCTTCTGAAGCTTCTTTTTGATCTGGTTTTCTTCGGCAATTCTGTTGTATTCCAGCTCGATCGTTAAGGCTAAGATCGAGGCTTCCATTCCTCTGACTGCGGAGGGGTGTCTGTGATAAAACTCCGTGATGGCTTCCTTGGCATTTGTAACATTTGCTGCCGCTTCCCATGAGTTGTCCGATTCGGGATAGCCTTTCCATTTGATTAGATACTGCAAGGTCTTCCATCGTCCAAAGCGTCGAGCTCCGACAATGGCTTCGACTTCGAATTCTTCTTGTCCTTCGATCAGGTCTGGGGCCGGTTTAGGATAGTTTGGGCCATAGACCTCATTCTCTTTGTAGGGTGTAAGCCGACTAGCATGGAAAACGTCGTGAATGCGTTTCCAGCTGTTGGGCAGTTTCAGCTTGAAATTGATAGTTCCGATTGTGTCGATAATTTCAAATGGTCCGAATCGTTTAGGTCGCAGTTTCTCCGAGGGGTGATTGGTATGGATATTCTTTCCATCTAACCAAACTCGGTCTCCTTTCTTGAAAGGCGGTAGTTTCATTCCGAAACGGTCGTGTTGTATCCTCATGGCTTCGGCTGCAATTTCGAGGCTGGCTTGCGCTTCCTTCCTAGTGCGTTGCAGAGCTTCGAGGCGTGCGTCGGCGGTGGGGACATTCGTGTTGCCTATGATAGCTGGATATGCTCTGGGTTGATATCCGTGTAATAGTTCGAATGGGGATTTCTTTGTGGCTGAATGTTGGTGTGCGTTGTGGGCGTATTCTGCATAGGGAATTAATGCTGCCCAATCGTCTTGTGATGAGCTGCAAAAGGCTCTAAGATATTGTTCCAGTTCTTGATTCATTCGTTCGGTGGCACCGTCTGTTTGTGGGTGATAAGCCGTGCTTAATGCTGATTGGATTCCGAGTTCTTTGAGTAGCGCTTGCGCTACTTTTGATGCGAATTGGGTTCCTCTGTCTGATATGATTTTATCGGGTAGTCCGTATCGTCTCCAGGTATTTTCCAGTAGGATTTGCGCCGTCCCGTCTGAGTCGATGGTTTTCAGACACAGTGTGATTATTGCCGTTTTAGTAAATCTGTCGGTTACTACGTGGAGTGAATCGAATCCTTTTGATTTCGGGAGATCGGTGATAAAATCCATGGTGATTGTTCCAAATGGTCTATCCGGAATCTCCGTTGGTTGAAGTGGTACTATGGTAGGGTGCGTGTCGTTTTTTGTAGATTGACAAATTGCGCATCCTTCCACGTATTGATGAACGGTGTTTGAGATTCCGGGCCATGTGAATTCTTGTCCTACGGCCGCTAGTGTTCCTCTCTGTCCTGGATGTCCTGCCGCTAGATTGTTGTGATTTATCTTGATGATATCTCTGCATAGTTGTTCATTTTGGGGGACATAGATTTTTCCTCTGTGTAGGACGAGTCCTTCTTCGTTGTTCCATTCTTGTAGTCCTTTCTTCATGCTGCGAGGGCTTAGTGTTTTGACTTTGGTTAATGTTTCTAATAACCATTCGTCTTTCTTGTTTGCTTCAATGATTCGATTTTTTAGGTCTTCGTCGATTATTGTGACGCCTCCTCGTCCGGTTGCTCTAATGTGGAATATCTGATGGGGGTCTAGTGATTTTTCTGTGCTAATTGCGTTGACTTCCGCGAAAGGTTTCCTAATCTTTTCTTGTTTTTTATTGAAAAGTTCGGGTTCCAAGAGTGTTTCGCCTGAATTGTCAAATTCCACCCCCTCTTTATGGTCTGGACGCCGTGACAGACCGTCGGATTTATTGGTGACTCCTGCTTTGTGCATTAATTTGTAGTCGAAACGCGAGAGGAAGAGTGACCATCGTGCTTGCCGACGGTTTAACTTTTGGCTTGAGCGAAACCATTCCAGATTCTTGTGGTCTGTCCAGACGTCGACTGGGGTTTCGGCGCCTTCTAAATAGTGTCGCCAAGCTTCGAAAGCTCGAACGACCGCTAGCAACTCTTTATCATAGATAGGATAGTTGCGTTCTGTTGGTGAGAGTGATTTGGAAATGTAGGCACAAGGGTGCCATTTTCCATCGGGGGCGATCTGTGATAATACTGCTCCAGTAGCGAAGTCGGATGCGTCGCATTCGATGCGGAAGGGATTCTTGGTTTCTGGCATAACAAGTACCGGGGAGGATATAAAGGTTTTCTTTAGTATTTGGAATGCGTTTTTGCATGCTGGCGTCCAATCCCAGTTGTGATCTTTCTGTGTTAATTCGAATAGTGGTTTGGCTATTTTCGAGTAATCTTTGATAAACCTGCGATAGAAGTTGCAGAATCCTAAAAATGATTGTACTTCTTTGACTCTGGTTGGTGTCGGCCAGTCCGTGATGCCAGCTACTTTGATTGGGTCCATTGCAAGGTGTCCGTGAGATATGACGTATCCGAGATAGTCGATTTTCTTTTTGTGGAAATGGCATTTTGACGGTTGCAGGTACAAATCATTGTCCTTTAGGATTTGTAAAACTTGTCTCATTGTTTTGATATGTTCGTCCATGGTTTTGGAGAATACCAGTATGTCGTCCATGTAAATTGCCACTTTTCCTGCGTAAATGAGGTTTTTGAAAAGCGAGTTCATCATAGTTTGGAATGTTGCTGGCGAGTTGGTGAGTCCGAAGTACATTACCAGTGGTTCGTACATTCCTAGGTTTGTGATGAATGCTGCTTTGTGGACGTCCTTTTCGTCCATGCATACGTTGTTATATCCTGTGTCGATATCCACAAGTGAGAAGTATACGGCTTCTGTTAATAAGTCCAATAGTTCTTGAATAATTGGTAGTGGATATTTGTTCTTGATAGTCATTTCATTGAGTTTCCGATAATCCATTACTGGTCGTAATTTCCCGTTCTTCTTTTTAATAAAAAAGAACGGCGATGCTATGTGTGATTTGGATTCCCGGATAAATCCTTTCTTCAGGTTTTCGTCAATGAATTTCTTGAGTTCTGTTTGTTCCATTGGGCTAAGACTGTATAATTTAGGTCTGAGCGAGTGTTCCATTCCATCCTTGAGTTCAATTTTGTGATCCCAAGGGCGTTTAGGCGGTAGTTTCCCTGGTTTTCGTCCTTCGAAAACTTTTCTATAATCCCAATATTCTTTGGGAACTATTTCTTCAAAGGATAATTCGGGTTTCCCTTTTGAAGCCTCTTCCGCTAGTTTCTGTGAATTTGTGTGTTTGGTTTGTTTTCCAATAGGTTCTTTCCTGGGTACCGGTGTGTTGGTTACGAGGGTTTCTGTAGTTTCGATTCGGTGGATGTCAATGTTTTCTTTGCCGTCATTGTATAGTTCGAGTGCCTCTAGTTGTCTAGTGTTGAGGCATCTGACGAGATAAACTCCGTCTTCCTCTAAATCTGTGGAGGGAAGTGCCGATAGTCGAACACCGTCCTCTGGAGTATCCTCTTCAGCCCATGTGGGTGCCGCATAATGTTTGGCTCGGGCTCTGAGATATTCCGGATTTCGTCCTTCAGGTTGCGAACCTCGGATGTTAGGTTTTATCCGCGGATGTGGTACTGTAGCATTTCCCACTTTCCGGCCTGGCTGTGCTTGTCCTGGTTTTTGCAATGTTATTGAATAGTCATTTTTTCTTGGTACTGTTTCTATACGTTGTATTTCTGGGTTTTGACGTCCTGGTTTTCTTGTAGCCCTTTTTGCTTTAATGGGTCCTCCTTTGATTTGACAGGAGGGTGGGCATCTAGTAAAATGTAGACCATAGGCATGCCAGTCGACCTCTGGGTTGTGTTCTAACAACCAGCCGGTTCCCAGGATGACATCTTCTTTTCCGATTTCGGCTATATAGAATTTTGCCGATTCGGTGTGTGTTCCCCCCTGTTCGCCTAGAACTTGTAGTTTTAGTTCTGTGAATTTTGTGATTGGTCCTCCTTTAAATTCTGTATTTTGGACCGTGTTGACTGGGATTGGGGCTGGGGTTTTCCGGGTTTTTATTCTATGCGTTTCCACGAATCTGGGGTGCATGAATATTCCTGTTGCTCCGCTATCTACGAGAGCTTGAGTGGCAGCTTTTCGATTCTTGCCTATTAATATTGTCTCGATTCGGAGTGATGGTGCACTATGTGATTTCATTTCCGAGAGATACAATATATCTGGATGTCCATGCTCTTGGTCAATGTCTTCATTGGCCAGCGGAGCGTATCGATTTCCTGCAAGAATCCTACTCTTCACATCCGCTGCCGATGGAAGAGTCTTTAAAAATTCTTCGATTCGCTAAAGGCACGAACTTCTTCAATTTCGTCCATGCTGAGGCCCATCATCATTTGTTGAATGTGGGCGACCCTCTGCTTTCCTTCTTCTTGATCTTCTTCGTCACCTCCTTCTTCTTCTTCCATGGCGCGCATCATGCGGCGCTTTGGTTGGAATCTTCCTCGGGAAGGGGGTGGGAATCTTTGTTTGGGCCGAGAGGGACACCCGCGCGCCATATGTCCGGGCTTCTTACAATAGAAGCACTTGCCTTCTTTGGCGAGTCGGCTTCTTTCCTCGGGTGTGAGCTTCTTGAAGCGAGTGCAGATGGCATCAGCCTCCATTTCTGCTGCATCTACGTCCATTGGGACATATTGCGATTCCCTTTCTTGGCGAGGAGGTGCGATGTTGGAGTAATAATTGCTTGGGGTAAAGACTTGGTATTTTCCTTGCCTGAGGTCGCGCGCGCGCATTTCTTCTATACGCATTGTTTCATGTCTTTTAGCTTTTGCTACTAGTTCTTCCCATGTATCTTGTTTGGCAGGATCTTGGTAGATTCCTCGAGCCAGTTCCCATTTTAGGCCGCGTAGGAAATGTGTTTTCTTGGTTTCTAGGTCGACCCCAGACAATTCTGCGATTTGTTCAAAAAGTTGGAGGTATGCGTTAAAGGATTCTTTTCCTTGATTTATTCTAGCCAGTTTGTCTCTGGCGTCTGATGTCTTGTTAAATTCCTCAAAATCTGTAGAGATTTTCTTGCGGACTGAGGTTTTTTCTGGGGTTTCCTTCCATGTATATAGAGCCCAGTCATCTGCTTCGTTTCTGGATTTTGTGAAATTTCTAGACCATATACCGGCGGATCCTCCTTTCATGTAGGACAGGGCATAGGCGATTTTAGCAAATTCGTCGGGAAAATCATATTTCCTGGCGAGGATCATTAAGTCGATTTCGTGGAGGAATTGCTCGGTTCGTTTCCTATTTCTGTCGAAAGGGGTTGGTTTGGCCATGGCTGGTCCCTTGGACTCAGGATTTCTAGGATTTGTCGACATTTCACTGGTCGGGGGCTCCGGATCGTTAGGAGGCTCTCTACTTGGATTCGGTTCTTCTTTAGGATAGGTCGCGAAGGGGATTTCGAACGGTGAAGGGGTTCTGACGGGTTCCGGTGCAGCGGTTTCTTGTACCGGAGATTGGACGGGGGTGTTTCTTTGAGATGTTCGACTTCCACTGGCTGTTTCTCTGGGTAGGTTATATATGTGCGGCCTTGGTGTGTTACGATTCCGATTTGTCGGTGATTTAGGCTTGATGAGTCGGAGTGCTCTGACTGTTTCGGCGAGTTTAACTGTTGGTAACTCGGGTGCGGCGTGGATTTCCTTTCCTTGAAACGGTCTTGCGTAATATTCCTCTTTTCCGTTCTGGGTATAGAATCCCCAGAGGATTCCATTGTGGTAGAAGTGTCTGTTTTCCTGGTCGCAATAAACGTTGTCCGGGTCGACGTCTTCGGGTAAATGTTCGAAGATGTAGATAGGATCGTTGTGGTACGGGGGCGGGTATCCTTTTGGAAGTGATGGCTCAATGATTTATTCTTCGAAGTGGAAGGGAACTTCGAGTCTTCTTCCGGCCCTAAGTCCTTCTTGGAGAGTAGGTTCTCTTCTGATGATTTCGTTGATCCCGATATTGATTTGGTCAATAAGCGTGAGGATCTCGTTGATGGTTTGTCCGCTGATGAAACTTCTGAAATAATAAGTTTTGAGGGCGAGCTCTCCTCTTCTGATAATTGATATGGTTCCGGTGATTTCCGTTTGATGGGGTGAGTATCCAGTATTGTCCAGCGTGTCTTAATTCTGGGTGGTGTAGGTCCAAAAGATGATAATTGCGTATTGATTCCTTTGTTCACTTTTCTCGATAAGTTCTCTTCTAATTCCTTCGGAATCCACGCCTCTGGTGATATGCCTACGGAGATCAGTGATGTGTGCTGCTGGGAAATTACTGGGTCTGCCGTCGTCCACATCAATGGTGCTTCTTGTGTGGAGAAGGTTAAGTCCTGGGTTTCCAATGGAGGAGACGGGAGTCTTTGGATCGTTAATGAAGCAAAGCCCGGGAAAAGGGAATCCGAGTCCGTTGACGAGGTTGAAGAAGTAATCGTGGTATTGTTGTAGCCTAAATATGGCTACTCCTGCGTATGCATTTCCCGTTACTGAATATCTGGAGGTTGTAAGAGTACCCGTGGGAATTTCTTGGCTGATGACCGGGGTGGTGGCCTCGGGTCTGAGTATGTCTGTGTTTATTGCTTGACTGATTTGAGTGGCTCTGCGGCTTCTTTCTTCTAGTATTCGTCGAGCGATTTCGGCAAGAGATTGGATGTTTTGTCGTTCCAGGGTGTGATAGGGTAGGGAATAAAGAGCTCGTTCAAGTGTTAGGCCGTTAGGCTTATCACGTGCACTTAATGCACTAAGTCGGGTTCCCTAAGCTAAAACCAAGATTGACTGCCCAACGAATGAAGACAATGGCTTGTCTGCGTGCGTGATCCAAGAAGTCTTGGTTACTATTGACCTTTTCTTCGAACAAGTGGAGAAGATGATTGTTTATGATCGACCAATGTTCTTCAGGAACGAACAAGTCTTCTCCGATAGAGCAGATCACTTCGGGTGGATCCCAGCGAATGACTCGATAAGCGGCGAGTCCTTGATAAGCGATAGAGACGGGAGAATGATAAGGGCTTTGAGACGAATCCAGTGCTTCGTCAGACTAGGTATGATTCAATTGATCTGACAGAGTTCGTGATGCGTGGGCTTGGAAGGAGCCAGACGCTGGGCGCAGTGCAGAGATCAAGATTGTATACGAAGTGAACGAGCTGAGGCTTCTGAGAAGCTCAGCTCGGCTATTTATACGTACAGGCTATTTAGGGCAAGCCGGACATATGGTCCATGCTTCTAAACACTAAGTACGATCAACGATCGGTGTATGTAATCTGCAGCTCTGTGCTTTTATCCAAGTATAGTAACAATGACGATTGTCTGTCCGCATCAATAAGCAATTCAGGAACACAGTTAGGTGACATCATAACGGGCATACGTAAACGTTCAAGCCGAAGCTTGTGAATGAGTCAGTAAGGTAAGCGTTCATGCATTGGCATGTATATGTAATCAGTCTTTGTCACCCGAGGATGCCAATGAGTCACGTGCTGAGCACGTGTTAGGACGCAGTCCTAACATCAAGAGGGAGGACTTTTTCTGGGTCATCACAAAAGCTAGGACAGCCATAGCTGATATGAAGATGTCAGGGAGGGCCTTGAAAGATAATCATGAATAACTCACTTCCAATCATGCAATGCCTTCAAAAAAAATGAAAAGTACCACCTGCAGAGTCGGAGAGATGGACAACAGCATATCTGTTGAAGATCTCATTCACTGAGGGACTACTGACACAAAACATGTCTTGAAAGACCTCCTAAGATGACAGGATTCCCTTGTATACACAGAATCCAATAGACTCACACACAAGGATGATGTTTCCATCCTCAAACCATACTTCCTCACTTGTTGGAAAGCTAGAGTTCAGGGCACTATTAGGAGCATCCTCCCACAGTTGTTTATGCAGTCAGTTCGAGCCATTTTCAAGGGATAACATATCTTGTGACTATTTCGTTCTGGACTGAAAAAATGGCGATATTATCAGTATAGAGCAGAAATGAGATGAGATGGTATGATAGCCTTCGCCAACGGCCACTGCACCCTCCCGTTCGGTGTAGAGATGTCTTCAGTCTAATCGACCCTCTGCCGCCATTCAGAGTGCTGGTTAGTCAGCAACTCTCACGGGCGCAACGACCTGCACGACCGCATTGCAAGCTTGCGGTGAGCATTTGCGAAAGGAGTCATGACTCCTGAATCATTTTCTGACTGTAGATCAGCCACCCCACAGCAATACAGTGCACATGCCCCCACAGCATCTGAGAGCGCCCTCTATGGTGGAGGCGGGCTTTTGACGAATGCGAACATCGGAGACTAGTCTAGACACTGCTTTGTTCGCGACGCCACGGTGTTACATTTATTACGCAGGCCTCATGGGCTGCTACACGCAAAGCAGAGGCACAATCGGCAGAGAGCCTCAAGCCAGACTGTCGCGCACATGGTATATCCATCGCAATAAGCTGGATGCACAGGCAGAAGCTGCAGAGGCGGCTCAACTCATAAAAGGCTGTCGAAAGATGAATATGAGGCTGTGATTGAGCGCGGGGTCGTGTCAGATAGTCCTGACTCGTGTATATATCAATAAGCGTGGTGCGGGAAAGGCTGGGAAAGGGATGCTACTTGTTGGATTCGAGTGCGCGCGGCGGTACTACGCGACCGTAACACGCTCTGTTAATGGCTTGAATCGACCATTACATAATAGATAGACTGACTCCGACAACCTGTCAACTTTGACTCACGTACTACTACAGCTCCGTATACCATGCAGTCCTAAATGACTTATCTTCTGGCGGACCAGAAACAGGGGTGGGTTCTGTCGATTCGATTTACGATACTCATAGGTACAGATCTGCATATTCTGTACGAGTCGACGGAAATGATACCTTTAACCTTGATGGCGTCTGGAAATTCTGCAGGCGGCAGCGAGGCAGCACTGCCTCGCGGCATATTAGGTGCGTGAGTCACGATACTGTCCTGCATTCAGCCAATTTATTCATCGAATCAGAATGGCGTTGTGATCGGTGGAGCAGAGTTCATGGGCGCTCGGAACCGAATTCCAATCCTTGCCTATGCAAAAAACATTGGCGAAGGCAATATAAGAGGACATTTTTGAGGGGCGCTCTTCTGTATCTTCCCTGTCACGTCTCGCAGACCGCCCATGGCGTCTGTCTTGCAATTCACGACACTTCTCCAGCCTTTACTGTCTGCGCTCACAAACGGAAGCCTCGTTCAGACCAATGCCACTTCTTTCAACGACACGAGTGCACCTATTCCTTTTCAGATCCCCACGGATCTCTCGTCGCTGTTGACGTTCATCTACTCCCTTTCCGCGCTTCGAGATTGGTTGAAGCTTCTTCTTTTTGGTGCTGCGCTTGAGGCGTGTCGACGCGTTTATCTCTCCTCCTACTCCAGCTTTATTGACTCGTTTTTCATCACTGCTCATTTCGAGAGCGACGATGTTGTATTCGGTGAGCGTCTCTTCTGCAGTGTTGATGTCTCCGAGCTAACCTATGAGCTTTCATTAGATTGGATGATGTTTTGGCTGTCTTCACTTCCGGAGTGGCGTGAGTAGTTCCCCACTCTATGTCTCAAAGCCGCCATGTACTGACATGAACCTACCATTCGTCAGGTAAAGTCCGTGAATTTGTGGTCAGCACCACACACCTCGGCCAAGATGACAACAGCACGGCTATCCTCGAAGACGATGAGTCCGACGATGGTTCACCATCCATTCGCAAGACACGGAACATCCAGTGCCTACCCTCCTATGCAGCCACATATACGATTTGGTACAAGCGTCGTTGGATGCGCATTACGCGGCAGAAGGAGGAGAGTCGATGGTCATATGGCGAGAAATCGACGCTGCAAATTACGTGAGTGGCATTACGATCATGCCCTCATTTTCTTTGGTGTGTTCTGAACTGCAGATTGAAATCTTCAGGCTTTTTACCCGTAATCGTGCTGTCCTCGACGGCCTGATCCTCGAGGCAAAGAAAGCTTACATGTCTGCACGAGAGGATAAGATCGACATATTCGTGAATCAAGGGTGAGCCCGCTTTCACTGGCATATGGTGCCTCATTTTCTGACATTCAGACGCGATAGATTTTCGGGTGACTGGCGGCATATCGCTTCCCGGCCAAAGCGACCTCTCACTTCCATCATCCTCGATGCGGGTGTCAAGGAACTGATCTTGAACGACGCAAGGGACTTCATGAGAAGCAAGAAGTGGTATGCTGACCGAGGTGAATACCCTGTTCTCCGATTCAATTATCAATGTTCTCACATGCACAATCTCCAGGCATTCCCTTCCGTCGCGGCTATCTTTTGGTGAGACCACCCTTTGTCTACAAAATCGCATAGCATCTAATCACAGGCTTTTCAGTATGGAGCTCCTGGTTCGGGAAAAACATCCATCATTCACAGTCTCGCTGGTGAACTGGGCCTCGACATCTATGTCATCTCCCTCTCCACAGCAGGCTTGGACGACACTGGCCTCAACAGCCTTATCTCTGCGCTCCCTGAGCAGTGTATAGCACTCATGGAAGACATCGATGCTGCATTCACTCATGGCTTGACGCGCGAGACTGTCGGTACGGAGCTCGAAGACCCCCGCGACGCCGAGAAACGCAAGGAGCGCCTCGATGATCCCGACGGCTCCGGTGGCAAGGACGCGCAGCGCGACCGGAAACAGGGAGCGGACTCGACGCGGATCACTCTTTCTGGGCTTTTGAATGCTCTTGACGGAGTCAGCGCCCAGGAAGGACGGTTGCTATTTGCGACGACGAACCGGTACAGCGCATTGGACCCTGCGCTTACAAGGCCAGGGCGGATGGATCTCCACGTGGAGTTTATGTTGGCTAGCCGGTACCAGGCTAAGGAGATGTTCAAGAGATTCTATGTTCCCGAGGACGAGAAAGAGGGCGAGGATGCGGACGATGTGGACGAGAAGGGCAGCGATTCAGGGTACAGCTCATCTTCCAAAAAGGAAGACTCTACCGGAGGTCCTGACCTCATAGACCTCTCTGTGGACTTGTCTTCGTCGACTCCGGCTGCTCCAGCCGCCGCTGTTCCACCGAACTATACTGGTCTGATGCACTCCACGCGGGCGCCGACGCTTTCGAAGAGACAGATCGAACGGCTCGCAACGCAGTTTGCGGACACGCTGCCGGACCGGGAGTTCTCCATGGCCAGCCTGCAGGGATATCTGATGAGCTACAAAATCCGGCCCGTGCAGGCTGTCGATGATGTCGCACGGTGGGTTGAGAGGAAGACTCAAGAAAGAGGGTCCAAGGTGAAGCCCGAGACATAACAGTCTGAGGAGGACAGGTCGAAACTGGCGAGAAACGAGTCTCGATACTTTCAAAAATACCCTGTAATTGATACCACGCTCCCCTGTTCTGTTCACTTGTAGCGATAGATAATCCATTTGTTGCGGCTTCTTCTTGGTCTTACCAACCTCCTTGTGCGTTTCTTTTCATCCTGACTTACGGCGTGTCATTGGTGTGTAGACCACACAGCTCCTCGCTGAGCTCAGTTGTGCTTTTGGATATGATGTCGTCATAAACATATGTGTGTTTGTGAGTTCTCGCACACCATGACTCTGTGCATGCGATACAGATTGACAGCCCCGCTAGCGGTGCAGAAAATATCCAGGAGACAGCAAATGCTAAACTAGATCCTACTTGCTCAGGACCGAATGGGACCGAGAAGCTCTTCAGACCGAGTCGTTGTCACTGCTAGCGTGATAAATGTGAAATCTTCGTGGTATGAGGCAAGAATCGGGAGTTATAGTCTATGGTCGAAGCTGTTCATATGCTCACCTTTTAATGGGAGATCTCCTCCAGGATAGCATCCTCATCTCTGTCGATTTGTTCTTGCTTCTCTCCAAGTGCCGCCCAGCTCTCCTCTTCGCACAACTTGGGCAATAGATTCCAGATCGCATTTTGAAGCTCGGCCTCACTTGATTTGAGCAAAAGGAAACATGTAAAACACAAGGTATCAGAGTATCTCATGGAGATTGAATGGGATGGAAAGATGCCGTCGTCACTTCAATTGAGATAACTGGCTTCGACATCCAAAGCAGCAATGACAGGGTCCATGGTGCGCGCATTCATCGTACATCGCCAGCGCCTTGATTTCCAGGAGCGGGAGATGTCCATAGCTCGCACTATCTCTGCGAGGACCTTCCCGCGGAAGGCTAGCGCAATGGACAACGCCCAGGGAGAAAATTTGACGACGACGCCAGACTCCAGCCGGAATTCTTCCAGAACTGTCTGCGTGCTCAACAGTGAACAATAATAGCATGCCGCTGGAAGAATGATTGGAATTCCACATTCCGTGGCTAGGTTGAGTGCAAGAACGCCATTGAAGTCGGGGATCATGCTTCGTCCTCCACTGGATTTTTTGAAAGAAGCGAGCGTAGAGGGTAAAATTTCCTTGAGCTCGTCAACCATAGCTCTCCGAAGGCTATAAACTAGATATTTTGTCGCCATCCGCAAAATTCCGGCTATGGTGCTAAGGGGGAAGTGATAGCTTGGATGTTACGTTTATGGATGCTACAACGTCCATAGCTGAAGTAGAGCTGCTAGGTCAAGAATTGAAGTTATTTAGGACTAAGTACCAATAACTCACCTCCAATCGTATAATGTCTTCAAAAAATGAAGGGCATCACCTGCGGAATCGGAGAGATGGACAAGCGCACATCCGTCAAAGGAGTCGTCTGCAGAGGGGCTGCCAACGGAAAGCATATCCCAGAAGACCTCAGAGTGAGATGACAAGATTCCCTTGTATACACGGAATCCGATGGACTCGCACACGAGGATAATGTTGCCATCCTCAAACCATATGTCTTGGCTTGCCGTAAAATTGGAAGAAGGCAGGACATTATCGGGAGCATCCTCCCGCTGTTGTTTAAGTGGCCGGTTCGAGACGTCTTCAACGGATGACATAGATTGTGATTGCTATGGTCAATCAAAGACACGGCACTATTATCGGTGTTGAACGAAACGAGGATCTGCAATAGTCTCTGTCGATGAGGTCGGTGGAAATCGGTGGTCAACGGTGTTCTCCTCAGAGTCTCACTCAACGCTGTCTTCAACGGCGTACTAGTCGAGCCTAGTCGGCCGGCCATTGCCGCTGATTCAAGTGATGTTTAGTCAGCCTCAGCCCTTGCAAAAGGTCGGGTGGCGGCTGGTGGCAGACGCGACTGCCGACATACACAGAACGACTGTCTTCTGTGCAAAGGTCAGCCACGGAGACTACATTCAATGAACCTATACATGCATCATGACTGCCTAGGCTCCGTGGCGAATCTTACATAGAAGACAGTTGCTCTAGACATTGCTCACGACCTTCTGGGGGTCAAGGCAACTCATGCAACACTCGCTCACATGTTTTGTCAGTGTTCACGCAAGGACCCTTGAATTATTCTTTCTGCCGTTGAAAATCATCGGCCGCGATGTTCTAACGACGCGTCGATGGTTCGAGCGCATACGATCTTCACGTTCGCCGCGCGCCGCCTGGGCTGCATCTTCGCGTTCATGGCGCTCGTGCTTGACGCGAATCACCCACGCAGCTTCACGCTTCACACACGGGCGAAACGAAAAGGGGACAGACAGCGTTCTTTCTTTCCAAATGAAGTGCAAGCGACAAGCCGATCCATCCCAACAGCCGACCCTGAAACCCTGCAACCTCCAACACGCGAAGCGCGTACTCGCCCCGCGCTCACGAATGCGAGATGGTGATCTTGGTGTTGCCGCCCGTGCTCCCGCCGGCGGCGGTGACGGTGCCGGGGCTGACGCCGCACGCGGCGACGAGCGCCTTGAACGCCTGCTCGAAGCGGCCCTTGGAGATGTCGATCGCGGTGCCGCCGTCGACGGCGTCGACCTTGACCTGCGCGCGATGCGTGAGTCCCGTTTCCGCGTGGCGAAATCACGTGCGGGAGGGACGGGGGAGGGGGAGGGAAAAGGGAGGGGGACGTACGGAGCAGGTGCCGCTGGTGCCGGTCGTGGTCGTGCCCGCGACGCGCAGGAACTGGATCTTGCCCGCGATGCCGGTGCCGGTGGAGAGCAGCGCGACATTACAGTCGTGCGAGTTGAGTTTCTGTGATCACCGCGCGCGCACGACGGTGAGTCTCATGTTCCACTGCGACAAAAAAAGACAGAAAAGACAGGAACGGCACACGCACCACGCTCGGGTCCGTGCACTGGGGCTGCACGGTCAGGTCGGCGCGCTCGACGAGCTCGCGGCGGACGCGCACGAGGTGCGTGTGCTCGTTGCGGACCTCGCGAGCGGAGGCGCCGTTGATGGCGAGGAGGGCCGCGAGGAGGGCCCAGAAGGACAGGAGCGCGATGCGGGATTGCATATTCGGGACGTAAAGGGCGGAAGGTGCGTGAACGCTGGCTACGACGAGTCGAGTGGCTGGAAAGACGAAAAGAACGATGTGGGCCGGCCCGGTCAACGGGGGAAACTGGGAGCGAAGGAAAAGAGGGAAGGGAAAGGAGGGAGGAGGAAGGTTAGACGAGAGGTTGGATTTTTATGGAGTTGGGTGGTGTTGCTAGGACGACGTGCGAGGCTTGGCTTGTGCCAGGGAGGCTCAGGAACTTGCTTCGGGTGATGCAGAAACCGCGTGTCGCACAGAGGGCCGAGGCACGGACTGGCACAGATCGCTCGTGTCTTCGGTGCCTCGCCTTGCCTCGCGCAGAAGAAACCGCTTCATCTCGCATCGTTTGTCGGATATGAGTACCAGAAGGGGTATTCCTCGTTGAGGACGAGAGTTCATGTTTGTCAAGAGCGTCATTTACACGAGAACGGAGATTTCACAGCGGGAGAGGCAGGAACCCGATAACCTTACATACGGACTTGCGACCATCCGGCCATCAGTCGCGTTGCTTAGAGCCCGAAACCAACTCGATCAACGTCAACGTTCAACGCTTATTTCGCTGGCGCTGTAACAGTGTTGTGGCCTGTGTTGACGTGCATCCGGTCATCAAGACAGATCGAAGGTGAGTTATTTTGCATTTTCGACGAAAGACGTTTCGAGCTGTCTGTCGCAGCGCGCTCGAGACCATGTGGTGCATGCAATGATGACCAGAGTTAGAGACTTTGGAGGACAGGACTCACCGACAACCTACGGGGCGCAAGAGAGCAGAGGGATGCAAGACGTCCGGGAGACGGAAGAGCAGAACAGAGAAACCTGAAGGGGTTCAGGCGAAAGCAGGAATCGCCAAGAAAGAGAGTTGTGGACCATGGGTGCGGAGCAGCCCGTATAGGATGATCAGAGGGGGAAAAGCATCGCCAGGACTTGAGGAGAGGCTTGCGAGGTGGGAACACTCATAGTCATGGTGGGTGCCTTCCAGCAGAGCCGCGCAACTCGAGCAATATAGCACTGAGCTGCGTGCCCTCAGAGAGCCTCAGCTGTCCTCAGGATGAGTGTGCGTGGCCATAAGCAACGCGGACCGGAGTCTTCCAAAGGCAGCAATCCGGGATGACAAAGCCGCCGCTCCTTCCATATCGAGCGTGACCTCGCCCCCTCGCCGGCCATCGCCCCCATCGCGGCCATCGTCCTCGACAGCGTCCTCCTCACCATGTCCAGCCCACCCACCACCGTCCTCTCCGCCCTCTCCCTCTCCCCCACCGCGTCCTCCAATGACCTGCCATACGCATACGCCTCGGCAGCGCCCTCGCCCAATCCATGGCAGGACGAACCCCAACTCGCGCCTGACGTCCACACCGACACCGACACCACCTCTGCGCCGACGCGGACACTCGCATCCGCGGCTATATCGTCGCAACACGATCACGCCTCTGCATACGATGGCCCGGCAACAGGCCTGCTTATCGACATCGACGCTCCCCCAGACTCGACGTCAGGACTTGGCCTAGACTTTGGGTCAAAACCACTCGTTGGCCTCGCAGCGGATCCAGACATCGACATCGGGGCGCTGGATCCCGCGCAAGTGTCTGCTCGCGAGGCGTGGGAGGCGTCTGAGGGGCACCCGCCTGCGCCCCCGCCGAAATCCCCGCCCCCACAGCTAGTACCCGCCCCCGCACCCGCCCCCTCCTCTTCGTCCTCCTTCCCCTCTGGCTTCGCAGCCTTCGCGCGCTCCTTCGCGCTCCCCTCGCTCGGCACCTCTTCCACCAGCCCGCCCTCTCCCGCCGCCGGACGAAACTCCACCACAGGCCCCATCGCGACCGCGCCCACAAAGCGGGCACACAAGCCGCGCCCGCGCTCGCTCGACACCGCGTCGCTCGTCGCAACCCCCGTGCGCGCGTCCTTCGCGGCCACGCAGGGCTTGCCCACGGGCACGGCGAGCCCGGGCGCGCAGTTTATGGGTCGCGCGGGGGGTGCGGCGGCGCGGGAGGAGGAGGACGAGGAGGACGAGCGGGTGGTGCAGGCGCGGGGCTCGCCGAAGCGGCAGTCGGTGGACTCGGCGTTTGGGCCTGGCGGGGAGCGGAGGGAGCGCATGAAGGAGAAGGAGCGGGAGCGGGAGCGGGATCGCGAAAAGGAGAGGGAGGACGAAAAGGAGCCGCCGTTCGATTTTCAGCAATTTTTGGACCAGATGAAGAGTAAAGGCGCGGAGCCCGTCGCCAGGTACTTGCGCTCGTATGTCGCCGTTTATTTCTCTGTTTATTTGTGTGTGACATTCTTCACTCCTATCGCGTGTCGTGATTTTATCTTTGTTTGCCCCTTCTCGTCCGTGCGCCCTGTCTGCCTCCGTGCTCACGCGTGTATGCGCATATAATGCACGCTTGTGCTCTCCTAGGTTCCTGAGCAATTTCACGAAGCGCACGTTCGCGGTGGCCGATCAGGTCAAGCTCATCAATGACTTCCTCAACGTGCGTCCTCTCTCCCTCATTCCCGTTCTTGTCTCGTCTCGGCAACGACCACATACATCCACCTAACATCTCTTCCCCCGCTGATCCGCGCGTCACCGCATCGTTGTTATGCGATATACGATCCCGCCCGCTTGACATGACCTCGATCGTTTCGTATTGCCCCGGTCGACCCCGCGCGCGCAGTTCATCTCGCATAAGATGCGCGAGTCCGACGTCTGGCGACACGTCTCGGACGCCGCGTTCGACAATGCGATGGAGGGCATGGAGAAGCTCGTCATGAACAGGCTGTATGACTAGTACGTCTCTTTCCCTCTCCAGATCTCGCAGCTTCTCTCTCCTTCCATCGCGTACATCTCCCCACACCAATTCCATCGTTCGTAAGAAAATACCCTAATACGAAAATATATCGATACCGCAAACCGTTTCCCGCCCTTCCTTTCTTTTTTTGTCCCGTCTAATAAACCCAGTTAAACAAGCATCCCGTCTTCTGTAGCACGTTCACCCCGCAGGTCGCGCGCGCGTCGCCCCCACGGCCCGTCACGACCGACGACCTCGAGCGCGACCGCGTGCTCGCCCAGCGCATCGCGCTCTTCGGGTGGCTCGCGCCGCGGCACCTCGACGTGCCCGTCGCGGACGATAGCGATGCCGACGTGGATCGCGAAGTCGCCGTCGAGGGCGAGAAGGCAACGCTGAAGCCGAAGCCGGTGGGCGACGGGAGCAAGGGGTTCTTGATGTTCGCGCAGCAGGGTGCGTGCGCCGCGCTCCCTCCTTACTGGGGCCTTCCGCCGTACTGACGCGGTTCTCGTGGGCTGTCGGTGTAGAGCTCGTGAAGATTAACCATTATAAGGCGCCGCGCGACAAGTTGATATGCATCCTCAATTGCTGCAAGGTCATCTTCGGTCCGCCCTGTTCACCGTTTTCCGTTTTATTGCCTTTTTTTTTGTTTTCGGGATTATCTAGTTTATTGCATCATATTCCATATCGGCATCTCTAGCATCATAGTTCGCTTTTTACTTTTGCTTCCCTTCGTTGGGGCTTTCTTCTTCTTCTTCGCTTACTGTGTGTGTGCGTAAGGCTGACGGACCGCATCGACCGTGTACAGGTTTGATCCGCCACCTCAATAAGGACGAGAGCGCAGATTCGTTCATCCCGATATTGATCTTCGTCGTGCTCAAGGCGAACCCGGAACACCTCCTGTCGAACGTCGAGTGCGTTGGTTTCTGTTCACGTTTTGAAATGCCGCTTTGTATGTGGAAGCAACGGCCGATATTGTTTTGCTTGTAGGTTCATCAACCGGTTTAGGAATCCGGAGAAGCTGCAGAGCGAGGCGGGGTATTATTTGTCGAGTCTGGTGCGTCATTGATCTTGTGTCGAGCGAGCGGATATATGTACGGTTTGAGCTCACTGACTGCACAGATGGGCGCGGTGTCGTTCATAGAGACAATGGATCACACGTCGTTGTCGAATATAACACAGGAGGAGTTTGAGAAGTGAGTGCTGGCACTACCATGCATACAACAACCGCCTCACTCTTCACTTAGGAACGTCGAATCCGCCATCCTAACCCTCCCCGCTTCCCGCGCGCACTCTCCCCGTCTCCCGAGCACCTCTACCTCTTCCTCCTCGTCCACAACCTCCCTCATCCCGCCACAACACCCACCGCAACCGCAACCGATCCCCGTCCCCCCGCCTGCACCGCTATCCCTTCCGACGCGCGGCACCTCGCCCGCGCCGTCGTCCCACGTAGGCGACGAGCCCGCGACGCCGCTCGCCCTCCCCGCGCTCGCGCTCGGCGTCGGCGACGACGCGCGCCGCCTCTTGCAGCGCACGGGCGACACGCTCTCGCGCCCGCTCACGGCCATCGGACGCATCTTCGCGGAGGCGCTCGACGGCGCCGAGGAGCGCCTCGTGAACGCGAGCGGGAGCCGCAGCGGGAGTGGGAGCGCCAGCGCTCCGCAGACGCCGATGCATGCGGCCGGCCAGGCGCAGGCGCAGCTGCAGCAACAACAGCAACAACAGCAACAGCTGAAGACGCCGTACAAACCCCGCGTGCGCCGCGTACCGTCGCAGGGGTCTGCGCGCTCGTCCTTCAGCTCACCTGGTGGCGGCCCCGACGACACGCCCTCGCGCGCGCCGCCCGGCGGAGGAGCAAGCGGAGGCACGGGCGCACTCGCTCCGTGGCCCCGGTTCCCCGGATTTCCGGGGTCCGGCGGCCCGCCCTCTGGCACGGCGTCGGGGATGGCGTCGCCGCTCGGGCCGGCGTCGCGCGCGGCGACACCGAGCGGGAGCCTCGACATTGCGGGGATGCAGGCGGAGATCGACCGCGCGCATGCGCGGGCGGGGAGCGCGGCGCGGGGGACGCTGAGGCAGATCTTTCCGGAGGTGGACGGCGAGGTGGTCGAGTGGGTGTTGGAGGCGAACGGGGGCGATTTGGGGAGGAGCATCGAGGCGCTTTTGGAGATGAGTTAGTTGAGGGGTGAGGGGGTTGAGGCGCTGAGGGCTGGGCCTGGACGGGTGTGTTCGGTTTGTCCTGGAGCCCGCGTGTTGTCTCGTGGAATGATAGTTTATTGCGCGATGCGACTGCGATGCGATGGAATGCGGGACGGTGCTTGGCGTGTGGCGTTCATGGGCTCGAGTGATCCCGCGAAGCAAAGCGAGCAGAGTTTGCAATCAGGTACGGACGGCTGGAGATGGGAGCTGGATATCTCCGAGAGCGCGACGGTGTGAAGAGATCCTCACGCGCGACTCGCACACGCTCGCATCGGTGCGACGGCGTCTGTGGAGTGCGTGGATCTGCACCAAAGTCAATAGATATCGAGAGCCTTGATAGGCCTATCTTCTCGTATCGTTTCGTTGCGGCGAATGGTCGAAAGGACTATTTAGCACCAGTCCCGGTCGGGTGTAATCAACGTATCCTATGAGGGCAGCTCTGTCTCTGACTCAGTTTCTCTGTGGGAGCGATCGGGAGTCCGAGGATGTAGAGCTTGTGAGCTACGTGCGACGCACATGGGCTTTTTAGAGAACATGGGCTCGCTCGTGCACGCGCAATGGTTAGTGTTGGTACACCCACAGTTGGTGGCATGAGAACATTCAACTGGGACAAGGAAAAACGGTTGATTCCTACTTGTTCAGATCAGCTAGTCTCCCACAGCTATCGAGACGGACATAAGCACTACATAATTGCACATCCTGCCATCCACTTTCACGCATAGAGTTCGAATATTATCTCCGGGCCGCTCACTCCGTTGTGAAGTCGACGCAACTTTCATACGTTTGCCCGTTGCTGTCCGCATACCACCACCACTGTATCGCGCAGGCTCCCGCCGTCGTGCATTCGTCGCCGAGGTCGGGTATGGTGACGTTGAAGTTCGCTATCGCGCCGCCCAAAGGCTCTCAGTTTCAGAAAGTGATGGAGATGGATGGCAGCGAGCTCACTTTCGTTAGTTGGCCATTTTGATGGCCCGAGACTGCTATTTGCGTATACAGGCCACAGGTACAGGGGTTTTCCAATTGTTGTTTGAGAGCTGAGGTTGACCTGCCGAGGCCAAAGAAAAACACGATAAGTCATCTTTCATGATGTGGAGAGAGAGCGCACGTACCACAGATACATTCGCATGGCCTGTATGATGGGCAGCTAGGTCCACCTGCATATTGACGACCTGTCCCGCAGTATAAACGCGCGTGTTTGCTGCGTTATCTTCATACTGCGGATGATACGATCAGAAGCCGTTTTTATACTGGAATATCTGGAAAGAGAGTGCCAACTTGATAGCCCTTGCAGAAAAACAGATGACAGGCTTCAGCGTTATACGTGTCGTCGATCTTCTTGGCCGCATTCTCGATCTGAGGTTGACGTGCCTATGTCAGTACGCACACGATTTAGTGTTCTGGGTGCCCTACCGGACCATATTTGTCTGTAAGAGAGCTTTGTGAGTATCATAATTCTTCCAGTGTCGTGAAAAAAGACGGACCGGAAGCAAGAGCTGAATATACAGCAGTACCGCAAGCGCTTTTCGCCGCGCTCCCAATCTGATAGCCCCTCTTAGGTTACTGGACAATTTTTCAGAAACAAGGAGAAACACTTACCTTACGAGGACTGGGAGAGGTGACGACACCGTGCGCTAGAGCCTGACCGATAAAGCCAGCAAGAATTATAGATTTAACAAAAAAGTCCATATCGACGAGCAAGTTGTGGGGGCTGTCGACAGCTGTCAAACGAGTTTCATACCTACTAGATGCGTATTAATATGAAAGACGAAGAATCCATACCATGGATGCGACGAGCACCTCTGAGCGGACTACGTGATACATACCTAAGCGAAGAGAGGAAGCGGGCAATTTTCACGGTAAAGACACCATTGGAACAGCTTGGCGAGGCATCCGAAGCATACCACAAACAAATGACAGTATAATAAGGCCAATAAATCAGCGAGGACAGTCCGAGTTTCCGAGATTGAACCCGTCCCCGTCGTGAGGGAGCCATGACCAGAGAGATTTTGCACTCAACACTTCCTCAATAGAGCCAGGCAGCTGGGATGTTGTACGTCTCGAGATATTCTGAGTGAGTCTCCATGTAGGCCGTTCTTGGTTCACCGTTCTGATGTTCAACATTCAACATTGGTGAAATCTAGTCAGCAATGTGATTTGAAACTCGGATGATCCTCACGTGTGCGTGTGCTCGAATCAAGTCTCAAGACACCCTCGTCTCTCCCGAGCTTCTTCGAACAATGACCAGCCATCGAAAGACTCAGCGCTCGCGTATAGCATCCTATACTGTTCAGGCTATTCGAGAGCAATCACACGAAGTTTGACTCACTTGATAGCCACGGTCGGGCACCTGCTTAGAAACTCGAAACCTGCAGTGAGTCCATCAAAGTCTATCCGCAACTTTTCTACCTCTGTACACTGGATCCTGCAGTATTGACATCGTCCACTTGTAGTCTGACTTATGTAATACTATACTTTCTTCACCGTTATCGCCGGTCTCACTTGAACATTCTATGACCAAACCTGAGGATGACCTGTCCACTGGCATGGCGCAGGACATGGCGACACCGAGTGGGAGCCTCAACATTGCGGGGATGCAGACGAAGATCGACCGCGCGCACGGTCGAGTGGGTGTTGGAGGCAAACGAGGGCGATTTGGGGAGGAACATAGAGGCGCTTTTAGAGAAGGGCTGAAGGGTTTATGAGCGTTGGTTTGCTTTGATGAGGAGCCATCTCAGCCTCGTGGAATGCCGCCTCATGGGGTCGCATTCACACGTGCACATCACGCTGAACAATTTCTTTATGTATGAGCCAGGGATCTTGTTGCCCGGGATCCAGGTCAGAGACTCCATGGCCTCCACCACACGGGTGCGGCACTGCTTGTGGTACTGCAGCAGGCAGACGAATTTCGCCGCAGATGACGGACAAATTGGGTACAATCTGCCCGCTTGGTTTCTTCAGCATTTCCATCGCCGCCGCACCGGCGACCTCCACCAAATTGCGGCGCCATGCAAAAATGTATACGTCCACAGGCTCATGCACGACGAGCGCCTCCAGTGCGGCTTTTACTGCGCCCTTGAAACTCTTAATACTGTATTTGTCGAGTATGTTGGCTAAGGCGCGGATATCAGCGGTCATGGTGAGGGGTGGCATATCGCCGGGGTATATTGCACGGAGCAAAAGGTTGAGTGTGTGGTGATCGTCATCAAAGAGCACGACGGGCAGCCCGTAAGCACCCTCGCCATCAAAGGGTGCCACACAACGGGGATTGCCTGTCAGCACACCCGGCTGCTGGGTGGCTAATATGTCTTTGAAGTCGGGGATTGCAATTAGCAAGAGGGCGCTGTGGACCCGGGAATCCACAGTATCGGACGACCGAAGGATGATGTCACCATCGATGAAATCAATTGGTGGTACTACGACGCGAGTGGATGAGGAGTCTGACGAGGATTCAGACATGAGCTTGATGATGGTGGTCGTGCGCAGTGTGAGCTGCATACCAGAAATGGATAGTTGTTGTTCAAGATGAGCAGCAAGCCACGAGGTCTATTGATATTGATGAAAATGTGTATAAGCAAAATAGACGCCGCAAAATGAGGAATTCCGTGGCCCGCAACAGAAACAATCATAATGAAATTGTAACAGTGGCTCTAGTAAACGCCATCCATGTCTGAATGTCTGTAAATAACTATAAAGCAGATGAATATGACAAAATGAATACATTCACCATGTCAAGATACCAAAAGCATGATAGCTTAATGTCATTTCTCAATATCAATGTGGTGGCTGTGATCCCACGCTTGATTCCAAGTACAAAATTACGTGTCACAGAGGAGATGATCAATAGAGAGAGATAGATTAAAGGCACTGGACAAGATGGACGCAGAAGAAATATAAGATTATGGGGGGGTTGCGCATCCCCGGGTGTGCATCTGCTGCCGATTTTGAGCGAGGCCATCAAGAGTGTATATCCGATATGTCCGGCAATTCCAGGCTTCCTTAGTGACAGGTTCAAAGCCAAAAACCCCGACTGTGCCATGTGCAAGGTATTCACGGCAGGCAGGAACGCATGGGGTATCGAAGCTCGAGGCTCAAAATCCTATTGGCCTCGGAAAGCTTCTATCCCTAATAATCAGGGGGTTAGAAGAGTGAAGTTCACCTCGAGCAGTGGGAAGTCTGATGTGCTTTTACCTTGAAAAAGGCTATGTTCAGGAGTCAGATACAATTGGCTACCTTGGCACTTCCTGCTGTTAAAATTGCATGCGTCAGAGAGCCTGTGTGGCCACCCTTTTGACTTTGAAGAATCTTTGTATTTGGATGGAGGGAACGGAGAACGAGAGGCCGACCCAAAATGTCGAAATGCTCAGGGCTGCACGATTGTGGCAACGTCGCGGACTTTTCGGCACAGGGGCCCGATGCAAACTTCCGCTTCACACTTCGGGGCCTTGCAGGCCCGATGCTGCCCGACATTGCCTGATCAACTTGCCCTCGTTGCCTCTCCTTGCCTGCGGCATCATCCATCTCCTTTGGGCCACACATTGCCATTGTCGATCTACAAATCCTGATATTGATCAGCCTTTGGATTTCAATTCACCATGGGCTTCTGCAATAGCCGAGCTGTCCGAACATCGATGCTCGTTGCAACTTGCCGTCGCAGGTCGTCCGCTCACAACTTCAGGTTTATGGCCGTTTGTCCTGCTACATATTCGGAGCTTCAGTGAAGATCGAAGGCCGGTGCACGGAGAAAGGGAGAGAGAACTTTGTTTCCATCATGATCTGGACTCTAGTGACACTTAAACACGGAGCTGCTGTATCCTGGCACCGGCGGAGACGGTCCAGCCTCACAACGTCGCCGCACGTCGGGTCCACTGCGGCGCGGGGAAACCAACTCGGGCGGTGGCATCTGATGTTCCAGTGATGAGGAGCTTAAGACTCCGTATCGTGCTGTTTGTGCGTCTCGTTTGATCACCTTTGTTACACATGCCATTGGAATCAGCCTCACCCGACGTATACTTTTGACCAGAAGCAGGCCAGTTTGATATCATTTTAGCACGTGTCCCTCCAATCCTTGCGAGTATATCTCTAGTGCGATCATCCAGGATCATCCCAGATTTCATCTGAGCATCTTAAGCGCGCGATTTGACTACGATTTGACAGAAACCGACAAACAAGTACAAGTCAATGAAATCCGGAGTCACGGAATATCCTTAAGTGCTTCCATTGCAACATCAGATACGCTGTGATCTCAGGCTTAGGGTTTCTTTGGCATGTTAGAGCAAAGACACAGTTGAAAAGCTAAGTCTTACAATCAGTAGTTTCGCATTTCCGGTGGAGTCGAGTGAAGTTTCGTACCAGCTATATGTACGTGATGATGTCGTCACAGCTCCCCACGATGCTAACAGCGCTGTTCCAGCAGAAATCTTCACATGGCCGTGCATATTCTATACTGAAACAGGTCACGGATCCGAAGGCCAGGGTGGCTTCTCTTGGATGGGTCAGTTGAACCTTGATCTGAGGGCTCCATGAGAAACTCTGAGACACTTCGCATTTTGTCATGGCATTAACGCGGCGACCGGGTCACAGGCACCATGTGTACCTCTCTGTAGCCGTTCAGAACCTTTCTCTTAAAAGCACTATTCTGATCGTTGATGCGTGTGCGCCCTCTGATCAGTTGTTCCCCACGCTCCACCGTAAGTGTTCCGGACGCTGGTAAGTGACCATGGGCATTCCCCTCATCAACGCGGAGCTGCTCGCTCTGTTTCTTGAAACATTTGCATATGGTGAGCTCTTTTGCCACGTTTTTATCTTTAGTTCACTGAGAAACATGATACTCCTTGTCAGCTATCTTTGTCCTGCTTGACTGCGTCACGATTCCGATCCTTATTTGGCGTCGCGCGGAGGTCGCACGAACAAGTAGGATACTACTTCCTGTTGCAGTGTTGATGTTGCTCATCGCGACGGCGGTAAATGGCAATACCCTATTTTACATCTGGTTCTGACATGCAAATCATGTGTAGCACATTGTCATCGACTTCTATAGAGCATACGTCGCCTTCACCACGGGGCGGTTACAGCCTGGGGACACTTCGACCACCTTTTACGAGAATCTGGCAGACCCTCTCTTTATCACCAAGAGTGCCCTGTACTGGTTGCAGACAACGCTCGGAGACAGCGTCATTGTGAGTCGCCTCTAATACCATTAATATATTGTCGACAGCTCCTCACGTTTGGCATTTGACAATTAAGATCTGGCGTTGTTTCATCGTCTTCGCGAAGCGTTGGTTGGTCGTGGTATTTCCAGTGCTCCTCATGGTTCCCGCCCTTGGTATGTAAGGGGATCTTGACAGTTTAAAGACCCTCGCATGTCCTGACAGCCTTGATTCAGTTGCTCTGGTCATCATCCTCCGGACATGGAGCACTTCCATCCCTGGAACCCCCATATTTTTCACCGCTACACAGTGGATCACAGCTTATTTCGTCATCACAATGTGCATTAACATCTACTGCACAGGCGCGCTTTTCGTCCCTTTCAACGACAATATCTTCGACTGATATGCATGATCTCACAGGTCTGATTGCCTGGAGGATTTACAACACTGGAAGATTTCGGCCAAGCGCTGGCAATATGATGCCGATTATTGTCGTGCTCATCGAAAGCGGGGCTCTCTACACGTCCAGTGTCATAGCAATGCTCTGTAGCTACCTCTCGGGCTCGAATGGACAGTACCCGGCCTTAGATTTGATCACACCCCTCGTAGTGAGTTTTCGCAGCCCCGCCATCTCGCTGTATCCTTATTCGCTTCCTAACCCCGCGCTGCTGCGCAGGGTATCGTGTTCTGCCTCATCATCCTGCAAATTCGGTACCACTTCAACATGCCGTCCTCGGCCTCGGCGTCATCCAATTATCGTTCAGGCTCGAATCGTACCGAATGGGGGCAACATGGCGACTCTGGAGCACCTATATACCCACTCAACCCGATTGCCATTGAGATCACAACACATAGGGAGCAAGCTGGATCTAGTATGGTCATCCCGCAGTCGTCAACGAAAAAAGACATCGAGGCGCGGTCTGATTCGATATAAGTTGTATCATACCTATGGACTTTTCTTGGGATGTAACGACTAGTGATATATGCGAAGGGTATATATAACGTGCCATGGAGACTCCAGTTTGGTTTCTGAGGATCCAGGCCCCAGGGGTATGATGACGGTATTGTCGACATCAGTGCCCCGTAGAGTTCAATCACCGCAACACCAATGACCGATGGATCTCTCACTTGACTTTTGCATGATTGGCCAGTCAAATTTTAGTCACAAAACTGGGTTTTCGTCAAAATATAATCAAGTTTGACTAGGACGTGACGGTAGCACGAAGATCACACGAATTCCATTTTTACTGAGCGTGCCAGCTGATCGTGATGCGTGGGCAGCGATAGTACGAGAATGAAACATCTGATATTCGTACAATTCCATGTCATACGAGACATCTTTAGCGTACAGGATTCCGAGGTTAAAACTTAAGGTGTCTTGAACTGAGAGATGGTAGAGAGATGGTAGCTGGTTTGTAATGTTTAGCGGACAACTGAACGCCAAGGCTGAGGAAACGCACTGGAAGCAGCCTCAATATCGTTGATAGTACATACACAAAGATGTGAAATTTTCTAGGGAGACAGTCTGTGTACTTGATCAATGGGGTGGCAGGTGGGCGACAGATGGATCAGTAGCGCTCACCGAACGATGACAGAAAGATATCCAAAAATAGAGATGCCCGAAACGAAACGTTGAGATCAAAAAGGCAAAGGGACCTACAGAAACGCAAAAGGAGATCAGACGTGGGAAAGTTTTAGTACGGGTGAGGTTGGATAATGCACCTGTTCAATGGCTGATCGAATTTTGTCGGCAAGCAGCTGGCTGAACTTGTGCATCTGCAAGTCAACCGCAGTCCTTTCGCAATGCATGCATTCCTCAGCCATTTTTATGAACGGTGTGAGCATCCGGTCCTCAAGGACTGTCTCCCAATGAGGACGATCTCTCAAACCCCTTTCGCAACGCCGCAAGTAACCCGTGACCTATACATGTGGAACGGTTAGAAATTTTCGAGGCCCAGATTCTGCATGCCGACACCAACCCAATCGGTCACTTTGTACATGGAGATGGTGGGCGCTGGCCCGTTGGGGGAGCCGCGCTTCCTACCGTATCTGCTAATAGCCCACTTTTCGCCGCGGGAGCAGGTGCATCCGGGCGGAGGCGACGATCCATCTTCGACAGCGCTAGGTATAGAACGGCCATCCATCCAAAGCAGAGATTGAACAACTGCAGCAGCACGTTCGCTGCACTGTTGATGATACAGCAGCAGCCTGCGGTATTTTGCAGCAGATATGTACGATAGGTCTTCATCGCTGGGGTAAGGGCCGGAATAAAGTATAGGGTCCCGCAGTGTCAGCTTAGCCGCGGCGTTCGCGACCTTTGGAAGGTCATAGCGACAAGCGATGACGCAGATCGTCTGAGGCTCTCTTTCGATGCCTCCCATGAGAATGTTCTCTATCGTTTCCGGGAAACCGTCGACAAGATATTTGTCCAGTGCTCGTAACACCGCTCGAATGTCGACTATCGAAGTAATCTTCGGGCTGTCCACGGGGTAAAACAGCCTGAACATCATATCCAAAACGCTACTGTTTTCAGACAGGTGCACGACAAGACGGCCGTCTTTGTAGTCGTCTTCGGGGTGCTGGCTGCTTGAGTACATAGGGGGAGGCAGCGCGAACATATCTCTAAAGGTTCGAGATGCCTTGGCTAGAATGACCTTGTGCACATGGAATTCCACGTTATCAGAGGAACGGATGGTGAGATCAGCGTCCACGTCGTTGAAAGGGGAGCCTGCTGGATGAAAGAGGGTCGGGGAGTCGGGCTGATCGTCGTACCCAGATGATGAAGTCGTCATGATGTGCCTGTGGTCCTCTTAGTGAGCGAACAAGCTGCATCTTGGCAAAGGGCCCTACCTGCACCGTATAAAATCACCCTAGTACACTGCAAGGTATACAGTACGTATATGAGCAAGGAGCATGGGCATGGGGCTGCTGACGCCATGGGCGTCAAAGCAACCGTACAACTTGAGTGCGCATTACCTGCCAGGGTGGAATACTGATCTTTGGGCCAGTGAAATGAGATCGCTTGAAGTAAATAGATAGCAATAGTACGTTTTGCTGACTGACCTTGTCTCATAGGAGAATTTCAATCTTGGAGAGAGCAATAGGTTTTAAAAGGCTCACCGGACAGACTGGGTACCACTAATGCCGAGCATTCCTCAAGAACAATTTGTCAGCTCGGCTTATTGTTAAGTAGCCGTCGTCAGCCATCCAATATCAGTCCAATATCCAACTCTTCCTCCCTCCCATGCATGCTACGAGATGCTACGGGTACAATGAGTATCGGACTCCCCTCATATGTTTGATTTATCCTGGCAATCGACCATCTATTTCAATGCATCAGCCCGTTCTGATGTCGCTCGATGGTCTTCCTAAGCGCTTGATGCGTCGAGTTCGCTCGCGAATGCACCGGACCTTTGACGCTGATGCCTATCAAGGAAAACCGCATCCGCCTTCCCATTTGAACTCTTCTCTCCGTAAGAACTGCCGTGAATAGCACGGAGCCCATTGGCACCTTTGCGGAGCTTCGCTGGACCCAAGTATTCACCTCGTGGCCGTCTCTTAAAGCCTTGCCTGTCTTCTGATCGTCTTGATGCCCTTCCCTTGGTCTGCTCACTGCCCTTGACACTCTGTCTGTCTGTGCATTACCTGTGCGAGATGAACATTCCGCTTGACAAAGCTGAGTTCTTGGCCCTCTTCTTGGAGACTTTCGCGTATGGTACGATAGATTTTATGACAACGACCTTCTCGTGGGTGTTTCACACTCAGTTGACTCGGCTAGGTGTTTTCTTTGCGCTGTGCTGGATCACTGTGCACATTCTATTTTGGAACCGCAAAGATGGCATCCGCACAGGGGGCTTCCTGCTTTACGTCGCGTTATTCATGCTCGTGTTGGCCACGGCAGTATGTGAACAGTCTTGTCATCCCCTACTTTGCGCAGCCAGGCTGACTGACGGTCTTTCCATGTGGGTGCTGATTAACATGAATAGCACCTTATCATCGACTTTGTCAGAGCTATCAATGCGTTCTTGCTTCTCAACCCCGGAGGCGATAGCAGCGCCAGCGCTGACAGCTACTACGGCAATCTCGGTGATCCCCTTTTCATAGCCAAAACCGTCCTGTATTGGAGCCAGACATTGTGTGGCGATAGTGTCATAGTACGTGCATTCTATCCCCTTGAGCTATAGATTTTCAAGGTTGGTCTGTTTCCTATATTCTCCCAGATCTGGCGTTGCTATATGGTCTACGGAAGACAATTTCTGATGATCGTGCCTCCGATTCTCTTTATGTTTCCAGCATTCGGTAAGCTACATGCTCGACTTCCTCTCTACTGACCTAACATTCCGAATCCTCAGCCGCTGGTGTGATCATTATCAACGACTGGGTACACACCGCGCCTGGCACGCCCATTTTTGTGACGGAAACCCACTGGATTACGACGTTCTTCGTCGTGACTATGACCATCAACATATATTGCACGGGTGCGCGCCTTTTTTCCTCATACGTTCACATCCACAGATGTTGAATATGTGGCAGCGATGATCTCATGGCGCATTTACTCAACCGGTCGATTTAGATCAGGCATGGGCTTGCATATGGGTAGCCTTTTCCCAGTCATGATCGTAATCATTGAAAGCGGAGCACTCTATACCTCTGGAATCATCGCTTTTCTCTGTACATATCTCGCCGGCTCGAACGGCCAATATCCTGCCTTGGACCTCATCACTCCCCTCGTGGTACGTACTTGGTACGGACTTGAATGAGGTGTTCGAGGCGCTGACTTGAAACAACAGGGCATCGTTTTCTGTCTCATCATTCTGCAAGTGCGCTTCAACTCCAGCAGCTTCTCGTCTTCGAGTAGCATACCCACAGGATCAGCTAGCCGTCCAATCGCATGGGGTCGCCGCGGGGGCCGTTCAGCCGCATCCGGACTGACCACAACCGAGAATGGACCTTCTGAATATCCCTTAGGACCAATATCCATCGATATTACGACGCATACGGAGGACCACTCGTCTTTCAATGAGATGAAGGCTGAAAGTAAGAGTAAGGCGGCGCAAACTGAGAACAATATTGTATGAATTTTCGCAGGCTATAATGATCATCTTGATAGCCATTGTAGGTGAAATTGTGCACAAGGCATATTCATGGATCGTATCGTAGCGGCACTCTGGTGCCAGTCCCCGACTCGATCAGAGTGGAAAATCAAATGTATTGCTCGTACGTATATATGAGTACATATTGCACCATGGTGTTTTCAATAGAGAGATGAACTTTTGTACTACTACAAAAAGACTGCATAGGAATAAGCTCATGCAGTGTCGACCACGTCGTCCTGCACATCATCGCACACAACCTACTCTACGGCTTGTTGCCCTCCCACTACCCCTCCTTCGACAGGTAGTCCTCGGTGGTGTTCAGCACCTTCGGCAACGGTGGAGGGCTGCCTTGCGGCGTGGTCTGTGCTCTTGATGTGCCCGGCACGTCGTTGGGCTGCTTGCCATGCGCAGTGTGGAAGGATGGAAAGGAGGTAAAGAGGCTGTGGGGCGGGGCATGTGCAGGGTGCCGCCACTCGCAGGGTACCAGCTAGTACCGGCGAGTGTACTCCGGCAGACGTATGTACAGCCCGTGGTCGAGCGGGACGAGCTGCGGTCTGTTCGGATGCGCGAGCGGCAGGTGTGCGCGGACCAGTACGTTGCCCGGATGCGGGTCGCAGCTGCTGCTGGGAGTGGGGTTGTGGGGCGCATTTACTGTCTAAACTGATAGTCAGCAGCCTCGTGCGACGACAATGAAAGGAGAACAAGGAGGGATAGCTGCCGAGCGCCATGGGGTCACGGTCAAACGCACCCCACCTACGGCCACGCGGGGCCCTAAGCGTGCATGCGTTGAGGATGAGGAGCTCAATGAAGGCGTCATTGATAGAGATCTGCACGAGGCTGCGAAAGACGGCGCACTTGTGCTTGGCGCGGGCACTGTAGATGCACTGCAGCAACCGCAGGTGCAGGTGCTGCAGAATCCGTGGAGGGGCCTCTGTCAGAGTCAGCAAGATTCACACCTGTAGGCTGGTCGGTCGATGTTGGAGGGGGAGATGATCCTTCACTCGATGGCAATTCATTTCGCCCATGGATGGGAGTGCTGAACGCTTAACACCTGTGGCAGGCCGACAATGTTGGCCTTCATGTCTGATAGTGCGTTTGCGAGAGGAAGCATCTGCAGCGGCTGCAGCGTGGGGAGCAGTTGCTAGAAGATGGGCGGGGCGGGTGTGAGCGCCGCAAGCGCCAGGTGGCGCACGTCCGCGGCCATCTCCGCCCAGATGTGTTGCGCCTGCGCCGCAGCCATCCCCGCCCAGCTTCATGTTGAGGAAGCACTCGTGACTCAAATTACGTGCTCGACGGTGCACGAGAATGAATACACCTCGTCAGAGGATCTCCTCCAATTGATATTTCTCCTCCAATTGACATGTCTCGATGAAATACTTACAGCTAGATTCATAACAATAGGCCCAAGCTTCAGGAAAATGTACTTAGTCGGAGCATCAAATTTGAGACCCATACAGCATACGACTGGGGAGAAGGGAGCGGACAACATGCTGCCTCTGAACGAGGCCCTTTCCCTTCAAGCGTGGATCCCGAATCCATTCTCAATTTCTCCTACCAAGAATTCCGGTCCACTGACACCATATTTTACGCTCTAGCTATACCTTAATTCACTGCCAATTTCTATCCGCACTAGCCAGTCCGAAAATAAAACTACAGATGTAACTTATCACAAAATTGTGTAATCAGTAACACTACACGCTCGAAACACCGGAGCTTCGCTCCGATGTGTCTTGTGTAGACTCAGAATCTCATCATGGGTGCCTTTCGTCTCGGTCATAACGCTGCCCAACATTTCACAAATATCCTAGAAAAGTCAAGTCGCGAGTTCGTTTCGATACTGATCTGCTCGTAAGTCCTCTCGCTTTATGGTATCGTTCGAGCTGAATCAATCACGAATGTTTTTGAGAAGATCGATGGAGGAAGCATAGTACGAAACCCAATCAAACAAAAGGGTCTCCACTTCTCAAGTCGTCAGGGTTCCTGATGGATATTGAAATGTACGATCAGACGGAGTGGAGTATATACATACTGTGAGAAGGACAGAGTCCGGGAATCAGCAGACAACCCAAACTTAGCTCACAGCATAGACGGGTCAGGCTAAATATGATGTGTAAATTTTTAAAACGGCGTTTCTAGATCAACCTAGATTGCATTGTTCAGTCCAGTTCACGTTGAGCCTCGAAGCGGAAACTCACCATTGAAATCACTCGATCTATTTCCTGGGCGAAACGACGAGTGAAGTGCTCCATAGAAGCGCTTGCCTCTGGTTTGCAGGCGGTGCACTCGGCCGCGTCCATCAAGGAGGGTGAGATGAGCTCGAGACTAGTGACAGTCGATGCGCAGGGTCGTGTTTTCAAGGCAACTTGAGCTCTTCCCATGTATTCCCACCACCAAATGCGAGACATGATGACGACGTTGTTTGCCATAGTGTCAGACTGTCCGCCGCACTCGCAAATCGTTGACAGACAGCATGGAAGGTCTTCAGCGGTGATCCACGTTTTGTCGGATACTAACTGCTGCACAGACGCGATACACGCGCGCTGGTACTGTAGCAGTTTCTGGACAGCCATTCCCGAGATACTTAAGAACTCTACTATATCCGGGCCTGGGAGAAACGGCTGGCGTAGTGTGTGTTTCGCCGCTGCGACCGTCACGTCCTTCATCTCGTAGGCCCATGCGATGGCAAAGACGCGCTCAGGCTGCTCTTGAGCAAATTGCATAAGTCTGGATATAAGCGCGCTCCGGACGTTTTCTAGTTGATATTTGTGCGCTATCCGAAGAATCTTCTTCATGTCTTCAAAATCATCTAACGGGGGATCGGGTAACGGATAGCAGAAGTGCAGCATCAGGTTAAGCGACCGCTCGTCGTCATCCACAAGAACGACCAGAAGGCCCTGTTTCACTTCGTCCCTGCCGGCCCCGAGCCCCGAGTGGCTTCCTGGTGGTGGTAGAGTGAACATGTCTTTGAATATGGGAGATGCGATGGAGAGTATCAACTTGTGGACGTTGAAATCCACCTTGTCATTGGACCGGAGTATGATATCTGCACTGGCGTCATCAAAGGGAGGGCCAAAATCTTCAAATTCTGGGTCTACCGCGGTCGAGGTGTAAGAAGTGTGTCGAGAAAAGTCGAGAAGCGACATCGCATAGAACTGTGGATTTCAGCACGAGTGAGAATTCTGACAGCAAACACGACGATGAAGGGCCTGACAATTATTGAAATTACCTAGGCCTCTTCATTCAGGACGATCAGGAGATTCTCTAATGGGCCAACTGAGGCCTAGCAGTCAAATTAAATAGTGCAGTGGCTGTCGTTCGGTGCGCTGTGTGCTGCTTGATTATTTTCAATGAGATAGAGACGCAGTGGTGCTGTCGTGGTTGGGAATGTGGATGCGCGCTTGTTCGGCGTTCGGGGAAGTCGGCCAAGCCTCAATTTGCGCTGACGACAGAGATTTGGCGCTAAAATCGACCAAATAGAGGCCATGATGGAATCTTGGATCTAAGATTGCGACGACACACGGTCCCCGAGATATGTCATTTTCAACGTACACAACGCCTAGCGGTGAGTTTATGGTTTTGTACGAGTTGATATATGCCCACAAACGAGCCTGACAGGGTTTCTCCTACCATCCATCCATTCTGCGCCCCCGTTCTTCACGTCAGTACCTCGATTCTCAAGCGCTTAAACAGACGTTGAGATCTTGCCTCGTATCTGGCTCTTAGACAGCAACTGAACGAGTCTACGCAAGCTATTCTTACGGAGCAATGGATACGCCTTATACTAGCATATGCACGGCATCGGCGGTTGTTCGTGCTGAGGATTGAAGATGCAGAAACGAGAGGAGGGGATTGGGACGAAGTGTTCCGAAACGACAGGATTAACAGTGCGTCCTCTCTGAACCTCATGAGCTTCACTATAGATATCCGTAACATTGAAATCCACGGTAGGGAGACTTCTTCCATCACACTTGGATTTCATCATGTCGTCCATGGTCAGCAAGGATCTGGCCTCTTCCGACCCTCCGAAGCAGAGTCGCTCTGTTATTTTACATTGGAGATTACCAGAAGAATGGGCCGATGTACTTCATGAATGGGTGAGTCGTATCCTCTTGTCTGTGCCTTTTTCTATCTCACCACATCACTCCGCAACATCACAGGCAACAAGCACGGGCCAGCTCAATACCATCATGACGTTTTACGAAATAACAGAACCACCGATAGAGTCGCCCCTCTCCGGAATCCCCATACCTCTTCTGCGAAAAGCAATTGCGATGTTATCGAAGACTGGAAGAGCGCAGATCATCTCTATCGCTGATGGAGAGGGCGTGCGGTTCTTCTCGGGTAGTGGAAAGTGACATCAGTTGTTGTATCAATCTCACTCATCGTGTACCCACTTAGATGTAACAGAACTTTCACAGCAAGAGGTAGCCAATATAATATTTCTCGTCTTGTTGCCTCTGCAGTCCAGATCTTATCTTATCGCTTTGGCACATCTTATCAATGTTTGTAAGCCAGAGAGAACGCGTCTGTGGCTGAGGCCTGAGAGTGCCTGAGGCTTACCGCGTTTCTTTCCCTCCCTCCATGAGGCTTGCATGGTCACCATCAAACTTTTAATCGTCTCTCAAAGTCAATCACCATGGTCTGCTTAACTATACATTGCAATGTTTGCTTCAGGGATTGTTCCCTTCACAAAGTCCGTTCCCTGCGATGCGGTGTGTACCGCCATGAGTTTCGGAGTCGATGCAATTGAACCGGTTTGAACTACTAGGCCATACATACTGCAATCCATGCATCATGCTTTTATCGAGCAACGCCAGGAAGGATCGCAAGGAACTGCTTTGTCCAGAATGCCGCTCGCCTTTCGCCGAGCAGGATCTTCGACGTGTTTTCTTGACGCCGGGTGGATTCGATGGAGAGTCCAGCAGTCAGGCCGTCGCTGAATCTTCAGAACATAATCAACGCCTGGTTCAGCATGCCCAGCATGTTTCTGATGCTCTCTTTAAACTGGACGTTCATGCGAACCCGGCCAAGGTGCAGGAAGTTCAGCGCGATATCCAGGTCGTAGCAGAGGCGATAAGCGCAGAGCCAGTAGTTGGAGGGGCAGCGGTGAGCCATATCAAGTGACCTATCTTGGTGTTCCTGAAATGCGTTTCAGAGTATAATTTGGAACGAACTACAAGCTTTCAAGCAACGTCTCGTCCCGTTGTTCCACCAGGTGGCAGAGCAGGCGGCTCAGCTCCGAGCTCTTCGTGAAGAAGCAGATAGGAAAGCAAGAGATAACGAGAAGCTGTTGAAGGAGGCGCTTCGAGCGGTGGAGCGGGCCAACAAGCATGCTGCAGAGCGCGAGCGCGGGCAACTGGAGCGAGAGGCCCTGATCATCAAGCTGAAGGCCGAGAATGCTGAGCTGCGCGTAGCACGCGAAGAAGTCCAATCTGAGTACGATAGGATTGAAGGCGACAACCGTCGATACAAGGGCATGCTTGAGGAGCACAAGAAGGCGGTGAGTGTCTGGGCACTCTGTCAGCTTGGCACCAAGACTGATTCCTCGCCTTGTGTCATGCAGGAGAATCGAACCAAAGCCGACCTTCATAGTTTGAAGCAGAAGACGAAGCAACAAGCTTCCGAGATCGAGCGTCTCAAGAGGAGCGCGCCCCAGAACGAGGATGAGACGCTCGTTGTTCTTGCCCCAGGCTCAGACGAGTTCCCTGGCCCATATCTTGTTGATCTGCAAGACCAAGGTGGCGGGCTGTCGCAAAGGAAACGTCGGAAGGTGAAAGACTGTCCTAAAATACACCAAGCAGCACGACTACTCATTCGCTGTTAGCTTGAGAAGCCCTTCTTCACCTCAGATAACGAGCTCTCGTCAACCGAACACACTCTCCCTGCGTGCTCCTCCCCGCCACAATCGCCAACCCTTTTCGCAGGCTTTCTCCCACCCCCATCGCATCGTGCGGCTCGTGCGGTCAAGAAGTCGCGGCACTCAAAACAAGCACTGTCAAAATCAAGACCTAATCCAAGCATGGAAGAGCCTCCACTTGCACGCCCTCGGTTTGGCTCAGATTGGGTGCTGCCAAAACCTGACGGGACCGATAAGCGCAAGATGGTTCGTTCAGATTCCAGGAAGTTGCCGTTCCCTGTGGATGTGAATGGAAAGGCGAAGGGTACATTGCAATTAGGCTCGCGGAAAAAGATGTCGAAATAGGTTGCTACCAGGAGTGAAGATCAGGTTGATTCAGATATGCTGTTAATATACCAACACTTCAACTTAAAGCTTAAAGTCAAGGAGCGCGGACGACAATGTTCAGAGCGGATGGATTCCAAACAAAAAAAAAAAAGTCTAAAATCAAATATGCATGCATTAAGAGGGAATTGAACCCCCGGCGGGTCGATGGCAACGACCCAGGTTACCACTACCCCATTAATGCTTGTGATAAATTAACTTCTCAAATGCTGATGATGATCCTATTTACCAGAATTCTTGCACTGCTCACAGTAATTGATCTTGTTAGTTAACAAGCACAATAGAGTATTCTTAATGTGTAGCCAAAAACAAATCAAACATCATTGTGCGGGGAGTATGGTGATGCACGGGGCGTACGGTAAGATTTGGACTCCGAGGAGCCCGAGTTGGCCTTGATCTCAGCAAATGCGATTCTCCTTCATACAACGATGCTCGTCCTCATCCATCTTCCGCCCTTCTTTCTCTTCGTTCAGACAAGGCTTCTCTCCAAGTACACGTCTTGGTTTGATCGGTGCTCGACGGATTTCTCCTGATAACTGCTCTCAACGCCGACATCAGCATGTATACCGCCGACAATACTCGTCTCAGGCCCCAACACCGACACCACCACCAGCGAGCACAGATCCGGAGAGAAAGCCCACCTTGCGTGAAAACATCTATACGCTCCCAAATTTCTTGACATTGTCGCGCATCGCTGCCTGCCCCATCCTGGGCTGGTCTATCCTCGCCGACGACTTCGTGCTCGCGACAGGTCTGCTTGCTTATGCAGGCATAACCGACTTGGTGCGCCGCGTTATTCCTTCTTTACAGTTGATCGAGCTGAAGCCTGAAATTGAAACGCGTGCAGGTGGATGGCTTTCTTGCTCGACGATATAATATGCAGTCCGTCCTTGGGACTATCCTCGACCCTGCCGCTGACAAGACCCTCATGACGACTCTCGCAGTCACCCTGACCATGAAGGGCCTACTACCACGTACGTGGTTGGATCTCTCGGGAGCTGAAATTGGTTCAAATAGTTGTTTTACCGTTTCATCTCATATTTCTTACGACACGCAGTGCCGCTTACCGTCATCATACTGGGACGCGACGTTCTCTTGAGTCTATCTGCATTCTACATCCGCTACACGTCTCTCCCGACTCCTGTGCGCCTTATCATATTTTCATCCGAATCAAACACCTAACTCTTTATGACATCAACCAATCTCGTCCAGAAAACATTTCAGAGATATTGGGACTTCTCCATCCCTTCTGCTGAAGTTCGCCCAACAACCATTAGCAAGGTAAATATAACTTTCGGATTGTCTTGCTTATTCTTGTACACGATGCCTACTGATGTGCGCCTTCTATCTATACAGGTGAATACTGCTCTCCAGCTATTCCTCATGGGAACTACGACCATAAGCCCCATTCTCCCATTCGATATCGGGCTTTTCTCCCAAGGATTACAGTGCGTGACATCCCTTTTGATTTGTGTACCTAGTCTCGTTGACACAGACCACTTATGTCTATCGATGACGGGACAGATGGACAGTTGCAACGACGACCATCTGGAGTGGTCTATCCTACGTGTTTTCGAAGAACGCTGTTCGTGTCATCTCTGTTAGTCGCAAACCCAAGACCCCATCTTCATAAGTCATACTTCTGTGTTGTTCCACTACTTCCTGGCACGAGTACGTCGCACTGGATCCTATACAATACACCCATATCGACACAATAAATGACATGCATAATCAACACACGGCAGGATAGTCAACACGCATTACACGAAGACCCCACTCCACAACAAGAAGGTGCGATAATCGTAGGTATGGAACGCTCTAGAATACGTCATACAAGTACTGTACAGCAAAAGGAAAAGAGAAGCCGAGAGATCCGAAAAAATCAAAAGAAACTATGAAGTCCGCTGTCTGCTTGGACCAGGTTGTACGCGCCGTCGCCTTACATCCTCCAGCGCCGCTCGCAACAAGGGTTTCGACGCGCGTTCTTCCCGCCACTTATCGCTGGATCGTCTGTTCATTCAATGTCAGCTATGGGGGATCTTTCATTCGAAGCGATGGAATGGATTAACGTACCCAACGCGGGCTAAGAATATCAGACTCATCGCAATAGCTTTCAATGGTCGTCTCCTCGGCTTTGGAACGGAATCGACGACAGGGAATCCAATTTGCGCGATCGCCGCGAGAACTTTCCGGTCGCTGGAAATACAGTCAACTCCCATGTTACGAGATAGAAGAAATGGGGGTGTGGCTCACCCGCGCTCGTGCCGGGTCAGTAGTACCAGCAGATACTTCTTCTGTTCGCTCAAGCCCACACGCAGCACGTTCTCCCGTGTCCACTTGGCCTTGAGGTAACGGATCTGGAGCATCAGGCCTCTAGCCTCTTCCTTGTGTTGTGCGCGAAGCGCGCCGACAGCTGAAGCGTCCCTAGGTTCATAAGAAAAATGAGACTCTTTTCTCCATCTCACAAAAGAAACACTTACGTGGCACAGACGTGCTTCGCCCAATTGTTCAGCTCGTCTTCAAGTGCCTCGGTCCGTTCACGAAGGACCCTGACTTCGGCCGTCGCCTGCTTCCTGGCCCTCTCGACATTCTGTACCTCTCGCTTCGTATGCTCAAGCTCTCTCTTCACCTCGCCTGCCTTCGCCTTCTCCGCCTTCCTTTCCTCCTCTCTCTTCTCCCTCTGGGCCCGCAAGTCCTTCCCGAGGGCTTCTGCAGAGCGACGCACACGGGCAAGGTCCGCCTCCAGAGCAGCGATCTCCCTTTCCCTCTCTCTGTACTCCTGGTCTTTATCTTTGGAAGAAACGCGGCGGGCATCAGACTTCGCCGCCTCAGAGGCCTTGAGCGCATCTGTGCGTTCTGCCAATTGCTGCTTCAAGTCCTCAATCTCGAGCAGATGCAGATCGAGCGCGTGTCGGCGGTTCTCATGCGAATTTTGCGAGGCAGCATGCTCGTCTCGGAGCTTCTTCATCCGCTGGATCGAGTTTATAAAATTAGTGACAATGCTCGATCTTGTTGCTACGAATGACGTACCTCGGACACCTCGGTGAAGCGGCGTTGAAGCGACTTGTGATCAGCGGCCAAAAGGGTGCGCTCTTGTCGCAGTTGTTCAATGGTCTCCATGTTCTCCGCCGCTTTGGCTTCGAGCAAGCGTGCCTTTTGATCGGCGATTGCGTTGACTGGAAGTCAACCTCATCAGCAGACCATTTGCACAAATGTGCAGCGACCTTACCTCGCAGCTCAGCCTCGAGTTCATGATTGTTTTTCTTGACACGCTGCAGTTGCTGCTTGATGTCCTCCATATCCTATGTTGAGTTGCGATCAGATGCAGAACGAACATGACGAGTTTGGTACGAGTAGTATACTCACAGACTCCGCCCGCCGCAGTTGCAGAAGGACGTCAGACTTTTCTCGGTCGACCTGTCGCTGTTCAGTGCTCAACGATCTCAAACGTGTACGCTCGCTTTTCAAGGCCTCCTCGAGGTCTGAGATTACGTGGTTTGCCTGATCCAACTCCTGTCGACTTCTTCAGCACACGCCTATGTAGAGCTGAATGGATCACATACTCCTTGTATTCCAGCCTTCGCCTTCTCTCCGGCGCGCTCTTTGGCGGCAATGCGATCCTTTGCATCCTGAACCTGGAGGTTCAGTCGGTGAGTAGCATCTTGGAGAGCGGCCTTATCACCAAGAAGCTGTCGCTTCTCGTCTTCCCACTGTCTTTTCATGGTCTTCAATCGCTGATTCACAGTCTGTAGCTCGGCGCGAAGGGTCTCAGATGTCTTCGAGGTAGAAGCGGGATGTTCAGACATTAAACCCAGTGAAGAGAAGTCTATAGAACTAGTATCCACGTCAGCTCATTTCTTGTGTGAAACGAAAGAACATGCCTCTCATCGCCTTCAGCAGCTCTGTTCAGGCTGCGCAAGTCGACCTTGCTACGACATTTTGGGCATCGAGCTTTTTCTAGTCGGTGAACTCGGCGTTCTTCCCGCCTTACCAGACGTGCGACATCTTCCTCCAATGTGGAGTTCCGGGCTCTTTCGTCCTCGAGCTGCTGTGTCAGTTCCACAACACCGAAGCCAGCGTCCCAGAGTCGATCGAGTTTTTCGTCAATGTCTTCGTTGGCGCGATCGAGCTCTTTCTGTAGGTGTGCGATTCCCGTGGCGTAGGCGGTGGCGGACGGCTCTCCCATGCTAGGATGCAGCCATGACATCTATCGAATGGGTTTTAATGATAACTCCTGAGAATGTCGAAAGCGAACTTACATCCTTCAGAGGTCCACCGGGAGTCTTGGGGGTCTTCATCGTCATATTGAGCAGTTGACGATGGAAGGGCGACATTGCACTGCTGTTGGCACCCTTGCTTGGAGTACTCATACTGATCATAGCACTCTTCATGTTTTTGATCCGTTCCAGCAACTCGCCCTTTTCCTTCTCGAGCATCTCAATCCGACTTTCCCTGGATTTCTCAATCGCTCTGCGAGCGGGCGACTGTGATAGCTGGGCATTGAGGCGGCCGATCTCTCTGTGGGCATTGTCGAGTTCATTTTCGAGGGCTTCAACTTGACCCATCGCCTCTTCCACTGCTGCATCCTGGTTCATAGAAGGGTCTATGCGTGAACGCGTATGGTCGCGTTCACGCTCGCGGTCGAGGGTTGCGATCTTGTTGCGTAGCTCTGCTATAGTTCCTTCATCGGCTTGTATTTTTGTTTCTGCTGCCTCTAGTGCCTCCTCTAACTGCCGGGCGAGCTCAGCGTTGCGATCAGCTTCCTCTTCCAATCGACCCATCTCCTCATTCATTTGGTTCTCCGACACCATAGCATCCTTGAGCTGGTCGTGAGCTGAGGCCAATTCGTCCTTGAGGGCCCGAGCATTCTCGCTTGCAGTAGCGACGTCACTCTCCAAGCCAGCGATGTAGGTTTGGGCATGGTTTAACTTGTCCTGCGTCTTGTGAAGGGCTGTTGCCTTATCGGCGAGCTGGCGTTCGGTATCTGCAAGAGTGACTTCTTTCTCGTCAAGCTCCTCCTTGAGTTTCTGGATGCGGACACGATCCTCTTTAGCGGTTTGTTCGAGGGCGGCTGCCCGATCGCCCGAACGAGTAGTCTCCGTCTCAAGACGCTCAATCTGAGCCTGAGCCTCTCTCAATTCAGCCATCACCTTCCCCAGTCTCTCGTTCGCCTCTCTGAGCTCTCCACTGAAGCCAGCCTCGTGTTCCAGCATCCTTTCAGCCTTCCCAGCCCTTTGCTCTGAGAATTGCCGTTCGGCTTCGGAGTCCTCCAACGCCCTCTGCAGCTCCTTTATTTTTGTCTCGCGCGCCTCGACGCCGTTGGCTCTCTCCACCGCCGCTTCCAACTTGGCCTCGAGATCTCCCACAATTTGTGTCACACCGCGCTCCACCTCGTCCATCCTCCTCTTCCACTGCTCCTTATCCTTTGTGCGCTCGGCCTGCTGCTCCTCAAGCTGTTGCAAAGCCTCCTCCCTCTCTTGCATGCAGATATCAAATTGCTCCCTCAATCCTTCCAGCTCCTCCTCCATTGCAACTTTCTCCTCCATCCACCCTTCCCCACCAACATCTTCTGCCACATGGCCTAGCGTGGTCCCGATATCGCTGACGCGTCTGATGCCACTGACCCTTCTACCCTCACCCCTTCTCGTCTCCCCTTTGAGACTATCTATTTCCCCCAACAGCATCGCGATTTCCTCCTTCAGCGCGATGTTCGTCGTTGTCATATTCTCGTTTTCTTCCTGGAGCCTCCTGTTCAATCCATGCAAGTACGTATTGAGCTTGTTTGCATTGAACCTCCCGACACCGTGTCCGCCTGCACCAAGGCCCATCAGAGGGTCGAACGAGGCATTGGCGCGTGGGTGGCCGTTCAAGTCGTGCGAGGACGCTGTCGAAATGAAGGAGGCGCGTTCCGTCATGACATCGTAAGGCGACTGTGAACCTGCATCTGAGTGTGCGATGTCTTCAGATTCGGACGACACAGTCCAGCCGTGTGCTAGAGGATGCGACAGCCTTCCCCCATGCGCTCGTGGGCGAGGGAGCGGTGTAATGCCCGCGAATGCAGCTTGTAGGCGCCCTGCCGGTGCGGGGATCGTGCTGGCGCTTTCGTCCGCTTCGTTAATCACGCTCACTGATGCGGGCGTCTGCAAGAGGGCCGAGGCGGGGGTGTCAGCGATCTGATGTGTGTATGGGGTCGGGTGAGCCAGGCGGGGACGCGCCGTGGAATTGATTACGTCCATCAGGAAAGATCGACGCCGGGCAAATGGGGTTGTCGGGTCATCATCCTCGGCTACCTGTGCGTTCAGGACAGCGGGGGTAGACGGGACACCGAAATGGGAATTTGGTGCGGGAGATACAGCCAAGAAACGGGCTCGTGGGCGTGGCTGAAAGGCGGGCGTGGGCGTGAAAGCGATCGAGGGTGCCGGAGAAGATTGGGCAGTGGAGAAGACTGGGGGAGATCTGCCGGAGATATTGGACGGCGCCAATGAGAGTGCGGGCGAAGAAATATGGGACCTAGGTGTCGGAGCCGCTCCGGAGGAAAACGTCGGCTCACGCTCATCTGAGTCGGTCTGATTGTGGCTTTCCGGGAGTTCGTCGACGGTATGACTGATCTCAAGCAGGCTTACGTCCAGTTCGTCATCTACTTCTTGAGGGCCACTATCTCCAGAGGGGTAAGAGATATTCTCTTGACTCTGCTGGGAAGCATTCCTTGAAGGGGGCAGCGATACCCCTGCTGGAGATGCGTTGTTGGATTGTGGTAAGGGAATGTTCAAGGCGGTGACGGGCGAAGCTGCTTGCGAACGAGATGCAGCAAACGAGCGGCTGCTATGTGGTGTAGAGTTTGACGCCGAGGACTCAGGAGAGGACGTTGTTCGCGTGAGAGACGGCGTGCGCATGCGTGGTACAGGCCTACGAAAGGAGACGTTACGCATTTTGTTGAAAGGAGATGCCTGGGGGACGTTCAAGCCGTATTCAAATGACACTCAAGAGACTGCGCGCACCTTCGGCTCGGACTTGAGACTGACAGAATATTCGTGCTTCTGTGTGTGTTCTGCCTCTGACTCATTGGGCGGAAAGGGTGAGCTCGTTCGACTAACAGAACGAAGGGCATCTGCCAACGATAAGCCATCGTCGTCATCTTGAGCGCCGTGATCTATCCGTACGATGTTTCCGCGGTGTCCTTCCATGCTGCCGAGCTCCATATCCGAGTCCTCAAAATCGGAACCCACCTCTGGATCAACTTGGGGTAAGGATGGGATCATACTGATATCGTCAAAGCTCTCCAGCTGATCCTGAGATCTACCAGAGCGTCTCATCGAATTTGCCACTGAGATGTGGGCACTGTTGGAGGACATGGAGCGGCCGCCACGGCTGGCGATCGACTGTGCGAATCGAGCGGTGCTGGATACGCTTGGTGGTGCGCGAGCAGTATTCGAGGAGGATGCCGTCGGTGTCGAGTGATATGGTGCAGAAATATCAGGGTCAGAGTCCTGGTCGGATGAGTGAGACAGGGAGGGGTCGATCCCGGAGTCCTCAAAAGCGGGGAGCGAGGGAAGAGAGGGCATGTCGTGACCTTCCGTGGCTTCGATGCGGCGCCATATTCGAGACGGCGTTTCTAGCATTGCCATTCTGCAGGACCTAGAAACTTGTGAGAAAGTATAACTAATGCAATGTATGGGTATAGAGCTGTAACACACCGCTTGTTGGATGACAGGCGGAAGCAACTCTAAATCCTGCCTTGTTCTGAGAAGATATGTATGCAGATACGAGAGTACTCACTCAAGAGGTCTTATTCGAGGTGTCTGAGTATTCCAAGGAATAGCAAAGCAGAGATGGTAAGTTGCTAGCGATGGTCAAGACGCGATTCCAACACGTAAGTTCACGTGACCGCGTTGAGTCGACTACGGCAAAAGCCATCCGTCTTTTCACCGGGACTTCCCGGGTCCTCCCCAACCCTGTCCCTGCTGCCTCTTGCTGCTGTTTGCTAGTACGAATGATATGCTACTCTCCGGCTTCTTCTCCGTGTTCCAGACCTGCACATCGATATTTGGAGTCGCTGAACTCATATAGAAATAAATCGTAAAGACAGGGAGCCACTGCGTGCATTTCGGCAATCGGTCTGATTCTTAAGTTGTTCTCTCCTCGACTGGTGAGTCTTTCCGGGGTTTCCTACCTCAAGACCTGGCAGAAGTGCGTCATTTTTTATGTAGTAGAGGACGATCGGTATCTTCGATCGCATCCGTTCATGGCTGTCGCGGTCTTCTTTGAACCAGCGGTTCAAATCGAAATTACTGGCAGTCATTGGCAACTATGCCTTCCAGCCTATTCCAAGGAACTTGACCAGGTACTGTATCTTCCTTGTGTTGTCAAAGTCAGGTTGCCCAAACATGCGCGGTCTCCTCTCAATCATCTCCGTCGTGACTGTCTTGATCAACCACGTCGGGGTTCATGCACTCCCTACAAGGCAAGGAATTCCCCAAGGTGTGCGCAGTGTCATGATATCTCTGTGCATTCATACCGAAGCCTTGGATCGTCGCTGTGACAGAACTGTTCGATGACCTTACTTACTACTTCAAGTACGCATCCTCGGCGTACAGTAGCGACTCGTGTGATAGGCCAAACCATAACACCATGGTCGCACAAGTAGATTTTTCTAATATAATATTCAGACGCATACTAAAGCGATCATCAGTTCAACGACTTTATTACCGACACTCAGGGTTTTGTTGCTCGCGATGACACGCGCAAAGAAATTGTGGTCGCTCTGAGAGGCAGGTGTGTATACGATGTCTTGTCGTTCACCAATTGCTTTCCACTGACCAGCGATATGGCGTGTTAGCACATCTCCAACGGACTTCGTGGTTGATGCTAGCCTAACGCTCGAGATGTTTCAAGTCCCTGGTACTTTCCCTCCGAGTTCGTCTCTCATATTGTCTCAACATCACTCGTGACTGACAGTGTCTTCATAGTTGGCACCACCGTTCACTCTGGTTTTCAGAACGCGTACGTCTTCGATTGAGTTCTTCCAGACAGATTGAACATTAAATTTTGGATTTGAAGATGGAACTCTGTCGCGTCCCAGGTCATCTCTTCTGTCCGGTCGCAACTCGTTTCTCACCCTGGATACACAATCGTCACTTCTGGGCACTCCCTCGGCGCAGCGTTATCGTCTCTCGCAGGTATAACACTACAGCAGAACTTCCCATTTTCGTACGTCTTACCTCCGAATTATACATCCACTCTTCTTCTCCTTCGTGCACGTGGACGAGACCTTCGACCCACAAGTACTGATCGAGTATTCTTCGGCAGGCCTATTCGAATGTACACGTATGGCCAACCGCGCACGGGGAATGATAAATACGCATCATGGGTCAACGATAAATTTGGCCACAACGGATACCGAGGTCAGTTCTTACCCTTGCCATTCTCGAACTTCTGAGCTGAGCCTGCATACGATCGATGGGAAAAGTTGTCCATACAGATGATGGGTACGTGCAGTCGAACATAAATATCTCAGAAAGAAGCTGGACAAATCGAATCACAGAATCCCGAACGTGGTTCCGACAGTTCTTGGGTACCGTCATCATGGTAGCTCAAATCCCCTACCAATTGATCGTTATTATTGATGAAATACAATCTAGGCATGGAGTACTGGATGAAGTCGGATCCGCCATCACCATCGACCGTGCTAGTATGCGCCGCGGACGGTGAAGATCCAACGTGCTCAGCGACGGTATTGAGCCAGGGCATCAACGCGGCGCACGTTTCGGTGAACACTCAGCAAAATTATTCATCGTCATAGGCTAACGAGCTTCCAGTATTTCGGCATTCACAGGTCCATTGCATTTTGCTCCTAATGTGGTCCTGAATCGAGCCCTCCGACACTCTCAGTACAGTCGTTGGACTGCTTGACTATATTGTACTACAGCGCTTTTTAGTTTATACTACATTGTTGAAACGAACCTATCGTTCCGTTCATCGCTGAGATGTGTAACGCCTACGGAAGATTGGGGTTCATGCGTGGTGCGTGTGAAAGGTACACCCTGATCGACATGTACATACGGACGGCGGGGACAGCCATGTCTGTAATACCGATACCCCACCAGCCCCACCCGTCGTGTGGGAGCGTGTGGGAGGACCTGGGAGGACCCCCGTCTATCCAGCCAAATGTATGATTTTCCCATGGTAGTGCGGGCGCGCGGCGCCCGAGCTCTGATGATTTCCGGTAGTTTGAGGGTCTGATTTTTGTCCGGGGACTGATTTTTTTCCCGGTAGTTTTGACCCTTTTTAGGGGGTATAATCTGTTCCTGGTAGTCATGATTGGGTCCCCACAAGTAAAAGTACTATATGGTATCAATCTATCTGCTTTAGGCGAAAGTCAGCAATTCAATCACCATTAAAGGACCTTGACAACGGGCTCGTTACCATAGCATGCTGTGCAGCACCTCACTATACTCGATCTTGCTAGCTTCATTCACAGCCTCGCATGTTCTCAACTTTTTTGTGCATTCACACAAGATAAATTTAGGATTGATGTTTTCATGGGCTCGGTTACTGTTGGTGGGACACTGCAATTTTTTGCGAATTTTTGCGAATTTTTCTCGAATTTTTAGATGTATGATCTCATTTCCGGTAGGCAGATGCTATGATCGGAGGGTTTGATATAGTCACGGTAGTGGGAGCGCGCCTGCCTCAGGCCCAAAAATTTCACGGTAGTGGAGCGGTTTTGCGTATCATACATTTGACTGGATAGACGGGGGTCCCTGCTGCTCGTGTGGGGAGCTTCGCGACTTCCCCATGATCTGAACAGATTTGTCATAATTTACCTTTTTTTTTCTTACCCCTGATCTAGCTTGATTGCAAATTCTCGACGATCTCGTATGATTGGTGCTAGAGGTATTAACCAATGGAGTTCAAACTGTGTCCTCGGTAGGTCGGCTGATGCTCACGAGAAGGTCGACTTGTAATATCACTGACTCTGTGATTCTTTCAGCAGGAGTTGTCTCCAATGGGTGGTCATGCTTGGCCTGCCATCACTCCGAGTCGCGCCGACGCAGAATTCCGAGGGACAGTATCGACAGGAACGTCTAATTTGGTCAAAATGGCAATTTTCTTCATTAATACTAGTTAACACTCGCCGTTCACGGGACGTGCAACCCATATGGTTTCCATTGCTAGCTGATGCGGAAGATCTCTTTTGCGAAGGTCATGGGAGCTCATGAATTCCGCAGGCATCCCCTCGCTGTCAGTAGTGGTCCTTTATAAAAACTTCACATGTTCCTCACAGTCGACACTTGTTCACCCCTGTTCAACACCCACTCTCGTGAAACCGTCAAGACATGCGTGGTCTACTCTCAACCGTCTTTATCGCATTGGTAGGGGGATTCACGCCTATCCACGCGAACCCTACGAAACGAGGGGTCGCTGTAGGTATGTACTAAGTGACCTTATATGTTTCTACGCAGAGCTGAGCATCGTATGATAGACGTGTTTGATGACCTCAAATTTTACTTCAAATACGCGTCCTCGGCCTACGACATCGTGTGTCCCAGCCCAAACGGCAACGTTCTCGTCGATACCGTATGTACTTCCAGAATGGAACGTTCAATAGCGCTGAATCAGTTTTGTAGTTCACGAATGTCCTCACTGATACCCAAGGTTTCATTGCTCGCGATGATACGCGCAAGGAGATAGTCGTTGCCTTGCGAGGCAGGTCAGTCGGTCCCTCGCTGATCGGTGCAGTCTAATTCTAATATCATCCCATGGAAACAGCTCGTCGGTGACGGATTTCGTGACTGATGCTCAGATCCTGCTTGAGAATTTCCAGTCTAACGGCACTTCTCCTCCTGGTTCGTCCTTCGTACTCCGCCTCGTCATTGACTGTCACTACTTTAACACGTCGATGTACAGCTGGTACAACCGCTCATTCCGGGTTTCTCAACGCGTATGCCCTCTCTCGACCTTGATCTGACCGCTGACTACTAAACTTCTGTTCTACTTATTCGTCTACAGCTGGAACTCCGTCGCTTCGAAGGTTGTCTCCGTCGTCCGATCCCAGCTTGCTTCTCATCCTGGATACACAATTGTGACGTCCGGGCATTCACTTGGGGGATCACTGTCCTCTCTCGCAGGCATCACACTACAACAGAACTTCCCCTCTTCGTGCGTGTTATTTCCGAACTTCTACACAGTTCCTTTCTATTTATACGTCAACCACTGCGGTTATGATCCTGACCTTGAGAAGGGTGCTAATTGAGTATATTTGGCTAGACCCATTCGGACGTATACGTATGGCCAACCGCGTACAGGCAACGACAAGTATGCGTTTTGGGTGAATGATATATTTGGCGCAAATGCCTTCAGAGGTGTGTCCCGCATTTTCCATTTCAAACTAGAGCTGACATGGCGACGGGCAAAGTCGTTCATACAACTGACGGGTAAGCACATACGAAAGTCCCATTCTAAAGACGCTAAACAAAATAAAACATCAGGGTGCCAACTATGATCCCGACCGTACTCGGGTACCGTCACCACGGTAAGGCTATATGCGCTCTGTTTTGTGGTTCCTTCATTTCTGACTGCATTCATTTTAGGCGTCGAGTATTGGCTGACACAGGACCCTGCATCAGCCACGATCACTAAACAATGTGCCGCAGATGGCGAAGATCCAACATGCTCTGCATCAGTACCCAGCCAAGGCATCGATGTTGCTCACACTCTGGTCAGACCTTGCCTACCTCTCTGCATCCTCGTGCTGACGACCCCCCAGTATTTCGATATTCTCGCATTGACGCCGTTTTGCTCTTGAATAATATGAACCTCTATCGCATTTATCTGCGCGGTTGAGACCTTACTTAGCTGCTTAATTGTAGGACGTGGCTATATATCATGGAAGAAGCGAGCACAGGGAAGCGTTTGATTGCTGAGATACGTTTCCAGTCAAGTCTAGACATCTACAGTCTGGATCCCGTCTGAATCGCTAATCTCAGATCTCAGATGAGATGAGCATCTAGATATGCTTGTGTTTTCAATCATTCGGGCGTGAATGTTGATCTTCTTACATTGTATCGTGCAAATTTGTAGAACACCGGTCGGAAATATATCCTTGTATGGTGCTCATGGAATCTGTAATAGTACATTCCATTGTTGACAATTGTGGTTGATGAAGATACCTCGATGTGTTCTAGCTAAAACAATCGCAAGCGCTAGACGTCGACAGAGTTATACACAAGCATGCGACAAGGGGGAGAGAGACCTAGTATGATATCGTGTGTATGCATGAGACCCCTAGCGAGGGTGGTTCGTCGGCAAAGGTCCAATGTCCTTCAACTTAGAAAGGCGTCGTCAACTCAACCTGTTGATGAATACGAAGAATTCAGTACCTGATCAATATATCCAGCATTCGAAGAGATCGTGTACGCACCGCATCGATCTCGTCCTCAATTAGTTGATCAAGTCGAAACAAGAACTGTTCAACGCCAGCCATACTAAGACTACGGTCCACCAAGCACATCTTACACGAAGCGGCCTCCAACGATGAGGTCAGGGTGGCAATATTCCACACGCTCGAAGGCCAAGGCTGACTTCTCAATGTAGCTGCCACTCGTTCCAGGAAGTCTTTGACCCATGTTTGGATCTCAATTCGGCTCCCTGTTCCGTAGACGAGAATACTCGTGGCGCTCATGCAGCAAGGTTGAATGGCAGGGGGAGGTGGTTGTTCCCAGAGCTTCCATGAACGAATGGCGGAGCTGGCCACCTCTCCACATCGGGCGCGATAATCTACGAGTCGATGATAGGCCATGCCTTCCAGCTCGTCGAAATCATCCACGTATGTAGGGCTATTGACGCTGCGTAATGTCTCCTTCGCTGCAGCCAGGACGACACCCCGCAATTGATATCTCCATCCGAGGGCATACAGTGTCTCCGGTGGATCGAATGTCCTCACATTAGAGATTGTGCGCTCCCGCACAGCTGATTCGATCTGGGCGATCTGAAACTTCTGTCCAACCTTCAAAGCTTGTTTGATCGCCCCGATAGATGTTAGCGGGGGATCGGGAATCGGATAACAAAATCGCAGCATCGTGTCGAGCGATTGCTGTCCCTCACTCATCTGAACGATCGGTGCCCCTGTCAGTGGTGTGTCCATGCCCTGCGGTAATGAGAACATATCGCGGAAGACAGGGGAAGCTTTGGATAGGAAGAGTCTGTGAACGTGAAAATCGACATTGTCGGAGGAGCGAAGAATGATATCGGAGTCTTCGTCGGCAAATGGTGGCCCATAGTCTACGATATTCTCCGTAGTACCGGGCTGAGGCGTCGTACTTGTACTCCGGGACTGGACAGCGGTATTGGGTGAAGCGGCTCCGTCGGCGACAATGAGAGCTGGGACGTCGATCGTGACATCTAGTTCCGATATCATATCCTGAGAGATGAATGATAGGCTATCAGTGAACAACAGAACAAAAGCGCATGCTGCAACAGGCTGCAACTTACAGCACTGGGTGCACGGCAGGCAAAGTAGCGGTTCTTGAGATCGAGAGATAGAGCTTATCGGACAAAGCCGAGGCATTTGCACCGAATTCGACGCTAGACGCCCAAGCAATTCAAGTGGAGACGACTCACTACCGTGCCCGCCGTGTGTCATGCCATTATAGGCTCTGGTCCCTTCTTGCTATGGCCAGGGCATCAGAGCGGACAGGACCAGTGCCTATGCACTCATTGTTTACCTCCAATCACAAGTCGAATTCTACTTGGCTGTCAATGACATCAAATGCTCCCGTTTGATGAAACACTGCGATGAAGACGGCAATGTGGACATGTCTCTGATTAAGAGCGGAAGAGATGCGTATTATGCTCGAGAAAACTCGGGACATGGTTGAGTGAAAAGAAAAGGTTAAGGGCCGCTCAGTGTTCAAGCTCCGCAACCGTAGCGGCATTCATTCTGATGCACGGAGCCCGTCGCCTATAAGCGAAAAGCTCCCTCTGAGCTATATGGCGATACTCACGAATCGAGGTATGCAACAAGTTAATGAGGGGCTTCAGAAGCAGATTGTTGAAAAATGAACTGGACGAGTAGTGGATTATAGAAACAGCGGTGCCCAAATACAAACCGAACGAGGTATACAAGAGTTTGCAGATGATGAGACAAAGAAAAATATAATGTTAAGCAAAGCGATAGGTATACGTATGCTCAGTGAGCAGGTACTGCAGCAATATAGATGCCTGGACGGTGACATGATTGTGCGACCATGGCTTCGTCCTCCTGATTATCCACTCGACGCTTCTTCGAACGGTGACGGTCTGCGTCTAGACTTGTTCCTGCCGCCTCAACGGCGTGGACACTAGATGATGTCGCCATTGAGGACTCAACTGTCGGGGTCATCGACTGTGTCGATGGTGGAGGGACGGTTATTGGCGAGCTACTCGCATTGGTAGAGCTCTCGTGCGCAAACTCGTCCTCGTCCTCGTCGTCACTGAATCTGTAAAGTGAGTATGGACATTGTGAAGTTGAAGACGAAGAAAAAGTGCACGCACCCATTGTCGTTGTCGTTGGCATCGTACTTCCTCTTCAGAGACTCACACCTCCGGGCCAGCTCATCCCTCTGCACATGCATCATCCGCGCATAATCCCTCGCAAGCCGCGCAAACGTCGCGAGGCCAATGTGTACCGCAGCATGTGCATCCGCACGCCGGCGCCAAGCAGCACAGCTCGTACGCAACACCGCGTTTTCGGCCCGAAGACGGTCTCGCTCGGTTTCGAGCTGTTCTCGTGTCTCTTGCCACTTTGCCGGTCCTGAGCCAGGGTTAGGGCACGGCAAGTCCGGAGTCGAGTCCAGGTAGAGTTTGCGGAAAGGGGGTAATAGATAGGGGTGGAGATAGGGTGGGACGAAATGGGGGTCAATGGCGACTGTCGTCCGGGATGGTGTGTGAGGTAGGGTTGGCGATGGGAGGGACAGGAGAGAAGTACCTATTGGAAATAGACGGCGGCACATTGGACAGCTACGTTGATGCATGGAGGTCGCTGGTGCATGCTGAACGATCTTGGTGATACATTCTTGGCAGTACACATGACCTGAAGTCACCGGCGGCTTGTCAGCTCAATCATTAAAGATGATGTTCAACCAGAGCTTACCGCACGGAAGGGCGACTGGAGACTTCAGGGTCTCCAAACAGATGGTACAAGTTGGCATCGAGGATAAGGTGATACGTGCAGCAACAAAGGTGGGGATGCGGATTTATGCTTCACTAGACACTTGCTCGGAGGAAAGGTCAATGGGGCTCTTCGACACCGTTACCCACTTTTATAATCCCAGTTCTGTAGATCCGCGGTGCTAGGCTGCACTGGCTGAGAAACAGGGAAAGATCCCTTCTTGTTTCAACACGGTCGAGTTACACGCGGCCCCCAGTCCCGATCGTACACCAGGTCGAGCCCTACAGCTGTCTGCCGGCATCCGGCGAGCAGCCCGGAAGAGCGACGAAGGGCAAGGGGAGAAAGGGAACGGCTGGCCGACCAAAGGCTCGTCCAGCCGATGGAATCGCGGCCCTAAGCTTGGGCCTCGAGACTCACGATCTGGAAAGAGGATGCTTGCATGTTCCGCCGCCGTCCGCGATCATCCACCGAAAATGCCCGCGCGTCAGACTATAGGCACGTGATCGGCTCGATAGACGGCGTGACTAGAGCACAAGCTACAGGACAGGACAACGCAAGGTTTTCTCCGGAGATTTCGCTCCCTAGTCGTGTCTATACACCGACATCATCACGCACTCCGAAATGAGGGTCGTTATCGCCGTCGGTACTGACAGCACAAAATCACATACATAAAACGATGGTGTTACCTTCCGGAGGCAAGATGGATACAAATAATGCCAGATATACGTACGCATCAGCCTCTTGTATTAGCAGTCACACTCCTTCAAATCTCGTCCACAGCTTTCAAACATGGATCGTCCCTTGTCTCCGGCAGCCTCGACACTGTTTGACGGGGGCGCAGTGATCAACCTCTGAGCCGTGCAGGGAGGGGGCGATACATCCTATTTGCTGAGAATGGGACTCCGTCGCGGAACACGATCACATCGTCCTCGTCATCCTCGTCAGACTCGACGACGTCATCGACGTCTCTGCCTGCACGAAACAGCGGCACCCTCTGTCGACCAGCGTCGTCGCGCATACAGGGACTCATGCGCGACTGGGGCGGGGACTCTAATGTTGGAACCCGAATTATACGGGGTCGCTTCGGGATACGAAGCATCGGACGATTGTTGACGTATTCTATACGGTCAGCATTTGAAGAGACTTGAGGCCATTCGGAAGCATTGGCGCTCGTATTGGCAGAGGACGTGTCGAGCGCGGCTTGGCTGCTGTTGCGCTTGACTGCGGGGTGGGAAGGGCTAGGTTTCCTATACAGTTACCGACATCATCACCCAATCAGCAATACAGGGGCGAAAGAACATGGGGATAAAAGACAGACTGGTTCTTGATATCCTGGTACTTCGCCTTGATAACCTCGTACTTTTTACGCATGTCATGAGCTTCCTTCTGCGCAGTCTGCGCCTCGAGCCGCGCGGCCTTTTCACCCTCCGCATGTTTGGCTGCCTTTGCTATAGTTGACTCGCACTTATCGATCAACATGTTCTTGTCCCGTCTCAGAGACTCTATGCGTGCTTCGAGCTGCGCCACCTGGTTTTGAAGGTCTTCGGTCTCTGAGGGTTCAAGATAAACGCGGCGAACGGATGGGCTAATGAACATGTGGTATTTCTTCGGAACTAAGTTGAGGTCGGGTGTAACTAGAGATGTGAATCAGAAGGAAGGCGTGAGCAATGGCATCATGCCACTGAATAGAGCTGAGCTTACCGATCGGAAATGAAGTGCGACAAGTCGGGCAAAGAGCCTGTATAGAGTCTGGAGAGGATCGTACATGCGCCTTCAGGCAGGCATCACAGTGCAAATGACCTAAAAATGTCCGATACAAGCTGTATCAGTCCCAGGCAAGAGGGCTTCAGGACTGATGTGTCATCCAAATTGCTCACCGCACGGCGTTGCTACAGGGTTCTTGAGGTCGTCCAGACATATGGAGCACGGAACCATGGCGTCAAGTTGTACTTGACCCACGGACGGGCAGGTGGTGGTCGCGTTGAGAGCAGCTGCGATAATGATGTGTGCAATAAGACAGCAAACACAAGCGCGGTGCCACGGACTATGGGATTGACGCGTGACCGCGTTGGTCCCTGGACTAGCGCCACTTGCGCGTAGAGCTTGGGGTTTTCCAAAGAAATCCAGTGGAGATTCCTAGAGATAGACAAAGATGCTGCCAAATGTCACCATATTGTAAAGATACATGCGGAAATGTTAGTTTCTGGAGACAAGTCAACCTTTTTGAGTGGAATTTCACGGGATTCTGCAGAAAATCTCAGGCGTGCGCGCACACGTGATGGGAAAGCGAGCCAGATGCACGTTTCACGGTTCTGGCAAGGCCGCTAAACTGCACAGCTGTCCAGTTGAACGGCCGTCGTCGCTCCCTTCTCTGTTCTTTTCTGCTTTTCCCTCAACAAAAACTGCTCAAGACAGTGAAGGGAACTTACAGCGCAACTCTCTCGTTTTATGTCTTCGGTGTCGCTGGCAGCATCGCCCTTCTCTCCTAGTCGCTCAATTCCTCGGCCTTCCTCGGTCAATTCTGTACGCTCAGCGCGAGCGAACAGCCCTGCTCTGTCTATATCGCCTGATGATCCCAGTACGATTTCTCTGCGTGTGCTTACATATGCTGTCTTGATTCATTTGGGATCATAGTTGCTATAAGGAATCATATGTCCACACTGAAACATACTATAAGACACCAGCAAGCACAGTTAACCCATCTGGAAACCCTCCTTCAGCGAGCGCCACGGCTTCCGACTACTTCATCCATGTATTCGCCACCACCTTCTCCTGTAGAATCCTTGTCATCGCAGACATACACCCCAAATACTCCCACCAGCGCCAAGATGAAGCGGCGATCAAGCCATGACATCTTGCAGAGTCTCGCCGGACCAGATTCCAATATACCATTGCCCCGACGCGAGTCTGTCACATCTTCTTCTTTCAGCGACGGTATTCGTGAGGGCATACCCATGACCTTTGGCACCGGTCGATCGACTCCATCGTACAAGCGGACTCCGAGTCCGACGCGAACACTCAGTCGTGCGTCCCACAACATCCTTTGCTTTCTCTGCGAACTCTGAACGTTGAGCCGAAGGCATACCTGTTTCCGCTGTGGGTAAGTTGATTCTTCGCGCGCTTCTTTTTGGGTTTGAGTCTCAATATTATTAGTATCGTCTGACGGTGCACCCGCAGGAAATGCACGAGCGCTAGCAGATGAGGGCCTTGCGCCCTCTCGTCTCCCCCAGCTCGCTTCAATTGACCTGACAGCGTCGACTTCATCGACAATCAGCCTTCAGCCGCCTTCTCCCGGCAGAACTCGCGTGACACTGACACCGGGTGGGACATCAAAAGTACTCGCAGAGTTGCAGACGGTGGCTACCTCTACAAAAGCCGCACATGAGAACACGAAGGCCCAGTTGAGATTATCACAGCGGACCGTTTCACAGTTGACGAGACAAACAGAGGATCTGAAAGAGGTCCGAGAGCGCTTGCGGCTGGAAAATGAGGGGTTGAACAACGTCGTTGCGAGGAAGGAGCGGTTACTGCAGGAGGTGCGTTCTTGTCGACTCTGAACACGACTTATGGCACTGATGTACAGGGCTTAGGTTTTGGAACGGGCGCGCAAGGCGGAGGCCGAAGCCACAGCTTTGAAATCTCAGTTCAAGACGGAATCTGTGACGACGAAGAAGTCTCTGCGGGAGATGGAAACGGCATTAGCGGAGTCAACAGCGCTTTCATCGAAGAGCGAACGCGAGTATATCACGCTTCGGGATAGTCTGCGGGACATGAAGGCGAGCTGGCGGGCCGACATGGATACCCTGAGGGAGGAAATGCGGAAACGTGAAGAGCGATGGCGGAAGGATGAGGAGGAGCTAGGAACGAAGTATAGACGGCTATTAGAGGAGGTCCAAGAGCAAAGGCAAAGTCGAGAGACTATCAAGGACCTGAAGGAGAGGAGCGAAAAGATTCACGCGGAGGTTGAGGAGGGTTTCCGTGAGGAGATTGCGAATTTGAGAGCAGAGATTGAAACTTCATCTAGGGCACATGAGAAAGCTGCAAAGACCGCTGAGTGCGTTTATTTTCTCGCTCGCTTTTTCCGTCTGAGTCCTAACGCCAAATTCCGTTCTCTTTCTCAGACATCTATCGGGTGAACTAACCCGACTGCGTAGATTGATGCAGTCTGTGGGCCGTCCCCTTACTCCCGATGCACCTCCATAACCTCCATCAACGCTTCCACAATGACTGACCTTGGTTAATTTCCCTCCTACTGATTTTGGCTGAACAGCCCTACCCTATACGTCCTCTATCTGACACAGCATATCTTGGCTTTGCACGGACTGTGATTATCCACTCGCTTTCAGTCGATCTGCCACATTTTCATCATGTATCATCTAGCACATATTCTTGCATGTTGGCTGACCCACCATTCGCTAGCGTTCTTTTCTCATATTTCAGTCGCTTTGAGCACATTAGCTTACTCTACCGCTATCTAGAACATCGAGGATGTTTGACACTATTGGGTCAACGTTGGAATCGGACGGCACCCGGTACTTAAAGTCATATGGGTACTGTCGAATTGTCGAAGACCCCTTCTCTTCTTTCGAGGCATGGAGACTATCCAGTGTTGTGTAATCGTCTGGTTTCGCCGATTCTTTTAAACCTGGATCGCATGTGTAGATATAACACAGAACAATCCTCTGTATTGGTCAGCAACGGAGGCTATCATCTTCCGGCCTTGACTTGAGAGTGCCTTAGTCCTTGGCAAGTCAGCAATAAAATTCGGCGCTCACTGCCAAAGTGTCTGAGCGTCAACCGGCACCGGAACTGCCAGAAATCTCCTGTGAGCGACTATTACAGGCAGGTGAGGCGGAATGCAAATGAGGAAATCATATGTTTCGGTCACGCGCGCATACGGGGGACGACGCGACCGAATGCCGGCGGACTGAGAGTTATAAGAGGATTCACCTCTCTCCTGTACCATATCCCACCGTACCCTATCTCCAAGTTTTCCCTTGATCTGCACACCATGTCTGTAATTTCGACTCCTATTACACAGCTCTTCGGGATCAAGCACCCCATTCTTCTTGCTGGTGAGTTCCGGAATGCAGCGCTGAGGCCCAAAAACGGCACTGATGCAGGCCCGGAACGGCGCGTCGTTGTCCATAGGTATGAATGTTGCTGCTGGTCCTGAACTGGCGGCCGCAGTCACCAATGCTGGCGGCTTGGGGGTCATTGGAGGGCACGGGTACACGCCGAAAGTGCTTCGGCAGCAGGTGTGTTGCGAACCATTGCCGTTGGAAATCCATGAACTTGTTCACGAACTCGGCGCCGCATTTTTAGATTCAAGCCATTAAAAAGGATTTGAAGGATAAAAATGCTCCATTTGGCGTCGACTTGCTCATCCCCCAAGTCGGAGGAAATGCGCGCAAGACCAACGTGCGTATATCTCTTTATAGTAAGTATAGAGACATACTTAAGCTCATGTGTGATCGCCAGTACGATTATAACAAGGGCAATCTGTCTACGCTGGTTGACATCATCATCGAGGAGAAAGCCAAGTTGTTTGTCTGTGCTGTCGGCGTCCCTCCCAAGGAGGAAGTTCAAAAGCTACACAAGGCCGGCATCCTTGTTATGAACGTAAGCTTTCCTCTTGTTTCACCTAGTGTCGTGGATTGGATCAATAATGGATGTCAGATGGTCGGCCATCCGAAACACGTTGTCAAAGCGCTTGCCGCTGGGTGCGACCTGATTTGCGCCCAGGCTGGTGAGGGTGGCGGCCATACCGGTGACATTGCCGCATCTATCCTGATCCCCGCGTGCGTTGACGCAGTCAAGGGCCACAAGTCCCCTTTGACTGGTCAGCCCGTCTACGTCATCGGCGCTGGTGCTGTGTATGACGGTCGTGGACTTGCGGCGAACCTGATGTGGGGTGCCCAAGGCGTCTGGGTCGGCACGCGATTCGTCGCGTCTGTGGAGGCGGGAGCATCGCCTGCTCACAAAAAGGCAGTGCTGAGCGCGGGACACGGCGACGTGTTGAGGACTATCATCTACACCGGCCGGCCGCTGCGAGTACGGCGCACGCCCTATGTGGAGGACTGGTGTGTATTCGGCTTCCGCAGCTCTATCTTTCTGTCCTTGATGCGTTACTGACTGGGCCTTTGTATATCAGGGAGACGAACAGGCAGGCTGAGATCAAAGAGTTGACGTCGAAGGGTATCATCCCGAACGAGCTCGAGATGGAGAAGCACCCCGAAAAGTCTCTACAGGCCATTTCTTTCCTCATGGGCAACGTTGCTTCCCTCATTCATGACGTCCTTCCCGCGCAAGAGATTGTAAACAACATGGTTAATGTTGCAGCAGAGCAAATATCCCGCGGGGCTTCTTCGATCACAGTCAAAGCGAAGCTATGATCGATCGTTCACTGGGTATACTCTCGCGTGTGGGACAAATTGGACGCATATGTTATGATTTTTTTGTTGACCTATTATAACTTGTATAGTACTTGCAGGGCTCATGCATACTTCTTCCGGATCCCAAGTCGACGCGTTTTGGCGTGTCTTCTGCCCTCAGTTCAGTGAATTTCCGCTAGGGGGTTTGGTCGGACATTTCGTCTCTACTTCAATATGAACGCGTTGCAGAAAAAAAATGGATCCGGTCTCATTGGGGCCATGCGAACAAAGTATCTCAGAAAGCGGCACTAGTCTACACCTCGCTTCATCGCAACTTGTACTGCAACACAACGCATGCACACGCAAGCCATAGAAGGTGAGTAGACAATCGATGCCTTCCCCACCTCTATTCTTGAACCCCTGAGCAGCCCTGAGCCCGTGCCATCGCCAGTTCTCCAATAGACACCGCAGACTCAAAATGTCGATATCGAAGATCCTGTCTACCACGGTGATGCCAAAATAGTCATTCGCATCTCTGATGGCATCGATTTACACCTCCGCAGAATAATTGACCATTCCTTGCAAGGCCTCACTCGTTTTCAGGGACATACTCGTCTGTCCGCAAACTGACAGGGTCAAACATGCGCGCATCCTTCATGCCTAGCTGGGACCATTCGAACGCCTCCACTTTCTGGTTCATATCCAATCACCACTCTAGTTATGGTTTTGTCTATGTTATAAGATTTGATGAGCAAAGTAAAGGTGACCCACTTTTGATTTTACCGCCCTGTTTACTGCAATGGAAACCTAGGACCTTTCCCAAGGTAGTGCTAATCTAACCTGTTCGTTAAGTTGTGAGGTCAGGATATCCGTTGTAGTATTTCTACTATCAGCGTTTATGAAGAGACAATCAACTGACCTGGGCTATCTGAAGGTCTACTTGTTTCGCAAAGTGGTTGCTGAATGATATCATCGCCTCTGCAGCCAGCTGGCAACATACGCCGCATGGTCCCGCCTTCTCGATAGATGGATACAAGATCCTCAACGCAGTAACAGTTGTGGAGGCAGGTGTTTTTGTCAACCCCTCTCGTGCTCGCTCCATGTAGCTGGTCCACCACTCTCGCGCCAGCCAGTCCTCCCCGTTGGCAACACGAACAGTTTTTTTGTCGCATCTGCAATTTTCGGTATTGGCTTTTGCCCAATTCCAAATCTCGTCGCTCCTGCGCTCGATCCATGAGAATTCGGTGGCCAGACTGCTCGCTTTATCCGCACACTTGCGATGATACTGCCAAAGGCAATACAAGGCACGGCCATCCACCTCCTGCATTTCCGTGCTCAGATCTTCCAAGCTCATCGGTCTGTTAAGGCATTGGAGAGCTGCGATGCGTGCTTCCTCTTCTAGGTGGTGCTTACAAGCGATGCCATAAGCTGTAGCAGGGTAGGCCGCCAAGGCTGGAGACCGAGCGAAAAATTGGCTGCTTGCTTGGTATGCACGATCCATATCATACTTCTTGGCTGCAGCTGCCAGAAGTAGGACTTCGGGAATCGTGAATACAGGGTACTCCTCCAACGGGTAGCACAGCTTCAGAAGACTGGCAAGTGTACTTTTGTCTTCGGATACGGGTATGACATGGAGCGCTTGTTCTATAGATGTAGCTGTAGATGCGGTATCGCTCTTGGGCTGTGGGATGGAGAACATGTCTCGAAAGAATGGAGATGCCTTCGATAGGATGACTTTGTACACATGGAATCGAAACCCGTCAGATGAGCGTAGGATGATATCGGCATCTGCGTCGTCGAACGGTGGCCCGAAGTCGGAATCATCAGCAGCAGGAGTAAGGAGGGAAGTCATTTCCGAGCCCATGAGGGGAGAAGGGACGACGAACGATTCGAAGGACCTCCCCCGGTGAAGCTGCGGCTCGCGCCGGCAAAGGCCGGGCAAGGCCGGGCACCCTGCGGATTCTTTTTCTTCCACACTTTCGTACGTTTTTAGAGCGTCCACCGTCCACGCCGTGCGGCACAGCTACAGCTCCTATTCTTATGGAACCGAGTGTGGTATGCGAGGAATCAAACGTACCACAGTCGTACCACACGACTGCCTCGCCATCATGCTTGCACCGATGGAGCAATACTGGCACCGCGGATTCAATGATAGCACCCGTGTCTAGCAGCTAAGATCAACGCGGCTTGATGTTTGGAACGCTCGGTACAGCGACTTATTTGTGGACGTCTGCATTCGTTAGCTGGCTGAGCATGGTACTCCACCATTGTCTGTGGACTGCTTGTTGCTCATCCGTCGGATGCCCTTTGGCCTCCTGACATGGATCTACTGATCAATGTAACTTATAACTTTCGCCATATCGCCGCTTACACAGAGATCCTCCATGTGCTTCAGCCGCTTCGATTTGGGTGCCTTTGTCGGCTTGCGGCATTGCGAGCTCTGCCGTCAAAAACGGAATGCCATTCTCTAGGCTTGCTGGACGCGTGATTGAAAGGATATAAGGTGGCGACGTCTTTAAAGATCTAACACGAGACTCAATCGTCTAGACCTTATCGTCGCCGTTGCCGTCGTCTTTGGGTGAACTGATCACAAGATGCGCGACAAGATACTTCGCTATCTATACCTTGCGTCCTCTGTTCTGGTATTTGGTCTAGCGCATCCCAATGACTCTCCGCTCTCAACCCTCTCAAGTACTCTTTGGAGACGCGAAGACCAATGCTCACTTGCACAGAACTGGCCTCGGGGGCCTGGAAATCTCTTGGAATCGCAGCCGCCAGGCGACGAGCTCAAGGCAATGTTAGATCAGGTCGATCCGAGGCGCGTTCAAACCATAATTGAGAAACTCGTGTCCTTCGGCACAAGACATACGGCATCCAGTCAAGTGCGTTGTGTCCTTTTTGATGTGATCAGGTCTGACTGAGTGAGTTTTATGATGCACAGACCGATCCAAACACAGGCATCGGAGCTGCGAGGGACTGGATCGCCGGACAGATGAGAGAGTTTGCGAGTGGCAGCGCTGGGAGGTTCGCTATGCCCGACATTCGTCTATATAGATTTTAGTGCTAACATCTCTCTCAGAATGACAGTTTCGGTCCCATCATACATCCAAGCACCGGTGTCTGGCGAGTTTATAAGTAGCGTCAATATTAGCAACATTGTGGCCAGACTCGAAGGAACCACAGACCCGAACCGTGTCTAGTGCATACTTCACTCTATACTGCATAAATAGTCCCCCTGATCCTGCATTCTCGACAGCGTTGTCTCTGGACACTACGACTCGCGTAACACCAATATACTTGACTCAACTGGTGATGCACCAGGTGCCGACGACGACGCGAGTGGTGTCGCAGTGTCTATGGAACTCGCCCGTATCATGGCCACGCATGAAACAGCAGCTACGATTCTCTTCGTTGCTGTAGCTGGAGAAGAACAAGGTCTCTATGGCTCAACATTCCTCGCCCAGTCTCTGCGCAGCGCGGGCGCCGATGTGCAAGCAGCGTTTACGAATGATATCGTGGGGAGCTCGACCGCGGACGACGGCTCTAAGGACCCTTTCAGCATCCGGCTGTTTGCACAGGGTATTCCGTCGAACGAAACTGCAGCACAGGTGCAGGCAAGAGCGACAATTGGGGGTGAGAACGATTCGCCAGCGAGACAGATTGGAAGGTTTGTGTCAGAGGTGGCGAGTAATAGTGCAACAAATATGACTGGTGAGTCTCATAGATGCGCACCTTGTTTCTGCTCACATCTCATGGGATGATAGTCCGTGTGATTTATCGTCTTGATAGGTATCTCAGAGGTGGAGACCACAAGCCATTCCTTGCATTGGGCTACCCAGGAGCCCGTTTCACAGGCAAGTTTTCATCGTTTAGTGTTGTTTACGAGAATCCATTTTTTTCTGACCCCAAAATCTTCTGAAGAACCACATGAAAATTTCGCGCACCAGCATCAAAATGTACGAGTCGAAGACGGCGTGCAATTCGGAGACCTAATCGAATTCTGCGACTTCGACTTCATCGCACGCGTTGCGCGTGTCAACCTGGCGACGATGTTCTCGCTTGCGTCTGCGCCGGGCACGCCCAAGAATGTCACTGTCGACAACTCGGTGCTGACAAACAACTCGACGCTGCGGTGGGCGCTTGGGGAGGATTCGGGACTCGCGGGATACGAGATTTTGTGGCGGGCGACAGACGAGCCTTTTTGGACGCATGTCATCGCGGTTGGGCTTGTTAGCAGCGCCACAGTTGAGCTGTCGAAGGACAACGCGATTTTTGGAGTGAGGGCGGTAGGGCAGAACGGATTCAGGAGCCCTGCAACGTTCCCATTTCCTGGATAACTGTCATAGGATCGGAGCGCTGGTGTAAGTTACGAGCGATATTGATGTTGAATATTAACAGAAATTGCCAGCACTCCTTTACCACTCGTGCTGAAAACCATATCTGTCATAGTGAAGCAAGACAAGGCCGGCAGCAAGGCCGGCAGAATTCTCGAGCATCTATTCTACACTACTGCAAGTCACCTCGCACGATCGTGAACTCCACAACAGCTCTTCAGTAACCTCATCAATTCAAAATATGTGATTACAATAGTCCAGAGTCCAGACATGTGACTAGAAAGGCGACACATGAAATCCGCCAGAGAGCCTAGGAGCGCGATCCGAATTCTTATTGAATTGTTGTCAAGCCTAAATCATACTCTGCTAGGTGCAGTAGCCACAGATACGAGTACATTCACTAAGCGCCCACCTAAAGCCTGCCAATAAATATATCAGAGTCGGTCTGATTTACAAGTTCAATTCCTTCAGCCGGTACCGATCCTGAGTCATATGCCAGAAGCTATGAGTGCAATGTTATGAGATGATAGGTTATCATAGTGATGGAATGAACACCCACATGAGCCTTTGTTCAAAGGATTTCCAAGCTTGAAGAGCCGCAGAGGAGGTTGCCAAAGTCGCACGAATAGTCTCTTGCGCAATGATCAACTCATCTTTGATCTCAGCAAGCACTTGCATGTGGTCCTTTTTCTCGACCGCTGCACGCAGATGGACGTAGGTCGCTGTCTCTCCGCCAAGCTCCTCTTTGTAAAACCTGAATTGACGCATATAGTTCAATCAGCAACATATACCTTAGGTGAAAAAGAAAGTGAGACAAACGATAAAAGATCATTCGACAAATTGATCCAGATTATCATGTCTGGTACCGCCTCGATGTACTCCACAATGCTAACACCAAGTCTCTTCGGAAAGATCATGTGTGCATAACCTTCACCGATCCCACAGAGCTCGCGTAGATACAAAGGAAAACGATCCGCCTTGCGAATCAAGGGCAGATGTTTGGTCTGCGGTTCGAGGGCGGTGCCGGTGATGAACTCCAAGGCCGATGAATATATAAAGTCGGCAGTGAACGGCTCATATAAATCGTAAAAGCGAGCGAAGACAGCGGGAAGGGCGTCGAGCACCGGGTCTAATTGAGGTTGATGACGGAGAAGCCGTCCCTTGAAGGCAATAAGAGGTGCTGCATTGATAGGCGCTAGTTCGTCGACGTATAATAGATACCTGCAGATGTGTTAGCAAGCTCGTTCAATCCGCGTTCTGATCAGGGCTGCTTACCAATGGTATAGCGCGATGGCCGTTTTTTCTTCGAAGTTGTAGTGTGGAAAAACGCACTGTAGGTGCTCAAGGTCACATTTGGAAAATGGGGATAGATGAGTGCTTACTTCGACATAATTAATAGCCAGATGTGCAAGCCTCTCAAGCTCTACACAACGCGTACCACGTGCATCCATTTCGGCCTGCATCACGACTTTCAGTTGTTCATTGGTGCTCGGCGCTGCTGGAGGGGTGTAGGTCATGTCGGTCAAGAAGCTTCTGAAAACGGGGGCTAGTGTACCACTGTAAGGTTGATGCCAGGACTCCAGATAATTTAACGTACCAAGGCGGGAAGATAAATCACCCGCAGAGACACTTGGCACGTTGTGGGCGTCGAAAGGCTCAGTCACTGCCATAGTCGCGACCTTATGTGGAGGTGAGGTAGGTACAAAATAGAGAGGTCTCAAGAGTGGATGCTGAGGGTGGCCCGAGGTTTGAAGTCCAGCAACGGGCGGTCTTAAGTAGAAAGACGAAAGAAGACTCTTGAATCTCCTTGCGTGTTAGGCTAACGACGGGTGCATTCTGGCAAGGGTGAGTGACGTACACATTATCCCCCTTGAGCTACCATATGAGAACCTTATCTCAATACCGGCGAGAGCTTGCGCCATTTCATGGCGAACGCCACATAATCTCTTCGTACCGCATGTGGCGAGTGCTTGCGAGGATGAATTCTATCATATAAGAATCAGTAACACGACAGTATTTCAAGCGATATGGTACTGGTCTCACATTGGATGTATTGTCTCGCCGAGAGGTCAATATCGAAGGTGGAGAAGCCTTGACGCTGGGACGGTCAAGATGTTGTGTAATCAGCATACCAGATTGAACGTAAAATACGACACTTTTCAGGAGAGATGCCTGATGGAACTAAAACAACAGCTAGTGCCTTTCCGAAAGACAACATGCAAGCATCACGACCCTAGAAAGGAGGCGTTGATTAGCGCGAGCCTCATGTAGCTCCGATGAGACTGTGGGTCAATTAGAATTGATCAGCTGAGCTGAATAGTTAGGATCAATGAGGCCGAAAAGGTGTAGCATCAAGGTACTTCAATCACAATCTTGCAGTCGAGACACGAAATGCGCTGAGATGCTCATCGACCCCTGTGGATATCTGGCGCTCCGCTACATTCCGGACTTCGGTCCTTCCGCAGACGAAAGACTTGATTTGCCGGTGCGGTCCGCAGTGCCTGGAAGCGAAAGGTACCCGAGGATGTCTGTCGAATAACAATATGGGTTTAACGTGAATTCATTTCCAAATTTTCGTGAATATTACCAGCATAGGCATCGGAGGCATCAGCAGAGGCCGACTGCAAGCCTTCAGGCAGTCAATTTGTGAATACCAGCACTCAAAAGTGTAACCAGATACGCCGGCGAGCACTGGTACAGGCTTAGCGCGAGCGCAGTGCGAGCGCTCGGCGTTGGGGGGACGGAAGATGGCTCAGAAACGAGATTACGCGAGGCAGAAAATGCATACACAGGACCTGTACACAAGGCCCGGATCACGCACATGATAAAGAGAGGCAAACCGACACAGGAAAAGAAACAGAGCCACTGGGCGTCTCTCGAGCGAGGATCAGCAAGTGAAAGGCCTACCATACGCACGATGCGACGATAGCGAAGTCAGATTGATATGACTCTCCCGGCAGCAGTGCGGTAGAGCGGAAGCGCAATCCCAAGGCCGAAAGCCTGACAGTGCCAGTGAAGGCTTTCGAGTGGCAGCGAATAATAGTAAGGGCGAAGAGGCGCAGTGAAGCGCTCGCCTGTAAGTGAGCATGCGCATATCACCGAGAGCTACTGTCAAACGGCAACCTAAGAATCGGAAGGTTATGAGACCTGACGTCAGGATTATTCTTGCGGTTGAACCCTGGAGCGGCGCATTCATCATGCATGATAAATTGTCGTATCCAGGAAAGCTGTGGACTATAGTTCATAATCCACAAGCGCCCGGTTGAGACAGTTGACTACTATACTGTTCTCATTGTGATTGTGTACATGACACTGCAGACATGCATAACTTAGTGAAGGAACAATGGGCTGGAGACATCTAAAAAAAGCTACTCAATGTATGCTTTGAGATTCGATAGCCTTGTAAAATGGACTGTCGGAGACTGTTATACCCCGTAATTGTGATCTCATATCTCGAGCTTTGACAGACTTCCAATTGCTCTCATTACATTAGATAGGATATCGATCCGAAGAATGATACGGACAGACCTGTATTAAATGGCGCGCAGGGGCACGCCAAGTCTAGAGTCCAGAGCGTTGTCGTCGACAGAAGATGGTATCTCATGCATTCAAACCGCCAAGACCATGACGTGTGGGTTGCGAGCAGCGCCGACTGCAAGCTCAGAGGAACGCATGTGCTGCTGGGACTCGCCGAAGCCAAATAAGCGCGCAACAACGAACAAAGGGGCGATGATAGATACAAAATCCAGCCAAAGAAGCCTTCTTCCATGAAGAGTGTCCGCCGCATGGTGTCGGGATCGCCCGCGCACGTCGCAAAGTGAGTTTGAGAACAGAGAGTGCATCTAGGTCGGAGTTTTTCGAAACATACTGGAGTAATCACTCCCTCTCCCTTTCTTTGCTTTCTGCACGAGTAGTCGCTGAACCATCTCTTCTATCACAAAAAGCGGTCGGTTAGAACAAATTCGATAGCGCACTGTAGCAGGAGCCTGTGCGTCCAGATGTGTAGTTTCCACCAGCGTTCGGAAACCGCCGCGCAGATCCTGAGGACCACGCGGATTTAAACACCGCCACTACATGTTCTCACGGGTTTCGAATCAACCATAAAGAGCCCAGGCCCAGCCCGACTCTTTAAAACGCCCGAGGGACAGCAACAAAATACAGGCATAGGGTCTTTCATATTCTCCACGATTCCCTCTATGTTCCACCATCTATTATCATTCGTATCTGTAGTTTTTCAGCTCAGCATCAAGGGTAAGTGGTAAACTGATCTCCGACTTTGACTCCCTCAGCTACAAGTCCAAGTCTCGCAGCTTGTAGCGGTCCTGAGACAGATGCCAGAAACTGTGTGAAGGAGGCGGTCAATCGCGACAGCGCAATGGCGAATAAGGACAGGCTCACATGTAGCCTTGCTCAAAGGATTTCCAGGTACGAAGAGCCGCAGGGCAGGCGACCAGCGTCGCATGGATGATCTCTTGCGATGAAAGCAGCTCATCTTTCACCTCCGCGAGCACTTGGATCGCGTCTTTGTTCTCAACCAATGCTCGCAGACAGACATAGGTGGCAGTCTCTCCGGCGAGCTCTTCTTTGTAGAACCTAGACGGCCTTCACAATCAGCGACCCGAATCTTCGGCGCGAAAGTGAGCTACGGACGACAGAAGATCATTCGACACGTTCAGCCAGCGGCACATTTCTGGTATGACCTTGATGTATTCCAGGACGTTGATACCGAGCCGCATGGGGAAGACGAGGTGGGAAAATCCTTCTGCTATGCCCGTGAGCTCACGCAGGTACCACGGAAACTGCTTCGCGGTGCGGTCGAGGGTCAACGCTTTGATCTGTGGTTCGAAGGCGGTGCCCGTGAGAAACTCTAGCGAGGATGAGAGAATGAGGTTTGCGCAATGCGGCTGGAAGATGTCGTAGAGCTGAATGAAGACGTCACTGAGGGCGTCGAGGACCGGATCCAGTTGGGGTTGCCGGCGGAGAAACCGCTCTTGGAAAGCAAGAAGCGGCTCCGCGTCAGTGGACACTAGTCCGTCAAGGTATACCATATACCTGCAGAACATATGCTTCAAGGCACTACGCTCGATCCAAAAATTGACTACTTACCAATGGTACAATGCGACGATCTTTTTCTCTTTGAAATCGTAGTATGGATAGGACAACTGTGAGCGCAAGCACGATTCAGTCAACTTCTGTGAAAGCACAGTCCACAGGATGCACCGACCTCCACAAAATCGGCGCTAGCGCGTAACAGCCGTTCTAGCTGCGAAGAAGCGATGTCTCGTGCTTCCATTTCGGCGTGCATAGCGGCTACCAACTGCTCATTGGTGCCGGTTGCAGTCGGAGGCTCGTACGCCGTGCCGGCCAAGAAAGATTTGAGAATAGGTGCTAGCAGACCGTCAGTAAAAGAAACATGATAAATCCTGTTTTTGTCTCGACATACCAAGGTTCACAGATAGGGATTCAGCAGAGGCACAAGGTACGAGCGCATTCGAGGAAAGAGATTCCGGTGGTACAGTCATAGTCGTCCTTAAACGTTCGATCTGAGGAGACAAGGAGAGAGAAAGTCGAGACGACAAGGAGGTGTCAAAACTGATTCGAAGTAGAACCAACGAACCACCTTATAAACGAAAGGCCCATAGCCGCCATGTTTCACCCAGACCATTCAAGCTGGACGGGTCTGCTTGCATATAGCCACCAGTGGTACTAACACAGTATAATTAGGTCCCATCATGAAACGAAACGCACACCTTACAACTCCACTCGGTGTACGACCTTCCTTTCGCACCCTATCAACAACGGAATAGACGATGTCTGACAATTCGTTCACCATCAAAGAGTTTCCGGTGCCATGTATTCTTGCTGTCGCTGAGAGCGTGTGCACATGGCCGCCTCGTACCGAGAACGCCGAGGTCCTGCTATATAACCGCAAAATAGTGCATCTTAGTAGAGATGAGCTTCAGGAATTGGCACTAACATAAGAAATCAGCGCAGATCCATCACTGCCTTGTGTACATGACCTGACCTTGGCAAGCGGTTGGAATCTTGAATCTGGCCTACCTCGCGCGAAGCTGTATGGCAAAGTCGCATCCCGAGCCAACCCACTTCGACGATGCGCTCGTCGACTTGCCGACCATCGAAATGCAGCAGACGGGGGCGGCTTTGGTAAGCGCAGAGGACGAAGGGGCGCCTGGTTGCAAGCACGCATGCATATCTCAACAGGAACCGCCGTCAGACGTCAACTCACGAGTCGGAAAAATTGTGGAATCTGACGTCGATGTCCCTGTCCCGCTTGAATACTGGCAGCGCACCGAATACGTACGTTCGACCGTCGGATTCAGGAAAGTTGCGAGCTGCGGTTCGCATTTCACATGCGCACCCGTTTGGGACATCCGTGTACACTTGCAGACATGGGAAACTCAGCCCAGAACATTCGGGTTGAATTTTGTTTTTTGGAAAACGCTACTCAATGTATGCCCCGAGATTCGATAGCCTTGTATAATGGGTTCTCGGATGCTACACGCCGCGATCGTGATCCCTCCCCGTGCTTCGAAAGGCTGCAGATCGCTCTCATCAAAATAGATAGGATGCCGGTCCGAGGAACGATGGGGACAGATATGCACAGAACGCAAGGGAGGCGCCGAGTCTAGACTCTAGAGCGTCGTCGACAAAAGATGGTCGTTCCTAATGGACTCAAGCTCGTACTGGGCTTCGTTCAACGGCAGTACGCGCATGGCCCAGACGGGTCGGCATGGCTCTTATACACTGATCTTTGTTTAGCCAGGAACGAGGGACTGCGCCAATTTGTGAGATCTACAGGTACAAGCGAATGAGAAGTACACAGCTGGGACGACCCGTTGAGGCGCAGGGATCATGACGCGTGAGCTGCGGCCGATCGGACGAATGCGTGAGCTGCTGCTGAATCTGGATGAGCGCGCGACGACGAACGAGGGGGCGACGATAGGTACAGCACGCAGTCCCAGAAGCCTTCTTCAACGGAGAATGCCTGCCCCATGATATCGGGATGGCCCGCACGCGTCGCACAAGAGGTTCTGGGACCAGAGGGGGCACCTACGTCGAGGTGTCGGGGGCCAGATATCAGTACGCCGTGAGAAGCGCACGCCGTTCCTGTGTCGGGCTCCGGCGGGCTGCACGTTCTTGGTTTCGTGAGGAGACACGGTGTAGTGAACAGCAGTGCCTGTCACGTCTTCCCAGCAAACCGAGGACGAATGCCCTGTTGGCGCTGCGGATCCACAAAGACTGCAGCGAAGCACTCGTCTGCACACATGACCGGCACATGCGCGCTCTCGGTCCGAGGAACAGAAGATGGGCGAACGGCTAGCAGACCCTCAACCCGACGCGACACGATTGGTGGTTACGCAGCGAGGACGACTGCCCTTGTGTGGGCGTTGAGGCCGCAGCGAGGCGCCGACAGGAACACATGGCTGGCGAACGCGCCCGCCCAGTCTGGCAAGCGCAGAACGCGCGCACGGCCGGCAGGCTTCCCTCGGTCCAACGACGCGATGCGGCGCGATTGATATTAAGTGGCAGGGTCCCCGTCGAGAAGCCCGAGAAGGCGCTGTCTCGTTGGAATGCGATCCCGAGGGAAAATCCACGAAGCACGGCAGGGCGCGTGGGCGGGCACGGCGAGGGGATGCGGGCCAGGTCAGGTCAGCTGCTGGTCACGGGCCACCGAGGGCGCGACGAGTGCGAAGAAGTGAAGCGAGCTTCGAAGGACTGTCTGAGTCCGGGCTCGAGTTAGAAGCCGAAGCCGAAGCCGAAGTCGACGAGTGCCTTCGGTGCTGGTCTGCTGTGGGTTTCGATCGAGACCGACCAAGTAAGTATCTGTAAGTATCTTCTGGGCAGACTCGGCAGCGAGACTAGGTTTCGACGGCCGCGGCGTGGCACAAAGCTCGTCGCCCAAATGAAAGCCTGGCTCGCCCTCGTGCGATAATTGCGGGGCATGACTTGCCGCTTCTGGCCAGCGAAGGCGCGAGCGGACGAACGGAGGTCGCGGGGTCGCTGCGGCAGCGGGCGGGAAGTGCGGAGCTTGTTGCCTGGATGCTGGCTTGCGTTCGCGGTTGCAGAGCGTGGCTTGCCAGCCGTAGCTTGAGCGACTGACGGGCAGCAGCGGACAGCGGACAAACCAAGATCGAAGGGTCGCGGCGGCGGAGGGCGAAAACGGGGACCCCTGGTGGATCACCAGTTCTCCTTCCTAATCGAATCGAGGCAAAATTCTGCCCTTATTTGGAAACTGGCTCAGATCCATTGCACCGTCAGACTCTCGCGCCTCGTCGTGCTCACCATACTCGGCCTCGGAAGCCTCCGCCGTATCCCTTGGAAATTTTCTGCCGCCTCTTGACCGGTACAATTCAAGAACAAATTTCAACATTTAGCATTCGAATGATGAATGATGTGCAGATTATACAAGGCCGAGCACCCGCGTCAACTGCGCGCGAGCCAGCCTCCATATGCGGTTGAACTGTGCCTAACTAGTGGGGAGGCGACCCACCAGGGGTACTGCATCTGACTCACAGGTGGGTTCATGATATGAGTATCGCGGTGTCTTCGGACGCGTGGACTGACAGGTGCTTGCATGGGGGTGCATCACGTGATGCGGGGTTGGGGCTGGTTGGAGATGACTCCTCGGAAGCCGACCTGCGTCTCGATGCGGGGTAGCCGAGCGCCTGCGGGCGTAGAGTGGGCGAGAATAGAATGCCGGATCGAGGGTCGCAAGTGGGTCGCAGAGGGTCGCAGTCCTGTGGCGCAGCTCATGAAAGGGGAGCGGTTCCCATAATCGCAGGCCGCCGAAGCTTTAAGCTCGAAACGCGCGCTGAAATGTACGACAGACCGCAGTGTGTGACTGTGGGCACTTGTCAGGCGTGAGTCAGTTTGTATTGGTGGCGCCGGCGAGGGCGGGAACGAAGCACTGGCAGTCGTTGGCAAATAAGTAAGTCGAGTGCTTGCAGAATTGGAAGGCTTGGAGGTGGAGGCTTCGCGCGCGGCTGGGCGCGGACGCGTGCCGCGATAGGCTCGGATCGTCCCGTCGTCCCGCCATCATGGATCAAGGTATCAAGGGACCATCTGCGTCTGCATCTGCCTGCATCAGGCATTAGCATCGGGGATGCCGTTCGGCGCGCGGCCCAACGTTGGCGCGTGTTCCGAGGCGTCGAGATCCGGCGCCGTCGTCGTTGGCTGCGAGCGTGAACACGAAACAGTGTCCGCGAGCTGAGGTGCATGCGCATTTCATTGATATATGATATACGATCAATTGGGGATTGGTCTATTGCTCGGCACGGCCTCGCTGGCAGGGCCTGCCGATGGGAGATGGATGTCGTCACCGGGGTCTCGAGACGGTCTGTGGATTGGCAACACGCGAGACGCGAGGCGGAGCCGGCCATATGATTGCTGTGCCAGCGAACGCAGGCCGAGCTGGGCCTGGAGAGAAGCGAGGAGAAGCGCCATGTGTGCGTCGACGGCGGACGGGCCCACGGCGCTGGGGTGCGCAGGTGCGCGCGAAACGCCATGGCAGCGTGATAAGTCGAGCGTGATGCCGTGCGCCACTCGGCGCGTCGCGAGCAGCTGTGCGACTCGGGCATGGGTGGATACACAGAGGCTAGCGGCGAGTCACGCGGGCTGCGTGCACGGTGCGGTGATTGCACAGCGGCCGGAGGTGTGCGACGGCGTTGGGGCGAGTCGAATGATATTGGTGATGCGGGGGAATCACGGGCGTGGAGTGCGGGGTAAGCGTCAAGTGATGCACGGACGGCCACGTCTGCGCTGCAGGCTGAAACAGGACGCGCCGAGCGCAGGGCCCCCGCCCGCAGAAAATGGGCGGGAAGCGGCCGAAAACAGCATCGAAAATGACGAAAAGGGGCCCGAAAAAGAGAAGAAAAGAAAAAAAAAGGGCGGGCCGGGAGTGTTCCGAGAAGACCCGAGCTCCTTCCGAATGCGACGGTCACGGTCCGTCGGCGGTCGCCCTGAACACTGGCCACCACCTCTCCTCTCTCTCTCCACAACATCCTCCTCGTTCCCCTCCACCGTCGTCGCCGTCGCACACGTCGTCGACAGCCCTCGCCCCCCGGTGCACACTCCCCCTCTCGGCCCGCAGCGATCACACCCCTCGCCCACCGCCGGTTTTTTCCACGATAGACCGCGATTGTCTGTTTTTAGCCTCCCGGGCTTTATCCTGCAGCCCACCCCAGTTTGCTCGCTTTCTTCCTTCCCCGAAGTTCTTGTCTAGACTGCGGTCGACAGCGTCATCGCCGTCTATCCTCTCCATCCCTTTTCTCAGTCCCATCCCAATTTCTCCGTCCGAGTCGCCCAGCGCGTCTCGCACACATCCCTTATGGCCAACTACCTCCCCCTCCTCCTCGTCTCCGTCACAACCAACGCAATACCCGACGACACCTCCGTATCCACCCAGCCTCGCGGCCAGGTCGACTACCTCTCCCATGAATGGCGCGAAGAGGACGTGTGGCGTTCCTGGCGCAACATGACTCGCCAGAAAAACGAAATCGCAAACGGCGCCCGCCTCGAAAACGCAAGTTGGCGCACCTGGTGGAAGCAGAGAAATAAGCTCAAGACGATAAGTCCGGAGACTTTGAACTGGTGCGCTTTTTCTCCCTCCGCCTCGCCTCCGTCCCCTTTTATCCTCTCCCTGGCCACCGTTATCGTCGCCTCGAGGGGCACACGTCCTCCATTTATCGCCCATGTCCGGGGCGTTGTGCTCACGCCGCTCTTCCCATGCAGGCTCAAAGACTCGGACGTCACCTGGCTCTATGGGCCTCTCCATACCGCCCTCGACTGGTCGCCCCCGCCCAAACCCAAACCAGACCCGACGACCGTCGATAAGGAGAAGACGGTGCAAGACCGCCTCGGTCTCAGCACAGACTCGCAGGGATACAATATCCCGGGCAAGAAGCCCATCCTCAAGCACCGCAGTATCAGCGACCTCCTCACCAGTGCCCTCCCCAACCTCAATCAAACAGACGATGCCTCTGACGATCTCGGCACTATTGACGAGGACGACGAGGAAGACGAGGCTGAGCTCATCCGTCCTCACCTGATGCACACCAAGAGCGACACCAACATCTCTCGCTACCGCAACAACCCCTTCCGCAAGGACTCTCCGCCGCGCATAATCGCTCCTGTTCTCACCAGCCCCTACGAAGACATCGGTGCGTATCCGGCTGTCCTCTCACCGCCCGTCATGGGCGAGCGCTCCGGCTCGAGTGATTCGGCGCGGGACACGACCGGCGGAAGCTCTCAGGACTTGAACGAGAAGGGCCCCGGGGGCAAGAAGAAGCACATCAGTTTCAACACCTTTGTCGAACAGTGCATCGCCATCGACTCCCCACAGAACGGGAAAGCAAACGGCCGGCGGAAGCCTGCGACCCCGCGCATGTACGACGACGGTTCCGATGACGGGTCAGTCTCTTTTTTCGTGGCTGCCTTCCGTCCCCGCGTCGTTTACGGTCTGCACGCTGATGATGACAAACTCCTGGATACCCCGGCGTATCGTAGATACGACCCGGATTCCGAAGTCGGCTCGTACGACGACGGACTCGACGAACCTTCGCTCTTCTCTGAGGGCCACGCCGGCTCGGACACGGAAGACGATGATGAAGACGATGACGATGACATCCTCGAGATGCGCACCGCATCCTCGCGCTCCCGATCATCATCCTCTTCGCGCTCGCCCGGCCTCTACGCGCACGCGCACTCGCAGCGCCTGCGGCCCAACGCCCGCCCGATGCTCGTCCGCGCCAACTCGTCGGACAAGGAGCACATGACCATCGCGCCCATAGCGCCGACGATGCTCAAGACGACCGGCGTCGGCAACCACGCGGGGCTCCCGCACGGCACGCACGCCACCGCACACGTCAACCTCGTGTACGTGCCCTCGCTTGGTGGCAGCTACGGAGCCTCGCGCCGGTCTAGCTCGAGCGCCGGCGTCGGAGTCGGTATCGGCCTGGGCGTCGGTCTGGGCGCGGCAGCTGTAGCCGGCAGCGCAGAGGACGTGTACAGACACCGCGAGGCGCGGTTCAGCGTCGGCGCGGGCAGTGGCTCGCGCTCCGGCTCGCATTCGCATTCGGGTTCCGGCTCGCGATCGCCGTCGGACTGCGCGTCGCCTGTGCCCGCGGCGGAGGCGCTGCCGCCGCCTATACCATATGCGCGATCGCCTGCCGCTGCGGCGGCGGTCCTGGATGAAGTTGAGCAGGATGCGCAGCAAGAAGAGACGTTTGATTATTTTGGAGGGGCAGGGATGGAGAAGGAGGTGAGGATAGACTCTGAGTTCGGCGCGGGCCTCGTGCGGTACGCGCAGGGCGGCGCGGAGAGCGTGCAGAGCGGGCGGAGTAGCGGGTTCGCAGAGGGCCATGCGCCGGAGGTGGTCGTCAACGATGAGGACGGGCCGAGCGAGGAGTTTAGGGAGCGTGAGCGGTCGAGGAGCCGGAGCAGGAGCCGATCGAGCTCGAGGTCACATAGTCGGTCCAAGTCGCGGACGCCGTCGCCCGCGGAGGTGACGCGCATCGTCGACACGCCGTCATCGTCATATCCGGTCGCCACGTCCACGTCCACGTCGACTGTTTTGTCTGCGTCCCCGTCGATATCCACTTCCGCCCCGCCCTCATCCTCCGTCCCTGTCCCACGATCAAGCTCATCGTCCCACCTTTTCACCGACACTGTCCTGCTCTCCCCGCCCGAACACGCGCCTCACCGTGGGCGCAGCGCCGCGTCGCGCAGTAGTGGAGGCGGCGAGGGCGTCCGAGGGCGCTCGGCGACGCGGAGTGCGTCGTCGTTCTCTGATCGCGACCGGTCGGGGTCGCGCGGGACGAGTTCGCCGCTGGGGAGCGTGAGTCCGACAGCGTCGAGCGCGGTGATCGGGCCTGGCGCTGGTCCCGGAATCGGGGCGCATTTCGTGTACCCACAGGGTCAGCAGCAGCAGCAGCCGCTGCAGGTGACCGTCGTGGGGCGTGGAAGGGCGTCGCGGCTTGGCGGGCGGGGGGCGAGCGGGAGCATGAGTCCGCCGAGCGGGGCGAGCCCTGTGATTGCCATTGCCAGGAGCGGGAGCTTGGATGCGAGTGCGGAGGGACTGTGGAGGGAGGAGATGGAGCAGCGGCAGTCGCTGGGCCTAGGGCTAGGTATCGGACAAGGGCAAGGGCAAGGGCAAAGCCAAGCCGGCCCGTCGTCCGCGCCTGTGCTCTCCGCGTCGATGAGCAGCGTGAGCACGATCTCGAGCTCTGGGTCCTCGACGGAGCACGAGATGTCCGCGCCCGCGTCCGCCGCGAGCGCGCGCAAGCGCGCGTCGGGCAAGATCCCGCTCGCGGTCCCGAGCCAGCCCGCGATCATGGAGGAAGAGGAGCAGGCGCGCTCGCGGCAGCCGACGCCGGCCAACTCGCCCGTGCGCGAGCTCAAGCTTAGGCCTGCGCGGCTCCCGGCCCCCGCCGCTGCCCCGTCTACCTCGGCTGCTTCGACGACTTCGGCGACGGCGACTGCGGTCCCGGCGGTGTCGTCGCCCACGCACGGTCAGAGCAAGCGCGCGTCGCAGGTCGGCGGCCGTCCGACGAGTCCGGCTGTTGCGCGTGAGGAGCAGGCGCAGGCGGGGACGCTCGTCGGGCGCGCGGCGGAGATCGTGAGCAGTGCGCGGGGGCTGTGGGGCTCGTTTTGGCATGGTGGCAGCAGTAGCAGTAACAGTAGTAACAGCAGTAGTGCGGGTGCTTGAGGTGAGTTTGTCACTCTAGTTCGGAGATCGTGAGACTGACGCGTGTTCCGATTTTTTGATTTTTTTTCTGGTCGGGTGACAGATTCGATTTCTGGGGCTCTAGGGCTGTTGAGGGTGTCTGTCGTCCAGGCTAGTTATTTGCTTAATGCGTGGATATTCTCGGTCCGTGCTTGTTGTCTTTCTTTTCCTTTCTTACCCACCTCCCATCTCCCCTCTACTTGTCTTCTTTTGCTTCGTTCTTTATAATTGCATCTTGCGTGTTTCGCTAGCCTCGTCGAGCTCTTTCTCGAGCTTCCGCCCCAGGGCGTGTGGTATCGACTCGGCCAACGTTTGTTCATATCCTTCCTACTCATGCATACGTTCGTACATACATACATACACACATAGGCCTTTTATGTGCTTCTAATTCCCGGGGCTCAAGCAGCGCAGCTTGCAGGAGTCCCCGCCGGCTTCGGTGTTTCCCCTCGTTCCGTTCCCCGTCATCCCTTTTCGTTTCGTTGTGATGTTCCGGTTTCTCGATTTCTTTATGCCTTTTGAACTTCTCCGTTTTTTTTTGTTTTCGCTTTACTTCTTGCCTTTGTGCGAGCGACTGTCGAGAATTCGCCCTCGCCAATATACGATACGCTGCCGAGCGATACCTACGCGGTACGTACTGTATATACGCCGCGCTTGCCCGCGCGGGCTCGTGTTTCCCGTTCGCCTTTGCGTTCGCCGTGGTTGGTTCGGTGCACGGACACGTATATAGCATGCTCTTTGTTGTCGTCTGCTCTCTCTCGGGGCTCGTCTGGGCGTCGGGCTCGATCGCGTTCGTCGGAGCTGTGAATGGGTGGAGTAGGTGTGAGATGTAGGCGATGTACGCGGCGGGCGGTTTCGGCTGCGGTTCCAGGTTTCAGACCGCCTTAGGTTCTACCTCCGGATCGGTTTCTCCTGTTTGTTGTTTTCGTTTCGACGATACCTCGTTGTGTTCGACGAGCGGCGGTGTCTGTGTCCGCTCGTGCCTCGTGCTCCTTATTTAACATTGCTCGTATTCAGTGCTCAGTGCTCAGCATGATACGCATCTTTTCCCGTGATACATTCTTGTGCAGAAGGCAACATAGTATATATTCTATCGTCATCGTGTTCGTTTGGGTACATATGTGTAGGCTGACATGTTCATTTCGACTCGTGTGTATATGTGCGTGTGTACTTACTGTACGGCGACACCCTGTTTCCTCTCCGAGTCGTGGTCCGGCGAAGAAGAATCAGAAGTATATTCTATCACCATCCGTTGCGTTGGGCGTGTAGCATGTGGTAAGTGACTCCGGAAGGCGGTGGTGGCGATGGCCGATGGGCTGCTGGGCTCGAGGGTGCTGCAAATGCGTCCGCGCGATGGGACCGAGGCGAAGGGGCGAGAGCAAGGCGATGACGATGACGTCGGGCATATTCATGTGCGATCGTGTCGGCTGCTGAAACGGTATCGAGAGAAGAAAAAAAACACGCGAGCCGCTATCGGGTCTCCCACAGCAGGCTACGAGCGCGGTCGATTAGGGTCGATTGCATGAGACGAACTGCCCTGACTGGGCAACTGGTATCTGCGCACCTCGGTCCGCGTTCGTTCGCGATGATATCATGGTCGGGACAGCCGTCACGTCGGTTGCGATGCGCTGGAGTGCTGCCGTCCCTGTGGGCACGGTCAATCGAGGTCCTTCTGCCATCTAAGATGTTGGTCAGCTCACCGAAACTCGATCCAGTACACCGCTATCTGTGCCCTCGGTGTTCACAGAGTCCGGATTCATTGTACTACGTATCCACGCTGGCGTCGATGATCCGTCGGGCTAGAGCTGGCGATGCCCAGAGCTAGAATGTGTACAGGTGCACTATCGAGGGAGAAGTTCCGGTCGCCTGTGGGCCAGCGATAACGGCTCAGCAGGAGATATGAAAGCCGCACGGAGGGACTCACGTCTTCGATAGCGATGATAGTGTCTTCGCTGAGCATAAGAGACACGTCGTCATTGGCGGCAGCGCGTACATGCGGTGGCAGAAGTATCTCTTTGACGAGGAACGGCAGGTGCGACTGGACGCCGTGCTGCTTCCAGAACTCCACCTCCCACGTCGCGCTCGTCCCGACGTAGCCTTGGTCTGTCACTATCGTCCAGGCGTCCACGTCATCCGCCGCAACGGTCGCGCGCGCCTGCCTGAGTCTCGTCGGGTGGAAGTCGAAGACCCTGATCGCCCGCCTGCCGTTGGACGCGGTGATCGGTCGGGGGTATACGTACCGCATCCCGTAGACGTAGCACGCCCAGGTTGGCCACTCCGCTGTGTGCGGGAGCACCCGTGTGCCCTCGGGCCCCCACTCTTCCCACTCGACGTAGCGTCGTGGTGCCCTGGCCGTGCGGAGGAAGGGCCGAAAAACGTGCGTAGGAATGAACACGTCCACGCCAGCTGCCGCTTCCCCGCGTTGCCTGGAGAGCTCGACGAGAATAAGCCTGTCGCTGTGATCGATGCAGAAAGGCACGCGTAGTTCGGGATTCGGGGACGCGCGCGGGCCCGGGTCAGAGTTGATGACGATCTTGTCGAACGGAGAGAACGTCATGCGAGGAAGAGCGAAACCGCACATGTATGGACTGTTTTGCGCATCGATGAGCGCGGGCGACGTGTTTCGGTAATCATACACCATCAGGGACGGGCCTCCTGGAGCATTCGGTGGACGAAATAATAATCCGATTATGACGCGCCTATCGTCGAGGAACGCAAAGCACTGCAGCCCTTGTCCTTGCATGTTCTAGACCAGCCAGAGTAAGCGTTCTCAGCTTCTGGGGGGCTCAACGATATGATGGAAGCGAGAGTCACCATCTCGATTTCGCCCGCCTTCCAATTCCATATCACGAGGTGAGCTGACTGCGAACGTTCGTCGAGGAACAAGACACCGAGATGATCGCCGTTGACTTTGATAGAGTACGCCATATGGGGGATGCGCCGCGGAAAGGCGACTGGGAGGTTGATCACTCGAGGGCTTCTATGCGTTATATGTGCTTCGCCATTCGCAAGAAGAATCACATAGACGATACACACTGTGATACCATCGCTGGTTACGGGACAAAGCGGTTCAGATAGTCAGAAACAGGGGAGATAAGAAAAAAGACACACTTCAAACACTTCTGGATCAGCACAAGCAGGTCCTGGGATGGGTCCATGAAGAAGTCGGCAATAGTGTATTCGAATCCCACACCCCATTCGCGAAATTCAATGCCCCTTAGCCGGGAAGGAAGTTGCCTGAAACACAAGCTTCTGGCAGAGGTTCTCATTCCCAGAACCCCGCCGTAGAGGTCCCAGCACCTGGGTAGTCCTTCTAACAAGGGGAAAGCCATGTGCGCAGACCACTCGAGACTTCTCCAAGCTGACTGGTATCGGATCAAGGCACTCAGACGTCCTGCAGTAGAAAGAGGGCCAGCAATTCCATGGAGCATCCCAGACAAAGCAAGAGCGATCTGATATTGCAGAAGGGAGTGGCCCGTAACCACGTCTCGGAGGCGGCGGCACGTCTGATACAGATCAATTTGGAACTGGCTGTGAATTCATTAGTGTATCAATCAGACTTACCTTCTCGCAGGCAAGCAATGCACGGTAATCAAGATGTTGAAATATCTCGAGAATGAGTTCCGTCGGCAATGATTCCAGTTGGCAGACGTTTGAAACAAAGTAAAGACCCTTGGTCGAGATTACCGACGGCTGGGCCTTGTAAACGCTTGGCAGACACTCAAGAATGAGACTTGAGGCGAAGAAGGGCCTCATGCCTACGAGAGTCCCAGCGTCGGAAAATAGCAATGTGGGATTTAGTCTGTGATAATTGGCCGAAGCCGTGATGGAGAAACCTAAAAGAACTGAGCGGAGGAAAACCTCACGAGACGCGCTGAGCACGTGCATCAATACTTCGTAGCACATGACCGCTCCTGATTTTTGTGAGGATTCCTCGAGGATCTCTATGACGGCCCGCTTACCACCTTCCACATCACTCAATCTCGTGAAACAATGCCAGCTGGACATCATTTGCCCTTCGAATTTCGAAGGCCCCCGATCCCCATACTTGTACCATTTAAAGCCTCAATGCTTCACCGTTTACTATGAATCAATGAGTCTGATCATGTATTCTGCAACTTTCTACATGTCTCAAATAGCGACTCTATCAGTCTCCATACTCGCGTCCCGTCGCTTGAGCAAGGCGGAAACGTCCTGAAAGGCGAAGCATCATGCTATACGGCTTGAGCGGCCCGTTTCACTATTCTGGTTTCGCATGGTCCGACATCACCTGCTGGTCGTTGGACGTGGTCGCGCCATGGCATCCGCTATTTCATCGCAGAGAAGGGAAGCACGAGAGGGCTTTTTAAATAACGTTCACTGCTCGAATCACTGGCTGCCAGCATGTTGCTCTCAGTAACGATGCTACGCCGTGCTCTCGCTGCAGTCCTCTTGGCGCTTTCTGCTGCGTCCTCGACCGTGGCCAGCGATCTTGCGCGACGCAACTCTACCGGTCTTACCGACGCAGTCACCTGGGATCCTCATTCTCTTTCGATCTTCGGCCAGCGCGTGTTCATTCTATCAGCTGAAGTGCACCCTTGGAGGCAGCCAAACCCTGACCTCTGGGCCGACGTATTTGAAAAGATAAAAGCTAACGGGTTCAATACTGTTTCATTCTACGTGCATTGGGCATTGCATTATCCTACACCGGATACGAATGACGGTAAGGGAGACTGGCAGGAAGGAACGTACCGTGATTTGCAGAGATTTATTGATGAAGCCAAGAATGCGGGATTATGGATGATTGCGAGGTGCGATCCAGTTGCTTGCATTGCTCTGAACTTGCTTCCATCGACTGCATGCTGTTTTGTAGACCTGGTCCCTATATCAGTAAGTTTTTGTACTGTTATTGAGGGGCAACCGATGTACCTAATGTACCCTTCAAGATGCCGAAACCACAGGGGGCGGCTTTCCCGGCTGGGTGGGCAATATTGCAGGATCTCTGCGTACTGATAACATCAACTATACGCGAGGTGTGTGTATTTGCGAACAGAACATTGAACGACGAAGCGCCGATGCATTTATCACACCAGCTTGGAAGCCCTATATGATCGCAGTTTCACAGATTATCGCAAAAAATCAGATCACCAATGGTGGCCCCAGTAAGTTTTCAACATTCAGAGTCATATTTTATCAATACCGTTGTCTCATTCTTGTTTGCTACAGTTATACTGGTACAAGCAGAGAATGAGTTCAGTGCCGGAACAGGAAGGAGTGATTATATGCAGGACATTATCGACACGTACCGTGCCAACAGTATTGTCATTCGTGCGTCCGTTCTAAATTGAATTGAACCAACACTCATCATCGGAAGTGGAATAGCGACAACGCACAATGACCAGCACGCAGGCCAGGGTGGGAATTTCAGCCCAGACTTGCCCGGTAATGGTTCCGTCAACATCTACTGGTTAATTATGTTGATCTACTAGATGTATTGCTGTGTACTGAACTAGACTGGATGCAGCGGAGATTCCTACCCGCAGGGTACATCGCGTTGGAACCAGGTGCAGACTATCTATATGTCTGTCCACAAAAACGTTGCTCCAAGCAGCCCGCTATGTCTTGCTGAGGTACGAGCATTATCCGGAACGAGTAGTGCAGTTAATAGGGCCTGAAATACCACCTGCAGTTCGGAGGTGGCTGGCTTCTTGGTTGGGGATCTAAAGCTAGAGGCGGAACAGGGTATGAGGTTTTCGGTATGCATTGTAATGTTATTTCCGCATGTCGTATGTCGTAACGAATTCCCGACAGAAACCACGTTGGACAATGCCGACTACGGTACGAGACTCTTCACAATTATTTTTTTCACTCTGATTCGATAGGATCCCAGAGAATGTGTTCTACAAGGAAAACTAGTACGTATCAAGATGGATCCGTGGAAGCGAAACTGTTGATCATTCTCGCAGTGCACAAACGACGACGATTTTGAGTGAATATTTAGTAATTCTCCATTCGAATTTCTGAACACTCATTATCCTCTTTTAGATATCTACAGTCAGTCGTTAATTCTCATACCGACAAGGTCCTCCATTCTCATCGAAAGCCTATAGTGTTGTTTGGCGGTACGAACTGGGGCCAAACCGCTGAACCCACTGTCTATAGCAGTTACGATTACGGCGGCGGTGAATACTCTCTAATTGACAGTCGATATCATGTCTCAACTGTTGCCAGGTATCAACGAAAATCGTGTTGCGACACCCAAGATGAATGAGATGAGGCTCCAAGGTTCGTTTGTTGGAAATATCCTCCTTGTCTCTCAAACTGATGATGTTTTATAAATATGCAGGCCTTTTCCTCCGCGTTTCTCGCGACCTACTTGCAACGATTCAAATCAGTAACGGAACGAACTACACCACGTCGTCTCTAGTCCATACTGCTGAGCTGAAGAATCTGCAGTCGGGGGCAGGCTTCTACGTCTTGCGGCACAATGACGCTACGTGAGATGAGGAATGCCTTTTGTCATCGATATATATCCTAATAGAGTGGATCAGATCTACTGACTTGACAACCACTCAACTCAATATCACCACGTCTGAGGGAGCACTCTTGTTACCGGCGCAGGGCGTTATCACCCTCAACGGCCGTGACAGTAAGATACTTGTTACAGATTACGTTTTCGGACAGTCAGCGACGACCATCCTGTACTCCACTGCCGAGTGAGTCCTAATGGTTGTTTGACCGGCCGAAATGCTCACACCATTGACAGAATCTTGACTTGGACGACGTGAGTTAGTTTCGAACAAGCATCACACTCTCTGACCGATGCTTTCAGCATCGACGACATCGACTACATCATTTTCTACGCAGGACTAGGCGAGACCGGAGAAACCACATTCAAGTTCTCGTCCCAACCTCAAGTGTCCCTCAATGGGGCCTCGAATGTTACATCCACATACTCTGGAGGGATCTTGACTCTTGTTTACTCTCTCCAAGGCTCAAAGTTTGTCGATATCAACGCAAGTGGCAAGACGATCACCGTGGTGATTTTGGATAAACCTACTGCCAACACATGGCATGCTCCTATCATTCCTGGCTCAGGGAATTATGGATCTTTCTTTTCCTTTGGTACTAATCAAACGTGAGTTCATACCAATTCATTTACTGTATGCTCCTGCTGATTGTTCTATAGTATCCTTGCGAGCGGCCCGTATCTAATAAGGACTGCAGCCATTTCTGGCAATACTCTGCATCTGGTAGATTTCTTGGGTTGCCTTCATATTGTTATGCTTGGTCTAATATATGCGCAGACGGGAGATCTCAATGGTACAACTCCAATCGAATTCATCGCTCCTTCATCGGTGGACACTCTTTATTGGAATGGCCAAGTCCAGACAGTCACGCAGACTTCTCATCGATCTTTCACGGCAATTCTTGCAGTATCAGATACCCCCAAGCTCCCTACTCTTGGAAGTTGGAAAGTGCTGGGAAGGTTCGTCATGAGCCTGTTATTTATCGAGTGATCCCTCACTATCTTAAAGCCTTCCAGAGATTGATCCGGCGTTTGATGACTCTGATTTTGTCACTGCTGATCAGACAACAACGAACGTACGTGTTTCCTTTTACCTCAGAGAAGATATCTTACTTTTCTACAGTACACAAACCTTCCGCCCCTTTCTGGGACGCAGGTCCTTTATTCGCAACAATACGGGTTAGGATATGCATCATTTGGGATTGACATTCGATGCTGAAACTCTCTTCACAGGTTCTATGGTGGCAACATTATTTTCCGAGGCCATTTCAATGCATCTGGTGAAGAGACATCCATCAATCTGAGCGTCCAGGGCGGTTACGGCTTTGGATACTCCGCATTTTTGAACGGAGTTTTCCTCGGTTCAAACCAGGGCAATGCCTCCGTTAGCATGACCACTGACTCGTGGAAAATTCCTAGCTCGACCCTTCAGATCGGAAAGGATAATGTTGTCGTTGTAATACAAGGTAGGCGATCTGACACGTGTACAAGGCCACACTGAAGCTCATCGCATTTCTATAGATCATACGGGGTAAGCAACTAATATGGTCCAAAACGATAGAGCTAACACTTTGCTTGTGGAACATAGTATCATCGAAGCTTACAGTAAGTCCCAATGACGTACGTTTGCAGCTGCTGCTAACCTGCGAGCTAGTAAATGGTGGCAAGGAACCTCGTGGAATTCGCGGCTATTCTATCACTGGAGGTAATACCACATTTACGACCTGGAAGCTTCAAGGAAATCAGGTCAATATTCGTGTCAACCTCAATTTCAATTATGGTGAACTTAGTGCTTTGTAGGGAGGTGCTGCCCATGCCCCAGATGCTGTGAGGGGGTATTTGAACGAGGGCGGTTTGTACGCCGAAAGGATCGGTGCACATCTTCCCGGTTTCGACGACTCCAAGTGGGCAAGTGGTACACCGTTATCGGGTGGTGGTGTCCACGATGCCGGTGTCAACTTTTACAGGACGACATTCTCCTTTGTGAGCTGATCAGAAAAATACACTCGATCCACTCGGCTGACGGCTAGTTGTGTCAGGACGTTCCTCAAGGACTCGATGTTCCTCTGCGCCTATCGATCACTCCCAGCGACATCTCACAGAATTACCGCGTTCAAATCTACCTCAACGGTTGGCAACTCGGAAAGTACATCAACAACTTGGGGTGAGTCTCTCCTTGCTTTCACGCGAGAACTACGCTGATGGATTCCACACAAAAGGCCTCAGACTACATTCGTGCTTCCACCTGGGTAATGCTTTGTCAAGTCCTTTTCCATTCAGCAAGAGACTGATCACCATGCTTCCAGTATCCTGAAGCGTCAATCTGAGAACACCCTCGCATTGTCACTTTGGTCTCTCGATTCCTCGGGAGCAGCGCTTGCTGGCCTGGAGTTGATAGCGGATGGCGCATTCTCGACATCTCTGACCTTGTCGGATTATCTACTGGCTCCCGATTACGAGGGTGCTCAGCGACCCGCTGCTGAATATGTCGTTGCTATGTGATGTGCAACTGTGTTCTCTATATGTCGAGTAATCTTAACCGTGATCCGAGGTTGCGTACAATGGCATGCGATGAGTCGCTCGCTGAGGTGAAAGATGAATCGCTGCATCAAAGACCATACACACCACGACCCGAGGCTGCTCTGCATTGTACAAGCTAGCATGAGGCTAACAAAGCGAGTGACCAAAATGATATCAAAATGCACGGCCAATGAGCCCTAGGCTTGTAATTCTATCCTTGGCTGTTGGCCAAAAACTCATCGACAGCCACATTGAAAAATCTATGTTCCAAATCATATCATGGCCAACGTGGGGATCGAACCCTCTCACTTCGCTTTGCGATTAGGATTTACAGTGATGTTCAAGAGGGCTGTCGTCTCTCGGATGAGACTCTCGCGGTCCTGCAGACCCGACTCGAAGAACTCACGTCCGTCCCGCCTCCTCAACAAAAGCTGCTTTACAAGGGCAAGAAGCCTTCTCATGAAGAATCCACTACACTTCAGGACGCGGGTTTCAAGGATGGGATGAAGGTGCAGCTGCTGGGTGCGACGGCAGAGGAGTTGGGAGGGATGCGGAAAGTGGAGGACGAACAGAGGCGGCGAGAGAACATCATGCGGGAGCGCGCAGTGAAGGGGACCGTCAAGGTGCGTCTCGCGTGGATCTACGGTCTGGCCGTGAAGATGTTGAGGATCGGGATTGGCAACTGTAGGTGCGATCGACTGGTCCATCCGCGTTTACCTCCGCTCCCTCTGGGCGCTACCGGTTCCACCGCCTCGAGCCGCTTCAGCATCTGCCCAACCCTGCCTCTGCCCTTGCCACCCTCGAGCGCCTCTCCTCCGACCCCGCCATCTTGCACGTCATGAACAAGCACGAGTTCTCCGTCGGGCTGCTCACGGAGCTCGCGCCGCACGAGGACCCGCACTTGTTGGGATTGAACGTGAACGCGGGGCAGGCGATCAAGCTTCGGCTGCGGACGGACGCGTACGACGGGTTCAGGCCGTATCTCGAGGTGAGGAGGGTGCTGTGCCACGAGTTGACGCACAACAAGTGGGGCGACCACGATAACAACGTCCGTCCGTTTCCGTCTTCCCCTTCGTGTTCTGCGGACATCGCTGACGGCTCCCTTCCATCAGTTTAAGGAACTGAACTCACAGCTGAATCGCGAAGTCGTAGCGTTCGAGCGCGCTAAGAAAGAGGGCACGCACACTCTCGTCGACGGCCTCGGGGGGTATGAGCCCTCTTCGGAGCTCGAGGCTGAGGCGCGCACGTACGTGCTTGGCGGGTCCGGGATAGCACCATCTGGAAACGAGACGGTGGAGGATAGGAGGCGGCGGATGTTGGAAGCAACGATGAACCGGCTGAGGAAGGAGGAAGAAGAACTAGAGCACAGTTGTGGGACGGCCGCGGGTCCCGCTAGTGGAGAGGCTCATTGACTGTTGCCCTAGCAGTTGTAACCTGACAGACGTGTACTCTAGCACTGACCGTATACCATGGGATGGAGGCTTGGATTTAAAACGTGTTGCGACTAGAGACCTCTAGAGACATCACAAGCAGAGCGGCGATAACAGACTAGAGACATGAATCAAAGGTTTGAAATGTGAATCTGGCAGAGTCTGGCAGAGAGCGTTCAAATTATGGTCAAGGCGGCAAAGAGATACAAAAATCGGGTCCAAGCAAGTCCAAGCTCGAGCCCGATCGGTTCTTCGTTGGCATTTTGGGTTGAGAATTGATTGGAAAAAAGGATAGAGACAAAAGGAAAGTGGCCAACGTGGGGATCGAACCCAAGACCTTCGCGTTATTAGCACGACGCTCTAACCAACTGAGCTAGTCGGCCGATAATAATTGTAATATTGATACAAATATATCGCGACGAATGTCAACAATAAATCCTCCCCCGTGAGATCCTGTCCCGGAATATGCCGGGAAAACTATGCAGTACCAAGCCACCGAAGCCAAAGAGGGATTGGAAAGTTGGGGGACAAACAAGTACTAACAGCGCCCTCGAAGGTAAGATTCCCGACAACGACACGCACGGCACACACGAAATGGTGCGCATCTTCTCCCCGTCGTCCGAGACGTTGTTTCTGACCCCGACATCATAGGCCGACACCAAGACCGCCCCCACCAACCCCATGCGAGAGCTCCGCATCGAGAAGCTCGTCATCAGTGCGTCCCCATAGGCTCGCGCAGCCCTCCACCCCCGCTCACTGAAACCCCCACCTGTTGCGCAGACATCTCCGTTGGCGAGTCCGGTGATCGCTTGACGCGAGCCTCGAAAGTCCTGGAGCAGCTCACGGGTCAGACGCCCGTGACCTCCAAGGCGCGCTACACCGTGCGCACGTTCGGCATCCGTCGCAACGAAAAGATCGCCGTGCATGTCACCATCCGCGGCCCCAAGGCCGAGGAGATCCTCGAGCGCGGCCTGAAGGTCAAGGAGTACGAGCTCCGCCGCCGCAACTTCTCCGAGACCGGCAACTTTGGCTTCGGTATTCAGGAGCACATCGATCTCGGTGCCCGGTACGACCCTGGTATTGGTATCTTTGGCATGGATTTCTACGTCGTCATGGGCCGGCCAGGGAACCGTGTTGCGAAGAGGAGGGAAAGGACTGCGCGGATTGGTCCTCAGCACCGGGTGAAGAAGGACGACACGATGGCCTGGTTCAAGCAGCGATTCGACGGTATCATCCTCGTGAGCTTGATTATTCATCCTTTCAGCGCTCTGCGGTGTACTGATATCTTCACCATTTCACCCAGAAATGATCGTCTCGCTTTTTGTTGTCTTCACTCGCTCTCCTATGACTTATATCGTTACGCCATGTACCATGCATGCCATCCAAAATGCACTCCATTTTTCTCTCGGGATTATGACATCTGTACCGAACACATCCAGCTTGAGTCAACACGAGAAACAGTCAACGATGCCAATTTCATGAAATAAATACACTGCGATAATCGTAAACAAGACAGAGTAAGACCCAATTTTGCCCTGGACACCGTTCTGAGCTCTAGAAAGTCCAAAATTCGACGGCTATCACGCCCACCGCCACCTTCGCACTTCAATCGCCCAACCCCTACGCATCCCGTCTGCGCCCACGTCGCCAAGGATCCGCACCTCGGCCTTGTCAAACTCGATATTCGACTCGTCCAGGTCACGCTGCAACACGTGCAGGACCTGCGTGTTTTGCTTTGGCTCGGAAGCTGGAGCGGGCTGGATTGGAGGCGGCGGAGGCGGCGGCATCGACGACGATAGCGATGGCGACTGCGACCGCGGCTGCCGCTCGAGAGTATTTTTGGTGAGCGTGAGAGACGCCGGAGCCGTCTCAGCCGAGGAGGACGCGTCAGGCGGGGGTCGGGACGGCGAGCGCGCCCCGTCCGTGCCAGCAGCCACATGCTCGGACGGCTGCGCGACGGACGGATCGGAGAGCGGCGTCGCGCCCGGGGCGCTGTTCGTCGACGGCTCCGGCAACGGCGAGGTCTCCAGATCCACCGCCATCGCCTTCTCGTTCTCTTTCTCGTTGACGTTCTCTGATTCGCCGGTGGTGAGCGTCCGAATGGTCGAAGGAGGCGAAGGAGGACGCGGCGGTGGCCGCGGCGGGGCCGCGGCTGCAGGCTCCGCCGGCCCGTCCGCGATCAACGATATCGTCCACCGCCGCCGTGCGCTCTTCCCCGCGCCTGCGTTCTCCTTCTCCTTTTCCTTCTCCGCGCCGCCCGGCACACACGCCGCAACGAGGAACCGCTCGCACGACGTCTCGAGAACAAGGTCCCGCGCGCGCGACTCCGTCTCCGCCTCTCCGTCAGCCTCAGCCTCGTCCTCCGCAAAGCCCGCCGCGACGTCCGCATCTGCGTCCACGTCCGAGCGGCTCGCCGGCTCGCCGAGCTTGCGCCGCTTCGCCGGCCTTGGGCGGCCCTCGGGGCGCGGGGCGCGCGCGCGCGGCATCGTGGGCGGCGGCTGGAAGAGCGCCGCGCGCAGGACCGCGGGGTCGTATGCGAACCTGTAATGCAAGGACGGACCAGCGAAGTCAACACCACGCGCCGAAGAGGATGGCGATACAGAGCGACGACGTACCCAGGCTCCGCGCCCGCCCCGCCGGCGAACACGATCGTCACGCGCGCCGCGGCGCGCTCGCGCTCGCGCACGTCCGCGTCCGCGTCCACGTCCACGTCCACGTCCACATCCGCGTCGTCGTAATACAGCTCCCCATACGGCTCCACGTCCTGCTGTTCATCGCCGTCGCCGTCGCCGTTGCCGCCGCGCGCGTCGAGGGCCCCCATCGCCGGACGCCGCCGCCGCTTGCGGTGCCCGCTCGCGAGCAGCAGCGCCGCGCGCCGCTCGGCGTACTCGAGCAGCCGCTGCTTGCGGTTCTTCCTCCCGAGTCCGGGCGCTTTGTGCGCCGTGCCCGCCTGCGTGCGCGACGAAAAGAAAAGGGGGTCAGAGGCGCGCGCGCGCGGGAAGAAGCAAGGCCCGCTCGGGCGACACGCACCGGCACGAACTCGATCTCCAATATCTCGATGCCCCCTCCGTCGTGTCCGTTCCCCCACCCCATACTAACGACGCCCCGCCCGTCCTCCTCCTCCCCACCCTCCTCCTCCTCCGTCTCCCCCTCCCCCTCACCGCTCGCCTCCGCTCCCGCCTCCCTCTCCCTCTCCCTCTCCGCTGCGGCAGCGGCGCTCCGCAAGCGCGCCCCCGGCCCGCCAACATACCTCCCCTCCCTGCTCACGCGCACCTCGACGCGCAGATCGCGCCCCTCGCGCCGCGCGCGCGCGAGTCCCGCCCACCCGACGAGCCCCGCGTGCACGCAGCACGCGACGACGTCCGAGTCGTCCGTGTACACGCGGCGCGCGCAGAACGCGCCCGCGAGCCCCCCGCCCCACAGCCGCAGCCCGCGCCCGCTGTCGAGCTGCGCGGGGCGCGCGGGTGGGAGGAAGCGCGCGGGGATGAGCAGCGTCGCGCGCGTCTCGGGGGGCGCGGCGGCGTGTGCTTGTGCGTGTGCGTGGGACCAGGAGGTGGGGGGGAAGTACGGGAACGGCGTGTGGGGGAAGACGAAGGCGCCGAGGTGGACCGGCGGGAGCGTCGGCGCGGGCATGAACGACAGGCCCTGCGCGTGCGCCTGGCCGGGCGCGTACATCTGTCCCGGAGGCGGGATCTGCGCCGGGCCCTGCTGCGGTGGGGGGTAGTGCCCCGCCTGCGGGTGCTGGTGCTGGCGTGGGTGCGGCTGGTGCGGCTGGTGCGGCTGGTGCTGGGGCGGGACGGAGAACGTGCCGGGGACAGGCAGCGGGGGCGTGCGGCGGTGCGTGAACGGCGGTACGCCGCCGCTCCCGCTCCCGCCGGGACCGAGCACGGCGTGCGCGTGCGCAGGCTGCGGGTGGACGTGCTGGTGCGTGGGGTGCACATGCGCGTGATGCACATGCCCATGGACGCTTCCACCGCCTCCAGCCGCGCCCGCGCCCACGCCCACGCCCACGCCCACGCCCATTCCGCCACCGCCAACGCTGCTGCCACTGTTGCCGACACCCGGCGCGGGCCCCGCACCAAGCGGATGGTGCGCATTCGCGTGCGGATGAACATGCACATGCTGATGCGGATGCTGCACAGTATGCGAATGCTGGTGCTGCTGCTGCAGTTGCGGGTGCTGCTGCTGCTGCTGCTGCTGTTGTTGTTGTTGTTGGTGCGCATGCGGGTGTGGCGGCGACATCCCCTGCGGTCCGGCATACGACTTGCGCGCCCCACCCAGCGCATACTTGTCCGACGCCCCGCCCGGACCCTGTTGCTGCTGAGGAAGCGCGGCAGCGGGGCCCACGGGCGTCGCCACAATGGACGTCGTCATCGTCATCGTCGTCATCGTCGTCGTGTTCGCGGCGGGCGGGGCGTAGCCCGAGCCCGAGCCCGAGCCCGAGGCAGACGGCATTGGTATCAGCTGGATCTCGTTGCGCGGCGGGGACATGCCCGCGGGCGCGGAGAGGTTCAAGACGCTCGTGCCCGGCGGAGACGCGCCCTTGCTCTTCGGTCCCTGGCGAGAACGAACGGCGCGCGCGTCAGTACTTGCACACGGAACGGCCACAGACGAGCAACAAACACCGGAACGAGGTGAACGAGGTGAACGAGAACGAGAACGAGAACGCGTACCCGCGCGCGCGTAGAAGCAGAAAAATCGCGTCCCATACCAAAGCGCAAAAGGACTCACCTGCCCGTGCTCGCCGTGCCCCCTCTCCGTCCTGGTCCCCACTCCCGCGCCGACGCCGACGCCGACGCCGACGCCCCCGCTGCCGCTGCCGCCGTCCTCCCCGCGCCGCGCGGCAGCCGCAGCGCGAATGATCTCCATATCCGCGCGCTGCCTCTGCTCCAGCTCCCTTTCCCGCTCGCGGTCGCGGTCGCGCTCCCTCCTATCCCTGTCCCGCTCCCTATCCCTGTCTCTGCTCCCGTCCCCGTCCCTCTCCCTCTCTCTATCTCTCTCCCTCTCTCTATCTCTCTCCCTGTCTCTCCCTCTCTCCCTATCTCGATCTCTCTCCCCCAACCCACCCCCCTCCTCCCACATCTCCCGCTCATACTCCCCCTCCCCCCTCCGCCCACGCGCCAGACCTAGACCCGAGCCCGCAAACGACGACGCCATCCCCATCCCCATGCTCTGCGAATGCTGCAACTGCCCGCGCGCGTGCAGATGCGACGATGACGGCGGCGGCGGCGGCGGCGGCGGCGGCGGCGACACCCCACGCGGCGCGAAGCCCGAGGGCGACGCCTGCCCGAGCGGCGTCCCGCCGCCCCTGCTCCTCCGCGCCGCGCGCTCCATCTCCGCGTCCCTCTCCCTGTTATCCCTCTCCCTCTCCCTCTCCCGCTCCCTCTCTCTCTCCCGCTCCCGCTCCCGTTCCCTATTCTCTCTCTCCCACTCCCTCTCGCGCTCGCGCTCGCGTCCAAGCCCAAGCACGCTCGGCGCAAGCGGCAGCCCCGGCATCCCAGGCCCCACTCCCACTCCCACTCCAACGCCCACTCCAACGCCAACGCCAGCGCCAACACCTCCGCCCCCAGGAGTAGTCACGCTCGCGCCGCTGCTGCTCCCGCTACCGCTGCCGGTGGTATTCATGATGCTATGGTGCTGTGGCACAAGCGGCGCCACGCTCGCCCCAGCAGCCACGTGCCGCGCACCTCCGCCACCGCCACCGCCACCGCCACCGGCCCCCGCCGCCCCGCCCGCGCCGGGCCCGACTCGCTCGCCGCCGCCTCCGCCTCCGCCTCCGCCGCCGCCGCCGCCGTTGTCAGACTGCAAGCTCGCCATGGCGGGGGTCTCGGTTGCGCGCCGGCGCAGCGGGGGCCCGGGGCTCGCGAAGCCCTGCGGGAGCGCGTGCGCGTGGAGGGGGTGCGTGCGGGCGGAGCTGTGCGCGTGGGCGAGTGCGTGCGGGTGCTGGGCGTGCGGGTGCGGGGCGTGCGGGAGGGCGGCGGGAGGCGGGGGTGGAGGGGGAAGAGGAAGGGGGAGAGGAGGGCCGCCTGGTGGGAGGCGCGCGTGCGGGCGCTCGGCGGGATAAGCGTGCGGGTGCGAGAGCGCGTGCTGGTGTGCGTGCTGGTGTGCGTGTGCGTGTGCGTGTGCGTGTGCGTGCGTGTGCGCGGCGCCGGTGTACATGGGCGAGGGCTCGCTGTAGCCTTTATCGCGCGCGGTGTACGGCGGGGCGGAGGGCTGCGATGGCGCGTGCGCGTGGGGCGGCTGGGGCGACGGCACGCCCGGGCCCGTCTGTGCGGGGTAGAGCGGCGGGGGGAGGGCGGGGCCGGGGGGCTTGGGCATGCGGCCCTGGTCACGGTCGCGCTCGCGCTCGCGCTCGGGGCGCTCGGGGCTGTACTCGTGCGCGCGCGGGTGCATGGAGGGGGCGGGAGGTGGGGGGAGGTACATCGCCGACGACGAGGACGACGGCTGCATGCGAAGTGCGGCTGGCGGCTGCTGTTGCTGTTGTTGCTGCTGCTGCTGCTGCTGCTGTTGCTGCTGGCGGCCGACCAAGTACGGCGAGCCGGGTTGCGACTGCATGCGCGCGGCGAGCGGGGACGAGTGCTGATGCTGGTGCTGGTGCTGGTGCTGGTGCTGGTGCGGGCGCGCATAGTCGTACTCTGCGGGCTGGGCCTGGTAGTCGTACTCCTGGAGGTGGTGCGCGGGGTCCGCGGCGGACGACGACGCGCGGCGCTTATTCTTCGGGCCGAAATCGGGGGGGCCGAGGGCGTGGGCGTGGGCATGGGGGAGGGCGTGGGGCGGGGCGGCGGGGTAGTCGGGGGGGCTGCGGTGGTGGTGCTGGACGGGGGGCGGGGGGAGGTGCTGGGGGAGGCGGTGGTGGAGGGGAGGGACGGTGGACGGCTGCTGTTGCTGCGTATGCGGATGTTGTGGCTGATCGTGGGTGACGGGCGGGCGCTCGCGGTCGTGGAGAGGCGGCGGGGACGAGCGCGGGTGGTATGCAGGAGGAGGAGGTGGTGGTGGTGGTGATGGTGGTGGTGGTGGTGGTGGTGCTTGCTGTTGCTGCTGCTGCTGCTGCTGCTGCTGGTGCTGTCTGCGCCGTGCGTGGTCCTCGGACGGCGAGTCCTGGAGCAGCGCGGCGACGTTCATAGCGACGATGTCGACGACGCACGAGGGCCGACGACGGCGACGGGGACGGGGACGAGGACGGGGACGGAGGGGAGAGGGCGAGGGAGGGCGAGAGGGCGAGAGAAGGCGCAGGCGAAGGGCGCGCGGCCGGCGAGAACACGAGCCACCGAAAATGCGAATTCAGCGATCACAGGAACGCGCGAGATCCAGATCGGCGCACCCCGCCACCCGCGCCGCTCCCAGGGTGCCGCCGCGCGCTGGGTCGCCGACGCCGTGCGTGCAGAGCGCGGTGCAGACGGCGGGGTGTTCGCAGGCGAGGGCGGCGGAGGCGGCGGCGGCGGAGGCGAGGGCACGTCCTTGCAGGCGAGGGCAGCGGGCTGCTCGAGAGCGGGAATCAGCGAGACGGCCCTCGATCTGCGATCTCAGATCGCGCACGCCACCGCCCTGCCTGTCCGCAATTCATTTATATTCGTCCCTGCCCCCCGTCGTCGATGTCTGCGCCGCCCACCCAGTGTCCACCCATGCGCTTGCGTCGCGTCGCCGTGCCCGCGCCAGCAGGCACACGAGAGGCGATAGAACCCCCGTCCAAAAATGCTTCCGCCGGTCCTGTGACAACGAAGATAACCCACGCACGCACGCACGCGCGTCCCACGTAAGTATCCTTCGCCCCGCAATCGGCCCATCACACAAGAACACTGCGTCCCCCGGGCCCTGTCGGCATCAGCCCATCAGCACACCGGCCGTCTCGCACGCGCTGCTGCTTCGCGCCTTCCCTTCCCTTCGCTTCCCCGCGATCCGCTCCACTTCCTTGTGTCAATCACCGTTCAGGACACGCTCGCGCGCACGTATATACGCATCCCGTCGCCGAACACTAAATAAAGCAAGCACCCGCGCAAATTTAATTACACCACACCGCACCGCACCGCACTGCACTGCACTGCACCTCGCCGCTCCCGTCCTCTCGAGTACCGTCCCACGCAACGCAACGCGATACACAACAGAAAGCAGAGTTTGAAAAGTAGAAAGTAAAAAAGTAAAAACCGAAAAGCAGAACGTGACGAAAAACACGCAACGCAACACAGCGCAACGCGACCGCCGCTCCGCTCCTCCACGTCATGGCCACGGCCCCAGCTCCGCACCGGGGATATTCATCTTGATCTCGTCCAAAAAGTCCGCGGCGATCTTCGCGTTCGCGACCTGTGCACCGTGCCCCCCCAAAAAATATTAAAATAAAAAATAAAAAAATCCGTTCAGCGTCCAGCAGAGCGACCCATGATATGATAAGAACGACGGTAATGATGACGATGATGACCGCGCGCCGCCGAAGCGCGCGTGCGGGTCGAGTATCGAGGGCAACCGAAGCCGAAGCCCACCCGGTCGAAGACCGAAGCAGAGCCCAAACCCCAAGAACCCAAGAACCGCACCGCACCGCACCGCACCGCACCGCACGACGACGCCCAAGCCTAAGCGCTTCGAAGAGAAGCCGCAGAACGCAAAAACGCGGAACGCGGACCACAGACGGACGAGAGAGAGAGAGAGAGCAAGAACGCACCCGCAGATTGTAGTGCATCGTCGCCCCGTCCTCGATCACGCTGAACCGGAGGTACCGCGGGTCCGCCGCGATCGCGACCCGCATCCCGCGGAAGAGCGCCACGTTCAGGATCACCGCGTACACCGCCTCCTTTCGCATCACTGCGTGCACCACCCGCGAGCACACGAGCACACACGCACACGCACACGCACACGCACACGCACACGCACACGCACACGAGCACACACGCACGCACGCGCACACCAACAAGACGAGCGAGTCAGCATCGTCCGTACGCAAGGAAAAAAAAAAGCACGCAGCGCGAACGCACCCAGTCGCGCACCCCCGCCGTCCGCCCGGCGCACGTTCAGCCGCATCGTCCCCGTCCCGCGCTCCTTCCACTGCCCCTGCTCGAGCACGAACAGCTTCCCGCGCACATGCCGCAGCGTCTCCTCCTCCTCCTCCCCCGTGAGCACTGCCCGCCCAAACCCACCGATTCGGCCAACGAACAAAGCGAAACCCCAACACGTAGCCGTCAGCGCGCGGACTCTTAGACGCCTCGAGCGAGGTGAAAAAAAACAAAAAACAGGCGGCGCCCGGCACTCACCCTCCTTCTCCGTCAACTCGACCCGCCGCTCGCCCCAATCGCTGTCCTCCTCGTCCTCCCGCTCGCGATCCCGCCCCGCCCTCAACCGCTCTCCAAACGTCGCGCCCTCCCTCTCCGCATCCGCGTCCACGTCAACGTCCCCCGCGCCCTCCCGCACGCTCTCCTCGCTCCCCTCCCTACTCCTACTCCCGCTCTGGCTCTGACTTTGGCTGTGGCTGTGGCTGTGGCTGTGGCTCTGACTCTTCTCCCTACCCGCGCCCCCACCCACGCTCCCGAGCGCAAACACGTCCCCACCCGCACCCGCACCCGCACCCGCACCCGGACTCGCCGCGCGCGCCCGCTTCGCAGCCGGCACCGCAAACGCCTGCACCCCGCCCGCCGCATACGCCGAGAACGCCGTCGCGTTCGCGCTCGCGCCCATACCCACACCCTTCCCCGCGCCGCGCCTCACCGGGCTCCTGCTCCGCGCGAGCCCCGGCGACTTGGGCCGCGCCCCGACACCCCCGCCCGCCCCCGACGCCGCCGCCACCGCCGCGGTCGCAAACGGCGACGCCGCCGACGCGAACGCCTCGAAGCCCGTGCGCTTCGCGGGCGTCGGGTGCGCGAGCGACGCCGCCGACGACGCGAACGGCGAACCCGGGGCCCCGGCGAGCAGGTTGGAGGTCGACGCCGCGGGGGAGGACGCGGGCGCGGTGCCGTTGAGCGCCGAGCCGTTGCTGCCGAACGGCGAGGAGGAGGACGGTCCGGGCCCGGCGTTGGGGCCGGGGCTGGCGCGCCCGCTGGTCCAGGGCGCGGCGGCGGTGGACGGCTTCTTGGAGCCGAAGAGGCTCGGGCCTTGGACGGCCGCGAAGGGCGACGCCGTCGAGGCGTACGAGAGGAATCCGCCACCCTATCAGCAGCGAGTGCGTGCGTGAGCGAACCGACGAAGACCACAAATAGACGCGAAGCGAGGGCACACTTACGAAGGCGGCTGCGGGCTTGGCCGGGGGCGCTGCCTTGGGCGATGGGGGAGCCTCGGCCGTGCAAGCAGAGCTTGACTCGGAGGTGGTGGTGGGCGGAGTGGTGGGGCAGGCTTTGCTGATGCCCGACGGTTTTGGCTTGCGAGCCGCGTCGGCCTCCTTCTCTTCGGGAGGCGGAGGAGACGGCCGCTTGGTAACGCGCGGGTTATCGTCTGTGTCCGCGTCGTCGCGGGGCCGTTTGGGTGCGGCGTCGACCTTGCTTTTGGGTGGCATTGGTATGGGGGCAGCGTCTGTCTCCATAGGGCCCTGACTCGAGGCACGGTCGGCGAGCTTGCGCTTCATGGCCTTTTCGCCCTCGCCCTCTGATTGCGAGCTACGCCGCGAGGCGAGGAGGGCAGGCGTTGGTATAGAGGGAGAGGGATGCGAAGAGGGAGAGGCATCTGTTTGGATGTCCATAACGGATGTCTGTGGGCTGCCTGGCGCTGGAGCCGAAGGCTGCGTGTCCTGGGGCTGCTTGTCTGTCTGTACATCCATATTAGAGGAGCTGGGGCTTGATGGCGGGTCTGCAGGGGCATCAGTGCGCGGGGGCTCCTGAGGGTGCTCGGAGCGCTCGGTGGGGGCATCCTGCTGCGCCTCTGCGGGCTCCTCGATCTCTTCCACGTTGACGTCCATGCCCTCTGCGGCGTGGGCCGCGGCCCCGTTCTCGACGCTGATCTCCTCGACGCCCTGGCTGATCTGGCGCATCTTCGTCTCGTGCGGTGGCGACCCAGTTACGGCGTCGGTGTCGGCGTCGTCTGCGTCCTCGTCCTCCGACTCCTCGTCTGCTTCCTCTGTGCGCGCGAGCTGCGTGCGGTTCTTCTTTGCGGGCGTGCGGACGTCCTTATCGTCGCGCGGCCTTGTGCGGGGCTCGACATCCTGCAGGATCAGCAGACGGGAGGAAGCGCGGGAGGGGCGCGGCGCGGGGCACGGCGCGCGAGATCGCGATGTGAATAGGTAAGCGGGGTGACATCGTGTGTGCCAGGCGGGCAGCTGCAGATAAAATCATCAGCACGCACTGTGTCGTCGGGGCGCGGCGTCGAGGGCTCTTGCGACACCTCGCGCTCGCGCTTCCTCGATACTTTGGCCTCTGTGTGCGTGTGCACGAGTGATAAGCGAGGGAACGGACGCTGATGCTGTGTGGCATGATAACCGAACGCACCGAATGAAGCGTCGTCGTTGGACGGGGAGGGCGGCGTGGGGGGTGGCGAGCGTTTGTTGTCGTCTAGTGGCGGGCTGGGCATCGTCCGCGGTGTGTGTGAGGGAGACATTCGCTCGATTGTGAACGTGCAGGACAATGGTCGAGAACAAGAACGGAAGACGGCAGGCGGCAAGCACGCACGCGCCTTCTCTCTCACGTGGTCTCTACTCTCATGATATTCCGTTGCACTTATCCTGGTCCATCGGCCGACTAGCTCAGTTGGTTAGAGCGTCGTGCTAATAACGCGAAGGTCTTGGGTTCGATCCCCACGTTGGCCACAAGTGCTTAAAATGGAAGCTTTTTTTATCATCTTTTTTGTGCTCCAGCATGCTGTAGGCACCAGTCATTGCTTAAAATTACCGGCCTCATTGTCCGCGTCAGTCCCATGGTCGATGAGTCCATATCTGAAGCTCATACCGCACCCTACCGCACCCTACTGCACGATCTTTTTCTCCTAGGTTTGGTCCCCAAGCTGGCTATGAAATCATAGGTTGATCATTTCTGATGCAGAGGTAGCCTATCATGCTGTTGGCAGCCACGTAGAGCACCAATCCTTGCTTAGAATTACCAGCCTCATATCTGTGCTTGACGAGTCCACATTTGAAACTCATACCGCACCCCCCTCTCTTCCTGGACGCCCATGGGCACATCGAACCCCACCCACGCACTCAGCTCCTCGTCGGACGCTCGTTCCCACCGCCCACCGGCGCCGCCGCTCCCGCTCTCAAGGAAATCGGGCATAAACACGTCGCAGTCAAAGGCAGGCGAGAGGATGCGCGTGAGCAGCACGCGATCGACAAACGCGCGCGCGGCCAGCGGCGGCAGCGCGAGCGCCTCCGCATAGAGGCTCGCTCCGCCGATGACGAACCGCCGGTGGATCCGCGCGCGCGACGCGCCGCCGTCGCCCTCCAGGCTGTCCAGCGCGGATCGCAGGTCGGCGTGCAGAGACGCCGAGGTGTCAGCATCGACAACAGACGCACCCGCGGACCTGCACCGAACATCAGCCACGGCCGCACACGCACGGTCACCGCGAGGTAGGCAACGGCACACGCACAGATCGTAGCCCGCGTTGCGCGACACGACGGCGTTCGCGCGGCCGCGCAGGGGGCGGAACCGCGGCGGGATGCTCTCCCACGTGTTACGGCCCATGATAACGACGTTCGCGAGCCCCGCGGGCGCGCCCGCCGTCGCGCGTGCGAAGTACGCCATCTCTTTCGGGAGGCGCCACGGCAGGCCTGCGTCCTTCCCGATCCCGTTCGAGGCGGTGGCGGCGACGATCAGCGTGAGGCGCGACATCGTGCGTGCGGCTGTGCGCTTTCAGTACGCGAGCAGATGAGCATTATTGTGGGTGCCGCGGGAGGGAGCCGTGCTGCTCACCTGTGAAAGCCTGGAGGAAGGACGAAGGAGAAAGTGCGGTGGACGCAGCGCGCGCATAATGTAGGTGACGTCATCGTCTCGAGTCTCCTTGCTCCCTTTTGCGGTTATACTTTTCTGAACCCAAAGTCGCTACTCCGGCCCATTTACAAATGACCGCATTCGACTCCAAGCTCGCGCTCATGGCTAACGACGACCACGGTGTATATTCGGCATACGACCCCCCCAACAAAACGAAAGAAAAGAAAAGTTCTAGCGCGCGTCTCCGGCCATAAATCACCCCCACCAAGTGCGAAGAAAAACCCTAAAAAGAACCACCAAAAAAAGACGCTGCGCGCACGTGCGCTATGGACAAGGAATAAGTAGTACACGAGGACCCGACGCGACGTATATAACGGATCGGTCATAGATGTGCGACACTGGGCTGAGATAGCGGAGACAGAGAGAGAGAGAAACATGTGTATGCTGAGTTAGGAGTGTGTTGCCGAGTGCGTCGGGGGGCTAGCTAGCGGTGATGTATAGACAGAGCAAACAGAGATGCGAGACAATATGCGACAACGGGGACTTGAACGATGAAAAGCGAAGACAACGCCGCGGCGGACGTCGAGCGCGAAAGCGCGGAGCTGTATATGTGAGCACTGTATAGATAGCGAGAAAAAGCAAGGCCGCTGTCGCGGCGGCCCGTAAAAGACACACCGGGAAGCCGTGGATAAGAGGGCGCGATAATGAGAATTGCAGAGTGGAGAGGAAGGGGGGCGAGGGGTCACGAGGGCGCCGAAGCAGATAGCGCAGGTTTCGCTTGCAAGCGCTCGCTCGCGACATTGAGCATATGTCTGAGGCTCTTCTCCAGGACTGGCTTCGTGAGGACGCTAGACGCACCACGAAAAAAAAACCCCCATCAGTACACTCCGCCTCGAGGCGGGAAAGGCAGAAACACGAATAGATTGCTTGTACGCACTGATCGACCCCAGCCTCCAAATACTCCTCCTGGTCAGACAACAGAGCGTTGCCTAAAACATGCGCATGGGCGTCAGCATGCGTCCCGCCCGCATCCAAGAGACGCACCGGTAACGCCCACGACGAAATCCTTCCTCCCAGCCTCCCGCAGCCGCGCCACCGCCTTCAGCCCAGACAGCACCGGCATCTGGTTATCCAAGAACACCACCGCATACTTGCTCTCCGGCACCTCCAGCAGCTCCTCCTGGCCCTGCCTCGTCGAGAACGACGCACGGTCCGAGGGCGCCGAGCCGCGCCCCCCGCCCTCGTCCATGAAGCGGATCCCGTACGACGGCGACGGAATCGACGGCGGGTACTCCGACCCGGGCGTACGCGGCGCGCGGGCGCGCGCGGCGGCGGGGCCCATGATCATGTCGAGCGCGACCTCGCCGTTTTCGGCGGTCGCGACCTGGCAGCCGAGGCGCGAGAGCATGCGGCTCATGAGCGTGCGCGTGAGCGTGTCGTCGTCGACGACGAGCACCTGCAGGCCCGGAGGAACCGCGTCCGGCGAGGGCGGCGTGGGCTGTGCGTGGGCCGGCGTATTCGCAGCCGTGGAGCCATCCGGGTCGGCGCCGCTCGACTGCCTCACCAGGATAGGCGTGGGCCCGAGGGACATCTGTGGCCGGTGGCCCTGCGCGACGAACGTGGTCGTGGACGCCATGGAAGAGGTGACGTTGGACGTGTACGCGGGCGCGGGCGTCTCGGCGCCCGACCCCGGCACCGGAAGCTCGGGCGGGTCCTCCGTCGTCGGCGAGGGCATCCCCTCGCCGGGGAACAGCGCGTCCTTGATCGTGCGCGTGATGACGGCCTGGCTCTCGCCCGACCTAGACAGCTCGACGAGTCCCCCTGCGGTCCGGTCTGTGGCCTAAGTCGAGGGGCGAGTGGCAGAGGGAAGGCACACACCTTGTTCCATGAGGCTGTGCATCGCGGACGAGGACGCGCGGGAGCCCCACGACGACGGGTTCAGGCGCGGCGGCGACCCGGCGCTCGTGTTCGCGCTGGACGCTGGCCCCACAGCGTCCTCGTGATACCGCCCCCGCGGGGCGTGAGCCTGCGTCTGCGTCTGTGGCGATGGGGGCACGATCGCCTTCGCGCCGACGCCCAGAGCTATGGCACAGGGGAACCGGCGGCAAGTCAGTCTCGACGTCAGCTTGCGAGCGAAACCCCGCAGGAATAACGAAACGGCGAACGCACGCAGCTCGACCCAGAACGTCGACCCCCGGCCGACCTTGGACACCACGCCGAGCCGACCCCCGCTGCGCTTCACGATCTGCCGCACGAGCGCCAACCCGAGTCCCGTTCCCTTCCCTCCCTGCTCTTTTCCTTGCTCGGTCTGGTTGAACGCCGCTGCAGAGCCACACCGTCAGCCGATCGGCACTCGGGCACCGCGGACCAACACGACACGCACAAAACAGCTTGGTCTGCACCATCTCCTTCGGCGGGATCCCGTACCCGGTGTCCTCCACCTCGAGCCGCACGACGATGTAGTCCGGCGGCTTCACGTACTGTTGATTATGCGCGTCAAGCAAATTCGCCGACAGCCCCTCCTTACCCTCTCCCTCGCCCTTTCCCTCTCCCGCATTTTGCTCCTCGTCCCCGCCGCCGCCGCCTCTGTCCGGCGACGCGACGCCGCCCTCGGGCGTGATCAGCCGCGTCGACACCCGCAGCATGCCCCCCGGCGGCGTGAACTTGCACGCGTTGCTCGCGAGGTTCGTCACGATCTGCATCAGCCGCGTCTCGTCCCCGACAACGATCCCCGCCTCGTCCGGGCTGTCCGCGAGCAGCGCCGCGATGCGCGCCGGATCGAGCCCCCGCGCCGTGAACGCGGCGCGGCGCGCGGCCTGTACACCGTCGAGCCGTCAGCATCGTCAGCATATGTATTGCAATTTTGTCCAACTAGCGCGCGCATGGCGCGCACATGAAAAGGGAAGACGGCATAGAGAAAAAAAGTGGACACGCACCCAATCGATCGACTGATCTAAATCCGTAATAAACTCCAACTGGCGCGCGGTCGCCGCGAGCCGCAGCGTGACGAACAAGGACCGCATGACATGATGGAACGCGTACGGCTGCCAACCCCACCATAAAACAAAAAAGAGAGGAAAAAAACGCCATCGTCAACCTCTGCCCAATAAGGCGCCTCGCAGGCACTATCATCCAGTGCACACGCACCTTGGCCACAGACTCGAACCGCCCACTGTCCATCCGGTTGAAATCGAGCACGTCGTTCAGCACTGCGCGCGCGAAGCCGCACCGGGGTCGTGAGGATGACAAAATGAATAATGAACGATGAGCAAAAAAAAAACGCGGACGGAAAACACGGATCCGCGCACCTTTCGACATCATGCTCAAGCTACCCTCGAGCGCCTTGAATTCGATCTCCTGCGCCTTGGGCACGACGCCCGACGCCTCCATGTTCTGCGTCGCCAGCACTACACGCCCACAAACGAGTCTATCAGCGTCCCGCGTCCGTGCCCGCCAAAGCCAGAGCCAAAGCCAAAGACTACTCACACGCTGTATTGAGCGGCACGCGGACCTGTATTGACGCGCGCAAAAAGCGTCAGGACGCACGACAGCACACAAAAGACGCACACTCTAACACCGAGGCGGCGCGGGTCGACGTAGGAAGGGGAAGGTGGAAGGGGCGAGAGGCGAGGGAAAGGATGCGAAGGTAAAAAAAGACTCATCATGGAACACGTATCTGCAACACAGCCGACACCCGCGCGTCAGTAATCGAACGACCAGAACGAGGGACGCCGTCGAAGGCGGGGCGGCGGCGGTGGGGGAGGACGAGGACGAGGACGGGGTGCGGACTCACGAAGTCAAGCGGCGCTTCGAGTCGGACGCGCGGCGCTCGTTCACCTGCGCCTTCTGCGTCGCGCGGAACTGGATCTTGAGCTGGTCGCGGAGGATGTACAGCCTGCGCTCCGCCTGCGCGCGCACCGCGAGCGAAAGCGAAAGCCAGCGCCAGCGAACAGAAAGAGTGAACAAAGCGACCCCGAAAGAAAACACGAGCGACGCGAGTCAGCACACATAGACACGCACACATGCGCCGCTCAGATCGTTGAAGGGTCGAGCAGAGCGAAAGCGACAACGACGCACCGTCTCGCGCGAGTAGTGTACATACGTCAGGAACACGTGGAATACGAGGAAGTTGAGCACGTCTTGCGTCGCACACGCACGCACGCACGCACGCATCCACACCGCATCCGGGGAGAAGAGACAGGCACGCGTCAGTCCGGCCGCCACAAACGGAGGGAAGCAAGGCACGCGAGCAAAAAAGCGGACGCACTGCGAATCCAGCCTGTCCTCACGGGAAGGATGAGCGCGCACGAGCTGTTGCAACGCGGGCGCGGTGTATGAGTATAGTGTGTGAGCGGAGCGCGCGGGAAAAACGAGCACGACGACGACGCACATGAGGAACCAGGTGAGCGCGCCGAGCACGGCGGTGAAGCGCTTCAGCTTGAGCCCGAACAGCGCGATCGTTTGCATGCCAGTCGCATAGCTGCGCACGCACGCACGCACGCACACACACCGCGATCAGTGCGTGTGGACATAGAAACGCACAGAGTGGGGGCGGGAGACGCACTAGAAGAGCGAGATGAAGTCCTTGTGGCCGCACGTGAAGAGCGGCTGGATGTTCAGGAAGTAGTCGCAGTAGTACCTGCACCCAGACGGTCAGTCAGATGGACAGACAGACAGACAGACGAACGGCTGCGCCAGGCGCGTGCTCATGCTCTGTCACAGATGGGGAGAAGCGCTCACATGAACAAGACCTGGTATACCGCCCTGCACGATCCCAGTGCACCGTCGATCGAGTCAGCACGCGGAGGACTCGGGAGGGAGAGCAAAGGGAGGGGGCGTGCGCGCACCAAGACCAGATGGAAAACACGAGCACGGCCTGGTACACATTCGGCCTGTCGCGCGGCCAGTCGTACATGACCATCGGGAACACCGCGAACGTGAGGAAGGCGGAGATCTACGGGGCCAAGAGCAAAGGGGATAACAAAGTGGTCGGGTACAGAAGGCGAGGGGTGGGGGGCGGGTGAGCGAGGGAGCGGGATGGAATGCAGAGGGGGAGCGGACGCACGCCGTAGTAGAATATCTTGTCTGGAAGGACGCGCGGGCCGGGGACGAATGCGATGGCGAGGGCCCAATTGACGATGAGGAACGCGGCGCACCAGAGCGCGTGCGACTGACAGAGTCGCGCAAGGTGTCAGCTAACCCAACCCACGACACCGATCCAGGGTAGCGGGACACCAGCAGCGACGCACCTTCCGCATGAACCAGTTCTCGCGCCAGTACTGCGCCTCCGCCTTCTTGTCCGGAAAGCGCAGGGAGAAGAAGTCGAGCACGGCGGGCCAGACGCGCCAGCGCAGGACGATGAGCAAGCGGCAAGACGCCCAGAGGCCCTCCGCGTGGGCGACGCTGTCCCTGTCTGTGCTGGCGCCGCCCCACGGGCCATGCCCGTTGCCGTTGGCGACGTGCGTTGCGCCAGGATGGCGATCGGGGAGGCCGCCGGCGTCGGACTGGCTGACGGAGCTCCTGATCTCCTCGGACCAGTTGCGATCGACGACGACCTCGTCCACGACGTCATCGTCCTCGGCCTCGAGCAGCTGCTGCTGGCGTTGCTGCTGGAGGGTGCCCGCGGCGGTGGGTGTCTTGACGCCGGCGAGGTGGGCGCGGGACTGTGAAGTGGAGTGGGCGTGGGCGGTGGGCGGGGGCGTTGCGCTGGTGGAGGGTGCGCTGTCGTCGAGGACGGAGGAGGTGGAGGGGGACGTGCCGGTGCCGAGGCGGCGGCGGAGGTTGGCCCAGTAGACGCGGAGGGTGGGGACGAGGGCGATGCGGGCTGATTTTTTGGGGGAGCGGGTGGCGCGCTCTGCGCGGGCTGCTGCTGCAGCCGAAGACGGGCCGTGCGAGGCGTTGGATGCGACGGCGGGGGGCGGGAGGAGGGACGACGAGGCGGTCGTCGTCGTCGCCGTGCCGGTTGTGGAGGGCTTGTGCTTTTCGGGTGCGGGGCTGAAGGCGAGGACGGGTGCGGGTGCGTGTACGGGGGAGAGGAGGAAGGAGGGGGCGTCGCGGTCAGCAGCGGCGGCGGGTGCGGGGGAGTGCATTGTGTCGTGGTCGTCGTCTGTCCATGCCGTTGTGGAGGCGATGGAGGCGGTCGTCGCGGACAGCGTCGAGGCAGGGAAGCGGCGCCAGCGCGGGTGCGTCGTCGACATCACGGGCGCTCCTCTCCCGCCACACACGCGGACCTCGCGGACTCCCCCCCTCCTCGCGGTCCACCCCTCGCATCCCCCGGACCATCCCCGGTCCACGCCCCCGACCCCGCGTCCCACCGCTCGGCGCCTCTCCGTCGGCCCCTGCTCGTCTTCTCGGCCCTCCCCCGACCACTTTCGGCGCACTTCCCGACCACGCCGCGCTCCACATTCGAGCCCACCAGCGAGCGAGCACTCCCTCCCTCGCGCCCACACCCTCGACCCCGATCCCCTCGGCAGCCTCGGCATCCATGGCGGACCTCCAATCCTTCGACATCCGGCCCCCCCTCCCACCACACAGTCTCGAACCCATCGCTCGCTCGCCGTGCAGTCGTGGTTCGACGTCGTCATGACGCTGTCGCAAACCTCTCATGGCCATAGCACCCAGCCCCGCCGAGGTGAGAATCCAGACGGGAGTACGTCGGCACGCTGCGTTCGAGCTCCCGAATAGCAGCAGCAGATCGACGCTCCCGCCACGCGGCTTATATTCAGCCCTCAGCGCTCGCTCGGCCGCTCCAGCGCCTCCCGATCCCGATTCTGTCTCTTTGGTCACTGGACGATGCGTGTCATGCGTCCGGTGTGCAAGCGCGAATGTCGCGCAACCCATGCCTCATCTGTCAATGCGGCCGTACGAGTACTTACTGGAAGCACAGAGCGTGTGCGCGCACACCTCGCGAGGTCCACGTGCGGTCTTGCGAGGCTGCCCCTCAGCGGGAAACCCGCCGAACACCAATGAATCACCTGTGTAATAGATGCAAAATCCTGTACTAGACCTATGATATAAAATTCCATGATTTTCTGTAAACCCCACCAGTGAACGTCATCCATCAACGAGCTCGCCGCCACCAACAACAACACACAGCAGTTCACAGCGCGGCTCGGCGGTTCGCAGTGGCCAAACGGTCGCCTTCACTGAGTTGTCGGAGTTTGTTTCAGTTCTCCTCCCGTACGAGATCCACCCTCTGGGTCCTCCTTGTCAGTCCCATCCACCACCCGCACACACCCTCCTCTCCTTCCGTCCCGTCCTCCCCGTTCAAAAATACGCCCTTCCTCTTTTCGCACCCACCCGTCCCCGCGTACCATTATTTACGAGCCCGCACGTCCACCTCGTTTGTCTGACGTCCCGCCCGGCCCCTTCTTTCTTTCTTTCCTCCGTAGTATTCTGCGCAGAGCTTCTTACTAAACCCTGCCAAGCAGCTTATCGAGTGGCAGATCCCGCTCGACGAGCACCCTCGGAATTCCCCCGATCGACAAGCGCCCATTAGCCATGTCCGTCTACATCACCCTCAAGAGCGGCGACCAGGTCAAAGTCAACGGTAAATATCCTCCACCCCACCTCCGCGCCCTCCACGCCTCACCTAATAAACCATAATTCACTGACAACCCTTTTCCTTTCCTCTCTCGTGCACTCTCTTTTTTTATTTTGTTTTGTTTTATTTATTTATTGTGACTTTTACGTTGTTGATGCTTTGCTGCGGCCTCTTTCCTTCTTCCTCCCTTTTCCGACGCCTCTCCTCGGTGGCGGCCGCGCGGTCTGTCACCCGGCACCCCCGCCCGTCGCATCCCCGGCTGTGGCATATTTTTTTCGCTCGCCTCGCCGTCGCTGTCACCCTGCCTGCACGCCGGGCGCCTCTGATCCCGCTTCGGGCGCGGCCGCGCGCGCCACAGACCATGTCTACTGCTCCCCGAGCTGGGCCGTGCGCGACGGCACGCCCTACTCCGTCGCGCGCATCATGGAGTTCCTCTCCCCCGAAGGCGCCCGCACTTCGGCCGACGCCACCGACAAGCGCGGCGCCACCGCCGCTCACATCATCAGCACCAACAAGACCAGCAAGACCAGCAACGCCCACGCTTCGAGCTCGACCCCCGCCACCGCCGCCGCCTCCCACCCGACCCCGACCACCGCTGCCTCCTCGTCCGCCTCCGCCCCCGCCGTCGCCCCCGCCGTCGCCGTCCCTGGCCACCCCGCCACCGCCACCGCCACCGCTGCGGCCGCCCCGCAATACACGCGCGTGCGCCTCGCGTGGTACTATCGCCCCTCGGACGTGAGCGACCGCCCCGTCGCGGACGCGCGCCTGCTGCTCGCCGCGATCTACTCCGAGATCTGCGACGTCGCGCAGCTGCGCGCCAAGTGCTTCGTCGTGCACCGCGACAAGATCACGGACCTCGCCGGGTGGAAGCGCCGCCCGGACAGGTTCTACTTCAACCGGCTGTTCGACCCGTACATCAAGAAGGAGTTCGAGGTCATCCGCTCGGACGACGTGCGCAACCGTGAGTGGTGCCTGTTCCTTGGTCCTTGCTGTTTGCGTTTGGGTGGATGGGTGGATGGGTGGGCGGCGCGCGCGAGATCGCGGGTCTGGATATCGTGTGCTGACGTTTGTGTTTCCGCGACAGTGCCGTCGAATATCAGGGAGGTCCTCACCGCGCGCTACGAATACGTCGTCGCCGAGAAAGAAATCGTGCCCGACCTCACCGACACCGTCCGCGAATGCAACACCTGCGACAAATGGTGTCCGCCGTACGTCCCCCGTCCCCGTCCCCTCCTTCTCCGCTCTCCCCTCACCTGCTCTCCCTCGCCCGTCTTCGCCTCGCCTCGCCTCGCTTCGTCTCGTCTCGCCTCACCTTCCCCTCTCCCTCGTCCCGCACCACCAGCCCCGAATCCGTCCGCTGCGACCGCTGCAAAGGCTTCTTCCACATGTCCTGCGTGCAGCCCCCGCTCATCTCCAAGCCCACACGCGGCTACGGCTGGACCTGCGCGCCGTGCGCGCGCGCGCACGAGAAGGCCGTCGCGGGGCACGACGCCCGCCCGCCCGCGCCCGCGCCGAAGCCCAAGTCCCACGCGCCCCCCGCGCGCGGCCGCGGGCGCCCGCGCAAGGACCGCTCGCTCGCGGAGAAGGAAGAGAGCGTCGAGGTGAAGCACTTCAAGATGTGGCCGTTCCGCTATTTCGGGTGCGTCGCGTCGCGTCGCGGTCATTGGCTTCTCCTGTGACTCTACCATCGCTGACGCGCTGCGGGCCACAGGCTGTACACCGTCGCAGAAGACACGCTAGGTCAGTCGGTGGTGCTTTACTCGGATGCGCGTGGTGCGTGAACTTCGTGGGTTTGGTTGCTGACAAGGCGTGCAGATCCCGACGACCTCATCTTCCCTCGCTCTGCGACGCGCATGGGGCCCAAATACCAAGCGACCATCCCTGCCCTCGGAACCGCCTTCGACTCTGGTACGCACCCTGCTTAGCTCTGCGTCTCCTCCCGTCCCGTCCTTTCCACCTCGCCCTGCACACCTGCTGACGGAGCTGACTGTCGTCGTGATTTGATCGCGACGCGCGAAGACCTGGAGGAGCGCGGCAGCGACGAAACGATCGAGGTCCTGAGCGTCGTGCTGCAGATGTCCGAGAGCGAAGGTGCGTGCGAACGTGTCTCGACCGTGCTGGCCGGCCGGCCCCTCTCCCCGCATTCGGCACGGAGCTCACCGCATTCTCCACGCCCACGCCCGAATCCGCATGACCGCCGCCGTCGCCGCCACCGCCGGCAGTGTCCGAGCGTGAGTCGTTCGCTGAGTTTTCCGGGGGCGTGCAACGACGGCTGACGCAGGCGCGTGCGCGCGCACGACGGCAGTGGAGAACAGGAAGGCGCGGCTGACCGCGAAGCAGGACGTGCGGAGCAGCGTCGACTGGCTCACGGAGGTGACGCGGCGCTTCTCGCAGGCGTGGCTCGCCAAGCGCGACTTCGCGTCCGTGACGATGTCGAACCCGTTCCGGCTCGAGAAGGTGCGTCTCGCCATCCCGCCCCCTCCGCCGTCTGTCCCCGTCCCGCTGCGCCCTCATTCCCCGCGCTCGCTCGCCTTGGCTATGTAGTGGAAGAAGACGGAGACGCGGTTCGCGGACCGCAGCTGGGACGAAGACGAGAAGGCCGCGTTTGAGGAAGCGATTGCCACGTATGGCGCTGAACTGCGCCCTGTCCGCGACGAGGTCGGTACGAGGACGATCGAGGAGGTCGTGAGGTACTACGGCCACTGGAAGAGGTGCGTCGCTTGCCCACCGTACTGTCGCACCGGCGCTCACGTCCCACACTCGCAGCGGTAAGCTCGGGGAGGAGAACCAGCGCCGGCGTCGCGCGCGCTTAGCCGGCGAGCCCGATCCCGGCGCCGCGGATGCGTTGGGCGGCGGCGCGGGCGCGGGTGTGGACTCGGACGACGAGGGCTCAATCGTGAAGCAGCCGACGCGGGCGAACGGGAGCTGCGGCGCGTGCCGGACGCGCGAGTCCAAGGTGTGGTGGAAGGCGCCCAAGGGCCTGCCGACGAACGTGCTGTGCGACGCGTGCGGGCTCAGCTGGCGCAAGTACGCGGACCTGAACCACATGCGGCCCGTGCGCGAGGAGAGCGTCGCGGGCAAGGCGAAGACGACGGAGAAGCGCGAGGGCACGCCGCTCGGCGGGCCGAGCGCCAAGCGGCCAAAGGTGAGCGCGACCGTGCGCGTGCGGGGTCTTTTCGTCGTCGCTGAATGGGATCGGGCTGACGCGCTTGTGCTTGTGCCTCGGCAGACGGCGGGCTCGGTGCGGTCGTCGCCGCAGCCGCCCACGGGTGCGTCCCACCAGCCGCACTGCCTGGCGTGCAAGAAGAGCGTCGGAAAGGTGCTCACGTGCCAGCACTGCCAGACGCGGGTCCATGCCGGTGCGTGCGTCTCCGTTGCGAGGCGGGTTTTTGGGAGCTCTCGAGCGCGCGTTCTGACTGCGATGTTCGCAGCTGCCGGCGGCGTCGTCGCCGAGCCAGGCGCAGAGACGTGGACGTGCGATCTCTGCGGCAACGACAAGTCCGCCGAGGCATCTCTGGTCGGTCGTTCCCGTTCTTTCGTCTCTCCGGCGGTCGTCGCTCATGCATGCGATGGACGGCGTCCGCAGAACACCGGCTGTCTTCTCTGTCCTCCCCGCAGCAAGAGCAAGCACCTCTACCCGTCGTACCTCCGCGTGTGCAAGCCCACCGAAGGCCAGGGCTGGGCGCACGTCCTCTGCTCCGTGTTCATCCCTGAAATCACGTTCTCCGACGCCTCCCGCCTGCGCGTGGTCGAGGGCATCAGCACGATCCCCCACTCCCGCTGGTCCTCCGTACGTCCCCCCAGTTCTCTCGTCGCCCAAACTCCGCGCCGACGCTCACCCGCTGCTGCCGCCGCCGCTGCCCTCGCACCCACCAGTTTTGCGCCATCTGTCTTCAGCCCGGTGGCGCCGTGATCCGGTGCAGCGAGTGCCCGCACGAGTTCCACGTCTCGTGTGCCTGGGCCCAGGGGTACAAGTTCGGCTTCCAGCACCAGCCCGTGCGTCTCTCCCCTCCGTCTCTTCTCGCGCGAGCAGCCCTCCTGAGAACCGCGACGCCGCGTGCCCAGATCCGGAACCGGAAGGACCCGACGGTGACCGTCAAGTTCGGCCAGTGGGTCGGCGCGATGGTCCCCGCCGTCCGCTGCAGGGACCACCACCACGAACCGTCCAAGCAGACGATGTTCGGCATCTGCGAGACCAACGAGCTCGGCGAGGTACGCGCTGCTGCCTGCGTTGCACGTTGCATGCGGGCCGCGGGCCCACGCTGATCCCCGTGCCGTTCTCTCCCCCGTGTCGCAGACGGCGCTGCAGGTGTACTGCAAAACATACAAGCAGGCCCAGGTCGCGCAGTCGCACGCGCTCCTCCGCAAGGCGCGCCGCTTGGACGAGATCCTCAAGGAAAAGGACGCGGCTCCGAACGGCACGAACGGCGTGACCGAAGCCGCCGCCGCCGCCGTTTCCTCCGCCGAGCCGCGCTGCTCGCGGTGCAAGACGATGTACTCGCCCTTCTTCCACCGTGTCCCCGAGTACTACCACAACCACATCAAGGGAGACCCGGAGGGCTCATACCTATGCCATCGATGTCACGGGAACGACATGCCGGGTGTGGGCAGGCGGGCGGGCTCGTAATCGTTCATCAGCATTGGCGGGCGCGCGCCTGTACTGTATATGATTACATGTTGTTCCTAAGGATGTAACGATAGAGAATGATAGTCACTGAACATGCCACGGGTGTCAGGAGAGTACATGTGGGAGGGCAAAACAGAATAAAAGCAAAGGATAAGCAACCAAGACGACAGAAGAGACCAAACAAAAAGTAATCTATGATTTCACCCTCTTATAATACAATACATAAGCAGGTTTTCCCTGGAAGACGACGGGATGTCAGGCCTGGCATTCCAGTGGGGAAAAGAGGGAAAGACATACAACGACTTCTTTGGCATCAGCCGAGGTGATGCGGCTGTCGTCGCAGTAGAGCCAACCTCCGCGAGACGCGATGAAGGCAGTGTCTGCAGAGTACAAGGTCCGTCAATTCGCACTCTATCGAACGAAAAACACGACGTACAATGGCCACTGCTGAGACTCCCAACGTGGTTAGTGACGGCATAGAGGTCGTATCGGTATGGAGGAACTTGGAGCCGCGGATCGTCCACACTCATCGACTGGGACTGACTGCGATCGACGCCCGGTGGGAGGGGTGGTGGCATGTAGTTCGTCAGATCCAAACCCTTGAGCGGGAAGTCGACGTTCTTCTCGATCTTGTCGGTAAAGGGGCCCTTGAACGAGAACCGTTTGAGATGGACAAGGAGGACCGGCGGGAGACGCGACAACGAGAGTCGCTTCGTGGCCTTGCGCAGAACCTTGCAGTGGGGACAGTTCCTGCACGGAAGATGTGTTCGTTAGTAAACGCTTCGGAAATTCTGCAAGGCGAACGTACCAGGCATCAGATTTCTCCATGACCTCCTCTTTGAAAAAGGCATCTAAACAATGTTGAAGGGATATCTTTTGGATCTTGTTGGTCGGCACGGGAAGAGAGAGGTACATGAAGCTGTTATAGGTGGTAGACGTCTGCAGAGCAACATCCCTCGTTCAGAAAGGGGCTCCAAAAAAGAGCGAATGCACCTTACTTTATGGCACGTCAGACACTCCAGCCGATTGCGGAACTGTCCTTGGAAATAGTCGACAATGAGGCTGTCGTTCCGCCGGCGATAGACCTGCCACTCCTGCTCGCTGGCGATCTGCTGCGGCAGCTTCTCCAATTCCGCTTCGCGCTCGGGCGATACTTGATCGTTCGGCTTGTTCAGGATGCGGTTGAGGTCCTCGTGAAGCCCATCCAGCAGGAATATCAAGAACTCCTGCGAATCATGTTGATCGGACCCGCTGAATTGTGGCGCGTGCATGCATATCGATCGCTATAACAGAAGATAAGTTCCCTGGCGTTTAGAAGAAGAGTGGGATAGGTACTCGAAATGGGAACGGAGAGATATAAGACGTTTCTCCGTGCCACATATCATGCAAGATGCTCGCAAATGCATATGCGAGGTTGCCCTTGGTTCCCAGCGGATTGACCAAGTTCAGCGCAGTCTTCCAGCGGCCATCTAGAGCACGAAACACATGAGGGCAACAAATCTAGATAACGAGATAGTCGTGCCTACCTGTAAAGAACCGCGCGAACGGTACAGTGGCACTCAAGCACTGGATGGTCGCGTTCATATAACAGGTATTCCCCAAATTCTTCAAACCAGATGTTCCGATGTGAACGTCAGGCCAGTATGTCACGGGATAGTCAGAAGGAATGGTCGGTGGTGGCGGACCGGACTGCGAGATGGAGTACGACTGGCCGTGCTGCGCGAGCCGGGGGCGGCTGTCCTTTCTCTCTAAGCCCGGCGATGCTGCGGCGGGCGGTCTCCGCAGTATGTGCTGTGATGAGAGTTCGGGATAATCGATCGGAGGGCGAGCCATGCCAGACAACGCTTCCTGCGATTGGTCAATATAGTCGCTCCGCCGCCGAGAAAGAGGCGATGAGTTGATAGAGGCTTGAGGAGGAGAGACGATGCCGTGAGTTCCAGTATATTGATTGAACGATGAACTGGGGACCGTAGGAGACATATTTCGAGCGAATTGGGGGTATTGAATTCCGGCGCCATTAACCATTGACTGGGGTATCTGTGGTGAGGGAACCTAAAACTCGCAGGCGTCAGTAGAACGCTTCGCCATCCAGCTAAGACTTCTACGCACGTTGTCAGAAGCAGTTCGAGTAAATGAAGATGTGGATGACGTAGATGGCGGACGAGACATTGTTGGCTTCCGTACAAGACGACGCGTGGGTTCCAAGATTCCGTTATAATCTGTACCATCTCTGGTAGACCTATGAAAAATCCTCTGTAAGACGTAGATAGGATCATTACTAGAAACTGACCTGGACGATCCAGACATTTGGTCCAATGAGTGGCGAGCGAACTCCTCCGGCGGTACCATCGCAGCCCTGCCGTTTGCATAGGTCTCTGTTCCAGCGCGACTTCGACCCAAAACTTGGCCCCGAGGTGCCATTGGTGGAGGGGACTTGTATCCGTCATTGAATCGGGGGAGGGTCGGAGTTGTGTAGCCGTTGATCGCCTGAACAGGACGCACAACGACCTCATTCGACTCAGCTCTTGCGACGAAGGTTTCTCCCAATTCTTTCTTCCAAGCCTGCAACCCACCAGCTAGTAAGACCGGCACATTCCTCAAGGCCTTTTTGAACTCGGTCTCGTAGATGGCGCGAACTAGAAGCGAGAGCGGGGTGGAGAGGGAACCGAAAGAGTCTGAAGAGTCGTCATAGAGGATGACTAAATCAAACTTTTCGCGGTTTGAGAACAGGGAAGATTCATTTCGAGGTGCGACACTCAGCGAGTCTTCGATGCTCAAACCACTGACACTGTCCCCTTTGTTAGCCTCGAATCTCCCAAGCAAAGTCCAACACTCACTTGTCCCGCATAAGTACCGACGGCTCGATGCACAACACCGCATCTGCACGTACGTGTTCACGATCAAACTCTTCCCTTGTCCGCACATCAATGAATAGCACCTTGAGTTCGTTGGTATATATATAGTCATAGACCTCTTTCGGCTGTGCAACATTTTTGACTGGAAAGTCCACGGGGATAGCATGAGATGGAATCAGAGGCGAGCGCGATGACTTGTTGAGGAGTCCTGACGGCTTGGGAAGGGTGGTGGGCGAGAGAGGAGAGCTAGACGGAGATGCTGGTCGGCTGGCGAAGCTGTCTATCATAGGTGAGATGGGAGTGCTCGACGGTCGAGGGCCCGGGTTGAACGGGAGCGTCGGAAATGGTTTCGCTACCGTAGGCGAACGGTCTCCGGTATAGTCTCGACGCGAACGTCGGCTGGAATTGCTCGCGCCAGTGTTCACTGTTGCAATTTGCAAGTTGTCCGCCTCCTCTAACTCATCTATGGAAGGGAATGTCTGCGCAAACTCGGAAAAACTGAAGAGGGAAGCTCTGGGTGAAGATGAAGTGGAAGAGGAAGGAGATGGCGGGCTCAAAGTAGATGGGGAGACGAATGCATGTGGTGAGGGAGCAGCGGAATGGAGAGATCCTGATGCGGAGATGGACGAGGCTTGACTCAAAGTGGGAGTGATAATGCCTAAGCTAGGCATAGGACTTCGAGGCGGACGGTCGTCGGAGATCGGAGACTGCAAAGATGAAGAAATCGTGCCATTCGGGATTTCTCGCGACATGCGTTTAGAGGTCCCGACAGACAAACCGGCGTCCTGCAGAGAGCGCATTCGATCTGCGATACTACCCCCAGGCTTCTGAGTGGGAAGATCTGAGGAGGGACTCTCGACCCCGTTGAGTCTGCTCATCGTAGTCAGGGTCACAACGAGATGATATATACAGCGTACTTACTGGGTCGCCGTCTTTTCTATCTGGAGGAGCTTGTTCTCCAAAGCATGTACTCTCGTTGTCAAGTCACTGCCTGCATGCTGGACGCAGAGGGCTGAGAGCTTGCTCAGATAATCGGGGCGGATTGCGCACCTGCTGGAAATCTGTGAACTCTTTCCAAACAATGCCCTTCTTCCCAGGCACGTTCTCAGCCTTGAATTCGGCCGAGTCCATCACTGTCTTTGCAAGGCTAGCGGCTTTTGTGAATGCGCTGAGAGCACCCTTCAAGTCCCCGGCGCCCTCGCACGCATGTGCAAGAGACACCTGGCCTCGGGCGGACTTGATGAGGGACACGGCCGAAGCCCCCTTGCTGACTTTCTGAGCCTGTTGGATGGCCTTCTCGCGGATCTCAGCAACAGATATGTCTTCGAAAGGCCTCGGTGACCCATTCTGCACGGCTGAGGTACGATACGGTCAGAGAACCCATCATAACGTGCCCAGCCAGATCAGCTATACTCACTAGAGAACGATGCACCAAACCCTCCGACCACGGGCGAAGCTGGTAATACAGAGACACCTGTCATTGAGGCCGTGCACAGCGGTGGGTTGCAGCGATTATTCGGAGGTGATGGAGTAGGAACGACAAGGGATAGTAATAAGGATAATTGAGCGGATTATTTGGTGGAAATGGGCAGAGAGAACATGAGCTCAAGTGGCTGGACAATCCGGGGACAATGTGACTGGAATTTCGTTCGGCGTGCTCAGCTCATTCCGGCAAATTTCCAAGGCACGCGCCGGATTGGGTCCAGATCCGCGACAAATGTATTTTGGCTATTTATGAGTCCATCGCGGTCACGTGGATCGCCGCGTCGGTTCACCTCGACCTTTGGCGTCGACTCACTCCTAGGGCCACGCACAGTTCAAATAGCCCAACACTTGCTAACCATCTCCTACTATCATCCTCCAGCCCGCATACCTGGGACATCCTTCCGCAGTGCGTTTAGACTACCTCTTCTAACAGTGAACTCGCACTTCATACAAGTGACTTTGACAGTGAGATGGCGCGAACACCTCCCAAGACGGCTCAATGGAATCTTGACTTCTCGGACTCTCTAGGATCACCATTTGTCGATGCACCCTCGACCGACTCTGTGACGTCGACATCGACGCTCCAATATGTCAACTCACAGCTCATTGCACACGGGTTCGCTCACTCCCCAGGTTTATCTTTGGACGGGTTATCAAACGGGGACTCGGAGCAAGTCGTGAAATGTTTGTTTGGTATGTTGAGTCAAAGAATGGTGCGTGATATATGGCTTTCCCGAGAAATCTCAATAAATGTCGTCGTGCAGATTGATATGAACCGTACAGAGGAGTTGACCACAAAACTTAGAACTCTGTCCTATGACCACGAGAGACTTACTTCTATGCACCATACAACAAGTGAGAAAGCTGAGAGCGCTGAACGCGAGACTAACCTTTTCAAATCGCGACTTGCGTACGTCCTGGTCTCTCTCATGCTTCGAGCCACCACGAACGCACTTGTAGCTCTGCAGCACGCACTATTCAGCAAGCTGAAGCCGCACACAAGCACACCACTGGAGAGCTCCAGCGAACACGCTCCTCGCTACAAGCCCTTCGTGCGGCTCATCAGACAGAACTAAAGAAGAAGGAGAAAGATATAGAGCGCATGTCGGAGAGATGGTCTAAGCTCTCAGACACACAGCTGAAACTCGGATCCGTCGGCAGCGGCATGACAGTGAGAAGTGCCAACAGCGCGATCGTCGAAGGTAGACCGGAGGCCGTTCTCGGTCGAGGCAAGGGCCTAGTCGAGACGGCTCTCGACGAAGCCGAGAAAGCGAGCAGGGAGCTGCGAGAGGAGAATGGAGAGCTCAAGGCCCTTATTGTTGATGTCACTAATGCGATTCAGAAGATTCTTCATAAAGCATTGGGAGGGGAGCCAGACGACGATAACCAGGTCAGTACTACACGTCCATTATTTGGCCACCTGGTTTCTCATCAAAGAATGTAGCCGACGCCCTTGGGAATAACTGACCTTTTCCCACTAGGACCTGTCGACATTGCCTTCGAAAGACTAAGCTCTCTCCTTACCTCCCTTCGCAGTACTGTAGCTACCATTCTCGAAACAAGAGGTTCCGATGCCGCCGCGCCCACGGACAACTCTGTTGATGAGATTGAAAAGCTGCAGCAAACAATCACCACCTTGCGCTCTGAACTTGGTGCGTGCTTCTGAATTTCTCGTGTTATTCTCGGTGAGTTGACATTGAGTAGAAAAAGCAAAGGAATCTCCGACATACAAAGCAAAGGCGAAGGCGCTGTTCGATCGGGACGAAGAGAAAGAACGTCTGGATCAGAAACTGTCCGAGGTCGAAGCGCAGAAAACAGCCTTCACAGAGGCTGTTACAAGATTGGGTAAAGAGCGAGCAGATTTCCAGGTAACACACCGTCGCTTGTACAACGTTATGCCCTCTAACAAGAACTGAATAGGCTGAGCGGATGAAATTCCTCGAGGAGAAGCGCTCCTGGGGCGTCCACTCTACACCACCGGAACCAAAAACTGCGTCCGATGTTCCCACATTGTCTTCAGAACCCGACTTAATCCCTCCAGAATCAACGATACCCTCACGCAAATCCCCGCGCAAATCCAAAGTAAAGATAAGCTCCCCGCGCAAGTCCCCGCGCCGGTCACCTGCCAAAGTGAAAACAAAAACCTTCCGCAGAGTGTCATCAACGTCGAGCGCCGGGCTTCCACCATCGTCGCACTTCGTCCCATCGTACGAGACCGAAGTCATACCGTCCACGTCGCTCATGCCGACTTCATTCGTGCTGCCCCCTCCTTCCCCACAATCACGTTTCCCTCCAAGAACCAGCGGCATACTTGGAGCCTTTAACGAGGTCGAACCGCTGAACTTGGGCTTGCCTAAAGTCGTCATCTCGGAAGAGCCAGCACCACGTCGCGCATCGAGAGCCGAAGACGTCTTGGAGGGCATCTCCGAGCCTCTGCCAGACACTTCCTCTAAACCATCGCATCCCCAGCCTTCCTCGTCGGCCGCCCCCACTCACTCACCAGACATGACCGATGAAGAACTCCTCAATGTGCCTGCGCCCGTCCCAAAAACCCCTCGCGCGTTCCCGGTGGCGAAGCCTTTCGCGCAACGCATGATCCACGCCTATTCCCCTGCGAAGCCCAGTCCACTCAGTCGAATCCTGCTGCTGTCGGACTCGCCAGAGGGGGATCTCGGAACGATGCACCTCAAGGACTTGGTGCCCATGGCCGGGCTCACAGTTGCGGAAGTGAACCCTTCTTCTGCCTTTGTGCTCCCGGTAGAGGACGCCGACAACCCACTACTAGAGAAGCGGGCGGATCAGACTGCGAACGCTCAGGGTCCACAGAAAACGGAGCCCGCGACCAAGACCGCCGCACCGGCTCGCGATCCTGTCAAAAAGTCGCTCGCTCCTGCGCTGGAGAAGGAACGGGACAAGGCGAAGGGCAAGGACAGGGCGAAGGCCACCGCTCCATCGGCCACTGCGCGAAGTAAGACCCCCACGGGTGTCGGGGAGAAGGAGAACGTCACGAAACGCGCCCCAAAGGCCTCGACGAGCAAGGTCCCGCCGGCTTCGAGTGCAGTTACTACCAAGACCGATTCCGTCCCAACCTCGCAGTCCGCCGCTGTTTCTAATGTGACAACAAGGGGCAAGTTCGGCGCTAGCAATAAGCTCCCACCAAGCAGAAGCGGCCCCAGAAGAGTGCCTATTGATAGCGCCGAAGCCGCTCTGCCGATTGGACCGGGGTGGAGAGGCTAAATGGTAGCATCGCCTACATTCGGATCTATTTCTCTCCTTATATCCATGTTATATGGCGTAGAGCGTGTACAATCGGCGCGTGTGTAATTGCAACAATACCCTCCAAATCCATTGGTGATTTATTAGTACATGATAAATATGCTCCCTTGACTGAATCTTCTAACAGGACTTTGCTTTCGTCGCCATTCTCAATTTGACCTCATAAACTCAGCGAAATACCCATCAAGGGTCTTGACCTGATCCAAAGGTGCGACGGTGCCCACATATCCGTCTGGACGAACGACGACGACTGCTCCCTCTGGACCGACACCATACGTTTCATACACTTTGCCGCCTTTCTTGTTCGTGACATCAGTATCGTCCAGAAGGACTCTGTGAAATCATCATATGAGCAGCTGAACATCGAGGTCAAGTTGAAAATACCCGCTTTGACCAGTGAGACCTCAGGATCTCCGGCACATCGAAATGGCTGCCTTCCTCTTTCTTGCCCTTCAAGATTGACAGCACATCATAGATGCTTTCTGCTTTCGTCTCACCGATCGCCCTGAAGAACCCGTCCTTCCTCCCGAGCTCTGCGGCGAACTTCTCAACGCGCGCACGTTGTGCGGGATCGCGGAGGTCGCCGGTGAACACGAGCACCTTGAAGCGCGTGTCGGCGGGGCAGACGTCCTGAATGTCGATAGCCCGCCGGTCCGCCATGCGCAGCACGACTTGCGGAAGGATGCGTTGCCCGATGATCAAGTTCGAGGCAGCAGCTTGGTGGGTCGTGGACGTCAGGGCCGATTGTGCGTAGTGGATGCCGATTCCAGACGTGAAGGCTCCGAACGCTTGGAAGGCCCTGTGTCACAGGGAAAGACGTTAAAAGAAATACAAGAGAACTTTTGTTGCGAAAGCATACTGCAAGAATTCCTCGTGTGTCACACCGTCAGCGTATTCTTCCGACTTCGGCTTTCCGGAGAAAAGTGCGGAGAACTTCTTGTCGAAGGCTATGAGGTCTTGTGCGTATTTCCTTCGCTCGAACTCGTACTGCGCATGTATGTTAGATAGACCGGGGAGTTAGGAACGCATTCTCTTACAGTCTTTAGGAGGGACAGATCGGCCCAGCCCCGCAAAACATGAGTCAATTTCCAGACTACGAACAGTGATAAGGTGATCGATGAAAATCGAAGAACGCGAAATAGACACACTCAAGTTGTGAGTATCGTTCATGCTCGCGTTCATCCCTTGGCCTGACGTGTATGTTAACGCCAGCTACTAAAACTTCTAAGCTATCATCATCAGACGCACCAGCTTTCGGCGAATGTGTATGACAAGCATCACCGGCGATGAACACTCTCTCATTCACAGAGAACTTGGACGCAACACGTTGCCCGACTATTGATGACAGCAGTCAGTCCTCGGAGCATATGATCGCATCATCCTGAGTCGAAGAGCTCACTGATATAGATCGTCCACCAATCAATCTTTTCCAGCGTTGTGGTCATGATGTAGGGATAGAACGACTTCTTCGCCACCTGAAAAGGAATTTCAGTTTGCGTTTGAATCTATTTTTGTTCAGAGATGATCGGCGGCAGGTCCGACGTACCTCCAAAAGCTTATCAGGACCGAACCTGTTCATGTCTACACGTCCGGTGGCAGGGTCGACCACATCGGCATTGGTCAACTGAAGATAGAGACGAATCTTGTCGCCTTCGCGCGGGATGATCATGCAGGAGCCGTTTTCACTGTGGATCGCGCATCTGTTTCGATAATCTGGAAAGTTCGTTTCGGGTGACGGGACCATGTCGATAACGCCCCAAATATACTCTATCAAGAAGTATACGATGTCAGAAGGACCGGGTATTTTCGCGAGGCAAAACTGTACCCGTCTGCTCGCCGTCCATGTTGATCCCCAATGTCTTACGGACCCACGAATGAGCACCTGGGACCCATCAGCGTCGTCGTTGGAACAAGCACGATAAGATGCCTACCGTCTGAACCTAGGACGTATTTGGCATGTACGATTTCGGTGTCATCTGCACCATCAGCGACATCTAAGCTTTTCAGGACGACCTGAATGTCTCAATTGAGATGCATGCACTTGAACGATGGAAGCGACAATACCTTGACAGCATACGCGTGGGGATCGCTGAGCGCCGCTTCGTCTGTTGAGATTTCCAGAGACGTAGGAATTTTAGGTCGCTCGACCTCCAGCCCTTCTTGACGCATAGAATCTAGGAAGACTTTCTCGATCGCGCCTTGGTGCAATGTGAGCTATGATATCTCGCGACGGTAAGTAACGTCTTCTGATTGTGTTATCCGCCAAGCTCACCTCGAACGGGAATCTAGCTGTAGGCGCGGTCACATCGGGCGCACGACCCGTGCACTGCAGACATCCAGAAGTTAGAAGTCTGTGAAGAGAGGGCTCCCGACAATGTCCTACTGACCTCGATTCCCCCATTGGGGGCAGGATTATAGAAGGCCTACGAGGGAATTGAATCGGAAACCCGAGCGTTGAGAGGATATGACACGCACTGCCATGTGCAGCTGGGCTGCTTGACTTATGAGGGCGTCGGCAAGCCCATAGCTCTGTACGGATGTGAAAATGAATGGTTTGGCAGGAACGCGGACACGATGGACATACCTGCAAGACCTCGATGGTGCGCGGTTGAATACCATCCGCTTGTCCCGCAGCAAGTGTACTGGGTCTGATGCACCATGATCGGCCAAACCCGGCAGAATAGACAGGAAAGGACGACGCACCGTTTATCAATGATCCTCACGTTGACACCTGCCTTCGCGAGGCCATTCGCGCACATCACGCCTGCGGGGCCGGCACCGAGAATGAGGACATCGACTTTGGACTCTGGGATGGACGACATGTGGACGGTTCGGATCAAGAGGCGGAGCTGGGTGGGCTGAACGGAACTTGGGGGAGGTGAGGGGCAAGCATGGATTGGGCCCTTATTTATATCGATCTCGGAAAGACCGCAGGGAGGCAAGGAAGAGAATTGGCGCTACCCAACGGGTGTACCTCCTGACTGACTATAGTCCGACTGCCGTGTTTGGTGTGTCGTCCTCCAACCCGCATGCGATGCTCGGCTCTCGTGCTTTCGAGGCACTTGCCTTTTACTGTCTCAGCCTTCGCAGGCTTCCTAAATTGGATGACACAACGGCGGCAAGAAAATGCGAGTCAGTGCTAGGCGCGGTCAGAATCTCCTACTAAGTAGTGGATCGATAAGGCGGGATGGGGTACCACATTACTCGTTCGAGCAGGGATGCGCCGCGAAATTGTACAAAAAAGGCATCTCTTTCCTGCCCATCAGTCCGGGCCAGACTGTTCAGCCCTCTCGCGACGGGAGAAGCCCAGCGCTCCATGAAATGCTGACCGGGGCTTGCCTAGGAAGGTGTCGTCGTTCACAGTCGCCGTTGGTACGCGCTCAAGCTTGACAGAATGCCTATCTGTGATGAATGCTGTGACATATAGATGGAGCAACAAGGAGACTACAAGTGTCCGACATACATAAGATTACAGAACTATAACTAGCGAAGGGGGATAAAATGGTGATACGGGGACGATGAATGACTGAGATGTACGGGAGAGATGGTGAAAAAATGTCGGTATCAAACTTCTCCGACGTAGAAAACGTCATGAGAGAATTGTTTGTCCAAGGTGCCTTCTTCGGTGAGCAGGATGTCCCGAATCTTGAGTTGCGAAGTTGCGTGAGCGCGATGTATATGGCAGCGCACATCCAAGACAGCGAGGACATACCTCGGGTGGTGGATTGAGACCAAGCGCGTCGGCACGCTCCCATCGCTGAAGGCGAGTGACCCCAATACATGGGCCATACTCATATGATCTGTATAAACAATGCGCATATAAGCGGCGCTCAATCAACACACACAGAGATACGCACAAGTCGAATACACGAAGGATGTGATGCACTTTCGTCTGCCCTTCAGCGTGCACTGTATATGAGACAAGCAGGCTAGTTAGGAGTAGTGGACTCGACATCGATATACGGAGGAAGCACCAACCTGGCTGCAAGTGGCCCATCTTTGCACTTGCCGCAGCATACGGCTTTGCCCACCTCCCGTCCTTGTCATCGGGATCCAATTTCTCCCTTGGCGCCTGAACAACCGATCCCGAGTTCTCGATACTCTCCCGAGACCGAAATACACTAGCCGTGCCCTCCCCCACGCTCAAGTTCATATCGACTTCACGGTCATCCTGACTTCGTGCCCTTGGCGTTCCAGCATATTCGCTATTGGTTCCACTCCCAATACTGTTGGCTTCTTTATCCACGGACGTACCGGAAGACGATGCTCGCAAGCCCGGCGCTGTCCTAAGTTTGCTTTTGACAGCGGAAGCACCACTTGCGCGCTTGGCTGTGACGAATGAAAGTTTTGACTGTTTCATGGAGCCTGCACTGTGAGACCTTTTGGAATGGGTTGTGAGTGATGTAGAAGGTGCCATCTCTTTGGTGACTGGTGTGGAGAAAGGAGTGTTAAAGACCAAATCTCAGGCCGATCGCGTAGTGGCCACAGCGGGATGATATTTCACAGCAGCGAGTTGCCGACATGGCCGACTAGCTCAGTTGGTTAGAGCGTCGTGCTAATAACGCGAAGGTCTTGGGTTCGATCCCCACGTTGGCCACTTTCCTTTTGTCTCGATCCTTTTTTTCAATCAATCCTCAACCCAAAATGCCAACGAAGAACCGATCGGGCTCGAGCTTGGACTTGCTTGGACCCGAATTTTGTATCTCTTTGCCGCCTTGACCATAATTTGAACGCTCTCTGCCAGACTCTACCAGATTCACATTTCAAACCTTTGATTCATGTCTCTAGTCTCTGTTATCCTCTGTTATCGCTGCTCTGCCTGTCAACCCTTACGACAGGGGACCACAACGCGTTATAAATACAAGCCTCCATCCCATGGTATACGGTCAGTGCTAAAGTACATGTCTGTCAGGTTACAACTGCTAGGGCAACAGTCAATGAGCCTCTCCACTAGCGGGACCCGCGGCCGTCCCACAACTGTGCTCTAGTTCTTCTTCCTCCTTCCTCAGCCGGTTCATCGTTGCTTCCAACATCCGCCGCCTCCTATCCTCCACCGTCTCGTTTCCAGATGGTGCTATCCCGGACCCGCCAAGGACGTACGTGCGCGCCTCAGCCTCGAGCTCCGAAGAGGGCTCATACCCTCCGAGGTCGTCGACGAGAGTGTGCGTGCCCTCTTTCTTAGCGCGCTCGAACGCTACGACTTCGCGATTCAGCTGTGAGTTCAGTTCCTTAAACTGATGGAAGGGAGCCGTCAGCGATGTCCGCAGAACACGAAGGGGAAGACGGAAACGGACGGACGTTGTTATCGTGGTCGCCCCACTTGTTGTGCGTCAACTCGTGGCACAGCACCGTCCTCACCTCGAGATACGGCCTGAACCCGTCGTACGCGTCCGTCCGCAGCCGAAGCTTGATCGCCTGCCCCGCGTTCACGTTCAATCCCAGCAAGTGCGGGTCCTCGTGCGGCGCGAGCTCCGTGAGCAGTCCGACGGAGAACTCGTGCTTGTTCATGACGTGCAGGATGGCGGGGTCGGAGGAGAGGCGCTCGAGGGTGGCAAGGGCAGAGGCAGGGTTGGGCAGATGCTGAAGCGGCTCGAGGCGGTGGAACCGGTAGCGCCCAGAGGGAGCGGAGGTGAACGCGGATGGACCAGTCGATCGCACCTATAGTTGCCGACCCCGATCCTCAACATCTTCACGGCCGGACCGTAGATCCACGCGAGACGCACCTTGACGGTTCCCTTCGCTGCGCGCTCCCGCATGATGCTCTCTCGCCGCCTCTGTTCGTCCTCCGCTTTCTGCATCCCTCCCAACTCCTCTGCCGTCGCACCCAGCAGCTGCACCTTCATCCCATCCTTGAAACCCGCGTCCTGCAGTGTAGTGGACTCTCCATGAGAAGGCTTCTTGCCCTTGTAAAGCAGCTTTTGTTGAGGAGGCGGGACGGACGTGAGTTCTTCGAGGCGGGCCTGTAGGACCGCGAGAGTCTCATCTGGGAGGAGTGAGAGTGGGTGGATGTTACCGCGATGCGATACTTGAAAGTATATGGGTTTCACAGAGGTAACCATGTTCATAGTTCTAAGCTGAAGTTGAAGGAGGTGACGCGTTCCAGGAGAATTACTCAGGCTCCTGCACCCGGGTTCATCGGTCTGCACAGCTACACAAAAACGTAGATATGTCCGATCCAAAATGACAAAATTTTGTCCTTTCCATCAGCACGAGATTGACAGATCGTCAGCACGCGGACTCGTCCCAAGCTTTTGACTCAATTCCGTCAGCATATCGATCCCACATAGGCGAAATTTAGGAGCCCTTTCCGTCAATAAATTCGTAATCGACTGATTGGAGGTAGGGTTAAGTTAAAAGAACCTAACCCTAGGATCAGCTAAATCCGCTCTCGCAGCTCGCTTTCCCGAATCCTTGAACGTTCCTGCCATCACAATCTCCCAAGTTCTGTATTCTTCTTTGCCTGAAACTTGAAATTTGAGACCCTGGCACACTCTTCTAACGTTTCGTCAGGAAACTGGTGAACTACTAATGAGCCACTTTCTGAATTCATAAGCGGTGTTGGTGAGCCCCTTAGTGAGCTCTTGAGGACGGCTTGCGAAAGAGGTACTGACGGCGCCTAGAATTCGAACGCGGGAAACTGCAGACGCACAAAGCAGTACGCAAGATGTCTATGGCACTCATGGGGCCTCCGATGTGTACAAGCAGTGTACAATCCTCCCATATCTGGTTGTTTGTGCCCCTTTAACCCGTAGGCGAGTCAATCGATCTATGATGTTGGTCCATTCGTTTACTACTCGCGGAGCAACGGAGATTGGTGGGTCTGGGGCCCCACCCTATCTGCAAAACAGTCTTACAGATGCTCTTTTACAGGCGAGAATTAGAATGTGTTTTGTCATCCAAATTGTTCATGAAGAAATCACGAAGGAGGCTTCACCGCGATATAAAAAGCTCGTCGGGGTTGCACCGTCCCTAAGCATCTAGTCGAAATCTCATCGAACACTCAGCTTCAGCAATGGCCACTGCTACAGTCCTCGCTCCTCACGACGTTAATACCACCCTCAACTACCTCAAGCTCGTAGGGGACGAGGCTCCATTCAATTACATGTATACCCTACCAGAAGGCGAGGCGACCACTAATATCCGATCCGACCTTTGACCAGCCATCATCCATGATATCCGAGGTCAAGAAGATACAGTCTCACTCGACACGACTGATTTTGGTTTTATCAAGCATGTTAGCGAGGAGAAGGAGTTTGTCAACTAAGAAGCGATCATGACGCGTTATTATAAGGAAGTAGAGAAACTTCTCAAGAAGCATACCGGTGCGAAAAGGGTTTTTGTTTTCGATCATATTATCAGGTGCGGGTTTTTTATTGCTCTATATCAGTTGCATGAGGCTTATACCGATTCTCATATGCAGACGTCCGGTTGTAGAAGGGTCCGAGTCCGGTCAGAACCCTCCACTTCGCGGGCCTGTGGTGAGCAATGCATAACGTGTTTTTTAATTCAATCCAAACTCATATTTCTCCTCAGACTCGTGTACATGCCGACCAGACATACGTTGCTGGAGAGAAGCGCGTGTACCAGTATCTTCCTGATGAAGTTGAGCGTCTTCTCAAGTCCCGCGTCCGTATCATCCATGTCTAGTGGCCTATCGAGAACGTCGTCGCACATCACCCTCTGGCTGTTGCTGATTGGCGTACCGTTAACCCCGACATTGACCTCGTCCACACCCGGTACGTTTACCGTGATCGCGAGGGCTCGACGTTCAGCGTGAAGGACAACCCCGAGCACCGCTGGTACTACCTGGGAAACCAGACGTCAGAAGAGGTTACCTTGATCAAGTGCTTTGACACGGACGAGAGCAAGGCTAGGCTGACCCCACACTCTGCATTCTTGGACTCGTCGAGTCCCAAGGATGCACCGCAGAGGCAGTCTACCGAGACTAGATGCTTGGTGTTCGATGCGGAGTAGAAGTTGATAAAGTGGAGCTGCATCAATCTCTATATAATCGAGTCTTCGGTTGTCCGTATCATTGTTGAGTCCAGGTTGCACATCGTTGTATGCCTTTCAATGAATCAGGTGTTGTTCCGTCATATCATATCCTACCGACCCATATACATACTCATCGGACGGACACTCCTGACAAAATTTGATAAGTGAGGATCATATCGATCATACATGATCCATATTGTGCGGTGTCCATTTAGGAGTATCCGATAGGTCTGTGGACTGCTGAAGAATATGTGGTTGCAAGAGTCAAGGTCAAGAAATACATTATCTCTGTCAGAATTTGAGCATGAGGTCTGAATTGGACACAACGAGCCCGGTAGACAGGAAGAGATGTACATCGCAGAAAGGAGCAGAAAGGTTATGTTCCCTAACTTTGAACAATTGACGATGGAGGATGGATCCTACCCAAATTGGATCAGATTGCTGTTGTATTAATCCATGCATGGCCGACTAGCTCAGTTGGTTAGAGCGTCGTGCTAATAACGCGAAGGTCTTGGGTTCGATCCCCACGTTGGCCAGTCAGATACCTATCACGATAGGGATTTTTGTTGCCCAAGCCCGAAAGCCTTGGTGCGGTGGAGCGAGTGTTGCTATTGTGACGTGGCGAGTGTTGCCATTCGATTGCCCCCGTCTTGCGCTTCTGGTCAATCTTCTTTGCACCCATACATGCTGCAGTAACTTATCCTTCGATGGACCAAAACCTCCTCCTCTGTGGAGGCCTCCTCGTCACAGCTATCCTTCTCGTGAGTGACCATCCTTGCTCACACCCCTTGAGAAGGGCTGGGGGAAAAGATGATTCCTAGATCATCCTTGTTCTAAGAGTTTTGGGCCGTCTTCGGATGTGCGCCGAGACGACGACGAGAGACATAGGTCGCGGTTATGCACGCATGTTTCTGATTCCCCATCCAATCACCATATGATATTCCAGCTTTTCGCCAGTGCTGACCCACACGCGCTCATACTTGCGTTCTGCAGGCCTACGTCGCACTGCATGCGTGGACACCACCACCAATAGTCGAGCATGCGTCCGAGAAAAACTACCGCTCGCGCTCGTCGCCCAAGTCGGCCAAGCCCCTGCCCTCGTTGCACGACATCGCGTCGATAGACATCACTGTCGTCATCCCCGCGTACAACGAGACCGCGCGGCTCCCTTCTATGCTCGACACCGCCGTCACGTACCTCGCCGCACAGAAGGGCCGCACGTACGAAATCCTCATCGTTGACGACGGGTCGTCGGATGGGACCGCGGACAAAGCGCTCGCGATGGCGAAGGGGTATCCGCGGGCGGACATTCGCGTCGTACAGCTGGAGAAGAACCTGGGCAAGGGCGGTGCGGTGAGGCATGGGATGCTGCATGGCAGGGGGGAGAAGCTGCTGATGGTGGACGCGGACGGGGCATCGCGGTTTGAGGACCTGGCATTGTTGTGGAATGCTCTGGACGGGATCGGGAGGAAGGGCGTTGCGATAGGGAGCAGGGCGCATCTGGTCAAGACCGCGGCTGTGGTCAAAGTGCGTACCGCCCTGACTTGTCTGCGGTCTAGTGTTTATTTATTTATTTACTTTTCGCGTCGCAGCGCTCCTTCATCCGCAATTTCCTCATGTATGGCCTCCACACCGTCCTGCGCATCGTTGGGGTCGGGCACATCCGCGATACCCAGTGCGGGTTCAAGCTCTTCACGCGCGCCGCCGCACAGCAAATTTTCCCAAATCAGCACCTCACGACGTGGATCTTCGACGTCGAGCTGCTCCTGCTCGCGAAGCAGCTCGGGATACCTGTCGAGGAGGTGCCGATCGAGTGGCACGAGGTCCCGGGGAGCAAGCTGAACGTGATGAAAGACTCATTGCAGATGCTCCGAGACCTGCTGGTGTTGCGGGCCAACATGCTCTTGGGCAGGTGGAAGATCGGGCTCAAGGCGAAGGCAGAGTAGCGAGTTATGCTTGGTTCGCGAACGCGGTGTGATCTTCCTCGCTATTATTATTTATTTACGGACGGACTCATAATATTTCCGGAATACATACACTGATCTGAGGATATCTACAGTAGATCGTGTTCGTCTCGCAAGTCCGGGTTTCAAGTCTGGTCAGAGGATCCTGGGATGAGCGCTTGAGCGACAAGAAGACCAAGTTTATCATCGCTCTTTCGCACAGATGATTTCGCAAGCAACCACCAGCCATGTTTCATATTATCAACGACAATTGTAGGTCCAGAAGGAGACTGAGGTGCCTTGCCATAGGAGCGAGTAATCGAGTCCGCTACCGTTCCGGGTCATCTAGACTTCAACGGCGTTCTCCCGACGCGAGGGCGAAATTTAGTTCCATAGAGGAGCATGACATCTGGAACAGGCTTGCACGTCCCTCAACTGCCGCCAGCGATGTACACGGACCAGGAGGCGAGGATACAAGCAGATACACGAACTTCAAAATTTGGACAGGCGGCTTCCTCATACTCGTACAGTGTACTTGTGGGCGCTGTGACACGGTCATGATGCGATTGATGAAGAGGAACTGGGGAGAAGGATTTCCCTCCTCGTCGAGAAGGAAGACACGAGACTGGCCTCGCACTGGTCAGCATAGTAGGAAGTCGGAAATTATGGACGTACAATGGAGTACACTTTGGGAAAGGTTATGAACAGGAACGAACGCCGCACATGAAGTCTGAAGCTGTGAAGGATGAATGTAATCTGTAGCGCATCACCTGAGCGTCATTGGTACAGCTCCCGAACGACATGAACCGGGGGATTCTTCTGTTGCTATCGTCTGGTGGAGGACTTGGCTTACTTGTTCTAGAGACAGCTGCATTCGGTTGTCTTTTGAGTTCTGTGGATAAGATAGATTTGACGCAGAGATCTTGGGCGCATCTCAAATGCTGCATGAGAAGTATCAGGCAGCATCATAGGGGACCAGTACCCTCCCATTCGTTAGCTGGTGCAAAGCGAGCGTCTGTTGGCTGGAATTCGCAAAGGCGACTTTGAGCAATCGACACAGCCTGTGCTCGATGGAGACAGGCATGAAATCCTCTATATCTCCGCGTCCCTTTGAAATGTGCGATCACGTCGCACGGGGTTAGATACCAACACAGGTTTTTGGGCCCTCACCTCGTTCTGAACTGACCGCAGGTGTGCTGGTGACCGATGAGTGGCCTGATCCATGCCTTCATCTAGTATTATGATGACTGGGACAGAAGGTGTTATTACATCTATACAATTCGCTCCACAGTATCTAAATAGATCATGATGTGCCGTATCATCTACGACATAATCAGTTGATCGAACATCAGATGCGCAGACTTTCGAATACATACAGTGTTCTCATAGTGAAATCATCTTAATTCTTGAGGCCATGTTCTTCAGCGAGGATCTGGATTGCCTGGAGACACCGCTGTTGGATCAGCCATCTTTTGATTCTTCCAGGCCTCGAAAAAGGAAAAGGCTTACCAGATGCTTACTGAAGAACCTTCCCTGAGCGAATGGACCCGCGACGAACCAAAGGCCACGCTGACCAGTCGGTCTGTAGGTGTTCATGAACTCGCCCTCCTTGTCGAGGCCCCAGATTTGGTCGCCGATCTTTTTCGTGATATCCTTCCCGAACAAATCTGTCGCATTGTCGATAATGGGTTTGTTGCCGGTGCTATCCGAAAAATTCATGATTTTTCGCTCAATATAGCGGGTGAACGACAACATACGCAAGGACCACCACATCAGCTTCAAGGCGTGTTCCATCCTGGAAGACGATCGCGTCACTCTCGAAGTGGTCGACCTCTATACCGCTCTTGATGTTGACTTTGCCTTCAATAACAGATTGTCCAAAGCCGACGTCGAGCACTGTCGTTGCACGGATTACATATTTCGAGTTACCTATCAAATGCATGGAAATCGCGGTGCTTACTGGATCCACTGCCCCTGCGCTCATGAAGGAATCCAGGCAGTCCCACCTCTCCAGCCCCAGGTTCGAGCTCGTAATTGAGTCTGAACCCATGCTCCTGCAGGCCAGTGAGGAGTGCCTTGTCCATCTCCTTCAGCCTTGCGGTCAGACCGTCTCTGAACATGTTGAGCAGGAACCTGAGAGGCATACTGCCGTCGAGCAAGTCGGCATCCTCGATGGGACGCGATTCTGGATAGAATTCGCTGTAAAAGACGGCATCTAGACTGGACGCGGCGACGACGCAAGTAGCGGAGCGCTGGACCACAGTCACCGAGGCGGCCAGATGGGCAGGCGCGACGAAAGACTGGGCTACGTCGCCTGCGGCATTGCACTTACAAACAGTATCAGCATAGGTCCAAAGGTGAGGTCTAAAACCGATGCTTACTGCTCCGACAATGACCGCCTTCTTGCCTGCCCATTTCTCTGGGGATTTGTGGTTATCGCTGTGATAGATGGTGCCCTTGAAGCTCGCCATGCCGGGCCACTTGGGAATGTGAGCGCGTCCACTGCCAGTGGCTAGAACAACATGCTTGGGATGAAGAGTCACGATCGACTTGACTTCTGATGAGGCACAGCACCCGAGTCGTTCAAATACTGTCCATGTCCTGGTCAAGGCTGCTCACCGAATGATTCCGTCTTGATTGTTCTCTCGACGTGTACACTCCACCGTCCGGTCTCTTCGTTATATACAGGCTGAGGGTCGTTCAAGACAGTCGACGAAAGCCAGATGACGAGATTGTTCTCATAAGCATAGGACTCTAGAAAGTTTGCGACCATGTCCTTAGCCATATACTTAGGGTATGTTTTCCTGCACGATTGTGTTAGCATTATGGCCGCCAGTATACACAATGCATACATACGGCCATGGATGATAGAGAACTATGAGCGGAACCCACGAGACATATTTTAACATGTCAGTAAACTGGTAGAAATTAGATGCAACACACTCGTGCAAAAATGTGCGGGCGTGTGAAGCGAAAGGTTAGGGTAGCTGTATCATGCATTAGAAACCATGAAAGGGAATTGAATCGAGGGTATGACACACCGATTCCGCCAGACATCGCCAACCCTTGGCAATTTCTCAACAAGAAGTGCACGGATGCCCATGCGTCCCATGCGTGCTGCGCACATGAGACCACCTTGTCCGGCACCAACTTAAACCAGCAAACCATCAGGGGAACATCCGAGTAACAAATGAATTGCACTCCTTACTTATCAATACTGTCGGGTCCTCTTCTACGCTTTTCGCCATCTGTGCCCTCACATCAGGCCATGCAACCATGTGACCATCAAAGACGCCGTTAGAGCGCTCCTTCGGCTCCGGGTGGTCTTTCAGATCCTCGATATTGAAGAATGCGGTAAGTGCTTTCCAGTGCAGAGCACCGCCCGAGTTATCGCTGTCACCAGGCGCTTGGACGAGGCGCACAAACCCCCGACCGGTACGCGCTGGGTTGTCAAGCTCGAATGTGAATACTGCCTGCACTCCAGACATAGAATCAGGCGCTCCAGGGAGTGGGAATAGCGAGGGAGGGCCCAAAGACGAAGAGATCTCGACAGTGAGCTTGCTAATTGAGCTCTTGGCAAAGCGATTTGCCTTCGTGTTGCCGTTGGGAACAGTCTCGGACAGATACAAGGCGATGTTATCGCGGCCCTGGATGGTGCGGAAATCCCAGCCAAAGCAAAGGAGATCTGTAGACAATGAGCTATACTTGTCATCGATAGAAGATGAAAATGACCATACCGCGTAGCCATCCAGCTGATATGAAAAGCTCTGCGAACGCGGCAGGATTTCTTGCCACAGATGCCTTATGCAAACGATCAAGCCATTCTTTGGCTACGAGAGTGCAGTCAACTGACGAAGCTTTTTGGATGAGGGCTTGAGTCATGTTGACTTGTTGGGAGGTGCAAGCAAATCATCAGCGTGCTTTATATATTCCGCGCATAGCAAGGCCATATTGAACAGGGGTGGATTACTCTCCCTGGTTACACGGGAGGCTGATTGCGTGATGAAATCTTGGAATGAGATCAAACAAATGGTCGAGAGGTCGGACCTGCAAGGGTCCAGTCATCTCTAACTTATCTGACTTGCATCTTTGATTCTGGAAATCGCTTGCCTATACGGTAGTGAATGAGACCATATCATCTACATTCGGTATATACGTTTTGAGAGATCTCTTAGTAAAAGTTTAAGTGAGTACTTGCATGATAGGGAATCCGACTGTCAAAAAGGCTTACCGGGTGTGTGTCATCTTCAAGTTACGAGTCTCTTTGGATTCTAGCCGTCAGAAGCAGCGGACGGCCCTAGCGTAAGCTAAGCGTTCGACAGACGAAGTTGGAATGTGATTCCCCTCGTCAAAGTGATGACCATACGCACTGCTATCGCCCTGGACTACACGAGCTTTTCATGTATGAAAACTATACACTTAACTTCTGCGTTGAGACGTCAACAGGACACTCGTCCACCGCAGCATGCTCTGGGCGGAGAATATTTTAGAACAACGTTCGTCAGCTATCTTTCAAACCGTCTCCCATGGTAGTCAGCACGTCGCGAGGCGTTAGATCGGGTAGCGCCAAACGAGCTTGTTCGGTTAGGAGCACTCCCGATCGGCAGCTCTATTGCAGAAAGACAAGGAAACGTCTTGCAATGACGCCCCTGAGATGTGAGGAAATATGATCGACATAGTAGATTGAGCGCGGCAGACATAGCCAACGACCTGACCACCTGGCTCATTGGGATGCGAGCCTGCAAAAAAAAACATAAGTGATGGGTCCGCCGTTACACATGGCCGATCCAGTTGCATCAGGAAATGATAAGAATTGCTCCATATGTCTCCTTTGCTCCACGGTTGTCCTGGAGAGTTGAGTATATGGTAGAGGATGATCATATGAATGCCAGAGGTCCGGTGGACGTTCAGTTTGGGTACGAAGATGGAGGTCCAAAAATAGACCAAAGGATCACGTGAAATGATGTACGGACACGTCGACAGGCGCAGCAGCGCAGAGGACGCGACAAGTTGCTTGGCCTGCCTCCTCCGTTCTCTCCATTCAATCCTGGGAATAGACAAAAGTCTTCCCCAATACAGTAGAGGCCATGCCTGCGGCCTACCCACTCCCTACAAATCTCTCCCCCGCCACCGTCACAAACACTGCATCTCTTCTACGCATCATCGCACTCGCCCTCATCTCAGGTGCAGCTATCGCCTCTCGTCTGTTTGCTGTAATCAACTTCGAAAGTATCATACACGAATTGTGAGCCGCAGTGCTTCCGCCCATACTCACGGACCCAAATGTCTGACGTGCAGACTTGTGTAGCGACCCATGGTTTAACTAGTGAGTGTCAGACGAATGTGAATGTGACGGCTTGACCGATACCGATGCCCTAGTCGAGCAACTAAAGTGTTGGCCGCGAAGGGATTCTACGTATGCGCCGCCATTGTCTCTGTGTTCACTGTCAAAAGGCTAACTCGCTTGATAGGAATTTTGGAACTGGTTCGATCCCACAGCATGGTATCCACTCGGTCGTGTAGTGGGCGGTACCATCTACCCAGGTCTCATGGCCACGAGCGGCGTCATTTACAACGTTCTCCACGCTCTCAACCTGCCTGTTGATATCCGTAATGTCTGCGTTCTGCTTGCGCCCGGCTTCAGTTCCCTTACGGCATGGGCTACCTACATGTGAGTCTTTCAGTTTACGCTCTCGTGCCTACGAATTTCGCATCGTCGCATCATTCGGTCAGTCATCCGGTTAGTGATGCAGTACTTCCTGATGTCTGGGCTGAGTAAACCCCACCGGGATTTTGAGTCTAGCTCTCAGAAGCTCTGACATCAGAGAGTATTGCCTCTGAGAATCGAAATAACAATGTCAAATCCGGATGCTTATCTATACTTTCATCTAAGGTTCACCAAGGAATTGAAAGATGCCAGCGCGGGACTCCTCGCCGCCGCTTTCATCGGCATCGTCCCAGGATACATCTCTCGTTCCGTCGCTGGTTCTTACGACAATGAGGCCATCGCCATCTTTCTCCTTATGTTCACTTTCTTTCTTTGGATCAAAGCACTCAAGCAGGGCAGTGCCCTCTTTGGTACCCTTGCTGCCTTGTTCTACTTCTACATGGTAGCCGCTTGGGGTAAGTCTTTATCACCGCATGTCCGCAAGTGATCTTAATCGGCTTAATTTTTCAAGGTGGTTATGCGTTTATTACAAATATGATCCCTCTGCATGCGCTGTCGCTCATTCTTATGGGTCGGTACACTAGCCGCCTTTACGTAGCATACTCGTCTTGGTATGCGATTGGAACGCTGGCGAGCATGCAGGTTCCGTTCGTAGGTTTCCAACCTGTGCGCACCAGTGAACACATGGGAGCCCTTGGTACGTTCTGCTCCTTCGTGCTCACTGAACCTCAAGTCATAATATTGTATTCTAGGCGTATTCGGTCTTCTGCAGATCGTCGCGTTTGTACAACTCGTCCGCTCGCATGTGTCGTCCAAGCAATTCCAGGACCTGCTCTTCGTCTCCGTCATTGCAGCCGGCCTCATCGGCACGTTTGGCATCGTAGGATTGACATACAAGGGCTGGATTGCACCATGGACCGGTCGCTTTTATTCTCTTTGGGACACAGGCTACGCCAAAAAGTCGGTCAACAAAGCTTATTTTTTGTGCTATCCTAATGATGTTTCAGGTACATCCCCATCATCGCCTCCGTTTCAGAGCATCAACCGACAGCTTGGCCCTCATTCTTCATGGACTTGCATATGCTCATCTTCCTCTTCCCCGCGGGCGTCGTGCTCTGCTTCCGCCAGCTTCGCGACGAGCACGTCTTCGTTATCATCTACGCATTTGTCGCTAGTTACTTCGCAGGTGTCATGGTCCGATTGATGCTGACTCTCACGCCTATCGTTTGTGTGGCCGCCGCCGTCGCGTTCTCGTCGCTTCTCGACACATACATCGATCCCACGGAGCCGGAGGTCCCCGAAGAGAAGGAAGAGGCCGAATCCTCTTCTGTGGTCTCTAGCGCTGATGGCGCGAAGAAGGCAAAGAAGGACAAGGCCGCACCTTCCTCTACAGGCACCTCGGTTGGTGACTTGATCTCCGGTATCATGGGCCAGTCCTCGGGCAAAAGCTCACACAAGAAGGGCGCAGCACCGAAGGAAAAGGGTATCTTCGGCGTCGATACGCGGATAGCTGTCATCTTCAATGCAGTCTGCATGTTGTTGTTCTTTGTCGTGCACTGCACATGGGTTACTTCCAACGCGTACTCTTCTCCCTCTGTCGTGCTTTCATCTCACACTGCCGACGGGCTCAACATCATTGATGACTTCCGGGAGGCTTATTATTGGCTCCGCCAGAATACCCCTGAGACAGCTGTCGTCATGAGCTGGTGGGACTACGGGTACCAGATCGCGGGTATGGCCGACAGGCCGACATTGGTGGACAACAATACATGGAACAACAGTACGTCTCCTTCTATTCCCCTGGGGCGGCAGTGATACTTATCTCGCGTCCTGCGCCGCGCAGCCCACATCGCCACAGTCGGCAAGGCGATGTCGAGCCCCGAGGAAGTTGCATACCCGATTTTGCGGAAACATGACGTCGACTACATCCTTGTCATCTTCGGCGGGCTCATTGGATACTCCGGCGACGATATCAACAAATTCCTGTGGATGGTTCGCATCGCGCAGGGCGTGTGGCCGGACGAGATCCAGGAGCCCAAGTACTTCACGCCGACGGGTGACTATCGCGTCGACGACCAAGCTTCGCCCGCGATGAAGAACAGCCTGATGTACAAGATGTCGTACTACCGGTGCGGCTCTGTTTTTCAACGTGTGCGCTGGATCTGGAGTTGAGCGTGCTTGGCTGATTAGGTTCACGGAGCTGTTTGGTGGCCAGCAAGCTGTAGATCGCGTCCGTGGGCAGAACATGCCCAAGGTCGGGCCGACTCTGGACTATCTCGGTGCGTGTCCTCCGTCTTTTTTCTCCTACAACACTCATGTCTTACTTTGGTCGCAGAGGAAGCCTTCACCACAGAAAACTGGATTGTGCGTATTTCCCTCACGCAATCGAGGTTGCAATTCTGATCGAGTGCTTTGCGCGCAGGTCCGGATCTACCAAGTGAAGAAAGAGGACCCGCTCGGCCGCGACCTCAAAAGCGCCAACGCGTTCGCGCAGGGCAAAAAGAGGAAGCGGACAAAGCCCCCGGTGAGGCGAAAGGCGGCGGCGTAGATGATGCATGTGTGTGTGTGGAATACAGTGTGCGCTGTTGCATAGTGACTTTCGAACTTTTTATTATATGCTCTTTGCTGTGGACTTCGCAACATACATTGCTCTCGAACGGGCTGCATCAGCTCTGGCTTTGTAAGATCGCTGCGCCCAACTCAAGCGCAGCGGATGAGCGAGCGGCGATCAGTGTCTGCACATTCTAACTTCCTTTGACGAACGTCAACTTTGTTATCATATGTGCAGTGCGCCGCAACGTAACAATCAGTATCAATCACACACTGCGCTCTACCTGAACAAACAGCGACGTGCGTGGTTTTACTTCGGGTAACGCACCTGACACAATTCCTCGCGTCAGGCTGAGGTCAAGATTGTGAGGGCGTCATGAGTGTAGTAAAAATATATTAGGAACTATGGAACAACATCTTGTGGTGGAAATGCATGTGGAATGGGGAGAAATTGCTTGTGAGAGCTGATGAGGATGCGTCGACGGATGGTTGCGATGGAACGATGGCTTCTATGTATACAGTAATTAGAGGGAAATATAGTGAATCATACGCCTGAACCGGCGAGTAACATTGTTAGGTCGTTGTCGGATGGTGGACTATGGAAAACATTGCTCAACAGGCCTCTTTGTTTGGAGAAGGTGAGATACGCACGGCGAGGAAGACGGCTCTGTCTAGCAGTCGGCATTGGGAATATCGATTGCCCGTCGAAATCTTCAAGGCGGAATTTACAGGAGGACAGGAACGAAAATCCCACATCACGTCCTTCGGATACGTACCGCCTCAAGTGGCGCGCGCGTCGTGGTTCCAAGATGCGTACGACCTTGAGGGAAGGTGCATGCGTATTGGAGAGGCAACGGAAGAGCTGATGAAAGTCCCCAGGGTTGCTGACCTGGTGTCGATCAAAGTAGAGTCCTAGATGAGTGATGGGAGGAAGGGTGAGACCGTTGGGATTCAGAGAGCGCCAGCTCGTGCTGCCCAATATAAGTGTGAGGTGGGTCAGTGAAATGCAGTAGTCCGCGAATAGGTTGAGCGCGATCTGTGTCCAGTCGTAAGGAGTAAACCTTGCGTCCAGCTGGATTGATTCGAGATATTGGCCCTGGATGGTGAGAAAATGGCACATGGCGGCGACAGAGTTCTCTGTGTTATGGCCGTGTCTGGAGAAGAGAGCGTGGCGAAGAGAAGGACGGGCAGGGGTATGTTCTAAGTGCTTCGAGGCGCAGCCTGCTGGTGTAGAGCAGATGCTCAGAAAGGAAGGCTCTGAGACTCTCAGCAGATCAATTGGGCACAAGCCCTTGCATCCACCGAAGTCTCCGAGTGAGACGGCTCGGAGTTCGCGACAGCTCTCGAGGAGATTTATACAATCGCTCGCGCGGAGATGGAGGCCGGAATCTCGTTGAAAATACAATTTCCGTAACGAGCATTTCGACGTCGCAATTAGGCTGTCCACGACGAAGCTCGGAATGTAGAGATCGAGAGCGTTAGTGTGGACGGAAAGTATTTCCAAGTTTGGCATACAACTCATTATGTCTGCCAAGCACTGAAAACCGACTTCGTCAAAAGATGGATCATAGTAGTTGGTGCGTGTCATGACCAAACGACGGGTCCACGATCCAAGAGCGCGTCCACCAGAAGTGTTGGTTTCCGCGACCTGTTTCGACTTTTGGATCGCGTCTCGAAGGGAGCGAACTGAGGTCGATTTCGGTGGGCCGATGAACACGGCTTCGTATAGGAGAGGGGTTGCAAGCCAATAGAAATCTTTGCAAACTTGCACAAGAGCCCGCTTTGTTACAAGTGCCGATTTCGCTGTAGACGAAAGCCATTCGTACTCCGAATGAGGGAGCAAGGCAGTCGGTGAGTCGAACGGATCCAATGCCTCGATTTCGAGAATTCCTGGCACAACTGTAGCCAGTTGGAATATACGAAGCCAAAGTTCTGCAGGGAGCCGCATGCTGCTCGGTTCTGTTGACATTACGAACTATTAAACAGTAAGTTGAGTCAGTAAGCTTTATTATTGGTCCTGGCTTACATTGAGCAACACAAACAAAGGTTAGCACTTGTTCAAAATGGAGGGATGTGCGAAATAATCTGTAATGCGAATACAGTGCATGAAGAACCGTGGAGATGATTATTTGTGACGTCAATCACGTACCTCGAAGGCTGAGGTGAGTGGCCCAATCGCTGCCTTTGAGTCTCAGATAGAGTCGGATGGCCTCGTGGATAAAATTAAGACCGGCTCAACAGCAGAGGATGAGAGTCAGGACACAGCCAGACGTCGTGAGTGTTAAAAAGATGGGGGTCGCCGCGAGGGAACGTTGTTCAAACGAAGGTGGAGTGAGGTAACGACTTAAAAATGAGGAGGGTGGCTATGACCCAATTTGGTAACCAAGTAAGATCGAGGGTGAAGAGCTTTGCCGGTCGATCGCAAATGTATTGTGAAGATAATTCTACGGGGCAAGAAAAAGAATGCGACATTCTGGAGCACCTCACTCTTCGAACTATGGAGATTCAACGTTCAACGCCGAGGGGTTCCCTTTCACGCGGCTGGGGATCGATTGGGTGCAGAGCGAATACGGATCTTCGGGACTTGGGAAGGGCTTGGGTAGTCCAACGCCGTAGGATTCGATTCCTACTCCCCCGCGATTCCTCGGACAAATGCTGGGGTGGTAGTCGACTCAAAGAAGATATAGCTTAGCGAGAAACAAGAAGTGCAAGAAACACATGCAGATGAAGGCTCTTACTGATGATACTCGATGACCATCGATATCTTATGAGATATCCAACCTGATGTCGTTTGGACAGAGTACCTACTGAGTGAGTATTGGACAATCGCCATTAAGCAAATTTATCCGCGGACATTTGGAAAAACAACATGCCCAAAAATGAGTTATATCACAGTCTTTAACCATAAAAAGACCAAATGAGCACATGATAGTGCAAAACAAACTACGTAATCAGCCTATTGAACCAAATGCATACATTTGACGGAAACTCAACTTCATTTCCTTCACAGTTCGTCCAGTTACTTAGAGCTAGCCGTCAATGGACCCGACCCGAAACGAAGGACCGTCTCACAGCTCCATGGATGTAGACGTCCGACCAGTAACAGATAACGCGGCTGTCTCTCGAGGGGCCTCGGAAGAAGGGAGAGCTTCATCTGTTCCTGTTCCCGCCAGTGACCTCGCCGTCGGCTTTGTCTACGCGCCAGAGATGCTATTACATAGCTTTGAAAGTAGTGACCCTGAAGCCGATCATCCGGAACGACCAGAGCGTATAGCCAAGATTCACGAGATCCTTATGGAGAACGGGTGCATCGTGAGGATGAAGAAGATTCCGATACGACGCGTGAAACGCGAGGAAGTACTTCTCGTCCACAGCGAGCTGCATTGGAATTCCGTGCTTAAGCTTCAATGTGAGTGCATCAATGCTTGAGGCAACCTCTTAGCCTCTACCGTGATTTTTCTTAGTGATTCGAAATATACTGACAATCGGGTGGCATCTTCGACCTAGCACTCACTCCTCAAGATATCGTTAATTCCGAACAATATTACAATGATCTCTCGCTTTATGTCCATGTAGAAACTCCGAACAGTGCCCGACTAAGCTGTGGTGGCGTTATTGAAGCAGCTCTTGCAGTTGCGCGAAATGAGCTCAAGAAATCTTTCGCCATTGTGCGCCCGCCTGGTCATCACGCTGAACCAGATAAAGCCATGGGCTTCTGCTTCTTTAATAATGTCGCTGTTGCGGCTAAAGTTGTGCAACAGATGACTCCCATCAAGAGGATATTGATCCTTGACTGGTGAAGTACACTCAATATTTTGACGCTGAGTTTGCTTGCTGATTTGTGTGCCATAGGGACGTCCACCACGGTCTGTTTTGATTCAGGAGGATTAACCGTGTCTTTCTAAGTGTATTATGTTTTCTCAGGCAACGGGACACAGCGGGCATTCAATGATGACCCGTCGGTGCTTTACATCTCGCTTCATCGGTACGATGGCGGCCAATTCTATCCTTGCGGGTCATTCGGCAGCCTTGTATCCTGCGGTGAAGGGGCAGGGCTTGGCTAGTAAGACACAGCAGTATCTATCAATCACAGTTGGTCTAATCTTTACCAGCTCCGTCAACATTCCTTGGCCGGAGAAAGGGATGCGGGACGCAGACTATATACACGCCTTTCAAAAGATCGTGATGCCCATCGCTTTGGAATTTGCTCCAGAGCTTGTAATCAGTACGTCTTATTGAGCTCATCTCAGCTTTTCGACTGAAGCACGGGCAGTTTCTGCTGGTTTCGATGCTGCCGACGGGGATGAACTTGGCCAGTGTCATGTTACGCCCGCAGGATATGCGCACATGACCCACATGTTGTCTGGACTGGCAGGTGGTCGTTTGGTAGTCGCGCTTGAGGTGAGATGAATTTTATATCGGTATATCAACATATACCGACCTGTCCAAGGGAGGCTATAATCTAGAGTCAATATCAGCTTCTGCGCTGGCGGTGGGTCGGACAATTCTTGGGGAGTCGCCCCCCGAGATGCCGCCACTAGTAGCGTCAGAAAACGCCACGGAGACAGTTTGGCAGGTGGCCATGGAGCAAAGCAAGTACTGGAAAAATATCGACCCAAAAGCTTGCGAGCCGCGCGAAGGTAGCGTGCTCTCTTTTTCTAAATATATATATTGCACTTAAACATGGGCATTCATAGATATCGAGGAGATCACATTTTCCATTCCGGGTAAGTGGTTTCTCTTCGTTTTCGCGAAATCATGTAAGTTAATTATTTTTTCCAAAGAACTGTTGAAAGCCCATCGTCAAGAGTACATGTACCGACAGTTCGATATGCTTGAGGTTCCTTTGATGGACGACGAACATCAAGAACGGTTCTCGTCCCAAGTAATGTGTTCGTAAGTAAATCTTGATAGCTTTCGCGAACATCGTGTTGAGAAGCCTCAAGTGCAGACTTGATGGACAATGATGTCCTTGTGATCTTTGCCCACGAATTGTACGTCATATAGCTCCCTCATATCGCGCAAATGATCGCTCAAACAATATTGTCTTCTAGCGGCAACCTTCGAGTGGAGTTGGCGAACAGTGCTACATGTGATCTTCGTATGGAGCATGGATATCTGGTTGGTGATGACTCGGCTTCATCAGTCAACTATAGTTCAATCCGTGTCCTTCCGCCTCTAGATCGATGTTTCAAAGCAGATTGTTGAATGGGTACGACAGGAAGGCTACGCCCTCTTGGACGTCAATCTCTTCCCAAAACCTCCCTTACTTCGGCAGCATCCGGTAGCACCATGTCTAAAATCATATCTTCTTCACTAACGATGTCACCAGTATGCCCCAAAATCATCTGAGGAGTATGCCAGAGAAGTCATGGTTTATCTATGGGACAACTATGTCATGTACGTGATGTATGATAATCTATTTTAGCTACTTAGCCTCATCTTAACAGGTTGTCGAATGCCAAGAGGATAATACTGCTAGGTCATGGGCCTGGTGTCATCGCCGTGTCCGAACTTCTTGATCATCGAAGTATATCTGCCTGCTACGCCTCTCATTCATCATTCTAATACGTTTTTGTGGACAGCAACGGCCGTCCAAAGATATGTACAGTTGGTCATCCAGATTGTAGGATACGCCAAAATCCCGTTGATTCCTAGAAAAGACACCGAGGTGACTTCTTGGTACGGAAAGGTATGTGACAGTCCACACCTTCACTCTTGCTCGTTACTTCATATGAACAATGTCTAGCACTCTCTCGTAATCGTCCCGGAAGACCATCAAATATTCCGCGCAAGCAAGAAAATTCTTCAGCGGCACGGAAAAGTTGTCCAAATAGGTAAGTAGCGATGGTTGTGCTCTAACTGCTATCTGAATCCTGACTATCTTGTAGCCAATGAAGTGAAGTCCGTGAAGATCATGATTCGTGCCTTCCCTATGATTAGAGATTATGTTAAACATTTCTTTGGAAGCACTGCCAACCAGACTCACGAAGCACCAATTGCCACCGATATGTCAGATTTATAGGCACTTCTATCAAACATCATTGCACTTCACCCGCACACTATTGTACTCATCCTCACGATTCACATACTCTTATCTGTACTTGTCTGAGACACAAGAGCAACCAGAGTTGAGCGTTGCTGGATCTCCTCGAAATCATGACCATGATTCAAGCAGCGTATAGTATAGCAGGCAAACACTCGTTCATTGACGCGGCAGCGACACAAACGCACATGGGATAGTCTAATGGCTACATCTCAAACGACGGGAGGCTTAGCGCCGGGCTGGAAGGTGTAGGTCAGGCCGCACTTGCCGCAGTACTGACGGTCATGGTGGAAGGCCATCTATAGACATAGAATGAGTAAGATAAAGTTCGAGATCGGTAGAAAATACATACGAAGACGCCAGCACCACACTCAGCCGAAGGACATTCGCGACGGAGACGCTTGATCTTGCCGTCGGATTCAACCTTATAGTACTTCAAGATGGCCATCTTGACCTTCTTGCGCTTATGCTTGATCTTCTTCGGGGTCTGGTTACACAAAGTAAGGGTCCTCAAGGCTGAGCATAAATAAAGGATGAGATAACAGGTATACGCACGTTGTAAGTCTTCTTCTTGCGCTTCTTAGCACCACCGCGCAGACGAAGGACAAGGTGGAGGGTAGACTCTTTTTGGATATTATAATCGCTGAGGGTGCGACCGTCTTCGAGCTGCTTTCCGGCAAAAATCAGGCGCTGCTGGTCGGGTGGGATGCTGGATACAAAGATATGGTGAATCAGGGGAGAAGCCTCGGCGGAAAATATGTTAAACGGACCCCTCTTTGTCCTGGATCTTAGCCTTGACATTGTCGATGGTGTCCGAAGACTCGACCTCAAGAGTGATGGTCTTACCCGTGAGGCTGAAATGCGGTTGTCAATATTGTATAAAAAGATGGTTCCACCGAAGTCCTCACGTTTTGACGAAAATCTGCATGTTCTGCGTGATGCAAGGCGAGTAAGAACCAGGTGATTACGCGGGACCTCAAATACGCACCGGACGCCTCTGTCTATCCAACGAATTCAACGGTGGAGTCTTTGACAAAAGGCAAGAGCCGCTTCGGTGATGACTGAGCGAGGACGGAAGACGTGCAGTCGAGCAATATATAGCCACTTGGATTAGTAAGCCAAACTTTCTGTCGATGGTCCGTGCGTGGGAAAATAAGTAGATTGTGACTCCGAGAGTAATTACGTGAGACACGCGTCGCGTCAGCCTTCGACGCGTCGAGCACTCACTCCGACTCATACGTCCTTTCATCCCATCAGTCGACTCACTATCATTGTCGACCGATTCACGTTCTTGGAGAATCGAATCATGGATATTGATCAAGAAACGCAGCCTGCTCAGCTGGCTCTATCGTCTCTGGCCAAAGGGAAAGGAAAGGCTGTCGACCGGCAGGAAGATGAGAATTTGCCATGGTGGGCAACAATTGATTCACAGCTCATAGATACTTACTCACTTGAAGACAACGCAGGGTTGAGAAATATCGTCCGGTGACATTGGACGACGTTGTTTCACATAAGGATATCACGAGCACTAGTAAGCCATGTTCAATGACCTGATCTGCCGTCATCCTCACAATTGGTCTCGTCTGAAGTTGAGAAATTTATTGAGAAGAACCGACTGCCGCATCTCTTGTTCTATGGACCTCCCGGTACTGGAAAGACGTCGACGATCTTAGCTGTGGCACGCCGAATATATGGCCCAGGGTTCCGAAAACAAATACTGGAGGTGCGTCATCTTCATATCTTTCTACATGATAATCACCATCCCATGCACTATTATCTAGCTAAATGCATCAGATGATCGTGGAATCGACGTTGTGCGCGAGCAGATCAAGCAATTCGCCGAGACACGCACTCTATTTGCGAAAGGCTACAAACTCATCATTCTCGATGAAGCCGACATGATGACGACCGCTGCCCAAGCTGCATTGCGCAGGGTAATTGAGCAGTACACGAAAAACGTCCGATTTTGCATTATTTGTAACTACGTCAACAAGATCATCCCCGCTATCCAGAGTCGGTGTACACGATTTCGGTTCTCGCCTTTACCAATACCCGAAGTTGAGAAGCGTGTCGACCACGTCGTTCAGTCAGAACAGTACGTCTGTCTCGTTCCTGATATGCCAGCTCGCAGACCTTGATTCGTCTAAACTGTAGGGTGAACCTGACTGAAGACGGAAAGAAAGCACTCCTGAAGCTGTCAAAAGGGGACATGCGAAGAGCGCTGAACGTTCTTCAGGCATGTCACGCAGCATATGATCTCACAAGCGAAATGGAGGTATATACCTGCACCGGTAATCCACATCCCTCAGACATCGAAACCGTCGTCCATTCCATGATGGCGGACGAGTTCACAACCTCATACCAAAGTACGTTACCCTGCTCCTCAAACGCTCAACCCGGTCAAGTACCTACTATCACCATAGTGATCAGTGCTCTGAAAACCGAACGTGGTCTTGCACTTCAAGATCTTTTGGTAGGAGCGTATGAATACATTGAGACCATTGAGTTGCCCCCCGCGGCGCGAGTTTATCTATTGGATCACCTTGCCACGACAGAGTAAGTGCAAATATTTCGGAGAAAATCCATCCTCCTCAGCTCACGTGTATCGGATAGACATCGCCTAGCCGGAGGCGCGAGCGAAAAAATGCAACTAACTGCTCTGCTGGGCGCATTCAAGAACGCAGTGGAACTGACGCAGAAAGACACATAATGAACGGTATATTTCGTTCCGTGTGTGCACTTCTCTCGTACCATCTATCCTCTTTGTCCAGAAGCATATTTATTTGTAGGAGCCTGTCGAAGAAATAGGACGAGCGGCGCTTTTTTTTTCTCGTTCACAAACTCGACATCCCGTGGAACAAATTCTAGCTACAAGCAGTAGCAGAAGATGCCAGGGGCTCGTGCATTCTCGGACAGCACAGTGATAAACCAAATCATATTTACAACACTGTTCCACAAGATTTACTGGAACATGGCAGGAGCATGCCTATCACACGAAGTTCCATTTTCACCAAGGATGACGTCCAAGAGGCGCATAGCGCACAGAGATGTCACGCAGCCGTTTAGTATATAAGCAAAAGTCTCACCCAATGTTTAGACTTCATTTTACTATGTTAAGAGGGAGCCGAGGTAGACGGCTTGGATGGCGACGAATGACTGCTCTTGCTCAACATTTCGGGCCTGCGTCGTCTGTCAGGCATCATCCACGACTCTAGTTTGAGAGCCCTTTATTGGAGACAATCGATGAGAACATAATCAAGGTTGGTAGGAAGATGTGCTTGTGAACTGATAGACCCGAATACGATGTAGATTGCCGGTCTGGGCTCGTGTTCTGACGCTCGCGGTCACACAACCGCTTCGTTGACTTGCGGACGCCAAAGACAAACAGTCGCGTTCGTATCAGTGCGCACAGGAAGCTAGAGAGATATTTTGAGCGGGGAAGAGAATGCAACAGATTGAACGCAGGTTGCAGCGTAGCGTGCGTTCACCCTTGTCAAGATATATACCCTAGACCATAATACTATTCACTCGCCCTCTTTCTCAACCATTTAAGAAACTCAGTTGCCAGTCCATCTGTCCAATAATCAGTTGCGATCAGAAAATGAAGCTTTCGCAGATAACTCACACAGCGGGTCCCGGAATCGGGTACGCGGAAGTGTCTATCAGTACATCAGAGCAGGCTTCGGAGTGGCATGAGTCGTTTGTGCGCACTGGTGTAAACGTCGTACACAATACCCGGAGTGGTAGGGGTGTACGCGCCGGGGAAGGAAACAAATGACGTTGGAAGCTTTGTGCCGGAGCCAGTGACTTGAAGTTGAATGCAAGACGGGTAGAATTGAGCGCCAGGATATGTGTACGCTTTCCAATAACTGTGAGAGATCATGTGGTCAATGCTTCTAGGAAAAGCCACTCACCGGAATGCAACGCGATGCTAGCATGGTTTGTAAAATGAGCTGATCATACTACTAACAGGAAGGGCCTGCGAGACTCACATTTCGTGTCTCACGATGTACTGACCAGCCTGGAGGTTGGCAGGAACGGTGAACGTATAGATGCTCTGGTCCGCCGACAATATGTCGGTCGATGCCCACTTTCCATCAGACGTCTTCCCAGCCTCCGCAACCTTGAACCATACAGCCCTACAGTATTTCAGTGACGGGATAAAACTGCCGTTCTGAGCAGACTCAAGGCGTACGATGTACCAGGCAACCACTGAGTGATGTCTGAAGGGGCCTTGGCCATGTACGTGATCATAGGACCCTGGGGCAGACTCTCAATATGAAGAAAATGGACAGTGAAACAGACCTACAACGTGAGAGTCAGGCCATGTCGTCCAGTTGAGATTGACCTGCTGTCCAGCAGCAACGGTTCCATAGATCGGCGCAGGGGCACTACCGACTATTCCATCCGCCGAGTCTCCGTTGCATTGCAAACTAGATCCACCCCATGCTGTCAGGTGCATTCCTCTTATGACAAAAAAGGAAAACATACTCAATCAGAGTCACATCCTGAACGGGGCCTAAAGACCACAAGCAATAGTCAAAATCATGTTGCATCGGATAACAGAAAGATGGTCTACCGTTCCCTGGGATCTTGCGGATGATACGTTGAGGGACTGGGTTATAGTATGGATCGGTGTACGGCAGGTAGCCAGTATAATGCGTAGAGCCAACGACAACATCCTGAACGTAGCCGTGCGCTCGCACAGAAGGAAGCGGAGATGTGACGATGGCAGCGAAAGCGAGTGCGAGAGCGAACATGATGCAGATTTCAGATATCAAGAGATACTTGCGAAGCAATTCTTAAGGTATGCAGTCCCTTTATACGCTGTTCTGTACGCCTGCGGTCTTTTGGCGGCCTGTGCGGCCCGCCAGGAAACATGACAACCGTCGAAAGGGGGCAGGTAGAAGTTCGAATGCTTGGCCGCCGACAGATGTGGACGCCATTGCATATAATTGGATGCGAGATTCGACCGACAACTCGAAGGCAATTACAGACTCGAGAAGCAAAATGACACAAGGCTGCAGTGTAGAGCTTGCTCGCCCATACAACGCAATTGACATCCATGGCATTCCAGCAGCATCTAGCAAGAGCCTTGACCATAGTAGAAGCTGCTAATGGATGGCACATCGACCTGACTTGACTTCATTGCGTGAAGTTAAGCGCAGAAGATCAAGTATATGAAAACTGACCGACTGACGAGCTCATAAAGCGTCGGGTGTTCGGAACATCGTTGGATATATCGACAGAAAGAGATGTCATGGGGGAGGGGAAGCTTTCGTGAGCAGCTGGTCTAGTGATTCATACAATTACCTCGCCCAATCAGCTCACGCCCGTCAGCTGTACCCGAGAACACGCACAGATAACTTGAACGCCTTCAACGTTCTTCAAAAAGCAGGCCGTCGGAATTGCCTGTCGAAAAACTCCGAGGTTATGGACCTGATCTTCTCTTGGACCGGCTATCTCTTGATTATCCGAAACGGAACGGTGCAAGAGTGAAAAGTGATGTTTTTTTCTTGACCGAGCGCAGGTAACGAAAGAAGGGAAGAAAAGAGGCTCGAAGCTCGAAGCATGAATATTTGAATGCTCGCAAGCACATGTGTACAGATCAGGACAAGCAACGTCGCGTCGCATGAAGATGTAAAACCTCAACTTCTAGATTTTATACATACAGCAATTGCTTGAGAGCTCCTGAGAGCTCGCACTCTGTGTTTGTCCATCAAGATCTTTCTCGCCAACAAGCCACAGAGCATAATTCTAGAGACAGCTCTTTGAGCCCACTGCTTTTGATAAAACCAGATAGACTGGGCAAGCACTACACATCAGACAACAGCATACAATAGATCCACCCATCTCATCAACCGCAACACTCACCAGAACCTCTCACAAGCAAAAAATTCCAACTCTCATCACAACTCCACGGTGTTCGCGCAACTGTGTCTGTAGATCCAAACTATGGCAAAAGACGGTGGAAGAACGCCCTCCACCTCAAACAAGGACCAGTTCTTCGCCCACGACAAATCATCGGCCTTCAAAGGTAGAGCAATCTGTCAAAGAAGATGCATCCTCCAGCCTGAGACTCGCAAGAATCTCAGGACGGAGACGAAGTCGTGGTTGAAAAGACCTTTTTTTTGACGCGTCGCGCGTTACTATATAGGCTGCTCGCTGGGGTCTCGGGACCTCGAGGACCCCTTACAAGAGTAAAATCCTCAAAGCGTGACACTTCTGTGTATTTTACAGCGACTTCCGAAATTATGCGGAATCGCAAATTTTCGCGCACGAGGTTGCCACAGGATTCGGAATCAGCCGAGCGGGACCTCAGATACTCACGAGTTCCGACCCATTGCTTCGCGACTTTTACGCAGTGCTTAATAGTATTGCTTGGGGTTAGGGTTGAATCTGAGTTTTGTAGTTTGGTTTTAAATGGCTATGAGGATTGAAATATTCTATGTCAGTTGCAGACTATGCATTGATTATAGGCTACCTGCAGTCTAAGTATGGTCTATGTGTAGTCTTTGTATAATTTATCATTGGCTATATACTTGTCACTTGATTATCTATTGTATATGTTCCTATTTTATATGCTTCTATTGTATATATTCCCATTGTGTGTGCTTTTATCATATGTGCTCCCACTGTATGTGCTTTAATTGTGTGTGCTCCTGTTAGACATGCTACTATTATATATGCTTTTGTTGGGTATACTCTGGTTGGATGTACTCTTGTTATATATGATGTACTCTTGTTAGGTGTGCTCTGGTTAAATGTGCTCCTATCATGTGTGCTTTCATTATATATACTCTTATCATATGTGTTCCTGTTAGATATGCTCTAGTTAGGTGTGCTCCTATTATATACTTTCATTATATATGGTATACTCATATTATGTGTGCTTCCATTGTGTATACTCCCATTGTATATACTCTTATTATATGTGCTCCTATTGGATGTGCTTTGACTGGGTGTGCTTCTATTATGTGTAGTATGCTCCTATTGGATGTGCTCTGGTTGTATGTGCTTTTATTGTATATGCCCTTATTATATATGCTTCCATTGTATATGCTCCTATTATATGTGCTCCTATCATGTGTGCTTCTATTGCATGCATCTGGAAAAACCTCCTCTTTTCATCAAATCTAATTATTCAAAATACTAATCTGAGCTAATCAGAATATATTGTCCATAATCAACTCTATAATTAAATCTAAAAGTAAAGGTAATATTGTCTATACTACTATAGTCCTATTAGAATCTACAATCTAATTACAATTTTACATATTTCAAATCCAAATTGTGTAAGTGCTACAATCTTATTTTTACTGTATTTTTTATTTTTTATTAGTTTATTATATCATTGTCTAGTATCCAAATTCAAATATAAGCCCTGATTTTTAGGGCATTTATTAACCTCTTTATATATAGAATAGATAAAAGATAAATATATAAGAAAATCAGAAATATTAAGATTACTTTATTCATATTAATATATTTAGGTTACCAGGTAAATAATTTAGACCCTGTGGCTTAGTAATTTAGAGCACTAGTCCGGGGTGTGCAAGCATGAGGTTGTTGGTTCAATTCTAGTAATAGGCAAGTTTATAATAAGGTATGACTTTAGTTTGATTAGTAAGCTCTATACATACTCTATGATTGGAGGTGTAGTAGTAATAGAGAAACCATAAAACTAGGTTGGTTGATATTTTTCTGAAAATCCATATAATAAATTAGCTTTAATTAGCTCTAATTAGATTTTATAATTTCAGGATTAGAGGGAGGGCAAGCTAGAAATCCTTAATGGTAATTGGTAAAAATATAGCTATATTTATGCTTAACTATGGTTAATTTAATATGGAGCTTTTCCCTGATGCTTGTACCAGACAGGCATTTGTATCAGATTCGGAACATATACTTCAATGAACTTGATCTTGTCCTTGAATTTTTGTACAGGGGTTACAAGATTGAACTACACATGTATGCAAAGGCAAGCCACCTTTTCTATTATCTTGGCTCCAAAGCCTTAACAAGTAAGCATTAGGATTCCATGTGGCTCATATTAATAGCCACTTCATGCTAGAAGGCATTTATGAAGCTAAAGGTAAAAGCAGTTCTTACTGTAGCTCAATCTTTGAAGGCAGTTGGTCAAGATGTCAGGATTTGATTTTTTTCACAAATGTAATGTATTTCATTAATTCTCATATATCTAAACTACTACAAGTGCCTGTGTTGGACTGAGGCAAATCGCCTTTGTCATCTCTTTCTTATGATTTACTTATTGCTTACTTACTTGACGAGCTTGGAGATTGCCAAAGTACTATACAGTTCTCAGCCACTGTGCTTGTAGTTACTGATGCCTTTAGTGTCGGGCTTCCCTCAGTGATCTACACAGATGCTGAGGTAAGCCTGCTTCTTCTTAAGACATAGATGTCACTTTTACTTACACTTCTATCACATAGTAATACTTCTAGGTACTTACCGATTAAATATATAGTGATCTACACAGACACTGAGTAATACTTCTAGCCCATATCTCAACAGCCTGCTGATATGCTAGTGATGCCTTTGAGTGCAAAACACATCCAAGAAACACCCCTACAAGCACAGATAGGCAGGAGCTGGTTCTAGTATGCAAAAAACTGTTACTTATGCAATAAACAACAAAGGAGCATACTGGAAGTGTTCAGAGTGTAGTCCAAAATTGAAATATTTGGTCAGTTAGTCAGTCAGTCAGTCAGTTGGTCAGTCAATTAGTTGGTCAGTTGGTTAGTTAGTCAGTTGATTGGTTAGCTGGTTGGTTAGCTAGTTGGTTGGTTGGTTGGTTGGTTAGTCGGGATTTGATTAGAATTTGATCAGAATGCAAAAGGGAGGGAATAGGTGCAAGGCCACACTAAATACTAGCAGAGGATAATAAACTAGATGAGAGGAAGAGAGCAAGACAACAAGGGCTCTGTATTAGGTCAGAGACCTATCACGTGCACTAATGCACAAAGGAGTCCCTAGGCTAAACCTCTTCTGGCTCAAGAAGTTGTAGACTCCAGCAGATATAGATGATAGAGCATCTTTGAGCTCTTTCGAGAAATACAGGGTCGCTGTCCGCTTTGTCCTCAAAGAGGTAGAGGAGATGTGTCTCAAGATCCTCTCTGTGAAGAAAAGGAACTGGATGCTCTTCTTCTATCCAACAGATGACATGAGGAGGTGTCCAACTGAGAATGTAAAAGGCAGCGAGGCCTTGGTAGGAGTGGATGAGTAGAGAGAGGGATGGAAAGGGAGACGAGTCCAATGCTTCATCAGACCATGCAAAGAGTTTCTCAAATCTAACAGAGATTATGAAGTGTGGGCTGGAAAGGTAGCCAGATACTGGGTGCAGTGCAGAGATCTAGTGTTTTACAAGTGAATGAGCTGAGCTTCTCAGAAGTTCATCTCGGCTATTTATACAAAGAAGTATCTAGGGCAGGATTAGGATCTGGTCTATGCACTTCTCAGGTACCGGAGTCAATGATCAAGATCTGTAAGCTAGAACGTGTCATCAACCTGTCATGTAACTATATATAGTAACTAGATCACTAAGTGTCTGTCCACATCTTTGATCAATCAGGAACCAATGTCTATCCACATCACGAAGCAGGAACCAGAAGTCAGTGTTCATGTGTCAGCATGTAAATAGTAAGGAGTGAAAAATAACAGTCCGGGTCCACATACTGTCCAAAGCACTTAACCAGCCCATCCTCTCACATGTGAAGCATGTGTTAGGACACGGTCTTAACACTCTGATGGAAAGCTGCAATCAAATACAACAACACAAACAAAGAGGCAAGATACGAATAAGGATTGGAAGGTAAAGACTCAAGGTTTCATAGACACAAGCGCACAAATGAAATCAGAACAAGGGAGGAGCTAAAGCTGATGTATTGTGAGGCCATAGGTGCCCTTTTATAGTAAGTCCAAACAGGTACAAGATAGGGAGATTAGTAGAGGCATAGAGCAATCAGAAATATATGCCAAGAGCAATCAAAGGTAAAAAAGATAAAAGAGTGATATTGCAAACACTATAAGATAAGAAGCAATAACTCTGAAGTCTAAATAAGTGGAGAGATTGCTAAGGTGAGTCTACATAGACCTAGAGATAAGAACCACATGCCACATAGATAAACTATTTAGAAACTTGGGAGCTCTAAAGATAACAAAGGATAGGTCAACAGAAGGCATAAGGACAAAAGACAGATCTATTCCAAGTCAACAAAGTTTTCGGTCACCCCTGATTCAGAACACCAAGGTCACCCCTAATTCAGGACACCAAAGCCAACCAAATGTGCTAACTATGTGAAGCATACTAAACCAATCAGTGATTGGCTGCAACAGTCTGCAGAAAGCCCCTAATGCTGAGAGTGATGATAGATGGATAGGATGACTGTGAACAGCTCTGAATGACTGTATGGAGGTCTAAATGAAAAGTTAGCATCTGAAAAATGGCTGAGAGTGCCAAACAGATTAGTCCTAAGTATGCTGAATGGTCAAAGAATACCAAAAAGCTGTAAAAAGTGGGGTATTGGTGCCTAGAGAACACCCATGCTCATCACTGTGATAAGAAAAAAATGAGCAGAAACCTATGGAAAACAAGAGCTAGAGATTTAGTGTGATATTGTGTGTCAAATCATGATACATGTGATCATCCCTGTTGGAATTACACTTTTTCTGGGGCGAAAATCAGCAAAAGTTATTTTTTTGGCCAGATTTTTCAGGTTTTGACGGGGAAACATCTAGTGGAGCTTCCCGGGGCCTGTAGTAGGACACCGTCGTAACAACTGGCACAGATTGACTCCTAAGGTTAGAAGGTATGACCTAATGAAGGCTACACGACAATTCTAAGGCTTGAAAGATCTACAAAATATACTTGAAGAGGCGAGAGGTGCGAATCCCGGCTAGATGTTCTCCCGCATACGCAAGCAGCCACGGCGCACATCAGGGATGGGGCGACCAGCACCTTGACGCAAGAATCTATTGTGGTGGCGGGAGCGGTGCGTCCGCGCGTGGCCTCAAATTCGAAGAGTAATCTTGTCCGATTTGCATGGAAATATTTGACTGAGGTAGCATAAGGTATATCTATACTGTACAAATTTCTCCGGGGACAGATCTAGTGTCATTGCTGAATTGCAGAACATCGTCCTCGTCGAGCACGATAGCAAAGTCACACTTGATGAATTAGGAACTTGGTTCAATCTCCGCCAGCAGCCCGTTTAGAAACATCCAGAAAAAGCAACATGATTTAGGCCTCCTGGAAGCGGAGTTGGAATGCGGCAATCACAGCTCCGTGACATCGTCGTGACCATCGTGCGGAGAAATCACCGAATACCCCTCAAAACCACTGGAAATGTTCCGCTCAATGACATACTAGCCTTCTGGTATATTTAAGTATACAGAAAGGTAGTGTGAGTGTTTCAAAGTATACATGCCAAGTCTCACCCTCTCAGAGTCCCATTTCAATGCTATAAAATGTTTTTACGGTTTTCTGGCCGAACACTGCTGGAAGGATAGTAGGTGCTTTCGTTCCATTTGTACTAGTTGAATGGAGATGGAACTTTACTCGTGAGGGACCGTGTCAGCCAAACATTAATTGCAACCCATCCTGATGGTCAACCAGCGTCTTTTGAGTGAAGGACAGCCGTCTTGAACGGTTGTCAGAAGATATCAAAAGGTGTTAAGAACTGTCATCATGAGTTAACAAATCCCGGCTGACATTTCTCACTATATCCCCTCAAATTATTGGTAATAGATGGCACTTCTGAGTGAAATCTCAGCTGATTTTTGCCCGAAAAAGCCCTTGAAGTCGGTGCTGCCAGGGACTTTTCCACTCTTATCCCATATTATGCCCCCAGCTCTACCTCGCCCACTCTCAGTACATGCGTTCTTAAGCGAATACGCACGCCTCTGGCAGTTGGCGGACAACACTCAAGATGCGCGTGAAAAGCTATCCATTCAAATGAAGGCTAACAAGTATATGCTCACTGGGATTCATGTGGATGAAAACTACCAGGCGAGCATAGAGCCACTGAGAAATGCAGTGACCGTGGACGAGCAATTCACAATCACCCGTGATTACGACTCCTTGATCGGTTTTGCTGATGACATTCCTCTTCGGAATGGGAGCTTGCTTGTGTTCACTGTTCTGTCCAAGGATCTAACACTGCAAGAAAACATACACATTCATGTATGGTTCCTCGTTGGTCCTGGTCAGGTGTGCGATGGGTCTTATGTCTCGAACTGCTTACTCATGCCATTAGCTGTGGCTTCGGTGCCTCCTACTGCGTCTTTCCTATGCATGCCGCCTCTCCCGCTCAATTGGCGACAGTGGCAGTCCAAGCAGCCTCACACAGTTCCGAATATCGGATTCGCCAAGTTTGGAGAACAGCATTCAATATGCATCTTCTTCCCAGTACTCTGCGACGATGCCCACACAGAAGCCGACATCTATTTGACTGTAGAAGAGCGACAGGAGCTATACAATGATGTCGTATACCCAGCTGCTAGGCTGCCGATTCCTCATAGCAGCGCCGATTGGCCTGCTGGCTTTGCTGCGGAAACGTTTCGTGTTACAAAGGCTGGTGGTAACTTCATGCAGTTGACAAAGGTGGGTTTCGATTCCTGATTCCTATTTCAGATGGTCTGATTTGGATTCAACTGGGAAGTTGGTTGGCCAATATGACATCCATCCGTTCGTTGCTGCCCTAAAAGCCAGAATGGATCAAAAGGCGTGGATGCGAGGTGCTCGCTTCATGGTGCAAAAGCGTGGAACTAAGCTGGCCACGTATCACCCACAGCATGGTATCGCTGCCAGGACCAAATTGACTGAATACCTCACAGACCTTGACACTAGTGTTGGATCTTGGTGGGCAGATGTGGGGCTGGAAGTCTCCTATCAAAATCGGGCCTACCATTGGCAAACTGACATGCATTCTGCTATTCTCTAGGAGGCTGTAAGCATCCCACAAGCTGCTGCAGCAGAGGAAACATGGATGGAGTCTCGCCAATACATGCGAGATCTGGTAGCACACTTCACGGAGCTCAGCGGTTGTAGGATCCAGCTGAATGACACCGGTCCATTTCGAGCGGCATACTTTCAGATATATGCGACTGACAAGTCAGTGACCTACCATGTTGAAAAAGGATGCCACTCCAAGTACATAACTGGCTGTATGGCGCTCAAGGCTGATCCACCCACATACATTCCACAGTATTGCATCAACTTGGCCAACACATATCAGGAGGCAGTGGCCAATACCCCTTGTGCGGCAAGGATAGAAATCAGGGTCCCTCTTCGGCATGCTTCTGCGGCGTTGCATTACACAAGTCAAGAGCTGCTTGTTCACAGTATTGTGGGATTCAATGGTGGATTATTGTGGTGAGTTGTCCATCTTGGGTTTCAATGTTGGAGCAGCAGGCGGTTGGGTATCAGAGGAAATACCATTGAGTGGTGGCCACCTGCTCTACATCGCCCTCCTGCCTCCAATACCATGGGCTTACTTTTGTCTTCCTTATAGGTCTTGGCAACTAGCTCGTCTACAGGCGATCTCCAGCATTTTATCCCATCAAATCCCCACCGCAGCTGATCGACGTGTTCGGGCTAGTGCCCTCACTTTGACTGCTAGGCTGGTATGGCTCCTTAACTGTCTGCATAGTTGACCGGATGATCGGCAAGCAGCCCGGAAGATTATCGATGCGGTATTCCCTCACTCCGTTAATCAAGGGGGCAAAAACCTCCCGATATACCTCGGTGAAGATGGTGCGGATTACGAAGTCAGCAAGGCATATGCGCCTTTTGGAGTCCTTTTTTTACGGGACATTCAGCTTCCACCAGGATCACCCTGCCCTCGCATGCGCGTTGGTACTGTTATCGACGATCGGACATGCATCGTGGTGTTTGGCAAGGACATGGGCGCCTTGAGCCATGAATTCAATCCAGCAATCAAGATCCATATCAGACCGAACAGGGTCAGTTGCCGAAAGAGCGTCACACACGGGAACCATCAGGCTGACTACACCACCCTATTCCCTGCCCTCAAAGACCAGGCTGTCCCTGGAGACGTGGATGATGGTTCTGATGCAGGAGAGTTCATTGTTGATATGCCAAATCAGAGCCTCAACGACCTTCTCACCGACGTCTGGCACCAATCCTTTTCAGACATCCTCCAAAAGGCCTCCTGTCCGAAGGGACAGGGCCTTCTTGCCTCCTATGTTTGCCTTACCGAGGGTGAACGAGTCCATGTCGATCTGAACTGGTTCAAAGAATTTGACTTGGCACCAATCCTACGCTGTGCATATTGGAAGCAGGCTACTGCAGCTCAATGGTTGGCACAGTTCGAACTCCATTGGCTGATGAGGGGTGCACAGCTCCCTCCTAGCACCCAAGGATGGTCTCATTGCCAGTATTACTCCTGATGGAGAGCACTCCTAACTACCATGACTGCAATATAGGAGGGTCGTCTTAGGAAGCAGTTGTGGGAGAGGTGGAAGGGGCTCACATGGATACCCAAGGTCGAGCCTGGGAGGCTATGGTGCTATTCAAAATGGGGTGTTGCAGAGCGTCTCCCGTTGCACATAGAAGCAAAGACGGATAAGGCAATGGCGCCGCATGTATTCATGAACCCAGCTATTCGTGGGTGGCTGAAGTATGTTATCCAGGAAGGAGAAGAGGATGAGTGGATGTAGCCGCAAGCCCAACACTTACCATACACGTACTTTAGACTTACTATTCGCCCTTCATGCTCAATCCTATCCTCATGACGCTTACCATAGCATTCCTCAACTCGATGGCCGTACTTACATGTTGTTCGTGGACTCTTAGTGCATCTCTCTTTCAACAGCCGCTTTCACAAGTTCTCAGTGTCTACCTTTAAGCAAACCCGCACCATTACCCTTTTCCCTCAGCCTTCTTCCTTCACTCTAGTTTAGCAATTCAAAGCACTAAGTTCATTTGGTCCGGTGACTCAGTGGCATTGGCAAAATTGCAAAAATCTGAGCTGGCCCGGTTAGCCTTGTAAGGCAGTACCGGGCTGATCTGCACAAGACCGGGCCATACAGATCTGGTCACGCTCGACTCACGCAACAATAGGGAGATGGCAGCCAGAGTGCGGTGGATCAGGCTGACGGTAGGAGATCAGGGAGTGACTACGGAGATGATAGGATGTCAGGTAGTCACCAGACTAATGGCATAGGCTCAAGCAAGCCCTCTCCGAGTCTCTCGCTTGCTTTCTTCTTTCCTGAAGTTCTCTTCTTATTCTTCTCTCCTCTTTCAAGAGAACATCTCTCACTAAATACTCCTGTATTTCTCTCTCTGGCCATGCCTCGACTCGTGGTCAATCCCCACCTCCTTGTTTGCTCGGATTACACCTCCCCCAACTTTGAAGCCATTCGCCAGCTCAGTCGCTTCCCCAAGGAAGATCCCGCAGCCACTGCACAGCGACTAGTTGCCATCTGGACAGCAGGCAATAACCAGGATCGCGTGGCATGGACTGCGCAAGTAGCAGCGGACACAGCTGCTGCAGTGGATGCGGAACGCGACCGCCTCGAACAGGAGGCGGCCAATAAGGCTAAGGTGGAAAAGGAGCTCAACAAGAAGAAACCGAAGCTCCTTCCCTTGAACCCTGGGGGTATGCCTTCTATTCTCCCGGTTCACGCCCCTCCCTACGCCTTCCACAAGCTAGAGCTAATTGAATATGTCAAGCTTTACTACTTCGCCCTAGAAGTCTGTCATGAAGGCTCCGACTCTTTCAAGTCCACCACCGATGACACGTTCACACTGGCCCATTCCGACGAGGGTCTCACTCTGCGTGCTGCATCCTCTTCTTGTCCCTCTTGCAAAGTCATCCCAGACTCCAAACTGTCCTGGGAACAGTTTTTCTCCGCCTGCACTGTTTTCATGGTGGAAATTCAGCGAGCCAAATGGCCTGCTGCCCTCACGCAACAGATGGCTTTTTTTCTCTTTGCCCTTGAAAACCATCCTATGGCCTTGGTCCTGGAGTACGGTAAACAAGTAATGCTGCTCATACAAGCCTCCGTGCACCGCTCCTGGCATGCCCTACTCAAAACTCCTCAAAACTTCAACATATCCGTGATCAATGACATATTTGTTGATCGCACCGCGTCCGAGTACACCCACGGTATGCAATACTCCGGCATTGGTCTGTTCCTTTTCTTGCTCCCCCCTTCCCGTTCTCGCTAACAATCAACTTGCCCTTTCCTCCTTCCCCCCCCCTCGTCATCCTCTGCACCTGCCAAATTTGCGCACGTCGCCCGCTACTTTGTGCACTGTACCTGCCATACATATTTCAATGCAAACTGCATACCGTGCCCCCCCCCTGCACCCCCCCCTTGCGCAACGCGCTCTCCCACCATGGCACTCGCCATTCCCCCCCCCCCCCTCCTGCTTTCAAAGCTCGGAATGAGGCGCATTCCTCTGCTCCCCATGCTACATCAGAGTGCCGTTTGCGTCACGACCCTTCTGCATCCTCTCACAAGCGTCGCCGCTCCCCCTCACTCTCCCTTCCTCCTTCTCCCTCCTCCAAAGAGCAACCCCCTCGTCGCCACCATCGTACCTCTAACACGGCCACGCCACATTCCTTTCCGACCTCCGCTGACAACGCACCTCCCATTGTCTGTGCATATTGCCTTGGCCACCACCCTCATGACCTCGCATGTTGTCGTGCCCCCACCTTATGGAATGGGACCCCCACTCGTGCCCAACGAAACGCCAAGGGCCATATTATCTACCCCAATGGGGTCAAAATCTACATCAACTGGCAATGTGCCGGTGGTTGCAAAGCCACCTCCCATCCCCACAAGCACAAGTGCTCAGGGTGCGGTGGACATGATCACGGTGTGCATGCGTGCAGTCTTGCACAGGCGCTCTAGCCCACTCACTCCCTACCACTCCAAGGCGTGGCTTCATTTGCTTCGCTCCGCCTCGCTGCTGTCCAAATACCCTCTGATCCCACACAGTCTTTCTCACGGTTTTCACATCGGCATACCTCATATTATTCATACTAATACTCCTCTGAACAGCCCCTCCATCATAATCCTCTCCCCACAATTTGATGCCATTGTCTCTACGGAGTTTTCCAAATGTTGCTACCTTGGTCCCTTCTCTCGCTCTACTGTAGAATCCCTTATTGGCCCCTTCCAAACCTCTCCCCTCTCCCTAGTGCCAAAACCCCATAAACCTACCTCTTTCTATCTTGTTCAGAATTTCTCCTACCCGCACACCCCCTCTCCTTTACATTTTTCTATTAATTCCTGCATCACCACGGACAATTACCCTTGCACATGGGGCACCTTCGATATATTCTCATTTCTGACCTGGCATCTCCCTCCAGGCTCACAAGCAGCCGTGCGAGATGTCTCAGAAGCATTCCACATAATCCCCTTACACCCATCTTAATAGCCAGGGACTGTTGTGCGCTTATCAGGCCATGACTCCTTCGCCATCGACACTGTTGCTGCTTTCGGGACTGGGTCTACCCCCGGTGTCTATGGTAACTTACAGGATGCAGCTGTCAACATCATGCGACATGCTGGTCTTGGTCCTATTGAAAAATGGGCCGATGACCATGTGTTCTTCCGGCTTCCTCGGGAACACCTCCTGGCTTACAACCGCCAGTGCTCCCTTTGGCACTCTGAGATATCTCGGGGCCCGGAACCCTAACACATCGGGGGCCACATATGGAACACCGGCCCTATCCTTCCAGATGGCCCTCGCTCCGAGTTCAATGACGATATGTCATCACCAGTCCGTGACCTATCCCAACAATCCCCCTGCTCCCTGAATGAGGCTTGCTACACCTGCAACCTTTCAGACATAGACACTATTTCTGCTCAACTTGGCATCTCTTGGCAAGCGGAAAAGGATATCCCCTTTCACCATGAGTTCCCTTTCACAGGTTTCCTCTGGAACCTTCAAACTCATATAGTAACACTTGTCGAAGCTAAGCGCAAGAAGTACTGCCTCGCTCTCATCGCATGGCAAGGCTCATGCACACACGCGCTCCTCGAGGTACAGAAACTGCATGGTAAGCTCCTACATGCTTCCTCGGTAATTCCCGCGGGCCGCGCGTACCTCACCGGCCTCGAGGCCATGCTTTCCATCTGCCATGATGAACCCTTCAAGCCTCGCACCCCTCCCTGACACACCCCTGAGGAAATCCTATGGTGGTTGACCACTCTCTCACAACATGTCAAGCCATGTCCTATCCCAGGACCTCACAGCATTGTTGATCTCAATGCTTTCTCCGACGCAAGCTCCGGCGTTGGCATTGGAATCATCATCGGCTCGCGCTGGCGTGCCTGGTCCCTCCTTCCTGGATGGCACACTGAAGGCAGGGACATCGGATGGGCTGAGGCCACTGGATTCGAGCTCCTCATCCGCACTCTCCTTGCCCTTGGACTCCTCCCCCACCGATCCCACTTTCTTGTCTATGGTGACAATGCTGGCATTGTTGACGGCTGGAGGAATGGCCACAGCCTCAACTGCCACGTCAACTCAGTCTTCCGACACCTCCACGCCCTCCTCGATGAACACGACCACGTCGCTCTCACTCGATACATACCTAGCGCTCACAATCCAGCTGACAAACCCTCCCATGGGATCTTCCCCCCATGGCGTCTTCTCCTCCCCCCCGTCCTCCTCCCCAAGCCTCTCTACCCCTTCCTCACTGCAGTCGATGACCTCTCGTCTCCCCCTCATTCCTAGTAACATCCCCCCCTCCCCCTTGTCTCAACCACAATCCTTTCCTTCTTCAATCCCTGCACAATTTCAGTTCGACACCTCTCTCCCTGCTCCCACCCCACATCCGCAGCCCCCTTGCCCATACCCAAATGGGTTACTCCTGACACCTTCAGTCCTTCATCCGCACTGCCATGCTCGCAACTGCCTTATCAAGTGGCTCCCCCCCCTTTCTCACCCTGCAGATCCGCGTGTGTTTGACCATGAATGCACAAAGCACGTCATGGCCCATGGATGGAAAGACTCCACTCTCAAGGTCTATGGCTCAGGCCTCCTCCTCTACCATGTCATATGTGATGCAAAGGACGTCCCAGAAACCCACCGGGCCCTGGCATCTATTGCCCTCCTCTGCTCCTTCCTTTCGGCCCTTGCGGGCTCATACTCTCCCAGCACAGTAGAGAACTACCTCGCTGGCATTCGGGCCTGGCATCTCATCCACGGACTTGAATGGTCTCACGATACTGCGCGACTAACGTCGCTTCAGCATGGCACCAAGAATCTTGCCCCTCCATCTGCCAAAAAAACCAAGAGGGCCCCATACACTGTCACCTATCTCCTTCAGCTCCGGCCCTACCTAAACCTCTCCGATTCTGTCCACACTGCTGTCTGGGCATGTGTGACAGCCTTGTTCTATGGCATTGCATGCGTTGGGGAGCTCACAGTCCCCTCTCTCTCCGGTTTCAAACTGGACATACATGTGTGCACCTCCAACATCTGAACTGTCATCTGCGATGGCCTCACCTGCACCATTATCTTCGTCCCGCAGACGAAAACCTCCACCCATGGCCAGGAGATATACTGGTCCTCAGAACCAAACCCCACAGATCCTGACGCCGCCCTACGACATCATCTGTTGGTCAAAAAACCCTCCCCCAATGAACATCTTTTCTCCAACACCTTCAAGAAGGAGCGTCGCCCCCTCTTGCACTCGGTCTTTCTTCGGTACATTGCACAAGCTGCCGCGCAGGCCGGCCTACCCCCTCTCCATGGCCACAGCTTTCGCATTGGGGGCACATTGGAATTTCTCCTTCGGGGGCTTCCCTTTGATACCATCCAAGTGAAGGGTCGTTGGGTTAGCAACACCTTTCAGGCCTATCTCCACTGCCATGCGGAGATTATGATGGTGCACATTCAGTCAAACATGGCTGTCCATTGGGCCTTTGTTCACTACACCTTGCCTCCTGCTTTATGAGGTTAGTCACACCACTCCTAATCCTTCAGGAAACTGGCCAAGCCCTAATGCGTTGTTCCCCTCCTACCATAGATGGGTATCACTGCTTGCCGGTCCTTTCCCATTTCTTGTGTGTCGGTGCCCCTTCTGGGCCTCTCCCTTCCCTGCATGTCACTCTTCCATCATACGGACTCACATGTACTTACGTCTCTGTCATTTATGTCAATCTAACTCTGCCACATTTGGACAACTCGCTCAGCATTAAACTAGCGCATACCGGCTAGTTCTTAACACCGCACTCTGAGAACAACCGAGCTCATAGATTGACTTCTAAGGTTAGAAGGTATGACCTAACCTTAGAATATGGTCTATGACCGACCAGAGGCCTCTGAGTGCCCGCTTTGCTGGCATTCCTTTCTCTCATTCTGTTGCTCAAGCAAGCCCTCTCCGAGTCTCTTGCTTGCCCCACCCTCCCTATTCCCCTCACACTCCTGGCAAATCCCTAATCCCTTCTCCGCTTCTATGCTTCTCCAATCAGCGCTCATATATTGCCTTTCTTCTCTCGGCTACCAGCCCCCCCTTCCTTTTTCTTTACGTCTCTTCCTATGCCATAACATAACGTACCTCCTCTCTACCCTTCACATATAAGCATGGCTCCAAGCATGACCCTCCTCTTTATTAGCATAATGACATTCCTCTCCACCCAAACTTCTGCCGCTTCACTTCACACTCTCTCATCGCACAATTCCATGTCTCCTCCCTCTGTGTTGGAATCTCACCTTCCTCCTATTATCACTTTCATTCCCATCCATGCCCATATCTATGCCATATCCCAGTCTCTAGACTACCCCTCTACGTGGCAGGTCTCCTATCACCTATCCAAACTCATCAGAGTAGGCTCTCGCATAGCCATCATAGAGCCTAGGCATCAGCAATACCTGTGCGGTATGGTCAAAACTGTTCGAACAGTTGAGAGATCGCGAATGGAGTTCCTGGTCACCTCTTACACTGGCCATGACATCCTTCTATGCATTCCCCTACTCTGGACCTCCATTCCATTCCCCTTCTCCCTCATTCGCCTCCTTTGCCATGCCTGGCTCACCGACTCCAAGTCAGTTACCCCTGAACAACACTCTATGGGAATATTGCGCTCACCTTCAACTCATCACCGGGCATCCCACTGCCCCATGCCTAGAGACAGACCTTAGGCAGTGGAGCAGGTGCGTCTAGATGCCCTCTACCCAGCTTCTTCCCCTCTTTAGTATCACTTCCCTCTTCAGCTTCATATCATTCTTTATAATAGCTTGTTGACTTCAAACAGTCATTCCCCTCCTTCAACTTCCTTCTTTGCCATTTACATGCATGTGTTCTTCCTTTTTCCTTTTCTTTCTTTGGATACTCAACTTAATGGGTCTTTCTGCCCAGCAGTGATCACTCCTTTGCTCAGGTACCCTTCCCTCCGCAGCCCTTCATTTCCTGAGCCCATCCCCCCTATCGCTGCTTGCCAGTCCTTTCCTATTTCTTGTGTGTCGGTGCCCCTTCTGGGCCTCTCCCTTCCCTGCATGTCACTCTTCCATCATACGGACTCACATGTACTTACATCTCTGTCATTTATGTCAATCTAACTCTGCCGCATTTGGACAACTCGCTCAGCATTGAACTAGCGCACACCGGCTAGTTCTTAACACCGCACTCCGAGAACAACCGAGCTCATAGAGCCGGTATCTGAGGTCTCGCTCGGCTGATTCCGAATCCTGTGGTAACCTCGCGCGCGATTCCGCATAATTTCGGAAGTCGCTGTAACTGCCTGAAGCGCATTGATTTTTTACGAGATTTCTACGGAAAACGTGAGGCTCTGCGAGAGTGTCAGCTTTACTTCTAGTCATCGCACATCCCTCGGTTCGTCGCCTGGTCGGCTTAGGCAATGGGGAGCACATACCGCTCGAAACGCAAGCTCAATGAAGAGGGCATCGACGTTCCGAGTCGAAAAGCTATTGAGAAATCAGTACGTCGTATGGTTTCGCGACGTTCGATTCTCACCTAGGACGCGTAGATCGGTACCTCATTCGAGAAATCGCGGGACTCAAACGAATCTCTCCCTCCATGGAAGCAAGAAGTACGCTCGACTGTTTGGTACGTCGTGTGGTGGCTTACTCCACGTCATTTGTCAGGTCAGAGATGAGAAAGGGCGGAGGAGGCTGCACGGCGCTTTCACAGGTGGTTTCTCTGCTGGATACTACAACACAGTTGGTTCGAAAGAAGGTGCGTGCTTCGTCACTCAAATATCAGACACTACTCAGAGTTATATAGGATGGACACCCTCTACGTTTACATCTACACGCGGGGAGCGTGCCAAGCAGAAAGCAGCGCGCCCTGAAGACTACATGGACGAGGAAGACTTGAAAGAGCTTGAAGAAAGCAGAGCAGCTGGGATGCAGGAGAAGATAAACCTTTTAGAAGGCACGCCAGCTGAATCGAAGCGCAGAGGACTGGTCGCGATAGATCCGGAGGAAGAGTGCGTGCATTCTATACCTTATTGTCTGCTTCTGTCCTAATAGCTGTACTGCATCTCAGCTCATATCGACGCAACGAAGAGGCTGACATGCTAACATCGGAAGAAACATTTGGCGCGCGCATGCTCAAGAAGATGGGTTGGCGTCCTGGTCAAGGCGTGGGCCCTCGAATATCCTGGAAAACCCGTCAGGATATCATGACTCAAGGTAAATCTGACGATGGTGTCAACTTTGAAACCCTCGAGGATGATCAAGAAGCCAAGAAGCACACATATGCTCCACGAGTTGCTGTTGTACCAAAGTTTTCCCGAAAGGATAATTCGTTTGGACTTGGATTCGTTGCGCCACCCAACCCCAGTGAAACTCTGGAGCGAGGTCCGGAGAAGTCAGGTCCACAACTAGCGGGTAAATTTGGCCTTGTTTCCACCCTCAACCAAAACCACACAAACTGACGGTTCTGGTCAATCCTAGTCGGATTCGGGCTTGGAGCATTGAACGAAGCTGAGGACGACGATATTGATATCTACGACACTCCCTCGAACGCAACTAGAACTCACCTTGCGTGGGACGCTACGGACCGTGATGCAGACGAGGTTGTTTCAGTCAAGAATGGTCCAGCACGCAGTATCAAACCTCCAGTGAGCGTATCCTGTACATATCTGAAATAAGTACACTAACTCTTTGCAGCCTCCTCCCAAGGCCTACATACTTCCAAATGGAAAGCCTGTGCTCCAGGGTTTCATGCCGGCGGTGACCCCAGTTGTAGAGGTCAAATGGTGACTGACTATCTACATCACCGTGGCTTTGATCTTATTTCTATCGCATACAGGGACCTTTTGCCAGAAATCCCCGCAGATTGGAAACCGGAGCCTCAGCGAGTATGGCAGAATGACAAGGAAAATCAAGACCGGTCGAGCTTGACAGCTGAAAAGGTTTGATGACCTCCCCCTCTCTTTCATATAACACTTTTATGACCAGATGCTCATAGCGCGGATCTATGCTTGACGGGATCACACTTGAGACCGGCCCCCGATCTGTGTTTGACTACATGTCAGAGAAAGATCGCGAACGGCTTCAGAAGGGATCTCAAGCTGAACTGAGCATCAAGGCGCCAACTTCTGCCGCTGCCGTCACTGCTTCCCCTCAGGGTCTGCCTTTCACTCCTCCCAACATAGCCTCCGCTGCACTTAGGGGCTTTATGCCCTTCACAACAGATCCGGTGAAACAATCCCGCTACATTGCCTACCTACGGTCTCAAGCTAGCCCCGAATTTCCAGAGCTTGCTCCAGAGCGTCTTCCAGGGCAAGCGGCGGATGCGTTTCACAAGGAAATGTTAGACTACGCGAAAAGCGCCGCGATTTTCAAGCCTGTATCTGGTGCCATGGCCACCAGGTTCACCAGTGCAGCCGTCGTTGACATGGGCCCAAGGACTATCGAAGGGCTGCATCAGCCGGTGCACACTTCTGCGCCAGCGCAGGATGCGAATGATCGAGAGAAGGAGAGGAAGGAAGAAGAGGAGCGAAGAGAGGAGATGGTCGAAGGATCTAAGGCTCATGCAGCGAAAATGGGCCTGTACGGCTCCATGACACGAGAGGTCAAGCTGTGGCAGCCTTCGCGACTATTATGCAAGCGATTTGGCGTCAAGGACCCGAACCCAGAAGTGACGACAGACGCGCCTATTCCCGGTACCACACCTGCCACAGCCCCTTCTGCTTCTACTTCCGCCACTGGAACTTGGCGGCCAGAGCAGGCAATGGCCGATGCGGACTTGCAGACCGCGACTACGTCCATCGGTGCGATTCCTGGATCATCTTCTGTGTACGGCGGACAAAAGCGGAAGGATTTAGGCAACGTGGGGCTTGGAAATGATGAGAAGCACGGGAGGGATACTCTCAAACCTGTGCAGCCGAGAATGGACATCTTCAAAGCGATCTTTGCCAGCGACGACGAAGATAGCGAGAACGAGCCAGGGGAGAACGGGAAGGAGATTGGCCCTAATGGCGATGTGGAGAAGCGGAACGTTGAGAGCGTTCCGGTGGCCGGTCCGTCTAGACTACCAGAAGCTCGCAAGGCGGCCGGGGGCTTAGGTGGTGTCGATAAACAGCTTGCTGTGCCTGCGTATCTTCGTGACGACAAGCAAGTCGCCAGCTCCATCAATCTTGGTTCTCCGTCGAACGCGCAAGGATCGGGAGCTGTGGAGAAAGTCGATGTCGCGACATTCAAGCCCACATTTGTACCCCGATCTGAACGCGCGACGAAGAAGTCGAAGTCGAAGGATCGGAAGGATCGGAAGAAGAAGGGCAAGGCGATCTTGTCCTTCGCGGGTGAGGAAGGCGAAGATGACGGGTTGAGCATCGCACCTCGAAAGAACCACAAAGAGCACAAAGCCAAAGAGGAGGAACAGAGGAGGAAGAAACAACGGAAGGAGGAAAATGATTTGGAGCGCGAAGAGGAGGTACCCCTCCATGACGGCGAAGATACGTGGGTGGAGAAAGCTGCGCCGGACATTGTGAGAGGCTTCGAGAGCGCAAGTCATAGTCACGCGGAACTTCCCTCTGTGCCCTCCGAGTCAACAGAGCCCGACATAGGCCCTCCAAGGGGAAGGAAGAGGGCAATCGACTTCATGTAACATAGCAGATTTGTATATTAATTGATGGACAACAAGCCTGGCATCGTTGTCGATTTCACAGCCAGTATATTAATTTTCCCCACTTCATAATGGATTGGAAGCCGTGACATTTCGATGCATCGCATCAACCTCTCGAGAAGTTTTGAGTCGAGGCCCACATGGTGTAGACCAGGTATAACAAGCTGATATATATACTAATGCAGAGATCTGCAATAAAATGGGGTCCTCTAATCCTCTTCTTCTTCTTCCTCTTCCTCTTCCTCCTCCTCGTTCTCTTCCTCTTCCTCTTCCTCCTCTTCATGATCTCCTTGCTCCGAAGGCCACTCTACTTCCGCTTCCCCATCATTTTCCTCCTCGTCTGATCTCTTCCGCTTGTCACCGACAGCCACACTGTCCCCACTGATTTCGCCGTCCGCCAGCGTTACACAGGTCAAACGGCTACCTTTTGAGTCGTAGATTGCTACAGGGACGATGGACGGCTTTTCATTACCGCCAGCTGTTTCAGCGTTTGTTGGTGGCGGGGGGATAGCGAAGAGGTCGTAGACGTGAATATTTCCGTCGGAAGATACAGTGCTGAGAATCGTCGTCGAGGGACGGGACGGGATGGGTAAGGCAATGCGAAGCGTGTCCATGGCTTTCACTCTGATCAAGGTATTAGCGAGATTGAAAGGATGTGATGGGTAGGCTGCCTAGCGAACCGATTCTCATGCCCTACAAACTCTGCTATAGGTTTGGGAGCAATTTTGCAGTCAGCGCCGACATCATAGACCGTGACTTTCTTGTCCTCGGCAGCTACTAGGAGAACCTCGTCAACACCAGTGACGCGTTGGACAAACTTGACATCTTGTATGCGAGACGGGTGGATGACGGTGTGTAAGCGGGTAAGGTCCTGGTTGGGGAAGAGTATCTTAACAGGAGACCATGTATGCAACGTGCCTTGACTTACGTTCGAGTAGACGTCGATGGTTTTTTGATATTGGACGACCAGTAACGAACCCGATGTAGACCAGCGCACCAGCTCTCCTTCTATAGCATCAAATAAGAGGTTTTGAGTATCTATTGAATATAAGGGGTCAATATACTCACCGACGCCCAGTTTGGTGCTGCCGCTCGCGCGGCCGCGCATAAGATCCCACATCCGGAGTGTTTTGTCCTTCCCAACGCTCAACGCAACTTTGCCTGAAGGGTGAACAGCAACAGAGTTGACCGGTCCCTTATGTCCTTTCAAAGCACGAAGGACACTCCAGTCGCGCGCACGGAAAAGACAGAGCGTGCCATCCTCAGAAGCCGAGAGCAGATGTGACCGCGAGGGGAAGCTAAGGTGGGTCACGGAACCTAAACAAACAGATCAAGGCCTGTACACAAGCCCAGCACAAACAAATGGGACGAACCCTCATGATGCATCAACCCTCCAATCTCTCGCCGCCGTCGTAGGTCCCATACCTTGATGATCTCGTCTGCACTGCCAGTTGCAAGCCATTTACCGCCTTGCGGAGAGGCAGTCACTGCTTTCACGCATGATACATGTGCCGGAAAGATGAATAACGGTTTTAGGGAGAAAGTAAGATCTTCCGAGGACGAGGCAGAGACTGTGCCTTCGAGACCGTACAGAAGTTTTTCGTAAGATCCAGCGACAATTTTAAATGCGGATGGAAGGGGAGATAAGGGGGTCGATTTTGGGTTAACAGCAGTAGATGGCTGCTTTTCTGACTTGGCCTTTGTGGACATGAGTCGGTTTGGAGGTGGAGTGAGCGCGCGTTCCTTCTGCTTCCCTTTGGCCACACTATTCGGCTTGGCTGCCGCTTTCGCGGGGAGTGAAGATAGCTTTGTGTTTGATACTTTCACCTTCGATATGTCGTCCGCAAATTTTGTTTTCTTCGCTGGACGTTCTTTTGAGTATGGAACTTTTTTTGCAAAAGACTTTTTGGGAGACATGAGGAATGAGAGGAAGATGTACCCCAAGGCCAAGGTTAGGTTTTGGGTGGACGACGAAACCCCGGTCAACAGGGATAAATACGGACCCGCATTCGCTTGTCCGAGGAAACGCGGGTTGGCAATGCTTGCATCTCGTTCTCTCATTCGCACACAATGTCGTAGTTCATCACACCCTCGTCACTCGTCCTCCTACGTCGAAAGCTCGTGGCAACACGCGATCAGGACCAAAAATGCTGAAGTCAACGCTCTGGTCTGCATCGCTCCGGAACAGTCCAAGGTTACCACGAACGGCCCACTGCGCGATGTAACTGTGGCCGTGAAGGACAACATATGCACAAAAGACATGCCAACAAGCTGCTCGTCTGCTATGCTCCGTGGTGCGAATACGTGATGATATGATTTGACCTAGCTGGGACGTTCTAATACCTGATCAGAATTCACCTCTCCTTTCGACGCGACGTCGGTGCGGCTCTTGCGTGATGCCGGAGCGACCATTGTTGGAAAAGCAAACTGTGACGAGTTTGGTATGGGGTGGGTGCGTCCCCATCCTTCTGTTGTCTCGCCGGAACTCACCTCACGTATGATAGATCCCTGAACATATATTCTATTCATGGGCCAGTTGTAAATCCATCCCGTCCCCCAGGAAGTTCTCAGATACTCTCACAAGAGTCGGAGCGGCGTTCTGCTGGCGGTAGCTCTGGGGGCAGTGCTGCTGCTGTCGCTGCCGGGATGTGCGATGCGTGCGTACTCACGCTTGGCGCAAAATACATAGTGTTCACAGTGTGCATTACTCAGCGCAATTGCAACTGACACAGGAGGATCTATCAGACTTCCTGCCTCTTACTGTGGTGTTGTTGGTCTCAAACCTTCGTATAGTATGATCAGCAGGTGCGCATTTCCCGCTTCTGCAGACCTCGCTCCCAGAGTTGACCACGGCTCAGATGGGGCGTAATATCTTATGCAGATAGCCTCGACTGCGTTGGCGTCATTGGCAAAGATATCCAATCAACGGAGAAAGTATATAGTCAGTTGTGCCATGCCGCTGGTCCTTGCTTATATTATTCACACGCTATTGAATCCAGACGCTCTATCATCCTTCGACCCCAATGATCCTACCGCCGCGCAGCCTGAGACACGAGAAGCCGCTGACAAGGCTTGTAATGAACATATGGCTGAGTGGGCATTATCGGATACACTGACTGGCCTCAGAATTGGGATTCCTCAGGTTGGTTTGTTATTTCGCGACAATCATTTTATCTTACAGGTATGTGAATGTAGGAGTATTTTCCAGTATCTCTTAATCCTTCGATACTCTCTCCTTTCCGCCGCATTCTTCGTTCTCTCAAAACGCGCGGTGCGACCTTGGTGCCTGTCTCGCTCAAAAACACGAGCTATGCGCTCAGCACGTACTATGCAATCGCAAGCGCAGAAGCTAGTAGTAATCTCGCGCGCTATGATGGCGTTCAGTATGGTGAGCTCCCTACATCATCTCTTACTACACCGCTCAGTAGATACACCTCATGCTGACATCTATACCATAATAGGTCTCCATGTAGACCCTCCTCCGGGATCATCTACTCATACGCCTGCCTTGACTTACGCCCACAGTCGCACTGCTGGTTTCGGATCCGAGGTCAAAAAGCGCATTTTACTCGGAACTTATGCCCTTACTGCTGAGTATGCTTGCCGTCTATCGTCGAGTTCACAATTCGTAAGCTAATCGCGGGACTTGAACAGTGCGTTCGATAATTACTTTCTCCAGGCTCAACGTCTGCGCAAGGCGATCCGGCAAGATTTCAATCGCGTCTTCGTGGTGCCAGATGCTTTGTCCTCTGCGCCTTCCCCGCCGCGAAAAGATGAGGGCGTCCACGTCCTATTACATCCTTCGGCCATCCGCACGGCACCTCCTCTTCCTTTAGCAGGAGCGGCAAAGGACGATGGAGAGAGCCTTGATACCTACTTGCAAGACGTACTCACCGTACCAGCATCACTAGCAGGGCTTCCGGCCCTCAGTGTGCCTATTTCGAGTACAAGCACCGAGGGAGACGGATGGCCAATCGGTCTAAGCGTTGTTGGACAATGGGGGTGTGAAAAGATGGTCCTAGAAGTTGGACGATCTGTTGAGCAAACTAGATAACCTCTGTATCATAGAATATGGTGCGCGCGCTCAATTCAGTGTCCACGTTCAATGCTAATCCGGCTAGGGGGAGCTGGAAACTTCATAATATCAGAGATATAGCAGCAAAGACGTGGAGCGGGACGTCAGATCTATGGTAGGTTCATCGAAGGGGATATTTTGGTTGGTGAATCGGGCATTATAAAACACATAAACAATCAGAGCGAGCGGTCATTAGGAAAGTATATAGTATGTGGGCACAAGAGCGGAGATGTGAGCGTGGATAGATGCGAGAGTAAAGTACATATGCAGCGAATGAATGCGACGATGGGATAAGCCGGTTGGACGAGACTAGAATGATGCGGCAAGACTGGTCGCTGATCAGGACGGTGTATAGGAAGAGGAGGTAACGGGAAGATCGCAGTGGTTTTGAAGGAAGGTTGGGTGAATGAGGAGGTTAAGACTATAAATACCAATAGTCCACAAACTGTGGCCGATCGTTAGTGATAATCTATACGGGATGCCGTAAAGCTCCTCTCCAGCCCTGCTAATGCAGGGAACATCGATGATAGAGACTGTGCAAGTGTTCACAGCCTGTATTAGTGTTTTCCCCACCGGATAATCCCCTCGTATATAGAATACATCACTGCTGCGTTTGGCACAACACGCATGAGGTGAGCACTCAACCCGCCGTATAGTGAGCGGGCACCTTCCTCGGCGATGACGAGGCGCAGTGTCTGCAGGAGTCCCGTGTACTTCATCTTGCCGTCAACGAGAGGCTGTCTTAGCCGAGTCCGAAGGACCTGCAGAGGAAGATTCATTCTTGTAGACTGAGGTGTAGGGCAAGCGGGAAACAGCTTACCTCATGTGGATAAGTGATGAGACTTGCTACGCATTTTGCTGTTCCGGCGCTTCCCAGCATGCCCGCCCACTCTTGGACTCCCCCTTGTCCTTCGACTCCCGCAGTGAGTCGTTTCAGTCGTTCGTACAGCACCCATTGGATAGTGCCCTCTGTGACGCCGAGATAGCTTGCGCTCAAGCCCTTGTAAAACCCACGCACGCCCTCTTCTCGGAAGATCTGGCGTACCATGGACACACTACCGCCAAAGAACGACCCCGATGACGCTGGAAGGGTTGGCGACACCCGATTAGATGCAGTGAGCTGTAGACGTGTCTTGACTACCCATATTGGATTCGTGGCTGTCCCAGTGACAATCCCAGCAAAAGCGGCCGCGCCAAGATGTACGAAAGAGTTTTCTTCACCATGGTTGAAATTATTCGCGATGACATGCTTGCCATTGCCGTACGTGAAGAAGTTGATGGAACGTGCGGGTATGACGCCCACAAGGGTGGGGCCCAGTCCTTTAAATAACGCGCGCGGGGTCTCTTCTCGTGCAATATCGCTGTGGAATGAAGGAGTCTTGATCACAATTCGTCATTTTCTGGACAGAGTGAAGCACACACATACCGGAGAATATGTGCCGTTTCCACAAAATGCCAAAGAAGTCCGATTGGCCTACGGGCCACTACCACCATGGTGTCGCCTACCAACCCCACGCTCGTTTGTTTTTGTCTGAACAAGTCTGACTGCAGCCGAGTCTTCACGACGTCGAATGGACTTGTAATGATGGCTCCGCACATCCCCCCCAACCTTTATGTCAAGATGATCGAAAGTCGCGTGAGTTACACTTTGATTGAAGAATCCAAAGACACGAGACAGCACATACCCTCCAGCTACAAAATGCCGCCATGACTGGGCAGGAAGCCAGCTGGTATTGGATGGGTCAGAAGGAAGGGGCGTCGAGACTGCCATGTTTTATGGATTCGCCCAAATTCCCTGCAAGCCGACAGCTCAAGAAACAGAGGAGACCAAAGGCCGAGACGACGTTTAACGTCGGCTGGCGGGGTCGTATTTTCGCCTATTTCCTCGAATCTCTGAATATGGAAATGCGCACGTGGCGAAACAGATAAGATAACTCCACGATTTTTGAGATCAACTTCGATGCAGCATTCTCCTACGCAATAATGTTCGTTTTGTCCTTGATCAAGGTGCTAGCATTCTTGGCTTCCAGGCTGAAACAGCTCTCTGACCTCGGTCTGTACCCAGGATACGATACCGATCCATCCTTCACATTTTGGTGTTCCCCCTGAACAGGCTTTGATCAACGAACTCAATAAAAAGTTTGCCAATCGTGTCTTGCACGATGTTGGGCTTTGCATCTGTGTATTCGATATATCAGAAGCCGGAGAAGGGAAAGTAAGATACGGAGACGGTTTCTTATGGTACACGGGTGAGCTGTCTGACGCATCGTAAGGGGCGACGCACTGATTCACTCAGCTCAACAGTTATATTCAGATTGACCGTCTTTCGTCCATTTCCTTCAGAGGTGATCCTCGCACGAGTCAAATCGTCAGATGAGGATGGTATTCAATGTGTGCTATTTCTCTTCAATTTCCATGTTCGAAAGTAATGTCGTTGAAGTATCCGTAGGATTTTTTGAAGATATGTGGATCCCAATAACTTATCTTCCTCAGCCCACTGCCTTGTATGTCACTGTTCCTAATCTCCCAATCCTAAGCAGTGAAATGATATATGCAACCAAGTGATCCTAATGAACGGGCACACTTCTGGCTTCCGGGCTCACAATCAACGTCAACCCATGAGCTCCTCGACTCACCCACGTCAGAACGCATGTATATCGACCAGGGCGAAACTGTTCGCGTTCGTGTTGAGACGGACGAATTCTATGATGACGAGCCTGGGCCACCAAAGGCCACGGAGGGTGTGCAAATAAAGGTGGAGTCTCGCAGGCCGCCATATACAATCACAGTAAGGCATTCGTCTCAGCATTGTGGATCTTCCACTGACTAGAAATAGTGCTCGATCGCAGAACAAGGCTTGGGCCCTGTAGCATGGTGGAGAACAACAGAAGCAGATGCCATGGACGAAGGTTAACACCCACAGTACTTAGTTGCCAAGGTGCCTTTGTATATCATGTTCTTCGTGAGCACTGTTCAACGAGTATCCTCGTGAAAGTTTGTCAATTGCAAGTTCAGTATCTCCAGGTTCGTTGAGTTCTTCCATATACGCGATGGGCGCTGTTCACTAAAACTATAAGCAGTCATAACCCAGTACTGACTGAAGGCCTTGAATATAATCAAAATCAGCATACAGTCACGCCCTGCCTCACCTCCATCGACAGACAACCTTTTCATCCATTGTCATTCATGACATTATTCATTTTCACTTACGCCATGGCAGACAAAAATGGGAACACGGTATTAGCCAATGCAGATTGTGTACAGTTAGAGTAAGACAAATCGTAAAGCCGCAATAAACACATCAACAAGACATCATAGATCCACCAGAGTCCCGCCAATAAATTAAATACATAACATTCGATCTGGTCATCACGTTTAATCGAGATCATTAAGAGAGCGTGTCTCGAGGAACGAGTTCAGAAGCTCGCGCTTCAGCTGAGTAGCAGCTACCTCCTGGTTGGCGCGGGCCTCGAGGATATCCAAGAATTCCCTCTTGGAGCTAATTCATAGTCGTGAGACATTATACTCATGAAAAATATGGAGTAATGCTTACTTATCGTCGTCGCCGAATATCTTGCTAAGGAGACCACCACCGACTAGAGAACCAATGCCGCCAAGAATGCCCTTCTTAGCAGCATCGCCAAGCCCACGGGCATCGATTTCTTCACTTGCACGAGCGACCATGTAATCAGCCAGCTCTCTCTTAGCAGAGGAACTAACAGAGACAATGATTAGATCACCCTCCATTGACCAGGCGTGAAACGTACCTGTCACTGCCGAAGATCTTGCTAATGATCCCTGTGCCGAGGATGCCACCAAGGCCACCGATGATACCTTTCTTTGCGGCGTCGCCCAAGCTGTCCCCCACGACCTTTGCGCCAGCTTTGGCCACTCCGCCAGCAGCAGCGCGCGCAGCGAGTTCTTCGTGCGAGCGAGCCTGGATGTACTCCAAGAACTCCCTTTTCGATCTGTATCAAATGTAGTCAGCAAAGGACGATCTCCGCATACTGAATCGAACACGAATAGATACGCACTTGTTATCGTCTCCGAATAGTTTTCCGAGGACGGTTCCGCCAACGAGACTACCAATGCCACCGAGGATCCCTTTCTTTGCGGCGTCGCCTAAGCTGTCACCGACAATTTTCGCGCCGACTGAGGCAATACTGGCACGCGCAGCAAGTTCTTCGTGCGAGCGAGCCTGGATGTACTCCAAGAACTCCCTTTTCGATCTGTATCAAATGTAGTCAGCAAAGGACGATCTCCGCATACTGAATCGAACACGAATAGATACGCACTTGTTATCGTCTCCGAATAGTTTTCCGAGGACGGTTCCGCCAACGAGACTACCAATGCCACCGAGGATCCCTTTCTTCGCGGCGTCGCCTAAGCTGTCACCGACAATTTTCGCGCCGACTGAGGCAATACTGGCACGAGCAGCCAAGTCCTGGTCCGCACGAGCCTCGAGGTACTCCAAAAACTCTCTCTTGGAACTGATGCACATCACGTTAGCACGACTAGTACCAGTGTGCTGAAAGAGATACATACTTTTCGTCGTTCCCGAAGATTTTCCCGAGGACAGTACCGCCGACGAGACTACCAATGCCGCCAAGAACACCTTTCTTGGCAGCGTCGCCCAAGCTGTCGCCAACGACCTTCTCGCCGACTTTAGCTACATCGCCGGCAACGACACCAGCCAAGCTACGGGCATCGAGAACCTTGATGTTCCCGATGAGATTGGCAATCTGGTCTTCGGTCAGAGCACTATATCATCGTGTGAGCGAAAACATCCGCAAAACGAAAGAGACGAGACATCACATACGTATGGGGCTCATGAGAGACTGTAGAGAATGCGAACGCGGGGGCAGCCTGGAGGGCAATGGCGGCAGCAACGAGAGCAGTGGAGGTACGCATTTTCAATGATTAAAGATTGGAAGGACGTGAGGATGATTAAAAATCGATAGTTATGTGTGTGTCGTTTGTCTTAAAAATAAAACGGAAATGCGGCTGAAAGAAGTGTCAAAACTCGAGGTAACCAGTACCGTTAGAATGAAAGTGATGAGCAAAGGCTGGAGAAACAATGTCCATCACTCATCCTTTTTATACCAGACGGCCCTCGGGTCTGGTTCCTAGCAGCGAGGTAACTAGACGGATCGGTGTAACCACCGGATGCATCGAGAGCTGGTGTCCGGCGGGTATTGCCAATGATTGATGTTGGTTGAGCATTGTTGAGCCTAAGGAGTGCCTAAGACTGCCTGAGGGACCGTTTGATGGGAAATCAGCACTGCTCAGATCGTACATAGAAACGAGAGGTGCAGGATGGCCCAGGATGGCCCGGTGTTGATCGGAAGGATGAATGACAACGATGGACCACCTGACAACATGGCGCTATCCCATCAAGTGCGGTGTTGAAACTGTTTGAAATGTGTCATAGACTCCGTTGGATCTACAAACCACTGTGATGCAGAGGCAGTATACAAACGTATATGAACCGGAGCTAGATGCCTCAGAAAAGTATAACAAGAAAATATGGCAGAAAAAACCATACGGAGCGAAACGCATGATTATTACGATGCCATAGCCAAGTACTTTGGGTCACTTATAATTGCAATCAAGCCGTTGCCAGGGATCCGTCCGAGATGCCTGAGGCAACATCATCCACTCATCATCCTCAGACGAAAGTGTTATGTTGTGTTATGAATTGAATCGGGGCCAGAGGCAACATTCCTGACTCCTTACACATGGATGCCTAGGGACCGAGTGATGCCAAGCGTGTTATCGTCAACCGTGCAATGGCGGAATATGAATATTTCAATGTTGATTTGTCCTGAGTACGCTTGAGTACGGCTGTCAGCGGTAATGATGCATGATGGAATGGACCCGTCGGTATGAGACACATTTTCTGACCTCTTCTGACTGTCGACGCACTCCCCGAGCGCCTTCGGCCCGATGATGGCTTCGATGCTTGGAAGGAAGATGTGTACAACCGTCTCGACAGAGAAAACGAACATAGTAAGCACAAGGGCACAAGCAGGTTGTTTATTTGAGAACGGCCGTACCAGGCCGTACCAGGCCTACGCAATGAGGATGATCATGTCGGGAGTCAGGAGCTGGGATGCACACTGTAAACGGGACGGATGAATACTCATTCCTGCTTCGGATCAAACATGGTCCTCCCGAGGAAGCAAGAAACGACTACACCGTTGGATTTGAGTTCAAAGATCCTTCGGTCAACCCAACACGCTGCACCCTCTCATAGATCTCCCGCTTCCGTTGTGAGTCCTCTAACTCTTCCTGTCTCTTCTTCATTTTCTGCTTTCGCCGCTCATCGTCTCTTAAAACGCCCTTATACATAGTCTGGATGCCGTTCATATGTTAAGAGAAATTCATGAGAGGACCAGGATGAGAGGACCAGGGGAATCACCTCGTGCTCCTGTTCCTGCTGGTAATGAACAGCCCATATTGTGAGGGTTGACACGAAGAGGGAGGCGAAAAGGGTTGCCTTGGCTGCTCGCGACATAGGCCAAGCCTTGTCTTTTCCAAACTGGCACAGGCAATACTGGTCTGTGCTAGCTCAGCGTCGGGGAGAAATGGGGCAGAACAGAGAGCTCCTTCGGCGCCCTGTCATCGTCAGAGTCGGTGACTGCCGAGCCCTAACCTTATACTACTCGGTGTATGTGGGACCTTCGTTTGAGTGATCCATTTTTTTGTAAGTTGTATGGACTTGTAGAAGATGAGATATGGGAGCATTGAATATTCAATGCTACTCATTTGGGTGCCGAATCCTTTCCATGTGCGACACCCCGATGGTAGATCGGGCATGAAGCGTGAGCGCGTTGTTGATGCTTGATGACGCGTCAAATCAATGCCCCAAGTCAGAACTGGCCTCGTACGACTTGGACTCAACCACCTCATCATGTCTGCCGGCTCGTCAGCGACGTCTAATGGTCAGTTGCGCAATCGAAATGGTGATGCGCAACCCGCCAAGATCACTCCCACTGACGAGGGTAAGAAAGCCGACGAGCTCCTGGACAAACATGACACGTAACTATTCTTTTGCATCGGGATGTTTCAATAGGCTGACTGAACGTTCTACTTATAGTTTTGAGTTCGGAGGTCCTTGGGGTGTCACAGCCATGATGGTCGGGTTTCCCATGCTGATGTACTACCTATGGATCTGCCTCTGGTTTTATGACGGGCAACTTGTCTTCCCCAAGTCAGTTGATGGGATCCACCCATTCCTTCACGAGATGTGGACCCATGTTCGAGACGTGAGCCCATGAATCTGAAGATTCAGACAGCGTGCTCAATTGATGTGCAGGATGCCAACCCCAACGTGTATGCCTGGAAAGTCTATAGCGGACTTATTTTCTACCAGCTCTTTTTGGCTTGGGTCATGCCCGGATACCAGCAAGAGGGCCTTCCAGTCCCTTCGCTCGGATACAAGACTCTCATGTACAACTGCAATGCCCTTTGGTCCATTTATGCTACCATGATAACGGCTGCTGCTCTTCACTACTATCACATATTCCGCCTGACCGAAATCATCGACAACTATGGCCACATTATGACTGTGGCAATGATTTGGGGCTTCGCTGTATCTTTTGGCACGTACTTCTGGGCCGTTGCAAGGGGAGAGCAGATGAGGATGTCTGGGAACTTCATATATGATGTGTTCATGGGTGCCGCACTCAATCCCCGTATTGGCCCAATTGACCTAAAGATGTGGGCCGAGGTTCGTATTCCTTGGGTTATAGTCTTTTTCCTGGCTATTTCCGGCGCGTGTAAGCAGTACGAGCAATACGGTTACGTCACTCCTGTGCGTTCATTGTTCTATGTTCAAGGCATCTGTGCTCATGCGCGATCGTAGAACATGGCCTTCATGTGTCTGGCTACTTGGTTTTACCTTAACGCATGGTAAGCCTTGGGAATCTGTTCAATGTCTACTCATGCTCATTGGCGTACAGTGGTAAGGGCGAGGAGTGTATTCCTCAGACCTGGGACATGTACCACGAAAAGTAGTTATGCCTACCAGCATCTGCTTCTCATGTGCTGACCGACTCGACAGATGGGGATTTATGGTCATCTTTTGGAACTTTGCTGGCGTCCCTTTCGTATGCGTATATTCCTCTTGTTGCTCATATTGACCCTACTGACATCGGCCCTCCCAGACCTACGTCTACTCTGTCGTCTATATGGCTTCACATGATCCCTCAAAATACCAATTCTCCACTCCGGTGTACGTTGCCCTGTATTCGACTCTTTGCACGGCATACTATATGTAAGGTTAAAGTTTTCATTACTAGTATTGTGTCTTATTTCGGTTATAGATGGGATACAGCCATGTCTCAGAAGAGTCGCTTCAAAATGCAAACGCAGGGTAATTTCAAGTATCGGTGGACGTTCCCTCAACTCCCGTGGGGTACAATCGAAAATCCTGAATATATCCAGACGGCCCATGGGTGTGTCGCCTTCGATAGGCCCCCAGCATAGTAGCATCTGACTTATATCTTGAATAGAAACCGCCTGCTCATCAGTGGATGGTGGCGATACTCCCGCAAGCCTGTGAGTTTATCCGCTTGATGCCATCTACTCGTCCTAATTGATCTGTGCAGAATTACGTGGCAGATTGGGTTCAGAGCTTCACTTGGGGACTCGTCGTCGGTAATGCCTCTCCCATCCCATACTTCTACTCTGTGTTCTTCATCACTGTGCTCGTGCATCGTTGTGGCCGTGACTTCGAGAGGTACGTCTGTTGCCTGTACCTGCGCCTTGACTACTTGTTGAACTTTTACAGATGCGCAAAGAAGTATGGCAAGGATTGGGAGCGGTACTGCGCGATCGTCAAGTACAAGTTTATTCCTGGAATCTATTGATTGCTACAGATACTCGAATACCTTGATAACCACTGCCTGTTTGCTACCCATCACTCTACATTATGGGTGTCTTCATGAAGACAGCAATTCATCAGATTATATCAAGACATGGACAGGCACAACCGGAGAGAGGTGGGAACATTGAGAGGTACGCAATAAGATGTAGGAAAATAGATTCTCAAAAGCGGTACTTGTTCTCCGCTGTTGACCTGTTACAGAAAACACATTTTCTGTGTGAAGCTGCCCCATCGCTGTGGTAGAGGTGTCTAAATTGTTAGCATCGACACTCGTCGGTGATTAAGCTGTGCTTGTGAGAAGTTTGACGACGCCTGCGATGCCGTACGCACTCGTACGCAGCATTATCCCTCGTAGTCCTTCCTAGACACATGTTTGCTACCACAGAATGGCATGTCCTTGTAAACTGCATGCACCGGATGTAAACAAGTTTTTGGTGAAGCGTTGTCAGCCGGCATGAACGTATTTCTCTACGTATTCTAGATGTCATTAGTGAGGACAGAGAATATGTATTGGAAGAAAAACGCGCACTGTAAGGACGATTGACCTCCTGAAGCTATCTCGGTTCTCACGGGTGTCACTCAGATCGATGTGCGTTAGTAGCAGCTACAAGAAATGCCATGAATTGCGAGTCCAATAATGGGGAAGAAGTCGTTACGCGTGACTCGTCATAAGTAGAAATGGATTAATAAGAGTAAATTACGGTGGTTGTGGAGACATGGGAGACCCCAAGATCATTCCAACGGCATACTTTCGACTGCTTCAACGAGGGACGCCCAGTCGGCTGCGACGCCTTCCGCGTATTCCTGCTCTTCGCCCGCGAACGTCTGGACTAGATGAGTCAGCAGCGTGTTCTCGCGGTTGTGCAGCACGACACGGAGCTCGTGCCACATACTATGAGTTTTCAGTAGGTTGTCGGTAGGAAAATAAAGTAAAATAAGACGCACCAGGCACGGATGAACATCCGTCTATTCAGCTGTGCAGCGATAGTCGCCTTGTCCTTCTCGACAATCCCAGCCAGTTTATCTGCCTCATCTTGCCAGCCTTCTTTCTTAACCGCATGGACGCCTTCGAGCTTCAAAGATGTTTTCTCTACCCGCTTCTTCAGCCGCTCGACCTGGTCTACCGATAGTCGGTCATGTCGAATGAAGAGGTCGCGCATGCCAATGTACAGGTCTCGTTGACTCTGCAAAAAGTGAATATATTATATAAGTGTCAAGGTCTAGAGGTGTGGAACTCACTTTGAGGCCTTCCAAAGTCGTGTACAAGAGCCGTTGTGTCTGTCCACTGTGTTGAGTTAAGAATCGCAATGAGAAGCGAAAACAACGTACCCGCTGTTCTAAAATATCTGCCTGTCGCTGCGTGTGTTCTGATATCTTCCTGACCCCTTGCTTGACACCCTCTGAAAGCTCACAATCTTCTCCTCTCCAACACTGCCCATTTACTTCGACTAAAGCTTTCAGAGTATTTGTTAATCGTGACAAGTCAGCCTGCATCCCAGAGGCAGGACCCGCGGAAGGTGCACCCCCGGCGCCAACACCAGAGGGAAAAGTAGCAAATATTGAGCCGCCAGATGTAAGTGAAACAGCAGATAAAGAGGGGTCACGGGAATCGGTGGAATCGAGGAAAGGAGAGGAGAAGAGGGGGAACGCGAAGTGAGTCGGTAGATATGTGCGCCGGAGGGCTGGAGGAGTTCGTACCGCTTCTGCCTCGCGCTTCCTGATGATACGTTCTACAAGAATCCCTATCTTCTGCCATGCTTCGATCAAAGGGCTTATCTTGCCCCGCACGTTGCTGCCACGAGAACAAAATTAGGAATTAAGAATAGTGACGGACGAGTAAATGATAGATCTGAAACAAACCCAAGCTTATCTTCCAGATCGCTGGGAATGGACATCTCCTCGACACGATCGACACGTTTGCTCGTAGACTCTTCCTCTAATGAAATGGAGGAATATTTGCGCCATTGTTCGAAAGACGGTTCGGCGAGAAAGACCGCAAGTAGCCCATCGTCTTTGATCACGGGGTGGTTGCTGCAAATTCCATGACTTGAGACCCACGGTTCGCTGTCTAAGAGCGGAAGGGAGCTCACATTACAAAGGTAAGGAATCTTTGAAGTCCTTTTCTGCAACGTATGTCAGTAACCTGATAATGAACAGGAAGATTTTTATACCTTCGCTGTTCCAAGAAGTTCTCATCCGCTGAAACCAAGTGTAAGAATGAAGAGGCATATAACGAAGGTTGGTTGAGAACTTACGACCAATTCGTTTGGGAGGCAGTTGGGGTATCAAACGGAAGGGATAGCGGTGTATGAGGCAATCCCACAAGACGGTGAATTCTGAGTATCTGCGAGATACCGGCGGACCACGCTGTGTATATGATCCTGAGCACACCAAACCTTTGAAGGGGAGATAGAAATGCTCACATCTGTGAGAACCTCATATACAATATATCGATTGAGGATGAAGCCCTGCTGACCCAGGAATTTGACCGTGACATTTTCCTGCTTCCTCCACCAGTCTTTGGGCATCCCTGTCCCCGATACGCTGGATGGCATGCCGTTCGCCACACTCCCCTGAGCCGCGTCTATCGCCCCGGTCCCGCTAGGCGCAAACCGCGAATTCCAAGGGTCATCCGAGGAGTACGCAGGAGCAGGGGCTCGAGCAGTGACATCGATGTTTGATTTGTTATATACGAAAGCTGAAGGGGCTGCAGTCAAGGCAGAGAGGTCGAGACTTGGCTCAGGGAGATCATTCTGCTGGGCCAGTGCAGCAACTTGTTCGACGCTGACATCTGTGACATGTCTCTTTAGTGATGCAGGATACCGAAGACAATGTGAACAATACCTTTGCCAGATTGTGCTAGTGCAACCAACGCTAGAGCGACGAAAAATTCGAGTTTAGAGACACGGGGTCGTGTGCTGACGAGGTTGACAATCTGCAAAGCGCGCGTGCATGTGAACATCCATTGAAAATCCCCCCCAAACCAACACGCACCTTGTCAATAATCCCTGCTGGAAGCCCTGATGTCCCTAACACGCGTGACAGAGAGTTCACAGATGTCTCGCCAGAATTGGTAGGGTCGACGATGCTGAACGACTGATGGTATATCGAGGGCACAGTGGCGTCTGCTACACACAAGACTCAACGTCAACGCGACCGGTTATGAGGTTCGACAAACACACCGATGGCAGATGTAAAGATCGATGTCACTGCAGGCGGCGACGGACTGGGTGCAGCACTCCAAGGGTCGAGTCCGTCGTACACTGAGACTGCAAGGGGGTTCTCGTCTACGAAGCTGCCACCGAAGTTGGTTGATGAAGACACGCCATAAGCTTGCGTCGGCCTGGGTGCGTTGAACATCGTCGACCGTGATTAGAGGTCGAGGCAGACAGTGGGCAGTAGCTCAGTGTCGAGACGTCGGCCGTTGAGAGTTGAGGCCGTTGAGAGTTGAGGCCGTTGAGGGAGCGCGTAGGTAACAAACCATTCACGCGTGCGCATGTGTAGACCAGGCTTCCATTGACAGATGCTTACTACTAAGCACTTAATATTGGTACATGTCGAGATGGCGCATATCCTTCATCTTAAAGCCACAGAACTGGGTATGTATTAGGAGCTAAAGCGCTAACCATTCGCGAGACGACAACAGGCATTCGATATGAGATTACATTTTGAGAGAAAGCAGATCAACATCTAGTCCAAAGGCATATCTTCGACTCGACCTCCAGGATCAAGTCAGGCTTCCGCTGTCACTTTCGCAGCAAAATGCAAGGTCCAAGAGGAGAGCAAACGCTTTGCGTTCACTGTCTCTCCGTCCAACCTGCACGCGCAGTACAAATCAGAATCATCGGCCCATCCGTTAGACTAGGAAGCACTCACCCTGGTGTACCATAGGTCAATGGGGCTATATAGACTAGAGCGACAATCATCAATGCTGAGAAACCTGCAACGACGATCGGAGTCTTGATTCCGAGGTCCGCCCATTGTCGCTCCTTCCTTTCGGTGAACGGCCCACGGATCGAAACTGGATAATTGATGGTCTCCGACAGAAGGAAGTTGAGCACTGCACCTGCAACGAGGGCAGATGCAAGGTGTGAGGGAAGATAGTGGTGAATGAAAAGTTGACGGTTCATTAGGAAGAATGGGAAGTAATGCATGAACCAGATGAGCATAAAGAATCCAGCTGAAGACCAGAGGCGGTTGCGAACAGCTAGCCAGCAAACTATTAGATGGACTATATAGATGTAGACACCAAATGTGAGCTCACGGGTAGGCATAACTTCAATTCCTCTTCTGCGTGCGAGTAGATCTCCGCCAAGAATGCCGATGTATATAGACAATGCAATCGCACATGTCCACCAACCAACGATGTTCCCAATGAGATATATCTGCTTTTGCTCTGTGCTTTCCGTCCAGAAGCTGATACCGCTCAACAAAAACGGCCAGTTGATTGGGCTACTGGCGTAGGGATGCGAAGCGGTCAGTCCAGCGTTATGTTGCAGCATCAACATCTGCAGCTCCACGAATTTCTTGAAGAAGTTCATCTTCTTAGGCTCTTTGTTGTGAACTTCGCCCGTTCGGTGCAAAAGGTCCTCTGGGTCTGCATTTTCCCATCACCACTTAGTAAACAACACTCATCATAGACTAAAATGACTGACCCTGTGAGGCGACAATCTCGTCAACGTACCAAATAGCCGTCTTCTCCAGCGGATTCTTGGCCCCGTTCACTTCCTGCTGCATGAATGCCCACTCGGGTAACTGTTCCCTATGTGTCCAAAGCGATACCTTGGTGGGCAGATGGATCAGCCTGAAGTGTCCACTCTTGCTCTTCCATGCCTCGCCCTCATGTCCACCAGTAAGGGCCAGATGAAAAAGGGTGTCGTTGTATCTAGAATGGTCGTCCTTAGGCCACGTCGTAACTTCTTGGTTTGTAGGCATCAAAGGAGATGCAACATCGTGAGTGAGTAAAACAGTTCCTGTACTAATGTGCAGGAGCTGAATAACATCGTCGTGGCGCACGATCCTCCCGCGGCCAGTATCAGGAAGGGCCTTGGTGGGGATAATCGCCCATTGGTTGTTGTCGTCAGCATGTCCGTACCCTGTTACCTGTTGGCCTATGCGATTGTCAGTATCGTCTGTGACTGTTTCAAAATGCTTGCGTACCTTGGCTGCTGATACGACCATCATCATATCTCAGTGGGTAGCGTTCAAGGTGCGAGTGTAAGAAAACTTTCGTTTCCTTGTGTCGTATAGTGATGGTGTCGAAGTAACGAATTTCTGTTTCCCATACACGTTAAGGGTAATACCGATGCAATGGTCTGCCTACATACCTTGGCTGTTTAAAAGAAGTTCATTCCCACTCAGAGTTTCTTGGAATGCAGGACTCATGAATGTGTCGCCAGTGCCCGAATGCGTGAGAATAGCAAAGTGCACGTAGAAGAATGAGAGATAAACAATGAGAGGTACGACGATCAAGCCAACGGCGCGGGCAGCAAAGTGTTGCCAAAAGTAATCCATTTTGGGGTTCTTCTTGACATCGAGGATATCCCATAGGTCAACAAGAACTGCAGCACCAATTGCAGTTACCGTGAGAATGCCGTTGACTTTGGAGCCCCATGTACAAGCCATGAAAACTCCTGTCGCAACCAGCCAGCCCCACCACTGGGGAGTGAAATAGCTATAATAACGTTAGCATCAGTCCGATATCATACTTGGAAGTCTATTCTGTTGTCACCCCAGAAAGGTCGTGGTGCACGGACAACGAAAGAATGAACGCACTGGTATCGGAGCTTCCGAAAGCGAACATAAGAGTAGATGGTCAATGACATGAAGAAGATGAGCGTTGCGTCCAATAGAATCAGTCGAGATTGTGCGATGTGTGCGTTGTCTATAAAAAGACATTAGGACATAGAGATACATCGGAAGTAAAGCTCACCAAACAGGATAATGATGGCTGAGAACGCGGCAATTATAGTGGAGTATCCGCTCTCCTTCATGATGGCATATACAACTGGGACAGTAAGGCTACCCAGAATAGCTGGGAGCGCGCGCATTCCAACATAAGGCACGTGGTTTTCAGTATAGCTGTCGCCAATGTTCTCGAATGTGAAGTGCCCATCGAAACCAACAAACCACCCGGCGAGTGCGAAGAGAAGCTTGGCGAAAGGAGGGTGTACGTCGAAGTAGTATTCTCTGAGGAGGTAGTATGATGCAAATTTGCCAAAGTGCACTTCGTCGAACCTAAAGAAATTGGTTGTGACATTAAATTAGCATGAGGAAAGGCTCACACTCACACTACCTGATCAGGGTGGTTGATTCGGTAGAAGCGCAGAGCAAATGCGAGAGCGGTAAGCACCCCGACAGTTATCGCGCTCGCTTTAGGACTCTCGAGTGTCTTGTCCAAAGGATTGCGCTGATTTGTTTCCGAAGGAGGCAGTGAAGCGTGAGCGCCTTCACGCTGGAACAAAAAGGACACATACACGTATGGGCGTCTTCGAACCCTCAACTATATATTCATCTTCATCAGGGTCACCAGAAAAGACTGCGGATGAGACACGTCCTTGTGGTTTGCGATTTCGGAGACTGCTTGGTGGAACGACTGGGACGCCAGCCATGACGGTGGAAGAGAGGAAGATGAGACAGATCCGAACTGAACTTGCCAGCGTACAAGGCGCTGCGGCACGTGTCTCATTGTTTGGATCAGAGGCTCTTGCCAAACAACCGTCCGCCTTTCCATGCGTAATAATTGACACATTCTGTGTTTCCCAACAGCTGCAAAATGCCAGAACTCACGCTCGATACACTGGTCGACGATGGAAACTATTTGGGCTCTGAACGCGCGAGGATCGAGAACAAAGTCATCCTCGATGAATTGGAGCGCAAGAAGAAGGCTAGGAGCATGGCCGTCCCAACCGATGACAATCGGGTAAAAGCGCGCCTGCGAGAGATTGGAGAGCCTATCACATTATTCGGTGAACGAGTATGTGCTTCTAAATGCCTGTACACGGATCACCCCTCATACCTCTTCATCATAGGCTGCAGATCGACGTGACCGTTTGATCTATGTACTGTCTCAAATTAATGCTGCACGAGGGGATGACGCCATGCAAGTGGACGAGGAGTCTTCAGATGACAGTGAAGAAGAGGTTAGAATCAAGGCCTATATTCTACCTCTCATATTCACTCAAGGCTGCGGCACGCCAGGTAGAAGAATTCTACTCACCGGGCTCACTTGAGTTGTTGGAATCACGGCGGAGATTGGCCGAGTTCTCTCTCCCTAGGTTGGGCTTTCGCTATTACCCTGCTATGATGGTGAACTAAGAAAGGTGCTTACTGCTTTGTTATTTTTTCGTCTGTTTCTCTGTGCAGAGCTCAAAAGCGAATCGCTCAGCAGCGGTTAGACAGCAAGATACCTCTTGGTCGGATTATAGACATCCGAAAACATGTGTTCGCAGATGTCAAGGTAATATTTTTCCGTGTCCAACGAACTTCAACTCACATTATGCAGAGCTTCTCAAATCTTGGCTCTCAAATTGGCGATGAACGCCCTATATCACTTGTGCGCTTCTCACCAAATAGCGAGATCCTCGCCACAGCCAGTTGGTCAGGATCTCTTAAGTTGTGGAATACTCCAGCATGTACACCGATACGGACATTGCGAGGCCAGTGCGGTCATCTATGACGAGCTCAGCGACGCCTAACTTATCATATTTTCCAGGGCACAGTGATCGCGTAGGTGGTGTAGCATGGCATCCTAGAGCCACCCTATCTCAAAGTGCAGATGCAGTCAATCTCGTAAGTGGTGCTGGGGATACGTGCGTCAACTTTTGGTCACTCAACAGGTTCGTTGCCTCCTCGTCGCTCGCACGTCAAGATCTGATTGTCTCTCAAGCGAGACACCATTATCAGTCATGAAAGGTCACCAAGATCGGATATGTCGTGTCGCTTTTCATCCTTCCGGTGACTACGTAGCCAGCGCTAGTTTCGACACAACATGGCGGCTATGGGATGTAGCGACCTCGAAAGAGCTGCTGCTCCAGGAAGGACATTCGAAGGAGGTATATACAGTGGAGTTTCAAGATGATGGTGCTTTAGTTGCTTCTGCGTGCGTAAAAAATACATTCCAGCCATTGAATATATGTTCATTTTGTTTTTTCCATAGTGGGTTGGATGCAATTGGACGTGTGTGGGACCTGCGAACAGGGCGCACAGCAATGGTTCTAGATGGCCACGTCCAAGGCATACTTTCTCTTAGTTTCTCACCCAATGGGCACGTAATTCTCTTTCCTATCTCCGCCCATTGCTACTTATTAGATATGACACATTAGCTACCAAATCGCTACCGGCGCATCGGACGACACGATTCGAATATGGGACATGCGTTCGCTCAATGCCCTGTATACGATACCCGCACATTTGAACAACGTATCCGACGTCCGCTTCTTCCGCTCCGACGGCACCCTACCTCTACACATCGCTTCTCAGGCCTCGCCCACTCCAGATGTCTCGATGGACAGCGCCGATACTTCCGATGTTAAAGAGGAATCTGTGACTCCTGCACCGACACCAGCCCCGAATGCAACACAAGACAAGGCCGCGTTGACCCAAGAATGGCAATACCGCTCTGGCTTGTATTTGGCCAGCGCAGGATATGACGGTGTTGTCAAACTTTGGAGTGCGGACGATTGGCAGCTTCTTGCTACTTTGCAGACGGATGGCAGCAAAGTGATGTCTGTCGATCTCTCAAGCGATGCGAAGCTGCTTGCTTCAGGAACGTATAATCGGAACTTTCAATTGTTTTCGCCAGAGAGCGCGTTGTAGTAAGTAGCTGCTCTCGAGCTAACTCTAGAATGCCCCAAACATCAGCATCGTTGTGTGCACCAGTATATATGATGATATCATGGAATTCAAAGAAACCATGGCGTTCCTCAGTCCAGCGTTAATAATACAAGCGAACAGCGAAAGTCTGAGCTTGGAGCAAATGCGAGGATGCGAAGAACGAAAGCTAGATTACACCATCCCGAACCTGCGCATCGCGGAAACCGCATAAGCTGGTGAGCACAAATATGGGTAAAGAAGCCACTTTACTTTCTGCATAAACCCGGATACACGACCGATGTCCACAAATTGGGTCTCACTCTCTACAGCAATGACAAGGTCGTCAAGCATCTAAAACAAAGCAGCGGTGTTCTAGCGTGTGTCGACGAACACTATTCTGGAGTTGCTCACCTCTTCAACCTTGTCGACGGGTACGTTCGTGCACAAAGCGACGATCTTCTTACACTGGAATTCTCTCTCCGCACTCGCACCGTGTAGACTTTTCAGTCGTTCCTCCATCAACTTCTCCATCCGTACGTGCCACATCTTCAGTCGCCTCAGCCTGATCAGACTCGCCATGCTATCAGACAACGGTATTGTTGGCTCTACGTCCAGATTGAACGATACGTCGACCAAGCCGCCAAGTCCAGCCATGGTCGAGTTCTGTCCACGCCATTGGAACGCGGGACCCGCGGACTGCTTCGCATCGTTGCCGTTGAGATCTGTGCGTCCCGTCCAGTCGAATCGGTCTTCGTCTGCAAGTGCTTGTTGAACATTGCGAATACGCTGGTTGATCTGGTCAAGTTCGCCGCAGCGGACTTGCCAAACCTGGATCAGCTTGCGTTGCTCAGAAAGCTGGCGGGTCGCCGCCCGCAAGTGTGCTTGTGTAACGTCTAGAGCATCCTGCTTGCTCTTCACCTCGGCAGAGAATTCGGTACTTAGGGTTTGAATCATTGCCGTCATGTCTGGAGCACAGCATAGGGTTCTTCAATTCAGTTTACATTAGCGATCACGTACAGTCACGTACCAGCAATTACATCCTGGCTCTTTTGCACAGGCACAGACGGCCCAGATCGTAAAGACGATATGAGATCTTCCACGCGCGGCCCCCCCAATTCCTGAAAATACAAACCCATAAGTGTTTCGTCACATGTAGCCATTACTGAATAGGTCAGACCTCATTCTCGACCCCAAAATCGCCTGGCCGCAAGCCGAGCTTATTTGGAAGAATCCTGTTAGCACCGACGTCTAGGAGCGTTCGTACCAGACTGCGGTTCCCAACTCGGGCGGCAATATTCAATGCCGTATCTCCGTGCTCATCCTGCAGATCGACGATAGATCTGAAGTCACCATCAAGCTTATTCACAATACACACGAAGATCTGGTCCAGATAGTAACGCGCGACGACGGCTCTGTTTTTGACGCCAGCGAGCGCCATGACATGATGGAGGACGGACTTGCGTGAGGTATCCAGTGTATGGATGGACGATTGCAGTGTCTCGACCAAAGAAGCGAAGGACTGCTGGTTGAAATTCTCTAAAGCAAGGCAGGCCCTGATCAGCGGTGTCTCCCCGTTATAGTTCCCTCTATGGATATCAGCTCCGCTGTCAATCAGAGCAGCGACCGTCCTCAGTCGCCCCAAGCTAGCTGCGACATGAAGAGCGGTGTGACCGAGGTCATCTAACACGACATCAACACCAACATGGTTGTCCAGAGGAATCTCTCGTAGCAAGTCCAGGACAGTGTTAGGATCGTCTTGCTGACAGATGGCCGTCAAAATGGAAGCGCGTCTAAAGTCCTTAAGAGGAGCAGTGATATCCATGCTCCTTGGCCCCACGGGTTTGGAAGCAAAGCGGTTTGTATGGTCACCCGGTTCAGTCACGCTATCGGGTTGCTGTCTACTCAGCATCTGCAATACGCCATCGTGATGATTGATCCCATTGGTCGGTTGTGGGGTTGATGTCTGCGCACGAGATGCTGGACGTGTGGATGGTATGGTTGGAATTGTCTGTGACTGAGATTGCGACTGAACTGAGACAGGTATTTGTGGCTGAGTACCTGTCCGTTGAATAGTTTGTATCTGTTCAAGATGGGGAGGCTCTGTGCGAGCGCGTTTAGCGGGGGAAGGGCCGTCTTCGCCATTAAGCTGCATAACGGGCGCGGCTGAGGAAGGACGAATGAAATCTGTCATCTGTATGTCTGGAGAGGCAGCCAACGCCGGAAGAGCTGGTTGTGACCCCGGTCGGGTCCCAACAAGAATGTTATACATATCTTGCGGGTCCTGCATATCCCCTTCAGTGGCGGATCGCGTACGTTTCATGGATTGAAAGGCTGTTGGAGCTGGCGCGACACCTGGTCGTAGCGCGGGTGATTGAGGGTGCATTCCTCCCGGTGAAGGATACGTAGCAAGGTGAGATTGGTGTAAGGAGGAGGAAGAAGGCGTGAAAAGGCCTTGAGCACGACCTTGGTTTAAGAGGCGGAGAGCCGAACCAGGCATGATAGGAGCTGACGGAAGGGATGTTGGTAAGAAGCCCCCAGCATTCCCAAGACTCGAAAAAGACGACGAAGCGGAGAGGGGTGCAGGAGATCCTGTACCACCGGGATGCGGTAAAGTCCCAGGGAGAGAGCCCATGGCGGCTGAACTAGGCATGAAATCAAACAAAGGCGCGAGGAGATGCGCGACGCCATACTGGACGGCAATGTCGCGGCCTCTATCGAGGGGGATCCTGGAGCAGTCTCATAAAAATAATGTATGCAAGTTTTCTGTGGATGAAGTCTACCATGTTCCTTGATATTTTCCATAGCCGCCCTGCACGATCTCATGTTTCCCAGGTAGAATCTCCTTCTCTAAGATCTTGGTGCGGCGGCCCTTATCAACGCCAGCGACCTTAAGAATTTGTGTTGCATTGACGTAGGAGTCGGCTCGTCTCCTCATAACAGCAATACCTCGAACCATACACTCGTACACCTAACGTACACGCGACGCGACCGCGTTTCGTATGAGACTGAGTCATCAAGTGCAGAGAGATGGACCTGCCTGAACAGACGAATAGACGGCATTGTATATTTTGACGGGGGCGGGTGGCCCGACAACGCGTGGTGCAGCTTGCATGAAGCCGGAATGCTGACGGAGGACGACAAGGAGCGGCACAGCTGCCAGCCTCCGACGCGTGATACAGTGGCGACGCGTGAGTGCGGAGTTCCAACGGCGTAGACGTCGGTCAGAACGGCCAGCCGCTTCATATTGCCCGCCATCCTTGCGCCCCCAACGGCTTCACCCTCTCAACGTATATGACAATACCCCCTCAATCATGTCTTTGGCTCAAAGAGAACATGAGCCTCTGCTTCGCCCGGAGGATATCGACTCCACCGCGGTTTATCCCATCATACATATGATCAGAGCGGTAAGGAGTATTTTGTCGAGAAGTAGTATCTAAGTAGCCAACCGACTCAACCGATTTTCAGGATATCATGGTACATCTCACCTGTCTTCTCCTCAAATGTGGATATTAAACTTGGCGCACATTGCTCCCAGCACTTCATTGGTGCGTGAAGCACAACTCTGGTTCTTGCGATTGGAATTCACGTTGCGATTCAGACACGCCGCTGACTTACGAGGCTGTCAGTGATACTTCATGTTCCTCCTTCTTCAACTGACCTTCATTTAGCTGACTTCTCCTGATCTAACCTACACTCTCATCCACCCCCTCGCAGAGAAGTACATCAACTTGCAGCGGGCTGGTAACATGTCCATTGTGTTCTGTCTCCTCCTCAACCGCGTACACTTTGTTCGCGACAAGGGTCTCACAACTGCTAGTCTCTCGCGCACTCGCGCTAGCCTCTGCGAGATTTTGGCTATCCGTAGTATGAGAGACTATGGTGACCATTTACTCGACCTGGCTCTTGTCGCGACGACTAGTTGGCCTGTTTACGCTGGTGCTGACCCGGACGTGCTTGCGAGAGCACAAGAAGACAATGATAATCTAGAGGACCGAGTTGGCAATGCCATCGAAATGGCTATTCTCAGCAAAGCCAAGGGCTTCATCAAAAGCACACCATGTCAAAAGGTCATTGACGCCATCTGGAGGTTCGTGGTCTCGGTTTTTTTCTGCCAGCTATACACCAATACGCTTTCAGTGGCAAATGTGTCTATCAGGCTGACAGTAGTCATTCGATTCTCTCGGATGTATGTTTTTGTTCTTGCAAGTCTCGTTCTCCTGTTCATGAATCATCGTGTATAGACGTACAAGCGTAATCCCATACACTTTTACAACCCTCACAAAGCTCCACTCTTGGATCATTACCGGTTCGTGGCAGTGTCCTCGACAAGAATACGCCAGTGATAGGAGTTGATTATCATTCAGTCTGAAAGTTCCTGCTGTCCGTTCTGTGTTAGAATACATCAAGTATGTAGCTCTATCTTGTTATATTTGATCGATCGCTGACCACCAACGGACCAGCTTCTTAGGCTTGTTTATATTTTTCATCTTAGCTATTGAACTTAATGAACTCGATCGACTCAATATATGGGAGGTGATCTTTATGATCTACTCACTTGGGTTTTCCTTGGAGAAAGTTGCCGCTATGCAGGAGCATGGTATAAAAGGTTTCGTGTTGAGACTTTGCACTCCTCATTCTAGTCCTAATACAAGATGTCAAATGCAGTGTACTTTACAGGAACTTGGGTTAGTGGCATGGTCAAATTCTCCCAGTGTTTTGCTTGAATGTGTTTACAGAATGGTTTCGATGTGGCCTTTGGTCAGGAAATAGCATGCCTCTCTTGAAATCTCGTCTGAACCTCACATCTCACACAGTCACAATATACTGGACATATGCGATTCTCCGTATCTACGGAATTTCACATCCCAGTGAGGCTTTCGATCCCTTGGCCTCATTGCCTCCACGTTTTCATGCCATTGCTAGGTGTCTGGGCCCGCGAAACAGGCATTGACTGTCTAGCGTTGATTGCGTGTCTAATGTTCCCGCGGTATGCTTCTATTGCTGCGTTGACTGATTGAAAACAATCTTTTTTACAACATCTACAGGCTAGCTTTTGTGACCCTCAAGAACAACCTCATGGTGTTAGCTCTGCGTGCCATGTTCGTCCAGTTCGCCGCGTTGATGTTAATCGCTGCATTCTGTTTCGGCGGGTTCTTGTACGCGCTTTGGACGTACGTTGATCGCTCAGTTGCACACACCCGTTTTTGTGCTGAGAATCCTGTTTCTCAGATTGAGTAGAAATGAAGCAGGGTAGGATTACTTTCTCTCGCGTCCCCATTAGCACCATTGAATCCAAACCGTCTTAGATACACTGCGAGGTACATCGCTCCCCATAACATGCAATGTCTACAGGTTCTCACTCGGACGTGGTTTACTTAGCCAAATAGCCTGGTGGATGCTCGACTTGTGGTTTGGGCTCGATGCCAGCGGGTTTGAGAAAGCATGTGAGTGGCTTGACCAATCTCTGATAACTCTGCAGGCTCATACTCTGCTTCGATAGCTGAGTTTAACAAAGTTTTCGGCCCTCTTCTGATGGTAGCCTACGCATGTCTGAGTAACACATTGTTACTGACCGGTAAGAACAAACGCTTACCAATTGATGAAAACTGATGTCCGAGCTTTTCTTGACTAGTTCTTGTCTCGGTGAGTCCTTGTAGACGGTTTCAGCCGAGTAACATCTCTGACGCGATCTAGATTCTTTCTCATACATTTTCAACGATCAATGATGACGCTGCAGCTGAGGTTCACTCAATTTTATGAGCTTTATACCTTGCTAGGCGCTCACCATTACGAACTTCACTCCAGGTAATGTTTCGACGTGCTGTTTCAACCATCGAAGGGTGCGTTTCGGCGAAGCCCTTTCGATTACATGATTGAATCCCAAACATATAGAGTAAAAGCCGATTCCTTGTTTTCCTATCAACCACCTATCAACCTCTTTGCTCTGTGCGTCATGTTACCGGCCAGCTACCTATTGTCTCCTCGTTGGTTCCACAAAGTGAGCGCTTCCTTCTCTCCGATCCGAGACGAACTGTCTCAACTCGGGATTATTTTAGGTGAACGTGTTCATGATAAGGCCGGTCTCCTGCGTGCTGAACTCAAAACCGTGGCATTGATAACGTTTATTTTTTGTGCAGAGTAACCAGCTTTCCTGTTCTTCTCAGCATCGCATTTTACGAACGACAAGCGAGGAAACGTGGGACTGTGGGGATTGGCGAGACCATGATGGCTATGACAGAAAAGTTTTTTGAGACATTGCCTCGCCAATTCAAGAGATTCAGTAAGACTCACTGCAGCAGTAACCTCGTTCGCTTCTCATTGCCATCTTTTTAAAGCCATTTTCGACGGTTTGGCTGGTGGCGATGCCGATATCGATGCTGTGGGTTCACCCTTTGTTCGACTTGATTGTCACATTGAGGACTTTGCAGATATTCGAGCTAGAAGACGAGTTAGACAGTGCGCTTGACTCGCACGAACATGGTGTCGCACTACCTATGGGCCGGCAGCGGACGATGTCCACAGCCCAATCCCGTCGTCCAAGCGGACACGAGCCGCGTCGCTCCAGTGGCAACGGGCCTCGCTCCCCTCCGCCATTTCCGCGTCAACCCCCCTCTCCGCAGAAAGACGGCCGACAGCAGTCGGACGCCGTGCCTCTCCCTCCCCGACAACGCGTCAACTCCGTACTCAATCGCGGCGCCGAAATGGCACACAATTTCGCCAGCCCGTTGGCGCAGATCTTCCAGCCTCTCGTTCTTGATATGGGCGACGACATGGCCGAAGACGAGCAGCCCCAGGACATGCGCGACGCCATCAGCTATGGACCGGCAACCCGCCGGCGTCTCACCTCCATAGCCAGACGCCCGACCGCGGTTGAGCAACACAGCAGCCCTCATCCACCGCCCGCGACGGCCCTGCGCCGCTTCCCAACCGCAGCTGCGGCGCGTCCACAAAGCCCCTCCTTCGGCACACCGATCTCAGAAAGCCCAGACCAGCATGCCGATACGGGCTCGCCATCGGAGACCGCCGGGCAAGCCGAGGAGAAAGAGTCTACTCTGGGTAATATGAAGTGGATGAAGCGATTGGACGAAATGGATGCGAGGCAGAAACGCATGGAGGAGATGTTGTTGAGGATCGTGAAGGGCCTGAATCCGAAGGCTTGAATGGCTTGTTTGTTCGGCTCCCTCTTGAATCTCGATCTTGATCGATGCACCCTACTCTGTGCACTAAGTTACAGTTTTCAGATAGTGTACGAGTACACAGTTCATATGCGTGCATATACGTGCTGTCGACGCGACAATCATCGTGTGCGTTGATTCGGGGTTTAACCAGGCTTCATTTTCATTCAGGCATGAGACGAGTCACATATTTCTAACAGCGAGGCGCAACTACACGTCGATTCGCACAAACATCAGAATAGAGGCACCGGACGCGGGCATCAGATACCGAATCGCAATGTACCACCCGTACAAATACACATACAAAAGAAAGAAAAAAAAAGAAAACGAGTAAGTTAATAGGTAGGACGCGAAGTTTTTTTCAATTCCAATACGACGGCGCCTCTCCTCTCCTCGAAAAGCGTTCTGGCGATCCTGATCCTACGCCACTCGAACCGCCACGTCCTCGCCCTCGCCTGGACCACCCGCTGTCAGAAGACCGTCGAAAGTCGTCGTTTCCCCTTCCACGGCCACCGCGGGCGCGGACGCGGGGTCCGCGGGGCCCGCGTTCGCTCTGGCCGCCTCGACCGTATGGCGCACCGGGTGGCGGATCACCGTACTGTTCTTGTCGGGGGTGATATGGGCCAGGGTTGAAGGACGGCGGGGGAGGCCCGAGGCTGTTCGGAGGAGGCGCAGATGGATTCCCCGGGGAGTTGGAAGTAAGGAAGCCGGGGATGCTCTGGGGCCAAGGTTGATTTATCGGTTGCTGTGGGTAGGGGGGGAAGTGCGACGGGCCTGGTTGAGGACCAGGGGCAGGAGCAGGAGCGGGTGGGGGCGGGGCGAGGTTGACAGTTTTGCGCAGGGCTTCCATCATTAGCGAGATCTGCTCCGGCGTGAGCGAGGCGACTTCGGCTGCCAAAGTCGCCGGCTCGATGCTTTTCAAGGTCGGGAGGGGAGGTGCGGGGATGGCGGAAGATATCGCTGCTGACAGACTCGCGAGGCCCGGAATGGCGGGACTGGGAGCGTGGGGAAGGAACATCGGCTGTGTGTTGTAGGGAGGAGTGACCCTGGAGAGGGAGGGGAGAGAAAGAGGGAGGGAGAACGGCAATTGCACTGGTGGCGGCTGTTGACTGATCTGTGGTGGAGGTGGCGCAAGCTTGCCCCTGTTCAATACCCAGATGCCTACCATGCAGTCTGTGCTCCGCTCTCTTGGCAGCCGGAGGTGGTCCAGAAGTTCGACATACTCCGGTATGGGATGCGAGGCGAGCAAGGGGATGACGTAGAGCTCCTTTCCCCAGTCCTTTCCTCGTTGTCCCCACGGAAAGATGAGTCCATGCCGACTGCAAAAAAAAAGTGAATAAAGGGCGGCTCTCAGAATGCAAGCGAACATCCACGTACTCTTTATTGATGAGGAACTCGCCGAGCAGCTTGAACCCGTTGTGGTCCGCGTCCGAGCTCGGCGTGAACGCCACAGCGATGTACTCCTTCAACGCGTTCATTCGCGAAGTGACCAGGTACTGCGCCGTATTCTGCACAGGAACGCGGCCTTCGATGCGGAGCGTCTCGGCGGGGAACAGCGTCCGCCACAGTGCAGAGCTCTGCTCGAGCGGCCTGCCACCGATCTGTCGTGCCAAGACGTGTGTCTCCTGAGGGATGGTCGAGTCCAAGGGCATGTTCAGCTGTTCGACAAAGCACGTTAGTACGCCGACACGATTTCAGACAGCACGGGGGAGGGAGCACACGTACCACGCCAGACCACACCTGCGGCAGTGCATCGAACACTTCTTGTGGCGTCGGCGCGACAGGCGCAGGCTTCTCGTCCTCGTCCTTCCCAAGGAACATATCAAAGTCCTGGTCCTGAGGCTCAGCCACGTCCTCCATCCCCTCGACGCTCCCCGGCCCGCCGTCCATCTGCACGTCCCCATCCCTGTGGGGCCCTCCAGCCTGCGACGCGTCCGGCTGCGGCGACGGCGTGAGCGGCCGGGCGGCCGGCTCTTCGGCCTTCGGCGCCGTCCACAGAGCGTTCAGGTCGAACGACGCGCGCGGAGGCATGTCTGGCATGCTCGCGGCGAACGGGGAGATTCCGGTCAATGTAGGTGCGGAGACAAGGCCAGGGACAGTCGCTGGCGGCGACCCCTCCGGGGTGCTCCGGGTTTGCGACGCGGTCGGTGTCGTACCCGACGGCCCGGCGGCGGCGTCCGCCAGCTCGTCGTCCATGTGTATGAGATCGTCCAGATTCAACTCGCCTTCGACGTGCGACTGCGAGAAATCAGGCTCCGCGGGGGAATAAAGCGGGTGCGCAGACATCCCACCCGATCCAGACCCGGGATGGTGGTGGTGGTGGTGTTGGTGGTGCTCGCTCGCCATCCCGTCAAGCGGGAGGGGCGGGGGAGCGCCCCACGTCGCCGATACCGGCGTGTGCACTACCGGGCTCTCTGGTGGGACCGATCCCGATGCCGTCCGCACGGGCGGGCGAGTGGACGGCAGGAGCGGCGGGAGGCCGACGTCGCGCGCGAGATCGACGCTCGAGCCGACGCCCGGATCGTCCACTTCGATGTCCTGCAGGCCCTTGTGCGTGATCTTGGCGCGCGGGAGCACCGCGCGTTGCAGGATCGAGTGCGCGAGCGACTCCTGCTCGGCCTGGCGGATACTCTGCTGCTCCTCTTCCGAGGCGAGGTCGTTGGAGGACATCGACGAGAGCTCCCTGGGCGAGAGGGTGCCGGAGGTGATCCGCTTGTGCAGCGGCACGCGGTTGGCGTGCGGCAAGTTGAACGTGAGCATGCGGAAGCGCTCCCTAGCAGCGACGACGAGCGAGGGTCAGTCATCCCGACGAAGAAAAGGAACAGACAAAGGCACGAAACACCCACTTGTACTTTCCCGCCGCGCTCGCCTTTCCAAACTTGTCGGGCTCCGCGTACGTCTCGAACACGCACCGCTCCAGCTCCGCCGCGTACGCGCGCGCGCGTTCCTCCACGAACGCCGTCTCCTCCTCGTCGAGCTCTTCCGGCGCCTTCTCGACGCCGCCCTCGACCACGGGGTGCCGCTTGAACACGGGAACGAGCACGTCCGCGAGCTTCCCGATGCAGTACTTGCGCGTTGCGTCTTCCCCGGGCGTCGTCGACTCGGATCGCGGCCGCTTCGACGGCGGCGGCGGCGGGTGCGGGCTGCCGGAAGCCCCGGACGGGCGACGCTTCAGCTGCTGGCTCGCGCTGCCCAGCGCGTGCGTGGCTGACGCGGAGCGCGGCGGTACCTGAACATAGGCCCTGGACACTTTGCTCGCGCGCCGCAGCCGGCTCGTCGGCGCGGCGGCCCCCTCCTGCTCTGATTCGGACGAGACGGAAAGGCGGCGGGTGGGCCTCTGCGTTCGCGCGGGTGCGGGGGTGGCGCAGGGGTGGATTGCGATTCGAAGCAGAGGGCGCGTGAGCGAACGGGCTCTGGGCCGGCGCGGAGAGCGGGGGGCGGGGACGGGACGACGTACCTTTCCGGCTGCCTTTGATTTTGCCGACTTGTCTTCCTCCACGTACTCGTCTGCGCTCCCGCCGTCGCCGCCTCCATCGCTCGACGCCTCGGCCTCGGCCACCATCGCCATGCTCTGCTTCTGCTCCTGGGCCTCTTTCTCTTCCACTTTCGATTCCTTTCCGCTGGGGGCGCTCGCGTCCACGGCTTCGAGTGCCTCGGGACCGTCGTAATCCACTACACAAAAAATCAAATAAAAAATAGGAGCCCAAGTCAGCGAACGTCCTCTTGATCATCCATGACGGCGTCCCGCAACAGACTAACAAAAAAAATATAACGAAAATAGCGAAGAAATGTGTCGCGTGCACCGGTGCACAAAAAACAAACTGGTGCTCTTTGCGTCTCTTCCACCTGCAGCGCATGTGCAATCGGCTTATGTTCAAGACGTGCGATGGACGACGTACGACGTGCGACGACGGCCAAACGCACGGCAAGCATAACGAATATTTGCCGCGCGGCCTGCATGCGCACCTGGCATGCCCCTGGCAGGCAGGAAAACATGTCCGGGCGGCTATCACTCATAATATGGGCAAAAAAGCGCCCGAGGCGCGAGGCGGGCGGAGACGGAACGCTCAGCCGTACGTAGGAGGACGATCTTGAGAGACCGACGCGCGCAGGCACACGTGGAGCACCAGCAGACGTTGTTACAAAACGACAGACGCATGGAAGAGTACATAGGTGCCAAAAATAGAAGGGGTACGGAGGAGAGTCGGCTGTGCGGGTGCGGGAGGAGGAGCAGGTGGCTCCGGGAGGAAAGCGGCGATGGCGGGGAAACTTCTGGTACTTACTGACTGTGCGCCTGCCCGTCTGCTCTGAACACTGTGGACAAACGTACACCTCTGTGCGGTCGTGGTCAGCGGTTGACTAAAAACCCCAAACAAGAAAGAAACCCGCGAGACTCACTTATTTCGCTCGCATCTTCCTCGTCGAGGTCAATACACCGGAAATGGAACCTGTGGCATGCCGTCAGTCTCGTCAGCGGCTCTCCGAGCAGCGGGGGCGCGGGGCAGCGTACCAGTCGTCGCACAGCCCGCACTGCACCATCGGCGACCCGTCGTCTGGCCCTTTACACAGACAGTACAACTTCTTCGACTTCGCCCTTGACCTCGTCGCCCGCCCGCGCGTCGCCGCCGTAGTCGTCTTCGCCCTCGTGCGTGCCAGGGCCGCTTGCGTGGTGGTGGCGGCGGCGACATCGGCGGACGTCGATGCGGGGGCCGCAGTGCGCGGGGGTTGCGTTGCGGCGTTCTCCTTGTCTGCGCTGCCGCTCGCAGTGGACGCCTTGCGGAGCCGCGTGCGCAGGGTGCGTGTGGGCGACTCCGCTGCGTCCGCGAGGGGCACGCTTGTCGTCGATAATGATTCTGCGTCCAGCGCCGTGGCGGCCGCGGCGCGTGTCGTCATCGCTGTCGTTGCGGCCGTCGTTGCGTGTACACGGTCAATCCCAGCAAAAAGGGGGTTTTTTCAACGAAAGCGCAAGAGAAAAACCGAGAGAAAAGACAGTCGAGCTGCGAGAACGAGATAACTGTCCTGCGGTGGCCTTGAAAGAAGTGTGCGGAGGCCTGGTCAGTGCGTCGTCGTTGGTCTTGCGTAAACAGCCGGTATCAGAAGTCGCTGTTGCAGGGAAGGGGTATGGATGACTCCCTGGAGACGCCGTTGCGCCGCCGCACATGCGAAATTTAGAGTTGCAGCTCCGCGGGCGGCGCAGCCACCCCGTGGACTTGTTCAGCCACCCTCAGCCACCCTTAGCCACTCCCAGCCGCCCACAGCCACCCGCAACCACATTGCACGGCAATTGGGTCAACAATCTCTCGTCAGCCATCTATAATTGTGGTCTATTAGGGTGCCACAGCCTTTGAAGTTGAATAATATCCTACAGGCCTGAACTCTGAATTTTCTGAACTCTGTTCTCAGTATGTGCAATGTCCCTTTGTAGCCTTCTCACATAATGCAAGCAAAGGCATGCTTACACACTCACACCCACACTTACACCCACACATACTAGATATGCCAATGGAGATTGCTCCCACCCTAATACAGCACTGCCCATCCTCACCAGGCCACAGGCTGGCCCATCATTGATGTGTCCCTAGGCTCTACCCTCTGCTTATCACTTTCTATTCCACCACATCAAGCTTCATGTTTTTGTGCCTTACAACCTGGCCTTATTATGCAGGTACAGACAGATAAGTGCCCTATGGACTCCTATAGTCTGCTCTCTCCTAAGCCAGCAATCTCTGTGTCCTTGTGATGCAGGCTTGTTTGTTCATGCTATTACCAGAGGTAGACACTCCCTATCACCTCCTATTGCCTATTGTAGCATATGGCTCAACATGGCTTATGATGCCTTGACAGGCTCTACTACTATTAGGTTGAAAATCTATTATGTGCACCGATGCATAAGAAGTGTTAAGCCGGCTAGGCTTAGTCGCGTGCACGTGATGCACTAAGAGGGGTTCCCTGGGCTAAAGCTGATTGTGATGGCCCAACGTATAAAGACGACGGCTCGTCTTTGGGCTTGTTCCAAGAAAGGCTGATCTGTATTGATCTTCTCCTCGAAGAGTCGAAGGAGATGCTGGTTGATCACGTGGCGGTGTTTGTCTGGTATGAACAAGTCCTCTCCGATACAACAGATGACTTCAGAGGGTTCCCAATGGATGATTCGATATGCGGCGAGTCCTTGATAGGTTGCAGGCGGTAGAGAATGATAAGAGCAATGAGACGAATCCAGTGCTTTGTCAGACTGAGTATGGTTCTTTAGATCTGACAGAGATCGCAAAGCGTGAGCTGAAGGTAGCCAGACGCCGGGCGCAGTGCTGAGATCAAGATGTATACAAAGTGAACGAGCTGAGACTTCTAAGAAGCTCAGCTCTCCTATATATAGTACATGACTATTTAGGGCGGGACGGACATATGGTCTGTGCTTCTAAACACTAAGTACTATCAACAATTGATGCATGTAAGCCGCAGTCATTGTTCGTACTCCGCGGCTCTTCGATGTAACCATATACAGTAAGTATATCAAATGTCTGTCCGCAGCAATATGCAATCAGGAACCGATCGCGATCGACATCAGTAAGCACTATAAGAAGGAATCATAATATGTAAGCGTTCATGCGTCAGCATGTAAATGGTAACCGGTCCGAGTCCGAGTCATGTGCGTAGCTCATGACCATGTCTTGAGTCACGTGCCTAGACGCGTGTCAAGTCACAGTCCTAGTCATTAATAGTTCAAGTCCGAGGAAACACCTGACCTTCCCTTCTGTCCACGTGCCAAGCACATGTTAGGACGCGGTCCTAACAAGAAGGATCTCTAGGCTATAATTTTACAGTATTGTGTAGCTATAGGCTCTAATGTATAAAGACAATAGATTACCTTTGGACTCTTTGGAGGAATTTGGGGTCATAGTCTGTTAAGCCACTAGGCTTTCTTGTATGAACCAGATGCACTAAGAGGGGCTCCCTAGGCTAAAGTTGATAGTGACAGCCCAACAGATAAAGATGACAGCTCGTCTTTGGGCATTATTCAGAAAGTGTTAATCACTATTGATTCGGTCCTTGAAGAAATAGAGGAGATGCTGGTTAATGAGGTGTCTCTGTTCGTCTGGGATGAACAAGTCTTCACCAATGCAGCAAATGACTTCAGAGGGGTCCCAATGGATGACCTGGTAGGCTGTGAGTCCTTGATCAGTGGCAGGTGGTAGAGAATGAGGAGAGCATTGAGATAAGTCTAGTGCCTTGTCAGACTGAGTATGGTTCTATAGATATGGCAGAGCTCACGAAGCATAGGCTGAAGGGGCCAGACGCCAGGTGTAGTACAGAGATCGAGATGTATACAAAGTGAATAAGCTGATCTTCTAAGAAGCTCAGCTCTCCTATTTATAGTACAAGCTATTTAGGGCCAGATGGAAACATGGTCTGTGCTTCCAAATGCTAAGTAAGCCAGATGATTAGGATCCATAGTCCACAGTTGTAGTCCAACTCTGTGGCTTTTTGATGTAACCATATATAGTAAGTATATCAAATGTCTGTCTGCAGCAATATCAAATGGAACTCGATCATAGTCGACTTTAGTGAGCCACATAGAAAATGAGGGAGTGAGTAGTCATAGTATCATAAGTATTCATGCATCAGCATGTAAATATAAATAGTTCTGAGTCTAAGTCATGTGCAAAGCTCATAACTATGTCCTGAGTCACGTGCCTAGACATGTGTCAAGTCACAGTCCTAGTTGTTAATGTCCAAGTCCTATGAAGTACCTGACCTTCCCTTCTATCCACGTGCAAAGCATGTGTTAGAATGCAGTCCTAACATAGTCTGCCTTGTCCTTAAAGAAATAAAGGAGGTGGTCTTCAAGTTCTTCTCAATAGTATGGAGGAATAAGATGATCCTCTCCTGTCTAACAGATGACATAGAGAGGTGTCCAACTAGAAACTTAGAAGGCTACAAAGCTGGTATAGACAAAGGTAAATAAAGAGAGATAAGAGAAGGAAGATAACATCTGAAAAAACACCCCCTTGTATTAGCTCTGGATTATATCTAATAGTGTCTAAAAGTATCTAAAAGTGTTGATAGCATCTAACAGTGTCTAATTTCCTAATTGGGAGCAACATATTATGAGCACTGGATTGGTTTCTAATTTTATAATATTAGCACTAATTTCATACCAAGAAATCTTTAATTAGCAGTAGGAAATAGTAAGTACTACTGCTCTATCAGTAAGAAGGTAAAGATATAGCACATTCTATACTGTTTCAGCATATTACTCTCCTTCATATATACCTGCACCATTATCTTGTAGCTCTTTTGCTAACTTTCCAGCTGCGTTTACAAGGGATATAGAAAGAGAAATATACATTGATGCCCTAGTTACTTTGTTGGCAGCTTAGCAGCTGCTATAAGAGACTATGAAGACCTCATTACCTTGGCCTTGCATACTATAGGACACAATATGCAGGGTTGGGCTTATGGATGTGCTACATGCAGCCTTGTAGACCTTGTCTATTAGTGCAGTGGTCAATACTGTCTTGTGTAGCACACAATTGTTATTACCATTGATATTATAATTTTTAGCACCATTCACATTGTTTATTGCCTTGTTATATAGAAGATGCTCAAACTTGGTGTTTTTCTCTAGCTATAGGGCTGTGGAAAAGACAGTCATGTTGGTATGTGATGCCAGAATAATATATTTGCTTGTCATGTAGAAAATATGTGTGCCAAGCATATTAAGATTATCTCTAACAATATTGTGCTTATTTATACATAGGCATGCCATATATATACCCTTGTCTATACCCTCTACCTTACTAGTGGCTATTTGGAAAACCCTTCTCTCTTATTAGATCTGAATTATTGATAATTATTAATAATACTAATTTGAGCTAATTATGGCTAATTATTCATAATCATGTTTTTGATCAAATTTTTAAATTAAGGTGTCTATACTAGTAGAGTCTCATTGAATATTACACTCAATCATAGTTTTACACATTCTAAATCCAAATTGTATAAGTGCCATAATTTGTTTTTACCCTATATAAAGTGTACTATTTATTTTCCATTGGTTTATTATCTTTTTAGCTGGTGTTTAAAATAAATCCTAAAAGGTCTAACTTTTTGGGCATTTATTGACCTGTTTATTTATTAGATAGAAGAACAATGAATGTTGAATAAAATTAAAGATGCTGAGATTGCCTATATTATGTCTACTTATTTAGATTACCAAGTTATTATATTAGACCTTGTGGCTTAGTGGTTGAGAGCATCTGTCCCGGGTGCTTATATACATGAGGTTGTTGGTTCAACTCTGGCAGAAGGCAAGTTTGTTATAAGGTATATTCTGTGTTTAGGTATTTAATTAGTGTTCTAATAAACATGACTCTATAAGAAGGCTATGAGAACTATAATGCTTGATATATTACTATTTTTCCGAAACTTCAAGTTATAATCAATCCCAATAATTCCTAATTTAGGAAAATTATGTCTAATTAGAACAGGTTTAGGGGGGGGGGGGGGGGGGGGGGGGGGGTAAGCTAAAAATATCTAATCTTAATCTTTTATAATTTATTATAGCAGAGCATCAATTATAGCTAATTAGAGCTTAATACAAGGGAGTGGTTTTCTAGATGGTAAAGGCCCGATAAGTCATAATCATAACACACTGACACATAGGCCCATTATTAGATTACTGATACTTACTTATAAGAGGCCCACCACCTGTACTATACTTTAGCAAACCGCTCCCCCCTTTCCAGTCCCTCTCCTGCTCCCTCTGCCCTCTTGTTGTATCAGATAATACACATAGTGTTGTCCTTTCTCTCTAGTCTGCTTCTGCCCTTCCCGATCCCGATCTAGTTCCCAATACAGAGCCAAGTGTTGGGCACCCCTGCACCCTTCCACTAATTTAATAGCAGTGCAAAAGTCCCATGCTCCCACATGATATAATAAAATGCAGGTTGGACCTTTGTTGGCTTACTGCAGTGATATGTTGGACTTGTCGAGATTCAGCCAAGGCACACTGCATGACTACAAGACCTTACAGGTACCCTTCTCCGTCTTTTGAAAGCTTGCTTAGACATTGTGCCAACCTTCTCACCGGAATTAGGAAATACGAAGTGAATCCATCTTGTATAACTTATTTAAGGTAAGTTGCGAGCACAGACAGAGAAAACAAGGAAAAAAGAAAGGGGACGGTACGGATGGTAGAAAGCAAAACGAGACGGGCCGAGACGTAGAGACGGGTCGAGAGAAAGGGCAGTGCGACGGAAAGGCATCGTTGGGGGAGAGGTTGCCGACGGTAACTCAGGCATCGGCTGGGAGGACGAAAGCCTTGGGGTACTTCTTCTCGATCTCCTTCTTGAGGGCATAGAAGGGAGTGATGTAAGTCTTATCCGTCTTGGCAGTAGACCCTCCTCCACCCATCAGCAGACCAATGATACGACCGTCCCTGCCGACCACCATAGAGCCAGAGTCTCCTTCGTCGGAGAACTTCTCGTTCTCACCCGTCTTGGTGTCGTAGCCGCAGACAATGATCTCGACCGCCTTCGTTTCGATGCCTTGCTCGGAATGATGACGGGTAATCGACTCCAGCCCGTTAACGCGGCCGAAGGTGGTGCCGGTGGTACGACCATTCTTGACCGCCAGCAGATTCTTGGCGTTGTGGACGTCGTAGTTCTGCGGGTCGCGGAATTCGGCCTCGCGGACGTAGTCCTGGATCTGAAGAAGCAAGTCATCGGGCACATGGAAGTCGTGACGGTCGTGAAGCTGAGCGAACATATAATCTTCCCAATCAGCAGCGGTCTTGTTGCCGCCTGTAGACAAAGCGGCAAAACGGGGTGAAATAACCGGCAGTGAAAAGTGCCAAAAGAAGAGAAAACCGACGAACCGACGAAGACCTGATTGCCTTTGAAGTCCTTCATCTCCACCTTATCGTCGTCAATCTGGATCAAGGCCCAGTCGTACATAAACCCGTCGCTGCCGACCTCGATCTTGGCGCAGTGGAGAATGAACCCGAAAAGGCGGGAGGCGGTCGTGGTGTGGTTCTTGGTGACGTGGGAGTGGAGTTCGTTCGCCGCTCTGATCTTGTCCTTCGCCGCGGTGATCAAGTAAGTCAGTTCCTTTCGCTTCGCCGTGACATCAACAGCCTCGCTCTCTGCCGGCTCTGGGATCCTACGGAGGGGCGTCTCCCAGCTGGCAATAGCCCTCGACTGGTAACCAATAAACTTCATGATATCCTTGACGGAGTCATCGAATGATCCGCCGCCGAGGAGAATGATGTCCTCGCGCGGCTGGCTGTCGAACTTGCGCGTATACTCCTGGTTGTCAAAGAGCGGGGCCGGGTGGGCGACGTGGGCGCAGGTCAGGAGTACAGTGCGCTTGTCGGACTGGTCAGTGTTGAGGCGGAGGTACAAGCCGCCTGTACCCTCGTAGTAAGGCAACTTGTAAGGCGCGATAGCGAGACCGAGAGTAGGGGTGAACGGCTTCCGAAGGCCGGGAATGCCCTGCAATTCGTACGTCGGATCGAAGCCCATGAGCTTCCCCTGGCGGCGGTAAACGGATTCGATGAATGCGACTTGGATCTCGGGGAAGCCGGCTACCTAGAATACGAAAAAAAAGAAAGAAATTAACCTTTTGTTCATTCGTTATGTAAATGGTTACTTACATCGAGGATCCCATCGACGACTTCAGCAGCAGCCACAGCAGCTTCATATGCAAGGGAGCGCGGCTTCACGCCAATCGTGATCACGAATTCGCAAATCAAGGCCGCCTGACCTGCATTCGCGTAGGCGAGAGGATCAACCGCATTCCAGTCCACCTGGAGCGTCTCGAGCTCGGCGACGATGCTCCACGCAGTATCGAGCCAGATCGGCGCGATGCCGTGCTTGTAGATGGGACGGGCCGCGCGCATAATCTTCTGAGACTGAGGACCTTGGGCAACGGGCCATGCAGGCCCGGTCTTGTAAACGCAGGACGTGCCAGATCCATAGAAGTCCGTGATGGCAGCCGGATACTTGGCGAGTAGGTGACTCATGTGTTCCTCCTCGCTGACGAACCTGGTCTTGGAAGCTGCAAGGCCGGTCGAAGAGACGAGAGTCGCGGTAGGAGAAGGAATGAGAGAAGCAGTCGGGGAAGCGACCGTGTCATCGGAAGATGAAGACGAGACGGAAGACGAAGATGAGACGTAAGATAAGGATGGGTAGGAGGCGTCGACGCAGGCTGCGAGGAAAGCTGGGTCAAGGTTGGTTTCGGCGGCAAGTGAAAGCGACACTGCAGAGGGAAAAGAGCGATACCAGTTAAATAAGAGAAAAAAAAGGAGTGCCACCGGTACTTACTTGTGTCCGAAGCAGCGCAAGGGTCTGAAACGGATCGTTATGCGCGGGTTGAAGTCTGGAGACGGGTAGGAATAAGGGGGGGAATCAGTTCAAGAACGACTGAGGTCCAGGATTCCTGGTCCCAGAATGGCTGAACGGCATCAGTAAAAGTGACAAAACGTTAGTCTCCATGGCTGACCTTACACAGAAGATAGTTGTTCTGTGTATAAGGTCTGCTTCCAAAGGATGGAGCCTTGCACGTAGTACAATTGGCATGGGCGGATCCATGGGAAGCTTTCATCTATACTCGCCTAGTGAACTGAGGTCATGATAGCTGGCCCTACGTCGCGCTATAAATGATATATGTTTCTACGCTACAATAGATACAAATAGGTCTTCTTAGACCGGATTTTCACTGGGCTTGATCCCCCGTCCAAACTTCCCTCTCCGCGCACACACACAACTTTACAGTATATGCTGCATTCCCTAACGCATACGAGACTCCGCCACAGCAGTACTCTCTCCTCTTTGCGTCTAGCACGTCTATCCTTTTCCTCACCCATCTCCATCTCCACTCAAACCTCTCTGCATCTGCCATGTCGTTCATTGTCGAGCATGCCAGGTTCTCTCCGCAATCTCTTCAAATACACGTCAGGATCATGGCTGTAAGTTGTATATACATGTTGCTCTCCCAGTCTACGTTACCTGTCACTAATGCCACACAATTTTCAGCGTCAACAACGATCTTCGTCTCGCAGAGCGCGAGCATGAGTTCGACGACGGTGAGCTCCGTCGACTTGCGGCACAGTCCGTCGGTCGGACGCTTCAGGACGTCAACACCATGGAGAAGCTTGACGAGGGAGGCTTCAACCGCATCTTCCTCATCACCATGCACGACGGGTTCCAGATGATCGCTCGCATCCCGTACCCCGTCACGCAACCCAAGTTCTACGCTGTTGCCAGTGAGGTTGCCACGATGGCCTTCCTCCGTGCCCATGACCTGCCCGTTCCCAAGGTGTACGGCTACTCTCCTACGTCAGACAATGCTGCGAAGACCGAGTACATCTTCATGGAGTTCGTGAAGGGTACGAAGCTCACCGACCTGTGGATGCAGTTAAAGGAAACGGATCTCGCCTCCGTCTTGCGTCAGCTTGTTAAGCTCGAGTCCCACATCATGTCGATCCCCTTCCCGGCTGGTGGAAGCCTTTACTTCGTCGATGACTTGGAAAAGGTAGCAGGGGAGAAGACGGGCATCCAGATGTCGCTCAAGGGCAAACACTTCTGTATCGGTCCAGATGTCAGGTTGCATATGTGGTATGGGAGGAGATCGCATCTCGATGTGAACCGAGGACCCTGTAAATCTCTCTCTCTTTCTGTGTGTGTGTGTGTGGTGTGTGTTGTCATGTCATTGAACTTTCCGGAACTAATCTACATTGTTATATAGACGAAAACGCAGAGGCAGCACTCGCAGCAGCCGCACGCAAGGAGATAGCGTACCTGGAACGTTTTGGTCAACCTCTGCTCCCGTTCCAGCGCGGGAGAAGGGAGGCGTACAAGTACGAGAAGCAGTCGCCTCTGGACCACAGCAAGAATCTCCAACGCTACCTTCTCATGGCCTCTTCGCTCATTCCCAACAACCGATCCCTCCGAGCATTCTGCATCCGTCATCCTGATCTCCAGCCGAGCAACATCATGGTGTCAACCTCGCCAGACTCTGGTCAGCTGGAGATTATAGGCCTGCTCGACTGGCAACATGCTCCCATCCTGCCCCGCTTCCTCCTCGCTGGTATACCAGATCGACTTCAGAACTACGATGACCCGGACTCGCGGAACCTCATCCCACCGTCATTTTCACTGAATGCAGACAATATGGAAGAATCCGAGCTGATGGAAGCCGTTGGACTCCACCACGCCCGTCTCGTCCACTTCCACTACGCCAAGGGCACGGAGGAGCTCAACAATCTTCACCATGACGCCCTATCGGACTCGGCGTCTATCTTCATCCGTCGCCTCTTCTACCAAGCTGGTGCTCCCTGGGAGGCTGAGACCCATGACCTCAAGGCTCTGCTAGTCGAGGTGACTGAGAAGTGGGGGGAGCTTGCGGGGGCAGGCGTTCCGTGCCCCGTCGAGTTCGAGCCTGACGACGTGAGCAGGACGAAGGCATTTAGTGAGAGGCTGCAGCTGGCCGACGAGAACATCCAGAACATACGAGGCATGATCGGTTTCGAGACGGAGACGTGGGTCCCTAGCGACCAATACAGGAAAGCCAAGTCTCTCGCCGAGCTGGTGAAGCTGAAGGTTTTGATGGAGATTCCGAAGGGAGAGCTCCGAGACAAGACTGAGGCGAATTGGTTCTTGGACAATATGGACGAGGAGGATTACATGTAGTTTGTGGTTCGCTACACCGCCAGGACCTCCTTCAGGGTCATCTCAGCTTCCAGCAGATGATACAGGAGTCGTTCGAGACTCACACAAGAGCTAAAATGCCCGCATCTCCACGCAGTTGAAACAGCAAATTTCAGGTTAGAACGAAGATGATTAGGCCCCATCTCAGCTTCAACAAACATGTGTCAAACACACTGTACATTTTTCTGGAAAGGGAAGTAGTGCTACTACAACGCACGAAGCTATATCATACAAGTGATATTCAAGCTCGGTAGATACTACCGCCACCACTCTCTGCAAAACATTTCCCAAAATAACGGTCGCATAACTTTTGTGTCAACCTGTGAACCAATCTAATCGTCTGTCTCTGGAAGTGCGCGATGCTTCCAATCACAAAACGGACACTGAAAATGATGTACTGAACAAGAAGAAGCGTGGCTGCTAGTGTTGAGATGCATAGGGCGGTCTGCCAGCATATGGACCAAGACATACTGATCAGAAATAATGCCATCGAGCACACCGACACAGCGAGCATTAAGAGAGGGACTCGGGAAGTGATCGCAAAAAAAACTAGGGAGGAGTACACGCCCGTCGCGAGAATCTGAGGGATGCTGAGAACGAACATTGAAAATTGATTACTTGTTGCTCACTTTGAATCTGGAACCGCTAGCGCTACTGAACTTCAACAATAGCATAACGTCCACCGCAAGGCCGACTCCAGTGGCAACACTGCATACGGCCACAAATTGCACAACGCATTCATGCAGATCGAACACGCCATCGGGAGTGAAGCCAAAGATTGTAACGACAAGGCTGCGGTTAGCAAAACAATCAGTGAGATATTATTGAGGGTGTCGCACATATTACTCACGCAGCCATTCCCAGAAGCTGTTCACAAACATGTCAGGAACGGATCTGAGGACGAGAACATATGGGGAGCTTACGGATGCACCCACAGTATACCATTCTGCCACTAACTTGCCCGAGATAACATCATAATTATCTGCCTCTCTCAGCTGGTCATAGTACGTGATAGCTCCAAAGGCAGATACACCATTGGATTTGATGTAGGAAGAGGCTTTGGCTAATCTTCCCCAACCGCTCCAGGCAGATGAGGGAGGGATCTCAACACGCGAAAAATCTCGATATTCGTCAGACTGCGTTTTCATAGCCGCGTCACTGATATTCTGCTCCAAAGAGCATGGTCCTTCGGGATCGGGTAGAATCTCAGCGCTCCTCTTAAAAGAATAACGTTCTGATGATGATGGACCATCCGCATCGTCAAGTGAAGGGATATTAATTTGATGCCGCATGTGACTGCCACATTCCGCAGATACTGCTCCAGTTTCCAAGTCAGAGAGAGCAAGGATTAGCGCATTTGAGTCGTAAAGTTGCAAGTAGCGCCGCCAGTAGGAGAGGATCGCCTGTAAGACAACTCATTCAGCTCATTTTAAAATCTATCAAGCATACTGAAAGGGGTACCTCTCTTGTTTGAGCTAGTCGAAGATGCGGCAGGAGACGCACCAGTATGTAGTAGATAATATATCTCCTTTGTGAGGGGAGAAATATATCAGATGCCTCATGACCGCCAGTAGATCGTTGTAAGTTTGAATAAGAAAGTATAGGGACACGCGTATGAGGAAGATGAGACATTTTCCATGGAAGGCTTGATGGTGCTCGATTTATATACCCATGAGACCAAGTACGACGACTGTTGATACATGCCATTTGGGACTTGTTGCTGTAGCGCAGACAGTCTATACGACTATGAATTTATAGCTGCAGTGCGTAGAAGGCGACTAGACGCTCGAACTTACCATCTTTCCAGGTAGGATCATGGTGCCACTCCAAAACGCGATGCTCAATCTCCGCTTGCTACATCCACGGAACCAATTCCGAGAACAATCCTGCTGTAGGCGAAGGGAACTAAACATGAATGCAACAGCAGTAACGAGCACTGTCGCGGAGCCAACAGTCAACTATCATCACTTACAGCTAAAAAGCGCTTGCGGTGGCTAAGTTTGTGCACATGTATTATGCTCCATGATAGCCATAGTGGGACAGTCAAAGAGTTGCAGTCCTACAGTAGAATTCACAGAGAATCGTGTAGGGGCCTATTATGAAAAACAGACTCGATGAGTCTGGTGTTGCCTAGTCGCCGTTAAAGGAAGGTTTGTGAGGTTGACCGAAATTTGGCTATGACCCGTGGGAAAGAAAAGTCAGGGGATATTTCCATATTTGGAGGTATGAGCCGTGTTATATCAGGCTTGCTTGTTTATCCACTGACAAGCCAAAGAAGAGGACTGTAGTATTATCAGCACTGCGACACATCGGTAAGTATGCTACAAAAAAGAGACACGACGACAATATTGAGCGCAGTTCATCAAGCAGTGTTCGCACCAGAACCGTTCTGCGAGACGGTGTACTGACAAACGCGGCACGCGATCAGCAAGACAGCGCGGGGCAATAATCAGCACGCAGAGGTGATCCGCACCTGAACAGTCATCGAGGTAGCCCACGCCGTAGGCAAGTTGTCAGACCCGAGGTACTCGTAGCGCAGGGTATTATCAGCCACAGTCTTGTATCTAAAAAGAGGACGTTGGTTGTGAGGAGGCTGAGCAATCGAATCTGAGGTATTGAACGCCCTGACCTTTTCAGCTTGCCAGACGAGCCGGGGCCGCGAATGAGACCGTCGAACTCAGTCACAGCCTTAAGTACCTGAGCGATGACCTTCAAAACGAAAGCGTTAGTCGAGTCAGTCAACAAAAAACAAAGTGCCCACTTACTTTAGTCCTGAGCTCATCACCCAAACACCTGAAAGTGTAAGTGGGAAACATATGTTCAGCGAACCAGTCACGACCCGGTTAAGAACCAGTCACAGACCTAGCTGCACCGTCTCCGGTCAAATACATCTCTTTGGGGCTCCGGGTGATGTCCACAGTTTTAGGACTAGCAAAAACATCGCCCTGTTATATGGAGACTGTCAAGACCAGGAGCAAGTGTATGTGGTTAGACAAATGACTGACGTCCAAGTTGGCGCTCGCGATGTTGACAAAGACCCGCTGACCCGCTTTGAGCGAGAGGCTACCGATGCTTTGGTCGATCGTGGATTCACCTGGATCATGGGATCACGAGTTGTCGATTTCCAGAGAATGGGAATTGAACGTACGGTAGACACCTCGGAAGGCAGGATCGATTCCTGGGAACCGTCAGTTTGCAATCCAAACACAGACAGGTGGAACTTACTCATAGCCTCATGCACATATCCTTGCAGCACCGCCTCGTTCTTCGGATCCTCGGCATTGATCAACGGCGGCGGGTTCTTATCGTTCAAGTAGAAGTTGACAACGTTGGTGAGGGCTGTAAAGACAGCCTAAGTCAACAGATATATCTGCTGCCCGGATTTCAGACGTACTCTGAGACAGCTCGACTGTGGTCCCGATGAGGAGCGCGAGGATGTTGTTCGTCACTTCGTCGACGGTGCCGCCTCGTTCAAAGAGGGTATGCGCAAACGGCACCCGAGTGCTCTTCTTTGCCTTGGTCGATGAAAATAGCTGTTGGATAGTACCCACGAAGGAGGCGATCGACAGCTGTAATGCAGGCGTCAGCGTTCAATGAAACATAAGACACCAAGAAGGCCACAGACCCTTCCACCAGCGCTGCCTATCAGGCCAGCTTTGATGTGCCGCTTGAGCTCGCTGACATGCTCTTGAACTTTCAGCTCAAGGTTCATGGCTTTCGAAGGGTCAACATCGAGGAAGAACAGCGTGTAGATGTCAGTCAGCATTCCATAGAGCTCAGCCTCGGTATATGTGCCGAAAGAATGTTTGTCAGTCTTGAGCTGCAATCCAGCCTGGACAAATACCCATGTCAGGTGAAAAGGCTACTCCGCACATATAAGGCGGCACGCACGATCTCGGTAGCGGCCCAGCGGAGCGGAACATACTTGAGTACATCCCGAACGATGTCAACATTCCTCGTGTTCTTGTCCGTCAAGGTGTAGGACTTCGACGACATCAAGGTACGCGTGTTATCATAGAAGGACTGCGCAATCTTGTCCAGCGCATTGGGCGACGAAGTCAGGGCCCGCAACACCTCACGCTGTTCGCGTCTACCCTGCGCGGCATCCTTTGACGCAATGAAGAACCTGACCATGCAAAACTTCAGCGGTCTCCCTTTGAACGAGGAACAAAAGCCAACGAACCCTTCGCCCTTGACAATCTCAGAAATCTTTTCCGACCCGGGCGTATTGAAGTTTTCGCTCTTCAGCACCTGCTCAACGTCTCGATACTCATTTGCATTAGCGATCGGTCCCGGGTCACCAGGCCTCTGGAAGTCGAACTTGTCCGCTGTGCCCAAATTTTTCAAGAATCCCTTCATGGATTCTGGTGTCTGGAGCGGGAACCAAGTGTAGGTGCTATTCTGCGAGTACTCTCCAGGGAGCGCACGGAGTAGAAGACGCCCGAGCATGCTCCCGTTTCCAGGCCCATGAGGGTCTCGCTGGCAGTCTGCGAAACCCCAGGCAGTCATATTGAAAGGCGTGAAGTCCGCAGTGAAGAAGCGGTCGCCTCTAGTAAGGGCAATTGCGTCGCTGAGGATAGCTCTGCTAATGGTGTACCCTGTGATGATCGACCGAGTGTCAAGCTCAGGGTTGACAAACCAGCAGGAGAAAGTCGCAAACCTGGACAAAGACCAGCACCGTCCACGACGGGCTTGGCCTCTTCAGCCTGAAGTCCAACATAAAGCTCGAGGTTCTCGATATCTCCGTACAGCTTCTCTGCAGCGTCTGCAATCTCAGGGTTTGGATTCCACTCCAAGAAACTGGTGTATGCTGTGAAAGACCGTGACGTCAAACGTGGGCATCAAATGAAGCCGAGGAACACTCACGCTTCAGGCCAAGGAACTTCATATAAAAAATGCGTCAGATTGATAAACCAAGAAGGGGCAAAAGATGACTGACCTGTCTGAATTCATTCAAAGAACATACACCCCACCGACGATTCGACTCGATGCCCATGATTTCATGCAGCTTCATAACTTGAGGTGTGCCTCGCGCCTTGAACGCAGACGCTGGGTGCTCCGTACTGCACCTGATATCAGGAACCACAATATCATGTCATCGAAAAGTGAACGCACGCATTCTTCAAAATGGCTGCCAATTCCTCATCCCTAAAGGTATTATCCGCTTGCCGTTTCAGGCTAGATTGACAAGAGGCTCAGAAGCTGAGAAGCTGGAAACTGATAAAAGGACACTGACTTTCCAAACGTCCAGTGCGTGATGTCAGGTTCCTCCGCCTGTATCTTCTTCGTCGCTGTTTTGAAGTCATCGATGGTCAACTGCGTCGATGGCGACATCAATTTGAAGGATCCAATCTGGAGTTGAGAAAACCATACCTGGTCGACAGGCTTGTTCTCGAAGATATGCGCCATCAGCTGTTCGACCCATTTTTCATCTTCGACAGACGTGGTCGCATGCCATCGGTAGAGGCAATTGAACTAGAAATCCGTCAGCGTGCTGATACTTTCATTATGGATGGTAAATTGGCAGACCTCGACACTGCAGACGTTACCCTTACCACGCTCGAACAGTTTGTGGTCCTCCTCTCTTATTTCCTGAAATCAAACACCTCGATCAATCGCAGGAAAACATAGAGACCGACCCCACTCACTCCAAATGGATTGAGGCTCCATGAACTGCCCTGCCTCACTAGGCCCAAGATACTACTGAAATAGTCTGCGAAGATGGCCGCACCGAACCAAGCACAGTTCACAAGACGCGCAGTGTTGAAAATCTCATCCTCTTGCTTTAGTAATTTCTTCGACCTGTCGGGATCGTTTGATGGGATATCGGGGTCGACATAGGTTCCGCGCTCGTTGATCTCGAGCAGCTTCCTCGCGATATACTGCATAACCCATTAATCTCTACAACTTGGAAGTGAGGAAGAGGATACTGACATTGTGGTTGCGACTAAACAGAACCAACAAGACACAAACGGCAGGTGGGAGCAGGAGAAGCCTGTCTTCTGCGAATGTGTCGGGATACAGGAGACCGCGCCCGTCTCTCACGCGGATTTTGTTCAATGATTTCTCATCGTGACCATAAAGTGGGGACAAGTCAACGTAGGATGAGGTCTCATTGACGTTGACATCTTTGTGAGAAGTGCGAAAGACCCTGATGGTGAAAGGTTACTCAAGACAATTGTATGGCTGAAGAGAAAATTGACCTCACGTATGAATGACCAATGCCGCAAAGGAGAACATCATGCTTGATAATCCTGCTGGATGTTTGACAAACTACAAGGGTTTTAATCAATCGAGTAACGTATATGCGGCGGGAGTTTCGCGAAACGCACCCCTTCCCGCTTTAGCAAAGTATCAAAGACGAGGCCAGCATCTGGCAGATTGTTCCGGGGCAATGCGTGTGTCTGTTGAACACTACGAGCGTAGGGGGTTCCGGCCTTGCCCATGCTGGGATCGCTGAGGTTGTTATGAGATCCATCTGCATTTCTCCACGCGTACTTGTCTCCAAGGTACGTAGCCGGAGGATGAGACAGATCATTATAGACTAGAATGGCTTTGATGAACGGCTTATTCGGGAGGTCATTCTGATATAAAGAACGCACGGAACTCGATCACAAGGTTCTCCAGCCTCTTGAGGACAGGGCCCTCCGGCATGTGAGACAAGATGGTCAGGATGTGCTCAAGCTTGGACAGTCATCATGGTGAACCGTGGGGAATCAAAGCGAACGGTACGAGCTGTCTCACCAGCATTTTGCGATCGTCTAGAGAGTTAAGGTTGCCGATCGCGTCTACCAAAGCAGCCTGTATGCAGATTCATTTAAGTTTTGGTATCCGTCTTCGTAGGGTTCATCAATACTTACGAGAGTCGATGGCTCGTAGTATGTCGGCAGCCCCTTCTTGATCTGCAATGTATCAAAATTTCCCGTCAACGCGCATACGAGAGTTGGGAGAGTTTCCTGAGGCTCGCCTGTTCGCGGAAATCGCGAATGACTTTGGGGATGCCATCGGACTGATCGTGGTCGCCGTTGTTGGGCGCTTCAGGCTTAGGTACTCCGAACGTCTGTAATATATCCAGCTCAGGTTAGCTGGTCGACACGTCAATATCAAAGACGATCGCTCACCGAAGCTCTCTGCACAAGTCTGGATGCCATGGAGTGAAAATATAGCTGAAAGACTGCGCTCGCAAGGCGGTGGTCGAAAAGCGTGCAAGGGGTGTCCTTAGCCGCCGTTGGTGCAGATCGTCCAGACCTATATATCTAAGATGGCGGAGCTGGGAAACCTTGACAATACTTTGGCATATTGCAAGTCTCTGAGACCGTTCTGGGGAGGACGTTTGACAATTTCCGAAATACGACACATGAATGATTCGCGAACACTCACATAGGGCGTTCGACGTCAATCTCGGCACCGGTCCCTACTTTTGACATCCTCTTACCCTACGGAGGTCGCGGCCCCCTATCCCATGGTCACGCCCGTCCCATGCGTCTTGCAGTGCTTACGCCCGGGCGACTCTGCACTCACGATGCACAATATGGGACCAGATCAGGCATGTCCTGGCTTCCATGTCTCCTTTACGGAGATCAATTTGTCTGATATCACGCTCTCTCGCTCCTGGCTCTAAGACCGCTACTTGCACGGAAGCAAATTAAGATGATGTTGCGGAACGTGACAGCCGGATTCGAAGAGTTGTCTGACGCCGAGGGCAAGCATTAGAGCGCTGCAGAAGGTAGCGAGTGTAGCAACGAGTAAAAATACTGTAACACTGTCGACGAGGCTTCCCCGATGTCCAAAAGTCTATACGTCTTTCTAAGAAGCCCTATGAGATGGACGCGAACGAGCCTGATATTTTGCTTCCGGGGGGAGTTAGAAGACGCACTATTGGTTTTGACGCACCAGATGCTTTACTAGTTCCCCAATAGGCTGACAGGGCGCTCATATACATCCGATCTGTAGACCGTCGCAGCCTGTCGATACATTCCCTGACATGCCTCGTACGTAGAACACGGCGTAAGGGAAGAAGTGGGACGACGCGTGGGTGGGAATACGTCCACGTGATATGCACCGTTAGATCAGGCAATGAAACCGATCATGAATGCCAGCCGAAGAGATGCGCACATCGAATTGTTCCAAATTGTTCTACGACCAACTAACACACCTGCAGTGCGCTCCTGAAAAGCCTTTTCGTTGTTGGTAGCCACATGCTAGGCTTGGCCCGGGTCTCGAGCAATATACAGATGTCCGGGGTATTCATCACCGACAAACCAACAATGGGCTGCCGCTATCGACGGAACCGGCGCCGAGACGATGACGCCAGCGCCAACACAACCATAAAGGCGCCTATCGCGTTCGAAGCCCTCTTCTGGTCTCCGCTCGTCAATTATAGCTGCCCTCAAGACAAAAGCTGTCCGTCCTTCTTCCGAGTCCGAAACTCGCAGTGCACGAATGACCGTCTAGAGAGTGCCTGATGACCTGCTCAAGCGCGCCCCTCATAGTCCGAACGGACCCGCATCTGTGGCAAAGCCCTCTCACCGGTGCCTTGTCGATATCGCATATACGTCCGTCGTACCCGCACCCGGCGCGGAATGTGCGCGCGAAGACGTGCATGGATCTACCCGCCTTAGGACAACGAGAGGACTACATGTAAAAACACCGTATGCATGTTACGCAAGGCAGGCAGGCAGGCAGGCAGGCAGGCAGGCAGGCAGGTGGCTTATAAAACGAGGAAATGGCCTCAGATGGACGACGACGACAACGACGGTGTGGGTGGGGGGAGGATGTGCAAAGGAAATTAGAGAACGAATTGCGAGTGGCCGGGACGAGCAACTGAGGGCCCCGAATGCCATGCGGCACGAATAAAAAAGCCCGGACGGGAGTGAGAGGAAAGCGGGGAAACGGTATCGAAAGAGACGAGAGCGGAAAGGTATTAATATGTGCATTGGACAACGAGAGGGATGGATATGCCGGAGAGACGGGAGACGCTTCTGGGTCGCATAAGAGATGGGATGATATGATGCGGACGGGAGGCCGATGACAGAATCCGAGCAGATGGGCCAAGACGTGGGTGGTGGTTAGAGTACAGATATAATATCCTGGCATAAAATAATAGTAGCGCGTGGGGTGGAGAAACAAAAGCGATCGATCAACCGTGTAGGAGAAGAAAAGAAAAGAAAAAGACGAGAGGAACAAAGAAAAAGAAAAGGAAAAGGAAAAAAAACGCACGAGTGAGACGCAGTCTGCGAGAAGAAGGAAAGGGCGGTATGTGAAACAAACGAATGTCTAGAAAGGATGACAAAAGTCCGAAACGGACGATCCTCCGCCGTCACTGCACGGTGCAGCCGCTGTTGCCCTTGGCATCGCGGCTCCGCCTCGATCGTCGCGCGTCGGTGTCGGGCATGTCGCCGGGCATGTGCGCGGTCGAGGGCGCCTCGTCGTCGGCGTCGCGCTCGGGGACGGTCGACGCGCCTGAATAGAGGCTCATCTTCGACACCCGCTGCGCCTCCTCGCCCGCGCGGCTCCCCGCCGACAGGTGCCGCGCTGCGTCGGCGTCGGCCACGGAGGCGCCCGACCTGGCGTTGCCCCTCCGCCGGCTGGAGTAGCTCTCGCGCGTCGTGGCCATGCTGCGCATGCTCGCCGTGTGCGGCGCCGTGCTGTCGCTCGAGACGGACAGGGGCCGCTCCTTCGACTCCTTGGGGCGCACCAGGACGGAAAGCTTGCGCCGGATCACGTTCTCCTTCTCTTCGCGATGGGGGTGGTGGTGGTGGTGGTGGTTAGGCGCCGCCTTTGTCGAGGGGCCTGCCATCGCCGAGGAGGAGCGCACGGGCTCGGGCGACAGGGACGCCATCGAGCGCTTGAGCGGGGAGAGCAGCTTGTACGCCGTCGGCGGATGCGGGACGGAGGCCTGCGAGGACGGGCCGTTCTGGGCGGTGTCGAAGCTCGCTCTGGACGACCCCGCGCCGAGCACGCCGTCTGAGGCAGGCCCTGCGGCGCTGCCCCGCGCGGCGGCGAGGAAGTCGACCGGGCTGCCCCGCTCCGCAAACTGCGCGTACAGGAGCAGCTGCGAGCGGAGATCGCACGTCGGCGGGGCGTTGCCGGCGCACTTTGAGTGGGCGATGAGGCTGCACTGGGAGCACAGCACGGCACTCTTCTTCACGTTCTGCATGCACACCCTGCAGATGACGGCTGCGGACGCGCGGGTCAGCTCTGGGCACACACGGCGCGGCGGCGGCGGAGGACGAGGACGAGGACGAGGGCGACTCACGCTTGCTAAACGTCGTCTTGACAAAGGTGTGCTCGCGGATAGAGAGAAGGTCGCTGTTGTCGGCGGGGACCGAAATTGCCGGGGTCGGAAGGTCCGCCGACGGTCGTCTTGGGGAACCCGACATGATCTCCTCGAGACGGGGGCGCTCGGGCAACGGGGGGTCGACGATATCGAGCGCCGCGAGGTGCCGCACGGCCTCGTTCTTATGCAGGTCCGCGCTGACGCGGCGCAAGAACGGAATGCTGTCCTGCGGCCGCAGGTCCTGCGAGAAGCGCGTGATAAGCAACGGAGAGCGGCCCACGCCGCCGAAACGCCCCGCGGCAGTGGGGGTAGGGAAAGGAAGGGCAGGGAAGGGAGAGCGAAAGGGGACGACGGCACGCACCTTGTGAGCGCCCCAGTGCTTTTTGAGCCACTCGTGCTCGCAGAGCAGCTCCGCGCTGGGCCGGAGCGACGGGTCCTTGTTGAAGCACTGCTCGAGGAAGTCGACGAGTGGCTCCGAGCACCCGTCCGGAATCGGCGGCATCGCGTCCTCGACGATGCGGAACATGACTGCCAGAGGAGATCTGAATAAAAGGAGGAAACGCGACGACGCGACGAGCGCACTCACCGGTCATGCTGTTCGCGATGTCCCCGTAGGGCGGACGCCCGGTGAGCAGCTCGATGACGGTGCACGCGAGGGACCAGATGTCCGACTTTGTCGACGCGCCCTTGAGCTCGATCACCTCTGGCGCCATCCAGTTCGGCGTGCCCGCGACGTCCTTGATCTCGCGCTCCATCGCGCGGAGGTTGAGCGAGACGCCAAAGTCGGACAGCTTCACGTTGCCGTTCTTCGTCGTGAGGATGTTCGCCGCCTTGAGGTCGCAGTGCACGACGTCGCTCCGGTGGAGGTAGTGCAGCCCCTCGAGGATCTTGACGACGTAGCTCGCGACCAGGCGCTCGTTGAGCTTCCCGAACGCCTTGAGCGTCTGTCCGAGGGACCCATTCTCGGCGTACCTGCATGTGATTTTAGCGCGTCCGCATAAGAAGCCCCACGCAAGGAACGGCGAGAGCAGAAAGAACGAGGTCAGGAAGAAAGAAGAAGGGGGCCACTCACTCGAGTACGATGCTGAGCGAGTTCTCGTCCCTGGCCATTCCCTCGTACTTGACGATGCTCGGGTGCGAGAGGCTCTTGACGAGGTCGACCTCGCGCATGAGCTGCGTGACCTCCTCCTCCTTAAGTCCCTCGAGCCCGATGCGCTTGACGGCGACCATCTGACCGGTGTTCAGATTTAGGGCGCGATACACAGAGCCGAACTGCCCGCGTCCGATGCAGTTGCCAAGTTGCTACACGCCCAAAACACACGGACGATGATGATGACGATGATGATCAGAAAACGGAACCCCGCGGAGACGAGAACAGAAACGCATCGCGCAGATATGGGAACGAACGGGCGACTATATATATGCGCGCGGGGGCGCGCGTCTGCGTGTATATATAAACGGCACTCACGAAGTGCGTCGGCGCCTTGCCTTCCTCCCTCACGATGAGCGTCGGCCGCACCGCGCCGCTCCCGCCCGCGCCGCCCTCCATCGAGTCCCGCGCGAGCAAGTCGCTCGCGCTCGCGTTCGTCGACGCCGCGCCGAGGTTCACCATGCTCTCGAAGCGCGAGCGCCGCGGCTTTGCTCCAAATTCGTCGAAAGAGTTCGGCCGCGGCCGCCGGCGCGAGCTCGCGCCGTCCACCTCGCTCTGGAAGCGCCCGCGCGGCTGGTGCGGGCGGTCGCGCGATGACGCGCGGCTCTCGTCGAGCGGCGGCGGCGGCGTCGGCGTTGATGCGGCCGGCGACGCGCTGCCGTGCTCGCCCGACGCGGTCCTGGGGAACGGCACGAGCGAGTCGTCCGACGCGCGCGCCTCCGCGTCCGGGCTGTTCTTGCGGAGGAGATAGATGCCCCCGCCGCGCTGGGCGCCGGCGGTCCTGGTGCTGCTGCGCCGGAGGACGCCGCGCGGGGTCGCGTCGAGGCTCGCGCCGGGTGCGCTGGGGGCGGTGGGGACGGCGTCCTTGGGGAGCAGGCCGGGCGCGTCGACGCTGTGGCGCGCGCGGTGGGTCGGGCGGGCGGGCGGGAAGCGCGGGAGGGACTCGACGCTGGCGTTGGCGTTCTGGGTCTGGCGCGCGGGGCCGACGATGGCGAGCTTGCGCGGGGGCGAGATGGAGAGCGGGCTGTGGGCGGGCAGGGGCGTGTCGCGGTCGATCGGCACGGGCGCGGGCTTGGTCATGGACCTGGTCTTGGACGAGGCGGGGCTCGAGGAGCGCAGCGCGTCGATGAAGTCGTCCGGCCACTTGCCCTTGCCGAGGTTGATCCGCTCGACCCGCTCCGGCCCGTCCTTCTGCTGCTGCTGCTGCTGCCGCCGCGGGAACGCAAACGCGGCCGAAAAGTCCTCCGCCTCCTCCGCGACCCGCGACAGATCCACCACCGCCGTCTCGCTCGGCCGGCGCTTGCGCCTCTCGCCCGCGGACGGCGGCGGCTCGTCGAGCAGGAGCCCCGCCGACGCCGCGCTCGCCTCCGTGCGCGTGAAGGACGGGTACTCGGACGGGACGAACGACGTCGCCTCCGTCGTCATCGTCCGGATCGTCGCGAAGCGGTTGTGCCCCCCGCCGTGCCCGTTCCCATGTGCATTCCCGTTCCCGTTCCCGTGGCCATAGCGCTCGCGCTCGCGCTCGCGATCAAACAGGAGACTCGCATACCCCGACGCACTCGTCTCCGTCGCACTACTCGACGCAACCGACTGCCTCGCGCCCGTCGCCCCCGTCCCGTCCGTCATCACCGAAATCACAGACGACGACGCACGCGACGACGCCTCCCCGACCGACGCGCGCGTCGAGTCCGCAAGCGACGACCCGCGCGACGCGGACGCGCGCACGCGCAGCGGCGAGCGCGGCGGCACGATCGGCGGCACCTCGTCGCGCTCGCTCGCCGCCCCGCCGCCGCCGCCGCCGCCGCCGGTCGGCGTCTCGCGCCCGCGCCCGAACACGTCCTCGTTCTCCTCCTGCGCGGTCGCGGCGTCGCTCAGGTCGTCGTCGTCGTCATCATCCTCGTCATCCTCTTCGTCTTGGCGGTCGTTTTCAAAGTCGTGGTGGTCGTGATCGTGGTCGTGGTCGTGGTCGTGATCATCGAAGCGGAGCAAGCCGTCGTCCGCGGGGCTGTACGACCGCACGGTCGGCAGCGCCGGCGCCGGCGGACTCCACCGCTTGCGCGTTGGCGGCGGCGGCGACCTCGGCGCATGCGTCTGCACAAGCGCAAGATTCGGCGTCGACGCCGCACCGCGCGCCGCGCCACCATACGGCGACGCCCTACTAGCGCCAGCGCCTGCACCCACACCCGCGCCCTTGAGCGCGCTCGCGGCCGCCGGAGCCGGGGGCGCCTCCGCCCAGCGCACGAGCGCCCCGACGGTGCGCGCGACGCGCGCGAGGCCCTCGGGCGCGGCGGCGATGAGGTCGTCGCGGCGGAAGAGGTCCGCGGGCGGGAGGCCGTGCGCGGCGCACGCGGCGAGGAAGCGCGTGACGTTCGCGGTGCGCAGGCGGCCGTCGTCGCGCGCGTCGATGCGCGCGATCGAGCCGGGGCGGAGCTTGTTCATGAGTCTGCGGGCCCGGCGGGTGAGCGGGCGGAGGGCAGGAGAGAGGCAGGAGAGAGGCAGGCGTCAGCACGATCGTCAAGCCGAGGCAAGGCACGCCCCGCAGTCAATTTTAATAAAGAAAGCAAAACGGGACCCGATCCGGGGCACGCAGCGGAACACGCACGCACACGGAGGAGGGCAGGCCCGGAAGCGCAAGAATGCAAGGGATGCAAGAGAGGGGCGGCGGCCGAAATAAAAACACGCACTGGCAGAGCACGTATCCGTCCCTGAGCGCCTCCCCAAACAACCTCCTCTCCCTCTCCTCCCCCGCCGAACTCACCGCGCTCACCGCGCTCGCACTGCTGCCTGCGCCCGCGGCGCCGCTCCTGCCCCACACGCGCTCAAGGCGCGCGAGCGCACGCAGGCGCAGCTCGACCTCCTCCGCCTCGCGCGCGCCGATGCCGATGCCGAGCGCCGTCTGCGTCTGCGGGCGCAGCATCTCCCTGCACAGGAGCGCCGCGGCGGCGCGGATCGCCTCGCGGTGCTCCGCGTTCGCCGCGCTCGGGGCGGAGAGGGAGGTGGTGGAGGCGTTGGGGTGGCGGAAGGTGGGCGTGACGACGCGCTGGGCGGGGGAGAGCGCGCGCGGGCGGAGCGCGGGGGTTGCGGTCGCGCCCGAGGTCGTGGTCGTGGTCGTGGTCGTGGTCGTGGTCGGGTTCGGGGACGCTGCGCGCGCGGGGCGCTGCGACTCGGCGGAGGCGCGCCGCGGGGACGCGGGGGGCAAATGCGACGTTGAGGCGGACGCGAGGCCGCGCGAGGAAGAGGCGGCGGTGGTCGGGCTCACGACGCGCGGGCGTGGGCTCGGGCTCGGGCTGGAGCCGGGGCTGGGGCTGGTCGGCGCGCGCGCGCGCGCGACGGCGGGGCTCGTCGCGCGGGGCGTCGAGGGCGCGTCGTCTTGCGTGAGCGGGAGGCGGCTCGTGCTGGCCGAGGCGCGGCGGGCGAGCTGGGTGCGCGAGGTGGAGGCGGAGGAGGACGCGGGCGGCGGAGTCGGGGTGGCTGGGGGGCTGCCGTGGAGCGGGTGCTCGCGCGCGCCGGGGGCGGGGTATGCGCGCGGGAGGGAGGGCGTGGAGGGGGAGGAGGGGAGGAGCGGGGGCGGGCGGCCTTTCCTGAATCGGGACCCGGGGGTGGGGCTGGCGGGGGTCGCGGCGGCGGAAGAGGAGAAGCGGGAGTCGCGGGAGTCGCGGGAGTCGCGGCGCGGGGTGAGGGGCAGCGGTGCGCTGATGTCCTTGGCGGAGATGCTGGGCTGGGCGGCGGGGTGTTTTGGGCGGGCGGGGGAGAGGAGGGCGGCGGTGTTGCCGGAGGAGGAGGAGGCGGGGACTGCGGAGCGGGAGTTGGGGGAGGGGAGTGCCTGGGAGGAGAGGTGGAGGGCGGGGGAGGACATGGAGGCCTGCCTGAGCGAGGGCGCGACGAAGCTGGCGAGGGCGGCGCTTGTGGGCTGCGCGGGGTCGGGGCGGGGGGGTTGGTTCGCGAAGGACGAGGGCACGGAGGGCGCGGAGGGGGCGGCGGAGTCCTTGCGCGTGCGGCGGTGGAAGTTGACCTTGGACTCGAGGCGCTTGAGCATGCGGGAGCGCTCGCCGCCCTTGTCCTTCGCATCGTCTGCGTGCTCGGTTGCGCGCTCCTTGCCCTTGGGGGTGAGGGTGGCAAAATCGTCATCGGGGGGCGGGGCCGCCTTTGCCCTGGAGCGGGTCGCGGAGCGGAGGCTCTGCTCGAAGGAGGAGCGCAGACGCTTGAACGTTTTCGGCGGGGGCTCTGGGGTCTCGGGGTGCTGCGGTCTGGACGTGGACGCGGACGGGGCCGGGGCTGGTGCGGGCGGGGAGCGTGAGGACGAGGGCGCGGGGTGGGGCGGGGAGGGCTGTTTGGGGGCGAGGCGCGAGGAGGGCATGTGGAAGGGGTGGGGGAGGGGGGAGGAGGAGGAGGGCGGGGGCTTGGGGGACGCGACTGCTGCAGCCATGTGTGCGGTGCATGCAGCGATGCGGGGACGGCGATCGATGGGCTCGGGGCCGGCGCTGGCGGGATGGAGTGGGGACGGGGACGGGGGAAGGAGCGGGCGGGGTGGCGTCGGGGGTGTGCGGACGCTGTGTCAGAGGGCGGCTGGGGCGCGGTGGCAGAGTGCGAGTGCGAGTGCGGGGGCTGGCGGCATGGAGGGAGAGAGGGCCACGGTGAGCGAGAGCACGGGGCGACGACGAAGGAAGACGAGAAGGGCGAGAAGAAGGCCGGCCGGCCTGTGCGTGCGTGTGTGCGTGCGTGCGTGCGTGCGTTCGCGGTGACGGCAGCACGGCGGCGGGGGCCAGAACGGCAGGTGCGGGCGGTGTGTGCTCACCTGGCAAGGACGAGAGATGCGCGCGTCCGCGGGGCATCCAGCGCAGTCGAAGAAGCGTAGATTCCTATCTGGCCACCTCCACTCGGTCAGTCGCTGGCCGCCCCCGCGCTGGGAGGGACGACGGGGCTCACCTGGACGCGTCGACGGCGGTGGTGCCCAGAGAGCACGGGCAGGATCAGAAAGAGAGCGAGGAGTGGAGAGGCAAAGAGCGAGATGCCCGCTGCGATCGGCTGGCCCCTCCGCTCTGCTAATTCGAATCACTCTGTCACCGGCTACATCCCTCTCCCGTCCTCTGATCTCCCTCGCCCTCGCCCTCTCCCCGTCGCTCTCCCCTCTACCATCCACGTCCATTCCACGCTATCTACAGCACACACACTCCTCTATTATCTACCCGCCCGAGCGAGCCCAGCAACCCGCGGCCGCCGCCCCGCTCCATGTTTCACCGCCATCCCGCACATGCCCCAGCCCCCCTCCCACCTGTCAATCGCCGGTGCCTGCCTCGTCCACCCACCCACCTGATGACGCACGCCCACGCCCACCCACTGATAGACCACACCCACGCCCACCTGTCCCGCCAGACACCCTGTCTCGCCCCAATACTGCACTCCCATGCGAGGCGCCCGCAGGCCCCAGCCATACAATGACGCACACCCGCATGTCATGCCGCCCCTCCCCGGATACGTGACGCACCTGCCAGGCCGTGTGACACCCCGGCAGGGGCGCCGCCCACCAACAGACTCGCCCTTCCGTGCTTCTTTTTCTTTCCTTCTTTCCTCCCGCGCTTGCTTGCTTCGCGCCCCACGACACGACACAGTCATGCTGCTGACACTGACGCTGACACTGACACGCCACGCCACGCCACGCCAAAACGAGAACGGAAACAGCCACCACCGTCATATCTCGCCGCGCCCCTGGCCCGCCCGCGCCCTCTCAAGCGCGCGCCATAAATACATCCATAAATACACCCGCACATCCGTCCACACATCCGTCCATCCGTCCATCCGTCCATCTATCCATCTGCGTAACTGTATCCACCGCAGCCCGCTGCGCGCGCGCGCGCGCTCCCGTGCCCAATCCAAACGCCCCATCCTCTTTCGACGCGCCATCTCGCCCCATTCCTCTTTCGGCACATATTGCCCTCCCCCGCGTCTGTCCTTCACTCCACTTTCATCTCCTCGCGCCCCGCCCGCCGCACAGCACCGCACCGCACCGCATAACACCGCACAGCATAGCACCGCGCAGCCAGGCGGCGGCCTTTGCCAGCCGTCGCCCGGGCCCCGACTAGGCTATATACATCCATATACATCCATATACATCTATATGCACGCACAGCACAGCACCGCCCCGCCCCACATCCCCTCCCACATCCCATCCCATCCAATGAGTCGCCCGATCGATGTCCGAGGACGAGGATAACACGCTGCGCCTCCCCGTTCTCCCCGTCCGCTCATGCAGTGCCCGTGCCCGCTCGTCCGGTCATTTATCCGTCTATCTATTCCATCTATTCCATCTTGGGCGAAGTCGGGCCCACTGGCGTGCCCGCCTCGGCACTCGGATACTACTCGGATCCGCGTCCGCGTTCGCGTCTGCGTCCTCCATCCTGTCCTTCGCGCGATCCCCCTTGTGCGATTACCCTCGCGCGATCCCCCTCGGGCACCCCGTTCCCCCGACCCGACCCCGGAGCGCGCGGTTCGCGTTCGTATTATATCGCGTCGCGTCGAGTCGGCCCGCTCGTACCGGCGGCGCGTACGGACACGTGCGTCGATGGCGATATCGGCACCCTCGACCCTCGAGCACCCCCCCTTAGCCCCTCCTGCACCGAGGAGCGCCAAGCGCACGTCCACCCACGCGTCCGTCCACGCGTCCTGATACAGTAGGTCCCGATCGCCACTAGCCCTCGGGAGTCATCAACGCTTCAGTCAGCAAAGCACTAACCACTAACGCCTGCTGTACGGACGCCTGCTGTGCTAACGCTAGCTCAGTTATCTGCTCTGTCAGACGGTGTCAGACGTGGCACAATCCATCAATCTATCACGCATTAGATGCATCGCGTCGCATCAGATCTCGAGTCTCGACGCGCGACGGCATCAGAAGCGAGTGCGAGCGCAGATTCTCTAGATTCTCTACACTAGATTCTCCTGGACTCTCCGTGCTGTATCTACAGTAATGTATCACTGTATCCAGATAAGCAGAACCCAGATCCTCGTCGGGGGTCACCGGTCACCGGTCACCTGTCTGTCTGTCTGTCTGTCTGTCTGTCTGTCTGTTCTGAGTTGCGCGCTATCTGGCTTATCGATATCTAATATCTAATATCTGTCGGGATTCGGGAAGATGGGTCGCGCGAGATGTGGATCGCGACTCTGGCCTCGGGGACGGCCAGCGCGAGAGCGTGAGCGAAGGTGGGGTCATGGGTGGGTATGGACGCACTGTACGCGCCCGAAGCAGCCAGACCGAATACGCCGGTCCATGAATGCATGACCGCTCGACCTGACAGCAGCACATGGAAGCTCGCACTCGGATCCCTCCGCGTGCATCTCACCCTACTATCACAATTCGCACCGCAGCAGAACGCAGCAGAACGACGTCGATGAGCATTACGGTGTGCTGTGCTGCGCCTGCTGGGCAGTGTGTATGTATTACAGTGTGGATGTGAACTCGTACGGTATGCACAGCCGTCGGTTTACCAATGGGCTGCCTTGCCTGGCTTCCTATCCAGTTGGGCAGAGAAGCCCGCATATCATCCATCATTTGGACGGGACGCTGCATGTTGGAGTTTGCTCTTGAGTTGTATCATGTCGGACGAGAGGGAGCAGGGAAGCCGCCTGGAGTGATGATGCTGCGTGTGGGGAGTACGGCGAGGCGCGAGGCGCGAGAGTCTGAGTCTGGCAAGGTGCGACGCGGCGCAACGCATCTGAGACGAGCGCGGGGCTGATTGCGGTGCACGCTGTATCCGAGGGGAAGGCGCGATGCGCGCGGCGGCGGGACATGGAGATCGCGCTGCGCTGCGGATCGTGCCTCCGAGGAGGGAGGGATCGCCCAAGACTGAGTAGGCCAAGACTTCGTCCGAGATCGTCCACCCGCGTCGACGCGCCGCAAACGGACATCGACACCGAGGGCTCCACGTCCATGTCATCGAGGGGACGTGCGCCAGTACTGTACACTGCCGAAGCTCCGCGACAGAATCGCGCGGCGTGCTTATTACCGTGGTATATGGGGGTGTGGAGGACAAGTATGGGATGGTCTGGATCGTCCGGTGGGGCAGGGTGGAGCTTGTCAAGCCCTGTCAAGCCGCCACGAGCCGTGTCGAGCCACGCGCCGCAACACGCAACAGGCGACAGGAGTGCAACGGGCAACAGGCGGCAACGGGCGACAAGGAAAATCCACCTCTGATGGCATGAGCGAACGAGCCCGCATCACGGGGACGCAACGATTGCCGGCTTGGGAGAGCAGACCGCCCGCGCCGCCCTCAATCGAGTCGCGCACGAGCAAGTCGCTCGCGCTCGCGTTCGACGACGCCGCGCCGAGGTTGACCATGCTCTCGAAGCGCGAGCGGCACGGCTTTGCGCCAAACTCGTCGGAAGAGTTTGGGCGTGGCCGCCGGCGCGAGCTCGCGCCGTCCACCTCGCTCTGGAAGCGCCCGCGCGGCTGGTGCGGGCGTGGGGTGGGGCGGGGAGGGGTGTTTGGGTGCGAGGCGCGAGGAGGGCATGTGGAGGGGTTGGGGAGGAGGGACGTCGATCGATGGGCTCGGGGCCGGCGCTGGCGGGATCGGGGTGGGGATGGGGGAAGGGGCGGGCGGGTAGGGCGGACGCTGTGTCAGAGGGCGGCTGGGGCGCGGTGGCAGAGTGCGAGTGCAGGGGCTGGCGGCATGGAGGGAGAGAGGGCCACGGTGAGCGAGAGCACGGGGCGACGACGAAGGAAGACGAGAAGGGCGAGAAGAAGTCCGGCCTGCCTGTGTCCATGTGCGTGCGTGCGTGCGTGCGTGCGTTCGCGGTGACGGCAGCACAGCGGCGGGGGCCAGAACGGTAATGCGAACGGTGTGTGCTCACCTGGCAAGGACGAGAGGTGCGCGCGTCCGTGGGACATCCAGCGCAGTTGGAGAGGCGTAGATTCCTATCTGGTCACCCCCATTCGGTCAGCCGCTGCTGTGCCCGCGGTGGGAGCAACGGCGGGGCTCACCTGGACGCGTCGACGGCGGTGGTGCCCAGAGAGCACGGGCAGGATAAGAAAGAGAGCGAGGAGTGGAGAGGCAAAGAGCGAGATGCCCGAGGACCCCTGAAAATAGGGGGGGAGGCCGGGTGGAAATTTCTTAAAAGCCGGCCAAAATGTACGGATAGAAAGTCCCAAAATCGGCGACATTTGTCCGGAAAAAACCAGGCCTAGCCAAATTTTGAGTCAAAATGTTCGGATTGAACTGCCAGGCCTCCAAAACCACATTTTTTGGCCGGATTAGCCAGATCCGGCCCTGTAAGCCCTCAAAATTGTCCGGATTGACCAGATTCGGCCTTGTAAGCCCTCAAAATTGTCCAGATCACATAGTTCAGGTCTGTTTTGATGCTCAGAAAGGCCAGAAAGCATTTATTAAGCCATTGGCCATCAGAATCAAACACATAGAGCACGTGCGAGAATGTCGGTTTCAGGAGAATGAGGGCTGAAGATTGTGTGGGCAAGTTAACATTGAGGGGATCCGCAATCAAGAGATGACAATCTGGCAGTATTTTGGGGGGTTCCGAAGGGATGTGAATGTGAACATTGTGTAGAGCTTCTGAGTGAGTAGTGTCGAGGTCAATGACTTTGCTGTCTGACATTGTGTGTAGGATTTTTGTTGGGTTGTGTGCATGCCACTTCAAGAGCACAAATTTCCATTTTAGCTGACAGCTTAGAGATCTGAAACACGAGCACAAAAAAGTAGTAAAGAAGTATATGTGCAGGATTTGAACCCATGAACCCATCACAAATTGCCTTACTACATACTGCATGGCCTGCCACTACACTATCCCAGCTTGAATTGACCGGACCCCATTCAGGCCTATCACCCCGACACCACAATTAGCAGGATGCATAGATAGGCCTTGCCCACCACACAGGGCAAATTTTGTATGGACGCACCTGGCCTAAGGGGTCAAAAAGGCCCAAAATTTTCCGGATCGGCCACCAGGCCTCCCCACCTATTTTTAGGGGTCCTGATGCCCGCTGCAATCAGCTGGCCCTTCCGTTCTGCTAATTCGAATTACTCTGTCATTGGCTACATCCCTCTCCCATCCTCTAATCTCCCTTGCCCTTGCCCTCTCCCTTGTCCTCGTGCTCCCCCTCTCGCCGTCACTCTCCCCGCTCCCATCAACGTCCGTTCCATGTTATCAACAGCACACCCTCCTCTGTCTACCTGCCCGAGTGAGCCCAACAACCCGCCGGTGCCGCCCCGTTCCATGTTTCACCGCCATCCTGCCGTCGCGCCCACCACCACCGTACATGCCCCAGCCCCCTCCCACTTGTTAATCGCCGGTGCCTGCCTTGCCCACCCACCCACCCACCCAATGACGCACCCCCACGCAGTGCCCATGCCCACCCACTGACCACTGACCGCCCATGCCCACCCGTCACGCCAGACACCCTGTCTTTCCCCAATACTCTGAGAGTTGGCAACAGGATTTGTTTCATTTGTTTTTGAACTTTTGATTGGCAAACAAGGGTTACCACACTCTATATGAGCTTCTTGGAGTCTGTTCTTTTGTGATGGTCTCTAGCATTACCCGGTGGTGAAGACAATTGTATGTCAAAGTTGTGAAAAATCTGATCCGGTTCTCTGTGGTCCAGCTGTATAAAATTCTTTGGTCAATTGCTAACTAGCCATGATTATTTCCTCCTCCTTGCCTTTTTTCTGTCTGTCTCTGTCGTTTTCTCACTGTCGCTCTCTTGTTCACTCGCTCTTACTCTATACTTCTTACCACACATATGACTCCAGTGGCTCTTGGAATGAGATGGCCATGCCGAATATCTCCACAAACACACAAGTGAGTCATTCATCAAAACTCGGTCTTCTGTACTAGCTATGGAGGTCAAGGAGATTAAAAATCTGACAACACTTAACGAAGATAGGTAAGTATCTTACTATTGCTAATCCAGACCATAAGAATCAGTTAACGTACAGTCTAATAAGTTATTGCCCCTCCCCCCCCTTCAAGACTTAGTTTTGACACGTAAAGAGAGTTTCTGTCATCTGTGCGATTTGGTTGGTAATGAGAAGGTAGTGTCATGGCCGACAACTACGTGCTTTAAGAGCCACATGGGACTCTGACGATATATGAGGGAGAATTGGGGGTACAAGTGAAGAGACGAGTATGAATATGAACAAGGCTGAGCAATGAGGATGACAAGTTTTTGAAAGTCAACAAAGACAATTTCAATGGTTGGGATGAGTGCAAATGAGCTCTGAATTATGGGGTGCAAAAGCTGGTTTATTCCAGAGTTGTATGTAGGTTTTTATAGTAAATAGAGCCCCTAAGTAAAATATTAAACACAAAATAAAAGTAGGTATCAAATAAGTGTTAAGCCCTAGTGATCAGGGAAGATAAGAAAATAGGTAAGATGTCCATATGGGTTCCAAAAGTGATAAGGTAAAAGGTAATCAGTGATGGCAAAATTCTGAACGTTCGGGATCCGTCGCCCAAGTGTAGGTAGCAGAAACAGTTGTTGGCAAGCCAATAAAAATAAAGAAGACAGGATGTACAACCAGGATGGCCAAGTAATAGTGCAAGATCACATTTGACCAACCATGCAGAAGTCGGGGAGATAAGTGATAAGGACTGACCAGCTCCTGGAGTACATTGGCCAATATGGACTACTAGCTCCAATCTCGTAAACACTTATTGTAACACTCCTGTGCAGTCATGGTAAGTATGTGAAGTGTGGGCGGACTGACCCAAGTGCTGCCAAATGTCCTTTGGTGGCTTGCTGTTGGTCAGGTAGGGACCAACCATGTTTGGTAATAGTCAGTGTCTTTGGTACTTGTCTAGTGCTATTTGGTATCTCCTCAAAGCTTCCCAAATACCTTCCTTAGACCCTAGTGCAGGTGCATGCTCATCAATATGTCTAGTCAGCAGATCCAGATTCACAATACAAGCACAAACCCTTCCATAACAAAGAAGCATAAAGACAATTGGATACTCAAAAATAGAAGATGAACTAGAAAAAGAAAACAAAGATGATGATGCACTTGCGATAGCTCTATGTATAAAAACACAACACAAAACACACCACTAAACACAGGGTAGGTGGGGAACTGACTTTGCTACAAATAGAGAGACCCTTGTAAGTTGTGAGACAGGGTGTGAGATATGTACTGCGAGATATTGAGATATATAGTGAGGTGATGCGAGGTGACGCAAAAATACTCTCATGTGAAACAAAGTAGTGGACTATGGGGCAAGGCGCGAGTGACTGGGGCAACTTCAAGGGCAGCAACAAAGGCCCTGACAATAGCAGTGATGAAGGCAACGAGTGCTAAATCAAGCAAGTGCGATGTTGGTGCGATGCAATATGAGCGAGATCTTTGTGCAAAGTTAAGCTCTAAACAGAGGGGTGTTCAAAAACTGGTGTATTGCAGTGTCATAGGCAGGTATTTATAGTAAGTTGAAGTGAGTATAGTAAACACAAACTCGTAAGGTAAAGTAAATCGATATCGTGCCAAGACCGTAACATAGAAAAATAAAGAAAAACCACATGCAGAGGTGCCCGCAGACCGCAAGGTTCTGTCGCACCACAGTCAAGAGACAAAGTGATATTTAGTAAAGAGGTATAGCAGTGAGACAAGGTAAACTCTAGGAAGGTGGAGGGGCAATGGATCATGGGACCTGTACTACCCAATAAGTGCACATGATAAAGCTCTCTGCGATATCATGTTACAGAGTTGCTCACGGTGCAGTCCATATGGTCAATGCTTGCAAGGCATATGGCAAGAGTGTTACGAAACGCCTTACCTATGCTTACCTATTTTTCTCACCTTCTTGATAAGGACTCGTAGGACCTTTCTCCCGACTATACCTCGTGTTCCTGCTCCATTGATACTTGGTCCGTGCATCTGCTTGTACATATTTATAGATACTGCGGCGCAGTGTGGAAGCCCCAGGCTATCCACTTCTGTCCAATCTAAGAACTGCTGTTCACACAGTCTTCTCTGATTACAAAACACTAGTCTGATCAGTCCCGATCATCCTCTCAAAACTCTCTTGTGTTATTTGTGGCCTAGGATCCTCTCGCCCTGAACAGCCGTTCGTGACATCTGGATAGCCTCTCCACACACAAATCTTACTCCACCTTTTCTTTGCAGCAGAACACCGGCTAGCTACATACGGCGCTAGGCAGTCCCAAAAGACAAGTGTCCGTCGACCGTAGTAGTTACTATACACTTCGAGCGAACGATTGGACGATTCCACTTCAGTATGGGTCGTTTCAGGTTGTAGAATACTTCTATCTGGTAATCAACCCAGTGGAGGTACGATCGAAACAATTGCACTCGACGTTACGTACGGTACTATACCAGAAGCAGAAATACTGTACCCGACCAGGAAGAGCTGCTGTTGCCTTGACCCTCGAACCTTGATCAGGTCGAGACTAGCGCGGGCTCTTTGATCCAACAAGACGACTTCCCAAGGTTCAGGAAGAAGCGTAGGGCGAGTTCTACACGGAACCGACTACTTGAAACACGCCGATACATACGTCCATTTCGGACAACCTATCAGAAGGACATCCAAGGGAAATTGGGTTTACGTAGGAGGACAGAATAGCGGAAAAACAGTTGACGCCCCGCTAGTACCCTGGGAAGACAGGAAAGCACCCCTCAGAACTGTTGATTCCCCCACTCGAACAAGACCCGTCCTATCACCAGTCGACATCCCCAAAGAGGATATTGAAGAGACCCCAATCCCTGCAGGAGTACTAACCCCAGTTGACGAAGAAGACCCGGAACCTACGGCAGGACCGAGTCAACCAAATCCAAATCCAAACCCACGACCAAACCCTCCACCGACCACAGGAACTACAGACGACGAAGACGAAATGTCAGACAGAGGAAACAAACTGAAAGATTTCAACGGCACAAGGTCGAAATACAGAGAATGGATATATGAATGTCACATGTACATTCTCGCCAACCCGACCAAGTACGACACCGACAAGGATAAAACCCTGATGGTGTTGTCATACATGAGGGAAGGAACAGCATCACTCTTCGCCCAGAAGTATTACTTCGACAGGGAACTTCGGGAATACAAGGCGACGGAAACAAGAAAAACATGGGGAACGTTCAAGGACTTCTTAAAAGAGTTAGCCGCTGCATTCAAAGATGAAAGTCTCGAACAGAAGGTGAGACAAAAGTTATTCACGATGAGAATGGGAAAGCGGTCAGCAGACGAATTTGTCACGGACTACCTCATGATGGCAGGAGAAAGCGGATTCAACCTCGAATCCACCGTCGACTACTTCCGCCACGCCATACACCCGGAAATCCTCAAACAGATTTACAGACTTCCCGACATGCCGACGACCATGGACGATTGGGTAAAATATACCCGAAGGTTCAATAATCAATGGAGAGAACTGCAGAGCATAAAAAGCTCTGTACCCTCAGCCGCTGTTCGATCCAGCAATCCCTTTCGCTACAACTCCTCCAACGCTCCTTCCTCCATGAACAACTCTGTTGTCCCTATGGCTGTAGACTCAGTCCGGACAACCCTCACGGACAAAGAACGCAACCGCCTCAGGATGAAGGGTGGGTGCTTTTACTATCGACAGAAAGGACATATGGCAAACCAATGCCCTGTCAGGGGTTCGTCTAGGATACATGAAGGGTCAGCTAGATATGTTCAACAGAGTAGTGGAATGGTGGGAACCGCTCGGCTCAGACCGGCGGCAGGATGGGAGGCGGAGGAGGCGGCTATGGCCAAACGTTCTCGGCAGGAGCTTCAGGCGGTACTCAGGGAGGCACTTCGGCGCAAAGTAGAGGCGTGGCGACGACTAACCCGTTCCGAGCCCGACTCGCAGCTCGCCAAGCTCACGCACCCGGACCGGATGCGCTTGTACGTGAGACGGAGCCTGAGATTAGCCGAGAAGAGATCCAAAGGGTCATTGGGAAGATGAGGTGGGACGAACAGGAAGCACTCCTTCAGGAGTTAAGCGAGATAAGCAAGAAAAAGGAATCGGATTTTTAAATAGGCCTACGGCTCCGGTGTACCGTAGACCTGTCCCAGACCCTCCTGTAAAAACATTTGTACGGCTCACGAAATCCAACCAGAAATCGTCTATGCGAATAAACGTGCACCTAAAACACAGAAAAGGAACCACCGAAGCCCGGGTATTGATCGATTCAGGAGCAGAAGGACTCCTCATCGACAAACAATTCTGCCTAAATAACAACATACCAACGCAGAAAATCGACAGCCCTATCCCTGTGTTTAACGTAGATGGAACAGCCAACGACGGAGGAAAAATCACCGACAAAGCCTGCGTGCTTATGAGGATAACGAACGAAGAAGGCGACTATCACGATGAACAATGCGAACTATTAGCCGCTAACCTAGGAGGCGAAAACGTGATCCTGGGAACAGACTGGCTGCATGAACATAACCCGCAAATTAACTGGGTAAAAAACAGTCTTACGTTTTTAAACTGTGCCACCACGTGTCTAGTCAGCCGGCCTAAGTTTACCATAAAAGCACTAGTACCTACCCGGCAAAGAAAAAACAGGACGATCGGGTATTCCAGAATAGAAGATAACCCGGAAGAAGATGAAATCGAAGATACCTTCTTCTCCGAATTCTACGAGGAATGGTACTACCAGAATCCACTAGAAGTACATCCCCTCGAAGCAATCTATATCGGTTCCATCGGAAACAAGTCGCAACAACTGGCAGAAAAGGCGAACAAGGCAAAAACAGAACGACCTATCGAAGAAATAGTTCCGGCATACGTTCTTAAACGATTTGCCAAGATCTTTAGCCAGGAAGCTTCACAGCAACTCCCAGAACACTCACAATGGGACCATAAAATCGATATGAAACCAGGATGGGAACCAACAGGATGTAAACTATATCCGCTAACAGAAGAAGAAGAGGACCAGCTACACGAAATGCTCCAAGAGCATCTAAAGCGAGGAACCATTCGGATATCTAAGTCCCCGCAAGTGTCGCCCTTTTTCTTCGTAAAAAAGAAGGAAGGAAGTTTACGGCCAGTTCAAGACTATCGAAGACTGAACGAATGGACCATAAAGAACAAGTACCCACTACCCCTAATTGACGACGTAATAAGAACCATCGCCAAATCGAAGGCAAGGATCTTTTCCAAGTTTGACGTAAAATGGGGGTACAACAACATCCGCATAGCAAAAGGCGACGAATGGAAAATGGCCTTCATGACCAAATTTGGCTTATTCGAATGCCTCGTGATGTTCTTCGGCCTTTGCAACTCACCCGCCACATTCCAAACAATGATGAACATCATCTTCCATGACCTCATTGTGGCACAGGTCCTGGCAGTGTACATGGATGACATTTTGGTATTCACAAAAACCATCGAAGAACACCGGCGCGTAACGACCCAAGTTATGCAAATACTCTTGGATAACGACTTATTCCTAAAACCTTCCAAATGCACCTTCGAAACGGACACAGTTGAATACCTCGGATTCATCATCTCCGCGGACAATATATCCATGGATCCCGTCAAAGTTGATGGAATCGCCGCCTGGCCAACTCCAAAGAACCTGAAGGAAGTACAATCCTTCCTAGGCTTTGGAAATTTCTATCGCAGGTTCATCCAAAATTTCGCCGCTACGGCCCGACCCCTCAACGACCTTACAAAGAAAGACGTTCCATTCGAATGGACTCCCGAACGGGACGAAGCATTTGAACGACTAAAGCATTGTTTCATGTCAACTCCCGTCCTTGTCTACCCGGACGGTAATCGCCCATTCCGTCTCGAGACTGATGCGTCCGACTTCGCTTCAGGAGCCATCTTATTGCAAGAAATGCCCGATGATGGATGGCACCCCGTCGCTTACTTATCCAAGTCATTCAATGCGGCCGAACGGAATTACGACATCTTCGATAAGGAACTGCTTGCCGTTATACATGCCCTTGATCACTGGCGCGTATACCTTGAAGGCGCCCGACACCCGTTTGAAATCTGGTCCGACCACAAGAACCTCCTATACTTCTCTACCGCCAGAACTCTCTCCCGCCGCCAAGCACGTTGGTCACTTTTCCTCTCCCGCTTCAACTTTACCCTCGTTCACAAGCCGGGCATCACCCACCGGCCCGATGCTCTGTCCAGGCGTCCAGACCTGAAAGAGGGGGTAAAATTTGACAACAAAAACCAGGTACTACTACAACCACAAATATTCGTCAAAAGTGCAATAGGACGAGGAACAGTCGAAATGCTTGACAGCCAGCTGAGACGAAAGTTAAAAGAAGTCACAGCCAAAGATAAAGAAGTATCAGATGCAATGGAACTCATCAAAATGTCAGGACCCAGAGCACTCTCGAAAGGCCTACAAGAATGGAATTTTGAAGACGATCTCATCTGGCACAGAGGAAAAATATACGTTCCACCAGACGACGAACTTAAACGACAAATCACGAAAATGTACCATGATTCACCAGCTGCGGGACACCCAGGAAGATGGAAGACCTATGTTCTAGTATCAGACAACTTCTGATGGCCAGGAATGTCTATGTTCATAAAAGAATACGTAACAGGATGTGCAACGTGTCAATACACCAAAAACATCACACACCCCACACGCACCCTGCTCATTCCTAACGAAATTCCAGAAGGACCCTGGCAGACAGTCACAATGGACTTCATTACGGATCTTCCACAAGTCGGACCGTATAACGTGATACACGTAACAGTGGACAGAAGCACTAAAGGAGTCATCTACACCCCATGCGACAAAACCATAGACGCCGAAGGAACAGCCGACCTCTACATGAAAAATGTCTGGAGACGATTCGGGCTCCCACAAAAGATCATCTCCGACAGAGGTCCACAATTCGCCGCTCGATTTACAAGAGAACTATGGAATAAACTAGGAGTTACGACAGCGTTGATACGCTAGAGGTGGCTCTAAGTGCCGAGCACAACACCAAAACAACCTCTAATGCAAGGGGGTGCTGGAGCTAGTATCTAATACACAAGGAATTGTTAGTGATGACTTTAGAAATCGATGGCGTACTGAGGAGCAACGGGGAGTATGAGATTATAGTGCCCGAACGGTTTCGGGACTGCGCCGAACACCGACCGAACGTTCGGTCGGTCGTGTCGGGGATTCGGTCGGTAACGAGAAGGTAGTGTCGCGACCGACAACTACGTGCTTCAAGAGCCACACGGGACTCTGACAATATACGAGGGAGGATGGGGGTACGAGCGAAGAGACGAGTACGAACGCGAATGAGGCCGAACGACGAGGATGACAAGTTTTCGGGAGTCGATGGAGACAATTTCGATGGTTGAGACGAGTGCGAATGAGCTCTGAACTGTGGGGTGCGAAAGCTGGTTTATTCCAGAGTTGTATGTAGGTTTTTATAGTAAACAGCGCCCCTAAGTAAAATATCGAACCCGAAATGAGAGTAGATGTCGAATGGGCGCCAAGCCCCAGCGATCAGAGAAGATAGGAAGGTAGGTGAGATGTCCATATGGGTTCCGAAGGTGATAAGGTAAAAGGTAATCAGTGATGTCGAAATCCCGAACGTTCGGGATCCGTCGCCCGAGCGTAGGTAGCAGGAACAGGCGTTGGAGAGCCAATGAAAAATAAAGAAGAGGTGTCGTACGACCGGGGTGGCCAAGTAATGGTGCAAGATCGCGTTTGACCGACCATGCGGAAGTCAGGAAGATAAGCGATAAGGACCGACCGACTCACGGAGGACATCGGCCGATACGGAATACTGGCTCCGATCTCGTAAACACTTATCGTAACACTCCTATGCGGTCATGGTAAGTACGTGAAGTGTGGGCAAACTGACCCAAGTGCTGCCGGACGTCCTTCGGTGGCTTGTCGTCGGTCGGGTAGGGACCGATCGTGTTCGGTAAAAGTCGGCATCTTCGGTACTTGTCGAGCGCTGTTCGGTATCTCCCCAAAGCTTCCCGACGACCTCCCTCGGACCCTAGCGCGGGTGCATGCTCATCAGCGTTATCAACCGCCTATCACCCCGAAACAGACGGCGAAACGGAAAGAGTAAATCAGGAATTAGAACAATACCTGCGAGCGTTCTGCAACTACGAGCAAACGAACTGGCCCGAGCTATTACCATACGCCGAATTTGCACACAACATAAGGGAACATTCAGCCACACACCAGTCACCATTTGAACTCATGTACGGCTATAACCCGACCTTCGTACCCCAAATCGCACCAAGGTCTGACATCCCCGGAGTGGAACTAAGGCTAGAAAGGCTAGAACAACTTCGAAAAGAAACGAAGGCCAGCTTGGAAGTTGCGGCAGAATTAATGAAGAGAAAAACTGCCGAGAACGAAGTCAAACTAGAAGCAGGACAGAAAGTTTGGCTCTCGGGAAAAAACATTACCACTACACACCCAAAGGACAAACTAGCCCCTAAACTACACGGACCGTTCCAAATAGAAGAAAAGCTAGGGCCGATCACGTATCGATTGAAGCTTCCTCCGACATGGAAAATACACCCCGTGTTCCATGCCTCCTTACTTACACCATACAAAGAAACAACAGCCCACGGCCCCAACTTTGAACAGCCACCACCTGACCTGATCGAAGGACAAGAAGAATACGAAGTGGAAGACATTCTCGATAAGAGGAAGCGCGGACGGGGGTACCAATACTTGGTACACTGGAAAGGGTATCCGAGTTCGGCAGATGAATGGATCACAAGGGCAAACCTGGGGAATGCCAAAGAACTTTTGGAAGCATTCGACCAAAGACGCAACGCTTTGCCCTTATGAGAAACCCTGGTAAATATGGAACCACTAAAGCACAAAACGTATAAAAACTCGAATTTGATCCTCACAATTCCCCCAGCACTTCAACCACTCCTTTCTACTCCACACCCGATAAGACATGTCCTCCGACGAATCCCCCTACCTCTCCTCTGCTGACGACACCCTCATCGACGAACGAACGTTGCTCCCCAGTTACCTCCGCTCCCCCACCGTGTCAGAAGCAGGAGACTTCAAGGCTATACTCCGTAACGAAGACACTCCCATGCTCAGCGCGAGGGGACAAGAGTATCGAAGAGAGGAAGCAGAAAGGAGGTATCAGGCTCAAGTCGACGCTGACGCGGCAGAAGAAGCAGCTGCGGCGCAAACCCCCGGATCCCCCGTCATAGACATATCCACATCCTCGTCATCCTCCCCCTCGCCACCCCCTCTGATCCGTGAAGCTAACGAAGGCGTCGTCTTCCCGGATAGGGAAACTTACCTCACAACTCCCGTTGTGTACATGATGGGACTTATTGAAGGAACGCCCAACACAGAGTTCGTGTTGGGACCAACTAGACCGGAGATTCAGAGGGCGTTAGAGATCTTGGAAGAAGAAAGGAGTTTCGTTCGACACACATAGCGAGCTCTGCAGATCAGAGAGGGCACGATCGCCCGTATTAATGCTGGAGAGCGAAAACTCATGGGCTTGCAGAACCTCCAAGACTCCTTTCATCCTGCTGGCGACCCCACTCCCTCTACCAAGTATCACATGCCTACCACGGCTGTGGTATCTCGTGCCTCGTCTTTGGCCTCAAATGGCGCTCCGCTTTGCCCAATGCCGGGGACTTACCCTACAAGGACTGACAGGGAGCGAGACGTATATCGGTTTGCACAAGTCTCCCCCCGCTATCACATCATCCCCGCGCGTCTCGGCCTCATCCGCTCTTCGACACGAACCCGACCTCCTCTTCCCTTCACTGAATACGACTCTAGCAAGTCCGACACCGTGCCCGTTGTACTCTGCCCTCGTGGAGCTTAGAGAACGACAGATGCCTTCGTCCGGTATGACGTAAAACTGCCGGGGCAGACGACGGTTCGAATCTGTTGGGCCGGTACCCACTGCCATGATGAGAAGAGGGACTCAGCTCTAGGACGCAGTCCCCGCATGGTTGGTAACGAGGTGGGGTATCATGACGTCCATACTCAAGGGCTATCGCGTCATGACTCGACTGTGGGCAGCGAGAATTTGTGCCCTAAATATTATTTTGTATGACATGGCTCATGTGCATTGCTTATGTTTTTCTTGGACTATTACTTACCGTCTCTGGCACTGACGGCCTAGAGGGGGGGGTAATGTTACGGAATGCCTTACCTATGCTTACCTACTTTTCTCACCTTCTTGATAAGGACTCGTAGGACCTTTCTCCCGACTATACCTCGTGTTCCTGCTCCATTGATACTTGGTCCGTGCATCTGCTTGTACATATTTATAGATACTGCGGCGCAGTGTGGAAGCCCCAGGCTATCCACTTCTGTCCAATCTAAGAACTGCTGTTCACACAGTCTTCTCTGATTACAAGACACTAGTCTGATCAGTCCCGATCATCCTCTCAAAACTCTCTTGTGTTATTTGTGGCCTAGGATCCTCTCGCCCCGAACAGCCATTCGTGACAAAGAGCTTGGTGAGGTCTTTGCAAGTGCAGCAGGCTCAAGGTCATTGTGCAATATGCATGGGGGCTGAGTAAGATGATACAAGGCGATGACTGAGGGGTGTGAGACAAGACCACGTCAACTCAATACCATAATGCTGAGATTGTAGTGAGTGTCGGAGGGAATTGCTCTGGGCTGCGGGGTCACCTGGCAGTGTCTGGGGTATTCCCTGAGGTCAGCATGCTAGTGCTTGTAGAACTGTGAAAAATGGGGTCCCAGCACTTAGAGAGGTGGCATGCTCATTAACAAAAACTTCTTCCCTGAATTCTACAAAGAATGGTATAACAAAGACCCATTTGAAATACACCCACTCGAAGCCATCCATGTCAGGTCTACCTACAGCAAGTCACAAGAACTAGCAGAAGCAGCAAACAAGAAAAAGGAGATGAACGTACAATAGAAGAAATAGTTCCTATGTACATCCTTAAATGCTTTGACAAAGTCTTTAACCAAGAAGCCTCACAGAGGCTCCCCAAACACTCGCAATGGGACCATAAAATTGACATAAAGCCAGGATAGAAACCAAGTGGATGTAAACTATACCCTCTGACAGAACAAGAAGAAGACAAACTATATGAAATGGCATAAGAACACCTGAAATGAGGAACCATAAGGGTATCCAAATCCCCACAAGCCTCTCCATTCTTTTTCATAAAGAGAAAGAAGGAGACCTTAGACCAGTTCAGGATTATAGAAAGCTAAATGAGTGGACGATAAAGAACAAATACCCCTTATCCCTGATCAATGATGTAATCAGAACCATCACAAAATTAGGAGCAAGGGTGTTCTCAAAGTTCAACATCAAATGGGGATACAACAACATCCATGTCATAGAAGGAGATGAATGGAAAACAGCATTCTTAACCAAATTTGGCCTATTTGAATGCCTTATCATGTTCTTTGGTCTCTGCTACTCTCCGGCCACATTCCAGACCATAACAAACATCATCTTCCATGACCTCATCATCACACAAGTTATGGCAGTATACATGAACAATATCATCATCTTTATGAAAACAGTGGAAAAACACCGACAAGTAATAATCCAAGTAATGCAGATACTCCTGGATAACAACCTATTCCTAAAACCCTCCAAATGCACATTCAAAGTAGACATGGTTAAATACCTTGGCTTTATCATTTCTGCGGACAACATAGCCATGGACCCAGTCAAAGTCAAATGAATTTTCAAATGGCCAACTCTGACTAACCTAAAAGAAGTACAATCCTTCTTAGGTTTCAAAAACTCCTACTGGAGGTTTATCCAAGACTTTGCTACAATAGCACAACCCCTAAACAACCTCACAAAGAAGGACACTCCATTTGTATGGACAGAAGAATGCAACACGGCATTCAAAACCCTCAAACTTTGTTTTACTTCAACACCAGTACTAATTTATCCCAATGGAAACTGACCATTCTGACTTGAAACCAAAGCCTCAGACTTTGTGTCAGATGCCATTTTATCACAAGAAGTCCTAGGTGATGGCTGGCACCCAGTAGCCTATTTATTGAAATTGTTTAATGTGGCAGAACGGAACTACGGCATCTTTGATAAAGAACTGTTAGCCATTATATACACCCTGGACCACTGGCATATTTACCTCAAAGGCACATAATATCCATTTGAAATATAGTCAGACCATAAGAACCCTCTTTACTTCTCCACAGCCAGAACCCTCTCCCACCAACAAGCACTCTAGGCTCTCTTCTTGTCACGCTTTGACTTCACACTAGTGCATAAACCTAGTGCTTCCCACTGCCTGGATGCTCTATCCCAGCATCCAGACCTAAAGAAGGGGGTGAAATTAGACAACAAAAACCAGATACTGCTAAAACCCCAACTTTCCATCAAGAGTGCAACAGGAAGAGGCATAGTCAAGATGCTAGACAGACAACTCAGACAAAAATTGAAAAATGTTATAGCAAAAGACAAAGAAATAATAGAAGCAATGGAAGTCATCAAGGCAGCAGGACCAAGAACACTTACAAAGGGACTACAAGAATGGAGCCTAGAAGACAACCTCATCTGGCATAGAGGCAAGATATATGTTCCACCAAATGATGAACTAAAAAGAAAAATAGTAAAAATGTACCATGACTCACCTGCAATCAGACACCCAGGATGATGGAAGACATATGTCCTAGTATCAGACAACTTCTGGTGGCCTGGAATGTCAACATTTGTAAAAGAATATATAACAGGATATGCCACATGCTAAAACACCAAGAATATCACACACCCTACACTTGTTCCACTAATTCCAAATGAAATACCAGAAGGACCCTGGCAGGTGGTTATAATGGACTTTATCACAGATATTCCACAGGCTGGACCATATAATGCAATACATGTAATAGTAGATAGAAGCACCAAGGGAGTCGTCTACACCCCATATGCAAAGACCATAGATGCAGAAGGAATAGCTGACCTCTACATAAAAAATGTCTGGAAACAATACGGACTTCCAAGAAAGATCATCTCAGATTGAGGCCCGCAATTTGCCCCCAGATTCACAAAAGAACTCTGAAGGAAGCTAGGAGTACTAATGGCCTTGTCCATGGTATACCAGCTAGAGACAGATAGAGAAACAGAAAGAGTAAATCAAGAATTGGAACAATACCTCCGAGCATTCTGTAATTACAAACAAATGAACTGGCCTGAACTCCTACCATATGCAGAGTTCACACACAATGTCAGAGAGCATTCAGCAATGCACTAATCCCTGTTTGAACTCATGTATGGCTATAACCCATCTTTTGCACATCTGATAAAACCAAGATCCGATATTCCCCACATAGAACAAAGATTAGAAAGACTAAAGCAATTACAAAAAGAAACAAAAGCCAGCCTAGAAGTTGCAGCAGAACTAATGAAAAGGAAACCCACTTGGAACGAAGTCAGACTAGAAGCAGGACAAAAAGTTTGGCTCTTGGGAAAAAACATAACCATAACACAGGTGATGTTTTGGACATGGAGGTCCATACTAGTGATCAGAGTGGTATTGAGTACAATAGATGTTGATCTATATGGTTTTTCATTTATTGAGCAAGCAATAGCAATTGGAATGTTTTAATTTATGAGATTTATTTTTATTTAATTCAAACCATGTCAATAAGTAAATGATATGTCTATATATGGAATCAATGTGGCTGGGCACATGCATATCTGCGTGATCCAGATTTCACAATTATTGTCAGCATATTACGGAGACCAAGTTACTGGTGCGGGATAAAATGCGTAATGACTCGGTCAGGCACACTAAGAGTCATCCGACCGATTCGGGGAGCAGAACTGGAGCGAGGCCTGAAAGTGACCTGAAGAAAGACCTGAAGCCCTCAGATAGCGTGCAGTGCGCTTCGGTCCGCACTTTTGTCACCTTCAAACTATGGGACACCTGATCACTCTCGCAACGTATGTAAATTTAAAGAAAATCTCCTGGTGCAGCTTCTTACATCTACATAGATGGTATGTTCATGGCTGTGATACGAAGGCACCAAGTATAGACCTATTATCTACAGCTCTTTGAATCAGTGGGCTCTGGACTTCCAGGTAAGCTACAAATGCTTCCATTTGATGACGATAATAATGCCGAAATCATGAAGGGAAACTTGGATCGGATCCTAGCAAGCATCGCGATCGCGAAGGAACGCGGCGCAACGTTGAGAGTTGGACCAGAACTTGAAGTACCGTGAGCAGACCTTGCACACCCCGGTCCCATCCAATCCGATTACTGAACTAAAATGGTAGAGGTTATGGGTGCCTTGACCACTTTCTGGAAGGCATGTACGGCATGCGCGACTGTCGAGGTGTCAAATACGCTAACTATCTCCTCAGGCGATACTGTGCTGCACTCTTGGGAAGTTCTGGCCAAGATCCTTGCATCTGAAGACGTAACAGATATTGTTTGCGACATTGGAATGTGCGTCTTTGAAGTTCGCTCCATCAAATCTATTGCTCACGGTGATAGCCTAGGCCTGTCACTCACAAGAACGTCATCTATAACTGTCGAGTCATCATTCACGACAAGAAAATCCTCATGATTCGACCAAAGATGTGGCTTGCTAATGACGGCAATTATCGTGAATTGAGATTTTTCGCGCCATGGCAGAAACATCGTCAATGGGAAGATCATTACCTACCGCGCATCATCCAAGCTGTGACGGGCCAGGCAAGCGCATTCTTCGAATACTGCATGGCACCTTACAGTCATATTTTCGAAGATCAAAGTCCCTTTCGGTGATTGCGTCATTAGTACTGTCGATACGTGCATAGGTGTGGAGCTATGTGAGGAACTGTTCACTCCAGCGAGGTCTGCTTTTTCCTCGGGTCTCATGCCTCAACAACAATACTAACCCGCCTAGACAGCCCTCACATCCTCATGGGCCTTGATGGGGTTGAGATATTTACGAACTCGAGCGGAAGTCATCATGAACTACGAAAGCTCCACACTCGAGTCGATCTAATCAAGGAAGCAACTCAAAAGGCACGTGCATTCAACGCTTGTATTTTTAGAGGCAACTAAATGTCTTTATACTAGCTCGGAGGTGTATATTTGTATGCTAACCAACAAGGCTGCGATGGAGATAGGCTTTATTACGATGGGTGCGCGATGATAGCCTTGAACGGGCGCATCATAGCCCAGGGGTCGCAGTTTTCTTTGAACGACGTAGAAGTTGTCTCAGCGACTATAGACATCGAAGACGTACGCGCACATAGAGCGAGAAGCAGCCGAAACATGCAGGCTGCTGGTGCGGAACGGTATCATCGTATTGAAGCACCAATAGCGCTGTCTGGCGGGAAGTTCAATGAGATAGAAGAGTATAACAAGGCGCAGACCTTTCAAGTAAGATTTCACAGACCGGAAGAAGAAATTGCGTAGGTGTCCTATTCAAATGTGCTTTTTCGATGCCTTTCTCATCATATCTCGTAGTCTCGGCCCTGCGTGCTGGCTCTGGGATTATTTACGCCGTTCAAGAACACAGGGCTATTTTGTACCCCTCAGCGGTGGTATTGATAGCTGTGCAACCGCCGTGATTGTGTACTCGATGTGTCGTCTTGTAGCTGATGCAGCACAGAGGGCAGGTATGCTTGATGTCAGGCGTTTATTGCATCTGTATATGACTGACGAGCACACAGACAAACAGGTGATTCAAGATGCCAGGCGTATCGTAGGCGAGCCAGACGATTCTGGCTACATCCCCTCAGACCCGAAAGAATTCTGTGGCCGCATTTTCCATACTTGTTATATGGGCACTGAGAACTCTAGCGCAGACACACGCCGTCGTGCCAAGGAGCTCTCAGAAGCCATCGGGAGGTCAGTTCTCGGGTGTTGATTCGGTGAAAATGACTGACCATTGCCATTGTGTAGCTATCATATTGATTTGAACATGGATACCATCGTCACAGCAGTTCGGAATTTATTCTCCTTTGTCACTGGGGTGAAACCTCAATTCCGCGCTCACGGAGGATCCAACGCTGAGAACCTTGCGCTGCAAAACATCCAAGCGCGGCTTCGTATGGTCTTAGCATACATGTTCGCACAGCTGTTGCCTTGGGTTAGGGGTAAGGCTGGAGGACTGCTTGTTTTGGGGAGTGCAAATGTAGATGAGAGGTCAGTATATTTCGCCAGAGAAAATATCTCATTGACGAAGCGTGATTTTTCAGCTTGCGAGGCTACTTGACGAAGTACGATTGTTCCTCGGGTGAAGACCTCTCTTCATGGTACCCTTTGCATCTGCTAACTCTCTCATGAATATTTCAGCGGATATAAACCCGATTGGTGGTATCAGTAAGACGGACCTCAAAAAGTTCATTGCGTATGCGCAGGACACGTTCGATTTACCTATTTTGGCGAGGTGACCATTCCGCTCCTCTCAATTTTTGGCAGTAAGATAATCCTTGCCTTCAGTTTCTTGGACGCTGTCCCGACAGCAGAGCTCGAACCTATCACAGAGACCTATGTCCAAGCAGATGAGGTCAAAGAGCCACCAAAATACATATTTTTCTTCCCCATACTCACGCCAGAACACTGTCTTGCAGGCCGACATGGGAATGACATACGACGAGCTTTCTGTATTCGGCAGACTACGGAAAGTTGAGAAATGTGGACCGTACAGCACGTTCACCAAGCTTGTCCACGAATGGGGATCGTTCTTGTCTCCGACCCAGGTCTGTCTCAGTCCTAATCAGCACGCAAGTCAACCAACCTGATCTCATTGTCCTGCTAGATTGCCGAGAAAGTCAAGCTCTTCTACTTCGAATACGCCCGTAACCGTCATAAAATGACTACATTAACGCCTTCATATCACGCAGTACGTTGTGCGCATATTAATGAGAAACTTGTCTAATAAGATATTTTGATGCAGGAATCTTACAGCCCAGATGACAATCGTATGTCGTATCTGACCTAACCCCAAAAATGACTAAAATCTTTCCACAGGCTTCGATTTACGCCCATTCTTATACCCTTCCCGGTTCCCGTGGCAATTCAAGAAGATCGACGATATCGCAGCTGTCCTTCCCGACAGATCGGGCAAGGAGGAAAAGGCAAAGGAAGGATAAAGGCGAGCGAAATCGTTCAGCAGAGATGTATTGGGCATGTACGATGTGGAGAGAAATTAAAGCGAAAAAATGAATCCATGAATGGGGTCCGTCTAAAAGTTCGGAAGATCAGGGAATGTACAAATACAGATGACGTGTCCGGGATAAGTTACACACAGCAGTCGACAGAGAAAGTAGGAATTCCGACACTGATGTTATGATGCTGTGCGGAGGAATCGAGAGAACGTGCTTTGAATGGCGATCTTCTTCATGATGGTTGGTTCCTCAGCTGTGACAAAGAGAATCAGTCCCTCAAACTCCCGCAGATTCATGGTCGAAAGACTTACGATCGGTCAGATTTTCATCCTTGACCTTGCGCTTGATGCTGTCCATCACCTCCCCAACCGCCGACCGATCTAGATCACCGCGAGCCTTCATCAGGCCCTCTACGAAGGCGATGTTTGGTCCGTGCACTTTCGCGAACGACCAGAACGATAGGAAGACCAGGCTCTTCGAGGCTTCGAGCAAAGCCAGGATCATCTCTACGACTTCAAAATACGACTCGAGTTCCTTTGCAGGCTTGAGCGTGCTGAAGAACGAAAATGCTTCGCTGACGTCCTCTTTGATCCGGTTCGTCGCCGCAGGTATCTTTAGTTTTGGTGTGTTAGCGAGTGCTGTCAGATAAGACACCAAGAATGTATCGAGGAGGTCTTCGACGAGGAGCTCGAGGAGCGACGAATTGAGGTAGGTCTGATAGTCCGTCATATAGTCCCGCATCGTCTCCACGATTTGCCGCGTGATGCCGTCGTACCAGGTAGCCTGGAATAGTTGTTTCGACGCGGGCTTGAGGTCGTTGAAGATGATATCGATGAGTGTTTGAGTACATTTCTTCGCGACATCGAGATAGCCATCAATGGCATCGTTCAGTCGCTCGTTGATCGTGACTCGGTATTTTTCTGACACCAGAGGCTCGATTCGAGCAGAGAGCGCCTCTGCATAGTCAGCAGACTTGATCTGATCGTTCGCCAGAGCAATAATATACTCGACAAGGCCACCGGGAACCTCCTCCGGTTTCTCCGTGTGCTTTTTGTATTCGGCCTCAATGAGTTTCGTCCACTGGTCTTGGATACCCCGCATGACCCGGTTGACTTCCGTGATAACCCGAGCGAGAATAACGCCCTGCCCGCTCTCCGTGGCCGCGTCCACTTGCTGGTTGACCATCTGGAAGAGGATGACTGCCCCTTGCGTTCCGTATAGCCCATCTGAGTCCAGCTCGGGAGGTTCGGCGCGCGTTGTGAATTCCTCAACTTCTGTTTTCATGAGATTGGCAGTCCACTCGTCCAGCTTCTTGACGATGAGTGCAAGGTAATTCTCGATCAACGATTGTTCCTTGCCGTCCAATATCGGCGGCTCTAGTAACTCGGGAGGAATCTCGAGCTCTTTCATGCTCTTCTTGTACTCCTTGAGCCAAGCGTGTAGGACGAGGAGCGCGCTTGCCTCGGGTTCGGAGGCTACAAGGCGTTGGACGGTAGCGTTGAGCGCTTTGTGGTATTCGCGAACGAAGTGGGAGTAGATGTCCCAGTCAGGAGGGAAACACGGGACAACGTCGCTTTCCACGCGGATGATGTCCTGGTATATCCACCCTAGACCTTCGAGAAATGCGTTTGGGTCGTTCTCATCGCGCGTATACGCTTCATCGAATTTTCCCTTGATCGAATCCGTGATGTTTTTCGTGATCTTGGAACGATAGTGCTTGATGATACGAGCGTTAGCCTGCATGGATTTGAACTTTGACGCGGCGTCCATTTTGGCAGCTTTTTTCACGAGACGGATAGCAATAGCCTATTCAGTCACTCAGTGACGAGAGTCCGTCAACTGTTGGTTTTACACACCTTTTCATCCTCTCTCCCCTCTATCTCAGCTATCTTGACAAGTTTCACGATAACTTCGGGGTGGCCTGCCCGAATGATAGGAAGGACGTTCCGCGCCAGTTCCATAATATGCTCATCGAATGCCTCGATGAGCCCGTTGAGGCGCTCGAACATCCGATGCAACGTGGCGCGAGACGGCCCAGACGCCTTCTTCGCTTGATGCAGAGTCTGGTTTCGAAAACCCTCCAGTTGGTTAATTTGGTAGTGAATGTAGAGTAGGTTGGGAGCAGAGCCGTATATGTCATTTGAATCAGCAGACAGTTTGTCCTCTAGCAGATCTAGCTTCGAGTTCATCTGAACGAGATTATTGACAATTTCCTCGGTTTGCTCGAAATTACGATGTACCATAGATACCTGGCAGCACACATGAGCCTCAGTGACCATATACCCAATACGAGACAGCTCACTCGACTGATCTGGTCAAACGTCGCAACGTTGTTCTGAGGGTCACTGCACAGACGGTCGACGGTCTCCATCTCGTCCTTGATGGCCTGCACATTATCTCTCGTGCCGAATAGTTTTCGCAGGCTCTCCCTCGTTGAGTCCAGCTGTTCCTTGACACCACTCTTCAGCCGGGTGTCAATCGAAGCCTTCTCCTTCTCCAGTTTCTTGCGGAACGCCGCAATTTTCATGAGGTCGTCGGGGGACTGGAGGTACTCACCGATAGCCTGCGCGGCGGATATCGAGGGGGCGGACATTTTATGGGCTGCCTATTATCATAGGTGTCTGTGCTGCGTAACGTAAGTCAATTGGCTGTGTTTCGGCGATCGCTCTCACAATAGTCTTCCGCCTCGCCTGTCACGAGTCACAAATTTGTCACTGTGACGATCACACAACTCAATACGATAGGTCACAGAAGTATCGACAGCACCGCAGCAATCATGTTGCGTTCGACGCGTTTGCTGTCCTCTCCTAGGCATCAACTATGTTCAGCATGTAGTGTCTCGAGGCGACTATTATCAGATGCTTCTTCCTCAAAACCAACACCGCAGGATTGCGATGTTGTCATTGTCGGAGGAGGGCCTGCTGGCTTGGCCCTCGCGAGCGCGTTAGGTGTGCTATAATACTATTCTCCTCTTCATATAAGACAAGTAAACGTGTTCAAAATCAGCGGCGTCTGAGGCTGCCAGATCAACACTCAAGGTGGCGTTGGTCGAAGCTAGCGATCTTGGGAAAGTTCGCCATTGGACCATGCCCATGGATACGTTTTCGAACAGAGTCAGCTCTCTTACAAACGCGTCACAAGGTTTCCTGCAAGGTGAATATACTCACATATCTGAGATGACAACAGCATGAACAAATCGTATGAAGATATTGGTGTTTGGGATCAGGTTGAGACCGACCGGACATGCCCAATCGAAGATATGCAGGTACGCTCCCTCCATCTCCTTACGCGGAAGTACTCAACACACATACCCGACACAAGGTATGGGATGGTGTCTCTGATGCTCGCATCAACTTTAACTCCATCGAAATGGGCCTTGGACGAGCCATAGGCACTCCTCAGATGGCGCGCTTGACCGAGAACCTGAACCTGCAACGAGCACTCCTTCGCCACATCGGTGGTAACCCAGCAACACAACTACTTGATAAAACAAAAGTACACTCCATCAGCAGAGATGAACATGAAGGCGGAGGATGGCCTTTAGTATATCTTTCTGACGGAAGGGTGCTACGAGCACGTCTCCTGGTAAGTAGCAAACTAGCACATCTGATGCGTGGACAATACATGTCCTCGACTCAGCTTGAATATTTAATGTGGGGGTCATAGAGGGCTAGAAATTTGCTCAGACCATATTGATTTGTGTCCATTCACAGGTTGGGGCAGATGGCTTTAACTCTCCTGTCCGCGCTTACGCTGGAATTCAATCGTATGGTTGGAACTACCCGACTCATGCGATTGTTGCTACGCTTCTACACTCCCCTCGCTCTTTCATGCCCAACACCACAGCCTACCAACGTTTCCTCCCCACCGGCCCCATCGCATTTCTTCCCCTGTCACCTACAGCCTCCTCACTCGTGTGGTCGACGACGCCGTCGCTTGCTGCAGCTCTCGTCAAGTCCGACCCAGTCGTCCTTATGCGCATGATTAACGCAGCCTTTCGTCTCCCCGAGGTGTCGATCCGATATATCCACGGTCGAATCCTGGAAGCCCAGCAATCCGACAAACTGCTTACTGCTGAAGAAATAATAGATGAGATTGCGTGGAGGGAGCGCTCGCATAACATCGACGGCCACTCGGCACACGCTTCTGCATCCGTCGACCTCTCTTCTATCAATGTTGGTGTACCGCCCATCGGCGCGGAATTGTTGCCTCCGCTGGTGGAAGGCATACAATCGGGAACCGTGGCATCATTCCCCCTACGCTTCAATCACGCCGAGTCGTACATCGGCGAAGGGCCAGGTGCACGGACAATCTTGGTCGGAGACGCAGCGCACACGGTGCATCCCCTCGCCGGACAGGGTCTCAACCTAGGCCTCGCGGACGTTAAATGTCTTGCGCGGTGCATCGAAACCGCAATCCTCCGAGGCGGCGATATTGGTGAGTTGGCTCTGGTGCACATACTGCGCCAACATATCTGATCATTTGCATGGTAAGGCTCGCACACTGCCCTCGCACCATATGCACGTGAGCGTTATTTCGAGAACCACAAGATGATGTCCATGGTCGACAAGCTGCACAAGCTTTACTCTACCACCTTCGAACCGGTCGTCTGGGCGCGATCCGTCGGAGTAGAAGTCCTCAACGAGCTAGACACCCTTAAAGCTGCGATCATGATGTCCGCTGGCGCGTCAGCTCGCGATACACAAGCGAGGGGCGGCGCCTCGGCGTGGAATTTTACTGCGAGCCTGTTTGAGACAATGGCAGGGAGTGCGCGGTTCGCTGAGGTAGCTGGAGCAGGGTTGCGCGCCACAGCGATTGGGGCATTGCAGCAATTTGCGAGGGCTGCCACCCAGAGTCAACAGTCCGGGCATTCAGGTAGATAGGAGCGTGTGTTGTCGTATCTAGGTCTCTTACCACAACTCATTCGAAACCTGCAACTCCTTCCTGTCAAAAAGAGAAAGTTGAAAGGTAGCCCATGCTCAAAGTCATGTTGCATATTAATCAAGACGCCCTACCGGGAATGATGGGAAAACCCTGGTTAATGTTCTAATTTTTGCGGTTCCGATAGCTCAGGGTCCTGCTGGACGCAAGCTACCTTGTAGCCAAGTCGACACCGTGGGCGCTTGAGGCCCCAGAGCCGAATAAACCTCATATGAGATCTGAGCTAATCGCAACGATCACACGCTGCGCAGAATCCAAAGACACAGGTTGGAAATATTGGGAAGACCCTAATCCAACTCCTGGTCTGACCTGACCTTTTGGGATACCGACAGCTGATGGGATTCTTGTGCAGATCGACTTAGCTATTATATATCTGTGGTGATACCTGGATAGCGTCAGGCAGCGAAAATCTTCGAGAAATACTTCTCCAATCCATCTGCTCCCCTAACAATCCCTCCAACTACTCCATCGGGCCTCACAATCGCAATGATTGTCTCTCCCGGCGTAGTAGGATAAGCCGAATATGCATGACCACGCTTGTCGATTAAAGTGAAGTCGACACCATCAACTGCACTCTGCAAAGAACTTTGTGGGTACACCACGACCGAGCGCACTGCATCTTTTGAATAGCGAGCAAGGGCCTTCACAACCGAGACAGCATCTTGGCTCTGGTTGGTGAAGATGATGATCGTATGGTGGTCAGCGCCGTAGATGTCGAACAGCCGCTTGTGTTTCCCGGTTTCGAGACTGACGAGCTCGCTTGCGTCATGTGCGCGGTCGCCAGCATGCAGCCTCTCGCCTTCGCCGACCACATAGGTGGACGAATTTTCCTGCGCGGGCACTTGCTCCTCGGCATTGAGCTCGTCTCGGACGAATGAGCTCCAGCGATAATGAACCCCAAGCTGATTGAGCGAGGAAGATCGCTGCCAGGGCCTAGCGTCTGTCGCTTTGCGATTGGGATTGACAGTGATGTTCAAGAGGGCTGTCGTACGGTCCAACATCTCCTTGATCACTGGAAGACGTTCTTCCGTGTACGACGCGAGGAGAGATGGCGTAGACAGGTTTTTGAGTACAAGAGCGAGCTTCCAACCAAGGTTGAACTGAGGTAGTATTCAGCGTCGGTGTGATGGTGTGGACGATGAGGGAATAATACTCACAGCATCCATGACACTAGAATTCATGCCCTGTCCTCCTGTCGCACTGTGGACATGAGCAGCATCTATCGAAATAGGATAAGCAAATTCTTGTCAGAGACGAATCTCGGCAAAACAACGTTTCGGACGCACCTCCGGCCACGAAAATCCTCCCTTGCTGAAAGGTACTAACCATCCGGATATTAGGCCTAGTGAAACAAAGTGGACAATGATTAACAATGAAGCTGAGGGTCATTTCCGATAGGGCCGCAAGGGCAAACCTGTAATTTGCGAGGGACTCCATTCTTCCAATCTTCAGGTTGGGGCGCTTAGTGATGTCATGAATATGCTTGGCGATATAATCATGGTCTTCGAGCGCCTTCTCGATATCAAAGGTGAGGCCAGTACACGTGAGAAAGAATATATTTTCTTTGAAACGGTTGGTGGGGCGGAGCATCACGCTGTTGTGATAATTGAGCAGATGAAACGCGAATGACGATAACACTAGAGGATAGTTCGCACCTATTGTGCGGCATCTCTCCGAACTTGTGCCAATGCTGCGCAAAGGAGCTCTCAGAGTTTTGACGAGCCTGTTCGAATAATGGAGGCTTACGGCGTTGTCTAATCCTTCAATCTCGATGTCGCCGATCAAGACGTGCATCTTGTCTCTGGTTTCACCCAGAAACTCCAGACCCAGGAGTTTTCGCACAATACCTAGGATGCGATGAGTACGCCGCCAAGGGATATTCATACTAGGGCCGCACCTTTGGCGCCATCAGCACCAATGAGATACTTTACATTTTCAACGCTCGTAGTTTGTTTCTTCACCAGGGTAGCGGTGACATGGTCATCATGCTGTTCGAAACCCACCAACTCAGTTTCGAGCTCGACTTCGACACCGTACTTCTTGAGGTGATTACGCAAGACTCCACAAGCAGCGTCTTGTCCTAACGCCAATGCGTCGCGCTGTTCAGAGAAGATCACAGAGGAAACAATACGATCAGAAACAGGCCCGTTTGCCGCAATGGCCAAAGGCATACCTCAGGAATATTGGGGGTAGGCCCCTGATAGGGTATCATGGAGAATGTCTTCACTGGGTGTCCGTCCGCATCGTATTCTTTCAAGTCCATGAAAGGAGTTCCTAACTCCTTGATATCGTCGAGGACGCCCAAGAAATGGTAGATCTCAAGCGTTCGAGGCTGTAAGAGAGCAGTGATAGCTCTGCATTAGCGTCTAGTAGGTTTATTTGCCCGTGTTCACTCACCATGATGCCAGCTCCTCGTTGACCAGCGGGATAATCTGACAATTTCTCGACCACCCGGACTGAGATGCCATTCTGGGCGAGAGTGAGGGCACATACAAGGCCAGTGGGGCCTGAGCCAATCTGAGAAAGAAAAGATTTCAGACATAGTAAGTCAATAACATGCAGATAGCAGTACTCACAATCAAGACATCAGTGGATGACATGGTCGAAGATCGAGTGGTTTAGTATCAGGAAAAAACAGGTACACAAGCCTGCAGGTAAGACGCGGATTGGGTTCCTGAGAAACCTGCAGATGACGACGGTACTTATACTCTTCTCACTCAATATAAATCTATATAGATGCTTGATTGCACTTGTATCATCTATAGACGCTGGCGCGAAGGTGCCTATCGACTCGTGATGGGAGTGCCGTCTGCCTGTATCACCACTGTCGACACGGGGTTGCGTATTGCTTCGGCAGCACTCCGATTCGAATCACTGCGCAATTATTGAAGTAGACTGGTGACCTTCGCGGGATCGAAGTCTAGAGTCACTGATATTCAAGCCGAGTAGTAGTACTATATTAGTATGTACACGTATGCATCGGCGGAGTTATAGCGCGTACACGTATTGGGCTGCGGGAAGCTGTTGGAAAGAAAAAAGAGTCAGTAAAGTAAAGGAAAACGCGACGCGCGCTTCCGTTGTCGGCCAGACGCCACAAGTGCGCCACTCACTGAGATTTCCCAATCAGTTCACTATCGCATACCAACCCTGCAGCTAATGTACAAGATAGATTGAACTCAACATATAAGATCAAAATAAGATACAGAGAAATGAATGTCGAATAAGGAACGGGACAATGCTTCGCATAGGGGCCCAAAAACGCGCGCGACTACTGAACAATAAACAAAGTCCCTTAAACAGCTTCGTGCATCTCCACAGGCAGCTGGTCATATCCCACATGGCGGCCCCTGCCACCTCTAAACACGCTCCCCACACGCTCGAACGCGCCGCCCATGGCATTCCATGCACTTGACCAGACACTGTCGTGCTCGACGGCCTCGCCGGGCATCAGGCTCTCCGCTGGGCGCACCCACCACTTGAGCGCCAACGAGCTCGTGACGACGCTGACGGAACTGAACGCCATCATCGCGCCGGCCATCATTGGGTGCAGGTGGAGACCGAACGGGAGGAAGAGACCCATGGCAAGCGGGATGCCGAGCACATTGTACACGCATGCCCAGATGAGGTTACGGCGGATGGTGGCGAAGATCGAGCGCGAGAGGTGGAGCGCGGCAACCACGTCGAGCAGGTCGGAGCGCATAAGGACGATGTCCGCGGCCTCGATGGCGACGGACGTTCCAGAGGAAAGGGCGATGCCGACAGTGGCAGCTACGAGAGCCGGAGAGTCGTTGATACCATCACCGACCTGAACGAATTAAAACCATATGAGCTCCTTGCTGTGCGTCGAATAAAGACGGTAAACGGGCCTATCACTCACCATCGCCACTGCCCCCTTCTGCATTAGCTCGGTAACAACCGATGCCTTGCCTTTCGGACTCATGCTCGCCCATACGCCCTCCGGTTTGATACCAACCTGTTGTGCGATAGCCAAAGCAGTCTCTCTACCATCACCCGTCATCATATTAACCTCGATGCCCATGTTCTGCAGAGCCCTGATAGCATACTTGGACGAAGGTTTCGGTGCGTCCGCAAGCGCGATAGCAAGCACGGGAATTGGGTGAGAAGTCGACGATGCAATAGAGACATAAATCAGGGTGCGTCCCTTGACCGCTTCACGAGACTCGAAGCCAGAGAGAACCGAGGGGAGATATCCATCATCGGATTGTGTAATGAAACGGGGAGTGCCCACCCAGATGGTGTACTTGTCTGGTAGCCCAGGCGCAGACCTGGACAATTTGATAGTGGCGGTGACACCTTGCCCGGTGACGCTCTCGAATGTTTCTATCTCGGGTTCCTGCGCACCGCTGTAGCCCCTCAGCAGGTCCTTGCCCCAAACGGCAACAGCTTTGGCAAGAGGGTGTTCGGAACGGGCCTCGGTAGCGGACAGCATCGCAATGATCGCGGCGCGGGATGTGGCACCATCCGCTGCCGTCGCGGTCAAAGAAGCTATCTCCATCTGTCCGTCTCCCGAAGCTTGCCCCTCGCCCGATTCATGCGTGAGCGCCCAGGCAACACCCGCGACAGTCAACTTGCCCTCCGTGACCGTTCCTGTTTTATCAAGTACGACACGCTTTAGATGACGGCTGGCCTCCAAAGCCCGTCCACCCTTGATGAGGATACCATTCTTCGCGCCCATACCTGTGCCAACCATGATGGCGGTGGGTGTGCTCAGGCCGAGGGCGCACGGGCATGCGACCACGACGACCGAGATACAGAGCTGAAGACAGACGGAGAGTTTAGTCGCACCATGCTCGTGGAACATCATCGGGAGCGCTGCTTCGTCGGAGAAATAAGAGACGCCCATCCATCCGACGAACGTTACAACGGCGAGCGAAATGACGACGGGTACGAAGTAACCTGCCACTTTGTCTGCAAAAGCTTGGATCGGGGCTTTGGAAGTTTGGGCATCCTCGACGAGCTTGACGATCTGTGCGAGCGCAGTGTCCTTGCCGGCACGGGTGACGGTCATGTCAAACGTGCCGAGGCCGTTGACAGTGCCGCCGATGACGCTATCTCCTGGTTGTTTGAGCACGGGGACTGGCTCGCCGGTGACAGCGCTCTCATCAATGCTCGACGAACCCTTGATGACTGTGCCATCTGCAGGGACCTTGTCTCCTGGGACAAGCTTGACGATGTCACCAACCTGAACAAGTTCCGTAGGTATCCGCTTCTCCTGAGTGCAGGCAGGAGCATCCGTGTAAATTGTCGCCATGGAAGGAGTAAGAGCCATGAGATCAGTCAAGGCTGCGCTCGTCTTCCCCTTCGCCGAGTTCTCCAAATAGCGGCCGAGGGAGACGAACATGATGAGCATGGTGCTGGTATCGAAAAAGATGAGGGGTATGAAGTCCGGTTCCGGATTCCACATTGCGAAAAACATTGCGAAGACAGAGTAAAAATACGCCGCCGAGGTGCCCAACATTACCAATACATCCATGGTCGCCGATTTATGCTTCAAGGCCTTCCAGGCATTGATGTAAAACTTGCGCCCAATCCAGAATTGCGAAGGTGATGTGAAAGCAAGAACGAGGAGGTGGCCGACACATATACCGGTGTAGATATGGTGGTGGATAATAGGGAACATGCCGGGCAGCTTCGGAAGAACCATGGTGATCAAGAAAACAGGAGCGGCGAATGCAACACTCCACCAAAACCGCGAACGCCATTCACGAATTTCTTTCGTTCGTGTCAAGGAGCGGAGCTGAGTTGCGTCTTGCTCATCGGAGACCATGGCGTCAAAGCCAAGCTCTTCGATGCGCTCGACCATTTCACGCGGTCCGATGAGCCCGCGGTCGAAGGACACCTTGCATGTTTCCGTCGCTAGAGAGACAGAGACTTCCAGGATACCGGGCATTGCTCCTAGTTGCCCTTCGACCGTCGAGGTGCATGAGGAACAAGTCATCCCATAGACTCGGAGGGTGATCTCATCCGAGCGCGTAGGGGGGATGAGGGTCGCGTCAAAACCAATGTCAGATATTTCCTAATATGTGTAGTTCGCTTCGTTCTTCAAGTTCGTTGTGATGGAGGTGAATACGCACGTTCATGATTTTATCGGGATCCCAAGTGTCGGGGTCATACTCTACAACGCCTCGTTCAGCTAACAAAGCCACCTTGATCGAATGGATCCCAGGTTGTGGCCTCAGCATGCCTTCGATAGACTACCCACGGCAAACCTCAACGATGCGAAACAGAGCGCTGTGCATCGCACTCACCTCGACGCATGACCCACAAGTCATCCCCTCGATTCTGAGCTCACATTTCTCGATCTTGGCGCCCTTGCCTTCCAGAGGCTCGTCGTTTGAGAGAGGTAGGCCCAGTTTCCCCGACGTTGGGGTCATCGGGAGTTTGGACCAGAGATTAGTGAATGTAGCGGATATGGCAGACATGGCGACGTGGCCTGACGTGGCTTTAGTATGGAGGGGAGGAGGGAAGTCTAGTGCTTGTCAGCCTGTGGAAATTGAGGAATGGTTCGGACCGCGACGGCGGGATGAATGATACAGTGTGAGAGAGGATGAACTGTAACAGAAAGGGGCCAAAGGGGGTAAGAGGGCGCCTGCGCAGAGGAGGAACTGAGGGAATTGGTCGGGAGGGGTGTGCCCGAGCCTTCGTGGGTGCCGCAGTGCGCCAAATTGGCTGCTGACATCGAGCTCTCTCCGCTGCGCCTGTGCTGACAAACAAGGGCACACACTCCTCCGTCTTTCATCCATCCGTCCATCTCCATCCATGTTGCCTGGTCTGGAGCTATGCATATATTCTATAACTCTTGGCCTCGTCTGTCGTGTCCGGCCGTCGTATGTGTGTCTGGCGGCCATCCCTGAGGGTTTCGAAGCACCTAAACATAAGAACGGCCCTGGTGCAGAAGATCTCGGCAATGGCCAAGTGACCGCAGCACATACAGATCGCTACCTCCGCCACCGACACTCGACGTCGCCTGGTGGGTGGAAACATCGAGGTAAACCGCTCAATAGTGCTATACTCCCCACCATGGCGATGACCACTACAATATTCGCTAGCGTCGCTGCTTTCCCCAGTATCACAAGCCAGTAGAACGGATACCAATTTGATTCCGCAGGCCGCTATCGCGCACAAAAAAAAAACTCCATCAGATCAAGAAGGCATCGCCGAGGGACGGTGTTTACTGCGAGGCACCGTCATCGACGTCGATCCGCAGAACGGGGGCAGATCGTTTACACGTATCACTACGTACGCATCAGCCAAATGAGCATTACGTGCCCCAATCATACTTCTTCCTGTCAACTGAACTTCAGAACTAACCGTGGACCCCACCCCAGTATGGCAAATACACATTTCAGTCTATCACGTACAACAAACTTTGAACATGGAAAGTACAGTCGGACTTTACAGGTGGAAAAAATTAGCTATCAAGGCCGTGCAAATCATATGCCAGCGAGGAATAGTATGGAAGTGAAAAATATGAGAGAGGGTGAGAAGTCGACAGAAAATATAACGGGCACCGTTACAAATATTCATCTAACAAAAGAAACGACCTGTAAACACCGCCCACATCATGCACATCTACTTAGATGTTGGATGATGACATAGAACCCGGTGACTCCTGATTTTCCTTTGACAAGAAACACCGTAGCATTTCTAACAATAGTCGCTGAGCGCAGGAGGTCAACGCAATTCCTCGATGGAGCGGATGAGCGCCTCGGCCTTAGCAGAGCGCGGCTTTAGGCAGGTCTTGAATGGCTTTGGCTTACTACAAATCACAGCGTTAGTCAAGGACAATGACCGGCGCCGCATCAGCATGTGGGAGGGGGGACACGCACACTAGGACACCGCTGGTGAATTCGTGTTTAGGCTCTTGGATGATACCGTTCTCCTCGACCTTCTCAATATCGTACACCGCTAGAATGGATGCACAGAATATGAAAAGGAGATAGTCAGCCAGCACAGAGCCTGGGCAAGACCTGGCTCAGAATCCGTAGCGCTCAGTAAAGGGGAAGATGTGAGATATCCGGATGGGGGGAGAGACTGACCGTCGTCCGTATCCGAACGAGACTTCAAAGGGGTCGCGCTGAGCAGGCTTGCCGGGAGACGAGATCAAACGGTCAGGGTTGAACCTGTTGGGATCAGGGTAGACCTCCGGGTCGTGCAAAAAATGCCTGCCATCAAAGCGACGAGCCTGAGCGCAAAAGGACGGCCAAAATCCTATATTGTACGCACCATATATTCGCGACTATGATGGTGCCCTTCGGGATAAAGTAACCGTCATGGAAATCGTCCTGAGTGGCGCAGTGTGGAGCGCCTGCAGTCAAGCTCAGCAAGACTGTGCATCACATCAATGATCACGAGCGGAAATCTACGCACCCAGCGGTGCAGTGGGACCCCAGCGGATGAGCTCCTTGCACAGCGCGTTCATGTATGGCATTTGATCCCTATCGGAGAAGAGTGGTAGTCTGTCCCTTCCGATGACTGCATCGATTTCAGCTTGTGCCTTCCTCTGGACTTCGGGATGCATAGTCATCGCCAGGAAGAACGTGGCCAGGGCGTTGACCGGCTGTTAATCGCGTGAAAGACGCTCAAATGATGTGAGCATGAGCAGGAGAATGAATCCTTACATTGTCAATTCCAGCAGAATATAAGCTGGAGGCAGCCCATTTAATGTCCTCTTCTTCCTTTAGCGACACTTTCTTGCCGTCCATAAGATTGCTGACGAGGTTTGGAACAGCTATCCCCGCGGCCTATCATGTGGAGTCTTTTCAGCTCGACGCTGAGTGTCAAAATTCTTGTTTCATACCATCTGTTGTTTGACATAATCAAAAGACCTGTCGGTCAGCTCATACAGAGTGGCGCGCCATTCCCGGGCGATCTTCTGGAAACCTGCGCCAGGCACCCATTCTGGGACGTATTGTACTGTAACAACGACATGAGCTATCGCTCGGAAAGCAGGAAATCAAGGGATAACGCCTACAGGCCGGGATGGTGTCTACAAGGAAGTTTCCTGGAGCGAGGAGGATACCGAGCTGATCCGTTGCGGCATCTGCGACTCTTACCAACGGGTCATTGGCAGATGTGACCTTGTATCCGTGCGAGATAATCAGAATGACTGCGCCAACAGCTCTGCCCATGAAAAATCAGATAGCTCGTATCTGCCAAGGGGCGTCGCTGCTCACTTGCGGACAGGAACCACAGGATTGCGAGGGTCCTTCAGTATCGAGCGGAGACATGCGTGCGCCTCAGACTCCATGGTGTCTAGATACCTTTCAACGGCGGAGCGACTCCCGATTGCTTGATGCATCATCTTGCGATACCCCCTGAACCGATCCTCGTTCGGCAGCATGACAATGGCGTCTTTCCATCCGACGAGGTCAGAGGCCATCGTGAAATGGGGTCGATTTGAGTAGATCGAACTCTTCTTGTTGAGGATGTCGACGGCCAGCTTGGGCGAGTTTAGGATGATGATTTTTTGGCCAAGGACAGTGGCTGAGGCGATATCGCCTGCATGAGCGACGCATGTGAGTGCCGATGAATGATCTTTGAGTATTGAACATCCCACCGTATTTCTTTTGCCATTCCGTAAAGACCAATGGCTCGTTCTCTATTGGAACGTCGAAGAGGTTCCCAATCAATGGTAAACCCTTTGGCCCTGGGATTCTGCGCCCGGCCGGTTTATCAAAATGACGCTTGATGAGGTACAAGCCAAGGATGGCTAGAGAAATGTCGAGAAATGTGAATATAATAGAAGAAGGCATGAGGCGAGGAGTGCTAGTGAGGGCGCAGCAGCGAATAGTTAAATAGAAACATACAGGTGCGCAAGCTGGTTTTTAAGCCTTTTCGTAGCTATCCTGGAGTCATCTCCTGCGCCCAGACTATTGGAGCTAAATGGAATGCCAGGGTTGGAAAGCACGGACTATGCCCAGTCAGTACAGCGAATACCAAGAAAGATAGTAAATAATATATAGTGTGATATCGACAGTCATCATGTCCCTCCAGACGCCTGAACCCAGGAGTTACATCGGCTACGCAGTATTGTGTGATGATTAGATGTCAATTCGGTAATGGAGACTGCCATTTTGAGGGATGTGGAGTACAGGATTTACGCCCATACTACTGCCTTGAAACCTTCGCTTGATGTGCCACATCTGTCAAAGCTCGCGTAGAACGGACTTCTCCTGACCTTCAATCATATCTTTTAAAACGCACAACCAGGCAACTGTCGAGTCATGAGCTGCAGTGTACAATGAATCGGATATCAATGTCTGATCTCGTGTTGAACTTGCTCCAGTATAGTTCCAAGGCCCGCATAAGACACTGTAACGTGAAATTGGAAGCCTATCTAGGAATCCGCAAAGCCTTTTTTGGTATTTGCGAGACCTGGAAGTGAGATGATTGGACAAACTCGAACCGGCACTCTGACCGCCTTCTATGGCAGAGCGCATGATCATTGCGAACGGATCGCTCAGCCTGATGTCCTGAGGCCCGAATATGACGTGGTTAACAAGAGCGTGTAAGAGACCCTTGGTTCCTCCATAGGCAATAGACGTGCATTTATGCCATCGTTTTAGGTACGCAGTCCGGCTCGGTCCCCGCAGATGTGACTGACATGAAGGCACAATCACTGAAGGTGGTCGATGACTATGATTTTATTACGCACCGCGACGATGTTTGTAGTATGTGCCTTGAACAACACAGTCGCCTGTTTACTCCACTCTGCTACACTGCATTGCGGGCCTCCTCATCTTTCAAACGCCTCGATGGGTCCTTGAGAGTGACCCTGGTCCCTCGACCCGAAGTCCTTGGTATTGCGAAGGATATTGTTCATGGACATTTGGACCACACGCCAATGAATGTGACTCACCGGGCCAAGGACGACTACAATGGCCCTCTTCCGGCATCTACCTCAACGCTCTTGGAGCCGAGCGGCCAGTCTAGACGTCGCTAACCGAAAGAAAACAGGCACCATTGGGTGGAGGTGCTGATGGTCTCAGATTTGAGCGTCGCGACTTGATTGTCGGCGATCAGTGGTGGCATCTATAAGACCGGCCAGGAACGATGTTTACATTTCCCGAGGCCTCCTCCTCGAGCGAGGAAGATCAAATCGAAGATGGTTGTTGAGCGATATCTGCAGTGGAAAGTAGTCGCCGCTCGTTCGACATGCTAGCGACATCATCAACGTCGTTGTAGAAGGTTGTAGGTCGTTGTAATATCAGACACTGGATCTCGTTTGAAATTCCAATCGATCTCAACAGGTGCTTGATAAAACATCACCGTACGCTTTCTTGCTCTCAATGATGGTAATTGTATGCTGTAGGATCCTGTAGATTACATGTGTACACCCATGAAATATACATCAGCGGAACCTTGGTCTGAACCCCCCAAAGTCTCAATGTGACGTATGCAGTGATGAACGGGCACATATCAGAAGGGAAAACACCGCAGCGGGATTCATACAAAACCCACAACAAACCTATCAACAAACCTCTAGCATCTGCAGTCGATGGCAAGCACTTTGTCTCTAGGTCTGATAAGCGCATGATCCGTGTGTGGGATGCGGAGACGGTGAAACCATGGTCAGAATTACTCGAAGGGCTCCTGTCATGGGCAAGCACCATCGCGTCCCCGACGGGACCGTGTCACTTCTGATACCGAGAGTAAGTGTGATCCATCCCTAGAATATACACTCAAGTTATGCTGCCCACGAGCACAAGCACGGACTATCCATGATTTGAATCCACCGTCAGGACCCGCTATAAATTTGGTAAAGCTATAGATCACGAATCAACGAATCGAACGCTCGCCGGTGCAGCAGATGGTGGAAGTTCGTGAAGAACCGAGGCCCGTGGGACACGAAGACTCGAATCCATAAGTAACTGCGGGGAAGACCTAAAGTGGCTATCATATCTCACGCTCCTCAGCAGTTCCTTATCCGTCTGAGACGACGCCTCCATTTCGGACGCTCGAGGTGCTTGCTTGTCATTTCTAATAATCAAGACGTGACTGCGTTCAGCTCTCGGGCGTATCAACACTATGGCTTCTCCGCGGCCATTTTCTGCCCGACCTCTCGATTTCATCTATTTCATATTTTTCATGGTGTGTTCTCTCCAGCTTCACAATATTCCTGAGTAACGAATATCTTGCATCACCAGATCCATATACCTGCTTCATTGCTTGTTGATTTTCAGGCTATCTATCCTTCGCACCTGGTCCCACGACTCATACAGGTCATCCCAACTTGGTATGTGGGGATGTCAGGAGATCCTTTCATTGGCGGTGCTATGGGATTCCTTGGGAATAAATCCGACTATGTTTGGTTCAAGACCTTTCTCTATTTGGAGGCGTAAGTACACTAATCATGCTGCCCTTGTATGCTATACAATCTAACGATCTCAAGCGCCTTCCAATTTCCGGTCTTCATACTTGGTCTGCGCGGATTATGGAAGGGTGAGCTCGTTCGCGCGTCCCCCTAACGTGCCGCTCACATTTTTTTCAGAATCCCGTCTAATCTATGTCCTGCTCGTCATATACGGCGCTTCAACCAGTACCACGACTTTGGCTTGCTTGTCCGTTCTCATGCAGACTCCTACCACCTCCCCTTCAACAATTGCCGCAAATGTGGTCTCCGTCTCGTCTACTCAGCGGATGATGCTTTTATCAAGCTATCTGCCATTCTTCTTCCTCCCACTAGGCATGACGGTGGACATGGGACTGCGTATTCAGAGTTTGGTTGTGTCGGGTCTCCGGGCGGACAAGGGTTCGAAGGCCCAGTGAACACGGCCCGCTTGGCTCTTTACACTTTTGGACACCTGGTCCAGCGCGTTATATCCGTCACTAGCACTAAAATAGATGTTGGCAGCTGACACTCACTGACTACCTGAATGAGTGTGAAATCCAGTGCCTTGACAGTCACGATGGTGAACTTCTTCGTATCTTGAGGAGCCGCCGGACGCTGACAAGTTCGCGGCTTGCATGCAAACTCAACGTTCAAACGTACTTGCGCTGAGCCTCGTTTCTTTGCTACGCGATCTCTTTTTACGCAGATATGCTATTTCTCGACGTTCGCCTGCCTCTGTCCTCCCTGAGTACACTAGCTGATATTCGAACCCATCCACAGAGCAGCTGCAACTCCTCGGTGTTCTTTAGATGCTAACAAGGCTTGGCTTCATGCCAATCCTGACGTTGGTGGGACACCTCTGAGTCTCAATGTCTGTCCACGAATAACTCATCGGACGCCCATCGACGATCACGAGGCCGGCATGGAAGAAAGTTTTATGCGCTCAACCCCGAGCCGCTCACGGACGCGCTCAGCTGGCAGTTCGGAGTGTATATCCCCTTCGTCTTCCGATAGTATTATTAGTTATGCACACATTCTTGCAGACGCACTGTAAGGTGCCATATGTGATGCAGGTACACAAAAATGAGAAACAAAGTTCGAGCGAGAAACGTTGTCCGGGATACTTCGCTTCATATTCCCTCCCACCGCCGGCGACGCTGAGCTCCACGAAGAAGGAAAAAGGGTCCACAAAGAATCCAGTGTACCACACAATAAAAAGAGGTCGAAATAGCGGGTGGCCTGTACGAGCCGGGAAAAGACGAAGGCGAAGCGAAAGTAAGAGTAAAAAAAAAGGAGAGGAAAAGATGTAGCGAACGTCAAGTAAATCGGTCTGTTGGGTAGTGATGATAATGGTTGTGTTGGATGAGTGCGATGAGATAAGATGAATCGAGCCGGATTGAGGAGCTTTCAGAGTGGGGCAAGAGCGAGGGATCGTAATTTATGTGGTTACGGGACGGTACGTCAAAAGATGCAGAGCGAGTTCTAAATGATTGGGACTAGAGGATCATCAACAGCATATGTGGAAAAGGAAAGCACTTGAAAGGAGGCCACGAACGAACGAAAGAACGAACGAGAAGAAACATCATCGCTGTCCGTTCAGCAAGGATAGAGACAAGGGCGAGGACGCAGCGGACGAACAACGCACAAACCGACAGGATCATCTCTGCCGTTGCTGCTGCTGCCACATCGCTAGGGGCATGTCCTCCTCCTCGCCATTGGAGGCCTCGCTCGTCCTCGGTCTCCGCGCATTATGCGGCACCGTCGCGTGCGCGCTCGTCGCTTTCCGCGACTTCCCGTTCACGGGGTGCGCCGCTGCCGCCGCAGGCGGGCCCCCCGACGCTGCGGCGACCGCCGTAGCGGACAACGATCGTCCCGGGACCTTCGCACTGTTGTGCGCGCCGTGGGTATGGCGGCTCGGCGGTGGCGGCGAGCGCGATCGACGCGGGCGTGAATTCGCGTTCACGGCGGTCGGTGGCGAGGATGGCGGGGACGGGGATGACATCGTCCGCTGCGCGGGCACTTGCCACCCCTGCTCGCGTTCCGGTGGCGGCATCGCGCCAGGGGGTAACTTGGGCGACCCGGCACCTGCTCTGCTCGGACTCGCCGAACGGGGCGGCTGCTGGGCCACCGGGGTATTACTTGGGCTGCCGTAGTAGCTCTGCGCGAGTTGGGGCTGTGGATGCGCGAGCTGGGAGGGAGATTGCGAATGCGGGGATTGGGGGGACTGCGGCGACGACGGGTATGGCGAGGGCAGCCCGTTGGCGTAGCCGCCTGGGTATCCGTATTCTTGCTCCATCGCGCGGTGCTGTAGGTCGTACTGCGGCCCACGCACAGGCATCTCGGCGCGTCGATTCCCCGATGCAGGCGAGCCCGCGGTCGGGGACTTCGTGAGGCTCCCCCGTCGTCCTTGCGCCTTCTGCTCGAGCCGCTCCACGCGCTCGCGCTCCGCCTCTCGCTCCGCGGCCTCTTTTGCAGCGCGCTCATGTTCCTCCTTTTCCCGCTGCTCGCGTTCTCTCTTCTCCTTCTCCGCCGGACTCGGGCCCTGCACCGCGCCCGCGCCCGCCTCGCCACCGGCGCCCTGGGTCTGCGCCTTGTTGATCACGCCGAGATACCAGAACATCAGATTGCTGATGAGCACCTGCTCGTACAGCGGGCGGCGTGGGTTCGCGAGCTTGATGTGGCTGAGCCTGTAGATCGCGCGCTCGACGTGGATCGGATATCTAGCGTAGTTTCCCGCGATGGGCTGCGGCGAGGGTGAGGGCGCGGCGCTCTTGGACTTGGATGCGCCGAGCAGGGCCGCGGCGGTCTCGCGTCCCGCGCCGTGCCCAAGGCCCGGCGAAGACTCCTCTTGCTTCTTCTTCGAGCCAAAGAACGACCCGAAAAACCCAGTCTCCTTCTCCTTTTCTTTCTCTTTTTCTCGCTCCCGTTCCCGCTCTCGCTCCTTCTCCCTCTCCTTCTCCCGCTCCCTCTCCTTCTCCTTCTTCCCCTTCTTCTCGCCTCCCCATTTGCCGAACAGGCCCTTCTTATCCCTCTCCTTCCGGTGATCGATCTGAGAAGACGGACGGGATGCCACAGGGGACAATTCTGAGAGCGAGGGCCGTGCCTGGGAAGGGGTTTCGGAGATCGGGGGAGGGGATGATGCTCGTTCGGGGGAGGGTGTGCGAGAAGGAACTTCTACAGGGGCAGGAACATCGAGCTGCGGGCGCGTGGGTTGCGGGTGCTGTAATATTGGCGAAGGTATCACCGGTTCCGTTAATGGTGGCTCTAGCGGGAGCATCGGAGGCGGGGAGGTAGTGCGCAAGATGTGGGGTTCTTCGACGGGAGACGTCACAGGCTCCGGGAGCTCCAGCGTCGTAGCGAGAGCGAGGATGTCTGTTTCCGTATTCTCATCGGTCACGTACGAGTCAAAGATGAATGTTTCAACGCTGTACGATTCGGGCCTTACGAGGCGCGGGGCCCCCTCGTCCGAGAAGCTCTCGTTGCTGAGGGCACGCTCGCGCCGCGGCTCGCTGTCGCCATGGTCGCTCGAGGACAGGTCGCTCGACGTCCTCTGGTCGGCGCCGGTGGTGGCCGCGCGTGCACCGGGGCCACGCCGAGTTGCGTTGAACCGATGGCTGCCCTCGCCGGTCTGTCCCGGCTTGCGAATTTTGGTGCGAGCGGCGCGGCGCAGGATCTGGCCGGGGCGGGGCACGATGATGGGGCTGTCCGCCTCGTCGCCCATGTCGGGGATGTTGTCCATCTGGTCAATGACTGCGCATGCGGACGGGTATGAGCGACTGGGCAGCGGGATGCCACAGCAGGGAGCAGGGTTCGTAGCAAGAGACACACGAACCTGAGGGCGCCATGTTCATACTGAGGCTGCGGCGGAGGACGCTCCGAAGCTTGGACGGGTCGCTGCTCTTGGACGCCTCCTCCGCGAGCTCGTCGAGCCGCTCGAGGTCGCCGATCGTCAGCTGGGGACCATCGACGTGGTAGAGCGACGACTTGTTTCTGCGAAGCGGGACGACACGCTCGTCCTCGACACCGTCGTGCTCCGACGGCTTGTACTGCCTGCTCAGCATCGACTTCTTGCGCCCCAGCCCGGAGCTGAGGGACGACGTCGAGCCCGCGCGGCCCAAGGTCGCGCCAGGTCCGTCGGAGGGGGCGCGGGCATGTTCCTTGAGAAACGCACGGAACTGGCCGGGGTCGATCTCGGGGTGCATGCGTGCAGGGACCCAGAAGAGGTGAAAGGGGTCGTCGGCGGGCGCGCTCTCTGCGCTGTCCTCATGGGAGTGTGAGTCTGAGCTGGAGTCGTCGTAGTAGGCGGTCTGCGGGTTGGCGTGCGGGGGCGGCGGGGTGTGCGCGTGCGTCTGGGCGGGGAGATCAGGGTCGAGGATCAGCGCGCCGGGCCCGCCCTGGGCGGACGAGCGGCGGCGGATGTCGCGCAGGTTCTCGACCTCGCGCTGGATCTCGTGTTCTGAGGGCTGCATCGCGGCAACGCTGGCGTCGTCGGCTGCGTCGTCGCAGGCGGGGCGCAAATCGCAAATCAGCCGTCAGGCGGTCAGCGTGCGCTGCTGCGGGTGGGACGCACCGGGAAGGAGAGGGCAGGGTGGGTGGCGGGGTGGATGGCGATGAGCGTCGTCGTCGTCGTCGTCGCCCAAGGGGTGGAGGAGGTGTTGTCGTGGGAGACGGCGACGAGCGGGAGGTGGGGCGTTGGAGGTGGATGGACCGAACGGCAGCCAAGGCACTTGCGGCTTGCGGCACTCTTCACGCTACTAATTAGGAACTCTACCTCGTGGACCTGCCCGCCCAGCAAGTAACAGCTCGCTCTCGTCCTTCTCCTCGCTCAGGGCCAACAACTCTCTGCATCTGTCGTTATTATCCTCAACGCTACCAGCTCCAACACCCAACAACAGAGAGCCCATAAGGGACAACAACACCATTTATCACCAAGGAAATATCAACGTAAGCGTCATCACTAAGCATAATGAGGTCCACGGGGACTAGGGTCAAGACCTATCAAGGTCCGCAGGGACCACTCCTGGTCAGGGCACTCTTCATTCCACGCTCAACTCCCCGTTTATTTTTCTGCACGATGCGATCGTCGTCGGCGGTTCTTCCGAGCCAGTCGTTGACATGGCCCACAGTGGTTGAACGTTCAACTCCTTCGTCCATCTCGACAGGCAAGGTTCTTCCAGGTTTTTCGCTGCCTTTCTGTCACCCACGGCAATGGATGGACTCCAGGCCGGCCGGCGGGAAGCAACGCCCACCCACATCGCCGACGCCGGCCAGCCTGCAGAATAGGCCGCGCACACTGTCCACGCCCCGTCGACCCTGCGGGTGCCTGGTCAGCGCGTAAGCAGCCAGTAAGCAGCCACGAAGCACCACAGAGCAGCGCACACGCGCGCCCACAGAGGCCCGCCGAACCGCCAGGCTCCCACACCCGCGGGACGTGATGCTGATACTATACATGAGATCACAGGCCTGCTAGGTCGACGCCTCGCCCATCACAACGTGCCCGGTGCCGAGCGCCCATCGCTCAGCTGCACCACCCGGTACAAAAGTATGATGCGCGTCGGCGCGACGCAGCACGGCATGGAAGTGACAACCGCACGCAGTGCAAGTAAATCACGGTCCTGATATGTCGGGCGGCAGCGCTCACCGCGTCGCGGTATTATGCTGTGTACGAGTCGGACGGCATCTGGCGCGCATGTGTCCTGATGTTGGCACTGTCAGCGGTCCGCGTAAACTCGCGTCGCATCTCGATCCTGGGGTCGCCAGCCCGAAATTGCGTCCTAAGGACGACCAGCAGCGCCAACCGCGGGTCCTAGTCCGCCTCGGAGGGTGCGTCCAGACTGCAGGAGAGCGCAGGCAGTCGGCAGATCGACACAGCTTTGAAACGGGCCCGAAGAACCTTCCGCGCTCGGTGGGGCACAAGGCGAGTCGGGCGTGTGCGCAGCGCGCGAGGCGCTCGCGGCACCGACGTCGGATCGTGCGTGCCTCCACGCCTCCGAGCGTCCGAGCTTCCAACGTCTCCGAGCTTCCGAGCGTCCGACGCCTCTCTCTTGATAGACAACGAGCGCCGCGCCGCGCTGCGCATCAGCATCAGCACCGGCGACAACGCTGCATCGACCAGTGAATCGCCGGGACCGACGGCACCCAAGAACCCAAGAACCCAAGAACACGAGCGCGACGCATCCGGCCTCTGCGCGGAACAAGAGAGACCTGCCGCTGGAGTAGCGAAACTCCATACCATACCAAGTAGAAAGACAGACAGAGACAGAGACAGAGACAGAGACAGAGACAGAGAACGGGGCGGGTGAGATCGGAGCAGATGGAGGGTGGAGACCGGAGGATTGGCGGGGGGAGGCCGGGGGGAGCAGCCATACACTTAGGGCGGGCGCTATAGCGCCAGCGCACCTGCACACGCCAAGCAACCACCGCGATCCCATCCGCGACCAACCCACTGAGCGCGCCATGCAGCGGCCTACCGTCGGACGTCCTCCCGCCGAACGCCGGACGGCGTGGAATCTAATGTAATGGAATGGACGCGGGGCGTCGAAGCATCGAAGCGTCGCAGGGCGGGCAGGCATGCATGGACGACGTGGAATGGACGAAGCGTCGCAGAGCGCGCGAACATACATGCTCGGAGGACGCGTGAAGCATGCTCGGAGGACACACGCGCGCGTGGCGTGCACTCTGTCGTGGCCCGCGCGCAGGCACCGTTCCCGCCGCGTCTCCCCCCATACCCGCGCGCACGCCCATCACACGCCCGCTCTATCGCCGACCCCGCACACCACGCCCCGCGTCCGCCCCGTGCTGCATTCCGCTGCATCCCGCTGCATTGCGCTGCGTCCCGCTGCATTACACTGCATTCCACCTGCCAGCGACCGGCGACTCTGCACTCGTCTCGCAGCGCGCCCGCAGCGGGCCGGCGTCATCGCCCCCATCGCCCCCATCATCTTCACCCATCGTTATCCTGATCGACGTCGGTGCCGACCGGGGTGCTAGGGGATGTTGTGGCGTGCACGCGATATGGAGGGTACGGGACCGCGTCGACCGACGGGCGACGGGCGATGGGCGACGTGGACGTGGACATGGACGCGGACGTGAGGCGCGCGGAGAGGCGCGAGGCGTTGGTGCAGACGGACGGACGCGGCGCGGTCGCGGTGTTCGTGTTCGTGTTCGCGAGGACGAAGGGCGCAGGGCGCAGGGCGCACGCGTGCAGCTGGACACGACCCGACGAGGAGAGGGGGCAGAGTCCAGAGGTGGGCAGATAGAGCCCGGGGGTGCGTCGGCGCGTCGGCGGGGGCACGGCGTGTACTTGTACGCGTGCCTACCCGCCTACCTATTGGGTACTGTACTGTGTGGCGGACGCGGCGGGTCGCGGAGCGTTGGAGCGTCGAAGCTTGAAGCGTTGAAGCGTGAAGCGTGAAGAGGCAGCCGGCGAATGGGTTATGATGATGATGATAAAATGTCGATCGGAGGACGCGGCCTGTGGAGGTGCTAGCAGCGGCGATGTCTGGCGAGTAGACGTCCACCGAGCGTCTGCGTTGACTGGACGTTGACTGGACGTTGACCGGACGTTGGCCGGGGAGCGCGCCGCGACCGGGCTTGTGAGAGCACAGCTTCGAGAGCTTCGAGCTTCGAGCTGCGCGATGGGCATCGGGCTTCAGGCATCGAGTATCGAGTTTCGGGCATTGGGCAAGCGTTGGACATCGAGCATCGAGCATCGAGGGAGATCGAGGGTCGCCCGTTGCGCGTCGGAACCTGAGGCCTAAGATCTGAGATTTGACCGGAGGCTGACTTGAAGTTGACGGGACTTGACGTCGCGCCGCGGCGCGCCATGTCGAGTGATTGAGTGCGTGAACGAGAGCGTGGGTGCGTGGGTGCGTGGGTGCGTGATTGAGTGAGTGAGTGAGTGAGTGCGTGATAGGCGTCGCATCAGCTCGCTATGGCTATCCGCATCACACTCTCGTTCTCGTTCTCGTTCCCGCGCGCGCGCGCGTGGGTACTGTGTAGTGAGCGAGCGAGCGAAAGGTCCGCGCGCCGGCCGAGTCGCCCATCCCATCCATTCGAAAGCGAATCGTGTGTGTGTGAGAGAGAGAGAGAGAGAGAGAGAGAGTGTGTGTGTGTGTGTGTGTGTGTGTAGAGACGGAGACGAACGATGCATGATACATGACGGTGAACATGAAAATGGAGACGAAGACGAAGATAAAGATGAACGATGGAAATAAAGATGAAAATAGAAATGATAATAGAAAAAGAAAAAGAAATAAAAAAGGAAATGGAAATGAGAATCGAGAATCGAGGCTGTCGTCCTCTGTCGTCGAGCTGGCTGGCTGGCTGGCTGGCTGGGGCTCCGCGAAGCTGGGCACGGACGCGGGGCGCGAAACCGCGCACGCCAAGACGCACGGATGGATGGGTGCGCAGGGTGCGCACCGAGTCGCAAGAACCCGCGGGGTGCGCGATCTGGCGCGATGCCATGCCATGCCATGCCATGCATGTGTGTATGTGTGCGTGATGCGGGGCGGGCGGATGAGCGTGCGCAGGTGCGGAGGGTCGAGCCGGGTCAAGGAGGGTCAAGGAGGGAGTTCGATGCCGACGGCTGCGAATTTGATGAATGGACGCGTGCCGGCTAGCGCGGGCTGCAAGAGGGGAGGGGGGGCTGATCTGGCGTGATAGGGCGACGGGGAGCAGGGAACGGTGGGATCTGTGATCTGATAGGACGGCGGCGGGGCAGGGTGGTAGAGGCTGGTGCAGGGGGATCATTGTTCGATGCGCGATCAGAAAGAAGCTCGAGGAGGGGGGGCTGGCAGGGGCTGGCAGGGGTGGCGCTGGGGTAATTGCCTTCTCGGGATAAACGTACGCTGTGTTGAACCGAGGGGGGATCGCGTTTGGGTTCCGAGTACTGATAGGGGCCAGGGCGCGTGGCTTCTCGCGGTAGCTGGTGGTAACTGGGAACCGAGGAGAGGGAGTGGAAAGGACGGACGCGGTCGCGGAGGGTGGAGGCGTGGTCAGGTGATGATTGGATGGGCAGCGGTCGCGGCGGGCGGCGTCGGGGGTGGGGATGATTTGAGTGATGCGAGGTGTGGGTGGTGGAGGTCGTTGGGGAGGGTGAGATTTGATCGCGGGAGGGGCCCTGTTCTCGGAGGAGGGCGGCGAGGACAGAGGCGGTGGGGAGGACTCTGTGTGTGTGTGTGCGGGGGTAGACGGCGGGGACTGGCGGGGGCTGGCGGGGGCTGTCTGGGCTGACGGGGCTGACGACGAGGGCGGGGACGAGGAGTCGAGGACCAGTAGTAGGGAGGTGTAGTAGTAGGGAGGGACGGTCAGCCGCGGGGGGATCTCGATTGGGACATTCTACACGCGACCTTCGCTCTCCTTCCTTCCTCTCTCTCCTTCTCCTCCTCGTCCACCACCTCCTCCTCCCCCGCTCCTCCTCTTCCACCACCTCGTCCTCCTCGTCCCCCCTCCCCCGTGTCCTGCACTGTGCCCCGCGTCGCCCGTCTATGAAGGCCTCCAGCTGGTTCCAAAAGGGTAACAAGGACACACGGCCCCATCAACCCACCGCCCATCAGCCACCGCTCTCTCCCGCGCTCGCCCTCCCACGCCCGCACACGACCCTCTCCACCTTCTCCTCTCTCCACCTCGCAGTCAACCGCGCAGTCAACCGCGCTCCCTCCTCAAACTCCCTCCACTCCTCCTACTCCGCCGGCTCCGCACACTCCCTCTCCTCCCCCGCCTACCCAGACACATACAACCCCGCACACCCCTTCGCTGCCATGGTCTCCGCACCCCTCCCCGTCGTATCCAGCCGCGACGACCCCGACGACGAGGACGAGTGCCCCGTCTGCCTCGAACCCCTCAGCTTCAGCTTCAGGCTCCCGGGCGAGAAGCCCCACATCCTTCCAGAATGCGGACACGCCCTCCACGAGGTCAGTCTTCCCCCCCTTCCCCCATCGGCCCTTCCCCTCCACCGGCTCTACTTTCCCCCGCGCGTCACCCTCCGCCCTCCCATCCCCCATAACTCTACATTTCCCCCCGTGCGACGTGGGCATCCCATCCTCGTTACACACACCGCCGCTTTCATCTATCTTTTTCTCCACGCGATAACTCCGTATTCACTTTCGCTCTGCTGCGCACCACCCAGGCATGTTTCACCGCAGTTTACGGCCCTCCGCCCAGCGCCAACCGCTCCCAAGGCCTGCTCCGCAAGTCAAATCTCGGTGTCTGCGGCGTCTGCAGGCGACCTATGAAAGTCGGCGAAGGCGACGGCGGCGGCAAGTCCAACAGTACGTGTCACGCCCTCTCCTCCAGTCTTCTTCTTTTCTAAACGCGTGCCCCACTTCCTTACGTGAATCCCTCCCGCGTCTAGAACTCGCGGCCCTCACCGGCATGGGCGACCGCAATGCGACCCCCGTCTACCCGGGGCGCGATACCCCCTCCTCCATGCGCTCCCTCAATGGCCGCGGCGCCGCGGGAGCATCAGCCCCAAAGCCGTATGACCCCACCGAAGACGACCCGCTCGAACACGCCCAGTCCGTCAAGTCCGCCGGCTCCGAGCACTCCCAATACGTCGTCGCGCCCTCCATCCAAGTCCGCCCCGAGTTTTCCTCCCTCACTCGCAGCCTCGACGCCGCACAGGCGCTCACTTGCCTCGTCGTCCTCGAGCTTCCCAGCAAGCGCGGCCACGGCCAGCAGGTCCCCGGCCCCGTCATGGTCGACGCGTACCCGCAGGCCCCGCCGCGCAACGGCCACGGCCATCCCCGCGGATCGCCCGCTCACTCGCCGGAACCCTCGTCCTCGTCCTACCGCCAGCAGCACCAGCAGCATCAGTACCACCACAACTACTCGGACGCGTCGGACGCCACCGTCCGGCGCCAAGCCCAGCAGTCGCAGTCCCCGCCCCGCTCCCAGGTCGCTTCCCCGACGTCCTCGCACCAGCATCATTACAACAACAACAACGGCAATCACCAGCAGGGGCGCTACTCGCCCTCCGTGCACACGCAAAACACCCAGGACTCACCGTACTCGCCTCCCGGCGCACCCTTTTCCTCCTCCAACTCGCACTCCAACCACTCTGTCCAATCCCCCGAAGAAGAGTCCCCCTTTGGCGCGATCACGGAGGACCTCCGGAACCGCATCATCGACTGGAAGGGCCACCCGCTCGCCGGCCTCGGCCCGCTGCAGATGTTCGACCTGCTCTCGGTGCGGCGCGACGCGCTCGTGCGCGAGTTTTTCGTCTATCTCTTCAAGGAGGCGCTCATCTGCGTCGCCGAGGAAAAGAAGCGTAGCCTCGGCCGCTTCCTGTCCACCGCGTCCTCCGGCGCGGCTTCGGTGCTCACCGACGGCGGCTCGATGTCCGGCACGGCGGGCCCGCCGTCCAAGGGCGTGCTCCGCCTCAAAGGCCGGATCTACATCCGGCACATCCGGCAGGTGACGGACACGTCGGTGCAGGGCGAGCTGAGCCTGACGATCGATATGGAAGACGAGCGGCTGGACTCGTTCATCCTGATCTTCCGGGACCGGTCGTCGCTAGAGACGTGGAAGGCGAACATCCAGTCGCTCGTGGTGCTCATCCAGCGGCAGTCGCAGCCCGCGCAGCCGCCGGAGCAGCCGCCTCCGCCGCCCGTGGACCTCGAGGAGTTTGGGGGGAGCGCCAAGGCCGCGCGCATGCTGAGCGGGAGCACAGGCACGACGACCACGAGCGCGAGCACGGGGACGGGCGGCGCGGACAGCCTGCTCAACGGGGGCTCGTCGCGCTCGACCATGTCGTCCTCGACGTCGCACGGCTCGCACGGCATGCGCGGGTCCGGCTCGGGCTCGGGCTCGGGGTACGCTGGCGCGGCGAAGCTCGCGCCGCTCGAGGAGGACGAGATGAGCGTGAGCGGGAGCCTCGGGATGGGCATGGGCGGCATGGGCTACGCGTCGTCCGCGGGCTTGTACACGCCGCACATGTCCGCGGGGCCGTCCAACTCGCTCACGCCGCTGCCGCACCCGCCGCTGGACCTCATCCTCGTCGTGTCGCTGCCCGCGCCGAACGCGCTGCAGAGCACCGCGGCGCTCAAGCTGCGCGTGATCCGCGCGTCGCTCGACTTTATCCTCGCGTCGCTCGCCGCGCGCGACCGGCTCTCGCTCGTCACGTTCGAGGTCGGCGTCGGCGGGCGCGTGCGCAAGACGCCGTTCTTGTCGCTCGGGCGCACGCAGAGCCGCGCGCGGCTCGCGAAGTTTGTGGACGAGATCGGGTGGAGGGGCGAGCGGGAGGGGCGCGCGGGCGCGGGGGAGGGCGCGTTTGAGGACGAGTTTTTGGTGCGCGGGTCGAAGGACGAGAAGACGGACGTGGTGACGGCCGTGAACCACGGTGAGTCGATCATCGCGCGCGTCCGATTGTTTCTTTCTGGCGCTGACGGGCGCTGACGGCTTGCAGGGCTGGACGTCGTGCTGCAGCGCAAGGCGCGCAACCCGGTCGCGGGGATGATCCTCGTGAGCGACGCGGCGGACAGCACGCGGCGCGCGCAGATGGACCTGGTGCTCGCGCGCGCGGAGGCTGCGAACGTGCCGATCCACTCGTTCGGGTACGGGCGCTCGCACGACCCGGCGTCGCTGTGGCTGATGTCGAACCACACGTCGGGGACGTACACGTTCGTGAAGGACTGGTACGACCTGCGCGACTGCCTCGCGGGGTGCATCGGCGGGATGATGTCGATCGGCTCGCTCGGGATGAAGCTCCACATGAAGATCGTGGACGGGAACCACTTCCGCATCCGCAAGGTGTCCGGCGGGCCGCCGTCGATCGTCGCGTCGGACGGGCGCAATGTTGACGTCGACGTCGGCGAGCTGCGGTACGGCGAGCGCAAGGAGATGCTCGTCGAGCTCGAGCTCGACAACGCGGGCGAGGCCGCTGCTGCGGGCGCACACGGGCGCGGCGCGAACGGCGGGATCGGCGGCGGTGGCGGGGGCGGGGGGATGAACGCGACGGACCGGTTCAACGCGAGCATGGGGCTCGACGCGCTGTCGATCGGGGACGCGGCGGATTTGACGGACGGGATGATGGACCGCATGATCGACGAGGTGCCCGTGTTCGAGGTCGACGGCGCGTTCTTCGACCCCGCCGCGGGGAAGCACGTCTCGCGGCTCGCGCACCCCGTTCTGCTCACCGTCACGCTCCTCCCCGCGGGGTCCGCGAGCCCGCCGCGGCCGAGCCACGGGCCCGGCGGCTCGGGCGCTGGTGCGGGCGGGGGCGCGTCGGACCCTGTGATCGTGCGCCGGCGGATGGAGCTGCTGGCGTCGGACATGATCACGCGGGCGCTGGTGCTGGTGTCGCGGAAGAACTACGGGCAGGCGCAGAAGATCATCGGGGAGACGAAGCGGATCCTGCACACTGTGCTGCAGACGATCACGCAGGCGCTGCCGGCGCCGAGCAGCCACGGGTCGACGGTGCGGAACCGGCGGGAGGTGCTGACGCTCGCGGCGGTGCGGGTGATGCAGGCGATCGTACAGGATATGCAGATACTGAGCGAGGCGCTGGAGGAGAACGTGGAGCTGTTTGCGCACGATCAGCGGAATTTTGGGGCGCAGCAGGTGCGTCCGCGTTTTTCTTCTCCCCTTCCTCTCTGCGTGGTTCTCGCGCGCTGACGCGCGGCGCAGGCGATGATCCTTCGTGACCAGAAGAGCTGGACGGGCAGGAGCGCGGTGGAGCGCGTTTTTTGGACGACGGATAATTCGATCGAGCTCGTCTCGCGGAGCACCGACTGGGTCGCGCGCGATTGAGAGCCGGCCCCCGCCCCCTGCCACACGTGCCCCGCCCCCGTCCGGTCCATGTCTATGCCCATGTCTATCCATCCGCGGCCGCTCGTTGTTCGCTGTCGATATCCAGGCCGCCGCGCCTCCTCGCACGCTCGTTCTGCGCTTGGGTTCCCTTCGCGTCCCCCCGTCTCTGCCTCTACCATTCTTTTGATCGATTCGCACGCCGCGCTGTTGTCCGTTTCCCACTTTCTTTTCTTTTCTTTCCTTTTCTTCTCTTTTTATGTCTTACTTTTTCTGTTGGATGATTCCGCTGTGATATATATATCGGCGCGCGAGCGCTCCCTGTTCCGTCCCCGTCCCGTCCTCTTGTTTGTCCGTCTCCCGCTCCCGCTCTCCCTTTCCACCTTCCCTTTTTTGTTTTCGTTTTTCGTTTTTTTGGTGTTGGTTTTTACGTCTGCGCGTTCCCGCGCTCGCTCCTGCCTTCTTTTTCTTCTCTCTCCCTTCCTTTCCTCCACTTTCTTTTTTCACTTTCTTTTCGCTTTCTCTTCCTCTCTTTCTCTCTTTCTTCCCGAGCCTCGCTACAGTACGTGTCACACATACAGCCATACATACGCACATACAACATACCTCGGCCTTCTCCCCCTCTCGCGTCTTCCTCCTCCTGCGCCGCCGCCGCCTCCTCTGATCTTTTTATCTTGCCGTGTAATTATCTATGTGCCGCTCTGCAACGCTCTCCTCCCGGTCCTGAACCTGAACATGAACATGAACCCGGCGCCGCGTGATTCCGAAGCGCGCCACGGCATCTGCCTGCGACCCTGAAGGCCTAAAGGCCTATTGCGCTCCTATTGCCTCACTGTAGAGCCGCCAGCTAAGAGTCAGCTAAGTTGCTTATTGGCCAGGTACGCGGTGGCCCGGGGCTCGTCTGTCTGGAATGTGCACGCCAAGTACTGCGTACGTAGGTGCGTACGTAGGTGCGTACGTAGCAGTCACGTACGGTGAGTGGATAGCGTGTTACGGTCGTGTTACGGTCTTTTTTCGCGAGTCGATTCGAGCAGCGTCCGAGCAGACAGCGTGCAGTCTCTCAGTAGACTCTCCCGGCGGTCGTTGTCGTCGATCGATCGATCGACGGCGAAAGCGGGTCTCTTTGCGTCATGGTAGAGTCTCGTTTCGGGTGCGGCTCTGCTGTCGGACGAGACGAGACGAGACGAGAGTCCTCGACTCGTCCTCAGGGTCGGTGTCCGTGCGCGAGGCCGGGCACGCCGTCCGGGCAGCCCGTGCATGTGACTTATGAGTACACGAGCATCATCGTGCCCGACTCGTATCGGAGGCCACCTCGCGGGGCGTGGTGGTGATGAGAAAGCCGTTGATGTGGGTGGGGGCCGACACTGGTCGGGGCCGATACGACTCGGCAGGTGCTTGGAGCGTGCTTGATCGGGCGCCTCCGTTCGGGATCGGCCGCCAGTGGTCAGAGGACGCGAGCAGCTTCGCCCGGGCGTGTCCTGGAATCAGTTCGCGGGAAGACAAGAGCCGGGTGGTGTCCGTTTCTGCTGGCCCCTACGCAGAAGGTAGTCGTTCTACGTGGAGCCGGGGGACCTTCCATGATTGAGCGTAAACACGCAGTTTGTATTATGGACGACGGCGGGCCGCGCCAGCTTTGGTATCGGGTCGTCGAGGAACAGGTTTACTATGCTATTATGCTGGGGTGTGAGCGCAAGTGACATGTAATGTACGAATGATGAACGAGTCCAGGAAGCGCTGATATGAAGCGTGGCGGATCTGGGGCCCGTGTATGTAACGAGGCAAAAGCTGGGATACGAGGACTTCAAATTCCGCCGTCAGGATACTTATATCAAGCATCCATCGAGCCGGCGATGGTGGAACGTGGATGCGCCGCGGCGGCGGTATGCGGTGGAGAGATGATATGATGAGCCTCGGTGGGTTCCCCCGGGTTCACCGGAAAGATCACTCGTATCCCAAGCGTATCCTCTCCTCCCGATCGCGCTCTGAGAGGGTGACCTTGTCTTCGGCATCACGTAGCGTTCCGTCCCATTCCACGAAAAGCTCTGACAGCACGTCAACCTGTCCGGGGGAAGAAGGCAAGTTGGTTCGAATCAGTCAGATGAATGGGTGCGAGCATGCCACATATGACCTGTGAGAAGGAAGGAATGGGCGATGTCGGACGGGCCTTACCTGGTTGGCGTAATTTCGCATCAGGGCGGCTATCCGCGTCTCGAGCGCAGACGCGAGCTCGAGATCTTCTCGATGCTTCTGCAAAAGCGCTTCTAGGCGCGGCTGTAGCGCTTCGTAATCTGCGGCGCCGACGCGAATGAGCACATGAGGGACGACGCGCGGGCTGGGAGGGAGAAGATGAGGATGGGCGGACGGACGGACCTGGCAGCTTTCCGGCGCCGGTCACGCCTTTCTTTTCGAGCATCTCGATCTCGCGCATGTCGCGATCTGCGGCGCGGATGTCGGGTTCCAACTCGGCGAGGAACGCCTCGAGCTCGCTGGGAGACATGTTCTGGTACGCCGGTGGCGACGTGGGGAGGGTGCCGGAGAGGGCAAATGCGGGCGTGAGCAGGCTCGCATGTTGCTCGTCTGTTCGTAGAATTGCGGGATAAAATCAGTATGTGCAGTGTATCCGAGAAGTACGAGCTCGAACACGTGGTACGCACAGTGACTCATGAAACGTCGGAGGCCGTCGTTTCCCTCGACCACCGTGTTCAGCTTTCGCTGCAGCTCCTCAGTGCTACGCATGAGGGTCTCTCCATTCTTCAGTCCGTGCGCCTTATCATGCGTGCCTGGAGAGCCCCTCCTATGGTGATTCACCGTCTTCTCTGGTTTCACTCCATACAGCAGAGCCTCTAACCATCGCAGACGCAGCTCTAGGGACTGCACGGGTTCGATGGTGGGTGGTGGGCGTGGTGGAATCGTGACTGGCGATTGTTTGGGGGACTCGTAGACTTCAGAGGGGAATGGCTGGGCGGCTGTGCTGGATGGGGAGAGAGAGGGAGGAGGTGGGGACGACGGTGGCGTCGATCCGGAGAGCAGACGATGCCGCTGGACATCTCCCAGAAAGACACTTCCTATCATTTGGAGCTACTTGGCTGATCGAAGCCTCGAAGATGTCCACCGACTACAAGCACTTGTGTAGATTGCAAGGCCGGCCACCGATATATACTGTTGTAAGCTTAGTGGGTACTAGAGACTGCAAATTCTTTGAACGACAAGTTCGCGCCAGGGTTCGTTACTCCAGATTTCGCTTACCACAAAGAAGCCTCTGCGTCTATTGAATTTTGGCGAATGAGAGGTGAGATCTTGAGATGAGGTGCAAATTAGCCCTAACCCGAGATACACCGTAATTTAGCACGCGGCCGTTTCGTCGGACGAGCAAGTTGTCCTCAACAACTTCACTGTTGGCGGACGATATGGCGAATACGTCCTCCTATCCTCATTCAAAGCTCTTGATCGGCGCAGAAAAATGTGCCCTTATTTCTGGGCCGCATATCCAGATTCTTGATACTCAGTACTTCTCTTTAAGTTCAAAATATTCATCGTGTTTTGACTGATATGCAGGTCAGGACAGCTCCTTTTTTCTACTGCCTCGTTCGAGGACTCGGCAAAAGAAGCTATCGTGAAATCTGGTCCAATTCGTTGCGCAGCGGTTGACGAGGCCTTCGTGCACCTCGCCACGACAGGAGATGACAAGAAACTGAAGGTGTGGGCGGTGGATGGGCTCAGACTGCTCAGCGAAAGGTATGCTTGAGTTTTCAAAACCTTTCAATCCCTTTGTCATAACATTCGAGCCCTCTAGAGAGCTTCCCAAAAAGCCCACGCAGGTGTCCTTCATTCGTAAAGGCCGGTTCATACTTGTTTCCGATAAGTTTGGCGATGTATTCAGGTGCGCACTCCGTTTTGGTCTCCTCTATTTTTGCTGCAACTTCTCCCAGATATCCTCTCACACCTGTACCAAAACAACAACCAGCAACTGAATCAGATGTCAAGCGCGACCCCCTCGCCTCTCATGAAAATCCGTCCGACGGCCACCTAATCTTAGGACACACTTCCCTGCTCACTTCCTTCTGTCTACCATCGGACGAAAAGTACATTATCACAGCTGATCGTGACGAGCATATACGGGTGAGCTGGTACCCGCAAGGCTATTGCATCGAGAACTATTGCTTGGGTCACGAAAAGTGAGTGGTCCACCCTCATCCACGCGACCGCTGTTCACGGCGCTATGCCTAATCATTAGATACGTCTCTGCCATTCATATTCCCGCCTTCTTACCCTCGTCACTCGTCTCTGGTGGAGGCGATCCTGCGCTTAAAATCTGGGACTGGCAGCATGGCACCGTCGTCTGTGAGATCCCCGTTCTCGAGGCTATAAAGCCGTTCATCAGAGTACGAGCGAAAAAAAGGAAATGGGGGGATGACGATGACGAGGAAGGAGGCGGAGGTGAGAAATCGAAGAAGTCTCACGGGAGGAAGGGCCGAGGGAAGAACAAGCAGAATCAGAAAGCCGAAACAGAGTCACAAAATGCGGATGAGATGGAAGTTGACGTAGCAAAGGATGGAGGGAATGATGTGGCGGAATCAGTCGTAGTAGAGGAAGAGCAAGAAACGGAGGGAGCAAGCGCTTCGGCTATCGCTGAGAATCCTACTGAGAATCCGGAACCAGTCTTCGTCCTTCATAAAATCGCAACCCTCGATCTCGAGAACGACAAGCTGATTGTCTTCAGTGCAGTTGGGTTCGTCTTTTCTTATAAAAATTTCCTGCTGTTTCCGCTCATGTCTTAAGCAGCGCAACAGCATTGTTTTGGTGCACTTACCCGTCCACTTCGTTGCCCCTCGAGCCAGCAATTCATGCCCACAATTTTGAAAAGCCTGTCATTGACTTTGCGCTAGACAAAGAATTTGTCTGGGTACTTCTCGATGCTGCCTGGTCAGACAAGGGTGCCAACGCTACCGAAAGCTCTCTACAATTTGTGAAGCTTGTTCAGATGACATCGGAGAGTGTATGCATTTTGTTGTTTCTGATATGCTATAGCGCCTGACATCAAAGACCTCCTTCAACAGGTCACGGAAGTAGATCCTTCTTCCTCTCCGCTTCTTAATGTGCTCAACACCAAGTGCAACGTCCCAGGTATGACCTTTCCTTACAGTCTCGTCGTTATTCTAACCCTTTATTCTCAAAGCATCATCGGCGGACTTGTCCGTGCTTGACTTGTATGGCTCTCTTACGAGCATGCCCAAGAATGTGGACGTGGCGCACAACCCTATGGAGCGAGATTTATTGCACGAGGAAGATGATGGAAAGGGTAAGAAAAGGACTGCGAAGGAGATTGGGAAAGCTCAAACGAGGAAGGCGTTGAAAGAACGCCAGAAAATGCAGACGGCGACTCTGTCTGTGCAGGAAGAACAGGATGAGAGGGAGACGAAGAAGGCACGGAGTGATGTCGATACAGAGGCAGTAGATCAGACTTGATGTTTCTCATCCGGTGGTCGCTAGCAATCAGAGCGATCAACGAAAATTCCCAGCGATGTGAATAGATTTGTCACGATCAGTGCACTGTTCTGATATTTTGTATTGTACGGCTTGTCCTTCTAAGCTTCATGTATCGACGCTCTCAAGGGCGTTTCGGTGGTGTGGGAGGCAGTTGCGCCTAGCCCCGTCCCAGGGTTAGGGCTATGTCACGCTCTTCTAAGAGAGAATTGGAGAGAATTTTCGTGCTCACCGCGAACGACGACGAACGTCTGGATCTCTGCCTGCCCCGCCTTCTATCTTCTAAACGAGCGGAGTCTTGGGCTGGAACAATGACAGACCCATCTTCATCGACATTTGCCTCGTTTGCACATCTGATTTCCCCTTTATTACTTCGCGCTCTTGCGGACATGGGTTTCGCGCGCCCAACACTTGTACAACAAAAAGCGATCCCGCTCGCGCTCGAAAATAGGGACATACTAGCGCGTGCGCGGACAGGGAGCGGAAAGACGGCCGCCTACTGTGTACCACTTGTACAGAAGGTTCTCAATGCCAAAGCTGTAGGTGGTGCGTTCAACTACATGGAATGTTCGAAGACGGTGTTCTGATCCCTTGCTGTTCCCCAATCATCAATGCTCAACAACGCGAATACCTGTGTCTGACTGTCGCTCTCTCTTTGTATAGAGCATTGCTGCCGAGGATGAGAGCAGGCAGGTCACACGGGCCCTGGTTCTGGTCCCGACGAAAGAGTTGGCAGAACAAGTGTCTTCCCACCTGAGAGGCCTCGTGAAGTATTGCGAGAGTGATGTCAGCATTTCGAATGTTGCCAGTGGTACTACATCGCACCTGCAGCGGTAAGTACTGCTCCTCTTAAATCCAAGATTGCATCAATTAATGCTCCGTGGATTTGCATAGGATACTACTCTCGGATAAACCCGACGTCGTTATTGGTACACCTTCGAAAATACTCGCACTCCTTAAATCTAAGGTTGTGCTCTCGCTTAACTCTCGATACGCCTCCGCTGATAAACAGTGCAGGCTCTATCCCTCACATCGCTGGAATCGCTCGTGATTGACGAAGCTGATCTCATCCTTTCATATGGTCACGACGAAGATGTTCGCCAAATTTTCAGTGGTGGCCATCTACCAAAAGTCTTTCAGAGCTTTTTGATGAGCGCCACCATGACTGAAGACGTCGAGACGCTGAAAGGTCTAGTGCTGCGTAATCCAGTACGCCCCTTCCTCTTGTTGAATAAACTCTCCATTCTCACCGGATGTACAGGCAATATTACGATTAGAAGAAGACGAAGACGAAGCTGCAAATCTAAGTCAATACTCTGTAAAGTAAGGAGAGGCTATTCCGCGGTAATGATGAGTTAACTTTCTTTGCAATGTTCTACAGATGCTCAGAAGTCGACAAGTTCCTCCTCACATACGTGATCTTGAAGCTCAAGCTGATCAAGGGCAAATGCATTTTGTTTGTGAACGATGTTGATCGGTGTTATCGCCTTAAGCTCTTTTTGGAGCAATTTTCCATCAAGAGCTGCGTGCTGAATTCGGAATTGCCGTTGAACTCAAGGTATGAGCGATTCTGCTTACCCATTTCCCATCATATCAACTGGAAGTCCGCGGAACAGATATCACGCTGTACAAGAGTTCAACAAAGGTGTTTATGACTATATCATCGCGACGGACGAAAGCGGAAGGGGAGAGCAGGATGATGATGACAGAGACGTACATGCGGTCACAGTAGAGGCTGGAGCGGAGGCGGAAGAATGTAAGAGCATCCTGAAATCTTTTCACTCCACTCCCATCTTGACTGAAATCACCTCATAGTTCTATCAACACAGCGTGAGCCAGCACCTGAACATGAGGCAGATGCAGGATCGGAAGAGCCTGAAGCCAGCACGTCAAAAAAACGCAAACGCCCTTCCACCCCTCCACCCTCCAAATCCCGCAAACGTAAAACCCGTAAAGATGCTGAATACGGTGTCACTCGCGGAATAGATTTTATCGACGTTGCTTGCGTGCTCAATTTCGATCTTCCCACTTCCTCTCGCTCTTATACTCATCGAGTAGGCCGCACCGCACGGGCCGGCCGCACCGGCATGTCGCTCTCCTTTATCGTCCCAAGCGATGAATTCGGTAAGGACAAGGTGATTGGTTGTGTAGTAGGCACAGAGAAAGATGAAGAGGTATGGGAGCGGATCGAGAAGGAGCAGGCCGCTAGGGGAAGCAAAGTCAAGGATTATACATTTGACATGAAGCAGGTGGAAGCGTTCCGGTACCGTATGGAGGATGCGCTCAGGTCTGTTACGAAGGTTGCGGTGAAGGAGGCCAGAGTGAAGGAGCTTAAGCAGGAGCTTTTGAACTCGGACAAGTTGAAGGTGCGACTTTGTTTCTCGCGTTTTTTATATATTGCAAGTGGTTGCTCATCAACCTCGGTAGGCCCACTTTGAGGACAACCCTCTCGACCTGGAATATCTTCGTCACGATAAACCACTACACCCGACTAGAGTTCAATCGCATATGAAGCATGTGCCGAAGTACCTATTGCCGAAAATCGCGCCTGTACCTGGTGGGGCGGAGTCAAGTGAGCCTGTGGGAGAGAAGAGCGAGGCCGGGTTTGTGCCTTTCACCAAAGGCGGCGCCCGCGGACGGGGACGAGGGAGAGGTAGGGGACGAGGAGGAAAGTTCGGTGGCGGCGGCAGGGGTGGTAAGAAAAAGAGCGACCCGCTCAAAAAATTCCGGTAGTACATACGATCACTAGGTGAACCATAATTTACTTGAAAATCATGTAAGATTGTCAGCCAGGGATGCCAATGCCGAAATAAGTACATGATGTCTACGTTCAATTACCCCAAGATTATTCTTAAATACATCGACGCCCACATCAGATTGCAGAACCCTCCGTGAAAAGACGTATCGAACAAGTACAGCCTCAATAAATATCCAAAACGAGAAAAAAAAATTGAAGGTCCAGTACGATCACACCCATGATCCATGATATGCGACACAACATAGAAATCGCTTCATACTTCGTCGTCAATACTTTCTTCCCAGGCCTTTGACCGCTCGACGGCACGCTGCCAACCGGTCAACATAGTGTTCCGCTGTTTTTGATCTATCCGGGGCGTGAACCTCTTGCTACCTGCTGTGTTCACCTCACCGAGTGTTTCTGGCTTGGAGATGTCCCACCCGAAGAGACCGATGGCCGAGCCTGCGAGGAGCGCAGAACCCAATGCGGTAGATCTAACCCGGTTGAATTAGTTATCATCCTCAAAAAGACAGTGTAAGAAGCCATGTCCACGCACTCTCTCATTTCGGGTCGGACAACATCAAACCCACCGACATCGGCCAAAATATCCATGCACATGTCTCCGTTTGTCATACCGCCGTCTACCTTGAGATGCTTCAGATCGCTCTTCGAGTCCAGCTGCATGCTATCGATGACCGCACGGGTCTGGAAGGCGTTGGCTTCGAGCGTCGCGCGGCAGATATGAGCGGGCGTGGTGTAAGATGTCAGACCGACGAGCAAGCCCGTAGCGGTTGGGTCCCAGTAGGGCGCGAGGAGACCGGAGAAGGCGGTGACGAAGTATACACCGCCCGTGGAGGGCACGGAGGCTGCGAGGTCATTGATCTGAGAGGCAGATGCGATCAGCCCCATGGAGTCGCGGAGCCATTTCACTGCACTGCCAGCAACGGCGACTAGGCGGGTAGTCAGGGTCAAATTTGTCATTAGAAACCAGTGCATCACTCACTTGCTCCTTCCAGCGCGTACACTGGTTTTGCGCCGGGGCCTGGCTGGAAGGCCACCTAAGATGTCCGGTAAGCCTCGGGTATAAGATGGTGAGGCCAGAAGGGTACTCACGGTACTCAACAGCCCGTGATCGCTGTACACGATTTCATCACCGGTACAGAAAAGGAGGAAAGCACCAGTGCCATATGTGCACTTCGCTTCACCCTGTGTGAGACATTTGTTGCCAACAAGCGCGCCTTGCTGGTCGCCGACAAGGCCGCCGATTTTGACGCCTTGCAGTGCGCCAGAGGCTATTTCGCCGTAAACCTCGCATGTGGAGGCAAGACGGGGAAGGATAGATTCTTTGAGGCCGAAGAACTTCAGAAGCCTGGGATCCCATTTGAGCGTGCGGATGTTGAGGAGGAGAGTGCGTGAGGCGTTTGTGGGCTCGGTTATATGAAGACCGCCGTTCACACCACCGGTCAAATTCTGTTGATGCAGCTCAGCAGCTGACGCAGGATAAAGATGAAGTGAAACGCACATATACAATCCATGACTCCACTGTTCCGAAGAGGAGATCATCTTCATCATGTGCCTTGCGAACAGTATCATGGTGTTCCAGCATCCAGTGCAGCTTGATGGCGGAGAAATATGTGGACAAAGGAAGCCCAGTTCTAGATAAGCGGAGTGAGCTTCCAAAATTTCATAGATCACTTTGGCTCTAAAGGAGACGCACAGCTCTCGCAGGGTCTGAATTCCTTCCTGTCCTTTTTTGAAGACGCCAGGCTCAATCTCGATACCTTTGACATCGAGCACATGCTGGAAATGGGCAACAGTGTTTTTCGTGCGCGCGTCGTCCCAGACAATTGCATGACAGAGTTGTTTTCCGGTTTTGCGGCTCCATGCGACGGTGGTTTCACGTTGGTTCGTGACACCTGCAATTGGCGCATGAGTGATATGTAATCACATGTGAAAGCATTCTCGGACCGCTCACCGATGACCTTGACGCTCTCCCTCGACCACCCCGCTTTTTCCAAGTCGTTGACAGCCTCGTCGATGCAAGTTTCGCAGACGGCTTGCATTTCGGCGGCATCGTGTTCATGCCATCTATTGTGGTCACGGAGCCGGAGTTAGCGCTGGCCTCTCGAGGAACGGAAATTCAAGGGCGGCTTCGAATGCGGGGTGCGTGGGGAAGGTGGAGCAAAATGTGGGGCACGCTTACCCAGGATTGGGGTAGTGTTGAGAGAACTCCTTCTGATGTTGTGCGACGACGTTCGCATATTGGTCAAAGATGATGAATCGTGTGGAGCTGTCCACATAGAAGACGGGAGTAAGTAGGTTCATCAGCCTTCGCACAGAGGTCGCTGAGAGGGAAATGGAGCGTACGTGGTACCACAGTCGAGGCTGCCGACGAACTCGCCTTGCTTGAGTGCAGTCATGGTGGGGGTGTAGAGGATAAATGGAGGCGAGACAGGGAGGGATGGGCATGTTAAAGAGGATGGTTTTATCCCGCCCGGACCGTTCAGCCAAGTGATCATATGATATTGGCGCGAACCGAAATGAATGTTTCCGTGTCTCCGTACATCGAAACTCCTCCAATTGGCTCTGCAGCTCCGATGACTTGCTATAAAACCTTCTCCCGCTTCCTGAAACTCGCTACCGTCGACATCAGCCGCAACCACTGCAATCTCAGGTTTTCTTATTTGTTACAGCTTTTCCCCGCACCACTTACAAGCTATCCGTGAAATAGCTGAGGTCCAATTTGGCAGGAAGATTTGCTTTGTGCCCAGACATCCCTGTTCTTATGACTTGTCAAGTGGGCGTTTTTACGTTACGGCCATTCGTGCAGCAGGGACCATTGCAGGACCGATCATCTTCGGCAGCTATACAAATATTCCGACACCGTTGCGGGGCAGTGCGGGGCCCCGGACTCGTAGCACCCCCGACATCCGAGCGCGGCGACTTACACACTCTCCTACACTCTCTCACACTTCGAGCTTGTTTCGTTCCATCCTTGGCCATCCTTGGCCTCGTGCTTATCCATTTGCTATTTTCTCCTATTTTTCTAGTCATTCCCGCGGCGCACTAGAGAGATCTAGTGAGATGCTGTTGATCCTATACTACACGACTCATGGCACCGTGATTAATTGCCGTCCGGCTGATTCTCTTTCATGTTCCGCATCCCCTCACACACACACCAGATCAAGATTAGTTTTATGCCCATGCAAGCTGCCATTGAAGTACTAGCCGGCAATAGTCAGTTTACAGTGTTGCTGAAGCACATACCATCGCCGCGACGCCAGGCATTCCACCACTTTGAAGCAAAAGGCGTAGCTACAGCCTGGAGATATTCTAAGGTGTAGTCACGGACCATCTACTCTTTGGCTTGAGCAGTGCTTGAGCTAAGAGCATCATAAAATTTTCAGAATTTGAGATTGTCGAGAATTTCATCAGAATTCATATTTCGCTACTTTGCCCCTAAACTAGGGGTTCATTCATTCTTAGATCCCCTTGATTTGAAATGAAGAACCAGCCCGACATGTCCATTGTCCACTGGTCACAGCTAATCTTCGTCAACTTTGCTTAAGGGGCTATGGGCGCTTGAATTATTTCACCATATTGACCTGGCCAGCACAGCTTGCCTTTTTCTCAGGATCTCCATTTGATCAGACCAAGTCTCAGCATCAGGATATCTGCGCATCGCCCTTCGTGGCGACAAGTACTAAGGAATCAACTGGCGCACCGCTGAGCCTTGGGAAATTGAGATCTGACGCGCAATGGTCAAGGCCTAGATGCCTATTTGGTGAGTGAGAATTGATTCAACGACTGCTGGCTGGCTAGCCATCGTACTGATTGCCATACAGCATTGGAATCACTCATGCGTCTAAGATGACTCCAACGCCTGTCGGGAGCATTCTCAAGCATTTGCTCGCGTTTCATGTGTATAAACGCTCTTGAACGCTATCATCGTCTTTCTCAGGGCATATAGCAGTGATGTGATTCGATTCAATGCTGGTGAGGTGGCTGTTCTAATTGTGAGCACTCACCGGCTCACCACTCATATCGTGAGTACTAAAACATCCGCGTAAAGTTCCTGGACTATTCATACCTTCCCCTGACTCTACCTTCTTAAACTCAGGTTTGACCCAGATCCCTACAGTCCCGTACAACTTTCATACTTCATCATGGATACAAATGCGACCAGCCTCAATACCTTCCTCCTGTATGGGCTTGCCGTTGTGACTATCGGCATTACTTGCCTACTCCTCAAAATCCAAGCGTTGCGCTCGCTACCCCTCCCGCCAGGACCCACGCCATGGCCCTTGGTAGGGAACGTCACCGATCTAACACCGCGGGAGCTATGGATAACAGCTCAGACATGGAGTCAACAATACGGTGCGCACATTTCTTAGTCTACGACAAAGAGTGCGAGGGACTGACAGTTTTTATATGCGCAGGTGACATTGTATACACACATCTGTTTGGGAAGGGCATCATCTTTCTGAACTCCATTGACGTCGTCAATGACTTGTTGGATAAGCGCGCGCCTCTGTACTCGGACAAACCCCGTTTGATCATGGCCAATGAGCTGTAAGATCATCACTGCGCTCATGCTATCATCGCTCACTGTTTCTTTGTCAATGCAGATGTGGCTGTGGCAATATGGTAATTAATAGTGAATCAGATAAACGTGGCCATTCAACGCAGTTTATTTAGGTCGTTTTCACGAATTATGGTGATCGCGCAAGGCGTCAACGCCGTCTCATGTCGCACACTCTCAGTGCATCCCATATACATAAACAGAACGAGAATATCGAACTCGAAGCTCGAGGTATGTTGGAACGCATGCTCGAGGGTGGAGATGCGTTTGCGCACCTCAGACGCTATTCTGTGGGATACATCATACGGATAGTCTACGGAATCGAGCTCCGTGATGACGATGGGACCTTGAAACTTCTGGAGCTGGAAGAGCGGGCGAGCGACTTGCTTGCGAACAAAATCTTGGCAGGGGGAGGGGTTTGGGCGGTGGATATGATGCCGTCTTGTACGCGTGACGATGCATCTCTTTTCGGCTTGAACAGCTGACTGATATCATCCTTCAGTGAAACACCTTCCTGAATGGTTCCCGGGGGCAGGCTTCCTGCGCAAGTCCAGATCATGGAAGAAAACCTTTGATGACCTTCGCGAGCAGCCATGGGAGATTTTGAGACAAAATATGGTACGTCCAGCTCCAACTACCTCGGAGTCTCTGTGATACAGAATATATGCGCAGATGTCCGGCATATTTACACCATCCTTCTGCTCGGAGCTGCTCCAAACGAGCACGTCTCTCACCATGCAGGCTGAAACAGATATCAAAGATACAGCGATGTCTATGTATAGCGCTAGTATAGATACTGTAGGTTCCTATCTTTCCATCTTCACACACCACCGGTCGTCGTTGTGCGCAACATAAACAGCTTGAACTTACGGCGCATTCACAGACTTCTGCAATTGTAGCTCATTTTGTTCTTGAAATGATGAATCATCCGGAAGTTCAGCGGAAAGCGCAGGCTGAACTCGACACTGTCCTTGGTGGCCGGTTGCCGACATGTGATGATCGCGGGCCTTCATTACCATACATCAATGCGCTAGTCGAAGAGGTCTTGCGTTGGTCGGCCGTGGTCCCGCTTTGTGAGCTTTCTCAGCCTCCGAGTCTATTCTTACCTATGTCCCCCTGACATATTATTAGCGCTTCCTCGGTGCCTCCTCGAGGACGACGATTACAAGGGTATGCATCTCCCGAAGGGCTCCATTGTGCGTTCTCTTTTCGGCTTCCACATTTGATCATGAAAACGACCCAGACACGACCTCTAGATCCTTGTGAACGTGTGGAAAATTGTCCGCGATGAGAAGATATACCCCGATCCATATCAATTTGACCCCGAGCGTTTTGTTGAAAAAAGCAACGACAATGTTCCCACTAAACAACCTGACCCTACACAGTATATATTCGGCTTCGGTAGGAGGTAGGCTCTTTATCTTGCTTCATGCCGCAGTTGCTGATCGAACTGTGACCCTGTAGGCGCTGTCCCGGTGTACATCTCGCGACAACGTCCCTCTGGTTTGTGATCGCATCCATACTAGCCACTTTCGATATTCAAAAGCCTCTTGGCGGCAATGGAGTACCTATTGAGCCCATTGTCACCTTTGACAATAGCATATTCCGGCATGTTCTTTCCCGCGAAACTCTGAACGATAAAGATCTCATTATCGTGGTGTAGCACTCCTAGCGATTTCGAGGTCAATATAATACCTCGAGCAAATGCAAAGGAAATGCTCAGAAACTCTGTGCGGCCTAGTGCATTGCACCAACAATGATATCTATCGGGCGAGAGCGCTTGATACCCCATACAGGATTTGAAAAAAAGAGACTGTCCCTCAGTTACAGTTTAACTACATCATACGTATCGCAATAGATTAGACCGTCATGTTTCTATTCTCTGAAATTTGAGAAAATTATGGCTCTCTGGTATTGCCAGCAACAACCTCAACGCTAGCAAGGACCTGTTGTTTCCGAATAACACGTCAGACAGAAAAGGCAATCGTTCAAGGAACGAGGATTGAAATCAATGATGCGGGTATGTGTGTATGTATATGTGGTTCTACGTTCTAAGAGATGGTATGAGTGTGCAGTGAATGGAAAATATTGTCCGTGTGCGTGAAGATGTGCGGGCGATAAAGTGTAAGGATTGAGTGGGTTATAGTATAATGAGAGAAAATTATATCGAGGTAGAGGTGTCAAGCAATACCGAATCTTATCTTTTCTTCGTCGGACCAACTGAACACTGGGAGGGGATGTGCTTCTGTGTTGAAGACCCACTTGTCGAGTGGAACCAAGTCTTCGTCCGTGAACAGAAGATATAGATATTTGAGCCTAAAAACTGGATTGTCAATAACTTTATTTGAATAACACTACTTAGAAAACAAACGTTTCTGCCATGAAATAACTATTGTTGTAAGACGGGTCGTGAATAAGTCGTTAGAGAAAATTTCCAAGGGTTGAAAGTGGCTTGCCTTGGCATTGAGTCTTTTCTTGCTGGTGGAAAATATTCCACGGACAGAAGAGCGGCATATCCGACATCCGTTTTGCACGACTGCTCGATGGACTGAAATATATCCCAGCCATACTCTCGCCAGTGCGTTTCGCCAGTGGTGCGCCACAGAATGTACAACGACTCGATGACCTTGTGGGTGAGTTGTCAACGAGATTGTACGCGGCAAAAGGAGCAACGATGATCACCTCTGGCCTTAGCTCGTAGCCAGCTCTCCGAACGCCGTAATCCTTTTCGCCCCTGTGCTGGACAGAGACATGAGGGGCAGGCTTGATCGGCGTGGTGTTCGGCGGCCGACCTCTCCTCCCTCCCATCGACCAATTATCGAGTTCGTCGACCCACAATATTGGCCGCGGATCTGTTTGCATGAAAGCCTCGTCCGGGCTGAGACCCGTTGGTTGATCTGCATATAGCACAGCGCACGCCTCGCCCAGGCCCCGCGCGGCCCACCGGTGCACGTCCGACAGCTTGTACTGGGCAAGGCGCTGATAGTCAGCTTGGCTTTCGGGGGAAAGACTATCGGCGAGCGCGGTAAAGTTGATACCAAGAGAAGGTAGGTCGTCGAGAGGTAGTGTGTGCGCGCCGAGGGCAAAGAGGCCTGGGAGGAAGCATGCGAGGTGCTCGAATACGTGGGTAGCGGTGTCATGCGGAGGTTCGCCAGACGTTGCTACAGGGTAAAGTATGCCGCGGTTTGGAGAGGTGTAAAGCATGTGCGTTAGAATGTGAGTGGTTGTGCGGAGGTCTGAGGAATGTCCGTCATCTAATTGGATTTTTTATGGAGTATGGATGACCTTACACATTTCGAGAGCAGTCTTGTCTGTTTTACCGGTCAATAGGAACTGTTTCAACAAATATTCGTGTGCGCTATCCGCCTCGCCTCCGACCGCTAGTTTTGCTAGAGTTGGTAAAGTGGTCATCAATTGAATGGTTTTAAGGAGAAGAAAACTTGGGCGAACTGTCTATTGGCCTCCCTATGTCCAGCTTCCAGTGAACAGGAAGCATGCCACCAAGCTTCTCTGTCGCTGCGTGACTAAGTGTTTCCATAACTTTGGCAACCTAGTCACATGAAGAGAGATTGTGATTGAGTGGTAAGTGTCCAGGAGAAGGGTTGTCAATAGTATGTTTGCACCTGGTCGTAATACGTCTTATTACCTGTCACTTTCGCAAGGTACGTATACTCCGGCTGGCAGCTTGCAATCTCGGCCAAGCAGCCATGAGTATTAGCGGGCGCTACACCACTGTAAGAGAATTAACAAAGCGAGATCTTTGCATTGAGATGGGAGAAACTTACGTGACAGTGTTGACACTGTAGAATGGCAATCCGCTCTTGGAACCGAAAGCAGGCGACAGTAAACGACCTAGGTCGTCTGCTTTCTGCAGTAGCACATGGTTCCCCGATAATGCATACGCGGAGAGTAATCCACCCAGATACCGGATGACGGTTTCGAAGAACGGTGCAGGCTTCATCTTTACGTCGTGACATGGCGGCGCATCGCAATGGAACAAAGATATTCAAGCTCAGTGAGATTCAACAGCGCGAAGAGATATGGAAAACCACGCCAATGCGCTGTAGGGACAACGCACAAATGGAATGGAAAAGTCGGCCTTGGCAACAAACGAAACAGCCCGGTCGAACTCGTCCGTGAGGTTCATCAAGAACATGGTGTCTAGAGAGTCATAAACCGTGACGCCCCATCCATTGAAACTCAAAACACAGATATCATAAGCATCGTGCCTAACCAGTAAAGCCGGCAAGAAGTCCGCCAGACTCGCTGCTCACCTGTTGGATCCCTTTCGAGACATTGGAAGGAGCTCGTCAAAGGGAGCCGCATAGTCATCGTATCCATGATATGCATGCAAAAACGCTTGCTTTACTCCTTCAGCAGCATCAGACCAAGCCTTAGGCCGCGGAGGATGTTTTGGCAGAACATAAGTCAAGTCGTCCTTTTTGCGAGGGGCCGATTTAACGGGGCGCGGTGGACTATGGCTCGAGGAAATTAGGGTGTGAAAGGTCCATAGGATGATTATGATCGTGGACGATAGTAGAAGGTATCGGACAGCAATGGACTTGCGAATAAGCACATTCCTAGAGGACGATGAAAGCATACCCTCCAACGATTCGACCAGAACCTTGAAGGTGCAAAGGTGACGGAAGCTCAGCATTTGACGTACGATGACAGCATCTATGTACATTCACAGGCGCGAACCGAACTCACGAAACACGTGGGATATCTGCAGACCCCTAAGCAGGACACGAGCAAAGCAGCCCGAATATACTACGGCCAGTGGGTGCTATGTGGTGGGTGGTGAAGGAGAGCGAGGGACGGACAAGACCGACCGAGCGAAGTACTACGGTACTTGTCGGAGTTCGAATGCACGGAAGCGGTCGGTCATGGAGGAGAGCGGCTTGGAAGTGCAACACTGCCCACTTGGCGGTCTTTACAATGTCCAGCTTCGACAAGGTCGTCAAGAACGCATGCAAGCCCAAGCCGAACCCCCCAAAGCAGAAGGCATGCTCATCATCTCTTGGCGCTCGCGTGTTGTTAGTAACGGTGTCCCGCGCAGTATCTGGACCCAATTGTCGCCGCAACTTGGTCTGATGACGGAGCTGTTCATGACGTTTGCAAGGCGCTCTCTCCGAGGTTCAGAGAACCAAATGCAATTGTAGGCTCTTGAATGGCATGAATGCTGAGACACGTAGAGCTGATCGTTCGGCCGTACGCATCAATAGATTGTGTTCAAAGCCCTCCTGGTGCTTCATACGATGATCCGGAACGGTGCTACCGACAACATCTTATCCTATCTCTCTTCTTCCGACGTCCTGCGTCTCAAGAATGTATCTGGGGGTCAGTGGGAGGGTGCGTAGTTTCTCCGACTCCATCGTGGCAGTCACTCATCTCATAACCGGACCATCATTGAATGCCATCTCGCTCAGGCTACATGGCGCCGGAAAACCTACAAAACTACGCCAACTATCTTAATGCTCGTATCCGTGCATACCGTGACCTGAAGCACGACGCTATTCATGTTCAGTCGGAGAACAACAGGGACGCACGTTTGTCCATGTCGCTCGAAGAGGATGCGCGCCAGCGCTCAAAATCGGAGCCGCCTGCACCAAAAGCTCCTACGCGCAGCAAAACAATCTCGGGCAGGAAATTACGGATAATGACGGTAGAGAAAGGTCTATTAAGAGAGACGAAGGTAGTTCAGAAGATGATTGACACGCTGGTCGAATGTCGGGTGCGTCTGGTCTTCTGCTCGATCTCTCGAATATTCCTTAAGAGGACCTTTTACGTTTAGTTCTACCTTGACAATCTAGAAGACGAACTTACTGTCACTGCTCTCCGACTGTTGGTCAAGGATCTGCTCATTCTCTTCCAGGCCGGAAATGAAGGGGTCATCAACGTTCTGGGTATGTCTCATGAATGCTTGGTGTTCTCAATTTCTTCAGGTCCTTATTCTCATCTTTCAGAGCATTACTTTGAGATGTCGCATGTTGATGCCGAGCAAGCGCTAGCTATCTACCGGCATTTTTGCAAGCAGACTGAATATGTCGTGGAGTATCTGGGTGTGGCAAAGAAATTGCAGAATATCCTGAATGTTCCAATCCCAAACCTGAAACATGTGCGTATATTTATAGATTTTCTGATCATGTCTGAGTTCTTATTGCGTTGAGCAGGCACCTGTGTCGCTTGTTGGTGCCCTCGAAGAGTATCTTAATGATCCTAATTTTGAGCAGAATAGAATCGAGTACAAGACAAACAAAGAGGCGGCGGACAGAAATACTAAGAATAGAACAATAGCCCCGACGAGTGCGGCAAAGTGTATGCCAGAGCATTTTTCTTCGCTTCCTCATGCTTATAGACCCCCCCAGCACCATCTCCGAAGCCTTCGACATCACAAGCGCCGGTCGCATCGACATCCTCGGAACCACCGAAAACGGAATCCAGCCAGGCCATGGCTGATTTCTTCTCGGCTATTGAGGAGGAGCAGCAAACGATGTTCAATCCCCAGACTGGAAGGTCAATGATAGCACCTAATTGTCGTATTATAATGCTGATAGGAAATCGGAAGCAGCCCGACATCGACTTACTTCCAGCAAGCTGCCCATAACCCGTTTGTTCAGCGACAGATGACGGGCTTCCCATCTCAGCCATTTGTACAGCCTCAAATGCAAACTCAGCCCACAGGTTTCATACAACCGCAGATGACCGCCATGCCGTCTTTCCAACTACCTCAACAACCATTCTCGCCGTTCCTTCAACCCCAGGCCACAGGATTCCTTCAACCTCAAACTACCGGCTCGAATCCATTTCGCCAAAGTGCGCTTATACCGCAAGCGACAGCAGCATCTCCGTTCGCTCAGTCAAACTTTGGCCAGCCGCAAGTGCAGTTCAACGGCAGCAACAACCCTTTCCCGATGCAGGGTCAGCTGCAGAGTCCACCTGTATCTAATTTTGCGTCTGCACCACCCACCCAACAACATTTCGATACAAATTCGTCATCATCGAACTCTTTCCAGCCCCAACCGTCTTCAATGTCTCCATGGGCAGCACCCCAGCAAATGTCTGCCCCGACCAACAATTCGGTGCCAACACGCCCTGCATCTACGCCCATCACCTCGCTGGCCTTTGGTAATAAACCGGCGTCGCCTCCACCTCAGCCCGTCAAAACGCATCAGACAGGATCGCGTAACCCCTTTGGTGTGCCAGCTCAGCCAGCGCCCCCAGTTCCTAAAGTTCCAACGCTTATGGAACTGGCAATGGGTATAAATAACAACACCCAGAGTCAACAACAAGTGCAGCCGCAACAGACTGGATTCAACGGGTTCAGCGCATTCGGCGGATCGTCTACGTTGGGGGCTAGTTCACCGTCTTCACAGCAGGGCTCGGGGATGTCGAATATAGCTTCTTCCTTCTCCATGAACGGAGGTGGATATGCGGGATCTAAGCCGGAGGAGAATCAATCGTTCGGCCTTGGGCTGTCGAATTTCGGTGCACTGAACCTCGGCTCTTCTACATCACCGCCGACCTTGCCGAGCCAGAATACGTCCACAACCTCTTCCGGGTTCTCAGACTCTATCTTCTCCTCGCTGTCTAGTCAGCCCACGGGTGCTACGTCTAATGTCACCGGTGCCACGACACCGTCGATAACATTCTCTCCTCCATTGAAACCACAGACGACGGGGTTCAGCGGAATCAAAGCGTTCAAGCCTACGTCATCGTTCGGTGCTTCACTACTGGAATCCCTTCCGCCAATTCCACAATCCGCACCTAGCACACCGGGAAGTCAATCGTCGCCGACACTGAACTCGGCGATGTCATCGCCTGGCACGACTAGTGTCGGTAGTTTCGGTCTCAGCTCTCAGCAGACCGGCATGCCGTCGCTTTCTGGGCAGCCGACCGGCGCTACAAGTTTTTCGGCATTCGGCGCGGGTGCTGGAACGGGATCAACGGTTGGCGTTGGTCTACGTCCGCAGATGACTGGCGCTGGCGGAGCGAACCCTTTCCGCGCCACAATGTTTGCGACGGGGGCGGGGACTGGTGGCGGAGGTGCATTCGGCGGAATGTCCGGCTCGAGCTCGACGCCGGCGTTTGGAGGGGCAGGGGCAGGATCGGGCATGGGAGCATCGTTATTCACACAGAACACAGGCATGCCTGGGGCTGCGGGTGGGATGGGCGCGAGTTTGTTTGGGGTCAACGGTGCAAATGCGGGTGGCGCGTTTGGGCCGGGCAATGGAACGCGCGCGTTCGGGTCGAACTTTGCGCTTGGTGGTGGCGTAGCTGGTCAGGATTCATCGAAGAAGCCTCAGCACAATGCGACGGCCTCATTGATATAGTAATGTCATCTACTTTTATTCTTGTCCTTGTTTCGTCTTACGCGTCTATGCGCCTTTTCCCTATTTTCAGGGTACCGGTCGATATTACCTCGTCTTTGAGATGGATTATTCCCTCATTCCTTCTTGCCTTCTCTCTTCTCTACTCTCCTTTCCTTCCCTGTCTTTTCCTGTTTTTCCTTTCGGCTACTTGGTAGCCACGCGGAGTTGGGATTCTCGGTGACGCTCGTCGCGAATTTACTTTGGATGTTGTGTAGGTTAGTGGTTATCCGGTCTCTTTTTTCATCATTCATCGGCTACGTACTTCAGACATAATGCGCTCCCGACACCGCCGTTTACTTGCCTGCTTTCTTGAATTTCAATGTACGAGACATCATTGCTTTCATGAATACCCGAGCATATAACCGATGGCATCGTGATCGCTGAGAGTGGACGGCCGACGGTTTGATTCAAACTATCCACGCATAAATCATTCCAATTCCAAAGTAGCTCACGAGGCACCAACACTGAAGACAAGAGTTTTTGCCACGGCCCACAATGGCTCATGTCGATCGAGGTATGCATCGCCGATTGGGTCAACAAGATACCGAGTTGACTCCTCCAACATCGTAAAAGACGTGAAAAATGGCCCTTGGCTTCCATGGATCACACACGGAGATCCGACTCACATTGATCAGAGAAAGAATGGCTGATCGTTTCGATACTTGCATGGAAGCAGAAAAGAGCACCGAGCAGAGGATGAGCACCTTGAAAATGTCTTTCGTATGTGGGAGCACCCAGCAGTACCAAGCTCGTCGAACCCTGTAGCTTCTTCAGCAGCGCTGGCCCGCACTGATCAGAGCTCTCTAGATTTAAGGGAAGGACGATAGAGGTTTGCCAAAGGCTGAGTCGGGCATGGTCGAGTGTTGATACCCAGATCGATTTCCACAAAAGGTGGCGGAGAAAGACATCACGTCAAACGGGATGCTCCTAATGCACATACACAATTTGATGAAAGGTGCCACTTTGTTGCAACGAGAGTCACTGGTCAAGAAGCGTCAACTCCGAAGACGCGTCCAAATCGCAGCCACGCAGCCACATAAGCTACCACCATAAGTACCTTGCGTACAAAGGCCATCACATCACCTTCCTGCCCTCTCTCTGATACCATGTCCGAGTATGTCTCTCACAAACAAACTCCAAAATACCGCGACTGATTCTGACCAATTGACGGCAGCCAAGCACAAAAAGACGCCCTCACCATCGCTGATGCGCAGATGACCATCGAGAGCGCCCTCGACCACGCGAAACGCGCATTCGCGCTCAAAAAATACGAGCACGCCGTGGACCATTATGCCACGGCGCTCGAACTCATGTACGCACGCTGCCCGCCGCGCGCGTGAACCGACCGCTGACGTATCGACGCGTTGCAGGACCACGAAGCACGGCGAGGACGCGCCGGAGATGGCCGACGTGTATTTCGCGTACGGGAAGGCGCTCCTGGAGAACGCGATCGCGCAGAGCTCGGTGCTGGGCAAGGAGCAGACGGAGGAAGGGCCCGATGGGACCGAAGGTGAGTGGCTCGCGCAGGCACACCTCGACGCGCACAAACTCACCGCTGACGTCGGTGCTACTTGTGTTGCAGCCGAAGATGCGGCTGCGAAGAAAGGCGCGATCCTGTCGTTCTCGGGGGACGCGGAGGATGTCGAAGACGCGGCTGTGGATCTATTCGCGGAAGCGTCCAGGGCGGTGGCGGAGGAGGAAAGGGAAGAGGAGGAAGAGGAGGGCGCGGAGGGCGCGGAGCCGGAGGACGACTTCAATGCTGCGTGGGAGGTGCTCGATCTCGCACGCACGATATACGACAGGCAGAAGGACGAAGACGAGGAGGTGCGGCTGAAGTTGGCCGATACATATATCACGCTTGGAGATGTGTCGCTCGAAACCGGTGCGTTACAGCTTGACACATGCCCTAGCAGCTGCAACGCTAACATACGAACGACGCGGCATCACAGAGAAATTCGAACAAGCCATCACGGACTACACTGCTGCACTCTCCCTCAAAACCGACCTCCTCCCACTCTCCTCACGTCAAATCGCGGAGGCACACTACAAGCTTAGCATGGTGCTCGACCTCACGTCCGGGAGGCTGGCCGACGCAATTATGCACGCGCAGCGCGCCCTCGAGAGCGTCGACGCTCGACTGTCGGAGTTGAAGGAGGGATTGACCGGGACCCTGAAGCCTGCGGAAGTGCCTACACCTGCAGAAGATGTCAAAGTGGATACCAAAGGAAAGGGCAAGGCAACAGGTGCGAAGTTGGTCAGGGACGACCTGGTGCAGAATATGAGCCGGGCCCAGATCGAGGCCGAGGTGAAGGATTTATCGGAGTTGAGAGAGGATTTAGCACTAAAGGTGAGTGTCTCGCACCGTCCTATCGTACATTGTTCCTCCAGTCAGAGCGCTGATATGTGCTGGGTCTCAGGTTGACGAGCTCAAGTCTTCACCAAACGATAGCCACGCATCCGCACCAGAACTCGCTGCGCGCGCCCTTGATGAGGAGTTGCGCGCAGGCTTGACGGGCGCTTCGCTTGCGGGCACGAAGCCGCTCCCCGTGAACGATCTGACGACGATGGTCAAGAAAAAGAAGAAAGCGCCAGACGCCAACGGCGCGGAGAAGCGCAAGGCGGACGACGAGAGCAGCAACTCTCCTGCGGAGAAGAAGGCTCGCTTGGAGGACGTCGCTGCTCCGCCTTCATGAGCTGACACTTCTGATCGTGCTGTTTGGCCGATTCACGGTGCACCACCTCAGCGCTCGGGTCTCGATTTTGTATCCTTAGTACAGTCTTGTTTGACGATCTCTACTCCTATATATTTACTTATGCTACATTGCACACACACATGAGCGATATACAATGCATGTCCGGTCAGAATGGAACCGAATTGGCGTGGATGGGCGCGTGCTTATACCTCTTCTTCCCCTCTCCGCTCCCAAATTCCCCAACGACGTGCCCGTTCTCGCCTTTGCTCCTCAACACATACTTGTACGTGACCAGGCCCTCCAGTCCGACAGGTCCGCGCGCGTGTATGCGCCCGGTGCTGATCCCCACCTCGGTGCCGAACCCATACCTGAACCCGTCCGCGAAGCGCGTGCTCGCGTTGACGAACACGCCCGCCGAGTCGACGCCGCGTGTGAACGTGCTGGCGGCGGCGACGTCCTCAGCGACGATGCAGTCGGTGTGGTGCGAGGAATGCGCGTTGATGTGCTGCATGGCAGCAGGGAGGGAAGGCAGAGTGAGAACCGAGAGCGTGAGGCTGAGGTGCTCGGTTGTGTACGCGTCTGGCGGGGCGGGGCGGACGTGGGTCAGTCGGTTGGAGGGCGCTGGGGAGAGTTTGTCGAGGGCTGCGAGGGTAGGAGGATCGCAGAGGAGGGTGACAGAGGCGTTCAGAAGTGCTTTTGCGACGTCTAACCAAACTGTAGACAGCAGTGATTCGTGAACGATGAGTGTCTCGACTGCATTGCAAGCTGCTGGGTAGTCGATCTAAGCACAGTACCACAGCGCATTCGTCAACATAGAACCTCGTGAAGCAGGAACGATTTTCGAACCTTCGAGTCAACAACGATGCGGACAGCTTTTTCCGAGTCAGCAGACTCGTCGAGGTATATCGCGCACAATCCATCGGCATGGCCCATCACTGGAATCCGAGTATTATTTTGAATATTGCGGACGAGCTCGTTGCTCCCGCGAGGGATCACGAGGTCAATATACTGATCCAAGTAGAGGAGCGAGTTCACCTCTGCGCGGGATTGGATGGTCTGAATGTAGGTGTTGGGGAGGTTTGTCCTTGACAGAGCAGTCTGGATGGCCTTGGAGATGAGCTGCGTGCTGCGGTTGGACTCCTTTCCGCCCTTGAGAATGGCAGCATTACCTGACAATCAAAGAGCTTCAAAATACATGCGCGGCACGGCGACACTGGACAACAGGCAGTCTTCGTACCAGATTTAATCGCCAGAGCGGCGATATTCACGACCACCTCCGGCCTGGCCTCGAATATGACTAGCAGCACGCCAATCGGACACGAGACGCGGTAGATTTCCAGGTTGTCGTCCAGCTCTGACGCGTACGAGACTTTACCGGTCGGGTCTGTGAGGTTTGCGACGTCGGTGACGCCCTGCAGCATCGAGTCCCATTTATCGCCTTTGCGCAGATCCAGGCGGTTTAAGAGGGACGTGGACATGCGGCCCGCATCGACCTCAACTTGGGCCGCCTAGTTCCATTGGAAGAATCAGTGACACTACAGGTCTGAAGGCGTTGAGCGAGACGAACGTCCATGTCTTCCTTGTTCGCGGCCAGGATAGAGGCCTTGCTTGCCTCGAGCTCGTTTCTAATCTCATGGAGGGCGCGGACGCGTTCGGATGTGGGTATCAGCTGGGAGGCCTCGAATGCGGTTTTGGCAGCTTTTGCGATGGCTTCCGCTGCGGATGTATCTGAAGGCATGGTTTGAGGAGAACAAACGAGTCTGAGAGAGAGGGAGTCAAGATCGCGAGCGTAGATAAGATTAGATGGTGCTGACGAGAAAGGAAATAAGGGTCGACGCCACCATCTAATAGATGGCTCGTAGTCGTCTCCAGGCAGTGGCAACCGGTGTCGCATGCCCTCCTAAATCCCACCGCCTTCCCCCATCCCTCCCCCACACTCCCCATCCTAATAATGCCTCCCACCGGCCTCCCAATCTGGGCTGCATCCCGCGCCGACTCGACGAGCAACGTCCACCCGTGGCGGGCCTACAGCGAAAAAAAGACGACTTCACTCAGCTCGACGCTGAAAATGCACGGCGCGGGGGGCAGCGGCGCGCGCGACTGGCTGGCCAGCACCCGCAGAGACAAGGATGTCCTCCCTTCGCACGGCAAGGCACTGAAGCAGCGCGACGACGACGGCAGGAGCTGGAAGGATGCGTCGCGGATAGCGGCCAGCGCCAAGGAGGGGCTCGTCGCCGATTTGACCAAGACGCTGCAGAAGGTCCTTCCCTCGCATGATGTCCTTCCTCTGACTTCGGCCCCGTCACCGCGCCACCCACCCCGCGCAGGCCTCCGCTCGCCCATGGCGGGGATCACGCTGCCCACGTCGGGCCTCCTGGCACCCCCCGCGCCCGAGACGCTTCGCTTCATCCTTCTCTGCGCGCTCTGGTACACTTCCTCCGCGCTCTCGTCTAACACCGGGAAGTCGATCATGAACCAGTTTAAATACCCCGTCACCCTCACGTTCATCCAGTTCGGCTTCGTCGCGGGGTACTGTCTGCTGTTCATGTCGCCCCTCGTCCGCTTCTCGAGGCTTCGACGACCCACGCGGGCGATACTCAGGGACACCGTGCCCATGGGCCTCTTCCAGGTCGGAGGCCACATATTCTCTAGCATGGCCATCTCGCGGATACCGGTCAGCACCGTGCACACCATCAAGGTACGTCTCCGTCCTTCTTTCTTATCTGAACGGGTTTAAACCGCCGTATGCGTGTGCAGGCGCTTTCGCCTCTGTTCACCGTCGCGGCGTACGCCCTCATGTTCGGCGTCCGCTACTCCGCGAAGACCTACGTCTCGCTCCTCCCTCTCACGCTCGGCGTCATGCTCGCGTGCACGTTCGACATGTCCATCTCGAACGGGATCGGCTTCCTCTGCGCGCTCGGCTCCGCGCTCATCTTCGTCTCCTCGAACATCTTCTTCAAGAAGGTGATGCCGACCGGCGCCGACGCGCACGCGCACCACAAGCTCGACAAGCTGAACCTGCTCTTCTACTCGTCGTCGATGGCGTTCCTGCTCATGATCCCCATCTGGCTGTACGCGGACCTCGGCGCGCTGCTCGCGTCCGCGTCCGCGGAGCCGGGGCACGTCGCGCACCCGTCGCACGGACACAGCGCGCCGCACTCGGTCGCGTACTACCTCGTCGCGAACGGGACGGTGCACTTCGCGCAGAACATCGTCGCGTTCGTGATCCTCGCGTCGGTCTCGCCCGTCACGTACTCGATCGCGTCGCTCTTCAAGCGCGTGGCGGTCATCTGCATGGCGCTCGTGTGGTTCAGCCAGCGCGTGCACCCCGTGCAGGCGGGCGGCATCGCGCTCACGTTCGTGGGCTTGTGGATGTACAACAACGCCAAGGGCGACGTCGCGCGCGGAGAGAACAAGCGCCGCGGCGTCGAGGCGCGCAGGGAGGGCATGCTTCCGACCACGCGCGAGGAAGAGAAGATCCTCGCGGGCGGCACGACCCCCCCGTCCGAGCCAATCCACTACCACCCGTCTCAGCACCAGCACCAGCACCAGCACCAGCACCAGCACCAGCTTCCACTCCGCCCCGCGCCCGCCGACGCCGGCGTAAGCCTCGCGAGCGGGCGCACCCGCGCGCTCTCGCAGCTCGCGGCGCCGCTGCGCACGAAGATGGAGACGCACGCGCCGCTGCACGCGCCCGAGCGCCGCGCGCACGCGCACCCGAACCTGCACATCGAGATCATCCCGCCGTCGCCGGGCGCGGGGCCGATCGCCATTGCCGTGCCCGGGTCGGGCGCGCTCCCGGGCGGCGGCAAGGGCGCGCGGCCGTCGTCGCCGACCGAGCTGTACCCGTCGCCGCCGCTGTCGCTCGATTCGCCGCCGTTGACGTCTGCGGGGCTCGCGCCTGTGCCCGTGCCGGCGCGCGCGTGAGCCGTGAACGGGCGGGGCGGGGCGGGGCGGGCTGGTCTCGGGAGCACCGTCCGATCCCTTGGGACGAGTGTATAGATTGGGGTGGGCGGCCCCGCGGACGACGATGTGAGATAGAACGCGACGACGGAGACGCAGATTTTGTGACGAGCGGACGAGCGGACGGACGGACGGACGGACGGACGGATGGATGGACGGAGGTGCCTAGGTATCTACAACGTTGAGGACGAATACGGACGCAGAATTGGTCTGCGGGTGGTTTCGTTGGTCGCTGTTAGGTTTGTCGGTCGACGCCGTCCACCTCTGTCTTTCATTTTACTACTACACGACACGCGCGCGCCGCACGGCACACTGGTGCGGGCCCTCTCGGACCCCGCTCGAACGGGGGACTTTTTGCTTATTCGTAACGATCTTCGTAATAATTTTTTTCTCATTGTTGACGTGGCGTGGGGCTCGCGCTCCGGCGCTGCTGCAGGCGTGTAGGAGGAGGACGTGGACGATGACATTCCTATTCTAATCTGAACATGGGACGTGCGGATTTTTTTTTTTTACATTCGAGTGGCAGGCGGGGCGGTATCGTGGTCTGTGATCGAACACGGCTCGCGAGGTTTCATGTTCTGTGTGTTGCGTATGCGTTCTTTTCTTGTTTATTCTTCTTCTCCGTGTGTGTGTGTGTGTGTGTGTGTGCGCTGTTGCTTATTTATTATATCGCGGTATGTGGTTTAACCTCTGTAGATAGTTGCTGCTGGACGACATCTCTACGGGGGAATAGCTTGCTGCATGGTACCGAATCGCTGGCGACCGAGCTGGTCAAATGGGTGCCACGAAGAATCTCACGTCCGAGTGGTCGTAGCAACTTCGTAGCGCGAGGGGCGTGTGTGCCTCGCGGGTGGAAGACGGACAAGAGCGCGGATGAATTGTCGAGACGGGGGACGGCGGGCTGGCATGGTGTGCTGTAGGATGTGGGATGTGGGATGTGATTTGAAGCTGCTCGCGCGCCGCGGGATTGAGAAGAGGAGATAGTGTAGTAGTATCGAGTGCCATTGGGCGAGGGTGATTGGGAGCCGTAAGCGAAGCGACCGGGTTGGCTGTCACCGATGCGGTCCTCGCGCGCCCCCCAATTGGGCTCGACCACTAAAAATGAGTCGTGGTGGCTGGCACAACCTTCCCGAACAGGCAGCCCTCCTCCACTGCCCCCGCCCGCCTTCCTTCCCGCCCAGCGCCATGGGCCCTCGTCCGCGCAGGACGCCGCAGCGCACAGGTCGTCGTCGGCACCGCCAGGCGGGTGGGACGGGCGGCGTGAGAGAGGGTGGGAGGGAAGAGTGATGGTGGACAACGAGGACCGCGCTGGGTTGGGATGTGTAAGAGGGCGACAAGCCGACTGGCCGAGGGAGTACCCGAGCAGTCATCGGATGGCTGCCTCTTGGGCTCCTCTCCCTCCACCCCTCTGCCATCTCCCCCCGCACGTACAACGTCTCGCACGACCCAGACGGTCCCCCTCTTGTCTCCCGAGACCCCCATCCCTCTTCCCATTTCCCCGTCACGCCCGTCGTCGTTGTTGTCGTCGCTCACGAAAAAAACTCGCCTTCGCGCCATCGACGCACACAATGTCCGACAACTCCACCTCCTCGCCCGGCCTTACGGCTGACGCCTGTGGGAGCGGCGGCGGCGCAGACACCTATTTCGGCCTCCGCGTCGCCTCCATCTTCATCATCTGGACAGGCAGCACGTTCGGCGCCCTCTTCCCCGTCCTCGCAAGACGCACGCGGTGGCTCAACGTGCCCCACGGCCTGTTCGAGTGAGTGCGCGCTTCGCCCGTGTCGTTGGTGCGGAAAGTCTCAGCGCAGCGCTGATTGATTTGTGTCCTCGGCTAGGTTCGCGAAATATTTCGGCTCGGGCGTCATCGTGAGTCCCCCCTCGTGCCTCCATCGCGGCTTTTCCTGACCCGCCCATTTCAATGATATAGATCGCGACCGCGTTCATACACCTTCTAGATCCTGCCATCAAAGAGCTCAGCTCACCTTGTCTCCCAAAAGGCTGGAGTGAATACGTGCGTCTCTTCATGCCACATACCATATTTATAATACACTCGCCTTTGTTATGATCTGACCGACCGCTGTTCTTCCCGGCCCCTTTCTCACCAACGCCGCGTCCATTCAGCCATACGCCCTCGCCCTCGCCCTCGGATCCATCTTTTTCATCTTCATCGTCGAGCTGCTCGCCTTTCGCATCGGCACGCGGAAGCTTCAGAAGCTCGGCATCCACCACGGTGCGTGTCTATCGCCCCACATCGTCATCGTCATCTCTGCACCCCGTGCCCAACCTCTTCCATCCGATCGATAACCCTCGCCCGCGCCTCGTGCCCGTCGAGGATCTAGAGAAATTGGCAGCTGACTGGCCTCGCGATTCACAGATGCGCACGGGCACGGCGTCGGCGGCCACTCGGCACACGGGCCCGAGGGTGCTCGGGGCGGCGCCGCGGAAGTGGGGGAGCAAGAGCTTACTCTGAGCAAAAACGAAGACGCGGCGTCGGGCTCGGACGTCGAGAAGCGGCATCACCATTCGCATGACTTTGAGGAGGACGACCACACTGCTCTCGCGCAGCTCGTCGGCGTCGGGATTCTCGAGTTTGGCGTGATCCTGCACAGGTGCGTGTCTCCTTGCTTTGGGTGAGGGGATGAAAGGAGAGACCGCCGACCGCGTTTGCTGCCCGCTGCAGTGTTTTGATCGGTCTGACGCTCGCCGTGGACCCAGACTTTAAAGTCCTCTTCGTCGTCATCGTCTTCCACCGTGAGTCCCACCCCGCCCCTCCACGTCGCCCACCCAAAACTGACCGCACGTCTCCCAGAGCTCTTCGAGGGGCTCGGCATCGGCTCGCGGCTGGCCTACCTCAAGGTCCCGCCCAAATACAATTACATACCGGTGCTCGCGGCGCTCGTGTACGGGCTGACGACGCCGCTCGGCGTCGCTGCGGGGCTCGGCGTGCGCACGACGTACAACCCGGGGTCCGCGCGCGCCGCGGCGGTGTCGGGCGTGCTGGACGCGCTGAGCGCGGGGATACTGATCTATACGGGCCTCGTGGAGCTGCTCGCGCACGAGTTTTTGTTTAGTCGGGAGATGAGGGAGGCGGGGGACGGGAAGATGGCGTATGCGGTTGGGTGCATGATGCTTGGGTGCGGGATCATGGCGCTGCTGGGCAAGTGGGCGTAGGGCGTGCGTGGCGTGTGCGTGCGTGCGTGCGTGCGTGTGGTGCGATGCGCGGGGACGATCGCCTTGTACGCTCGCGCTCGCGCTGTGAGGGCGTGAGAGACGCGCGATGTGTCGCGATGTACTTGCTGTTACTGTTTGGGAGCCCTGCGTGTTTCTTTCTTGGTTTTTGGCCACGATTATCTTGCGTTGCGTTGTTTCACTTTTTTTTATTGCTTTTAGATGAGACGAGACGGGGCCTGCCCGCTTCCACTTCCACTGCCATCGGGGACGGGGAGGAGGGAGGGAGGGAGGGAGGTCGACGGTGTAGGATAGTTGTACGCGCTACTACTTCTTGCCGCTTGCCAGCACTAGCATCGTAGCTAGCATCAGAGCATCATAGCCAGCATTATAGCATCATAGCTAGCATCAGTGCATCAGAGCACCATAGCACCACTGGACGGCTTGTTGTTGGACGCTGCGTGCCAGGTGTCCTGCGAGCGTGTGACTCGCGTTTGATGCGAATGGCGCGCGAGTGCGCTGACGCCGCCGAGCGAGCTACACTGTATCCGTGTTTCGAGCCCGGCGAGCGTCGGTACGTGACGTACGTGGTTATGGGGAGGAGAAAGGGGCTTGGCGCGGGTTGTGGTTCATACTGGCCCACACTGGTTCGCTGGCTCACATTGGCTCATATCAGACGTTGCGGACGTGGGTGTGGGTGCAGATAAGCAAGGGGCCGGAGCCTGACTTCAGCCAACTTTAGCCCGAATTGGCCATGCCAGGCGCCCGGTCGACTGACGTCGGACGCTATGGTACGTACAGGCAGCAGCATACGTGAGCATAGTACTTACTCGGATATGGAGGGAGGGAGGCAGCAGAGTGCCGTGGTCGGTCATACCTGTAGAATAGGCGGTTGTTCTTGTCCTTGGTCGACTGTGCGGTTAATGGACGTGCAGCATTCGTGCGGTGTAGAGCACTACGCGTACAAGGGCGCTGTTGAGTTGTGCTCATGTCGGCGACTAGGGGCCACTGGTAGTCCGCTCTATGGACACACGAAAGACCAGAGACAGGCTATACACAGAACGACTGTCTTCTGTGATTGGGTCAGCAACGGAGACTAGAGACAGGCGGTAGCTCGGAAAGACAAATATGTTCGAACAAGGCATAATAATTACTATTGCGCTCCTCTCAGCCGTGCGTTGGGTCAGCAACGGAGACTAGAGACAGGCGGTAGCTCGGAAAGACAAATCTGTTCGACCAAGGCATAATAATTACTATTGCGCTCCTCTCAGCCGTGCGTTGGTGATTCCGAACCGCTACACAAGAAAGACATACACTACATCCTCCGCACGATTGTACTCGTACACATATCCACATGAGCGGGACTTTGCCGCGACAGACAGATGAAACTTCCAGGACGCGGCTTGCAACACGACTTCGGTTCGGCCGCTCAACGTTCAGCACGCGTCGGCCTGAGCGCCGCCCAAGCGAACCGTGCGCGTCGCACCGCCGGCCTCGCATCAGCCCCCGCGCGCGCGCCGGCTCAGTCCACCGTGCGTCCGAACGTCGTCCCGACGGGCACGCCCTCATCGAACACGACGACGGTCGGCACGACCTTCCGCAGGCGCTGGACGACGACCAGCAGGAGCGGGCGCATGTCGCACAGCCGCATCGTCTGCAGCGCGGACGCGCCCTGCGCGTGCCGCCGCGCGACCCACCGCTCGACGCGCGCGGCGTCCGCGCGGCTCAGCTGGAAGTCGCCGAGCTCGAGGTGCTCGAGCGCGGGGCACAGCACCGGCGCCGCGTCCGCGTCCGCGTCCGTATCTGTCTCGGTGTCGTCGGTCATCCCGACGAGCGCGCAGAACGCCTTGCGCGTGTGCAGCGCGAGCGTGCGCACGGACGCCATGTTCGCGAGGCCCTGCGCCCACTCCGTGCACGCGAACTTGGGGTCCGCGACGTCGCCCGGCCCGAGGAGGAACGTGCTGGCGCGACAGAGGCCGACGAGGCACGCGACGTCGATCCAGAAGACGATGAGGAGGGGGCGGTCGCCGAAGGGGCTCTCGAGGAGCACGCGCGGGGCCGCCGTGCTCGCGCCCGTGCGCGCGGGGGCGGCGGTCCCGCGCAGGACTGGCTCGCTCGGGGAGGAGCCGGGGGGGTTGTAGAGGGAGAGCACGAAGGTGTCGATCGCGGGGAGGTTTGGGAGGTGCGAGTGCCATGCGGGCTGGTACCGGAAGAAGGGGATGTGAATGTGTGCGGTCGCGGGTGGGACGAGGAACGCGAGGATGTATGCCGCGCTGGGACCTTGGAGGTCGATCGTCTGCAGACGGGGAAGGTTGACGCGGCGCGGGATCGCCTCGTCGGATGAGACCGGATGTGCCTCGTAGAGACGGAGGAGCTCAAGGTCGGGGCAGGCATCGAGCACGTTGAGAAACGTGTCGAGCTTGGGGTGCCAAGCTTCTAGCTGCACGTCAAGGTGCGTGAGGCCGCGGAAGAGAGGCGCTGTCCATGGGAGCGTGATTCCAACAAGGTTGAGGCGTCGCAAGGAAGGCGTGTGGCTGTGCAATATGCTGTTTGTGCCGCGGGGAAGTTCTGCGTCGGGGAAGCTCACGGTTCGTATGCAATTAAGCGTGAGGGACTCTAGGATGGGAAGGTGGGCGGGGAACTTGTTCAAGACATTGGTCATTGTGTGGCGATCAAGCTTGGCTGAGAGGGCGCGTGTACGCTCGGCGCAGGTATACAGAGCTTCGTAGTGGCGCATGGGTAAGGCGTAGGACTGGTTACTTTCGAAGCTGAAATCGATGGGGAGGCGGGCGGAGCGAGTGATAAAAGTATGGGTAAGGCGTTTGTTGAGAGTTATATGCGACCAGAGGGCGTAAGAGCCAACCGCGATGGCGCGCCATCTGCGGCATACGGACGCAGCCCGGACGACCTGTTGGCTTCTCTCAATTGGGGTTATGTATGATACAGTCAGGCTGCTGATGATGTTTTCCAAGATCTCAGTCGGGAGACAGTTGATCGGTACGCGGGCATTGTGTAGGGTGAGGGAGGCAACTATGGCGTCACGAAGGTCCCCCGCCTCCTTAGCAGCCTCTCCTGAGACTCCTCTCGAAAGGAGGGCCCGAAGGGAGGACTCGGATGCTTCACGGAAGTGGAGGAGGATCAAAGACCTGGAAAGGTCAGCTACCTTGCTCTCCAGCCATCGTTGCGCTTGGGAATTATCCTTGTCTGCGATCGTCGTGCCATAGAGTTCGAGATAATGGGCATTGAGGGTATCAACGGTATGATCGCTGAGGCCGGGGTCAGTGGATGTGCCGCTAGGTCCTGTTCGCCGTCAGCATCGACTTGGACTTGTTCATGCCCTTGGAGTATAGTGCGATGATCAACGTACTGCCTTGTCTGTTCGTCGGCCTGTACGTCGCGGCAGAATAATGTGGGTCACTCGACGTCGCCATCGATGAAAGATGGTGTCAGCGCTTATTAGCAATCGACTCTGATTTTGAGGTTAGGGCCTAAGCGCCTGTCAATTACAAACCTTGACAAACGCGTCTCCAGCGTCGACCAGCCTCGCGAAACTCTTTCTCTGTCTCGTTAACCATCAGCGGCGATGAGCAAAAACAACAGCCCGCTGCCCCCGGGCATGGTCATCGGCCCAGACGGCAAGCCCTGTAAAATCTGCACCGCGTTCCGGAACTGGAAGCCCGCCGCGTCCAAGGGCTCTACCGCGTCTCCCACTCAAGCCGCAGCGGCGACCTCCATTGCCGTTCTCGCCGCGCAGCGCGATGTTCCACCAGCCCAATGCCCGCCCGACGTAGAGCAACTCGGCCGCGCGACCTGGACGTTCCTCCATACGACCGCCGCGTATTACCCCGATAAGCCGTCCACCCACCAGCGGGCCACCATGCTCTCCCTGCTGCACGCGCTCCCGACGCTGTACCCGTGCTCCCATTGCGCGACGCACCTCGGACATGAGATGAAGAAGAGCCCGCCCGACGTGAGTAGCAGAAACGCGCTCAGTCTATGGCTGTGTCGGCAGCACAACGAGGTCAATGAGAGGCTGGGGAAGGAGAGCTTTGACTGTGCGAAGACGGACGAGAGATGGAAGGAGGGTCCTAGCGATGGCAGCTGCGACTGAGGTCAGTGTTGCTCTCAGACTGGGTGCAAAATCCGTATGGCGCGCTCACCCGACCGGGAGTCGATAGATCGCATAGACTCCTGATATAAGTATCCCTGCTTCCGTGTAGAGAAATATAACTCCTCTCTCTTCGCTTGCGCGAACTTGTTCGTTTCGTCATGAGGGACTTGTGGAAGCGGCCCTTTTTTGGAGTTGGCAAGGTGGAGAAAACATCCGGTCCGAGCTTGAACTCTGCTGAATTGGGTTGGCAAGGGGAAGCCGCCGGCAATGAATGGGGTATGTAAGCGATTGTCTTGGCATTCGGTTGTGAGATGGAAAGAAGCAACGTCAGGGCCATATACAGACTTGGCCCATGGCCGGGGCTGGCCCGAGGAACACCTGCAGCGCTGGCAACACATCCCGTCTCCTACCACTGCGCACACCTCCCTTCAAGGGCGTTGCACACAGTGTACCTCCGTCGGCTCCAGCCAACCTCATGCTCTCGAGCCCACCCTCTGGCGGCACATCTCCAGGTTACACCCCACATCACACGGGCTCTCTCTGACGGCGCTCGGCAGCATGGTCTTCAGCAAGTTCCCCTCTCTGCCCCATGCGGCGCTTCACTACACTTCTGCATTCCTTCGCCGTCCTCTGTTCCGCATCGTGACATTCAGTCTTGCACTCCTCGTCTTCTTGTACCTTTTCCTTCCTCCCACCGTCTTCCCATATGGCGAATATCACCCGGAAGGTCACCATTTCTTAGACGACTATTCTCCGCCTCCACGGCACCCTCGCCCGCCGCCGCATCGCCATGGACATGGTGGAGGACCGCACCGCCCACACAAGCACGATGCTTCTACGGACCTGTGGGCGTCTCGTGCCGCGGAGGTCAAGGGTGCGTTCGTTGATGCGTACACCGCTTACAAGGAACATGCCTCCGGGCATGACGAGCTGCTGCCGCTCACCAACGCGCCCGTGGATAAGTGAGCTGCCTCCAGTGTCCATGGCCCTGACGCTCACATCGCTGCCTATCCTCGCGTCGCCCAGTTTCAATGGGTGGGGTCTGACCGTCGTCGAGTCTCTCGACACGATGTGGTTGATGGGTCTTTATGACGAATTTGATGAGGCTCTCTCTGTCGTCGCCAATACATCTTTCGCGCTCCAGCCTGTAAGTCACTGCGTGCTGAATATCCACTGCAGTGGGAGCCCGAGGCGTTCATGGGTATTTTTAAGATGACAGGCTGACACATGATGTTCACAGGACAAATATGCACCGTTTTTCGAAACGGTCATCCGGTACCTCGGCGGGCTGCTCTCAGCGTATGCGCTCTCCGACGACCCGATCTTCCTCGCCCGCGCAGACGAGCTCGGCACAATGCTCCTCCCCGCGTTCAACACCCCGTCGGGCATGCCAATGTATGCCGTCAATACCGTCACGTACGTCTCTTGACATCCGTGCGCGGAGGGTACGCTCTCACGCGGAGCCTGCTCGCTCCCCGGAAGGGGAAAGACGCAGGGTGGCTGGAGCCCTGGCATCACGCTGTGGGCGGAGGCCTTGAGTTGCCAGATGGAATACAAGTACCTCGCATACCTGACGGGGCGAAATACGTACTACACCAAAGCACGTCTTCTTCGCTCTGCGCGTTTTCGTGCCGGGAGAGCTGATCCGCCAGCTCTTCTCTGAAGGTAGAACATCTCATGGAGATCATGTATAAGACAAACACGTCCGCTACGCATGGTCTCTTCCCGACCAAATGGGACACGCACGACGGCACGCCCAGAAATCGTAAGCTCCCGTGTGTTTCCACCGTAAAAAAAAAATCATACGCCTGGTCCAACAGAGCAACTGTCTGTGGGAGCGTTCGCCGACAGTGCCTATGAGTACATGCTGAAGCAATACCTCCTCACCGGCCGCACGGACATCAAAGCCCGAGACCTCTGTAAGCCGCTTCCCTCGCCAAACCTAACCACCTCCTCAATCCATCACGCAGACATCAACTCTGCCAACGCCATCATTTCGACGCTCATATACCTCGACCCTACGCGCGGGCTGCTCTACGTGACCGACACCGACGGCAGCGAGGCGACGCCCTCGCACACCTTCGAGCACCTCTCCTGCTTCCTCCCCGGCGTCCTCGCGCTCGGCGCCCACACCCTCCCGCTCGCGCGCGCGGACCGCGAGCGTCACTTGTGGGGCCGCGGAGGGCCTCGCGCAGGCGTGCTACGTGCTCTACGCGGACGCCGCGACGGGGCTCGCGCCGGACGAGGTGCTCGTCGCGCACGGCGGCGCGACGCACGCGGGGCGGTGGGCCGACCCGCTTGCGGGAGTGGGAGGACGCGGGGCGCCCGGGCGGGGTGCCGCCTGGCGTGGGCGCGGTGAAGCCGGCGGGGGAGCGCGAGGCGGGGGGTGCGGGCGCGCGGGGATACGGCGCGCGTGCGGGTAAGGCGGGGTGGCTGCTCCGCCCGGAGGCGGTGGAGAGCTTTTATGTGATGTGGCGGGTCACTGGGGAGCGGAAGTGGAGGGAGCGCGGGTGGGAGGTGTTCGAGGCGGTGCAGAGAGAGGCGAAGGTGCGTGGGGACGCGGGAAGTGGGTATGCGAGCTTGAAGGATGTGTACGAAGTTGGGGCGGAGAGGAAGGACGAGATGCCGAGGTCTGTTGGGTTCGGTTTTTGTTTCATGTTGTCAGGTGGTGACTGATCGTGTTGTCCTCTCCCTCCCGTGTAGCTATTTCCTCGCGGAGACGTGAGTGGAGCCGTTTCGGTCTGGACCGCGATGAAAATATTGATTGTTTCCTTTTCAAAGGCTAAAATACCTGTATCTCCTCTTCACCAACGAGGAGCTCGTGCCACTCGATCAGTGGGTCTTTAACACAGAGGCGCACCCGCTTCCCGTGTTCCAGTGGTCAGAGTGGGAGAAGGCACGGTACGGCATCGTGTCATGACTTCCGAGTACAAGTTTTCGGTTGCACCTAGGAATTCACCAGGTGCCCTCTTGCCCGCCCTTCGAAAGTACGAGGAAGTGTTCTGTACTCTCATGTAACCTATGGTTTTGCGGATGTCGCACAAATGCGGGGATAGGCTGTGTGCTCGCGCTCGCGGTGTGTTCTGGCAATAGGCATGTCACCACCAGGCTCTGGACGTTATTTATTTCAAAGGCATGTTGAATGAAAGGAGAGTGTGTCGCAGGAGTACACATTGATTGAGATTCGGTAAAGTATGTGATGATGGAGTCGAGTCGAGTATTGGAGTAAAAGAATAAGAAACATGGAAATGACATAAAAAGTGGGAATGGCTCAATCAGAAAAGGAGAACAAGGGATGTAGGCGGGGTTTGCAGCAAGGCATGCACGAAAGGCTTGAGATAATATGTTTGAAGTCTACAGAATGACTGATCCACAGACACGTTCGGCATCGGAGAGTTGGTCAGGCCTCCTCTCCAAAGACAAAAAAGAAAATATTTGTCCTCGACTCTCTGTCGCTTGGCTTGAGCTCTGCTGCTAGGACTGCTTCACGGATATCGTCCGAAATGGCAGAGTGAGCAGCATCATTTGCTTGTCGCCGAGCCGAGCTAGAAATGATCTAGTCGATGCTCTTATTCTGTAGCGGCCTTGATGCCTTGACCGAAGCAGAGCGGATAAAGTCGACAATAGCGTCCTCGTCCAAATTTCTAGTCGCTTCATCCCAGGACGAGTTGGACAAGCCGTGAATCTTTAGTACAAATTGACGGGCATAGTCGAGGAGGATGCGCAAGCGTATCTTGTTGAGGGTAGCTTGAGTCTGACAGCCATTGAGTTGTGGATGTGGGTAGAAGGTCATGATGTGCGAAGAATGAGAGAACTCACACGCATGAGGGCTGATAACGAGGACTGCAGATTTCTTGTGATCTCTTTCTCCTTCGCTAGCTCCGCCTTCGTATCCTTAAGCTCCTGTTTTGTATCCTTAAGCTCCTGTTTTGTATCCTTAAGCTCCTGTTTTGTATCCTTAAGCTCCTGTTTCGTATCCTCAAGCTCCTTTTCCAACCGCTTGACCGAATCTTTCAGCATACGCTCCAACCATTCGTTCGACTGTTTGTTCACCCGACCCATCTCGGTCTTCATCTGCTCCACGTTCTGCTTCATCATCTGCTCCATCTTCTGCTCAAGCTCATTGGTCCTCTGTTCAGAGCGCTCTTCAGCCGCAATATTGCGAGAGCGCATATCACGCAACACTGCATTGAACGCTATGTAGTGGATTAAGAAAGATGCAGTATTCCCATGTGAAAGAACATATGCCTGTTTGTCGCGCGGTGTGCTGGTTAGCTTGAGTTTTGATGTGATGCTGGACAGTTTTCTCCCATTGAGGTTTGGCATGATAGAAGACGTTGATATCCTGTTGAGCTTTGCTTGTTCTTGTCAAATCTCCCAGTGTTCTGCCATGCAAGTCATCGTGAGACATCGTACGCCCATCTGTGTTTGATAATTCAGCATTTTGTCTTTTCATCGTGAAGCTGCTTACCTAAGATGGCGTGGACCATTTCTGAAGCATCGTTGGGCCAGATACACTGTGCATGCACCTTGCTGACATGATCCATGAGATGTGTTCACATGATATCTGGCATCTCCTGTGCATCCAAACTGCCCCCTTCAATATCGGCATCCAGGGCAACTCCCGAGTGTGACAGATAGGCATGGATATGGATGATATCTGATTTGCCACCACCTCCCGAATCACTCTCCACACCCTCCACTTCACCCTCCACAGAGCCATGTTCCTGGTCATTTGTAGACACAGATCTTGAAGAGTACATTGTTGACCAGAGTCTGTATTGGCAGAAGAACAAGCAGTCTGTGGATGCCTCCCACACTTCAACATCTCAACTTGACATGTGGAGATTCTTCTTGTCCAGATTTGCAACTTATGCTGCGACGCAAAAAATGCCCAGATCGAGCACTTGTGGCCAAAGCTTATATACATGAACAAGCACTGAAAAGGACGCGCGATTCCCGTGACACAAGCTTAGCCTCGACCATGACATAAACGCACATCGATTTTTACTGGCGGCATTCATCTACCTTTCTATCTCCTTTGTTCACTTTGTAACGTCCCTTCTTTCCTCTACCACATCCCGTCCTTCTTGTCGCCTGTCATTGCTTTTTCCATGCCCACCAGCAGCCCGAGCCGCTCTCCAAACCCCGGAGAGAACATCGCGTTCTCGACACCTTACCGGGGCCCAACGGCCGAGTCGGTTTTCTTCGGTTTTGGTGCAGCGCCGTTTTGTGACTCACGCACCGTCCGATGAGCAGGAATTTCGACGCCGTCCTTGCCCGCGCATCACGGCGGGCGCAACTGTATGAGCTGCAGATCAAGGAACTGGAGGTATGTGCTCCCAGAGTGCTCCTGCAGTGCTTGGTCCTTCATCCCTACGACCATCCCTGTCCGCTCCGAAGTCCTTCTGCACAGCACTGACATCATCCCCATCCTTCGCAGTACAACCTTTCCGAAGACTTGAGCAACTGCCGCGCTATCGAGGGCCTCCTCCGTGACTCGTTCACCACGCTCAAGGTGTGTGGGCTGTCCCCCTCGCTTTGCCCGCTTTCCCCCGCACATGTCTTGACTGCGTGCGGGCCGTGCTCCCGGTCCGATCACGTATTCTGACGTGTAATAACGTAGCGCAATTACCGCCGCGCAGACAAAGAGGCGCTGCGGACGCACGTCCCGCTCATCGCGAACGAGCTCCAGGAGTCGATGGACAAGCTCACTGATCTTGAGAGGCGCCTCCCTGAGATCCGCACGCAGGTCGCGCACATCCGGACGAACTACAACAAGGGTCGGGACAAGGTGCGCTGCGCGCTTTCTTTCAATTCCCGCGCTGTCAGTCCTTTATACTAATGCCTCCTTGTCCACCTTCTGCATCCCGCACCCCTGTTCGTCCCTTTATGCGCCCTTTTCTCGCACACTTGTGCCCGACTTCCCCGCTTACCTGTCAATCTCCTGTTCGTCTTAGGCAAAGGACCTTGTGCATGACCTCGAATGGCTGAACACGGACTTCTACGAGCGCTGGCGTACCGTCATTTTCACTGCGGACAGCCCCGTCTCGTGGCGTTGGAAGGCGGGCATGCGCCTGATCTTCGCTATCTGCTTCGCCGTCGCGGCCTGGCTCGCGTGGATCGCCCTCCGCGGGGCGTACCGTGCACATAGGCAGCGGCTCGTGTGGGGCGAACGGCTCATGTATTGAGTCGAGGTCTACATCTTGGAATCGTATCTTTGTTCTGCGTACGCTCTCGTATGCTGTTCTGGTCTGCACATCTATATATGTATATACGCGTACACGGATCTTTCACGAGTCTCTGATCGTCTCTTCTTTTTCTTCATCTCTAGCTCCCACATAACACTTGACCCTCCCTTCACCGCCATCCATTGTAATTTTCCACACGTCCCACGCACCCCATCCCAACCTAATCCTCTCCGTACCTGTCTCTCACCCGCTCATTCGCTTGACACACCGATCATCTCGCGCCATCGATCCATTCTCACACGGCTTTCTGTAACATTATTCGTAGATTTTACTTCTTGCTGATATCGTTTCTATATCCCCTGCTATCGACGGAAGCGCATTCAATGTCAATGCTTTTTTGCATATCAAGTTCTTATAGACGTCCTATGCGCGCAGGTATGTCAAGTCGTCGAATGTCGTGTGCAACCGTGGCTTCCCTTGCCTTCAACTGATCGAGCTCGACATTCACGAGTAGATGAATGACCCATGACCAATGATACGTCGAGCTTTCCGATCTTCAAAGGCTATCTCTGTACGAGTAATTCTCAAGCATCCTTGGGCTTTCGGACCCAGAAGAGGTAATTACACTCTGTTGCCCAAGCCCCCACCACCCTCGGCGCAAGACTCCACTCGCCTTTCCACGGCAGGTACACGATGCCCCTCACCTCCGCCTCCGTCCTCGCAGGGCGCCCGTGCTCGTACGTGCGGCTGATCCAAGGACGTATTTTCTGGCCATGCTGTTCGCCGCCATCGTGCTGGAGAGAGGAGGAGAGCGGAGAGCGGAAGAAGTCGACGAGCTCGGCGGGGTTTACGAATTTGGAGTGCGTGTGTGTTCCGGGCTCGACGAGCCGGAGGAGGTGCTCGGCGGCGAGGATGGTGAGGAGGTAGGAGAGGGGCGTGCGGGCGATGGTGGAGAGGAAGAGGTGGCCGCCGGGCTGTGGGTTAGGATGGGTCAGAGTAGCAAGGAAAGGTGAAGGATGCAAGAGTGAGGGATGGATGCGTGCGCGTACCTTGACAAGCTCCGCGCACGACATGAGGAACGAGGCGGGGTTGTCGACGTGCTCGAGGACCTCCATCGAGCACACGACGTCGAACCGCTTCGGCTCCTGCACGAGGGTCTCCGCGAGCGCATGGCGGTACGTGAGCGAGCCGCACGCTGTCGTAGATGCAGAGCGGGGAGAGAGCGAGGGGTCGGCTGCTGCGTGCAGCGACGCGATGGCGATGTTAGACTCGGACGCATCGATGGCTGTTGTGTGTGCCCCAAGCCTTGTGAGAGCCTATCAGCATTGTAGAGTACAGTCCCATATTCCACAAGTCGCATGAGACCGAGTATGCATCAGAAGAAGAAATGTCATTCGTGTACCAGAATGTAGGAGGACACACCTCAGACAAGATCCCCCCACCACACCCCACGTCCAGCACGTCCATCCCCCTCAGCACCTTCCCATCCCTCTCCGCTTTCTCGGCCCACACCTCGCCCGCTTCCCCTTCATCCCGCGCGCTCTCGAGGATCTTCTCCCGTATGAACTGCATCCGCGCGGGGTTCATCTTGTGCAGGAGCCCGAACTCGCCACGCTCGTCCCACCAGAGCGACGAGAGGCGAGAGAAATGGGCGATTTCGGCTTCGTTGACGGTCGAGGTGAGTGAGGGCTCATTGATAGCGGAAGTAAGGACGTGTCGGCGCGTCGGGGTAGAGTGGATGAAGCGGGAGCCGGTCGGCACTCGTTGGGAGGGGATTAGCGGTTTAGGAGGTGGTTTTGACCGGGTTCGGGAGGGTTTGAAGGAGAGACCGACGCGGGAGCGTAGCATGGAGGACGATGCAGGCTATGTCGAGGAAAGGGGATCCAGATAATTGACGTGTCGGAACGCGTTTGTGGCTGGAGCGCAGGAGGCTCAAGTTGTTTGTTCCCTTGCCAGCACCATGTTCGACGGTCACAACTCGAATTCTTCTCCCTGTTACACCCTCAAGCTCCTTGTTGTTGTACGCATGCTTCATCAATCAAGCATATCCACATTGCAAGCCCATTCAATTAGCGGGGCCTATAACAGCATGATCTGATTCGATCTCATCATTCCTGTCACCGCTCATACTGAACCGTACCCCAAAGCGAGGTACAGGCTCTACGAGCGGTTAGCTAGGCCCAGCCGGATTGATACGGGCGCATCCTGGACACTTTTTGGTGAACGGTCGGGCTCTGTATGGGACTGTGCGCACTGCGACTGCACTGCGCAGCTGCCGAATGGACACGACATCATCAATCAAGCGCCTACGAGGAGCTATGAGGCCATGCATCACTTGACCTATAGTAGGTTCAAGAAGGCTGTGCATTGTGGGCGCCTATTTTCAGTGCATAAAAGCATCCCAATAACGGCCCCTTGGTTCTTATTCCACATCCAAGGTATCCCATCTTTCGACCCATCAGCACAAGACCGATGATTGAGGTAGACCATGTGATGCTAGTCATGATCACCGCCTTTGCTTTTGTGTCCGTGCTTGCGGTCGCACCCCTGCACGGTGCACTCGTCCGCTACAGGGTTAACTATGTGCCGAAAACTGTGCGCCTCCTTTCCTCGGACGATGAGCGCGGAGGCCAACCTGAAGAGAGTTCGCTCCGTCCGCATGTCCCAGGGTTCTTCCGCACGCTTGGAAGAGTAAAGAAGATTGAGGCAAGTCCTCAGTTGAATAGCCTTGATTGCATGCAAGGCCTGAATGCTGACAGCGACCGCACAGGGCTGGGCTGGCATGTATAAAGGGATCAGTACGTTACATGCCCATTAAGATTTTATGCGTTCGCGCCGACGCCTTTTGATACATAGTGCCCCGACTTATGGCACCTGTCGTCGCGATGCTCCTAGTCAATCTTATCACTCTCGGGGTCAATGGCAGCAACGGCTTCAACAGCCCGGGTCTCATTTGGCGTCTGCCCGTCCTGATCTTGATAATGCCTCTAATCATTCTCATCAACCGGTAAGAAGTCTCGCGGATTACTTCGAGAAAACTCATATCATTGTCTCTCATGTATTAAGATCGATCATTACGCCTTACCGTCTCCCCTTCTTCGGACCTACACGCTCTCTCCGCATCATCCTCTCCGACGCCGAGCGGCGAGCGCCTTGGATACTTTTCTTGACACCTGGCCTGCTGATCGCCCAGGCCTTGCAAGTGTCCTATGCCGTCGGCCTTGTGTATTTCCGCCGCACGCTCATGCCCAACCTCACTATCTCGTCCTCATCTGTGCGCTTGAAAGATATATCTCCGATGTGGCCCGTTTTATTTGTGGGCGTCGCCCTGCTGAGCACGCTAGTGTTGACCCCGTTGGAGGTCATTGCAGCGCGGGTGTCCGTTCAGCCTAACTTCACGGCCTCAGAGCCTAAGCCAGCTCCAGGAGCAGGAACGGAGGCGGACATCAAGGCAGTAGGGGCGCTGTATAACCCTGACGAAGATGTGATCAGGCAAGTGTTATCTCGCTGCGAATCTTCGTTCATATATATTCTTGAGGTAGAAATTTGCATGAGCTCACTGTCGTTGTTCAATAGGCTGAGGGGGTCGGATGAGATGGACCCAGGCCCATATACCGGGTTCATCGACTGCGGCAAGCGTATCATCATAGAGGAAGGATGGCGTACGCTGTATCGTGGCTGGTGGATCACGCTCATAGCCTGCTTATCTGCAGCATGAGGAGTCTGAGGTTTGCATGCAGATAGTTGGATGGTTATTACGGTCGGTGGTCCGTTGTACTTGCTCGAAAGCTCGCATATGCCAACTCTTTCATCGCCCCTCCCGCTTCTATGAGGATTTCAGCAACCTCTGTGCTCATGTTAGGGCAGTATGCACTGCTAAATTGTCAATGGTCAACCAGTCAAATACTTCGGGCTCCTCGGTCTCCGTCGATTCCTCCAAGACCGACTTACCGTTGTTCACACGGTTGCTCAATCATCAGCCACTCATTTTCGCATCTTCCTCAGCTTGCTGAGCGTCCATATACCGGCTTGATATCAACGACTAAGCTTCACACGTCTTCACATGCTCATATCAATCCGGAACCAAATATCAAGTCACGGATGTGGGAGGTTAGCAGGACCGATACAAGCGACCTTTGAGAAAACATGGCATACAGATTTTCGGTCTCGAGCCATGTACACCTGCCGAGGGGACAACTGTCGAGTGGACACGACCCTGGAGTGACCCCTAGCTCTAGATCTCACTATGACATCAAGCAGTATACCTCGCGTAGGTTCAGATTAGGATGCTGTGCATTATAGGCGCTCGTTCCAGAAACATATAGAAGGCCCAACTATCCGTAGTCTTCATCATCTTACATTTCACTTCCACGACCCATTCCACGAGCACAAGAGAGATGATTGATCTCGTCCATTCAACGGGCACGATTCGCATGGGTATCGTCTTTGCTTATGCTGCAGTGACCTTGGTTGTGGTCGCACCCCTGCAAGGCGCACTCGTCCGCTGTAGGGTCAACTATGCGCCCAAGACCGTGCAACTGCTGTCCTTGGAGGAGAAGGTCGAAAACCAGGTCGAAGAGAGATCGCTCCGTCCGCGTGTCCCAGGGTTCTTTTGCACGCTGGGAAGAGTGAAGAAGATTGAGGTGAGTCTTCCAGTGGATCACATCTGGATCGCCCCTGTAGCACGAGAGGTCTAAACGCTGACAGTGACAACACAGGGCTGGGCGGGCATGTACAAGGGGGTCGGTGCGTTCCACGCTCATTGACATCTTGCCTATGCGCTCGCACCGACGCCATTTCGTGTGTAGTGCCCCGACTCATCCTGCCTGTCATCACGATGGTCGTTGTCAATCTTGTCATTGACTGGCGTCTGCCCTTCATGCTGTTGACCATAGTCATTGCTCAAATGCTCCCTTTGATTATCATCAACCGGTAAGGTCTTGCGATCCACTGCTGCATCCCTTGCATTGGTCAAGTGTTTAATTTTTGGCTTTTGGAAAAGATCGACCATCACGCTTTACCGTCTCCCCTTCTTCGAGCCCACACGCTCCCTCCGCATCCTCCTTTCCGCGGCCGAGCGTCGGGCACCTTGGCTGCTTTTCTTCACACCCGGCCTGCTGCCCGCACAGGTCCTGCAAGTGACTTATTCCGCCGAATTTATGTTTATCCGCCACGCGATCATGCCGAACATGACTCTTCCGTTGTCATACGCGAGCTTGAAAGATATTTCTCCGATATTGCCATTTTCATTTGTGGCCATCGCCTTGCTGAGGTCGCTGTTGTTGACCCCGTTGGAGGTCATCGTCGCGCGATTGTCCGTTCAGCCCAACTTTACGGCCTTGGAACCTAGGCCAGTTGCAAGAGCGGAGCAAGAGGCGGACCTCAAGACAGCGGGAGAATTGTACAACCCTGACGAAGATGTGATCAGGCTAGTGCTATCTCACCGCGAATCTCCGTTCATACATATTCACGAGGTGAATGTTTGCTATGGCTGACCCTTTTTGTCGCTCAATAGGCTCAGGGGATCGGATGACATGGATCTTGCCCCATACACCGGCTTCGTCGACTGCGCCAAACGTATTATCAGAGAGGAAGGATGGCGCACGCTGTATCGTGGCTGGTGGGCCACGCTTATTGGCTAATTCTCTGCGGCATAAGTGGGGCCGAGGTTTGCATGAGGCCAATGGTTATTATCACGGTCAGTAGTCCGTTATACTTCTTCGAAGGCTCGTGCGTCCCACCACCCTTACGCTTCCATACGACTTTGACCAATTCGCACTTAAGACATTGCCACCTAGAGGCCTTGATACCAATGTAAGATATATATAATGCGGTCTAAATTATAATGTTTCACATGCACACTGGCTTCAAAACTTGTCATACTGTACCCCTTCCCTGCAAGCACCTGTTTCTCCCGGTCTTTTCCATTGTGTTCGGGCAATAGGTCGGCGTCGTCGGCGTCCCTCATCTGTCGATGTGCCGTCGGCATCCGCTGTCTTGCCAATACTGAGGTACATAATCGCTGAAGAAAAGTCTTCAGCTCTGCACTTGGAATTTTTGCGGCAAAACCTTGCAAATCCCAAATGCGCGGTGTCGGAAGCAAAGTAGAGCAGTCACGTTATTCAAACGCGTCACAGCGCGACGCGTCAGGGAGGTCGATCCTTCTGACTTTCATCATGCCCTCTTTGCTGCAACTCATACTTCCAGGGAAGTATACCTCTATGTCATGCAAGAATTCAAGAATGTTGTATCTGGTGAATGGATGGATAAAATTTGCTATAGGAAGAAGGTCTTGCTTGTAAGTAGACTCAACCTCAATATGCGCTGGGGGACCATCTCTCCAGTAAGGGTGGGTCTACTTGCGGGTGTCGTGCTGCTCAGCTCGTTGGTGATGTGCCCACTGGAAATGATTGTTTTGCGGCTGTCGGTCCAGCATGACTCTCCAGCTTCGACGGCTCTCCCCAAGCCAGAGAAGGCGGCTTGGATTTGTACACTCCCGAGCAAGAGATGGTCAGTCAACTCGTAGTGCATCATGGAGTCCTGCTCATGTTCTTGACGAGAGTTCACGATCTCTTTGCTTTCTCATCTCTTACAGGGTCAGGGGCTCAGACAATATGGACCCGGCTCCGTGTTCATGGACTCGTCGACTGCGCCAGGCGCACCGTTGCAGAAGAGGGTGGGGACACGCTGTATCGTGGCTGGTCTGCTACGCTGACGGACTGTATCACTAGATCGATACTCAAGTGAGGAGCCGGTTTACGGCCGGTCTCCTGTCCACGCGTGGGTTCATCGTCGTTCCAATATATGCAAATCAGTAGATAGGGATCGATGCATCGGATTCATGCGATGACGCTGAATGGGATGTGTGCGCAATGAGCAGTGGCTATAATAGGTCCTGTTCATCGAAGGGCATTCCGTCGTGCGAAGCTTTCCATGACGACCTTCATGTATTTTTTGGCTGACCATTTTTGACAGCCTGCCCTATCCGCCGAACGGAATGTTCGAGCTAGCCTTCCAATAGGCGGTAAAGTTGACGACGAACACTTCCTATATAACCTCGCCTCTGGGTGTCCTGTGTCTATCACCTATCCCGCGGGGATGTCTACCTGTGCACCTGAAGCTCGAAACGCAGAACTCTCGACAGTGAGAAGTGAAGCCAAGGTGGGAATGTCGCGGATGCAGTCCTGCCTGGTCGCAATGTCAAGTATTTGTGGACTCTTCGAGCTCGCCAGTCGGTGTCGATGGGCGATGTTACTGAGTGCCATACAGAAGCTTCAGCGTAGCACCTCTCCCCGTCACGACGACTGGGAAAAACACCTGGCCTGTTACAGCATTGTGAGTGCATCTGAGGCTCGAGATCAGCCAAAAATACACGAAACTGAGATTAAATTCTTTCAGGCTTTGTGCTATCCCGCTTGGATATGCATCCGCAGAGAAGTCTTTCCACGGCAAGCTGTCAGTGTTACTGCATCGAATGCAGAAAAACACTATGTGCGGCTCACTCAGGCTTCATAATTCGGACTATCCGGACGCGTACTTCCCTAGGCATCGTAGTGTCGAAACTGTTGAGAAGCTCGTCACCCTGCTCAAGATCACTCCGTCGAGTAAGCGTCTGTTGCCTCACTATAGCCGATCATTGCAGGATTGCATGCGACTGGAACAGACAACCAGGGTACTGCGCACACACGGGTGCTCAAGCTGCGAGTACTCTTCCATGGGGGGTGGCAGACCGGCGATGTCTCCTGGTTCGTTATTTACATCAATGACCCTCAAGGCTTACGTATATAGTCCTCTTCTTTACCAAAAACCCCTAATCCCTTCTCACTGGCGGTTATGGCATGCACCTATTCTTACTCTCCCTTTGAACCGCGGTACCGAGCGCCCTGTCGCATAGGCTTGTGAATATGTGTGTTATTCTTGCATATCCCCATTATTCTATTCCTCTCAATATCGTCCATTCATGGATAGCTGTCTTCAGGATTGTGCAGACACTGGGGCTCGTTTGCCAAACGAATCACTCGCCTTGAGGCCAGGAACAACCTGGAGTACCGAATACAGTCTATGAAATAGTCATTCACAATCCTGGTCATCGAAGGTCATCGATTGCTGCTTGGCGACGGAGTTGAAGGCCGGACGCCATGCACCTTTCTGTGGGCTGTGAGGGCAGGCGATGAGTGCAGCATATGGACACCGCTAGATGCCGCTTAAGGAGGTAGCAAATTGGAGAGACAGTTGATAATAGGTGAGATCAATGCTCGATGGCTGCGCTTGTGCAAACTTTGCACGGCAATGCATTGATTTGATATATTGACGTGTCACAGGCAGTTTAATTTGAGCTTTCGACTCTGCTGGCCTTCTTTTCTCCAGTACCTATATTTGACTTTAACTCACGGGACTCAAAGGGGCGTCTGCCATTCCCCTGATACCATCTGCACCTCCTGGCACGAGTTCTCATTCGCCAGTGTTTCTGAGCTTGCACGGAGCCTTACACAAGTTCGCATACTTAACTTCCGCAGTCATCGAAGGCTCTAGGGTCACCTGGTTCACTCCTGGTTCGAATTGAGATCTCTTGAATCTCGAAAGACGTGCCTTTGCTTGGACCTCCAATTCGGTTCCTGAGAGCAAATCCTACACGGTATCACTACGGTATCTGACAAACAATTCAGCGCGTTGTGATTCAGAACTCCAGAACATCCGGTAAACACCGCAGGATGACTGGCGCGTTGCATATCATCCGAATGATAGCCAAGTCGTCGTCAAGTGCAGGTCGCCGTGTGCGCGTCATCAGACGACCTTCCCCACGGGGCCCCACAAGATAGAATTATGGCCGAAAAAGTCAATGAACACCATCGCGAGCTATCACGAGTGACTGGAACGTTCACATGGTCCCCCGTCTTCGCCAACACCTTTCTCCATTTTTCAGACCCATGACTGCTGCTGTTCACTGTGATTCATGTTTTGACGCGTCCGTTGGCCTGAGCGCTGCCAACGGCTACGACTCGTCGTTCCATTCCCGACGCCGAGACGTGTGATTTGACAGATTTAGAGGCCCTTCTCTGTCCTTTTACCTTACTGTTTTCCAAGGAACACAGTATGATGGACACGAGATATATCAGGGTTCCGCGAAAAATGAGTATCCTGGGTTGGGGTTATCACCAATAGAGTAGACTGCCTTCCGGCCATGTTCCTTCTCCCGTATTCAGGCATCTGAGGGGTTTTGTCCAGTTCTTGAAAAAAGATCTCCATCATGTATGGACGTTCGCTGTCCTTCGCTGTCGTTTTATGAATCTAACAAGCAGCCAGGAACACATTTTGGGGAGGAAGGATTCGTGGTCCGATGCAAATTGCAAGTCCGATCTCATGCATGTCCGACGAGCTAGGATCCAGATGGGTTTTCCCCCACGTTTAATATCGCGAAAGTAGATTGGTCCGTGATCGCCATGCTGCTTGGAACACGTCGGACAAATTTACGAAGCTAACGTTGACCAATGCTCATCCCTCTTCTCGCAGCAAGTATTTATACTGCACGGTTGCAAGATGAACGCAGACGAGATCTGCCCTCGTCGCGTCTCTTGGCCCGCCCTCCCCCGAGCCATCTGGCCCAACGATGTCTCGTTTCCTTCGCACTGCAGCGGTCCTTCTGGCCCTCGAAGCTGGCCTCACTGTCGCTGCACCGACTGCGAGAGCAACCGGTCCGACCGTGAAACTCGACAATGGAACGTTCGTCGGCACGACGTCCGGCTCTGTGTCGAAGTTCCTCGGCATACCGTTTGCACAGTCACCGTGAGTGTCGGACGTTCATTGTGTACCTTTCTTTGACTCACAAGAACGTTTGGCATGTTTTAGAACAGGGGATCTTCGATTTCGCCTTCCAAAGACGATTGATCCTTACACGGGAACTCAGACGGTCTCTGCGTTCGGCCCAGCATGCCCACAGCAAGAGATTACTCTGCCCATCAACAATGCATTGGCTCAAGACGCTATCGACTTCATTGTGAACGAACTCTACAGCGTCGTCAGTCCGTCGAGTGAAGATTGTACGTAGTCTCTCGATGTATCTTTGGCAGTGCGCTGACGATTTCCTTGCAGGTCTCACGCTCAATGTTGTCAAGCCAGCATCTGCGACGGCATCCTCGAAGCTGCCAGTCGTCGTAGTACGTGCAGATTCTCTGCATTCTTTTATTGCCGCTGAATTTTCCTGCTCGAATCTTAGTGGATTTTCGGCGGTACGCTCTTTTCCCATATAGCGTTCCTAGTTGACTCAAGTCTGGACTCGAAGGCGGTTTCGAGATCGGGGGAACTTCGATGTGAGCACATTTTCCCAGGCCTTAGCTCTGTCATTTATAAGTCTACAGCTATGATGGCGGGAGCATTGTCCAAAAGTCCATCGACCTGGGAGAGCCTGTGGTCTACGTCAGCATGAACTATCGGTTCGTTTTGCATATTCATCTCTCTCTTCTTGATCTTGGCCTCTCTAACTGCGACTCGATCTCAGCGTTTCTGGTATGTATATCAAACACGAATGTTGCCTGCGCCAGAGTTGAACACCTGATTTCCTCCAAGCCTTCGGCTTCCTGGCCAGCGAAGAAGTGAAGAATGCAGGGATTGGCAATCTCGGTCTCCAGGATCGTACGTCTACTTCCAAGATCGATTGTTTCGAACTTTGACTCAGGGATGCATTCGATGCCCAGAACGCGAAGCCTTGCGATGGATCCAGAAGTACATAGGTGCCTTCGGGGGCGATCCTACCAAGGTGACCATGTACGTCGCCATGCCGGATCTCTCTGCGCTATGCACTAACGCCGCCCGTCTCTTAATCCATAGCTGGGGTGAGAGTGCAGGCGCGATCTCCGTTGCGCTTCATATGATCACCAATGGAGGCGACACCGAAGGACTGTTCCGTGGAGCGTTCATGCAGTCCGGCTCGCCCATACCTGTCGGTGACATCTCAAACGGCCAAAAATACTACGATGCCCTCGTGGACGAAACGGGATGCTCTGGAACGGCAGACACCCTGCAATGTCTGCGAGCTGCGCCTTATGGCACGCTCAAGAGCGCCGTGGACAAGTCCCCGATGATTTTTGCTTACCAGGTGAAATTCATCTTGCGTGTTCTCAGCGGCGAGGTATTGACTCGGCTAGTCTCTGAACCTTGCATGGCTTCCGCGTGTCGACGGCACGTTCTTGACGGATACGCCATTCAATTTAGTCCAGCAAGGCAGTGTTGCAAACATCCCGTTCATAACAGGTGCGGTGTGACACGTCTTTCGAACAAGCGTTGTATCTAAGTATGGTTTCATGTCAGGCGACTGCGACGACGAAGGAACGCTGTTCTCCCTCTCCAACACAAACGTGACGTGAGAACCTTCAGTTTCGTCCAAATAAACGAGATCATAACATTGAAAAACTCACCGCATGGTCAGCACGGACGCAGATGTCAAAGACTACATCTCGTCGATCTACCTCTCGACGGCCTCGAGCGCCGATGTCGACCACCTGCTTGACCTGTACACGGACGACATCACCAAAGGATCCCCATACAGCACCGGCATCCTGAACGCTATCACTCCGCAGTTCAAACGTCTGGCGGCCTTGCAGGGCGACGTCGTCTTCCAGGCCCCACGACGCTTCTTCCTCAAGAACCGCGCCGACAAGCAGAACGCGTGGTCCTTCTGTGCGTCCTGCCCCTTCACTGATGCCTATTCCTGTATAGTTGTAAATGATTGGCTGACGCTGGTGAAACAGTGAGCAAGCGTCTGAAACTGCTTCCCGTGCTCGGATCGGTGAGTCTCACTGGATGATCTACGCAGCAGGGCGACGCTCACCGCCCTCGATCTATCAAAGGTCCACGCCTCCGACCTCCTAAACGTCTACGGATCCGGCGACATGGTCGACTACCTCGTCCGCTTCGCCGCGACGCTCGACCCGAACGGCAACACCGGGATCAACTGGCCCCAGTACACCACCGCGTCCCCGCAGCTCCTGACGTTCCAAGACGGCCTGATCCCGCTGACGATCACGCAGGACACCTACCGCCAGGCGGGCATGGAGTTCCTGATGCAGCTCTCGTTGGTGAATCCGCTCTAGGCCGGGGACAGACAGCGACCTGCTTGCTCACTCGCTTGTGCCTCTCCCGAGGATGCAGGCCATCGGCGACGGGCTGTGTATCCTATTGTTATGCCGCCGCAGGGCGTCCGTGTACCAGAACTTGTATTTTATACCCAGTGCCGCAGCGCACCTCGTTGGAGGCTGTATTGATGACCGTTTGGGCTGAGGTCAGATATTGTATGGCAGGGGTCGTGCGATTGCAATACTCGTACGCCAAGAGCATCCAATAGAAAACAGCGATAGTTCGACGCGCAGGCATGTGCTGCGTGCGTATGTGCGTATGTGCGTGAGTAAATTCGGGTTGTAGATAGTCTATGCTTGTGAACGAAGAGGGCAAAGATACATGAGCCAGCCGTACATGATTTAGATTTCGCCGAGGCGTTCGATGGTCCCTCTACACAGTCCTACTCGGTAGGTAGGTAGGTGGGTCCTAGAGATAGAGTGAACAAAACACAGGTGGAAGCGAAGAGGGGAGAGGAAAGTCCAGTGGTCCGATAGTCCGAGTGTCATTTCGTCCGTAACAGCGTCATCGAGATCATTCCAGTGTCGGGATGCATTGCTACTAAAGTCTGACCTTGAGAGGTCGATGTTCGTATGATATCCGGCTCAGGCGGTTAGGAAGAGCCACTGTATACACGAGCACGGCAGGAGATCCCAATTAAAAACAAGGCAGGCAAGCGGGTGTAGATTCAGTGAGGGACGCACCACGGCCGAGGCGGGGAAGGACGCGTGCGCGTTGTACGCCGCCAGGTCGCCCGTCAGCACCAGGAAGTTGTTCCGCAAGTCAAACGCGACGGTCGTCGTGGGCTTAGTGTTGTCCGCGTCGACCCATTGGGCTGTGAGAACGGGATACCAGGCCAGCCCGTGAGCGAGGTCGCGCGAGAGGTGCCAAGTGGAACGTGATAGGCGATAAAGAAGAGACGCGCACCTGTGAGGTTGCCGGTCGCAACATCGAGCGACCAGATGGAGGAGGTTGGACCTTTCTGGATGGCGCCGAAGGCGACGGTGCTGTGGGGTGGCGAGAATATATATATGTGTGTCAGAGCCGTCATCCAAACAGGATCATATCATCAGAGAAGATAGGACTGTGAGAGGATCGGAGAGATGAAGGTCAGTGTGTAGTACGTACTCATAGGATCCAGGACCGATGCTGCTGGTACCGTTCCCGCCAATGTAGAAGTCCGCGTTCTAGCCAAGAGCACAAAGATACCAGAACGAAACGAATGGAACGAAACGAATGGGATGAAGTGAATTAAACAAGGACGCGGGAAGACACAACCATTGAATGAACGATGTCGAGTATGAAGAGGCGAGAAAGCTCACGGTTGCGCGCAGGTTGCCCTTGAAGAACTGAACCTTGAGATCGTTGTCCGCCGAACCGAAGTTGACACCGGTGCTAGATGGATTAAAATCCGGCATATATGCATGTGAGTATGTGGCGCGGTTTAAACAAGATGTTTGGTCTTGAGGGATTGGGTACGCACGCGTTGTTCTTTGAGATGTATCCGACAGTGCTACCGTTCGTGTTGCGAACCTGGATGGTGCCTGAGGGTCTATACAGGACTCAGATTCGTCAGAGTTCGTGTACAACATGGGATAGCATTTGTCGATGGACTGTGCACGTACAGAGGCGTGTTCGACGGTCCTCCACGCTTCGCAGCTGGAAGATGTCCGAGGCACGGTCATTTGGTATTCGCACTGAATTTATTGCTCGCACAGTGAACACGCACCGTAGACGGGGGTGCCCGACCGTCGCACGGGCGGGAGCGGTGGCATGTTCCTTCTGAGGCGCTCCGCGTTGGTGAGCGCCGCGGCTGCGCGGATGGGAGCGAGCGCACAGAGAAGGGCGCAGAGTGAGAGGAGAAGAACGATGGGTCGGTACATGATGTGCGCGTCGAGTTATGAGTGAATGTGTCGGGATCTATAAGATGGCGGAAGGAGAGGGAGGGAGGGAGAGAGGGAAGGAGGAACAGGGCCCGCGAAGAGCCCCTTTATATCGTGCACTGGCCCTTTGTGTTGCACAGGCCTCGAGGCCGAAACAATGTCACGGCGGCGGGATATGATGTCGATGATGGCGTCTCACGGTCGGAGGAGCACAACTTGTTTCTAATGTTTAGGGGTTCCGTCCCCGAGTCCAGATTCCAGATCTTTCTGTCGCCTCCATCCGTTCCTCGTCGCCCCGATCCAGCTTTCGAGCTCTCCGCACAGCGTCTTCCTAACGCGACGGCGTCCTCGGCCTAGTTTATTGATACGAAAGAAGTGCGCACTGCAGGCGTCGCCGAAGCGTGCGAGTGTGAGGAGGACGGCGGAAGGCACAGACATGCGGACAGGGCGTGGCCGCTCGACACACTCGGATCTGCGCAAGGCGCCTTGGCCGCCAGGTACGCCTACTGGAGCCCGCCTCCATGGAGCTTGATGGATGGATTGACGCTGAGTGGTGTCGGGGAAAAGAGACCGGGGAGGGAACGAGGGAGTCGCGGTCAATACAGTTTCGCGATCGTTTGACGGGTGGGGATGAGGACAGCGGCATCGCGTTTCCTGAAAGGCTAGTCCCGTGCGGGATTGGAGCCTCCGAGTTTCCACGCGTTCTGGGGTCAAGACAGCAGTTTGAGACCGGCGCAACGGTCAACCATGGGTCTATGACAGAGGTCAATATCTACAGTGCCCAGTCAACGACTCAACGACGGAGGCTCGGATTCTGTTCGTCGTTCGACAAGTCGCGGTCTCCCTGGGAAAGATCTCGACAAGTCACTTACTGGCCATGGATTTGCTCCCGAAACTCACAGAATGCCGTTAAAATCAATCATGAGCACGTTTTTCTTCAATTTAGAATCTAAAATGCTCCGCAGATGTACCTGAGTCCCCAGGATGCTACCACCCACGGTATAGTGTACCCATTTCGTTTAAATGTCCAGGATCATACAGTACTCGTACACCATCGGCAGGATGGCATCGACCGGCCAACTCCTCCGATGAAAGGACCGGAACGCAGTAGAAACGTACGCTCTAGAGCAAACGATGCGGCATGAATCGAGCGCCCCTCCACGTCCGTATCCGTCTTTAAATAGCTTTGATAACCCGGTCTCCGCTGCTCTACTCTAAGTAAAGGAGGCCAAAGCGCACGGCGCAGTGCACACGGAACCTCGACGCGGATCCGAGCCCCACCCCGGTTGCGAGGTGAGCCCCGGATCCGATACGCAACGAAAAAAAAGACGACGACCACAACGACAGAAGACAGAAGACGGAAGACGGAAGGCGGAAGACAGAAGACAGAAGACAGAAGACAGAAATAAGAACTAAAGGGATGTAAGACAGATCACCGCTGGTGGTACAAAAGCAAACGACGCGGCGCCGACGATCAGACCGACCGACGCGAAACGAAGCGAAACGCACACAAACAGACCGCCCCTCTCCAGCCTCCTCCTCGAACCTCGGCGCCCACCTCACTGGTACGAAGGCGCCAGCTGCGGCGAATGCGGCGGCGACCCGCCCGACATCCCGCCGTGCAAAAACGTCGTGCGCTGCGTCGGCGACGCGATCTTCTCCGGGAGGTACAGCGGCACCGTCGGGATCAGCTCAAACACGTGCTGCGCGACCGCCCGCCCGCCCGCGCTCGCGCTGCCCGCCGCCGTCTCCGTCGAGCGCATCACGCCGTGCACGCGCGCCTCCTGCGACGCGCCCTCCTCCCAGCTCCCGCCGGGCCCGGGGACGAGCGGCGCCGCGGACGTCCCGCGCCCGTCCCAGATGCAGCGCATCTCGTTCCCCGGTATGATCTGGCACAGCCGCCCCGTCTCGACGTGGCGGACCTCGATGAAGCGCGAGTCGAAGAGGAGCACGTACGGCGGGTGCCACGCGACGCGCTCTGCCGTGCCCTCCCACTCGATCGTGTTTTTCGTGCGGCTCGGGTCGCCGTGGCGGTTGACGTACAGGCCGAACTCTGATTTGGGGGCCACGACCGTAAGACGATCGGGACAGAGGCCCGGCAGGACAACGACGACGCACCGTCGTAACAAAGCAGAAACTCGTTCTCGCTGGAGCGGAACATCCCCATCGGGCGACACGACTCGCACCGCTTGGCCAGCTTTTCGTGGCGCGGGTCGTCGCGCTGCGGTATGGTCACGCTCTTGAAACTTACAAAAACGGCGGCGTGAGCAAAAAAAAACAAACGACGGGGGCTGACGCGACGAGAACTCACTCGGACAGGTCCATGATCTCGAAACCCTTCGTGCACAGGATGGCGATCCGCGCCTTGAGGAAGATGAGGTCGTATGACTCGGAGGGCAGGAAAAAGTCCCGGTACACCCTGAACCACTCGGAGCGCGGCTGGCGGAAGCCGAGTCGCGAGCTCAGCGACGCCGGCGCCTTGGCCTTCTCCTGGATCTTGCCCACCACGGGCTCAAGCACGCGGAACACGCTGTCGAGCTGCGACCGCCGAAAAAAAAAACAAGAAAAAGCCCCCCCGCCGTGTGAGAGACGGCGCGCTGATGCACGGACAAACAGAGCCCACGCACCCCTTTCTTCTTCATGTAGATGACGAGCGTGCGCCCGCTGAGGCTGCCCACGCTGAAGAAGTGCACGTCCTTGTTGCCGTTCAGCTTTTGCGGCGTCTGCGACGTGCTCGCGCTCTGCGGCGACGACGGAACGAGCGCCTCGATGTGGTACGCGAACAGCGACTAGGAATCAGAGGCCGACGAGGCGTGAGCCAGCAGCGCGCGCGAGAGAGAGAGAGAACGAACGACCGACCTTGTCCGCCAGAACGAGGAAGATGCCAAAGTCTTCGAGCATGGCGCACTGCGTCACCATCTTCAGATGGAGCACGCGCCGCATCGCTGTTCGAGCCAACAAACCGTCAGCAAAGCCGTCGACACGCCCTCAGAGCCACGTACATCGCGCGTCGTGCCGGAACCCGATCCAGACGCCCTCCGCGCACCCGACCGCGACCAGCGCCCGACCATCAGTAGTCGCTGAGAAAACCCCCCCGCAAGTCATCAGCACCCGCACACCCGCAAAGACGAGGCGGACGCACTGAACGGCACGGAGCACGTCACTTTCCCCGTAAACGAGTTCTCGCTGTTCCACGAGCTATTCGCAGGCTGCGCCAGCGCCGACGGCACGAGGAACGTGTCCGTGCTGAGCGTCTCGACCTCGAACACGCGATTCGACTCCTGCACGACCTTGCGCAGCCCGATCGCCTCCTCCAGCTTCTCCTTCCACTCCGCGCGCGCCTGCGCCGAGTCCGCGAACAGCGTCCACGGCCCGCCCAGCCGCCCGTTGTAGAAGATCGTGCAGGGGTACACGAGCCGCGAGTCCCCCGGCGTGTCCGGCGTCGTCGCCGTCGGCATTGGCCCCGGCACCTCGCCCGGCGTCCCGCGCTCGCCGCCGCGCAGCCCGCGGAGGATGCCCGTGCCCCTCTGCGTCGGCAGGTCCGAGAAGCTCGCGAGCGTGAGCAGGTCGAGCGGAACGGGCTGCACACGCGCGATTGGTCAGCAATCCGCCCTCGCGGCGAAGTAAAGAGGACTCGAGCGCGCTCACTCGACGGTTGACGTGGTATTTCGTGACCCCGTCCTTCTCCTTTGGCTTCGTCATGACAACTGCAACGGCACACCGTCAGTCGAGCGTCGTCGCGCGGGCTCGCGCGCGCGCGGGGGGTGCTCACAGTAATTGTCAAACAGCAACACAAACAGCTCGCTCCACCCGCTCCACTCGAAGCCGTTGTCCGGCTGGCGCAGCAGCTTGCCGGTGTATATGAGCGACCTGTTCTCCGCCAAAAGGTCCATGTCCTGCCCGGGCAGAGTATATCAGACACGCCGTCGACGGAGGGAGGGAGAGAGTGCGGCGCTCACCACGACCTCGCCGGGCTTGAACACCAAATTCGCGTTGTAGCGCCACAGCTCGACCTTCTGGTTCGCGGACGAGACGCCGGGCTGCGTCTCCTTGAGGAGCGACTTGATCACCTCGATCACCTGCGGGATGCTGCCCCGGTCCTCGTGGTCGTCGGCGCTCGCCTCCATGATGCCCTTGAGCAGCAGCTCGTAGCGCGCCAGGCGCGGGATCGGCCGGTTGATGAACGACTTGAGGTCCAGCCTGTTCGAGTCGGGGTGGCGCGTGCATTGCTGCGCGCGCCGCGTCGCGTCAAGACGGCGCAGAGACGGAGGGAGGGAAGGACGGAGGGCGCGCGACGCACCTCGACGAACGCCTTGAACAGCGGGTTCGTGTTCATCTCGTCCACGATCCGATACTCCGCGATCGGGTAATGCGTGACGTACTCCATGTACGCCTCGCGCCAGTTGAGCGCCGCGTCGAAGATGGCGGCCGTCACGCTGTGCACGACCGGGTGCTCGTCGCGCTGCACCGCGTGCATGCGGTCGAGCAGCCGCCGGTGGTGCACGTGCAGCTCCGCGAAGTTGTGGAACACCTCCGCGATGAACGCGCCGAGCCGCTCGCGCGGCACGATCGGCGGCTCCGCCTCGCGCAGCGGCTGCACGTAGATCTGCGGGGGATGCGGCGGCGCGCGGGGGTGAGCAGCTGCTGGGGAACAGGGCGCCGAGACGGACGGGCACGCACGACTTCGATGTTTTCGAGATCCCGGACGTACTGCATCTCGCCCTTGATGAGCTCGAAGATGATGCTGGCCACGGCGCAATCAGCGTGAAACATCAATCAATCGGGCGCGCACACGCGAGAGAGAGAGAGCGGGTACGCACGCCTGGCGCTTCTGTTCCTTCTTCGCGATGTCCGCGCGCGCCTCGTCCGAGACGAGGTTAAACCACTCGTACTTGCCCGTCGGCCCGCGGCCCATCGCGTGCTGGAACGTCTGCAGGTGGCACACGCCCTGCAGGCTCTTGAACGCCGCCGCGGCCTCGGTGAGGTAATCGCGGTCCGGGTTCTCCTCCGCCGTCTCCTTGCAGATCGCCTCGAGGATGTTCTCGTACCGCTGCAGGTGCTCCGACGGCCGGTTCAGGAACACCTTGAGGTCGATCCGGCGCGCGTCGGGGTGGCGCCCGCATTGCTGGCGCCGCGACGCGAGGCGGGGCGGGGCGGCGTGGTCAGCGACGACACGACACGACACGGCGAGGGGGCACCGGGGCGCAGACTCACCTCGAGGAACAGCCTAAACTCCGCATTCGCCTCGGCCTCCTCCTTGAGGCGCTTCTCCGCCAGCGGCAGGTGCCCGATATACGTCGGATACACGAGCCTAAACTCGGTCGCGGCCTCGAGCAGGATATCGCCGACGCGCTGGACGACGACCGCCTGCTCGCGCTGGCGCACGTTCATGATCTCGAGCAGGCGCCGGTTCGCCTCGCGCACGGCGGAGAGGTTCCCGAAGACGTCGTCGACGAGCTCGTCGAGCTCGTGCGGGGAGACGACCGGCGGGTCGGCGTAGCGCAGCGGCTTGATGAAGATCTGTGGGGTGCGCGTCAGCGTCGCGGTGCATCCATCGTCGAACGGGACGGGGCGGGACGGGACGGGGAGGGGAGGGGGTGCGCACGGTCTCGATGAGGTCCAGATCGCGAATGTACTGCGCCTCTTTGCTGACCAGCTTGTGTATGATCCTGCGCCGCCGTCCGTCAGTCCAACACGACGCGTTGGCGGGGCGAACGCACACGGGCGAAAGAGAAAAAAAAAGGGGGGGGGGGCGCACTTTTGGCGGTTGATCTCGCTCTCCGGGAGCGACTTGAGCAAGTCGGGGTCCGCGTCCCACTCCCCGTCGCCCTGCAAGCAAACATCAAAGTGAGATCGCCCCGCGCGGGCCAGGACAGACGGACAGACGGGCGCGCACGCACCGTCGTCCCCGCAATCTCGGGCACCGGCGGCTCCTCCTCCACGATATCCTTCTACACAGCGCGTCAGCGGCGCGCGCGGCGGGCAAGAAAAAAAAAGGAGAGAGAGACGCACGCGCGGGCGCCGCGGGCACGCGAACGAGTAGCACACCGCGCCTTCGACGCAGCTCGGGGAGTAGCACTTGGTCAGGACAGTAATCACGCTCGTCGGCAGCTCCTCGCGCTCGACCGCGCTCTCCGCCATGAGCCTCTCCACGCCCCGCCCCTCTCCGCCCCCGGCCCCGCCCCCGTCCCCCTCCCCTTCATATTGGCCGCCGTCGCCGCTCCCGCCGGCGGACCCGGCGCCGCCCTCCTGGTCGTCGAGGAACATGTACACGTCCTCGACGCCGTCCTGCAGGACGCGCCCGCCCCACTCGACCTCGTAAAAGAAGAGCTGCGACTGGAGGCTGCGCGCGACGAGCAGCGCGATCGTGCGGTCGCCCGTCGCGACGCCCTGGTTCGCGAGCAGCTCGCGGCGGATCTGCGACTGCAGCGTCGTCTGGTGGCGGCGCGCGAGTGAGTGAGCACAGGTGAGCACGAGGGGGGAGAGGCAGAGGGGGCACGCACGACGATGTCCTTGCCGGTGAACGCGCGCGGGTACGGTATAGAGCCCTTGACGTGCGTCCCGCGCGGGACCCTATCGCGCAACCACACCGCGATATTGCTCAGCAGCGCAAAGTTCACAAACACGTCGTCGAACTCCTCGTCCGAGCCGTACTCGTCGTCGTCGTCGAATGCGCCGCGCGCACCGCCACCGCCGCCGCCGCCGCCGCCGGGGCCGCCGGGGCCGAGGCCGCGCGCGTCCGGGTAGTCGTACTCGTACTCGTACTCGTCCGGGTACGCGTACGCGTTCGCGGCGTCCTGGAGCGCCTCGGCGCTCTTCATCGCGACCATCGTGCGCTCCATCTCGACCGCGAGGCGCGAGCGGCTCTCCGAGGCGCCCGTGCCGGCAGTGCCGGCGGTGCCCAAGGGGGCGCCGTCGGAGACGGAGACGGTGATGGAGGGCGAGCGGTGGGAGTGGGCGCCGAAAGAGTCGCCGCGGGCGATGGAGGACTGGGTGGGGTTCGGGTGGTGGTAGTACGGGTCCTTGGTGGCGGTGGAGAGGGTGGTGGCGTGGGTGGAGGTGGTGAGGTTGCGCTCGAGGGCGGCGGCGGCGGTGCTCTGGGAGGTGGAGGCGGTGGAGGTGGCGGAGAGCGAGCGGCCGACGAGGGGCCCGCTGCCCGCAGAACCTGGGGGAACAAAAGGCGTGAATACGAGGTGCAGCGGTGCAGGAGGGGAGAGGACGACGGACTGCCGGACATGGGCCGGGCGAAGCCGCGGGTGCCGGGCGCGAGGATGTCCTCCGAGGACGGGCGCTTGTCGATGGTCTGGCGGATGGCGAGCGAGGCGGCGCCGGTGTCGGAGTTCTTGCTGGGCAGGGGCGGGGGCGGGGGTATGGTGGCGGGGCTGGGTGCGCGGGCGTCCGCAAAGTAGGGCGAGTCTGCAAAGATGCTCGCGGCGAGGTCGCGGTCGCGGTCGCGGTCGGGGGACGGGCCGGCGGGGGAGTAGCCCGGGATGCGGGGCGGGAGGGCGCCGGCGGGGGGGCGGTGGGCGGAGGACGGTGGGCGGCGCCACGTGGGGTCTGGCTGGGTGTTGGGGGTGGTGGGGGTGGTGGGGGGGAGGGACCTGCCTCCTGGGGAGCGGTGGGGCTGCTGCGGGTAGGCCGGGGCGTCCGCGGGCTCGGGGACGGGGATGGAGTACTGCATCGAGTTGGCCTGGCGGGTGTGGCCGGGGTGGAGCGTCGGCGAGGGCGTGCCCTGGGAGCTGCCCGGGCGCAGGGCCGAGGCGGGCGGCGGGGGGGCGGCGGCGGAGGGGAGGCGAGTGTGTGCGGGGCGGGGATCGGAGGGGAGGCCGCGGAAGGGCTTGGGGTCGTGGGCGCGGCGGGGGCTCGGGCTAGGGCAAGCGATGGAAGATCAGCAGATCGCGGGCGGCGGGAGAGACGACACACACCTGTCGGCGGCGGGCGGCGGGGCGGGGCGGTAGTACGGGTGAGGCTCGGGCATGCCGACGGCGACGGTGGGCGAGGGTGCAGGGGACGCAGAGGCGACCGAGCCCGAGGAGGCCGAGCCTGGGGGACGCGGGAGGGGGCGGACCTTGGGCGTCGGCGTCGACTGGTAGGCGGACATGGCTGGGCTGGGCAGCGGGCGGGCGGGGTCGCGGGGGCTGGTGGTGGTGGCCGTCGTGGTCGTCGTGGTCGTCGTCGTCGCGGTGGGTCGCGAGGGGCGCGGGCGGGGGGCGTCGACGGTGGCGGACGGGCGGAGCGGGGAGTCAGCGGGCGGGGACTCCTCTGCAAAGCCTGCGAGGACCTGGTTGTAGAGCTCCTGGAGGTCGGCGTCGCCGGGCGGGGCGGGCGGGGGTGCGGCGGGGGTGTTGGCGTTGTGCGAGGCGATCGCGGACATGGCGAGAGTCAGCCTGCCCGGCCCCGGACACGCCACCCAGCCCACGCACGCACGCACACGGACCCCGCACACCCCCGCCTCCTCCTCCTCCTCGCCCATGCACCTCAAGTCCGCCTCTTCCGTCCGCGACCCCGCTGCCCGCGCCCCTCCCTTTGGCTCCAGGTCCGTCCCCCCCGTCTCTCTCTCTCTCTCTCTCTGTCGCCGGCACCCACCGCCCGCCCGCAGGCTGCTCACCGACGACGCCGACGTCTGGTCCCAGAATGCGTGGGACCACGTCCCGCCCCCCGACGACCAGGACCACCTCGTCGCCGCCTCCCTCGCCCGCCAGCGCGCCGCACCCGTCCCCGACCACGACCAGCAGAAGTACAACGCCACCCCCGCCCGCCACTGGTCAGTCCCGCGCCCGCGCCCGCGAACACCGGCGTCCGCTCACCGTCCTGCAGGGACAACTTCTACCAGATGAACGCCGCCAACTTCTTCAAGAACCGCAAGTGGTACCGCACACCCCCGCCCCCGTCCCTGCGTGCGCCCCCCGCTCACCCCGCTCACCCACAGGCTCCCCCTCGAGTTCCCAGAGCTCGTCGCCGCCGCCCAGCCCTCCGTACGTCCCCACGCCCCGCCCCCGCGCGCACTCCGCTCACGCCCCGCCCCGCCCCGCCGAACAGGCCGGCCCCCAAACCGTCGTCGAGATCGGATGCGGTGCGTCCCTCCCCGCCCCGCCCACCCCACGACCTGGCCTGGCCTGACCCGCCCCGACCCGCTTTCCCTCCGCAGGCGCAGGCAACTCCATCTTCCCCCTCCTCGCCCAAAACACGAACCCCCACCTCTCCATCCACGCCTACGACTACTCCTCCCACGCCGTCAAGCTCGTCCAGGTCCGTCCGCTCCCCCACCTCCGTCCCTCCGTCTCGTCTCGTCTCGTGGCCCCTCACACCCCGCACCCATGCTCGCACAGAACAACCCGCTCTACGCCGCCCCGCCCTGCGGCTCCATCCACGCCGCAGTCTGGGACCTCGCATCCTCCCCCGCCGCAGACGGCGACGGCGACGGCGGCGACAGCGACAGCGCCCTGCCCCCCGGCCTCGCACCCGCCAGCGCCGACCTCCTCGTCCTCGTCTTCGTCCTCAGCGCCCTCCACCCCCACGAGTGGCCCCGCGCCCTCGCCAACATCCACCAGGCGCGTCCCCTGCGCGTCCCCTGCGCGTCCCCTTACCTCTCCTCCCCTTACCCTCCCACATCCCCTCGCTTCTCACCTCGCACCGCCTAACCACCGCCCCGCGCAGATCCTCAAGCCCGGCGGCCGCGTCCTCCTCCGCGACTACGGCCGCCACGACCTCACCCAGCTCCGCTTCCGCGCCGGCCGCCTCCTCGCGGACAACTTCTACATCCGCGGCGACAAGACCCGCGTCTACTTCTTCGAGCTCGGTGCGTGCCCCCGCCCCGCCCCGCCCCGCTTGCTTCCCTGTATACTCGCGCTCGCCGCTGACGTGCGTCCCCCGCGCCTCGCCCTCGCCCGCGCCCCGCGTTCCGCCCGCCCCGCGTTCCGCCCGCCCCGCGTTCCGCAGACGAGCTCGCGCTGCTGTTCACGGGCGCGCGCGCGCCGGCGCAGACTACGACCGCCGAGCACGTCGTCGAGGATGACAGCGCGGACGCGGACGCGGGCGAGGGCGAGGGCGGGGGCGAGGGCGAGGGCGAGGGCGAGGGCGCCGCCGCGTCCGCCTCGCACACCCCCGACCCCGACCCCGACCCCAGCGCTAGCGCCAGCGCCAGCGCCACCCCCGAGCCCTCCTCCTCCACCCTCCACCCCGCGCCCGCCCCCGCGCCCGCCCCCGCGATCCACCCCTCCCTCCTCCCCGCGCCGCTCCGCCTCCCGCACTGCCCGCCCCACCCGCTCTTCGCCGCCGCCCAGCTCGGCGTCGACCGCCGCCTCCTCCTCAACCGCAAGCGCCAGCTCAAGATGTACCGCGTCTGGATGCAGGCCCAGTTCGTCAAGCTCTAGGATCGCACGCGCGGTGCCGGGGCGCGGTGCCGCGGAGCAGCGTGTGTAGGCACGGGGGGTGGGCCGTGCAGGGGGGGGGGCGAGGTTGGGCGAGAGCAGGGGAGGCTGTCTCGTACGGACGGCGTCGGCGTCGGCGTCGTGCAGGTGTAGCTTATCACTCCCGACTGTAGCCTTTAACCACCCTTCCCCTCGTCTCACAAAAACAACGCCGCATCCGGTGTTTTATTGTGTCTCTTTCCTTTTCTTTGCACGACCGGGCTCGACGTGTTGCCCGCGTCCCCTCATACGCAAGACCCACAGAGCGCGCGTGCGCAAAGCATCGATCGATCGTTGATCGTTGCTCGCGCAGTGATAGAGACAGAGAGACGAGGGAAAGAGCAATAACAAAGTACTATGTACTATATACTCGGACGCCGCCGCGACGGCTCAAGATCAGGACCGCGACATGAATTATCGTATACGCACGCACGCACGCACGCCGCCTACACCCGCTACACAGGCCCGCGCCACGCCTCGCCGCGCCACGCCACTACACAGCTACACGACCACGCGACTACACGACAGGGAACACGATACGGAGACGGAGGGGAGGACGGGGGCAGTCCACGCACGCGACGCGGGATGCGGGCGGGGCGCTCAGAAGAGCACGTTGAAGATCTTGCCGCCGAGCGTCGTCGGCGGCTCCTCGGGGACCTCGGTCTCCTCGACCGACGGGATGCCCGTGACGAAGTCCATCTCGCTCGCGCGCCAGAAGCGCGTGCGCTTGTACACGCGCCACCCGATCCACAGCGCGAAGAAGATCGGCACGTTGATGTACGACGTGATGAAGAGCGACGTGTCCCAGTTGAAGAACACCTCGAACCCGTTGATCAGCACGAACAGGACCGTCCAGAACAGGCCCCAGATCGCGAGCCACGGCTGCAGCGTGCTGTAGTAGATCAGCTTCGTGCGGTCGAGCCCCTGCGCCTTGAAGCCGGCGTCTGGGATGCGGAGGGGCGCGCGGGGGGTGCGTGTGAGCGAGCGGGTCAGAGGGAAAGAGGGGCGGGGAGACTCACAGAAGCGGAGGTAGGTCAGGTTGAGGGCGGCCCAGGTGAAGAAACCGGCGACGGTTGACAAGGACACCTGCCAACGTACATTCTCGTGAGTCAAACGCGGTACGAAAGCGCACGCATTCAGATATCGCTACTCACAAACCAGCTACAGGAGAGGAGGAACCCAGATGAGCAGTTCGTCTCACGAGAGCGAGCTATCAAGACTCACTTGAACACGTTCTGCGATCCCGAGCTGACGTTCATGAACGCGAGGAACGCAAAGCACGACTGACACACGCCGACGGATCAACAACGCATGCGCAGACGGGCGAAGGAAGAGACCTACGCAGAAGAGCACGGCCACGAGGGGCAAGCCGCTCTTCGTGCACTTGGTGAAGATTTTGGGCGCCTGCCCCCGGAGCGCGAGGCCGTACAGGATACGCGACGAGCAGAAGAGGAAACTGTTGCCGGCGGAGAACGCGCTAGTGAAGATGCCTGCGTTGACGATCGAAGGGAGGACTGCAGGCGAGCGACAGAAAGCACAGATCAGTGGATGTCCCGCGCGCAGGTGCATGTCGCCTACTTTTGATGCCGGAACGGGTCATGGCAATAACGTAGGGCGACTGAGTCGCGGTCCCGACGCCTGCAGCGCAAAGGAACGGCGAGTGAGCATCGCAAACCTCAAAAATATAGGAACGATCGCACCGTTCAGCAGGTCTGGGTCGTTGTACGGGACCAACATGCCGGTGATCAGGATGCCCAGGATCTGTATCAGATGTATTGTCAACATGTCTGGCACTGTGAAAGAGAGATGCACGCACGTAGAAGACGACGATGCGGTAGAACACACGGCGAACGGCCTTGGCGATGTTCGTCCTCGGGCTCTCAGTCTCCGACGCAGCGCTGCACACGGACTCAAAATCAGATCCGCCGCCACAAGTACAATAAACGGGTGAAAGAGACGTACATCGCGACGAGCTCCATACCCTGGAAGGAGAACGCAGCCTGGACAAAGACGGAAAGGATGCCCAAGAAGCGGTCCGTGGGCACCGAGCTGACGAGCTGTGCACCTGCGATGGGGCCAGGGTTCTTCCAGTACTAGATCACAGATGGATCGCTTCAGCAAACCGGCGGGGACAAGATGCGGGAGAGGAAGCGGACGAACCTGGAAGCCGCGGCGCGAGTGGTCGGGCCCTCCCCCAAGATCGACGATGAGACCAGTGAGAATGAGACCCGTGATCAAGAGCACTGTGTATGAGATAAGTATTTAGCTCTCGCCGTTGGCAGGTAGGGAAATGAGACATACACTTGATTATGGAGAACACAAACTCGGCTTTGAGGTAGAGCGAGTCGGGTCAGCGTCCCATCGACCACAGCGCAATCATACAAAGCAAGCTTACATTCACCGAACCATCTGACAAGAAGAAACACGGGATGTCAGCGCGGCCTTAGCTGGACAGGGCCCAGATGCACATACCGAACGCCGAAGATATTGATCGCACAGACGCAGACGCAAAGCACGGCGGTGTAACCCGCGGCATGGCCGCTCTGCGACCGAAAGCGACGTGAGCGTCCTCCGACACGCGCTGAAAGGGGATGTGCACGTACGTCGGAATCCCAGAACGTAATCAAAATTTGGGCGGCGGTGATTTCCACAGGCACGGTGATACTGGATGAATGGAGATGTGCTCAGCCAAGCGATCTCGAAAAGGTGGTGTCTAGTTCAGAAGGCTCACGCTTGTGCCTACATGAGGAGGAGATAAGAGTCAGTGATGGGGATATTGTGGAAAGGGGGCGTGTGGGAATCCCGAGGCGGAGTGACACTCACATAGAAGTAGTTCTAAGGTCCGTGAAGCGCCCAGATCACGATGAGAACCGACGTCATGAAGCACGGAAGCGGGGACACTCACCCATCCGACCTACATAGCAATCGCACGAATGAGCGCTGTCGTACCATCGCGAATGCAGAACGAACACTCACAGCGAAACCGAAAGCAGGGTCGACCCAACGAGCAGCTGAAGGACCGGGAATCCGTGTTCGAATCGCAGACTCTTCGCAGGACGAAAGAGGGAGGGGACATACCAAAATGAGGGAAAGTACCCGAGACGGGGGCGTGAGAGGTCATCTCGCCGACGGAGCATAGTGAGCTGAGAGTCGTGTAGTGTTATGAGACGGTGGCGCTTTGGGGAATGCAGGGGGAAGACTCACGCATAAGCGACAGTGCCTATGAGGGCATAGGCGATCAAGGCGCCGAGAGGGCCTGCACCCGAAAGAGCAGCGCCTGAACCAAGGAAGAGACCAGTTCCGATGGTCCCAGCAATCTGAGGTGCAGGGAGAAAAATGAGCTCGGACGACAAGATGCACGGCTGAGACTCACAGCGATCCTGCGGAGAGAAGAGGAGTCAGGAAAGAAAGCGGCGGAGAGAGGGAGAGAGGACGGACATTTGTACATGGCGCTGCTTGAGTCTTCGCTGGACACGGTCGAGGTCGTGTGTGTCGAAGTGGTAGCGGTCGTCGTCTGCGGGGACGACATAGGGGGGGACGGCGCCTTTCTCGTGATCGAGGTCGAGGGGACCGGTGCTGCTGCTGCCATCGAACTTTTCGTTTTCTTTAGACATGGCTGCCTGCAGGGGAGGGAAGCAGGAGTCCGCTCGTCGACGACCTTAGCAGAGAAGGTGGAGGGAGGTGGAGTGGAACGGCAGGCCGTCCACCGATAAAATAGTCTTCGCCCCGACGGCAGCAAATGTACGCAGTGCCTGGCCCGCCGTTAATCCATGTCTGATAAGCCGCCTCCACATGAGATAAGGCATGCATTGCCCTCGACACAGCAGACGCCCGTCCACGCGTCCCACTCGCGTCCCATCCTCTTCGCTCTCCTCAAGCCCCGGCGCACTCGGCTCACATCGTCCCCGTCGACCACCCCAGCCCGACGTACTACGCCCTGTCCGACGACGCTCGGCGCAACGCTGTCCGATTCGAACCTCTCCCACACGATCAACTCGCGGACGCCAAGATCACGACACCGACCGATTCAAACGGGCACGCTCCAATATCAATCGCTCGACTCCAGCTTTGAGAGCACCCGAGACCGCTTCGAGGACGCAAGATACTTGCCTCGGTTGTCCACCATCAAGGAACGCAATTTGTCCGATTTCCTTATGCGGTCAAATGCCTACTGTCCACGAGCAGACCGCGGACCCACAGTCTTATCCTCACGCCTCCGTCCGGCGGCAACATCACGGCTTCGCCAGCACCTCCAGCACCACTAAAACATAACCTCGAGTTTTTTTTTTTGTTTTTGCAACTGTACATCGGTAGAGCAAAACCCAACACCGCAATTTGCGTGATAAAAATAGCTCAGCAGTCCCTCAGCTAGCCTCAGGCTGCGGAAAACTTCCTCTGCAGTTTTTTCCCCCCTCTCTTCCGAATTCGTGATTCAATGTCTCGACCAGCCCGCGGCGGCCCCCGCCGATGGACCTCATCCGATCGATATCAGCCAGCCTCTCCTGCGCGTCGTCATCCTCCACAGATGCCCAGACGCCTAGCTTTCTGGGCTGGCTGAGGCTCCGGCACCCCGGGGGATACACAGAGACCTTGGCGCGCCTCGCTCTCTGTCTGCTTGGGTACAGGCCGATCGAGCAACTCCCCTAAGTTACTTACTTTTAGTCTCCTGGGTCCTGACTGCATGCCAGAGCCTAGTGGTGTTTCGGGTACTTGTGGTGGCGCAGGGTGGCGCACGGTCGGGGTTGCTTGTCGCCGGCGTCACCACCATCACCTGTGACGACCGTTGTAAGAAGCTTTTTGATCTGATGGAGCCTTTGACAGGATAGCCACTGCGAGACTGCGCAAGTGATGCATGATGTCTGCTGGTTCACCAGGTGACTCTTTTGACGACGCGGAAAACGGAGCGAACCAAAAACCAAGCACAGCGGATCGAATCGAACCTCTACGCCGAGCTGTTATGGTCCATCTATCATGCCCGTGCATCCTAAGGCGTTCTATCCACCATCCCTGCGCCAACCATCACCCCCGCGAAGGTCAGATGCTCCGTAGCCAAGGCGCATCGTGCATCACACCCCCAACACTGATTCAGCGCCCTTCACGTTCATTCCCGCATCATCGCCCCAGATCCCGTACTTCTCGAAGCATCCCGCACCCGCGTTCCCGTGCACAGCAGCCGAGCATCTTGTCCCGCTATGTTGCGGCGCAGCTGATCTTTATACATTGACAGACATCAGAGGGTCTGTCATTTGACACTCTTCCTGCGACTGCCATAACATTCTCGCCACGATATGCCCGGTGTGTTTCGTCCCGGTATCATTCTTAGACGGAACCTTTTTGGCTGGCCTTTGGTCAAAATGGTGCGCAAGCACCTACGCTATGCTAATGGCGGTCGGTAGATCGGGAAGCCATACGCTGTAGACGACCAGGCCAGTTCCGGCACCTCTGTCTGACCATCTGGCCGGGCCATCGAAGGCGCCTCCGAACGAGAGCGGGACGAAACGTCTATCGACGAGTTCAGTTTCGCGTTTGTCTACGCTCCGGTACCTGCGGCGCCTTCATATACGAGACGTTAACGGCAATCTTCACCGTTTGTGACATGGGGTTCCACGGCATCTGCCAGGCCAGTCAGACACACCCGGACATGTTCGATGCCCGAGCGCTATACTATCATCAATGTCAGTCAACCCACCATTGGTCGCTTCAAGCCTGGCGACTGCACGCTGCTGATCCTCCCGTGTCTACTCTAACTACGTTTTTCCATGAGTGATATGGAGCCGGTTTGTGAGTCGCTGATAAGTCCGGTTCTGATCATATCTTACACCTCCATAAATCGTTATACGTTCGTCCCTCATTGATCGCCGATACTCTCTAACGCCGGACGAGTTTCATAGAATATGTTGTATAACCCCGATCCTATCGTTAGAGTGCTAATGTCATCCTACCAATGGCAGGGTATTCTCACTGGCACTCAGTGCTGAGCGCTGACCTCCTCGAGGCGATGCATCTTTAGTGAACGATCAAATGCAGAGGCTCTTGGATAGTCCGCACAGGAACTACGCGCCCTTGCGTCGCATCACGCGTTCGGCGTCTAGTCATGTGCTGAAAAAGTGTAATAATTGAATCGCCGCGGCTTTCACCAGACCCCCACATTTCGAATTCGGCGGCGACTTTGCTCCTCTCTGCGTGTAAGTAGAGTTGACAATAAAGATGAAGCATGCAATACTTGCAGCCGACCAGCAAAGAGTGGAACAGCGGACGCTCGGCTACGGTTTGAGCGACATGCGCTGTGCCGCTCTCACGCCTTTGTAGCAGACTTATGAGGAGTCAGAATCTTGCGCGGTTTCAGTGACCAGTGACAATCGATGGCCGTGCACTGATCACAGTGGGCAACACGGAAGGCGTCTAGGTCGGAGTCTAAAATGGCGGGTAAGCGTATGTTTCTCGCAGACTCGTGAGATGGTGGGTGACCTGATCCGCTCGTATCTTGTCGAGTCGAGCAATAGCAATGCGCCGGGTCCTTCATCTGAAGAACGTGACGCAGTGTGCCATGCTCGAGGAGGTCAGCGTCTTCCTTGTCATGGCGAACAAGGTGGATCGTCTCATCGATGCGCTTGTTCGTTTACGCCATGAGCTGTTCAAGGCCCTCTTTGCCTGCCACATTGACATGATGGTTGCCTCCCCACCGCCAAGCACCGCTGATAAATGCATCGTACGCCCCGCAGCAGATCAGCCTTGGTGGAAACCTTGGCTTCATCAAGGTGGGCAGTCGTGAGGGCCGCACCGTTGTTATTTACATGAAAAATAAATGGGTACGCGCTTCCGGCTGTGTCTTAGAAGCAAAGCCTCACTCGGAGACTCGTTATAGGTCGACAGTATATTTTCTTACCCTGCACCCCGTGGCTAGGAAGATCAAGGAGAAGGCTGAGGTGGAGACGCTAGGATCTCGCCTCGGACTTCGTCCCCCCCGTTCTGAGTGGTTCAGGGAAGACAGGAGCTTCTATGTGCCTTCGTCCTTCTCAGAACGACTATCGTACTCTTGCATCATAAGGGTTTCGAAGTTGTTAATCTGCTCATGTAAGCTCTAGGTCACCGTCTGCTTCGCTCTCCTCCCCTTACCGCCGCGCTAGACCCAACAGGGTCGCCATCCCTCGGTTCGATGATTCCCGCTGCGATGAGCTGGCCAAGCGCTGCAGTTCCCGCAGGCCGATGGGCATGTCCCGCGTGCGCAAGAATGAGTACTTGCTCTGTTACAATGGTACGCCTTCGGTTGGCCCCGCCTCGTTTCGCTTGTCTTCCCATGCTGGACCCCTTGTCTGCCAGAGTTTGGCCTATATACAGACCGCCACGGCTGTCCCATCCGCTCGAGAGACACGATTCAGTGGGAGGTCACAGCACAGCGTGTCGCATGGCACCCGCCCTACGTCCATCTCTCTGACTTAGAAGTCACTGAAATACGCCACATCGACACCGGCGGGCTCTGCGATCAAAACTCCTGTGGAGAATGAGCTCGTGCGCTCAGTAACAGGTTGATGTTCACAGCTTTGGTCCCTGATAGTCTCGTCACACTCCGAGTCTTCTATCTCATCTCTCACTCCCTTGGATCCTCAGCAAATGTAGGCTGACACTGGGTGATTAATTATGAGTGAACACGTACACTGACCTGTAACATCTATATCTTCTGGTTTGGTTCGCAAGTATTCGCATAGTTGGACTTTCCTATTGTCATCCGCATATTCGCTATTCATCAGACACTATTTTGAACCGCAACAATTATGATATATACTGTCTATGATCGTATGCTCTGGCATTTTCCATCCAGGAGCAACCATGCATGACGCCCGAGCGATTAGGACATTCTGAGAGCGAAGAAGCCTTACTGACCCTCGTCGACATCAACCACGCTTTCCAAACAACTTATTAGGCAATACATCGAGCGAGAACAGGTGAATTTATGGTATATAATCAAATACATGAGGAGGCCAAGCCATACGAATATCGCTATGGGCATGTGAGTCCGGAACCTCCGGCACCGAGCTCACAACCGTACGTCAGGCCGAAACATCCACGCGTATGGGTCGGTGCTGGCCGGTGTCATCATCGGTGCCTCCGACGACGCCGAGGAAGAGGGCTGAGGATCCTCTGCGACAACCTGCACGCCAAGCGGGTGCGCGCTCGCAGAAGGCGAGGGAACGAAGGAAGGTGGCGTACCGCTCTCAGACGGCGAAGGCGAAAGCGCAGGAGCCGGGTGGCTAGGCGTGGGCTGGACATCAGCAACAGATGCAGATTGAGAGCTTGGCACCCAAGTGGAAGCAGAGGCGGCGTCGAAATCCCTCACACTAGAAGATGGGGATAGAGACCAGGTGCTCGGGGCAGCAGCTTGGTTGACAGAGGGCTCGCCAGTGGTAGACGCAGAATGAACGGCAGACGCCGACATGACCGCCATTGGTCCCATGGCAGAGGTGCTTGGAGCAGCCCATGATGTTGACGCAGCAGGAACAGCAGGTGCTGAGACGGCCGCCATCGGGGTCGCTTTCGAGGAAGATGTGGCTGCCCATGACGTTGATGCAGAAGGAGCAGAAGAGGTTGACACTGCTGCCATCGGGGTCACCTTAGAGGTACTTATGGCTGCCCAAGATGCTGACGCAGAAGAAACAGAAGAGCCTGACACTGCTGCCATCGGAGTCGCCTGAGATGAAGATATGGCTGCCCAAGATTCTGACGCAGGAGGAACAGAAGAGGCTGAGAATCCTGCCATCGGGCCCATCCTAGAGGTGGTAGAAACCGCCAAAGATGACGAAGTACTGACTGCGCGCGCAGGGCCAGACTGAAAAGAAGGAGTAGCAGATACATCTGCAGCCTTCGCAGGAGGCGGCGATGGCGTCGGTGTCATCTGCTTCGTACTCGTGGCGTTGACCACTGGCGATGATGCTGGCGCAGGCACTTGAGCTTGAGGTGCCAATTCAACGTCAGCAGCCGTAAACACCAGGATTACATCTTGCGCGGAGGCAGAGCTACTACCAGAGCTGGACGGCGATGCTGTCGGAGAAGCAGCCAAAGAGTTACTTGAGGTGCCGCTTGGGTTAAGAGGAGCATCCGGGTCGGCGCCGTCTGCATTGACGGACGAACTACTGTCAGGATTGATCTCCGTCACACTAGCCATCAAGGCGTTCTGAGGGGTAGCGGGATCCACTTGGGCACCCTGTGCTGGCTGGTTCGTTGAATCGGAGCTAGTATCTCCTCCAGTGTCCGTACCGTTGTCCTGTCCGTTAAGCCACATTGGCCTCAATGCGCCAGTCATCGGGTTATACGCAAAGAGCTGACTCTTGTGTTGGCTTTCCGAGACAGGCTCTGTATCGCATGCCTCAGCAGTGAGAGGGGCAGGTGCAGGTGGATCAGGATCAAACGTCGCGCAGAAGGGGATTATCGACGCAGAGCTTGGTTCGAAGACAGGAACTTGAAGAGACACCAACACCTCGTCAAGGGAGGTTTGAAACGCCGAACTCTGTTCCGAAGATGATGACGAGAACGAAGCTTCAGATGCAGGAACTAAGAAGATCTGCGTCTGATTCGTCTCAGAAGCATTGAGAACGAAGGGAGCTCCAGCTGCAGATGCATCTGGTGTGCCGGCTGTGTCTGCTACTGGAGCAAGCACGAGAGAGGCGATGCGCTGTCCGACAGAGGATTCGACGAGCGCACTCTGTGAGAACTATCAGCTTATATTGTGGATGGTACAGTAAATCATCAGACGTACCATGATGTCTATGCGACCCGGAACACCGTCAATGGGGACAGCACTTTGATCTCGCTTGCCCAGGGTAGGAAGGACGAATTTTTGCTGGCCGACATGTCGTCTTGAATGGGACACCACATATGCTTGACCTTTGTCACCTAAGATCGAGACAGCGTTGTTCAAAGACCGATGGACGCGAACATGGTCATGATCGCCATTGATGACAACCTTTTCATGGGAATGTGGGCTACGGCGACCGCGCGTACGATCAGTCTCTCCTGTTCCAACATCCCTGTCGTGGTGATGGTGGCCATGGTGGTGGTGGTCATGGTCTGGGCTACGGTCGTAGCGAATGTGATCGTGTTCGCCATTGACCATAACCTTCTCATGATGATCCTTGAGACGGACATGATCGTGATCTCCATTGACAATGACTTTGTCGTGGCGAGCAGAATGTTCGTGGCTGGTTGATGGGGCTCCATCATAAGGTATGCGCCCTAAGATACGGGATGGTGAACGACCAACACGAACATGATCGTGGTCGCTGTTGACGATGACCTTGGGGTCGTGGTCGTCGTGGTCGTGATCGTGATCGTGGTGATGATGCCGTTTGGAGTGGCTACTCGTCGTATCGTGCTCCTCGTCAACTATGCGGCGGTACGCCTCGCGCGACTTGATTGGAATGAACCGTGAAGGACGAGACGGCTCTCGGCGGCGATCGCCACCCCAGAAGTCACCTGGCTGGATGAAAGGGTTCATAGGATCCCAACGTCGTCCCTGAATGATTTACCCGTCAAACAAGCTCAGGTATGTAGATGCTAGGTCAGGCAGCTTACCTTGTCGCCGTGCTTATCTACCTTCCCGTCTTTGTGACCACCTTCATCTTTGTCTTTGTCTCCCTTCTTGTGCGAGTCGTCCCCATCGGCGCCGTCCCCCTTCGCCTTGTGCGGGTCCTCGTCTTCGCCATCGCCTTGATTGCCCTTCTGGTCTGGCTCGTCAGTATCCCCATGACCATCTGCCGGTTTCGGCGTATCAGAACCGTCATGAGTCGTCTCATTTTTCTTGGACTCCACGCGAAAGCTCTGAGGAAGAGGAATGAGAGGTGCACTGTTGGAGCTCGCCTGGGCAGACTGTGTGGGGAGAACATGCGATGTCGAGACAACGGTGGCGGTCTCAGTGCTGTTGCCGCCATGAGAAGAGCGTGCCTCAACAGCAGCAGCATCGACGTTGGGAGCCATAGACAAGACCGCGACGGAGCACAGAGAGACAAGGACGCCGAAGCTGGGAGAGAGTGCGACCATGGTGATAGAGGGTAAACGCTCGAAGGTTTATGTTCTGTTGAGAACAAAAGCAAGAACGGAAAGCCTAAAGGAAGGACACGCAAGTTAAATGCTAAGAGAAGAAGGTAGGTTGTGCGAGACCGGTCGCTGAGAAGGGCGTGAAAAAGGTGGGGGAAGAGTCGCCTGGACTCGAAGAAGGATGAAGAGCGGGTGAGAGAAGGGATGAGGGCACGGAAGCGGCGGCGACGGCTTATATAGTGTCGAGCTCGTTTGAGACTGCGCCAGCCTGTATTGGAATCTGACAGCGGGGCTTCCGATTGACGCCCTCACCCGCGTCATACAGACGCGTCTCTCACGTGCCCGCTGTTCAGGTCACGTCCACCAGCTCGGGGCTCTCGGTCAACAGCCGCTGGGCTTTATGCAAGTAATTGGAGGCAAATTATGTTGAACATACTCAGAGATCCTATCGCTTGTACACGTCCAACTCTGTTTACTTCATCCTCTCCAGAATCGGTGCCCAAGCCTCGTCTCCGGGGTCGCATTTCCTCAGGTTATCGTAGTCGTACCAGGTAATCACGCTTGTCGAGTCGGCAACAGCGCTGCCCTGAGCATACGAGTACGCGGTTGCATGAAGAAGGAACTGAGTCCGTTCAAGCGGAGGTGACAATGAAGATCTGGAAGAGGGAGAAGAGGACACGAATGGCGCGGGTTTGTGTGCGATGAGCAGCTGGAAGAGCGCGCCAAGGGCTGGCACGTCAATGGCCGCAAGAGGTCAACGTAGATGAGCACGCACCGTGTCAGGGAATCTGACGGGACGGCGAAACTTGACATCAATTGACTTCAGAATGAAGGAGACGCCTTGAGCAGAAAGCATCTTCTGCGCCTTGTCTGGTCCCCCCAGCGCATTTCCAATCGCACTTATCCATTGCATGCGACCAGACTCAAAGAAACGGACTGCACGGAGGAAGTCTTCAGATATCTGAGGAACAGCGTGAAGCATTCATGCACACCGTATCGAACGTTGTTCACATGTCTGGGCCCATAAGCCCATCGCACCAGGATATTCAGCAGACTGAGACTCACTGGAACGCATCATGGTCTCCCCATACGATGGGCTGATCCCAAAAGCTAGTAGGATCAAATCCCTGCGCTGTTAGTTTTGCGCGTCCTTGTTCCGCTGCAGAGAGAGTTTCTGAAGGAATTTCATCAGGATGGGAAGGACCTTTGCTTCCCAAAGGAATATGATACGGAGAAGAAGGGTCACGAAAAGCTTGCTGCAAAGTCTTATTCAAGCGACACAGTCAATGAAGCCGTCCTGGAACTGTTGCCCACGACACAGACCTTTATAGAGCTTGAATTTCTACGCGGTGTTGCTTTCAACAGCGACCAGCGAGATAGGAATGGGGATAACGAGGCCTTCAGCATGTCTGAATCAGTAGCTGTTGAGGAGAGGAAGTCGTCGATGACAAGGTCGAGCGGCTTGGACGGCCCGACTGGGACATGGCTTGAATTGGAAGTGCGTCGATGGGCTCAACCTCGACAAAGCCGCTCATGGCAACTCTCCGCTTGGCTTCAAGACACCTCGTCCCTCTCCGACACCGCGCCCTCTCCACCTCCGCCCCTTCCCAGTCCAACCGCTTCAGGTCCGGCGCCTTCGCCGCCGTTGTCGCCGTATCCACCGGCCTCTTCGCTGTCTACTACTTCGACTCGCGCTCGGCCCTCCATCGCTATGTCCTGACTCCCGCGCTGCGCTACGCCCTGGATGCGGAGACGGGCCACCGGCTAGCTGTGCGTGTTCTCGGAACTGGCCTCGGTCCGAGAGACCAAGGCTCAGACGACGAGCGGTTGAGGGCAGAGGTGAGTGTAGACAGTACGACGTGTAGGTGCAAGTCATTGAACCAGTGGTCAAGCTATGGGGGATGGAACTGTCAAACCCCGTCGGCATCGCTGCGGGATTCGACAAGGACGGTGAAGCAATCGATGGTACGCCCCTCTCCAGCCTCACAACTTGCTGGAGGTGACCCCGCCGTGCAGGCCTATTCGGTCTCGGCTTCAGCTGGGTGGAAGTCGGCAGCATCACTCCAAAACCACAGGTAATCCCAGAGACACCCCCTTGATATCCCAATATGCTCACTCTTACTCTCTCTCGCCAGCCAGGAAATCCTCGTCCACGCGTGTTCCACCTCCCCGAGGACTCGGCCCTCATAAACCGCTACGGCTTTCCCTCTCAAGGGCACGCGTCGGTCCTCGCGCGCCTCCGCGCGCGCATCCCTGCCTTCTCTTCCTCTAATCCGGAGGAATCACCAGCGTCTCTGCACCCAGACAAAATGCTCGCCGTCAATCTCGGCAAGAACAAAGCCTCCGCGGTCGATTCGCCAGACGACTTTGTCGCAGGCGTGCACACATTCGCCCCCTATGCCGACGTACTGGTCGTCAACGTCTCCAGTCCAAACACGCCCGGGCTCCGGTCAGTACCTCATCCTCAGACCTCGCGTGTGTTGCGATGATTATTGACGATATGCAGAGGATTGCAGCAGCGTGGCCTCCTGGAAGGCTTGCTCAAGAACGTCACGCAGGCTCGCGACGAAGCGTCCAAGATGCGCGCGCGCAAACCCAAAATCGTGCTCAAGATCGCGCCAGACCTCAGCAGCTCCGAAATAGAGGACGTCGCGGACACCATACTCTTAACAGGCGGCATCGACGGAGTCATCGTGAGCAACACCACCATCCAACGCCCCGCGTCCCTCGTAAATCGTCAGTACCCCTCCCACGCCACCCCGCTCCTTTTGTTCAGCTGCACACGCACGCTCACAACGAAGCCTTCATTTCTGCAGCTGCAAAGGTCGAGGCCGGCGGCCTCTCCGGTGCCCCGCTGAAAGCAGCATCTCTCACCGCCGTACGGACCCTCCGCGCGCGCCTACCATCCTCCATCCCTCTCATCGGATGCGGAGGCATCGCCTCCGGCGCCGACGCCCTCGAGTTCGCGCGCGCGGGGGCCTCCTTCGTCCAAGTCTACACCTCCTTCGGGTACGACGGCGCTGGCGCGCCGCGCCGCATCAAGGACGAGCTCGCCGCGCAGCTCAAGGCGGAGGGCACCACCTGGTCCGCGGTCGTGCAAACGGCCGTGGACGGGCTGAGTTTGAAGGAGGAGCAGGGCGGAAGCGGGGTCGGGTTGTTGATCAGGCAGGCTGAGGAGCTGAAGGGGTTGTTGGATAGTCTTGGAGAGAAGATGGCACGTGAGGAGGTGGAGAGTAGTGTCGAGCCGAGTGCGGCGGTTTCGGCTCCGTCCGCGAACCCATGAAATAGACAGATGTCTTCGAGATGGGATCTCACAGCGTTGAAGTCGATTCAATGCCCTTCCCTCGCTTCTGTCATCCGTACCTGACCTCTCAAGAATCTGAACTTAGTCGTCAACAACGACAAGCGACTTGACAGAAGCCGCTTGAAGCACATATCCCCACTCTGAGATGCTCTTGTTATTTCATTTGGTTCAACTTGATCTTCGCCTCGTAATCCTCTCGTATTTTATACACTGCTCTAGCGTCCTGTGATATTTCCGTCAGCCGCGAAAATAAAACGGTAGACAGTGAGTGGTCGCACCTGCAGAATGTCCAGGTCGATATCCACCACCCTCATTTCCTCGTTTGGCCCTTCGATTCTCGTCACAACACCCTTAAATGGCATCGACACGCTCGAATGGCCAAGAAATCCTTTGGCTTTGGGACCACCACAGCTATATAGCTTGGTGTGAACGATGGTGTTCCACTGTATCAATACGGGAAGATCGGGAGACCTACTTGACAAAGATGACGCAGCACTCGTTCTCATAGGCCCTATTGATCACCATGCTGTCAAGCCACGACACTTCTGCCGAGCCACTGCGTGAGGTTGGTCAGAAGAAAAAATCAACTAATAAACGCCTCGAGTGAGTCAAACGACGTATATGACTTACTCAGGATCATGCTTTAACCCAAGTTCGCCAACATCGTCGAGGACCCAGCATGTGGGTACGATCACGACCTCAACGCCCTGCAACATGAGAGCGCGGAAAGCTTCAGGCCATGCGAGGTCCCAGCCTGGATCGCCACGTATAGGGATAAATATATTCGATCCGGAGGGGGAGAGTAGACGAACAGATGAGGAGGCCTGCTTTGAACTTGTCGGTCTGGAAGATTTGATGCTCCTCCGTCGAGCTTCTGAGATACTCCTGATCGTACGTCATGGACTATGACGACTAACGGGTGCCTCCTCAATGACCTACCTTTTCTCTGTAAGGGAGCATAAGAGTCTCGCACTCGGTGGATGATCCAGATGCCATGCACTCACGGGTGCCTACAGTGAGTCGCGTCAATATTACGAGACATAAACTTTGATCATAATATAGACGTACCACAAATTCTTCTTACGGTACTCTCCTAGGATCTCTCCGTGTTTATCGATGTACCTCGCCCTGAACACATCCGGCCCACACATGAGCTGACCCGCAGAAACGCCATGATGAGGAATGAGGACGGACGTATTGAACAGATGCTCATCGTTCTGCCTGCTCTTCTCAACGATAGTTCCCGCGACGATATCGATCGCGTACTTCCGCGCCAGATCCTGCAACACCTCGACCCAGTGCCCTTCGTCGTACGCGAGGTGCAAGTGCTCCGCGATGATCCCTGCAGGCGCGAATTATACAAGATCAGTTCAAGGACGAACAACTTCGTCGAACGTGATACGTACCGGTCAGGAAGTACTCGGGGAAGACAATGAGGTCGGCGCCCTGTGAAGCAGCCGAGGAGACGAACGGCTCCAAGCGGGCAAAGTTCGCGGTGACAGTCTCGTCAGAACTGATGCCTTCGGATTCTTGAGACGGAGGTACAGACGCGAATTGACATATTGCTATGCGGACTGGACGCGGCATAGTAGGGTAGAGGACGATAATAGTCTAAAGTCACGAGGAAGGCTGACTTGTTTGGCCAATGCATGCGCGCGGCTCTTCTCGCTCACTCTTCCAACATTGTCGTGGTCACTGGCGGTCATCACTAGACCTAGATGCATCTGCTCGACCCATCTGAACCAGTATTTCCTTTGACTCTGGCAGACGGTCGCTGTTCGATTTGTTGTTTTCGCTGTTATTTTTTGTCCCTCTCCGTGCCTGGGAGCGACGCTTTGAGCTCTAGCTTTAGTTGAAGCGGACTTTGATGCTGTCAAACCTTGCATGTATGCGCCCATATGTGACCAGGCGCAATCAGTATGTTCCCAAGGTCAGCGCATCCATGCTACAATCCCCTTTGTGCACAACGGCTGTAGGGCCATCACGCCTATTTTGAGTGTATGCATGCCGCTGCCCTCGTTTTCCTTACATAGGGCACTAGGAAATACTAACCACTCTGGATCTGGCGGTGTCTCAATCGCAAGGGAATTACACACCGCTTAGTGACCTCATCATCGAAGGTGAGCAAATGGCCAAAGCTATCCGCCGTGCATGAAATCCGATTTTAGCCATGATGCATGTTCCTAAAAATAGACCAGGGTTGGTGACGTCGAGCCTCGCGTTTTGTCTCGTGCAGTGCCATATCGCGATTTCTGCTGATCATAGGTTCCTGCCAAATCCTTTATATTCCCCTCGCCCCACCGCATCCTTTGATCCCGCAGTCCCTCGCCAGCGTTCCATCTCCCATCACCAGCATTCCATCTCCCATCACCAGCATTCACCATGGGCTTCCTATCTACCGTCCCCTCCGACGAGCGTTCCAACGCCCACGAGGTCGGACACGATCAGTATATTTCCACGACCGTGTATGGGTCTGCTCTTGCTGCATGTGAATTCCCCCGCTTCGAGATGCGCGAGGAAGAGATGCCCGCAAGGACAGCGGCTCGATTTGTCCACGACGAGCTCCTCATGGACGGAAGCCCGGCTTTAAACCTTGCGAGTTTTGTTACTACTTACATGGAAGACGAGGCTGAACGCCTCATGCTTGAAAATCTCGTCAGTAATTATGCAAATCCATGTAGTCTTTCATTGACCACTAATCTATTCTTTGCCTTTCTACCCGATTCTAAACTTAGTCGAAGAATTTTATCGACGTTGAGGAATACCCTGCTCTTGGGGAAATTGAGAGCCGTTGTGTAAATATGATCGCGAGGCTGTTTAACGCTCCGCTTGATACCCCAGAGGCAGAAGCTCTTGGTGTCAGCACCATAGGCTCCAGTGAGGCCATCATCTTGTCTGTCCTCGCAGCGAAACGACGCTGGCAAAGTGAGCTTTGTTTCTTCTTAGGTTAAAGCGATCACGTACTAACCACAATCCCGATCCGCAGATGCGCGTAAGGCGGCCGGAAAGCCTTACGATAAGCCCAACCTCGTCATGAATTCCGCAGTCCAAGTCTGTTGGGAGAAAGCCGCGCGCTACCTCGAAGTGGAGGAACGGTACCTGTACTGCACCTCGGAGCGCTTCGTGATTGATCCCAAAGAGGCTGTGGACCTCGTGGATGAGAACACGATTTTGGTCTGCGCTATCCTCGGCTCCACCTATACCGGCGAGTATGAGGACGTGCAGGGACTCAATGACCTCCTCCAGGCAAAGAATGAAAAGGAAGGACTGGATGTCCACATCCACGTAGACGCCGCAAGCGGTGGGTTCGTGGCCCCCTTCGTCAATCCGCAGCTTCTGTGGGATTTCAGAGTGCCTCTCGTCTGTTCCATCAATGTCTCTGGCCACAAATGTGAGTACCAGCTGGAATATGCTTCGCAGGCTTTGTTGATAATTTTGACAATCTCTTCCAGATGGGTATGTAAGCTCACTGTGGCACGTCGGATCGTCATCTAACTATTCAATTCAGTCTTGCCTACGCCGGCGTCGGCTGGGCCCTTTGGCGATCCAAGGCCTTTTTGCCAGAGGAGATCCTCTTCACTGTCAACTACCTAGGCTCTCCTCAGGTCTCATTTACGCTCAACTTTTCAAAGTCAGCCGTTCAGGTCATCGGGCAGTACTACCAACTACTTCGCCTCGGTTTGTTTCATCTTCACTCGTCCGCGTCAAGCCTGAGATTCATTTGTTATAGGCAAGTCTGGATATCGCGCTATCATGACTAACCTAACCGAAACGGCGGACTATCTCGCCGAATCTGTGGTGAAGTTTGCTGGGGGAGACAAATTTGTACTGATGAGCAAGACAGGCGGAGAGGGCTTGCCTCTTGTTGCCTGGCGCTTGAAAAACCAGGAACATTATGACGGTATGTCCGTTTGCTCAAGTAATTCGGTCGATATCTTCTTATGATCGTATACATCCAGAGTTCAGCATCGCTCGTCAACTGCGAGCCAGGGGTTGGATCGTTCCTGGTAGGACAGAAATACGACAAGTGCGCGACTTTCGCTGAAAGATAGTACAGCATACACGATGGCGCCACACTCCGACAAGCTCAAGCTCCTGCGCGTCGTTGTCAGGGAGGATTTCAGCAGATCTCGCTGCGAGACATTCATCCGCGACCTTACCGCCGTGCGTCTGCTAGTTCACCATCTTGAAGGCCTCGGTCGACTGATGTATCGTCGGAATTCGTAGGCTGTCAAGTTTTTGGATAATGCGCCAAAAGAAGTTGTGGAGCACCTCGCCCAAACGAAATTGCCGCAGTCCCACACGGCGGCCAACAAGTCGCACAAGTGCGTACTCTGCCATTTTTCTCCGTGTGGTCGATCAGTTTCTCTGATCATTTATAAAGGCATCATCATCACGAAAAGCATTCGCTGGCCGGCCAACACGATAAAACGCATGGAGTGTGCTAGAGATGCAGCACAGGCACGAAAGAGCACGAAAATGAAGTGAACAATATCAAGTGTAAGATACATACATACTCTGTACTTCCTTCATTATGAAGCATGCGTGATGAGATCATGATTCGATCAGACAAATAGTTTGCCTAGAGAAGCCTTCATCTACATTCGGTCCTCTACAAACCAGCCGTACTGCGCGTTGTCTTCGGTCTCCTCGTCATCGCCTCCACTCGCCTTGTCCCATTCTAACAACGCAAAGTGATGCTTCATCGACTCAATATATGGTTCCGTAATCTTGCAGGATTGGAGCGACAACGTCAATGAACGATCGATACCTCTGAGACCCGCACACAGTGCGCCGCCGAGCGATGATTCCTGACCATTCTGGATAAAGGTGCCATTCTCAATCTTCAGATACTGAAGTCGAGGATAAGGGTATGTGGGGGCTAGCGTTGCCAACGCATCTGCAAAGCTATCCGCCAAGCGGTTCGATACCACCAACGCTGTAACATTCTTCGACTGCTGTATGAGAGGGTGCCATTCTGATTCTGCGGGGGTGAATTCCGCGGATAGGTAGCACGAGCGCAACTCCTGAAGTGGGAGCATGTCGCTCAACGCCCGAAAAAAAGTATGTGCAATCCTGCGACCAAACATGTAAAACCGGCAGATGATCAACATCTCCAAACTCCCAGGTGTCTCGGGCGCCGACTCGTCGTCGAAATACTCGGATGGCGAGTCTACGGGCGAGGTATTCAGCGTAACGCCGGATACTATACGTCGCGTGCCGCTGCCGTCCTTAAATCGTAGAGAAGCAATCCTGTTTCCACTAGCCAAGTTCCCAACATAAAGTCGCAAAAATTGGGTAGCGGCGGCAACAGCAGTGTTAGCCATCACTTGGTGGCTCCAGTGCATAGGAAAAGAGTTTATATGAAGTCCTGACTTGAGTTTGAAGCGAGTGTCAGAGGGGAGAACAAGGTGGGACACCAGGGTGCTGCAAAATGTGATGGGCGCCTCCAGATGCAGTAACTTTAGGCGAGGTAAGAGTATGGTGGCATGGCTAGCAGGGTGGGAGTTCAAGCTGCCATCAGCAGTTGCCCATCGCTGTGTAAACGAGATGTGCAGATCATGCAGACAAGGCAACCCTTTGAGGGTGTTGAGGAGTCCTGGCATGAGATTACTTCCATCAACGGTCGGAGTTTCGAGTAACGTTAAATGTCTGAGCTCGCATTGAAATAGAGGTGATGAAAAATCCACGAGGCAGTGATTTAAAGAGAGCGACCGCAAATGTGGAGTGATACCCAAAAAGATATCCGAGGGGACCTTGTAGGCGTTCCGATTGGAGCCCAATTCGAGCGTTTGTAGAACCGGAGCGGGCTTCGACGTCAAGAGAGAGTCGTACCACTGCAAATCACGGGAGAGCTCACGGGAGCTGCCAGGATCGAGCTTCAGCGTTGCAGTGTGACCAACATGTGGCAACAATGCATCCAGAACACTATCTGTTTTCGCAAACGTTTCGTCAATGTCAATAGTGAGTTCTGTATTCTTCGCTCGGTGAACTAGTTCTTGTATAGCGTCAAGGTGTCGGATAGACGTGACCTCAGACCAGAGGTGTGAGCAACAAAGGGCCACCTCTCTCCAAAGTCGACAAACATGCGTAACTGTCAATCTAGACCAATCTTCATGTTTGCGTCGGGTGTCCAATCGCAGGAAGAAGAAGATATGAGTGAGAATCTCGTTTGGGAGATGGGATATCGGAGCTACGGAATTTCGTTGAGACCTGAGTACCGCTAGACACGCCTCCAACACGCGAATTTGAGCATCAAGTAACTCACATTGCGAGCGAAGAGATCGGCTGTCTATCTGCATGGCAGGCTATTGAGGGCTGATGTCTGAAAATATGGGCTGTTGAATGGAGGCCCTCTTAGGGATGCTAAGAGCTGACCTCGGACAGCCAGGAGATGGCAACACAGTTGTATTGAATTTGTATGAGTGAATGGGATCGCTGGTAGAATCAAACTCTCAGAAAGTGTGTATGACAAGCCCGATTTAATGTTTTATGCATATGCTGGTCAGTGGCTCAAGAAAGTGGTGGCAAAGATCAAGCTCAAGGTGACGCGGCGGCGCCTTTTTTAATGGCTAAGCTTTACTAATGCAAAGCTATGGCTATCTACATTCTTCGCGCCAACAAGACTATGTATTCTACATACAACTGGGTCTCCAAAGAGCGCATCAAAATTCTATGATGTCTTTTTCGATGGGGCTTGGGGGAAAATAAATGTAAAGGTGCTTGTACAGGTAGTAGCGTATGAGGGCGCGGGAGATTCGAATATGCAAGGACATCTGCGTGTGTTGAGGTATAGTAGATCATGGAGGGTGCACCGAAAGGTACGACAGCAAAAGAGACAGTGCGTAGATTAGAGGAGAGCCAGCGCGGAAGTATGCGTTCGCTACTCTATGACAATTTCTGCGCGCCTCAAGCGATGATGCTCAGCTCTCTGCGTCGAGAGCGCGCGAATTCGTCTTTGTATGTATTCCATATCCTGCAGACCTATCAATGCTGATCTAGGAGGGAGAAAATAATTCATACCTCATTAGCTCCTCGATGTAGGCCTGTTGAACTCCAGTAATTTCTTCCAGAGTTGGTTTGTCGGTCTGGACGACATGAACAGGCCGCCCAACTGAAAGACCAACGATGAAGAATGTAATTAGATGTAATATAGATATATGCACTCACTAACGGACACTATGCGTCGGCGGTAAGGCATCAGTCCCAAGTTATCTGTGAATACCATGGTTCAGGGAAACATAATCGAAGGGTACAAGAGAAGGAGATGGAAAGATCGTACAGTTCAAGAGTCCGCGACCATGAAAAAGTGGAAGAGTGAAACCAAAAACTCTTTGAAAGTTCTTCTGAAGGGTGTAGACAAGTGTCCCTTCCTCGTTCGGCATTTGCTGATATATCTGTAGTAGGGGCAACAACGATCAATAACCCAGGGCTCAGAAGGCATGTGAACTTGCATCATTCTCGCCGAAGGAGAATACAGGGACTAGGTCGGCTCTATGACAGATGTAAAGAACCCATACAGGCTTATTCAATTAGTGTAAACGCACCCATGCTGGATGGCGATCTTGATGAACCCTAATCTTGACTCAAACACCATTTTAAGCTCGCTGTGGTGACGTTGGGATCAAGACTCACCGTCTTCGCAATGTCAAGTCTGCGGTACCTGGTCGAGCACTCAGACTCTCGGCGGCGCCACCTACAACAATCGTGATCGCCTGCCCAGGGCCACTCTTGAGGATATTTGAGCACGAGCTTTTACTAACGGAGCAAACGCCGAGGAAGAGAAGAATCTCGCGATATATGGGCATTCTAAAGTTAGATGCAAGGGTGAGGAGGTGCGGCTTGATTCCAGGGAAGGCCTCCGAGAAACCTGTGCCTTCAGTGGCGAACGTGGCCAGCGCTCCCCTTGAGACAGACGTGAGGAGGATCGGTCGGTCGGGAACGGGGTGTACTACTTACATCCCGATGATACCTACACACTCATTGTTCAGTATTGAGATGGCATGAATGAAATTTAAAAGTTTGATATTACCATGCGGGTGATAACCAAATACATAAGGGCGATCTGGCGGTAGGTCAACTTCCTAACAATGTGACGCAATCTTATGTCAATGAATGCATAGAGAAAGCACAGGGGAAGTCTGTATGTGGAACACACTTTCTTGAATCTTCATTCACAACAACGGTCAATGGTGTGGCTATAATGAGCCAAGAGGAGATGACTGTATACTTGCAGGGGGGCTTACGATGCAGGGTAATATTCTGCAAAGTGTTTGAAGAATGGAAGGGAGCGGAACCATGGGCTCAACCTTCCGCCGTGTTCGGGTCCGCCGTCTACATAAAGCAGCCATATGAAATATATTGCGAGGAATGGCCACAGCGGTGGGAAAGAACTATGACGACAGTCAATCACCCGGGTTCGGTAGGTGGGATATCGGAGAACAATGACATCGTATTCCCGGAAGGACGAGACGTACCACAACAGTAAGAATAAGAATGCCGTCGTGATGATCATTGTGGACCATATCGCAACTACTGTCGTCTGCAGCCTTCGCGCTCTTGGTATGTGTGACGGCACGAACCTAATGAGCGAGCGGTAAATTTTGGTCAGCAATCACATCACAGACGGGCCGATGGGGTCAATATGGAAACAAGAAGCAGTCAGTAGATGGACGCGCAAGATGAACATGCAAGAGAAGATGACAACAGGATCCGAGCATGAATGGAAATGTGTAGAGGATCGAGATGCCTGATTGGCACGCACTCACTCAACGTGAGCTTGGAGAGCCTGAACTGGGCGTAACGGCGTCACAGTGAGTTTAGACAGTCGTTCTTTGAGAGAGGAGGACGAAAGGCTGCGCGAGGCCGACGACAACATTGGCCGCGCATCCATCCTGGAGACTAAGAAATGAGAGCAAGCGAGAATGTTGCACTTTGCGGCACGGCACACTCATAAACACGGTGACTTCCGGATCCGGCATGCGGGGCCCCGGCACTTGCAACTTACAGATCTCAAAAGAAAAGATTCCCTCCGTGCAAGACCATGTTTAATACTGCCATGAAGCGTCGCAAAATCGTCCGCCTGTAAATCCACCTTGTAGTGACAACCAAAAGCTAGGAGAACCCACATCATCGACATCTGCTTATGTGAGCAGCTTTGCTAGGAACTGGCCCGTTTTGGTTCTTCCTCGCAGCTTGATCACTGCCATTGACAAAGGGCTCGGATATTTGCCCTCATCTATATACAGGCTTTACGAGAAGCATAAAAGCCATGTCAGGAACTGTAACGGTATTCGTCTCATCACTAGATACCCATTCCGAGCGTCGGTTCGATCTCCATACGACCGTCAGCCAGCTCAAGGTAAGCCGATCATGATCTCCAGCTCTATTAGACATCCTTTGACAACCGAGCTATTCCGGTATACCCTCTAGGGAAAACTCGAGCTAGTCACTGGAATTCCAGTAGAAAATCAGAGGATTGCGGTGTATAACTCCGAGTCCGATACCCAAGCCGCTGCTCTTCTGGACGATGATCAAAGACCACTAGGATTTTATGGAATACACGATTTCCAGTTGCTCAAAGTTGGATGATCCCTCGATCCTGCAGCCCTTTCACTGAATGTTATTCTCAGGTGGAAGATACAAATCCGTCTGTCACATTCACAGGGCAACTGACCGACGTCTCTGCGGTAGAGAAATTTGAGTTGAGTGAGGAGCAGTATGCACAAAGACAGGGTAAAGCATGCCGCCGTTTTCGCCACTTTGTCGACTGAGAAATACAGATTCTGTCTTGGCGTACAAGCAACGCCATCAAGTTGGGCGATTCGCGCCCAAAGACAAACCTCAACAACAAGCTTCCATGCCGACCAATGTAAACATACCTATTGGATCGCGGTGTCAGGTTGAATCCGCTGAAGAGGGCCTTTATAAGCGTGGTACGGTGCGGTTTGTTGGACCCACCCAGTTCGGGAACAGTGTGGGATTGTGGGTTGGCGTTGAGTACGACGAGCCTTTTGGTAAAAACGACGGATCGTAGGTCCCATTCGGCACTTTCATGCGCCCAAAGGAAGCTGACCTTTTGGATCTGGCAGTGTTCAAGGCGAGCGGTACTTTACCTGCAGACATAATTACGGTGCATTCGTCAGACCAGAAAAGGTCGAAATTGGAGATTTCCCAGAGTTGGATATTGACCTGGAGGAAGACGAGATGTGATATTTCTCGTGTACTAATGAATACCGTACAACATATACGATAACTGCGAGGTTGGGCTCGATTTGTGCGTCGGGGCTATGTCGCAGTGCCAGAAGTCTCTGGAATGTCCCGGAGATTTGAGATTCCCACGGTGCTACGACGCAAGTAAGGACGCGCGTCGCTCTTGCTCATCCCCACTATAAAGTATCCTCTACCAATCTCCGAGCACATCTCGTCTCTTCCTTTCTCCGTATTCTGTATCCACCATGGATCCAAGTGGTGCCGCGTCCCAGAACCCAGATGATATTTCGACCGCTATCTTGCGGCCCAAGAAGTCGTGCGTAGAGCTACTTCACCGGTTGGCGATAGGTGCTCATCATCTGTGCCACAGGCCTAACCGACTCATTGTCGATGAAGCGACATCTGATGACAACTCTGGTAGGATCGCAGCAGTGTGCTTGACAGACTAGAAGCTCATGCGATAGATTAGTCGCTACCTTGAACCCAGTGACTATGGAGGCTCTTCAGCTCTTCCGCGGTGATACCATCATCGTCAGGTACTTCATAGATTCCGCGTTTTATTTGTGCCACGGTAATTGATTGACTTAACACGATTAAAGGGGCAAGAAGCGGAGAGACACCGTCCTCATTTGTTTGAGCTCCGACGACGTTGAAGAAGGGCGTATCCAAATCAACAAGGTTGCCCGGAATAACCTCCGTGTCAAGTTGGCCGACCTCGTCAATGTGCACCAATGCCTTGACATCAAGTACGGCAAGCGCATACATGTACTGCCCTTCGACGATTCCGTGGAGGGCCTTAGTGGCAATATCTTTGATGTCTACCTGAAGCCTTATTTCCTTGAGGGTACGTTCATGCTGTTGAATTTGGATTCAGTCCATTATACATCATTCATTTAGCCTACCGACCCGTGCGCAAGGGCGACACCTTCCTCGTCCGCGGTGGCATGAGAACCGTTGAGTTCAAGGTCATGGAGACCGATCCGGCAGAATATTGTATTGTCGCGCAGGACACGGTCATCCATACAGGTGCGAGTCATCGACATTTTTACATGAACAATTCTCATAAACGACACAGAGGGTGACCCTGTCAAGCGTGAAGACGAGGAGGCCAACCTCAGTGATGTTGGTTATGATGACATCGGTGGTTGCCGCAAACAAATGGCACAAATTCGTGAACTCGTCGAGTTACCGCTTCGGCATCCACAGCTTTTCAAGTCGATTGGTATCAAGCCCCCTCGCGGTATTCTGATGTACGGTCCTCCTGGTACGGGTAAGACGCTCATGGCTCGCGCTGTGGCCAACGAGACTGGCGCGTTCTTCTTCTTGATCAACGGCCCCGAAATCATGAGTAAGATGGCCGGTGAGAGTGAGAGTAACTTGCGAAAAGCATTTGAAGAGGCGGAAAAGAACTCCCCTGCTATCATCTTCATTGATGAAATCGACTCGATTGCCCCAAAGCGTGAAAAAGTGTGTTTTGTTTCCGGTCATGTTGTTGGACCACATGCTAATGTCATTCGTAGACGAACGGAGAAGTCGAGCGTCGTGTTGTATCGCAATTGCTGACCTTGATGGACGGTCTCAAGGCTCGTTCGAACGTAGTCGTTATGGCCGCCACTAACCGACCGAACTCCATCGACCCCGCTTTGCGTCGATTCGGCCGATTCGATCGTGAAGTTGATATTGGTATCCCTGATCCCACTGGACGCCTGGAGATTCTCCGCATCCACACGAAGAACATGAAATTAGGGGATGATGTCGATCTCGAGCAGGTATGTGTAAACATGTTTTCATCATTGACAACAATGTTCGACATTTTTCCGTAGATCGCTGCGGATACGCACGGTTATGTTGGTTCTGATCTGGCTGCGCTCTGTTCAGAAGCGGCCATGCAGCAGATCCGTGAGAAGATGGATCTCATTGATCTGGATGAGGACACCATTGATGCTGAAGTGCTCGACTCGCTCGGTGTCACTATGGAGAACTTCCGATTCGCTCTTGGTACTTCCAACCCATCTGCCCTGCGCGAGACTGTTGTCGAAGTACCTACTGTCAAGTGGGACGATGTCGGTGGTTTGGACAAGGTCAAGCAGGAGCTCCAGGAAACTGTACAATACCCTGTCGAACATCCCGAGAAGTTCATCAAGTACGGTATGCAGCCGTCGAAGGGTGTGTTATTCTACGGTCCTCCTGGTACTGGTAAGACCCTTCTCGCGAAGGCAATTGCAAACGAGACACAGGCGAACTTTATCTCGATCAAGGTCAGTCTCTTCTTTTTTCTTCACTAACGAATGCTGATTTTGCCAAATAGGGTCCCGAACTGCTTACCATGTGGTTCGGTGAGTCTGAAGCGAATGTTCGAGATGTCTTCGACAAGGCCCGTGCTGCCGCCCCCTGTGTGATGTTCTTCGATGAGTTGGACTCTATTGCTAAGGCCCGTGGGGGCTCCTCTGGCGATGCTGGTGGTGCGGGTGACCGTGTCTTGAACCAGATTTTGACTGAGATGGACGGCATGAATGCGAAGAAAAATGTGTTCATCATTGGGGCCACGAACCGACCGGACCAGATTGACCCCGCGCTCCTCCGTCCTGGTCGTCTCGACCAGCTCATCTACATCCCTCTCCCCGACGAGCCTTCTCGTTTGTCCATCCTTCGTGCCGCACTCCGCAAGTCTCCGATTGATCCTGGAGTTGACCTCCCTTTCCTCTCGAAGAACACGCATGGCTTCTCTGGTGCCGACTTGACGGAAATTTGTCAGCGTGCGGCAAAACTTGCGATTCGGGAGAGTATCGAGTCCGACATCCGCCGGACAAGGGAAAAGAAGGAGAAGGAGGAAGCTGCTGGTGATGATGCAAAGATGGAGGAGGACGAAGAAGAGGAAGATCCTGTCCCCGTCATCACTAAGTTCGTCCCGTGTTCTTTGACTCAGCGATATAATACTCATATACTTCCTACAGAGAGCACTTCGAGGAAGCGATGAAGTATGCTCGTCGTTCAGTGTCCGACGGCGATATCAGGCGTTACGAGATGTTCGCACAGGTATGTTTCTCTGTATTTTACCTTGCCAAAGATAAGATAAATAATGATTCACGCCCGCAGAACTTACAACAATCCCGATCGTTCGGCTCGAACTTCAAATTCCCAGAGAGTGGGTCAGCTTCTGCGGACGGCTCATCTGCTGCACAGAGCAGTGGCAACGCTGCATTCGTGGAAGATACACAGGACGATGACTTGTACGCCTAATGATGATTTGCTACCACTTTCGCACCCCATTTTCTGTTCTCTACTTGTGTCCCAAATCTTGTTTTCGTCTAGTCGGCATGCAACGATAGAAACTTCGTGTATTTTCTGTAAACTCAAAGATCGCTCATTGATGTGTTCGAAGTGCAAGTTTTTCATTAACAGTCTGGCCTCCAATGCGACCGGCACGTATGGAAAAGTGTGTCCTATGACATGTACATGTGGGGGAGATTTAACGAAATTTGACTAAGTCTTATTGCTCTTAGCATCCCATTGTAATTCCATCATAAGGACCATCGTGGTCGTCCAAGTCTCCGTCCCAAATTTCCTCGACGGCTCCATCAATACACTCAGTTGACGGATTTTCTTGCCCTGTAGAAGATACATGATTTGATCAGATGTCATTGGATACAATATGGGTTACATACCGGAGCACTGCACCCAAGCGTTGGATCCGTCGATATGCACCTCGCCGGAGGGGTGCCGGAAGCCTAGAATCTCGAAGGGAAGAATCGCCACAGGGTCTTTCTTATTGTTGATGTGCGTTAGCTGGACATGGGTGTCGACATAGTTAGCGAAGGCTTGATTCCCAACCCGAGGGAGGCCATAGCATATTGTGCGAACAGACACGGTGGGCGGGAGGTGGAAGGGAAGATACACAGCGTCCAGGAGCGACAGCGATGCGCCTGTCAAAGCAAACATCACAGCCATTCAACCGCGTAGCCAAAATTTTCGTTTCAGGAAGATCTAGACCTAATGAATGACCAGTGGTAACGACAGATTGAGAGTTGTGTTCCGCTAAAACCGTCTGTACAGCGGACAGTATTTGTGGTGCCGTCCTGTCATCAACGGACGATGAATATAAAAATCCTGTGCATGGACAACAGTGCTGACAGACCGTGCATGGGCATCTGCAAACCCTGTATGGACTTCGATGCTGCTATCGATTCCCGGGAACATACTTTGATCTAACTTCTCCTTGGGGAAGTCAAGGTCGGTGAGAACAGATTCACTGGGAGTAACATTGGCAATCAGGTTTCTTCCACGAACCAGCAGTGAACCAGCGCTCTGGTGACCGACATACAACTTTTCGGGATTCGTTCCTTGGTGAGCAACAATCACCACGTCTAGCATAGAATCCCATCCCACATACCAGTACTGAATAGTACTACCATCCCCACCGGATACGAAAGGCTGGAATCCAGGATTTGCCTCGCAATTGGCTGAACAACATCCATGTGAATATCAAAGATGCACGCCGTCAAGATACAGTTACCTTACCTCCACAGGTCCACGTTAGTGTCGCCGACGGATTGCAGTAAGCCGCGCTGGCGGACAGCGTGAAAGGTCGAAATGCAGTGATCTGGTCTTGGGAGAGAGTAGGCAGTGACTGTCGCTTGTCTATATCAGGCGCAGGAGAAGCGAGAGCGCGGGTGATCAGGACAGAAGTTAAGACGATCTTCCAAATGGTTCCCATTGTCTTGCTCGAGCGACTGCAACACAGGATGCGAGACCTTGTGAGCGTGCTCTTTTATACAAGAGCCACTCCGTTGATGAAGTGGTAAAAGTATTGCTGATGGGCCCAACCGGAAGACTGCAGGAACAGGTTTAAGGATAGCATTCCCGAAGATTGTGTGGGAATGAAACTGTACATGCGCTGCAATTTGATCTCGCCGTGTTGATATAGAAGTACAGCTGCCACAGTGAACGGCCAGGTAAAGCAGAGAAAGGAGAGGATTACTGGTAGGAAGGGCTAGGTTAGGGAGTTCATTGAACGATAATATATTCTCTATTACAGAGCTCCCACCGTGGTTGAAGCGGACCAGGGCACACAGCCCAGCAAAGACATGGACAGTCTTTGTATAGTATGATAGAAGAGCAATCAGTCGACGGGCCTGAGAGTAGATATGGTATATCAGAGGTCTGATCATCAAGATCGAACATCCTATTCATAGTGATACACTGTATCATACACTGCATGATCATGTGAGCAGAGATCCTCGACTTGTGGAGAATGCAGGCATGTACCGAAGAGCAATACAAGACCACCTGATTTAGCAGCCAATCTCAACGCCATCGTAAGGACCATCATGGTCTGGTTCATTGCTGTTGAGAAGAGAAGGTTCGGCTCCGACAATGCACTTTGAGGAAGGATTGTCGTGGCCTATTGAAGCAGTTTGAAAGAAGTCAGCACTACTGTGCAGTCTAAAGAAAGTACACGAATGCACGCACCAGGACAAGAATCCCATGTTTCATCTTCATTGATATGAACCTCTCCGTTCGGATGTACAAAGCCGAGGAGTCTTCCAGGAACAATCGGTACGGGATCCTTCTTGTTGTTGATATGCGTTAAGTGGAGATTCGCGTCGACATAGTTCGCAAATGCCTCATTTCCAACCTGAACGGGGCATCAACTATAGTTGTAAAAACAGCTGAATGAAGTGAGCTACCCGAGGCAGTCCATACGTGACCGTGTTGATCCTGATCGTAGACGGGAGGTGCAGGTGAAGATACACGGAGTCGAGAAGGCTAATAGCGGCACCTAGATTGAGCACGATGAGCAAAGGCTATCAAGTGTCAACGCTAAACATAAATATTGCTTGTACGCACCCAGTGAGTGCCCGATAACCGTCACCGTCTTGGCACCATGCGCAGAAATGGTTTCCTGGACAGCCGCTAAAACACTAGTCGCTGCTCTAAACAAACAACATTGTAAAATTCCAAATCAATTTGATATAATCAAAGCCATTGACTTCTCTTGCGCTGCGCCAAATCCGTTGTGCACCTGAATGGATGAACTGATGCCAGGGAACAATGTCTAGAGAAGAAAGTTCAAATACACTCCGAGGCATAAAGAACAATTTTACACGCACTGAGTCCAGAGGCGTCAAGAAAAAGTCTGCGTCAGTCAGGAGGGGTAGACTGTTATGATAAGAGAATGAGTAAATATGTGTGGTGATGATGAAAGCTGCTAACATCTTGCTGGTATCCGTGCCCTGATGTCCCACGATCACTGTGCTTTCGACCGGATCCCATCCCACATACCCTACAATTGAATCAGAACACAAATTATATTTTGGAAAGGAACTGAAGTTACGCACAGAACTGTACCGTGTCCCCGTCACCACCAGATGCCGTAGGTTTGAAACCAGGGTTTGCATTGCAGTTTGCTGATGCTCAGGTCAACCAGCGAGTCGACAAGTGAGATTTTAGGCATACCTCCACAAGTCCACGTGAGAGTAGTAGATGGGGCACAGTACGATGCGCTGGCATAGAACGTGAAGGGCTTGAATGTAGAGATCTGAGCCTGTGATAGAGTGGTGACGGACTGCCGCTTGATGGCAACACCTTGCACATTGTCGAGGAGTGCAACTGCAACGAGGGCAGCAGTGAAGACACGAGCAGCCATTGTAACCATGGTGGACTCAGGGAACGGAACAGCCGAGGAGCCTAAGGAAGGAAGCGGGGAGGACGGTCATGGTATACTTATACTTAGACCGGAGCCGCGATAGAACTTTCCGAGCCAGGGGACCACTATCGCCTTTCAGGGGCTCACCGTTTACAAAACATTATTACGACAGCAAGGACATCCGATTTTCACATATGGAGGTTTTTCTCGCGCAAGGGATGCGATGAAAGCTGTCAGGGCCACAATAGGGTTTCGTCTTAGCAGTGGGCTAAGTATACCGGCTTGTTGATGCCCGATGCATGTGGCCTACATGGTGTCATTCTCACATGATGTCTGCCGCGGGAGCTGTAGTATGCTACAAACGTGTCAGGTGTCGGGATGCACGTTCAAAGTAGCACTCACGACAGTCACACACGGAGCGACGATCAGATGGGGGTCGTCGGATATCGAGCCACATTCAGGTAACATCACGCTGTTTCAACCACGTTCAATAGCGGTGGATGCCTTTGTGCTGATGCAAAACGTGTCTTCAACTCAAGCAAGATCGCAGATGGGCCTAGGAATGGTTCTGTTCCTGCACAGTCAGTCAATATCCAATACGCATGAACCAAAAGAGATGCCTCACCAAGATTGGTAGATCTTTCTCCTGATCGATTCGGATTTTGCTGCTTGTTTCGATCGGAAGTGGGGGATGGCAGAAACTTAAGGCAGACGAAGACAAAGGCAAAGTCTGGTAGCACGAGGGAAGGAAGGGGGATCGGCCCTAATAAGTCAAGAGCATCCTTGGCTAGCCTTGGCTGTACGTCGACGCTGTGGATCGATCATGATACTGTAAAGTAAGTCGATGGATACATATACGACAGACACAAATAAAGGTAAAAACTACTATAGCGGAAGCACAGAAAGAGGAGCAAGGACTTTCAGGCCTGCTGAGGGACTGGCAGAGCGAGGTGCGAGTTGAGAGAGACAGACGTGAATATCACGTTGGAGTCCATATGCAGAATCTTGCAGAAGCTATTCGTGCGCAGCATATTAGCTGGAAACTCGGAGATCTGATTCAAAGACGAATGGGTTTATCCTATCCATGACGTCAGTCACCTATGATTATCAGAAAAGATCTCCGCACGTCCGCAGACGCAGTAGATGCTCGCTGAAGAGCAATGTATCGCGATAGAGACTGGTAAAGGACTCACGATCCTGACAGCGTGTGAGTTGATTTTTTCTCACTTCAAAGCCTCATCAATGCCAAAGCATGCGTCCAACATCAACCAATGAATCGAGGCGCTTGATAACAGCGCAGCGATATTGCTCCAGCCGCAGTTCCCGGAAATGTGGTCGTAGTTCCAAATCAAGCGTAACAACACGACAGCCTTGGGACCATTCGTTATCGCCGACGCTCGGCGTGGATACAACTCAAATTTTGAAGGACGTGGGAAGACCATAGCCATCGCAGAAGTATCGCAGATCATAGGGAGAAAAGGCAACGTCCTGCGAGGGAAACTTCAATTGCATGGTGACAAATGTCACAAGGTCTGCTGTTTCACGTGTCAGAGTGACGCAACGCGTCAATTTGGCTCGAACGACGGGCGCCTGTGTTTATACGAGGAATGCAAAAGGGTTATTTGATCGGCCTGCCGAGGAAACAAACCGCAGAAAGTGCAGGCCAATCTCAGGACCTCTCAGTATCGGGATCAAGAAAACAAAACGCGAAAAATCAACATTCAAATATCGGGTATCTTTAGTTATATGTCCAACAGCACCTACACAGGCCCGCGGTGGTTACAGGAAATTAAGAACGGCCCTAAGTTTAACCATGACCACATTTCCAGAACCCTGGTTATAAAAGAAGGTATTAACTGCACCCCATAGTGACACCGTCATAAGGACCAGAATGATCTGACGAATCACCATCCAGAAGAGATGGCTCGGCGCCGACGATGCAATCCGAGGAAGTGTTATCCTGGCCTTTTAACCGCGGTCCATAGTCAGACCCACTTTTGCACTCTAGGCATTGGCAACAACATACCAGGGCAAGAGTCCCATGAGCCGTCGTCGTTGATGTGAACCTCCCCTGCAGGATGGACAAAGCCCAGGAACCTTCCGGGAACAATCGGCACGGGGTCTACCTTGTTGTTGATGTGGGTCACATGGAGGTGTGCATCGACGTAGTCCGCAAACGCCTCGTTTCCTACCTGTTTATTCAAATGTTAGTCAGTTGGTTCGACATACGTTTGAGAAGGGGATATCATACGCGGGGCATGCCGTAACCAACAGTCTTGACCGTGACCGTAGAAGGTAGGTGCAGGGGAAGATAGACCGAGTCGAGTAAGGCAATAGCAGCACCTGTGATGGATATGTCATGGTGCTGAATTCATTTTAATCGATGCAAACACACCGAGAGAGTGTCCCACAACCGTCACAGAGTTGGAACTGTGCGCCGAAAGGGTAGACTGGACGGCTGCGAGTACGTCGGCCGCCGACCTGTCATGGCATGTACATCATCATCCACGCGCAGCATGACTGAGAGAAGCACAAACCTGGCTTGCGAAGCAGCAAACCCATTGTGCACCTCAATGGAAGAGTTCAGGCCGGGGAAAAGTGTCTTCAGGAACATCAGCAACGCCACGTCTCGTGACAGGGAAGACATCTCGAGCGCGCACCGAGTCCAGTTGAGTCAAAAAGAAGGATCCGTCAGTCAAGACTGGGATACTATTGGGAGACGCCATTGTTCATCAATCTTTCGATACAATGCAGGTTGGCAGCTAAAGAGGCTGACATTTTGCTCGCCTGAGTTCCTTGATGCCCGACGATGACCGTGCTCTCCGATGCATCCCATCCAACGTACCCTATGACACCGTTCATACGCCGAGCTATCGAGTGAAACAAGGACACGCACAGTATTGTGTCGCAGCTCCATCACCGCCTGACGCCGTTGGCAGGAAGCCGGAATTTGCGTCGCAGTTGGCTGAGTGAGACAGTGTGAGTTCGAATCGGCGTTATGGCGGCGCCTCGGTGCTTACCTCCACACGTCCATGTCAGTGTCGTAGACGGCGTGCAATACGCAGTGCTCGCATAATGCGTGTATGGCTTGAACGCTGATATCTGTGCCTGCGAGAGAGCAGTGACGGACTGCCGCTTTGTGACTGCAGCTCCGAGCGAGACATCAATGAGTGTAGCGGCAAAGAGAGCGACGGTCAAGATGCTAGCGGCCATAACTGTCTATCGCGTCGACAACTTCGAGGGGCTTGAAGTGAATCAAGAGAAGTCAGTTAAACCGATCAGGTCCTTGCATATTATATACTATAGTCTGTGTCGCGCACATGTTGCGAGAAGCCGACCTTCGGTCGAGCTTCGAAAGATACCATTTGCTGGAACATGTGTCGGCCTGTGATAATTATGGCGATCAGGTGCGTTAGCTGAGATTGGCTGGTGGCGGGCTCAGAGGCAGAAACGATGTAACGATCGAGGACATTGCGCACATCTAGTGCACAACTACGCATAAATGCGCACGTTTCTCGAGGTTCCTAGCTTGCTGATGCGATTGGACTATTGTGTGGACTCAGTGTGTACTCGCGTGTCGCAAGAGACCTTATTGGTTGATGGACAATGCCGATATCTCCTGGGAATCGTGAGCAATCGCGAGTTCGATCTCTGCAGGTCGTATGAGTGTCGTATGCACTTTATGATGCGGCACCTGTGGAAGTGGTGTTGTCGATGATGAAAAGAATGCTTCCGATGTTGATATACGATATCCTCCCAAGACGGCTGTAATTAACGCTCTCTCATCAAAAACGCACATGTATGTGATGTTCTAGGTTCCAGCCATATTCATCAGCACAATTGATGAAAAGCTGTTGCGAATTATGAGGCAAGCAATTCGAAGGTGGCAAGGGCAAGAACCGAGGAGGACTGTCATCTGCCTCGGCAGCCGTTGCGACGCTGGACGGCCGAAGAACCTCATATTAGGGTTATGAGATGCGTGGCTGCGTCGTCTTTCCAATTCGCTCTGCACTAAGGATTGGAAGTTTGGGACGGTTCATCGTGCTGGCAACAACCTCACTTCGCTAAGTTCCCCCGGCTGCAATGCTGTCGATATCCGTGCTTCTCAGTTTTGCGCTCGCAGTCGCCGCTCACGAACACCATGACGAACTCTCTGAGGAAGCTGCGAACGCCCCTGTCGACACCATCCTCTGGATCCACATTGTTCTACAGGCTGCTGTATGGGGCGTCTTATTTCCCATAGGAATGGTATTCGGTATTACGCGCAGTCGATGGCACGTCCCCCTCCAAGTACGTTTTCGTATGACTTTCGGTCGTCGTTCATTTGTATCCTGACACAGAACGCAGAGCGCAGGATATGCACTGACTCTTGGAGGTTACTTCCTCGGACATGCCCATAAGGGCCGCCAATTTCTTCCGTCGGCACACGAAAAATTCGGCTCCATTCTCTTCATTCCTATCCTTGCCCAGCTTGCCCTCGGGATTTACCTCAAGTTGCACATCCACGAGCATACACTGCGTCCATATGCCGTGCGCGCTCATGGCATCGTCGGTAAGGCTTTCCCGATATTTGGATGGGTGCAGATGCTCTTCGGCGCGATCGCGTTCAGAGGGTATTGCCGCGGAGGGAACCTTGGCCAGTGTTTGGCTCACTACATCATGGTCAGCAACACCTTGTGCTCTGTCGAAAATCACCCGAATACTCATATGATGTACATGTCCATAGGGCGGAGGATTCATCTCGTACGGTATCATTATGGCTATCATGCTAATTGTCGGGGAGACGTGGATCAGACGGAGCGGCCGAAGCCCTGAGTGGTGGGATTCCTGGGTCATCCTACTTTGGGTAAGCGGTCAAAATAATCAACACAGTATTAACGTTGATGATGTCTGTCCTGGCTAGGGTATCGGTGAGCATGTGAACGGGTGCAGCCAGAATACAATGAAACTGATACTTGCGCTCTCAGTTAACACCTTCACGGAACATCGCGGGCTGGTATGGTCCGTGAAGGACATGCAACATACGTGCGTGTCGAGAGTTTGACTACTGGGTTGAAGATTCTCACCCTCTATTTGATTCTAGCATCTTGGGCATCTTATGTACGCCGTTATAAGACCTCACCTTCGTCTATCAACAATCTAAAACCACTCTACGAACAGGGTGGTGCGGTGGTATCCTTGGTGTTTTCCTCGCGCGCAACAATCAGGTGCGTACAAGCACATTGCTTTTCACACGAACTGCAATTTACGCTTTTGTCTATTCTAGCGAACCGTTGTACCATCCGTCATGTACGTATCTGCGCCGAAGTATGGTGTACTTGCTTTCGCATTACTCACTCGACATCTCTATCAACTTCAACCAGCATCATCCTCACGGGCTTCGCGATGGCCGACCACCCACAAGCCCTCATGATCTCGACACGAGTGCACGCCATCTTCGGGTACACATTGATGCTCGCGGGGTTCGCGCGCATCGTCGAGGTGTGCTTCGTTATGCCGCACTTCGCGCCTGTGCCTGGGGCTGCTGCGGTGACAGGCACGGTGCAGTTGGAGGACGATCAGAGCGAGCATACACTTGCTGATGGGAACGTTATCGAGGAAGGTCAGCCCAAGGGGAGGGCGTTCAGGCATCTGCCACCATTCGTGAGTCGCTTCTGTTATGACGAGATCAAGGTGTTGATCAGTGTCATGTCTTACTACAGCTTCTCGTATCTGCCGGGTGAGCATACTGAACTCGCGATGTCAAATTTGAGCACGTCAAGGCTAACATGGGGTTTTCAGTCTTCTGTTCATGTCCGCGACAGACGAAGAGCTTGACTTCGTGAACGATAACGGAATGGACCACGTTACTTACGTGCTCATCATGTTTAGGTCGGTCTTCTTTCCTCTCGCACATTGTCATCTTTTCTGCTTCATCCTCACAATAACAACCATATTTTCCAGCATCTCTTTCATCCTGTACACGCACACACTCTTCCTCATCAACCTCTACGCCACCTCGGGGCGCAACGCGCCCGATACGACCGCCAATGCAAAGGACATTGAGCTCGAAACCCCGCGAGGGAATGGGCGGTGGTATTCGCGCACCGCGCACGTGGAGCGACGGAGGGATTTGAATGGCGAGCCGACGAGCGCGAGCGCGTTGATGCAGGCGCACATCATCGGAGAAGACGACGATGAATGAATCATAGCTTGTCACAAGTCAGCGTCGGGCGCCGCGTGGCCACCGTCCACTTTGACGACCCTCGCGCCCCGACGATCTCGTTACTGTTGTATGTATTTCTGGGAGCTCGGTGTGGGTGCTGCTATCGCCTGTCACTTCGCTAGATGTGTTCACGGATTGTATGGCCCGTCTTGTACATGCTAATACTTGCCACTTGCATCGCGCAAATGTTTGGAATCACCTAATTTTTTATTTATCAGACGCGTCGCTGCGTTTGCTCTGCTGTGGATCTTCCTACGATTGGAAATCGGTCGAAAGAGGTTCGTTCTATCTATATACACGCACGTCCGGTCACAGGCCAGCCGCGGAGCAGTGGCAGGTGGCGCATATGCACAAGTGCTGATTCCCGACAAATGAGCAATCTATTAGCCAATGCAAAATGATGCCCGTTCATGTGCAGTTGACCGTAATGGCGAGAAACTGTCATGATCAACAGCCCCACACCTCAAGCCATCCGAATGAACTTCTTGTACATGTGTTTCATGATTCGAGATGAAGACAACGACGTGGTTCATCGAGGAGCCTGCACCACAAGGCAGGTCAGACGGCACGAGCCCGCGAGCCTCGTGTCATTGCTTCAAAGCACGCATCGCTATATGAACCGGACCTATACATAGACGCGGACCCGCTTGGAAAACACAAGACCACCGAGTCTGACGGTCTCAGGTCAGCCCGCCCAGCGCTGTGTGGACAGCGGCGCTCGGTCACACACAGAGCGAGCCGTGATCAGACGCCAGTCCATGGCCTCTGAGGGGTCCCGGCTGCGGCTCGAGCAGCGGGACCCGAGCATGACCGCAGGCGCACCCGCGGGAGGCCTGCTATAGGCCGCGCCAAATCGGCACGCAGGCCCACGCGCACACAAGCACCCACTACTTATGCAATGCAGACAACATCCGAGCCTCGACCCGACCCACCATCACGTCGACCGAGCACGGCGACTGCATGGGTCCCGTGCGCTCCGCAGGTGCTGGGTCCGAGGCCAGAGAGGCGGAAAAGGGCCGTTCCTAGCGCACATGCAGCCTAGTCCAAAGCAGTCTAAAGGACAAGCGAGCATCCCCAGGCGTCCTCTAGCATCTGACGACGAAGTGGCCGGCCGGCGGCCGACTGTAAAGTTAAATCTTGATACCCTCGCAGCGATAGCGCTAGCCAAAACGGCTCGTCGCGCAGGCGGAGAGCTAGAAGTGCTGAGTGCTGGACTGAGCACCGCTGAGCACCGTACCGGGAGATGGGGACGGCGACGTCACCGAGCTGACGACAACAGCCCACGTCACGCGTCAAAACCAAAGGCCAAGCTGGGCAAAGTCAGCAGCGGCTCGTCGTGTATGCGGCCGCGGCTCATCTCCGAGGCCGCGAGTGGCCAACAGCAGTCCAACAGCGCATCAGGCTAGTGCTTGGTACTTAGTACCGAGCTGCGGCACGCAGAGACGCAGAAGGCTCGCAGAAGCAGCGTGCGGACCCGCGGTGCCTCGATCGAAGCGCAGCCGAGCAGCGTCCGCGGACATGGCCTAGGCTGCGCGCCGGCCCCACGCCCCAGACGGCCTGCGATCTGAGGGTTCGATGGACGCGATTGGGAGCGCACGGGGGGGGCGGGTCCACGAGCCGCACGCGCGCAGACACCCAGGCGGCACGCACGGCGCCGCCGGCGCGTGTGGTGCCAGAACGCGGAGTGATGGGCGAGATGATGGAATGAGAGGATGGCCTGCCCCGCAGGGTCAGGCGATGCGAAATGCGGACGACGGCAGACGTCAGACGGCTCGCCGATTGGGTGCGTGCCGCGCGCGAAGGGGCTCTGGCCCGGCCTCTGCACGGCGCCACTGCCATGACGGGCTTCTCAGTCATAGCGTGGGGTCCCCGAGGGCAGCTCGCAAAGGGTTAGAGAGGTCGAGGAAAGAGGGGGATGACGACATGATCGGGGCAGGTGATCACTGGCGAGTCGATGACGATGGCATCAGGGCCACCGATACCAAGGTTGTGCCAACGGCAGATGTGAGGGGAGCATGAACGCTTAATGGCTGCGCTTTGGGGGGGGTGCACATTGCCTGCGCCGGGTATGCAGGTGTATATGGCGATATCCCTACGTCAATGTTCACGGTCGAGTTTCCGTTCAAAGTTCGGTTCGATTCATGTTCCGCCGCGCGTGCGGGGTGGGGTCTAGGGCCGGAGGGAGTAGAGACATGCGAGGGGGGCCAGACGGGGCCAGCGTGATCGTTCCGAGAGCGCATATGGGCAGCGGCTAGGGCGAAGCGGAAAAAGGTTGAAGCAACGACTTTTGCGCCTGTGTCCAGATCGAGGAAAGAGCAGTGAAGACGAGGGAGAGGGCGAGGAGCGGCGACAGATGATCGAGGCGGGACGCGAATCCGCAGGCTTACACGCACACGCCCGGCGGTGGTATGTGGCCCGTCCGACACGCGCAGAGCAAATATCGATGACGCGTGAGCGGGAGTCCGCTTGGGAGGGAAAAGAAGGGTGTCTGAGTGAATGGCGCGGGAAGAGGCGATCGCAGGGCCGCGTTCGCGTACTGAGTCCCACCTCGACAGTGCACCCGTCTGCCCTGTCCGTTCTCCGCTTCGCCTCAGCATATACCTATGGTCCGCAGTGAGTCCACACGCGATTCTGAGAGCACTGGGCGAGAGCGTGGGTGCGTAGCGCGATTGTGGCATCGGTACTACGAGCCCGGCCTCGCCAAGCTGCGAGACCCTGCGAAACGATCGCCTGCTATGTCTCGCAGCCGACATCAAGAAGCGGGGGGCATCGTCGGGCGACGGTCAGATCAGATCTTGATTCCATAGCCACGTCTGAGCCTAGAGGCAGAAACCAGTGGGACCTGAAGCTTCAAGCTTGATCCACGACGCACTGATGATGGCCGTCAGCACTGTAAGCGGCACTTGGCAGGACAGAACAGATCCTGCTGGACCTGTGATGAGAGCTTTATGTAAAAAACCCTGCATTCGCGACACGCACATTTTATGCGCGTCCTGTCATAGGCGGAGACACCAACAGATGAACGGGTATCTGCCAATCCCCAACCGCCTCGTGCCACCTCGCGCATCACGTCCTCGCCAATCGTGGCCTCGCGGAGCCCAACAAAGATGCCCCTTCCACCCCAAAGCTCATACAGAAAATGCAGTCGGGAACGTGGGTCGACCGAACCAAAAGTCGCGGAGCATCACCCAGCGCGCAGTTTTGGGGCCTCTGATATCATCCCCTGATCATGAACATATCATGGTCGGCAGGCACCCTCGACTGGGATTTCTACCGACCTGCAGAGTTTCATCCCAGCCCTCTTGAGCTCGCGTCGACTGGGAAATCCAGTCACACACTCTCGCATCTGATTCGGAAAAGCGGAGACGAACGACGGGTATCAACAAACACATTTTGAAACTTTGCTTTGAAAGACGACGCAGGAGCAGCCGAGCAAGGCCGCCCATCGCCACGCGCGATCAGTCTTCGCGATCGACGCACCCACTCCAAGCCGAGTGAATTCGCCCGCCAGCAACGCGCAGGGCCCCGAACGTTTCGAAAAGATAATAAATTCACGAGACGAAGAAGCGTACCTATGTAACCGCGCCCACGTCGCGCGCGCATCGCCGCGGTGGAAATTCGCCGATCGGCGTGGGCGATGAGCAAAGACGGCGTCAGGAGTCGTCGGGCGCAGCACGGCGCGCGGGCGACCGACTCGAGGTCTGGCGAACGCCATGTTCGGCGACCGGATCATCGGTATCGCAGAGCGTGACTTACTGACTCACGCGTCGCGGCGACCTCTGCACGGGTGTGTGTGTGTGTGTGTGTGTGCAGGGCTTTTGCTGGCTTTGTTAGATCGCCAGGGCGAGACTCAGGCTAGTCAGGCCCCCAGCCTGCTTCCGAAGAAGCCAGGGCCCCACTACATAAAAAGCACCCTTCAGTCAATCAACTCTAACTAGAAGCGGGTGTATTGTACACAATGGCCGACGATCAGGTCGCCGTGTGGCCCCACCTGTTTGCGTCGGAGCGACGCCTCCCATAAGCAGCAGGCGCTGTACCAGACTTTGGGAGACGAGCGTTATTTATTTTCAGGGAGCTGTGGCGCGTGGGGAGATCGGGCTCTAAAAAGGGGGTCGAGATGACGCGGTTGCGCTGGACGCAGCGTCGATGCCGGCACCACGTCGACGCGACAGCGACAGCGAGCTCGCGAAGGAGTCGCGAAGGCCGCGAAGCCGCGTGCGCCGTGTGGTGTGGCCTGGTGTGGCCCCATTCGCGGCGCTGCGACGCGCGACAGCACGCGCGCGCTGACTCACGCTGACACGGGCACGCGACGCTGACGCGGAGATCCACGCGTCCAGATCGGGATCGGCATGCGCGGCGCTGCGTGGCGGCGCGTGCGCGCCGGCGGCCAGTGGAATGCCAGGCGCCGTCGCGAGCCGCGCGAAGGCGTTCGTGGACACATCGGAGGCCGTCGGGGGTCGCTGCGGGGGCGGGGCTCGTCCGGGCGAGGAGGGGGGCGGACGGACCAACGGGGAAGCCGTGAGACCGGGTGACGCGACCTGGTCTGACGCGACGCGACGCGATGCGCTTCGCTGGCCGTCGCTTGGAGGCAGGCAGGAGTCGCCACTCCGGCGTCCCTGGACTCGGCCGAGCGAGGAGCGCAGAATTTGAATGTAGTTCTGATTTTTTTTAATTTTTTTTTGATAAGTGTCGCAGAAGAGCGCAGACGTGTCGGACGGACGCTGCGCGGGCCTTCTGTGAAAGGTCAGCCGGCGCGGCGGGGCAAATCTATAGAGGTGCTACTTCTGCTGCGGGACGCGGATCGCGCGACGAGCGAGGGGCAGGGGAGGAGACAGGGACGCAGACAGCGCGCTCGATTTGGTCGGGTTGCGCCATCCGAGATATCCGAGATGGGTCGCTTGAGGGGGAAGAAAAGCTAGTTTGAGAGGAGAGGGCGCAAGTGGCGCCTCGAGGGCTCAGCGCTCAACGGCTCAACGCCATGGCTTAAACGGTCACTGACAAACTGGCTTCCGTCAGAGGTGCATTGTCCTCGGATCTGCAGAGCGTGTGTGCGCAATTGAGAAGCGGGATCAGGCATGGGTGCAGACGCAGCGTGCTCAATTACGATAATTTCCGGCGGGCGCGCGGAGGCGCCTGACCCGCAGACCAGAAGCGGCGGTGCCGTAGGGGGGTGCGTGATGGGCCAGTGATGGGCTGCAGGGCAGGGGACTGCATGGGAGCCTCGTTGCACGGGAGTATGGTAGCACGAGGCGGGGGGCGCCGGCTGCTGACGGTATCTGGTGCGTGCGACGGTGCAGCGCACCAAGGGTGAATCGAGGCTTGGGGAGGGTGCGCAAAGCGAGCGGTAACACGCCGGAGTCTGCCAGGGCTGGGCCGGCGGGGCGCGGGGGTTGAGGCGGACGTGGGTGGGCTGCGGGGTTGCAGAGGGACTTGGAGACGGAGACGGGGAGGGCACGGAGGTCCAGGGGGGGATGGGTTGCGGATGGGTTGCGGGCGGTGCGTGGACACGGGTTGTGAGGGGGATGAGGCGGGTGGGATGGCGATGGCGATGGGAGGACGGGTGTGGGCTGCGCAGTGTGGTGGCAGGATGTATGTGTGTGTGTGTGTGTGCGTGCTGTATGGGGGAATGCGATAAGGTGCGAGGAGGAAGGGGACGATGACGATAAGTCGGACGGGCGGACAGCTCAGCTCAGAGCGGGCCCAGATCCCAGCGTTTCGCGTCCGTTCGCTCTTTTCCTCCGTCCATCTCCCCTCCCGCCTGATCCTGCCCTCCTCTCACATGCGATCGCCCTCCTGACCTCTCCACCCACCCACCCCCTCACCCCCTCCCTCCCTCGCTTCCTTCCACTCCCTCCACCACTGCCCCTCCCTCCCGCCACCGTGCCCAGATGGACATCCACCCACCCCCTCCCTACGCAATGGCCTCCGCCGAGCTGCACTACTCCCACCACCAGCAGCAGCAGCAGCAGCAACACCAGCAGCAGCACCATCACCAGCAGCAGCAGCAGCAACAACACCAGCAGCAGCAGTCCTGGCCAACCCATCTGCTCCAGCCCGGCACATCTCAGCCTTTCCCTCCCACCTCCCCCGTATCCGCGCCCCTCGCCGAGCACCACTATCCCAACTACTACCAGCATCCCCCGCCTCAGCAGCCCATGAACGACCCCATGATGGACCGCACCTCCACCTCCCTTTCTCTCAACCTCTCCTCCCTCTCCGTCGCCTCTCCCACCAACCTCTCCCCCATCAACCCGTCCCCCCACACCTCCACCGCCACCAGCGGTGTCTCCCCCATCACCCCCATCAGCCCCTCCTCCAACCAAGCCCTCAACCACAACCCCTTTCCCGGCCACGCGGCCCACTACCACATGCACAACGCCCAGCCCCAGTTCTCCTTCGCTCCCCCAGACCAGGGCATCCGCTACGACGAACAGCACTACGACCTCACCGCCCGCAGGGTGGCCCTCAGCAGCCGCTCCTCCTCCTCGTCCGACAAGTCCGTCCCGCGCAAGCGCAGCTTCACCGCAGGCACCTCCCTCGCGACCAACGTCGAGGAAGGCATGTACGACGCGTCCAACGGCGGCATGGACCTCAGCACCCCCGCCTCGTACGACGAGGTCGAGATGGGCTACGCCGGCCTCGACCAGGGCGGCAGCCCCATCGACGGCGGCTCGAGCAGCGGCGAGCAGGAGGACCAGCTCAAGCCGCTCGACGGCCAGCGCCCGTCCTCGGCCGCGCTCCAGGCAGGCGGCATGGGCATCATCGGCAAGCCGCTCGGGACGAACAATTTTGTCACCAAGCTGTATCAGTGAGTGGTCCTCCGTCCCCCCCGCGCGTCTCGCTTCGGACACCCAACGACGAACCGGTGACTCACGCCCTGCAGAATGATCAATGATCCCAAATCCGCGCACTTCATAGCCTGGAACGATCACGGAACAAGGTCAGCGCAGTTCCCTTCCCTCGCACCCCGTTCTCCTTTCCCTGCCCCCCACCCCCCCACCCCCTTCCTCGTGCGCGGCACGCCCCCACCGGCTCATTCGCCCGCTCACGTCCCCCGTTTCTTTTTTTTTTCCCCGCCCTTCTTTTGCCTGGCGCTTTCTCTAGCTTTGTGGTCTCGAACGTCGGCGAGTTCAGCCGGAGCATCTTGGGCTCGCACTTCAAACACAACAACGTACGTCCGCTCCCTTCTGTCCGAGTGCCGTAGCGCCCACGTCCGCACGAATGATGAAACACTGATCCTCCCGCGCATCACCGTCAGTTCTCGAGCTTTGTGCGGCAGCTCAACATGTACGGATTCCATAAGATCAACCGGGTGAGCATCGCCCCCCCTCCACTCCCTGCCTCCTCCACACCACCCCCGTTTCATCATAATACATACACGCGCACCCTCATATCACTCGGATCCGTTCCGCGTGGCACCCTTGACTGACTGACGGTCCACCTGATCCCGTGGCTGACTGCGTTTCGCTTCCGGATCTCGTTCGGCATCATGCAGACGCCGCGGGCGCAGCGGACGTCGACGGACGCGCAGACGTGGGAGTTCTCGCACCACAAGTTCCTGCGGGGGCGTCCGGACCTGCTGGAGGAGATCAAGCGCAAGGCGCTGGAACCGGACCCGTCGATCAAGCACCGCGTCGAGCTGCCGGGCGAGGTGGCGGCGCAGCTGTCGCAGATGCGGGAGGAGAACCGGCGCGTGGTGAACACGCTCACGGCCGAGAAGGCCAAGTTTGAGCGGCTCGCGCTCCTGACGAAGACGCTGTACGACGTGGTGCAGAAGAGCGTCCCGGGCGGGAGTGAGTGTTGTTTTTTTTATTCTTTTTCTATTTGTTTTGTATTTCGTGTGGCCGCGGCTGGGCGGCATCGCGTCCGTCGAAGCTGCCGCAGACTTCTGTTCCTCCGATGACGTCACGTATGCTGACAGGCTGGATCTACCCTGCAGTGCCTGTGCCGTTCCCCGCCGACCTTATCGAGCCGAGCGACAGCCCGAACATCTACATTACGTCCCCAACGATGACCGTCCCCTCCCACGCCTATCCCCCGCCCTCCGGCCCGCCCTCTCACTCCATGCAGTCCCTCTCCACCGCCTCCCTCCACTCCCTCAGCCCCGGCTCTAGTCCCACTGCCCCCGACTTTCCCGCCCACATACACACCCACCCGCTGCCCCACCAACATACCCATCAGCAGCACCAGCACCCGCACCAGCACCCGCATCATCACCACCACCACTCCCACCACCACAGCCCGCACACCCTCTCGCGGCAGCACTCGTTCCAGCACCCGTACGCCGACCCCCATATGCGCTACGACGCCCCGCTCGCCACCCCGCTCCCGCCCTCGCCGGGCCCGAGCGGCGCGACGGACTTTGACGACCCCCAGGGGCGCAAGCGGCAGCGCACGGGGCCCGCAGGCTCGCTCAACATGAGCATCAGCATACCCGGGGGCATGAACGCCGGCATGCCTGGCAGCGTGGGCGTGGGCGTGGGCGTGGGCGTGGGTGTGGGCGTGGGCGTGGGCGGCGTGAACAGCGCGAATCAGGGCGAGGCGAAGCGCCTCTCGCGCGCGCGGAGCGACTCGGCCCCGCTCGGGTACGGGATCGGCTCCAACTGGGGCACGACGCGGCCGAGGAGCGGGAGCGGGCTCGCGCCAAGGCGGGAGGAGGGCGGCGGCGGGGTGCCGAGTATGGGCGGCGTCGCGAGGCTGGTGGGCGCGCCCGTCAAAGGCGAGCAGCAGCAGATGGTGCCGCTCACGCCTGGGACCAAGCCGTCGCCGGGGCCGTGAGCGGCGCGCGCTGGGGAGGGGGTGCGGGGGAGGGTGGAGGGTGGAGGAGTACGACGACGAGAAAAAAAATGTTTGGTTGTGTGGCGGTCGGGGTCGTGCTTGCTGCGTTTTTCAGGGACTGTTGCTGGTCTTGACTCGCTCGACGTTGGGTTGCTTCGATGGACGCTCTTTGCTCCTTTTTTTTTTTCTTTTCGTTTTTCGCGGGTCGCCCTGTCGCATCTCCCTCGGCGGCGTCCTCCAAAATGGTTCGAAACGGTCTACATGTCGCTTCTTGTCCGTGTCACGGCCCTGAGCCCGTCGCTGGGTCAGTGCGCACATCCTTCCTCCCCTCACCCTCACCCTCCCATGTATACGAATCGAATAGCCTTCATCTGTCCGCATCTCGCTCCTTCCATTCTTGTTCTCCCTCTGTTCCGCTTCGTCGCGTCGGTTGCCCCTTTCCCGCTTCTTTCGGTCGTTTGCTCCGTGTGCGTCCACGATTGCAAGAGGCGACACGCTCCGCGCCGTCGATCCAGGTCTCGGGCACCCAACTTTTGTCGCTCGTTTATACTCTCGGCTCGTTCGCTCGTTCGCTCGTTCGTTCGTTCTTTTTTGCGGGTTTGCTACGCTCACTGTCCTTTTCGAATTTACGTCTCTACGTACTGTCCCACCGTCCGTCTCTCTCTCTGTGCCCGGCCTGTTGTTTATCACCGATATCCCCGTGGACTATTCGATCTTTGTGCCTCTCCCCCCCCACCCTCTCCCCTCCGTTTCTTCAGGCTTTACCACCCCCCTTCACAGCTGAATCGCGACCAGGCTGTTCTCTGGCCGCTGCTCCCGCTCGTGCACGATCGCAACGACCTCCTCGGGCATCGCGTCCGGCATTCATCTCTGATCCTCCACGGACTCTGATTCCGTCCCTGGCCTGATATTGAAAGGAGAGACCGCAACCGTGAGCATGCCCAGGTCTGGCAGGGCGGCGACACATCTTTTTGGGTCCCCTTCGCTTTGCCTTCTGTATCTGCACATGGCTGCACATCCGCTACTTGTATGCACCCTTCCATGAGGACGACATTCCGCCCTTTTCGCTTCCAACAATGCGTCCTCGTGCCTCTGCGCGGCGCTCGCGATGTCGGCTCCGGCTTGGACTCGGTTCGCCTCGCGTCTGCGCCCGGGTCCCGCGCTTCGTTGCCCCCGTGTCCGAACGTCGTTTTTTTGCCGCAGTGTTTTTAGTCGCTGTTTGATTTCGCAGTTGTTGCGCCGCAGTCTGCATGTACATGTGTTGCCCACGTCCATCCCGTCCGCTTCTCGCTTGTTCGGTTTGAGGCCCCTTTTTCTTTTCTTTTCTTTTCTGTCTTCATTTTTTTTTTCATCTTCATCTTCATCGAGCTCTCGTTTCGCCACTTGTTGCAGTTGCTCTTCATACCCCTCTCACGTACGGCCGTTTTGTTCGTTCGTTCGTTCGTCGTTACCGATTCAATTCAATCCAACTCTCGACATTGACGCCCCGAACTTCGCTGTTCTTGTTCTTTTCTTCTTCGTCTCTCACTCCTCTTCAAGCTCCAAGCCCATCCAGTCCGGTTCACTTCGTCTCTCCTGCTTTTTTCACTTTGTTTGTTCGCACTTTCACACTGCTCTTTCTAGTCTCGTCTCGGTCCCGTCCACCTATTGCTTCAGTTCTTCCGTTCCGTCCTCCGTCACCTTCGTTGCTTCGCTTCGTCTCATCCTTGCCTGTTTCTTCGTCTTTCTATGTTCACGTCCATTTCCATTTCCATTTCCATTCTAGTTGTTTCATACCTTTTCTCTCTCACTTTTCTCTCACTCTCACTCTTCCTCTCACTCTCACTCTCTCACCTTTGTGCGTCATCGTGTCTCATACCGTCGCGCCGGCCCCCCGGCCCTCCCCGAGCCCCGCCGGCCCCGCCCCCACTATTAGTCCCCCTGACATACATACCTACTAGACTTGTACGATCACCCACGACCGCGACCGCGACTCGGCGTCCGCGCGGGACACCCCCGGCTTTGCCGCTCGAGGCGCGGGCGGGCGGGGCGGGGCTGCCCCGCTGAAAATTCCAGTTCTTCGCGATCGTTCGCGTTTTTTGTGCTCTCTGAGAGATGCTCGGTGCTCGGTGAGATCGTGTGTGCGCGTGCTGTCACGCAGTGAGTCATAGTACGCAAGTGCCGTGCCGCGCCGTAATCAGGCGCTGCTCTTCGAAGGAGTGTGGGAGAGAAGGGGGGGGGGTATATCTCCCGGAACTTCGCGCCTTCGTGAGTGCCATCAGAACGGCGGTTTTGTTTGGGAAACGGGGCACATGCTTCGGGCTGGCGCGCGGACGTTGGACAGCATTGGACGGACTTGGGCGCGCCGCCGGGGGATCGATCGATAAGTACTGTATGGACATATCGGTGCATCGTCGTGGCGCTTGAGCGGCGTCTGCGATCTCGGTATCCAATCTCGCGACGAGACGCTGGTCGTGTACATGTGCGGTAAATACGGTACAGGCTGTAGGGACAAGCGTGCGGGCGCGCGTTTCGGAGTCCGCGCGTTCCTGGGCGGCGGAGAGGTCGTTCGCTGGCGTCCATCGATGGTTCTTAGCTATGATGATAGACGATACTGTACGTCGTGACTCTGACTCAGGAGGGCTTCTTCGGTGCGAGTTCGTGATATGCGTCTATGTGTGTCGATGTCGATGTCGATGTGTGTATGTGTGCGCGCGCGGTGTTCGGCTGGCGGCATGATCATGTCGTGTACGCGGGTTCTCGTTGGAGGATAGTGCGACGATAGTGCTCGTGCGCCGGCATCGGTCGTTTCGCCGGCGAGCGCTGGGGGCGAGGCGCGTAGCGGTTCGGGACGCTGCTTGTGAACGCGCGGTACAGTGCCGGCACAGCGTTCAAGGGTGCGTTGATGCGGATGTGTGCACATGTGGACGCGCACGGTGTCCGTCGTCCGATGCTCAGTGGGCATTGGCGCAGTTCCGCGTAGCATCGGGATGCTGTGTGTGGCAGGATCGGACGAAGCTTAGAAGTGTGTTTGGGGTGAGGCTGTTACTGTATGAACGTATGGGTGCATGTGGCGTCGGAATCGGTACAGTAATGCGATCAAGAGGGGTTGTAAGTAGGGCGCCGATCGGCTCATCGGGTCACAGGGGCGGGACAACAGAACAGAACGAGTGTACAGAACGGGGGTGGACAGGACAGAACAGGACAGGACAGGACAGGATAGGACAGGATAGGATAGATGGGCGTTTATAGCGCGGGATGGATGGAAGGTATGAACACGGATGGGGCGCAGGTTGAGGCTGGAGAGTCGAGACTTGAGACTATGCCGCTCGATCGTTCGGCTCCGCAGGTGGGTACGACACGGCGTGCTATTACAATCAAGTGAGATCAATGATCTGTGCGTCTCGGCCGGATGCGACGCGAGATAGTGGGAGTGTAAGCGACTCAACACGTCACGATCCGTGCAAAAATGGAGGGAGCGGAATGACAACGGGAAGAGAGGAGGAGGAGTGCTGAAGTGCGAAAAATGGATGTGTGCTAAACATACCTCCGGCGCCCCACGCCAAACGGGTCCTGCCTGTCCGTGGCTCACCCCGTTTCCGTTCGTGTACCGAGGATTGGCATATGCGGACGGATGCGGGTGAGGGTGCGCCTGTGGTTGCGCCTGGTGCACGTGCGATGGCTGGTGATGGTGCTGAGGGGGGCGTGGACGGGAGAGCGGGTGCGCGTGAGGTTGGGCGTTGGGGTGATAGTGCGCGTGCTCGGCTGGTGGCGCGTGCTCGGCATAGTATGCTGGCTGGGGCTGAGGCCGCGGATACTGTGGGTCGTAGGGCGAGTAGTCGACGGGCATGTTGCCGTTCACGACCCAGACATCGAGCAGTGAGCTACGCGCGTGCGCCGATGGTCAAAGTTTCGAAACGTCTGTAGTTGGTGAGAGGAAGGGAACAGCAGTGCGAGACGGTACAAACTCGATCTCAAATTGAAGCTTTCGCTCCTTTTCAAAAGCGGCGTTGAGGGCTCTTTCGTAGTCCTCGTGCATCTGTTGAGCGCGAGCCAGGGTGAAAGCGTGAACACTGAACAAGACTCGGGAGAGCGCGTACGGCTGTTACTTGATCATAGCGTTCTCTGAGAGATTGGAACCTAGAGCGGACGGTTGACGTCAACAACCATCCGTTCGAACGAGAGCTTGGGAGCGCGCACCTGTCCTTGTAGCGGACTTGGCGGTGGACAGACTGTTGCCCGTGGGGTGTTTGCTGGGGAGGCGTTCGGTCGCGACTCTCGAGAACACGTACAGAGGCGTTGACTGTGCTCACCCTTGGGCGATCTTCATGATTGACTGCCATGAGAGGGACATCGTTTCTTGCGACGGGGGCAGGGGCTATGGGAGGATCCATGGAGAGCAGGATATGTGTAAACACGTGTAAACTCAGGACGCGGGGAATTTGTGTTCTTCGCGGTCAACCCAACTGCACTCTTGACCATCTCAGCTCCCTCGTCAAGTCGCCACGCGTCATCGGTCAATTATTATCAAGGTTTTCCCCTCTCGAGATCCCAGATCGATGAAGCTTTTTGAAGGGACAGGTGAGGGTGTCGTTCAAACGTCTCAACCTGCGCTCAGCCAGTTGTGCAGCATGCTTCAGCCCGTCGGTCACAGAAAATCTCGTTCGTTCATGGGGTAAGCAAACGCGCCCCACTGGCGAAACACCTTGGGAAGCTGATCAGAGAATGTATGCGGATGAAATCAGCTTCGCGAGGCGGGACCATCGCTCGCTCGGAACAAGAGCGAAGGACGGCAGATCTCTATTTCTGCAGCGGGCCTGACGATCCTTGGGCGGCGAAGTGAGTTCAACGAATTTTCTCCATAATCACTCTGACAGGCCAGAATAGATTGTCATCGAAAGGCTTGGTCGTCAGTCCGCCTGTCAGTGTGGAATGCTGGGGAGTGCTGATCAGGACGATGCTGTATAGGTCTTCGACGCCGAATGGATCGCAAGGAGTCTCAAACATGGGTCCGCTGGCTTTCCCAAGGCCAGCTTTGTCTTGGATGGTCCGTCCTCGTATCCCACTCTCTCTACAAATTCGGAGGCTGAGGGAGAGTGCTCCAGGGTATGCACAAGCACCGTACCCCCACGATTCATCATCACTGCTTTCACCCAATTTTGGTAACGTTCAGATTTATCCAAGTAACGATAAGTGTTCCGGTAAGGCTCTCCGGGCTGGCGACCGGAGCCCGGCGCAGGCCATAAAAAAAAGACGCGGACAAGATATAGAATTTCCTCAGGATTCTCATCGGCCGTTTAAAAAAGTCTGCTTACCTGAAGACCCACTGAATGCCCTCGACCCCTGGACTGAGACTGGGCACCGTTATAACACTCGCCGGACTGAGGAAGACTCTCGTAGATTATCAGGAGACACCACACTCGTGTCAATTGATCCTCCTGTGATTGAAGGCTCTGGTCACTTTCCCACCAAGCCGGCAACGTTCAAACCTCTTGTCAAGCATATCTCGGCGGAACCCTTGAGGCGACATGTTAGACATCTAGACCTGCGCAAGGAGCTTGCTAGGTTGCTACTCAAGAATACAAAGTGTTCTCGCTCTCGCTCACTGTTGTCTTATACGTTGCTTCGGAAAAGTATCCTGCATCCAGGCGACGAACAATCACGGGCTCTTCCATCACCCGCAAGCAACTCAATGCCGTCAAGGTCCGTAGTGTAGCATTGCAATTCTAGAGATTCTCTGTTGAGTTTGACGATGCGCTAGCTCGAAGATGGGTTTTCTAGAAATGCTCTATCACCCAACGGACGCTCCAACAATTCGCCGCTCTCGATTCGCCTCCGCTGACGTCCTGGGTGCATTGCGGGATGTTCCGGCGTTTGGGACGTCTGTATTTGAGCCAGGCTCGAGACATCTCGGGAAGAACTTCAGAGTACTGTATATCGGTGAATCAGAATAAGTTTTATGCCTGCGGTCAGCTTTTTTGAGATGAAATTGACTGAATTGCTATGGGATCGAGTAAGCATCTCGCACTGAATTAAGAAGTCTAGGAGCGCATCAATGATATATGTCGATGGAGAGTCCTGTCACTCCGAGCTCGAGGTGACAAGTCGCCGTTGCGACTTAATAGCTGACCGAACGACCCTTTTCAATTCTATCAAGCATCCTTCCAGTCGCGGGTAAGTTTGCTCCTGCCCCATACTCCTTCGCTCATGGATCATCCTACAGGTCAGACCCGCATTGTCAAGGCTCTTGTCGCATTGCAAGACACGGTGCGCGCAAAGGACCAACTTGTACACATATTCGAGAGGCAGATTGTCCAGCTCACTGCTGACTCCTCATCCTGGCGGAATCGCTATGCTGCACTGAAGCACGCCTACGTGATAACGAAGCAACGTTACGATGCGCTACTGAAAACTGCGGAGGTATCGGAACGGGACAACACGGCGTTGAGACAGGACGCGGCCACACAACAAGACCACTGTGTCGCCACATTGCAGAAGGAGGATGCGTTGGAGATACTGCGAAAATCTCACACCCGATTGCAGGCGGAGAGGGCAGCTTTGCAACAGCGGCTCGCACAAAAAGAGCGGGACTTGGGTTCTGCAAACGCATCTCTGCAAAAGGAGTACGACGCCGTAAAGCAGACTTTGGAGTCCCGGGACCGCGAGCTTCAGAGATTGTATTCGGCGCTCGCTGAGAGAAACCGGGAGAGGACTCTGGAGAGAGAACCAATTCAGGTGCCGACATTATTCTACGCGCACTGCGATATCTCCCAGCGAGGCCCTCAATGGGAGAAACATGCGAGCAGGCGTCTCGAAGGTGAGAGCGCGCGGATGAATGAAGGTATGCAAGAAAGTCGGCCAGGATCGAATGACTGGCAGCCGAACTCGTTCCTCGAGACGATCTTGAACACAGGTATGTCTGCTGTCTTTTTGGCCTTCCCTCAGTCATTCGTCTCACTGAGATGCTAGTCGCCCAGCAAGAGTATGATGAACCGATGCAGGGCATCGAGACTATCGTAGAACCTACACACCCTGAAGAGCAGGAGCCCATCGTAGAGTCAACGGTGTTGGATATCTCCGAATACAATCCTGTGGCTAGGGAGGCGACTCCTGCAGTCTCTGCGTGTGGGTAGATTCTAAATCCAAACTTGCGAGTGCTAGACTCTTGACTTCGATACAACGTATTAGATGGTGAAACATCTTCTTATGGTGTCATATTCGACATCGGTGAACCGCCTCTCATTCAAAATGACGGCCATTCTCTTCTTTTCCACGATGAAGATGCAAACGGCTCTTCAGAGCGTGACGAGCCGACATTGTTGATTCCTCCATCCATTGAGCCAAGTCTCACGTCGACCCAGACCGTCGACATCCCAACACCTTCGCCGTCACTATCACACAATGATACCGATTCGGAAGAGGAGTCAGATCTAGACGGCGACGAACTCGTCAGCCAGTCAGATGGGTCTTATTCAGGTGTGTGGCCACCTCCTTTATTTCACCTTCTCGAAAGAATGACGAAAAAACGTCGGCATGCTTCTGCAGATGGAGAGGGATTGTATGTTCGTCAGCATATCGACCGCCAGTTTGAACATAGAGACTTTAGCATGTCGCAGAGTCCTACCATCAGCTCGGCGTCTCTCGCGAGCACGCTAGTTCCCCTACGAAAATTGGAACAATTTCCTAGGCCTGGTAAGTGTTACGTGCTTTGATGCCGCTTGAAGCTAATTGTGTGCCAGGCTTGGGAAAAGCGCATGGAGAGAGTCATTCATCAGGTTCGTCCAGACATTCTGCTAGTTCGCCAGGCAGGGGAAAGCGTGGCGAAAAGAGCAATTGGCCAGCTTCATCTACATCCTTTGTCAGTGTCCCTGCACCGAGGAATGGTTTGTCCGGGATCAAGATCAAACTTCCTGTACAACACCTATCTTGAGACTTACTACGCAGAGACCATGTTGAGCTGCATGAAATATACATGTTGACCGTTGGTGTTTGATATGTATTGCTTTACCTGACCGTGTTGATACATGAGTTGATTCCACTTGGAGAAGAAATGTTTTTTTGTTCTCGAGTGCCGGAGGTTGTCGTGGGAAACCGGGACTGACGCCCCATTGTTTGCGCTCGCCAAACGAAGAGGAGCATCATCACCAGCGGGTCTGCTTGTCACTCTATCTTTTCTCATCATAAATGGCCTCTAGAGTTGCTCTCAATACCCTTAGGGCTTCCGGTAAGCTTTATTTTCTCTTTGTTCGAATCATTTTTGTGGAGGTCTTATCAAAAATGGCAACCTGCAGCCTCGCGCGTTCGTCCCCAAACGGTCGTAGCCTCCCAGCTCATGCATGCGTACGTCCTCCCTGCTGCGCAGAGATTTCGACAGTGATTGAACAGATGCTGGCATCTGGTGATGATTTAGTCGGGCTATGTCGAGCCAGCAGCCACCCGCCGAGCGCGCGTCGGAGGTCATCAACAAACTCCCTTCATCCCCCAACCTCATCACCAAGACTGGCACCGCAATCCTCGGTAGCGGTCTCATTGCCGCCGCCATCTCCCAGGAGCTGTATGTCATGAACGAGGAGACCGTCATCGCCGTCGGGTATCTCATCCTCTTCACTTACATTGCGAAGGTATGTGCTCCGTGTCATCGTATCCCCAATGTCTTCGCTGCGAGCAAATTGCGAAATTGCTGCTAGACGTCACGGTGAAACGCACAGGTGCTCACACGTACTATTGCATAGATCATCCGGACGCCGTACAAGGAATGGGCAGAGGGGCACATCAACCGCATCAAGGGCGTCCTCGACAGCTCGCGTGCTGAGCACACCCAGGCCGTCAAGGACCGCATCGAGTCCGTCAATCAGATGAAGGACGTTGTATCCCTGACTGAGGGCCTTTTCGCTGTATCCAAGGTGTGTCTTTCCCTGGGTGGCAAATACACGTGCCAGCATCTACATGACGCCTTAGGAGACGGCCAAGCTCGAGTCCGAGATCTTTGTCCAACGTCAACGCGTTGCCCTCGCGTCAGAGATCAAGACCGTTCTCGACAGCTGGGTGCGATACGAGCAGCAGGAGAAGGAGCAGGAGCAGGCCCAACTTGTCAAGTCGGTTGTGGATAATGTGCTCAAGAATCTCAGCGACGAGAAGACGCAGAAGGACATGCTCATCTGGGCCGTTTCTGAGGTAGAGCGTAAGTGTTCATGCTCTCCCCAACCTTGATTGCAAAAGTTCTAATATTCCCTGATTTGACAGAGCTTGTCAAGAACAAGGCCATCTAAGTTGCTTCAACCTGGGGTTAAAACGTAGAATAGACTGAGCTGAGGCCACTTTATCGAAGTCGAAAGACATCTGTCAGGGCTGGAAGTCAACTTGTCAACCTTTAGCCTACAAATCCCCCCTACTATTCTCCGGAGTAGTTTTTCACGCACCGAGGTCGTGTAAGTTTGTAAGGCCTGTGGCAGTGAGAGTGTCTTCAAATCCAACTTTGTTGAGAATGTCATGGACCTACATCGGTGAACAGTGTCAACACGAAGATCACCTCGGAAGTGATTAGCCGAGCCGTGACGACGCGTGCAAGACGTGAACGCGCCGCGCGCCGAACTCTTCCACAGACCTCCGTCTTCACCCTCTGCGCCAACAGTCAATCCGCCAACGACAACTTCCAGGAAACTGTTATATTTACATCTCATTCACTGGACACAATAGTGGCTCAACATGGACGGGGATCTCATCAAGCTTGTTAACAAGCTTCAGGACACCTTCTCTAACCTCGGTGAGTGAAATAGGCTGCCACGGCTTTACCTTCGTTGCCTTGATGCTCAAACGGAAGTGTAGGTGGCGAGTTAGATATGCCGCAGCTGGCGGTTGTGCGTATAATTCATCCCCTCAGACGTATGGCGTCGTGTAACAGTTATGTGCGTCGGCATGCAGGTTGGTAGCCAGTCTGCAGGAAAGTCCAGTGTGCTCGAGAAGTGCGTGAGGAAATTCTTTGAGATTGACCCTCAATTCATAAAGCCCTGGACAGTATCGTGGGCAGGGACTTCCTCCCTCGTGGTCAAGGCATTGTCACTCGTCGGCCGCTTGTCCTCCAGCTCATCCATACGCCCGTGCCCGAGACAGCCCCAGGGGCGCCAGAGCCGACATACACTGAATGGGGCCAGTTTCTACACCTTGATAAACGTTTCACCGACTTCAATGAGATACGGAAGGAGATCGAGCAGGAGACGTTTCGCGTTGCAGGGCAGAACAAGGGAATCAGTAAACTTCCCATCAACCTCCGGATATACAGCCCGAACGTGCTGGACTTGACGCTCGTAGACTTACCGGGATTGACAAAGGTGCGTAGCTTGGTCTAGGTTCAAGGGAAGCTGTATGTATAAATGGTGCCTGGCAGATACCGGTGGGCGATCAACCTTCAGACATCGAGCGTCAGATTCGCGGCCTCGTCTTGGATTATATCTCGAAACCCAATTGGTGCTCAGGTCTGCTCTGTTCATCCGGCTATTTCTTACTGACGCCCCCGCAGTGTGATCCTTGCGGTATCCGCAGCCAACGTCGATCTTGCTAACTCGGAATCTCTCAAACTGGCGCGCTCGGTAGACCCACAATGCCGTAGGACGATCGGAATTCTCACGAAACTCGACCTCATGGATGCAGGGACGAACGCGCTTGATATTCTCACAGGCCGCGTCTATCCGTTGAAATTAGGCTTCATTGGCGTTGTGAATCGTAGTCAGCAGGACATCAACGTGGAGAAGAGTATGAAGGATGCCATCGACAGCGAGTCGGAGTTCTTCCAGAATCATTCCGCATACAGGAACATCGCACACAAGAATGGAACCAGATATCTAGCAAAGACGCTGAATCAGGTATGGATATCCGGAAGCTATCCGTGCTGCGAGTTGTATTTGGGGTGCTAAAAACCGGTCTGAACAAGGTTCTTTTGACCCATATTCGGGACAAGCTCCCAGATATGAAAGCCCGGCTGAACACTTTGATGGGTCAAGCACAGCAAGAGCTCAATTCGTTTGGTGATGCTGCTATCTACGGTGATAGAAATCAAGTTAGATGCTCTATTTTTATAGCTGGAACAAATTGCTGATCGGGCTCACTTTCTTAGCAAGGCGCACTGATCCTCCGCCTCATGACACAGTTCGCGCGGGATTTCGTGTCTTCTATTGAAGGAACCAATGTTGATATTTCAACCAAGGAGCTCTCTGGTGGCGCTCGGATCTACTATATTTTCAACGACATCTTTGGCAGTGCCTTAGCATCCATCGATGCCACTCAAAACCTAGAGAATCAGGATATCCGGACAGCTATCCGAAATTCGACAGGACCACGACCCAGCCTGTTCGTTCCTGAACTCGCCTTCGATTTGCTAGTAAAGCCCCAGATAAAGCTGCTCGAGGCACCATGCCTCCGGTGTGTGGAACTGGTTTACGAGGAGCTCGTCAAGATCTGTCATAATTGCACAAGCCTTGTGAGCGGTTTCCTATCCCATCCACATTGAGCATGTGATCCAATATAGCATTTCAGGAATTACAACGTTTCCCTCGTTTGCATGCCCAGCTGATTGAGGTTGTGTCCGAGCTTTTGCGGGAACGCCTCGGGCCTACGTCGGAGTATGCTCAGAGTCTGATTGAAATTCAACAAGCATACATCAACGTCAACCACCCTGCGTTCATATCTGGAAGCGCAAGCGCTGCTCAGACGTCTCTTACTCCGCCTCAAAAACAAATCCTCCCGCCAAGGGTGCGTTCCAACAAGCGCTAGCTATCTTCGTTTTGTTGCTCATGTTCTTGTTCGCTATCAGCCGACCTCTGCGGAGCCTGCTATCAATGGCACATCCACAATAGACGATGAGCAGGACGAGTCTACCGAGGATGCATCCAGTGTCAATGGGAACTCCCGAGATGGTCGCTCTGTCTCATCCTCCTTGCACGATCGTTCACGCACAACCGCAACGTCTTCTGCATCGACCCTTGGAAAGTCGTCAAAGTCACATCACCGCCATTCAGACGTGCATTCTCACCGACCATCAAGCGCAAACACGCAGCCGGGAACGTCCCCGGCATCTGCCAAGGAAACCTTCCTCAATTACTTTTTTGGCCAGAACGGACCCGGACCCATGTCTGAGGCCACTTTTGACAGGCCGTCAATGGGGCAGGTGGTCTCGTCAGGACGAGATGTTTCAGGATCCGACGCCTCGTTACAGTCAGGCCTCCTGGCTGGAAAGCGGGACGGGAATACTGCGGCATTTGATATGAAGAGCCTTGGGAAACACATTGAGGCTGTGGGTTACTCTTCTTCATCCTCCCATAAATGTTTTCTGACCTCGAGCGCCGAGCAGGTTTCATCTGACGGCGGCACGCACCTGACGATGCGCGAAGAGATGGAGACCAACCTCATTCGATCACTGATCGCCTCGTATTTCTCCATCGTGCGGCAAAGCATCCAGGACCTCATACCCAAGGCTGTCATGCACTTCCTCGTGAACCATACGTCACAACACGTGCAGAATCGTCTTGTCTCGGCCTTGTACCGGCCGGACCTTTTTTCAGACCTGTTGAACGAGGACGAGACCTTGGTAGCGGAACGAGCACGGGTCAAGGCACTGCTAGACGCATACAAGGACGCGTTCAAGATCCTTTCAGAGGTCGGGTTGAAATCCACATAGAGAACAGACGTAGTGCTGGCCCGCTTTACGTGCTGTGACTGTGATCTTTGTTCAAACACGATGTGCACAGCTTTTGCGTCCCTTATGATTTGACTACAAATTGCCCGATGCTGCTAGAGGTGAACGTTAAATGTTAAGCTTACGGCCGAGGACAGACCAGATACAACAAACGAAGTCTATGCGAATACAAATACCGTAACAAACCATGAAGTAATGTACTGCAGCCAATGACAGAAAATCCCATTATTATATCGTGCTCGTGCAAGCCAGTGCTCACTAAGCTCATGTAGTCATTCAGGTGTCCAAAATTGTATGTTCGTCCTACGGCTCAGGTGATGTTGGTTGCCCCTTGACTGCAATCCATTTCTCAGCAGCCATGGTTTGCCCTTCAGGGGTGGCGCTTTCGTTACCCGGGCGCTCAGACTCTCCTTCCGAAGTCACGCTGTCCTCGGCGTCCGCCTCGTTCGCGGCGGCCTCTGAGTCTTCCTCCTCGGAAGAGCTATCATCATCGTCAGGACTGCTTGTCTCAATCGAGTACGTGGTACTTGGAGCATCGGTGGTCGCAACAGGCGGTGGCGGCATTATTACGTCAGTGCTGACGGGAGGAGGTGCGTCAGGACGCCCGGCGTTTCTCGCCTTCTTTCGTGCTTCTTTTTTATCAAGTCTCTATGTTTTGGGGCGTGGTCAGTGCGGGACTTGTTGAGACATCATACGTGCACTTACTTCTTTAGCAAGGGCTTCTTCTTTCTGGAGACAACAACGATACGTCAGGCTACATCGATCTCTAAACAGCACTGATGATCCTTACTTCTTTGGCTTCGCGTTCCTCCTTCTGTAATAGGGAAAGACATCATAAAAATACTCATAAGAGACTTGCTATGCACACGAACCTCCTTGCGAGCCTGCTCTTCGGCCTTGACGTAGTGTGCGATTAGGGGGTCAATTATCCGGAGGTAAGAAATGATGTCGTACCTCCTTCTTTTCTTTGGCCTCACGCTGGAGTCATGGATCAGGATACGGCGTTAGGGAGCACAAACAGGCAGGCTAACCTCTTCCTTCTCACGCTTTAGTCTGATGCGCGTCTCACGCTCTTGGAGTATCCTGAGGATGCCATCAAGTTCCCCGTGATGCGGAGGGTCAAAAATTCAAACATACCATTCTGCCACTTCGTCAACACATTCGCGTGGCCGCGTTTTGTTCTTCAAAAGATATCCTTGGAGACTAGCGACCTGTGTAGGGGGCGTGAGTTCAGATAAGCCTCAAAACGGGATAGGTCCACTTACGCTCATTTCGTCATCAGGAATCGCATCTGCAAAGCGCTTGGCAAGTTCAGAAATCTCTGCCTCTTCAAGTAATGGAACTGCATGTGAAGACTGCTTCCGCTTGGGGATTGGGAGGTTTCTCTGCGAGCTGTCTTGCGGCGAAGAAGTTTCTCCTGAAGGCGTGGCAGTGGGCTTAGACGGGAAGAAGCACTTGAAAATGCCCTCCGCTTGCCACCTAGTGGCGTTCTTGAAGTTAACCCATACATCCATTCGTCCTGGGCGACTAAGTGCGGGATCTAGTCGTTCAATATGATTGGTCGTCGCAAAAAGCAACCTGAATTTCCTTGAATAACCCGGATTCCATATATGTGGCTGATTAAGAGACTCACCGGCCTTCTGCAGCTGCGACACCATCAAGACTGTTCAGTAGTCCACTCAAACTGAGAGTGGATCCGTCGTTGGTCTCTGTTGCGGTTTTCGCAGTAGCAGCGGGCGCGCCCGTGGAGGTCGAGTCTCTGCTGACGGAGCGAGTGAATGCAGCATCCAAGTCCTCCAAAAGCAAAATACATCTGTGCGGAACAAGTCACGACTTGGAATTGAGGAGGACGGTCACATGACGTACCTTGACGGGACATTCCCCATTAGGGTTGTCAACGTGTTATCACTCATACTGATTTGTGTCAGCAACGTGCTCATCAGCGGCTAAAGTTGCTCACCCTTTCGAAGACAGACTGACGACATAGATGTCGAGGCCGAGCTCACCAGCCATGGAATGAATGAGGGACGTCTTCCCACTAATCGCGAACTGTCAATCATCATTCACAAATCGGGGAAGGCGACTTGCCTGCCTGGCACACCATGCAACAAGTACCCTCGACGGAACGGGATACCTATCAGAAATTTAGAGCGGGATGACGTAGGTGGATAGCGTCTTCCTACCTCTTTCAGCGTACCTAGGCCGAACTCGACTCAATCATCATGTAACGTTCAGATTTAATAGAACACACCAGTCCTCCGAACGTAAGAAGTCCTTGCAATCCGCCAGAAGCATCTCCTTTACGGCGGGCTCAAGCACGATAGAGCTCATCGGCCGCTTTTGGCGTGCTCCATTCCACCTCCAACAACCGTACGTCCTGCAGGTGGGGCGCGATCGGTCCGTGATCATAAAATACCTATCCGGAGATAGTACTTACGTGTCTGCCATGAAAATGTGCACACGATGTTCTGCGTCCTTCTCGTACTCACGCTTCGCCTCTAGGACCAGCCTCTTGAGAATGTCGTTATTCCGAGCAACGACACTGATCTCATGTTGATGACGACACGTAATACCGTGGTAGCCGGAACGCACCTTATTTTCAAGGCAGAATAGTGGCCATATTCCTGGAATCTCTTCGTCCGGGTTATCTGAGGATGTGTGAGGACAACTGAATTAGGTAAGGTACGCCCCGCACTCACACGTAGCCAGTGTCCACGGTAATAGATGGTATGCGTCGTGTCTGTGAAACTCGAATGAAGCGCTGATTGATTTGTTTGCGAGGTGCCACTCACCAAGACTAGGCATGAACGCCACCTTGCGCTTCCGACGCCCATGCACAAGTTCATCATCTTCATCCCCATCAACCTCTTCCTCTTCCAAATCGCCGGTCGTCGATTGTGTGAGCCCATTTCGGCCAATTGTACGCGTGGTGATTTCGAATTCTCGGCTGCGACCCCATGCTGGTTGCTGAGGTACCATCTTTAGAGTTCGAAGGGATGATATCGGAAGTTTCATCACGGACCTTGGAAAGCCAATGCATCAACCTGCGGCAAGTCAGCTCATGCCCAGTGAAACGAAGCACCTATGACTCACCAATCATATGGGTAGTCCTCTTGACTGAAGTGCGCGGTGAGAAAGAACGCTGCAGGGCCACCGTTAGCGAGGACGGCTCGTTCGAATGCGACCGCGACGCACAATCGACGAAACCACTCCATGCAGAAACGGATGCTCGCCGAGCTGTTTCGACAGTTCCTCCGATGACGACCAACTTCTACTCAAGATATGCCAGTCAGTCATCATGTATATGCAAGGATACTCGGAGTGGCGTGCACGCACCAATGTATCTTGCAGAGAATTGCCTGACCCCATGAGGGGAGAGAGCGCGCTTTTAAAGAATTCCATTGGGGTTCCAATGTCAGCGTAAGTGGGAGGAAAAATGCGGGGGAGAACAGAAAACCGTGGAGGGAAGCGGGGGCAGACATTTTATATACGCGGGATACAGCCGTGCCTCATGTAAGATAACCTAGAGTTTGGCCATGCAACCGGAATACGGGAGCACTTACATATGGTGAGCGGTTGACCATCATTCGATAAGACAGGGAAAGGCTCCCTTCGAATACATGTACATTAATATTTGTGGTCGGTATCAGATCGATACACGCCTTAGGGCACTGGGCAAAGGCCGGCGCATCCCAGAAAGTTAAATAGGCATACAACTGTATCTACCCATAGACATCTGTGGCAATAACGATGATGGGCCCGACCAGCCAATGGAGATGAGCGTGACATTTTAGATGTTTGATGCACGATTTCGCGTGTCGGAGCATCACGGGCCAATAAAGGGGTAGTGTAACAACTCTCCGACCCGCTAACAACGCAAGGCATGCTTGCGGTTGGTTTCCTGCCTGAATAGGGGCAATGCGTGCAACTCGTGGTCCTTCATACAGCACGTTCGACTCATAGATGCCTCCTGGTGGTGGATTTGCAAAAGACAGTTCCATCACCGTCCTTTGACGAGCTGGCAGCCGACGCGTCACGACGGACTGTTGCTGAAAGTCCGATGGCGAGACTTATGGGGAACTAAACCGTTGAGCTAAGGGTAAATAAGTATCCGAAGCCCGAGGGACAGGATACTTACGCCACCTTCCCTGGTACTAGGCGACAGGCTCCCACTCTCAGACTGGTCCCAGGCTCGCCCATTTGGGGCCTAGACGCACCGGCCCATGGGCAAAAGCGGACGCGGACGAAAAGAGTGCGCGGCCGCGTGTGCTTTGGGTGGGCGCATTCGGCTCTCGCCTTGTCCTATGGGAACGTCTAGGGCACAAGGACGCCCGTGGATTCGCCTGAACTACACGTAACACCACCACCACGATCCAATAAACCCGTAGTCGGTCCGTGATGCGGCGCACAGAGTGATCTGCAGTTCCGTTCAGCTGCAAATTCTCCAAATGAGGCGTGCACGTTGTGATAATTTTGACTGATCTTGAACTCCGACATTAGTTGTACCGTCCGTCACGCAAGAGACGATCGCATGACGTTGCTCGAAACCTGTGATGTTACTGACGAGGAAAGCCAGGAGATGATGGTCGCAAGACAAAGCGATACATCCACGCGGTGAGACGACACATGCCCCTCGCCCGCTGTCGATGTCGGATCGTACAATCGAGCGTCCTTGGTGGGTGAACGTTGGACGTTGACCGATAGCGTGAACATGGGTAGCAAATAGCTGTCCAAGGATAATGGAAGCAGCTTTTGGATCTGCTCGTCCCCGCGGACAAAGTAGACGCAAACATCCGATTCCAGCAGACAATCGTCAATCTCACACAGCAGAAAAATCCTATCATTGGAGCCCTTTCCAAGTATCGGAATGCGTGATTGCGCTGCTTACGACTGTTCGAGGAACGGTTTCACCTGTATAGGCAGCTTACGCGGAAGATGTCTGCTCATGGGGACTGAAAGACGGAGCATGGGTAGGGGATAGCCAATCGATGGGGGTCAGAAGGCGCAAGCACCGTGCGTAGCTATGCACGGTTGAATATCGAATAGCACTTGCCTCGCGGGTCCATTTGCGTCCAAATGATTCATGCGTAACATAAGTTTGCAGCACCTAGCGAACTCTGTTACGACTATTTCATAACGAGCCGTTCGCCGTCGTAACAAACTGATAAAACTAGCCCGCACCTATGGATTCGCCAATACAAGGAATGCTCAAAGCCCTATTATGGCGATGCCATTGATTGCAGGCACGTATCCGTCCGACTTGAATACGCGAACGATTCACATACCACAAGAGCAGCATACCAGAACTGCGGCAATATATATAAGCGTCTTCTGTACTTCCGTACTTACATCCGATCAAAACGCCCAGCGTATGCACGGGCAAAAAATGAACGGCGAAGTACACGTTCGCATACGGCACCATTCAACGTGCTATATGCACAAAAAAAATATTTGACCGCGACGAAGGAGTCTATTCTCGGGAGTCGCTCACCTGACATGAAACGACCGAGTTACGAAGTCCTCGTGACGACTTCTCTCGGCACGGGAACAACAAGGCAGGGCTCCACCGCTGTACTCATACACGAGAGGATACGCCACATCTTGAGGTAACATCGAAAGCAGGAGTGCGACGATCAAGTCAAAATGACCACCGGTAGACCATTGGAACATCAGACCTGACAGCGTCCTGAACTATCAAGGAAGCTTTCAGCCTTCGCGATCCGCCTATAGATCACTAAGATAATCGGGTATGCTCATCGAGCTCATCGAGACGCCTTCACGATGGCTCTAAGTATGGATATCTATGATACAAAGTCACGCATGAAGTGCTGCAAACAAATAATTTAGTCCGGAAGATTGCGTTGATACAGAAAAAGGACCTCGCCTGACAAGCAAAGAACGCTTGATCAGTCCCTTCTCATATTCCCCATCTCCATATCTTCCCCGTCGGGCATCTCGGTCGCGATGATCAGCCCTTCGGTCATCTCTCTCTTTACACAGAGCTGCTCTGCGACGATGATTGTCAACGCAGAACCAGACATCATGACGGCCCAGAAAAAGAGCGATGTCGGTATTGCGGCGGAGTAGTATGTTGTGAGAACTAGATGGTTGAATAAGAGCGTAAGGGAAAAATCTAGGACGAGGCGTGGTCGGCGGATTATGGCGTATAGATAATATATGCTATAGACACAGTTATAACATGCTAAGAGAGAAGGAAGTAATGCAACACACTCTGCTCCAGATGCCAGCATCCAACAAAGGGCAATTATCCAACCTCGCCATGAATCTGAATGCTCGTCCATTCCAGCAAACCATGCAGCTTCTGCGACTTTCTTGCCTCCACTCCAAGCACCAGTGAACGAATTCCAGCGGTCCTCGCCGTGTAGTCGTCGAAAGCTGGGCCTACCGGCCATCTCCCGCCAATCCATCAACATACCTTGAACATATGAATGGTTGGAAACACGCAGATAGGTGGAAGAGGTATGATGCACTCACCCACGTTGGCACTTCCACCTTCATATTCGAGTGACGTTGGTTCCGCAAGAACAGCCAATAGTGGTGGTATTAATGTCGCAAGCGTCAAATAATGAAGACATTGCATGACGACAATCTAATGTATTGCTATCAGCTGTTGAAACTATGAAACCATGATTAAGACATTCTTGTGAGATGAGCAGTAAGGGATCCCAGTTGAGTGTTTTCTGGGGAGCCATTGTTTTATGGGCTATCAATGGCGCGTCTGAGCAGAATAAATCCGGGTGTATGGTTTGGCCACGGCTCAGAGTCTAGAGGAATGTAATACGCGAGGATAGCAGGCGCGTCGGCAAGTATGCTGGCAGGAGGGTTGTGGTGGGGAAGTCACAATTCTCACGCTTGCCATCACTGTTACACTATGTCCGTCACACCCTCCAGCGGCCATAACCTCCTGATCAAGAACGCAGGCAGTCCACAAGGGCAAGCGAATATTCACGCCTGCTCTTCATGCCCCCATCAGCATATGGCCCTCTCGCTCAGGAGGACGATCGAGAAGACGTTGATGTAGCATCGATGACTCGCGCTTCCGGGCATGGGTTACTGCCACGACCTCCCGTATACTACGGAGAAGGACCCTTTGACCCACCAAGTTCAGACGATGAATCAGAGGAGCTCCTGAGTAAACAGGAAGCAGGATCAGATGGACTTGCCGAACGGGGCCAGATAATGGCAAATGAAGTGGGAAGTTCAGGGTTGTATGTCGGACGACGCCGGGTGCGTGAGTTGCTTCTGATCGGTGTGTCCATATTATTCAATTTGTGGTCACGCAGGAATGGTCGTCCATGCGATGGTTGGTATTTTCTCTGGTCGGGCTGGTGTCCTTCGCAGCTGTAATTGGTGTTTTCGCTGGTCTCTCGTACAAAGAGACAAAACACATTGTTAGAGGTAACGAGCAGATAACTATGGATCATATATTCAATGGCACGTTCTCGGCCGAACGAGCCAGCCTTAATTGGGTACCAGAAGGTGCGGGTCCTTCTTACAGCTGTTATACGCGTGAGGTGCTGAGGTATTACGAGTGGTCTAGCCGGTGACGGAGTATTTTCTATCGAGCAGCATGGTTTCATCACACTGGTGGACCTGAAGACAAACACCTCGACCAATCTTCTTGCAACGGAAGACGTGAAAGATGTACGCTTGCATGACGATAAGGATTGAGATTGGTAAAGTACTGACGTACGATTCCCCGCAGGAACATGGGAGGCGTCTCTATTGGTCTAGTTGGAGACTTTCTCCCGATATGAAGTACATGCTCGTGAAGGCAGACACCCGCAAGGTAAGCTGAGCACCTTGTTCATTACGTTGTGAATAACCTAACCGAGGCGTGTTCTTGAAGCAATGGCGTTGGTCGAGCTTTGGAAATTACTATGTGCACAACCTGGATACTAACGTAACTCGTCCGATAATTCCTCCCTCGCATCCGCCTGTCACCGCATATGCTACCTGGTCTCCCACTGGAGAAAGCATCGCTTATGTTGTGAACAACGACCTATACGTCCTTGAAGCCCCCTCGTACGTTTCTTATTTCCTCTGATTTTTGAATGCTCTTTGAGAACTTTGTAACGCGGCCTCGGGCCGCAGTGCGTCAAGCACGCCAATACGTATCACTGCGTCCGGCAACGCGTCACTGTTCCATGGCGTCCCTGACTGGGTGTATGAAGAAGAAGTCTTCGGCGCAGACTATGCCCTCTGGTGGTCACCAGACTCAAGCAAGATCGCATACCTCGCGTTGGACGAAACCTTGGTCGACGAGTTTATCTTCCCTATCTATAACCCTACAAACGACGCCAATGCCGTAATACCCTATACAGAACAGGTCACGATGAAGTACCCTAAACCTGGGTACAATAACCCTCTCGTGTCTGTGCACGTGTTCGACGTGGCCAGATACTTGCAAGAGAGAGCCATCGTGGAGGATGTTTTGGCCGATGAGTTCACTCTAGAGCTTGATTGGAGTGGAAGACATCCGAAAAACAACAGTATCATCACGGAGGTTACCTGGGTAGGGAACAATAGTCTGCTTGTCAAGGAAAGCAACCGCAACGCCGATGTAGGGAACGTTGTTTGGTTCAACCTGGACGACACACGCATGGCAGGGAAGGACTTCGGGCGTGTGGTACGCAAGCTAGGCAAGGGTGGTGAACACGGGGACAATGGTTGGATAGAGGCGGAGCAACGTATCTACCCTCTTCCATCAAGTTTGACAGGTAGTGTCTCCGCGTATCTAGATATCGTGCCAACAAAGGAAGGGTTCAATCACATCGCGCTGTTCACTCCTGCCGATTCAAGCACGCCTATATTCCTTACATCAGGAAACTGGGAAGTCACGGAGGGTATCCAGGCAGTAAATACGGAGCGTAGGCTGGTGTACGCATTCTTTTTCGCGATTTTGAAGTGTGATTTGGCTGAAAGGCGTATAGATACTTCCAGGCAGCCAATCCATCCATTGAGCGTCACATATATTCCGTGCACCTTCCGACCTTGGCGAACATTACTGCTTCGGCGCTGCAGAAAGAGCCAACCTTGTTACCCGAGAGTTCATCTACCGGATATTATGGTGCTCGCTTCTCGCCGATGGCCGGTTTTTATCTTCTAAGTTATGAGGGTCCAAATATTCCATGGCAGAGGGTCGTGAAAACTAATGACAGCGGTAAGTCAGAAGTCAGCTCCCATTTTCCAAATCAGGTTTTTTGAGCTCCTGTCAAACACTTCCCTCTTGGTGTTCAGCATTTAATTTCGTGCTCACGGACAATGTTCATTTGAACGAAACATGGACGCGCTTCGAGGCGCCCATCATTCAACACTCCACCATCGAGAGCGATGGCTATGGTGAGTCTATTGAAACAACTCCACTGTTATGGTATCCCAACATCCTGGTGCTCATCTTATATGAAAAATAGAATTGAATGCAGTGGAGATTAGGCCTCCGCATATGGATGATTCCGGACGAACGAAGTATCCTGTACTTTTTCGTGTGTGAGTGCAAAAACGGGGACAATTACTCGTCACAAACTGATAGAGATATCTGTCCTGCGTCAATAGATACGGAGGGCCAGGTTCCCAGCTTGTCAATACGCAGTTCAATCGCGATTGGCACCATTATGTGGCGTGTGCCTTGCAATACATCGTTGTGACTGTCGATGGGCGAGGAACTGGGATGAAGGGCAGAAAGCTTAGAAACCCGGTCAAGGGCAATCTGGGCTGGTGGGAAGTCGAGGATCAGGTCAATGCCGCCAGGTGCGTTGTGAACTCGACTTGGTGAAGATGACATATAATGCGATATTCACGGTCTGTCGTTCATCAGACTTTGGGCATCGAAGGACTATGTAGATGTGAAACGCATTGGCATCTGGGGTTGGGTAAGTGCAAGCACGCTGTCATTGTCATGGATACATCATCTTGACTCGAAATTGCAGTCTTACGGCGGTTTCATGAGTTCGAAGATTGTAGAAAAAGATGCAGGCATCCATTCATTGGCCATGGCAGTGGCGGTGAGTTAGTCCCATCGCCTTTACCTGAACGCTTGTCTTACGTTTGTGTGAATACAGCCTGTCACAAGCTGGCAGTTGTATGGTAAGTGGATCGTTGTTATAGGCCTCACCCGCTCTTAATATACTCACAGATTCAATCTATACGGAACGCTATCTTAATCTTCCCGACTTGAATCCCGGAGGATACCAGAATGCCTCTGTATCAAACGTTACCGCATTTTCCAAGATGGAATACTTGCTAGCTCATGGAAGCGGAGATGACAACGTGCACTTCGCCAACTCGGCACACCTGTTAGATATGCTCACAAAGGCCCAAATTCGAAATTTTAGATTCAGGATGTTCACGGACAGGTGGGCAATAGGTCCAAGTTATCTAGTAAACGAGGTTAACGTGTGCTCCTCTGTACAGTGATCACGGCATCTCTAAAAGAGGCGCATATCGAGAGCTATATGAGTACATGACAGGCTTTCTATTGGAGAAGTGGGGGAAAGGAGGTCGTCGGCGGGGATGAACTGCTGGTTGAAACGGTGAGTGACAAGATGGGGTATAGGCTGCACTACGGACTGCCGAGCGAAGATAGCAGATGCCTAGCAATGTGATATTTATTTGAAACCTTATGCAATCACAACTGGTGTGGGAGGATTATGTTCAAACAGTAGTCGGCAGAGGGCCTGGAGCGACCTCGCCTTGCCACAGCTACTTAAGTGAAAACTTCTGGCCTTCGTGTTCGACTCCACGCTCACTGCTATTTCGCCCCATGAAACAACGACGCTCAATGCATGAAGACCACTCATATCGACAAGCGGCGTCGTACTTGGTTTCCTTTTCGGAAATACCTTGCTGCTCTCGTTCCAACGTGATTGGCTTCAGTGTCAGCTGAGGCAGATGAAGCCTCTACCATAGAGCACCACATGCTGTTGTCGTTAGTCTTGGGCACATCATAATGTTGGACAGAGCTGCTTGACATTCTGTTCCATCACGGGAGGCCTTGGTAAGGAAGATGGCTCACCTGAGTGGCTTTGACATGTGCGCCTATCTCATTCACCTCCCTCTCTCGTTATCTTTAGCATGATTGTCACCATTTTTCCAGGTCGTATGGGGCCAGGATATTCCCGTCCTCTTCGTAGCGCCTCTCGTTAATCTGGGAGCTTTCTCAATCTTAAAATTGTCACTACCCCATCTGAAAACTATTCTGTCCGAGGCCAGGGCTCTAACAATGGCCGCATGCCGCATATGCCGCAGAACTCCGCACGAGATCGTTATTAAATAGTCAGGAGGTAACCCCAGGATGGCGATGGCCTGTCCCAGGTCTTTGCCCAAAGCGATGCTGATTTTTATTCAGTCCCGACCCATACCACTTTATATCTTACACAGTACTGGCCGCGCTAGTCTATTTTCCTTTTCTGCCTTCCCGACAAATGGCTCCTGATATCTTTGGAGAAGGCATACAAGTTCACCGACACCTGCACATCCCACGAAGGTTGGAACCTGTCGGAGCTCACAATTTCTTCGATCTGGCGCTGCAGCCCGAGGATCAACGTCGTGTCGAACATTTATGTCCTCGTCGTGAGATGACCGTAGTTAACCTTCCGCCTGCCGCCCGCTGTCCACCGTATGCCAGAGGCGCGGCTCATATCCCTTGATCATCATGCTCATCATGCAATTAATCAGCGACGACACCTAATTCACTCAGCGCCGGCACCACCTGCACGCAACGCGCCTATCTGCTCATCATGGCTCACGTTCCGCGCGCGATGCATTCCCACAAATGACTGACGCCTACAAGCCTAGACGCGTAGCGCATCTTCCGCCCCATGAGGTCTTTCTGTGAACGTGTGCCATGGAGCGCCCATGTCCCACCCACAGTCTGAGGCGCCTGTGATGCATCAGCTTCCGCAGCCACGAACAAAATAGGTGGAAGTCCGACTAGGCCCGACTCCAGCGCGCTTTCGCAAGCCTGCCCTGAGCCTTGAAGGGATTCATCGGTGGAGACCCTGCATAGGCCCTGAGACGCTGATGCGTATGCCCGCGGCGTTGATCTTGACGGTGCCAATGCCTCGGCGTCATATACAGTCCCGGGAGACAAATGTCGACACTACGTCGACGTGTTAATTTTCCTTATCTTGTGGGGTAATGTACCCAGCACTTTGTCGCGACGTGTTAACCCGATCCATGCACTACGAGCGGCTAGGCGGCCGAGCGCAGTCTCGAGGAATGATATCAGCGACTATTCCAAGGACATTCACCTTACCAACGTGCGTGATCCCCCTGCTGCGTTCCTGTGGTCGTCACGTAGCGTCCATTCGTCGCCTTCTCGCCATGTTTTATTGGTATCTGCCAGTCATCTATTATGGCGCGCTTATACGGCGTGGGTAGACACAGCTTATGGGTATGAAATGTGCGAGTGGGTGGGCCGACTCGATATGACAAGGCGCCTGGTATTTGCATCGGACGCGCCAATTCAAGTTCTTTGAGGCTCTACCAAATTCGCCGGCATACCCTCGGAGGCGTCCGCCCGACCTACGTGCGACACAAATGGAAGCTTGAGCCGCCTTGGCGGCCTCGCAGGAATTGTAAAGCGCAGTCACGAGAACGCGTGCACGATGCTCTCGAACGTCGCAAACGTGACCATATTGACGGGCACCGCGCGGATGAGCGTCGGCGCGAGCCCGCGCACGAACACGCGCGAGCCCTCAGTGCGGTACGAGTGTGCGATCGTCGAGAGGGTGTTTCGGTACGGCCTGTCGTCCGCCGGAAATAGCGGTGGCTGAGAGGCTGAGACGGGGACAGAGGAGTTGTGGTGGTTACGGGGTGGATATGGAGACGATGTGGGAAGTACAGGTTTGGGTGCGGGCGGAAGGGCACCGTCCCCCGAGCTCTGTATGCGCGTCTTGATGACATCGAATGGGAACGTGAATGCCCACCCTGCGACTCCGGCCACACCGCCTGCGAGGAGGAAGGGGACTGGCGAGAGTGCGAGCGTTTTTGAAACCTCAGTCAGGACGGGGTCCGTCTCCAGTGCCTCACCCGCGCTTGACCCAATAGGCGGTGAGAAGACCCGGAGGGCTGCTTCGTACTGTGAGCGACGGGAGGTCAGTCTGTAATTAAACCGAGCTTTATAGAGTAGGGCGATGAGATAGAGATATGTACACCAATGAAGTACGCGCCAAACCCGGTATCGCGCAGCGCGGTTGCCGTGATGCCGCGATAAAGCCCGCGAATGCCGCGCTCCCTCAATGTCTGCAACGCGATTGCGAGAGCACTCGGTGCCTTTGGCGTCGTGGATGCGGTGACCGCTGGCGTTGCTAGACGGCGAAATGGCACTGGTATGAGTGATTGCTGTTGCTGAATCTTGAGAAACTCGACCGGGGTTGTGAGGAGCCTTGTGTGTTTCAAATTTTGGATGATGTTAATGAAGAAGAATGAGGATGCGTGAGGAGGCGTAGAAAGTATAGTGAGGTCAAACATAGGGCATAGAAAAATGGAAGACGCACGATCCTACAACGCCACACCCCGCACCCGCGAGCCCGATCTGTGTGAGGGTCGGTATCTCGCCATCGTGATGCAACTGAAGCTTGATAAAAAACCGGTACGACGCGAACACAAGGCCGTTGAGGAGTGCCGCGGAAGCCTAACGCGTCGTTTCAAAAATTAAATAGATATGTATTGGAAAGACCAAGATCAACGGAACGAAGTCGAGCAGAGGCAAATGTATGGACGTACGAGTGGTGCAGTAATGCCTTTGAAGAGCCCGAGGAAGCGCTCCTCGCGCACGATCGTGGCCAGCGCGTGGAATGTTGACTGGTTATACTTCCCCGAGACCGACGGGTTCTGGAAGCGAACCTTCACTGCGGACGAGGAGGGACAAGTCGGTCACTCTGGCTGGAACGACGCAAAGAACAGAAAGCGAGGCTCATTAGGCATCAATTACCTGTGTCGAAGGGATAGCCCACCGAAAGAGCCGCCATCCCTTTTTTTCGAAGGTGTATTGCGGAATGGTGAGGTTCAGCACGCAGATCCTAGAGGGGGTGCTCAATGGCGGAAGAGGGCCTGAACCGACCTGCGACTGTGCCTGCGAAGAAATCGAGTGTGGGGTCGAGCTCGACCGCTGTCCAAAGACGATGGTTACGATTTCAAACAGTCAAGGCTCAGGGTCGATATTATTTTGTGTCTGACCTTTCTTGTTTTCGTCGCTTGCCATCGTCCTCGACGTTGTGGTAGAGGTCGAGTCACGTAATCATAGACCTCAAGCCTGATCTAGGGTTCCACTCCAGTGAGACCTTATTCTAAAGTTGAGTCATGCCTCCCCTAACAATCAGCTGGTGTCGCACCCGCGCTATGTGCAAGTGTTCTCTCGGTTCCCCGGTGGTTCCCCACTGTTCAAAGACCATGTGCACTCACTGATGGCCTTCACTTCCTGTCTCTGCTGACAAGCCCTTGCGCATGCATGTCGATACGGCATAGGTGTCTTCGAAGCTCCTCGTCGCAACATCAATAGATTCTTATGAGCGAGCATGACCCTGACGGGAATATGCATCATGACGCTGGACATGTGCTAGGGCGGACTCGTGCCCTATAAAAAATAGCTTCTCACTGCATGTCCTTGTGTCACTTGCAACACAATCTTGTCCTCGTCCACTCCAGATAGCGATGCCCCGCGGAATACTTGGCTGTCTGCTCACGCTTGGAGCTGGGTTCGGCATATATACCTCTGGCTGCCTGGCTACAGCAGTCTCCCGTCAGCAGTGTCAGGCGACGCTCGACACGGCAACTGTACGCTCCTCCTTATTTCGACTGATCTTCTGGACTAATTCATTGTGTGTAGACAGTGGCCAATCGTCTACAGTCTGCTTACTATAGTTCCACCACCGGAAATTACAACCAAGGATCTCTCTGGACTGATGCAGTGCGTCGTTGTTGCTGTCGCAACCTCGTATAAACATAGACCTTTCGAATGTAGAATGCAGTCGAAGACCTGCACAATCTCATGCTCGCTGCGGGAACTACCACTTGGGCCAGCGTCGGCAATACATCCCGCATCGGTCGCGCCGCGCAGAACTCGAATACGAACTGGCAGTCGATTCTAGGCGGCAGCAATGATGACGCACAGGTGGAGCTCACGGGAAGCCCCTCTGAACGTATGTCACTGACAGTTTCGCATGCTGCAGTGGATTATCTTAGCTCTATGGAAGATTGCCGATTACAGGGCGGCGCATTCCCAGTCAATCGATGCGTTCATGGTAACTTGATTCATACCCTATGAGTTACCAATTGCTTGGTTGTTTACTGCTTTTGTTTTTTTTCGGTTTCGAGAGCGCTGCTGGAACAATATACAACTTCATCGCAGGTCAATGGGATAACACCTGTGGCGGTGGCGGTAGGGTTTGTATACGTTTGCGCGTCGTATATTCAACTGACCGGGACTTTATAGTCTGGTGGTCGACGGCTCATACCTACAAAAACGCGATCACGAACGAGTTGTTCCTTCTGACATCTGCCTCGGGCTATCTGAGGACTGGAAACCAAACGTATCTGGATAATGCCAACAAGGTACGGCAAGCTGGCTGATATCGTCTGGATTTATTTATAGCCGTGGTCACCTTTCTATACAGGCGTGGAACTGGCGTACGTGTGCCGCGGCTCGTCTTTGCATTCAAACACACATGAGCTGTGTTCATTCCAGTGAGCCAATCTGGCATGCGCAATGCCGATGGCCTGTGGAACGACGGGCTTGTCCTTGCTACCTGCAAGAATAACGGTCAGGTGAGATCTGCGTGTGATGTTGTGTTTAGCGAACCCTTATCCTCCTCTAGACGACATGGACGTATAATCAGGTGCGCGCCTTGGGATTCACAAGCAAGTGTCGCATGAAGGGGGCTCTAACTGCTAGTGAAGGGTGTGATCGCCTCGGGCTTGGGAGCGCTCTACGCTATCACTGGCAACGTGTCTTTGCTCGATGCCGCTGAAATCACATTTGCTACTATGGCCCATCTGACCGACAACGGCATACTCAAGGAGTCGTGCGACGACGCTACCAGTTCTTCGTGTGACCACGATCAGGCACGTTTTCTCTACATTCGTATTCTTCTCTTACGACAAAGCCTTAACCACAACAATGGCTCGTGAACAGCAAATATTCAAGGTCTGTGCCTCTGATCGACGGACCTTTGGCCGAGGCTGACTTCTACTTCTCGCCGATAGGGATTGTGGACAAAGCACGTCCAGTACTACCTCGATCAGGCCAACGACGCCGCTCGGACCGCGAAGTATAGTGCTTTCCTCGGCGCACAATCATCTGGTGCGTTTCATTACGGAAAGAACGCCAATAACGACGTGGGTTCGGTCTGGTACGCGCCCGACCAAGGCGGCTCCATATTCTCCCCTGAAGCGTCGTCGAGTGGCCTGGAAGCTTTTGTGTCTGCAGCCAAGGTGAGGAGGGCGAGATGATTGGACGAGATTCGTGTACTGATAGTCGAGGAATACAGTATGGTCTGTGTTGAATCATTGTTCCTTTTGTTTGAAGAGAAGTAAGTGCCAAGTGCTACTCCTCGGAGATATGGACTGATTCGCTATAGTGAACTTTGCTTTTTACCCATGTAAAGACTCCGTCATTGTGAAATTCACACCCTCGTGAGCAACGCCTGGAAAGCCAAGATAGCCAAGTTGCGACTTTGGTCATCCGTACACTCTATGTTTCTATCAGGCTTCATATGAAGACGAAACAACTAACGAAACAAGGGTCAGTGGAAACCTTGACTGTTGACGCCATGATATCAGAACCTGGTTGTCTCTGCCACTCCAACAAATATGTTGCAGTGTGTTGCCATTCCCTGATGCTCATTGCTCCATATGTTTGGCCTGCATGAGGGTCTGGAAAGTTGCGTTTGACTACTGTCCTCTCTCTTTCGGGAAGAAATGCTATCTCTTGCTATCGCTTAGTTCAACATTCATTTTTGACCTGCCTGAGGCTTGCCCAGCTGTTCGCGCATCCTAGGCACTTTGAGAAGCGATCCGTACATGTATCTCCGTTCTCAAGCGGAACTATACTACAGAACTTGGCCGCTTCGGTATGTGTGGGCCCAGCTGTTAGCGGCCCTTATCACTTTCTCAGATTCAATCTATGAACCTCGTTGATAACTTTAGATAGAGCTACTAACAGCCGCTTCTGAGCACTCTGATTGTGGTATTATCGCGGGCCCGAACGAGACAATATGCTAAAATTCTCTAGATCTGTCGAAATAGTCACTGGTCTTCTGCTATAAGCTGATCCATTGTTATAAATGCAATGGTATGCTAAACCAGCACATTCCTATACAAGGAAGATCCTCTCCTCAAAGCAGAATTCAATCATCAGTGTGATTGACAATATAGAGGATGAAGGAGGTCGTGCCGATTTGGAAGGTGTGGCTGAAAGAAACTATACAGCTTGTTGCGATTTTACCCACGCTTCTGAGATCAGGTAACCCTAAGTATACCGGCTCGACGCCTACGATACACCCTCGACACCCCCAAGACTCTTCAACATGGTGAGCTCCCCGCTTCGTGGAACTATGCCATCTTGTTGGAACGTACTAATCGACTGTTGATCCCAGACAAAACGCACGCGCAAAGTCGGTGTCACCGGAAAGTACGGAACGGCAAGTGTTTTAACCCAATGCCTTCGCTAGTCGAAGGAGATTTAGGACGAGAACGGGAGCTCATGGGATATTTTTGTCTCATGTAGCGTTACGGTGCGTCCTTGCGGAAGCAGGTCAAAAAGGTGCGTTTGCAATCTAGAATTATGTCAGGATACTTCGAACTGAGTTATGCTTGTCTTTCAGATGGAAATCACCCAGCACGCACGGTACACCTGCACATTCTGCGGCAAGGTGAGGCAGAAACATTGCGTCTGTTTCCGGGCATCAATACTCATCATATGTTATCAGGATTCCGTGAAGCGTCAGGCAGTGGGCATCTGGAAATGCAAGGCATGCCGGAAGGTTATCGCTGGAGGCGCATGGACTGTCACCACGACGGCGGCTGCGACTGTCCGCAGGTGAGTTTTATATCACTCATCAGACGAGTGACCTTTGATGGCGATCCTTTTTAGTACTGTTCGTCGGTTGCGCGAGATCACGGAGGCTTAAAACACCTCATTTGACTTTATTCTTTCCCATGATACTACTCTCCCTCTACTGTTGTTCCTCCACGCATAAGCTCAATGACCATAGGCCTCCATGATCTCGATGATATTTGAGTGCTATGATATCAGATGCAACCAAGAATCTCTCTGAGCCCATCGCACTGTCAAATTGGTTCCCCGCACACGGTCATTCGCTCATCACATTGTTCATATTTCGGAGTACTGGCCGGGCGATCCGCGGCTCATATCTTGCATCATATTAGGTCGCAATGTCTCCATGCATAACAAAACAAAAATGTCTTCGCGAGGTTACAGCGTGTGTATCAACAATCGCCACCCGCCACCATTGAAGCTACAACAGCCTAATGAAGTGCGTCAGGACGAGTGAGGGTCAGCGTCGCTAATTAAAAAAAGAATTTGGTTATGACAAACGGTGTCATCCGGTGGCGGTGACAGCGTACGAGTACAATTTGATATCACTCTTACTGCTGTATCACTCGTACTTTGCCAGCTTTTTACACTATTTTTGCCAACAAATGCAAATGCTCTCGTCTTCTATTTGTGTTTCGTCGCAATCAGACAACAGGGATATCCATCTTCATACACATCTCACAGCGCGTGCATCTTCGAGTCATCATCATCATCATTTGGATGGTATGTATGGATCTCGATTCCCCAGTTTTACCGACCTTTCAGACCTTTCTTTGCGTGTAGAATCTCCCCATCGTAGAAACATCACCGATATGGACCATGGTGAGTCGGGACTCATGTTTCGTCTCACCTTTACCAAGGTGTTGTCCATCGGCTTGATATCAAGGACGCCGAACCCATGCCGCATCTGTCAGCTTGCATTGACACGAGTGAACGCAATAGAATCAATTGTCGTTATTGTATCCTTCCCATGAACTTCGCGTTTGAGGCTAGAAGTTGCATATGCGCGCTGAGCTGTCCTCCGCTCAATGGCTGGATTGCTCTCGGTTCAGGCTTTCTTCACAAACACCGTGTTTCACATGGCAGCCGTACGCAGGAGCTACGATCGATCGAGAACTGCACCACGAAGTTAGCCATGCATCATGGGTCAAATAGCGATGATTGACCGGTATGTTTTTACTCGATGCTGGGAACGCATTCCAAACGCAGCAGTGGTTCTCGATAGCGTATCTCGGAGCGCTCTCGCCAACACTCGGACGATTCAATGCAACGCTAATCTACATCATGTTTCATTCCGGAACAGAGCATATGATCATAGGTTGGTCAACTTTCTTATGCCACGCGCAGTGCATGATATTAACTCCACTTATCCTCCTCATGTGGTCCAGGATTGGTTCACATAAGTACAATAACTTAACCACAGTGGCAGGATCACAGACGATCTTTTTCATAGTTGTCCATCATCATGTGACTAATTTAGCGGATAGAACCCGAGAATGGTGAGGCAAAGTGGAAGCTGATTAGACGCTTCGGCACCGTATGCATCAAGACTGTTCAGCACTCACTCTAGCATTTCGTCACTGCCTCGGGCCACCGGCCTACTGGCAAAATTTGAGTCTCCAACAGTAACTCGGATGCTTTACTCCACTCGAGCTCGCAGCTCCTTAACAAGAGATCCTACAAGTGTGGTAACTGTAGTCTCTTGGGCTCTTCAGGCGTCCTTACACAGAGAAGGGTCTTACTTATCTCATTCGCTGATATCCCGGATGTTCTACTCGCGATTGCGGTGTTGCTATCAACGGTCTCCATTTCTGTCCTCATGTGTCTCTCTTCTGCATCTATATTAGCCTCCTCTAAAAGGTTCATCTCGAAAACCGAGCCCTCATACGTGGGCCTCCCTCGATAACCCATGTTACGCGATGGTGCCCGGTTTCTGCTCCCGTCTACGGCGAACGTAATCTAAACTCAGCGTCCTGAGGACTTCTTGGCCAGCATATCGCCCATTGGAGCCCGCAGGATCCACGTCGTAATCTAGTCCTAATCGACTTTGTGCCTGGCCTCTTCATCAATCACAGGTCGTACTGTTGTTCTGCTACGTGTGCTCGTCCAACGGGTCCCACATGCACCTACATGGCTTCGTTCCATTTTTTGGCATGGTCTCAGTCCAACGACGCCAGAAGGGCGACACCAGGATGTATAAATCACCAGCTTTGATGTGGGTCTCTCTTACATCCCTTGACCTGGTTGGCGAATCCTTTGCTACTTGACTTTGCATTCATCATGGTCTCTCTCAAATCTACGATGATTCGTGTACTTGCTGCTGTTCATATTCTCGCTCACCTTGTGGGTGATGTGTACTCAGCGGACACAGACCATGAGCTCGCAGCTAGGGCAACTCCAACCGCCCCCCACTTCGTCTTGTACAGTGACCAATGGGTCTCGGGTGAGAATGGCCCCCCTGATGCATCTGTAATTTCGGTACGTCACCTGGGACTCATATGCATCCAAGTCTCATTGTGGTCGTTCCGCAGGGGTTCAACGTCTTGTAATTGTAACCTTTTTGTATTAACGTTTCCTAGTATTCACATGTCCGTCTGTATCGACCAGTATACTCTCCTTCCTGCTTATTTCGGGTCCCGCAGACCAAGCATTGGAGTGGCAGCTCATATCCGCTTCTGATCGGGCAGCCATCAAATCGCAGTATGCCGCTGCAGGGATCAAACTGCTCGTTTCGGCATTCGGTTCTACCGATGCCCCTACCTCGACCGGTGCTGATCCTGTGGCGACAGCGAATACTATGGCAGCTTGGGTTATTGAGTATGGCCTCGATGGCATTGACGTCGATTATGAAGTCAGAAATACGATTCCGACATGATAAATAACCACTGATCACACTTCTATAGGATTTCAACGCATTCGATGGCTCAGATGCAACTGCAGAGCCTTGGTTAGAATCCTTCACGAAGCAACTTCGTCTGAAGCTCCCTCAAGGGCAATATATCCTCACTCATGCCCGTCAGTCGATTGTCCTCCATTTCCATGCCATATAGCTAACACGTACACATAGCTGTGGCGCCTTGGTAAACGCAAAAACAATATCTTAGTTCATTGTTTTCTCAACAGATGACAGGTTCCAGCCTAACGTTTGGAGTGGTGGAGGCTACCTTGCCATCGACCAGAGCGTCGGAAGCCTTATTGACTGGGTGAGGGTTTTCCTTGAATTCTATGGAGACTCCCCTAATTTACGAGTTCATTATAGTACAATGTTCAAGTATGTTTCTGATTTCTGCCTTCAACAAGGTCAGCAAGCTGATTCACGACTCAACCTTCCTAGTTCTACAATCGTACGTGTACTGTCAACGACCAACCTCGGTTCGCAATCTTGTTTCTGACCGTACGGTTTGCAGAGGGTTCGAGTCAATACACCACCTGCAACAATCTTCTTACCACTTCTGGCGGAACATACCCAGACTCCTCTGTCTTTGAAATCGCTGGCAACGGCGTGACATTGAACAAGATTGTCATTGGGAAGCCCGCGACCTCCGGAGACGCGGATTCAGGATACATGGCGCCTTCCACTCTTGCCGGGTGTGTGAACACGGCCAAGAACCAAGGATGGGGTGAGTTCTAGTGATTTCACCAGTTTGTTTTCTGACCTGGGTTGTGCTAGATGCCGGTGTCATGACTTGGGAGTATCCTAATGCTGCGGCGGCATGGATCAAGACAGTCCGTGCTCAAGCCTGGGCCGAGTAGGTTCTCATGTAGCGGATCGACTGTGGTCGATAATGATGTCTTCTCATGTGGTTATATCTTCATTATTTTCTCCGAGAATTTTCTTGTAATGATCGTCGTGTGTCTTGCTTTTTCCCCCGCGGGGGCGACTTTTCATGAGATGACGTCGTGTCAGTGTCTTGTGTGTACCCTGGACAAATATGGTTCTCGAGCAGCTCCAATGAAATGGGGCGAAAATCTCATGATCGCTGATTCGGGTCTCAATCGTCCGGTTTGCCATTTGATTGTGCCGAGTAAAGATTATACTTTCTTTACCTGCTTTTCCCTGTCACCGCGGGCAAAGTTCGGTGTGTTCGGCGTGGAATCGATTCGGCAAGGGGAGACCTACCTAAAAGGCAAGTTCTTCTTGAAGGTCTCCATGTACCTCCATGTACTCACCATGTTCCACTGCTGTACCTTCGAGCTAAAGTCACTCAGTTTCAAGCCTTCAAGCTTCAAGCTTCAATCGTTCTTATCTATCGACCGCTCGCAGCGAGATTTGAAACTCGATTGCCTATCGAATAGACTGTGGTGAACGACTATCTTCACACTTGTGGAGACTAAGCGCTAAGCCCCACATTCCTCCGCTGCACCTCTCTTCTACTTCTCTTCGGCTTCATTGCACATGTTGCGGAATCGGACCTTGGGTACTGAGAAATGCTTCCGATGCCGCTGTATCGACTATCAATCATCGACCCACTTTTCCCGCTTGTCTGACATCACACAACCCCGCATCCTTGCTTGTGCCGTCGCCGAGCCTATCTCGTATAAGAAGATGTTTTTGGTCTGACAGTTGCCGTATTCTCGACCCTTCCTGCTCAGATTCGTCGCCTGGACACTCTCAAGTCTGAACGTCACAATGTCTCCTTGTGTCTGGCTCATCACTGGCGCTAACTCAGGCTTGGGTCTCGCCCTAGCTGAGCATGTCCTCTCGCGCGGCGACAAGGTCAGTGCTTTTCTATCTCTTGATTCTTCAGAGAGATAATATATCTCGTCTAGGTCATAGCAACTGCGCGAAACATTGCGAAACTTCCGGCTTCTCTTGACACTGCATCACCCCTGCAGCTCGATCTCAACTCTTCCCCAGCCGAAATCAAAGCGGTCGGGCTTAAAGCATTAGAAATTCACGGTCATGTTGACGTTCTAGTCAACATGGCTGGGTATGGCCTCGAAAGTCCAGTTGAAGAGCTCGAGTACGTCTGCACCAGTCTTTGTACGAACGTAATTGCTTACCGAACACTTTGTTTTCGTACAGCCCGACCGAACTCATCGCACAGTTCCAGACCAACTTTTTCAGCGCTATATACCTCATACAAGCCTTGCTTCCGTCCTTCCGCTTCCGCAAGTCGGGCACCATCCTAAACGTCTCCTCCATCGGCTCAATTGATGCCGCTGCTGGGCTTTCAGCGTACACCGCGTCCAAGGCCGCGCTTGACGCGATGTCGGAGGCGCTTGCACTAGAGCTCGCGCCATGGGGCATCCGCGTCTTTATCGTTCAGCCTGGATTCTTCTACACGAACTGGTTCGCCACTGCGGCTTCCATAGGAGAAGCAAGCCGCCGTGCGCCGGAAGAGTCCGGGAAGACGGGCGTGTACACCGACCTCTATGGATTGTCGTCGCGCATCTTGCCGTACAATCTGGGCATCCGGCGAGTAGGGGACACGCAAAAGGCGGCGCAGAGGATGTTCGATGTGGCTACGGGGACGGGACTTGCGGAGGGCTTGGAAATGAAGGAAGGCTGGCTCCGCGTGTTATTGGGCAGGGACTCTGGCGAGCGGTTCTTGAGCAGGGTGCAGACGTGGAAGGAAAATGTGGAGGCCACCGAGAAGATATGGAGTTCGACAGAAATAGATCCTGCCAAGCTCGAAGAGATGAGGAGAGAGGCTGGGCTCGATTGATGACTGGAGGTTGAGGTTCGCGTGTACTCTTTCGGCTTGTGATTCATCCTGAGACCCGTTTCTGATCCAACGTGCATATCTTCTCTATAGAGGTTTTTGGGAGTCATTTTTTTCGAAGCGGCGATGCATTGAATCTTGAAATTGCTTCAGTCACCATACCTCGGCGCTCAGCGCTATCAAGATTTGACGGACCTCCGCTCGTCGAAGGCGCTAACGGCGATATGATGTTGCAGAGGAGCGTGCTGCTTCATTTCCCCGATGCGACGCACAGATACCTCGACAAGCATCCAGTGAATTGTCTCGGCCTGGTCTTCGTGCTGAATTTCCTGGCATCGAAATTCCATATCTGACATTTCAACATGGTTGGATTTCGTCCGACAACTCTCATGGATAATGGAAGTGCTTCTATCGGCGCTCATCTGGACAGATCCTGCGAGTACGGCAATCTGAGAGCCTTATTGACTAACATTGACCCACCTGTCAGCTCTACATCCCTCCGACGTGCACCTCCAGATGTTGCAGGACTGGGCAACACGACGATCGGTCCTAGGGGTATATAACACGCGGTGGATCCTCGGTCCTCTGTCGATTGAAAACCAATCAAGTGCTAGATAGAGCTCACACAAATTCCCAAAAGATCAAAATGTCGTCTCGTGTCTGGCTTATCACTGGTACCAACTCGGGTCTGGGTCTCGCTCTGGCTGAGCACGTCCTCTCGCAAGGTGACAAGGTGGGCCTCTATTTCGTGTCCTCATTGCCTCATAGCCAAAACGCGCTGGCTAGGTTATCGCGACTGTACGGAACATTGCAAAGCTACCAGCGTCCCTCAAGAGCGTATCGCCTTTGGAGCTCGATCTCAACTCTTCTCCAGAGGACATCAAGGCAGTCGGGCTCAAGGCCTTAGAAATATACGGGCACGTCGATGTACTCGTCAACAACGCTGGGTATGGCATCGAAGTCCCAATGGAGGAGCTCAGGTCTGTTCTTCTTAGATCTGCGAATATGCGGGCACTCATCGGGTTCTTTTCACGATGCAGCCCCACAGAACTTGTCACACAATTTCAGGCCAACTTCTTCAGCGCCGTCTATCTCATTCAATCCTTACTCCCCGCCTTCCGTGCACGAAAGTCGGGCACCGTCTTGAACATCTCTTCGATTGCCTCTACCGACCCTGCTCCCGCGCTCACAGCTTACAGCGCATCCAAGGCCGCTCTCGACGCCATGTCGGAGGCGCTCGCGCAGGAGCTTACCCCGTGGGGGATCCGTATCTTCATCGTACAGCCTGGGTTCTTCTTGACGAACTGGCATGCCAATGCCACTTCCATTGGAGCGGAAAGTCGCCGCGCCGCGGAAGAGTCGAGGAAGACGGGGGTATACGCGGACCTTCATGGATGCATGGGACGCACCCTGCATGGGAATCTGACTGTCCGACAGGTCGGGGATCCAAGGAGGGCTGCACATAGGATGTACGATGTGGTCACTGGGACAGGGCTCGTAGAAGGCTTGCAGATTAAGGGGGGTTGCCCACGCATCTTGTTGGGCAGAGACTCGGGCGAGCGGTTCTTGGAGAAGGTGCAGGCTTTGCAAGAGAATGCGGAGAGTACGAAGACGATATGGAGTGCGACGGACTTGGACCCAGTGAGGGTCGAGGAGATGAGGAAGGAGGCTGGCATACACTGATGAGCAGTAGTTAAAGTTTTCGTGGTGGAGGAAGACTAGTGGTTGTATGCGCCCCTTGCAAGGAGGCAGAGGGGATAGAGAAGTTTTGACATCACCGGCGCTAAGATGCTTTGTGTTAAAAACGTATCTTAAAATTGTCCAGAGTACATGTGTATCGAGTGAATCAAGATGTCCTACGAAGGAACGGGACAAGATAAGTCGATCAATAAACAATAAGATTTTCTGCGCCTGCTTCTGTGGGGTCTTCGCCCTCTTCCTCCTCTCCGTCGTCGTCTTCTTCCTCATCATCTTCCTCATCACTCTCCTCATCGCTCTCGCTTTCATTAAAAGTAAGAGAGATATACTCATCTCCTATTTTCGCATCCTCAGCGGAGGCTGACGACCGAGAGGATACCAAAGGAGTAGCACTTTCAGAAAGTGTAGGAATCGCTGTAGAGTCAGTGGCAGGCTTCTTGCCGTTGCCAACCTGGCGGTTGCGGTTGGCACGGATAACATGCGGAAGCTTGCACCCCTTGGTCTCGCACGTCCCGCGCTCAGCAAAGTCGGGACACTCGCGGATATGCTGGCGGTCGCACTCGAGGCCCTTGTCGCAATAGCCCAGCACGGCGAAGTCGCGGCACACGCCCTGTCGCAGGCCGACGCGCACGTGCGGGAACGGGCAGCTGTCGCGAGTGCAGCGCCCGTTGTTGGCGAAGTGGACGCACAGCGGCGTGCGTTGCGGCGTTGGGTCGTGCGAGAGCGCGCACGCGTCCGCACCGTGGGGGCAGCTGCCTTGCAGGAAGGGCCAGCAGATGGCGATCTTGCTGGGGTCGTGTTGATAGGGGCAGGTGAGGCCGCGGTTGCATGACCCTGCACGAGGAGGTGTATGCGGTGAATGGGAACCGAGTGCGGGGGTCCTTAGGATGTGGCGGGGGAACGGAGGACGAGAACGCACCTGTCGTTGTAAAGCGCGCGCACGGCTTATCGACGAATTTCTTAGCGGACACGCGGCGGGCCCTGTACGGATGGATTAGACAAGAGGAGCCAGGATCTCCAAAAACCAAACGGACTGATAAGGCCTGCGGGTATTGTTAAGCGTCATGTTCCTGTTGCGAGTGCGAGATGGGGGTTTTGCTTTGTAAACGTGAGTGCTCTTGATGAAGTGTCCCGTCTTTGTGCGACTGTAATCTTCTTTGGATGGGGGCGGCTTTATCGGGACATGTCGAGGACGAGGCGGAGGTGCGGCTGGCTTGGAGACTGCACAGACCACGAGAGCAACAGTCGCAGTACTAAGACAGATGGACAGGGGAAGATGAACATGACGGGAGAAACGCACGGCCTTTGCGAACGAGAGAGCGACCAGAAGTTTCGAAGGCGACCCCATCGATGACGACATCGCGAGTCTGAGAGGGCTCCGAGGGAGGACGTACTGGAGGAGTCACCCTGGAGGGAACGGAGCTTGTGCTGGGTACTAAGCCAGGGCGGACATACTTGTTGGAGGACTGGCGGGTGTACGCGTTGCTCCAAGGGCGAGGGATAGGAGCTGTAGATTGCGACTTTGGCTTGGAAGATGCTTCACTTGATTTATGGCGATTGATAGCTCCTGGGGACATGTGAGCCACAGTAAGAGAAGAAAAAGAGCTCGCGCGCTCACCCGTAAGGCGTGCAATCTCGAGCTTGAGAGCGACTTCGGACGTCGAGGCCATGATGAGTACTGATACTGAGTACTGAGTGCTTAGAGGAGACGAAGGTGGCCAATGACTAAGCGGTGATCACTTATCAACGGAAAAAAAAAACACACAAAACATGACACTAATAAACCAGAAATACGCGATCAATGCATCACACATTGATGCATCAGATATGGGTGTGTACTTTTAGCTATTACGAGCAATAAAATTTGATAGAGGTTCAATCCTATATACCTCATAGCAGCACCTCGTTTCGATCGAGGGACCTCAGGGTAACCAAAGATATGGGCCCTGCGCGCTATACCAGCTGCGCCATGCTGCTTAAGCTATCACTCAAGCATTTTTGTTATACGGTTATTTTCAATGATGGAAACTGAAACAAAATGCGTCAAAACAGCTTCAAAAAATACACAACAGCACCTTGACCAAGGAACCTCAGTTAGACAGGTATATGATCCGAACAGCTCTTAAATTTTTATCCCTTCTCTAAATATGCTGAACAATTGTATTGACCTAAGTCACTTCTCTGAACCGACGAACTACTTCCGACAGCTCGTTGTCTACGTCTACCAGACTAGTCTCCTTGCGATACACCTCCATGAACTGTAACATTGTTCCTCCTGGTTCTCGCCGTGCGATGTGCCAGTGTTGTGCGCCCTGCGTGCGTGAAAACACTTCCAGAATATCCGGCGCACTGCGAGCATTGCGGTAAGGCGACCGCGCAGAGCAGTTTGGCTATGTGCTGTGTTCTACGCACCTGATGAGCTGACGACCTTGGTACAGGTGCTCTGATCGCGACGCGAAATCTGGGCTTGAGACTGTTATTCCGTGTCCGGTGTCAATGATGTGCTTGTCTTTCGGCTGCAAAATTTTCGTAGCAGAAATCAAGGACTTCTCGGCATTCCTGTAGCATCGTCAACTCATGGTTAATGGTTTTTACTCGTGTGAGACGACGTGCGTTTTGATATCCTCATCTGCGATGTGCGATTGTATAGAGGTCAAGAGGGTCGATGCACCCTGATATATGATAAAGAGTTCTTCATCTGAGTACTCATGATCTGTACGAGCAACGAATGCAAAAGCCAACTGATCCTTCTGGTTGACGAGCAAGTTTGAGTGGAAGGCAAATGAGGAAGAATCGTCGCTTACAATAAGATAAAACACTTGCTGCCGCATGGTTTTTTGCGGCTGATTGGGTAACGCCAGATATACGAATATCGATGAGAGGGAAGGTGTTGGTACTGATGGGGACAGCGTCCCGTGGGATGACGAAGGAGATGCCGGAATCATAGGTGACGGAGAGGTGTTCGGCAGTGCCGGTGAGGGTGGAGACGAGGGAATAGAGTTCGATGGTGAAGAAGAGACGTGAGAGTCGTTATGTTCGTTAGATAGGGTATCATGCGAGCCCTCGTCCATGGTGTTTGAAGAAATATTGGCGGACAGATGAGGGGTTTCATCAGTAGTAGTTGCTAGTAGATTATCGTCCAAAGGCGTGTGTGGTGAAGGAATGAGAGACGGGATGGTCTCAGTGCTATCAGCTTGTGGGGCATCCTCGCCCACAGGAATAGCAATAGAAGACATAGCATCATGTAGACTCTCGGTATCTATCTGAAGGCTATCAACCGTGAGCTTTGATACATCATTTCCGGTGTCTGCCTGAGGCTCCTTGAGGTGTGGTTCTTGATTCGGGACTTCTTCATCAACCCCTTTCCCTCCACCTGGTTTCCCGAATGTGAGGTATCCTGGCCATGTCCACTTGCGCACGTCCATGGTCTGACCGAGAGATAAGAAACCGCTCACACTTGTAGGTCTAGATTTGTCTGAATTGTCTGGGACTGTTGAGATTGGGGTCTCCTTGGGCGGTGTTGGAGAAGGCGGGAGTGGAGGGGGGATGCGTGTCAAAAGATAAAGAGGCAGCGTAAGAGGATGTTCACATTTTGTGAAGGAGGTCGACGGTATGATATACGGTGGCACAAGGATGAAAGGTGCAGTGTCGTTCAACGAAGGAATCTGCGAGGCAAATTCGTCGAAGAGAGGAACCAGTATTTTTGACATGGGGTGAAGAGGCATCCCTGATCGCTCCTAAGTGTAAATACAACTTCATATGCATTGGTATAGCACGAACCAAGATGGGCACCAAAGTCTGCATCCTGCTCGATATCCCAATTCCACGCCCATACTGTGAAAAAGCGTTCTATTTGTAGTTCCAGAGCCTGTTGACCGAAGTCTTCGAGGATGGAAGAGAATGACCCGTGGACGAGCTATTAGCAGGAACGCATGTCGAACGTTGAATGCTAAAGCTGGACCGAAATAGATGACAACGCACCTTGAAATGCTCGTATGCTCGCAGTAGTTGTGAGCGGATCTCGTCATCGTGAACCGACCCGTCATGATAATCATACCCGACTTCGACGTCTTTCGCCTTAGCCTTATCCTTGTCCTGTCCCTTTGCCTTTCCTTTGCCTTTCACCTTGCTAGGCGCAGCCTGCCGCGGTGTCTTTGCCAGCTCAACGCACTACACCCCCTGTTCAATAAATATCGAGTCACACAGTGTTCAAGCCCTGAATCTCACTGCATGTATCCAAAAGTCAGGCTCAGGAGAAAATATGATCATGCGGCGTGATTGTGAGTGCACGTTCTCGCAGGCCTCGTCGGGCGAGAACATCCTGTCAACCCGACGTATGAGGACTGTTGATATCTCGTCTGCTTCGTAAGAAGATGGAAGGGTACTTACTCCGAAAATTTAATCAGAGCCTTCGCGAGACCGACCTGCCTGAGCATTTTGTCTCTCGACACTGCGCGCTCTCGGGCCGTATAGAAGAGAATGTGGGCTTGCTCTTCGGCATCTTCGTCATCCTCAGCTACGGGTCCTATTGGCTTCAGTGCAGGGTTGTATATCGTTAAGTAGAGAAGAGCTGGAGGGAGTCTGCTCATCACTCCTTAGAAGACAGTGCAGAGGATGATGTCGATAAGATTTATTACCCTTCAGCGCTTCAGCCACAAATATTCCAGTGAATCTAAGATTTATTTACGCCATTTCATCGGAACCTGTTCGTGCCCTCGACGCTGGAAGTCCGCAAAGCCTGAAAGGCCATATCAAAACCTCAGACGATGGGTATGTACTCTACTACTCGTTCTAGTAGGAATGCAGTCCGACTCGTAATTATATGAAAAATGCTCAACTCGATAGACGGTCCACTAAAACAAACATCAAGTTTCTCGGCTGTGAAGTGTGCGGTAGCTGCCGAGCAAATCTGTCATGACGGAACTCCTCTTGATCACTTCTAGTGATTCTGGCGACTCGGTTGTCGAAGGAGGTGCGCGAACCCACGTATCTCGTGCGACATCCTTCTCCGTCCCGTAGACCTCCAGCTCCGCGCTCCCTATAGTGTTTATCATCGGCAAATCTAGATGATCCATCTGTTCATCGTAGCCATCGATACCCAAGTTCAGCGTATCGTACAATGGGTCATATGTCGGCTCTAAGTCGTCGTCGTCCGAGTCCAGCTCCGCTTCGTTGGACGAGGTAGGCGAGGCCTTAGACGAGGGGTCTGGTAAGTCGAAGCGATGAGATGCGGCGTCAAGGGGGTCTTCGGTACCATCCATGAGGATAAGGTCGAACCGTGACCTTTCGAACGAAGGAGGAAATTCATCGAGCGGCGGAGGCGTCGTTGACACGGAAGATGCACCAGAAGGCAAGGCAGTCCATTCGGTGATCAAGTCAGTAGAGTCAATTGGGGTCTGGTGTTTCTCATAATGCTGAGTGGCATCGGACTCGCTCGGCGGCGTTGGCAACTGGCTGTCAAAACGGATAATCAACGGCCCTTCATCTTCATCGGGGCTATCGTCGGCCTCTGTCTGTACGCGTGCAGCCTGGATCTTGGCGTGTGTCTTACCACCGAGGGGCTGAGACGTGCGTCGCTTGTAGAATAGAAGGTATGCATTGGGATTCTGCATTGGCGGGAACAATGTGTTAAGTGACTAATATGCTGAAGGGATACAAGTCACGCACCACTGCAGCCTCTGGTCGTGTCTGAGTCACATACGAATCGTCAAAGTGATACCATTCATTCGTGACGTGGTTGTACGTGTACGCCCGATAGTGCCCACCACCGAGGCCTCCGAGATGTTCGTCCACTCCATACAGATCGTACACGAGCGGCTCATCTAGATCTTCCAGCCCAAGCTCACTGATGTCAACTCCCTGATCCCGCAGTGCCTTGACAACCTTACGCTCTTGTGCCATTTCGGAGAGATCAAGACCCTCCAATGGAAAATCGACGAAGGTCTCTATCTTATCTCGCAGAGTGCGTGAGTTAGAGAACCGTTTGAGATGGACGACGAGTACGTCCGGTATGTTCCAAAGATCGAACTTCTTTGTCGCCTGCTGATGCTTCTTGCAACGGGGGCAATACCATGGGTCTTCTTCGCCAAGCTCCTCCTCCTTTGTAAACTCATCCAGACAATCCTGCAATGAAATGCCCTGTTCGGACTTGCTTGAAGACTGCTTCATCGCTTCAAGATACTCGGGATGCGTGTATGTTTCCCAAGTATTGAACAACGCATTTTCAAAGCGCGATGTCTCGCCGAAAAAGTACGCTTTCATGTTCTCGTCAAATTCGACGAAGAAAGCGTCATCCTGTCGAAGCAGGATCGGGTGCTCGCCTTCCCCGTTTTGCCGACGGCTGTCCCAAGATTCAAACCTTTGGCTGTTGGCACCGTATCCAGAGTATCCGGCGCCGAAGTCTTTGTAGTTCACCTGCAAGTTTAGGTTGAAGACATTCTGCTTCGGACCGACCCGATGTGGCTCCTCGCGCTCTTCGCCGTCTTCCATCATCTCGTCGTCATCTTGCAGCACAAGGCCCTTCTCGTCCGAGATGTCGCCTTCATCTGGTGCAGACTCGAGCGTCACAACCTCGCCATTCTCGCCGATTTCTGTGATGGAGTCCGCGACGTGTGGGATCGGGACCTCCTCCATGTCGCTGGTGGGAGCTTCCCATGACCACAAGTCTCGTGCAAGCTTCGTCCAGCGCTGCAGCTGCTCGTTCACAATCTCGTGCATCCGCCCGACACTGCGTGCGTCTTCCTGGCTTACTGCCACGACAAACGGATGTCCAAAGAGGCTGTTATTGTTGCGATTATAGGTCAGTTGTCGCGCGGCGGATCCGTCGGAGAGGAAGATAGGGATGATGAATGGGTCATTATCTGTCTTCTTTGCACCGTACGTGCGTGACTGTTGTGCATGGCAAGGCAACTCGTAGCAAACGATGATATCGCCCTCCGCCATCTCCCCGCACAGCAGCGAGTCGTCGAGGTTCTTGTAGAATCGATGGGAAAATGTTTCGAGGGTTAGCAGCTATGAGACAAGTCAGCGTGATTGCCCGCACAATGTGGACGAAGGAATGGCAGTCGCACGTTGTCAGGGTTGGATCCCATCCAACGGCCCAAAAGATGACGTAGATCTTTGAAAGACGCATCGCGGTTTATCTCAACAGGAACCTTGACATGGGGTTTTTCAATGTCCCAAGGGATGTAATGGATAGCGTGTCTCCACTTCTTCTGCACTGGCAGCGGAAGCGTGAGATACATGAACGGGTCAAAGGTGATCGAAACCTAGATCCAAGTCAGAATCGGCAATCAGTCACGTCGCGAAACATAGACTTGGCTTACCTTCTCGCACTCTGGACAGATCAGTGTACTCTTATATTGACCTTGGAATAAATCTACAATAACACTGTCGTTCCTCTTCATGTAGCCCTCCCAACTTTGTCGAGCGAGTTTCACAAGGTCGACATCTCCTCCGCCTTCCCAGTCAGGCTTCTCAACATAGGGCTTCTTTATAACGCGGTTCAGGTCCTCGTGCAGGCCATCGAGTAAGAAAGCAACTAGCTCCTGAGAGTCGTGTTGTTGGTACCCAGAAAACTGGGGCGCGAATCGCTGCAATACAGACTTGAACTCGCGCGGAGAATACGAATTGGCGACTGAAGAGGTCGACCAAATGCGCTCTAGAAGTGCACCGAACGACTCAGCAATCTCGCCATTCATACCCAGGGGGTTGTCTGGGTTGAGTTCATCCTTATAAACACCCGCTGAAGAGACAACGTTGCACGTTAAACCCATGCAAGAGAAGTGCAGAGTCAAAACTCACTCAGGAAGTAGTCCATTAGCTCCTTTGTATGAGCCAGACATTGTAAAGCGGAATTCATGAAGCAAGTATTCCCCCTGTAAAGGACGATGAGTGCGAGTGAGTGCCATGTCTGCGGCAACTTACATGTTCCCGAGGCCCAATGTGCCGGGCTCCCGCGATTGTTGCTTTCTCCGATTTAAGGGGAAAGCAACCGTCGACACGGGTTTCGCCAATGTCGAGGGCACAGACATCCCCTGAGCGGTTGAGACACCACTCAGCATCGTGGACGCGAAAGATGAAGTAGAAGCTGTTTCTGAAGTAGAAGACTGGCCCATGCGATTGAAAAAGCTAGTTTCCTGGCTAAAAAGAGGCGGGGGAACGTGGCTGAGAACTGCATTTTCTGCGGCAGATGGTCTGTTAGTAGGCGGGCTGATCAGCCATTTGCCGTTTTTCACAAATTCGACCGCAAACGCTTCTTCGTTCTGAATGAGCTCGTCCTCGAGCAGGCGGTCGCTTGATTTGAGAATTTCGAAGCGGACTTCGGCTTCGTCGCGGAGGTTTTGGATGATCGCGCCCGACGGGAACTCAGACCCCTCCTTGTCCTCAGGATCGACTTTCCACACGCGATATTCCTCCGTCGAGTTAGGTTCAACGGCGTCTGCGAGGTTTTTAAGAAGGTATTTGATTTGCATTGCGCTGGACGCGTAAATAAAGGTTTTATCGCGGGTGGCAAGTGGTGTCGAGCACTGCGGATCGTCTGTGACACGGAAAACTCTGAGACGAGGCGGGTGCAATTCCAAGGCCAGCTGGTGATGTATGCCACGCGCAATAGCTTTGCGAGGGAGTGGATGAGATGGTTGACCGTACCTGGGGGCAAGGTTCACCGCGGATGAGAATCAGAAGTGTGGCAAAAGAAAAGTACTCACCATCGTACCAAGAGAGCCCAAGCATCCTCCGGTACAAGTTGATAGTCGATTCCCTCTTCAACCGTGAGCATCAGGCTACCCTGGTTGGTGATAATGGTGGCATTGTCCACCGGGCCGACGTCCTTTTCGAGCAGGACGCCACCTTCTTTCGAGTCCATGCCTGACAGGGCTCTTCGCCACCGCTTGAACCAGCTCTGGGAGACAACATACCAGGTATCACCCTCACGGAGAGGACGCTTGCGAGCTGTGTCTATGAAAGCCCCCCTTTCGGCGGGAGAACGATGGGGATCTGAAGGCAGCACGTGCTCGGCAGCAGGAGAGGGAGTGTGATCGAAAATGACGGTCTGCTCGATATGATCCTCGCCCTGGGAGGCCATGTATGCGTCGATGTCATTGGATGATGGATCGGATAACGAGAGGTGGGAGATGTCCTGAGACTGGGCGCGCGGGGAGCGCGTGAGGGCGCTGTCTGTTGCAGTCAGCGTGCCGGCGGGATCCTCGGAGGCAGAGCGTTTTGGCGACGAAGAAACAGATTCCATGGACGAAGATCGTTGTCGCTTGCGGCTTGCAGGGTCTTTGGCAGTCAACGTCGGGGGAGGTTGGGTGGAGGGTAGATTCATGTACGATCCGTTCATAGCATAACTTTTGCGGTGGCTGGCCTTCTCAAATCGACGCGTCCCCGCTTGCCCTTGTACGCCCGTTTAGGCAGCTCGCTCCCACACTGCTCCCTTCTCTTGACTCTTGATGACCTCAGAACGCACAAGGGAATCATCGCATGTCCCGCAGTGCGATGTCGTCTGCGAGTGACGGCACCTTTTCACTTGTATCATGATTGCCATCAGATGCGCTCAATGTGCGCTCTTGTGACCACTACCGTTGGATCCGGCACATACGCCGTTCATAGATCCTGTCTGACCGACATCATCTTCGACACGAACGCAAGCCTCAAGCTTAGCGCCCCGTTAGAACTGTCTCGACTCAGCACAGTCCCACCTGTGCCCGTGCTCAGCCCCATAAACACAGACTATCCGAAAGTCCTGCTCGCACGCGAATGGGTCACGTGGGCTACACTCCTGCTCATCTGACACAAGCGCGTCCCGAACCTCCGAGCGCTAGTTATCCAGGCCGCCATATATATAGGAGACTATTCGCATTTGGTGGCTCCTCCCATTCCTCTCTCGCCATGGGCATACAAAGTACGTCAGTCAGAAACCATCCCACGGCCCAGTTGATGATGATCATTTGTCACAGCCAAACACTTCTTCAACAATCCTTCTCATCTTGTTCTCGAGTCCCTTCAGGGCTTGTGTGTGATCAACCCAAGTGTTGCGCTCGACACCACCAACAAAGGTGCGTCACCATCCGTGTATTGGGGGCCCAAGTCTCACTGTAGAGGAGTTCGCCTGTAGTCATCTATCTAAAAGAGCTCAATCAGTCAAAGGTTGCTTTGATATGTGGTGGAGGATCGGGGCATGAACCCGCACACTCAGGTTTTGTCGGTGAGCTGATACCTCTCTTCCGGACGCTGCATTCTTGTCAGAAGTCTGCACGATAATCCTCAGCGTATGAACAGAAGACGCTGTGTATGTATTTATGTACCTGCACGATAATCCTAGGATGATACGTTAGGATACAATAAGGCTACCAGAGCGCGCAGAATACTCACCTCAGCGTATGAACAGAAGACGCTGAGGTGTCACGGTAACGGTACGGTCACATAAGTAACGAAATCCGGAAAATACCGTATCGTAAGTACAGTGCTGATGGGCTAACTTCTAACATTCCCCCTTAGCCCGGCAGTAGGCCTAGATTAGTGGAGAATGAGGCGTGCTTTCCTTTTGCTAAACCCTTCGTCAAAACGTCCGCCACGTTCTCGTCCATCCGCACATATTCCAGACGGATTTCCCCCATCTCGACCCTCTCTCGGATGATGTGGTACTTGATGTCAATGTGCTTCGTTCGAGCGTGGTAGACATGGTCCTTCGACATGGCTATACTAGCCTGGTTGTCGCAGCGGATAAGGGTGGGGGAAGACTGGGGAAATCCGAGTTCCGAGAGCAGTGAGCGAAGCCAAAGTGCCTCTTTTGTGGCGTGCGAGATGGCAATGTATTCTGCCTCGGCGGTCGCGTAAGCGACGGTAGGTTGTTTCTTCGAGCTCCAAGAAATCGCTGCTCCGGCAAGGAAGAAAGCGTATCCGGAGATCGAGCGGCGGTTATCTCGGCTCTCTGCGAAATCGGCGTCCGTGTAGCCAACGGGGATCCAGTCGTTCTCGTCTCCCCCATATGTCAGAGCTAAGTCCAACGTCCCCTTCACGTACCGCAGGACACGTTTTGCGGCGTGCCAGTGTTCCATTCCGGGGTTTGACATGTACTGTGCCAGAGTGTTGACCGTGTAGGCAAGGTCGGGGCGCGTAGCGAGCGCCGCGTACATCAACGCCCCCACCAGGGCGGCGTACGGATATTTCCGCATCTCTTCCCATTCCGCGGAGTAGAGCCGGGGTGACTGCTCGTTTGACAAGTGGGTGCTAGGGTCCATGGGCGTCGAGATGGGCTTGCAGTCCATCATCGCGAAACGCTCCAGGACGTTATGGAGGTAGTGCGTCTGCGAGAGCGAGATGATGCCCTTGTCTCGGTTCCGGAAGACTGTCATACCGAGCAGTGTGCGCGGTTCCCCCAGTTCCGTAGTCTCGAATGGGAGCCCGCGGAAGTCTTCCTTGAGTTCCGTCATCGCCCTCTTTGTGCTCGCAGCCAGGATCATGTCGTCGACGTGAATGACGATGATGGTACGGCCTTTGTTTGAAACCCGGAGGTAGACGCAGGAGTCTGAGCGGCAGCGGGTGAATCCGAGCTTCAGGAGCTCGGCATTAAGCATCCTGTTCCAGATTCGACCAGATTGCTTTAGGCCGTAGAGAGATTTGAGCAAGCGGAGCAGCCAGTCCTCTTTCCCGAGGACCTGGAAACCTTCGGGTTGCCTCATGAATATCTCTTCGTCGAGTTTCCCGTTAAGGTAGGCGGATTTGACATCAATCTGCTCGAGGAGCCAGTTCTCCTTGGCAGCAAGTGAGAAAACAAGTCGAAATGACTCGAAACGAGCGACTGGGGAGTGAGTATCGTGGAAATCGACGCCGGGGCGTTGCGTGAAACCCTGGGCGACGAGTCGGGCTTTGAAGCGCCCGTCTTGTTTGGCCTTGTAGGTCCACTTCGAGCCAATCGGCTTGCGGCCTTTCGCCGGCTCGACGAGTTCCCACGTCTTGTTCTTCAACAAGGCGTCGTACTCCTCCTCCATCGCCCTCTGCCAGTCGTCGCGCTCTGCGCTTCGGATGGCTTCCTGGTAGCTGCGGGGCTCCTCACCCGCCGTCAACAGCGCTGCCTCGACGGCCGCTGTGAACAACGAGCGCTCGACAGCTGCCTCGTCTTCCTCTGCCTCTGCCTCCTCCCTCTCGTCGCGCGCTGCCTCGTCTCGTTTCTTTTCCCGGTCCTTCCGTCGCTCCCTCGCCTCTCTATTCGCGTCTTTGCGAGCTCGCTCGGTCGCCTCCTGCAGGTCTGCGGCTTTCCTCAATGATGAGGGCTCTCGTGCCCTTTCACTCCTTCTCAGAGTGAACTGGGCGGGTGCCGTTGTTTGTGTGCTCGTTCTGAGCTCAGGCGGCTCGGGCGGCGCTTGCTGGGCGGCTCCTGGGCGCGTTTTCAGCGTTCCTGGTGCCCCCTCTGAAGGTGGGTGGTCGGGAGGATGGACGGGTGATGGTGGTTGTTGGGCTGATGGCGACTTCGTTTTAGGGTTGTCAGGGCTCGCTTTGGGAGGTGGGGGAGCGTCCGTGGGCGGCTCCTGGGCGACATGGAAGTCGTTCTCCCCCCTCTCGGCCACGGGCAGCTTCCGCGGCGCCAGCGGCAAGTCGTCCTCCAAGAAGACGACGTCGCGCGACTTCACGATCCTGTGGGTCCGCGGCTCGTAGCAACGGTAGGCTGCGTCACTGTAGTACCCTATCAGCACGCACTCGGTTGACTTGACGTCCCACTTGCGGCGCTTTTCGTCAGGTATCTTCACGAGCGCCTTGCAGCCAAATGCGCGAAGGTGTTTGACGTTCGGTTTCCGGCCGGTCCATACCTCGTGGGGCGTCTTGCCCTCGAGTGCGACGGTCGGGCCGAGGTTCTTTAAATAGGTCGATGTTGACACCACCTCCGGCCACAGGAATCGTGGAAGGCCGGTTTCGTGCATCATTGCGCGGCCGCGTTCCACGATCGTTTTGTTCAGGCGTTCCGCGACGCCGTTCTGTGACGGGGTGTATGGCGCCGTCGTCTCCAAGGCGATGCCCGCTGCTTTCAACCAGTCAAGAGCCTCTTTGTTGAGGTACTCCGTGCCGTTGTCGCACCGGATGCGTTTCCACGGCTGGCCGGTCTGCTTCTCCGCCATGGCCTTAAACTGCTTCATGCGGTCGAGCACCTCGCTCTTCTGCCGCATGCGGTATTCGGTGGAGAAACGGGCCTTGTCGTCGGTAAAGGTGACAAAGTACCGCTCGCCCCCGATCCCGTTCTTGTCCATTGGGCCACATACGTCCGTGTGGACCAATTCCAGTAAGTTGTTTGCCCGGTGGTCTGCCTGCTTCGGGAAAGGCTTACGGTGTTGCTTTCCGTAGACGCAGTCCTCACACGTCGGCGCCTTTTCATTTGATGTGAGCTTGATCCCGTCGACGAGACCCTTCGAAATGACAAGGTCCACGTTCCCTTGCCCTAGGTGGCCGTAACGCCGGTGCCATAAGGCTCGCGTTAGTGAGGTGGCGGCGAAAGCGGTCTCGGGGGTGATGGGTGGTGGTGTAGGAGGCTGATCGTTTGTCGTTGGGCGGCCGATCGTATCCAGGTAATAGAGACTTCCGACGAGAGACCCGGATCCGATTCGTTTGTGATCCTTGTTCAGCAGGACGACTTTGCCCCCTCCGAAAACAGCTGATCCCCCGGCGCGGTCGAGCTTGCTCATGCTAAGTAGATTCTCTGTCGCGTCGGGCGTGTGCAGCACATTACGCAGCCGCACCGAGTCTACCCGCTTGCCGGCTTGCCCGGTCGAAATGGTGACGGAGCCTGTGCCGGCGGCGCGCATTGTGTGGCCCTTCTTGGCCGTTTCAATCGTGCGCTCACCTGGCGAGTATTCGGCGAACATCTCCTCCCGCTTTGCAACATGGGATGATGATCCCGAGTCAACGACCCAGGTGTTTGGCTTGGCGTTCGTCGTGAGGGCTTGTTCGGGCGGCGAAGAGAAGTTAAAGAGCGACGCTTCGCGCTCGCTCGCTAGATTTGACTGGTCTTTGTTTACAGGTCTTCCCCTACTGCTGCCTGTGGGGCAGTCGCGTGCGTAATGCCCTAGCTGGTGGCAGTTGTAGCACTCGACTTGTCTCCCGCTGCTGCCGCCTTTACTTTTGCCTCGGCCCCCGCCGCGATGCTTTCCGTATCCTTTTCCCCTGTCTCTCCCTCTTCCACGTACGTTATCGCCCATCCGCAGGGCGACGTTGCCACTGTTTGCTTCGGTGCCATCGCGGACTCGGCGGCGTTGGTCTTCCAGCATGATACGAGCGATCAATTGCTCGGACGTGACCTTGGACGTGTCGGTGATGGAACTGATGAGGGAGTCGTAATCGGAGGTAAGGGAGGTGATAATCCGGTGGATGAGGATTTTGTCCTCGAGTGGGGAGCCGACGGCGACGGCTTCGTTGTAGAGGTCCTGTAGTAGGTCCAGGTGGAGCTTCACGTCCTGGCCGGGGGACATACAGACTGAGTAGAACTGTGATTCGACCAGTGACTGATTGAGGGAATTCTGCTCGGCGAAGAGCGTGCGGAGAATCTCCCACATCGAGTGCGCCGACTTTGCCTTCATGATTGAAATTACCAGTGCATCCTCGACGTAGAGAGCGATCTGCGCCCTCGCCTTCGCATCTCTCTCCTTCCACGATGGTAAGGCTGGGTCGTCGGTAGATGGCGTCGTGACGGTATCGCCACCAACGACGTTCCAAATTCCGCGTGCCTCTAGTACTCTCTCCATCTTAAAAGCCCAAAGGCCGTAACTCTTTCGGTCCTTCAACTTTGGCTCGATGGGGATGACTGAGTTCGTAGTTGTGGCCATCTTGGATCAGCTTCGATGTGGGAAGATCTTGTAAGATCAGTGAGCGTGCTTCTGGGGATTCGTTAGGCAAATGCAGGGCCCATAACCTGTCAGAAGTCTGCACGATAATCCTCAGCGTATGAACAGAAGACGCTGTGTATGTATTTATGTACCTGCACGATAATCCTAGGATGATACGTTAGGATACAATAAGGCTACCAGAGCGCGCAGGATACTCACCTCAGCGTATGAACAGAAGACGCTGAGGTGTCACGGTAACGGTACGGTCACATAAGTAACGAAATCCGGAAAATACCGTATCGTAAGTACAGTGCTGATGGGCTAACTTCTAACAATTCTTAGATGTGGTTCCAATACACAGGGGAGGGCATGTTGACAGGTGCGTCTAGACCATGACTGTTATAGTACAGGTTCTCAGACATTCCTTCCCGCTTCATGTCAGCTGCGGTGTGTGGGAATGTATTTGCATCACCTGGCTCTAGTCAGGTGAGGGGGGCCATCGACCTTGTGGACAACGAGAAGGGGTGAGCATGATCCCTGGAGTTACGCCCTGTCCTTTAGTGCGAAACAGTCGACCTGACAATAGAATTTAAGCACGCTCATCATCGTAAAGTATATCGACATACCTTGGAATTTTATTGTCTGTCTCACGGAACGGGTAAAGGAATTACACTGGTGATGTATTGAACTTTGGCCTTGCAAAAGAACAATATGCCGCCCTTCATCCGGAGAAAGCAGATCGCGTCAAACTCATTGTCGTTGGGGATGACGTCGCTGTAGGAAGGACCCAAGGCAGTATCGTGGGGCGCAGGTAAGTCGACCGTCCATCTCTTATCAATGTGCGTTGCCTAGGTCCTGCTTATTCCCCAAATGCGTGACAAGTGAGTTGTCATTCTAGCGGCTGATTCGCCTACTTTCTAGGGGTCTTGCGGGCACTGTCTTGGTATACAAGATCGCCGGTGCACTCGCTAGTTTAGGAGGCGAGTTCGAAAAAGTTTACAAAACAGCCGAGTGGGTGGCGAACAACCTTGCTACAATCGGTGTAGGACTAGATCACTGCCATGTGAGCATCTTTTCCTTCATCCCGGATACTGAAATTTCTTTCTTCCTCGAGCTATTTCTTCGCCTTTCATGTTCCCTTCATCAACGCTTTACATTTAGATCTTTTTATTAATCTGATTATTTATCAGGTCCCCGGTACGGCCGTGGCAGAATCGCAGATGAAGGAAGGCGAAATCGAAATCGGTTTGGGAATCCACAACGAGTCGGGAAACAGACGCGTATCGCCCATCCCATCGCTTCATGACCTCGTTCAGCAGCTCCTCGACCCTCTTCTCTCAACATCGGACCCCGAGCGCTCGTTCCTCCCACTTAGGGGCGAAGGTGATGAGGTCGTGCTCATGCTAAATAATCCCGGTGGGGTCAGTGAACTAGAGCTTGGCAGTATAGTGCGTGAAGTACAAACCAGTCTTGTTGAGAGACAAATCAAGGTTCTCAGGGTGCTGAGCGGCAGCTTCATGGTATGCATTTCTGCAACCCTTTCTATCGTTACACTACTGTATTCAAATCCCCCGTGGACTCTCAGACCAGCCTGAACATGCTAGGCTTCTCGATCACTCTTCTCCTGCTCCCTACCACATCCAGCCCTGGCACCATCTCCACTCAGCTCTTCCTCGACCTCCTCGATACGCCGACCAGCGCGCCTGGATGGAAGTGGTCCTCAGGTCAACCGCCCCCGCCCATCATTGCAGCCCAAGAGGCTCCCCGTGCAGATGTAGCCACAAGAGAGTTGGAGGGCAAGGCAAAATTGCGCGCCGCGGATCCTGGGGCATTTGATGCTGCTATAGAGCGTGTATGTCGAGCATTGAATGCCGCGGAGCCGGAGATCACCAGAATGGACAGTATCGCAGGAGATGGGGACTGTGGCTTGACTTTGCAGGCGGGGGCAACCGGTGATCGTCTCTTCCCTATTTCGGTGAAAAGCTGTTGCTTTTGAGAACGCGACTAATGATTGATGGTATCTTGTGGTATCTGCAGCCGTGCTTCAGGAGTTGAAGGAAGGGAATGCGGGGGGTGTGGACATCATCGGCACCATACTCACGGTCTCCAATGTCGCCGCGGATAAAATGGGCGGGACGAGTGGCGCGCTCTACTCGTATGTTACCTCGTATTCCTCACACTCTTCAGACTCTGGAGTGTTTGATCCTGGGCGTGCGTATCCTCCGCAGGATATTTTTCTCCGCGCTCGCGCAAGGCCTTCAATTCGCCGCAGCTACAGGCATGTCGGACGTGGTCACTCAGGAGGTGTGGGCTCAGGCGCTCGCGTCCGCGCTGCGCAGCCTGTACACCTACACCCGCGCGCGACCGCCCTCGCGCACGCTCATCGATCCTCTCGCGGCTTTCGTCGACGCACTGTCCAGTCATCCCAGTAAGCGTCGCTTTTCTTTCATGTCGGATCAAGCCACCCCTTTTCCTTCCTTTGTCTACGGATCATGCATACGCATGCATTGCGCTTGAATGCGCTGCCCCTCCCCCTTGCTCATGTCTTCGTATCAAACTTGACCTGACCGCGCACGGCCTCGTACCGTCCATCTTGATCTATGAAACAAAGATGATCTCCGTGGGGCAGTTGCTCGCGCGGCTAAAGCAGCCGAGAATACACGCGACGTCGAGGCCAAGGCGGGCCGGAGCGCGTACGTCGAGGGGGATCGCCTGAAGAGCGAGCGCGTACCAGACCCAGGTGCCTGGGGGATAAAGGTGCTGCTCGAGGCTATCGTCGGCGCCTAGGTGCCTCGATATGCACACGGTCACGTCATCTTGTTGCTGGAATGGTGGGGGTGTCATCGGACTTGATGGACCTTGTTGAAGATCAACACGTTTGTTGTAAGTTACTGTATGTGTATCTCTTACGTTTTTGCAGCGGCCATCTTCTCAAGGATATGGGATAGTGATGCGATAGGCTCTTCGAGATGTACAACTTGCCACGGTGGATTTAGGAGCATGCCGTACCAGAGGAATGGGCATCGCTAAGTCTAACATAAAAACTTCTCAACTCCTCACGTCGGTTTCATCCCGCACCACCCCGTCCAATATCACAGAAGCTGATGCATGGACGTTGTCCGGCCTTAAGAACATCCTTGTCATCGAGCGGGAGAAAGCCTCTGCTAACTTGATCAAGCATTCAGGTCCTCAGAACTCAATCGGCTCGCCGTTCTTGAGCTGTCGCAGAATGATGCCGGTCATATACGCCCTGCACCGTGAGAGCAAAGCTGCACTGCTGAAGCACACATGCGTCATTCCCTGAATGCATCACCCCAGATTACCCCCCTTTCAAGCCTGGTGCTTCGAGCGCTTCGCGCAAGCCAGCAAACCAGGCCTGGCCAAATGCTTCCGCACTGTGCACCGGGGTCCGCCCTTCTCCCCAAACCAAGTGACAGTCTAGAGTCACCGATTCCAGAATGGTATGCGTCGGAGATGGATCTGGGTCACCTATTCTCGTCCGAGCCTACGGCTTCTTCTAAGTGTGCCGGCGCAAAGTGACATGTTAGAATTCGAAGGATTTCCTAAGTAGTGAATGCGAACAGTGCAAAGGCTCGGTGCACTTCTAGTACTTGCGGTACACGTGGTATTCGCTATAGGTGTGGACCGATACTTATAGAGTTTGATGCGAGCGGTGATTATTGTTGTACTGCAGTGAGTGATGTCAATGACCAGACAGGCAAACGTCAAAGAAGCTTCGAGGCATGCGCCTTGACTATGTTGCTAGGTGGTTTGCGCTTGCCCGTCCATCACACCACACCAACGGAGTTCGTAGACATGAATTGAGTGTGCATTAATGCGTGAATCGTAGTAGAGGAGAAGTGCTAGTTGTACATGAGCGTGCGTGGTGCATCGTGAAGAAGTCGTATTACAATCGGAGCCTCGTCGCCCTCCGCATCGCGTCGCAAAAAGAAAACCGTGCCCGTAAACACCCATATGATCACCCCAAGAAGATCGAAGAGATAATTACGCGTTCAGCCCCAGCGGGTATGCCTGGGTATGCGTGGAAGAGCGTGGAAAAAACAGAAACTAAAAAACATCATGCGGCGCGGGGCATGCTCCTTTTCGACTACAAAGTTCAAATAATAATCCGAATAGCACGGCAATTACACCTTCTCGATGCTGTGCGCGTCGTGGTCGACACGCGAAGACACCTTGGCGATCGCCTCGGGATCCGAGGCATGCACGTTCTCGGCGACGAGGCGGCGACGGTACTCAACAGAGCGAATAGGCGTCGTGTTCTGGTAGAGGATGTCGACCTGCTCGAGGGAGAGGCCCCTTGTCTGAAAAGAATTTCTGTCAGACAGACAGAAGAGCGACAGAGTAACAGGAAAGCATATACCTCAGGAATGCAGAAGTAGGTGAAGATGATGCAGCAGAAGCAAGTCGTTCCCCAAATGAAGAACACCTTGACACCGAGGTTTGCGTTGCCTGCACCAGAGTTGACGAGGTAGGGCGCTGATGAAAAGCAAAGACAATCAGCATCGCCAGAGATAAAGAAGTACACGTGACACGCACTGGCATAGCCGATACCAAAGTTCCAGAGCCAGTTGGACGCGGTGGACATGGACATGGCTTTAGCGCGGATATTGAGCGGGAAGATCTCGCCGGTGACAACCCAAGCAATGGGACCCCAGGTTGAGGCGAAGAAAGCAATGTAGATACAGACAAGAGCAATAAGTGCCTTCTGGCCGGCCTGGTTCTGAACGGAGATGGTGACACCGATAATAGCCACAAGGTACTCGCAGATGCACATGCCGACAGCGCCGACCAGGAGCAAACGGCGGCGACCGAAACGCTCAACACCCCACATGCCGGGAAGGGTCATGAACACGTTGACGATGTTGGTCGCAACAGAGATGAGGAAGGGGTCGTGGATGCCGGAGTTGGTGAAGAAGGTCGTGCCGTAGTAGAAGATAAAGTTAATACCGGTGAGTTGTTGCCAACTATAGTAATGTAATAGGTCAGGAAAAACCCATCGATATAAAGGAGGACACTTACCCTTGGATGAGAATGCCGGTCATAGTTCGGAAGAGGATCTTGTTGTGGCCAGACTTGAAGCAGTCGAGGTAAGAGCTTTCGCCAAGGGCGGTCTCGGCTTCCAAGTTCGCACGGATGTCATTGAGTTCCGCCTGGAGCTCTGGGTCATCTTGCGAAAGAGATGTGAGGCGAGAGAGCGCGACGGCAGCATCCGCGTCACGACCACGCTTCACCAACCAACGGGGAGACTAAAACACGGCCGTCAGACAATGTACTCCGACCTCTAAATTAAGACACGTACCTCAGGAAGCCAGAACATGCCAAACGCGAGGACAGCAGCCCAAACGAACTGGATGGCGATGGGAATGCGGTAAGCCGAGTGGTTGTCACGGTTCTGAGTCGCGTTGTTGACAACAGAGGCAAGCAGAAGGCCGATAGTGATAGCCCATTGATAGGCTGAGACGACGGCTCCACGAATCCATTTGGGCGAGCACTCGGACTGGTACATAGGGATGAGGGTGGAGACAAGGCCGACACCGAGACCCGCGAAGACACGACCGACGACGAAGAGAGCCATCCCGGTTGCGGCAGTCTGCATGGCGACACCGATACAGAAGACGAGCATGGAGAAGATGATACCCCATTTACGACCGAGGTAATCAGCGGCGGGGGCACCAAGGAGAGCACCTAAGCGAGTGTGAATGTCAGATCGAATAAGATTGGAATAAATAAGTAAATAAACTGACCAAAGAAGGTACCGGCAGAGAGGATGGAGACAACAAGGGACTCTTGCGAGGAGGTGATGTAGTAGCCCTTAGGGTAGGTGACCAAGTCAGTGGTTGGCGAACCGAAGGTGCGCAGCCAGTCCTTCATCTCCTTAATACCACTGATAGTACCAGTGTCATAACCGAAAAGGATACCACCAAAGGCGGCAAATGATGTCTGTGATGGGGGTTGGGTGAGGACGAAGGAAGGACAGAGGGGGGACAGAAGGGACAGACCATGAGAATGCCCGAGAGCTTTGACTTCGGGGCATTGGCGCCAATACCTGCACCGGTGGCAACGGGACCGCCTGCCATTATTGATTGAGTGGGTAGGAGAAGGATGTGAACGTGGTCCGCTGGGAAGAGGGGAGGTTTGGAACGAGGGAGAAGGGACCTCGACGCCCGCCTTTTATGCGACGCCCTCCAGCGACGACGCGACCGACGACACGGCGCAACCCAGCACATGCTTCGTCTGATTTCTGCCCCAAACGGGATCTCAGATGTCAACTTCCCCTGGGGACCCCGGGATCTACGGAGCTCGCCCCGGTGGGGTCAGTCCCGTGCCTGTTTCATCCCCGCCCCGCCCTTCTGCCCGCCCTGCTTGTGCGCAGAACGTCTCTTCCCCGCCGGCTAATACTTTCCTCTTCCCTGCCCATCTCATTCCCTCCCGCACTCCTCCCACTCCCTCTCCTCACAAAATTCTGGCATATCCTACCGCAGTCCAGCGTCGCCTTTCCCCACTTTCCCCAGAGGCACACTCACTTTTCCATCGATCCCCATCTGATACTGTCGCCCGCCGATCACTGCGCTGCGTGCCCCTCGTTTCTCGGCCGAGGCACCCAAGACATTGAGTATTACAGATTCAGTGGAGTCGCCTTGCCTCTCAGTACCCCTCCGCTTCTAAGCTCTCGTATCTCCGCATCCTCCAATCCATATTCCTGCCGCAGGCTGCTGTCCGCTCGGCACCAGTCTCACACCCCCCTTGCTCGCCTGTCCTCGACTTGAGCTGTCAGGGCCCGCTCTGCGTTCGTTCCGAATTCCGAACCGAGCTCGCTACACCCGCTTCCCGACACCTCCATAATGGAACAGATCCGGATCCGGGTCATCTCGCCCCGACGTTCTTGCTGCCAGCAGCTCTGCACCACCTACCACCTCTCGAACGTTTTTGCGAGAGCCTCCGCGTCATGACAAACACATGCTCGACGCCTCAACGGTGCGTGCCTCGTCGTTCGGAATGGCCGGCACGCGCTCCAACATTCCCTCGATTCCTCATCCGCGCAACATGACATGATTGCTATACAATTCACAGTTCTCTTGCAGAGCCTCTGGGTTCGATACTGTGTTGAGCCTCTTCTGCACGTTGTACCTCAATTTTGCGTCATACTCACGAATATATATGCATTTTCTTTGTCTTGTCTCTCGAGGATCCGATTCGGATGGACGCTGCGATCAGTGTCCGGTCCTGCAGGCGCAGACACAGCTGACAGTCTGTTGCCCCGCACCGCTTCGAGTAGAAAACAGACACGCGAGTACGCAGATTGCAACTGTTCCCGAATTGATATCGCCGGACCCCGGCAAGCAGCGGCGAGCGCGTTTGTTCCTCCCGCGTCGCGGTTCTCAGGAGTCAGGCCAGCGGTCCTGAGATGCCCTGAAAGTATCATCCGCTTTCAAGCTGCTTCATCGAGCTCATGGTCAGGTGCGCGCGCAGCGTTTGGCAACGATTCCGGTGTACAGCTATTATTCGAAGCCGCACTGCGACGCGCCTTCCCGCGAGCTTCTAAAAGTAAGTACCATACGGGTTCTGCGGGATCGGGCTTCGGAGCTTCTCAGAGGCTGCACGCAGCGAGAAGAGAGCCCGAGGGAGCCAAAGCGAGTCGGAAGCCGGATGTCGTCGCAGTGTCGTCGCCAACGAACCCCCTCTTTCCCCGCACGCCCCCCACACGACGCCCCGCAGTGCCCCGCATTTGATGCATGATGCCATGTGCTGTGCTTCGCCGCTTCGACTTCCAGTCCCCGCGTCCACATACATGAATAGACGTCATGCTTGTAGACCTCAGACTTGAATTGTAGCTATGTATTTGACTGGAGGAGCGTGCGAGAGCGTGCATTGATGACGGCACGCGTTCATCACCGGAGGATATCACCATCAAGCTCGAAATCGATTACCCTGGCGCTCTTGAAGCGGGGGGGCCGCGGCTTGCGGATCTCACTGCGAACGCGAACGCCGTCATCTGAATTCTTCCTGGTAGCCTTGCAAGCTAATAAAAGCGAAAACGGCAACGAGAAAAGAGCAAGAAACAACGGGCAAGATGATGATCCGCGCTGGCCCCGAGAAAGCGCGCAAAGTCTGATATCCTCGCGCACGATGAAACACGTCGAGCAGTCGCTGAAAAGTATCAGCGTTCTCTCCCTGCGCTCGAGACCATCCAGCGCTGTCCAGAGGCCCGACGAGACGTGCCGACTGAGACGTCGACCGCCTTCGATCACCAACAACTTTTTTTTTTTCCGCGACGCAAACCGTTTACGTATGCGCTCGAAACAGCGCGGTGCCAAGGGTCCCGATCCTACATGCAGCGCGTAAATATCGTCCGGAGCCGATGCGCGGCCCCAATTTGAAATGCCGCCGCGTCGGTGGGCTGGGCGCGAGGGGAAAAAACTGCGGGGCAGGTTTTTTTTTCGTGGATCGGAAGAAGGGTCGCGGCGGCAGTGGTTGGGCAGGGCGGGGGTGCGGATGCGGGGCTGCGGAGTGGGTGGGGTTGGATTTGGGGTTAATTGAGTGGGCTAGATCATCGCTGATTGGGGTGCGGAGGTGCGGCCGAGCCTGGTTGAGTGCGGGTGGGGGGCTGTGGGGAGATGGTCGATGACTTGGCTTGGGTGTGGGGCGGAGTGCGGGGTGCTGCAAGGCTGGCTTGTCCTGCAGCGGGTATAAGCGGGGCAGGATAGGGCGGGATGGGACAAGGCTAAACTGGGTAGATAGGGCGAGTATGGGGCGGCCGGAGCGGGAATGGCCTGGAAGTCGAAAGCGCGCCCGCCGCCCGCGATCGTTGCCGGGGCCTGACGTTGACGTTGCAGGGCGGGTGCAGAGGTTGTGGGGACTCGAAAGTGTATCAGACGTGCGGGCTGCGGCGCGCCGACTATGATGGATCAAAGGAAGAGCAGGACGGTGATGCGGTGTCCATAAACGGGAGCGTGAAGTACGCGTACACCTGGCGTTGACTGACGTTGAGCGGGCGAGCCAAGTGGTGCCAAACCATGGAATGTAGATGAATGACATCGGACCATCCACCGATTGCATCACTTGCCGTTATAACGTTAAAGGAGGCCAGAGGAGGCCTAGGATTGAAGAATGAAGCCGTGCGGAACATAGTGAGGGTGGGCATATCGAGCAGCATCACAATTCGTCATGGATGGCCAGCAGAACTTGGGATATGTACATGGAGATATTCGGCCGACACGACAAACGGACGTACAATGAGAGATGAGCAAGCACTGGTCGCAAATCCCGGACGTCTTCCAAACGGGTTTCTCTTCTTCCACGAGAGGAGCCGATGAGATTGAACGAAGGCGGCGTCAGCTCTAAACAATGATATAGTCCAGTCGGATTAAACTGCGCGCTCAGCAAGGTCGACATCTTTTTCGGGGGCACGGATATGAATCATGGGTGGAAGGTGCGTGACGGCGGCCATGATATACTGGGCGGATGGTTGTCAGTCGAGAAGCGTTAGAGCTGCAGGCTTGGGGTGAAAGAAGGTGGGTTGAGGGAAAGGAGACGAGGGGTAGGTACTCGAGTCAGGATGGTGTGAAGAACGGGAGGGGTGTGGGCACCGAAAGCTCCAGACCACAGCGATCGAACTTCAAATCTATAAATTCATGCCGTGCGTCCAGGGCCACCCTTCGGTCGAGGTGTGGTTCTTTGTCCCAAACCAGGCTAAAGCACTGCAGGAGGTTGGCCGCTGGTGGCGGCGAGCCAGAACGGAGGGCTCTCTGCGGGGTGGTCATGGGGTCAGGTGTTCCTAGAACTTAATTTGAAGAGACCATAGGACTATTTTAGGCTACAGACTATACAGACTGCAGAGAGCTGCAGGGGAAAGCGTGACTCCCCCTGATTTCCGCGCACAAGGTTCCTCGGTTCCTATGTGGGCTTGGCAGTGCGGGACCAGCGGTCGATGAGATCCTGTGGAAAAGACAACGGGTCAGGCGCATCTGCGTTTTCGCAGCCAACACATAACGAGACATGGGGACATCACATTGTCGTTCTAGATAGCTCAGGATAGCACAGAGTAACGTGTTTGGATGTGAATAGACACAGCGAGGCGCATTACTCATGTGCTGGAGGGTCTTTGGAGGTGCAGGCGAGGGAAAGAGCTACAGATTCGGCATCACGTCTATACTCGGGGATAGAACTAACTGATAAAGTAGATCGGTTCCATCACATATAGCGTGCTTGAAAGCGTCGAGGACAAACCAGCTGCCTCATCGAAGTTGTCATATGAGGGGCGTGTCCATTGGGGGCCTTCTATGGGCTACAGACTCCCACCGCGACGGCGCTTAGATGAGAGGTAGAAGTGACTTCTCTTCGCGTGGATATCCTTAGTCGAGGATGACTTCATACGTTCTTGCCTGGAGCTCACATGACCGGGTCGTGCGCAGACGCGAAAGAAGACAGCACTCGCGGCCCCGCCACCGGAGGTCTCGGTTAGTGCACGAGGATGTGTAAATAGACCAGACTTGCAAAAAATTGGGCTGTCCTTGCGCATCAGGCAACTCCCTGAGCATTGAGCGTCGCATCTCAGATCCCAGGGCTACAGAAACCGTCGTTCGCGGAAAACACATGTCCAGCGCTTGTGGCCGTCGGTGACACATACTGGACGAGCAGAAATGATCGGACGCGCGATCACTACGGGATCATGATTTTGCGAGTTGCAACGCGCGAGGAGTTTCCGTTCTCTGACCTGCTGTAAGATCGATGCGGTTGTATAAGAGAAGAGAGTTAGCGTCATTGGTAAATGCATAGCGTGGTATGCTGTAATTCTTAGAAATGACAATGGATCGGATGTCTGTTCGCTGACTGGTGATGGCTACGCAACGAGGGACGCATGGAGCAGAACGTGGCTGAAGAAGACTGGTGGGTGAGAGAAATGTGGTAGAATGTGGTTCGCATTTGCCTTTTTGCCGTGGAGAAAATGATGGGATGCGCGTGATTTCGGATAGGCTGTGTCATTACTGGAGTGGTGATCAGGGCGGCTTGCCTGAATAAATCATTGAGCGAGAAAGTAGGCTTGAGATGATCTACTGATCACCTGGATAGAAAGGAAAGAGGATCCTTCGAGATTGTAAAAGATGTGACAAAATGTCCGGTGGATACGAGGCACTACATTCATATACCAGGACAATGAATGTCGGTGCGTTGCAAAGGAGCACGCGTTGTTGGTCTTCGCCACGACCTTCAATCATTGAGACGTTGGCAGGTACAGCACGATCATGCAGCTGGTGCCAGCGCTCGGCGCCAGCGATGTGGCAAGAACGTGCAGTGGGAGAGTGAGCAGGTTCCGAGGCGGCCCGAGCAGAGACCCGAAGAGCCCCGATCTCCGAATTTTTGAGTGTCGCCGCTTGTAGAGTCCGCTCAAACTTGTTGAGCACCCTTCCACGCCCTCCTTCCTCATTGCAACACTTCATCATGGGACAAACCACATCTATCCCTCAGGCGGCATCCAGCTTCTCAAATTCGCAGTCTGGCGCATGCCCAGTCCCGCACACGGCTGCAAAAGACACAGCGGGTCCCGCACGCTGTCCAATCGACCACGCCTCTGCCTCATCACCACCGCCGTCTGCATCATCCTCAAGCGCAAGCTGCCCAGTTCAACACTTACCCCCCATTTCCACGGCTGTGTCCGCTCCCGCTCAATGTCCCATCCACGTCGACGAGCTCGATCCGCGCAACAACCTCCCAAAGCTCTCACAGTCCCCTGCGCCTTCCCAAACCATGGACCTTCCGACCGAGCGCGAGACCTCCTCGATTCCCCGCGACGCCGCCGGTCGCTGGGAGTACCCCTCGCCTCAGCAGTTTTACAACGCGCTCGTGCGCAAGGGATGGGAGACTCCCGAAGAGCATGTCGAGACTATGGTGCAGATACATAACTTCTTGAACGAGATGGCGTGGGACGAGGTGAAGCGGTGGGAGGATCAGGTGAACAAGTGAGTGTCAACGGCGCATGTCAGTGGTGCACATATCAGTACACACGTGTGTGCATGCATTGCAATTGCTGAACTGTGTATCAGGAGTGAGGATCTGCAGCTCGTCAAGTTCAAGGGCCGTCCAGGCGAGCTCTCCCCGAAAGCACGCTTTTGGCTCTTCGCAGGCTGGCTGCTACCTATGCGATTTAAGTACGTCCTCAATTCTCCTCTCCTCGCCAACTTTTAACTCATGTTAATCCAGCAACGAACCTCCATTCGACCGACACGATTGGGTCGTCCGCCGACCCTCGACGGGTGAGGAGGTGCGCTACGTCATCGACTACTACAGCGCTCCGCCGCTCTCCGACGGATCCCCCGTGTTCTCGCTCGACGTGCGCCCGGCGCTCGACAGTGTCAGTAGTATCGGCATGCGTATACGCGCTGCGACTGAAGGCATCTGGAAGGATGCGCGCGAGGAGGGCCGGATGTGAGGTTGCATCGGGTCAGGACGCCTTCGCGAGGATTCTAGACGTAGACGTTGTTTGATTTGCATGATCTTTTCGCGGCTTTTCATCCCCCCACTCTTGCATAGATGGATTTGCTTTTTGAGTTGCATGTTGCAAAAGTACTACAATATCTTATATTTCAATTAACCTTCGTAGATTTCCAGAGAAGCTGGGCTTCACCCGAGAACATACGTACAGACTGCAGATCCAAGCGCAGGATCACCGTTGAGAGATATATCGGATGGTCTGTTTATGCGATCTACAAAGATATCTACTCACCGATGAAACGGTGAACTTGGGGGCAAACGGTTCGAAGCGTTAAGATGGAATAAGGTCGGAAGGAGTGATGAAGAGAACTATACCAGTCTTCCAACCAGGCTTCATGAGATTGGGGCACAGTTGAAGATGTCAATTCAACTACGAAGTGACAATTCGCTTTTATATTTGGGATGGTCAAGTAAGCATACAGCCCTTGAAGCGGCGTCGTGCAATAAGAGGATGCTATACAACGTTAGGACCATGATCGACGGGAGTGGGGCGGGTCCGATGGACGATAAGGGGAGGACTAGTTTTTTCTATGCAGTGCATGAAACTCAGAGCTTCTGTTTATATGCGTCGGAGTGCGCTTTGCTGAGGTATCAAGGTGCACACTCTGAGCGACGTTCAAATCACATACAAATACAGCGTTGATCGTTGTTTACAGGCACACTTGACTCTGCTTCTACTCCCCGAGGCAAATGTCAGATCACGACTGCAGAGCATCTCAAAACCCTCTACGCACTCTTACCCTCCTCTTCGTGGAATTTAAGTGATATAGAATTGACGCAGTGACGCTCGTCGGCTGCGGGATAATAAATAGTGAGATATACGCATACCAGGGTTGTGGAAGGGGTCGGACGTACTGGGGGTATTGTATCTTTCTCCCTTGAAGACATGACCGAGGTGACCGCCGCAGGCTGTGCAGGTAATTTCTATCCGGGTCATACCGTACGAGCGGTCTTCGTGTCTAGATACCGCGCCCGGTATAGCTTCAAGAGGGCGAGGCAAAAAGAGCACCGAGTCGGAAAGAAGGCACTGAGAGATTTCAGGAAGAACAGACCGTCAAAAAAGGCTGGCCAGCCGCAACCACTGTCAAACTTGGTCGTGCTCTTGTACAGAGGGGTGTTGCAACCCGCACACGAGTAGACACCCTCATCTTTGAGGTGCTCGTACTCGCCAGTACCCGCAGGTTCAGTCCCCTTCTCACGGAGGACACGGAACTAGATAGCTGGCAATCAGATTTCGGAATGACTGATAGATCGATATGATGTCCATGCCTGCTGTGGAGAGAGGATTGCACGCCATTCCGCATCTGATCTGACCTGAGATGAGTCGGCCATGTTTCTGGAGATCACGAATTTGGGATGTAGGGAGACTAAACGGGCTGAGAGAGGAGACCCGGGTGTTCTTGTGCAGATGCGGGACTTGGAAAAGGCCTTATATATATTTCGGCAGCACAGGCTCATCAAGCGACCTGTTCGTGCGTGTGGAGACCGCGTCAGCCACTGAGCAAGCGGGTGATGCAACCCAAAGTCACGCCCTCGCATCACGGGAGGATCGGGATCACATGATATGCCGAATGTTTTCGAAGATCTCGCTGGACTCTATCCTTCTGTCCTCGTCGTCGTCGACCACGTCTCTGAAAAACATCTCAAAAATGCTCCCTCGTAACCTTCGTCGTGCCGTCCCCGCTCCCTCTGCATTGCGCGCAGCCGCACATGCACAGCGCCTGGGCCATGCGTCACCTTTCCGGATACACTCTGCCCTCTCCTCCGCAACTGTGTCTGTGTCTTCTTCCCAGGGGTTCCATTCGTCTGCACACAGGAAGAACGAGCTTCCAAAATCGCCTTTTCAAACGTTTGTGGACGTGTTGAAGGACGAATTGAGGAAGAATAGAGAGCTGCAGGACAACGTAAAGCAGCTTCAGGGTGATGTGGACAAGTTCCAGGACTCGGAGGCCATGAAGAAGGCGAAGGCGGCATATGAGCGGGCTCGGGTGCGTTTGTTATCATTGCTGCTTCAACAGAAAATCGTGTCTTATGCCCATTCATTTGAAACAGTTGACGTCGAGCATAAAAGAGAACCCACGGTTGCGTGCGGCAGCTGAGGACTTGCGAAAGCGTGGTGTCAAGGTCGGAGACGCCGTTGGAGAGGCGTTGAAGTCTATGGAAGAAAGCGATCTTGCTCGTGCGGTATGTGACTTGTTTACTTAGGCTATCGTGTTGAGTCGACGGTCCGCGTCACAGATTTCCCGGGCATCTGCGGCCGTCTCCTCCACCATCGCGTCGACAACAGAGCCCATCCGAAACACAGCAGCGTACAAAGTACTTGCTGACACTGTTATAGATGCGCTCGATGATTCGGGCACTGCGAAACATGCCGGCTTTGAGGAGAAGGAGGCGAGGCGGAAGAGGCGGCAACTTCGTCTCGCCAAAGCTGGTAAGGAGGGTCGGATGAAACAGCGTGTCTCCGCAAATGCCGAGTGCGTCCACCATTCAGAGAATACATCGTCCGCGCTATACATAACTCACAGCTGACGTGGAACAAATCACGTAGAGCAGGCTCAGCCCTTGTCCTCCACGCCTCCTCCCCTCGACAGGAGCGATGGCAGAAGCTCAAAGAGACGAATCCTATCCTGCGATATTTCGGCGAGCTCAATCAGTCGTATCAAGAGTCGGAAAACCCAGCAATTATATCTTTACGCTCCGTCACGTCGACCATTGGGTCATGGTTCGACGAGAACGAGACAGCTCAAGTTATGCGTATGATGAAGGCATTAGACCCGACATTCAGCATGGAATCATTCGAAAGAGAGCTACGAGAATACATTGTGCCGGAGGTTGTTGACGCGTTTTTGAGTGCAGATCGAGAATCTCTAGGAGCGTGGTGTAGTGAAGCGGTATGTATCTGCGGTTGCGTCTCTTCACGTGACGAGAAGATTGACCATGGGCACTCTTTGATGCAGACATATAATGTGCTCTGGGCCACAATGGAACAGTACCTTCGCCAAGGGCTCATATCCGATTCGAAGGTGCTGGACATTCGCCAAGTCGACGTGTCCGCTGGCAAGATCCTAGAGAACAATATCCCCGTGTTTGTGGTTACGTTCGCGACGCAGGAGGTGATGCTGTTCAGGAATGCGAAGACACGAGAAATTGTGGTGGGTGCAGAGAACAAAGTGGAGCAGTGTCATTATGCAGCCGTCATCACGAGGGTGGAGGAGGGCCTAGACGATGAGTTGACTGGCGGATGGAAAGTTGTGGAGGTGTGTCCTACTCCATCTTGCACTGTATAAGTGCTCAAGGGGCTCTTTTGTCAATTCACAGATGGCGAGGCGTTCGGCGCGGGCATATCTCTAGGCTACGCAACCAACGATGATCTTGTGTGATCCGGATATAACGTCCTTCGATCTTTAAAAGTTTTCGCTCAAATCTTCTACGATATTAGACACCATCCTCATCTCTGACCCGTACCTTCCGGACCTACGCACGCCAGATTCATAACCACCACTCGGGATATATCTTACCTGCTCCATAGTCTGATTTGACGTTTTGAAAACGTTCAGGATAATTCACGCTTTCAGGTTACGGCATGACAGGATGCGCCGAGATGGTCAATGATCTTGTTTGCTCGATGGATATTTTAGACATATTCAGGTAATTTTCATTTACTTCATTCCTCCGGTTCGTCGCTAAAAGGTGGAGGAATTATGTGAGCTAGTAAGGAGTTAAATGATGCAGGGTGTAATCAAGAGCAGAGCAGCACAAGCATAAAATGGAACGTACATCACAATGCATAACATGGGTGATGGAAAGGGTAGCGAGATAGAGGATATCGATGAGTCTAAAGACCTTCCATGTTCTGCACAAGTTCGTCGAGCTCAGCTTTCGATGTGCGGTATTTCTCTTGTGCTTCCTGAAAAGATGCATGATATATGTTAGTGAGCACGATAGCGGACGGTGAATCGGTAAGTTGCGTTATGCAGTAGAGGGAGGGCACGCAAGGTCAAATCTCGTACCTCGTATTTCTTCTCCCACTGGTCCCGTTCCTGCTCAGCGCGCTGTAACTGCCGTTCGAAATGTTCTGCCTTGACATCAACCTGTCGAAGCCTGCATGGTGTCGCAGTGTCATCAGATTGTCAACTCCGATCACAATCGTACGCTGCCACGCACTTCTCTACCTTCTCCTTCGCGTTTTTCTCTTCAGCATCGAGCTCCTCCTCGAGTAACTGGATCTTTCGTTGCAGACTCTCCATCGTGGTCTTGCTCTGCTCGCCCTCCTCCTGGGAGATCTTCGCCTCGCTCAACTTGGCCTCAGCCTTCTCAAGCTCGCCATCAAGAATGGTTAGCTTGTGTTGCAAAGACACAATTTCTTGGTCTTTCTCGAGGATCGCCTGCTCTAACTTCTTATTCTTCGCTTCTGCGTCCTCTGCGCGAGCCACGGCATTGTCGGCTTCGGTGCGCAAAGACGAGAGTTTCTGCGACATCGATCAGGTATCAGAGATCCGAAAGACGGAGGAAGAATCCAACCTCTTTGATCTTCTCCATGGATGCAGAAGAAAGGAAGGTGGGGACGAGGATGAGGTTGGAAGGGGTTTGGGCAAAGGTAGGTTATTACGGAAGTACTCGAGTCGTACGGTGTAAGCGGAGCTCGAACACTGTGGTAGCCGTGAGAAACCTGATCTTTAAGAAGACCACGTGATTATTCCATTTCGTATTGTGGGTCCGTCCTCTCGTCTTGCTCTTCTCGGTTTGCCGACAACCTCTTCATCTTCAACACTCACCGCAGGATGACAGCTCCTGTGCCTCAGGAAGGTGGGTAGTGTGGTTTATCGGTTGATTTTGGTCTTCGACGGTTCGCCTTGCAGAACTTTCGATCCTTGAGGCGGTCATCAAGTAAGCATCGCTTGCCCCCCCGAGTCGTTTCCTCGACGCGCCCCTCATCGATCGCCGTTTAGTATCCGAAACCGCTTGACGGTACTCAAGAAGGACAGAGGGGACTATATTAAAGCATCGGATGTCAACAGCTTGTACCAAGCGACCATCAAGCAAGGTCAGCCCCTTAGGCTTTGCAATGACTCCCCTCCTTGCTCACTGTCTCGCTGACTCTCTTACCCTCTGATGCCTGTAGTCACCAAGTTGAACGACGTACGCGACGATGATACGTCCCACAACAACCGCTTGGACACGACGCTCGCAGATATCTTCAATCTGCTCTCTCTATTCTTCCTGACTATCGGGAAGACCAAAGAGGCCCCCGCCACTTACTCTCAGCTGGCTAGTATGCGGGTGAGTATCTCGCTCTTCCAATTTTGCCCCGGGCCCTTGCTGTGACTCCGCACGATGTTTCACCCGAGGGCATAAATAGATTTAGGAAGGGCGTGGGCACCCTTCCGAAGCCCCCTGGAGCATTGGCAGCGGTCCAAGCACGCATCATGCCACAATGCTCTTCTCCGGTGCTCCGCTGACCCGTTTGTTTTCGAAGCAAATACTTGAGCATATGAACGAGTCGGCCATATACAACGAATCCGACCTCGCACCGTTCCACCGACGCCTGGGCGAGCTACGCAACATTATAAAGCATGACGCAGAAAGCGGCAAGCATCCCGAAGCTATGACGAAGCTGCTCGAGCGGCAGCTCAACGAATGTTGTGCGTCTTCGGATTCCCATGCCGTATGCATAGGCCGGAAGGCATTGCCCGGTTTGCGTTCTCCACAAACTTACGGTGCATTTTGTCTCCGTCCCATTCAGATAGCATCTTGCAATCCCTTCTCGAATCTCTTTCCATTCTCTCGGTCGAACTCATCCCGATACATGAAAAACTCGTGAATATCCGGCGGAAGCTAGTGGCCCTCGCCGCAAAGCAAGGACCACATAAGGCCGAACTAAAACCTCTTCAAGAGGAATTACGAAAAATTGACTCGTTGAGTACACGTTTGTTGACTTCATGTATGCATGTACCACTCATGTGCCTTTCTTGGCGCTTGTTTCTTTCCCCTTTCCCCATTGTATGACGCCGATCAACCCACTCGTGTGACTCATGTTTGTCTTGGTGCCCACAACCGTTCCGTATGTAGTAAACGCGTTGACGGCAAGTTCCTCGGACCCGGAGGCATGATCCCAGCTTCGCAGGCTATCTGCTCCTCACTTTTAGAGGAGTGCTTCGACATTGCGCAGGAGATACGTGCACAAGAGGAGTCTAAACACGTGGCTACCTCGCTCAAGCCTATACACGACCGCTTACTCGATCTCCGCGCCGAGCTTGAAGGTCTTGCGTTGACACACCGCTGGAGCCTCCGCGAGACGGACCTGTGGAACTATTCGCTTAGTCTGCAAGAGATCGACAAGATGCGGGTCGATGGGAAATTCATGGACTCTGAGGGAAATCAACCCGCGGGGCAATATGTGGGTGACCTGTTTGAATTGATTACATGTACTCATGAGGTATACAGGTCTTGCTTTACCTTCTTCGACGATGTTACGGTGTCATCTACCGTCTCCTTTCGTCTAGCGAACCCGTGTCCGAAGAGCTTATGCCTGTGGTATGTCCTGTCGATGACTCCCTCCCTTTTTTTTGTTCACAATTCATTGTTCAGGCGAATAAGCTGTCGACCGTCAAGAAATGTTTGAACGAAGTCCTCAAATACGGTGGACCCTTTAGCCCGCGAGACTTGTATCCTGTGCGTGTTGTGTTTCGGCTCATTGACTAGTCTACATCATGTTCGCTCTCTGTGACTTCATTTCGCTGCGTACGTGCTACAATGCACGCATAGAGGCGCGCATAGGTCATTCACACAGACATGTACTGATAACTGTCGCCGCGTGTATAGTATCAGCTAGCGCTGTACCAGATCGACTCGATGCGCAAGGATGGCAAGTTTGTTGGCGTGGATGGGTCGGTGCCAGAGGGGCAAGGGATAGTCATGGCCCATCTGAATGAGTGCCATGAGCTCCTAGAAATGGTGCGACTCCTCATCTTCACAAGATTTCACAGTGTCCACTCAGCACCATTGACATCGTATCCATCTGTATATCTGCAGTTAAAGCAGTCCATGGACGAGCACGAAGAAGAGGAAGACTCTACCGAGGACGATGACACCAATACGTTCGACCCCGACTCGACGGTCACGTCAGACGGGGACACCTAGCGGGCCTGAATTTCTGCGATCCTTCCCGCCCGTTCCTCGTCATATCAACCTAGCGCTCCATTTTCTTCTCCCGTGCTATATCCGTGTATCGTTACAAATCTGCGCTGCCTCCTTTTCTCCTCGTCGAGTTTACGGACTAGAGTGTTCATATGCATAGCGGAAGGATCGCAACTCCCAAACCCGTGGTGTCTTTCACCTTTTATCTTTCACCTCGCCCTCCTCTCTCCTCGAAAATCGCACTCTTGCCGCTGCCTCCATCGCTTTCTCCTTTCCTTGAAGATTCAGTGCTTTCCTGCTGCACAAATATGCTACTATGTACTTATGAATGATTGTATAGATTTTCGGATTGTAGAGCCTCGAAGCTCGTATCATGGACCATTTCTCATTCTGCCTCGATGCCGCAGCCGGAGATCACCTTGACCGATCGCTTTCATCAAATTTGCCACAATAGTGTGAAACATGGTCACATACAACACCTTCTCATGGCTACGTCGTGTTCAAGGACGTCTACGCCCTTCTGGGGCGAACGGGACGATTTCGAGATATGCTGAAGTCCGACCAAAGAAGACAATCTAGAGTGCGCTCTAGCCTGATTTACAAATGACGCACATTGATACCTCGACTTCGCGCTTCATCATACCGTCGCACACCAGTGCAGTGAGCAGACAAGAAAAAAGAGACGTTATGTATTTTGTGTCTGTCATCGCACGTCAAGACGTCGACCTTCCGACGGCTCACAGCAGCGAAGCGAGGTAGAATACACCATCTAAGCAAACTGCGCAACGTGCTCCTCGACAACCTTCTTGATCTGAGCCTCGACCTCGGGGGTGACGTTGCCAGTGGCGATCTTCTCGAGGAGGGAGGTCTGCTGGGCAGTGAGGTGTTCACGGAACTCGGCTTCCCATTTGGTGATCTTGTCGACAGGGATGGAGTCAAGCTGATAGGGATCGCGGAGATTCAGCGGTGGTAACTGGACAACGGGCCAGAAGTACTCACGAGACCGTTGACACCAGCGTAGATGATGGGGACCTGGATTTCCATAGACATGGGCTGGTACTGACCTTGCTCTATGAAATGAAGACTGTAAGATCATACATATCATCATAAAGTAAATGAAAAAAAACTCACTGAGGAGCTCGGTCAAACGGGCACCACGAGCGAGCAGGAACCGAGTGGAGGCATCGAGATCGGAACCGAATTGGGCGAAGGCAGCAACCTCACGGTACTGGGCAAGGTAGAGCTTCAACGAACCGGCGAACTTCTTCATGATCTTCCTGTAGACGCATCGAGCTTAAGTGACGTCATCGCGTGAAAAATCACCAATGCAGATCTTACGTCTGCGCAGCGGAACCGACACGGGAGACCGAGAGACCGACATTGATAGCGGGACGGACACCACGGAAGAAGAGCTCGGCCTCCAAGAAGATCTGACCGTCAGTGATGGAGATGACCTGCAGGATGACTGTCAGCAAGAGATGAATATGTCAGAGGGGATGACAACGCACGTTGGTGGGGATGTAAGCGGACACATCACCGCCCTGGGTCTCAATGATAGGCAGAGCAGTGAGGGAACCTCCACCGAATTTCTCGCTCATCTTGGCAGCACGCTCGAGGAGACGAGAGTGGAGGTAGAAGACATCACCAGGGTAAGCTTCACGACCGGGGGGACGACGGAGCAGGAGCGACATCTGACGGTAAGCGACGGCCTGCTTCGACAAATCATCGTAGATGATAAGTGCTGTTGAAGTATTCAACCGCAGGTACAGTGACTTCATTTCAAGCTACAGGCTTACCGTGCTTGCCATTGTCACGGAACCACTCGCCCATGGCGCACCCAGAGAAAGGAGCGAGGTACTGGAGGGGAGCGGCCTCCGAGGCGGTCGCAGCAACGATGATGGTGTACTTCATCGCGTCATTTTCCTCAAGAGTCTGAACGAGCTGAGCGACGGTGGAACGCTTCTGGCCGATAGCAACATAGACACAGTAAAGCTTCTTGTCCTCGTCCTGACCGTCGTTCCACCGCTTCTGGTTGAGAATGGTGTCGATGGCGACGGCGGTCTTGCCGGTTTGACGGTCACCAATGATAAGCTCACGCTGGCCACGGCCGATGGGCACCATGGCGTCGATAGGCTTGATACCCGTCATCATGGGCTGGTTGACGGAGCGACGGGGGAGAATACCGGGAGCCTTGAGGGACGCACGGCGACGCTCAGCGGCCTCAATGGGGCCCTTGCCATCGATGGGATTACCGAGGGCGTCGACGACACGGCCAAGGAGGTTGGGGCCGACAGGAACGTCGACGATCTGGCCAGTACGCCTGACAGTATCGCCCTCCTTGATGAGACGATCGTTACCGAAGATGGAGACACCAACGTTGTCGGCTTCCAAGTTCAAGCACATGCCGCGGACGCCGGAAGAAAACTCCACCATCTCTTCGGCTGCAAGGGTGAAGCAAAAGGCGTCCGTTAGAACGACCTGTGGAGTCAGCGCAGAAACCGAGCGTACCCTGCACGTCTTTGAGACCCCAAACGCGTCCAATACCGTCACCGACGCCTGTAAAGAATTATGAAAAAATGGAGGCGAAGGGGACAATCTGACAGAACGTACTGAGGACGCGACCAGTCTCCTCAATATCGCTGCCAACGGAAGAGCCAGCTATCCGAGACTCTAAGATGGAAGAAACCTCCGAGGCAGCTGAAATGACGTGTCATAGAGGATGAGTGTTCAAAGTCGGGGGACAGTCGCCGGGGTAAGCGCAAGGGCAGGACCCAAACTTGAGCGCAGAAACGGGAACGAAACTGGACAAGAGCACGTACCAGCCTTCGCGGTAGCATATGAGCGTGCAACCGAGGGTGCGACGCGAGGAGCGCTCTGATTTTGGTGCATTCGTGAGGAAATCACAGGGGAAAAAACAGCGTCAAAAGGGGACCGACCTTTGCGGTTGCGGCGAGCGCAGCGGCACGGCCAGAGTTTCTGAGGGCGAATCTGTGCATGGGAGGGAGGGGGATGGGGAAAAAACGGAAAGACTGAGAGGAGGTGGACTGAGCGCGCTTCCGGCTGTCCGCGACACTTCAACGCTCAGCTTCGGGCGGAGATCGAATCTCTTCCGACGACGCCCGCTTATGTACTCCGCTGTACGCACACAACACACGCTCCAGCAGTCAGCATGCTCCCTCGCCGTACGTCCCCTCTCTCCCCCTCCGTCCCTTGCCCTCCCGCTCACGTCTTCGCTCCTAGTGTCCTCGCTGCGGGCAGCAGTGCGCTCGCTACACACCCACGCGAGCCCCGTCGCGAGCCCGTCCTCGACCGCGACCGCCCTCGCGCTCATCCGCTCACAGCCGAACCAATACGTGATCGCCTCCATAGCAGGCAGAAAATACCTCCTCTCCCCCCGCGACCTCCTCACCGTCCCCCGCCTCAACGACGCGAACGTCGGTGACGTCCTCTCCCTTTCCCAAATACACGAGATCGGCTCCCGCGAGTACACCCTCCGCGGAAACCCAGACATCGCACCCGATGCCGTCTCCGTCGAGGCTACCGTCGTCGAGCACACAAAGGGCAGGATGGAGCACATATTCAAGAAGAAGCGTCGAAAGGGTTACGAGAGGACGATCAAGCACAAGCAGACCTACACGCGCCTCAGAATCGGTCCCATCGACATTTGTTTGAGTCAAGAGCCATCGTCGTCGTCACCTCCATCGTAGTATTTCATGTTGAATGCACATTTTCAGGAAATGAGGCGTGCATTACATCTCAGGCAGCACGCATAGCAGAATAAGACCCATAAAAAAAATCAGATTTCTCCCTCTTCTGGTGTCTCTGCACGAACTGATGCGGGTGCGCGCTCGGGGGGTCGTTCTTCCGCCTCCTTCGGTGGTGCATCGCCGTCTCGCTCATACCTCGGCCTCTGCAAATCGGAAAACAGTAAGCTGACAAACGACAGATACGATATGAACATATACATCCCTTTTCTGCTCGATCCTCTGGTTTCTCGTCAAACGCTACTTCTCTGGACCGTCTCCTCCTGTCCTCGCGGTCGTGCTCCCTGTGGTGTTTGGTCGTGCCTTTGTACCCAGCGTGCCGATCCCGATCCTTCTCCCTGTGCTCGCGATCCCAGTCCCGCTCTCGCTCACGTTCGCGAGGATGGTCTCTCGTAGAACGGTGGTACGTGTCGGTCTCTTCGTGGCCGTGATGGCGGTACCGTGAGCCACCTCGTTCGCGATCATAGTCGCGATCTCGGTCTCGGTGTTCGCGGTCCCGTTCTTTCTCGCCGCCTTTCTCGGCGCCCTTCTCACGTTCGCGCTCCGGTTCGCGGTGCGGCGGCACCTCTTTGCGTTTTCGGCTCGTGGTTGACCCGCCGTCCTCCGAGATATCGCGTAGCCGTTCCTGCAAATGAAGGGACAACGGCTTCAGTCAAGTATCTCTACTATTGATACACGAGTGTGACCGCACCTTTTGCCGCTTGATGAATTTTGCGAACGCGGCACGCCTGCCTTCGTCATCGAGGACTTTGTATTCCGGAAGTCCATCGATGAGAGGGACCGCCTGTAATATTTTGAGTCATGATACGAACAAACACGAACTGACGTTGTGAACACGCACCTCTTCGTACGACATGTTGACGTCAATTGCATCGGGCAATTTCTTTATGGCATACCTCAAGTCATCTTGCATGTGTCGCTGCTTGCGCTCTGCGCGACGTCGCTCGTCCGCTTGCTGCTTGACAGCCTGATCGCGCAGCTGTGAAGTGATGAGAAACGCACGTTCAGAGACGACCTTCTCTGGAAAGATGCGCGTGCCACCCACAGTTTTAAACACCTCCTTCATATCCTGCTCAGTCAACTTCGTGAGAGCCTCGTCGACATTGTCTTCGAGGACCTTCACAAACTCCTCTTCTGTCGTCTCAGAAACAACAGCAAACAACTTTGGCCCTTCTTTTCCTGCATTGTCCGGACGAGCCTCTTTTTCGCCCTCGCCCTCCTTCACGCCAGTGGTCTGGATGGACTTCGCGTGCTCGGCCTCAAGCTTGACGTTGTGTCTCCTGATGGCCGATTCGGCGATGGCAATCTTCGAATCGAGTTGCTGATCTAACTCGTCGACAATGTCCCAAAAGAGTTCGATGGGGTTCGAGCCGGGCTTTCCGAGCAGGTCGAGGTAGCGAGTATCAGTAGAAAATAAGGGATAGACGGACTTCCATTTCGACCGCGCAGTGATGCGACCTGCAGCCACTAGATCCTTGAGCAAACCCTGGAAGGAGAGAAGACAATTGACTTAGGATAGAGGGATCGACGGACGTTGACTGGCAGGTGGGCAACGCACCTTGAACCCCTCTCGCGCCTTTCGCTCCTTGCGCGTCTTCTCAACCTGCGTCCTCCGCATCTGCTCCTCGAACTCTCGTTCTTGCACGCGGCTGTAGTCCTCGAAGGCAAGCAGGATATCAAGATTGGGCAGGGTCTGAAGATCCTCGTCGTCCCTCCATTGTTCCGATTCCAACACGAGCGAGTGCGCGTCGCGCCATCGTGTGAGTACATCCACTTGTAGCTGTTTGAACAACGCGACCAGCTTTGTGGTAGCGCGGCTGCGCGCAGCACGGGCCTCTTGCTATCGTCGAGACCGGGGATCAGTAACACAATATACATAATTGCGTGCAGGAACATGATCTAACAGGGAAACGGGGAGAGAATAAACGGTGAACGCACCACATCGCGCTGTTTGAGTTCGGTCACGTACTCTTCAAAGATCAGCCTCCGCTCTGCCTCAATTTTCGCTTGTTGCCAAATGGGATGCTGCGCAAAGAGTCGGTCCGCTGTGGGAAAGGTCGTGTAATGGAAGACGTTCGGGTTGCCCTTGAGCATGTTGCGAATCGCAGGCCGAATCTTGGCGAGACGCGCTTCTCGCTCTTCATGCTCTTTAGCTTTGAGATTGTCGACATACTATACACGACGCGTCAACGAACTGTGTCGGCGACGTGCAAAACACCGTTGAATGTCTACCTTTTGCCATGCCGCTTTCTTCTCGGCAAGAGTATTTAAGGCCTTGTACAATGGATCCGTGATGATCGCGCGCATGGTCTGATCCCAAGTCCAGTTCGCGTCGATACCTGCCTTTCTGAGCAGATATGTGAACGCCTTCTCACCCTCTTCTACCGTTACGAAGCCATTATGAGGAATCGTCGGCTCGTCCGGTAGGTTGGGACGCGGCGGCAGGACGGAGGTCGCGTGGAACGGAAGAACGGCGGTGCTTTGCCCGTTGAGCTGCTCAGAGCTTGCGTCGGAGCCAAGCGTGACGAGGGCGTTGGATTGGGACTGCGCACCTCCGATAGGCGTAAAGCCTGGAGTAATCAACAACGGGGCGCCACTGATGACTGTAATTTCAATTACAACCGCCTATAGAGTTAGGGAAGGGACGCACGGTGCAGGCGCAGCCGGAGGTGCAGCCTTTCCTTCTTTCTCCACTTTCTCGAGAATGAGCAACAGCTCATCCGGCATATCCCATTTTGACTCTTTTGTTTGGGTCTACAGGGGCGTCAGAGCCTCCAAACTTTTGAAATAGGATGGGAGACTAACGTTGTAATAGTACTTCCTTCCCCCAGAAAAGTACTCTTTCCAAGACGTCTGATTGAGAGCGCGCTAGCGAAAAAGAGTGGTCAGGTGTGTCGAAGACTATGGAGAATTATCTTCATACGAACCTCGAATGGTGACTTCAAGTCTGTGGACAGGCTGTAAGAATATCTGTGCACACAATGTGCGACCATACGTACCATCTGGTTTCTCCCATACGCTTTCTCTGGTGCCGGTATTGAACCAATAGGTTCGACCTTCTGGGTTTCTGTGCTCAGTCTGATAAGAGTGAATAAGCGCTCGGGATGTAACAGAGTTCGTCGAATACTCACCCACATGTTGACCAGTAGTTCCTCGAAAGCTGGGGATGCAGAGGTGAGGCCACCGGGACTACTGGGCTTTCAGTCGGAGTTCGTTTTTTCCTTCATTTTGATAAATTATCGTCACACTTCGTGACACCCATCACAGGTAAGTAGCTGTAAGTAGACGCGAACCCGGACGCATGGAATCACGCTTTTCTGAACATTCAAATCAGTATACGGAGAGATTCTGCTAGTAAATGCATGGAGCTCGAAGTATACTTTAAAAGTAACTTAGTAGTAAAAGGCTCTGATCAGGTATGTTACGTCGGCCTCCAGAACAACCCCGAATGGGTAGAGCATCTCACTGTACATTGCTTCATCTTTCGTGTGGATGCCAAAACTCAAAGCGCTCAAAGGTCATTCGGATGACGATAGAACAATTTTTTAGGAGCATCGATCTGCAAATTGATCTCTGAAGTATCACCCAGCACGATGAAAAGATAGACAGCAGACGGATAGAGTGAAGGATATCAAAGAAAAAAGGTACGTCGAGTTGTTTCTAGCTCCGGCTGGATAGGCAACGAAGGATCAGGTATGAAACACGGGAGTAGTCGCATTGTACACACCTTCCATATCCACTGGAACTCGGCTAACTTTTGGGGTGCCATCTTTTCTGCCGCTTTCTGCATGTTTTCCGCGCTGTCGGCATCGGCATCAGAGGCATTATCACCAGAACCATCTTCTGGTGCAACAGTTTCGTCTTTGCTCTCATCTTCGTCAAAGACGTCAAATTCGAGCGGTTGAGGCATTTCGGCTAGGTTTCGGACTGCCGGGAGACCTTTTTTCATCGAGCGCAGCTTCAAAGTGAACCGCGGGCCAATCTCTTGGAGTGCGACCTTTTCAGGTGTGCGGAAAGCGTATCTAGTAGACGTTATTACAGAGGAAGAACGTGTAATCAAGTTCAAAAGATAACACACCGATGACGCCTGAAAAACAAGAAATCACGTTGATTGTGAAGTGTGACGACTTGTCGACCTTGGAATTCTGGCAAGGGCGGAAAGTAGGTCTGGAACATCCTTCCAACCGAGTGACCCAATCGTGTAGCAAAATTATTGAGGACGAGCTCGGGATGATGGGCTGTATGCCGGGCATGACCCTGAATGTAGATTCATTAGCAGAGGAAAGGCCCGATACAGTGAAGTGGAAGAACTGGACCTACAAAAATCTGCTTTGTGAGTTGGATCGTCGTGAGTTTGAAGTAGGCAGTTGGTCCATCGGGGAGGTGAACCATAGTGATTGCATCTGATTCGACGAGTAAGGTTTGTCAAGGGGAGTGTGGGACATGGTGTACTTACTTGGTTTCTTCGTGTCCTCATTTACGACAATGAGATTCGAGTAGCCTCTGCCCGCCGCCCATCCTGCGATCTTCCCCATTTCAAACCCACGCTTTTTGGGGCGTTTGTGAAACTCTGCGCCGGGGAATATTCCAACTAACTCTTCACAGAAGTCGTAGGTCACGCGCGTAGCCTTGGGTGAGGTAGTGATGAGCACTTTTGGTGGAACGGTTGGGTCGGAACTCGACGAAAAGTAAGACGAAAAGGGATCAGATGCTATGTCGGCGGCATGTTCTGCAGTCGGTTGAGATGCTGTATTCTCTGGGGTAACAGAAGATAGGTCTGCAGTGAGAAATGAGGGGTCGAATTCGCGGGTGTTGTCGAGTGTACGGGGAACATTTTCAGATAAGCGTTGCTGGGACATCGATGAGGCAGATAAATGGGCAGAGAGGGAGATAGACATACTTTCTTTACTGCAGGATCGCTCGCCTCTAGCTTGGCTTGTGCAAGCCGTTTTTGAAGCTTAGCTTGCCCTTTGGCCTTTTTGTTTTTTCGAGAGACTTCTTCTCGTTTGATTTTGTTCTTTATCACAGAAGGCTCGAACCTGCTGGTGGGCATAATGGCGGCAGGTTAATGAGAATGAATTTTAGGTAACAAAGATTCAGTAAGCCAACGGACCCGGAGAAGACAGATGTTCGCACGACCTTTTACCAATAGGAGATGACCTGCCGAGTATCGTATCTTCGTCCATGACCATGGCAAACCACACCGCCATCCCTCACAACCTCTGGACCGACTATCCGTTTTATTATACCCCCAGACCGTCCGTGCTTCCAGGAGTGTCAGACCAGGCCCTCGCACTTGCCGCGCCTATAATCGCCTACTGGGTGGCATCTTTGGCTTTTCATGCCCTTGATATTTCGGATTGGCGATGGCTCGACAAGTATCGCCTGCATGATTCCACAGAGGTTGCGTCGCGCAATCTAGTTACCCGGACAACCGTGGTCTGGGCCGTTCTGCTGCAGCAAGCGATCCAAACGGCGTTGGGTATCTTCTGGATGTCGGACGAGGGGCACGAAGTGAACCATGCTGCAGAGATGCAGCAGGTGGCCGCACTCATCGCTCGCGTGTCCCCCATGATTCTCGGGAATAGCGTCGCGGAGAGTTGGCTAAAGTCGGAAGCACATAGGCTTACTTATTTTAGCTACTGGTGGTTCATCCCTGCCATTCAGTTATTATGGGCCATGTATGTGCTTCGCCTCCTATGATGCGTCCTCATTATAACTATGTGCTCAGGTGCATTATGGACACATGGCAATACTTTCTACATCGCGGAATGCATGTCAACAAATTTCTCTACAAGCACCTCCATTCTGTACACCATCGCCTCTATGTTCCGTACGCCTTTGGGGCTCTTTACAACCACCCCCTCGAGGGGTTCCTTTTGGATTCCGTCGGTGCCGTGCTTTCAGAGACCCTATCTTTTATGACTGTCCGACAAGCCGCATTCTTTTTTGTGTTCTCGACGTTCAAAACCGTCGATGATCATTGCGGATACAGCTTGCCCTTCGATCCACTGCAGTGGATAAGTGGGAATACTGCTGATTACCACGATATACATCACCAGGTTCGTAGTGCCTGTTCTGAAGAACACAGGCGTTGACATTATCTTTGTCAGGTCATCGGCATCAAGTCCAACTTCTCGCAGCCATTCTTCGTTCACTGGGATATGCTGCTGGGCACACGTATGACCAGAAAAGAGATCGAACAACGCCGAGCCAAGACCCGGAAGGCAGAATGAACAAGGAGAAATCAGGAGTATATATATGGGTTGACTGGGATTCCATTTTGCATATTGTTGTTTTACTTGTACTTGCATGTTAATGTCCACAACTCACTACTTTACTCGTCATTCGAGGCTCATGACCGGGCTCATCATTCATCTATATCTGATAGCAGGGCGGTAACATACAGCTGAATCCCGGTGGGAGGATATTGGTGATCACCAACTGGTTAGAGTTGCTTTGCGGTTCGCTGTCGTTTCCATCTCGTTTTCGTACTCTACTTCTATTCGCGCACCAGCTAAAAAAATGTGAGTTAAAGTATTGCGGCTGTAAAATATGATACGTACGTTTTGGTTTGCGAGCAGGTCTGCTCATTGGTTTTTCGAATCGACTTGACATTGACTTCCGCTTGCCTAATGATGGTTTCGCCTTCGCTTCGGTATCGTCACCGCTGCCCTCGTCTTCTGAGTCGTCCTCAGCACTGCCATTGCCCTGATCCTGAGTCGCAAAAGCAAAATGTTGAGCAGGTGAGAGAAGAGACATATATATGAGCGAAACGTACCGCAACTTCCTCCAGATCACTCAACCCATCCTCGTCCTCACTAATATCACTCACGAACTCCCGATCATCCCAATCTTCCTCAAGCTCCTCCTCGTCCTCTTCCTCGTCGTCTGTCTCATCTGCCACCATGTCGAGCTCATCAGTGTCCCCTTTTTGAACTTTGTCTCTCGCTTTCTCTCGGTCCATAATTGTCTGCCATACACTCTCATTCACATTGAGCGGTGCATCGCCATAAGCTTTGGACTTAAGGCGCTCGACCAGCTCTTTTTCGATCGCGCGTTCAAGATGGGCGGCCGAGAGAGCTTTCCGCTCACGAACGGCCTCACGGCGCTCGAGTTTCTTTTTGATTCCAACGAGTTTTGGTCTGGGCCATCTGTCAGACAAGCGAACCGGCAGAGAAGACGGTAAACATACTGATCGCGCAGCTTTAGTTGTCGCATTTTGATGAGGTATTGCGTGATTTTGGTGATGCGCTGCTTGCATTTATGAATAGTGAAATTCGGCCAGTAGATCAATTCCTTGTCAATCTGCGGAAAAAAGTTCAGGGACGACAGAGGAGACAGGAGAGAAATGTGTACCTGCTCCAATGCTTTCGTATAGTTTTTGGATAATTTGATGCGTTCCCACATATGTGCAGGACTATGCGCACGTTCAATAGTCTTCATGTAGAGGTAGAGAACGCCTAAAGGTATCTGTAAGAAGGGGCACGGGTAAAAGTTTGCGAAGGACACGGACCATCTTTTTCGCGCACAGTAGCATACCGTGAATTTGCGAGAGGACATGACTGGCGGTTGCAGAAGCCTGTAACGTTGTATTCGTTCCTGCAGAAATTCTGGGTCACAGTCCTGCGATGCGCCGGTGTCAAATGTGTCAAATGAGCAGATTTAACGAAGTGCTCACTTCACTTTATAGGAACAGAACTGTTGCCCAATGGCAGACCATATAACATCGTCGCTCTGCATCTTTGCGAGGAGGAGGAGAAGGAAAGTTGCAAGAGAGAGTTCCCACGGCTACGCTTTGGGTAATGCTGCAACACTGACGTTCTGCTCGCAAGTCACTCTCTTACACGCCAGCAGGCCTCCGCGGTACTCACAACCATGGTTCCTGGCTCGCGACCATTTCCCCCTCTATGTTCATTGTTTCTTCTCATACTAGTGACCACCGCCCATGCTCTTCACTTCTACCTCGATGATAATGAAAAGCGATGTTTCATCGAAGAGCTTCCGACGGATACTATAGTCGAGGGTGAGTTGTGGCGATTCCTAACATGACATACATTCTGAGTGCGGCAAATTTTAAGGACACTACCGAGCACTGGAATGGAAGGAACAATCACAGATCTACGAGATCAATGACCAGCTGGGGATATTAGTCGAGGTCGACGTACGTGGCTACCCACTCTGACCACGCAGCATACATTCTAAGCGCAACATCTGAATCTCCCCACAGGAAATGGAGACGGGGCACTCCGTAGTCAAAACCCGTGGTCCTCCAGATGGACGCTTCACTTTCACATCTCATGACGCTGGCGACCACTCCATTTGCCTCTCGACTAATTATTCCTCCTCATGGTTTGGCCCGACCGCACACATCCGTCTGCACTTGGATGTTGTTGTTGGCGCAGCAAAGCCAGATGCCGAACATGATCGTTCGCATATTTCGGACATTGCATCCAAGATTCGCGATCTCAATATGAAGCTGGAGGATATTCGGAGAGAGCAGCAGTATCAAAGGGAGAGGGAAGCGGATTTCCGAAATTTGAGCGAGGCAACAAACGGTAGAGCCGTGTGGTATAGTGTAGCACAGATTGTCGTACTGCTGGCGACATGTGCATGGCAGTTGAGGCACCTCAAGGTGAGCATCACGCTTTTTAAGAGTTTTACAATCGGTAATGTTGGCAATGTCCTGTAGCGCTTCTTTGAAGATAGGAAGATGCGGTAATGATTCGCTGTATAGGCTTCGTTATCTACGTTCAGGATTTATGTTCTGCTTTCTCAAATTGATGAGTGACAGGCGGGCACCGGACAAGCATATGTACATCGTCATCAAGGGAAAGGTTAATCAAACCTCAGCAGTGCCTTCTTGCCATACGTGCCGTTGGTGACCTTGGATAATACATCTCGCATGATATGCGTCGCCTCCTCGTCACTCTGCTCTTTGCGCAGACATACGATCTCATGCTTTGGCTCTCTCAACTGAACATAAGTTCAGCAACACTTGGCGTAGGAGTCTTTCAACGAATAACGCTTACCTTTCCGTCGTTCATCAAATCCACCAATGTCTTGATGAGGTTCTCTCTATCGTCCCTACTATGCTGCTGATACCATCGACTTTGCCAGAAACCGTGGCTGGTGAGATTCTTAAAAAGGAAGAGAGATGTTGGGAGAGATAGTGGTTGCTTGGACATGGCCCCATATGAAACTAAATGTGCATCTCTTCCAAGCAAGCGCGCCATGTCGGAGGCAGGCTGTCCACCTATGCAGTTTAATGCCAGGCGGATATCCTAAATACCTCATCGGTGTGTGAAGCATGATAATATTCCTTGCACTACACACGTACCTTGCCGTCTGTCCACTCCTTGATCTTGGACTTCATGCTCTTGTCGGCGAGTTCATCATATGTGGCGACACAAGTTGCGCCCAGGTCAGTCAATTCTTGCTTGAGCTCGCTGATGTCATCCCTATTGTGAGAATGAAGCGATTAACCATGGTCATGGTTAGCAGAGCTTGACAAACACACCGATTACGAATCAGATTCAAGGTCTTGAGACCTCGAGCCTTAGCTATCTGGATCACGGACTGACCGACCTGGAAGTAATGTATATATAAGAAACATACGGCACTAACGAGTGTGATATACTGCCTACAGCACTGTTAGCTCCGTTTTGGACTACCCAATCTCCGGGGATTAGATCAACAAAATCTTTGAGCATGTTATATGCCGTTGGGTGATTTACCTGAGAAGGTAAAAATCGGTAGCGATTCTGGATGACGATACACCGACAGGCACTTTATGAATACGTACGGTCATCGTAGCTGCGTTTACCTCTGTCAAATTACTCTTGCGCGGGATCTTGACCACGTCTAAGGCGTCAACGTTCACTGCTGTATTCCAAGTACCTCCTTGTTGTTTAGTTAAAACGACCCAGTCGCCATCACTGAAGCTGTAAACGCCCTCTCCAACACCTCTCACCTCAGCCAGGCCTTCGTTGCCTGCGATGAAGGTGTGAGGGGTGATGAGGGAGAGGTGAGATGGAGGAGGTTTAAGAGGGTATACACCCTCGATTACGTTGATATCCGAAGGATTTATCGGGGACAAGACGAAGCGCAGATTCAGAGTGCCAGGAGAGGGCGGTGGAAGCGACGGATACGATAGCACGCTAATGACTTCAGGAGGGGGACCTGTTCTCGAATATATTATAGCACGGTTAGTTTGCAAGCGATGATATGTATGGAATGATCGAAAGACCGAGCGTATAGGGCGATATAGAGCTGGAAACATATTTGCGGGACGCAGGTACTGTAGACGCAAGGGACGACATCAGGTGATTCGCTTCGCAAGTCACGGGCACTGCGTAACCTCGGTACCGCATATCTGCTTGTGGGTTTCCTTTGACAAGGGTACCACAGCTTCAAAATGATGAAGCATTGAGTATAGATTGCTCCCACTGCCACTACAGCTGATGCATGCATCAGCAATATCTATCTACATAACCTTCCTGCTTCTTCCGGTCCATCAGAAACGAAAAATCAGAAGGTACTATCACCAGGCTGGAGTGTGGGCCCTGGGGCTCTCCGCATGTATTCACTACCTTGGAATGACCCTGCGTTGCCCAAATCCTCACGTCTCACATGATGTGGGCCATCCCGATGCATTTGCGGGGATTGAGTAAAGCCCTTAGGGGGATTGGGTATCAAGACGGGCTGCACTGGCATCGTGTACTTGACGTTGAGATCCTCAAGTACAGTCTTCAGGTGGCGCATGAAAGCTGTACGGCGCATCCAGCGTCCGCCCCAATCTTGCCAGTTAGATCGATCTTTACAAAGAGGACGGGTGAAAGATCAATAAAGGAAATGAGCGAGAAATGTAGTATAAGACTTACGCTCCATAGCAACAATGAGATGAATAGCATTCTGGTATTCCATCTTATCGATATTGATACCTAAGCCCGACCATTCACGACTGTTTTGGACTACATAAGCGTTCATACGGATCTTGAGCTGCTCAATGATCTCAAGCGACGTCTCGTAAGCAATCATCAAGTTAGTGCTCTCCCACCTGAAGGGATAGTCAGTATAGTTCTATGATATATTGTTCAGTCTTACATTGAAGAGCTGCGTCTCAAGTTATGCACGAGCTTTGCACTTGATAGCAGGGCATTGGGTGCAATGATCTCCTGTCCATCCACACGGCGGAAAGTGGTTGAAAAAAGACCAAATTCCTTGACGAAGAGAGGCTGCGAGGGGATTTCATACGCCGGACAGAAGATAAATGCCAGGAAGCTCACCTGGTCATCAATCATGACAAGATCTCCAACATCAAAAACGTGCGTTGCGAAGATGAATATCAACTTGGATGTCGGTATTCAGTTATGATTTCCAAATAGATGAATGGTGACGACTCACCGACTCAAATAAAGTCTGAGCGGAATGGCCGAAGATGAACGAGAAACCCAAGATTATGGTTGCAAGTGGGACGAGGGATGCCAGTGTATTGCTTTTATTGAATATTAGAAGGCAAACGAAGACAATGCCCACGAGCGCCACGCAAAGGAGAACTGCATCTAGTTTTGCGACGACCGAGCTGACATCCTGCAAGAATTTGAGCTCAGCATACTTTGGCACATCCAAAACGGTAATCTGACCTTCAAGCTGGAAGTTAGAGCCTTCCGCTCCCGATAGATTCTTTGCACGGCTTCCCGCATCTCTTTCTTACTGATGTCACCGTTGCCATCCTTATCAAAAAGTGCGAAGGCAGCATGCTTATAAATATGAGCTGATAAGTAGCAGTATATTGATGAAGGTCAAGATCACGTACTGATTCGGACGTAGAGCGAAAATACGGATCGAAGTCTGGAAGGGGTGCGGTGAATAGATCCCCACACTAGTGATGCGACAAAAACACTTACCCTCGACAACAAGGTGGGACCTCGGCGGATAGGCATCGCTTAATGCGCTAAACAGCTTCCTAGCCAGTTTGCGTGCAGAGTGGAGATCGCCAAGTCCCTGTTCGCGGTTGAACTTGGAATTCTTGAGGGCCACTTGCCCAATGGCACCTCCGACTTGGTCAACTATAACAGCTGCGACTGCCTTCTTCCTGCGCCTTTTCCGTTCTGCAGAGCTCGTCTTGTTGTTGAAAGGGTTCTCCGTAGGATGACTGTCTTCCTTTTCGTGAACAGGTGATGGACTTGAAGAAGATGCTTGACCGTCCTGCCCCTCCTTCTTTTCACGAAACCCAAACAAATCCAGCGATGTACCCATTGAGTTACCGAAGCTCTTGTGTCCTTTCTTGCCGTACGGAGTCTTCTTGACCTGCACTGGCTGTGCATTGGACAGCCGATCAAGAGCTTTAAGTCCGAGACGATTCTCCGCGAGCCGGTCTGCTAGGGCCCTCTCATGAAAGTTTATTGCGATCATGTGAAGGAATGTCTTCTCAACTAATACAATGACAGCTGCAGAGAAGAGAGCCTTGGAGTGCGCGGTGAGGCATATGTAAGTGGAAGGTAGCCGATCTCACACACCTGCATGACACGATTGATGACAACCCAGTACGATCCAGGAGGTTTGAGGATGGCCCTGATGACGGAGAGCGCGATCCATGCCCAAGATATATCTAACACAAGTTTCAACCACCCAGAGATTGCGAAAATTAGCTACCGAAACACGACGTGAGCTCTAGGTCCTTGTCACGTTGAATAAAGCTCTACCTCGATTTGAGTCTTCAAACGTTCAACCTTGTATCCGATCAAGACCATTACACCGATGAAGAGACGAGGCACGAGGTCGACCACAAGGGAAGTGACACAGCCAGCCGCCCAAGTGATTGCGAGCCAAAGAGACCACGCGTGAACGTGAGGCCGAGCAACGCTGTGTGTGAAGCGCAGTTGGAAGAGCAAGAAAGGCGTAATGAGGATGCCCACACCACTAACACCGATGAGAAATGTCCTGATAGGTCTTGAGAGCTTCATGAAAGCCAGGTAGAGAAACCGACCACGCTTGGCCTTAGAGGACTGATCCGCTTGTTGATGAATAGTTGCTGCATCCTCGTCGGCGTCCCAGTCGAATTCATCGTCTGAGTTGGTGGCCGTTGTATTAGAGGAGTCAGAGTCTACGTGGGAAGTGATGGTAGCATTGATATCTGTAAATTGGATTGGGGAAGCGTAATCGATGGCTTTTGAACTGGCAAGAGTAGGTAGAGCTATGTCTTCATGAGGAGGCGTGCGCGCAGAAGACATGAGGTCTCAGGCGAGGTTGAAGTAAAGACGAACAGTGAATTGTGAATGACAGAGGGGAAAATGAGAGAAATGGCAGTGAGCCGAGATGAAATGGAGAACAAGCTGGTGCAGGCTGGTTCGCAGTCGAAGTCAAGCATCCATATGCCTTTTGCAAAGTGTGGAGCAAACAGCTTCGCCGGTATCCCGGCGCCACCCCGGCGCTTCGTCTAAAATGATTTTCCGTTTGCTTCATAGCACAAGTACCAGTGCTGGGGCTATGCAAAGCATGTATACTAAGATTTGCCTCCCTCTTCAAAGGAGGCTAACCTTGAACAGAATGTAAAGACAGCCCTTGTAGCTGTGTTAATTCAGTCTATATCATGGTGAGCCTTCTCATCTCCTTATCAAGGCTAAGTTCAGTCTCATATCTCATGTCCAATAGTTTCTCCACTTGAGCACATCATTTTATGGATACACATCGGAAGGGTCTGTCTGGCAAGTAGGCATCTTAGATGGCAAAGAAATACCATAGCCATCATATGCTCCTGACCACAATTATTGAGTAGCTAGATGAACTATAAGCTTACTTTCATTAACTATACAACCTGTAGCACAATCTATGCCTTTCCTATCCCCAACTCACTGATAATCATCAAATATCACTTATGGACAACTTAACGAGCTTTTGTCACATCATGATCACTGAGCATCACGGCAAATGTGATACCACGTGATGTAGTCGTGTTCGCTTGAGATGTGTCTTATGTTTTTCGTTATTTCCTCATAGTAATAGACCCTTGCCCTCGACACGGTGGTGGGTAGGAGGCTAGAACTGCCCAGGAATTCTCACAAGTTGAGCAAGGATCACATGCACACAGCGTACATATTCTTTTGTTTCTGCCAGGTCGATATTGTACACATTGCATGCATATACTATGTACACCGCAATGTATTTCCATTCACCTTGCCTGGAGTCTGAGCGCTTCAGAGCACCGCTGCAAGAGCCATCATGCTGAATTGTGCACTAGGCACGTTCGGAATCATCTTCTCTTTGACATAGGTAGCGGCATCCTGCAAGACGTGTAAGACGAGACGGCAGAAGACAGTACGATGCGCGAGCTTTCTCACGCACCTTCAGAAGGTTTGTACATGTCCCCCGGTCGATAGGGCCATTCCGAGTTCCGTCGAGTTCAATCAAACGCATCTCCATCGTCTCGGTCTCAGCCGCTCTAGCGGATGCAGCAGAAGCTTGAACAAAACACGTGAAGTGCAGATCCACGTCCAAATTTTCGGGAACAGCAGACTGGCCAGAGGATGCAAATTCCTCATGAACAGCGGCAAAAAGAGGAGTCTCTTCCAGAAGTTTAGAGCGTTCTAGGGGTGTCTTGTCTATCGACGCAAGTCAGCCCGAATAAAGCGCGGGATGAGGGGATAAGACGTGCTTTTGCACTCGTCGATGAACTGTGACAAAGGAGACTCTGGCTTGATGGTTACATTTGACTGCCTTGGGCGTTAGTGGCTTGTATTTTGAATGTAATCACACACACATTTGCTAGTGCATGCAGCAATCCCATGGTCCCACATGCATTGGAAATCTGACAGGCAGTCTGTTACGAAATTTCTGCAAGGTAAGGTTTGATGGCAACTCACAGTCTGCTTGACCCAGATGATCGTCGGATCTATAGGTGTTTGTCCTTCCGTTGTGATTTTCTCATTCTCTTGTCTCCTCATTCCTTCAAGGGGTCCTCTGATCGGGAAGAGAAGGACTACAGCTTTGACAGGTTGAGGAACCATAGAGAGTAACTATGTCCGCTTGTATTATACGTCTAAACAACGTGCCGGAAAAGACGCACCTCGTCGTCAAGACCGTAGACATCATGAAACTGATCTGTGGGGACAAGGCCCACTTTGTTCGCCCACTGGGATATATCCACACATATTAGCGAGGTTGTAAGACGGTGAAGCTACACATACCGCATTTAAGATCTGCCGTAGGCTAGATGAGGCTTCCACAGAGTAATTCAGACCTTCATGATGTGAGCGATCAAACTCACATCCGGATTGCTTTCGAGAGGTATCCATCGTGTGATGCTTGTAGGCGACATGGCTTTCCACAAGTTTGTGCAATACCTTGCGAATTATGCGTCCTATTTATTGTGATTGACTAGCGAGTGACAAGGTAGAAACTCGTATTCTTGAGTGTGTCGACTGAGGTTGACTCAGCGTCGACTCACGTCTGACGTAAAGCTTGATACTACTTAAGTACACAAAGATCACTCAAGTACTTCTGATAAATCATTAATCTTCTAAACACTGGGCATATTGGCGGACCCAAGCCAAGATTAGGGAGTGCCTTCCTGCACATCTTCTTCATATCCCTCTACCTTCATATCATTCAAGCCCAACTCTTCATTCTGATCCCATGTCCGATCGTATGTCACAACCTCCATGTTAGGATCCGGATCGGGAGCATACAGATTTTGCAGATAAGAGTTGGCCAGAGGATCGTCGAGAATGAGAGTGAATGGCCTCTCCGCATTTTTCACCTAGGAAATTTAAGCCTCAGCAACGACACCTATGCAGATCAAATGGCATATAGAAGGATTGTCTGACCTCCTTCAAGCTTTGAAGAAACTTCTCAAAAGCATCGTGATCATCTCTTCGAGAATCACTCGAGGCAAAAACCTTCTCGGATAATTCTTCGTAGACTTGGTCAAGGATGCCCTCGAGCGTTGTAAACCGGCCGCCCAATGTTCCGGCTTGGAGAACAAGGTCGATCTCGGGGATGGATAATCCGCATGTTTCACTCTATATGGGGTCATTGTTATGCAAGGGGAAATGCCAACGTGGTTGCACACCTTCAAGATGTCTCGGCTAAGATCCTCGCGATCTTCGACCTGCAGAGTTATTCGTCTGCCTTGTTCAGAGATTGCGGAACCAGATTTCACTTCATTGTCTCGATATCCACATCGGTCGCAATTTGTTGACATGATCAAGATATCCTGCAAGTCTCGATCATCGTTTCAACCCGCAGTGAAAGTCTCATAGGCCTTACCTTGAAGTATGGGATCACGACTTTCTTCATCAACGTATTCAATGGGTGCCCGCAGCTAGAGCAAACGCCGGGGAACACATAAATCTCCTCATTCTCGCCCTCTAAACCTCCACCAGCATTGTTGTCATTTGTGGGCGCCGTCCCTTCAGATTCACTAGGAGCCTGAGGTTCCACAGCCTCATCAGGGGCGACCAAACCTAAAGCAATGTTTTGTTCTTTTGTGCGACGGTATGTCCGGAGGTTCCATTTAGGGTCTGCCATACTTCCGATGAATTCAATGAAGGATCGTCCGGCTGGGTCGTCAAGTTTGACGGTGAATATTGGCATCGGAATGTCCTTCCGTGATGATTTTTGTATCTCGACGGGGCCCACACTGGAGCTCTCCTCGTCACCTTCATCAGGAAGGATTAATTTGAGTTTGGTGATGAGTGCTTCTATCTTTGCGTAAGTTGCTTCATCTTCAATGCGTCGAAGAGGTTGATCGCTGCTGAGATCCCGGACAATGTCTCTGATAATGCCCTCGATTGTTGTGAGCTGTCCCTTGGACGGGGGGATTGTTAGCTCGTATTCGGGAATGTTTACGGTACATGAATCAGATTTGACAATTTGACGGTCGAGATCGGTTCGGGCAAGGACGCGAGCAGTATACATGGCTCCTTCAGCTATAAAAAATGCTGTGATTGACTGTAAGTGCAGGATATAACAGGTACATACGGCTGATAGAGCCTGCAGACTGGATCTCATTGTTTGATGTGCCGCAGTGTTCACATCTAAACGACATCACGATGACTTCACGGAAGTAAGGGATGGAAGTCAAAAGCATGCGTGTAACACCCTTTGAAAAGGATAGGATCACACTTTTTAAGAATCAACGCGAAAAGTGATTTACGAATATCTACGAACCTGCTCGCCGCAGGACATGCAAAGGGATTCGATCTCTTGCACCGCCCGGTCATCTTCAGCAGGAGTCGATTCCTCTGACCGAGCATCCTGTATATTCTCCGTTGTTTGTGCGATGGACCCGATGGAGGGGAAGAGGGCTTCTTGCTCAGGCATGGTGTAGAAGGGTGGGCTAAACGTTAAACGATACCTGCCAAAATCTAATCAGCAGCGCGGCGCTTAGGGTTTCTGTGGGGGTTTCCGTGAAAATATTATGTAAAATTTCTTAAAAACGGTTGAAACCTTTTGACTATTACGTTTTCATCAAGTAAGTTATAACAAGAAGAAGATATCTGGCAGCATATTTGTCCTTTCCTACGGGGTTTTCCCAGGATTGCTATGAATAAAATCGCATAAGTGCAGCTTGGTTCTGATGTGCTTCCGTTCTCACGAAGGAAAATCAATTGTTTAGTGTTATGTAAGTTGTTGTTCCATCCTCCTTGTCAACTTCGTTCACGCACACAACTCGAGTCCGTTGAAATGTTCTCAGCTAGCTCTTACTCACAGTCCCATCTCGGTCAGGATACCAGTGCTTTTGATCGGAATCGATCTCAGTTGTCGCATTCCAGCTCACAGTATGATTCACCCTTCTCGACGAGTGGCTCAGGCAGTTCCAGCCAACACGCTCATGACTCTAGTAACTGGAATCCTCAAAGCTCGACCAATACTTTAACGAGTTCGATTAATGATAATTTTCATCAATCAAGATCTCATTACCAACCAGGATATCTTATGGTGCGTTGTTTCAAGGTTGTATGGGATGCCAAAGTTCATCACATACCGCAGTCTTCAACATCCCAGAACAATGTCTGAACTCCTTTTTACCATGATCGCCCCATGACTCTGATCTCGATAGCCTGATATTAGGCATCTCCCCCGCATCAGCGCTTTGATGACTTGCCCGTGGTTCAAACGAAGGCCAAATTGAACCACGCGCTGTCCAGGGGACCTACAGCAGAGTTTGGAAAGGATCCTATGTTTGAGAGTTCACGGTATCCGCATTCTCACAGATTCTTGAACCGAATGTTGATACTTTCCGAACACAGACAGCGACCAACGCTGGACGAGGACGCACCACCAACTACCTCGGTGAACGATATTGTCAATGCCACATATATGGACCATTCTGTCAGGAATCAGCGAAAGGTGCGTGTTCCTGTTTTCAATTCAGTAATCACCTCAACGCGCCAGTTCTAGCATATTGATTTTGAGCTGGCGGCATCGGGTACCCATATATCGCGATCAGCTCGACTAGTGCCCCTCCCGGCGGGCGATTTCAGCTATATCATTGTGTTTGGATATCCACCAGACAAATACAGCGTTGCCGTTGAATATTTCAAGCAGCTTGGGGAGGTCACAGAACCTGAGGTCAACACAGAGGTTGTCAACTGCTTCCGGGTAGGATTCAAGAATCCTGGGGATGCTCTGCGTGCTGTGAGGAAGAATGGTGAAATCATCAGCGGAAGTTGGATGGTAGGCGTCAAGTGGGCTGTGAGTGCATTTCTCCTGGTTTCCTGCGGACAACTTGATCGCATTGGTACACATTAGGACTCGGCTCAAGGAGATAATATTTTCGGGCAATCGCTTGATATGCGGGGACCAACATCTGCGCAGTCACCTGGGCCTGATTCATCATCTCACCTTTCAGATGCTATGGCCATTGATGTTGACTCAGGACACCCACGCGTCCAGCTACCATCAACACCACCAGTTGGAACTCCCATCAGGTTGGCACCACCGTCCTCCGCATTCAAGAAGCCGGGGACAGGTCAGAAGTCCACCAGCGTACAACCACCTCACGTGGCGGTCACGCCGTTGGCGATGAGTAGCACGACCAATTCACCGACAAAAGGGGTTATAGGACAGGTCTCAGAATTGATTTTTGGGTGGTAAATAGCTCTGTACGGATTTTGTGCGATGAGGCGATCCAAGGAATGGTTCAGCATCAAGATCTAGAGCAGAGCAGATGAGTAGCAGATGTCTTCTGAGATCAATATTGCTGGAGGGCACTTTCAACTCCGACCGTTTGAACATTCACATCGTCCGGTCTTCCATGTGTGATGCGAACGCTGGCAGTTGGTGCCGGAAAGGAAACCGAGTTGTAATTTCTGATCAAGCCAGTCGCAAAAATACTGTCCTGTAAGAAGAGCTGTCGCAGCACCGGCCGGTGTCCTGCTGGAAGCTGTACCACCAGTAGGATGTTCCGTACTTTCTTCTCTGCCTCTTGAAGCTTCCCCTCTATGTCTCGTCGACGCGCTAGCAAACAGGACAATGCTCATCACACGGATTCAACACTAGATGGGACAGCTCGGCCTCTCGTTCAGGCAAATAAAGTAGCAGCTATTCAGGTTGCTGTATCTTTGATGGATTATTCCCTTATGTTATCCCTTGTTCTTGGGGGGTGCTGCACGTAGGTACCTACCTGTTCTCGCTCAATTTGTCTTTCACCGGGTTTCATTCAGCAACGTATGGGCATATGAGCGGCTGCTCAGGATAGAGTCGCGAGTCGGTGGGTCTCATATGCTGTTGACTCTCACTTTTGAAACATGTCATCAACGCAGTTTGCTGGCAGGTTCTGCTCTGACATTTTCGCAGATGTTATTCATCACACTTCAGCAATTGCCTTCGTTCATAACTTGGAAGCCTTCTTCTGGATTACTACCGAGACTGAAGCCTCGTCAAGTTCCTTTGTCACAGTGGCTACTGCAGGTTGTTGTCCTGGCCACTGGATCCTTGTTTAACAACTGGGTATATGCATTTCATGTTCCGTTGACAATCCAGATCGTATTCCGCTCGGCAGGTATGGATCCCTTGAATGTCTGTTTTGGGCACTTCTTACGCTAGCGTTTTAGGACTGGCGGTTTCCATGCTCTTTGGCCGCTTTTTCATGCATAAAAGGTATTCGATTCAGCAAGTAGTGCGTTGTTGACCCAATGTCAGATTGTCAGAACCTCCTGATAGAAGATTTGCTATAGACCGCGGTTTTGCTCGTCTCTATCGGGGTCGTCGTCGCGACCCTTTCTCGTCCGCCTTCAACAGACCAATCGACCGATGATCTGTTCGAATATGCACTAGGCGTCACGATGCTCACTGTGTCCCTAGCCTTGACCGGAACCTTGGGCATGTTGCAGGAGCGCACGTACCAAAAGTATGGACCGTGCTGGAAAGAAGGTGTCTTCTACACTGTATGTATAGTTCGTCACGTCTGTCCATGCGGTCGCAGGCTGATATCATCTTCATCTTTGAAGCATGCATTATCTTTGCCAGTATTCTTGTTTCTCATCCCTCAAGTAAAGCATGGTCTCGGCAGCCTTTCTGAGAAATCGGGCTCTGTTGTGCCCATGCCCTATGTCATCCTTGCTGCCAATCTTGTTTCGCAACTCGTCTGCGTTTCTGGTGTCAATCAACTGTCCTCCGTACGTCGTCATTTTTGGATTGTTTCGCTGGTTGACAACTGCGACACTGCTCAGAGAGTCTCGTCGGTATCCACACAAGTGGTCTTGACGACTCGCAAGGCAATCAGTCTATGCTTTAGTGTCTGGTGGTTCGGGAATGGATGGAACGGACAATTGGGATTAGGCGCAGGGATGGTATTCGTTGGGTCGTTCTGGTATACCCAGATCGATGCGGACGGTAGAACTGGGGCTGGAAAGAAGGATTGACCTCGATCCCTCTAAACCAGCGATATACACTGTTGCTGGCAGGAGCCGATTTACGACAGAAGTGCGAGCGCGATCAGGTCAATTCGACCAGGAATATTATCGAGGCACCATTAAGTATACAAGGTGATTGACGACCCCGGAGCGTTCGTAAGTCAGAACCGGGAGAGAGGAAGGTGAACACGGTTACCGCCGAATGAAGAAAAGAGGAGTGAACGCGAGAGGTAAGTAAAAACGACAGGGGCCTGGACATATGGAGGTATCGAGGGGCAGAGCGGCACATGATGGAAATATATAATGCAGAGAAAAAATAATGAAATAAAAGAGTGGATAGACAAGGCAGTGTCATGCAAGAGTGAAGTCGTGATGGATCTCTGAACAGAGCAGTCAACGAAGAGGTGAACCCAAAATAAGAGAAGGATAAGGAGCGAAACAATCGTACATCGTCTAAAAGACTACTCGAAATTCTCCTTCTCCGTTATCATGTTGTTCAGAGGAACCGCATGACTATCCTCTATCTTGAACTCCTCTGTCAATCGAGGTCCATCAGTGGCTATTGGTGAATCACCGGCAAGGTCTACAGTTCCTGGAGTTACTGGACGTGACGCTATGAGCCCCGATGACGACGTCGCGGTAACGGTCGATGCTATTTGTTGGTTGTGAGGGTAATATGAGCGCCGGTGCATCAACCGGAAGTCATAGATGGTAAATCTTCGGTAATCAAGCGTTCAGGCAATCAGTTGGAATGGGAAGGTAAGAGTAAACGCACTGTTCCTCCATCTGCCGCATTTCGACGCTGAGATTGTTCAAATCACGGTTGGCTTTCCGTGGCTTAGCCTTCAGTGGGTTGTCCTCCAACAGTAGCTCCTCCAACTCGTGCGACGCATCAAAATTCGCTTTCTTGTTCTGTGGCGAAAGAGTTGAGTGTCAGAAAGACACGAGGAGATATATGCTCACATCGGGAACGAAGGGCGGCGCTAGCTCTTTTCGTTCCAGAGCTTCCCAGTCGATCGAAGCAAACCATGGATGTCGCCGAATCTCTTCGAAGCCCTCGGCCTGGGGATTGCACGACAGCCGCTTGTAAGGATCCCTGTCCAAAAACTAAAAAAATCGGTTAAGAAGGGAACTCGTACGAGGCTCCAATTGTGCGAACATCGTCGAGGGAACGAGACTCACCCCTTTTAGCGCTTGCATACCAGCCTTACTGCACTTCTCTTCTGCGTTCTCCGGGAAGCGCAGTGGGTCTTTGGAAATGCTATGCGTCAACGCACTATTTGTCCGACCCCGGAATGGTCGACGCCCAAAAACAAGCTCATATGCGCAAACCCCGAGTGACCACCAGTCGACAGGGTAAGTATAACCACGCTTTGCAAGGATCTCGGGTGCCATGTAGGCCATTGAGCCTGCGACGCCAGTGAGCAATCTCCGTTCGCTATAGTGCACGGCGATGTTGAAATCAGTGATGTGTGCATGGCCTCGCTCATCCAAAAGGATGTTATCGGGTTTGAGGTCTCTGAGGCACAAGGCGTCAAAACAGGAGATGAAGGAGTGACAGGAGTGACAGCTGACCGATGCATTATGCGTTTTTCGTGAAGAAATGCAATGGCGGACGCAAGCTCTGCAACATAGAACCGAACTGTTTCCTCGGATAGCGAGCCCAAACGCTCCAAGTGGACTGAAGAGGCAGTCATGACTAGATCGACGATAAGAATAGAACTATGCACACACATCTTAGATCTCCCCCCAGCATAAGGTCCAGAACGAAGAAACAATTCTCATCATCCTGGAAGGCGTATCTCAAGTTGACAACGAAAGGATGGTCGACCTGACGAGTGACTGAAATGGGTGGACGCAGAAAAGGGGAGTGAAGTTGCACAGTACCTCTTCGAGCAGGCGACGCTCTTGGATGATGTTCGGAACGGCTTTCATCTTGACACACTTGGGCTTGTTGATGTATTTGAGAGCGTAGAGCTCCTTGGTCTGCTTGTGCTGGACGACACGAACCTGGCCGGGGCAGGCATGCATACGACTAACTTGAGAGAAAGAGCCACCAATGATGGAGCATAGACAGACCTTGCCAAAAGCACCCTTGCCGACACATCGCAGGAGAACAAAGTGAAAGAGATTTACATCGCCGTCGAAGTCGATGACCTGCAGGAATGAGAGAGGTGAGCGGACAGGGCCGAAAGCGAGGGGGCGGAGGAGGGGACCTGAGGACGGCAACAGACTGCACCCATGAGAGATCGTGACGGTCGTAGATGCGGGTGGGGGCTCCAGAATTAGGGATGGGAGGCGGTAAGGATATGTCGGACGCAAGGGGAGAGGACGGCGTGACAAGGACAAGGAAAGGGTGAAGAAGCCACAAGCAGCGACCTGACTAAGTCCATGGCACGGTCCCTCCGGCCCAACCCCCGCCGCCGTTTGATCTCATCATTCCCGCTGCTGTCGTCAGGCCCATCCCTGCCATTTCAACTATACTCCCTCCGCGCCGTCGACGACGACGACGACCACAACAAAATGTCTCCCCTCCCTGACTTCATCCGTCCTCTCGTCCTCTCTGGCCCCTCAGGCGCGGGCAAATCCTCACTTCTCCAGCGACTCTTCGCCGAATTTCCCGACAAATTCGCCTTTAGTGTTTCCCGTAATACTCCCTCCCTCCCTCCTCCGCGCCCGTCCTCATCGCCCTCCAGATACAACGCGCGCTCCACGGCCGGGAGAGAAAGACGGGAAAGAGTACCACTTCGTCTCCAGGGATACCTTCCTTCACTTGATCGATCAGAGCGCCTTCATCGAGCATGCTGAGTTTTCTGGCAATTTCTACGGAACCAGCTTTCAAGCCGTGAACAGCATCTCTCAGCTGGGAAAACGCTGCATCCTTGATATTGAGGTCCAGGTAAGTATTCTTTAGAACACTCGATGTTTTACTCTTCTTCAAACCTGCTCTAGGGTGTCCGCCAAATCAAGAACACATCCTTGAACCCTGTCTACCTTTTCATTGCACCACCGTCAATGGACGCTCTTCGATCACGTCTTGTTTCTCGCGGCACTGAAACAGATGCCGCTGTCGATAAACGTATGAAGACTGCACTGAACGAGATTAGCTACGCGAAGGAGTCAGGCGCACACGACATGATCATTGTCAACGACAATCTTGACAGGGCATACAGTCTGTTCAAAAAGGTCGCATTGGGCGAAAAGATAGTCACTGATAATCTCCCTGTTTTCAACGATTAGTTCTGAAATTAGTTCTCTGGTACTGCGCTGGAGTAGAGATACACATTATAGCCAACTATCAATGATCATTGATCACCTTCAGGTTCAAACGCGGAAACGCAGATAAGCCATGAGCAAGGCTGAGCAGCCAGTGACTGGAGGGTACTCAATGAGATGACGTTCGCTCAGCGGAAGGACTAGACATACCAAAACCGACAAGGTATTGCAGCGTCGTTGCCTGCCAGATAGAACGTCCGTCATCTCGTTTTACACCTGAATGAATGCCACATACCTTCGAGGACTGTATCGCCGCACGAAGACCAGCGATCTCCTGCTCTATCCGAGTGTCCACCTCTTTCACTTTCAGCTCCTGTCGACTAGCCTCCTCGCGGATTCGACCCTTCTCAAGATTAAGGTCCAAGCGTACCCCCGCCTGAGTCCTCGTGATCTCCTCTCGAAGTCGCTGCTTCAACTTCTCGATATCCGTCACGAGTCGGTCGTTCTCTGCTTTGATCATGGCCAAGTCATTCTTCTCAACAAGCTGCAGTTCGGACTTAAGCTGCGCGAAGTCGACTTGCTGAGTGTAATGATTCTGTCCGAGCAATTTCAACTGGACACGACATAACGGATGTAACGGAAGGTACCTTCTCTTGATCAGCCTTGGTGACCATGTTGCTGGTCATGTTCCGAATGCTTTCGTCGATGACTTCTGCCATCGCGGACATGATGCCTTCGGCCTGGGCCTTGTTCAGACCTTCGCGCTCCAAACGTTGGACAAAGTGGTGGGTATCGAAATGAAAATCATTCAGAACGGAAGAATGGCTGAAAGAGCGCAGTGCAGATGGAAAGTAAGGGATGCGCCAACACTGACGCTGATGAACGACTGAACGGAGCTGGCGAGGTAGCATTACAACTGTTTAGCATCACGGAAACGATAAGTTCCTGGGACCAACGGTTCCAGGTTTCAGAACAGAGATTCGTAAGCGCTTTGTCAGCTTTCCCTTGATTGATAATTCCATTTATGGGTGGCTGTGCAGGTTGTTTACAACCTATGTAGCTACCTGTACTCATATGTGTTCATGTAACATACTCAATGTGCATTAAGTAGGTATCATATTGTGAATTGATGTGAGCAACCATAGGGGTGTGTGTGGTGGCAAAGCTTGATGTAGAGCCAGAGGGAGGTTAGGATCATATATTATGGTGGCAGGGTGATATGTCTGAGATAGAGAGGCTAGTGCCTCAAGGGTGGTATCATAAAGTATTGTAAATTAGAAAAAAGGAAATAGAGGAAAGGGGAAAAGGGGAAAAGAGATATGTGAGATGAGAGGGGGTCATTTAGGGCTGGGAAAGTAGTAAGAAAAGTGAGCTGTGTTACGAACTGCTCGTTCGGTAACCCCAAGAGTAGGAGGTTCTTTCCTAGGTCGCTCATAGAGAGAGGGTGGAACGATGGTCTCGACTGTATGTGTAGCACAGGAGCCAGAGATGTATTGCGATGTAGTGATGGAGAGTACTGTAGGAAGACAGTACTAGAACGAAGGTACTGTGGTAGGAAGACCACAATGAACGAAGACTACAGTAGGAAGACTGCAGTAGAACGAAGAGAATAGACTGAAGAACCTCAGCCTACTCTATGGGTCTTTTATACTGCTTTAGGAAATAAGGCGTGGGAATACCGTATATGTTTCCGTAGGTATTCTCTAAGTTGTCTTTCTCAATAACAACTACTCTTGTGCTTCTCCATTCGTCTCCTTCCAGCCAGGAAAGACTAGGAGCTTGATGCCCAGTGTGTGAGTAGTTTGTAAGGCGGCCTTCGATGCCCGCATTGCAATAGGGCTTGTGATACTCAACCAACAATAGAGTGATCCGTTGGGAGTGGATGACCAAGGTTATTATCTGTACCTTGTTGTACGCCTCAACTTGTGAGGCCGCTTGATATTTGTGATGATTGTGTCAGAATAGACCGCCATTAAGGCCTGACAGAACGTGATCATAACAAGCTGTATCATGTATATACTAAAACAGTGCCTCACAGTTGCCAGGTCTATTGAGCAGGGTTCCTATTAATAGAATACCCTTCACCTCCCTTTGCAGCTTTTGGTGTCACTCTTGATAGCAGTTGCATAGCAGGAGATAGTGGCATGGCATTTCCACCTCATTGTAGGCTGGGCACTGTGGGGAGTCTGTCACCCCAATGTGATATAGATACTAGTGCAAGCTGATGTGGCTGTATGAAGCTAGGTAAGGAGGCTTGAATTGTGATAGAACAAGACATAGTACAGCTTTAGCACTTAGCAGCCAATCTATATGTCAGCAAACTTGGACAGCCAGGTTGCATAAGGTGATATATGCCAGAGGTCTATCTATTAGAGAGTAGTGGCCTTTTGATAGTCTCCGTGGCTGACCAACACAGAAGATTACAGTTGTTCTGTGTTAAGGTCTGCTTCCAAATGATAAATCCTTGTAGGTAGTCTACATTTTGGTTTTAGCCAGTCGTGCTCAAGGGTTTGAGGGCACATGCCAAGCAATGCCATGATTAATAATCAATTTAGCATCAGACACGCTGACACACTTGTCAGCTTGATTATCAGAATTAGGCACAACACTATGAGAGAAATGAGGAGCAATGTAAAACATACTTGCAAGAGACTTATCATGGATTCCCTGTTCAATGAAATCTCACCCTTTTATCAAACACCAAATATCCAACCTCATCATACAATCACGCCACAGCATAATCTAGTACAACAAAAGCAGAAAGGAAAACCTGGAACTCATGCATACACAAAGTGGTGCACTGATCAAGAGAAAATTGATGACATACTGGTGGTAATTGGGAAGGCACGCTGGAGTCTTGGAGAGTTCTTACACAAGCTATTTGTTGAGCCTGACAAAAGCTCAGCAGCAGATGGTCTTAGCAAGAATCCCAAACCCAAGGTTGTTTGATCTGATAGTCACCAACATATTGAAGTTTCTTTCAGGGAGCACCAAATACAGCCCTGGTGACATTATAGAGCTTATGTACCACAGTAAGGCCGCATGGCCACCATACTTTCATCCGGAGGCACGCCAGTACTTTTCCGTTGACACAGCACCTTCGTCAATTGGATACGCATGCCCCGCACTGTCGACATGGGCCCTAGAGCTTGTTGTAGCCCAAATAATCAAGGAGTCAACCTATCTTTCCTCAGAGAAATCAGGTCTTCGAGTCTGTGTGTCATAAAAGAAATCCAAAGGACCTGCTCAGGAAGATGGGCCACTTGTGCATGAAGCACAGGAAACAGGAGGGGACTTGATTGCAAAGTCATCCGAGGCACTGCCATTAAACGAGGCACAAAGGCTAACAGGTGCTACCATCCGAAAATATGGATTTGGGGTCAGAAGACAAGTGGGATAATATAGAAGAAGTGCCACTTACCCAAGATGAACAGGTGGCCAAACTAGGAAGTAATGCGGGTGAGGAGGATCCATCGGATGCAGTAGTAAAGGATTGATTGAATGCGGAGGTGGAGGCTCCGTTGGATGCAGCCATAGCAGATGCGGCTGCATCAAATTTACAAGCCAGCCAGCCAGAGTACTCTAGCATATCACTAATGGCATCATTGAGTACCATCGGCATAGGGACTACTCTCAAACAAACCCATAGTGATGCACAGATTGGGGCATCATGGAACATCATCAGTAACTTCTCGTTTGAAGAACTGCGCAGAACATACCTAGTGCATGCTCCAACTGTCTGGCAAATCCTATGGAAGTTTGTGGCCCCAAAATTAGTGTCAAAGTGGCACAAACTAGGTGCATGTTAGTACCGACCAAAATGGATTGTGAGTAATATGCAATGGAGCTTCCAATGAGCCATACTCACCTTTTCACTATACAGGCTCTGACTAGTATAATCAGCAAATTGACCTATATGAGAAACCAATGGGCAAACCTTGCTCCTCTCTGTCATTCAATTGCGATGTTTGGCTCGAAGTCCCATCACTTGTTGTATAAAGTTGGCAGTCAATTGGCTCAATGTACACCATTCTCAACAACACGTCATGCACTGGTTTGGATGGCACAGGAGGAACGCACCACATTGCGCACCCTAATTGAGACTAGTGAGACACATTTTATAACTGTCATGGACAATATACAGGTGTATGCATGTCATTGGAAGCGACACCTTGGAGGCAAGAGTCATATGATAATGGGAACCGGTGGGACGGTAGTCAAAATGAAAGACTGCCCTGAAAGAGCCTTTAAGCTTCAGCCAATCTTGGACCTCTGTGCCAGAAAGGAGTGCGAAAGGCTCACTGTGGAAGGACTAGTGGATGATATTGACTTTGAGCACTTGGAACAAGTGGCGGGATATCACTAGCTTACAACACTTGTGGCATATGTTCTGGAGCTTGCAGGGTATCATACATCGGTCACAAATCTGTTTAAAGAACAAGCTGTTAAACATCAAATTGATTCCCATCAACATACTAAGATTCATCCACTTGGCACAAATAGTGCCCAGGAAATCACACTACACAGTGCAAAGGACACGATGTGGACTTCTTGGCACAAACTGGTGATATTGCTAGTGATGCCTCTGAGTGCAAAACACACCCAAGAAACACCCCTACAAGCGCAGGTAGGCAGGAGCTGGTTCTAGTGTGCAAGGAACTATAAGCTGTGCAATAACCAACAAGGGAGCGTACTAAAAGCGTTCGGAGTGTAATGAATAAACAACTCCAAAATCAAAATATTCGGTCAGTCAGTTGGTCGGTTGGTCAGTTAGTCGGTTAGTCGGTTGGTTGGTTAGTAGGTTGGTTGGTTGGTAGGTTGGTCAGTTGGTAGGTTAGTTGGTTGGTTGGTTGGTAGGTTGGTCAGTCAGTAGGTTGGTCAGTCGGTAGGTTGGTTGGTTGGTTGGTTGGTTGGTTGGTAGGTTGGTTGGTTGGTAGGTTGGTCAGTCGGGATTTGATTGGGATTTGATCGGCACGCAAAGGGAAGGGAATGGGTGCAAGGCCACACTGGACACTGGCAGAGGATGATAAACTAGATGAGAGGGAGAGAGCAAGACGACGAGGGCTCTGACAGAGGGCTGCGATCGAACATAACAACACAAACAAAAGGGCAAAATGCGAACAAGGATCGGAAGGCAATGGCTCAAAGTCTCATGGACACAAGCGCACAAATGGAATTGGAACAAGGGGGGAGCCAAAACTGATGTATTGCAAGGCCATAGGTGCTCTTTTATAGTAAGTCTGAACAGGTACAAGATAAGGAGATTGGCAGAGGCATAGAGCAATCGGAAATGCATGCCAAGAGTAATCAAAGGTAAAGGAGATAAGAGAGTAATGTTGCAAACACTATAAGATAAGAAGCAATAACTCTAAAGTCTAAATAAGTGGAGAGATTGCCAAGGTGAGTGCACACGGACCTGGAAATAAGAACCACATGCCACATGGGTAAACCATTTAGAAACTTGGGAGCTCTGAAGATAATGAAGGATAGGTCAACAGAAGGCATAAGGATAATAAGAGATAAAAAGACAGATCCATTCTAAGTCAAAAAAGTTTTTGGCCGCCTCCGATTTGGGACACCGAAGCCAACTAAATGTGCCAACCATGTGAAGTGTACTGAACCGATCAGCGATTGGCCGCGACAGTCTGTGGAGAGCCATTACTGCTGTGAGTAATGATAGATGGATAGGATGACTGTGAACAGCTCCGAACAACTGTGCGGAGGTCTAAATAGAAAGTCGGCACCTGACAAATGGCTGAGATTGCCGAATGGATCAGGATCGGTCAGTCCTAAGTGTGCCGAATGGTCAAAGAATACTGAAAAGCTGCAAAAAGTGGGGTATTGGTGCCTAGAGCATACCCATGCTCATCACCGGTATTGAGGAATCAACCACCTAAGGCGAGATCTCATTCTTTATAGGGGATGGGTTAACGTTTGCAAATATAAACAAGGACAAGTCCTACCTGTCAAGCAAACCGGGCAACTTCAGATCATTCCACTTCATCCAAGGGGTCCTGGAGATATAGCATACAAAGTGGACGGACTTGAGTCATATTTGTGGTTCATGAGGTCTAGAGAGTCCGTCAGATCCTTTTACCCTAGGGTACATGGCAAGAGCTATTGATAGCCTGACACTGTCTGATCTTGGCAAAGTGGACTTCTATACCAACATGCAAATGTTGGAATTCACGGTGTGTGGTTATATGCTGTATTGTTGGGAGTAAGTGAGCCCATACCATGTTGCTGGCACAGAAGCTGACTCACTGAATCTAATCACATCAGAGTGTTCCTAGACACCAAAAACATCAAATAGCATTTCCAAGAGTTATCTTCAAGGAATATCCTGCCTTCTTTGCAGAACCTTCTCTGCTATGCTAAGGTGTTGGCTACTCAATACTCTACAAATATAGCATACAAGCAGGCACTCAGGCTGCGCTCAGCCTTGAATTCATCAGAAGGAGGATGGGACATACCTATTGAATCCTCCCAAGCGAGTCTAGAGGATGCCATAAATGGCAATGTTTTCCAAGGGGATTGGACACTTGCAAATTCCGTCCTGTTATTGAGAGATGGAATCTGGTCCCTTGAGGTCTGTCAGGCCATCGCTACCGGGGACATTGGTCATGTCTGGGAAGTCTTTAAAGTAAGTTGCAAAAGCAAGAGACACCAAATCATACTTACCGGTCCCCCAGGTATGGATCTTTACCTTTGTGGGTGCTGGCAATCACAACTACATGCAATACCTTCTTGAAATCCACTGCAACATCAAGTTTAAGTACTCTGAGGCCACACGTATTACCCTGTTCAACAACTGGCTTGTGAACCTCAAAGGAGAGCCAGGCCACTTCCACAAGCTTGAACTAATGCAAGAACATTTCAATTTTTGGTTAGAAGAGCTCACGCAGCACAAGGGAAAGGAGTTTGGCGATGAGTGGTATCGCCACATGCTTGCCATGCATATATATCACTTCCTTAGGCTTAAGGAAGAGATGAAGAGCTCTATTCCACTAGTGCGGCAGAACAAAGGTCACACCCATATGGATATCCATAATAAGGTCCCCAAGTCATGCGCATATGCTGTGAAAGGAAGTTGCATCATTTCAAAGGCGGGCGAGACCTTGGATTCTACTCTATGGACAGTTTTGCTACTAGTTACACAAGGCTAGGGTTTGAAGGAAAGCTTGCAGAGTTCGTCAAAAACTCATCAAGGGTTAGTCACAATTTAGACAAGGCACTCTCGTTCCCCATAAACACAGCCGATCCGTCAATGTATTTGTGCAAACTCATGCACTATGAAGATGGCCTGTTAGTTTTCCCATCTCAAACAGACACTGCATCTGGAAAAACACCCCCTTGTATTAGCTCCGGATTATATCTAATAGTGTCTAAAAGTATCTAAAAGTGTTAATAACATCTAAAAGTGTCTAATTTCCTAATTGGGAGCAACACATTATGAGCATTGGATTGGTTTCTAATTTCATAATATTAGCACTAATTCTATACTAAGAAGTCTTTAATTATTAGTAGGAAATAGTAAGTACTACTGCTCTATCAGTGAGAAGGTAAAGATGTGGCACATTCTATACTATTTCAGCATATTACTCTCCTTCATATATGCCTATACCATTATCTTGTAGCTCTTTTGCTGACTTTCCAGCTGCTTTTATAGGGGATATAGAAAGAAAGAAATGTGCATTGATGCCCCCAGCTACTTTGTTGGCAGCTTGACAGCTGCCACAAGAGGCTATGAAGACCTAGGTACCTTGTCCTTGCACACAAGGTCATTAAAGTTGTCATTGTTAGCCAATGCCTGCTACTGGTCATTATAGGACACAACATGTGGGTTGGACTTAGGGATATGCTATATGCAGCCTTATAGACCTTGTCTATTAGTATAGTGGCTAATACTATCTTGTGCAGCACACAATCATCATCACTATTGATATTACAATTTTTAGCACTATTTATATTGTTTATTGCCTTGTTATACAGAAGATGCTCAAACTTGGTGTTTTTCTCTAGCTATTAGGCTGTGGAAAAGACAGTCATATTAGTATGTGGTGCCAGAATGATATATTTGCCTGCCATATAAGTAATATATGCATTAAGCATATTAAGATCACCTCCAACAATTTTGTGCTTATTTATATATAGGCATGCCATACATATACTCACTAGTGGCTATTTGGAAAACCCCTCTCTCTTATTGGATCTTGATTATTTATAATCATGTTTTTGATCAAATTTGCAAATTCAGGTAGCATTGTCTATACTAGTAGAGTCCCATTGAATATTACACTCAATCATAGTTCTACACATTCTCAGTCCAAATTGTATAAGTGCCATAATTGATTTCCATCCTATATAAAGTGTATTATCGATTTTCCATTGGTTTATTATCTTCTTAGCTGGTGTTTAAACTAAATCCTAAAAGACCTGACTTTTGAGGTATTTATTGACCTATTTATTCATGAGATAGAGGAAAGAAAAATGTTAAATAGAATCAGAGATGTTGAGGTTGCCTATATTATGTCTAGTTATTTAGATTACCAAGTTCATATCTTAGACCTTGTGGCTTAGTGGCTTAGAGCATCTGTCCTAGGTGCTTGCATACATGAGGTTGTTGGTTCAACTCTGGCAGAAGGCAAGTTTGTTATAAGGTATATTCTGTGTTTAGGTATTGAACTGGTGCTCTAATAGACATGACTCTATAAGAAGGCTATGAGAACTGTGATGCTTAATTTATTATGATTTTTCCGAAATTTCAAGTTATAATCAATCCTAATAATTCCTAATTTAGGAAAATTATGTCTAATTAGAACAGGATTAGAGGGGGGGAAGCTAAGAATGTCTAATCCTAATCGTTCTTAATTATGCATAAATAGAACTAATTAGAGCTTAATACAAAGGGGTGGTTTTCTAGATGATGTTAGAAGCAGTCACATGCCAAGAGAGCAAGACATACCAGATGATGCCAGTTCTTTGAGCCTACGTGCTGCATTCACCACTCGTGTCTTTGCGCCCTTTGCAGCACTCTCCTTCTTCCTTCTAGCATGCTCCTCATTGAACTGCCTATTCATTGCCCTGATGAGGTTGAATAGCACATAGCCGTCCATCTCAAGGTACTCCCAATTGAACAATAACTCAGCCAGAGACTCTCAATCCTGGAGAAGGTGGAATTGGTCAATGAGAAGAGAGAGGAGAGAGGAGGGAATGAAGGCGACTGAAGGTAAGTAGTGTGACTTGGCGGTCTTGTGAAGTGGCCAGTGTTGTTGTTGAAAATTGTTGATACTGCTGATTGCATGTTCCCTCATCTCCCTCGTAAGCTTTATATGTAATACAAGGAATTCTTCCTGAACAGGTGAGTCCTTAGGGATGCTCAATGGGGCACCAACCTCAGCGGATGAGAGGGTTGTGTCGGCGTGTAGTCTTTTGAGCATCCCAGAAAGCTGAGAGCATGACGAGCAGTTAGAACAGGGTAAGCGCCGCTGCGCATCGAAGCACACCTTGTGGGAGTGAGTCCCTGGACTCCCAAACATCTTGTTGAATGCTGCCACTAAGCATTCTCCACCCACATACCCTCAAATTACCTCTCCCAGGTACTTGTTATTTGTGTATTTTACCTTGCTTTTGCCCTCTGCTCCTGTAACTGCTTTCTTGGATGATCCCTTACTCTTGTTGGCGCCGAGAAGACCACCCTCACGGTTTGACAATTTGTTCTTGCGTACTGTGTTGCGATCCTCTGCAGTGATTGATGCAACAATGGAGGTTTCAATATATGTAATACCATAAGCATCAGTATTGGGATCCATGCCAGCCCTCCCATTCTGCTGGAGAATTGCTTCTGCTGATTCAGAAAAGCCTAGATTGATCGAGATTTTGACATTGTGGACATCAACACTCATTCCGAATTTGACAGTGGCGATGATGATCAATGCCTCTGCCTTTGTACTAAATACTCATGCTGCTGTGGCATTAGAGTCTGCCCAAGTAATTTCATTATATTTCTGAACAGTCTTGAATTGTGCTTGTCTAGGTGGCAAGAGCCTCCACAGGTATAAAGCAACACAATGCCTGAGGTCAATAGTTGCGCAATAGATGATGGTCTTTCTGCATGCTCTCGCAACCCATGCAATGTCAGGGAACTCATGTTCACCCAAGCCATGTGAGAGCGTGCAAAAGATGGTCTGCAAGTTTGGATGTTTACAAGACCACCAAATCATCTGGTAATCTATAATCCCAAGGAGACACATCATCCAAACTTCAAGATCAACATTTGATGTTGCTGTCAATGCCAAGATGGGTACACCGGATCGTATTCAGGCCTGAATCTTCCCAAGCTGACCATAGTATTTGCAAAATGTCAGGCTCCATGGGATCACAACATGTGCTTTGTTGACAATGTACAATGCAAGATTGGCACAGAAATCAGCAAATTGTAGGATGTCGTCAAAAGCGGGGGAGGTGAGTCATTCCGGCAATACTATAATGACTGCCCATTTGCATTCACCTACCTTTCTGAGCAGATCCTGGTTTTTGAGGGAGGCAGTGTTGATTATCTCAACATTGAGTGCCATGGCCGCAATACCAAGCCGACTCATCTCATCCACCTTGGCAAGGGTAAGTGTTCCACTCCAGGAGTAACAAATAGTCATTGACTAACCTGACTATGCCCCAAATCACTTAGAGGGGTTACCATTAGCACAATAGGCCATTCTGGCACTCTGCTGCCATACTGGGGGAGTGATCTGTTGGCGGCAAGTGCCTCTAGTACTAGAAGTGGGAGGTATGCAGTGGCAGTTTTGCTGTCACTGCATGCAGTGACAACCAACTGATTGAGCCCATCGAGGGTGCACATGGTAGCCATAACTTGCCAATCATGAGGGCCGGCTGGCCATGGCACCTGGCTGCTGATGATTTTTTTGAGATCCTTGAGGCCTCCAGGAGATGTCCAAGCTTTAATAGCCATGGTACATATAAATAAAACGAATGGAATATGTGTTTTCGGCCAGGACAAGCAGGGTTTGTTGATTGTGCAAGGGCGTGTTGCGTCGCGTTGCACAAAGCATGTGCCCCCTATTGTCAGACTTTATGAGTAACACATTGACCTTTCATATCGCATATGTGGTGCATGCGGAATGCGAAATTATATCAAATTTGAGGTCAAAATAGTGACTACCTGCAAGCTTTTGTTATTTGGATGTAGACTAGCCTTTTGATATGTTGCCTTGAGTGCTGCTACATTGTGAGAAAGAGGTGAGGGGAAATGGGCAATAGTAAGGGCTGAGTTAGCCACTCAGCTTTTTCTTAATCCTCTAATGTAGAGTTCTGTGTGATCCCATTTTATACTGTAATACCTTGGACACATGTTGAAGCATACCATGTTACCTTCCTTCCAATCATTCCCATGATCCTTTGCTTGTCATTTTGTGTATTTTGTGTGACCCCATTTTGTGACTATTACAAGTTGGTCATATCTTTATACCATTGCTTATCAAATTTTATACCTTGCCCAACTTGTTTTGTATTGCAGTCAACTCTTTTATGGTGCATATTGATCTCTATCTTTCTTCCTGCTTATTTTATCTTAACATGCTTAATGACCAAGCAGTATGCTTTTTATGATATTTCTTTTCAATTTACCTCTTATTATAAAGGTCTTCCTACTCCTTTTTCTAAAGACTACGATAATTGTCTTTATAGCTCTGATTTGTTTTCTGTTAATCTTTTGGTGTTCTCCATTCTTATATATAGGCTAGAACTACTGCTTCCTAGTCTGCCTTCTGATTTTCCATATGTTTTTCTTTTCTCAAAGGAATCTTTTCTCAATTTTGTCATTGCATGACATTACCTTCTCTATAGTCTGTTGTTATTCTGGTAAGTTCTGCTAGCCCTTGTTCATTGCTGGTTACTAAGCCTATCGATAAAGACCTTTCTTTTTTTCCTCTCAGCTCTTCACTATCCTATTTCTCTATAATATTAGATAGTATATTTTTACATGCCATCTTCTCCTATAAACCTGCTCATTTCTATCCTAGCATCTACTCACTGGCTCTTCATCTCTCTATTATCTTCCATTGATGTGGAACTATCTATGTTAGAAACATGTTCTAATATATGCTTTGTATATGATGAGATAGACAAGCTAAGTAGTTTACTCATAATTTATGGTAGGACTTTCTCTAATTGACATGCTGATGCATGAACACTTACTCATACATATTCACATGCTTTGGCATAAACTCTTACTTATGCTTTGATTAGCCTTTGGCCCCTGATTGGTTTCTGATTCCTAATTTCCCTTTGATGTGAATAAACAGTTACTATATGCAGATATATTGTAAATCATAGCCTACTAATCTTGATTGTTTACTCAATTGTTTTGGTATCTTAGCACCTATCAAATAGACTAGCTTTAGGTGCACAGACCAGATTTTGATCCTGCTCTAAATAGCTTGTATGTACTTATAGCTGAGATAAGCTTCTAAGAAGCTCAGCTTATTCACTTTGTATACTACTTAATCTCTGCACTATGCCCAATGTCTGGCTATCTTCCTAGCCCATACTTTGTGAACTCTATTAGATTTAAGACATCCCTACATTGTCTGATGAAGCACTGGACTTGTCTTTACTCTCTTATTACTCTCTAGTCTCTATAATATACAAAGGGCTTGCTGCCTTTTGTGTTCTTGGTTAGGTACCTCCCAGAGTTATCTGTTGGACTGGAGAAGATAGTCTAATATCTGTTAAACATCAAGATATCTTTAAACACTATCTGCTTTATCATTTTAAAGATAAATCAGACAGTGATCCCAATTTTCTCTTGCAAGCTCAAAAATGATCCATTGTCTTTATCTATTGGGGCCTTATAATTCAAATAGCCTAAGGAACTCCTCTTAGTACATCAGTACACATAATAAGCCTTTAGCTTAATAGTCTGCTTTGGCATCTCCCACATTATGGGATAATTTTGTATATATATTGCAATATCAACTGCCCTTGTTATCTAAGTGTACAAGTTCCAACCCGTCGCTTCGCGACTCTTGCACAGTGCTTAATAGTATTTCTTGGGGTTAGGGTTGAATCTGAGTTTTGTAGTTTGGTTTTAAATGACTATGAGGATCGAAATCTTCCATGTTAGTTGCAAACTATGCATTGATTATAGGCTACCTACAGTCTGAGTGTGGTCTATATGTAGTCTGTGTGTAATCTATTGTTGGCTATATACTTGTGACTTGATTACCTATTACATGTGCTCTCATTTTGTATGCTTTTATTGTATATGCTCTTATTGTGTGTGCTTCTATCATATGTGCTCCCATTGTGTGTGCTTTAATTAGGTGTGCTCCTATTAGGTACGCTACTATTGTATATGCTTCTATTGGATGTGCTCTTGTTGAATGTGCTCTTGTTGGGTGTACTCTCATTGAGTGTGCTCTTATTAGGTATGCTCTTGTTGAGTATGCTCTCATTGGGTATGCTCTTATTAGGTATGCTCTTATTGGGTATGCTCTCTTTTGATATGCTCTTATTGGGTATGCTCTTGTTGGATATGCTTTTGTTGTATGTGGTGTGCTTTTGTTAGATATGCTCTAGTTGGATGTGCTTCCATCATGTGTGCTCCCATTGTATGTACTCCCATCATATGTGTTCCTATCAGATATGCTCTAGTTAGGTGTGCTCCTATTATATGTGCTCCCATTACATATAGTGTGCTCCTATTATGTGTGCTTCCATTGTGTATACTCCTATTGTGTATACTCCCATCACATATGCTTCTATTAGATGTGCTTTAGTTGGGTGTGCTTTCATTATGTGTGGTATGCTCCTATTAGATGTGCTCTAGTTGTATGTGCTTTGATTATATATGCCCCTATTACATGTGCTCCTATTGCATGTGCTCCTGTTGCTTGTACTCTTGTTGCTTGTGCTCCCATTGCATATGCTCCCATTGTGTATGCTTCTATTGTGTATGCTTCTATTATGTATGCTCCCATACTCCTATTATGTGTGCTTTTATTATATGTGCTCTTGTTGTATGTGCGCTTGTTGTGTGTGCTCCCATTACATATGCTCCTATTGTGTATGCTCTCATTATGTGTGCTTCCATTGTATATGCTCTCATTGTATGTGCTCTTGTTGTATGTGCTCTTATTAGTTTCATTGCACTTCTTTTATAGGTTATTGGACATTTTAATCTAACTTGAGTGATGTTCCTAGAGTTTTCCACCAATGTAAAAGACATATACACAGAATGCATAGATTTAGCAGGTATTGAGTTGGAAATATAAGGTACATTGATGGTTAGAGTCAGAATATTTTGCCTTGTGCTCTATGGATTTTATCATATTTTGTCAGGTTCCCTTTTTGGATTTTTGGTGCAGAAAATGCTTTAATCAGGAGAAGAGAAATTAATAATTTGGCCAATAAAGTAATTGTTTTAGCCTCGCGCTTCGTGCTCGCTGCGGCTATCGCCGCAGTTTGTCAGGTTTGGCCCCTCACGCTTCGTGCTCAGGTTCTCACGTGGTTTTCACGTATTGCCACGTGAGATACTGCCCTTCCACTCTCTTTAGATTTGTGTCATATCTCTTTGATTAGATAATGTTCTCATTGATGCTGTGTATTTATGATCATGGTATATGTTGTCCATTGTAGCATTGATGCACTTGCAATGGCTTTGTATACAAATATGTACAAGAAAACCATTACTAAATATAGGTAGTGTTAAGATCTAGTCTTTGCATGTGATGTGCTAGGAGGCTCTTGAGTCACTAAGGGAATATGCCAAATCCAAGTACATCTGATATAGATGCTAGTAGCTACTTTGAGATGTAAGTTGGGGTAGATGAGAATTTTGTGATAATATTGTAATTCCAAGTAGTCATAAAGGTTGTCCTGTAAATATGGAGATACAACCTGATAAGGGCCTGGATGATAGTAGATATGCTGCCTACTGAAGTCTAGATAGAATACTGTTAGTCCTATATAGAATGTAGCCAGTATTGATATATTGACTGAGTAATTGAGGATGATAATAGAAGAAAGCAAAAGTGTGGGTTAAACCAATGTTATAACAGAAGTTCTATTGATGATTAGAGATCTGGCCTATTAGCAAAAACCTAGATGCTATCAAGATATGGCTAGTACCAAGGTATTAAGGAAAGAACAGATAGTAGGTAACAAAGGTGAATAAGCTAATTCTACCAGACTGTACTAGTTTAGCTCCAGAAAAGGTATAGTATGTAAATGGTGTATAGATAAGTGGAAACTCATCAATGTGGATTTATATTGTATCATTATGTTCTTCTTCTTCCTTTTTTGAGGGTAAAACCTCAGTATTTTCAGGACAGCTCTTTTATCCTTATAATTGCCATGCTAAGGGAGTCTCTGGACAAGCAGATTGATCACTTATATAAGGCTTAGGCCTACTTCCCCATTGTAATTGGGTTTTATGACTAGTTTTGAGACTGGCAGGATTTCTTTAACAATTCCAAGTAGTATTGCTCCCATATAGTAAGCTTAAAATTCTTTAAAGTTAAGTTTGCATCCAGAGTTTGTTTGTCACAAACATAGGCCTATGATAGGGAATACCACATATAGTGTTGAATTTGAGACAAGGATGTAAAGAAGAATACCCTTGAAAGTTGGTACTCTTGTTAAGCTATATTGCTCCCATATAGTAAGGTCATCTCCAACTAAGATTAGGTTTGGAGTGAAGAGGGAGTCTGGCCTCTTGCTTGTCAACTGATACTAATTTTGGGTATATGAGTAGACTTTAAGACCACAAATAATTGATTAATCTGGGTCATATAAGATAAATCCTGTTATGAACTGCATATTGTATCTCTCTTGCCTTTTCCACGATCTGTATAAGGACACATAGGACCTTTCTCATCTGGAAAAACACCCCCTTGTATTAGCTCCGGATTATATCTAATAGTGTCTAAAAGTATCTAAAAGTGTCAATAGTATCTAAAAGTGTCTAATTTCCTAATTGGGAGCAACACATTATGAGCATTGGATTGGTTTCTAATTTCATAATATTAGCACTAATTCTATACTAAGAAGTCTTTAATTATTAGTAGGAAATAGTAAGTACTACTGCTCTATCAGTGAAAAGGTAAAGATGTGGCACATTCTATACTATTTCAGCATATTACTCTCCTTCATATATGCCTATACCATTATCTTGTAGCTCTTTTGCTGACTTTCCAGCTGCCTTTACAAAGGATATAGAAAGAGAGAAATATGCATTGATGCCCCAGCCACTTTGTTGGCAGCTTAGCAGCTGCCACAAGAGACTATGAAGACCTCAGTACCTTGGCCTTGCACACAAGATGATTGAAGTTATCATTGTTAGCCAATGCCTGCTACTGGTCATTATAGGACACAACATGTGGGTTGGACTTAGGGATATGCTATATGCAGCCTTATAGACCTTGTCTATTAGTATAGTGGCTAATACTATCTTGTGCAGCACACAATCATCATCACTATTGATATTACAATTTTTAGCACTATTTATATTGTTTATTGCCTTGTTATACAGAAGATGCTCAAACTTGGTGTTTTTCTCTAGCTATTAGGCTGTGGAAAAGACAGTCATATTAGTATGTGGTGCCAGAATGATATATTTGCCTGCCATATAAGTAATATATGCATTAAGCATATTAAGATCACCTCCAACAATTTTGTGCTTATTTATATATAGGCATGCCATACATATACTCACTAGTGGCTATTTGGAAAACCCCTCTCTCTTATTGGATCTTGATTATTTATAATCATGTTTTTGATCAAATTTGCAAATTCAGGTAGCATTGTCTATACTAGTAGAGTCCCATTGAATATTACACTCAATCATAGTTCTACACATTCTCAGTCCAAATTGTATAAGTGCCATAATTGATTTCCATCCTATATAAAGTGTATTATCGATTTTCCATTGGTTTATTATCTTCTTAGCTGGTGTTTAAACTAAATCCTAAAAGACCTGACTTTTGAGGTATTTATTGACCTATTTATTCATGAGATAGAGGAAAGAAAAATGTTAAATAGAATCAGAGATGTTGAGGTTGCCTATATTATGTCTAGTTATTTAGATTACCAAGTTCATATCTTAGACCTTGTGGCTTAGTGGCTTAGAGCATCTGTCCTAGGTGCTTGCATACATGAGGTTGTTGGTTCAACTCTGGCAAAAGGCAAGTTTGTTATAAGGTATATTCTGTGTTTAGGTATTGAACTGGTGCTCTAATAGACATGACTCTATAAGAAGGCTATGAGAACTGTGATGCTTAATTTATTATGATTTTTCCGAAATTTCAAGTTATAATCAATTTTAATAATTCCTAATTTAGGAAAATTATGTCTAATTAGAACAGGTTTAGAGGGGGGTAAGCTAAAAATGTCTAATCCTAATTGTTCTTGATTATGCATAAATAGAACTAATTAGAGCTTAATACAAAGAGGTGGCTTTCCAGATGGCCTCCCGACTATACCTCACATTCCTGATCTACTGCTAGTTGGTCCGTGCTTTTGCTTGTACATATTTATAGCAGCTGCAGCGTAATAGGGAAGCCTTAGGCTATCTACCTCTGTCCAATCTAGGAACTGCTGTTAACCAGTCTTCCCTGATTCTCAAGCATTAGTCTGATTAGCTTCACCTCTTCACATCCCTCATCCTCATTATCATTCTCTTGGTGTTAGTATTGGTTTGTGGCCTAGGAATCTCTTGTTCCAAACAGCCGTTCATGACAAATCCATAATAGTAGTTTAAACATCATGTTGGACACTCCATAGTTTAATGTCTTTGTGGACATTAGGTATATTTTCTCTCATTATGTAGGGATAGTAATATATATATGTAGTTTTGTCTCATTGTGCAGGTATTGTAATATAAGGATAGCTTTTAGCATTTGGGTGCTATCCCTAGTTTAAGAAAAAGGTCATTGTAGACCTTCTGCATCATTAACATAGAGTATCTGTAAAAAAAAAACTTTTCTGCATGCTAGATCATTTGTTAGTGATGTATATAGGGCCCTAGACCAAGTTTTGTCTTAACAGGCCTCCACTGAGGTACAGTGAGAATGGTTTTTACTATATCAAACTGGATAACTTAGACCTAAGTTAAGATCAACTTAGTTTAATACTGTGAGCTAGGTGACTTCTATTGTCTGACTTGTTCCTCCAAGTCACAATAGATTTTGCCCTCCAGAAATGAGGGTAGTTTACTATCATTTTGGACTTAATCAATAGATTGTTATTAGCAATGCCATCAATTAATGATCCCTATATATAGAAGGATGAGTAGCTTAGGGTCATTATGGATATAGATAGTTTAGCATTATTATAGACATGTTTTACTACCAATATTGCAGTAAAACAATGACTAGTTTAATATCATCTCAGATATTAGGCCCAGTCAAAAGTCAGTTGATGTAAATAGAGGCAGATATAAGCAAATCTATATGAATGGGATTGAATTGGTCTCCCTATTAAATTTTAGACTTTTTATAAGCAGATCAAGGGGGATCAATTGGCATAGATTCAGGTTTATTTTTACATTGGCTGAGTTTTTTTTTTCAAAAAATAAAAACCGGGCCTTTTTGAATCCATTTAAATCCATTTAAATCCATTTGAATCTATTTAAAACCATTCAGATCCATTGGGATCCATTCATATTGATTTTTGTAGAATGTACAACCTAGTCTATGCTGATCATGCTGTGCCACTGCTCTGCCTTCCTCCATTACTGCTCATCAATTACTTAACTATTGCCTGCCTATGCCCTGACACTGACCTATCCAAACCATAGTTGCTGCTGTCAATGTGCAGATCCAGATGCAAGAGCATCTCCGACTACACTGTGGATGCCACCACATCATGCTCCATCTGCTTGTAGCGCTGTGGAATGAAGTGATTAGATATGTTTATACAAGAAGAATGTAACAATACCTTGTTCTCATCCTTGTTGAGCACAGCCTAATGCTTCATGAGCTCCTGTCTCCCTGCATTGGGATACAGCGTCTTCCACTCTTGGGCATATATATTCCTATAGTTAAGTTATCAGCAAGCATAAAAGGAAGGTTCTCAATCACACATACTTGGCAGTGTTCTTCTTGCCTGGATTCTACTTGTGCACCTTCTTCCCATTCCCTTTCATGCTCAATAGAAATTGCTTACTGTCCATTGGCGAAGATAGTTCGAGTGGTTTGGATGCAGCAGATGTTGAAGGGATCTGGCTAGTGGAGGAACTAGAGGATCTAGCTGGCACTATTGTAGAAGTCATATTGTCATCTGGGTGCACAGAATATCAGTAAAGAACAGTAAGTGCAAGCATATAAATATACCATTTGAGCAGATCTCCTACTCCGAGAGGGGAGTGGGAGGTGCATTTATATCATCCACAGATATTGTGGTTGTCATATCTGGAGTTGTGGTGGGATCGGAGACTTGCTTATTCAATGCAATTGTCGAGGAGGGAAGCAGATTCTGGAGGGTAATTGTAGTTGTTGTCTTAATGAGTGCCTCATGCAGTGTTGGGTCGGCCGTCAATGCTAGAGAAAGCAGTCACATTGGCAACTCCAAATGATGACCGAGGCCGGCACTGCAAAGAAATCTGTCAATACAATACAAAGGGGCTGCTCGATAGAGCAAAATTCACTCACAAGAGATCGGTAAATATCTAAGAAAGTATATTAACAGTGTATCTTTTCGAATATGAACTCACTCACAATTGGAGGTGCCATGAGAGCTGGTGCAGTTGTGAGTGCCGGTGCGGTTGTGAGAGCTGGTGTGGTTGCAAGAGCTGGCATAGTCGTGAGCACTGGTGCGGTTGCGAGCACTGGCACGGTTGCAAGCATTGGCGCGGTTGCAAGCACTGGCATAGTGATGAGCATGCACCTACGCTAGGGTCCAAAGGAGGTATTTAGGAAGCTTTGGGGAGATATCAAACAGTGCTAGACAAGTACTAAAGACACCAACTATTACCAAACACGGTTAGTCCCTGCCCAACTGATGACAAGCCCTCAAAGGACGTTCAGCAACACTTGGGTCAGTTTGCCCACATTTCACATACTTACCATGACCGCACAGAAGTGTTATAATAAGTGTTTATGAGATCGGAGCCAGTAGTCTGTATTGGCCAATGTCTTCCGTGAGTCGGTTGGTCCTTATTGCTTATCTTACCGGCTTCCACATGGTTAGTCAAACGTGATCTTGCACCATTACTTAGCTACCCTGGTCGTACAATACCTCTCCTTTGTTTTCATTGGTTCTCCAACACCTTTTCCTGCTACCTACGCTCGGGTGACAGATCCTGAATGTTCAGAATTTCGCCATCACTGATTAACTTTTACCTTGTTACCTTCGGAACCCATATAGACATCTCACCTACCTTCTTATCTTCTCTGATTGCTAAGGCTTGGCGCCCATTTGACATCTACTCTCATTTCTTGTTTAATATTTTACTTAGGGGCTCTGTTTACTTTAAAAACCTACACACAACTCTGGAATAAACCAGCTTTTGCACCCCACTGTTCAGAGCTCATTTGCACTCGTCTCAACCATTGAAATCATCTTTGTCCATTCCCGAAAACTTGTCATCCTTGCTATTCGGCCTTGTTTGTATTCATATTTAACTCTTTGCTCGGACCCCTCGTCCTCTCTTGTATATTGTCAGAGTCCCGTGTGGCTTCTAAAGCACGTAGTTGTCAGTCACGACACTACCTCCTTGTTACCAACCAAATTGCCAACACGACCGACCGAACATTTGGTTAGTGTTTGGTGTAGTCCCAAAACCGTTTGGGCACTATAATCTTACACTCCTTGATGCTTCTCAGTGTGCCATTGATTTCTAAAGTCATCACTAACAATTCCTTGTGTATCAGATACTAGCTCCAGCACCCCTTGCATTAGAGGTTGTTTTGGTGTTGTGCTCGGCACTTAGAGCTACCTCTAGCATATCATTTTGGAGCCCATTGCAAGGGGTTAGTATTCAAAATTACCTCAAGGAATCTACATTGCTTGTCCTGACCAACAGCAGAGCGCGAAGAATGACAAACAGTTATCAATAGCTTCAATACTCAGGAAACATCTGCTGACCAAAGTTTGTTTGGAGATGCTGATATAGTCCCAAAACATTTATCCCACCATCACTATCTTGATATCAAATCCTTGCCATTACTCTCACCGCCACCCAACTCCACTTTCTTCTTAACCCCACCTTCATCACCAAACTGTTTGCTACTCCTGCCAATTTCCCCCATCCTTGACCTTGCACTCTTAGAACAATCACCTCCATTACTTATCCCATCTCTCCACAACTCTATCTCTCCGTTAATCCGATGCAGCCCCATTTTCTAGATGCCGACCATCCAACCAACTTCACTAGAATGCTCTTTTGAACCAGCAACTCCATCCCCGATCACCTTAGCAAACAATACCTTCTTCCCTACCTTTGACTTTCTCACTATGGCAACCCCATCCATGCCTACTCATGGAGATCAAATGGCCCTGACCTTTGACCCCCATCAACCCTGCAAACTGAGATGATATTTTGCCGATCTGGACTTCCACTTCATTTGGTTTGCAGTGGTGGACAAACAAGAAAGGAAGAAACATGCTTGCTGATTTCTAAATGTCAACACCTGTGAACTTTGGGAATTGCTCACCACTTTCACCGATGCCACAAAGACATTCAAGGACTTTTGCAAAGAGGTCTACAGGCTGTACCCCAGATCAGAGAAAGAGCGTAAATGGTCAGTATCGAATATGAACAAACTAGTTGGCCAAACGAGCAGGGTCAGCATCTTGTCTCTCAGTGAGCTCGGCGACTATCATTGATGATTCCTGGCAATCATAGTATTCCTCTTCAGCAAGGCACGAATCTCAATTGCTGAACAAGGACACACCTTTGCTAGAGGATTCCAACTGGAGTTATGGGCAAGAATCTCTCAGCGCCTACAACTCAAGTTCCCTGATCATTTCCTGATGATCCATACAATCTCCAGGACATCCACAATGTGGCCCAATTTGTCTTGCATGGCACCACAGCCACCTACAGTACTATCTCTACCAATGTTTCTCAAGCAGCCCCCACCGCGCCACCCACCAACACAATCAAGGCCAAAGATCTGGTGACCATGTTTGAACAGCTCACCGACACCTTTGTCAAGGTCATTGCAGCTCATGGGACGTCCAGGCCAGCTGATCGACCATCCTGACAACCAGGACAAGGTAGCAACAACTGCATGTTCTGTGGCAGTCCCAAACACTTTATGCGCACCTGTCCTAAAGTCACCAAATACATTTGGATCAGCAAATGCAAAAGGAATATTGAGGGGAAGGTTGTATTGTCAAATGGGGCATTCATACCCAGAGAAATCACAGGTGGTAGCCTGAAGGATTGAGTTGACGAATGGTATCACAGGAATCCAGGCCAGTTGGCGACCGGACAGATGATATTTATGGTAAATACGGTGATATGCTAGAGGTGGCTCTAAGTGCCGAGCACAACACCAAAACAACCTCTAATGCAGGGGGTGCTGGAGCTAGTATCTAATACACAAGGAATTGTTAGTGATGACTTTAGAAATCGATGGCGTACTGAGAAGCAACGGGGAGTATGAGATTATAGCGCCCGAACGGTTTCGGGACTGCGCCGAACACCGACCAAACATTCGGTCGGTCGTGTCGGCGATGCGGTCGGTAATGAGAAGGTAGTGTCGCGACCGACAACTACGTGCTTCAAGAGCCACACGGGACTCTGACAATATACGAGGGAGGACGGGGGTACAAGCGAAGAGACGAGTACGAACGCGAAGGAGGCCGAGCGACGAGGATGGCAAGTTTTCGGAAGTCGACAAAGATGATTTCGATGGTTGAGACGAGTGCGAATGAGCTCTGAACTGTGGGGTGCGAAAGCTGGTTTATTCCAGAGTTGTATGTAGGTTTTTATAGTAAACAGCGCCTCTAAGTAAAATATTGAACCTGAAATGAGAGTAGATGTTGAATGGGCGCCAAGCCTTAGCGATCAGAGAAGATAAGAAGGTAGATGAGATGTCCATATGGGTTCCGAAGGTGATAAGGTAAAAGGTAATCAGTGATGTCGAAATCCCGAACGTTTGGGATCCGTCGCCCGAGTGTAGGTAGCAGGAACAGGCGTTGGAGAACCAATGAAAAATAAAGGAGAAGTATCGTACGACCAGGGTGGCCAAGCAATGGTGCAAGATCGCGTTTGACCGACCACGCGGAAGTCAGGGAGATAAGCGATAAGGACCGACCGACTCACGGAGGACATCGGCCGATACGGAATACTGGCTCTGATCTTGTAAACACCTATCGTAACACTCCTGTGCGGTCATGGTAAGTACGTGAAGTGTGGGCAAACTGACCCAAGTGCTGCCGACTCGTCCTTCGGTGGCTTGTCATTGGTCGGGTAGGGACCGACCGTGTTCGGTAAAAGTCGGCGTCTTTGGTACTTGTCTAGCGCTGTTCGGTATCTCCCCAAAGCTTCCCAAATACCTCCCTCGGACCCTAGCGCGGATGCATGCTCATCATCTCCTCCCTACTGAAATCCTGACTGTCCTCAGTCAGTGGTCGGCGGCTATGAGTCGGAGCGGAAAAAAAGTGGTGTGGAAAATGGAGTGGTGTGGCAAGTTTCGTGAGAAAAGATCGGTTATGAGCAGTGGCGTGGAAAGGGGTGGGTGCATGGGAGAGATGTGGCATAGGTGAATAATCGGCAAGGAGATGTCGTAGAAAGGACCGGGTCAGCGCGCAAGAGAGACCGGGGCTGAGTCGGCAAAATCCTGTGGCGTGGCAACTGATTAGGTGAGGAAGTGGCTGAAGCCTAGAGTGCCCCAACTAGACGCTGGCGTGAGAGCGTGTCGGCAAGGAGCGGTGGCGCGTATCGCGGTTTCTGCCGAGCGCAGTGGCACGTGGCTCTGTCAGGTGACCACAATCACCTGCCGATCGTTGATTCTCCAGCGACTAAGTCCTTCATCGTCACCCTCCTGCCGTTTCGTCTCCTCATCCGAACCCTTTCGGCCTTCCCACCATGTCCTCCATCCTCTCTGTCCTCACAACCAAGCTCGGGGAGTACATGCTCTCCCTTCCCGACAGCGCCACCGAATACGAAGATTACGAGGCCTGGGCGCAGGGGTTTGCCAAACAAGTGGTAAGTCGGTCCTTCCTTTTGCCTTCTGCTGGCTGCTGACATCCTTGCAGGCTGTATTCGATCGTTCGGCGCGTGGGCAGGATGTGCCCAAACTCGCGGCCTAGGTCGCCGAGGCTGAGAGTGGCCTCGCCCATGTTGCCACCAACGACTGGCTTGCCTGGGGGTCGCGCATCTTGCCGCAGCATGCGGCGCGCTTTGCAGCGCAGAAACAGCAACAGGCGGCCGAAGAACAGGCCCTGGCAGAGGAGGCTGCGCGGGTCGCTGTCGCCGAACATGAGGCTGAGGAAGCCGAGGCGATGCGGGCTGCCGCTGCCCATCAGTTGGCCAAAGCAGATCGTCAGCGGCGCCGGGAGGCTTTGGTGGAGGCCATGTTCAACGGGTTGCTTGATCCTGAACAAGGTGATCGTCAGCTGTCCGAGCTGGAGGCAGAGTCCGTCCTTCCCCTTCCTCTCTTTCTTCACTCTCCTTCTCCCTCCGCCGCCGCTTCCTCTTCTCGTCCTGTCCTGTCCGCCGACTCATCCCATCCCGACCCGTCCGCCGACTCGTCCTATCCTGACCCGTCCGCCGCTGACTCTGCGCTTGCATCCGCAACCGATGCCCTGGACCGAATGAGCGTGGGTCTGGCCGCCGCCGCTGCCCCGACCGACGCGAAGGGCAAAAAGACGGCCGCGGCTGTTGTCGTCGAATTCGCTCACCAACGGACGCCACCTCTCGGACGCGTCGTCCTTCCTCTCGGCCCTGGAACGGGCCGAATGTCAATGGTCAGGTCCCCTGTGGAGCGGAATGGTGCCGGTAAAGTGCTCGAAGATCCTCCAGAGTTGTTACCTGGTGATGTACTGGTAAGTTCCCTCCCTCTTGCCGCCATTTCCTCTTGCTAACCATCCTTCCTCTAGGCCGACTACGCGTGCCACCGCTGTGCGACCGCCTTCCAGACCAAGGCATTCCGGTACTACCAGCGACCTGGGCTGGTGTTGTGCACTAAGTGTGCCAGGGATTTGAAGGGGTGTAGCTTCCAGCCCGGGTGGATGCCGATGGAGAAGGGGAAGGGGAAGTCGAAGGAGAAGGGGAAGGGGAAGTCGAAGGAGCAGTCGGCGCCGAAGGCGGAGGAGAGGGAACGCCCCTTAAAGCGTCGTAAAGTAGAGGTGGTTGTCCCCGTGCGGTCAGTCGGGGATAGCATCGCCCAAACAAAAGGTAAGTCATTTTTCGGTTGGATTGGAGATGGGAGCTCATCGTTCGGTATTGTTCGGTGCAGCTGCTCGCACCCGAAAGCCGGTCCAGTGGCTTCCTACCACGGCTAGGGCCGTCCTCGCTCTTACCCGCCCTTCCCACGCTCGTTCGGCTGCCTTTCCCACTCCTACCGACTCTTCTCGCCTCTCGCCCATCGTCGCCCAAGGCATCGCGTCTGAGCTTCGGTACCGCATCGCGGTGGCTGAGGGTATGCGTGCTTCGCTGGCGCGCTCAGTCGCGATGTGGCAGGCTGAGCTAGAGTCACTCGAGGTGCGGGCGGGTCCATCCACGTCCCCCGACGTTGTCTTGGTTGGGGACTCGTCGGAGGCAGACGATTCGGGAATGTCGGTGTCGGACGACTTTCTTCCCGATGAGTAGAATAGCTTCGAGGGTTCTGTAGTATAGTAAAATGTATCATAAAAGTGAAGGGACTGTCCTGAGTTAACTGAGACGTTCGGTGAAGACTAGAGGCATTGTTCGGAAAATCGGTCAGCGAAATGGCTGTGTGAACGTACTTGTAAGCGAAGCGTTCGGCAGAAATGAAGAGAATAAATTGGAATATTAGGGGAAGCCTCAGTATGTCATCACAGGCATAAAACCCTATGGTTTTGCGCAAATCGGAAGAAGTCTTCAATGCGGCTTGGTACTTGAAGGAGTGATGGGGAAAATGAGTGCCGACTATTCGGTCGACAATTGGTCGGCGGCAAAAGTACTAAGAGATGCGGAAATAATCGGGTGTCAGTCCATGTCGGTGACGAATGAATCGGAATAAGGAATGGGTATATCTGTGTAACCTCCTCCCTACTGAAATCGTGACTGTCCCCAGTCACCGACCGAAGAGAGCGAAGGGTGGGAGGGTGGGTCTAGTCGGAAGTCGCCGAAGCCACATTGTCGTCTTCTGCTGATCGGATGGAGCTAGTGTCGGTATCCTCTTCGTCGGCCTCGTCGTCTTCAGCGTCGTCGTCGTTCGATCTGGATTCTTCCATGGCCCGAAGGCGTGCTTGTGAGATGTCGAGGAGGGCTTCAAGGTCGGTGAGCTTCAGAGATCTGCGAGCAAAGTAAGGAATAATGCGGAATGCTGCCACTGGCCGATCAAAGACCGATCCGTCAAGTTCAGCCAGAATATACGCTCCTCCTCGGTTCCTAGAAATCACCAGCAATGGTCCCAAGTACCGTGGTCGCATCTTCCGATTGAGCGCCTTTTCTATGGCTGTGTTGCGCATCAGGACAAGTGAGCCTCGGTGGAAATTGAAGTCGCGAAGGGTGGCCGAGTGCTGTTGTTCGAATCGGATGGCGGCCTGGACACGTGCGCCGACTACTGAGCTGCGAAGGTGGGCGAGGTCCGATCGGCGTTTCTGCAAGGCCATGGCACGTCAGGCGATGAGGTCGGTGGTGCTGAGGGTTGTGGTCGGCAGTGGCAGGAGGTAGGTGGCTTTGGCGATGTTGAGGGGAAGGAGGGGATGGGTTCCGGTCGCTGCGAAGTATGGCGAGCAACCCATTCGGCGCCAAACAGTAATGCGATCAGCCCAGAATACGAAATGAGCTGCACGATTCCACTTGGCCTGATCTCCATCAACGGCTTTGAACAGAGCCTGCCGAACATCGAAGTGAGGTCGTTCGGCAATGCCGTTGGCGCGAGAATTGTAGCCCGAAATATGGATGTGCCGAACGTGGTACTTTTTCGCTAACTGATCGAGCGCCTTGACGAATGCTGGTCCATTGTCGGAGACGATCTCTACCAATGTTCCCCATCGGCACAGGATATCCTCGAAGATCCAGTCGGCGAGGGCGGAGCTTGTTTCGCGTCGCAGCATTCAGAATTCGGGGTAGTGCAATACCGAACAGCGACCTTGAACGAGATACTTGAAACCACCAGCGGTCGGCATGTGCATGGTGTCCATATACATCTTCGCGAAGAGTGGTGCAGGCGTGGCGACGGTTGGGGGAATGAGGACATTGCGAGTCTGGCGAATCTGGCAAAGGTGACATGTCCGAACAAACCAAGAAATATCTTGCCTCATGTGCGGCCACCAGAAGTGTTCGGCGACCAGGGCGGTCGTGGCGTAGAACCCCTTGTGAGCAACATCGTCGTGGGCGGCAGTGAGAATTGTGATCCGACTAGAGGGGTCTGCAACGATCTTGTGTCGACCGTGGGAGTCTTTTCTCCATAGCTTGTCGGCTGCGATAAAGAACTCAGTGCAATATCGCAGGAAGGTGGCATATTCGGAGTCGGAGAGAGAAGGGGGCCGAACCAATGTTCGGAGCCAGTCGCGGACCAACCATAGGCATTCCTCGGCTTCCAATGCTTTTTGCGATCTTGGGATATCCGAATAGTCGATAGTCGGGTCTTCGTCGTCAGAGTCGGTATTGGTCGGGGGGTCGCCTATGAGTGAGGAGGTGAAGATGGCGGCGGTCGAAGTTGAGATGGAGGTGGGGAACGTGTTGTTGATCTGATGGAGGAAGCCGTAGAGATTGTCGATCCAGTCGTCAAAGTCGTCTTCGGGTTCGGGTCGATCGGAGGGTTGTGGTGGTCGTCAGGAGAGTCCATCGGGGCCGTGAGAGGTGCCGGGGATGTGGACAAGTGTGAAATGGAAGGTAAGGATGGAGACGATCTACCGATTGATGCTGGCGCTGGGTTCGAGATCTGGGTTAGTGAGCATGCCCTTGATGTAGCGTGCGTCTACTTCGACTATCAGGTTCCAAACGCCGATGAGATACATTTTGAGCGATCGGAGGGCGCGAAAGAGACCGTAGAGCTCGAGCTTGGGTTGGGAGAATCGCGAATCGCGGTCATTAAGGGTGAGGGAGCCGAATCGGGCATAGTACCGAACCCACGGATTGTCGAGTGCGCATTGACATAGGTGGAAGCCGACTGCGATTTGTGAGGTATCGACCGCGAAGATGACGTTGGCTGCCAACCCATAGTCGATCGGCCGGAGGGCTGGCGATTCGAGCAGTGCCAACCGGAGGTCGTCTTGGGCTGCTATCTGGTCTGGACCGAACACGAATGGAAAATCTTTACGCGTTAACATTGTCAGTGCATGTGCCCTGTGTGCAAAATTCCAAATGAAGATTCGAACGACACCGATCGTCCCCAAAAATGCCCGAACGTCCGAGAGATCCCTGCAAGGTCCTCACTTCATAATTGACTCTACCCTAGACTCGTCGGGTAATCTTCCTTCGTACGTGCACCGATGGCCGACTACTGTGATTTCGGCTGCGCAGAGTGTCGCCTTGTGTCCCGAAAAGGTCCCTCCGCTGTACTTCATCCGCTGGACCACTCGATTGAGGCCTTGAAAATGCTCCCACACAAACCGTCGTATGCCAGGGTTGTCGGGATGCATCTCGAAGCCTCCGTTCGGAAGTTTGTATCGGGTCGGTGGGCCCCGAATTGGGACATCGTCGATGAAAGGAATGGTGGTGTCTGGGATTTCTGGCTGGAGGATGTGGGTGACATCGTTGTGGAAGATCGGGACCGAATTTGTCCATCCCATGGGTAGGGTGACGAGTCGGTGGGCACCGAATGGGGTCTGGAAGGTGGTGAAGTCGCGAGATGATTCGGCGAGCCCTCGTTCGTCGTACCCGACATAGAGATCCAGAATGCCGCCGCAAGCGCGAGCTGCAAACTGTTCAGCGATCTGATCGGTATATGGGGGCACACCTGAATGCTGGATGGTGACGGCGTTCAGGGGTTCGAGGCTGTGAACGATTCGGAGTTTGGTGCCAGTGGAGGTGCTATTCGTCTTCTTGACTACCGTAAACCAGCGTGATCGGTAGGACGAATTCGACGGCTCATAGACCCCAGCGGCGATCTTGGTTTTGATAAGTCGGCACACTTTGTCGTAGATGCCTGGTGGAATCGGAATGTTGCGCTGAACCCAGGGCTTGTGCTCGACTACCGGCATATTGACTGGTGGGAAGAAGTCCTCGCGGAAATGTCCGCGTTCCGAATCGTCCCAGGCAAATCCCATCTCTTGTAGACACATGAAATGGTGCATGAGCTGTCGTTCGGCGGGCCAAAGGAAGTCGTCTGAGTGGACTTTGTCGATGAGGTCGCGTCGTTCGGCTGTGTATCTGCCGGTCGGCGTGAATGGTGGGGGATTCGGTGTCAGTGTCGGAAGGGTAGCGAGAGGGTCACCAAGGATGTTCCGAACGATTTGGAATTTTTCGGGGAGGTCGGCCAAGACTGGTTGTGTTTTCTGAGCGACCGGTTTGTACTTGCGCTTGGCGAAGATGGCGACCAGGTCGGCGATATTAGTGGAATCGAAAGAACCAGGGACGACTAAGGAAAATAAAGACGACATATCGGAATCGAGATTGTTTTTGAGATGATTTTCGGGCCCCAAATCGGAGGCCATAATGTACTTGAGACAAAGATCGCGACGAGAGGGAGATAGAGAATGGAAATCTGAGGACGCTTCGATAAGTGGGAAATTGGGGGTATCATGATTGGTGGAAATGATCAGTGCAACTTCTCCTTGATCTCGGATCAATTCATCGAGTCGCGAAAACCTGCTTGTCTTCGGTGAAGGACTCGAGGGGGTCCTCATCTGATCGTCGGAATGGTGGCTCATCGTCCTGTGTTCGGGTCGCTGATGGTGATCGTCTGGTCTTCATTCGAATAATTCTTGACGATACTTTCGGTGAGGATGTCGAAGGGCCGACCGAGGAGAACGTTGTAGGTGGGGTTCCGAATGATGTGGACTTGAAGGTACAGGGTGATGTCGCCGATGAGGAATGGGACGTTGCGTGCGAGGCCCAAGGATCGGTCAATTTCGCCATTCGCCGACTGCATATTGAGGATGATTTCGGGGTCATAGATGAGCACCAGTTCATTGCAAATGCCTTCCGACATGGCGATGACTTGTGAACCCGGGTCGATGACACATTCGACTTCCTGCTGATGATCGACGAGGGGAACGATGGACCTTAGGGCAGACGATTCTTTAGCAACTATCAACGGCTGAGGAACCTGACCGGGCTGTAGATTCTTCAGGTACGTTTCATACATGTCGGGGATGATGATCGCGCCCGGCGGGGGTGTTTCTGGTTGGTGCAGGACATTGACGAAGGAGGAGACGGTTGGTCGAGTCGGTGGTTCGAGATCGTTGATGGCGTAGGGTAGCTCGGCATCTTGGTAGAAGGTCCTAACATTGCTGGCGTCTTTGGCAGGCGATCGGCGTGCCGACATGGCTTCTCTGACCTGCGAACGAACTTCAGCGGAGAGGGAGAGTAGTTCGCGCTGGGTAAGCGTCACCTGAGTGGCCATCGCCCTGTTGTAGACCTCGGCTGCTACCTTCTCGTCGTAGATCGGCGCCGTGGTTTTGTAGGCCGGAGCATCCTTCTTTGCCAATGGTATCTTCGCCGGGGCTCCCATGTTGCGTTCGTGTGGCGGTGCATAGGTAGCGTCCTGGGCTTTGGCGTATGGGTGGATCGGAGCATCGTCATTGGCTGGTACCGGGGGCGGTCACTGAGTCGGGGTGGTTGGTCGGGGTTCGGGTTCGGGGGTTTCGGTCCTCGCTCGTCGTTCGGGAGCCGGGGAAGGAGCAAGTGTCGAATGTCCTGTCTAGGCCATTTCGCATGCCCTCGCGCCCCGCGTTCGGAGTGCGAATAGTTCGCGTTCGAGGCTTGCGATTCGCTGGACGTCGGTGAGTTGGTAAGTCGGGGTAACATCCAGCAGCGAGGGTGAATCGTGACGGGAGGCTATCGTCATCGGGTGAGTCGGCGTCGCGTTTACCGTGAACATCATCTGTCCAGTCGCCAACTGTCCTGGATTCCTGCGATGCCATTCGTCAACTCGGTCCTTCAGGTTACTACCCGTGATTTCTCTGGGTACGAATGCCCCACTTGACAGTACAACCTTCCCCTTGATATTCCGCTTGCATTTGCCGATCCGAATGTATTCGGTGACCTCGAAACAGGTGCGCATGAAGTGTTCGGGACTGCCGCAGAACATGCAGTTGTCGCCGCCTTGTCCTGGTTGTCGGGATGGTCGATTGGCTGGCCTGGACGTCCCTTAAGCTGCGATGCCCTTGACAAAGGTGTCGGTGAGTCTTTCGAACATGGTTGCCAGGTCTTCGGCTTTGATTGCGTTGGTGGGCGGTGCGGCGGGGGCTGCGCGAGAGATGTCGGTAGAGGTCGTGCTGTAGGCAGACGTGGTGCCGTGCAAGACGAATCGGGCCGCGTCGTGGATGTCCTAGAGGTTGTATGGGTCGTCTGGGAAATGATCAGGGAACTTGAGTTATAGACGTTGAGAGATTCTTGCCCATAGCTCCGGTTGGAATCCTCTAGCGAAGGCGCGTCCTTGTTCGGCAACAGAGATTCGTGCTTTGCTGAGGAGGAATACCGTGATCGCCAGGAATCGCCGATGATAGTCGCCGAGTTCGCTGAGAGACAAGATACCGACCCTGCTCGTTTCGCCAACTAGCTTGTCCATATCTGATACCGACCATTTGCGCTCTTCCTCCGATCCGGTGATGAGCATGCACCCGCGCTAGGGTCCGAGGGAGGTATTCGGGAAGCTTTGGGGAGACACCGAACAGCGCTAGACAAGTACCGAAGACGCCGACTATTACCGAACACGGTCGGTCCCTACCCGACCGACGACAAGCCACCGAAGGACGTTCGGCAGCACTTGGGTCAGTTTGCCCACACTTCACGTACTTACCATGACCGCATAGGAGTGTTACGATAGATGTTTACGAGATCGGAGCCAGTATTCCGTATCGGCCGATGTCCTCCGTGAGTCGGTCGGTCCTTATCGCTTATCTTCCTGACTTCCGCATGGTCGGTCAAACGCGATCTTGCACCATTGCTTGGCCACCCTGGTCGTACGATACCTCTTCTTTATTTTTCATTGGCTCTCCAACGCCTGTTCCTGCTACCTACGCTCGGGCGACGGATCCCGAACGTTCGGGATTTCGACATCACTGATTACCTTTTACCTTATCACCTTCGGAACCCATATGGACATCTCACCTACCTTCTTATCTTCTCTGATCGCTGGGGCTTGGCGCCCATTCGACATCTACTCTCATTTCTTGTTTAATATTTTACTTAGGGGCTCTGTTTACTATAAAAACCTACATACAACTCTGGAATAAACCAGCTTTCGCACCCCACAGTTCAGAGCTCATTCGCACTCGTTTCAACCATCGAAATCGTCTTCATCGACTCCCGAAAACTTGTCATCCTCGTCGTTCGGCCTCATTCGCGTTCGTACTCGTCTCTTCGCTCGTACCCCCCATCCGCCCTCGTATATTGTCAGAGTCCCGTGTGGCTCTTGAAGCACGTAGTTGTCGGTCGCGACACTACCTTCTCGTTACCGACCGAATCCCCGACTCGACCGACCGAACGTTCGGTCGGTGTTCGGCGCAGTCCCGAAACCGTTCGGGCGCTATAATCTCATACTCCCCGTTGTTTCTCAGTACGCCATCGCTTTCTAAAGTCATCACTAACAATTCCCTGTGTATTAGATACTAGCTCCAGCACCCCCTGCATTAGAGGTTGTTTTGGTGTTGTGCTCGGCACTTAGAGCCACCTCTAGCGTATCATTTTGGAGCCCACCGCGAGGGGTTAGTATTCAAAATTACCTCAAGGAATCTACGTCGCTCGTCCCGACCAACAGCGGAGCGCGAAGAATGACAAACAGTTATCGATAGCTTCAATACTCAGGAAACATCTGCCGACCGAAGTTTGTTCGGAGACGCCGATATAGTCCCAGAACATTTATCCCACCATCACTACCTTGATCTCGAATCCTCGCCATCGCTCTCACCACCACCCGACTCCACTTTCTTCTTAACCCCACCTTCGTCGCCGAACCGATCGCTACTCCCGCCGATTTCCCCCATCCTCGACCTTGCACTCTTAGAACAATCACCCCCGTCTCCTATCCCATCTCTTCACGACTCCATCTCTCCGTTAATCCCACGCAGCCCCGTCTTCTGGACGCCGACCATCCGACCGACTTCACTAGAACGCTCCTTCGAACCAGCGACTCCATCCCCGATCACCTTAGAAAACAATACCTTCTCCCCCACCTTTGACTTTCTCACTATGGCGACCCCATCCATGCCCGCTCGTGGAGATCGAACGGCCCCGACCTTTGACCCCCATCAACCCCGCGAATTGAGACGATATTTCTCCGATCTGGACTTCCACTTCGGTCGGTCTGCGGTAGGGGACGAACAAGAAAGAAAGAAACACGCTTGCCGATTCCTAGATGTCGACACCTGTGAGCTTTGGGAATCGCTCACCACTTTCACCGACGCCACGAAGACCTTCAAGGACTTCTGCGAAGAGGTCTACAGGCTGTACCCCGGATCGGAGGAAGAACGCAAATGGTCGGTATCGGATATGGACAAACTAGTCGGCGAAACGAGCAGGGTTGGCATCTTGTCCCTCAGCGAGCTCGGCGACTATCATCGGCGATTCCTGGTGATCACGGTATTTCTCCTCAGCAAGGCACGAATCTCGGTCGCCGAACAAGGACGCGCCTTCGCTAGAGGATTCCAACCGGAGCTATGGGCAAGGATCTCTCAACGTCTACAACTCAAGTTCCCCGATCATTTCCCAGACGACCCATACAACCTCCAGGACATCCACGACGCGGCCCGATTCGTCTTGCACGGCACCACGGCTGCCTACAGCGCTACCCCTACCGACATCTCTCGAGCAGCCCCCGCCGCGCCGCCCACCAACGCGATCAAGGCCGAAGACCTGGCGACCATGTTCGAACGGCTCACCGACACCTTTGTCAAGGCCATCACAGCTCAGGGGACGTCCAGGCTAGCCGATCGACCATCCCGACAGCCAGGACAAGGCGGCGACAACTGCATGTTCTGCGGCAGTCCCGAACACTTCATGCGCGCCTGTCCCGAGGTCACCGAATACATTCGGATCGGAAAATGCAAGAGGAATATCGAGGGGAAGGTTGTATTGTCAAGTGGGGCATTCGTACCCAGAGAAATCACGGGTAGTAACCTGAAGGACCGAGTTGACGAATGGCACCGCAGGAATCCAGGCCAGCTTGCGACCGGACAGATGATGTTTACGGTAAACGCGGTGCCGACTCACCCGATGACAATAGCCTCCCGTCACGATTCACCCTCATTGCTGGATGTCACCCCGACTTACCAACTCACCGATGTCCAGCGAATCGCGAGCCTCGAACGCGAACTATTCGCGCTCCGAACGCGGGGCGCAAGGGCACGCGAAATGGCGCAGACAGGACGTTCGGCACCTACCCCTTCACCGGTCGCCGAACGACGAGCGATGACCGAAACTCCCGAACCCGAACCCCGACCGACCACCCCGACTCAGCGACCGCCCCCGGTACCAGCCAAGGACGATGCTCCGATCCACCCATACGCCAAAGCCCAGGACGCCACCTATGCACCACCACACGAACGCAACATGGGAGCCCCGGCGAAGATACCATCGGCAAAGAAGGACGCTCCGGCCTACAAGACTACGGCGCCGATCTACGACGAGAAGGTAGCAGCCGAGGTCTACAACAGGGCGATGGCCACTCAGGTGACGCTTACCCAGCGCGAACTACTCTCCCTCTCCGCCGAAGTCCGTTCGCAGGTCAGGGAAGCCACGTCGGCACGCCGATCGCCTGCCAGAGACGCCAGCAATGTTCGGACCTTCTACCAAGATGCCGATCTACCCTATGCCATCGACGATCTCGAACCACCGACTCGACCGACAGTCTCCTCCTTCGTCAATGTCCTGCACCAACCGGAAACACCCCCGCCTGGCGCGACCATCATCCCCGACATGTACGAAACGTACCTGAAGAATCTACAGCCCGGTCAGGTTCCTCAGCCATTGATAGTTGCTAAAGAATCATCTGCCCTAAGGTCTATTGTTCCCCTCGTCGATCATCAGCAGGAAGTCGAATGCGTCATCGATCCGGGCTCACAAGTCATCGCCATGTCGGAAGGCATTTGCAATGAACTGGCGCTCATCTACGACCCCGAAATCGTCCTCAATATGCAGTCGGCGAATGGCGAAATCGACCGATCCTTGGGTCTGGCACGCAACGTTCCATTCCTCATCGGCGACATCACCCTGTACCTCCAAGTCCACATCATTCGAAACCCCGCCTATGACATTCTCCTCGGTCGGCCCTTCGACATCCTCACCGAAAGTATCGTCAAGAATTATTCAAACGAAGACCAGACGATCACCATCAGCGACCCGAACACGGGACGACGAGCCACAATTCCGACGATCAGACGAGGACCCCCTCGAGTCCTTCACCGAAGACAAGCAGGTTTTCGCGACTCGATGAATTGATCCGAGATCAAGGAGAAGTTGCACTGATCATTTCCACCGATCATGATACCCCCAATTTCCCACTTATCGAAGCGTCCTCAGATTTCCATTCTCCATCTCCCTCTCGTCGCGATCGTTGTCTCAAGTACATTATGGCCTCCGATTTGGGGCCCGAAAATCATCTCAAAAACAATCTCGATTCCGATATGTCGTCCTTATTTTCCTCAGTCGTCCCCGGTTCTTTCCATTCCACTAATATCGCCGACCCGGTCGCCATCTTCGCCGCCAAGCGCAAGTACAAACCGGTCGCGCAGAAAACACGACCAGTCTTGGCCGACCTCCCCGAAAAGTTCCGAATCGTTCGGAACATCCTTGGTGACCCTCTCGCTACCCTTCCGACACTGACACCGAACCCCCCACCCTTCGCGCCGACCGGCAGATACACAGCCGAACGACGCGACCTCATCGACAAAGTCCACTCGGACGACTTCCTTTGGCCGGCCGAACGACAGCTCATGCACCATTTCATGTGTCTACAAGAGATGGGATTCGCCTGGGACGATTCGGAACGCGGACGTTTCCGCGAGGACTTCTTTCCTCCAGTCAATATGCCGGTGGTCGAACACAAGCCCTGGGTTCAACGCAACATTCCGATTCCACCAGGCATCTACGACGAAGTGTGCCGACTCATCAAAACCAAGATCGCTGCTGGAGTCTATGAGCCGTCGAATTCGTCCTACCGATCGCGTTGGTTTACAGTCGTCAAGAAGACGAATAGCACCTCCACTGGCACCAAACTCCGAATCGTTCACAGCCTCGAACCCCTGAACGCAGTCACCATCCAGCATTCAGGTGTGCCTCCATATACCGATCAGATCGCTGAACAGTTTGCAGCTCGCGCTTGCGGCGGCATTCTGGATCTCTATGTCGGCTATGACGAACGAGGGCTCGCCGAATCATCTCGCGACTTCACCACGTTCCAGACCCCATTCGGCGCCCACCGACTCGTCACCCTGCCCATGGGATGGACAAATTCGGTCCCGATCTTCCACGACGACGTCACCCACATCCTCCAGCCAGAGATCCCAGACACCACCATTCCTTTCATCGACGATGTCCCGATTCGGGGCCCACCGACCCGATACGAACTTCCGAGCGGCGGCTTCGAGACGCACCCCGACAACTCCGGCATACGACGATTTGTGTGGGAACACTTTCAAGGCCTCAATCGGGTGGTTCAGCGAATGAAGTACAGCGGAGGAACATTTTCGGGACACAAGGCGACACTCTGCGCAGCCGAAATCACGGTGGTCGGCCATCGCTGCACGTATGAAGGAAGATTACCCGATGAATCTAGGGTAGAGTCAATTATGAAGTGGGGACCTTGCAGGGATCTCTCTGACGTTCGGGCATTTTTGGGGACGATCGGTGTCGTTCGGATCTTCATTCGGAATTTTGCACACAGGGCGCATGCACTGACAATGTTAACGCGCAAAGATTTTCCATTCGTGTTCGGCCCAGACCAGATAGCGGCCCAGGACGACCTCCGGTCGGCACTTCTCGAATCGCCAGCCCTTCGGCCGATCGACTATGGGTCGGCAGCCAACGTCATCCTCGCCGTCGATACCTCTCAAATCGCGGTCGGCTTCCACCTCTGTCAATGCGCACTCGACAATCCGCGGGTTCGGTACTATGCTCGATTCGGCTCCATCACCCTTAACGACCGCGAATCGCGATTCTCCCAACCCAAGCTCGAACTCTACGGCCTCTTCCGCGCCCTCCGATCGCTCAAAATGTATCTCATTGGCGTTCGGAACCTGATAGTCGAAGTAGACGCACGCTACATCAAGGGCATGCTCACTAACCCGGATCTCGAACCCAGCGCCAGCATCAATCGGTGGATCGTCTCCATCCTCACCTTCCATTTCACACTTGTCCACGTCCCCGGCACCTCTCATGGCCCCGATGGCCTCTCCCGACGACCACCACAACCCTCCGATCGACCCGAACCCGAAGACGACTTTGACGACTGGATCGACAATCTCTACGGCTTCCTCCATCAGATCAACAACACGTTTCCCACCGCCAACTCAACCTCGACAACAGCCATCTTTACCTCCTCACTCATAGGCGACCTCCCGACCGATGCAGACTCCGACGACGAAGGCCCGACCATCGACTATTCGGATATCCCAAGATCGCAAAAAGCGTTGGAAGCCGAAGAACGCCTATGGTCGGTCCGCGACTGGCACCGAACATTGGTTCGGCCCCCTTCTCTCTCCGACTCCGAATATGCCACCTTCCTACGATATTGCACTGAGTTCTTTATCGCAGCCGACAAGCTATGGAGAAAAGACTCACACGGTCGACACAAGATTGTTGCAGCCCCCTCTAGTCGGATCACAATTCTCACTGCCGCCCACGACGACGTTGCGCACAAGGGTTTCTACGCCACGACTGCCTTGATCGCCGAACGCTTCTGGTGGCCGCACATGAGGCAAGACATTTCCTGGTTTGTTCGGACCTGTCACCTTTGCCAGATTCGCCAGACTCGCAACGTCCTCATTCCCCCGACCGTCGCTACGCCTGCACCACTCTTCGCGAAAATGTATATGGACACCATGCACATGCCGACCGCCGGTGGTTTCAAGTATCTCGTGCAAGGCCGCTGTTCGGTATCACACTACCCCGAATTCCGGATGCTCCGACGCGAAACAAGCTCAGCTCTTGCCGACTGGATCTTCGAGGATATCCTGTGCCGATGGGGAACACTGGTAGAGATCGTCTCCGACAACGGACCAGCATTCGTCAAGGCGCTCGACCAGCTAGCAAAGAAGTACCACGTTCGGCACATTCGCATTTCGGGCTACAATTCCCGCGCCAACGGCATCGCCGAACGACCTCACTTCAACGTTCGGCAGGCTCTGTTCAAGGCCGTTGATGGAGACCAGGCCAAGTGGAATCGTGCAGCTCATTTCGTATTCTGGGCTGATCGCATTACTGTTCGGCGCCGAATGGGTTGTTCGCCATACTTCGCAGCGACCGGAACCCATCCCCTCCTTCCCCTCGACATTGCCGAAGCCACATATCTTCTACCACCACCGACCACGGCCCTCAGCACCACCGACCTCATTGCTCGACGTGCCATCGCTTTGCAGAAACGCCGATCGGACCTCGCCCACCTTCGCAGCTCGGTAGTCGGCGCCCGTGTCCAGGCCGCCATCCGATTCGAACAACAGCATTTGGCCACACTTCGCGACTTCAATTTCCACCGAGGCTCACTTGTCCTGATGCGCAACACGGCCATAGAAAAGGCGCTCAATCGGAAGATGCGTCCACGGTATTTAGGACCTTTGCTAGTAATTTCTAGGAATCGGGGAGGAGTGTATATTTTGGCCAAACTCGATGGATCGGTCTTTGATCGGCCAGTTGCAGCATTCCGCGTTATTCCTTATTTTGCTCGCAGGTCTCTGAAGCTCACCGACCTTGAAGCCCTCCTCGACATCTCGCAGGAACGCCTTCGGGCCATGGAAGAATCCCAATCGAGCGACGACGACGCCGAAGACGATAGTGCCGATGAAGATACCGACACCAGCTCAGTCCGATCGGCGGAGGACGACGATGCGGCTTCGGTGACCTCCGACTAGATCCCACCCTCCCACCCTTCGCTCTCTTCGGTCGGTGACTGGGGACAGTCACGATTTCAGTAGGGAGGAGGATGCACAGATATACCCATTCCTTATCTTCGTTTATTCGTCACAGACATGGACTGACGCCCAATCGTTTCCACATCTCTTAGTACTTTTACCACCGACCGATCGCCGACCGAATAGTCGGCACTCATTTTCCCCATCACACCTTCAAGTACCAAGCCGCATTGAAGACTTCTTCCGATTTGCGCAAAACCATAGGGTTTTATGCCTGTGATGACATACTGAGGCTTCCCCTAATATTCCAATTTATTTTCTTCATTTGCCGAACGCTTCGCTTACAAGTACATTCACACAGTCATTTCGCCGACCGATTTCCCGAACGACACCTCTAGTCTTCGCCAAACGTCTCGTTCATCTCAGGACAGTCCTTTCACTGTTATTTTACATTTTGCTGTACTACCGACACCTTGAAACTACTCTACACATCGGGAACAAAGTCGCCCGACACCGACATTCCCGAATCCTCGGCATCCGACGAGTCTTCCACCAACACCACATCCGAAACCGCCGATCCACCCGAACACGCCTCAAGAACCTCCAACTCACCCTGCCACATCGCGATCGAACGTGCCAGCGAGGCACGAGTACCTTCGGCCACAGCAATGCGGTACCGAAGCTCCGACGCGATGCCTTGCGCGACGACAGGAGACAGGCGAGAGGAGTCGGGCAGGGCGGGGACAGCAGAAGAACGGGGACGGGAAGGGGCCAGGACGGTACGGGTGGTGGTTGGGAGACGCTGGACGGGCTTCCGAACCCGAACAGCTAGACAAGACGATGAGCTCACAGCCCAGCAATGACGAATTGACTACTCACCTTTAGTCCGCGCGATACTCTCGCCGACAGATCGTTCGGGGATGAGTACCTCGACCTTACGCTTCTTGGTCGGGCGCGATGGTTCCGGCTCCCCCGACTTTTCGGCCGCCTTCGCTTTCGACTTCCCTTTCCCCTTCGACTTCCCTTTGTCCTTCGGCATCCACCCGGGCTGGAAGCTACAGCCTTTCTGCTCCTTGGAGCACTTCGTACAAGAAACTTGGCCGGCCCTCGTGTAGCACCGAAAAGCTACAGTGGTAAACTCGGTGGCGCACCGATGGCACGCGTATTCGGCCTAGAAGAAAGAAGGGTCAGCAAGCAACAAAAGGCGGCAAGAGGGAGGGGACTTACGAGGACGTCATCCGGCAACAACTCCGGGGGATCCTGCAGCAACTTACCAGCTCCGTTCCGCTCCACAGGAGGCCGAACAGACGACATTCGGCCTGTGCCAGGACCCAGAGGAAGCACGACACGTCCAGCGGTCGGCGTCAGTTGACGCGCGAACTCGATGACAACGGCAGCAGCCGATTGCTTGCCCTTCGCGTCAGTCGGGGCAGCGGCGGCGACCGGGCCCACGCTCATTCGGTCCAGGGCATCGGTTGCGGACGCAAGCGCCAAATCATCGGCGGACGGGTCGGGATGAGAAGAGTCGGCGGACGGATTGGGACGAGAGGAGGACGCGGACGGATTGGGACGAGAGGAGGACGCGGCGGTAGAAGGAGAAGGGGAGCGAAAGAAGAGAGGAATGGGAAAGACGGACTCTGACTCCAGCTCGGCCAGCTGACGATCACCCTGTTCAGGATCGAGCGACCCGTTGAACATGGCCTCCACCAAGGCCTCCCGACGCCGCTGACGATCGTCTTCGGCCAACTGACGGGCAGCGGCAGCCCGCATCGCCTCGGCTTCCTCAGCCTCACGTTCGGCGACAGCGACCCGCGCAGCCTCCTCTGCCAGGGCCTGTTCTTCGGCCGCTTGTTGCTGTTTCTGCGCTGCAAAGCGCGCCGCACGCTGCGGCAAGATGCGCGAACCCCAGGCAAGCCAGTCGTCGGTGGCAACATGATCGAGGCCACTCTCAGCCTCGGCGACCCAGGCCGCGAGTTCGGGCACGTCCTGCCCACGCGCCGAACGATCGAAAACAGCCTGCAAGGACGTCAGCAGCCAGCAGAAGGCAAAGGGACGGACCGACTTACCACTCGTTTGGCGAACCCCTGCGCCCAGGCCTCGTAATCTTCGTACTCGGCGGCGCCGTCGGGAAGGGCGAGCATGTACTCCCCGAGCTTGGTTTTGAGGACAGAGAGGATGGAGGACATGTTGGAAGGCCGAAAGGATCGGACGAGGAGACGAAGCGGCAGGAGGATGGCGATGAAGGACTTAGTCGCTGGAGAATCAACGATCGGCAGGGGATCGTGGTCACCTGACAAAGCCCCGTGCCACTGCGCTCGGCAGAGGCCGCGATACGCGCCACCGCTTTTTGCCGACACAACTCTCACGCCAGCGTCTAGCTTGGGCGCTAGGACTCAGCCACCCCTTCACCTAATCAGTTGCCACGCCACAGGAGTTTGCCGGCTCCGCTTCGGTCTCTCTCGCACATTGACCCGGGTTTTTCCATGCCATCGCTCTTTGCCGATTCACCGCCTTTTGCCGCACCACTCCCATGCCTCAGCCACATACTCACCTAATCCGATCCCACTCAAGTTTTTTCCACGCCTCCACCCCAGTCTCCACGCCACGGGACTTTGCCGACTCCGCTTCAATCACTGTTGCGCACACCACAGCTAGTCTTCCCACGCCACTTTTTCCGCTCCAACTCATAGCCACCGACCACTGACTGAGGACAGTCAGGATTTCAGTAGGGAGGAGATGATGAGCATGCACCCGCGCTAGGGTCCGAGGGAGGTATTCGGGAAGCTTTGGGGAGACACCGAACAGCGCTAGACAAGTACCGAAGACGCCGACTATTACCGAACACGGTCGGTCCCTACCCGACCGACGACAAGCCACCGAAGGACGTTCGGCAGCACTTGGGTCAGTTCGCCCACACTTCACGTACTTACCATGACCGCATAGGAGTGTTACGATAGATGTTTACGAGATCGGAGCCAGTATTCCGTATCGGCCGATGTCCTCCGTGAGTCGGTCGGTCCTTATCGCTTATCTTCCTGACTTCCGCATGGTCGGTCAAACGCGATCTTGCACCATTGCTTGGCCACCCTGGTCGTACGATACCTCTTCTTTATTTTTCATTGGCTCTCCAACGCCTGTTCCTGCTACCTACGCTCGGGCGACGGATCCCGAACGTTCGGGATTTCGACATCACTGATTACCTTTTACCTTATCACCTTCGGAACCCATATGGACATCTCACCTACCTTCTTATCTTCTCTGATCGCTGGGGCTTGGCGCCCATTCGACATCTACTCTCATTTCTTGTTTAATATTTTACTTAGGGGCTCTGTTTACTATAAAAACCTACATACAACTCTGGAATAAACCAGCTTTCGCACCCCACAGTTCAGAGCTCATTCGCACTCGTTTCAACCATCGAAATCGTCTTCATCGACTCCCGAAAACTTGTCATCCTCGTCGTTCGGCCTCATTCGCGTTCGTACTCGTCTCTTCGCTCGTACCCCCCATCCGCCCTCGTATATTGTCAGAGTCCCGTGTGGCTCTTGAAGCACGTAGTTGTCGGTCGCGACACTACCTTCTCGTTACCGACCGAATCCCCGACTCGACCGACCGAACGTTCGGTCGGTGTTCGGCGCAGTCCCGAAACCGTTCGGGCGCTATAATCTCATACTCCCCGTTGTTTCTCAGTACGCCATCGCTTTCTAAAGTCATCACTAACAATTCCCTGTGTATTAGATACTAGCTCCAGCACCCCCTGCATTAGAGGTTGTTTTGGTGTTGTGCTCGGCACTTAGAGCCACCTCTAGCGTATCACCGGGGCACAGTCTGTAGACTTCTTTGCAGAACTCCTTGAATGTCTTCGTGGCGTTGGTGAAAGTGGTGAGCGATTCCCAAAGCTCGCAGGTGTTGACGTCCAGGAATCGGCAAGCGTGTTTCTTCTTTTCCTGGTCGTCTTCTATCGCTGATCGACCAAAGTGGAAGTCTAGGTCGGCAAAATATCGTCTCAATTCGCGGGGTTGATGGGGGTCAAAGGTCGGGGCCGTTCGATCTCCACGAGCGGGCATGGATGGAGTTGCCATAGTGATAAAGTCAAAGGTGGGGGAGAAGGTATTGTTTGCTAAGGTGATCGGGGATGGAGTCGCTGGTTCGAAGGAGCGTTCTAGTGCAGTTGGTCGTATGGTCGGCGTCCAGAAGACGGGGCTGCGTGGGATTAACGGAGAGATGGAGTCGTGGAGAGATGGTATAGGAGACGGGGGTGATTGTTCTAAGAGTGCAAGGTCAAGGATGGGGGAAATCGGTGAGAGTAACGATCGGTTCGGCGACGAAGGTGGGGTTAAGAAAAAAGTGGAGTCGGGTGGCGGCGAGAGCGATGGTGGGGATTTGAGATCAAGGTAGTGATGGTGGGATAAATGGTCTGGGACTATATCGGCGTCTCCGAACAAACTTCGGTCGGCAGAGGTTTCCTGCGTATTGAAGCTGTCGATAACTGTTTGTCGTTCTTCGCGCTCCGCTGTTGGTCGGGACGAGCGACGTAGATTCCTTGCGGTAATTTTGAATACTAACCCCTCGCAGTGGGCTCCAAAATGATATGCTAGAGGTGGCTCTAAGTGCCGAGCACAACACCAAAACAACCTCTAATGCAGGGGGTGCTGGAGCTAGTATCTAATACACAAGGAATTGTTAGTGATGACTTTAGAAATCGATGGCGTACTGAGAAGCAACGGGGAGTATGAGATTATAGCGCCCGAACGGTTTCGGGACTGCGCCGAACACCGACCAAACATTCGGTCGGTCGTGTCGGCGATGCGGTCGGTAATGAGAAGGTAGTGTCGCGACCGACAACTACGTGCTTCAAGAGCCACACGGGACTCTGACAATATACGAGGGAGGACGGGGGTACAAGCGAAGAGACGAGTACGAACGCGAAGGAGGCCGAGCGACGAGGATGGCAAGTTTTCGGAAGTCGACAAAGATGATTTCGATGGTTGAGACGAGTGCGAATGAGCTCTGAACTGTGGGGTGCGAAAGCTGGTTTATTCCAGAGTTGTATGTAGGTTTTTATAGTAAACAGCGCCTCTAAGTAAAATATTGAACCTGAAATGAGAGTAGATGTTGAATGGGCGCCAAGCCTTAGCGATCAGAGAAGATAAGAAGGTAGATGAGATGTCCATATGGGTTCCGAAGGTGATAAGGTAAAAGGTAATCAGTGATGTCGAAATCCCGAACGTTTGGGATCCGTCGCCCGAGTGTAGGTAGCAGGAACAGGCGTTGGAGAACCAATGAAAAATAAAGGAGAAGTATCGTACGACCAGGGTGGCCAAGCAATGGTGCAAGATCGCGTTTGACCGACCACGCGGAAGTCAGGGAGATAAGCGATAAGGACCGACCGACTCACGGAGGACATCGGCCGATACGGAATACTGGCTCTGATCTTGTAAACACCTATCGTAACACTCCTGTGCGGTCATGGTAAGTACGTGAAGTGTGGGCAAACTGACCCAAGTGCTGCCGACTCGTCCTTCGGTGGCTTGTCATTGGTCGGGTAGGGACCGACCGTGTTCGGTAAAAGTCGGCGTCTTTGGTACTTGTCTAGCGCTGTTCGGTATCTCCCCAAAGCTTCCCAAATACCTCCCTCGGACCCTAGCGCGGATGCATGCTCATCAACGGCATCGACTCACCCAATGACTATCACCTCCTGTTATAATTCACCCTCATTACTGAATGTCACCCTGACTTACCAACTTACCAATGTCCAGCAAATTGCAAGCCTTGAATGCAAACTATTCACACTCCAAACATGGGGCACAAGGGCATGTGAAATGGCCCAGACAGGATGTTTGGCACCAACTCCTTCACCAGCTCCCAAACAATGAGCAAGGACCAAAACTCTCAAACCTGAACCCCGACCGACCATCCCAACTCAGCAACTGCCCCTGGTACCAGCCAAGAATAATGCTCTGATCCACCTATATGCCAAAGCCCAGGACACCACCTATACACTGCCACACAAACGCAACATAGGAGCCCCGGCAAAGATACCCTCAGCAAAGAAGGATGCTCCGGTCTACAAGACTACGGCACCAATCTACGGTGAGAAGGTTGCAGCCGAGGTTTACAACAGGGCAATGGCCACTCAGGTGACGCTTACCCAGCACAAATTACTCTCCCTCTCTGCCAAAGTCTGTTCGCAAGTCAGAGAAGCCATGTTGGCACACCGATCACCTGCCAAAGACGCTAGCAATGTTTAGACCTTCTACCAAGATGCCGATCTACCCTATGCCATCAACGACCTTGAACCACCGACTTGACCGACCATCTCCTCCTTCATCAATGTCCTGCACCAGCTGAAAACACCTCCACCTGGTGTGATCATCATCCCCAACACATATGAGACATATTTGAGAAGTCTACAGTCTAGTCAGGTTCCCCAGCTATTGATAGTTGCTAAAGAATCATCTGCCCTAAGGTCCATCGTTCCCCTCATCTATCATCAGCAGGAAGTCAAATGCGTCATCAACCTGGGTTCATAAGTCATTGCCATGTTAGAAGGCATTTGCAATGAACTGGCACTCATCTACGACCCCGAAATCATCCTCAATATACAGTCAGCAAATGGCAAAATCAACTAATCCTTGGGCCTGGCATGCAACGTTTTGTTCCTCATTGGCAACATCACCCTATACCTACAAGTTGACATCATTTGGAACCTAGCCTACAGTGTTCTCCTTGGTTGGCCCTTTGACATCCTCACTGAAAGTATCATCAAGAATTATTCAAACAAAGACCAAATGATCACCATCAGCGACCCAAACATGGGACAATGAGCCACCATTCTGACAATCAGATAAGGACCCCCTCGAGTCCTTCACCGAAGATAAGTGGGTTTTCCCAACTCAATGAATTGATCCAAGATCAAGGAGAAGTTGCACTGATCATTTCCACCAATTATGATACCCCCAATTTCCCGCTTATTGAAGTGTCCTCAAATTTACATTCTCCATTTCCCTTTTGTCACGATCTCTGTCTCAAATACATTATGGCCTCCAATTTGGGGCCCGAAAATCATCTCAAAAACAATCTCGATTCCGATACATCGTTCTTATTTTCCTCAGTCATCCCCAATTCTTTCCATTCCACTAATATTGCCGACCCAGTTGCTATCTTTGCCGCCAAGTGCAAGTACAAATTGGTCGCACAGAAAACACGACCAGTCTTGGCCGACCTCCCTGAAAAGTTCCAAATTGTTTAGAACATCCTTGGTGACCCTCTTGCTACCCTTCCGACACTGACACCAAACCCCCCACCCTTTGTGCTGACCGGCAGATACACAGCCAAATAACGTGACCTCATTGACAAAGTCCACTCAGACAACTTCCTTTGGCTAGCCAAACGACAGCTCATGCACCATTTCATGTGTCTATAAGAGATGGGATTTGCCTAGGACGATTCGGAATGTAGACATCTCCGCGAGGAATTTTTTCCTCCAGTCAATATCCTGATCCTACTAGGCATTTACAACGAAGTGTGCCAACTTATCAAAACCAAGATTGCTGCTGGAGTCTATGAGCCGTCAAATTCTTCCTACTGATTGTGCTAGTTTACGGTTGTCAAGAAGACAAATAGCACCTCCACTGGCACCAAACTCCGAATCGTTCACAGCCTCGAACCCCTGAACACCGTCACTATCCAGCATTCAGGTGTGCCCCCATGTACTGATCAGATCACTAAACAGTTTGCAGGCTGCAAACTGCATCTGGAAAACCACCCCTTTGTATTAAGCTCTAATTAGTTCTATTTATGCATAATTAAGAAAGATTAGGATTAGACATTCTTAGCTTCCCCCCCCTCTAATCCTGTTCTAATTAGACATAATTTTCCTAAATTAGGAATTATTAGGATTGATTATAACTTGAAATTTCGGAAAAATCATAATAAATCAAGCATCACAGTTCTCATAGCCTTCTTATAGAGTCATGTCTATTAGAACAGTAGTTCAATACCTAAACACAGAATATACCTTATAGCAAACTTGCCTTCTGCCAGAGTTGAACCAACAACCTCATGTATGCAAGCACCTAGGACAGATGCTCTAAGCCACTAAGCCACAAGGTCTAAGATATGAACTTGGTAATCTAAATAAGTAGACATAATATAGGCAGCCTCAACATCTCTGATTTTATTCCACATTTATCTTTCCTCTCTCTTATAAATAAACAGGTCAATAAATACCTAAAAAGTCAGGTCTTTCAGGATTTATTTTAAACACTAGCTAAGAAGATAATAAACCAATGGAAAATAAATAATACATTTTATATAGGATAAAAATAAATTATGGCACTTACACAATTTAGATTGAGAATGTGTAAAACTATGATTGAGTGTAATATTCAATGGGACTCTACTAGTATAGACAATGCTATCTTAATTTGCAAATTTGATCAAAAACATGATTATAAATAATCAAGATCCAATAAGAGAGAGGGGTTTTCCAAATAGCCACTAGTGAGGTAGAGGGTGGGGACAAGAGTATATGTATGGCATGCCTATATATAAATAAGCACAAGATTGTTGGAGGTAATCTTAATATGCTTAGTGCACATATTTCCTATATGGCAGGCAAATATATCATTCTGGTGCCACATACCAATATGACTGTCTTTTCCACAGCCTAATAGCTAGAGGAAAATACCAAGTTTGAGCATCTTCTATATAACAAGGCAATAAACAATATCAATAGTTCTAAAAATTGTAGTATCAATAGTGATGATGATTGTGTGCTGCACAAGACAGTATTAATCACTGTACTAATAGACAAGGTCTACAAGGCTGCATATAGCATATCCCTAAGTCCAACCCACATGTTGTGTCCTATAATGACCAGTAGCAGGCATTGGCTAACAATAACAACTTTAATGATCTTGTGTGCAAGTCCAAGGTACCTAGGTCTTCATAGCCTCTTGTGGCAGCTGCCAAGCTGCCAACAAAGTGGCTGAGGGCATCAATGCACATTTCTCTCTTTCTATATCCCTTATAAAAGCAGCTGGAAAGTCAGCAAAAGAGCTACATGATAATGGTATAGGCATATATGAAGAAGAGTAATATGCTGAAATAGTATAGAATGTGCCACATCTTTACCTTCTTACTGATAGAGCAGTAGTACTTACTATTTCCTACTAATAATTAAAGACTTCTTAGTATAGAATTAGTGCTAATATTATGAAATTAGAAACCAATCCAATGCTCACAATGTGTTGCTCCCAATTAGGAAATTAGACACTTTTAGATACTATTAACACTTTTAGATACTTTTAGACACTATTAGACATAATCCGGAGCTAATACAAGGGGGTGTTTTTCCAGATGAGCTCTTGCCTGCGGCGGCATTCTGGATCTCTATGTCAGATATGATGAACAAGAACTTGCCAAATCCTCTTGTAACTTCATCACGTTCCAGACCCCGTTCAGTGCCCATGAACTTGTTATTTTGCCCATGGGATGGACAAATTCAGTCTCGATCTTCTACAATGACATCACTCACATCCTCCAGCTAGAGATTCCAGACACCACCATTCCTTTCATCAATGATGTTCTGATCTGGGGCCCACCGACCCAATACGAACTCCCGAATGGCAGCTTCAAGACACACCCCAACAACCCTGGCATCAGATGATTTATGTAGGAGCACTTTTAAGGCCTCAATTAGGTAGTTCAGTGGATGAAGTATAGCAGAGGAATATTTTCAGGACACAAGGTGACCCTTTGCGTGGCCAAAATCACAGTGGTTGGCCATTACTGCACATACGAAGGAAGGTTGCCCAACAAGTCTAGGATAGAATTGATTATGAAGTGGGGACCGCGCAAGGATCTCTCAGATGTTTGGGCATTTTTATAGAATTTTGCAAACAGGGTGCATGCACTGACAATGTTAATGCACAAAGATTTCCCATTCATGTTTGGCCCAGACCAGATAGTGGCTCAGGATGACCTCCGGTTGGCGCTTCTCAAATCGCCAGCCCTTCGGCCAATTGACTATAGTTCAGTGGCTAATGTCATCCTTGCAGTCGACACCTCCCAAATCGCAGTTGGCTTCTATGTCTGTTAATGTGTGCTCGACAATCCTCGGGTTCGGTACTATGCCTGATTTGGCTCCATCACCCTTAATGACCGTGAATCGTGATTCTCCCAACCCAAGCTTGAACTCTACAGCCTCTTTTGCGCCCTCCGATTGCTCAAGATGTACCTTATTGGTATTTGGAACCTAATAGTCGAAGTAGACACACACTATATCAAGGGCATGCTCACTAACCCGGATCTCAAATCTAGCACCAGCATCAATTGGTGGATTGTCCCCATCCTCACCTTTCATTTCACACTTGTCCACATCCTTGGCATCTCTCACAGCCCCAATAGACTATCCCGATAACCACCACAACCCTCCGATTGACCCAAACCTAAAGACAACTTTGATGACTGGATCAATAATCTCTATGGCTTCCTCTATCCTCCATCAGATCAACAACATATTCCCATCATCCATATCAGCCTCTACAACCGCCATCTTCATCTCCTTACTCATAGACGACCATCCGACCAATGCTGACTCAGCCGATGAAGAGCCAGCCATTGACTATTCAAATATTCCAAGATTGCAGAAAGCTTTGGAAGCCGAAGAATGCCTATGGTTGGTCTGCAACTGGCATTGAACATTGGTTTGGCCCCCTTCTCTCTCCGACTCTGAATATGCTACCTTCCTATGATATTGCACTGAGTTCTTCATTGTAGCTGACAAGCTATGGAAAAAAGACTCACATAGCCAACACAAGATTGTTGCAGCACCCTCCAGTTGAATTGTGATTCTCACTGCCACCCACGACAATGTCGCTCACAAGGGATTCTATGCCACAACTGCCTTGGTTGCCGAACACTTTTGGTGGCTGCACATGAGGCAAGATATTTCCTGGTTTGTTTGGACATGTTGCCTTTGTCAGATTTGCCAGACTCGCAATGTCCTCATTCCCCCAACCGTTGCTATGCCTGCACCACTTTCACAAAGATGTATATGGACACCATGCACATGCCGACTGCTGGTGGTTTTAAGTATCTTGTTCAAGGTCGCTGTTTGGTATTGCACTACCCTGAATTCCAAATGCTGCAATATGAAACAAGCTCAGCCCTTGCCAACTGGATCTTCGAGGATATCCTATGCCAATGGGGAACATTAGTAGAGATCGTCTCCGACAATAGACCAGCATTCATCAAGGCACTCGACCAGTTAGCAAAAAAGTACCATGTTTGGCACATCCGTATTTTGGGCTACAATTCCTGCACAAATGGCATTGCTGAACGACCTCACTTCGATGTTCGGCAGGCTCTGTTCAAAGCCATTGATGGAGATCAGGCCAAGTGGAATCGTGCAGCTCATTTCATATTCTGGGCTGATTGCATTACTGTTCAGTGCTGAATGGGTTGCTTGCCATACTTTGCAGCAACTGGAACCCATCCCCTCCTTCCCCTTGACATCACCGAAGCCACCTACCTCCTGCCACTACCGACCACAATCCTCAGGACCACCAACCTCATCGCCCAATGGGCCATTGCCTTGCAGAAACACTGATCGGACCTCGCCCACCTTCGCAGCTTGGTAGTTGGTGCCCAAGTTCAGGCCACCATCCGATTTGAACAGCAGCATTCTGCCACCCTTCACAACTTCAATTTCCACTGAGGCTCGCTTGTCCTGATATGCAACACAGCCATAGAAAAGGTGCTCAATCAGAAGATGCGTCCATGGTATTTAGGGCCATTGCTAGTGATTTCTAGGAATCGGGAAGGAGCATATATTTTGGCCGAACTCGACGGATCGGTCTTTGATCGGCCAGTTGCAGCATTCCGCGTTATTCCTTATTTTGCTTGCAAGTCTCTGAAGCTCGCCAACCTTAAAGCCCTCCTCAACATTTCACAAGAATGCCTTCAGGCCCTGGAAGATTCCCGATCAAGAGACGACAATGCCAAAAATGACAATATGGATAAAGATACTGACACCAGCTCAGTCTAATTGGTGGAGAACAGTGATGTGGCTTCGGCAACCTCTGACTAGATCACATCCTCCCACCCTTTGCTCTCGTTGGTTGGTAACTGGGGACAGTCATAATTTCAGTAGGGAGGAGGATTCACAGATATACCCATTCCTTATTTTTGTTTATTTGTCACAGACATGGACTGACACCCAATCATTTCCACATCTTTTAGTACTTTTGCCACTGACCAATTGCTAACCAAATATTTGGCCCATCATTTTCCCATCATTCCTTCAAGTACCAAGTTGCATTGAAGACTTCTTTTGATTTGTGCAAAACCATAGGGTTTTATGGCTGTGATAACATAGTGAGGCTTCCCCTAATATTTTAATTTATGTTCTTCACATCAACCGAACACTTTGCTTACAAGCACACTTTTACATAGACATTTCGCCGACCGATCTGCCAAATATCACTCTTTGGTCTTATCGAAATGTTATATTTGACTCAGGACAAGTCTCTCTTTGTTTCATCTTTCTATATTACATTTTGGACTATGCATAAACTAGGATTCATTCCAACATTCCCGAATCCTCGGCCTCCGACAAGTCCTTGACCAAGACAATATCTGAGGAAGTTGACATGCCCACCCACACATCAAGCAACTCCAGCTCTGCCTGCCACATTGCAATCAAGTGCACCAGTGAAGCACGCATACCCTCAGCCACAGCAATACGGTACCAAAGCTCAGACGCAATGCCTTGGGCAATAATGGGCGAGAGGTGAAATGTGTCAGAAGGAGCAGGGAAGGCGGCTGAATGGGAGCAGGAAGGGTGGATGGGAGCAGGGATGGAATGAGTAGTAGTTGGAAAGTGCTGGACTGGTTTTTGGGTGCAAACAGCTACACCAAATGATGAGCTCTCACCTTTAATCCAGCCGAAATACTACTTATCTTTTGTTTGCGTGATGCTATCTCCAACCGTATGCACAGGGACAGCCACCTCCACCTTATGACACTCTAAGGGGCACTCCTTCTCATCTGACTTCGGCGCTGACTGTTCCTTCAACTTCCCCTTCCCCTTCCCCTTCCCCTTCCCCTTCCCCTTCCCCTTCCCCTTCCCCTTCTCCGTTGTCATTCGCCTAGGCTGAAAGCTACATTCCTTTGACTCCCTGGCACACTTAGTGCACAACACATGCCCAGGTCGCTGATAGCACTGGAATGCCTTGGTCTAGAAGGTGGTCACACAGCAATGACACATGTAGTCAGCCTAGAAGAAGGATGGTTAGCAAGAGGAAGCGGCAGCAAGAGGGGGGGAACTTACCAGTACACCACCAGGTAACAACTCTGGAGGATCTTCAAGCATCTTACCGGCACCATTCCGCTCCATAGGGGACCTAACCGTCAACATTTGGCCTGTTCCAGGGCTGAGAGGAAGGACAACACATCCAAGAGGTAGCGTCTGTTTGTGAGTGAATTTGACAACAACAGCCATGGCCATCTTTTTGCCCTTCGTGTCAGTCAGGGCAGCGGAGGCAACCAGACCCACACTCATGTGGTCTAGGGTGTCGGTAGCAGATGCAAGTGCTGAATCAGCGGCAGAAGGGTTGGGACAATAGGATGAGGTGGCTGTATTGGGAGAAGGAGAGGGAAGGAAGAGAGGGAGAGGGACGACAGACTTGGCCCTAAGCTCAGCCAACTGATGCTCACCCTCTTCAGAATCGAGCCAGCCATCAAACATTGTGTCCACCAGTACTCCCCGGTGCCATTCACGATCTATAGTGCCAGACAAGCAAAGTTGACAATTTTAGTCAACTAATTACCCACCCTCCGGAACCACCGGAATTGATGCGCATTCAGTAGACGAGCATTTTGAGCTCCTTATGAGCAAAACCCCATAAGCCAATCTCACGTAAATTACATTTTATTGATTTTGGCCCTTAAAAAATTGACCAACCCCCAAATTAAATGGTAGGGCCTCAGATATAGCATCAATCAACTCTATTTTTTTTATCTGAGTTCAATAGTAGTCTTAAATAGTCCCAAAAAATTTTACTAAAGCTGTAATGGTGGTGCATTTCCAAACCACAACACACTAAGCTACCAACTTATGTAGCATTCAAAGCATCCCCAAAGGCACCTTCCAAGAAAGAAACATGCATCGAAAATTCAACATCTTCACAAAATATCAATCCACTTAAGAAACTCACCTGAATTTGAGTCAGACACTGAAAAAGACATAGAGGATATTGATCTTGATGATCTATAAGACAGAGACTAGCTTTCATCTATGAAAAACCTGGTGAGTTCTCAAAAAAGTACATTATAATCAATACTAGATGGACCATAAATAGCAGGTCCACATAAATCACACTCACATATTCCTATTATCAACAACAAGTCAGTGCATATGCAGCAATGCCTGGAGTGGAAGTGAGTGTGAGAGGGCCAGACAAAGTTCAATAGTTATTTCTTAGTAAGCAAGATAACAACCAAGAATGGCAAGGCAAAGAGATTATAGCAGACTCTTACAGAATGTATCCTTGATGTCTACACAATAGGGGCCAAGTGTTCACCAATTTGTCCTTTTAAGAATGACACTTGCTATATAGCCTGACTCCTAAGCAGGTAAGATGATTTTTTTTTCAAGAATCCCTTCTTGAGCAGAATTTAAAAGCTCGAGGTCACATTTGCATCTTTCTTCTGAAGTTCCATTGTAAGCTTGATCCTATTGAGATGGTCAGTTTCTCCAGTCTTTTCTTTTATGGCATGTTTATATCATCCAGTACTGGGGCTGGTGCAAGCATTGGTACTGTAAAATTTACAAAGTCAAATTTAAGGATGCAAAGAAAGTGGCACAGCAATGCCTCAATAAGTGTCCTGTCAAGGTGATTTGCCAATTTTTTAATCAACCATGGTGGTTTATGGATGCATATCATAAGGGGCTTATAGGGAAAGTGGCAGAGTGGGCTGTATGCAAACAGAAGTCACACAGAAGGGTTGGGCAGTGCGCAATGATGTCTGTTGATACAATGCTGACCTGAGATTGACTCAGATTGACTTTGGTGCCATTTTAGGCCTAATTACATTTTGTTTTTTTTTGCCCAAGAAATTGGCCACCCCTATTTTACCATGGAAACTTCCATAAAGGGCATTTTTTGACTCCTTTTTCTTCCCTGAGTCCAAATCTGAACTCAGTTTGTCCCAAAAAATTCTGCCTGGGGAGTTAGCAAAATTGTTGACTTTGCTTGTCCGGCATTGTACTTTAGCTGACTTCTGAGCCACAGCAGCCCGTGTTGCCTCAGCTTTGGCAGCCTCCCATTCGGTGATGGCAACACACTCCCTCTTCTCCACTAGGGCCTGTTCCTCGGCTGCTTGTTGATGTTGCAATACAACATGTGCTGCCTGCTGCAGCAGGATCCGTGATCCTCATACCAGCCAGTTGTTAGTAGCCATCGGATCGAGACCACATTTGGCCTTGGTGATAAAGTCAGCGAGTTCAGGCATGTCTTGCCCACATGCTGAACAGTCAAAAACAGCCTGTCAGGCGTCAGCAGCCAGCAGAAGACGAGAGGAAGGACTAACTCACCACCTGTTTGGCGAACCCTTGCCCCCAGACCTCGTAATCCTCATATTCGGCAGTGCTATCCAGGAGGGAGAGCATGTAGTTGGTGAGTTTCACCTTTAGGACAGAGATAAGGGATAACATGAGAGATGAAGAGGCAGGAAGGAAGGCGATGAGGGACTTAGTCACTGGAGAATCAAAGATCATTAGGTGATTGTGGTCACCTGACAAAGCCCCGTGCCACTGTGTTCGGCAAAAGCCGCAATACACGCTACTGCTCTTTGCCAACACGACTCTCATGCCAGCATCTAGTTGGGGCACTCTAGGCCTCAGCCACTTCCTCACCTAATCAGTTGCCATACCACAGGAATTTGCTGACTCAGCCCCGGTCTCTCTTATACACTAACCCGGTCCTTTCTACAACATCTCCTTGCCGATTATTCACCTATGCCACATCTCTCCCACACACCCACTCCTTTCTACATTACTGCTCATTGCCGATCCTTTTCCCATGAAACTTGCCACACCACTCCATTTTCCACACCACTTTTTTCTGCTCTGACTCATAACCACCAACTACTGACTGAGAATAGTCAGGATTTCAGTAGGGAGGAGATGATGAGCATACACCCGTGCTAGGGTCTGAGGGAGGTATTTGGGAAGCTTTGGGGAGATACCAAATAGCACTAGACAAGTACTAAAGATGCTGACTATCACCAAATATGGTTAGTCCCTGCCCAACTGATGACAAGCCACCAAAGGACATTCAGCAGCACTTGGGTCAGTTCGCCCACATTTCACATACTTACCATGACTGCACAGGAGTGTTACAATAAGCGTTTATGAGAGCCAGTAGTCCGTATTGGCTGATATCCTCCGTGAGTTGATCGGTCCTTATCGCTTATCTTCCTGACTTCCACATGGTCAGTCAAACACAATCTTGCACCATTACTTAGCTACCCTAGTCATACAATACCTCTCCTTTGTTTTTATTGGTTCTCCAACGCCTTTTCCTGCTACCTACGCTCGGGCAACGGATCCCAAACATTCGGAATTTCACCATCGCTGATTAACTTTTACCTTGTCACCTTCGGAACCCATATGGACATCTCACCTACCTTCTTATCTTCTCTGATCGCTAAGGCTTGGTGCCCATTTGACATCTACTCTCATTTCTTGTTTAATATTTTACTTAGGGGCTCTATTTACTATAAAAACCTACATACAACTCTGGAATAAACCAGCTTTTGCACCCCACCGTTCAGAGCTCATTTGCACTCATCTCAACCATTGAAATCGTCTTCGTCGACTTCCGAAAACTTGTCATCCTCATCATTTAGCCTCATTCGCATTCGTACTCATCTCCTCACTCGCACCCTTCGTCCTCCCTCATATATTGTCAGAGTCCCATGTGGCTTTTGAAGCACGTAGTTGTCGGTCGCGACACTACTTTTTCGTTACCAACCGCATCACCAACATGACCGACCGAACATTCGGTCAGTGTTTGGCACAGTCCCGAGACTATTCGGGTACTATAATCTCACACTCCCTGTTGCTTCTCAGTACGCCTTCCCTTTCTAAAGTCATCACTAATAATTCCTTGTGTATTAGATACTAGCTCCAGCACCCCCTGCATTAGAGGTTGTTTTGGTGTTGTGCTCGGCACTTAGAGCCACCTCTAGTGTATCATTTTGGAGCCCACCGCGAGGGGTTAGTATTCAAAATTACCTCAAGGAATCTATGTCACTTGTCCCGATCAACAGCGGAGTGCAAAGAATGACAAACAGTTATCGACAGCTTCAATACTCAGGAAACATCTGCCGACCAAAGTTTGTTTGGAGATGCCGATATAGTCCCGGAGCATCTATCCCACCATCACTATCTCGATCTTGAATCCTCGCCATCGCTCTCGCTGCCACCTGACTCCACTTTTTTCTTAACCCCACCTTCGTCGCCAAACCGATCGCTACTCCTGTCAATTTCCCTCATCCTCAACCTTGCGCTCTTAGAACAATCACCCCCGTCTCCTATACCATCTCCCCATGACTCCATCTCTCTGTTAATCCCACGCAGCCCTATCTTCTGGACACCGACCATCTGACCGACTTTGCTAGAACGCTCCTTCGAACCAGCAACTCCATCACCGATTACCTTAGCAAACAATACCTTCTCCCCCACCTTTGACTTTCTCACTATGGCGACCCCATCCATGCCTGCTCGTGGAGATCAAACGGCTCCAACCTTTGACCCCCATCAACCCCACGAATTGAGACGATATTTCGCTGATCTGGACTTCCACTTCATCCGGTCGGCGGTAGAAGATGAGCAGGAAAGGAAGAAACACGCTTGCCGATTCCTGGACATCGATACCTGCGAGCTTTGGGAATCACTCACCACTTTCACTGATGCCACGAAGACATTCAAGGAGTTCATTTGAAGAAGTCTACAGACTGTACCCCAGATTAGAGGAAGAGCGCAAATAGTTGGTATCAGATATGGACAAGCTAGTCGGCGAAACAAGCAGGATTGGCATCTTGTCTCTCAGTGAACTCAGCGACTATCATCGGTGATTCCTGGTGATTATGGTATTCCTCCTCAGCAAGGTATGAATCTCAGTTGCTGAACAAGGACACACCTTTGCTAGAGGATTCCAACCGGAGCTATGGGCAAGAATCTCTTAACGTCTACAACTCAAGTTCCCCAATCATTTCCCAGACGACCCGTACAACCTCCAGGACATCCACAACACGGCCCGATTTATCTTGCACGGCACCACGTCCGCCTACAGTATGACCTCTACCAACATCTCTCGAGCAGCCCCCACTGTGCCACCCACCAACACAATCAAGGCCGAAGACCTGGCGACCATGTTCGAATGGCTCACCAACACCTTCGTCAAGGCCATTGCAGCTCAAGGGACGTCAGGCCAGCCGATCAACCATCCCGACAGCCAAGACAAGGCGGCGACAACTGCATGTTCTGCGGCAGTCCCAAACACTTTATGCGCACCTGTCCTGAAGTCACCGAATATATTCGGATTGGCAAATGCAAGCGGAATATCGAGGGGAAGGTTGTACTGTCAAGTGGGGCATTCGTACCCAGAGAAATCACGGGTAGTAACCTGAAGGACCGAGTTGACGAATGGCACCGCAGGAATCTAGGCCAGTTGGCGACTGGACAGATGATGTTCACGGTAAACGCAGCACCAGCTTACCCAATAATGATAGCCTCCCGTCACAATTCACCCTCATTGCTAGATGTTACCCCGACTTACCAACTCACTGATGTCCAGCAAATCGCGAGCCTTGAATGTGAACTATTTGCACTCCGAACACAGGGCGCGAGGGCACATGAAATGGCACAGACAGGACGTTCGGCACCTACTCCGTCACCGGCTCCTGAACGACAAGCAAGGACCGAAACTCCCGAACCCGAACCCAAATCCCGACCGACCACCCCGACTCAGCGACTGCCCCCGGTACCAGCCAAGGACGATGCTCCGATCCACCCATATGCTAAAGCCCAGGACGCGACCTATGCACCGCCACACGAACGCAACATGGGAGCCCTGGCAAAGATACCATCGACAAAGAAGGATGCTCCGGCCTACAAAACCACGGCACCGATCTATGATGAGAAGGTAGCAGCAGAGGTCTATAACAGGGCAATGGCCACTCAGGTGACACTTACCCAGCATGAACTACTCTCTCTCTCCGCCGAAGTCTGTTCGCAGGTCAGGGAAGCCATGTTGGCACGCTGATTGCCTGCCAGAGACGCCAGTAATATTCGGACCTTCTACCAAGATGCCAATCTACCCTACGCCATTGACAATCTCGAACCACCAACTCGACCGACCGTCTTCTCCTTCATCAATGTCCTGCACCAACCGGAAACACCCCCGCCAGGTGCGACCATCATCCCCAACATATACGAAACGTACCTGAAGAATCTACAGCCTGGTCAGGTTCCTCAGCCGTTGATAGTTGCTAAAGAATTGTCTGCCCTAAGGTCCATCGTTCCCCTCGTTGATTATCAGCAGGAAGTCGAATGCGTCATCGACCCGGGGTCACAAGTCATCGCTATGTTAGAAGGCATTTGCAATGAATTGGCGCTCATTTACGACCCCGAAATCATCCTCAATATGCAGTCGGCAAATGGTGAAACCAACTGATCCTTGGGCCTGGCACGCAATGTTCCATTCCTCATTGGCAAAATCACCCTGTACCTTCAAGTCCACATCATTTGGAATCCAGCCTATGACATTCTCCTCAGCCGGCCCTTCGACATCCTCACCGAAAGTATCATCAAGAATTATTCGAATGAAGACCAGACAATCACCATCAGCGACCCGAACACAGGACAACAAGCCACCATTCCAACGATCAGGCGAGGACCCCCTCGAGTTCTTCACCAAAGACAAGTGGGTTTCCGTGACTCAATGAATTGATCCAGGATCAAGGAGAAGTTGCACTGATCATTTCCATCGATCATGATACCCCCAATTTCCCACTTATCGAAGCGTCCTCAGATTTCCATTCTCCATCTCCCTCTCGTCGCGATCTTTGTCTCAAGTACATTATGGCCTCCGATTTGGGGCCCGAAAATCATCTCAAAAACAATCTCGATTCCGCTATGTCATCCTTATTTTCCTCAGTTGTCCCCGGTTCTTTCCATTCCACTAATATTGTCGACCCGGTCGCCATCTTTGCCACCAAGCGCAAGTACAAACCGGTCGCTCAGAAAACACAACCAGTCTTGGCCGACCTCCCCAAAAAGTTCCGAATCATTCGGAACATCATTGGTGACCCTCTTGCCACCCTTCCAACACTGACACCAAACCCCCCACCATTCATGCCAACCAGCAGATACACAGCCGAATGACGTGACCTCATTGACAAAGTTCACTTGGATGACTTCCTTTGGCCGGCCGAACGACAGCTCATGCATCATTTCATGTGTCTACAAGAGATGGGATTCGCCTGGGACGATTCGGAACGCAGACGTTTCCGTGAGGACTTCTTCCCACCAGTCAATATGCCGGTGGTCGAACACAAGCCCTGGGTTCAATGCAATATTCCAATTTCACCAGGCATCTATGACAAAGTGTGCAGACTCATCAAAACCAAGATTGCTGCTGGAGTCTATGAGCCGTCGAATTCGTCCTACCGATCGCGCTGGTTTATAGTCGTCAAGAAGACGAATAGCACCTCCACTGGCACCAAGCTCCGAATCAGTCACAGCCTCGAACCCCTGAACACCGTCACCATCCAGCATTCAGGTGTGCCCCCATATACCGATCAGATCGCTGAACAGTTTGCAGCTCGTGCTTGCGGCGGCATTCTGGATCTCTATGTCGGCTATGACAAACGAGGGCTTGCCGAATCATCTCGTGACTTCACCACGTTCCAGACCCTATTTGGCACCCACCGACTCATCACCCTGCCCATGGGATGGACAAATTCGGTCCCAATCTTCCATGACGATGTCACCCACATCCTCCAGCCAGAGATCCCAGACACCACCATTCTTTTCATCGACGATGTCCTAATTCGGGGCCCACCGACCCGATACAAACTTCCGAATGGTGGCTTCGAGACGCATCCCGACAACCCTGGCATACGACGGTTTGTGTAGGAACACTTTCAAGGCCTCAATCGGGTGGTTCAGTGGATGAAGTACAGTGGAGGAACATTTTCGGGACACAAGGCGACACTCTGCGCAGCCGAAATCACGGTGGTCGGCCATCACTGCACGTACGAAGGAAGATTACCCGATGAGTCTAGGGTAGAGTCAATTATGAAGTGGGGACCTTGCAGGGATCTCTCTGACGTTCGGGCATTCTTGGGGACGATCGGTGTCATTTGGATCTTCATTCAGAATTTTGCACACAGGGCGCATGCACTGACTATGTTAACACGCAAAGATTTTCCATTTGTGTTCGGCCCAGACCAGATAGCGGCCTAGGACGACCTCCGGTCGGCGCTTCTCAAATCACCAGCCCTTTGGCCGATCGACTATGGGTCGGCAGCCAACGTCATCCTCACAGTCAATACCTCACAAATCGCGGTCGGCTTCCACCTCTGCCAATGCGCACTCGACAATTCGCGGGTTTGGTACTATGCCCGATTCGGCTCCATCACCCTTAATGACCACGAATCGCGATTCTCCCAGCCGAAGCTCGAACTCTACGGTCTCTTTCGCGCACTCCGATCGCTCAAAATGTATCTCATCGGCATTTGGAACCTGATAGTCGAAGTAGACGCATGCTACATCAAGGGCATGCTCACTAACCCGGATCTCGAACCTAGCGCTAGCATTAATCGGTGGATCATCTCCATCCTCACCTTCCATTTCACACTTGTCCATGTCCCCAGCACCTCTCACGGCCCCAATGGTCTCTCCCGACAACTACCACAACCCTCCGATCGACCCAAACCCGAAGACAACTTTGACGACTGGATCAACAATCTCTACGGCTTCCTCCATCAGACCAACAACACGTTCCCCACCTCCATTTCAACCTCGACAACTGCCATTTTTACCTCCTCACTCATAGGCAACCTCCCGACCGATGCTGACTCTGACGACGAAGGCCCAACTATTGACTATTCAGATATCCCACGATCGCAAAAAGCTTTAGAAGCCGAAGAACGCCTATGGTTGGTCCACGACTGGCACTGAACATTGGTTCGGCCCCCTTCTCTCTCCGACTCCAAATATGCCACCTTCCTACAATATTGCACTGAGTTCTTTATCGCAGCCAACAAGCTATGGAGAAAAGACTTGCACAGTCAACACAAGATCGTTGCAGCCCCTTCTAGTCGGATCACAATTCGCACCGCCACCCACAACAACGTTGCTCACAAGGGTTTCTACGTCATGACTGCCTTGATCGCCGAATGCTTCTGGTGGCCGCACATGAGGCAAGATATTTCCTGGTTTGTTCGGACATGTCACCTTTGCCAGATTCGCCAGACTCGCAATGTCCTCATTCCCCCGACCGTTGCTACGCCTGCACCACTCTTCGCCAAGATGTATATGAATACCATGCACATGCCAACCACTGGCGGTTTCAAGTATCTTGTTCAAGGCCGCTGTTTGGTCTCACACTACCCTAAATTCTGGATGCTGCAATGCGAAACAAGCTCAGCTCTTGCCGACTGGATATCCGAGGATATTCTGTGCCGATGGGGAACACTGGTAGAGATTGTCTCCGACAACAGACCAGCATTCGTCAAGGCGCTCGACCAGCTAGCAAAGAAGTACCATGTTCGGCACATCCGTATTTTGGGCTACAATTCCCGCACGAACGGCATCGCCGAACAACCTCACTTTGATGTTCGGCAGGCTCTGTTCAAAGCCGTTGATGGAGATCAGGCCAAGTGGAATTGTGCAACTCATTTTGTATTCTGGGCTGATTGCATTACTGTTCGGCACCGAATGGGTTGCTCGCCATACTTCGCAGCAACCAGAACCCATCCCCTCCTCCCCCTCAACATCGCCAAAGCCACCTACCTCCTGCCACCGCCGACCACAACCCTCAGCACCACCGACCTCATCGCCTGACGTGCCATGGCCTTGCAGAAACGCCGATCGGACCTCACCCACCTTCGCAGCTCAGTAGTCGGCGCACGTGTCCAGGCCGCCATCCAATTCGAACAACAGCACTTGGCCACACTTCACGACTTCAATTTCCACCGAGGCTCACTTGTTCTGATGTGCAACACAGCCATAGAAAAGGCGCTCAATCAGAAGATGCGCCTATGGTATTTAGGGCCTTTGCTAGTAATTTCTAGGAATCGGGGAGGAGCGTATATTCTGGCCGAACTCGACGGATCGGTCTTTGATTGGCTAATTGCAGCATTCCATGTTATTCCTTATTTTGCTCGCAGGTCTCTGAAGCTCACCAAACTTAAAGCCCTCCTTGACATCTCACAAGAACGCCTTTGGGCAATGGAAGAATCCCAATCGAGCGACGATGACGCTAAGGCCGATGATGCCGATGAAGAGGATACCGACACCAGCTCAGTCTGATCAGCAGAAGACAACGACGCGGCTTCGAGACCTCCAACTAGATCCTGCCTTCCCACCCTTCGCCCACTTCAGTCGGTGACTGGGGACAGTCACGATCTCAGTAGGGAGGAGGATTCACAGATATACCCATTTCTTTGTTTTCATTTATTTGTCACAGACATGGACTGACGCCCAATCATTTCCACACTTTTAGTACTTTTACCACCGATTGATCGCCGACCAAATAGTCAGCACTCATTTTACACATCATTCCTGCAAGTACCAAGCCGCATTGAAGACTTCTTCTGATTTGCACAAAACCATAGGGTTTTATGCCTGTGATGACATACTGAGGCTTCCCCTGATATTCTAATTTATTTTCTTCATTTCGCCAAATGCTTTGCTTACAAGTACATTCACACAGTCATTTTGCCGACTGATTTCCCAAACGATACCTCTAGTCTCTGCCAAACACCTCATTCATCTCAGGACAGTCCTTTTACTTATTTTACATTTTACTGGACTAGTGACACCTTGAAACTACTTTACACATCGGGAACAAAGTCGCCCAACACCGACATTCCCAAATCCTCGGCATCCGATGAGTCTTCCACCAACACTACATCTAAAACTGCTGATCCACCTGAATGCACCTCAAGAACCTCCAACTCACCCTGCCACATTGCAATCGAACGCGCCAGCGAGGCACGCATACCTTTGTCCACAGCGATGTGGTACCGAAGCTCTGACGCGATGCCTTGCGCGACGACAGGAGACAGGCGAGAGGAGTCGGGCAGGGCAGGGACAGCAGCTGAACGAGTGCGTGAAGGGCGGGTAGGAGCAGGGGCGGCCCTAGCAGTGGTTGGAAGCCGCTGGACCGGCTTTCTGGTATGAGCAGCTGCACTGAACAATACCAAACAATGAGCTCTACATCTCCGATTCAAACAAAAGACAACTTACCTTTCGTTTGAGCGATGCTATCACCGACGGACCATACGGGAACAACCACCTCTACCTTACGATGCTTCAAGGGGGCGTCCCCTCTCCTCCAACTTTGGCACCGACTTCCCCTTTTCCTTCGATTTCCCCTTCCCCTTCCCCTTATCCGTCGGCATCCACCCAGGCTGAAAGCTACACCCCTTCGACTCCCTGGCACACTTTGTGCACAATACCAGCCCAGGTTGCTGGTAGCATCGGAACGCCTTGGTCAGAAAGGCGGTCGCACAGCGATGACAAGCGTAGTCGGCCTAAAAGGAGGGTCAGCAGTAGGAAGCAGCAGCAAGAGGGAGGGAACTCACCAAGACATCACCCGGTAATAATTCGGGAGGGTCTTCGAGCAGCTTCCCGGCACCATTTCGCTCCACAGGGGACCTAGCAGTTGACATTCGGCCCATTCCAGGGCCGAGAGGAAGGACGACACACCCAAGAGGTGGCGTCGGTTGACAAACGAACTCAACAACAACAGCCGCTGCCGACTGTTTGCCCTTCAAGTCGGTTGGGGCAGCGGCGGCAACCAAACCCACGCTCATTTGATCCAGAGCATCGGTTGCAGACGCAAGCGCAGAATTGGTGGCAGACAGGTCAGGCTGGGACAAGTTGGCGGATGGGTTGGGATGGGAAGAGGACACGGCGGTGGAAGGGGAAAGAGAAGGAAGGAAGAGAGGGAGAGGAAGGACAGACGTGGCCTCAAGCTCAGCCAACTGACGCTCACCCTCTTCAGAATCGAGCGATCCATTGAACATTGTGTCCACCAGTACCTCCCGGCACCATTCCCAATCCACTTTAGCCAACTCCCGAGCCGCAGCAGCCCGAGCCGCCTCAGCTTTGGCAGCCTCCCATTTGGCAACAGCAATATGCTCCCTCTCCTCCACTAGGGCCTGTTCCTCGGCCGCCTGCTGATGTTGCAACGCGACATGCACTGCCCGCTGTGGAAGGATTCACGCCCCCCATACCAGCCAGTCGTCGGTAGCCATCGGATTGAGGCCAATCTTGGCCTCGGCAATCCAGTCGGCGAGTTCAGGCATGTCTTGCCCATGTGCCGAATGGTCGAAAACAGCCTGCAAGAACATCAGCAGCCAGCAGAAGGCAAAGGGACAAACCAACTGACCACTCATTTGGCAAAACCCTGCGCCCAGGCCTCGTAATCCTCGTACTTGGTGGCGCCATTGGGAAGGGCGAGCATGTACTCCCCAAGCTTGGTTTTGAGGACAGAAAGGATAGAGGACATATTGGGAGGCAGAGAGGATTGGATAAGGAGGCGAAGCGGCAAGAGAATGGCGATGAGGGACTTAGTCGCTGAAGAATTAACGATCATCAGGTGATTGTGGTCACCTAACTAAGCCATGTGCCACTACGCGCGGCAGAAACCGCAATGTGCATCACCGCTCTTTGCCGACACGCTCCCACGCCAGTGCCTAGTTGGGGCACTCTAGGCTTCAGCCACTCCATCACCTAATCAGTTGCCATGCCACAGGACTTTGCCGATGCAGCCCCGGTCTCCCTTGCGCGCTGACCCGGTCCGTTCTATAACATCTCCTTGACGATTATTCACCTGTGCCACATCTCTCCCACACGCCCACTTTTTCCACGCCATTGCTTGTTACCGACGCTTTCCCACGTCCACACACTACGCGCCCTGATCCACGTGCAGTGTTGCCACACCAATTTTTTCACTCCAACTCCTAGCTGCTGACCAACTGACTGAAGACAGTCAGGATTTCAGTAGGGAGGAGATGATGAGCATTCACCCATGCTAGGGTCCGAGGAAGGTATTCGGAAGCTTTGGGGAGATACCGAACAGCGCTAGACAAGTACCGAAGACGCCAACTTTTACCAAACACAGTTGGTCCCTACCTGACAGACGACAAGCCACCAAAGGACATTTGGCAGCACTTGGGTCAGTTCGCCCACACTTCACATATTTACCATGACCACATAGGAGTTTTACGATAAGTGTTTACGAGATCGGAGCCAGTATTCCGTATCGGCCGACGTCCTCTGTAAGTCGGTTGGTCCTTATCGCTTATCTTCCCGACTTCCGCATGGTCGGTCAATTGCGATCTTGCACCATTGCTTGGCTACCCTGGTCGTACAATACATCTTCTTTATTTTTCATTGGTTCTCCAACGCCTGTTCCTGCTACCTACACTCAGGCGACGGATCCCAAACGATCGGAATTTCGCCATCGCTGATTAACTTTTACCTTGTCACCTTCAGAACCTATATAGACATCTCACCTACCTTCTTATCTTCTCTGATCGCTAAGGCTTGGCGCCCATTTGACATCTACTCTCATTTCTTGTTTAATATTTTACTTAGGGGCTCTGTTTACTATAAAAACCTACACACAACTCTGGAATAAACCAGCTTTTGCACCCCACCATTCAGAGCTCATTCGCACTCATCTCAACCATCGAAATTGTCTTTGTTGACTTCTGAAAACTTGTCATCCTCGTCATTCAGCCTCGTTTGCATTTGTACTCGTCTCTTCGCTCGTACCCTTCATCCTCCCTCGTATATTGTCAGAGTCCTGTGTGGCTCTTGAAGCACGTAGTTGTCGGTCACAACACTACTTTCTTGTTACCGACCGCACCGCTGACATGACCGACCGAACGTTTGGTCAGTGTTTGGCACAGTCCCGAAACCATTCAGGTGCTATAATCTCACACTCCCCATTGCTTCTCAGTACACCTTCCCTTTCTAAAGTCATCACTAACAATTCCTTGTGTATTAGATACTAGCTCCAGCACCCCTGCATTAGAGGTTGTTTTGGTGTTGTGCTCGGCACTTAGAGCCACCTCTAGCATATCAACGGTTATAAGCACTGGCGTAGTTGCGAGCACTGGTGTGGTTGCGAGCGCTGGTGTGGTTGCGAGCGCTGGTGCGGTTACAAGCGCTGGCACAGTTGTGAGTGCGAAAGTGGGTGTGGGCACAAGAGTGGGCGTGGGCACAAGAGTGGTTGTGGGCGCAAGAGTGGGCATGGGTGCAAGAGCGGACGTAGTTGCAAGCGGGCACAAGCATGAGAATGGGCATGAGCATAAGAACAGGCATGGTTATGAGAATGGGTGTGGGCGAGAGAATGGGCATGGTTGCAAGAGCTGGCAAGGGGGCATTGATGGCAGAGTGTGAGACAGGAGAATAATCGCGCATCTCAGCAAGTGCCATGTTGTCGAGTAGTTGATCCTCAGTTAGTACAAGCCTAGACTGCTTTGCTGGGTGGTCGCTGCTGCCATTCACATTTTTCTTACGCTTGCGTGTGATGTGCAGATCAGCGACTGTGAGCCCAGCATGTATGTCTTTGTCTTCTGGCTTGATCATGCCCAGCTTGGCATACAGTAGTTCTCTTTGACAAGCTTCTCCGAGCCAAGATGAGTAGTTCTGTGTGCCAATGTACAAGGACTTCCATCCATCTTCACATAACTTGAGCAACGGAAAGTGTGACTCTATGGCAGCCTAAAAAGAAAGGCTGAAATCATTGGAAAGATTGTGCCACTTAAATGGAGCAACGCTATTGTTGAGCCAGCCTTGCCAAATAGTCTGAGCGTAACCACATCTGGAAAACCACCCCTTTGTATTAAGCTCTAATTAGTTCTATTTATGCATAATCAAGAACAATTAGGATTAGACATTTTTAGCTTACCCCCTTCTAAACCTGTTCTAATTAGACATAATTTTCCTAAATTAGGAATTATTAGGATTGATTATAACTTGAAATTTCGTAAAAATCATAATAAATCAAGCATCACAGTTCTCATAGCCTTCTTATACAGTCATGTCTATTTAAACACTAGTTCAATACCTAAACACAGAATATACCTTATAACAAATTTGCCTTCTGCCAGAGTTGAACCAACAACCTCATGTATGCAAGCACCCAGGACAGATGCTCTAAGCCACTAAGCCACAAGGTCTAATATATAAACTTGGTAATCTAAATAAGTAGACATAATATAGGCAACCTTAACATCTCTGATTTTATTTAACATTTATCTTTCCTCTATCTTATAAATAAATAGGTCAATAAATACCTAAAAAGTCAGGTCTTTCAGGATTTAGTTTAAACACTAGCTAAGAAGATAATAAACCAATGGAAACTTGATAATACACTTTATATAGGATAAAAATAAATTATGGCACTTACACAATTTGGATTGAGAATGTGTAAAACTATGATTGAGTGTAATATCCAATGGGACTCTACTAGTATAGATAATGCTACCTAAATTTGCAAATTTGATCAAAAACATGATTATAAATAATCAAGATCCAATAAGAGAGAGGGGTTTTCCAAATAGCCACTAGTGAGTATATGTATGGCATGTCTATATATAAATAAGCACAAGATTGTTGGAGGTGATCTTAATATGCTTAATGCATATATTACTTATATGGCAGGCAAATATATCATTCTGGCACCACATACCAATATGACTGTCTTTTCCACAGCCTAATAGCTAGAGGAAAACACCAAGTTTGAGCATCTTCTGTATAACAAGGCAATAAACAATATAAATAGTGCTAAAAATTGTAATATCAATAGTGATGATGATTGTGTGCTGCACAAGACAGTATTAGCCACTATACTAATAGACAAGGTCTATAAGTCTGCATATAGCATATCCCTAAGTCCAGCCCACATGTTATGTCCTGTAATGACCAATAGCAGGCATTGGCTAACAATGACAACTTTAATGATCTTGTGTGCAAGGACAAGGTACCTAGGTCTTCATAGCCTCTTGTCATCTGGAAAAACACCCCCTTGTATTAGCTCCGGATTATATCTAATAGTGTCTAAAAGTATCTAAAAGTGTTAATAGTATCTAAAAGTGTCTAATTTCCTAATTAGGAGCAACACATTATGAGCATTGGATTGGTTTCTAATTTCATGATACTAGCACTAATTCTATACTAAAAAGTCTTTAATTATTAGTAGGAAATAGTAAGTACTACTACTCTATCAGTGAGAAGGTAAAGATGTGGCACATTCTATACTATTTTAGCATATTACTCTTCTTCATATATGCCTATACTATTATCTTGTAGCCCTTTTGCTGACTTTCCAGCTGCCTTTACAAGGGATATAGAAAGAGAGAAATGTGCATTGATGCCCCCAGCCACTTTGTTGGCAGCTTGGCAGCTGCCACAAGAGGCTATGAAGACCTAGGTACCTTGTCCTTGCACACAAGATCATTAAAGTTGTCATTGTTAGCCAATGCCTGCTATTGGTCATTACAGGACATAACATGTGGGCTGGACTTAGGGATATGCTATATGCAGACTTATAGACCTTGTCTATTAGTATAGTGGCTAATACTGTCTTGTGCAGCACACAATCATCATCACTATTGATATTACAATTTTTAGCACTATTTATATTGTTTATTGCCTTGTTATACAGAAGATGCTCAAACTTGGTGTTTTCCTCTAGCTATTAGGCTGTGGAAAAGACAGTCATATTGGTATGTGGTGCCAGAATGATATATTTGCCTGCCATATAAGTAATATATGCATTAAGCATATTAAGATCACCTCCAACAATCTTGTGCTTATTTATATATAGACATGCCATACATATACTCACTAGTGGCTATTTGGAAAACCCCTCTCTCTTATTGGATCTTGATTATTTATAATCATGTTTTTGATCAAATTTGCAAATTCAGGTAGCATTGTCTATACTAGTAGAGTCCCATTGAATATTATACTCAATCATAGTTTTATACATTCTCAGTCCAAATTGTATAAGTGCCATAATTTATTTTTATCCTATATAAGGTGTATTATCAATTTTCCATTGGTTTATTATCTTCTTAGCTGGTATTTAAACTAAATCCTAAAAGACCTGACTTTTTAGATATTTATTGACCAATTTATTTATAAGAGAGAAAAAGATAAATATTAAATAAAATCAGAGATGTTGAGATTGCCTATATTATGTCTACTTATTTAGATTACCAAGTTTATATATTAGACCTTGTGGCTTAGTAGCTTAGAGCATCTGTCCTGGGTGCTTGCATACATGAGGTTGTTGGTTCAATTCTGGCAAAAGGCAAGTTTGTTATAAGGTATATTCTGTGTTTAGGTATTGAACTAGTGCTTTAATAGACATGACTGTATAAGAAGGCTATGAGAACTGTGATGCTTGATTTATTATGATTTTTACGAAATTTCAAGTTATAATCAATCCTAATAATTCCTAATTTAGGAAAATTATGTCTAATTAGAACAGGTTTAGAGGGGGGTAAGCTAAAAATGTCTAATCCTAATTGTTCTTAATTATGCATAAATAGAACTAATTAGAGCTTAATACAAGGGGATGGTTTTCCAGATGACTTATGAACCACAGGTGGTCACTAACATGCTAGGGTCTTTAGAAAATGTATTATGCCCCTTGTCGACTTCCCCACTTATTGTGTTTCTTCCCACCCTGCAGTTGTTATTGGGCAACCATCTTCTTCCCTCTCTCAAATATTCAAATATATCCTCTTTGCAGCTGAATGTGCCAGTTCCCTTTCAGCACCCCTTCTTGGCAGAATAGACTAATGCTCTTCTCTTAGATGCTCCTAAAAGTCTCTTACATGCATATATCAATTTATTTCCTGGAAATTAACTTACTTCTTTCCCCAATTTTGACAAGGAGAATATCAACCCTATATGACCCTTTAGTTCCCCTTATGACCCTAAACAAGCTGTCAGGGATCACAAGACTTGTCGACCACTTCTGATACTGCCTCCTTCATCCACAATCCAAGACCCTTGTTGGTGATAGCCTTGCCAATTTTATCATAATTAACATGCTTGCCCTCCAACCTGAGACAATACCTATTGAAGAGGACTAGCATCACAAAGCTTGTGCCTCTGAGGCAGTCTAGCCTGATCTCCCTGACTTTACTTTTTTGGCACTCTCATCCTAAGACAAGATACTATTGGAAGTGTGGCCATGCTGAACATCTTATCATAAAGTGTTCTATTATATGTATTAGACAAAGGACAGATGTCACTGTGCATAACTTCTTATGAGACTACGATGCATATTGAGGTACAGTGGTATGCCTTCATCTTAGGATGGATCAAGTGGCAGAAAAATATGGGTATCACAAGTAGGCTAAAGAACACATGATTAACACAGCTCCTACATACTCCACCTCCCACCTTTGACGAGGACCACCCTTAAAAGCCACCTCCTATGGTTGTATCTCATATTAAACACCAAAGACTTATGTAAAAGAGGGGGGTAGTGTTAGGGCCATGTTCTAACACATGCTTTGCATAAGATCACAAGGGATGGTTATATAGTATGCTCATAATATAGACTTGTACTATAGATTAGACTATTGTTTGTGGCCATTCTAGTTGATGTGGCATGCATGCCATATGCATACTACCTTACAGACTCATTGATGACTCACTTCTATAGCTGAGAGTGGCTCTACAGCTATTCTTAGAATGGATATATTGTGTTCTTTCTCTTTTTGGACTTTCTTACTTTTATTTCACCTTGTCTTACTTTGTTTCAATTATTTCACCAGGTTGACTGGGTCAGGGTGGTCCTATGTGATATTATTGAGACTCCATACCGACCCATAGGTAGAGCTTTTGACTGCTTTATAAGGTGGACTATCTCTAATAACCCATTGATGTCATACCTTCCTTTTTTGTTTCTTATTGTTCTCTATAGCTTAAATACCTGTAGTCCAAGGGTGATTCTTTTCTTAGACTCTTACCCTCTGGACCACAGTCCTATTGTTATAAAGCTTCTTTTTGGCATACTCTTTGTGCCAGTTGCTTTATTGACACTGTGCTTAACATGGACTTGGTACTTATTAATATGCTTACACATGAATACTTACAGTATATAACTCATTTATAAGGTTTGGCTTGAACACTTACCTATACTAATCATGATCTTCCAGTGCTTACTGATATGGACAGATATTTGATATATTTACTATATTAGGATAAAGTACAGCTAGTAGATGACATATCTTGGTTATTTAACTTACTTAGCATTTAGAAGCATAGACCAGGTCTGGATCTGATGCTAAATAGTTTGTATATATAAATAGCCAAGATAAGCTTCTAAAAAGTTCAGCTCATTCACTTTGTATACAACTTGACCTTTACACTGCATTTAGTATCTAGCTACCTTCCTAGCTCATGCATTGCAAACTCCACCAGGTCCAAAGTACCATACTCAGTCTGACAAAGCACTAGACTTATTTCAAAGCCTTATTTACTCTTATATTACTACTACATATCAAGGACTTGCCATCTTTAGAGTCCTTTCCTGAAATCTATTAGAAGTTGTCCATTAGATTGGAGAAAATAACCCTGGCATAGATAGTTATCAACCTATTATTGAGAATTATCTTCTCTATCTCTTCAAAGATAAGATCAATAGGAATGAATACTTTCTTGCACAAACACAATGAAGAGCAATAGTATTCATCCATTGGACAGTCACCATTTAGATAGCCTAGGGACCCTTCTATGTGCCTATAGTCACATGATAAACCTAGCAGTTTAACAAAAAGCAATAGGGAGTATGAGATTATAGTGTTTAAATAATTTTGGAACTACACTAAACACTGACCAAATATTTGGTCAGTTGTATTAGGGATTTATTTAGTAATACAAAAGGTAGTGCTATAACGAACAACTATGTGCTTCAAAAGCCATATGGGACTTTGACAATATACAAGGGAAAAATATACAAGGGAAAATAAAAGGTATAAGTAAAGAGACAAGTATAAATGTGATAAGGCCAAATAACAAGAGTGACAAGTTTTTTAAAAGTTGATAAAGACAATTTCAATGGTTAAGACAAGTGCAAATAAGCTCTAAACTATAGGGTGTGAAAGCTGGTTTATTCTAAAGTTGTATATAGGCTTTTATAATAAACAGGGCCCCTAAGTAAAATATCAAACAGAAAATAAGAGTAAGTACTAAATGGGCATCAAGATCTAGTAAACAGTAAAGATAAGAAGGTAGGTAAAATATCTATATGGGTTCTAAGGACAATAAGATAAACATTTATTAGCAATGACAAAATCCTGAATATTTGGTATCCATTGTCCAAGTGTAGGTAGTAGAAACAGATGCTGGAGAGCCAATGAAAAAAAAGAAATAGTAAACATACAACTTAGATAGCCAAGCAATGGTGCACAATTGTATTTAACCAAATATGTGGAAGTCAGAAAGATAAGAGATAAGAGCTAACTAAGTATGGATAATATTAGCTAAATAAGCTAGTTACTCCCAATCTTATAATAGTCTATTATAATACTCCTTTGGTGACTCTTATATAGTTATGGTAAGCACATAAAGTGCAAGCAAACTAACCCAAGTGCTACTAAGTATCCTTTAGTAGCTTGTAGTTGTTTGGATAGAGGCTGACTATCTTCTGAATAAGTTGGCATCTTTAGTACTTATCTATAGTTATTTAGCCTCTTTCCAAAGCTTTCTAAATACTCTTCTTAAATTCTAGAATAGGTACATGCTTATCACTAGTCAATATAGGAAGAAGCTGTAGCTAGCTTATAAATGGCTATATAGCATACCAAAGACTAGAATCTAAACCAAGAAGACTCATGATCAAAAGAAGGGACCTAAGTGTAGCTATAGGGTACTTATATCCATATAACTCACTAGAAGGCCAAAGTTCCTGCCAATGTCATCTCTTTTAAGTCAAGCTCAGACATAAAGAATAGCTTGAATTAGAAGAATCCCAGAACTACTAGAGAAAAATGATCAAATTAAAAAAGAAAACCAAGAACCAAGAGCTCTACTATAGGTTGAAACAACTGATAACAGTCATACTAAAGGTTATAACCATATTAAAGATATAATTCCACCAATAATTAGTAGAATAGAGGAAATAGCAAGTCTAAATAAGCTAGGATTATTGGCAAGAGGCTGAGGAAGACCTTAAAGCCCTAAATACCCTGAACTAACTCTAGTCTTACTAGGAGTTGTATTAGATTCAACAATGGTTAGCATCCCAACTACTAGAGTAGTTGAAACCATTACTAATTGTGGAGATTTGCACCCTAAAGAACTAAAAAGACTTAGAGACACTCTACTCTAATGAACCACCACCTCTACGGTAACCCAGATAGTAACCACACCTACACCACAAAGGCTCACTAACTTTCTAATAGGACAACTGGGAAGTGAGGGTAAGGTACCTTGATAACTTGTAAGTACAAGTGATTAGGTCAGAATCCTTACCTACACCAAAGATCATAAGGCTATCTCATGATATGACAAAAGGAATAATAAGAGTTATGTATTCCTCATTTATCCCAACAAATTTACTGTTTTTATTAATCTTGAACTCTTTCCTACTTTCATCTTTACCAGTAAACTCAACATCACTCCTTTTGCTAGAATTAATCCCTTTCACACCTAAAAAATAAAACCCACAATAGGAATACTATCCCCAGATGCTAAAGACATATCCACACAGACTGAATATGTCTGGATTATATAGTAATAGCATGTAGCTATTTAACATACTATAGTGATACCCTTTGGACTACTAAGGATAAGTACTACTAAGGATGAGTCACTGCCAGCCTATTGAGGAAATCCTAGTAGGGGAACACAGATAATAAGGTAAAAAAAACAAAGGGAACATATATTTCCTAAAGTAGTAGAGAAATGGCACAAAATGCTCAATAAAGAGATACATAGGTTAATAATGGTCCTATTAAAACAACAAAGTGTGTCTTTATCCTACTAAACGAGCTTAAATCCCTTATCCAATGACTCTAAGGTCTAGAAAATGACTCTAAGGTCTAGAACTTGGACTTGTAAGAATTTAGATATATAGGACACCCTTGATAGCTATAACAAACTAGACCTTAATAACAATTACAAGGATCTGGGCCCTTATTATAGGCTTGATAAAGGCCAGGGAAATTCATAAATAATGTAGGACTAACAAGAAAAACAAGGAGTTGAGGAACCCTTGGTATAAATGATGGTAAAGAGAAAAGGACCCTCTATATCATACGTACTAGTTTCATAAATAGGACAACCAAATAATACCCTCTATGATATTAAATTAGGAAATATCTGAAAAGATGTTAGGCTATAGGATTGTCTAGCCTGTCTTCTAGAGTGACTGTATTGTTCCACATAAGGTTTCTAAGCTATTTTCTTTGTTTGATTAAAAAGTTTGAGTTTTAAGAGTATTTCACCTAAATTGTCAAATTCCACCTCCTCTTTATAGTTTGGATACTGTGACAGACTATCAGATTTATTTATGGATCCCACTTTGTGTGTCAACTTGTATTCAAAATGCAAGAGGAATAAGGACCATCTTGCTTGCTAATGGTTGAATTTCTGACTTGAGCAGAATTATTCCAGGTTTTTGTGGCCTGTCCAGATATCAACTAGGTCTTTGGCACCTTCTAGATAATGTTGCCAAGCTTCAAATGTTTAAATGACCACTAGCAACTCTTTGTTGTAGGTGGGATAGTTATGTTCTGTTTGCTAGAGTGATTTGGAAATATAGGCACAGGGGTGCCATTTTCCGTTAGGGGTGAGTTGTGATAGTACTGCTCTAGTAGCAGAGTCTGAGGTGTTGTATTCAATGTAGAAAGGCTTCCTAGTGTCTGGCATAACAAGTATTGGAGATTCTGTAAATATTTTCTGGAGGTTCTGGAATGCATTGATATGCTAGTGATATCTCTGAGTGTAAAACATACCCAAAAAACACCCCTACAAGTATAGATAGACAGAAGCTAGTTCTAGTATGCAAGGAACTGTCGACTATGCTACAACTAACGAGGGAGTGTACTGAAAGTGTTTGGAGCATGAAAATAACCCCAAAATTAAAATCTTCAGTCAGGCAACATTTGTTTAGGATTGATCAGGATAACTGGAAGTGTTCAGAGCATAGCTGTATTGTTTGTGGCAATTCTGATTAATGTAGCATCCATGCCACATGGGTGCCACCTTTGGGACTCATTGATTACTCGCCTCTACAGCTAGGAGCGGCCCTACAGCCGTTCCCAGAGCGGGTATATTGCTTTCTTTCTCCATTTGGACTGTCTCACTTTGTTTTCACCTTGTCTCATCTTGTTTCAGTTGTTTCACCAGGTTAGCCAGCTGAGGCGGTCCTGTGTGATGTCATTGACACTCCGGACCGACCTCTAGGTGGAGCTTTTGACCGCTTTGTAAGGTGTTATCCTCTGGACCACAGTCCTGTCGTTATAGAGCTTCTTTTGGGCACTCTCTCTGTGCCAATCGCTTTGTTGTCACTGCGCTCAACAGGTTATGGGCCCTGCGCTCTAGCGACTTTGCTTTACATTGTTTTATCCACACTTTTGGGTCTCCCCTCTACTGTGCCACACCTTTCTGGCCACACCTCTTTGCTGCCACATCTTCCCTATTGCTTTCCCTGCCTTTCCCATCGTCCCACATTGCTTCCAACACCTTTCCCTGCTTGTGCCACTCGTGCCACACCATGTCGGACCCCTCATTCGCTCTCCCTTTGTTGAACGCAGTGACAACAAAGCGACTGGCACAGAGACAGTGCCAAAAAGAAGCTCTATAACAAGAGGACTGTGGTCCAGAGGGTAAGAGTCTAAGTAGATACAAAGAACAGAGGGGAGCGCACCTGTTATCCAAAGGGTAAGAGTCTGAGGAAAGAATCGCCCTCGGACCACGGGTATTTAAGCTACAGAGAACAATAAGAAACGAAAAAGGAAGGTATGACATCAACGGGTCATTGCAGGTGAAACATCTTACAAAGCGGTCAAAAGCTCCACCTGGAGGTTGGTCCGGAGTGTCAATGACATCACACAGGACCGCCTCAGTCGGCTAACCTGGTGAAACAACTGAAACAAGGTGAGACAAGGTGAAAACAAGGTGAGACAGTCCAAATAGAGAAAGAAAGCAATATATCCGCTCTGGGAACGGCTGTAGGGCCGCTCCCAGCTGTAGAGGCAAGTAACCAATGAGTCCCAAAGGTGGCACCCATGTGGCATGGATGCCACATTAACCAGAATGGCCAAAAACAACATAATATGGACTTGCACTATGAATTGGACTTGGTGCTTATTAACATGCTTATACATAAACACTTACAGTATATGAATCATTTACAAGCTTTGGCTTAAACACTTACTTATACCAATCATAATTGTTTCCAGTGCCTACTGATATGGACAGACATTTGATATATTTGCTATATTGAGATAAAGTATAGACAGCAGATGACATATCTTGGTTATTTAACTTACTTAGCATTTAGAAGCATGGACCAGGTCTGGATCTGATTCTAAATAGTCTGTATATATAAATAGCCAAGATAAGCTTTTAAGAAGCTCAGCTTGTTCACTTTGTATACAACTCAATCTCTGTACTATGCCCAGCATCTGGCTATCTTCCTAGCTCATACATCACAAACTCTGCCAGGTCTAAAGTATCATACTCTGACGAAGCACTGGACTTGTCTCAAAGCCTTACTCACTCTCATATTGCTACTACATATTAAGGACTTGTTGCCTTTAGAATCCTTTCCTAGAATTCATTGGGGGTTGTCTATTGGATTGGAGAAGATGGTCCTATTATAGACAGTTATTGACCTATTATCAAGAATTATCTTCTCTATCTCTTTAAAAACAAGATCAACAGTAATGGATACTTCCTTGCACAAGCACAATGAAGAGCAATAGTATTTATTCATTGGACAGTCACCATTTAGATAGCCTAGGAATCCCTCCACATGCCTGCAGTCACATGATAAGCCTAGCAGTTTAACACTTGAATAAGCTCATCCACTCCCTACCCTATCCTTATTCTGGAATACCAAGGATTACAATCCCTAGGTAAGGTCACATGACAGATCTTAGAAGAAAAAACCCACAGAGCCACCTAGGTGGCACAAATCAATCAAACAATCAACAAAGGAAGGAGGCAACTCCATTAGCCAAGAAATTCCTATAAGAACCTTTACCATAGCCAAGTACTTGACAACCAGAAAAACATATACAAAGCCATGACTATTCCTTCAACTTTAACAAAAGAATTGGATTCCCCTTTCCCAGGCTTTGCTTTATCAACAGTCCAAAGACCCTAGTCTTCATAGTTAGAGATTTAGGACTCAATTTTATTCACACAAGAAATACAGTTGACGTTGTTATAATGCAAACATGTTTGTGTCTTGACAGGATAATTTCCAAGAATGTTCCATAGGAAGAAATAACTGTGCAAGTCTAGGCCAATACAAGGAATATTAGAGAAGAATAAAAAATTAAGGAGCAAGATAATTTAAGAACTACTAGTAATTACATCTGTGCATTACTCTCTCACATTATATCCAACAATACCTCTACATGCTTATTATTCTGGGGCACATTCCCTCGATCATTGTTCCATCTTCATTGCCACACAGAGCTTTGGCAGCCACCACCGGACTTCCATCTACTAATTGTCCCATTGGGTCCATGACCTGACTTGCTTAATGTATCCTCTGTCTTCCCACCACTTCACTCTTTTATAACCATTCCCTACAAACCCACATACTGCATCAATGTTACCTCCAATGCTTTTTTAGCTCTATCATCTTTGAATGAGCCACAAATGATGTCAATCCCTCTTGCCGAAGATGGAATTCAACTGCCACCAGTCTCAGCAGAAGAAGTATCAATGAAAGTCTGTGTCCTTCCTAGAACAGAGGGGACTTAGTTGGAAGATGGGGTTTCAGTAGATGCGATCAAAAGAAAGCCAGATAGCGACTGTAAGTTTATGACTATCATTCTTTCTGAAATGGTCTGGCAAAATAATTGTATTGCTGTCTTTGGAGAAGCAGGCAATGAGCAGCAGTTTATAGTGGTGACATCTACGTTCCATGTCAGCTCCCCTCCCCCACTTGGCTGCACTATAGTGACTTTGCTCTACATTATTTTATCCACACTTTTGGGTCTCCCATCTACTCCTGGTCCAAGGAGATCAAGGTCTGGCTTCGTCTCAAAGGCCTGTGGCTTCTGGTCTCTGGTGATGAGACAGCCCCTGTTGGCACGAAGGAGAAGCCTGCTGACCCAAGAGAAGTGGCAGAGTGGAAGAGGAATGCTCAGAAGGCTGCTGGTGCACTCTTACTTTCGGTTGAGGACCAGTTCAGAGGCATCTTGGATGGCATTGAGGACGACCCCATTGCTATTTGGACCAAACTGGAGGAGCAGTTCAACAAGAAGTCTGCTGGATCGCGTTTCAACGCGATGGAGGACCTCTTTTCGATCAAGAAGCGCAACGATGAGTCCCTCCAGTCCCTCATTCATCGTGTCGACGAGTCTATGCGCGTCTTGAAGAACCTCCGCGACTGGCTTCGATCTCAAGAAGCAGGACGAGGAGCTCACTTGCATGGCCCTCTTGTGGTCTCTTCCCTCCGAGTTTGACACTTTCCGCTCCTCCCTCAGTCTCATGGACGTCTTGTCTCGCTCCAAGCTCGAGGACGCGTTCAGGCGCGAGGATTTGAATCGTGCACGTCGTTCGGATCCCACAGACTCTGCACAGGCCCTTGTGGCATCCTTTCCTTCGTCCTCCACCTCTTCCTCCACCTCCTACAGACGTTCTAGGCCACCCAGGAAGCAGTACAAGTGCGACTTCTGTGGTGCCACTGGCCATACTGATGACAGGTGCTTCAAGAGGATCAATGAGGAGCTGAAGAAGTTCAAGCCACAGCAGGCCCACTCGGTTCAGGCCCCTGAAGCCTCTGGTCCCATGCAGTTTGCAGGCAATGCAAGTTTTCGTTCCCCTGCTCCATCCCCTTCATCCACAGTCCCCTCACTCGTCACTGACCTCGATTGGAATGCGGACACAGGTGCGACCTCTCATATGACGCCCCATCGCCACTGGCTTCGCAACTATCGTCCATTCGTGGTCCCCATTCGTCTTGCAGACTCGTCTGTCATCTATTCTGCTGGTGTTGGGACTGTGGTGTTCAATCCAGTCGTTGGAGGCAAGAGGGCGCAGTCTGTGGAGTTCTCAAACGTCCTGCATGTCCCTGATCTCGGTTGTAATCTCCTGTCTGTGCTGTATTTGACTCAGCACAAGCACTTCTCTGTGCTAATAGAAGGATCTTCGATGCATTTCTCCCGGGACGGTGCAGTGTGGTTCATGGCGGTCGTTCCTGATGGTTCCAACAACGCTTATCTTCAAGGGACCACCTCCACCGTTGTTTTGCAGTCTGCTGGTGCCACTTCTACTCTCCCTCTTGACTTATCCCTGTGGCATCGTCGTCTCTGCCACCACCACCATGCTGGAGTGCAGAGGATGGTGAAGGAACGTCTCGTTACTGGTCTACAGCTCGATTCGGACGTGCAGCCTGACCCTGTGTGCGAACCCTGTCTCTCTGGCAAGATGCACGCTCACCCCTTCCCCTCCACTGGCTCTGTGACCTCCAAACTGCTTGAACTCGTCCACTCTGATCTCCACGGTCCTCTCCCTGTTGCAACTCACTCTGGAATGCGCTACTGGATCACCTTCATTGATGAGTTCACTAAGCTCAAGGTGGTCTATGTCCTGCGCTTGAAGAGCGACGCGTTTGAGGCTTTCAAGCGCTACAAGGCGTACGTGGAAAACCTGACTGGAGAGCGCATTTTGACTCTGCAGGATGACAAGGGAGGAGAGTACATGTCCAATGCCTGGGACATGTTTTGTTTGGAGCATAGGATCGCTAGGAGGCACACAGCGCGCAATCGGCCATAGCAGAACGGCGTAGCAGAGCGTGCCAATCGCACTATCATGGAGGCCCTCACTGCCATGCTCTCTGAATCGCATTTGCCGCTTGTTTTCTGGGGCGAGGCTCTGGCCGCTTATGTGCATGTCTGGAATCGACTCTGGACGTCTACCCTGAAGGGCAAGACACCATTTGAGATGGTCCATGGGAAGAAGCCGGACGTTTCGCACTTGCGGGTCTGGGGCTGCTTGGCTTATGTGCATGTGCAGAGGGACAAAAGGGATGGATTTGGATCGCATATGGAGAAGTGCGTGTTTATTGGGTATCTTGATGGCTACAAGGCGTGGAAGTTCTACAATCCTGTGACTCGGAAGGTCATCATTTCTGAACCGGTTCTGGGGGGGGAAGCAGATGCTCCTCCTCCTGCTGGTCACCTGAAAGACGCTCCCATCGATCAGGATCATCCTGTGGCAGACCCAGCACCTCCTCCACCTCTTGCTCCTGTCGTTGTCCCTCCTGATGCTCCCCCTCCTGTCATTCCAGCGCCACCTCCTGCTCTTAGAACACGCTCCAGGAATCGCTCTGCCACCCCTGAACCAGGCCCATCTGTTACCCGACGCTCCACTCACACTCGTCGCGCTCCTGGGGAATGGTGGAAGGTTAGGACACTGTCTGCAGACAATGATGCTCATTCGGACACTGCTGAGGACATCCCTGATGCTTCTGGAGAGGCAGAGATGGAACCCATTGTTGAGGACGCATTTCTGGCTGACGTCAAGCGTGCCCTGTTCACCTCTGGTGCTGAAAAGGCTGAGCCCTCGACGTATCGTCAGGCAATGAAGCGCCCTGATGCAGATGAGTGGCAGAAGGCGGCAGAGGAAGAGATGGAGGCTCATGCTCGGAATCGCACCTGGGACATTGTTTCACTCCCTGAGGGCTGCAAGGCAATTGGTTCTCGTTGGGTTTTCAAGGTGAAGCACAACACGGATGGCTCTGTCGAGCGCTACAAGGCTCGTCTCGTCGCCAAGGGCTTCAGTCAGCGCCCTGGGTTTGATGACTTCGAGACATTCGCCCCCACAGCCAAGTTTGCAGCCATTCGCGCCATCCTTGCTCTCTCTGCCCTCGAGGACTTTCACCTGCGCTCTGTGGACATCTCCCATGCGTTCATCAATGGCGATCTGGACACTGTGGTGTACATGGAGCAGCCTGAAGGATTTGAGCAGGGAGGACCTGAGATGGTGTGCCGCTTGATGAAGGGCTTGTATGGGTTGAAGCAGGCGAGTCGGCTGTGGTACAAGAAGCTCAAGGCGGTACTGCAGCGCATGGGATTCAAGGCGATCTACTCTGACAACAGCATCTATGTCTATGCCAAGGATCAGGTCAAGGTCATTCTGCCTGTCTTTGTGGATGACTGCACTTTTGCGTCGAATTCCTTGTCCCTGCTCGATCATCTTGTTGTTGAGCTCTCTAGGTCGTTCAAGCTTCGCGATTTGGGGCCTACCACCGCTCTTCTTGGGATAGAGATTGCGAGGGATCGCCCCAATCGTCGCCTGATGCTCTCCCAGCGCCAGTACATCCTAGATATGCTGGAGCGTTACGGACAGGCCGACTCGACCCCTGTGAAGACTCCCATGGTCCCTGGCACCAATCTCTCTGTCTCCATGGCTCCTGTATCGACTGAGGACAAGGAGTACATGAAGAAGGTTCCCTACATCTCTGCTGTCGGTTCCCTGCTGTTCCTTGCACTCGCCACTCGTCCTGACATCGCCCACACGGTCTCTGTCCTATGCCGTTTCAACTCGAATCCTGGGATTGCGCACTGGAAGGCTGTGAAGCATTTGTTTCGCTATCTGAGAGGCACCCTGGATTATCGACTCGTCTATGGTCCCACTGACTCCAAGGAGCTCTTTACCTCGTTCTGTGATGCTGATCATGCAGGCAACCCGGACAACGGACGGTCCACGAGTGGATATGTGTTGCGCATTGGCTCTGGAGCGATCAGCTGGAGCTCCAAGCTTCAGGGACTCGTTGCACAGTCGGCCACAGAGGCAGAATTCATTGCTGCCGTCGATGCGGGCCGGGAGATCGTCTGGATACGCAATTTGCTAACTGAACTTGGCTACTCCCTGTCTGAACCGTCGATTCTCCGTGTCGATAACCAGTCGGCTGTTGCAGTTAGCAAGAATCCAGAGCACCATGGGTGCATGAAGCATCTCGATCTTCGTTTCTTTTGGCTCAGGGACCAGGTAGAGGCTGGTGTGATTGTGCCAGCCTACGTTCCTACTGCGGACAACGCTGCGGACATCCTGACGAAGGCTGTTCCATCTGAGAAGGTGAAGATTTGCTGCAGGTTGATGGGACTAGAGGATCTGCCGCATTAGGAGGGTGTTTTGGACGCTGTAGAGGCGTGCAATCAGGAGGGTGTGTTGTTTGTGGCCGTTCTGGTTGGTGTAGCATCCATGCCACATGGGTGCCACCTTTGGGACTCATTGATTACTCGCCTCTACAGCTGGGAGCCACCCTACAGCCGTTCCCAGAGCGGGTATATTGCTTTCTTTCTTCATTTGGACTCTCTCACTTTGTTTTCACCTTGTCTCACCTTGTTTCAGTTGTTTCACCGGGTTAGCCGGCTGAGGCGGTCCGGTGTGATGTCATTGACACTCCGGACCGAGCTCCAGGTGGAGCTTTTGACCGCTTTGTAAGGTGTTTCACATGTAATGACCCGTTGATGTCATACCTTCCTATTTCGTTTCTTATTGTTCTGTGTAGCTTAAATACCCGTGGTCCGAGGGCGATTCTTTCCTCAGACTCTTACCCTCTGGACCACAGGTGCGCTCCCCTCTGTTCTTTGTATCTACTTGGACTCTTACCCTCTGGACCACAGTCCTCTCGTCATAGAGCTTCTTTTTGGCACTCTCTCTGTGCCACCCGCTTTGTTGTCACTGCACTGAACAGATGGGGTGTCATATGAGAGGTCGCACCTGTTGAGAGGTTGCACCTGTGTCCGCATTCCAATCGAGGTCAGTGACAAGTGAGGGGGCTGTGAACGAAGGGGATAGAGCAGGGGAACGAAAACTGTTGAGCGCAGTGACAATGAAGCGACTGGCACAGAGAGAGTGCCAAAAAGAAGCTCTATAACGACAGGACTGTGGTCCAGAGGGTAAGAGTCTAAGTAGATACAAAGAACAGAGGGGAGCGCACCTGTGGTCCAGAGGGTAAGAGTCTGAGGAAAGAATCGCCCTCGGACCACGGGTATTTAAGCTACACAGAACAATAAGAAACGAAATAGGAAGGTATGACATCAACGGGTCATTACATGTGAAACACCTTACAAAGCGGTCAAAAGCTCCACCTGGAGCTCGGTCCGGAGTGTCAATGACATCACACCGGACCGCCTCAGCCGGCTAACCCGGTGAAACAACTGAAACAAGGTGAGACAAGGTGAAAACAAAGTGAGAGAGTCCAAATGAAGAAAGAAAGCAATATACCCGCTCTGGGAACGGCTGTAGGGTGGCTCCCAGCTGTAGAGGCGAGTAATCAATGAGTCCCAAAGGTGGCACCCATGTGGCATGGATGCTACACCAACCAGAACGGCCACAAACAACACACCCTCCTGATTGCACGCCTCTACAGCGTCCAAAACACCCTCCTAATGCGGCAGATCCTCTAGTCCCATCAACCTGCAGCAAATCTTCACCTTCTCAGATGGAACAGCCTTCGTCAGGATGTCCGCAGCGTTGTCCGCAGTAGGAACGTAGGCTGGCACAATCACACCAGCCTCTACCTGGTCCCTGAGCCAAAAGAAACGAAGATCGAGATGCTTCATGCACCCATGGTGCTCTGGATTCTTGCTAACTGCAACAGCCGACTGGTTATCGACACGGAGAATCGACGGTTCAGACAGGGAGTAGCCAAGTTCAGTTAGCAAATTGCGTATCCAGACGATCTCCCGGCCCGCATCGACGGCAGCAATGAATTCTGCCTCTGTGGCCGACTGTGCAACGAGTCCCTGAAGCTTGGAGCTCCAGCTGATCGCTCCAGAGCCAATGCGCAACACATATCCACTCGTGGACCGTCCGTTGTCCGGGTTGCCTGCATGATCAGCATCACAGAACGAGGTAAAGAGCTCCTTGGAGTCAGTGGGACCATAGACGAGTCGATAATCCAGGGTGCCTCTCAGATAGCGAAACAAATGCTTCACAGCCTTCCAGTGCGCAATCCCAGGATTCGAGTTGAAACGGCATAGGACAGAGACCGTGTGGGCGATGTCAGGACGAGTGGCGAGTGCAAGGAACAGCAGGGAACCGACAGCAGAGATGTAGGGAACCTTCTTCATGTACTCCTTGTCCTCAGTCGATACAGGAGCCATGGAGACAGAGAGATTGGTGCCAGGGACCATGGGAGTCTTCACAGGGGTCGAGTCGGCCTGTCCGTAACGCTCCAGCATATCTAGGATGTACTGGCGCTGGGAGAGCATCAGGCGACGATTGGGGCGATCCCTCGCAATCTCTATCCCAAGAAGAGCGGTGGTAGGCCCCAAATCGCGAAGCTTGAACGACCTAGAGAGCTCAACAACAAGATGATCGAGCAGGGACAAGGAATTCGACGCAAAAGTGCAGTCATCCACAAAGACAGGCAGAATGACCTTGACCTGATCCTTGGCATAGACATAGATGCTGTTGTCAGAGTAGATCGCCTTGAATCCCATGCGCTGCAGTACCGCCTTGAGCTTCTTGTACCACAGCCGACTCGCCTGCTTCAACCCATACAAGCCCTTCATCAAGCGGCACACCATCTCAGGTCCTCCCTGCTCAAATCCTTCAGGCTGCTCCATGTACACCACAGTGTCCAGATCGCCATTGATGAACGCATGGGAGATGTCCACAGAGCGCAGGTGAAAGTCCTCGAGGGCAGAGAGAGCAAGGATGGCGCGAATGGCTGCAAACTTGGCTGTGGGGGCGAATGTCTCGAAGTCATCAAACCCAGGGCGCTGACTGAAGCCCTTGGCGACGAGACGAGCCTTGTAGCGCTCGACAGAGCCATCCGTGTTGTGCTTCACCTTGAAAACCCAACGAGAACCAATTGCCTTGCAGCCCTCAGGGAGTGAAACAATGTCCCAGGTGCGATTCCGAGCATGAGCCTCCATCTCTTCCTCTGCCGCCTTCTGCCACTCATCTGCATCAGGGCGCTTCATTGCCTGACGATACGTCGAGGGCTCAGCCTTTTCAGCACCAGAGGTGAACAGGGCACGCTTGACGTCAGCCAGAAATGCGTCCTCAACAATGGGTTCCATCTCTGCCTCTCCAGAAGCATCAGGGATGTCCTCAGCAGTGTCCGAATGAGCATCATTGTCTGCAGACAGTGTCCTAACCTTCCACCATTCCCCAGGAGCGCGACGAGTGTGAGTGGAGCGTCGGGTAACAGATGGGCCTGGTTCAGGGGTGGCAGAGCGATTCCTGGAGCGTGTTCTAAGAGCAGGAGGTGGCGCTGGAATGACAGGAGGGGGAGCATCAGGAGGGACAACGACAGGAGCAAGAGGTGGAGGAGGTGCTGGGTCTGCCACAGGATGATCCTGATCGATGGGAGCGTCTTTCAGGTGACCAGCAGGAGGAGGAGCATCTGCTTCCCCCCCCAGAACCGGTTCAGAAATGATGACCTTCCGAGTCACAGGATTGTAGAACTTCCACGCCTTGTAGCCATCAAGATACCCAATAAACACGCACTTCTCCATATGCGATCCAAATCCATCCCTTTTGTCCCTCTGCACATGCACATAAGCCAAGCAGCCCCAGACCCGCAAGTGCGAAACGTCCGGCTTCTTCCCATGGACCATCTCAAATGGTGTCTTGCCCTTCAGGGTAGACGTCCAGAGTCGATTCCAGACATGCACATAAGCGGCCAGAGCCTCGCCCCAGAAAACAAGCGGCAAATGCGATTCAGAGAGCATGGCAGTGAGGGCCTCCATGATAGTGCGATTGGCACGCTCTGCTACGCCGTTCTGCTATGGCCGATTGCGCGCTGTGTGCCTCCTAGCGATCCTATGCTCCAAACAAAACATGTCCCAGGCATTGGACATGTACTCTCCTCCCTTGTCATCCTGCAGAGTCAAAATGCGCTCTCCAGTCAGGTTTTCCACGTACGCCTTGTAGCGCTTGAAAGCCTCAAACGCGTCGCTCTTCAAGCGCAGGACATAGACCACCTTGAGCTTAGTGAACTCATCAATGAAGGTGATCCAGTAGCGCATTCCAGAGTGAGTTGCAACAGGGAGAGGACCGTGGAGATCAGAGTGGACGAGTTCAAGCAGTTTGGAGGTCACAGAGCCAGTGGAGGGGAAGGGGTGAGCGTGCATCTTGCCAGAGAGACAGGGTTCGCACACAGGGTCAGGCTGCACGTCCGAATCGAGCTGTAGACCAGTAACGAGACGTTCCTTCACCATCCTCTGCACTCCAGCATGGTGGTGGTGGCAGAGACGACGATGCCACAGGGATAAGTCAAGAGGGAGAGTAGAAGTGGCACCAGCAGACTGCAAAACAACGGTGGAGGTGGTCCCTTGAAGATAAGCGTTGTTGGAACCATCAGGAACGACCGCCATGAACCACACTGCACCGTCCCGGGAGAAATGCATCGAAGATCCTTCTATTAGCACAGAGAAGTGCTTGTGCTGAGTCAAATACAGCACAGACAGGAGATTACAACCGAGATCAGGGACATGCAGGACGTTTGAGAACTCCACAGACTGCGCCCTCTTGCCTCCAACGACTGGATTGAACACCACAGTCCCAACACCAGCAGAATAGATGACAGACGAGTCTGCAAGACGAATGGGGACCACGAATGGACGATAGTTGCGAAGCCAGTGGCGATGGGGCGTCATATGAGAGGTCGCACCTGTGTCCGCATTCCAATCGAGGTCAGTGACGAGTGAGGGGACTGTGGATGAAGGGGATGGAGCAGGGGAACGAAAACTTGCATTGCCTGCAAACTGCATGGGACCAGAGGCTTCAGGGGCCTGAACCGAGTGGGCCTGCTGTGGCTTGAACTTCTTCAGCTCCTCATTGATCCTCTTGAAGCACCTGTCATCAGTATGGCCAGTGGCACCACAGAAGTCGCACTTGTACTGCTTCCTGGGTGGCCTAGAACGTCTGTAGGAGGTGGAGGAAGAGGTGGAGGACGAAGGAAAGGATGCCACAAGGGCCTGTGCAGAGTCTGTGGGATCCGAACGACGTGCACGATTCAAATCCTCGCGCCTGAACGCGTCCTCGAGCTTGGAGCGAGACAAGACGTCCATGAGACTGAGGGAGGAGCGGAAAGTGTCAAACTCGGAGGGAAGAGACCACAAGAGGGCCATGCAAGTGAGCTCCTCGTCCTGCTTCTTGAGATCGAAGCCAGTCGCGGAGGTTCTTCAAGACGCGCATAGACTCGTCGACACGATGAATGAGGGACTGGAGGGACTCATCGTTGCGCTTCTTGATCGAAAAGAGGTCCTCCATCGCGTTGAAACGCGATCCAGCAGACTTCTTGTTGAACTGCTCCTCCAGTTTGGTCCAAATAGCAATGGGGTCGTCCTCAATGCCATCCAAGATGCCTCTGAACTGGTCCTCAACCGAAAGTAAGAGTGCACCAGCAGCCTTCTGAGCATTCCTCTTCCACTCTGCCACTTCTCTTGGGTCAGCAGGCTTCTCCTTCGTGCCAACAGGGGCTGTCTCATCACCAGAGACCAGAAGCCACAGGCCTTTGAGACGAAGCCAGGCCTTGATCTCCTTAGACCAGGAAGGATAGTTGCGATTATTGAGAGGGAAGACAGAAGGGAGAGCGAATGAGGGGTCAGACATGGTGTGGCACGAGTGGCACAAGGAGGGAAAGGTGTTGGAAGCGATGTGGGACGATGGGAAAGGCAGGGAAAGCAATGGGGAAGATGTGGCAGCAATGGGGTGTGGCCAGAAAGGAGTGGCACAGCAGATGGGAGACCAGAAAGTGTCGATGAAACGATGTAGAGCAAAGTCGCTAGAGCGCAGGGCCCATAACCTGTTGAGCGCAGTGACAACAAAGCGATTGGCACAGAGAGAGTGCCCAAAAGAAGCTCTATAACGACAGGACTGTGGTCCAGAGGGTAAGAGTCTAAGTAGATACAAAGAACAGAGGGGAGCGCACCTGTGGTCCAGAGGGTAAGAGTCTGAGGAAAGAATCGCCCTGGGACCACGGGTATTTAAGCTACACAGAACAATAAGAAACGAAATAGGAAGGTATGACATCAACGGGTCATTACAGGTGAAACACCTTACAAAGCGGTCAAAAGCTCCACCTGGAGGTTGGTCCGGAGTGTCAATGACATCACACCGGACCGCCTCAGTCGGCTAACCCGGTGAAACAACTGAAACAAGGTGAGACAAGGTGAAAAGAAAGTGAGACAGTCCAAATGGAGAAAGAAAGCAATATACCTGCTTTGGGAGCGGCTGTAGGGCCGCTCCTAGTTGTAGAGGCGAGTAATCAATGAGTCCCAAAGGTGGCACCCATATGGCATCCATGCCACATCAACCAGAACGGCCCAAAAAACAACATTGGTCAACTACTACATCTATTGTGTTGTAACCTTTGCTTTCAGAAAAGTTGGTTATAAAGTCAGTAGAGATAAGGTGCCAAGAGATGGTTGCGGTTTCCAATGGTTATATGGCCAGATAAGTTCAATATATCAGGTTTTTTGTTAACTGGCATGTTATATAGCTATCCATATATTGATGTATAAACTTTGTCATGTGTGTCCACCAATAATGCTGTTATACTAGCTTTAAGGGTTTTACATGGCCTGAGTGTCTTATAGCTATGGAATTGTGATGTGTTTTGATGATCATTTGTTAGAGGAAATTATCCTTTGGAATACATATGTAGCTATTACATTATATAATGTCATTTTTGTGTGTTTATCTTCCTAGGTCCCCATACATGGCTTATAGGCCTTTCTTAAGTAATTTCTTGAAAGCTATATTAACTAGTAGGCTATATTCTGATCATAAGTATTAAATGAGAGAGAGGAGGTCTGATGATATAATTTCCATTGCTTTAACATGCCTTTCTTCTTCTGGTCTCACTAGTGTTTCACTAAAATTTAAAAAAAGTCTGAATAAAAGTAGAGTCTGCACTTTATTGTCAGATTCTACCCCCTTACTAAGTTTTAGACACCTAAACAGAGAATCTACATGGTTTGTTTTTCCCAATATAAAACCTAGAGTAAATTCAAATTAGGATAAAAACAAACTTGAGCAAGCTTATTATTGAGATAGATCTGAAGCAGTCTAAAAATAAAGCAGATTCTTTTGGTCTGTCTAAATTTTGAAGAGGTGTCAAAATCCTTTAAGATAGTGTTTCCAGTGATCTAAGGCTTTCATAATAGTGAGTAATTTGTGGTTATGAATGTCATAATTTTATTCTAGTAGAGTAAATAATTTGGAAAGATAAGCAACTAGATGCCAGCCATTCTTAAGTCATTTCTATAGAAGTGCTGCACCATATGTCATAAAAAAGCATCTATTATAAGCTAGTAAGGTTGTATCATCTGGAAAACCACCCCTTTGTATTAAGCTCTAATTAGTTCTATTTATGCATAATCAAGAACAATTAGGATTAGACATTTTTAGCTTACCCCCCTCTAAACCTGTTCTAATTAGACATAATTTTCCTAAATTAGGAATTATTAGGATTGATTATAACTTGAAATTTCGTAAAAATCATAATAAATCAAGCATCACAGTTCTCATAGCCTTCTTATACAGTCATGTCTATTAAAGCACTAGTTCAATACCTAAACACAGAATATACCTTATAACAAACTTGCCTTTTGCCAGAATTGAACCAACAACCTCATGTATGCAAGCACCCAGGACAGATGCTCTAAGCTACTAAGCCACAAGGTCTAATATATAAACTTGGTAATCTAAATAAGTAGACATAATATAGGCAATCTCAACATCTCTGATTTTATTTAATATTTATCTTTTTCTCTCTTATAAATAAATTGGTCAATAAATATCTAAAAAGTCAGGTCTTTTAGGATTTAGTTTAAATACCAGCTAAGAAGATAATAAACCAATGGAAAATTGATAATACACCTTATATAGGATAAAAATAAATTATGGCACTTATACAATTTGGACTGAGAATGTATAAAACTATGATTGAGTATAATATTCAATGGGACTCTACTAGTATAGACAATGCTACCTGAATTTGCAAATTTGATCAAAAACATGATTATAAATAATCAAGATCCAATAAGAGAGAGGGGTTTTCCAAATAGCCACTAGTGAGTATATGTATGGCATGCCTATATATAAATAAGCACAAGATTGCTGGAGGTGATCTCAATATGCTTAATGCATATATTACTTATATGGCAGGCAAATATATCATTCTGGCACCACATACCAATATGACTGTCTTTTCCACAGCCTAATAGCTAGAGAAAAACACCTAGTTTGAGCATCTTCTGTATAACAAGGCAATAAACAATATAAATAGTGCTAAAAATTGTAATATCAATAGTGATGATGATTGTGTGCTGCACAAGACAGTATTAGCCACTATACTAATAGACAAGGTCTATAAGCCTGCATATAGCATATCCCTAAGTCCAACCCACATGTTGTGTCCTATAATGACCAGTAGCAGGCATTGGCTAACAATGATAACTTGAATGATCTTGTGTGCAAGGCCAAGGTATTGAGGTCTTTATAGTCTCTTGTGGCAGCTGCTAAGCTGCCAACAAAGTGGCTGGGGCATCAATATATATTTCTCTCTTTCTATATCCCTTATAAAAGCAGCTGAAAAGTCAGCAAAATAGCTACAAGATAATGGTATAGGCATATATGAAGGAGAGTAATATGCTGAAATAGTATAGAATGTGCCACATCTTTATCTTCTCACTGATAGAGCAGTAGTACTTACTATTTCCTACTAATAATTAAAGACTTCTTAGTATAGAATTAGTGCTAATATCATGAGATTAGAAACCAATCTAATGCTCACAATGTGTTGCTCCCAATTAGGAAATTAGACACTTTTAGATACTGTTAACACTTTTAGATACTTTTAGATACTATTAGATATAATCCGGAGCTAATACAAGGGGGTGTTTTTCCAGATGATAGAATCAGGGTATATAAGAACAGAATAGCTAGTGAAGGCTTTCTTTAATTGTTTAAAAGCTTGTTGATAAGCCATTGTCTAGTTCTATCTATTATCTGTCTTGATGAGGTCATAGGGGGAGCATACGATTTGAGAAGAAAATTTAATAAATCACCAATAAGAGTTTCCAAGGCCTAAGACTAAATGAATGTTGCAGACTGTTTAAGGAACTAGCCAATTCTGAATAGTGTTAATTTTAGAATCCTCCATGGCAATATAATCCTTTGAAATGGTATATCTAAGATAGTTTAGCTTTTCTTTGTAAAAATTGCATTTCTCAGGCTTCCAGTAAAGGTCAGTGCATACTTGGGATTTCTTTTCCCTTTTTCTTGCACTAGTAAAGGAGAGGTCAAATAAAAGCCTGTGCTAAATTGACCAGAAACTCTTTCTTCTCTATGTCCCCTAGATCTTCAAAGATTGCTTGGATACCAACAGTATCATAAACAAGTCTATTGCTTTATCATTCATTAAGTGATATATAGCATATTTTATTATATTGATCAGGTCTCATCTTTTTTGAGGGAGAGTTCACATATTCTAGTAGATAACGAAATTATAGTAGATTATAGTGGTTGCTATTAGAACCCCCCTCCTCTAATTCTTAATATAGTTCTAAGTGGTTGCTTACCTTGGATTCCTGTAAGTCTTTTCTCTTTATGTCCATATTACAAGCTCCTCTATATCCTCTACTTATCCATCCATCTTGGTTTCCTCAAGATAATTAAGTGTCTCTAGATAATCAGGAGTAGCAGTTAGATAAAATATGTCCTCTGCTCCTATATCTAAAATAGGTAAGGGTCTTGTCATTATAAATGCATTTCTGTTGAGTTGCATCTTGTTTCCAAGAGATGTCAATATCCATGTTAACTACTTGGTTGCTCATTTTTTGTGGAGTATTGGTGGAGTTATAGTAAGGTGAAGATTATAAGTAAAAGTGATTTAAGAAATTACTTTGAAAGAAGATGCAGTTGGTAAGGATCACTTTTTGAGCACTTTGAGCTCTTATGCATCCATCTACTTTGTAGGCCATGTTAATCCAACTTTGGATTTCATCTTTTAATAGAGTTTCTTTGTTATAGATTTTATCCATAACCTTTGGATCTAGTCCTTGTTAGAAATATAGAACCTATTTCTTATTAGAGATATTGGCATTGGCAGCTATAAGAACAAATTGGTTAGAGTACTTATCAATAGTTATCCTTTCTTAAAAGAATGCCAGAAGAGTGTTCCAGGCTTTGTTATTTTTGTTCAACTTCTTGAATTGGAGTTTAAAGCTTTCTGGAAAGTCGTTTTAGGTTTCCAGGTCTTTAGGGCTCTTCACTCTTACTATCTTGGCTAGGAATTTTTCTGCCTATGTTCCAGTAGTTCCATGTCTTATGTATAAGAAGGCTAGAAGAACTTTGTCTAAATCAGTCTTGTACCATTTAGATTCTGCTATAAAGAGAAGAAGGCATTGGAGTATGAATCTTTGTGATTTTGTCCTAATGTCTGTGAAATTGTTGGAAAGCTTAACCTTCCCTCTTTCAATTTATATTAGTATAGTAGATGTGGTTGTAATTTCTAATATGGTGGCAATAGTTCAGGTGTTTCTGTTATTGATCAGTGTTTTAATGTCTGAGAGATCAGAGTTAGGTATTTTTGATTCTGGCTCAGATTCATTAGGTATAACTGGTTCAGAATCTCTGTATATGGGTAGAGGGTCCTAATAGTTTTGTTGCTTATTCTACAAGTGCTCTGCTTTTGTTTCTTCTTTATTTAGAAAGAAGTATCATCTATCCCTAAATGAGCAGTTGTTATAATTTGGTGGAGCATCATAGTTAGTATCTACATAATACCACTGGCTTTCTTCTTGTTAGAGTAAACAATTGTTCTATTGAAACTAGTTGTTGATGTGTCTAGTGCCTGGTAGAAATCCAAGGCCTAGGTCTTGCTCTAGGGTGTATAAAGTAACGCTTCTTGATGAGGGTCTATAATCCCTGCTAATAAAGGTTGTGAGAGAGGGTATGACAGCAAGCTAGAGTTCATGCAAGATAGAGGCAAAAAGGGTCTATTTTAGTGTTATTAACTACTTGTTTAATAACTCTAAGAGTAGTAGGTTCTTCCCTAGGTCACATAATGAACAAAGTGTGATTAGAGGTGCACTATATTACAATGGAATACAGGAAATAGAACAGTGACCTATATATGGAGATACAAACAGAACAAAAGAGTATAATGTGAAGACTATACTAGAATAAAAAGAATAGACTAAAGTCCCTCAGCCTATTCTATGGGCCTTGTATACTACTCTAGGATAGGTTCTGGAAAGATCCTACAATTGCTACTCTCTTAGTTAGTATTGATTCTTGTACTACCTATCTATATCTGTCTAGCCTTGTATATAATGGTATGCATATCTATATATTTTCATGCCTACTATCATCACTATCTTCTATGTCCCATAATCCCATAGAGTTCCTTTACCAGTGGTAATATGATCCATCAGCTATACTGGCCTTTTAGAGGACAATACCAGATATCTTTTTGTATATACCAAATAGCACTACCTAGTATTTGTCATACTACTTTTATTGGTATGGACATTCTGAGAAACCCAATAATTCAAGTTACAACACCATTAGGACTATGCAAGATACCAAGAACATAGACAATAGTAAAGTGAGAGATGAGAATAGCAATGATCCAGCAATTAATGCCTATGATAGGTTTGAGATCTAGACTTGTTAGCATCCCTTTTATATATCTTGCATTTATTTTGATAACTAAATTGCAGATCCCTACGAGGTACATTTTGAGGATGCAAAGTATGTAAAAAAAGGCCATAAAGCTTGAGCTTTGGTTATGAGAACCTTAATTCTTAATTATTTAGAGTAATGGAACCAAAGTGGGTGTAGTATAAGATATAAAGATTGTCAAGGTCACATTGGCAGAGATAAAAGCCAACTATGAGATATAAGATGTTAACCACAAGTATAATATTAGATAGCAAGATATAATTGATTAGGCAGAGGGCAGGTAAGGATAGGAGTGCTGATTTGAGGTTATCTTGTGCCACAATCTTTTTAGGGCTGAAAATAAATAGGAAGTCTTTTTAAGTAAGCATTATCAAGAAGTAAGCTCAATGTGCAAAGTTATGAATAAGAATATGGACAATGCCAATAGTTCTGAGGAATGCTCAGACTTATGGTAAGAGCCCTAGTTGACTATTTTTTTAACACAAGATTCTTTGGGAAGGCAGCTTTTGTAGGTGCATTGATAGCTAATAATAATGATCTTAGGCATAAAAAGTATCACCTTATGACTAGAGAAAATGCCACTACAATACTTCATTCACTGGACAACCCAATTGGTGCCTTGGAAATGTTCCCAGACAAATTGTTGAATGCCAGGATTGTTAGAGTGTATCTTGTAGCCATTATTGGATATCTTATATTGCATTGATGGGCCATGGATAAGAACATTATCAATAAAAGGTATTTTTATATTAAGAATCTTGGGCAGTAAGATATAAGTAACATTATTGTGGAAGATTGGCACTGAGTTTGTCTATCCTATCAGAAGAATGATAAGATAATGTATGTCAAATGGGTCTTGAATATTGTATAATTATGTGATTTCTTGTTAAGACCCTGCTTATCATGCTCAAAGAAGAGATTGAGAATATCTCCACAACCATGACCTACAAAATACTTAGCAATTTGATTGGTATATAAAGAAACACTTAAGTACTATATAGTAATGGCATTAAGAGGCTCAAGGCTGTGTATAATATAGAGTTTTGTGCTGGTTGTGGTACTATTGGTCTTCTTGATGACTATAAACCAGTAAGATCAGTACAAGGAGTTTAAAGGCTTGTAGATACTAGTAGTGATTTTCATTATGATTAATTGGCAAACCTCATTAGAGATTCCTATTGGTATTAGCATGTTGCACTAAACCCACAGCTTATACTCAATGATAGGCATACTAACTGAGGGGAAAAAGTCCTTGTGGTTAATAAGGGTCAAAAATAGGTGCAGTCTTGTTACTGTAGGCTAGTATAGGAAAAATAGTCATAGCAATAATGTGGGGGCTGTGCAAAAAGATAACAATATGTTTTAGAGAAAGCAGGCATAATATCAAAGATAAGGTAAAAGAGTAGAATTCTTGAAAGTGTGACCAAGCAATAATAATCTTGAGTGATGGAGGAATACAATTTGAGATAAAAGAAAAAATTTCAGCTAGACAAGATTGAGTAATGAAGAGATGGATATAAGTAGAGAGCAAATTGGTAATGATGGAGGAGTTAGAAGGAACAAGGTATCTAGTAAGGGCAAGGGTGATAATAAGGTAGGTTGTTAAAGCTGAGAAGATAATAGTAAGAGAAGTAGTAAGGCATGATGTCAGTATCAGTAAATAGGCTGAGATTAGTGTCAAGTCCAAGATTATTGAAGCTGGTAATAAGCTCTTCAATTTTGTTGCATTTTGTGGTAGGTCAAGAAGATTGTTGGAGATCCCTTAGTAAAATTTAAAAGTCAACCCCTTATAGTGGGCTCTAAAATAGTACACTAGTGATAGATCTGCATATGAAAATGTAATACAAAACATACTACTAAATATAGGGTAAATATAGCACTGACTTTTCTAGAATATTAAAGGACCTTTAAATTATGGGATTAGGTATGAGATATATACTATAAGATGTTAAGATATAAAGCAAGATATTGAGCAAAGTATTAAGAGGTCAAGTAAGGTGATGCAAGGTTATATGAGCTATATACAAGTATATAGGTCAAGGTAACTTCAAAGGCAGCAACAAGGCCCTGGAAATAAAGACAATAAAGGAAGTGAGTGTAATCAAGCATAACAAGAGCAATATTGATGAGAAGCAATACAAGTGATATCTTCTTGCAAAGTCAAGCTCTAAATAAAAGGGTAGTTGAAACTGGTATATTGTAATGTTGTAAGTAGGTATTTATAGTAAATCAAAGCAAGTTAAGCAAATACAAGATTATAAGGTAAAGTAAGTCAATACTATGCTAAGACCATAATATTGAGATAAAGAAAAATCATATGCAAAGTTACTCACAGACCATAAGGTTCTGTCATGCCATGGTCAAGAAACAAAGAAATATTTAGTAAAGGGTATAGTAGTAAAATAACTTGGCAAGGGATAAGAAGAAGTAAATTGTAAAACCTATCCTATCTGATAAGCACACATAATAAAGTGCACTATGATATTATGCCATAGAGCTGCTCATAACTCTGCCTGTGTAGTTGATGCTCAAGATGCATATGGCAAAGTGCTTAGCAATGCCTTAAAGAATGTGGCAGGCTCAAGATTAACATGTAATATATATAGGGAGTAAGTGAGACAATACAAGGTGATGACCATGGTGTATAAAAGAGACCACATTGGCCTGATGCTATAATGTCAAGCTTATAATGGGTGTCAGAGGAAATTACTCTAGGCTGCAGGAATATCTAGTGGTCTCTAGGGTACTTCATGAGATTAGTATGATAGTGCTTGTAAAGCTGCAAAAATAGGGGCCTTAGCTCTAAGAGAGGTGGCATGCTCATTAGCATTTATTAACATCTGGCATTACCACTTCAAACATGTCTTTTATCATATACTTATTTCTGCTTTAAAGAAGAAGACACAGATTTTGTCTGGTTTTTCCCTTAATACTAAGTCTTAGCCAATGCTTCTATATGAAGGTTGTCAGCTTGGAAAACAGTATTGTCATTTATTCCCTCTATCCTCCAAACATATAATGTATCTCCTTATACTGGTTTACACAGATCTCATAGAACATTCCAGACTACCTCTATTTAAGGCTCTCTCTATGTCACCACCTTCATGGATAACTACTCTTCTCATGCTACTGCTATCTGTATGAAATTCAAAGACTAGCTCAAACTATGTTTTAAGAACTTCAAGGCTTTTGCTAAGAATTAAACCAGTTATAAGATCCTAAAGCTGTGGTCTGATTGTAAAGGAGAGTATATTAATTTAGAGCTAGAAGCATACTTCAGAGAATAGAGAATAGAACATCAGTTCATAGCACCCTATTTGTCTTAACAGAACAGTTGTGCTGAGCATTAGAACTAGACCATTGTAGAATATATTTATGTTATGCTCTTGACTTCTAGGTTAACCAATGATTTTTGAGAGTATGCTCTCATACTGTCTTGCATGTCTACAATCACATACCTATCAAAAGGTATCAATAGTGTACACCTTATGAGTTCTGGACTAATAGTCGTGTTTCTGACATCTTGTATCTCAGGATGTTTAAATACAAAGCATTTGTGCATATCTCTGATAATAAACATCAAAAGCTCAATATATTAGCAACCATTGTGATGTTTATTGGGTATGAACCTAATACCAAGGGTTATTGGTTCTGGAATAAGACCATCCACTTAGTTGTTGTATCTCATGATGTAACCTTTGACAAATCCTTTTTTCCACACAAACCACTTGAGAATATATAGGCTAGTCAACCTATAGCTCTTCCTACACTCTTTGACTTTGTATTGATTTCAATTGACCCATCTGTACCACTTCCACTTAGTATCTGGAAAAACCTCCTTTCTTAATTAGATCTAATTATTCAAAATGTTAATCTAAGCTAATTAGAATATATTATCCATAATCAACTTTATAATCAAATCTATAAGTAAAAGTAACATTGTTTATACTACTATAGTTCTATTGGAATTTACAACCCAATTATAGTTTTACACATTCCAAATCCAAATTGTGTAAGTGCTACAATCTTATTTTTACTATATTCTTTATTCTTGTTTAGTTTACTATATTATTGTCTAGTGTCTAAATTCAAATATCAAAAGCCCTGATTTTTAGGGCATTTATTGTCTCCTTTATATATAGAATAGATAAAAGATAAATGTGTAAGAAAATCAGAAATGTTGAGATTGCCTTATTTATATTGACATATTTAGGTTACTAGGTAAATAACTTAGACCTTGTGGCTTAGTGATTTAGAGCACTAGTTAGGGTATATAGGTATGATATTGTTGGTTCACTTCTGGTAATAGACAAGTTTACTATAAGGTGTGACTTTAGTTTGATTGGTGATCTCTATACATACTCTATGATTGAAGATGTAGTAGTAGTAGAGAAACCATGTAAGTGGGTTGGTTGATATTTTTCTAAAAATCCATATGATAAATTAGCTTTAATTAGCTTTAATTAGATCTTATAATTTTAGGATTAGAGGGGAGGTAAGCTAAAAATCCTTAATAGTAATTGGCAAAAATCTAGCTATATTTAATATAGAGCTTTTCTCTGATGTATACCTATCCCACCATAGGCACCTATAATTGTACCACCTGCTCTACTAGCACTACAACCAATTCATGTACTACAGCCCTATCTACTACCACTATTACCTTTTTTACCTCCATCACTAGATGAAAAACCAAACACCAAGCAGGAACATTCACCAAGTCATATTCCACATCTTAGCCTTGCTAACACACCTGCTGGCACATTTGCTCCTGGTTTACCTGTTATTTTACTTCCTCCTACATCTGCTTCTTATAAGTCTGTTCTCGATCACCTTGCATTTATTAAAGCTTGTACCCAACACAATTACAAAGCAAATCTTTGTTATGCAAATAATGACAATGCCTATAGGACTAGAAATTCTATAAAAGTTGATGCCAAATAATGACAATGCCTATAGGACTAGAAATTCTATAAAAGTTGATGCCAAATAATGACAATGCCTATAGGACTAGAAATTCTATAAAAGTTGATGCTTTACTTCAGTATTATGAAAAGCCTCATTGTACTATGTGTGGTCACAAACCAAGTACAAACAAGTTGATTGCAATGGCAGTGGTGACTACAAACTATAAGCCTGACCTACTAACACTGGCATAGGCCATGCACTCTATAAGTAAGGATTAGTAGACTGAGACTTGTATCTATAAGCTTAGTACTCTTGCAAAAAACAAGACATAGAACTTGGTGTATTTGCCAAAAGGCAGATAGGCTATAAAATCTAAATGGGTATTTAAGCATAAGGCTGATGACTGCTATTATATATGCCTTATTACCAAAGGCTTCACATAGGTACAAGGCATTGTTTACAACAAAACCTTCTCTCCCGTAGCTTGCTACAAGTTCATCTGCTTCCTACCAAGTTTGGCAGCTTAGGAGGACTAGGAAATTCATTTCATGGATGTAAGGTCTATATTCTTAAATAGAGAACTTGACAAGAAAGTCTACATAGAGCAACCCAAAGGTTTTATAGTACCAGGGAAAAAATACAAAGTCTATTGTCTTCACAAAGCAATTTACAAGCTCAAAGAGGCCTCTAGATATCACAAGCTTGCTCACTTACATATATTTTCTTACCTTCCACATAAAGATATATTGGACCCTTTCCAAGCTTATACCTTATATATACCTTTTCATAAACTGATTGTTGTGGCCTAGGTTCTCTCATCACTTGTAGCTATTTATGACACTAGAACTTGGAACATGAAAATTTATCAGACTTTAGTTAGGCTTGGATTTACCTACACCTACTTTGATACAAGGGTATACATGTATTGTCAATATAAGAGGAACAAGATTACTATTATGATTCTCTATGGTAATAATATCACTCTTATAGGCAACACTCTCAGTCAAGTCAAGCACATCAAATAGTTTCTTTTCACTTTGTATAGAATAACTGGCCTTGGAGAGATTACTCTTTCCTTGGTATACATATTTAATGCAATTGCTCTAAGCATCTGTTAGAGATTGACCAGTAGCAGTATCTCAAGAATGTGCTCAATTACTTCAGCATGTCTAACTACAATCCATCATGTACTCCTCTTCCTATTAATGCTGTCCTTGAAGTAGCCACTCTTACTTGTCTAGATTATGTTGAAAGTTAACTCTTGAAGCATATGTACTAGTCTCTCATAGGCTCCCTGCTCTATGCCAAAATTGCAACTTACCCTGACATTGTATATGGTGTAATATGACTAACAAAATACAGTCACAACCCTGACAAGTGTTATCTCAATCTGGCAAAGCATATCTTAATATATATCAAAGGCACCCTTGACTATCACCTACACTATGATAGCAATGCTGCATACAACACACTACTTGGACTTGTTGCTTTTTCTAACTTAGACTGGGCAAAGAACAAGGACACTTGTCACCCCATCTCTAGATTTATTTTCCTCATGTCTAGTGCAGCTGTTTCTTGGTGCTCTTGTCTTTAAAATGTCATTGCCTATAACACTACTAATATAGAGTATATGACCATGTCTAATACAATGAGGCAAGCCAAGTGGTACTGAAACATCTAAACTAAACTTCACCTTGACCTCTTCTTTATTCCTCTCTAGAGAGACAACATTGCCTCTAACCATTTTGCCAATAATTCTGTCCATGGCAATCACACCAAATACATTGACTCGCAATATCATAATGTTAGAAAATCAGTTGATGGAGGAGCCATCATATAGCTTATATTTCTCTAGCAGACAATGTGGCAGATGTGTTCACCAAGAATGTTGTATTTGAAATCCTGCATTGACACAATGAGAGTATGGGACTAGTCTTTTCTTCTTGATGAACTCTTGTATTTACTTCTCATCTTCACTTTCTACTTACTTCATACATTCTTGTAGTAGAAGTATGGAAAATATATACTTACCTATGTATATCATTTGAAAGAACTCACTTATATTATTTACAGGGTATTTATCCCACCCCTTAGCTTGCTAATACCCTAACACTCAACTAGATTACTATAAAATTTTAGGACTCAGTTTGATCTTCTCCTAAAACTTTGTTTTCTTTATATATAAGGCTTTACTCATTGTCTTACAACTTAGCTTTCTTTTTTATTGCTGAGTTATAAGTCTCCATTATACTCTTATACCTTATGCTTTACTTATACATTTAATACCTAGATATCTGACTGCTCATCTGATAGATAGCTTAATATAGCTTTTTTTTATTACTGCTGAGTTGTATCTAAATGCTTATCTAATAGTGATCTTTGTATCTCTCTCCTACCTATGACTTGAAGACACTTCTCTATGCTTATCACTTTACTTTCCTATCTTTAGGAGCTGTCTTACAGATGTGCATTGATGATGCTCCCCTATGTAGAGAGCCTCATTGGAGAGTGGATTCTGGCCCTTTAGGTGAATTAAGAAAGAGAGTACATGTCCAATATCTGGGACTTGTTTTGTTTGGAGTATGCCCCCATCTTATGCAGTGTATCTCTTTCTAAGAGAGCTAGTCTAGACCTCTAATTGCCAGGCCAGCATTATTGTCTGTCCATTAAACTCTAGCAAGGGTTATGACAGCATATATAGCAGTGCAAGAGTAAAAGTGAGTCAATTAGACTTATTTAAACCAGTTTAAATTTGATACATCTCATGTTTATAGTGTAACTATTGAGTAACTTATGAGCTACATACAAAAAACAGTCAAAAAGCCTTAATTTGGATAAAAAAATGCTACACCTAAGCTTTGTAAATAGCTGTAATGTGTAGTTCCTGGTCCCTTGGAGAACTAGTCCTATTCCAGAGTTTTTATGACATCATTTCTTACCTGTATTCTCCTGACAATAACCTCTGATTTGTTCCTTACTTTTCCTTACTTATTGGTGTCCATGTTTACCTCTTATTACTACTCCTGTTAGTACTTTAAAAAGGTGTGCACATGTTGCTTAGAATTCTCTTCTCATTCTGCTACTTCATAACACTGAGCTCTTGTTAGGTCATAGACCTATCATATACACTAATACACTAAGAGAAGTTCCCTAGGCTGTTTAAATTGTAAGGCCCTAATAGATAAAGACAATGGACTATCTTTGAGCTCACAAGAGGAATTTAGGATTTCTATCTGCTTTATCTTCAAAAAGATGAAGCAAATAATTCTCAAGAGTATCTCAATATTCTTCTAGAAAAGGGGTCTCCTCTTTAGTCCAACAAATGACTCTGGTTAGTATCCAACTGAGAACATGAAAGACAGTGAGTCTTTTGTATATTGTAGAGACTAGAGAATAATAAAGGTGAGGAGGTGAATTTAGTGCTTTATCAGATAATGTAAGAATGTCTTAGATCTGACAGAGTTTATGAAGCATGGACTAGAAAGGTAGCTAGATATTGGGTGTAGTGCAGAGATCAACTATATACAAAGTAAACAAGCTAAGCTTCTTAGAAGCTTATCTGAGCTATTTGCATATATAAGCTATTTAGAGCTAGATAAAAATCTGGTTTATGTGCCTAATAGCTAATTTACCCAACAAATGTCAAGGTACCAAAGTGATTGAGTAAATAATCAAGATTAGTAAGCCATAATCTATAATCTATCCAAGTATGGTAACTATATCAGATATCTGTCTATATCAAGGAAGATTTAGAAACCTGGAACTAATCAGGGGCTAAAGACTAGCCAAAGTATAAGTAAGTGTTTATGCCAAGGCATGTGAATATGTATATGAGTAAGTATTTATATGTCAGCATGTAAATAATAGAAAGTCCTACAATTAGTTATAAGCAAACTACTTAACTAGCCTACTTTCTTACATATTACTTTCTCACATATGAAGCATATGTTAGAACACAGACCTAACAGCTCTCCTGCCATATACTCAATGCCCTTTTATATCTTTGTTTGTTCATAATACTTAGATATATTCATTTAGCAACTTTATATATAAAATTCTTTATTAGACATTTTTCTTTGTCCAAGTAGAGTCCAAATGGTTGCTAGATTTGTTATTTCCCCCATCTAAACATATTTTCATTAGGGTTCCATAAGTAATGGCAAATTAACTTACATATAAATAATAGATGTTATTGATATGTTTTCTCAAGAGGATCCAAAAGTATATGTAAGAAATATAAGAAAATATAAACAGATACAGAAAGTATAGGGGAAACAAAGCAGAGAAAAGATCATATATATGAGGGAGTCAAGATATTAAGAAAGAAGATAAAAAGCCACAAAAGTAGTGGTCAATTCCAATATAGCCCAGAAAAATCAATTTTTGTCTAAGAGTGGCTCAGGAAGAGAGACTATTGGATAGCTTCAGATCATCACACCAATTAGTTTGATATATTTAGCATATCCAGGTTGCTTTATGGCTACCAAGCCCAACAATGCCAGCTTTATCACAGTTCTTATAGAGCTATGATACCTACTTTTAAGCCAACCTTCAGAGTCAAATTTACCTTGGGTTGACAAGGAAAAGCACTTATACTATGCAATTTTCCTTGATTTTGCTCTTGATCCTAAGCTGATGGAAAAAATTGAAAATAAAGTTGAAGTCTTTAGTAAATAATTCAAGTTAGTATTTAGATGGCAAACTCATTTTCAGGGTAAGGAACTTGTACCTATCAAATAGTACAGTCCTATACTCTATGCTATTATTGATGTACTATGGAAGTTTCATAAATGGTACTCCAACAACAAAGTGATAATGAAATAGGAATAGAATGTTTTAAGGGGGGTCAGAAGTGTTTACACAAAGAATAGCTTAGACATACCTTTAGTGGTGTGTATCGCTAAGCTTCATATGACATACTTTTATTCAATGATAAAATAGATGCCAATAGATCCAAAACCAAAGCCCTCTAAGCATAAGCACCCATTATCCATAGAAGTTGCTAACAGTGACATCAAAGTTGCTTCTTTAAAGTATGATTCTTTCAGAAGAATAGCTAATTCTCTGAAAATGGTGAGTATTACTCTATATTTCACCTTACCTGATTCTTGATAGAAGGGTGCCTACTAAGGGTGATTACCAAGGGTGACTGCCCAATGAATTAATGTCAAAATTTAGCATTACTAGGATTAATTCCAAAGAATCCAAGATCTATTAGTATATTGCCAAAGGATACACCTAGACCAAGTGGGGAAACAAAACCAAGGCCTAAGTATATAGGCATACAGCCAGCTATAAGCACCTCTAGCACCTGAAGTCTAAGTCTTATAGAGACCTATAGGAATGGGCCTGCCTTTTCTAGAAGCAGACTTCTTTGGGTGCCTAGCTTAGAGAGCAGGGCAGTGCCACTTCTAAGTTAGCGAGTAGAAGCTCATAAACTCAAGATCCTTCTATTAGTAAAAGGAATAGCACTCATAATCTATGACAGCTATCTATTGATGAGCAGGTACCTACTCTAGGGTCTAAGGGAGGTATTTAGGAAGCTTTGGAGAAGAGACCAAACAACTCTAGATAAGTACCAAAGACACCAACTTATACCAAATATAGTTAGTCTCTACTAAAATAACTATAAGCTATCAAAAGACATTTAGCAGTACTTGGATTAGTTCTCCCACACTTTATGTACTTACTATAACCACATAGAAGTGTTACAATAGACATTTATAAGATTAGGAACCAATAGCCTATTTGGCCAATATAATCTGTAACTTGGTCAGTCCTTATTACTTATTGTCCCAACTTCCACATATTCAGTTAAATGCAGTCTTGTACTATTGCTTAGCTATCCAAGTTATATGTTTATTATTTCTTTTTTTTCACTGACTCTCTAGTTCCTGCTACCTACACTTAGACAATGAATCCCAAACATTCAGGATTTTGTCATCACTAATAGAATTTTATCTTATCATCTTCAAAACCCATATGGACATTTCCCCTACCTTCTTATCTTTGCTGTTTACTAGGCCTTGGTGCCTATTTAGTACTAACTCTCATTTATTGCTCAATATTTTACTTAGGGGCTCCATCTATAATAGAAACCTATATACAACTCTGGAATAAACTAGCTTTTGCACCCCATTGTTCAAAGCTCATTTATACTCATCTCAACCATTGAAAATGCCTTTGTCAACTTTCAAAAACATATTGTCCTTATCATTTAGCCTTATTCATATTTATACTCATCTCTTTGCTTGTACCTTTTATCCTTCCTCATATATTGTCAGAGTCCTGTATGACTCTTGAAGCACATAGTTGTTAGTTATGGCACTATCTTTCTTATTACTGAATAAATCCCTAATATAACCAACTAAACATTTGGTTAGTGTTTGGCATAGTCCCAAAACTATTTGGGTGCTATAATCTTATACTCTCTATTGCTTCTCAGTGCACCCTCACTTTCCAAAATCATTACTAATAATTTCTTGTGTATCAGATACTAGCTCTAGTACCCCTTGATCTAGAGGTTGTTTTGGCATTGTGCTTGGCATTTAGAGATGCCTTTAGCATATCACCATCTTCTCTGTTGTCAAGGATGCCAAAAAGAAGAATCTTTCAAAGAAGCACTTAGAGATACTGGCTGACCTTCAGTACTATGTTGACCACTGAATTATGCAGCTTTTCTGTGTACATGGTCTGGTCCCAAATATTATTGATTTATTAAAGTAGAAGGAGCTATTGACCACATTAAACCCTGAGATCCACACCACCTCTTTAAGTCCTTTATTAACAATCACATTCTAAAGGAGGCTATCTTGGTCTGCAGCCTGCAAGAGGACTAGATCAAAAATTCTGCATATGCCATAATCAGATTTAACAGTACCAATACAAGGCTTGACTCAATATACTTCATATACATAGCCACCAACATACATGAATCCTATTTCATTGATGGCTGTATCAGCTCAGATATGCATCACATTTCTATATAGATCTTTTCATGAGTATTAAAGGTAGGTCAATTGATCTATTTGAACTTATTTAGCTCACTCTTGTATAGGCCCTGCAGATGATTAAGTGTGTTGATCTAGACAAGATTTCAGCTTCAATCTCTGACAATGTTTCTATCTGCACTATTGCCCATTGTGAAGTGATAGATGAGATTATGACTGTCCTGAATCTCTGAGATCCATGCCAGCACCTTTACAACACTATTAAGGCCATTATTAAGCTTCCTCAATTTAAATGGGTGTCATATACTTATGCTTTTTGATATATTAATTCTCTTCCTGTTATATCCTAGATAATCAAGATCTTGAAAGCAATTCTGGCTTACTTTAGGAAATCAACATATGCCAAGACACATCTATACATATAATTTAAGAAAGGTGACAATGGCAAATATATTGATGTGCTATAGAAGATTGGCAAGACTTGCTTTGACACCTATTAGTCAGGTGTCAACTCACTTAAGAAGAGTTTGCCTCAAGCTTAAAATCTTATACAAAGCAGCACTATCAAAATAAAGGTATGTGCTCTCTTTACAATCCCTTTATTCTTCCAGTTCTCACCTTTAACATAGGGCAAAGAAGTATATAATATATTTGCCCATTATGTATCTGAGGATTATCACCACCTCAAACTTAGACTATTGCAATATATTGGCATCATCTAGGCACCTAAATCCATGCAAGCCAATGCTCCCAACATCTTATATCTCACCTTGCAATTAGTGCCACTTTTTGAGAGCTATTTAATCTTAGCCAGCAGAAGACAGGAATTACTCTAGATCTTATAGAGAAAGTCATGGGTATCATAAAAGAGCACTCTGATGCCTTTTTTAAAGATACCAAGGACTTCTATGTGACAGCCTTTAGTTTAGACCCTTGTTTGTTTTCTTAGCTTCTTTCTAAGAATATTATCTCATATATCCTTTTTGTGTGATAAGCTACCCATGCTCTAGCTTCCTGATCAACTTGGCAATCACTACTAACCCTATCATTGTTATTTATAAATAAGGCTTAGATCTTGCAATGCTCCATCCTTAACTATTCAACCATATGAAGGTATTCCTCCACAATGAAATACTCAAGCCCATGGTAGAGCAGATGTATACCCATTTAGAATATACTTGTCCTATTCTCAAGAAGCATGGTACTGTGCTTATTATCATGAAATTCTGCTTGCAACTGGATTCTTATTGGTGCAAGAAAGCCCCCTTTAATAGGGCCAAGCCTGTGTAAGACAGTGATATATTGGGCTGGTAATGACATTTTCTTGATGATTTGGAAGCATATATTCTTGCAGTGTATCATAGCAAGGCACTTTCTTTGGTCATTGACTAACTTTTTCCCTTCATTTCTAGATGCTTACTAAAAGAGTTTTCTTGATTCTTGTGAACTCAATACTAGACAAGTAAACAAGCTTAAAGTTCACATAATTTAACCTGGTGCTAATAGGAAGACAGTGAGTGTAGCTGCTTATAAACATAACTGTCATTAGACAGTGGTATAGTACACACACACAAGTATGTCCCTTGATTGCACTTTGATTATAGTGCTTTACTGCTTACAATTGCTAGACTAGAGACACTGGCTAGACAACCAAAAAAACAAAGACACACTTGTATATAACAACTCTAACACCAACAACAACTCAGCACAGTGCAAAGGCATGCTCATTAGTTGTTTTCTGAGTCCTCAAATTACACAGCTTTTACAACATAAATCTCAGCTATGGTACAACCTTAGAACTATCAATACAATCTTGTAGGATTTTGTGCAATCTCAAGTGCATCATCATTATTACAAGCTCCAATTCTCCAGCACAATATTCTATGATCTAGTCTATCAGGGCCTCCTTGGCTATCTATTCCAATAATGATCATAATAACTATTAGGCAGCTCCTATTATGGAGTGTACATTATGGTACAAGGTAACATCCTCAGTTATTGAGTCTTAGCAGATATCATTATCACTGGTTGAGTATTACAGAATATGGTATAGATGACCAATGGTAGGCTTATATACATATACTCAAAGGAGAACACAAGCTATTTACTCCTGGTCAAAAGGAGACAAGTGAAGAAGCACAAGAGTAGTAGCTAAGAAAGAGCAGCAACTTAAGAGGATGCCTGGGGATACACACAACATTCTCATATCTTCCCAAAGTAGTATAAAAGGCCCATAAAATAGGCTAAGGATCTTTAGTCTATTCTCTTTATACTCAGGCAGTCTTTATACTGTCTGCCTTCAACACAGTCTCTTAACTGTGCTATCAAATATTATTCCCTCCTATACTCTCCTACATAGTTGAGACTATCATCCTACTCTTTTTCTTTATACAATCTAGGGAGGAACCTACTATTCTTGGGGTTATCAAATGAGTAGTTTATAATATTAGAATAGACTCTTCTTGCCCTTACCTTGCACAAACTCTAGCTTGCTGCCACACTCTTTCTCATAACCCTTCTCAATAGGGCTATAGGCTCCCTATTGAGAAAGCATTACTTTATATACCTAGAGCAAGACCTAGGCCAAAACTATCCTTGAGGCACTAGACAAATCAACAAATATTTCTATTACAATAATCATCCTATTTAACAAGAAAGCGCTCTTTGGTTCTATACAGACACTGATTTAAATGCCCCACCAAATTATAATAACTGCTCATGTAGGAATAGGCATTATTACTTTGCTTTTGATAACAGAATAAAGAAAGAGTTCCTTTGGAATAAAACAGAGAACCATTGGGACACATTACCTCAGTACAGAGACACCAAACTAGTAATCCCTAATGACTTAGAGCAAGAAGTCACTTCTTATTCGGACTCCAACTCAATTACCTAATCAAATACCAATTAATACCCTAAATATACAAACCATTGCCACTATGTTGGGACAAGCATTAGGTACCATCCCTTTTATCCCTATACAATCTGAAAGAGAAAATGTCAAACTCCTAGACAAATCTCAGAAGTTCATACTTCAGTGCCTTCTTCTTTTTACAGCAGAATCTGACAGGTATAAGACTGATTCAAACAAAATCTTTCTCATACTCTCTTATATAAGACATAGCATAGCATATGCTTGGGTAGAAAATTTCCTAGCCAAGATGGTTGGCACAAAAACTCCCAAGGACTTAGAAGCTTGGTTGGATTTCTTAATCAAGTTCAGATTGCAATTCAAAGAATCCAACAAAATAAACAAAGTGCACAGCACTCTCATAACATTTTCCCAAATATTCCTATTAATTCCTCCTTATTACAATTAATGCTGACATCACCAAAAAAGAATAAGTGTCTTATTTCTAACATGGATTAGATTTACAGGTCATAGACAAAATTTATAACAAGGAAACCCAACCCACTAACACTATCTAAGAATGGGTTAATATAGCCTGTGAAGTAGACACACATATAAGAGCTTAAAGTGCTCAAAAAGTTATCCTAGCCAACTCCACCTCCTTTAAAAGTGATTTCTTGAATCACTTTTGTCTCTAACCCACTCTATATTATAATCCTACCAATGCCTATACAAAATGAATAACCAAGTGATAGATATGGACATTAATGCAACTAGAAAGAGGAATGCTGAGGGTGCCCCTTGAACCTGAACCACCACATGGTCTAGTTTTCCCATGCCTAAGCACTAGGCAAAGGTGGGTCTCCTACCCCCACACAGGATGACTATAGCACCACGAGCGAATAGCTTGTCCTAACTTGGTAGTATGAGACCCTCAGAGAATACCTGGCACCTCACACATGTGGGAAAGAAAGGGCTCGAGCCCGTCATCCACCATGGAGGTGAAACCCACATGCCACCCTAACCAGGGCAACATTGCCACCCAGCGTCAGGCAACCACAGCATAGTAGACACCACAAAATATGTACGATTTACAACATGAACAATAAACATGCTAACAGTGCGAAGAACCATTGAGAATGAAGTTCCAACCACACATAAGAAGGACATCCCAACATCCATGAAAATCATCCAATGGAACACTAATGACACTAACCAACAACCATCCATAACTGACAACCCCCCCTCACTAATAAACCTCTCCCCTCATAGGCCAATACTCACGTCGTAAAGAAAACTCATAACCAAGCCCACTAGATGTCAAATAGAATGCCAACATGGTGGAACACAGAGCCAAACCACACCCAAGTCCACAGCAGATCCTCACATGGGACCCTTCCAGCTCAAGATACGACTGTCAACTACAGGGGACGCTCTAACAAGGTGATTCAGCATACCAAAACCCACACTCCAGCCCTCCAACACAAACATTAGAATAACATCAGGACAACCTGCCATGTAACTAAGCCACAACAAGTAAGTTGACTATACAGCAGTGGGTCACCCACCTCGGCATATCCTGAGCAAGGAAAAGCGCTGACAAGAACTTATCCTTAAAATGCAAAAAAGCTCGAGCAACACACCAGAATCCCCCAATAGCCCAAAGGATGTCCAAAGAAGCCCAGACAATCAGAGAAACTCCCGGAAAATTGGTCACAGCAGTACGAAAGTCAGTCCTCACCGGACCTGCTGCCTCTACTAAGACAGCGAGACTTATTAACAAGCAGAAACCAGGTGATAAAGCCAATGGGGGTAAGAGCCAACAAATATTGACAATGTCTATGATTAAAGCACGCCCCATAGACAAAAAATAGGCAGAAGCTATCAAAGCAGGAAAACTGAGAACTAGACAGACTTATAAATCCTTAGGAGCTGCCCCCATGGAGGCAGAGGAGACCCCAACCACACCCACAATTACAGAAGCGACTGACACAACAGATGTAGACATGATAATGGAGGCGGATGATGCCCACACCGCTATAGCCGAAGATCACCACACAAGCACCTCCTAACAAACCACTCACTGTCACTCCTGCCCACAAAGACACCGCCTCAAACAGCCCTGGCCTTGAGGTGTCAATCCACGCCCTAACCCTTGCTGAGCAAAGCAACACTCTCCTTGACCCTAGAGACTTTGAATTGTGGAAAGCGGTAGACATAGGGCAGTGGCCAGCTGATGCCATAGCATATATCAAAAAACTATGCCGCAACCTAGCTACTTATCCCCACAACCTGGATGAGCCTAACACAACCTCTCCTCACACGAAAGCAGATGTCCAGATAACTGAAACAGTGGCACAACCGGAGACCCCACACACCAAACTGAAGATCACCTCCCATGCGTAGATAGTGCCCAAGACCCCAATAGGCTCGAGGCTCCTTTCATGAGGTAAAGGTGGCGCTGTGGGCAGGCCTTGGGCCATTGGGGGATGCAACTGTGGGGGCATGGGTGGATGCTGCTGCTATTCAGGTCCCTTTCCCCCCATTTATTACTCTCACCCCATGGCACACATCAACAACATTGACCCTAACCAAGTCACAGAATGGGAGCACAACTGGACCCTGAGATTCCTGGCCATCCCCTTCAAAAATAACACGCGGAACCCCTCCAACCACAGTGCCACAGCAGAACTCATACAAAACATGGTCAGAGAGGCTACAGGAATAAGCACACTGAGCGTCGCAGCGCCGGTAAAGTCTTACAAAGTAATCTTGTCCTACGACTTGCCAAACATGTTTTTAGTCTACAAGCTTACCCCAGAAGCGATTACAACAATGATTGAAAACAAAATCTGGGAAACTGAGAAGCTCACCTTCTACGCAATCCCTCTGGACCCCACCATCCTGCTCCACCTCTTCGCACTGGGAGGGTTCACGACCATAGACACAGACATAGTCCAAGAAGTTATACGAGACCACTGGATAAGGGAAACCATGCTCAATCAGATAGCAAGAGTCATTGATGCCTTCACTGAAACAACTAGCCCTATTTCAGAGGAAGACACAAGCAAGTTCATTGACTCACTAATGGTTAAACGTGTTGACACCAAAGCATCTGAGGGAGTCCTCATGATTAGATTTACCATCTTCACCGATGGCACCATCCTCCGAGAAGACACCTACTGGTACAAAATATGGGAAATTCTAAGCAAGATCTCTTACACCTCCTATATAAACGGAACTGGCATGATACTTGAAGCGCTGCACTGCAACATCTGCCATGTGGTGGACCATCCAAGAGGACTGTGCCCATTCCCAAACCTCCCGGGATAAAAAGGACACAAGCACCGACCTGATGCCCCCTCCTCGACGCAGCATGTACCAGGAGGAACCTACTTCAATAAGAGATTTAATACGCCAGGAAGGGGCAGAGTAGCATAAAGATGGAAGGGTGCGCACACGGACACTACATATATATTGTTCCTTAAAAAGCTAACCCCACCCACAACACACCCCCACTTATATTTAACCTGTTACCTTAAATTGCTGAAATACGAATCTGTGAACTGATACCACAACATGGCATCTAGGAGAAATCAGAGCGAAGGGCGCCAATCTCAGAATGGCAGGCCATAGCACGACACATCAGCTGAAAGGCATGCTCATCGGAGTACAGGGTGACAATGATAATACAACCCCAAAGTGCTTTCCCAAATATACTGACTGCAGCAGTGGGACAGGAAAGTTAGCACCCACCCTTGCAACTAGATAAGACCTAGGCAGCGACCTATTTAGGTCTGGATGAGCCGCGGCAAGAGCCTGAAGTCTTTCACACCCACCTAGTAAGCCATTCAAGCCCGACACTGGGAGGGAGTACTGACAGGTCCAACCAAGCTGGTTGGACTACCAGACGAACCCACGAAAAAGTTGTAAGTAGGGGGTAAACGCGACTGCATCCTCGAATAATAACACACAACCTATAATGGGAGTTTCATATGGCAATGGTTTGAGCCTCCTTGGGCATGGAAGGGGAATACCACTGACTGCCATGGATCCCACAGATAATGTGCGTAAAGAGAACGGTGGCGGAGCCACACCAATGGCAGGACAGACATGAATATTACCAATGACAAATAGTACCACACTAGGACACAACTAATCCAGGCAGAGAATTTAGCGAAACACAAAAGCGAATATCACAATTGCAACACTGGACATGAAAGGATGAGCGTTAATAACCCTCGGCCCTAGCCCCATATCCAAGTGGGCGGAAATTAATAACTTAATGAAGAGAAACAGACTAGGGGTCCTTGTGCTACAAGAAACTCATCTGATGGATAAGCATCTCGACGAAATCCACAAACTACATGGCCAACAAATATTAGTGTTAAACTCCAGCATGGGGACAAACATGGGAGGAGTCACTTTCGTATTAAACAGAGAAATAACAAACACACAGAACATAGAAATAACGACAATTGTACCAGGTTGGGCATTACTAATAACCCTAATGTGGCATCAGACTAGTAAAGTCACCTTGCCAAACATATACGCACCTAACGGCTATGAGTCATACCCGCTCTTCTGGGACACCATTCACATGCAAATACTGAACACAAATGCAAGACCAGACATGATGCTGGGGGACTTCAACTTAGTAGAGGACCCAATTGACCGGGCCCCAACGAGACCAGACAGCAAAGAGACAACAATAGCTCTAAGAGAACTGAGGTCTGCTCTGAATCTCCAAGATGAGTGGCGACATATCTTTTCCACCACTAGGCAATTCACTTTCAGGTCCCATACAGGGACCATGTCGTGACTCAACAGAATATATGCTGAGACCTCACACCAAACCCACCTTTTCCAATGGTTATCCGGACTAACCAACATCCCAACCAACCACGGTATGGTCTCAGTGAGATATGCCCCAAGGGACGCACCACAAATAGGACAAAGGCAATGGACCTGGCCACTACATATGATAAATGATGCCGAGCTACTAAACACAGCCATTAAAAAAGGAATAGAGCTAGAACACAAACTCACGGGAGAACAACAGCACCGCACGAGTGGCAATAACCCACAGACACTATGGGAAGAGTACAAGAATGAGATAACCTCCATAGCAAAGAAAAGTGTATGAGCAGTTATAGCCCACCTTGACAACAAGATAAATAGCCTGAAACAAGATCTAGCAACAGCGGCAAATGAGTCAAATATAGACATGAATCTGGATGCCCGCATGAATGAAGCCATACTACATAGTGAACTTGACCACCTTGAAAAGAAGAGACGGTCCAATGTGCAAAGTAAAGCACAAGCATAGTGGTCGTACAAAGGGGAAACTATAAGCAAGTATTGGTCCAAAATCAACAGTGCTAAGAAGCCAAGGGAAATCATTCAATGACTGCACATACTAAACTCATTACCACCCAAGTACACGTCCAACAGCATTGAAATGGCGGACATAGCAAGGAAGTACCACAATGAGATACAGAACAACCCCCAAACAAGTTAGTAAATGCAAACTGATAACAATAGGATGTACTAGGACATACTTCGAGAGATACCAGAAACACAAAGACTCCAAAACGCTGAAAACTCCCCATTGAACAACCTTGTGTCCAAACAGGAGGTAGAGAAGGCAATACAAGCAGCAAAGCAGGAATGGACGGAATACCCTATGAACTCTGGAAAGTGTTGGCGATAAGTCATAAGGCTACATAAGATAAGAACAAAGAAGTGTCCTCGTTTAATATAGTGTAAACACTCACCATTGTATACCGAGATATACAAGAGAAGGGAGTCAATACAAACTCCAACTTCACCTTAGGATGGATGTGTTTAATATACAAAAAGCACAAACGCAGCTCCATTGAAAACTACAGGCCAATCACTCTCTTAAACTTGGACTATAAACTACTCATGAGGGTACTAGCGATGCAACTAGCAGTGGTCATCCCATCCCTAATACACAAAAATCAGGCAGGGTTCATAACAGAAAGATCGATATTTGACCAGACCAGGCTCTCCTAATCAATGATAGACTACACCGAGGCAACAGAAGAGAATGGAGCAATAATAGCCCTAGATCAAGAAAAAGCATACGATAAGATTAAGCATGAATACCTGTGGGAAACCCTCAAAGCTTTTTGGCTTCCTACCTGGTTTATACAAACCTTAAGATCACTCTACACAGGAGCCAAAACCAGAATCATGATTAATGGTGTACTAAGCAAACCCATGGTCATATGAAGAGGTACAAGACAGGGCGATTCTGTGTCAGCCTTCACCTTCGACCTAGCGATAGAGCTGCTAGCATGCATGGTTAGAAACTTGGAAAACTAAATGGCTTCCAAATACCAAACGTACCTGAAAATGTTCTCATCAACCTCTTTGCGGATGACACAACAATATACCTAGCGAAGAATGACCGATACAAAGCCTTGTCAAATATCCTGGACCACTAGTGCCTCGTGTCAGGAGCAAAGTTCAACATAATAAAAATGGAAGTCATACCCATAGGATTGGAAGAACATAAAAACAGAGTCATCAGCTCCAGAAAACTATATGAGGATGATAACCCCCTCAACCATGATATAAGAATAGCCAATGACGGCCGTGCGATCCGGCCACTGGGAGCCTGGATAGGAAACAGAATAAACGACATAGTGCCGTAGGAGCCAGTACTAGATAAAATTAGAACAAACCTTGAGAGATGGAAACTTGGCCACCCAACACTAGATGGCAAAAAACTAATTGTACAGATGATAGTAGGGGGCACCACACAGTACTTAGCCAAGGCTTAGGGAATGCCAAACAGGATAGAAAAAGCCCTTGTCAGTATGATATGGGACTTCATATGGGACGGAAGCACACTGAGAATAAACCTGAACCTTCTATCAAGACCTAAAGAAGAAGGAGGGATAGACCTTCTGGGCATCCCAGTGCACAATGAGGCAATACAAATTATGTGGTTAAAAGCGTACCTAGACCTCACAGAGAGAAGACCGATATGGGCCTTTATAGCTGATGCATTAATTAACCGAATAATCCCATCAGAAGTTACAAGCATGGAACGAGTGAATACCTTTTTACAAATGTGGGAGATGCCAACATGAGGCTCAAGGGCACACAACCTCCCCAAATACTTACTACAGATGCTACAAACAGCAAAGAAATACCACATAAATTTCGCGGCTCTAAAACTCTCCAAGGAACTGAAAAGCCAAATGCTAGCATGGCACCACCTCGGATTGACCCCTAATCACTACAAGAAATGAAAAAACAAATGCTTACTGGAAAATCACGCCATACCAACCATAGTTGACATAGTCAAGTTGGCAAGGCAAACAGAAAACCCTACCTACAGTGAAAGGAGACACCACCTAAGAAGTACTTGTGCATGCAACCTGTGCAAAGATGACAGGAGAAGAGGCTGCGCAAACCCAAACAAATGCAGCAGAATGGCACACAAAATCCTAAAGGGGCTGCATCCTAAATTTGACCCAAAAATCACCCCAGTGGACAATGGCCTAACGCTCACGCACCAAAGGACAGAGAAGAATAATACAAACCGAGCACAAAAAAAGGGAGAGATCTTGTTTGACCCCTCAGTAATCCTACAAACAAAGTTGGCAGATGGCTTTAGAATCTTCACTGACCCGACAAAAATATCACCCAGCCCGGCACATAGACTAGCCAACACCTGAAGAGGCATCTTAGTAGACAAAGAGGCCATAACAGCCTTCACTGATGGCTCCTGCATAAACAATGGCAAATCCAATGCCCAAAGTGGGGCAGGTATCTGGATATCTGAAGGAAACCCCAAGAACCGAGCCATAAAAATTGCCAACGTGTCCCACTCGAATTAGTCAGGGGAACTAGTTGCGGTACTTGCGACACTGATAGACACACCAAATTACGCACCAGTACAGATCTGAACGGATTCCAGGTTTGTAACAGACGGGCTGACAAAACACTTGAAAAACTGGGAAGACTGTGGATGGTTAGGCATCCACCACGAAGAACTGTTCAAAGCAACAGCATACCGGTTGCGGCTATGATCGGCTACGACATCCTTTGTCTGGATTAAAGGACACAGCGGAAACGTGGGGAATGAAAGAGCGGATGCTCTAGCCAGGAAAGAAGCAACAAAACAAAACTACAATGGAGTAGACCTAACAGTCCCCCCTGAATTTGACCTACAAGGAGCTAAGCTTGCAACAATAACACAAACAATGGCCTACCAAGGAGTTCTGAAGGAAAAGCACAAGAAACGCACTGACCAAAGGACAACAATGACACTGATGAGCATGTACCCACGCTAATGTCTGAGGGAGGTATTTGGGAAGCTTTGGGGAGATACTGAACAGCGCTCGACAAGTACCGAAGACACCAACTTTTACTGAACACGGTCGGTCCCTACCCGACCGACAACAAGCCACCAAAGGACTTTTGGCAGCACTTGGGTCAGTTCGCCCACACTTCACGTACTCACCATAACCACATAGGAGTGTTACAATAAGTGTTTACGAGATCAAAGCCAGTATTCTATGTTGGCCAATGTGCTCCATAAGTTGGTTAGTCCTTATTGCTTATCTTCCCAACTTCTGCATGGTTGGTCAAATATAATCTTGCACTATTACTTGGCTATCCTGGTCGTACAATACCTCTTCTTTATTTTTCATTGGTTCTCTAATGCCTGTTCTGTCTACCTACGCTCGGGCAACAGATCCCGAACATTTGGGATTTTGCCATCGCTGATTAACTTTTACCTTGTCACCTTCAGAACCCATATGGACATCTCACCTACCTTCTTATCTTCTCTGATCACTAAGGCTTGGCGCCCATTTGACATCTACTCTCATTTCTTGTTTAATATTTTACTTAGAGGCTCTGTTTACTATAAGAACCTACATACAACTCTAGAATAAACCAGCTTTTGCACCCCACAGTTCAGAGCTCATTCGCACTTGTCTCAACCATCAAAATCGTCTCCACCGACTCCCAAAAACTTGTCATCTTTGTCGTTCGGCCTTGTTCACATTCATACTTGTCTCTTCGCTCGTACCCCTTGTCCTCCCTCGTATATTATCAGAGTCCCATGTGGCTCCTGAAGCATGTAGTTGTTGGTCGCAACACTACCTCCTTATTACTGACTGAATCACCGACACAACTGACCGAACGTTCGGTCAGTGTTTGATGCAGTCCCGAAACCATTTGGGCACTATAATCTCATACTCATCGCTACTGCTCAAGTGTGCCATCGATTTCTAAAGTCCTCACTAATGATTCCTTGTGTATCAGATACTAGCTCTAGCACCCCTGCATTAGAGGTTGTTTTGGTGTTGTGCTTGGCAATTAGAGCCACCTCTAGCATATCAACGCGGCTAGACATAACCCAATACGCAATTGAACGAATAAACGGCGACTTGGAAGCAGACCAATCTATTTGGCGTAGCTGCCAAAGCAAAGATATTAGCCTCACCATACGACAATTTATCTTTAAGGCCCTATACAACACGCATCACATAGGACAATATTGGGACCATATACCGCAATATGAACAGCGCACAAGATGCACCAAATGTGACTATCCGAATGAAGACCTGAATCACATTCTACTAGAATGCCCAAACGAGGCCAGAACAATATTATAGGGCCTCGCAGTGAGACTATGGCCGCATGACGCCAGTGACTGGCCTGAAATACAACTAGGTACAATCCTAGGGTGCAGACTGATCAGAGGAAAACTGCCAGAGACAGAGAATGAATGCAACAAACATACCAGAAGGAAACTCAAAGGCAAAGCACGACTACTAAGAATACTACTGTCCAAAACGGCCCATCTTATATGAGTACTGCGCTGTGAGAGGACAATACAAGACAAACAACACTCCCCAGCCTTAATACAAAAAAGATGGCTCTCCAAAATCAACTACTGTTTTAGCACAGACAGAGTAATAGCGAGTAAGCTAGACCAAAGACCTAAGACAAAAAAGAAAGTCTATGCAACCTGGAACCCATTGATCACTAAGAACACTCAAGAACAAGTAGAATGGTTGGACAAACCTGAGGTTTTAGTGGGTATTAGACTGCCATGAAGCGCGGAAAGTGGCCTATCTGGGGTCCCGAGCCCCACACTGCCCGGCACAGGGCGTGCGCAAAGGCATTTTGTCTTCTTTAACCGAAATGACCCAAAGTGGGGAAATTTCACTATAGCAATTTATGTAGGGCTGAACCAATTGTTAGTAGCTACGCAAATACATTGCTTGTCAAAAAAAAAAAAAGAGGAATGCTGACCACTAGAAGCATACACACAATGGCAAGCAACCTAGACCTTGTTATTACTGAGGCAAAACTGGGCACTGGAATATTGACTGCCCTTCCCCTTATAGAAGCCTTCTATTATCTTGAAGAGGTTTGAGCAGACCTATGGGAAAAGCAGAGAGAAGAAATTACATGGTTGATCTTGAAGATGAAGATAATATAGGACCCACTATGAGAAACCAAGCAGGAGTACATTAAATAATGGCAGAGGGGAGTCCTGATCATGACCACTAGCAGATACCACAATCTGGTAATCCATTAGAATACATGAACTCTTCCTTATTCTGAAGCTCTCAATTGAACAATTAATAACACTATGTACCACCTAACAGACAACAAGGTGATGGAGTCATCAATAATACTGCTAAAGCTAGAGCAGTCTTTGGGAAACTAGAAAAAAGGAAAAGGGAAAATTTGTCAATCAAACTAGCAGAGGATTTGACCTGACCTCTTCTTTACTAGCAGAGGAGAGAGGGCAGGCAAAACCCAAGTTAGAACCACCAACCTATATTTGAACTGGAGCAATAAATAGCTGTATCATTACTCCCATCTATCTTGACATGTGTTTATCAACTTGGGAAATGTACACTAGAGCTAAAGCAACTGTTAATTCAGCATGTGAAAGAATCCTGATAAACAAAACATGGGTAAAAAGACATAGATTCCCCATATATTTACTCAGCCATCTCATCCATGTCTGAAATATTAATGACACCATCAATAAAGCAAGACTAATGTACTCTGGACTCAATGCCAATCTTACAGTCAGAGATTACCAAGGAAGTATGCATACTGAACATGTCCAAATGTTCATCACCAATCTAGGGAAAGACAATATTCTTCTAGGAACAGACTGGTTGAAATACCATAACCCTTCCATTGGATGGAAACATCATGAAGTACATTTTGATTGGTGCCCCCAAAATTGCCAGCAGCCACATGGCATCTAGAAAAATTACTCCTCTGATTATGCTCAAATTCTCTATAATTATATAGAATTTCTACTTATTATTATTACAATTTTTTTGCTTCCTCCCTCTTTTTTATCTATAGCTTATAAAGGTTAATTATCTTGAATTATGCATAATTAGCTTTAATTATTTATATTTTCCATTCATATTTTTCAAAAAGGAATTTCCAACCAACTATTAGGGTTACTTGCTAGTACTATGGTTATCTACAGCTTTCAAATAGAGCTTAGCTATATAGACCATTAGTTAAATATCTATATCTAAGATTGTACTTTATAACAAACCTGCCCTTAGCTAGAGTTAAATATATAACCTCATGCCTACAAGCACTCTGGCAAGATACTTTAAACCACTAAGCCATAAAGTCTAACTTATTTAGCTTGGTAATTCAAATATATAGACATATTCTAGATAGTCTCAACATATTTAGCCCTATTCCACATTCATCTATCATTTCTTTTACTCATAAGTAGGTTGATAAATACCCCCAAAAATAAGGCCTCTAGAATGTGAGTCTGGATACTAGATGCCACTACCAAAAACTGATGAAACATTGAGAGTACACTCTATATTGGGGGAAAATATCTATGGTACTTACTTAATCTGGAATTTAGGTATGTTGAATAACAATTAAGATAGTGCTTTCTTATAAGACTCTAGTAGTATGGACAGCATTATATTGATTTATAGATTTGATCATAATTATAATTATTGATAATTAGATAAAATATATCATAATTAGCACTAATTAGCATTGTTGATAATTATGCATAATTATAATTTAATAAGAGGGAAGGCTTTTCCAAATATAAGCTCACCAAGATGTAGGAAGAACCATCCAAGAAGGATTGGTTATCAAAGCTGCATAGCAAATACATCCAATAGTGGAACAAACTATAACTTATACCTTGCCCCACAATAACTCTCTGGAAATTGACCAGAAAAGAATGGCTTCAATTACCCCACAAAAATTTTCATACTTGGCTATTTGTTCAGATCAAGAGAGAAAAACAATACAATGATCAAAAGTGATATTGCACACAAGAATGGCTTAAAGCCCACTGATATGCTAGAAGTGTCTCTAAGTGCCAAGCACAACACCAAAACAACCTCTAGAGTAGAGGGTGCTGGAGCTAGTATCTAATATACAAAGAACTATTAGTAATGACCTTAAAAAGCAAGGACACACTGAGAAGCAATAGAAAGTGTGGGATTATAGCACCTGAACAGTTTTAGGACTGCACTGAACACTAACCAAATGTTTGGTCAGTCATGTCAGGGATTTGGTTAGTAACAAGAAGGTAGCACCATAACTGACAACTACATGCCTCAAGAGCCACACAGAACTCTAACAATATACAAGAGAGGATGGGAGGTACAAGCAAAGAGATGAGTATAAATACAAATGAGGCCAAATAACAAGGATAATGAGTTTTTAAAAGTTGACAAAGACAATTTTAATAGTTGAGACAAGTGCAAATGAGCTCTAAATTATGGGGTACAAAAGCTGGTTTATTCCAGAGTTATATATAGGTTTTTATAGTAAATGGAGCCCCTAAGTAAAATATTGAATAAGAAATGAGAGTAAGTACTGGACAGGTGCCAAGACCTAGCAAACAGTGAAGATAAGAAGGTAGGGGAAATATCCATATAGGTTCCAAAGGTGATAAGGTAAAAGTTTATCAGTGATAATGAAATCCTGAATGTTTGGGATCCATTATTTAAGTGTAGGTAGCAGGTACAAGTGCTGGAGAGCCAATAAAAAGAAAGAAATAGTAAATGTATAACTTGAATAGCCAAGCAAAAGTACAAGATTGCATTTGACCAAACAAATGGAAGTTAGAATAATAAGCAATAAGGACTCACTAGGTATGGATAACATTGGCCAAAAAGGCTGTTCAATCCCAATCCCATAATAAAATATCATAAGGCTTCTTAGATGACTCCTGTACAGTCATGGTAAGTATATGACATATGCGTGAACTAACCCAAGTGCTGCTAAATGTCCTTTAGTGGCTAAGAGTTGTTTGGATAGGGACTGGCCATATTTGGTATGAGTTGGTGTCTTTGGTACTTATCTAGAGCTGTTTGGTCTCTTCCCAAAGCTTCCTGAATACTTCTCTTGGACCTCAGAGTAGGTGTATGCTCATTACTGCATAGCCAAAAGAGAGCATGGCTAGTATACTTGGAGAAAGATAACTAAGCTAGTGTCTCTACCATAAGATGCCTCAAAGATGCATACCATATTCAACCTTTTTGACAAGGTTGTTGAAGAAGAACCTGTTATTAGGAAAGTTGCCCTAGAACCCTTAGAATTTGCTAGCTTCAACCAAGACCTAGAAGAAGAAATTACCATTACAAACCTGAAGGAACAAGTTCCCAAAGCTCATTATGAATATCTTGACATTTTTAGTAAATAATAGTCTCAGTAACTCCCTAAACATACCTTCTAGGTCCACACAATTAATCTTAAACCAGCATTCAAACCTTAAGCACCCAAAATCTATGCCTTGAGCCCTAAAAAATATGACAAATTAGGAAAACTCACCAAAGATCACCTCACTAGGGGAACTATCTATAGGTATACATCTCACAATACAGCCCTCTTTTTCTTTATAGGAAAAAAGGATAGAAAACTATGGCCAGTACAAAATTATCACCACCTCAACAAACACACTATTCAAAATGTATGCCCACTACCCCTGATCCAAGAACTATTGGACATCATAAAAGAGACTACCATATTCAGTAAACTAGATGTGAGGTAGGGATATAACAATATATACATCAAGAAGGAAGACAAATAGAAGGCCTCTTTCATAACACCACTAGGGCTCTTTAAACCTATTATGATGTTTTTTGGTCTTACCAATTCTCCCACAACCTTCCAAGCTATGATGAATATAATTTTCCAAAAACTCATCATCACTTGGAAGATAATGGTATATATAGACAATATTCTGATTTTCTCCCAAACCATGGAAGAATACATCCTGGTCCTCAATCAAGTATTCCAAATACTATATAACAACAATCTTTATCTCAAACCTAAAAAATGCAAATTCTACAAGGAAAAGTTGAATTACCTCAGGTACATAATCTCTAAAGACCATATTATAATAAAGAATTCTAAAATTGATACTATCAGGAATTGGCCTGTTCTCCACATAATTCACAACATCCAATCATTTTTAGGTCTAGGACATTTTTATAGGAGATTCATTAATAAGTTTTCACTTATTACATGTCTGCTATACAACCTAACCAAAAAAGGTAAAAAAATAGAACTAGACCACAGAATATCAACAGGTCTTTGATCAGCTAAAAGAGTCTTTTACCAACCAACCTGTCCTTCTTTACCCTGACCCAATACAACTATACTGGCTAATAACAGACATATCACTTATTGCATATGGCGCCACCCTGTTATAAGAAGGACCTGACAATAATTGGCACTCTGTTGCTTACCTCTCTAGATTGTTCACTCTAGTAGAGAGAAATTACAATATTCACAATCACAAATTACTTGCCATTATTAGAGGCCTATTCAGTAAAACATATTAGTATTAGTAGAGCTACATATATTTGCAATACCAATTGGCTTTTTATACTCATACCAATGGCTCGTGTGTCAGACCGGCATTACAGCCTGGGTTTGGCGTGAGCTGTATCGCGCGCCACTGGTTTTTGCATAAATGCATTGGAGCACCCTCTTCAATTAAGAAGGCCAGACTTCCTTTCTTAGTCCCAGCCAACACACAAGTCTATTCTTTTTCATATCCTTGTCTTAAATCCAACACCACATATGGTATTCCCCACCATAGGCCCACATTTGTAACAAACAAACTCTAGACACAAATTAAACTTTACCAAGACAGCCCACTATATAGGGGTGATAGGTCTCAGAATTGTTAAAAAAACCCTTCCAGTCTAAAAACCAGCCATGGTCTTTTACATGGTGGAAAAGTAGGCCTAAGCCTTGGTAAAGCAATCAACATACTTGTCTATGGACTATCTCAGCATAGCAATCATAAGGATGATAGAGCTATTCTAGAAACACTGAGGTTTGACCTTCAGAGAAGGAAGAAGAAGAACATAATGACAAATCCACATCAATGAGTTTTTACTTATTGTTCCATCATTCATATCTTTACACCTTTCTTGGAGCTAAACCAGTATAGTCTGGTTAAATTGGGGACCCTTAGCTTGAGGAACTGTAGTTACCTGCAACAAAAATAGTAGGTAAAGGAAAACATCCTATAGTTGAGAGAGCTTGGAAACCCCTCAAAAGACATAGAATAAACAGCTCAATGGAGATGGAAAACTCTTATGGGATCAAATAATATAAGTTGGTCTTTCCCTTAGAAAACAAAGTTATAGCAGAAGGTACATCTACTCTATTTAACACTCAAGAAAGCAAATCATATATGGAATGGTGATGAGCCCATGGGTATCCTACCAGGTATTAGGGTATAAAAAGAGGGTATTGTTATGATTTAGTCTATTAGGGCCTCTTTGGCCATTTATTCCAATAACATTACAACTACTAGGTGGCTCCAATCATGGAGCATACATTATGGTATAAGGTAATATTCTCAGTCATCAACTTCCAGAGAAATACAAGCCATTGTACTCCTGGTCAAAAGGAGACAAGTGGAGGAGCACAAGAGTAGTAGCTAAGAAAGAGCAATAACTTTAGAGAATGCCTAGGGATACTCACAGTATTCTCACATCTTCCCAAAGTAGTATAAAAGGCCTATAGAATAGGCTAAGGATCTTTAGTCTATTCTCTTTATACTTAGGCAGTCTTTATACTGTCTGTCTTTAACAGTTTCCTATATCTGGAAAACCACCCCTTTGTATTAGCTCCAGATTATATATAATAGTGTCTAAAAGTATCTAAAAGTGTTAATAGCATCTAAAAGTGTCTAATTTCCTAATTGGGAGCAACACACTGTGAGCATTAGATTGGTTTCCAATTTTATAATATTAGTACTAATTTCATACCAAGAAGTCTTTAATTAGCAGTAGGAAATAGTAAGTACTACTGCTCTATCAGTGAGAAGGTAAAGATGTGGCACATTCTATACTATTTCAGCATATTACTCTTTTTCACATATGCCTGCACTATTATCTTGTAGCTCTTTTGCTGACTTTCTAGCTGCCTTTACAAGGGACATAGAAAGAGAGAAATAGGCATTGATGCCCCAGCCACTTTGTTGGCAGCTTAGCAGCTGCCACAAGAGACTATGAAGACCTCAGTACCTTGGCCTTGCACACAAGATCATTGAAGTTGTCATTGTTAGCCAATGCCTGCTACTAGTCATTACAGGACACAACATGTAGGTTGGGCTTAGGGATGTGCTACATGCAGCCTTGCAAACCTTGTCTATTAGTGCAGTGGTTAATACTGTCTTGTGCAGCACACAATCATCACCACTATTGATATTACAATTCTCAGTGCCATCCACATTGTCCATTGCCTTGTTATACAAAAATGCTCAAACTTAGTGTTTTTCTCTAGCTATTTGGCTATGAAAAAGACAGTCATGTTGGTATGTAGTGCCAGAATAATATATTTGCCTGCCATGTAGGAAATATGTGCACTAAGCATATCAAGATCATCTCTAACAATCTTGTGCTTATTTATACATAGGCATGCCATATATATACTCTTGTCCCTACCCTTTACCTTATTAGTGGCCATTTGGAAAACACCTCTCTCCTATTAGATCTTAATTATTGATAATCATTAATGATACTAATTTAAGCTAATTATGGCCAATTATTTATAATCATGTTTTTAATCAAATTTGCAAATTCAGGTAGCATTGTCTATACTAGTAGAGTCCCATTGAATATTACACTCAATCATAGTTTTACACATTCTCAGTCCTAGTTGTATAAGTGCCATAATTTATTTTTATCCTATATAAAGTGTATTATCGATTTTCCATTGGTTTATTATCTTTTTAGCTGGTGTTTAAACTAAATCCTAAAAGACCTGAATTTTTGGGTATTTATTGACCTGTTTATTTGATTTATTATTATTATTCTGAAATTTCAAGTTATAATCAATCCTAATAATTCCTAATTTAGGAAAATTATGTTTAATTAGAACAGGTTTAGAGGGGGGGTAAGCTAAAAATGTCTAATCCTAATTGTTCTTGATTATGCATAAATAGAACTAATTAGAGCTTAATACAAAGGAGTGGTTTTCCAGATGTTGACAGAGTCAGACTGGCCTTTGTATAGCCCAAATCCTTTATAATTTTTACTTGTTAGATATAAACAGAAATTACCACATTATAGACCATGTAATTGAGGCAATAGTTGAGCATCCTCACATTATCTTATCTGCAAAGAAAATGTCCAAAAAGCAAAAATACAAAGAGTTCAGGCTGTACTAACTACTAAGGCTAGTCTGACTCTGTCAAAAAAATGCTTCAAAAGTCAAAAACAGTGCTATATTAGACAATTATCTCTTGTATACTTATTAGACTATATGATTAAGTAGTCAATAGCTTAGAGTTGGTACTTGATTATGTGATAATGTTCTTAGGTTTAAACCTTACTCAGGGCAAATCTGCCTTATTATTTTTATTATTTTTCAGCTGCCTTATGCTTAAGCTTGCTGATAAAAAACCTAGCTATCAGCCCTTGCTACAAGTTTAGTAATTTCTTAAAAGTGAGAATCCTTAGGAATACTTGATAAAGGAGATTTTGAATATGCAAGTCACATAAGTCCTATACTTTTTTGTCTATTTGCTAATAAAGAGTGCAACCATATGTAGCCCAAAGCAGTTCTATATGTCTCTGAGATTTTTGAATTTTAATGCAGTTCTTTTCTCTTTCATACCTACTATTCTGTTCTCACTATAAAACCTACCTATTCTCTCTGTAATATAGTAGATTTAGTTCCCCCTACTATTTAGATCTTATCTTATTTAAAATGCTCTTATATTAATAATTCTTGTAAATATCACAATACAACCTTGTAACCTTGATTAACCTTGATCTTAACCTTGCAGAGCTCTTGTTATATATTCTCTAGAGTATAGTTATTATCTCTCTTTTGCTCTAAACTACCTAGTATTGCTCTAAATTATGTTGTGTCCCTATAGTGTCTTATACCTCTCTCTATTGCCTAGCCTCATCTCCTCTACTCCTCTAAACTAAGGCTCTAACAATTTAGTTTACTTATTGTATATAAACTTTTTTTTAATTATATTTACCAACTATTTACTCAGGTGATAGTATGTTGTATGTATATAGTATATATATAGTTATATGGTTTCCAAAGGCCCAACAAAGGCAATGACAAATTATTTTTGTAATTTTATCTGTCTCTTGTTTGTCCCTTTGCAACATAACTTACTTAAGTCAATTTCCAACTAATCAATTATGCAGGTCAAAAACAATTCACTAAGCAAGGTATGTCTTTTATATCTGTATACTATAAATACTAATCTATGGTTCTCCAGCTTTACAGTATTCTAGCACATCTTTTCCACTTACCCTGCTTATATGAATAATTCCACATAGGAGCTTGGCTCTATGGATTACCTACAAAAGCAAATTTTCCAAGTCAGTAAGATACACACTTGGCTCTGATCAGCCTAAGTAAAGATGATGCTATTGTCCAGTGCTCTGAACTGGATTTCTGGAAGAGTTTTGAGAATGGTGGTTGGGACAAGGATTATCCCTTAATGTGGTGGAAGATAGGAGAAACAACATATTCATAGAATATTAGCTAATCTCTTTTCTAGGCATATGCCTCTAAGTTTTATATTATCTCAAGGATGGCAAGAGACTTTTTGGCTATACCAGGAACTTTAGTTGCTGTTGAATGGCTCTTCTCAGGTTCTTGACATATGTGTGCTAACACTTGTTTATCATTAAAAGCAGTAACAGTCTTGGAATCAATGTTAGCAAAGTGCTAATTATGGTCTAGTTTACTAGAAATTTAACTACCCAAATAATGCCATTTAAACCATATATATACTATATAATTACTGTATAGTTACTGTTTACAACTACTTACTCAAAAATATTATGTGAAAACTAAATAGTTGGAGCCCTATTCCAAATATCTCTTTATTTTTCCAAATATCTCCTTATCCCTCCAAGCATCTCTGCACCTTACCTTACCTCTCCCTATTGCATCAAACATCACAACATCAACCTCACAATATCACAAACTCAACATTACAACATTGTGTCAAACCTTGCAATCTCAAGCATTGCAGAGCATCAGAGAATATTATAGAGCATCACATCCCTTGATTCAGACTATGCACCACCTGTTCTTTAGTTGATTCTTTGAGGCTGACCATTCCTTGTACCACAAAGTCGGCTCCTACCTACTCTGTGTCTAGTAGTGTGTTTTGTTGTGTGTTTTTGCTTGCAGAGCCATTGCTAGTGTATTACCTGTTGAATTAAGGCAAATCACCTATTTCTTACATATTACTTAACTTACTTCTCATTAGCTTGGGTATTACTAAGATACTATACAGTTTTTAGCCACCACACTCATAGTATGAGTGTGGCCAGTGCAGGCTTTTCTCAGTGTTCTAATAGACGCTGAAGTGAGCCTGCTTCTATTACATACTCTCAGATAGACACTTACAATACTTTGGAATAGATATTACCTTCTAAGTAGATATTGTATAGCCTTTTGCAGTGTTCTAATAGATGCTGAGATATTATCTTCTAGCCTGTATTTCTACAGGTTATGGGCCCTGCAGACCCTGCCATGTTGCTCACCAACTCAATTACCATCACAACTATCACAAAGCTCTCTGAAATTCTGTTGAACTAGCTAATCTACAAAGATAGAGTAAAGACAACCATTGAATCAAAGGTTGGCTTGTCACAACATCTGGCTGGTACTGCTTGGCAACCAATGGAGCTAGCTCTTCCTCTGGCAGATGCAAAAAACAAGGTCATTGATGCATATGATAAAGCAATCAAGAAAGTTGACAAGTACAATCAGCATGAGGCTGCCATTAAGCAGCAAATCTACTCTACCATTCCTAACTCCATCCTCAATTGAATCAAGGAGAAAACCACTGCCAAAGAAGTCTGGATGGCACTCTATGATCTTGTGGAAAAGCAGGGGAAGATGGTTGAAATTGATGTTTGATGCCATATCTATGACACTTAAAGCATCGAAGGTGGTGATGTGCATGCTTATCTCGATAGCTTCCTTGGACTTCAAAACCAACTTATGGGAATGGTCTGTGCTCTCAGCAATGACAGTTTTGTTGCTGTAATCCTATTGTCCCTTCCAAAATCCTATGAGTCTGTGATATCAGTGATCACTACTTCCACATCATTTAGCTCATAAAAACTTACCCCTCATAGAATGCTCCAACATATCACACAGAAGTGTGATCAAAGATCTATCCAAACCTGACTCAAAAAAAGGCCCTGTTTGATAAGACAGCCTTTTACTTACAAAGGGGTTATAAGAAGGGAAAGGGAAAAAGGGGGAAGAAGGCTAATCAGTCATTGAGTGGCAAGAAGTGTAACAACTGTGGACTAACCAACCACATTGCTGCTGACTGCTTCCAACCCGGTAGAGGGAAGAAAGGACAGTGGCCAGCAGGTGCACATCAACTGGGTGAACACAGGAAAACTTGTAATGCAGGCTCGGGAAACATAGCTTTTGCTAGTATCTGATATACAAGGAGTTGTTAGTTAGGACTTGAGAAAGCAAGGGCACACTGAAGAGTAATGAGGAGGGTAAGATTAAAGCACCCAAATGATTTCAGGACTGCACTAAGCACTAACCAAATGTTTGGCTGGTTGGGTCAGGTTGGAGAGTCGATTGGTGATGAGAAGATAATGTTGCAACCAACAACTACGTGCTTCAAGAGCCATATAGGACTCTGACAATATATGAGGGAGGACGAGGTATAAGCAAAAGGGTGAGTATGAACATGAATAAGGCCAAACAGTGAAGATGACAAGTTTTTGGGAGTTGACAAAGACAATTTTAATGGTTGAGATGAGTGCAAATGAGCTCTGAACTGTGGGGTGTGAAAGCTGGTTTATTCCAGAGCCGTGTGTAGGTTTTTATAGTAAACAGAGCCCCTAAGTAAAATATTGGATGAGAAATGAGAGTAAATGTTGAATGGGCACCAAGCCCTAGCGATTAGAGAAGATAAGAAGGTAGGTGAGATGTCCATATGGTTTCCAAAGGTGATAAGGTACAAGTTAATCAGCAATGGCAAAATCCCAAATATTCAGAATCTGTTGCTCGAGCATAGGTAGCAGGAACAGGCATTGGAAAACCAATGAAAATAAAAAAGAAGTAGTGTATGACTAGGGTGGCCAAGTAATAATGCAAGATTGCATTTGACCAACCATGCGGAAGTTGAGAAGATAAGTGATAAGGGCCAACCGATTCACAGAGGACATTAGCTGACACGGACTATTGGCTCTGATCTCTAAAACACCTATCGTAACACTCCTGTATGGTCATGGTAAGTATATGAAGTATGGGCAAACTGACCCAAGTGCCACCAAATATCTTTTAGAGGCTTATGAGTAGTCGGGTAAGGACCAACCATGTTTGGTGCAAGTTGGTGTCTTTGGTACTCATCTAGTGCTATTTGGTATCTCCCAAAAGCTTCCCAAATACCTCTCTTGGACCCTAGCATGGGTGCATGCTCATCACCACCAAAACCAATTCATGCCACCAATAAACACGCCTTCATGGCTACTAGACGTGGTGCCATCATTGTACTACTTCTGAATGGGAACAGGAATACCACTGTCTACCTATTTGATGTGTTATATGCACCATCCATCACCATCACCCTGATTTTGGCTAGTCTCATTGACAAAGCCAGTTACTCCATCCACTTGCAACATGGAATCTGCCAGATCAGTGATCCTTTAAATCACATTGTTGCACTGATGAGCATGCACCTGTGCTAGGGTCCAAGGAAGGTATTTGGGAGGCTTTGAGGAGATACTGAACAGTGCTAGACAAGTACCAAAGATGCCAACTATTACCAAACACAGTCAGTTCCCACCTGACCAACTATAACCCACCAAAGGATGCTCGGCAGCACTTGGGTCAGTTCACCCACTCTTTACGTACTTACCATGACTGCACAAGAGTATTATGATAAGGTGTTTATGAGATTGGAGCCAGGATTTTGTGTCGGCCAATTATCTGTGAATTAGTCGGTCCTTATCACTTATCTTCCCAACTTCCACATGGTCAGTCAAATGCAATCTTGCACCATTACTTGGCCACCCTGGTCATATGTTACATCTTCTTTATTTTTATTGGCTCACCAATGCCTGTTCCTACTACTTACACTTGGGCGATGGATCCCAAACATTTAGGATTTCACCATTGCTAATTAATTTTTACCTTATCACCTTTGGAACCCATATGGACATCTCACCTACCTTCTTATCTTCTCTAATCGCTAGGGCTTGGTACCCATTTGACATTTACTCTCATTTCGTGTTCAATATTTTACTTATGGGCTCTGTTTACTATAAAAGCCTACATACAACTCTGGAATAAACCAGCTTTCACACCCCATAGTTCAGAGCTCAATTGCACTCATCATAACCATTAAAATTGTCTTTGTTGACTTCTGAAAAACTTGCCATCCTCATCATTCAGCCTCATTCACATTTATACTCACCTCTTTGCTTGTACCCCTCGTCCTCCCTCATATATTGTCAGAGTCCCATATGGCTCTTGAAGCATGTAGTTGTCAGTCACAACACTATCTTCTTGTTGCTAACTGAATCACTAGACATAATATAGGCAACCTCAACATCTCTGATTTTATTTAACATTTATCTTTCCTCTATCTTATAAATAAATAGGTCAATAAATACCTAAAAAGTCAGGTCTTTTAGGATTTAGTTTAAACACCAGCTAAGAAGATAATAAACTAATGGAAAATTGATAATACACTTTATATAGGATAAAAATCAATTATGGCACTGATACAATTTGGACTGAGAATGTGTAAAACTATGATTGAGTGTAATATTCAATGAGACTCTACTAGTATAGGCAATGCTACCTGAATTTGCAAATTTGATCAAAAACATGATTATGAATAATCAAGATTCAATAAGAGAGAGGGGTTTTCCAAATAGCCACTAGTGAGGTAGAAGGTGGGGACAAGAGTATATGTATGGCATGCCTATATATAAATAAGCACAAGATTGTTGGAGGTGATCTTAATATGCTTAATGCATATATTTCCTATATGGCAGGCAAATATATCATTCTGGCACCACATACCAACATGACTGTCTTTTCCACAGCCTAATAGCTAGATGAAAACACCAATTTTGAGCATCTTCTGTATAACAAGGCAATAAACAATATAAATAGTGCTAAAAATTGTAGTATTAATAGTGATGATGATTGTGTGCTGCACAAGATAGTATTAGCCACTATACTGATAGACAAGGTCTATAAGGCTGCATATAGCATATCCCTACATATTGTGTCCTATAATGACCAGTAGCAGGCATTGGCTAACAATGGCAACTTCAATGATCTTGTGTGCAAGGACAAGGTACCTAGGTCTTCATAGCCTCTTGTGGCAGCTGCCAAGCTGCCAACAAAGTGGCTGGGGGCATCAATGCACATTTTTCTCTTTCTATATCCCTTATAAAAGCAGCTGGAAAGTCAGCAAAAGAGCTATAAGATAATGGTATAGGCATATATGAAGGAGAGTAATATGCTGAAATAGTATAGAATGTGCCACATCTTTACCTTCCCACTGATAGAGCAGTAGTACTTACTATTTCCTACTACTAATTAAAGACTTCTTGGTATGAAATTAGTACTAATATTATAAAATTGGAAACCAATCTAATGCTCACAGTGTGTTGCTCCTAATTAGGAAATTAGACACTTTTAAATGCTATTAACACTTTTAGATACTTTTAGACACTATTAGATATAATCCAGAGCTAATACAAGGGGGTGTTTTTCCAGATGGCAGTGTGGAAGCCTTAGGCTATCCACCTCTGTCCAATCTAAGAAATGCTGTTTATACAGTCTTTTTTGATTCTAAAGACATTGGTCTGATCAGTCCTGAATATTCTCTTAAATCCTCTTGTATTGTTTGTGGCATAGGATCTCCTTGTCTCAAACAGCCATTCGTGACATCTGGATAGCCTCTCTTCAAAACAATCCTACTCCACCTTTTTTCTCTATAGCAGAACACTGGCTAGTTACATACGGCGCTAGGCAGTCCCAAAAGACAAGTGACTGCCGACCGTAAATAGTTACTATACACTTCGAGTGAACGATTGGACGATTCCACTTTAGTGTGGGTCGTTTCAGGTTGTAGAATACTTCTATCTGGTAATCAACCCAGTGGAGGTATGACCAAAACAATTGCACTCAATGTTACATATGGTACTATACTAGAAGCAGAAATTACTGTACCCGACCAGGAAGAGCTGCTGTTGCCTTGACCCTCAAACCTTCATCAGGTCGAGACTAGCGCAGGCTCTTTTGATCCAACAAAACGACTTCCCAAAGTTTAGGAAGACACGTAGGGCAAGTTCCACATGGAACTGACTACTTGCAGCACTTGAACACATACATCCACTTTGGACAGCCCATCAGAAGAACCTCCAAGGGAAATTGGGTTTACATAGGAGGACAGGATAGCTGAAAAACAGTTGATGCTCAGCTAGTACCCTAGGAAGACAGGAAGGTGCCCCTCAGAACAGTCACTATCCACACCCAAACAAAACCCGTCCTACCACCAGTTGACATCCCTAAAAAAGACATTGAAGAAATGCCAATTCCTGCGGGAGTATTAACCCCAGTCAACGAAGAAGACCCAGAGCCTGTAGCAGGACCAAGTCAACCAAACCCGAATCCAGATCCACAACCAAACCCCGTACCTAGCACAGAAGCAACCGATGACAAAGACGAGATGTCAGACAAAGGGAACAAGCCAAAAGACTTCAATGGGACGAGGTCAAAGTACTGAGAATGGATCTATGAGTGCCACATGTACATTTTGGCTAACTCAACTAAATATGACACCAACATGAATAAAACATTGATGGTCTTGTCATATATGAGGGAAGGGACGGCATCACTTTTCGCCCAAAAATACTATTTTGACAGAGAACTCCGAGAATACAAAGCAACGGAGACCAAAGAGACATGGGGAACGTTCAAGGTGTTTTTAATAGAACTAGCCAAATTATTCAGGGACGAAAGCCTCGAACAAAAGGCAAGGCAGAAGCTGTTCACCATGAGAATGGGAAAACAATCAGCAGATGAATTTGTCACGGACTACCTCATGATAGTTGGAGAAAGTGGATTTGATCTAGAATCCACTGTCGACTACTTCCGCTGAGCCATACATCCAGAAATTCTCAAACAAATTTACCGGCTGCCAGAAATGCCGACCACCATAGACAAGTGGTCAAAGTACACCCGCAGATTCGATAACCAATGGAGAGAACTGCAGAGCATAAAAAGCTCCATACCCTCTACTCTCATTCAACAGAATAACCCCTTCTGCTACAACTTGTCAAATGCCCCCTCCTCTATGAATAATTCTGTTGTCCCGATCTCTGTTGACCCGGTCTGTACAACCTTGACCGACAAGGAACGAAACAAGTTGCGAATGGAGGGTGGGTGTTTTTATTGCCATCAGAAAGAACATATGGCAAACCAATGCCCTGCTAGGGGTTTGTCTAGGATACATGAAGAGTCAATTGGACATGTTTAACAGAGTAGTGGAAAGATGGGGTACCGCCCGGCTCAGGCCAGTGGAAGGATGGCAGTAGGAGGAGGAAGCTATGGCCGAGTGTTCTCGGCAAGAGCTTAGAACAGTGATGAGAAAAGCACTACAATCCAGGGTGAAAGTGTGGTGACGACTAACCCATTCAGAGCCAGGCTCGCAGTGCGGCAGACCTACACACCCAGACTGGATGAAACTGTACGTCAGGAGGAGCCTAAGATTAGCCAAGAAGAAATCAAGAGGTTTATAGGAAAGCTGAGATGGGATGAACAAGAAGCACTCCTTCAGGAATTGAGCGAAGGAAGCAAGCGAAAGGAATTGGATTTTTAAATAGGCCTATAGCTCTGGTGTACCGTAGACCCACTCCAGAATCCCCTGTAAAAACAATTGTACAGCTCACTAAATCCAGTCAAAAATCGTCTATGAGGATAAACATGCAATTAAAACACAAAGGGGGAACCACCAAAGCTAGGGTATTGATTGACTCAGGAGCAGAAGGGCTTCTTATCGACAAACAATTCTGTTTAGACAAGAAAATACTGATGCAAAAGATTGACAAACCTATCCATGTGTTTAACATGGACGGAACAGCCAATGAAGGAGGAAAAATCACTGACAAAGCCTGTCTGCTCATGAGAATGACAAATGAAGAAGGAGATTACCACAACGAACGATGCAAATTGCTATCCACTAACCTAGGAAGAGAAAATATAATCCTAGGAATGGACTGGCTACATGAGCATAACCCACAGATCAATTGGGTAAAGAATAGTCTCACATTTTTGACATGCGCTATCACATGTCTAGTCAGCCGACCTAAATTCACCATACAAGCACAAGCGCCTACACAGCAAAGGAATAACAGAGCAGTCGGGTACTCCAGAATAGAAGATGACCTGGAAGACAACAAAACCCAGGACACCTTCTTCTCTGAATTCTACAAAGAATGGTATTACCAAAACCTGCTCGAGATGCACCCTCTTGAGGCAATTCACATCAGTTCCATCAGAAACAAGTCACAACAACTGGCAGAAAAAGCGAACAAAAAGAAGATAGAACGACCCGTTGAGGAAATAGTTCCAGCATACATCCTTAAATGATTCGCCAAAATCTTTAGCCAGGAAGCTTCGCAACAACTTCCAGAACACTCACAATAGGACCATAAGATCGATATGAAACCAGGATGGGAACCAACGGGATGTAAGCTATACCCCCTGACAGAGGAAGAAGAAGACAAGCTACACGAAATGCTTCAAGAACACTTGAAGTGGGGAACCATTAGAATATCCAAATCTCCACAAGTATCACCCTTCTTCGTAAAAAAGAAGGAAGGAGATTTACAACCAATTCAAGATTATTGGAGACTGAATGAGTGAATGATAAAAAACAAATACCCGTTACCCCTGATTGACGACATAATAAGAACCATTGTAAAATCAAAAGCGAGGATCTTTTCTAAGCTTGATGTCAAGTGGGGATACAACAACATCCGCATAGCAGAAGGAGATGAATGGAAGATGGCCTTCATGACCAAATTCGGCCTGTTCAAATGCCTTGTCATGTTCTTTGGTCTTTGTAACTCACCCGCTATGTTCCAAACCATGATGAACATAATCTTTCATGACCTAATCGTTGTGCAAGTCCTCGCGGTTTACATGGACAATATCTTGGTATTTACAAAGACCATAGAAGAGCACCAGCACGTTGATGAGCATAGGTATGCTCTAGGCACCAATACCCCACTTTTTGCAGCTTTTCAGTATTCTTTGACTGTTTGGCACACTTAGGACCGACCAATCCCAATCCGTTCGGCGATCTCAGCCATTTGTCAGGTGCCGACTTTCCATTCAGACCTCCACACAGCCGTCCGGACCTGTTCACAGTCATCCTATCCATTTATCATCACTCTCAGCAGTAGGGGCTCTCCACAGACTGTCGTGGCCGATCACCAATCGGTTCAGTACACTTCCATTCTGAGTCAACAAAGTGTTTGGCTGCCTCCGATTCGGGACACCGAAGCTGACCAAATATGCTGACCATGTGAATGGATCTGTCTTTCTATCTCTTATTGTCCTTATGCCTTCTGTTGACCTATCCTTCATTATCTTCAGAGCTCCCAAGTTTTCAAATGGTTTACCCATGTAGCATGTGGTTCTTATCTCCAGGTCTATGTGCACTCACCTTGGCAATCTCTCCACTTATTTAGACTTTAGAGTTATTGCTTCTTATCTTATAGTGTTTGCAACATCACTCCCTTATCTTCTTTACCTTTGATCACTCTTGGCACGCATTTCCAATTGCTCTATGCCTCTGCCAATCTCCTTATCTTGTACCTGTTCAGACTTACTATAAAAGAGCACCTATAGCCTTGCAATACATCAGCTTTGGCTCCCCCCTTGTTCCAATTCCATTTGTGCGCTTGTGTCTATGAGACTTTGAGCCATTGCCTCCCGATCCTTGTTTGTATTTTGCCCTTTTATTTGTGTTGCCACATTCGATTGCAGCCCTCCGTCAGAGCCCTCATTGTCTTGCTCTCCCCCTCTCATTTAGTTTGTCATCTTCTGCCAGTGTCCAGTGTGGCCTTGCACCCATTCCCTTCCCCTTGCATCCCAATCAAGTCCCAATCAAACACCAACCAACCAACCAACCAACCAACCAACCAACCAACCAACCAACCAACCAACCAACCAACTGAATATTTTGATTTTAGAGTTGTTTGTTCACTACACTCCGAACGCTTTTAGTACGCTCCCTTATTGGTTGTTGCACAGCTTATAGTTCCTTGCACACTAGAACCAGCTCTTGCCTACCTGCGCTTGTAGGGGTGTTTCTTGGGTGTGTTTTGCACTCAGAGGCATCACTAGCTTATCAGCGTAACAACCCAAGTTATGCAAATACTTCTAGACAATGACTTGTTCCTGAAACCTTCCAAGTGCACCTTTGAAATGGACACTGTTGAATATCTCAAATTCATCATCTCTACAGATAACATATCCATGGATCCAGTCAAAGTAAATGGCATCGCCGCCTGGCCAACGCTGAGGTACTTGAAAGAAGTACAGTCCTTCCTTGGCTTTGGAAACTTCTACCAAAGATTTATCGAAAACTTCGCTACAACGGCCCGACCTCTCAACAACCTCACAAAGAAGAATGTACCATTTACATGGACCACTGAACGGGACACGGCCTTTGAGAACTTAAAACACTGTTTTACCTCCACCCCCGTCCTCATCTACCCCGACGGCAACTGCCCATTCCGACTTGAAACCAATGCATCCGACTTCGCCTACAGAGCTATCCTATCGCAAGAAACCCCCAACAACGGATGGCACCCTGTCGCTTACCTGTCCAAGTCTTTCAACGTAGCAGAGCGAAATTACGACATCTTCAACAAAGAACTACTTGCCGTTATACATGCCCTCGATCACTGGCGAGTGTACCTCAAAGGTGCACGACATCCATTCGAGATATGGTCTGATCACAAGAACCTTCTATACTTCTCTACCGCAAGAACTCTCTCCCGTCAACAGGCATGCTGGTCACTGTTCCTTTCTCGCTTCAACTTCACCCTCATGCACAAACCCAGTGTCACCCATTGGCCTGATGCTCTGTCCTGGCGTCCAGACCTAAAGGAGGGGGTAAAATCAGATAACAAAGACCGGGTGTTGCTACAGCCCCAAATATTTGTCAAAAGTGCAATAGGACGAGGTACAGTCGAAATGCTCGACAAACAGCTAAGACAACAGTTGAAAGAAGTCACAACTAAAGACAAAGAAGTAATGGAAGTGATGGAGCTTATTAGAACATCAGGACCTAGAGCACTCTCAAAAGGGCTACAAGAATGGAATTATGAAGACATCCTCATCTGGCACAAAGGCAAAATATACGTTCCTCCAGATGACAAACTTAAAAGACAAATCATGAAAATGTACCACGATTCACCTGCAACGGGACACCCAGGACGATGGAAGACCTATGTCCTGATATCAGACAACTTCTGGTGGCCAGGAATGTCCACATTTGTAAAGGAATATGTAATGGGATGTACAATATGTCAAAACACAAAAAACATCACACACCCCACACATGCCCCACTAATTCCAAATGAAGTACCAAAAGGACCCTGGCAAACAGTCACAATGGACTTTATTATGGATCTTCCCCAAGTCAGACTATATAACGCCATCCACATAGCAGTGGACAGAAGCACCAAAGGCATTGTCTACACCCCATGCGATAAAACCATAGACGCCAAAGGAACCGCCGACCTCTATATAAAAAACCTCTGGAAACAATATGGACTTCCAAGAAAAATCATCTCTGACAGAGGTCCACAGTTTGCAGCTAGGTTCACGAAAGAACTATGGAAAAAGTTAGGAGTAACAACAGTGCTATCAACCGCATATTACTCAGAAATAGATGGAGAAACGGAAAGAGTAAACCAAGAACTAGAACAATACCTACAAGCATTCTGCAATTACGAGCAAACAAATTGGCCTGAACTATTACCGTATGCAGAATTTGCACGCAATGTTAGAGAACATTCAGCAACACACCAGTCACCGTTTGAACTCATGTATGGCTACAATCCAACCTTTGTACCCCAAATCACGCCAAGATCTGACATCCCCGGTGTAGAACAGAGATTGGAAAGGTTGAAGCAATTATGACAAAAGACAAAGGCCAGCCTGGAAGTTGCAGCAGAATTAATGAAAAGGAAAACAGCTGAAAACGAAGTCAAATTAGAAGCAGGACAGAAGGTCTGGCTATCGGGAAAAATAATAAACACCACTCACCCAAAAGACAAGCTAGCCCCTAAACTGCATGGACCATTTGAGATAGAAAACAGGCTAGGACCGGTGACGTACAAACTAAAACTTCCGCCAACATGGAAAATACACCCCATATTCCATGCCTCTTTAATCATACCTTATCAAGAAATGGCCGCCCATGGCCCCAACTTCGCACAACCACCACCTGATCTAATAGAAGGACAGCAAGAATACGAAGTTGAGGAAATTCTTGACAAAAGGAGACGAGGACGCAGATACCAATACCTGATATGCTGGAAAGGGTACCCGGACTCTGCAAACGAATGGATCACGAGGGCAAACCTAGGGAATGCCAAAGAACTTTTGGAAGCATACGACGCACGACACCATGACTTACCATTACGAACCACCCTCGCAAACATTGAACAAATAAAACCCAAAGGATATAAAAACTCAAACTTGATCCTCGTAATCCCACCATTGCTCCGAACATTCCTCCCAACCCACAACATCTTTCCCTTCGATAAACATGTCCTCCAACGGTTCCCTCTACCTCTCCTCCATCGAGAACACCCTCGTCAACCGATCCACACAGACTTCCCCCTCCTCTGAGTCATTGTTTACTACTGAACAGGCAGCAGAAGCATATATGCAGTCAGGACTCAGTGACAGATGACCTATGATGAATATGAGAGAACTAGAGGCAGAAGCGGAGGAAGTCGAGAGGAGGTACCAAGCCCGAGTTACCACCAACACAGCAGAGGAAGCAGCTGCTGTACGCACCCCTAGCCCTCCTATCCTACGCACCATAAACATCACAACGCCCTCAATGACCTCTTCCTCCCGCTCACCGTCTCCCCCTCCTTTGATCCACAAAGTAAACGAGGGAGTTGTATTCCCTAACAGAAAGACGTACCTGACCACCCTAGTAGCTTATATGATGGGGCTCATCGAAGGTACACCAAACACGGAGTTCATGTCTGGACCCACATAACTAGAGGTATGAAGGGCTTTGGAAATCCTAGAGAAGGAAAGGAGTTTCGTCTGGCATGCACAGAGAGCCCTGCAGATCAGGGAAGGAATGCTCATTGCTCGCATCAATGCGGGTGAGAGGAGACTCATAGGGCTGAACCAAACAACGCAGCTGTGCAATTCCTTTCATCCAGCAGATAACATCACCCCCACCACTGAATATCACATGCCTACCTGTTATGATCACGTTCTATCGGGCCTACACGGCGGTCTATTCCGATACGATCATCACAAATATCACGCGGCCTCACAGGTTGAGGCGTACACCAAGGTACAGATATTAACCTTGGTCATCCACTCCCAATGGATCATCAATCATTGGTCGAGTATCACGGGCCTTGTATTAGCGGGCATGGAACGCCGCCTTATAAATTACTCACACGCAGGGCATGAACCTCCTAGTCTCTCCTGGCCGGAAGGAGACCAACGGAGAAGCACAAGAGTAGTCGTTATTGAGAGAGACGACTTAGAGAATACCTACAGATACATATTCGGTATTCTCACGCCCTACTTCCCAAAGTAGTATAAAAGGCCCATAGAATAGGCTGACGATCTTCAGTCTATTCTCTTCGTTCTTAGGCAGTCTTCATACTGTCTACTTCGTTCGCTGTAGTCTTCCTACTACAGCCCTTCGTTCCAGTACTGTCTCCCTACAGTACTCTCTATTGCTACTCTGCAATACACTCCAGGCTCCTGTGCTGCACGTACAGTCGAGACCATCGTTCCACACATCCTCCACGAGTGACCTAGGGAAGAACCTCCTACTCTTGGGGTTACCGAACGAGCAGTTCGTAACACTAGAATAGACTCTTCTGCCCCTACCTTGCTCGCACTAGCTTGCTGCCACACTCTCTCTCATAACCTTCCTTGGTGGGGATAATAGACCCCCATCGAGAAAGCGTTACTGCATACACTCTGGAGCAAGACCTAGGCCAGGAATACCCACCCGGCACTAGACTTATCAATAACCAACTCCGTCACAACAATCGCCCTATCCGGCGCGAAGGGGACTTCTGGGTCTACGAAGACAATAACGGAACTGCCCCTCCGAATTACGATAACTGCTCATACCGAAACGGGCGTTATTACTTCACCCTTGAAGACGGAACAGAAGAAGAGGATATTTGGAACGAAACAGAAGCTCAGTGGGAACTAGCCCCACAATACAGGGAACTGGCGCCGGTAATCCCCGAAGACTCGGAGCAAGAGGAAACAACCTCGGAATCAGACTCCGACTCACCAGACCAAACACCGATCAACACCCGAAACGAACCACTCGCCGAAATGTCGGGACAAGCTTCGACTTCTACAAACACCCCTTCCGCGACAGTACAACCCGGAAGAGGAAAAGTCAAACTCCCAGACAACTACACAGGCGACCGCATTGAATCCCAGAAATTCATGCTCCAATGCCTCCTTCTTTTCGCAGCAGAATCCGATTGGTATAAGACCGATCAAGACAAAATATCCCTTGTGCTCTCATGCATGAGATATGGCATGGCAGGAGCTTGGGCGGAAAACTTTCTCCTAAAATCAGTAGGAGCGGACCCTCCCACCGATCTAGGCACCTGGAAGGACTTCCTAGCAAAGTTCAAGCTACAGTTTAGGGAGACGGGCAAGACCGACAAAGCGCGAAGCGCACTCATGGCCTTCTCCCAAGGACGAATGACGGTTGATGAATACTCCAACCAATTCATTCTCATCGCCGCCGATGCCGACATCTCCGATAAAGAGCAGGTCCCTTACTTCCAACGCGGGTTAGACCCGCGCGTCATGGACAAAATATACGACAAGGAAGTCCAGCCAAAGGATACCATTCAGGACTGGATCAATACAGCCTGCGAAATAGATGGACGGCTGCGAGCCAGAACAGCTCAAAAGGCCATCCTCGCCAACTCCACCTCCTTTCAAAGCAATTATCTGAATCGTTTTCATAACCAAATCTCTCCCCGCTACAATTCCACAAACGCCCCTCGTAGAATGAACAACCAAGTCGTTGACATGGACATTGACGCGACACGCAAGCGCAATGCCCTTAGCCAAAAACGGAAATATGACGGCAAGCCTCCAAGCGCCTGTTACCATTGCGGAAAAACAGGACACTGGAATACTGACTGCCCGTCACGACGCAGAGGCGTTCAACCGACTCGAGGAAACTCGAAGAGACACATGGGTACGACAGGGAGAAGAAGCCGCGCGGTTGATTTGGAAGGAGAAGACGATGCACCCGCTATGGGAAACCAAGCGGGAATATATCGAGGAATGGAGACAGAGGATGTCCCTCGCAACGACCAGCGGGTACCACAACCTGGTCCTTCGATGGAACGTCCTCACTCTACCTCATCCGGACGACCCCAAACGAACCATGGGCAACGCGCTATGTTACCTAACGGACGACGGGGAGACGGAAGCGTCAGTCATTCTGCTCGAATCGGAGCAGTACTTGGAGAACTAGGGGAAGATGAAGCAAGAGAAGTGATCTTGGGACACGCGGAGCGTTTTTCCTGACCTCTCCCTCGCCAGCGAAGGAGAGAGGTCAAGGACGACCCGAGTTTGATGCCCGCACTTGTATTCGTATCGGAGCAATGAATGACCGTATCATCACCCCCATACGCCTGAACGTGAAAGTATCAAACAGGAGTCAAAACGCTGGAGCAAAGGCAACCATCGACTCGGCATGCGAAGGGGTTATAGTAAACGAAACTTGGGTCAAAAGACATCGTTTCCCCACCTACACACTCAACAACCCCATTCGCGTCCGGAATGTCGATGACACCATCAATAAAGCAGGTCTCATCCGATCCGCCTTGGATGTGAACCTCACCATTCGGGACATCAGTGGACGAACGCATACTGAGCGCGTCCAGATGTTTATCTCCAATCTAGGGAAAGACGACCTTATCCTAGGAACAGATTGGCTGAAATACCACGATCCCTCCATCGAGTGGAGGCGACGTGAAGTGCACTTCGATCGGTGCCCCCAGAAATGCCAGCAACCACATGGGTTCACTAGGGCAAGGGAAGAACTGCCATATAGCAGGCGGTTATCAGACGTGGAACCATGGCACAAACCACGCATTAACGAGCGCGAAAAACAGCGCCTAGAACACCTCCGAAGGTTATCGGAGGATGTAGGACTCCGCGATCACAGCGGAACGTTTGGTGTCTGACTACGAGCATACCTCAAAAGGAAATGGCTCCTAAAGGACATAAGGAAATACGCAGAAGAGAAACGAAAGGCTCAAAACAAGCCATCTCTTTCACCAAACGAGGGAGAACCTGATCTCCCAGACAAACCCTCAGGAAAACAGGCCACCCGGGACCCAGTTATTCGGAAACTGGCCCCCGAACCGTCAGGATTTGCCAGCTTCGACCAAGACCTGGAAGACGAAATCATCGTCACCAATCTAAAGGAAAGAGTTCCCAAGGCGCATCACGAATTTTTGGACATCTTTAGCGAACGAAAGTCACAGCGACTCCCAGAACACACTTACTGGGATCATGCCATTGACTTGAAACCAACCTTCAAACCCCAAGTGCCCAAAATCTACGCCCTGAGCCCAGAAAAACACGACGAATTAGGAAAATTCATCAAGGAACATCTGGAGAGAGGAACTATCTGCCGATCCACCTCGCAAACAGCAGCCCCATTTTTCTTTATAGGAAAAAAGGATGGAAAACTACGCCCGGTACAGGACTATCGCCACTTAAATTCGCACACCATCCCAAATGTGTGCCCCCTTCCACTAATCCAAGAACTACTGGACGTGATAAAAGGGGCCATCATTTTTAGCAAATTGGATGTGCGATGGGGATACAACAATATACGCATCAAAGAAGGAGATGAGTGGAAGGCGAGCTTCATCACTCCGTTAGGTTCTTACGAACCCACGGTGATGTTTTTCGGCCTGACCAACTCACCAGCCACCTTCCAAGCGATGATGAACATGATCTTCAGAGAGCTCATCACAGCCCAGAAGATAACCGTATATATGGACGACATCCTCGTTTTCTCCAAAACCATGGCGGAACATGTCAAAATCCTAAATCAGGTTTTCCAAATCCTACGCGACAACGATCTATACTTGAAACCCGAAAAATGTGAGTTTTACAAGGAAAAACTCCAATATCTGGGATATACAATTTCAAAAGACCATGTCGCCATGGAGGACTCAAAGGTGGACGCGATAAAAGATTGGCCAATCCCACGCACAGTCCGCGACATTCGCTCCTTCCTGGGTCTAGGGAATTTCTACAGGCGCTTTATTGACAAGTTCTCACTCATCGCGCGCCCCCTACATGACCTCACCAAAAAGGACGAGAAATGGAACTGGACTGCAAAATGCCAAGAAGCCTTCGAACGGTTAAAGAAAGCCTTTATCAGTAAACCCGTCTTGAACTATCCAGATCCCATGCACCCATATTGATTAGTAACGGACGCATCACTAATCGCCTATGGAGCTACCCTTCTACAAGAAGGAAAAGATGGCGACTGGCACCCAGTCGCTTTCCTCTCTGGATCGTTTTCGCCAGCAGAGCGAAATTACGATGTTCACGACCGGGAACTCTTGGCTATAATAAAAGCATTGGAACACTGGAATCACTACCTCGAAGGCGCACGACACCCCTTCGAGATCTGGACGGATCATAAAAACCTGGAACATTTCCAAACGGCGCGAGACCTATCACGACGACACGCCCGTTGGAGCCTTTATTTGAGCAGATTCGACTTTACACTGAGTTATAAAGCAGGATCAACAAATCACTCCGATGCTCTGTCCAGGCGTCCAGATCTAAGTGAGGGGGTAGAATCTGACAACAAATCTCAAATTTTACTCCCGGCCAAGCTTTTCAACAAATCCGACGAAACATTGGTAGAACCATCCCCGACACGGCATATAAAGTCCACGGAAATCGCCTCCTCAAACCTCATTTCCCTCATCCGACACTCGAAATCGGAACATGATGCCTTAACGAGCATAGCCCTCGCAAAGCTCTTACGAGTAGGACCACAAGGGATGAGAGGAGTATTGGGACATTGGACACATGAAGACGGAATCACCAGACGCAACGGCCACATATGCGTCCCCAAAGACAACGACATCCGAAGACTCATCGTCAAAACACATCATGATGCACCCGCGGTAGGACACCCGGGTAGAGCAAAAACATTGGAAATGGTGCAACGACACTACTGGTGGCAAAACATGACTAAATTCATCCACGAATACGTGGATGGATGCGCCATATGCCAATCTACGAAGAATTTGACACACAAGACACACCCACCTATCCACCCTCTGGAAACCACCAACGTTCCTTGGCGATTCATCTCAACGGATTTCGTCACGGACCTACCCGAGAGCAAAGGTTTCGACTCAATTAACGTGGTAGTGGATCAAGGTCTGTCAAAAGGCATAGTCATCACCCCATGCAAGAAAACGATCACGGCAGAAGAAACAACCGCGCTTTTCCAAAATAACGTTTTCAATCGACATGGACTGCCGACCAAAATAGTATCCGATCGGGGCCCTCAATTTGCGGCCAAGTTTACCCGAGAACTCTGGACACGGCTAGGAATCACCACCGCTCTCAGCACGGCTTATCATCCCCAAACAGATGGAGAAACGGAACGGGTAAACCAGGAAATCGAACAGTTCCTGAGAACGTTCTGCAACTACCATCAAGACAATTGGGTAGACCTTCTGCCGTTCGCCGAATTCTCACATAACACACGGAAGCACTCGGCCACCGGAAAATCCCCTTTCGAAGTGCTATACGGTTTCAATCCTCCCTATTCAGCTGACACGGCACTGGAGACAAAGGTACCTGCGGTAGCTGAACGCATTAAGACAATCATAGAAGTTCAGGAAGAAGCCGCGGCTAGCTTACAAATAGCCAGCAACTACGCCAAAGACCGGGATCTTCACAGGAAACTTCCCCAATGGAAAGAAGGAGACCAAGTATGGCTAGAAGGAACCCATATTCGGACAACCCATCCTAAGTTCAAACTCGCCCCTAGGCGATATGGCCCTTTCAAGATACTGGGAAAAGTGGGAACCCTGGCGTACAAACTCCAAATTCCTCCGCAGTGGAAGATCCACCCGGTATTCCACGCCGCAGTGCTCACTAAATACAGAGAAACCGAAGCCCACGGAGAAAACTTCGCGCGACCAATACCGGAAGTATTGAACGATGAAGAGCATTATGAAGTGGAAATGATCGTGGATTCAAAACGGCAAGGACGGGGAACCAAATACTTGGTCAAATGGATGGGATATCCCGAATCAGACAACACCTGGGAGCCCTACACTCTCCTAAAGGGAACGGCGGAAGAAGCCATGAAAGATTTCCATGACCAATACCCTGACAAACCTCGTCCGGGAACAGCCTGAGAGGAGAGACGAAAGATTATAAAAGGAGCGACAAGAGGACTCCAACAAGAACATCTTCTCACCTCTTTCCCCTCTCAAACACATTCCCCTTTCGAATGCTCCTCCACGACGACCACGATGCTTCGTCTCCATCCAGAAACTCCTCCCCCGATGTCGTCCTTATGGTCACCAATCCAGATGTCGAACGAGTGGAAAGAGGAACAAGTCCTCACCGACCAGATGCTGGACGAATTGATAGAGGAACAAGTCCTCAACAACCAGGACCTACCGGCGTCCTCCTCACCCCTCATCTCAACAACTTCTCCGACGACAACGCCGAAGACTATGCCAAGTTCAAAGAAAGGGAAAGAACCCGAAGACCCTCACCGGAGAGGGCCTCACGAGATGCACCACGGCATGAAAACCCTGATGACCGAAACCAGTCGAGCCTTGGCCAATTACCAGTGGGAGTTCCACCTCCTAGTGAAGGCACGCCAAATAGTGGAGTTGCAGGTCCCTCGGGATTTCGAGCAAGAACGGCAGCTCAACTCCCAAGCCATGGAGAAGCTGAACCAATACCAGTTCTATCAGAAACTGCACCTCCGCCAGTACCAACTAGTGGACCGATTCCCAGCTCCATGGGAGGACCTACCCCTCGTACAGATCCTCATGCCGGAGAACTGGAGCGACACGCGGACGCGCTCCTCCAGCGGAACACCATCTCCACGGTAATACAAATGGCCACAGCCATGGCCCTCCAAAGACTCGCTAACTTCTCGGCAGGACAACCCGGGAATGAACATAGCGACGTACCTCGACGACTGGCTAGTGCCAGTCTCCAGATCAGGGCGCTCGCCCTCCAAACCGACCCGGACACAGCCTCCTGGTACGCCCATAATGACGGGCGACCCCGAGCCCTCCTCATCCACCCTGACGAGTTCTCCCAATACGTCAACCGAGAGCTCCTTCCAGCTCTCCTCTTCGGAGGAGAACTGGGAAACGTCCAGCCAAGCAGAACCGACCCTTTCCGAGTTGTCACTTGGAACGTACCACGTCCCGGAGAACATCCCACGCCTGTACCAAATCCAAGGAGGGTTCCGCGTACGGTCGTGGAGCGCCCTCCACCGAGACAACGAGAGGTTCCTACAGCGCATAGCCATACCGCGACTCCCCCCTCTCACCGGATACGAGGTTTTCCCTTATCCCAAGGAAATACCGACGAGGAGGAACCGCCCGTCTATCGAAGAAATGAGGGAAGGCGGAGTCGGGGAGGCCAGGCAACCCTCGGACGCGGAACAACTGCTGGCCGGAGTATTCGACACCGGCCTAGATCGCCTCCTCCTAGTGCTCGATTTCGTACAAACGAAAGAGAGGATAACCGAAGTAGCCGCAGAACTCGCCGCACTGATTCGGAGGCTCGAAGAAATAGCTCGTGGACTAGATCCGAGCTCGACGCATGGGATGCCCTAGACGATCCGGGAAATTACGACGAAGCGGACCCCTACTATCGACCTGACGAAGGGGGCGGGGATTATCAAGGACCTTTCGATTATTAAACGAACTAATAACAGGGCACAAGGAGAAGAAAGGGGGTAAGGAAGTTGAGGAACCCCTTCCCCTGACAAAATCGCATCCGAAACGATGTAAAACTACAATCGTCCGCAACGACGTAAAACTAAGATCGTCCCTCAAGACGTTAAACTGTACGACCTCGTCCGAAACAGACGTTAAACTACCCTGCGTCCGGAATGACGTCTAAACTATCGGACCTGCATGTCTTAAAACTGTGAAAAGACAAGAAGGCAGGGGAAGTACCTGACCATTAGTCCTAGGTTCAAATGATGGTACGAATCAAGGACAACAGCGGGCATAATTCCACGTACGACCTACGGCGGAACCTTTCACATCCTCGCTGTCAAGGAGTTAATCTGACAGATGCATCGAGCGTCCCATTTGGATCCTCAGTTTTACAGGGTTTTTTTCCGCATTAGGGAACCCTCTACATGACATATACTCTACTCGTAGGTGTCGACAAGCAGGCCCTTCGCCTTGGTACAGCGAAGTGCCCATACATAACCGGTTGCAAGTCCGAGTCAAGAAATTATGATGCATAACTCGTAACGTGAACCCTCACAGTCAAGGTCTGACTGGTGTTTTGGGACGTCCCACTTTGGATCTCCCGTTTTACAGGATCGTTTCCGCATTAGGGGATCCTACAGCTGGCGCATGAGATGATGTAGAGAGCGGGCCGCCTCTACCTCACAAGTCTTCCTAATGATGCGAGGCCACAAATTACATCCGGAACGATGTAAAACTACCAAAGGCTTGGTCCGCAATGACTATAAACTACTAGGGTCCGCAATGACGTTAAACTAGTCCTCGTCCGAAACGACGGAAAACTATCCACCGTCCGAGATGACGTTAAACTACCATTGACCAAAGGAGCGTGGTTGCATTCTGGCGAAGCGCGGAAGGACTCGCGTCACAGAACCCTGCCTATAAAAGGTCGAAGCGCTTCCGATATTCACTCGCTTTTCAGTAAAAGAATATCGGGTCGACTTGGTTCAATCCCAAGCGAGGGGTCTGGGGACATGGAAGAGCAAGCATCTCTTCATGGAGCGCTCAGTCTAGTCCTGGAGTCGAAGTACAAGAAATTCCGCTCCAAGACCTAGTCAGGAGGCAACTAGGACACGTGCCTCGAGTCGAAGATCTAGTAGGAAGGGACTAGGTCATGCGACTCTCGTCTGGCCCACATAGCGGAAGAACGACAAGAGCGGGCCACTCATCCGAAGTCTAGTCCGCCAATCGTCCGCGACGACGTAAAACTAGGTCTCGTCCGCAACGACGATAAACTACGAAGCGTCCGGGATGACGTTAAACTAAGCATTGTTTTTCCACAATATTTGTGGCGAAACAACGTCCGCGATGACGCTAAACTATTGTCCCTTTCCACATAGGGATTGTTCGAGGCCAATGGCATCGACGTCCGCAACGACGGTAAACTACGGGCATCCGCAACGATGTAAAACTACCGTCCCTTCGTTCTAGGGATTGTGCGTGGCGATCTTGACAAGATACCGCGCGTCCGCAATGACGTTAAACTAGGTGCCCCTGAACCTAGGGGTTGTCATTGACGTCCAATCCCCTGGCCGCCAATGCGTCCGCAACGACGGAAAACTATTTGCTCCTTACCGAATAGGAGTTGTGGATTGACCGCCATGGTGTCAATCGGTCCGCAATGACACTAAACTACGTGCTCCTTACCGCATAGGAGTTGTGATTCATCACTCTGGTGCTGAATCGTCCGCAACGACGTTAAACTACTCGTCCCTTTAAGCATAGGGATCATCATCAACGTCGTCCTTGACGAGAACGACGTTGATAACGTCCGAAAAGACGTTAAACTACCCTCATCCTCGGAGGAAAAGCCTATCGTGACTCGAGGGACATAGTCAGACGATAGCGTCGCCTAATGCACGGCGTTAAACTACAGGTCCGCCTACCTCACGGCGTTAAACTGAGCGGTCTCATAACTTTGAGGCGTTACAAGTTATCCGGTTTGATATAGTATAAACCGTCCATCATGCCTCAGTGGAATCTGGAGTGGGTAAAGTCTGGTCTATGGCCCTATGCACATCACCGATGGAAATTCCGGCATGCAGAAACATCTTTCCCCACAGATACTCCATGTTGATGATGAAGCACATCCGAAACGATGTAAAACTACTGACGTCCGCAAAGACGTTAAACTACGGGTCGTCCGAAACGACGATAAACTACGGACCGTCCCGCATGATGTTTTAAACTGCCAGTCGTGGATATATCTCGCACCCCGACCAATATATCAGCTGTGGTCTTGATGTCTACTCGTGCAAGCGAACGGACAGACTTGGGAAAGGAGTCAGACTCCTCCTTATTCCTCGCTGCACCCTTCAAGTCTAATTCTCTTCACATCCTTGCCTCGAACCCAACACTACACGTGGTATTCCCCACCATAGGCCCACGTTTGTGAAAAACAAACTCTGGACGCCGTAAACTGCCTCACCGGAGATGAGTCCACCGTATGGGGACAATACTGCTTGGGATTTGGCTGCAACCTCACCGGAGATGAGCTCACCGTATGGGAGCGATACTGCTTGGGGCGTCATGACTGGTAGCCTGGAGAAGTAGGCCTAAGCCTTCGTAAAGCGATCAACCTACTTGTCCATGGGCGCCATCCACTGTCGTCAAGAGGAACAACAAATCATGAGGATAGACGACTATCCTGGAAACACTGAGGTTTGGCCCTCGGAGAAGGAAGAAGAAGAACCTGATGACACGAACTAGAACCCACACGCTCGAATTTCTACACATCCACACACCACTCGCATTCATACGCCTTTCTTGATGCTGTTCCAGAAGCGGGCTGGAAGTAAGACCGCGATGCGGTTTACCCGCGGCAAAATCAATCCCACGGGTGAAGGAAGAACACCCTACAGAGCGGAGGTTTGGTACCCTCGTGCCTCGACAAACAAACAGCTCAACGGAGATGGAAAACTCCTAGAGGATCAAACGACGTAAGTCGGTCTTCCTCCCAGAAAACGAAGTCATGTCCCGGAAGTCGCATCCGGCGACCATCGTTGGATCAAGAAAGCAAATCGTATATGGAGCGGCGATGACACGCAAGGCGTGGTCCTACCAGGCGAATAGGACGTAGAAAGGGGGTGTTGTTATGATCACGTTCTATCGGGCCTACACGGCGGTCTATTCCGATACGATCATCACAAATATCACGCGGCCTCACAGGTTGAGGCGTACACCAAGGTACAGATATTAACCTTGGTCATCCACTCCCAATGGATCATCAATCATTGGTCGAGTATCACGGGCCTTGTATTAGCGGGCATGGAACGCCGCCTTATAAATTACTCACACGCAGGGCATGAACCTCCTAGTCTCTCCTGGCCGGAAGGAGACCAACGGAGAAGCACAAGAGTAGTCGTTATTGAGAGAGACGACTTAGAGAATACCTACAGATACATATTCGGTATTCTCACGCCCTACTTCCCAAAGTAGTATAAAAGGCCCATAGAATAGGCTGACGATCTTCAGTCTATTCTCTTCGTTCTTAGGCAGTCTTCATACTGTCTACTTCGTTCGCTGTAGTCTTCCTACTACAGCCCTTCGTTCCAGTACTGTCTCCCTACAGTACTCTCTATTGCTACTCTGCAATACACTCCAGGCTCCTGTGCTGCACGTACAGTCGAGACCATCGTTCCACACATCCTCCACGAGTGACCTAGGGAAGAACCTCCTACTCTTGGGGTTACCGAACGAGCAGTTTGTAACACTACCACGGCTGTAGTATCTCGTGCCTCGTCTTCGGCCTCAAATGGAACACCACTTTGCCCAATGCCAGGGGCTTATCCCATGGGATGCCACAGAAGGGACGACGTTTATAGGTTCACATAGGTCTCCCCCCATTACCACATCACCCCCGCGTGGCTCGGACTAATCTGCTCATCCACTCGAACTCGACCTTCCCTTTGTAGAATACGACTCTAGCAAGTCCAACGCTAGGCCCATCGTCCTACGCCCTCACGGAGCTTGAAGAAAGATGACGCCTCCATCCAGTATAACATAAAACTGCCAGGGCAGACGACAGTTTGACTCTGTTGGGCCGGCAACCACTGCCATGATGAGACAAGGGACTCGGCTCTAGAACGCAGTCCCCGCGTGGTTGGTAACAAGGTGGTGTATCATGACGTCCGTACTCAAGGGCTATCACATCATGACTCGACAATAGGGAGCGAGAATTTGTGCCCTAAGTATTATTTTCCCACACGCTTTATGACCCAAACTGTATGCATTGCTTATGTTTTTTCTGGACTATTACTTACCGTCTCTGGCACTGACGGCCTAGAGGGGGGGGTAATGTTACAAAATGTTCTGCTTATGCCCACTTACTTTTCCCACCATCTTGATAAGAACACATAGGACCCCTCTCCCGACTCTACCTCGCCTTCCTGTTCCATTAGTACTTGGTCCGTGCTTTCACCTGTACATATTTATAGATACTGCAGCGCAGTGTGGAAGCCTTAGGCTATCCACCTCTGTCCAATCTAAGAACTGCTGTTTATACAGTCTTCTTTGATTCTAAAGACATCAGTCTGATCAGTCCTGAATATTCTCTTAAATCCTCTTGTATTGTTTGTGGCCTAGGATCTCCTTGTCTCGAACAGCCGTTCGTGACACCAGCACAAGCTTCCCCCAGTGTTCTAATAAATGCTATGGTGAGCCCACTTCTATTACATACTCTCAGATTGACACTTACAATACTTTGAAATAGATATTACCTTCTAGGTAGATGTCATATAGCATTTTGCAGTGTCCCAATAGACACTGAGATATTACTTTCTAGCCCGTATTTCTACATTACCACACTAAAAATTATGTAGGAGTTTGCTATTTGTGAAGAGGCTTTCATTGATCTTCTCTCTGACACTCCAAAGTATTTACCATTAGCTACTCCCCCTCCCTCCCCAGTTATTCCTCCTTCCATCCCTGCCTCACAGATTGACTGGGATTGGTGATCCTATGTTAATAACATTACTTTCATTTCTTTTATGTAAATAACTCGCTTTTTTACACGTAATTAATTTGTTATTAACACATATTAATAAATCCTCCGAGGAGGTTTTGTTATTAACAAATGTTAGAAACCCTCCATGAATTACTCATGGAACCCTAGTTTTCATGGGCCCAGGGGGATCTTCAAAAGCACTTGACTGATACTGGGACCAGGCAATGCCCGAAGGGCCGTGTATTTACCTCCTACTCTTGAATGCAAATAAATTGGACTGAAAGATATGTACGATCAAAAAAAGGACAAATATAGGCCATTTTCAGAGATCCGATCGGTTTCGGACGTTTTTAGGTCAAAAAGTCTGCGGACAGAAAGGCTCAAAAATGGCGATTTTGGAGCGGACCTTTCTAGGCCCTGATCTACCAGGAGCACTCTTCAAGGTGCCAGGAATTCTCGATATGGACCATACACTCCAATACAGTGCTTACCAGAGGGCATTGTCTAACTACTCTGATGCCTCGCCCATGGTTCTGACACCTTTGGCCCATCCCACTCCTCATCAACCGACTGGTCAGTACTTGGGTGGCGCGATCGGTCCTCCTCTCGGTGTGAACGAGGAGAACAAGATCTATGCTCTTGTCATTGAGCTCATGGATCCAGAATCACGCGAGGCTGCACTTCTTGAACTCAGCAAAAAGAGAGAACAGTATGATGATCTGGCATTGGTTCTTTGGCATGCATTTGGTCCGTCCCTTCTTCACTACTCCTCCATCATGACGTTATAGAGAGAATCTAGGAATCATGCCCGCACTTTTGCAAGAGATTGTCTCCGTCTATCCCCTCTTATCACCTCCAAATCTGACCGCTCACGTCTCGAATCGTGTTTGCAATGCTCTCGCTCTTTTGCAATGCGTCGCATCGCACTCGGAAACAAGGCAGCTGTTTCTTAACGGTTTGATTCCACCCCCTAATGTGATACATACGCCCATACTAATGATGTCCTAGCACATATTCCCTTGTTTCTCTACCCCTTTCTGAACACAACCTCAAAGACACGTCCATTCGAATACCTTCGTCTTACGTCATTGGGAGTTATTGGTGCGCTGGTTAAGGTCAGTAGATCGACCTCGATTATCACATCTCTTGACGTGAACCCTCCATACTAGCAAAACGACAACAATACTGTCATTCACTTCCTCCTTTCTACAGAGATCATTCCACTCTGTCTCCGAATCATGGAAACGGGCTCGGAATTGTCTAAAACAGTCGCAATTTTCATCGTGCAGAAGATCCTTCTTGACGAGACAGGCCTCACTTACATTTGTCATACCTATGAACGCTTCTTCGCCGTTGGAACTGTCCTCAGCAATATGGTCAACCAGCTGGTTGACACCCAGGCAGTCCGCCTTCTGAAGCACGTCGTTCGATGCTATCTCAGACTTAGCGATAACCCAAGGTCGGACCTGTGTCTCTTGCTGTTTACATTATTCATCTGAGAGTATAGGGCACGCGAGGCTCTCCGAGCTTGTTTACCTGAACCGTTACGTGACAGTACCTTCAGTGCTCTTCTCAAGGTCAGCCAGCCGACAGGATCAAATTCGTGAATACTTACCATTAAAACTCTTCTCATAGGGTGATATGGTCACGAAAAGATGTTTGACTACGTTGTTGACCAATCTTAGCGAACAAGTATGAGCCAACCGCATCACTATATGTATATCATAACTTTGTACTTTGTCGCTTTTATTGTCGAAATGTTCGCGATGCTACCGGAACCATGATATTATATTGCTCACATATCTATATTTTCCATGACCAAATGCTGAACAGCGCATCAAAGCCTTGATTCTGCTTCATCAACTTGAATAGTTAATTCGTCCAATCCATGTACCTTGCTTCGCAGCAAGGCGTCTACGCGCTCAACTACTCGGTCCAGTTTGGTGTGGGCATAGCTACCCGATGAGCTGAATGATGGGGGGGAGAACTGGACATGAATTGATCCAATAAGACTAGAGGCGTCTTTCGGCCAAAAATGGGGGGAGCTGTACGATGAGAGGCCCTCAACGGACGAAAGCTAGAAATATTGGCTGATGTTAACAATTGAAAATTGTTTTAAAGGTATAGTGTTACTGACATCTGCCAAAGCTCCTTGAATATCGATATCGCGGTTAGAGACATCCAAGGAGAGGACCTTTCCTGTATCAATCACAAGAGGAATGACGCTGGCAGCGATGAGAACAGCAATGAACAGCGACGCTATGGGATCGAATCCGGTCCAGCCGTAGAGCTGTATCAAGAGTGTCGACACAATAACTCCAACAGACCCCAGTGTATCCTATGCGACTATCAGCATTCATCACGGAAGAGCATCAAGCATCTTACCGCCATGACATGTAAGAATACGCCACGCATATTGTGACTATGACCCTCATGAGGATGGGCGTGCGTATGCGAGTGATCGTGAAGGTTTGGCATGTGGTGGGACTGATGGTGAGCTGCGAAGTGCTCATCATGGCCAAAGCGATAACTCGGAGTTATTGGTGACAGAATCGAGTCTGGCGCATCGCTTAATCGAGCCAACATAATAGGACGGTCTACGCCTATGAGGTTGCTCTTATCGGCGTCGATTCGTAAAGATGACCCCCTTGAATGCCGTTTTGTATGGTGAGAATGATGCACATAATCATCAGCGGAATGTTCCTCTAAAGGTCAACATTATCAAAGAGCTTTACATTGGCATCCATGTCAATTCAGGAATGCACACCTATTATGCAACTTCTGCTCGAGTCCTCGATGGAGCTACGCGAGTGCGAATGTTCATAATCGTGGTCCTGCTCGTGGCCATGGTCATGATCGTGGTCGTGATGATGGAAATGACCACTATCACTTTGTTCATGGCGATGAGGATGAGACTACAAGAGAACAATGGAAAAATCAATACTGCTCTTATACAGCAGCTGTAAACATCAGACGTACGTGATCATGAGATTGACTCTTGTGGTCGGAATGAGAAATTCTGTGATCATGCCCGTGATCATGCGAGTGATCATGTCCATGCCCATGATGATGGCCACCCATAGCAAACATTCCGAACAGATTAACGCACAAGCCCAAGCTGCTGACTAGCAAGAGCTGGTTCGTGTTCATGGGAGGAGGATCAAGGCTATCTAGCGATGAGCATTTAATCAACATTAATATAGCCAACAACTTACAGACGTTGAATGGCCTCGAAGATAATGAAGATCGAGATCAAGATGAGGAAGATGCCGTTTGCAAAGCCAGACAAGGTCTCGATCCGCGCATAGCTAGGATGGTCTGAAATCAATACACGTACACTTCAAGAACACCATGAGCCCTGACCCATATGTGAATTGCTCATTAGGAGGCCATGTAGCCATAACGGATGCCAGAAGTCCAACTCCAATAGCCATACAGTCGAATCCCATGTGGATAGCTGTAGGACCGTCAAGATAGAGTCCACTGTGTTCAAAGTGGACCTGCATACGTACCGTCAGATATTAAGCCCAAGCTATTAGTCCATATCCCATACACCATTTGGACAAGCATATAGGAAAGATTGAGCATGAGAAAGTAGAATATTTTCCTCGACTCTGCATTCTCCATGATCGCCTTCATATATGAGCGTATGACACGAGAAGTGGGGGTTGGAACGATTCCGTCTATGGGCTGCGACTTGCGAGGGAAGATTCCTGAGAATGTATTCACAAGCCGCATTGTGCTAGTAGCCAAAGACTTAACGTACCATAGAGCATTAACCCGCCGACCAGATAATCAACCAAAGTGGGGGATTGTGAGAATAATAGAACTCCAAAGACCACGGTCAGGAGACATGTCGATGTATATGAGGCGAGGAAATACTCGGGCGATCCACTAGAAGTATCAGAAAGTTTTCGTGTTGGCAATGAGGTATATGACAGAAGAGGTATGATTGTGAGAGACAATAGTGGGACGATTGGCGTGGGTGTGACAGTGACCTATAGATGATATCAGAGATATTCAATGATACCAAGAAGCGATATCAACAAACCACCAGCTCTCGCGTCGAATACAAGACAAGGCAGATAACAGAAGCACCCAAGACAGTTGGAGCAAATGTCGAGCCTCGTTTGGTTGTGAAGTTGTTGTGCAAATACTGTAGACCTGAGGCCGATATAGCATGAAGCATGAGCGCCAAGTAGCCAGGGAGGGTCCCCCGAACATTGTCAATCGAGAACTTTGCGTCAGAAGCAAATGAGATCCCCACAGCAAGGACAACGGCTGTAGAATAGACGAACTGAACCTATATCAGCGTTGTTTCCAGGACATGTGGATATCGGAACATGCGAACTGATGAAGGGCTTGTTAGCGTATAGATCCAGGTTGCGGAGAATCGAGTGAAGATGATCGCCCTGCATAAGTTCAGCTCATGTAGAGCGACACAAATTCAATGCATACCGTGTTGAGGGTAATTTAGATACCACCACGAATAGACTTCCGTGTTGACAACAAAGGACCAAAGATGAGATAAGGAGAACAGGCCACTGGACGGCAACGGCATTACGAATATAAGCTATGAATAGTACCTGGTTGAAAGCTACTCACTTCGATAGAGCTCATGCTCGTGAATATCTTCTCAACATTTCCCGAGAAGACTTCTTTTGCGCAGACCCCTAAGCCCTCAAGCGCTAGCACGCGCATCAAAACCCAAGGAATAGAGACATCTTGCGAAAACAGCCATTCTTGGGCCATCCAGATGGATATTACAAGTAGGACATCGGAGACTAGCAGTTCAGGAAGTAACTGGTTCGAGATCCTGCACTACCATTAACTTTGCGCCGCAAGCGACAATGAAGGCTTACGAGGTGGATAGAACTATCTTCGGATTCAATATAACCTTCTTGCGGGTTCTAGAGTTTGTGGTGTCCATGCTTGACGAGCACGGAGGAACGGAGCTGGCGAGTTTGCCAGCCTTGATCACCACGTGAAGCTATTCTTTGATAAGATAAGATGCTACATGCAAGGCGAACAAGAGGCAACAAGAATACAGTTCTACTGGTACAGACGCTTCGCCAATACTACGGACTCGACCACGCATGGGGGTAAAGATAAACATGAAGAGGCTTGTCCAACAGCCGAAGCCCAAATACTACCCAAGAATAATGAAAAGTGAAAAAATAATACAAGTCCGTCGAAACACCTTTACGGTTGATTGAACTGAGCCACCTGTGCTACTAAGCTGTTCCACGCAGCAGTCGGATCGCCTGAGGGACTGCCGCTGGACCCATCACCTGCCACAGTCATCATCGTCTGTTGTGAGAGATATCCAGGCTGGCATAGCGAGGCATGGAAGTCGAACCCATTCGTTGAATATTGATCTGACAGGTCATCTATCATCATCCCTGTCTGTTCCTGTTGCCCACCTGTATATCCAAAGCCGGCAGGGTGATGCGTATGCCACTGGTCAGGGGATAGACTATAAGTCGAATAGTCGTAAGAATGCGAATGTGAATGCGAATGCGAATGTGAATGTGAATGCGATGGTGTGTGCTGGAGCGGGGCGTATCCGCTCCATTGTTGGGGATCTGTAATCAGATGCGTTGGGGGATGAAGCACGTTGATAGGTGCCGGTGGAATTGGTGCTGGGACAGCGGCAGGGACAGCAGCTGGTATATTAGACGCAGACGATTGGGGTTGACCATGTGACTGGGGTGGTGGTGAAGCTTGGGCCAAAGCTGGAGAACTTGAACCAGTGAGAGCGTGCAACTTTGCAGGGGAAGATGGTAGCGAATTCGTTTTCTTCGGCACAAAACGCGTCTTTCCGCCAAGAGTAGCCAACTCATCGTCCTCTTTTTTGACATCACGGTCTTCTGAAGAAAACCTTGACGAAGGGACGACAGCGTTCTGTGTCTGCATCTCACTCATTGAGGCGATCGCCCGTTCTTTGAGCTTCAATAAGACAGGCTGTAGAGACTTTTTGAGCAACGGCTCGCCCAAAAATTAGGACAATACTCACAAGAACTTTCACTGCACGTGGATTTTCAGAAACCTGATCAAATAGCCGCGATGCGGATTCAAGATGCGATAAAGCCGAGCGTGATAGCGCCATACTGGGACATTTGATGGGAATTGATCCTAATACAATCTAGTTGGAGTAATCGGTCAGCCCGTTAACACCGATTACATATGCGAGAACATACAGCACAAGAAAAGACGTGAGTGAACAAGAACCACATGCGTTCAGTGAGGCGGGGCTGCTGCGAGAACAGGCTCTTGATCAACCCAACAAAAGAACACGCGCTACTATATGCGGCCAATACCGATGGAGCATATTTACTACCCAAAGGATCGTCTGGGCAATCTTCAATAGCTCGTGCGAAGAAACCCCGATGCATATAAAACAGGGCTATTATGTGTTAGTTCCGTTATTATTTTAACAAAGAGTCGGCGAACTCACATATCTCTTTGATGGACAACCCAATATACCGTTGCATAGTGAGCGATGGAGACGAGGGTTCTATCTCTGCCATCGGCCCTCCAAAACCTGGAACCTGAAGGGACGGTGGGGTGTAAAAATCCCTCACTTTTCTGTCCAATTCCTGGATCACTTTGTAGCTTGGCGTGCGCGCCCCAAAAGCCTGATCGTGCACAAGGCTAAGGCATTGAGATGCAAAGCGGTGTTTCCACAGCTCAACTAAGGGGACATGTGAGACAGGAAAAAGAAAACAAAGAGTACGAGCAACTCACAACCCATTTCTTCTTCCCCTTGTTCGTTCTTGAAAGGTTCGTACGCCATTCTGCAATCCATATGCACCAAGGAGAATGAAGGAGGCCTCCCATACGTTAGACTCTGGAACCGCGTTGAGAACAGACGTGATTCAAACACATGCCGATACATACCTGCCACGAATCATAAGTATATATCTCCCACATGAGAGATCTACGTCTGTGGGTTTCATCTGCGCTGAGACCCCACCTGCCGCTATCTCTGTCTGTTACCGAAAGGTCAGAGATTGTTCTAAGGGCGAGATTGTTCAGCGCAACTTACGAAGCCCACACTAACACCGATGCATGAAATCAGCAGTCAGCGGCCACTCGAATGGTGATAGAATGTGTAGATAACACAAAGAACACTAACCCCTTGCGCCAACTTTACGACCAATCCCATAAGCGCCCATCGCGGACCGTCGATGTCTGAGAGGAACATATAGTGGGACATCAAGAGCTTCATAACCAAGTCATAGAGTTTCAGTTTCATCCCTTGATGTCAGTGATAGATTGCATACCAAAGCCTGTATCGCTGGGATAGACTGTTCCTCGAATAAAGAATCTACCCCCAACGCGGCACGTCCCAATTGATAATACAGATTCGCGTCGTACGAATTTGGTGGTCTATCCGGGTCTAACAAGGCCCCTAAGGCAAGAATCATGTACATGACCGCAATCCTGTGAGACTTGATCGGATCGGGATTGGAAGTGGACTGCACGTCGTATATGCGACCAAAAATTGTTTCATAAAAGTCCGATTGGTGTATGGGCCGATACCTACATATAGATGCCAATTTAGGGACTACCCCGTGATGTCGAGATTGAGATACTCACATCCAGGCAGCGTTGCGATAGTAGATGTCGGATAAGTGCTCCGCCTTTGCGGCGTCTGGAAGGAAGCCGACCAGTGTCCCTCGAACACCTTGAATGGTTTTAGAGACGTTTGGAGTGAAAGGAAACGCGTGACTGAGCCAAGGAAGATCGTTGGGTACAGGAAGATCAGGGCTATTGGCATCGTCTTCGTCACTGCTACTAGCTTCGTTCTGTGTAGTATACGAGTATCACTATTGCAGCAGCAATTTGTGACTAAGAGACATCACTGACCTGTAACAGATACTGATCACAAAGACATGAGATAGAATAACCCTAGGAACAAAGAGATAACACACCCATGCATTGGCTGTTTGCCCGTAAAAGTTGTTTCGTCCTGTATCGGAGATAGAGCTGAGAGGATGTGTCAAAATTGAGTCTATTCCAGTTTAAAATAACTCACAGAGAACCGACAGCGTCGATAGCCTCGGCAGTTTCTGCCTCCTGAGGTGGCGTGACCTCTTTCTTGGCCTCCCTCTCGAGCGGACGTTTGATTTGCAAGAGATCATCAGTCAACAGTGGATGGCGCTCATTCGAGTGAAAACCGTGGGCCTCGGCTAATGCGTCCTCTAGCTGCCGAACGCGAGTGGACAACTGACCAATCTTGTCATGGAGGACTTCTGTATTGGCGAGGATGAATCTGGATTGAATGTGAAAACATGATCTTTCAATGTACGCCAGAAAAAAAATGACCTGTTTCCCTTCCCAGTTGTGAGAGAGCCTATGATGGCGGGGTGAGAGCAAGGTCGGACGAGGAGGTACGGCGGACGAACCATCAGGGCATATAGCTGCACACCCCTTCTTCACGCAGCTCGTACACGGAAACACTCGACTACACCTGATTCAGAAGTATGAGAGAAGCCTATCATAATGTGAAAACAATGGACAGAAGTACCTGAGCTTGAGCCTGAAGACGGCGGAAGGGGTGAGTAGGAAATCGAGAGCGAAGTCAAGGGCAGGTACCTTCTGCATTCCGCACATGAAAGAGCAGCGCTGCGACGCCTCTGTTTTGGGGAGAGGGTTGCGGGCGAACTGGAGTCAGCTGCGGGGTAGGAGGACATGATGGGCGGGATGGAAGAGATGGCGGGAACGCCAGTTGCAGAGCGACGTCCAGAGGAATCAGGGTTAAATTCCAAGTTATCTAAAATCACTTAAGCCGACAGCCTGGATCGGATATCAGCGGAGGCATAAATCGTCTGTGCTAACCCTCTCGACCAATTCTGACCCTGACCGTTTGAACTCTCTCGGACATTCCCAAGCCTCATGCGCCCTCTGCTATCTCCGATTTCTCCTCAGACAGTGCAAGCGCCTCGCTCATCTACACTACACCAGGGCTCCACCGGCATCCTGCCTCCTTGAGTATCAACAGTGCCCACTGGAAATCCATCCTGGCAAATTCCTGCTCGCTCGTTGGCTATGGGGATCATCATCACATGTTTATATCGGTATCCTTCCGTAAGATGCAGAATCTTGGTCCTAATTATTAGTAAGCTCCCATCTCTCCCACCTACTTATCAGCTGGGAATTCGAATTGACGGAGTATAGCATCCGAACTATTGCAGCAAACTCGAGAACTGTTGGGGATGTTGTCGAAGTAAATGCAAGGCAAGTTCTAAACCTGTGCAACTATGACTCATATTGCTTCAGAACAGCATCATTCGGGCATTGGGATCTCTATTAACATGAAATGTCTTATTCATGAGCTGGTCAAACGATCGTGGTCATGATCAGCCAATTCAAAATGTTTGCAATAGGCCGTCCAATATTTAGTTTTCAGTAGATGCTGACGATGAGAGACATAAATTGATTGGTTTAATCACAGCCATAGACGGATCGGAGCCCGTGTCGGCGCCCATCAATTCGTCGAAACCGTTCAGATGTGCTGGATGGATATCAGAGCTCGAGGAAGCATCTGAATCTCGTTCTAACTGTTAATGCGCGCCGATGTTGATTGATGTCAGTATCGTAGCCGCTGACAATTCTTCATACTGAAACTAGCGGTTCCGACATGCTGAGAGTACGAGATTAAGTATATGTTCTGTTATTACAACTCACCGCAAGCTGTCGTCGACCGTGTGAGGGCAGGTAAGGGCAGACTCTGGCAGATTCCACTCAGATTCCCAAGATTTTATAATGTGTTCAATCTGGATAACCGATCACCGATCCTTATCTAGATACGACTTGACTTAATTATTAGCGCCGTTCTGAATAAACACTCAGACTTCGACGCTGAGAAGCGCTGAGAATGATAATAGGTACACAAACAAGCGCTCGGGTACCTAGAAATGCTGGGGTATATGTACAGGATTACAGATTACAGGTGCGACATGCTAAGTAAAGGAACCGATCGTCGTAAAGGTCATTAACACAACTTGTTCATATCTGCTAGAAGTCTCCACGTCATATCAGCTATCCAATCTGCTCAATCTCGTGAAACTGCAACTGTTGATGGTCCAATATGGCCGAAGGAGACCCTCCCTTCTCGTGTACCAAGACGTTCAAGCATGGCTGCTCTACTGGGCTTACTGGTGCCGTCGACTCTGCGGTGGTTGACGATGAATCTGAACCGTTGTACATAGGCTCTCGGGCTCCAGACGACACCTGATGCTGTGGCGGTACAGCCGTGGTCGAAGAGACGCTCCCTCGACTACCAAAGAATCCTCCCAACTTTTTCGTGATGGGTTCAGCTTGGCTCAACGTTGGCGACGTCAGAGTGTCTGCATTGCCTGCTCCCGTCGCCAAATTCCCGCCTGCCTCGACCTTCCACAATTTGAAACCCCAGAGCGATGCGTTCCCACTGCCATTGCCACTACCACTGCTCTTGCGATCCGAACTATCACCACGTACCATCGGGGATGGTTGGCTAACATCCACTGCCGAATTCGACCCGACGTTGTTATCAGCAATAAACTCCCGTAAGGCCTTGACACACATTTCCGAAGCCTCGCGGGCCTCGTTCGACTCGGTGATTTCGTGCCGTGCTTCATCCAACGCCGCTGTCAAAGTCTTCACCTCCTTACGCAAGGCTTGTATCTCAGTATTAGAAGGACCCGACCGACCAAGATCAAGGGGCTCCGGAGGAGAGGAACGGCCAAATAACCCAGAAAAACGTTTGGTAGAGACTGGTGGGTGAGATGGTGAATTGGGTACGTCAGGGAGAGAAATGATCTGGGAGTTGGGAGACGTGGATAGAAGGTCTGCCTGTCCTGCGTCTGCCCATCCAACATTCGAATCAGAGACTGATGAGATACGTCTGTGCATGCGTGCCGCTCCGGATCCCGTGAGAGGTGTGAACGAAGCTCGCTTGCTCGAAGCAGGCCCTCCAAATGACGGTAGTCCTGCGCGCGACAGGTCCAGCGACATGTTTGCGCTCATCCTCCTGCTCTCCGTTTGTAATCGCATAAGCCCTCGTCTGTGTAGCACATAAATGAGCTGGCCATCGTAACGTATTATTCAATCTCCACAAACCTGCTCTCCTCGACTTTACTCCGCAGCATCGCAATGGACTCTTCGTCTTCCTTGTTCTTCTGCTTCTGGATTTCCAGCTCTTTCTCCGCTCGTTCTTGCATGCTCCTCACGCGGCTCAGCTCCTCGCCTAGTTCATGTTCTCTCTGCCGGGATTTCCGCAACGTCGCTGCTAGTTCGTCACGCTCCTTCGATACATCAGCAAGATTCATGCGCAAGGTAGTGACGATAGAAGCAAGGACATGGGGATCGAGAGACTGCGGGCGTGCATTGGCAGGAGAATTGGGTAGAGATTCATCCTCCAGTTGTCGTTCTAGTTCGAGCGAAAGGTCGATGGAATGAGGACGATTGGTGGAAGCAGCCTTGTCCTGCTCGTGAATCGTCTCTTGAGACATCGTGGTCGATAGAAAAAAAGAGAGGTTAAGGAATTTGCTGTGTTGCTACACAACACATACCTCAGTACGCGGTCATGGGGACCGCGTGCATGTCATCACTCCTGATAATGACTAAGCAAATCTGTAGCCTGGGACCTGCTGGGGGCCATGCTGAGCAGTGGCGGGTCTCGCTGAGTGGTTTGATGCCCCTGATGGTAACAAAGCGTCGAGGAAGACTTCTCTTATTGTTTCTTATTCTAAGGCTCCCAGAATGATACTTGTTGAATCTTCAGCGCTCAACGTTGAGCGCCCTCTGTTGAGCGCTCAACAGAGCGCGCTCCACTGGCACTTTACTATCTGCTAATTCGAGTCATCAGGATTGCGAGCGTATGTCTGTGTATCCGGAAATCACTGCATAGAAAATGGGCAACGTTGACATTGAAATCCTCAGAGGATGCCCAAGAAAGAAAATTCCTCTTTTTGAAGTCTACTGAACCATCCATATCATCCAAACTTTTCAGTCAGACCTCAGAATGTATACATAAAAAGCTGCATTTTTAGAGCTCAAGAATTACTGATACATTATACAAACCCTTCTCCAATTTAACGACTCTTCTACTCGCACAAATCCTCCCTTCCATCTTCCTTCCATCAAGAGGTGAAAAAAAAGACAACAGACCGACGAAACACGCCCCGATTGCCTTGATTGAAAATAGAAACAACACGCCATGCGCACCGCTCTCATACGTGTGTCAGGGCATCCACGCAGATGGCGCCGTCACGCTCACTCCAAGGATACCCCCACCGATGAAGCCATTCGCGGACTCCAGCGGCCAAACGTTCGCGTGACGCTCCACGTGCAGCATCCTGCGTGCCTGTGTGTTTCTCTTCCCCTACAACCAAATAAGCTGAGAGTCCCCGAGCATCAGTAAGCGCCACATTAAACCGCTCATCAGCTCACCTAATCCATAGAAATGCTCTCGTTCCAGCTGAACGGGCGATGCATTAGCCGCAGTATCAAATGTCAGCAAATACAGATTGAAAACTTACAGCCAATAAAAAGTCCTCCAATACCTCGGTCGCCTCGTTTGAATGCAACCCATGCAAATCTAATACACACTCCGTCCTCTCCTCAGGGCTCAGCTTGCCCTTATCACCGGCGAGATCCGTTCGTGCGACACCTAAGATTACACCGAATCCTCCTCCACAAGTCTGTCCCCGGCTTGTCCTGTCCCTAGGATCATCCGACCACCCTGTATCTCTTTCCCTAACAGCTTGCTCGGCCAGCTCGGCACGCTCCCGAACTAAAGTGCGCCCCGCCTCAGTCATCTCCGTGGCCATTTTGTTATTTAAATCATGGCCTTCCCGACTGAAGCGCTTAGCTGCAGCGCCATCACCACGCCTCCATGCATCAGCAGCGCGCGATAAGCAGGCATTGCGCGCTGCGCCCAGTTGCAGCGCCCGCGCACGATAAGCCATGTATAGACGATTGACCGACTCGCCGGTCGGTAGCGTGGGTAGGAGAGTCGGCGGCCGCAGCTTCAGACGTGGTGAAGGCTTTGGAGCGACAATAGCTGTGCGATGATGCAGTGATTCCGCAGCGCTCCCCATAGCCTCTCGCCGTGCAGCGAGCGTGGCTTGATCTCTAGGTTGATATGCCATGGCTGGTGAAGTCGGTGCGGCTTTCTTGACAGCCGTTGCAAACCGAGTCCGCCCAGGGTCGTGATGACTTCTATCGCTGCGCCCGTAGAAACCTCCACGCCGCGCTTTGTCGTCCTCAGGATGGGCAAAACCAAGGACGGGAAATTCATCGGGGGGAGGACTGTCGTTCCTGATATTTTCATCGTTGTTCATATCGACTCGCGCCATCGAGGCGGTCAACCCAGATACATCGACATCCTTTGGCAGGTGGTGTAAAAATTCACAACTCTCCTGCTTGGCACACGTTCCGCGCAGCCAGAAGCGGCAGAGAGCGCGTTCAAGGTCGTGACTACATTGGAACACGTCAGCAACAGGAACACAAACAAAGAAACATCGACAGACTGGCCTAAAACGACAGTCAGCCCTTAAACATTCACCCGCCAGGAAATATCTGCAAACTCTGTTGCCTGTTGGGATTGGCCTACCATTTACATACCTAAGCGAGTTCCTCGCACTACCCACGTTCATTTGGTTTCCGGCCCTTCCTCCACGAACGAATCCTGCAGCACCCGCTCCATCACGAGATACCAGCGACACTCGACCACCCATGTTTTGATATTTAGGCAAGCTATGATGTTGTGGTGATGCTGTGCGATCGACAAGCCATGCCATAGCCCTTTCGAAGTCATAGCCATTGTTGGCAAGAGCGTCCTCGAGCTCCGAGGGAGCGAGGGAGGCTCCAAAGACCGACGACAGTACATCGAACGGCGTCATCCCATCCGTCAGTAGATCTGCTGCGTCACCGTCTGCTCCTAGATTGCTGTCTTGTGAAGGCTGAGATCCATACGATGGGGGGGATAGCTGCTCGGGCGCATGAAATCTGTCCATGGACCAAGAGGAGTTTGAGCTCGGTGAGTTGCTCCACTGCGGGTCAAAGTCGGCATTAGACACGGGATGGAATGACCTAAGCCCGGACTTGGTTGCGAAAGGGTCGAAGGGGTCGTCGTCGTCATCGTTGTCACTGGGGTGAATAGTCTCGCGAAGGGAAGAGGTGGGTGTTCCTGAGCGTGAGAGAAGTGTACTATCAGGGACAAGCGGCGCAGCGATGGCAAGATTCGACGTCGCTCTAGATGGGTTATGAGCCCAAAGGTCAGGAGAGGGAGTCTCAGCCCTCAGTCCGGATAGAGTGCTTGGGTTGGACGAAGCCGCAGACAGAGGTCGAGGATGGGGTCTAAACTCGGAGGCTTTGGCGTTAAGCAGTCGAGGTGATGAAAGTGGTGATGATGGCAGACTACTTGCGAATTGTACGTATGCTTGAGGCATGGCGTATGAGAGCGTCGGAGAGGCCGTAGGAGAGTCAGTGTGGGCACTATGGGCGGTCATGTATGACGATTGCCCGTGCCCCGTAACGAGAGGCGAAGTGATAGGTGTGTGTGGTCTACGAAATACATAAGCAAGAGGAGAACTGGGAGCTGAGTTGGGAGTATCTGGGCGGTTTGGAATCAATCGGGTGGAATGAGAGGACGCGCGCGAAGAGGGGCGCGAGATGGGACGGCGGCTGGGGGTGAGGTAGAGAAAGGGCACGCCAGCGACGTCGTCCCTGTGTTTATGCATGAGATCTAAGACATTCTGTTCGAGCTAAAGATAAAGATGAACATGGTAACCTCGAGCTAAAATCTGAACACACTTACAGCCTCATCATCTAAACCGCTGTAGGTATCCTTGAGCAGCCCTTTGAGCTCATCCTCATGTTCATGATCAAGAAGACTAACGACCCTGGAAACTAAGGTCGGACTGACACGATTCAGATCGTCGCCCTCAGCGTCACTGTCATAGCTGTCCGCGGGCTTGTATTGGCGTGCTAGCGCCGACAACTGTGCACGAGTGTGGGGAAAGCGAGGAAAGGATGGCGATACATCGTGACCAGAGGTGGAACCAGAATCTGATATACTACCAGAGTCTGATAGAGGCGGAGGGACCGAGAGCAGTGAGGACAACATGTATTACGTCGTTGTGACTAGAGCTGAGAGGATGGCTCTCGTTGAGAGCTGCGTGAAGCATGAACTGACCGTCCAAGGCTACAAAACTCTTTGTCGCTGCCCAGGTCTATGAGAGAGTGTGTTGGCCGATGTTCGACTCGGTCGCACAGTTGGTCAGCCGGTTTCAGCGCTTCATTTCGCTTCATTTATTACGTGTTATTTCCCTGTCGTGTAAGTTAAGTCCCACTGATAACAAGGTGAAGTTGTTCACACGATTTAAGTTCGGCACTCCTCTTGTTTCGATCTTCCATTCATGAGTTGCATACACATGGACGATGTGTATGCACATCCGGAAATTATTGTGACCCTCGGAAGGAATGGCACGGCCGTTCCGAGTTCAGCTCCCGGTGAACGGTGAACATTAGATAGCCCAAACCCGCTACCTTCCACCAAAAAGTCTATATTGATAGATACCCAGGATCGAATACAGGTTGACCTACGCAGAGGGGGGCTCTAGAACACTAGGCAAGTTATAGCGGTACAACTTTTGGGAACAAAAAAAATACATCGGGAAAAGATAGCGAAACGCCTATACAGCGGACCCAAGAAAAGACAACGTCCCTAGAGATGAAGCAATGTTCATGTCATCCCAAGCTGCGCGACAAACTCCTGCCATGTGCCCTGCATCGACTCCGGCGTTGTTGCCGACGAAGAGTGTCCCCGCGGCTCCTCGGACATCACCCCGTTCATGTCCATGGCATAGAATCCTTCCATTCCCATCCCGTTCATCCCACTCGCGCTGTAGTCAAACACGGGAAAGTACTGCGGGAAAGTCAAGTCGAGCGCGTTTTGCTGCTGTTGCATTGGCTGCGCGGCCTGTGGCTGAGAAGGCTGATATGATACAGACGTGGCAAAGTTAGGAACAGGAGTGAAATCGAAAAGCGAGGGGTCCGGTTGCTGGAATTGCAATGTGGTGGCGGCGTTGCTGGGAACACTATGAGAATGCGCTTGTGCCGGGAGACCCACAAGGGCGCCACTGCCCACTGCGAGACCCGATGTAGCTGACTGAATGACCATTGGGACGGTGTTCATCGCGTTCGGCATCAATTGTGATGGATTGGCGCTGGGCATTGGCGCTGGGGTCGGTACAAACGTGCGCAGATAGTCGACCACGTTGGGATGCATTGAGCTTTCGCTGGCTTGATTCAGCGGCAACGGTACGACCGGGTTCATGGAAGTAGGCGAATGCTCTATGAGGATTGGTGACGAGGCAGCAGTCGAATTCTGGTTCTTAGAGACCAGACGCATCTTGCCCCCGAGCATGAGGAGCTCATCGTTTTCTTCGTCTTCATCCACAGACGACGTCGATGGTGCGCGTGCTTTGTATCGCGATGTTGGAACGCCCTTCCCATCCCTGAACGTTTGTAGACTCGTGCGAGCCTTCTGACGCAGCTTCATCATGATTTCCTGAGATACGACCCTCCTTGAATGATAGATACTTGAACGATAAACATGGCCACGTACCAGCACTTTCTCCGCTCTAAAACCTTGAGCCGTCCTCGAGAAGAGTTCGCAAGCTGAATCCAGCTGAACAAGAGCGGAGGGAGCTAGACTCATAGAGGGACACCGAGTAACAATCGCGCCCAGAACAATCTTCGACGAACATATTAGCTACCATTCCGGGCCTAATGCAATATGGGATACTCACCGCGCAAGAGAACATATGTGTCCACAGGAACCACATTCTCTCAATGGGCTCTTTGGCTTGAGAGTGTAAGTTGCGAATAAGCGCGACAAGGGAGCCCGCGCTGCGGTACGCTGCAATGACAGATGTCCCGTATGGACTCCCAAGAGGATCTTTGGGATGATCGCTGAGTGCGCGCGCGAAGAAGCTGCGATGCATGTACAGTAGATCTACAACCGCAAGCCGATGAGATGAGATGAGCATGTTTCTCCTTAAGTTGTATCATGCAAGTCTTGCTTGATGATCGGGAGAAAGGAGCATGGGTGCTTACTCATCTCGCGCACCGCTAGGACCAAATGACGCTGCATGATGAGCGGCACAGACTCAGGGACCAGATTGAGTTGGGACTCGGTGGAGTTTCCAAAGCCAGCGATTTGAAGAATAGGAGGAACTGGACATGCTCGCAGCTTTCGATCCAGCTGAAGGATTGTGGCGTAGGTGGGTGTCTTGGCGCCGAAAGCCTGGTCATGCACGACTGACATCCCAATGGAAGAAAATCGGTGTTTCCAGGCGTGGACTAAAGGACAGAAGGAGATAAAAGTTGATCAGACCTTGTAGAAATACCGTAAAAATGCCACGATGTCACCCACAAGCTTCTTCTGTTGCCGGAATATTCTGATGGGGCAGCTTACAGTCGATCTGGGCCATCACGAAAGCTGGTGGGCGTCCGAAAGTGAGGCACTACAACACATGAGAATAAGCAGGACTAGATGCCGCCATGAGACCGTCTTCATACCTGCCAAGAATCATAGACATACAACTCCCAGAAGATTTCCCGCCTTTTGCGGGTTTCCTCGGGCTCAATGTCCAATCGCCCAGTATCGCGGTCTACATACCGCAAGGCGTTATTTGTGAATCGAGCGCCCTAATGAGTTTGATCAAAAGATTACTCACGTAGCCCAATCTGTCAAACGTAACGGCACGTCAGCCAAATCTGTGACGGCATAAGATATAGTATGTCCTTACGCCCTGCGCCAGCTTGACAGCCATGCCCATGATGGCCCAGCGAGAACCGGCGTTCGCGCCGTGTCGATCAGCGAAAAACAGATAAAAAGTCATCAGGAACTGCAGGATGGGTGCTCAGTCCGCGAAATAACGAGTGAGCGGCCTGTGAAAACTTACCAGCGTCTGCACGGTGCCCAAGGTTGGCTCATCAAAGATGCTGTTCTGAAACAGCGTCGCACGCGCTAGCTGGTGATATTTCTCTGCCTCTGTGCTGTACGCAGGCAAGCGCGAGTCCATCAGACAACCAATGGCAAGAACCATGAACATGAGCGCTAAGCGCTGAGAGCGAATAATAAGCGGCTCGTCCGGCGTCGTCATCGAGACCTGGGACTTGTAGATTGCCGAATATACCGTTTCATTGAAATCGGCTGGCTGAATGGGATTATACCTAGATCAAGATTAATAAGATATTTTAGGCTAATCATCTCGAGCAGCGTACATCCAGGCGGCATGGGAGAAATAGATGTCGCGAAGTTCGGCAGCCTTATCCGCGGGAGGTAGATACCAGTACAGACTGCGAAGTCTGTCGTTGATCGCGTCGGACGACTGCTGATTCATGGGAGCAAGGCGGAAAGCCGAGCTTATCTCGAGGATTTCAGGAGGAAGTATCTTCTTGAGCTCGGCACTTCGGTCGTCGGGGTTTTCTTCTTCCATGTCCTCATTCTGAGAGGTCGAGGTGAGTCAAGCTACTCGACGTGTCGTCAGAGGACAAAGACCCTACCTGGAGAAAATACTTAATCGGGATATATCAAGGTCAGAACGACATGTTAGAGGAGTCCAAAAAAAGACTGACCCAAGAGTTGGCTGGTTGGCCATAGTACTTTGTTTGGCCGGTATGTGAGATTGATAAGGTTCCGAACGAGTCCACGTCGTCTGGATTTGTGTCGTCGTCCTCGGGTTGATTTGTGATGGTGTGGCTGCGTAATGACACGTCTCGTTGAAGAGGAGCCTTGACCCGCAAGAGGTCTTCGGAGAGAAGAGGATGTGTGTCGGAAGCGGTCTGATTGTGGGACGCGCGGAGGGCGTCTTCGAGTTCACGGACGCGTGTACAGAGTTCGGTAATCTTCTCGTGGAGTTCCTGGGTGGAAGCGAGGACAAATCTAATAGGCGGTGGTGAGAAGTGTGGGGAAGACAGAAAGAGGTGGGGACATACCGGTTTCCTTGACCCGTAGTGAGAGAACCTATGACGCGAGTAAGAAGGGGTCGAAAGCCCAATAGAGAAGCAGGACGAAATACCGTCGGGACAGATGGCTCCGCAGCCACGCTTGACGCAAGAGCTGCAGGGAATGTTGCGATCGCAGCGAAGCTTCAATCTGTAAGCAGAGATGAGCAGGGAACAAGGCGGAAGAACGGACGAAGACGAGACCTTCTGCACTCTGCGCACGAGAGCCTGGTAGCGCCACGTCTGCGCTTCTTCACGGGTTCTGGTGCGGGGGTAGGGGGATCCTGACGCTTGAAGGAGGAGGACATTGTGGTGGGAGAGAGGAGAGAGGAGAGAGGACGGAGGGTGTTGTGCACTGAGGCCAGTAAATAGCGGACAGGCGCTTGACCACAGTCGGGCACCCGCTGACCGGCGCTATTGCCCCTTTCTGATGACGACGTTATGTAAGTCATATCATTTCGAGACCCATCGCAGCCCATCGCGGCCAATGGCATCCCGTCCCCGATCAAATCCAATCTCGTTCTCGATCCTTCCAGCCTGTCCACAGTCAACCGTACTTCAACCCGTCCGCCCTCTGCTTGCAGCTGCAAATCATGGTTCCTCAATGAGCCCGCCCCTCCCACACAGTCCCATCAACGCCATCAGCATTTCCATATCATTCACAGATCCATGTCTGGCGATATGCTCATGTACTCATGTAGCCATGCCGAGGAGTGCACAAGCACAGCGGCGCACACAAATATCGCCAAGCATCTGCATCAGACTCTCCATAAAATAACATATTGCTTGCACCGCCTGATTAGTCCCATACTAGTACTTATCACCAGTCCCGGAAACGCGCACGCGCAATTTATTATTTGAGGGTCTGGGCATGGCCCACCGGTCGCACAGCCCTGGTCGCAGTCAGCCGTGGTGACGAGAGCGCATTTGATCCCTCTGCGCTGCGAAGAGAGAGAGAGTCGAGCGATTGCAAGTGTCGATGCGGATGGCGCGCACGTGGGCCGTGAATGAATTATGGCCGGAACGCGTCAGTCTGACACCGTGCGCCGCCTGACCTTGCCTCGTTTTCCTCCCTCAACCACCGATGCCACTGTGCGGAAGCTCCTCCAGATCACCAGCATTCGGCCGCGGCCGCCCAGTCTGTCCTTCCGTGCTTGACGAACCGATTATGGGTTGCTGACGCCGCATGTGATCCAGCTGCAGAGGAAGGTAGTCGTGTGCGGGGATGGTGCCTGTGGTCCGTTGCTCCCTTTCTTTCTTTGGCATATCTCCCATCCATATCACATCCCTCCAAGGCAAAACATCTCTGCTTAATGTCTTCACGAGGGGCTTCTTCACCCAAGTATAGTGTGTCCCTCTCTCCGTCCTCATTCATCCCACCCCCTCCTGCTGCCACCCCCGCGCGCTCGTCCTGACATCCGTCCGACAGTGAACCCACTGTTTTTGAAAATTATGTACATGACCTATACGTTGACGACCAACTCGTGGAATTGAGCTTGTGGGACACCGCTGGTACGCCAAGTTTCCATCCCCACCCGGAACTCAATCTCAGCACACCGTCACCTTCCCTCTCGTCGTCTTCAGGGCAAGAAGAGTTCGACCGTCTGCGGTCCCTCAGCTATGCGGAAACGCACGTCGTCATGATATGCTATTCCGTGCGTCCCCCCTCGTCCGATCCCCGTCCCCTCGCATGTTCCGATTCGGCGTTTGACCGCCTCTCCAACAGGTCGACAACCCGACTTCTCTAGAAAACGTAGAATCCAAGGTCCGTCCATTTCCTTTTCTCTCATGCGCTCTCGCCACGCCCGAATTGCACCTCTCATCGCCATGCCCTCGTCGTCACAGTGGATAGACGAAATTCTAGAATACTGCCCCGGTGTCAAAGTACGTTGAGCAATCAGCCGCTTGTTCCCCGACCATCGGTCTCACGTCCTGTCACCTCCCTCATCACCCGTGACAGCTCGTCCTCGTCGGTATGTCCATCTCCGTGACTCCACCGCTCCACGGGTGTCTCACTCGTGATATCGTGCCCGCATCACCTTCCTCACGTTTTTCACTTCTAGCCCTGAAATGCGACCTGCGAGACGACCGCGCAGTCAAAGAACGACTTTCACGATACGGTATTCAGCCCGTGCAGTACGAGGAAGGCCTTTCTGTCGCACGTCGAATACGAGCTTCTCGCTATCTTGGTACGCACATTGCCTCGCACCCTGGCCTCCCCTTATATCTTCGTGTTGAATGTTGGCACCCCCTCCTATTCAGAATGCAGCTCAAAGCATAATCGCGGCGTGACAGAAGTATTCTACGAGGCCGCGCGCGTCTCGCTCACAACACGCGCAAAGGGCGCCGGCGGCTACACCGGCAAGAATGGGGGCTGTGTCGTCATGTAACGACAAACCGTCACCCCCCTGCTGTCCCTCACGTCCTCCCTCACGTCCCCCACGCTGTCTCCTTACCCCCTCGCCGCCGAAACGGACGTTTGGATACCCCCCGATACCTATGATCCATGGTTGCCCTCTCTACCTCCTGATCAATCATAGTCTTGTTTTCCTCTCGCTGTTGACAGGTTTTCGATTGTTGATTTTTTTTCTCCGTTTCGTCTTCTTACGGTCTATATACATGTTTACAGCGACGTGCACCCGCGCCTACGTTCCCTTTTTACCCCGATCCCATTCACCCTACACACTGCATCGTGCCCGCAATGTACTGATTTTGTATGCATAACCATACCTTACCACTCGCTATTATCTCTGCCCCAGATATTCATGACACTGTTGATGCCCTACAGAACTTTGGTTGTCTTGGTACAATTGACAGTACCGTCACATTATCGTCCACTCCAATTTGCGATGAGAAATCAAAATTGAACATGCGATTAGGAACAACAATCCAGAACGAGCACGAAGACATAAAAAAATTGCGAGAATAACGACATTATGCGAACAGTTGTACATGTATAAAGTCCTGATCAGGCCGCCTTGCCTGATCAATATCCAGCGAACCCAGTCATTTGCTGCACAACATCATACAGTCGATCAGTCAGAAGGATCAGACAGACAGTGATCATCTACTTACAGGAGCAAAGCCGCTCATACCAACTCCGTTCATCATCGGTGGAGGAGCCTGGCTCGGGAATCTAGGGAACGTGCCACAACGAACGTCAGAGCAGACACAAGGCCAATCCAGATGGCTCACCCGTTGCCCTGTGTCAAGAGCAGTCGGTTGCCGAAGCCAGGGTTGATAATTGGAGCATCTGCCTCCTGCTGCTCCTTTTGAGTCTCCTTTTGAGACCTCTCCTTGACCTCCCTCTCCAAGCTTGCCAACTACACAGCAAAACCGAGTGGGTGGTCAGACTCCAGATATTCATTTCCAATCAAACACTCACTTTGTCCACCAATGTCCGCTGATTTTGGATTTTGTAGGGCATATAGAAATCATTCAGTCCGTGCTGCCATGACAGCTCCTCTACGACGTCCGACCGCAACAAGTCAAAGCAAATGTACAGCAGCGCGGCGAAGCATTCCTTGTTGCCAATATCCACGAAGTAGGATAAGAGGTCTTCGGCGACTTCAATTGATGCTGACGTTGCCGCAGTGACCATAGCGTCCTTGTAGAGCTTGTCTTGCTTCGATAGCGCGAGTGACTCCTCCCACCGGTTGTTTTTCTGGATAAGTAATGATGAATAAAGGGAAGGTGGGAAAGCTGAGCGAAACAGAACAGACCTTGTACAGATGCGCAGCAAGTCGTCGGAACTCAAGCAGAACATGGCGCTCTAATCGCTTCGCAAGTGCAATATTGTCAAAGTTGTCGAAGCTATCGATCGAGTCCCGAAGAGTCTTGTAATCCTCCTCTTCGATCAACAAGTCGTTGTATGCGTCATTTACGGCCTCGATGTTCAACTGGGTTCAGTCATGAGCTTTCAGCAATCATTGAAGAGATCATAGGGCATATATGACATACGTGCTGGACAGCAATGAGATATGACCGGATAAGCGGAATATGATCTATTTGACGGAACATGCGAACCACGCGATCGTGAGAAATGCGAGGAATGAGGACCGTGAGGAGATCGGTGAGTAGCGTCGGCTGCTCTTGGAGGTAGAACGACAAAGCCTTGTAGTAGCTACAATAGAATCGAGGTTAATCTGGGAGCAAATGATGAGAGGCTGAGACCTACATCTCTACGTTGGCTACACGAACAACAACATCTTTGAACTGGTTGTGCTCCCAAGCATCCGCAGAGCGCTCAATCATAGCCAAGGCAGCGTTATCATATTCGTCATATTTGACGTACAGCAGAACCAGTTCCGGCCAGAGGTGTGCCTTCTCGCTAGCTTTGATAACCTTGGGGATATTGATGCGAGAGACGAACAACTTCAAATGCTCCATCACTAAGAACAGCGTCAGCTAATTTCATGCCAAGAAGCTCTAAGAAAATCATACATTTATCCGGCCGGTATTTGCTATAGAGGATAGCGAGCTCAGTAAAGATACCCATCTACAAATGAAGTCGGTAAGATGATATGACGCTAGACGGAAAAGAAAAGCGTACATGAGCACGTTCAAGGCTCAAACCAGCTTCCAGCAATGATAGGATCTCATTGAAGTGACCTTTCCGTTCGTAGCCGTGAATCAATCCCGAAAGCTCCTCCTGCAAAGCGAGGTAAATTATAGACAAACTTCAGACCTTTTATGAATTACTCACAGCATGCACAATGATATTGAGACCACAGATTTGTGCCTGGATAGAATGCGGTCAGTAATCGCCGCAGGATTCCACAGCGATGTACGCACCAAGCGGAACTCCGACTTCTCCAAGCAGGCAGCGTGCACTTGTTTCCACACCCTGGAGAGCAATGAGCGTTTCACTCACATATGAAAGCGATAGATAACTCACTGTGTGTTTCCGGCTTTGCGAGCACTCTCCACAGCGGACTGGTTCTCGCCAAGATAAATGAGAGTTGTTGCAAGACGGGCCCAGTTTGAGATGCTGGAAAAGAGCAGCTTCGCAGCCTGGTACAGTTCATCTTCGAAACACTTCTCTCCGACTTCAAGCACATCTGCAACGTTCGTCATGTTCAGGAAATCCTCCATGTCGTGGAGGCGGTCGGTCTTTGCATATGCATACGCCAACTCAGTGTCGACCTTCGGCTCACGGAGAGTCTTGCGGGCCATTTGGAGGAAGCGGACAAGATCGTCGTGCTTGCCAGCATGGTTCGCGATCTCAATGACTTCAGGGAAGTTCGATGGATCCTCTGCCTTGATGTAGGAATCTACACAGGGCAAAATAATTGTGAGTACACATAACAAGTGGATGCGAAAATTGCTAAGAACCGATTGCGTCCTTGACCCGCAAGCCATCAAGCTGAGCCTTGGCGAGTCGACTCCAAACCTCAGGCCGGTTGACTTTGTTGGCATAATCGAGACCGCGGTCGATAGACACAATGTACTCCACGAGGACGTTGATGGCCTCGGCATGTTGCTCGTACTTCTTGTAGATCGTCAGTGCCTCCTCGTACAGCCCGTGGTCAGTCGCGATCTTCGCAATTTCTGCGCTGTCGTAGTTCTGGAGCTTGTTGATGTAGTTGACAACCTTGCCCTTGTCCGCACGGATCGCTGTCAGCAACATCAAGTTTTGGAGGTTGCGGTTCTCGCTGAAGGGCGAGGGCTCAATGATGATTTTCTCCAAGAGCTCGATGAGCTCGATGGGCAAGTCAGCAGAGAGGAATGCCTTGACAGTGACAGAGACATCGTCGGGGTCCGTGCACTCTGGGATGGCAGTGGCAGTAATCTGCACAAGGGCACAGTTAGCTATATAGACGATGTCGAAGCTGCATTTTTAAAAGGTTTGCGCACCTGATCTATAAGCTGACGGCGGTGCATGTTCTCAGAAGACAACACCTGCGCCCAAAGATCAGGCTGACGACGTTTGACCAAATAACGAGCTTGCTGCTTGAACATGGAGTTCTCGTTCGTAATGGCGATGAGCTCATCGTCGCAGAACCCTTTGGCGTATGCGATGTATGCGAGGTAGGGATCACGGGCCTCGCAGAATTTGCCGACCACCAACGGCTCGTACAGCTGTAGGCAATGCAAATAAGCACAAACTTCAATAGGAAATGGTTCGAAACTGACGTTGTTCTCTTTGAGGAACTGCTCGGGGTTGCTGTTGCTGTCGATGAAAATCTTGGCCATGGCATTGTAGACCGCTGCATCTTGACTGCCGGCCTGCACACGCGCCTCCAACCATGGCAAGATGAGCTTCAGCCTGTTCCTCTGTTCGACTTCGTGCACAAGTTCGTCGATCGGGAAGTTGCCAGTGACGGATGCGAGTAGTCCCTTGATTGTCGTCTCGTCGCAATCGACATCCAACAGACCACCGACGACTTGAGGCGTGCGAACAGAGTTAACGCGCTGGACATATACCTCGATGAACTTTGTGAGACCGTTTTGGTAGAGGTACAGAACCAAGTCGTGAACGAAGTCAAAGCGGTCGCAGACGATGATAAGGGGCAGCTGATCCGCGAGCTTGGCCTCCTTGAGGAAGTTCTTAACTTTCTCTGGGTTGTAGAAGTTACTCTCCCGACAGACGCGCTCAACTTCGCGGATTTGGCCAGTGCGTGTTGCTGCCTGAATGTACTTAAAGTGGACCTCAGGATCCTCGCTAAGGTTGACGACCGAGCCGAGGTAATAGTAGAGGCCTATGGCAAAGCGATGAGTACAATACCAAGGCACCAGATAATGAACTCGCCTTCGAAGCTCTTGTACGACTCAAACATCTCGATGAGCTTCACCGGGCCGAGGATATCAGAGTACTTCGTCGCGATCTGAACAACAATCTGAAGGTTCTGACGAATGTTGACACGCAACATCTCTTGCATGCATGCCATGGACTGTTCGGTCGTGAGCCGGCTGAAATAAGTGACAAGCCACTAAGGTTGGCAATCAGCATCAGGTTTGTGGGAATGAAGTCGAAACAGCATGAAGCTCACTTCTGGTGCCAAGATGTTGGTATGCACGATTGCCCGCTTGATGTCAGCCAGATCTTCATAGTGCTCCAAAGCCTGCACAGCATCAGTCAGGATGAATTCTTATCTGCAATGGATGGACGCACCCTCTGTAGCAAACCAGCCTTCTCACAAAGATTCGCAATGCGCGGACGATCGTAATGAGAGAACATGTCATTTCCGAGAATGGCATCCGCGACTTGAGGGGCATGAATCAAGTTCATCTCGAGGAGACGGGTCTGCAAATGGCCCTGCTCAGGCTTGTTATCTTTGAGGGCGTCCAGCAGGAACGATGTAGCTGGCTGGATCATGTTCTGGGACATGAAGATGTCGACAACCTGTGATAATCTAATCAGTCCAGCTCTTCCATAACCTTGGATGGAGCTATACATACCCGCTCAATATCGATCAGAGGACCAGACTCATCATTCGCAAGCTGACTAGCAAACTCTGCTCCCTTCTCGGGGTTGGTGCGCATGACATGCTGCAGGAGGCCAACAAAGTCTGGCGTATAACCAGTCTTTTTCACATAGAGCAAGATCTTCTCCGTCTGCCCTGTCTCTGCGAAACACGCGATTACTTTGTTCGGGACGTTCGCGCGAAGGTAGACACTCAGAGCCAGTGTCATATCATGGAGGCGAACAATATCTCCAAGCTCTTCGCTGCACGTAAGCTAGAAAAGGATGAGTTCCCGCTACACTAAATACCCAAGTAGTTATTATCGTACCTTGTTCTCTTTCAGCCATTTCTCCAACAACTGCTTCCTCCCCTGCTGCAATACAGGGCGAGCAAGCTCAACTGACTCCAGGTGGTTGAGTTCGCCCTTCTCAAGGAGGATACCGAAGTACTGCAGGATAGGCGATAGTCCGCCCGGAGGTGCCGGGGCTTGCTTGAACGTCTCAATCACCTGCGCCGTACGCAAAATGCCCTAGAAACCGAAGAACGGCTATCAGCATCTCTGAACACTCCAATAAGCCAACATTTTTCACCCGTGGTGAGTTGGCTGCGATCTTGGCCGCCTCGCCGAATTGTCCACTCTGGAAAAGCTGCTGGTATTGCTTGATATACAGGTCATCTGCACCAGGCAGATTGCCTCTGCTTGCGAGCTTGAAGGCGAGCTCCGTGTTATTGAGCGTCTGAAGAATATACGGAACCAGAGTTTGCTCGTCGACGCTAACGCTGAGCACCTGGCCCTTCCTGTTGATACACAAAATACCATGCGTCGCCTCGTGCTCGGAGGTGACAAAGATCGTCTCGCCGGATATGCGGTTCATGTAAATACACGCGCCCGACTCGAGGTCGTAGAGGTGGATGAACCCGTATTTCGTCGCGAGGTAGACAATACCATGCTTCTTTGAGACTTGCATGGCCACGGGGAAATCATTCGTAGCTTCGGGAGGGAAGTAGACATCGACAGCCTTCTTTGTGAACACAGGGTCAGGCGCCTGATGGTCAATCTCGACGACGTGGAGCTATTGACGTGTGTCAACGCAAAGCCAAACGGTGTGTTTGTAGCACAACGTACCTTGGCACCGTTGCCGCTCCGCACCGAGAACGCAAAGAGCTTTGTGGGGTGTTGGTGACCGTCCAACTTCACTTCCGCGAATGCAGCAGCATGGCCCTCGATAGGTTGACTGACACCGCGTTCCCTACTGTACAGCTGCATGGAGCCCTTGACCTTGAACGCGGAAGGGTTGGTTGAGTTCCCGGAGATGCCGATAAGCACCATCCACTTCTCGTCGGCGGAGATGCGGTAGTTGATGATCTGGCAGCCGGCGAGAGTAGCATGGCGGTCGAAAACCTTCTGAGGAGGCGTTGTGGTGTCCGCGATGCTCCAATGGTACACCGCGGTGTCAGTGACCATTCCGAGTGTGGTGTCTGTGATCCACTTCCAAAATACGATGTCTTCGTTGTTGACATGCGACTTGACCTTCTGCTTCGTCTCGATGTTGAAGATTTGGAGTGTCCGGGCAGCTAAGTGATGCAGGCCGTGTCAGAGCGGTCCAAAGCGGTCCACGTACGCCCTCGGCACTCCCCCCATCAGACTGGCAAGACTCACATTTCAACGCCAATATCTTTTTGTGAGGATGCATTATGGCCGAATCGGCGGTGATAGGTCTACGCATGACATTGTTGGCGTCTGCAAGGTCGATGATGACGACCTGGTTCTGTTCATTAACCTTCTCTCGCACACAAATGAAGTGGTCGGACTCGAGGGTCAGTGTCTAGCGCGCGATATGGAGTGTGAGTGTCCGGACAGCGAAGCAGTAACGAGAGTCGCGACGGACCTGGAAGGAGATGGATGCAGGCTGCACGCCCAAGCTGGAGAGCTGGAGGTGCTCCGAGAATGCGATTGGCTTTGAAGTGTCCATGGGAAGGGAAGGGAAGGGAAGGGTCGTCAAGGCCGTCAAACGGCGAGCAGGTTATGTCGGAGGATACGGATGTTGGGCTAGGATCCGTTGGCCACTTGGCTCTCTCAATTTGGGCTTGTTTGCGACGCGCGTCGGCTCGCTGCCGTTTGTACCTCACATCCTCATTTACTATGCCTCTCGCAAACTCTCTTCCAGATCCTATCTCTACCCGGACTTTAACTCGAGTGTCATCCTCGCAGGCTTCACGAATATCTCCAACCACGAGCAGTGTGGCCTCCTCTCCATGGTTTACTCTCACCACGGCCCAGTCGTAGTCGAGAAATGCATTCAGCGCCGGTTATCCACTCTCGCCCAAGGTCTAGACCTTGTCAGTCATGACCTCAATGTCATCGTGTACGCGGGCGTGGACGGCATGATTGGTTTGTCCATTCGACACCCGTTTTGCTTGCCAATGCCAACATTTTACACAGGTCACCTCAACCTGTTCATCGCAGGGGTCCTGCACCGGGACCCGTCTGTCGGCAACTTACTGATCGACCCGAACCCAGGCGTGCGCACTGACGAGCAGATTTTCAACAATAATTGTTTGCGGTACGTGAGTGGTACGTGTGTGTATATTCCCAATGCGACTGTATCGATACTTATTCACGATCTCTAGTCTCGACAAATTTGAATTCCTGAAGACTACTGGTCACCTGAAACGATGCTATGGCTATCTCATTGATGGCGATCTTGCTATTCGTTGGAAAGACCAGCGCGAAGCCGCGAGACATCGATCGGTAAGTGTCCCGATGTATGAAGATCATGTTGCAGCTGACGGCAACATAGGGTACCCTCCCATTCATGTCTCACCGACTCCTTGAATCCTGGGACAGCCGGCCTTTGCACACAGCCATCGACGATCTCGAATCTTTCGTTTGGATCGTTCTTTGGTCTGCCCTGAAGACTATCAAATCTCCGACGTTCCGTGAGCTTGATTGGCTCACCCGAATATCTGACGACGATGTGCAGGCAGTGGCCAACCAAAAGATGACCATCATGATCCTGATCTCAAAGCCTCGCACTGAGCTCTCCCCGGAGCTTAAACCTTTCCATCCCCTCTTCAAACGTTGGTTTTCGATTGCCTTGGATGCGCAGGACAAGCTCGATGAACTCATTGCGAGCGCAACAATCAAGGCTGTGCCGACAATTGACTTGGATACTCTTCTGTGCGACAAGGCCAAGTCTGTGCATTTCATCCAGGAGGTAGAGGAACTGTGTTTTGGATACTATCAGCAGTATCTCAAGGGGGGAACAGAGTTTCTGCAGGGTCGTGGAATGTACGGTGACTTGGAAAAGGCGTGAGGGCGGTGATTCATGCCGTCTAAAGCTCACACTATTTGTGCTCAAGTTCCAACTTTAGATTCGAGTTTGTAATGTTATTAGAAGTTCAGACATGACCAAGTCAATACGACGCTGTTCAATCAACCATATAGGAAACTGGGCATCTGTGAACCACTGGAGCGAAGTTCCGGTCGACCTTGTGATATAGAACAATCTTTGCAGCAACTATGATCCCCTACTTTGAATTGCAATGGCGACCCTTGCAAGAAGAAATATACCATCCTGGGCGAATACAGTTCAATGATATGGCGACCTGCAAGAGCTCTGCGCTACCTACTTGAATGAATCTCCCCCTGCCCAGCCTAGCAGAGTTGACGTTCGGAATCCGTACAGGGACTTCTGCTTGAAATTACTACAACCGTCCCGAGTCAACAAACGTGGGTCAGGTTAATAGAGGGTGACATACCTAACCATTTACGGGATGGGTAACGTGCTCTCCAGACCGAGAACAACATGGCCCATGAGTGTCACGAACAGCTCCACGCGACCGAATATGAGCGTCAAGATGGTAAGGCAGATGCTGCAGCCGTGCTTTCAGGAGACCGCGCAACGACGCAGAAGATACAACTCATATTTGCTCTTCCGTATCTGAGAGTGTGCTCAATGGCATCAGCTGGCGCTGTTGTATATCTGCATACTTTGCCGCCTGCGTCTTAGTCCTGAGAACCTCGGCTCTACGCGCCCGTTTTCCTTCTGATAATGGAACACATTCTCCCAGCATGTGGAGTTTCTGGCTGACTATATGTAAGACGTACCTGCGCTACGATCATGAGTTGCGACTGCACCAAGAGCGCGAACTCGAATTGGTTTCCTAGCCAGAAGGTCATTGATGGTTATTTTGAAGAGCCTTTAGGATTTCCCCGTGTCGCAGTGGCGGGCGAAAGAGACAGTTACCTACCTCTCAACACTCTGCTTGCTAAGGCCCTCGAGGGTGCTCGTCCCGAAGTTCAAGTGGCGAGATCCTAACTCCGATCCTTGGTGTTCAACATTTATGACCGTGTCACTGATGCCCTAGTTGATGGAAAGGGAAAGCTCAAGCCAGATCTTACGGGTTGTCTTAGGAAGCTCAAACCCATGGAGAAGGTACCTTGGCGCGAGATCGAAGTTGGGATTGAGGTCAAGGACGACTGGCTCGAGTTATTGAAGCAGGCCAACACCTATGGTCGTTCGATGTTGGAAGAAGGTTCACGGTGGTATGCCCTAGTCATTGCAGTTAACCATCGCACCTCTGAGGCCCGATTCTGTTGGTACACGCGCCTCGGATTGTTCCTGACGCCAGCGCTCGACCTCACGAAGAAGGAGGGCCTCACAACCTTTGTAGGAGGCATCTTTGGCCTTGCTGCTTGCGACAGGGAGCGCGCCGGGAATGACCCGTGTCAGGTTATGCTAGAGAGGACCCTACATTTCTTGATTCCTCCGCCTGCTCCAACCTTCTGGAGGTGGTCGAAGACATTTTGTAGACGAATCTGTGTCCGTGGGCGCGCTACTCATGTCTACCGCATTGGCCCTGCAGCCAATCTCCCCGAGCAGATACAAGAGAGACCAGAGGACGGGTCGGGGAAGGAGGGACAGAAGGAGCCATGGAAGAGGAAAGGACACAATACGAAAGGCATCGTTCAAGTGAGGACCCCACGTGAGCATAAGCCTGAGCCAGAATCAAGGGCAGATGCACAACAAGACAACAGCCGAATACGCATACAGGTTACATGCATCGTTGTGCAACGAGATCTCGAACAGCTCAACTTGTCGGGCCGTTAGAGACTGACGTGAGTCTCTTGCTAGTCGTGGTCCTGGATCACTTATTTAGTTCTTTTTCAGCGCAAGCGGGGGATGAGGTACGTCCAATCGCCTCTCGGCGACGTGACGGGCACGCAACAACCTCCGTCGAACACGCCAGAGCCGTCCAGCCACTTGACCCAAGTGCAGAAGAAGACCAGCGACACTGCATGGTGCCGACTTCTGGGAATCACTCCACCCACATGGACGAACGTCGATGTACATTGGAAAGAGAGTATCGACTGGTCGAAGATGACCAGCCTAGTGATGAAGGATTCCTGGCCCATCGAGAGTACAGCCAAGGTTGAGACGGAGATGTTTTCACAGGTCAGCGGACAACACGGCATCCCAGAGCACCGCACATTGCCCCCAAATATCCCCAGGGGATATTCGGGGTATATTAGCAATATACCTGGAATCTACCTGGAATATACTCGTCAGGGAATATCCCTCAAATATCCCCCAGTCAATCCCAACTGGGAGATGACTCATCCATTTCGACGGTCACCTGATGAGTGCGCGTCGTCGGACAGCGTCGAGATTTCTCTTAAGTGCTCCCTTCGTCTTACTCTCTAGGAGCCTCCAGTGTGCACATATTTTGGTGAGTCTTTCTCCCACTGAAACATGTTTCCATATGCTCTATAGTTCCGGTTTTCTCATATAATCAGATCTAATGCCTGAAAATGCGGGATCAGAGCGCATATATGCGTCCATTTAGGGCGGGCCGGGGTGGGACTGAAGGAGATTGCAAGCACAGCCTACGACGTGTGTGCGGCAAGAATTGTCAGAACGGTGGGTATTGCGGGTGTGAGCGCGAACGTTGGATGGATGAGATCAAGGGTAAGCACAGGCTGAGCTTGGTGGCGTTGGCGTGGGTGCTAGCATCTGTGTTTCTCATGCGCATGGTGGCTCGGATTAGCCTCAGAGTCTGCGGTGCGCGCGCAAGTGCCAATGTCGTCGGGGCAGCAGCAGCAGCAGCAACATCAGTGAGGCCAGTGTTCATCTGGGCTCTCCGTGTCACAGTGCTAACCCCCCGCACGGCAGTACTGACCCCAGCACTACACCGCATTCTTTCCATTCCCCTCGCTCCCTGCACTCGCCAACCTTATCAAGCTGCAACCCTTCCTGGTGACCTTGTCTCTTCCCGCACTGATCTTCTCAGCCTTGACACGCATGCTCACCCCGCTTGTCCGCAGGATGCGCCTCTACGTTGCCGGCACCGATGCACTCGCCAGCGGCTGCGTTTGTGCGCGTGGCGTGCTACCAGATGTGCTCGTGTTCGACAGCGCGGTGCCGCAGCCCGACGCACCCCCCAAAATGTACTCCTCGAATTCGAGGCCACGCGCGGACGCACCGCTCCCGCCACCGCAATAGATTCTTGCGTCAAGGTGCTGGTCGTCCCATCCCTGATGCGCGCCGTGGCTGCTTGCGTATGCGGGGGAACATCTAACCGGGATTCGCACCTCTCGCCTCTTCAAGTATATTTTGTAGATCTTTCAAGCCTTAGAATTGTCGTGTAGCCTTCAATAGCATGTATTAGTTTTATGATTTGTTAATATATTTATTTCTCTATCTATGGAGCGCATATAAAGTGATTGGAATGATATCGAGCTTGAATAAACCCACAATATACTGTGAATATACTCAGTACCCAGGTATATTCACGGTATATTCAAGACATTACCTTGAATCGACCGTGAATATCCCCGGAGGGGAGGTGGGTATATTCGCGGTTGATTCCGGGTATATTGCTAATATACCACAGATATCCCCTGGGGATTATTAGGGACGATGTGCGGTGGAGGTGATCGGGGGTTTCACGGTACCGAACCCGTTGCACATCTTCACGGACATCTCCAACTACGAGCGGTGTGGAGTTTTACCTATGGTTTACTTTCACAATGGCCCAGTCGTAGTCGAGAAACGCATTCAGCGCCGGTTATTCACTCTGACGCAGGGTCAAGACCTTGTTGGTCACGATCTCGATCTCATCGGGTACGCGGGCGTGGACGGCATGATTGGTTTGTCCATTCGACACCCGTTTTGCTTGCCAATGCCAACATTTTACACAGGTCACCTCAACCTGTTCATCGCAGGGGTCCTGCACCGGGATCCGTCTGTCGGCAACTTACTGATCGACCCGAACCCAGGCGTGCGCACTGACGAGCAGATTTTCAACAATAATTGTTTGCGGTACGTGTGTGTATATTCACGACGCGATCCTATCGATACTTATTCACGATCTCTAGCCCCGACAAATTTGAATTCCTGAAGACTATTGGTCACCTGAAACGATGCTATGGCTATCTCATTGATAGCGATCTTGCTATTCGTTGGAAGGACCAGCGCGAAGCCGCGAGACATCGATCGGTAAGTGTCCCGATGTATGAAGATCATGTTGCAGCTAATGGCGACATAGGGTACCCTCCCATTCATGTCTCACCGACTCCTTGAATCCTGGGACAGCCGGCCTTTGCACACAGCCATCGACGATCTCGAATCTTTCGTTTGGATCGTTCTTTGGTCTGCCCTGAAGACTATCAAATCTCCGACGTTCCGTGAGCTTGATTGGCTCACCCGAATATCGGACGACGATGTGCAGGCAGTGGCCGACAAAAAGATGAGTATCATGATCCTGATCTCAAAGCCCACTGAGCTCTCCCCAGAGCTTGAACCTTTCCATCCCCTCTTCAAACGTTGGTTTTCGATTGCCTTGGATGCGCAGGACAAGCTCGATGAACTCATTGCGAGCGCAACAATCAAGGCTGTGCCGACAATTGACTTGGATACTCTTCTGTGCGACAAGGCCAAGTCTGTGCATTTCATCCAGGAGGTAGAGGAACTGTGTTTTGGATACTATCAGCAGTATCTCAAGGGGGGAACAGAGTTTCTGCAGGGTCGTGGAATGTACGGTGACTTGGAAAAGGCGTGAGGGCGGTGATTCATGCAGTCTGAAGCTCATACCATTTGTTCCCAAGTTCCAACTTTAGACCCAGTCAAAAGTCGGTTAAGGGAGAGGTAGATCTTTTTGAATGTATTTTCCTCTTTCTCCCTCTTAAAATTTAGACTTTTTAGAGGCAAATTGAGGTAGATCCATTGAGATACATTTATGTAGAATTTGCTTCAATTTACATTTGTAATCACAAAAAAAACTTTATTACTACTAAAACATGTTCCTATATTTTGAAATCCATTCAGATCCATTCAAATCTATTGCTTGCTTTCTAAGGGTGGGAGGTACAACCTAACCTTAGAATAAGGTCTATGACCAACCAGAGGACATGGAGTTTCATCTTATTTATCTGCTAGCTCTTTCATCACTTTCTGCATTATTCAAGCAAGCACCCTCTGAACTTTGCTTGCTTTCCTTTATCTTATTCCAGTTCCCTTCCTTCCTTTAACTGAAATCTTATTTATTACTATACACTCCTTACACATTCATCATGCCTCATCTAATAGTCATATGCCTTGATTATGCTTCCCCTGAGTTTGAAGATGTGTGACAGATAAGTCACTTTTCTAAAGAAGAACCTGCCACTACCACTTAGTGCCTTATAGCTATCTGGACTGCAAGCAATAACAGAGATCATGTAGTATAGATGGTACCAGTAGCTGCTGACATAGAAGCTGCCACAGATGCTAAGTGCAACTGCCTAAAACAAGTGGTAGCTGGCCAGGCAGAGTTAGAGAAAGAGTTGGAGAAGAAAAGGCCCAAGCTTTTCACCTTAAATCCTGGTGGTATACTGACTGTTCTCCTGGTCCATGCCTTCTTCAATATATTCCACAAACTAGAACTTATTAAATACATTGAGCTGTACTACTTTACTCTGGAGGGCTGTTGCAAAGGCTCTAAGTCATATAAATCCACTGCCAATAATATATTCACACTTGCTCACTTATAAGAGGGCCTCTTCTTGCATGTGGTATCTATCCTTCCCACAAAGTTATTCTAGATGTGGCATCAGAAAATGCACAGATTGTCTTTTCTGACTTATCAAGCTTGTCAAGCTCAATAAGATAAGATAAGACATGAAAGACAGTAAGCAATTTGTCTTGGCCACAACAGGTCTATATTATCAAGATACAAGATAAGTATTGTGGGCTGCTTGTTCAATGGCCCCAAGAATAGGAGGTTCTTCCCTAGGTTGCTTGATAAGGAAGAGTGGACAAAGGTCTTAAATATATGCATAGCACAGGAGTGGATAGTATTATAGATAGTACTGTAGAGATAGTACTAAACAAAGAATAGTAGTTTGGGGACTACTGTAGAATGAAGAGAATAGACTAAAGATCCTTAGCCCATCCTATAAGCCTCTTATAGTACTTTGGGAAGGTTATGAGAATGCTGTATGTATCCTTTAAGTCATTGCTCTCTCTTAGCTACTACTCTTGCTTTTTCACTTGCTTTCTTCCAACAAGGAGGACAAGGAGCTCCATTCCCTGTAAGTTCATATGTATAAGCCTGTATTGGCCATCTGTGATATAGCCTGTAATACTCAGCCAGTGATAGTAGTATCAGCTAAGAGTAGATGACCAAGGATATTACCCTATACTATAATGTATGCCTCATGTCATGAGGCTGCTTAGTAGTTGTGATAATTGTTATTGGAATAGACTGTTACAAGGGCCTAATAAGCCTAATCATAATAGTACATCTGGAAAAACCTCTTCTTTTAATTAGATCCAATTATTCAAAATACTAATCTAGGCCAATTAGAATATATTATCTATAATCAACTTTATAATCAAATCTGCAAGTAAAGGTGACATTGTCTATACTACTATAGTCCCATTGGAATCTATAATCCAATTACAATTTTACACATTTCAAATCTAAATTATGTAAGTGCTACAATCTTATTTTCATTATATTCTTTATTTTCAATTAGTTTACTATATCATTACCTAGTGTCTAAATTCAAATGTCAAAAGCCCTAATTTTTAGAGTATCTATTGATCCCTTTATATATAGAATAGATGAAAGATAAATGTGTAAGAAAATCAGAAATGTTAAGATTGCCTTATTTATATCATTTTATTTAGGTTACTAGGTAAATAAGTTAGACCTTATGGCTTAGTGGTTTAGAGCACTAGTCTAGGATATGCAAGCATAAGGTTCTTGATTCAATTCTAGTGATGGGCAAGTTTATAATAAGGTATGACTTTAGTTTGATTAGTAAGCTCTATACTCGTGCCCGCGAAAAGTTTTTGAACACCGTCACGTGAAGCTTCTATATGAGTTGCCGAGCCTTAGTAGTCTTAAGAAAATCATGCCTCCTACTGGAACCACTGAGTTTACACCCTCAAAAAGAGGTCGAATCCTTGCTTTGCATGATCTTGGATACTCATATCGAAAAATTGCTTCCTTGACTGGTGCTTCTGTTGGGGCATGCCATTATACTGTCACTCGTGAGAACCAATTCCATACTCGACACAGTCTCCCTCGATCTGGCTGGCCACATATCATTGATGGCTGCACACAGCGCAGGGTCCTTTGTGAGATCCGTATACACTGTCTGGACCCTTATCCCATCATTTTCCGAGCATGTTGAACATGTAACATCCTGACAAGTTTGCACCATAGCAACTTTTGCTGGCTATCACCACCGAGTTGCACGTCACAAGCCCTTCCTATCACCAGCGGCTGTCCGGAAACGTCTCATTTGGGTAAAGGAGAATATGACAAGGGATTGGAATGAGGTTATCTGGACTGATGAGGCAAAGTTGGAGTTAGGAGAGAGGCCAGGGCACAGGAGAGTGACAAGATTACCAGGTGAAGAATTTCTTCCCGAGAACATACAGCCAACCTTCAAGAGTGGTCGCAAATCCATCATGGTATGGGGGTGTATTGCATATGGTGTGAAAGGTTCACTGATCAAGCTGGGGTTCCCACCTGCAACCATGAGTGAGAAGGGCCGAAGACGAGGTAGAGGCTTGGGTGCTGTTATGATCACGTTCTGTTGGGCCTTAACGGTGGTCTATTCCAACACAATCATCACAAATATCAAGCGGCCTCACAAGGTGAGGCGTACAACAAGGTATAGATAATAGCCTTGGTCATCCACCCCCAATGGATCACCTTATCGTTGGTCGAGTATCACGAGCCATATTGCGACTGGCATAGAATGCCACCTTACAAACTACTCACACAACGAGCATTGAGCTCCTAGTCTTTCCTGGCCGGAAGGAGATGAATGGGGAAGCACAAGAGTAGTCGTTATTGAGAAAGACAACTCAGAGAATACCTATGGATACATATATGGTATTCTCACGCCCTGTTTCCTAAAGTAGTATAAAAGGCCCATAGAGTAGGCTGAGGTTCTTCAGTCTATTCTCTTCATTCTGGTACTGTCTTCCTATAGTACCCTTCGTTCTCCTGTATCTTCACATACGGGACCCTCCATTGCTACATCGCAATACATCTCTGGCTCCTGTGCTACACGTACAGTCAAGACCATCGTTCCACACATCCTCCTTGAGTGACCTAGGGAAGAACCTCCTACTCTTGGGGTTACCGAATGAGCAGTTCGTAACACTAGAATAGACTCTTCTGCCCCTACCTTGCTCGCACTACCTTGCTGCCACACTCTCTCTCACAACCTTCCTTAGTGGGGATAATAGACCCCCATTAAGAAAGCATTACCGCACACACTCTGGAGCAAGACCTAGGCCAGGAATATCCACCCGGCACTAGATGTATAAATAACCAACTCCATCACAACAATTGCCCTATCCGGCACGAAGGGGAATTTTGGGTCTACGAAGACAATAACAGATTCGCCCCTCCAAACTACGATAACTGCTCATACCGAAACGGGCGTTATTACTTCACCCTTGAAGACAGAACAGAAGAAGAGGATATTTGGAACGAAGTAGAGAGCCAGTGGGAACTAGCACCCCAATACAGGGAACCGGTGCCGGTAATCCCTGAAGACTTGGAGCAGGAAGAAACAACTTCACAATCAGGCTCCGACTCATCACCAGACCAAACACCGATCAATACCCGAAACCAACCGCTTGCCGAAATGTCGGGACAAGCTTCAACTTCTACAGACCCCCCTTCCGCAACAGTACAACCTAGGAGAGGAAAGGTCAAACTCCCAGACAATTACACAGGCAACCGCATTGAATCCCAGAAATTCATGCTCCAATGCCTCCTTCTTTTCGCAGCAGAATCCGATCGGTACAAGACCAATCAAGACAAGATATCCCTTGTGCTCTCATGCATGAGATATGGCATGGCAGGAGCTTGGGCCGAGAACTTCCTCCTCAAATCAGTAGGAGCAGACCCTCCCGCTGATCTAGGTACCTGGAGGGACTTTTTAACAAAGTTCAAGCTCCAATTTAGGGAGATGGGCAAGACCGACAAGGCGCGAAGCGCACTCATGGCTTTCTCCCAAGGACGAATGATGGTTGATGAATACTCCAATCAATTCATCCTCATTGCCGCCGACGCCGATATCTCCGACAAGGAGCAAGTCCCTTACTTCCAACGCGGGTTAGACCCGCGCGTCATGGACAAGATATATGACAAAGAAGTTCAACCAAAGGACACCATTCAGGACTGGATTAATACTGCCTGCGAAATAGACGGACGGCTCAGAGCGAGATCTGCTCAAAAGGCCATCCTTGCCAACTCCACCTCCTTCCACAGCGACTACCTAAACCATTTTCACTCCCAACCCACTGTCCATTATAACTCTACAAACGCTCCTCGAAAAATGAACAACCAGGTGGTCGACATGGACATTGATGCTACTAGGAAGCGTAATGCCGAAAGTCAAAAGAGAAAGTTTGACGGCAAGCGAACCGCCTCTTGTTCCAATTGTGGAAATTAGGGCACTCTAGTGCTAATTGCTGGTCGCCCCGCAGAGGCGTTCACCCAGTTCGAGGAAACTCGAAAAAACGCATGGGTACGACAGGGAGAGGAAACCGCGCGGTTGATTTGGAAGGAGAAGACGACGCACCCGCTATGGGAAACCAAGCGGGAATATATCGAGGAATAGAGACGGAGGATGCTCATCGCAACGACCAGCGGGTACCACAATCTGGTCCTTTGATGGAACGTCCGTACTCTACCCAATCCGGACGACCCCAAACGGACCATCAGTGACGCGTCATGTCACCTGACGGACGACGGGGAAATGGAGGTGTCAGTCATTCTGCTCGAATCAGAGCAGTGCTGGGAGAATTAGGAGAGGACAAAGCAAGAGAAGTAATCTTGGGACACGCGGAGTGTTTTTCCTGACCTCTCCCTTGCTAGTGAAGGAAAGAGGTCAAGGAAGGCCCGAGTTTGACGCCAACACATGTATTCGTATCGGAGCAATGAATGACTGCATCATTACCCCCATACACCTAAACGTGAAGATATCAAACAGGGACCAATACGCTGGAGCAAGGGCGACCATCGACTCAGCATGTGAGGGGGTTATAGTAAACGAAACATGGGTCAGGAAACACCGCTTCCCCACCTATACACTCAACAACCCCATTCGCGTCCGGAACGTCGATGACACCATTAACAAAGCAGGTCTCATCCAATACGCCTTGGATGTGAACCTCACCATTCGGGACATCCATGGATGAACGCACATCGAGTGTGTCCAGATGTTTATCTCTAACCTAGGAAAAGACGACCTTATCCTAGGAACAGATTGGTTGAAATACCACGATCCCTCCATCGAGTGGAGGTGACATGAAGTGCACTTTGATTGGTGCCCCCAGAAATGCCAACAACCACATAGGTTCACTAAGGCAAGGGAAGAACTGCAAAACAATAGGCGGTTATCAGACGTGGAGCCACGGCATAAACCACGCATTAGCGAGCACAAAAAACAGCGCCTAGAACATCTCCGAAGATTATCGGAAGATGTCAGACTCCGCGATCATAGCGGAACGTTTGGTGCCCGACTACGAGCATACCTCAAGAGGAAATGGCTCCTACAGGACATAAGGAAATACGCAGAAGAGAAACGAAAGGCTCAAGCCAAGCCATCTCTTTCACCAAACGAGGGAGAACCTGACCTCCCAGATAAAACCTCAGGAAAACAGGCCATAGAGGAACCAGTTATTCGGAAACTGGCTCCCGAACCATCAGGATTTGCCAGCTTCGACCAGGATTTGGAGGACGAAATTGTCATCACCAATCTAAAGGAAAGAGTCCCCAAGGCGCATCACGAATTTTTGGACATTTTCAGCAAACAAAAGTCGCAGCGACTCCCAGAGCATACTTATTGGGACCACGCCATAGATCTGAAACCGACCTTCAAACCTCAAGTACCAAAAATCTACGCCTTGAGCCCAGAAAAACATGATGAACTAGGAAAATTCATCAAGGAACATCTCACTTGGGGAACCATCCGTCGATCCACCTTGCAAACAGCAGCCCCATTTTTCTTTATAGGAAAGAAAGATGGAAAACTGCGCCCAGTACAGGACTACCACCATTTGAACTCGTACACCATCCCAAATGTGTGCCCCCTTCCATTAATCCAAGAACTGTTGGATGTGATCAAAGGGGCCACCATTTTCAGCAAGTTGGATATACGATGGGGATACAACAACATACGAATTAAAAAGGGCGATGAGTGGAAGGCAGCTTTCATCACTCCGCTGGGTTCTTACAAACCCATGGTGATGTTCTTCGGCCTCACCAACTCACCAGCCACCTTCCAGGCCATGATGAACATGATCTTCAGAGAACTCATCACAGCCTGGAAAATAACCGTATGTATGGACGACATCCTTATTTTTTCCAAAAACATGGCGGAACACATTCAGGTCCTGAACCAAGTTTTCCAGATCTTACACGACAACGACCTCTATTTGAAGCCGGAAAAATGCGAGTTTTATAAAGAAAAACTCTAATATCTGGGATACACAATTTCAAAAGACCATGTCGCCATGGAAGACTCGAAGGTGGACGCTATAAAAGATTGGCCAGTCCCACGCACCGTCCGAGATATTCGCTCCTTTTTAGGTCTAGGAAATTTCTACAGGTGTTTCATTGATAAGTTCTCCCTTATCGCGCACCCTCTGCACGACCTCACCAAAAAGGATGCAAAATAGAACTGGACTTCGAAGTGCCAGGAAGCTTTTGAACAATTAAAAAGGGTGTTTATCAGTAAACCCGTTCTAAATTACCCGGACCCCATGCATCCATATCGACTAGTAACGGATGCCTCACTAATTGCTTATGGAGCTACCCTCCTGCAAGAAGGAAAAGATGGCGACTGGCATTCAGTTGCATTCCTTTCCGGGTCATTTTCACCAGCAGAACGGAATTATGACGTCCATGATCGTGAACTCCTGGCTATCATAAAAGCGTTGGAATACTGGAACCATTACCTCAAAGGCGCACGACACCCATTCGAGATCTGGACAGATCACAAGAACCTGGAACACTTCCAAACGGCACGAGACCTCTCACGACGACATGCCCGTTGGAGCCTCTATTTGAGCAGATTCGACTTTACACTCAGCTATAAAGCAGGGTCAACGAATCATTCTGATGCTCTGTCCAGGCGTCCAGATCTAAGTGAGGGGGTGGGATCTGACAACAAAGCTCAAATTTTGCTCCCGGCCAACCTTTTTAACAAATCCGACGAAACACTGGTGGAACCGTCTCTGACACGGCATATTAAATCCACGGAAATCGCATCCTCAGACCTCATCTCCCTCATCCGACTCTCAAAATTGGAACATGACGCCCTGACAAGGGTAGCCCTCGCCAAACTCTTGCGAGTAGGGCCACAAGGAATGAGAGGATTACTGGGACATTGGACACACGAAGACGGAATCACCAGATGAAACGGCTATATATGCGTCCCAAAAGACGATGCCATTCGAAGACTTATTATCAAAATGCATCACGACGCACCCGCAGTAGGACATCTGGGGAGAGCCAAAACACTGGAAATGGTACAACGACACTATTGGTGGCAAAACATGACAAAGTTTGTTCATGAATATGTGGACGGATGTGCCGTATGTCAATCAACCAAGAACTTGACGCACAAGACACACCCTCCTATCCATCCTTTGGAAACCACCAATGTCCCTTGGTGATTCATCTCAACAGACTTCATCACGGACCTACCCGAAAGCAAAGGTTTTGACTCGATCAACGTGGTGGTGGACCAAGGTCTGTCCAAAGGCATAGTCATCACCCCATACAAGAAAACGATCACGGCAGAAGAAACAACCATGCTTTTCCAGAATAACATTTTCAATCGACATGGGTTGCCGACCAAAATAGTATCCGATCGCGGCCCTCAATTTGCGGCCAAGTTCACCCGAGAACTCTGGAAGCGGCTAGGAATCACCGCTGCTCTCAGCACGGCTTATCACCCCCAGACGGATGGAGAGACAGAACGGGTAAACCAGGAGATCAAACAGTTCCTGAGAACGTTCTGCAATTACCACCAAGATAACTAGGTGGACCTGCTGCCGTTTGCCGAATTCTTGCACAACATGCTAATACGCTAGAGGTGGCTCTAAGTGCCGAGCACAACACTAAAACAACCTCTAATGCAGGGGTGCTGGAGCTAGTATCTAATACACAAGGAATCATTAGTGATGACTTTAGAAATTGAAGGCGTACTGAGAAGCAACAGGGAGTGTGAGATTATAGCGCCCGAACGGTTTCGGGACTGCACCGAACACCGACTGAACGTTCAGTCGGTCGTGTCGGGGATTCGGTCAGTAACAGGAAGGTAGTGTCGCGACCGGCAACTACGTGCTTCGAGAGTCACACGGGACTCTAACAATATACGAGGGAGGATGGGGGTACGAGCGAAGATACGAGTACAAATGCGAATGAGACCGAACGAACAAGGATGACAAGTTTTCGGAAGTCGATGAAGGCAATTTCGATGGTTGAGACGAGTGCGGCTGAGCTCTGAACTGTGGGGTGCGCAAAGCTGGTTTATTCCAGAGTTGTATGTAGGTTTTTATAGTAAACTGAGCCCCTAAGTAAAATACCAAACACAAAATAAGAGTAGATGTTAAATGGGTGCCAAGCCCTAGCAATCAGAGAAGAGAAGAAGGTAGGTGAGATGTCCATATGGGTTCCGAAGGTGACAAGGTAAAAGGTAATCAGCGATGTCAAAATCCCGAACGTTCGGGATCTGTTGCCCGAGTGTAGGTAGCGGAACAGGCATTGGAGAACCAATGAAAATAAAGGAGAGGTATCATACGACCAGGGTGGCCAAGTAATGGTGCAAGATTGTGTTTGACCAACCATGTGGAAGTCGGGAAGATAAGCGATAAGGACCGACCGACTTACGGAAGACATCGGCCGACACGGAAGACTGGCTCCGATCTCGTAAACACCTATCGTAACACTCCTGTGTGGTCATGGTAAGTACGTGAAGTGTGGGCGAACTGACCCAAGTGCTGCCGAACGTCCTTCGGAGGGTTGCGGTTGGTCAGGTGGGGACCGACCGTGTTCGGTAAAAGTCAGCGTCTTCGGTACTTGTCTAGCGCTGTTCGGTATCTCCCCAAAGCTTCCCGAATACCTCCCTCGGACCCTAGCGTGAGTACATGCTCATCAACACGGAAGCATTTGGCCACCGGAAAATCTCCTTTCGAAGTGCTATACGGGTTCAATCCTCCCTATTCAGCCGATACCGCGTTGGAGACAAAGATACCTGTGGTAGCTGAACACATTAAGGTAATCACAGAAGTCCAGGAAGAAGCCGCAGCCAGTCTACAAATAGCCAGCAATTACGCCAAAGACCGGGATCTTCACAGGAAACTCCCCCAGTGGAAAAAAGGAGACCAAGTATGGCTAGAAGGAACCCATATCCGGATGACCCATCCAAAGTTCAAGCTTGCCCCTAGGAGATATAGACCCTCCAAAATACTGGCGAAAATAGGAAACCTGGCATATAGACTTCAAATTCCCCAACATTGGAGGTTCCACCTGGTGTTCCACGCCGCAACACTCACCAAGTATAGGGAAACCGAGGCACACGGGGAAAACTTTGCAAGGCCGCTACCGGAGGTATTGAATGATGAAGAGCACTACGAAGTGGAAATGATCGTGGATTCAAAAAGACAAGGACGGGGAACCAAGTATTTGGTCAAGTGGACGGGATACCCCGAGGCAGACAACACCTGGGAACCCTACACTCTCCTAAAAGGAACAGTGGAAGAAGCCATGAAAGAGTTTCATGACCAATACCCTGACAAACCTCGTCCGGGAGCACCCTGAAAAGTGGAGGAAAGAATATAAAAGAGCGACAAGAGAGCTCTAATGGACCATCTTCCCCCACTTCTCTCAAGTTCACTTTTCCTTCACCCAAATGCTCCTCCACGAAGACCACGATGCTTCATCACCATCCAGAAACTCCTCCCCCAATGTCGTCCTTATGGTGTCCTGTCCAACACAGATGTCAGACGAGTGGACAGAGGAACCAGTCCTCACCGAGGCGATGCTGGACAAGTTGATAGAGGAACCAGTCCTCACCACCCAGAGCCCGCCGTCATCACCCTCACTCCACACCTCAACAACTTCTCAGATGACGACGCCGAGGATTACGCCAAGTTCAAGAAAAGAGAAAGAATCCGCCAATCGTCACCCAAGGGGGCCCCACGAGATGCATCATGGAATGAAAACCTTGATGACAGAAACCTACCGGGCTCTGACGAAGTACCAATGGGAGTTCCACCTCCTACTACAGTCGTGGCGAGCACTGGAGCTGCAGGTCCCTTGGGACTACGAGCAAGAGCAGCAGCTCAACTCCCAAGCCATGGAGAAACTGAACCGATACCAGTTATACAGGGAGCTGCACCTCCGCTAGTATCAGTTAGTGGACAGGTTCCCCACCCCATGGGAAGAACTACCCTTGGTACAGATCCTCACTCTGGAGAATTGGAGCGACACGCGGACGCGCTCCTCCAGCGAAACACTATCTCCACGGTAATACAAATGGCCACAGCCATGGCCCTACAACGACTCGCTAACTTCACTGCAGGGCAACCCGGAAATGAGAATAGCAACATACCTCGATGACTGGCTAGTGCCAGCCTCCAGATCCGAGGGCTCGCACTCCAAACCAATCCTGACACGGCCTCTTGGTATGAACACAACGACGGACGACCACGAGCTCTCCTCATCCATCCCGATGAATTCTCCCAGTATGTCAACAGAGAGCTCCTTCCAGCTCTCCTCTTCACCGGAGAACTGGGCGCCATCCAACCAAGTAGAACCGACCCTTTCCACGTTGTCACTTGGAACGTACCACGTCTCGGAGAACGTCCCATGCCTGTATCAAATCCAAGAAGGTTTCCGCACACGGTCGTGGAACGCCCTCCACCGAGACAACGAGAGATTCCTACAGCACATAGCAATCCCGCGACCTCCTCCTCTCACCAGATACGAAATTTTCCCCTATCCCATGGGGGTACCGATGAGGAGGAACTGCCCGTCTATCGAAGAAATGAAGGAAGAAGGAGTCGGGGAACCTAGGCAACCCTCCACTGTGGAACAACTACTGGCGGGAGTGTTCGACACCGGCCTGGAACGCCTCCTACTAGTACTCGATTTCGTACAGACGAGGGACAGAATAACCGAAGTAGCTGCAGAACTCACCGCGCTGATTCGGAGGCTAGAAGAAATTGCTCTTGGACTCGATCCGAGCTCGATGCATGGGATGCTCTAGATGATCCCGGAAATTATGACGATGCCGATCCTTATTATCGACCTGATGAAGGAGGTGACGGTGATACGCTAGAGGTGGCTCTAAGTGCTAAGCACAACACTAAAACAACCTCTATTGCAGGGGTGCTGGAGCTAGTATCTGATACACAAGGAATTGTAAGTGATGACTTTGGAAATTGAAGGCGTACTGAGAAGCAATCGGGGAGTGTGAGATTATAGCACCCAAACGGTTTTGGGACTGCGCCGAACACCGACCGAACGTTCGGTCGGTCGTATCGGCGATGCGGTCAGTAACGAGAAGGTAGTGTCGCGACCGACAACTACGTGCTTCAAGAGCCACACAGGACTCTGACAATATACGAGGGAGGACGGGGGTACGAGCGAAGAGACGAGTACGAACGCGAAGGAGGCCGAGCGACGAGGATGGCAAGTTTTCGGAAGTCGACAAAGATGATTTCGATGGTTGAGACGAGTGCGAATGAGCTCTGAACTGTGGGGTGCGAAAGCTGGTTTATTCCAGAGTTGTATGTAGGTTTTTATAGTAAACAGCGCCCCTAAGTAAAATATCGAACCTGAAATGAGAGTAGATGTCGAATGGGCGCCAAGCCTTAGCAATCAGAGAAGATAAGAAGGTAGGTGAGATGTCCATATGGGTTCCGAAGGTGATAAGGTAAAAGGTAATCAGTGATGTCAAAATCCCGAACATTCGGGATCCGTCGCCCGAGTGTAGGTAGCAGGAACAGGCGTTGGAGAACCAATGAAAAATAAAGGAGAGGTATCGTACGACCAGGGTGGCCAAGCAATGGTGCAATATCGCGTTTGACCGACCATGCAGAAGTCGGGAAGATAAGCGATAAGGACCGACCGACTCATGGAGGACATCGGCCGATACGGAATACTGGCTCCGATCTCGTACACACCTATCGTAACACTCCTGTGCGGTCATGGTAAGCATGTGAAGTGTGGGCGAAATGACCCAAGTGCTGCTGAATCGTCCTTCGGTGGCTTGTCGTCGGTCGGGTAGGGACCGACCGTGTTCGGTAAAAGTCGGCGTCTTCGGTACTTGTCTAGCGCTGTTTGGTATCTCCCCAAAGCTTCCCAAATACCTCCCTCGGACCCTAGTGCGGGTGCATGCTCATCATCTCCTCCCTACTGAAATCCTGACTGTCCTCAGTCAGTGGTTGGCGGCTATGAGTCGGAGCGGAAAAAAAGTGGTGTGGAAAATGTGGTGGCGTGGATGTGGGAAAGAGTTGGTAACAAACGATAGCGTGGAAAGAATAGCTGTGGCGTGGAAAATGGAGCGGTGTGGCAAGTTTCGTGGGAAAAAAAATCGGCTATGAGCGGTGGCGTGGAAAGGAGTGGATGCGTGGGAGGGATGTGGCACAGGTGAATAATCGGCAAGGAGATGTCATAGAAAGGACCGGGTCGGCGCGCAAGAGAGACCAGGGCTGAGTCGGCAAAGTCCTGTGGCGTGGCAACTGATTAGGTGAGGAAGTGGCTGAAGCCTAGTGTGTCCTAACTAGACGGTGGCGTGAGAGCGTGTCGGCAAGGAGCGGTGGCGCGTATCGCAGTTACTGCCGCGCGCAGTGGCTCGTGGCTTTGTCAGGTGACCACAATCACGTGCCGATCGTTGATTCTCCAGTGACCAAGTCCCTCATCGCCGCTTGCCTACTGCTCAATTCCTTCGTCTCTTCCGACATGTCCGCCCTCCTCTCCGCCCTGAAGACGAAGCTCGGCGAGTATATGCTCTCCCTTCCGGATGGCGCCGCTGAATACGAGGACTACGAGGCCTGGGCGCAAGGTTTCGCCAAGTGAGTGGTAAGTCGGCTCCTTTCTCTTTTCCCTGCTGCCCGCTGACGTCTTTTCAGGCTGTTTTAGATCGCTCAGCGCGTGGGCAAGACCTTCCCGAACTCGCCGACTGGATCGCCGAGGCCAAGCGTGGCCTCGACCACATGGCCACCGATGACTGGCTGGCCTGGGAAACGCGTATCCTACCCCAACGGGCGGCGCGTTTTGCAACGCAGCAACAGCGACAAGTGGCTGAAGCACAGGCCCTGGAGGAGGAATCAGCACGGGTCGCTATTGCCGAACGCGAGGCTGAGGAGGCTGAGGCGGCGCGGGCTGCTGCTGCCCTGCATGTCGCTGAAGATGATCGTCAGCGGCGCCGGGAGGCCTTGGTGGAGGCCATGTTCGATGGATTGATGGATCCGGAAGAGGGGGACCGTCAAATAGCTGTCCTAGAAGCAGAGTCCGTCCTTCCCTTCCCCCTTTTTCTTCGCTCTCCCTCTCCTTCCGCTCCCGTTGCGTCCTCTTCCCATCCCGCTCCTTCCGTCGATGCCGCCTTGGTCTCAACAACCGCGGCTCTGAATCGCATGAGTGTGGACCTGACCGCTCCGATCGCTCCGATCGAATCTCAAGGGAAGCGCGCTGCCGCTGTCGTCGTCGAGTTTGCTCGCCAGTGAACTCCGCCTCAGGGTCGGGTGATTGCTCCTCTCAGTCCTGGAACGGGTCGCATGTCGACTGTTTGGTCGCCCGTGGAGAGGAATGGTGCTGGGAAGGTGATGCACGATCCCCCAGGTTTGATGCCTGGAGATGTACTCGTAAGTCCCCTCCCTTTTGCCGCCTCTCATCGCTTGCTGATCTTCCTTCTTCCAGGCCGACTACGCCTGCCAAAGGTGCGCGACCGAGTTTACCACCGTGGCCTTTTGGTGCTACACGAGGTCCGGCCTAGTTTTGTGTACGAAGTGCTCCAGGGAGCAGAAAGGCTGTAGCTTCCAACCCGGGTGGGTGCCGAACAAGGGAAAGTCCAAGGGGAAAGGGAAGTCGAAAGCGAAGGTGGCCGAAAAGTCGGGGGAGCTGGAACCATCGCGCCCGACCAAGAAGTGTAAGGTCGAGGTACTCGTCCCCGAATGATCTGTCGGCGAGAGTATCGCGCAGACCAGAGGTGAGTACCAGTTCGATTAGTGCTGGGATGGGAGCTCATCGGGTTATCTCAGGTGTGCGGGCTCGGAAGCCTGTCCAACGCCTTCCCACCACCACCACCCGTGCCATTCCCTCCTCCTCCCGTTCCCGTTCTGTCGCCGTCCCCGCCCTGTCCGACTCGTCTCGTTTGTCGCCAATCGTTGCGCAAGGCATCGTGTCCGATCTTTGGTACCGGATCGCTGTGGCGGAGGGTACACGGGCTTCGTTGGTGCAGTCGATCAAGATGTGGCAGGCGGAGTTGGAGTTGCTCGAGGTACGGGCGGGTCCGTCTACGTCTTCGGACGTCGTCTTGGTCGAGGATTCGTCGGCGGCGGAGGATTCGGATATGTCTGTGTTGGGCGATTTTGTACCCGATGAGTAGAATAGTTTCGGCGGTTCTATAGTATAGTAAAATGTAATATAGCAGTAAAGGGACTGTCCTGTTCTGAATGAGACGTTCGGCTTAGACCAGAGGCGTCGTTTCAGGAAATCGGTCGGTGAAATGACTGTGTGTGAATGTAGTTGTAAGCGAAGCGTTCGGCGGAAGTGAGGAAAATAAATTGGAATATTAGGGGAAGCCTCAGTATGTCATTATAGGCATAAAACCCTATGGTTTTGCGCAAATCGGAAGAAGTCTTCAATGCGACTTGGTACTTGAAGGAATGATGGGAAAATGATGGGCCGAATATTTGGTCGGTGATCGGTGGGTGGCAACAGTACTAAAAGATGTGGAAATGATTGGGTGTCAGTCCATGTCTGTGACAAATAAACGAAATACGGAATGGGTATATCTGTGAATCCTCCTCCCTACTGAAATCGTGACTGTCCCCAGTCACCGACCAAAGAGAGCGAAGGGTGGGAGGGTGGGATCTAGTCGGAGGTCGCCGAAGCCATGTCATTGTCCTCCGCCGATCGGACTGAGCTGGTGTCGGTATCTTCATCGGTATTGTCGTCTTCGGCGTCGTCGTCTCTTGATCGGGAATCTTCCATGGCCTGAAGGCGTTCTTGTGAGATGTTGAGGAGGGCTTCAAGGTCGGCGAGCTTCAGAGACCTGTGGGCAAAATAAGGAATAACGCGGAATGCTGCCACTGGCCTATCAAAGACCAATCCGTCGAGTTCGGCCAAAATATACGCTCCTCCCCGATTCCTAGAAATCACCAGCAACGGTCCCAAGTACCATGGTCGCATCTTCCGATTGAGCGCCTTTTCTATGGCTGTGTTACGCATCAGGACAAGCGAGCCTCAGTGGAAATTGAAGTCGTGAAGTGTGGCCGAATGCTGTTGTTCAAATCGGATGGCGGCCTGGACACGGGCGTCGACAACTGAGCTGCGAAGGTGGGTGAGGTCTGATTGGCGTTTCTGCAAGGCTATGGCTCGTCGGGCGATGAGGTCGGTGGTGCTAAGGGTTGTGGTCGGCGGTGGCAGGAGGTAGGTGGCTTCGGCGATGTCGAGGGGCAGGAGGGAATGGGTTCCGGTCGCTGCGAAGTATGGTGTGCAACCCATTCGGCGCCGAACAGTAATGCGATCAGCCCAGAATACGAAATGAGTTGCACGATTCCACTTGGCCTGGTCTCCATCGACGGCTTTGAACAGAGCCTGCCGAACGTCGAAGTGAGGTCGTTTGGCGATGCCGTTGGCGCGGGAATTGTAGCCCGAAATGCGGATGTGCCAAACGTGGTACTTTTTCGCTAACTGGTCAAGTGCCTTGACGAATGCTGGTCCGTTGTCGGAGACGATCTCTACCAGTGTTCCCCATCAGCACAGGATATCCTCGAAGATCCAGTTGGCGAGTGCGGAGCTTGTTTTGCGTCGCAGCATTTGGAATTCGGGGTAGTGCGATACCGAACAGCAACCTTGAACAAGATACTTGAAACCACCAGTGGTCGGCATGTGCATGGTGTCCATATACATCTTCGCGAAGAGTGATGCAGGCGTGGCGACGGTTGGGGGAATGAGGACATTGCGAGTCTGGCGAATCTGGCAAAGGTGACAGGTCCGAACAAACCAGGAAATATCTTGCCTCATGTGCGGCCACCAGAAGCGTTTGGCGACCAAGGCGGTCGTGGCGTAGAATCCCTTGTGAGCGACATCGTCGTGGGCAGCAGTGAGAATTGCGATTCGACTGGAGCGTGCTGCAATAATCTTGTGTCGGCCGTGCGAGTCTTTTCTCCATAGCTTGTCGGCTGCGATGAAGAACTCAGTGCAATATTGCAGGAAGGTGGCATATTCGGAGTCAGAGAGAGAAGGGGGCCGAACCAATGTTCGGTGCCAGTCTCTGACCAACCATAGGCGTTCTTCGGCTTCCAAAGCTTTTTGCAATCTTGGAATATCCGAATAGTCGATGGCTGGCTCTTCGTCAGCTGAGTCGGCGTCGGTCGGGTGGTCGTCTATGAGTGAGGAGGTGAAGATGGCGGTTGTAGAGGCCGATATGGAGGATGGGAATGTGTTGTTGATCAGATGGAGGAAGCCGTAGAGATTGTCGATCCAGTCGTCAAAGTCGTCTTCGGGTTCGGGTCGATCAGAGGGTTGTGGTGGTTGTCGGGAGAGTCCATCGGGGCCGTGAGAGGTGCCGGGGACGTGGACGAGTGTGAAATGGAAGGTGAGGATGGAGACAATCCACTGATTGATGCTGGCGCTGGGTTCGAGATCCGGGTTAGTGAGCATGCCCTTGATGTAGCATGCATCTACTTCGACTATCAGGTTCCGAACGCCAATGAGGTACATCTTGAGCGATTGGAGGGCGCGAAAGAGGCCGTAGAGTTCGAGCTTGGGTTGGGAGAATCGCGATTCGCGGTCGTTAAGGGTGATGGAGCCAAATCGGGCATAGTACCAAACCCGAGGATTGTCGAGCGCACATTGACAAAGATGGAAGCCGACTGCGATTTGGGAAGTGTCGACGGCGAGGATGACGTTGGCTGCCGACCCATAGTCGATCGGCTGAAGGGCTGGCGATTCGAGAAGCGCTGACCGAAGGTCGTCCTGGGCCACTATCTGGTCTGGGCCGAACACGAATGGAAAATCTTTGCGTGTTAACATTGTCAGTGCATGCGCCCTGTGTGCAAAATTCTGAATGAAGATCCAAACGACACCGATCGTCCCCAAGAATGCCCGAACATCGGAGAGATCCCTGCACGGTCCCCACTTCATAATCGATTCTACCCTAGACCCGTTGGGCAATCTTCCTTCGTACGTACAGCGATGGCCGACCACCGTGATTTCGGCTGCGCAGAGTGTCGCCTTGTGCCCCAAAAATGTTCCTCCGCTATACTTCATCCGCTAAACCACCCGATTGAGGCCTTGAAAGTGCTCCCACACAAATCGTCGTATGCCGGAGTTGTCAGGATGCGTCTTGAAGCCTCCGTTCGGAAGTTTGTATCGGGTCGGTGGGCCCCAAATCGGGACATCGTCGATGAAAGGAATGGTGGTGTCTGGGATCTCTGGCTGGAGGATGTGGGTGACGTCATCGTGGAAGATCGGGACCGAATTTGTCCATCCCATGGGTAGGGTGATGAGTCGGTGGGCCCCGAACGGGGTCTGGAATGTGGTGAAGTCGTGAGATGATTTGGCGAGCCCTTGTTTGTTGTATTCAACATAAAGATCCAGAATGCCACCGCAAGCGTGAGCTGCAAACTGTTCAGCGATCTGATCGGTATATGGGGGCACACCTGAATGCTGGATGGTGATGGTGTTCAGGGGTTCGAGGCTGTGAACGATTCGGAGTTTGGTCCCAGTGGAAGTGCTATTTGTCTTCTTGACAACTGTAAACCAGCACGATCGGTAGGACGAATTCGACGGCTCATAGACTCCAGCAGCGATCTTGGTTTTGATAAGTCGGCACACTTCGTCGTAGATGCCTGGTGGAATCGGAATGTTGCGCTGAACCCAGGGCTTGTGCTCGACTACCGGCATATTGACTGGTGGGAAGAAGTCCTCACGGAAACGTCCGCGTTCCGAATCGTCCCATGCGAATCCCATCTCTTGTAGACACATGAAATGGTGCATGAGCTGTCGTTCGGCGGGCCAAAGGAAGTCGTCCGAGTGGACTTTGTCGATGAGGTCGCGTCGTTCGGCTGTGTATCTGCCAGTCGGCGTGAAGGGTGGGGGGTTTGGTGTCAGCGCCGGAAGGGTAGCGAGAGGGTCACCAAGGATGTTCCGAACGATTCAGAACTTTTCGGGGAGGTCGGCCAAGACTGGTCGTGTTTTCTGAGCGACCGGTTTGTACTTGTGCTTGGCAGCGAAGATGGCAACCGGGTCGGCGATATTAGTGGAATGGAAAGAACCGGGGACGACTGAGGAAAATAAGGACGACATATCGGAATCGAGATTGTTTTTGAGATGATTTTCGGGCCCCAAATCGGAGGCCATAATGTATTTGAGACAGAGATCGCGACAAGAGGGAGATGGAGAATGGAAATCTGAGGATGCTTTGATAAGTGGGAAATTGGGGGTATCATGATCGGTGGAAATGATCAGTGCAACTTCTCCTTGATCTTGGATCAATTCATCAAGTCGCAAAAACTCGCTTGTCTTCGGTGAAGGACTCGAGGGGGTCCTCGTCTGATCGTCGGAATGGTGGCTCGTCGTCCCATGTTCGGGTCGCTGATGGTGATCATCTGGTCTTCGTTTGAATAATTTTTGACGATACTTTCAGTGAGGATGTCGAAGGGCCGACCGAGGAGAACGTCGTAGGCTGGGTTCCGAATGATGTGGACTTGGAGGTACAGGGTGATGTCGCCGGTGAGGAATGGAACGTTGCGTGCCAGGCCCAAGGATCGGTCGATTTCGCCATTCGCCGACTGCATATTGAGGACAATTTTGGGGTCGTAGATGAGCGCCAGTTCGTTGCAAATGCCTTCCGACATGGCGATGACTTGTGAACCCGGATTGATGATGCATTTGACTTCCTGTTGGTGATCGACGAGGGGAACAATGGACCTTAGGGCTGAAGACTCTTTAGCGACTATCAACGGCTGAGGAACCTGACCAGGCTGTAGACTCTTCAGATATGTTTCGTACGTGTCGGGGATGATGATTGCGCCAGGTGGAGGTGTTTCAGGCTGATGCAGGACATTGACGAAGGAGGAGACGGTCGGTCGAGTCGGTGGTTCGAGATCGTCAATGGCGTAGGGTAGATCGGCATCTTGGTAGAAGGTCCGAACATTGCTGGCGTCTTTGGTAGGTGATCGGCGTGCCGACGTGGCTTCCCTGACCTGCGAACGGACTTCGGCGGAGAGGGAGAGCAGTTCGCGCTGGGTAAGCGTCACCTGAGTGGCCATCGCCCTGTTGTAGACCTCGGCTGCTACCTTCTTGTCGTAGATCGGCGCCGTAGTCTTGTAGGCCGGAGCGTCCTTCTTAGCCGATGGTATCTTCGCCGGGGCTCCTATGTTGCGTTCGTGCGGTGGTGCATAGGTGGCGTCCTGGGCTTTGGCGTATGGGTGGATCGGAGCATCGTCCTTGGCTGGTACCGGGGGCGGTCGCTGAGTCGGGGTGGTTGGTCGGGGCTCGGGTTCGGGAGTTTTGGTCCTCACTCGTCGTTTGGGAGCTGGTGATGGGGTAGGCGCCGATCGTCCTGTCTGCGCCATTTCGCATGCCCTTGCGCCCCGTGTTCGGAGCGCGAATAGTTCGCGTTCGAGGCTTGCGATTTGCTGGACGTCGGTGAGTTGGTAAGTTGGGGTGACATCTAGCAATGAGGGTGAATCGTGATGGGAGGCTATCGTCATCAGGTGAGTCGGCGCCGCGTTTACCGTAAACATCATCTGTCCGGTCGCCAACTGGCCTGGATTCCTGCGGTGCCATTCGTCAACTCGGTCCTTCAGATTACTACCCGTGATTTCTCTGGGTACGAATGCCCCACTTGACAATACAACCTTCCCCTCGATATTCCTCTTGCATTTGCTGATCCGAATGTATTCGGTGACCTCGGGACAGGCGCGCATGAAGTGTTTGGGATTGCCGCAGAACATGCAGTTGTCGCCGCCTTGTCCTGGTTGTCAGGATGGTCGATCGGCTGGCCTGGACATCCCCTGAGCTGCAATGGCTTTGACGAAGGTGTCGGTGAGCCGTTCGAACATGGTCGCCAGGTCTTTGGCCTTGATCGTGTTGGTGGGTGGCACGGCGGGGGCTGCTCGAGAGATGTCGGTAGACATAGTGCTGTAGGTGGATGTGGTGCCGTGCAAGACAAATCAGGCCGCGTCGTGGATGTCCTGGAGGTTGTACGGGTTGTCTGGGAAATGATCGGGGAACTTGAGTTGTAGCCGTTGAGAGATTCTTGCCCATAGCTCCGGTTGGAATCCTCTAGTGAAGGCGCGTCCTTGTTCGGCGACCGAGATTCATGCCTTGCTGAGGAGGAATACCATGATCACCAGAAATCGCCGATGATAGTCGCCGAGTTCACTGAGAGACAAGATGCCGACCCTGCTCGTTTCGCCGACTAGCTTGTCCATATCTGATACCGACCATTTGCGCTCTTCCTCCGATCCGGGGTATAGTTTGTAGACCTCTTCGCAGAACTCCTTAAATGTCTTCGTGGTGTCGGTGAAAGTGGTGAGCGATTCCCAAAGCTCACAGGTGTCAACGTCCAGGAATCGGCAAGCGTGTTTCTTCCTTTCCTGCTCGTCTTCTACCGCAGACCGAACAAAGTGGAAGTCCAGATCGGCGAAATATCGTCTCAATTCGCAGGGTTGATGGGGGTCAAAGGTCGGAGCCGTCCGATCTCCATGAGCGGGCATGGATGGAGTTGCCATAGCGAGAAAGTCAAAGGTGGGGGAGAAGGTATTGTTTGCTAAGGTGATTGGGGATGGAGTCGCTGGTTCGAAGGAGCGTTCTAGCGAAGTCGGTTGGATGGTCGGCGTCCAGAAGACGGGGCTGCGTGGGATTAACGGAGAGATGGAATCGTGGAGAGATGGGATAGGAGACGGGGGTGATTGTTCTAAGAGCGCAAGGTTGAGGATGGGGGAAATCGGCGGGAGTAGCGATCGGTTCAGTGACGAAGGTGGGGTTAAGAAGAAAGTGGAGTCAGGTGGTGGCGAGAGCGATGGCGAGGATTCAAGATCAAGATAGTGATGGTGGGATAGATGCTCCAGGACTATATCGGCGTCTCCGAACAAACTTCGGTCGGCAGATGTTTCCTGAGTATTGAAGCTGCCGATAACTGTTTGTCGTTCTTCACGCTCCGCTGTTGGTTGGGACGAGCGACGTAGATTCCTTGAGGTAATTTTGAATACTAACCCCTCGCGGTGGGCTCCATAATGATATGCTAGAGGTGGCTCTAAGTGCTGAGCACAACACTAAAACAACCTCTATTGCAGGGGTGCTGGAGCTAGTATCTAATACACAAGGAATTGTTAGTGATGACTTTAGAAATTGAAGGCGTACTGAGAAGCAATCGGGGAGGGTGAGATTATAGCGCCCGAACGGTTTCGGGACTGCGCCGAACACCGACCGAATGTTCGGTCGGTCGTGTCGGCGATGCGGTCGGTAACGAGAAGGTAGTGTCGCGACCGACAACTACGTGCTTCAAGAGCCACACGGGACTCTGACAATATACGAGGGAGGACGGGGGTACGAGCGAAGAGACGAGTACGGACACGAATGAGGCCGAACGACGAGGATGACAAGTTTTCGGAGGTTGACAAAGACGATTTCGATGGTTGAGACGAATGCGAATGAGCTCTGAACTGTGGGGTGCGAAAGCTGGTTTATTCCAGAGTTGTATGTAGGTTTTTATAGTAAACAGCGCCCCTAAGTAAAATATCGAACCTGAAATGAGAGTAGATGTCGAATGGGCGCCAAGCCTTAGCAATCAGAGAAGATAAGAAGGTAGGTGAGATGTCCATATGGGTTCCGAAGGTGATAAGGTAAAAGGTAATCAGTGATGTCAAAATCCCGAACATTCGGGATCCGTCGCCCGAGTGTAGGTAGCAGGAACAGGCGTTGGAGAACCAATGAAAAATAAAGGAGAGGTATCGTACGACCAGGGTGGCCAAGCAATGGTGCAAGATCGCGTTTGACCGACCATGCAGAAGTCGGGAAGATAAGCGATAAGGACTGACCGACTCACGGAGGACATCGGCCGATACGGAATACTGGCTCCGATCTCGTACACACCTATCGTAACACTCCTGTGCGGTCATGGTAAGCATGTGAAGTGTGGGCGAAATGACCCAAGTGCTGCCGAATCGTCCTTCGGTGGCTTGTCGTCGGTCGGGTAGGGACCGACCGTGTTCGGTAAAAGTCAGCGTCTTCGGTACTTGTCTAGCGCTGTTCGGTATCTCCCCAAAGCTTCCCGAATACCTCCCTCGGACCCTAGCGCGGGTGCATGCTCATCAACGGCTACCAAGGACCCTATGATTACTAGGGAGTATTAACTGTGGAGCAAGAAAGGGGGTAAGGAAGTTGAGGAACTCCTTCCCCCACTAGGGTCCGAAATGACCTTAAACTACCCATCGTCCGCAACGACGTAAAACTAGGTTTGTCCCTCAAGACGTTAAACTGTACGACCTTGTCCGAAAGAGACGTTAAACTACCCCACGTCCGGAATGACGTCTAAACTATCGGACCTGCATGTCTTAAAACTGTGAAAAGATAAGAAGGCAGGGGAAGTACCTGACCATCTGTCCTGGTTCAAATGATGGTACAAATCAAGGACAACAGCGGGCATAATTCCACGTACGACCTCCGGCGGAACTCTTCTACATCCTTGCTGTCAAGGAGTTAATTTGACAGATGCACTGAGCGTCCCATTTGGATCCTCAGTTTTACAGGGTTTTTTCCGCATTAGGGAACCCTCTACATGACAAATATCTACTCGTAGGTGTCGACAAGCCGGCTCTTCGCCTTGGTACAGCGAAGTGCCCATACATAACCGGTTGCAAGTCCGAGTCAAGAAATTATGATGCATAACTCGTTAAGTGAACCCTCACAGTCAAGGTCTGACTGGTGTTTTGGGACGTCCCACTTTGGATCTCCCATTTTACAGGATCGTTTCTGCATTAGGGGATCCTATAGCTGGCGCATGAGATAAGTAGAGTCCTGGCCACCTCCGCTTACACAAGTTTCCTCCAAGGAATGCGAGGCCATAAAATCACATCCAGAACGATGTAAAACTACCAAAGGCTTGGTTTGCAATGACTATAAACTACTAGGGTTCGCAATGACGTTAAACTAGTCTTCATTCGAAATGACAGAAAACTACCATCATTCAAGATGACGTAAAACTACCATTGACCCAAGGAGCGTGGTTGCATTCTGGTGAAGTGCGGATTTTCGGGAGGATCCGTGTCACAGAACCCTGCCTGTAAGAGGTTGAAGCGCTTCGATATTCACTCGCTTTTCGGTAAAAGAATATTGGGTCAACTTGGTTCAAATCCAAGCGAGGGGTCTGGGGACATGGAAGAGCAAGCATCTCTTCACGGTGCGCTCAGTCTAGTCTTGGAGTCGAAGTACAAGAAATTCCGCTCCAAGACCTAGTCAGGAGGCAACTAGGACACGTGCCTCAAGTCGAAGATCTAGTAGGAAGGGACTAGATCATGCGACTCTCGTCTGGCCCACATAGCGGAAGAACGACAAGAGCGGGCCACTCATACGGAGAAGTCTATTCCGCCAATCGTCTGCAATGACGATAAACTACGCAGCGTCCGGGATGACGTTAAACTAAGCATTGTTTTTCCACAATATTTGTGGCAAAACAGCGTCCGAAATGACGTTAAACTACCGTCCCTCGACCCTAGGGATTGTTCGAGGCCATTTTTGGTACGAAAATGGCATCGACGTCCGCAATGACGATAAACTACAGGCATCCGAGACGATGTAAAACTACTGTCCCTTCGTTCTAGGGATCGTGGGCTGCGCCTGAATGTGGCGACACCCATAGTCCAGAATGACTTTAAACTACTTGCTCCTCGCCAAGAAGAGGAGTTGTGATTGTTGACCAGGACCTTGGTCACCAATCAGTCTGCGATGATGGTAAACTACTTGTCCCTTCAAGTATAGGGATTGTGCATGGCGATCTTGACAAGATACCGTGCATCCGCGATGACATTAAACTAGTGCCCCTGCACCTAGGGGTTGTCATTGATGTCTATGCCCCTAGACACCAATGCGTCCGCAATGACGGTAAACTATTTGCTCCTTACCGTATAGGAGTTGTGGATTGACCGCCATGCTGTCAATCGGTCCGCAATGACACTAAACTATGATGCTCCTTACCGAACAGGAGTTGTGGTTGTTGACCATGACCTTGGTCATCAACCGTCCGAAACGACGATAAACTACTCGTCCCTTTCAGTATAGGGATCATCATCAACGTCGTCCTTGACGAGAACGATGCTGATAACGTCCGAAATGACAATAAAATACCTTCATCCTCGGAAGGAAAAGCCTATCGTGACTCGAGGGATATAGTCAGACGATAGCTCGCCTAAAGCACGGCGTTAAACTGCAAGTCGCCTACCTCACGGCGTTAAACTGAGCGGCCTCCTAATATTGAGGCGTTACAAGTTATCCGGTTTGATATAGTATAAACCGTTCCCATCATGCCTCAGTGGAAATCTGCGGGATAAAGTCTGGTCTAGGGCCCTATGCACACAACCAATGGAAATTCCGGCGTGCAGAAACATCTTTCCCCACAGATGTTCCATGTTGATAATGAAGAAGGTCCGAAACGACCTAGAAGTAAACTACTAGGCAGCGCAGGGCGCCTTAATAACATCCGAAACGATGTAAAACTACTGTCGTCCGCAACAACATAAAACTAGGTCTTTGTCCGCAACGACGATAAACTACGAAGCGTCCGGCAAGACGTTTAAACTGCTATTGTGGATATATCTCGCAACCCGAACAACATATCAGCTGTGGTCTTGAGATCCATTTGTGCATGTGAACGGGCCGATTTGGAGAAGGAGTCAGACTCCTCCTTGCTCCTCACGGCGCCCTTCTAGTCTAATTCTCTTCACATCCTTGCCTCGAACCCAACACTACACGTGGTATTCCCCACCATAGGCCCACGTTTGTGACAAACAAACTCTGGACGCCGTAAACTGCCTCACCGGAGATGAGTCCACCGTATGGGGACAATACTGCTTGGGATTTGGCTAGCAACCTCACCGGAGATGAGCTCACCATATGGGATACTGCTTGGGATGACGATAGGGTAGCTTGGAGAAGTAGGCCTAAGCCTTGGTTAAGCGATCAACCTACTTGTCCATGGGCACACTTCGTCGTCAAGAGGAACTAACAAGTCATGAGGATAGAATGACTATCCTGGAAACACTGAGGTTTGGCCCTCGGAGAAGGAAGAAGAAGAACCTGATGACACGAAATGGAACCCACAAGCTAGAGTTTCTATATATCCACACACCACTTGCATGCATATGCCTTTCTTGATGCTGTTCCAGAGGAGGCTGGAGTAAGACCGCGAAGAGATTTACCCACGGCAAAATAATCCTTACGGGTGAAGGAAGAACATCCTAGTGGCCCAGGGCTTGGATACCCCTGCGTTATGGCCGAGAAACAAACAGCTCAACGGAGATGGAAAACTCCTAGAGGATCAAACGACATAAGTCGGTCTTCCTCCCAGAAAACGAAGTCGTGTCCCGGAAGTCGCATCCGGAGACCAGTTTTTGGATCAAGGAAGCAAATCGTATATGGAGTGGTGATGAAGCACAAGGCGCTGTCCTACCAGGCGAATATGACGTAGAAAGGGGGTATTGTTATGATCACGTTCTGTCAGGCCTTAACGGCGGTTTATTCCAACACGATCATCACAAATATCAAGTGGCCTCACAAGGTGAGGCGTACAACAAGGTACAGATAATAACCTTGGTCATCCACTCCCAACGGATCACCTTATCGTTGGTCGAGTATCACGAGCCATATTGCGACGGGCATAGAATGCTGCCTTACAAACTACTCACATGATGGGCATTGAGCTCCTAGTCTTTCCTGGCCGGAAGGAGACGAATGGAAAAGCACAAGAGTAGTCGTTATTGAGAAAGACAACTCAGAGAATACCTACGGATACATATATGGTATTCTCACGCCCTGTTTCCTAAAGTAGTATAAAAGGCCCATAGAGTAGGCTGAGGTTCTTCAGTCTATTCTCTTCATTCTGGTACTGTCTTCCTATAGTACCCTTCGTTCTCCTGTATCTTCACATACAGGACCCTCCATTGCTACATCGCAATACATCTCTGGCTCCTGTGCTACACGTACAGTCGAGACCATCATTCCACACATCCTCCTCGAGTGACCTAGGGAAGAACCTCCTACTCTTGGGGTTACCGAACGAGCAGTTCATAATAGGTGCAAAAGAGTATGTTGCACAGGTTCTTGAAGGGCCTCTAAAGGATTTTTTCAACAGGATGGAGCAGCAGCAGATACGTCTCATGCTTGTTGTCAAAGATGGAGCACCAGCCCACACAAGCTGCCTCGCAAAATCTGCTCGGTTGAAACTGGGCATCACACCCCTAACACATCCTCCATCTTCACCCGATCTTAACCCTATCGAGCCATTATGGCTGCTGCTCAAAAACCGTATTGCTGATACTCCAGGTGCCAGTAATTCTCTTGAGAACCTATGGTTAACAGCACAGCATGCATGGGAAGAAATTACAGAGGAGGAGATTCAGAGACATACTGGGAAGATGTTAAAGAGAGTTGCACAAGTTCAGGCAGCAAAAGGCTGGCATACAAAATTCTAACTACTGTATTGTATAAAAGACATTCCTAGCTCTTCATAAAGACTATCAAATTGTCGATCCATTTACAATTGCTCTCAAGAGACAGTCAGAAACTAGGAGACATGTTATGTCATAGTCACCTGTTCAAACACTTTTCATGGGCATGAGTGCATACTCTATGATTAGAGGTGTAGTAATAGTAGAGAAACCATAGAAGTAGGTTAGTTGATATTTTCCGAAAATCCATATGATAAATTAGCTTTAATTAGCTCTAATTAGATCTTATAATTTCAGGATTAAAAAGAGGGTAAGCTAAAAATCCTTAATGGTAATTGGTAAAAATATAGCTATATTTATGCTTAACTGTTGTTAATTTAATATGAAGCTTTTCCCTGATGTACCCTCTATCTATATCCTAATACCTGGTAGGACAATAAGCCATATGTGTTTTATTGCCATCTATATACAATCTGCTTTCTTGATCCAAGTAATGTATCGACTAGATGCATTTTCTGGATATGACTTTGTTTTCTAGAAGGAAGATCAACTTATATTGTTTGATCCTCTAGAATTTTTCCATTTCCATTAAGCTGTTTGTGTTAGGAACATGTCCAAACATGTGATTGGCATGTGACATAGTGGCATCCTCAGGGTTAATTACTACATATATGTGTTGGCATCAACACTTACCAATGACTCATTCACAAGCTTCAGCTTGAACATTTACATATGACTGTCATGACAAGGCCCTGATCGGTTCCTGTTTCCTTAATGATGTGGACAGACATTTGATATGGTTACCATATATGGTTACAGTAGCAATATCGCGGAGGTCAAACTATAGCTGTGGATTATGAAGGAACAATTGCCAATTGTACTTACAGTCTTGAAGCACAGACCTTATGTCTATCCCACCCTAAATAGACTGTATGTATAAATAGCTAAGCTGAGCTTCTTAGAAGCCTTAGCTTGTTCACTTTGTATATATCTCAATATCTGCATTGCACCCGGCGTCTGGCCCCTTCAGCCCACACTTTGTGATCTCTGCCAGATCCATAGAACCATACTCAGCTGACAAAGCACTGGACTCGTCTCAATGCTCTTATCATCCTCTACTGCCTATAATGTATCAAGGGCTCGCTGCTTATTAAGTCATCCATTAGGATCCCTCCAAAGTCATCTGTTGCATTGGAGAAGACTTGTTCGTACCAGATGAACAATGACACCTCATTAACCAGCATCTCCTCTATTTATTTGAGGACAAGATCAATAGTGATCAAGAATTCCTGAATCAAGCCCAAAGATGAGCGGTTATCTTCATACGTTGGGCCGTCACTATTACAGTTAACCCAGGGAACCCTTCTTAGTGCATAGAGTGTATGTGACAAGCCTAGTGGCTTAACAGTTTGTTTGTGGACTATTGGAGCTAACCAGGCTCCTCATTGGTAAGATGTTTTTCCTTTACTTACTTGATTTGTTATAGGGTGCTCCTGGTCTCTTAAGCTAGGTTGTCTAAACCAGTTTGGTCTAGTATAGTGTTTAGAAAGATGTAAAAATATGATTGGTGGAGGGATAAGTAAAAACTCATTAATGTGGATTTATATTTGTGTCATTATTTTCTTCTTCTTCCTTTTCTGAGGGTTAAACCTTAGTGTTTCTAGGATAGTCATTCTATCCTCATGATTGCCATGCCAGAGGGGTCCACAAACAAGTATATCTGGAAAACCACCCCCTTGTATTAAGCTCTAATTAGCTATAATTAATGCTCTATTATACTAAATTATGAAAGATTAGGATTAGACATTTTTAGCTTACCCCCCCTCTAAACCTGTTCTAATTAGACATAATTTTCCTAAATTAGGAATTATTAGGATTCATTATAACTTGAAATTTCGGAAAAATCATAATAAATCAAGCATCACAGTTCTCATAGCCTTCTTATACAGTCATGTCTATTAGAGCACTAGTTAAATACCTAAACACAGAATATACCTTATAACAAACTTGTCTTTTGCCAGAGTTGAACCAACAACCTCATGTATGCAAGCATCCAGGACAGATGCTCTAAGCCACTAAGCCACAAGGTCTAATATACAAACTTGGTAATCAAAATAAGTAGACATAATATAGGCAACCTCAATATCTCAAATTTTATTCAACATTTATCTTTCCTCTATCTAATAAATAAACAGGTCAATAAATACCCAAAAAGTCAGGTCTTTTAGGATTTAGTTTAAACACCAGCTAAGAAGATAATAAACTAATGGGAAATAAATAATACACTTTATATAGGGTAAAAACAAATTATGGCACTTACACAATTTGGATTTAGAATGTGTAAAACTATGATTGAGTGTCATATTTAATAGAAATCTACTAGTATAGGCAATGCTACCTGAATTTGCAAATTTGATCAAAAACATGATAATAAATAATTGAGGTCCAATAAGAGAGAGGGGTTTTCCAAATAGCCACTAGTGAGGTAGAGGATGGGGACAAGAGTATATGTATGGCATGCCTATATATAAATAAGCACAAGATTGTTGGAGGTGATCTTAATATGCTTAGTGCATATATTTTCTATATAGCAGGCAAATATATTATTCTGGCACCATATACCAACATGACTGTCTTTTCCACAGCCTAATAGCTAGAGGAAAACACCAAGTTTGAGCATCTTTTGTATAATAAGGCGATGAACAATATAAATAGTGCTAAAAATTGTAATATCAATAGTGATGATGATTGTGTGCTACACAAGACAGTATTAACCACTGTACTAATAGACAAGGTCTACAAGGCTGCATATAGCATATCCCTAAGCCCAACCCACATGTTGTGTCCTATAATGACCAGTAGCAGGCATTGGCTAACAATGACAACTTTAATGATCTTGTGTGCAAGGCCAAGGTACCTAGGTCTTCATAGCCTCTTGTGGCAGCTGCCAAGCTGCCAACAAAGTGGCTGGGGGCATCAATGCACATTTTTCTCTTTCTATATCCCTTGTAAAGGCAGCTGGAAAGTCAGCAAAAGAGCTACAAAATAATGATATAGGCATATATAAAGGAGAGTAATGTGCTAAAATAGTATAGAATGTGCCACATCTTTACCTTCTTATTAATAGAGCAGTAGTACTTACTATTTCCTACTGCTAATTAAAGACTTCTTAGTATAGAATTAGCACTAATATCATGAAATTAGAAACCAACCCAATGCTCACAATGTGTCGCTCCTAATTAGGAAATTAGACACTTTTAGATGCTATTAACACTTTTAGATACTTTTAGACACTATTAGATATAATCCGGAGCTAATACAAGGGGGTAGTTTTCTAAATGTAGGTTAGTTCACCCACACTTCATGTACTTACCATGACCGCACAAGAGTGTTACAATAAATGTTTACGAGATTGGAGCCAGTATTCCGTATTGGCCGATATCCTCTGTGAGTTGGTCGGTCCTTATTGCTTATCTTCCTAACTTCTACATGGTTAGTCAAACACAATCTTGCACTATTACCTAGCTACCTTGGTCATATGTTATGTCTTTTTTATTTTCATTGGCTTGCCAATGCTTGTTCCTGCTACCTACACTTGGGCGATGGATCCCGAATGTTTGGGATTTTGACATTACTGATTACCTTTTACCTTATTAACTTTGGAACCCATATGGACATCTCACCTACCTTCTTCTCTTCTCTGATTGCTAGGGCTTGGCACCCATTTAACATCTACTCTTATTTTGTGTTTGGTATTTTACTTAGGGGCTCAGTTTACTATAAAAACCTACATACAACTCTGGAATAAAACAGCCTTTGCACCCCACAGTTCAGAGCTTATTTGCACTCATCTCAACCATTGAAATCATCTTTGTTGACTCCTAAAACTTGTCATCCTCATTGTTTGGCCTCATTCATGTTCATACTCATCTCTTCACTTATACCCCTCATCCCCCCCCCCCCCCCTTCGTATATTGTCAGAGTCCCATGTGGCTTTTGAAGCATGTAGCTGTCGGCTGTGACACTACCTTCTCATTACCGACCAAATTGCCAACACAACCGACCAAATGTTCAGTCAGTGTTCAGTGCAGTCCCAAAACCATTTAGGTGCTATAATCCCACACTCCTCACTGCTTGCCAGTACACCATCAATTTCTAAAGTCATCACTAACAATTCCTTGTGTATTAGATACTAGCTCTAGCACCCCTTGCATTAGAGGTTGTTTTAGTGTTGCACTTGGCACTCAGAGCCACCTCTAGGGTATCACCGTAGCACAATCTATGCCTTTTCTATCCCCAACTCACTGATAATCATCAAATATCACTTATTGACAACTCAACAAGCTTTTGTCTCATAATGATCACTAAGCATCATGGCAAATGTAACACCATGTGATGTAGTTGTGGTTGCTTGACATCTCTTGCCAATGGTGCTTGATTGATGACAATTGCTGACAATTGCTGACAAGAGACCACCTGCCAATTATGGACAATTGCCAGCAATTGTGGTGTTTATATGAAATTTGCCAGTAATTGTTACAGAATATTATATATTGCTGACCAGACCCTAAAAAGTTCGATTTTTGCCCGAGAAAACCCTTCATACCCTCGACTGACTTTTGACTGGGCTTTAGATTCGAGTTTGTAATGTTGTTAGAAGTTCAGACATGACCAAGTCAAAATACGACGCTGTTCAATCAACCATATAGGAAACTGCGAGGCAATGTGCATCTGTGAACCACTGGAGCGAAGTTCCGGTCGGCCTTGTGATATGGAACAATCTCTGTAGTGACTATGATCCCCCAAAACTCATATTACATGATAACGACCCGACATCTATTCCTCGGCCAGCGCCAACGCCTGCTCCAGATCGTCGTCGTCTACCAGGACTGTTGGTAGCAGTGCAGTTCCGTAGTAAAGACGCTGTGCAACAATGACTGCAAAAAATACTCACGACACACTGAACTGAACCCAACGGCACTCTCACTAAAATCAATCGACAGCTGAAATATTGCACAAACTTTGAATTGCAATGGCGACCCTTGCAAGAAGAAATATACCATCCTGGGCGAATACGGTTCAATGACATGGCGACCTGCAAACGCTCTGCGCCACCTACTTGAATGAATCTCCCCCAACCCAGCCTAGCAGAGTGGACGTTTGGAATCCGTACAGAGATTTCTGCTGCAATTACTACAGCCGTCCCGAGTCAACAAACGATTTCGGCCGAGTGGACAGAGGGCGACGTACCTAATCATCTGCGGGATGGGCAACGTGCTCTCCAGACCAAGAGCGACATAGCCCATGAGTGTCACGAACAGCTCCATGCGACCAAATATGAGCGTCAAGATGGTGAGGCAGATGCTGCAGCCGTGCTTTCAGGAGACCGCACAGCGACGCAGAAGATACAACTCACATATAGCCGGCCAGAAACCCCCACATGCTGATATAAGACGTACCTGCGCTACGATCATGAGTAGCGACTGCACCAAGAGCGCGAACTCGAATTGGTTTTCAAGCCAGAAGAAGCATCGGGTGATATTGGCAAGCAGCCTGCCATTTGTATCAGACTAACGACACGGAGTTCTTGAGCGAAACAAGGCCCACAATACAGCACATATATCGCGAGAAAAGCCTGTCGAGTCAGGTCGAATCTCTGTGCATCGCACACGTCAGACTTTGATGGAGCTGCATCACTTCTAGGGACTCACTTTTTGCGTACAATGGACACAGCCTGGTCAGCGTAGACTAGAGGTGGTCCTACGGCCATGCCTATCGACGCCAAGGTCGATATCCATGTGAGGGGGATTTCTATTGAATGAGGAGGCTCGCGAGGCTTCCGGCAGGTGAGCTATCAAGCAGGTTGCAGTAGAGCACTCCAGTTGGTGCCGACTTCTGGGAACCACTCTACCCACATGGATGAACATCGATGTACGTTGGAAAGAGAATACTGACTCGTCGAAGATGACCAGCCTAGTGACGAAGGATTCCTGGCTCATCAGCCAAGGTCAAGACGGAGATGGCATCCCAGAGGTGATTGGGGGTTTCACGGTACCGAACCCGTTGCACATCTTCACGGACATCTCCAACTACGAGCGGTGTGGAGTCTTCCCCATGGTTTACTCTTGCAACGGCCCAGTCGTAGTCGAGAAATGCATTCAGCGCCGGTTATCCACTCTCGCCCAAGGTCTAGACCTTGTCAGTCATGACCTCAATGTCATCGTGTACGCGGGCGTGGACGGCATGATTGGTTTGTCCATTCGACACCCGTTTCGCTTGCCAATGCCAACATTTTACACAGGTCACCTCAACCTGTTCATCGCGGGGGTCCTGCACCGGGACCCGTCTGTCGGCAACTTACTGATCGACCCGAACCCAGGCGTGCGCACCGACGAGCAGATTTTCAACAATAATTGTTTGCGGTACGTGAGTGGTACGTGTGCGTATATTCCCAGTGCGATTTTATCGATACTTATTCACGATCTCTAGTCTCGACAAATTTGAATTCCTGAAGACTATTGGTCACCTGAAACGATGCTATGGCTATCTCATTGATAGCGATCTTGCTATTCGTTGGAAGGACCAGCGCGAAGCCGCGAGACATCGATCGGTAAGTGTCCCGATGTATGAAGATCATGTTGCAGCTAATGGCGACATAGGGTACCCTCCCATTCATGTCTCACCGACTCCTTGAATCCTGGGACAGCCGGCCTTTGCACACAGCCATCGACGATCTCGAATCTTTCGTTTGGATCGTTCTTTGGTCTGCCCTGAAGACTATCAAATCTCCGACGTTCCGTGAGCTTGATTGGCTCACCCGAATATCGGACGACGATATCCAGGTAGTGGCCGCCTTTAAGATGACCATCATGATCCTGATCTCAAAGCCTCGCACTGAGCTCTCCCCGGAGCTTAAACCTTTCCATCCCCTCTTCAAACGTTGGTTTTCGATTGCCTTGGATGCGCAGGACAAGCTCGATGAACTCATTGCGAGCGCAACAATCAAGGCTGTGCCGACAATTGACTTGGATACTCTTCTGTGCGACAAGGCCAAGTCTGTGCATTTCATCCAGGAGGTAGAGGAACTGTGTTTTGGATACTATCAGCAGTATCTCAAGGGGGGAACAGAGTTTCTGCAGGGTCGTGGAATGTACGGTGACTTGGAAAAGGCGTGAGGGCGGTGATTCATGCCGTCTAAAGTTCACACTATCTGTGCTCAAGTTCCAACTTTAGATTGTAGTTTGTAATGTTATTAGAAGTTCAGACATGACCAAGTCAAAACACGACGCTGTTCAATCAACCATATAGGAAACTGCGAGGCAATGTGCATCTGTGAACCACTGGAGCGAAGTTCCGGTTGGCCTTGTGATATGGAACAATCTCTGTAGTGACTATGATCCCCCAAAACTCATATTACATGATAACGACCCGACATCTATTCCTCGGCCAGCGCCAACGCCTGCTCCAGATCGTCGTCGTCTACCAGGACTGTTGGTGGTGGTGCAGCTCCATAATAAAGACGCTGCGCAACAATGACTACAAAAAATACGAGCTGAGTATCACGACACACTGGATTAACACCCGACGGCGCTCACCAAAATCGATCGACAGCTGAAATATTGCACAAACTTTGAATTGCAATGGCGACCCTTGCAAGAAGAAATATACCATCCTGGGCGAATACGATTCAATGACATGGCGACCTGCAAACGCTCTGCGCCACCTACTTGAATGAATCTCCCCCAACCCAGCCTAGTAGAGTGGACGTTCGGAATCCGTACAGAGACTTCTGCTTGAAATTACTACAACCGCCCCGAGTCAACAAACGCTGCCAAGTTAATAGAGGGTGACGTACCTAATCATCTGCGGGATGGGCAACGTGCTCTCCAGACCAAGAGCGACATAGCCCATGAGTGTCACGAACAGCTCCATGCGACCGAATATGAGCGTCAAGATGGTGAGGCAGATGCTGCAGCCGTGCTTTCAGGAGACCGCACAGCGACGCAGAAGATACAACTCACATATAGCCGGCCAGAAACTCCACATGCTGGGAAAAGGTGTTCCACTGCCAGAAGGAAAACGGGCGCGTAGAAGAACCGAGGTTCTCAGGACTAAGACGCGGGCGGTAAAGTATGCAGATATACAACAGCGCCAGCTGATGCCATTGAGCGCACTCTCAGATACGGAAGAGCAAATATAAGACGTACCTGCGCTACGATCATGAGTAGCGACTGCATCAAGAGCGCGAACTCGAATTGGTTTCCTAGCCAGAAGAAGCATCGAGTGATATTGGCAAGCAGTCTGCCATCTGTATCAGACTAACGACACGGAGTTCTTGAGCGAAACAAGGCCCACAATACAGCACATATATCGCGAGAAAAGCCTGTCGAGTCTCTGTGCATCGCACACGTCAGACTTTGATGGGGTTACACCACTTCCAGGGACTCACTTTTTGCGTACAATGGACACAGCCTGGTCAGCGTAGACCAGAGGTGGTCCTACGGCCATTCCTATCGACGCCAAGGTCGATACCCATGTGGAAGGCATTTCTATTGAGTGAGGAGGCTCGCGAGGCTTCCGGCAGGTGAGCTATTGAACAGGTTGCAGTAGAGCTCTCCAGTACGCGCCCAGCGCTGAGCAGCGCTCGGCACAGCAGCGCACGTGCACGTGTCGATGACCTCACATGCGAGCGCGTAGACATCGCGTAGACCGTTGAGCAGAACCCAAACCACGAATGTCCAAGATTTTGGAACACACGTCCTTTCGCATGAGCAGCTCTGGTGTAGCAGCGACGAATCTTTGAACAGCTCCCTTTGGTCCCGCTGTGAGCTCTACGGTGTATGCGCAAGAGCGGCCGCTGCGTGAACTAAAAAAGAGCTCAGGGAATCGAACGGCTTCCAACAAGTGCGCCGCTGCTCGAGGGATCTTCTTTGGACTGCGACACCACGGGCACCAGAAAACAACAACAACATCAGATTCAACATATCCTTGTACCACACATGTCGCGAGGATCTACAAACCAGCCTGCACGATTATTATCAAGACAAATTCCGTAAAGTAATTCTATGTCTAATCCATCATCGGTCAGTCAACCACAGCAGAGAGAGAGAAAAGTCGCGCTCGTCCACGGCGCGTATGTATCAGTTACTCGGTCAGTGAAACGCAAATCAGCTGGAAACGCGGATCAGATCAGACCCCGCAGACATTCAATGGACTCACCAAGCTGGGACCGTCAGCGGGATCCTGACCGTGGTCTGCCAGTGTGAGTTACGGTGGTCAGCTATGCACAGGACACGACGTCGATCCCAACTTACAGCAAGACCCTGTCGCGCGATCGTGCATCAGAAGCCGCGCACGAACCACATTAGAAGCCCACGCACCGAAAGGCTCGTCTCCTTGTACTTCACACTCATGTCCGCAGCGGTCAGGCGCATGGCCTCGATGGCCTCGTCCAGCGTGACGCTGTACACGCCGTCCGCCGCCATCGAGAGCTGCGCCGCGGTAACAGCCTTCACAGCTTCACAGATGGATCAGCACGCATCCCAGACGGCAAATCACGGCCCATCATCTCACCTCCTAGGCTGTTGCGCTCCTGGAACCCCAACACAGCTGTCAGCGCGAATCTCCGCTGTCGCAGGGAACAGAACAGAAGCTCACGATGCAAGGGACTTGCACGAGACCGTCGATAGGGTCGCACGTCAAGCCCAGGTTATGTTCTTTGCCCGTTTCAGAGAGGGACCCGACATGGAAGAGGGGCCGGAAGACGCACCGATCCCAATCTCTGCAGCCTGCAGGACAGTTTCTGGGGACGCTATGCATCGAAGGAGTCAGCGTCCACGATCGAGGGGCACATCAGAAGAAGGAAGTTACCGCCCATGCATGCTGCAAATCCTGCACTCGCCATAGAGCACGCCACTGAGTGTGAACCCCGTCAGAATCTCACACAAATCCCACCCGCCAGGTAACCCGTGCGTACCTCCGACCTCCGCCTGACATCCGCCCTCGGCAGCAGAAATCGTACTGCCTCGTTTGAACAACATTCCGATCGCCTACCACACGCGAACGCATCTGTGAGAGTCCCAGGACTGATTCCACGAAAGAAGAAGACTGACAGAGGCTGTCAGCAAGAACGTAACGACCGATTTTTCCGGGTCGTCGCTGACGAACTGTCAACCCGACATCATCGTCAATCCAGCAACGATAGGGTCGCAAGGGAGACGGACCTCCACAATATACTTCAACACCGCAGGAATGACGCCCGCAGCCCCATTGGTGGGCGACGTGACAATCCGCCCGCCGCTAGCATTCACCTCGTTAACAGCGATCGCGTAGCATGACAGGAAATCCATTGCCGGGATCATTGTCTTGCGCTAAACCCCCCAAAACAAAAGCGAAAAGCAATGAGTTCGCATCATTGGTCGGTGCAATGGAGAGGATCTCACGGGCGGCTCAGGCAACACCGGATGGTCGAGCTGCCCGACAACCCTGGTTGCCCGCGCCTGTTTCCGCTCCAACACCCTCTTTTCAGCGCCCGTACTCGGCGGTTGCGTGTTCAAGGCATCAGGCGCATCTATGGACCCCACGGGCATCGCCCCGCCCTCGATAGCGGGAAAATGCGGTATCGAAAGACCTGGATAAAACCTGCACCGAGAGACCGCGGAGCGCGCCTTTGTTAATCCCGACGGGGGACACAGAGGCAGCAGGCGCTCCGCTCACCCTCGCATGAGGCGTCTGTAGAGCATCGGAGCCCTCCTCCGCAATCCCAGTCGTCCGGGGAGCGTCGTCTCCGTCGAGTGCACGCCGGTGCGAATGCAATTGTCCATGACACCCCAAATGCGCATTAGCTGCTCGTCCACGCACATTAATCAGCCATCGACCCGACCGTCAATCCGTGGATATACAAATAGCGCATGCATGCGTATTATGGACTAGCGCGACGGACTAACCTTGCTGTGAATTTCCTCATCGGAGAGCCCAAACGAGCGCTCATTATCAAATACGATCTGAGCAATCGTCATCTAAAATTGCACAAAGGCGAGGCATCAGCGAACGAACCAACGGGGCGCTGAACCTGGACAATCGAAAACTGCCAACGTCTGATGGATTGACAGGAAAAGCCGCAAATTTTAGGGGGCAGAGGAACGGGCACCCAAAGGAAGACGTCAACCTGGCATCTTCCCATCGAGTCACACTTCTTTCTCAATAAAGCAGAAGTTTAATTCCGCCCTCCCAAAATACCGCGGAGACGATGTCTGGGGCCGAAACGGGCGTCCGCACCCAGACCTGGACCCTCTTTCTCGCAGGGACTCATAGGCCCGCAGCACGCAGCCGTACAGAGGCAGCGAATGACGGAAACTTACGTTGTGCTTCCTCGTCAACGCCAGAAGGCTGTCACCCGACTTGAAGGGATATAGGGGCAGCTCGTCTTCGGGCGCGGGCTTGCCATCCTGAGGTGGCTCCGCGAGGCTGTGTGACTGGTGAAGGCGGGCGTTGTGCACGACGCTCTTGTCGACGCCCTTGTAGAACAGATTCTCATCGACTGCGCACGCGCGAATCAAGGGCGGAAGAGAGCCAACGGCAAGTCAGAGAGGATGATCCCCGGCTCGACATGACGGAAGAACAGAGCGTGGGCTCCAGAGCGACAATGCTGCACGCACCCTTCGTCTTGTCGTTGACCACGAAGCCGCCTCCCACGCTGTACACACACGCAAGCCGCCTCCCATAAGCGCCCGAATAAAAAGTATGATCGGAGGCCGGTGCCACGGTATCGTACCACGAGGCGACGGGGCAGGTAAGAGAAACACGCACCTAAAGTATTCGTTCGTCGCGAGCAAGTCGCCATGCTCGTCGAAGCAGGAGAAGCGCATGCCGTTCGGATGCGTCTTGAGGACCTGGTCCCACCGCCAGAGCATATCCTTGTCCATGTCGTAGTGGATGCGGTGCTTCCCGCCGAGCATGAGAGTCTTGTTTTCCAAAATGGCGGCATAGCGCGCGGGAATCGAGCCGGTGTCGATGGTCTCCGGATCTGAGCCTGTGCATCGAGCCGCATTGGCGACATGAAGACATCACAGAGACGGTTTTAGCGAGACGAGGGGCGTCGGTGACGACGCTCTCGCCCCGATCGAGGCGACCGATGAAGCAAACTGCGCACCTTCGAGTCCCAGGAGGATCGCCTGCGGTGTATGATGCCTAGACCGAGGAGTGACGAAAAAGAGAGACCGACAGGGATCAGTCCTCGTGCGTCAGAGAAGCCAGCCTCCGGGTGTGCTGGTAGGTGACGTACCCTTTCCCTAGCAACCGCAAACGTCCATTGCGACGTCAAGGAGGAATGAAATCAGAAGTCCGGGGGTGCATTTCGTGTGTCTGGACTGAATCGCTCACCTGTCGCCGCGAGCGATCCGTATCTGCAATTAAAGGGGGAATCATGAATGAAATCGAACGGGGCCCAGAGCGGGGAAGCGGCTTCGGTGCACGCACAGAACAATCTTGACTGTCTTGACCTGCGGCAAATTGGACAGAGCGTGTCAGGAATATCCGGGGGCCGGGATGCGCCGGGACATTCGAGGGTGGAATGCGGACTGGGACCGACCTTGTGAAGCAAATCGAGCTCGAGCAGATCATTGATGAAGATCTTTCCCGCTCGCATGGGTCCTACGGTGTGAGAGCTGCTTGGTCCGACTGTGCCACGCACCGGAGCACGAGCGAGGATCGCAGCGGTCCGTGAGCCCAAACGCGCTCTCGGGGCGAAGTGGCGGGGGACTCACCGCCGATGCTGAAGAGGTCGAATGTGGAGATGACCGCGTGCTCTGGCCTGTCGTACTCTGCCAGCGACGGGTGCTCGGGTGATTTGGCTGCTGCGACATGCGACTCATCTTCGGAGCTGGACAGGGACGGGATGGATGTCGTCGGTGCGCGCGGGGCGAGTGATGTGGACAGCTGGGCACGATGGGACGGGATCGCAGGGCTGAGGACGTGGCTGGGGCTGGTACGGGCCACGGGCAGACGGAAGGAGCGGGCCAAGTCTGGGAGACGGAGGGCCGTGGCCACGGTGCGTGTGGACAACATCGCTCGCGAGCACAGACCGAGGATCGAGTCTGGACGAGGGAGAGGCTGGCCTTACGTACACGGACGTCCGGCCTCGACGAGGACACACAGGAAAGGGAACGCGAAGGTTGGGCGGGGAACATCGTCGTGCGTTTGATCTCCGCGGCCTCACGGGCTATCTGCGGCGATATCCAACTGCGCCGGCCGGCTTTATTGGCCACTCGCACTCGCAGGCCGCGATGCCCTCACGCAGACCATCGACACAGTTTCCCACCGAGAAAAAAAAATAATTCATGCCATTCAACGAATGCCGTCCCATCGCCCAAGGGCACGGTGCATTCTCGGCGCTCAGAGCACGCGGAACAGCTCCCCGGGAGCGCGTTGATGAACGTTAGGATCGCAGGCGCGCTCCGGCCTCCATGCAAGACACTGATGCTTATGGGAGCGCCTCTGGCGTTCACGACCCATCGCACTCTCTCGCGTTCATCTCACAGGTGTCCGCTGAGCGAGTTTTGCGTTCTGCTCGGAATTCTGACGAGGATTGGGCAGGCGTCGTGGGTGGGTGCCAAGCTGGCGGGTGCGGATGCACAAATTGGAGCAGGGGAGACACCGCGCGGGTGCGGGAAGTGAAGCTCGTTGGGCCAGCCGAATTTCCCGAGAGACGCGTCGCAGAGCATCAGACCTCTGGGATGATGGCGACGGGAGACAGGCAGTCATATGTTGCTCCGGGCCAGAGCCTGGTGCATCGCGTAGCAACTTGATAGAAAGTGCCAATCCGCTTGCAGTCTTTATTGCCCCATGAATGATGAGAACACGATCGTGCAACCACAAGATGCAGACGCAGGCGTACGAGACGGAAGAGGCTCGACGAAGTAAACCGCTCACGTGGCCGCAATCATCCTCTAGCCGACCGAGTCGCACTCTCTGCTCCCCTCCCCTCCTCCTCCTCCTCTCCTCGTCGACGACGACGACGACACAGAGCTCGTCTCCCGCGGTTTCCTCCCCTTTTAACTGCCCACCGCGCGAGAGAGGCGCGCGCGACAACAACCCGGACGCCCCTGCTCCCACTCGAGCCTGATCTCGTCCTCGAACAGGCGTTTTAAGTCCGGTGGATACGAGATGGCCTCGTCTGATCCACCAGCTGCCGTCATGAACGGCACCTCCCTCACCCCTCCTCGACGCCCGCTCGACGCCCTCTCCCCGTCCCCGTCCCGCGCTACCCCTTCTTCCGCTCATCGTCCAGCTCAACCTTCACAACCCCCCGTCGCATCTTCCACACAACCGGTCTCTATCGAGTCCCTCCTCACAGCACATGCACACTCCCCCAACCCCCATCTTGCCGCCCTCCAGCAGGCCCTCTCTGAGCGCAACAACCTCTCCTCCCAAAACGCGCAGCTCTGGAAACTCATCGAGAAGCAACGCATCGCGTTCGCCCACACCAGCAAGGATATCGAGCGGTTGCGAGCAGAGCGCGATGTGTACAAGGGCAAGCTCCACGCCCTCGGCGAGAACACGGATGCCGTCCTCAAGTCCAGCAAGGAGCGGGAAAAAGCGTTGAGGGGTTCCTCTTCCGCCTCTGGCCTCCGCGCCGGTGATAAATCCTCTTCAGCCACCGACCAGAGCCCATCACACCCCAGAGCAAACGTCGTCCGACATCAATCAGACGACTCCGGTGCGTTCTCTTCTTTCCATCTTTTGTCTCCTCATTTTTTTGTCTCCCCATCTCTTGTTCCCTCCCACCACTACCCTCTCTCCCATTCGCCTATCAGTGATTCTCAGGCAGCTCATCCGCTCTTCAGGCCACGCTCGAGACCATCCCAATCCCATCGTCACTGTCTCCCACTCTCACGCGACCCTTTTTCCCCCATCAGCGAGCGTCCAACCCGGCTCGTATAACCCCATCTCATCAGCCAAAACCCCGCTTCGTTCCGGCTCTCTCCAGCACCAGCCATCCAACAATTCCCTCTTCATTCCCTCGACGCTGCCCTCCTCCCAACCTCCCAGCACATCCACATCTCCTGCGAACCAGCTTCCTTCTCCATTTCCCGCGACGGCAGGCACGAGCGACATTTCAAATCACGCAGACCACTCCCGAGGCTCCTCCAATCAGTCCGTCCCAGACGCCCTCTATCCCAATCAAGGCGTCATGTCCTCTGCCTCCACCTCCAACACCCTCTCGCTTCCCGTCGAACGCCCGCACATGATCTCGCGCGACTCCCACGTCTCGCTTCCCGACGAGGCCAAGCGCTATATCACCACCATGACCGACTCGCCCCTTCCGAGCCCCCGTCTCCCCGATCAAAGCCGCACCAACTCGCCCACGCGCTCCATGAACAGCCCTTCGAACGCGCAAGAGTTGAACGCCGACAAGTCGTCCCTCCGAAAAGACTTTTCGGATAGCGAGTTCCTTGACATGGAGGACGAGGAAGGCAGCATCGACGACTCTCTGAACGATCGGAGCGCCGCGTCCGCGAGCCCGGCCGATATTGAGGCGGAGCCTGGCGTCTCGCAGGGAAGGGGCAAGCCACGCGTCGCGGCCGTCGAAGACTTTCCTCTGCCACCCGCGACGGCGCACAGCGTCGACCCGAGCGCTCTCCTCCGCCAGCAACAACAAGCTCAGGTGCAAGCTCAAGTGCAGGGCGCCTCTCATTCGCAATCCTCCACCGCAACCAGCAGCACTGCCACCGCCACCGATCCTTCGCGGTACACTGACACACCTACGACGCCGACCGCAAACTCCTACAACCCGCACATGTCGTTCATGTCCAACGTGTCCGCGATCACGTCCGTGATCCCGTCGCAGGCGAATCAGCCTGCATTCCGTGCGCTGCCACTCCTCCCGCACGACCTGCCGCGGACGCGCATCCAGGTGGCCGCCTCTTCGATCCGTCCGAACGACCGTGGCAAGGACGTGCTCTCGTTCGTCGTGTACGTGGACCCCGGGAGCGCAAAGGAGCCATGGACGATCGAGAAGCTGTACAGCGACGTGCTGGGCCTGGACCAGCGCGTGCGCGCGCGGGTGGGCAAGAACGTCGGGAAAAAGATTGCCAACCTGCCTGACGGGAAGCTTTGGAGGGACCATGCGCCGTCCAAGGTCGACCAGCGCAAGGTGCGTATCTCGACGCTGATTGGGCGATGGCCCTCGACTATGAATGGGATCGGCTGAGAATCATGTTTTCATTCTGTTATAGGCCGTGCTGGAAAATTACTTGCAGACGCTCATCAATCTTCCCGTGAAGAACAACGACGAGGTCATCGCGTTTCTGACCTCGGACATCTTGAAGGGTGCCCACAAGCCCGTCTCTAGAGACGGTTACAAGGAAGGGTACCTCACAAAGCGTGGTAAGAATTTCGGGGGATGGAAGACGCGGTTCTTTGTGCTCCAAGGACCGGTCCTCGAATACTACGAAAGCGTGCGTCACGAGCCTCTCCTCCACTGGCCTGGGACATTGACAGTATTTTCTCCCTGCTGAACAGCGAGGGGGCACACATCTGGGCTCCATCGCCATCACAGGTGCCCAAATCGGGCGCCAGCAGAGGCCCGCCGACAGGCGCGACGGCGACGAGGAGAACGAGTACCGCCATGCTTTTCTCATCATCGAGTCCAAGAAGGGCGCCGCGGCCGCCCACCGGCACGTCCTCTGCGCAGAGAGCGATCAAGATCGGGACAACTGGGTCGAGATCCTCGTGCGCTACGTCTCGGGTGTCTACAGCGAGGAGCCGCTCCCCATGGGCCATGGCTCGCTCACACTTAATACGTCCGCCGCGTCACTCTCTTCGGCCTCGATCGCCCAGCCCCGTTCGAGCACCAGCTCCAATCCGTCCACGGACGCCGGGCTATCCCCCAGCACGCGTGAGAAACGCTCGGTTGGGCGCACGATGTCCAAGGACGACATCTCGATCGCGCACGCCGTGCCCTTGTCCCAGCTGCCCTTGGACTCGACGAACGTGAAGCTCTTCCAGAGCTCAGTACAGTACGACGAGCCCGCACAGTCCCTCGCAGGCAGCCCCGTCAGAGGCAACGAAGGCGCGCAGGCAGGGTTCAGCGACACCCCGATCGCAAGGCGCATCCTCGACAAGAGCACCATTGGTCTCCCTTCGTCCGCGCCGACGCCAGAGAGTCCGCTCTCAAGCTCGCTACCGTCGTCATCGCCACTCGACGGGGCAGGCGGCGACTTTATCGCGCCTGTGGGGCCGCGAGCCAATTCCGAGCTGGGACACTATCCCGATCTCGCCCAAGCGCACCTCGATCCCCGCAGTGCCATGGGGTCAGGACGCTCGTCCGCATCCCGCGCGCCCCAACCCTCGCCCGACCGCGCACGGCAACGGCACGCACACCGCACCTCCTACCACCCCTCTCTGGAACCCGTCAAGTCGACGCCGAACTCACCACACCCTCCTCTCGAACGCGAGCGCGAGCGCGAGCCGTCTCCGGACCCGAACCAGAGCCAGAGCACGTCACGCCAGCCCGAGATGAACAGCAAGGTCAAAATCTCGAGACCGATGAACGGGGCTCCCATCCCCGCGGGGTACAAGTTCGGCGCGAAGGACGCGCCGCCGGATCCCGCTCCGTCCTCGGAACGGCGGGAGAAGGCGAAATCACGCATGTTTTGGGGTTTTGGACGGCCAGGAGGTACGTGGCGTTTCTGTGTCTCGCCCCCCCAAACCTTGTCTGTTGCGTAGGTCCTAAGCTGATCGCCTTCGATGTGTGGATGACGTCGTGCAGGGACCGAGAAGCAGCCCACAGTCATGCACGTTCCTCGCGCCGTATTCGGCGTCAGCGTCGAGGAGTCGCTCGACGTTGCCCAGATCGCCAGTCTGCCCGCCATCGTCTTCCGGTGCATTCAATACCTCGAGGAAAAGCACGCGGAGCAGGAGGAGGGAATCTACCGCCTCAGTGGCAGTTCTGCCGTGATTAAGAGTCTCAAAGATAGATTCAACAACGGTGCGTGCCCTTTTCGGTTCCCGTCCGCCATCGATGGCGCCGTCTGACGACCCTTTCCTGCGTGTCAGAGGGTGACGTAGACTTGTTGGCATCAGACGAGTATTGGGATCCCCATGCTATCGCCGGACTTCTGAAAGGCTTCTTCCGCGAACTGCCGACAAGCATCCTCACCCGCGACCTGCACTTGCGTTTTCTCGCTGTTATCGGTACGCTGTTCGCCTTCTGCACGTCCCTTATCGCCCTGATGATATCATGCGCATTCCCCACGCAGACCTGGTCGACCCGCAGGACAGGATCAAAGAGCTGTCGAGCCTCATCTCGATGCTTCCGCTCGCGAACTACAGCCTTCTTCGCGCGCTGACCGCGCACCTAATTTTGATCGTCCAGAACTCAAATCTGAACAAGATGACGATGCGGAACGTCGGGATCGTGTTCAGCCCCACGCTGGGCATCCCCGCGGGCATCTTCAGTCTGATGCTCGGCGAGTTCAACCAGGTGTTCAACATCGACGACGATGGAGAGGCGGGCGAGCCCGAGTGGGTCGCGAACGAGCAGGGCGACGCGACCGTCACCAAACGCGAGCAGGGGTCGGAGCTAAGCCGCAGGAACAGTCGTCAGTATTCAGATGCGGCCGCGGACCAGCTGCTGGGGTTATCAGGCAGGAAGCTCTCCGGTGCGTCATCCGCTTGCCACGCACACGCCGTCCTGCCCTCCGCCCGCCTCTTCTTTTCCATTCTTGCCCTCCGCGATGATGAACTCTGTTGCTGACGATATGCCCGTTTTCACAGCGGCCGAGGACGATCAGTCGGAGGACGGGGAAGACCTCTCGGTCCACGACGAGAGCGGGACGGAGACGACGGACAATGACGTGACGGTCGAGTCCTCCAACGGCTCGAGCCCCAGTCCGCAATGGAGTCCGTCGTCAGACACGCCGTCGTCGCACCTGCGCTCGCGCGCGTCGAACGTTGCGGCGACGCGGGGGCTCAACATCGCGGTCAGCAAGGAGAGTCGGCGACACAGCCGGATGATGGGCCTGCCCGTCTCGCCACGACCCCCACAGTCGCCGCTGAATCCCCACTCCTCTGGCTCGGCCGGTAGCCCTGCGACGACGGGGTCGACGCCGTCGATTTCGCCGATGCAGACGCCGAAGTAGACCCGTGCGGACGAACGTCTTTCTCTGGGTCATGGACAGTACTAGAAAGACAGAGATGCTGTGATACCATTATTTTTCGGCGAATTTATTATGGCCGTGTGATTGCGTAGTAATTATTCCTCTGATTCCCTCTTTTTTTTTTATTCCTCGTATACCCTGTCCAGATTTTCCACGCTCACGACGAACATGACCGCGATCTGTCGACGCACAGTATACGCACGTAGCCGCTACATACGTACTCTGGAAATCCATATTTGCCAGCATGGACCAAGCACAGCGGAGCACTGCATTGTTTCAGCCACCAAAGCGTACGGAAGAGCGACCTAGTTTGGCAAGTGCGAACGGACTCAGGCTGCAAACGACCACATGGGCTTCCGTCAAGCAGCCGTCCTCTCCTCAGTCTCTTTCTTCCTCGGTGTGTGTCTCCGCTCCTGGCGGATTGCCCGAACTCAGGTCTGACCGAGAATATCTGCGACTTGCGCAGGCGTGCTGTTCATATGCTTCAACGTCGACTACCGCGTGCTGCACACCCAGCTCACTGACGAGGTCGTGGGCGACGCGTTCCAGTTCTACGCCACGTTCTTCAACGCCCCGCCCGCGATCAAGGTGCGTGCCCCGCTGTCGACTGACCGACCGGACGCCAAGCGCTGACGTGCCGGTTTTTCTCTCCTGTCTGTTGTTGGCGGGCGCAGGCGCTGCTGCACGCCATGATGGGCATCGGGATCCTCGCGCTCGTCGGCAAGCTGCACAAGTGGGACGAGAGCGCGGTCTTCTTCGACGGGTGCTCGCTCGGTGCGTTTTGTTTATTTTCACTCACTCGCTCTATCTATCTATATCGCGCCCCTGATTCTCGCGCACCCGCACGTCTCGTTTCTTCGTCTGATTCTGTATATTGTATGACAGGCGCGTTCGTATTCGGCATCGCCGTGTACACGACCGTGACGATCCCGTCGCTGCGCACGATCGTCGACCCCGTCGTCGGCATCGACACGCGCGACGACCAGATCGAGGCCGTGCGTGTGCTCTCGGCCGGCAACACGATCCTCGTCGTACTCCTCGGCGCCATCCTCGTCATGCAGGTGCGTCCGTCTCCCAAAAACTCCTCCTTCTTGCGTATTTGCCTCGCTCCGGCCCGTCCCTCGCGCCCGTCCCTCGCGCCCTGGACGCAGGGCGATAAGCCGCTGTCTATCTTTGTGCTCGGGGGCTGTACAGAGCGGGATGCTGACCGACCGACCGATCTTTCCCGCGCGGTCTCACACACACGCACACGCACGCGCACACGCGCGCACACACGCGCATACACACACACAGGGCGGCCAGGAATACGCAAAGCGGGTCGAGGCCCGCGAGCTCGCGAAGGTGCTGGCTGCGGAAAACGCGAGCGTCGATCAGAATCCGAACGCGGCGCCGGTGTCGGCCAGCGAGAAGAAGGAGCAGTGAGGGATGCCATATTCAAGACCCGCTCGCGCGAAGGAGGGGGTGACCGTGACGGCCGCGAACAGGGCCAGAAAAGGGGCGGTCGGGGGTCGGCGGGTGCTTGCAGATGGAAGGCGTGCATCATACGAGAGCCTCTCGTTATTTACATATTCGTTACTTACTGGCACCCCCCTCTGTCGTCGATTCTCTCCCCTTCTTCTCTGTCTTTCCGACTTCGATTTGCTGAGCGTTCTCGACCCGCCAAGCACCCGCGCGCGTGACGCCCCATCGGCATCTTACCGCGCACTTTCGTCGACCGTACGCACCCGTAGACGAGAGAGCGCCGTGGAACTCTCCGGCCGAGCGTCGAGTCCGCCAGTCCGCGTGCACGCTTCCCTGAGTTCCCACACCTCGACGCGTCGAGCGCATCCGCGTCGAACCACATCCACAGACCACGCTCCCAAGTACGTGCCTCCGACCCCATCGCGACAACCACAACCACAACATCAACAACCACACCAGCATCGCCATTAGCAACGCGCGCAGCCTCGGCCTTCTAGACCTCGCCTCTCGGCCTTCCAACGACGCGCCACACCAGATCTCCTTCGTCGGCAAAACCACTGGCACTCGCAAAGTGCCCCTCCTTCCTCGCGCCCCTCGGATCAATTGGAGACCATCGCACGCGCACACGCAATGGCGTCACCGCGCGTCCGAGCCCTGCTCGCCTGGTGCGCCACACACGGCGTCTGGATCGACCCCAGGCTCGAGTTCGTTGACGCCGACCACGGTCACGATCCGCGCGATCGCAGCGATGAACACCAACACCACCAACGCCGCAACGATGACATCGGCGGCGGCGGCGGCGGCGGCGGCGCGACTGCGTCCGAGGATACGCATGCCGGCATGTACGTGCGCGCGCGCGCGGATCTCGACGCGCCCATCGCCTGCGGCTCCTCGCGTAAGTCCGTCTCTCTCTCTGCTCGGTGCCTCGGTGTGGCTCGGCGTCCCAACGCGCTGACCGACGCGAATGACTCCGGTAACCTGATATGTCGTGTCGCCCCGCCTCGCCCCGCCCCTCCTCGCGGCGCGCGCACACACACACACACGCCGCTGCCGTCACGATCCGAATATGACTTGCACGTGGGACTGCCCCCGACCCCGACCCCTGCACCGATGCGATGCAACGCGACGCGATGCGACCGCGGGACGCGCATTCGACGCGCCTGGGCCCCCCTGCTGCAGTCGTCCACATCCCGAAATCCGCCGTGCTCTCCGCGCGCTCCTGCGCCCTCGCCGCGCACATCCCGGCCGCGCCATACGGGCACGCCGCGCACCTCGCGCTCGCCGCCGCCGTCCTCACCGAGCAGTAAGCACCCCCCGCGCGGCCAAATCGATCTGCGGGGGCTGACGATCGTCCCTCCTCCTTCCCCTTCGTGGCGCACCCCGAACCTAATCTCAACGTACACCACGCCACGCCTCTGCCGTCACCTCCCCACGTCCGCCCGCCCGTCCGTCCGTCCGTCCGTCCGTCCTTTATTGATCGCCTCCCTTGGGCTCTTGGTCCCGCTTCCGACCCCCCTTTTTCTTCCGTCACCTTACGTGATGCGCCACGTACGCGACGGGCATTCGCCGCACCGCGCGATCTCGATCCCAGATGGCTCGGCGACGCGTCTCGCTGGGCCGGCTACCTGCAGTCGCTGCCCCCCGCCGCCGCCGGGACCTCCATCGCGCTCCTCTGGGGTGCGGAGTCCGCGGACGACGACGACCCGGACCCGGACGGCGTCGAAGCGCGGCGCTGGCTGCGCGAGACGGACGTCGCGCGGTACTGGCGCACGGAGACGGGCGCGCTCGTGGAGGTGCGTCATTTACGCCTTTGTCCGCCGCTTTGGGGGAACAAAGAGAGAGAGAGAAAAGAGCACAAAGGCAGACGAACACAAGTGGGAAAATTCACGCACGAGTCGAGCCGACGGCTCCGACGAATAAAAGGTCTCTCCTCGTCGCTTATTAGTATCACGCTAAGCTCGCAGCTCCTAGCAAAGGGGTGCGCGCGCGCGCGACGAACAAGACCAAAAAAAAAAAGGACAAAGAAGCCTCATCTCATGGCATGATGCATGATGATGATGATGATGATTTTATTTATCATTTTTATTTTTATTGTCGATTCTGATGCCCGATTCTGATGCAATCACCGTCCCTCCATACGTGATGTCTGCTGCGGCGGGTGCAGGACGAGATCCGGGCGTTCCACGCGGCGGTCGTCGCGCCCCTAGCGGTGCGCCTCGGGCGCGCGGAGGCGGCGGATGGCGTGGCGAGCGCGCGGGGGTTCCGGCACGCGTACGCGCTGGTGAGCTCGCGGGCGTTCGTCGTGGACGCGTACCACGGGCTGGGGATGGTGCCCGTCGCCGACACGTGAGTGCTGCTGCTTGACCGGCCGGGGCTATCGAGTGGGCGGGCAGAGCTGACGGATGCGCCGGCGGGGGCAGGTTCAATCACGGGCAGGAGCACGATGTCCATCTCGAGGTGCGTGCGTGCGTCCGGGGATCGCAGCGGCGTCCGGTTTCCCGTGGGCCGGGGCTGGCTGGCTTCCCTGTCGGCGGTTTCTGTTGTGGACATCGCGCTGACGGCTCGCTCCTCGATCCATCAGACGGACTACGACGTGTGCGTCGTGTGCGGCTCGCTGGCGGAATGCGCGCACGATCGGGAGCAGGAGACGCCGGTGGACGGACACGCCGAAGCCGAGGGCGCCGGGGAGGCGGAGAACAGCTGCGACATGGTGAGCAACGCGCCGATCGCGGGCGGGGCGGAGGTGTTCAACACGTATGGGAGCGGGCTGGGGAACGCGGCGCTGCTGGCGCGGTACGGGTTCATGCTGGACGGGAACGAGCACGACGTGGTGCGGTGGACGGCGGCGGAGGTGTGGGCGGTGGCGACGGGGGGCGCAGAGGGGCTGGCGGAGGCCGTGAGGGTGGTGGGCACGTGGCGTGGGTACGCGGGGTGGGCCGAGTCAGAGCGGGTGGTGAACGTCGGGGGCGGAGGGGCGACCGGGAAGGTGGGGGCCGGTGACGGGGATGGAAGTGCGACGGGGACGGACGTCGGGGTGGAGGGTGACGTGGACGTGGACGTGGAGGGCGGGGGCCTGCTTCTGTGTGTGACAGGGGACGGGGCGGTCTCGCACGGGCTGTGGGCGTTGTGCGCTCTGGGGGTTGTCGCCGGTTCGGGGTGGGCGGGGGAGGATGTGATGAGGGTGCTGGTGATGGCAGCGGAGCATCAGGTGCAGATGGAGAAGGTGGCCGCGGGGGAGGCGGCGGAGGGCACGGGAGCAGTGGAGGGGACGACAGCAGAGGAGGTAAGGGAGATGTGGTGGGGCCCAGGGGAGCGTGTGCTGACCGGGACTGCAGGTCGCGGTGGGTGTGATTCGCACGGTGGTCGCGCTCTGCAGGGCTCGGCTCGGTCGGGTGGGGTCGGGGATGGGGAGCGCTGGGGTCGGGGAGTGGGCTGAGGTGCGTGCGTGCATGCTGGGCGGTTTGTCTGTGCTGGAGCCGGGCTGAACGAACGGGGATGGCAGGGACGGACCGGGATGGGGCGCAAGACGCGGCTGGCGGTGACGCAGGCGCTGGGCGAGCTGTCGATACTCGAGAGCTGTCGGGCGGGGTGGATCGAGGTGGGGGCAGCGCGGGGGACGGTCGACGGTCCCGCGGACCAGGACTGGGCGTAGCTGGGGCGGACTGGAGCGGGACTGGGCACCCGACGACACGGCGCGCTACGACGGGAAAGGCCTAGCTCGAGCCTAGGCGTTGGGCGTGTATGTATTTGCAATGGGAGTGGCGAAGATCTGGGAGATCTTGCGATGTCGTCCGAGCCGTGCAATATAACCAGCCCCTCTTCCCAACTCTCCCTCCCTTCCCTAGCCACCCTCCCTCCTCTCCTCTCCCCTCCCGTCACAGCCCTCTTCCACGCAGCATGGACACAGACTGGTGCTTGCATTGCTCTCGCCGCTTCGTAAGTCGCTGCTCCTCGCGCCCTTCCCCTCGACGTCCCTCACGCTCTCCACCCCCCCTCCCTGACCCACAGGACGGCGGCCTCCACGGCGCCTACTGCTCCCAGGAGTGCTTCCAACGCGACCACCCCAACTCCTCCGTCCCCTCCCTCTCGCACTTTGCCCCCCTCCCGCTCGTCCGCGACGCACCCTCGCCCGACCCCATTCGCTGGATGGGCAACGATCATGCCGGCATCCTCGCCTGGGCCCGCGACGTCTCCCCCGGTCTTCCCCCAGACGACAGAGACCAGACCCCCTCCCACCCTCGCAAAACTTCTCGCCCAAAACTCCTCTCCGTTCCCCACCGACGCCCGCTCCCACCCTCCCTCTCCGTCGCCTCTCCCCACACCGTCCGCCCGGAGCCATCCAAGCCCATCCGTGCACCCTACCCCTCGTCTTCCCACCCCTTCCCCCACCGCTCCCTCGACAGCTCCAGCATCACCACCTCCCTTCTCACAGACTCGGTCGCAACCCCCGTCTCCACCCTCGACCACCCCCTCTCCCAGAAGACGTCCCTCCTGGGCGCCCTCGCCACCCACGTCCGCTCGTGGGTCGCCCCCACCCGCCTCCCCGCAAAGCCTGACCGTGCGCCCCACGGTCCTTCCATCCACGGCATCGACCCACCCCCCTTCACCGTCTTTGCCCGTGCCCACCGCGGCCCGCTCGCCATCCTCGACGAGGACATCCTCCCGAGCACCGCGATCGGCAAGCACGATGGCTGGGACAACGAGGGTGACCTGTTAGCAGGCTGGTACGCAAGCCGCGTCGTCGTCAGCACCGACGATCACAAGCCAAAGGTGCCCTTCCGCCCCACCCCTGCGGCGTCCCCATTGGACATCGACGACCACCCTGCCTTCCGCACGCGCGGACGCAAGCCGTCGCGAGCTTACCCCGCCGCGTCTTCCTTCTACGCCTACGCATGACCGGTCTTCGTCTTCCAGTCCTGTCTCTGTTTCTTCCTCTTCTCTCTCTCTCTTCTCTCTCTAGATCTCTTCATGCTCTCTACCGCATCAAATGTCCATATGCAAGTATCCAAGTCCATATCCCCCCCCCCCCCACCTCCATACCTTCCATATTCGTATCTACATCCAGCTCTTCCCGTCGCCTTCCCCTTCCGTCCTTCTGCTTCTTCGTCTCCTTCTGTGCATGGCCTCGACCTGCCTCGCCCCACCTCGTCTTTTTTCGTCTCGTCTCGCCTTTGCAGTTTCCACCACGTTCTAGGAGTTTGCCCTAAAAAAACGCGCTGTTCTCACATCCTCATTCCCATCTTTTTATTCCCTTCACCCTTCCTACCCCCTACCCCACACATCGGCACACCCACGCGCGCGCGCACAGTCCCGTCTCGATTCGATTTCGGCCCCCCCACTTTTCTTTTCGCATGCCTCACCTTCCCCCCCCCCCCCCCTATCGCGCGTTCGCCCGTCCTTTGGCTTCTCACCCCCTGGCACGCTCCCAGTGACGCGACGCAGCTCACACACACCTTCGTTACATTTTTCCTTCCTTGCTTCGTATCTGATCTCGATCTACCTACCGCCCTGCCTTGCCCTGCCCTGCCCTGTGTCGGGGTGCTTGCTTCTTTGTTTCCGTTTGTTTTGCCTATCGCCGTGCTCGTCTTCCCGCCGCCTTGTAGGAATACGTTATTTGTACTATCTATACATACCACCCAGCCTCGGCAGCGTCTCTTTCTTCTCTCATATATCTCTCTCTATCAGCTCTCTCGCCGCCGCGCATAGCTCCTCATCTATAGAAGGCCTCGAGCGCGTCCCAGCTTAGCAGTCCCGTCGTATATCTGGATGGTGATATCGGTTTTTTTTCGACAATAAACAATCCGTCTGTCGAACGAACGTAGTGCACACCGATCGAGCGCGCGAGATCGAAGGTTCGGTGAGGCGTCGGGAATCGAGACTTGCCGGCAGACATGAATTGGACCCGTAGTAAGAGTCGCGGCGATGGCGTTTCTGATGATGCCCTTCGTCCGTTCGACGTCAAGAAATTGACATCCGCGAGGAGTGGGGCGCACGCAGGCCGCAGGATCAGAACGGGGGACGGACCATCAGATTTTTTGCGTGCGTGTGCCAGCCAGCCCTGCAGAGTGCGCACCCGCCTGGCATCGTCGAGGGAGCCTCGATCAGAAATCCCTGGCGCCACGTGTCCCCGGCACATCTTCGAGCAGTCTTCGAGCGAGCTCGCCCAAGCCAACAACTCCTTACGGCACGGTTCAGTCCGGTGCTCGAACGGTCAGGTCCACCACAGTCGGTCGGTCGGTCGGTCGGTCGTCCGCGCGATCGCTGTTTGCGTCCGCAGAAGCAGCGGAGCTCGGCGGGGCGGACGGAAGCAGTTGGCTGGCGCAAACAGACGAAGTCGGAAAGGAAGATTCAGATAGGTGCACAATCATTGGCATCTGGGCGCAGCTGGGCGCGTGCGTGTTCTTGGGACCTTGCGAAGTTCTCTGGACAAGGTTTGGCAAGGGAACCTGAGGGAACGCGTCCGCGGCGCGGCGGGGCGACGAGAAATCTTTTCGATGAGAGGGTATACTGTGCCAGTGTGCTTGCGTGCATACGATGCCTATTCCTGGTCCTAATACGAGGACTGGGGGTACGTGTAAGGTTCTAGAGATGCACATGAAATGTAAGATGACGGGTCGGCACATGCCAGTGCTGATCGCACAGCGACGACAAGGGCTAGGATGTGGCTACAACGGCCACGTCACCATCATCAAGAAGACGTCGAACAAGAACAAGAACGGCATCAGGCCGCATCATAATCGTTCATATCATTGCAACAGCAGCGGAGTCATTGGCGAGGGAAGGGAAGCGGCGGAGCGTGGGCATGTGTACGACACCGAGGCGGACGCCAACAGGTGTATGGCAGGGCAGCGTGGTCTGTGGACGTGTGAGAGGACATGTCGGACGTGCTTCGCCAACAGATTCGGATGGGGAGACCTGACGACACCAACACCAACAACAACAACGGCAGCAACAACATCAACACCGACATATGTTCGCGCCCCCTTTTCGCGGCGAGGTGCTTTCTTTTTCTATTTCTGGCGCGGCACCGTGCTCTGGGCCCTTCACCGCGGCTGTGCGCTCCCACCCTCCCTCGGCCTCCTTCCTGATGGGTCTCCATGCCTCGGGCGTACACACGACCACGTTACTTCGCGTGTTTGCATTCCCCGTCCGAGCGACGACGACGTCCTCACGCAGCTGAGCACCGCCGCCGCCGCCGCCGCCGCCCACGCGTGCATCTCCTACCCTCATTCCGCCCAACGTCCGATTGATGACCCCCACGTCTTCCGTGGTATTCCTGACCACGCGCACTCCCAAACGTCCCCGCCTCCCAAGCGCGCGTTCTGCCCCCATCCCCAGTATGTACACACGCGTCCCGTCCACCCCAACCCCCGCCTTCGCGAAGATCCAGACACGCGCACCCTTCCCAACCCTGTCCCTTCCTCCCTCGCGCCTTCTCGATCTTCTCATCGACGGCCACTGGACGCATCTTCCCTTCGCGCTTCCCAGACCCAGCCCGTCCGTCGCGTGCGTGGACCGCGCACTCGCCAAAACACCTCCCCTGCCCGCACATAGCCGGCCGTCCGTCCACCGAAAACCACCTCAGCTTTGTCCACTTTGCCGCAATCTCTATTCATTTCCCCTTCTCCCATTCCCAGGTGGCCACGCTCCCCTCCCAGCGCACCGGGTCCGCGACCAAGCCCACGAAGCCCAGACGCGACCCAGACGCGGCGCGCTCGTTATCGTTCCCACTTGCTCAGCCCGAGCTCGAGCCTCCCGAGCCCAAGCTGCATGGCCAAGACAAAGTAGTCCCGTTTGCTCCCTTGCGCGAGCCCCACTCACGCGCGACGCCCTGTCGACAAATTCAGGCCCCCCCTGGGCCCCTCCCCCCTTCGCTCGATCTGATCCCGCGCGCTGACTCACCCCGCCTTGTCCTCTCGATCCGGTTCGACGCTCGCTCGCGACGCCCCTCCTGTTCTCCCCGAGTCAGACGCGGTCGCCCCGCCCTCGTGACTCGACTCGACCTGGTTCGGTTCGCACGCGCGAGGGTGGGTGAGAAGGAAGGACGAAGGAGGGAGGGAGTCTGCGTGTGCTGGAGATAAGCCTACCCCCGCTCAGTCTTCGCGAACCCCCGTCCGGCGCCCACACCCCCCGCCCCGGATACGTTCCCACCGCCAGACGCACAGAACCACGCGCCGCCCCCCTGCTGCTCCCCGCTGCAGGTCACGGTCGGTCAGGCTCCCTCTGTCCCGCAGCTCGTCTCTCTCGCTCCCTGGTGTCGGCCTGGGTAGCTCCCACTTTAACTCCCCCTCTCGGTCGCACTGTGCACGAGCCCCAACCACAGGTCCCTCCTCTGTGCCTTCGCGAACCCGCGTTCGATGGAACCGATAGCGTTGCCACCTGAGCCCCACCCCGTGCCCAGCATAGAATGACACAAATACCACATCATCTTCCCAAGCCAGACACACAAACAAGCGTGCACACGCCCGTTCCTTCTTTTAGCCCCCCCCCAAGCTCAGTTTCGCAGGCCGCCTGATCACGTACGCGATCACGACAACAAGGCGAGCTTATTCAGTTCCAAATATATGCGCGTCCCCAGAGCCCAGCGACGCCAGGTGACCACCGCCGAAGCCCTCTTTCCGTCTCCGCATTTGCCCACGCCCGCTGCGCCTGGCCCCCACGGTGCAGCGTACGCCCCTCCATCATTCAAGACAGAACAGAACGCCCTATCGTCGCAATCTGCGCCGCGCTGGTCGGTCGGTCAGCTGCGAGCACGGTTATGGGCGGGCCCGCGCGCCGGCGCGATGTCTGGTTTGCCAGGGCCCCTCTCGCGCGTCGAGTCCCGACTGTCGCTAAATGCCACACCAGAGGGGCCCGAGAGCGGGGCGGGGCGGGGTGAACGTGCGTGGAACCAAGCGAAGGATCACTGAGACCTACACGCCCGCCACCCGCCAGCCACGCGCGGGACGATGCGCGGCGTGTGAAATCCCCGCGCGCGGGACGATGTACGTGTACCAACCAATTACCAAGTACGTACATCGACAAGCCGTGTCGAACACGCGCAACGCGCTCGCAGACCCCAAGACTGCGCGCTCGTCGATACGTCGCGCACCGGACGCATTTCGAAGCCCCGTTTCTGAATTGGGTGTCACCAGAAGATCCGAGACGCGGTGCGTGCGTGACCGATCGTGTTCCCCCATACGCACAGATCCGCCCTGCCCCGACGTGTCCCCGACTCGCAGCCTCACTCGTCCCGCCGGGCGTCGCTTCTCTTACTCTTTCCTTCCCTTCCCTTCTCTTCTCTTTGTCTCTCTTCTCCGTCAACTGAATAGACGTCTTGCGTCGAGCGAGATGTGACGGGCCAAACAAACGAGGGGGATCGTTGTTCGTATTTGTCACGTACGCGTACACAGCCTGGGCCTGAAATCAATGAGGATGGCATCCGGTGGTCCTCTCTAACTCCTTATCACCCCCCTGTCCCCGGGCTCGCCCTGTAGTAATCACGCGCCTCGTCGACCTGGAGCCGGTGTCACCATCGACGTTGAGGACGTACGTCTCACGTCGACGGGCCTCGTTCAGTCATTACAACATGTGCGTAGTCATCACCGAAGGCCATTCATTCATGCCAATGCCAATGCAGAGCACAGATCCAGACAGCGTACATTCAGTTCATATCTCCGTAGAGTACACATAGCCACTCGTCTAGACATACGGCGTGCCGTCACTGGACGTTAATATACGATCTCACACACTCACATTCATGCCAGTGTTCGCCGTCCGTTACATCCGTGACGTTTTAATTCATTGTGGGATGGTCTGGGTCTACATGCTTCTACATGTTGCATGCTCTCTGCCACATGTCGCGTTGTAGTCAGTTAATTATGCTCCGTGGCGTCTATGCACAGTGGAGTGAGGCGCTCATTACTGCCCATGAGGTCAAGATTATTCGAAGTCACATCTATTAAATAGTCACCGACGCCTCTCAAACGCTGGGGCGTCCTGCCATTGCCCAGCTGCTCTAATTGAGTTCTAATAATAGCGCAGCAACGCATCTACGGAGTGGAGCAACCTGCTTCCCTCCGCGTATACATAGCACTTGGTGTTGACCTGCCTCTCTCTCATGAGTCTCTCAGCCAAGTGATAATGATCAGGTGGATGCTGCCCTGTTTTCCGGAACCATCGCCTCCGCTAGTCCATGTACCGCATCCATTCACGCATGATGGCACGTTCTCCGCGATATTGCACGACGCCACCATCAGGAGGCCATCATACAACTGTCCTCTGACGACTTGAGTGCGACAGCCCCTCCGGATGGCGAGCTCGAGCCTCCCGTGGCGCGCTCCCGAGCGCACATTCTCGACTTCTCGCCGCGATCCAGTGCGCCCCGGTGTCGACATCAGAAAGTCAGCAATTAACACGCAAAAGGCACCGAGCGGGCGCCTCAGACGCCCCACCTCGCTCGCCCTTCCCGCACCTTCCTCATGCGCACTAGCGCGCTTTCGAGGTCCCCCAGTGGTCCCGCTCGCACCGACGCGCCGTTCCCGGAGTCCCTGATCTTTGTGCATTTACTTATCCCGCCCGGCGCTCGGGTCGCTTTGGTGCCGCGCAGACTGGCGAGGAGCTGCGACGACCCGCATCGCTCGCGCCGGACTGGAGCGCTCGCGCGACCAGGCACTCGTCCTCTCCTTCCCTTTCTCGCCCGTTTTCGATGCGGGGCCCGTAAATCACTCGATCGCGTGTCCTCCTCACAAAGTGACGACGCCTCTGCAGCAGAGGCGCCCGTTCTTGGACACGCGTGGCTGTGAGCCGCCTACATATAGCTAGTGACAGCGTCGAGGAGCTAGCACTGCCGCCCCAGCTGAACGGCACACGTGTTTGCGATCCACGTTCCACGGCACCGACGGCGGACCCCCCGGCTCGTGCGAATCCTCCCCCCTCGCCTCTCTGCCCGACCCACTACAAATTCTGTACTAGCTAGGCCTCCCGATCTCCGCACGAATACTGCCATATGTGGAACGTGAGGTCTTGGTATGCGGTTTGGGGCAATCGCGCGATGGCTGGCGAGGACGGCCTCAGAGCATGCCAAGATAGGCAGCAGGATCACAGGTGCTTGGACAGTGATAGACTGCGATGCTTCCGCCCGCCCAAGCCGACCTTTGGGCCCTTGTTCGTGATGCGAACTGACTTTAAGCAGGTCCCTCTCTGTCCTGCTGCGATCCGCTGCGACGCGCACAAACACCCGCGCCACCGTTGTACCTGCCCGTAGCGTAAATCTCAAGCATCGGATCGTATTATGACTCGGTGGTAGGGATTAACCTGCATTCACACTTTTGATGGACCCGTAGACTTGGAGTAGCTTGGAGTGCGAGACCACCTCAGCCTTCCGGCGGCACGATCTCCGAACTCGCCAGCGAAAATGAACACGACAGCACGCGAGATACGAGATAAGTGAGGACAGTTGCCGACACTGTGCCGACTGTGTCTCGGATGTATATTGATGCAAATGCTGCGTCCAAACTAAACGTCGTCCGCAAGAAACTCAGCGACTGGAAACCCGAGGGGAGCGCTCCAGCGAGGCACCAACGGGCTGCGCACGCCAATCCAAACGTCTGTCAGAAATTCGGAAAAGTCAAGAAGCACGCCCCCGACCCGCACTCCCCGCCGCACTCTTTCCGAAGCCTTCTGCTAAGCTTCCAAAGGAATAGACTCGCCGCCACACGAGTTTTGACGCGCTCCACGAATGCCTCGCAATTAACGCACGCACGTGGTGCACATTCGCTCAGTACGACTCCAGAGGCATGACGCAACTTGAGGGTGCGCCCATAAATCGAGTCCGAAGCTCGACAATCATGACGGATGGGTTCCCGCTCGGATCGTCCAGTATCTGACAGTCTACTTTGCAAGCTTGGGCGCTAGGGATGAGACCAAGTCCATCCGCGCACTTGGCGACGAGGGGCGGCTACTATGCATTCTATGTCGGACTCAAGGTTAGCCGAGCGTAGTGGCGCGGGCGCTCAATTGCTGATGCTCTCACCCCATGCAGCCAAATGCAGCCCTGCACACGCCCACGAGTCGTCGCCACCGTCGGCAAGGACGCTAATTGCTCAGGTCCGTAGATTGATAACTCGTCTATGGACTCCAGATCTCGAAATTTTCGCCAGTGAGAAGGGGACGCGTCACGGCGTGTATAGGAGAGCATGTGAACAAAAATAGCTATACCAGTCTTGAATTTACTCTTTAATTGAACGGTGACCACTTTGGAGGACGGTAGACTAGGTCCACCTGCTGATAGAGACACGCGATATCATCTCCTCTCGCTGAAAATCACGAAGACCGGTCAGGAGGAAAGGTGACCGGCTAGAAGGTACAAAAAGGAGACCATTAAGGCGCAAGCGCGGAAATTGTGCGGGATCGTTGTGACCCATGAGCGTCCATGATCATCAATGCCCATCGCTTGACGAGCCCCATGATTTCACCCATAGTGGTGGGACGCCCAGCAAGTCTGATTCCGCGCAGCCGAAAGCCCATTGCCCATCCGTACATATCCGCGTCGCACGCCCTCATACGTACTTGTAACCATGTCTATCTTCAGCAAGTCTCTTAATGCGAGGGTGACCGTGCGCCTTGCAACACCCCAACCATGGCCGAATAACCAATGTGGAGCACAGACGATATTCGATCCCACGCACTTCCCGCAAACAGCTCGAGATCATTGCGGGCATTTGAGCCTTCCACAATCGAGGATGGCTGTATGGGCTGTACTTACGGTACCCCCGCATCATCGGGCACGTTGGACCCCCAGAACGGCAAAGCTACCAGATGTGGTGATTTGTACGTGAAGAAACATCCTAAGGAGTTGCTCACTGGTGCGGAGAAGTCCTCAACGAAAGCGCTCTTGTGTATCGCGAGATTCGAGGTTTGTCAGACATAACGATGCATGCCAGCCGATCACAATAAGCCGCGCGACTGATGAGAGGACATGGCATGGGTCTCGTAAACGAACCCCCAACCTCCGCACACCTTCTTTCGCCCCTCATTCATGGCCATCCGTCAAGAAGCACCCAGGAACTGACAGAAGGCATGTCTCCAAGGATTGATGGGTGATTGATGTGATTGTCCCTTGACCGCATCTTAAGGATGGGCTGAGGGCGAGTCTGGTGAGTAATTAAAGTTCATGGCATACTTAATGTGTTGGACCCTGGCAAAGAATTTGAGAAGATCGTGAGTGTGTGAAACTTGTCGAGAGATCAGTACTCAGTATTCAGTGCGCCAACGACACACACACATCTTCTAAATTTACCCTTCGGAAAGCTCAAGCTCAAACGTGCCACATTTGCCGCACGCAGAGGCAGTATACTGACTGCAAGCAATGAAGCCGAGTTGGCTCAGTTGCCATTGGAAGTAAAGCACAGTCATTGGTAGGACATTGCGGGACAGATGCAGCAGCCTGTCGAACAGGAAGGAATGGTAGAAGATAACAAAACAGTATCGCCTTCCTCACCACTTCGTTGATACACTTATGTACAAACCTTGTCACGGCGAGATACTGGCGATGTCACCAATAGAGGAACCCGTGGCTACCAAAGCCGTCCCTCGAACGCTGTTTTGTCATGCGAACACGATAGCGACTATCTAACATCAGACACATTTTTCCGACTATTGTGGAGGCTGTTGGAAGCTAATGACATGGCTGTGAGTTCTCAATATGCATGGCACGAGCTACACAAGGACTGACCCAGGAGGGGGCCCACCAAATCCAGGTGGAGGGAAAGGCAGATTCTGAGGGAAACCAGGGGGCCTGAAGCCGGGAGGAGCTCCGGGCATTCCTGGGGGTGCAAACGGCATTGGGGGGCGTTGGAGAGAAGGGGGTCCCACTGAAGATACGCATGGAAGACGATCAGCAGTCTTGATCAGCCGCGATCATATAGAACAAGTGCAAGACTCACTAGGGGGCATCATGCCCATTCCACGACCTGCTGGCATACCACGACCAGGTCCAACGGGGAGCTGCACACGGGGCAAACGTGAAAAACGTGAGGGGTGTTTATTTGAAAAGTTCAGGCGTTCAGACGCACCGCATTCTTCTTGTCCTCGTCCTGAACAGGAGGAGGGCCCTCTACGGTCAAACTGACCACAGCTTCGCCACGCAAAATCACGAGTCCGAGCGTACGCTTCACCTCTTGCTCCGGGCCTGCCTCCGTTTCACCAGGCTTCTTCTTCGGCCTGATGCGCCGGAATTCTTCGCATTCGGCCAAGACAAGGTTCATGTGTCGGTCAAACGCAAGCATCTGGCCTGTAAGCGCACGTCCATCGGTGATGGTGACTTTGAGCCTCCAGTTGATGAGGCTCAACATTTTACCGCCTTTTGATTTTGGGGGAGGCTACAGGATGAATAAACGATATGTGAGAATGACGATCTTCGAGATCGATGTTTCAAAATCACGCACCATGATGGTCAAGCTGAACGATGTTGAGCACGTTCAGCAATGAGCAAACGAAAGTATACTGGCGACCAAACAACCACAAACATGCTGGTGGCTGAAACGCTGAATCGCGAGTCAGCAGTTCCACGTACCGTTGAGTCAGACTGATATTGGTATCGGCCGAGAATGATGCCAGCTGCATCTTGCAAGAGCACTGCACAATCATATGCATCGGATTTATCCTTTAAACGCTCACGGTGAGACCTGTGTGCTTTCAAGACAACCATTGTGCTTTCAAGACAACCATGGCCGCCGTCAATACCCCAATTACCCGTCTCTTGGGTATCTATCAGCACCCTTGCTTCACTTAATTCGTGTTCATGGATCTTAACAGGTATTCGCACCCCTGTAGTGCTTGCTCCCATGGCATTTGCCAGTGGAGGGGCATTAGCTAGCGAAGTCGCACTCGCTGGAGGCTTCGGATTCATAGGCTCAGGTCAGTCAAGGAAATGTACGCTCTTTACCGAGCCTCACAACGCTCCTCAATCACACACCAGGCTATACTACTCTTGAAAATTTCAGGAGCCAGATAGCTCTAGTCAGATCCCTTTTGAACTTGCCTTCGGGTCCACTCCCAATCGGAGCGAGCTTCCTCGGCTGGGTTCTCGATCGGCCAGAATCCAAGAGCGTCGAGATACTACACGAGGCCCTCAATATCGGCGTGCGAGCGATATGGCTCTCCTTCGGCAACGATTTAGGTCACTGGGTCGACGTCGTGCGGAGCCATGACCAGAAGGCAGGAAGGGATTCCAAGACTCTGATTTTCATCCAGGTCAACTCGGCCGAGCAAGCGTTGACCGCTGTGCGTGATTGGAAGGCTGACGTTCTGATTGCTCAAGGTTGTCCCGCAGGACCACTTTCACTCGTTTCAATTTTCTCACTGCGACTGCCGCACCTTTCACAGGCATCGAAGCGGGAGGACACGGCTCTGCTTCCGCTCCACCCCTTCTGACCCTCATCCCCTCAGTGCTGTCGGTGCTCCCACACCAAAACCCCCCACCGCTCCTGGCTGCCGGTGGAGTAACCAACGGCGCGCAATTGGCTGCTTGTATAGCCCTCGGTACTGCTGGAGCAGTGATAGGGACACGTTTTCTGCTCACACCCGAGAGCCAGTACTCGGATGCACAGAAAGCTGCCCTCATCGCTGCCAAGACCGGTGACACGGCACGCAGCATGGTTTTCGACATTCTACGCGGTACCACCGGGTGGCCGGACGGTATAGACGGACGTTGTCTGCGCATACCGTCCGTTCAGGAGTTCGAAGACAAGGTCAAAATAGAGGATATACAACGGCGCTTTGACGAGGGGGCTTCGAAAGGAGACCCTAAGTCCATGGTCATCTGGGCGGGCACGGGTGTCGGACTGATCGACGAGATCAAGCCTGCGAAGGTGAGACCCGTCCTATTTGCTTTGTGGCAAGTCTGAACCATCGCCACCGGGGCTTAGGCAATCGTGGAAGAGTTGCACGCGAGCCTGATTGAACGGCTTCAGGCCGCTTCTTCCCTGGTCTAGGACCCATAAAGTTGTTCGAAGCATGACCTCACTTGTACTAGTAGCCCACGTCATCTGTTGTATCCCTTCTTGAGGTCCCAAACCTATTTGCAAATCAACAACTTTACAGTTGTAGGCACGTTGTCCGCCGGAATAGTGTTGGAAAGCGTTTACTGGCTGGAATCTGCAGAACCTAGAGCTGCCACTGCCGTCACAGGGCGCTGTTCATGGGAAGGTTCTCCTACCCTATGATTACAAGCCAATCGAACTCGACGATAAGACGGATTCAATAGAGTTCGTCGATGACGAGGTCTCAGGGTTGTCCTGCTGGGGATAGCACTTCGATACCTGCGCACATATTGGGCGACGCCTACATAAATCTTGCCGTCCGATGACCTATGTAGTTTCTGCGATGGTGCGATGATCTAGGATTGGCCTTCGGATACTCTATCGACATCACCAGTTGAACACTGTGTTCTAACCTTATGCTCATGAGGCGGGGTGGGGAACGGAATCTGCTATCCAGGCATAAAGTGTTCTAGTCTACCTTCGTACATGCACTTGGCAAGGAGAGCATGAGGCTATCATGCTTGACGGTCCAGACTGCGGCGCGTCATGAGATGATTACAACTCATTGGATTTCTATAATTACATCGTTGGCAATGTATTCGTTACAATTCTTTTCAATTCTATGCAATGCTCGCGCCTGTCCTTCTAATCTCAATGCACAATTTCGATAACCAGGTCACCTTGGTTGATGGAATCTCCTGTACAAGCATCACGGCATCAGAATCAAAGCCGTCATTGTTTAGATAATGACCACTTGCCTTCCTGCACGACAACACGTTTGATGTGGCCAGAAACTGGGGCCGTGACGGCAGACTCCATCTGGAAAGTTGTTATCAGTATTCACCTCGTCACTCTACATACATCAATGTTCTTACCTTCATGGCGCTCAAGACTGGGAAGGATGAAAACAAGACATCAGGGAACGGTAAGCGAAGAAGGCATACGGCATACGCACCACAGAGAGGGTCGCCCTTCTTGATCTCTTGGCCATCCTTGACTCTCACCTCGACAACAACACCCGACATGGGTGCGCCGACAGAGCCAGGATCAGACGTGGCCTTCTCACGGGACACGGTTTCCACAGCAGAATTCTTATCCTCAACGGACACTGCCCGCACCTGTGACGTCGTGGTTTCAGCGAGAAGCCCATGCAGATCATTCTGTCTTCACACTTACTTCACCATTCACCTCGAACCAGACATCGCGCAGAGCCCGGCCTTCCACTACAGGTCCGACAGCCATCAAGCGAATGATGAGGGTTTTCCCCTGCTCGATGGAGATGTGCATTTCCTCGCCAACGTCAGGACGGCCCAGGAAATAACGTGTAGGGATCACACTAGTCGAGGAAAGTTCTATAAGCAAAAGCACTCCTCCCAAAGGATTTCAATTTTACCTAAGGTCTCCATATTTATCAAGGAATCCTTGATAATCCTCGAAGACCTGCAACAATCAGCATGTCAACCCGCCGCACGATACACGGAAGGTGATTGATCGCCTTACCTTGGGATACATCACATACGAAGTGACATCAGCATCTGTGATATGCTTTCCAAACTTGCTCCGCAGTTCCGCTTTGATCTTCTTGAAGTCCAGCGGTGCCAGGCTCGCTCCCGGGCGACCGTCGATCCTCGGCTTATTCCTTATGATGTTGGACCGTAAGGGTTCAGGGAATCCGCCCACGGGCTGACCCAAATAGCCTTGGAAGAACTCGACAACGGATGAAGGGAAGTCGAGCTGATCAGCCCGGGCTATAACATCCTCCTTAGATAACGAGTTTTGCGTCATCCATTGAGCGAAGTCTCCGACAACCTTGGATGATGGCGTGACCTTGATGATGTTGCCGCACTGAAAACCCGAATATCAGCTTCAGCTTTGACAACCAGGAATACTGAGGTATTATGCACCAGGTCATTGGCCTCGATATACTTCTTCTTGATCTCTATTGCGGATGTCAGCGACGATGCATCATATATGTATAAATCGGAGATACCGACCAGTCCATTGAGTACCAAGACCCAGCTGAGAGGCTTGGAACTAAAATGAACTGTCAGATGAGGACCGGATGGCTGTGGCCTGTTCACGCACCATCAAATTGGTGTATTGGCCTCCGGGCATCTCATGGTCGAACACACTAGAGTCCGAGGCGCGGACATTGGCTTCGAAGCAGCTGTAGAGCAGGCGGACCTGGGTCCAGTATAGATTCAGAGCCTGGATATCAGCATAGCGGATCCCGGTGCCGAGTTGGGTCTGCTCCAGGGCCATGCAAATAGCTCCCATTGGCGGTTGTGACGTCAACCCCGACATACCTGAAGGAATTATATATAGTCAGTAATGTGGTGTTGTCAGGAAAAATGGGTACACACTATCAATCGCCACATCGACAACGTCCGCACCAGCCGCGGCGGCCGCGAGCATACTGGCAGTGGAGATACCAGCGGTATCGTGCGAGTGGACGTGAATGGGGAGGTCAGGATGCTTCGCACGAATGGTACCGACGAGCCTATGGAAGTGGTAAGTATCACTTCATAGAAAAGTTGACAGCGAAAGGAAACACGAACAGCTTGGCGGCCTCGGGCTTCAACAAGCCAGCCATGTCCTTGATGCCAAGGACGTGGATCCCTTCTTTCACGAGCTGGTCGACAAAGTCAACGTAGTATTGAAGCGTGTATTTCTTTTCCTTCGGACTTGCGACGTCGCCACTGTAGCAAACGACGGCCTCGACGACACCACCAGCTTTCTTTGCTGCATCGATGCCGAGTCTCATCTAATCACAGGCAACTGTTAGGAAACTCAAAGGCCAGAAGAAACATAATATAATCTTACGTTCTCTGTAAGAAATTGATAACAGTCAGGCTCTGCATTCATCAGCAAATAGTAGCACACTACGTACCAATATAATTCAACGAGTCAAAGACACGGAAGATATCGAGACCATTCTCGACGGCCTTCTTTGAGAAGTCGTAGATGGCGTTGTCTCTACACAGACGATCAGAGGATATTACGAACGTCACGAACAAAAAAACACGCACGGGTAGCTGGTGTATCCCACACCGTTAGCTCCACGAACGAGAGCTTGAAGCGGGATATTAGGAACAAGCTTGCGGAGGGTACGCTGATCAAGATATAACATCAGAGAATTCTTCCACGAAAAAACAAGCAGTCTCAACGTACCAGACGCTCCCATGGATCCTCGTACAAGAACCGCATGGCCACATCGAACGTCGCACCTCCCCAGCACTCCAGACTGTACGCGTTTGCGAGTGCATAGCTCGTCTCCTTCGCGATGTTGACCATATCGATGGTACGGAGGCGCGTCGCGAGCAGCGACTGGTGCGCGTCACGCCAGGTCGTGTCCATGACGAGCGTGCCAGGATACTCGCGGACAGCTTTGGCGAACGCTTCAGGGCCTTTCTCAACGATGATATTGCGCCAGCCAACCTCGCAAGGAAGGGAAGTGTCGAGAGGGGGACCGTCCGGGTTTTCGGGGTTCTGCAATGGCGGGATGACGATGTCGTCCTTGAGCCCTGGCTCGCCCTAAGAAAGACATAAGTCCTAGAAGTCCTACGGGAGATGAAAAAAACCCACCGTTTGGCCCTTAATGGAGCTGCCATTGACAGCGATGTCGCCGAGGTACGCCAAGAATTTCTGGGCCCGGTTCTGGCTCTGCACGAGCTTGAACAAATCGTGGGTATCATCGATGAACTATTTGATATGCAGATCAGGATGCCTGTTCGCTGAACTAAAAATCTAGGCCGCATACCGTCGTCCAAGTCTTGCCACCAATGAAAACATCGTGTGTCAACAAGCGGAATAAGAAGGGAATGTTCGTCTACCGAAAAACATTGGTTACCGAGACGACCCTAGTCAAGAAATGACGTACCTTGACACCACGGATACGGAACTCGACGAGGGCGCGCAACATCTTGCGACGAGCGACTTCGTATGTAGTACCGCTGACGGTACATTTGACCAGCAAACTGTCGTAATGAGGCTATTGAAGATTAAGTACCAGGAATGACGCGTCCTAACGAGCGAACAGTCATACCGTGATCTGAGCACCCGCAAACCCAGAGCTCGCGTCCAAACGAACACCATTTCCACCGGCACTGCGGTAGACTTCGATCTTGCCTGTGTCCGGCTGGAAGTTCTGGGACGCGTCCTCCGTGGTGATACGGCACTGGATGGCAAATCCGCGCTTGGTGATGGCCTCTTGGGTCAACCCCAGCTGAGGAAGTGTGGCACCCGCGGCAATCTGAATCTGGGCTGCGACGATGTCGAGACCAGTAATTTCCTCTGCATAATCAGAAATCAATTGTACTGTCAGCAGGCCGTTTCTCGAGTGCCGACTCTTATCAAACGCACCGGTGATAGTGTGCTCAACCTGAATACGAGGGTTGATCTCAATGAAGTAGTGTCGACCCATCTGGTCAACCAAGAACTCCGCCGTGCCCGCGTTCCTATACTTGACGCTCTTCGCAAGCTTGATCGCATCGGCCAAGACGGCCTGGCGGACCTCCTCTGGGAGATGCATCGCGGGTGCGACCTCGACGACCTTCTGGTGACGCCGTTGCACGGAGCAGTCGCGCTCGAACAAGTGCACAGTGTTGCCGACAGCGTCCGCGAGGAGCTGCACCTCGATATGACGCGGTCGCTCGAGAAAGCGCTCGATGAAGACGGTGCCGTCACCGAACGCGGCCTTGGCCTCGCTGACCGCGCGTTCGAACGAGGATTTGAATTCCGATTGTTCACGGACGACGCGCATGCCGCGCCCGCCACCGCCCATGGCGGCCTTGATAATGACTGTATCGAAGAAAAGCGCGTTGTCAGTCACAAGAAACGTGCGTATAGCTTGTCAACTCGACTCGCCTGGGAAGCCGTATTCCTTGATGAAGAGATCTGCGTCCGTATACGATTCCACGGGCCCTGGGGTGCCGGGAACAACAGGGACGCCGACCCTCATTGCTGGAAGGAGATGGGTTAAGCGCGAACGCTGACGCATGGCAGGCCACTTACCAAGGGTCCGCGCTTTCGTCTTGTCGCCCAGGCTGTCGATGACCTCGGGACTGGGGCCGACGAAGGCGATGCCCGCCTGCTCGACTTTTCTAGCAAACTCAGCATTCTCGGACAAGAAGCCGTATCTTTTCGAGCATGAGACGTTGTTCAGGCATGAAAGAATGCCAAGATGACGCACCCGGGGTGGATCATGTCAACGCCATGCTCGAGCGCGATCCTGATGATGTCGTCTTGGGCGAGATAAGCTCCGACGGGTGTCAACCCGTTTCCGACGCGATAAGCTTCGTCCGCCTGCGAGAGATGCGCTCAGTATAGCACTCAAGAAGAGATCTGAGGAAGAACGCACTTTTTGACGATGAGCGGACATACGGTCCTCGTAAGAGTAGATGGCGACGGTGTGCATGGCGAGCTCATGAGCGGTCCTGAATACACGGATCGCGATTTCCTGGACTCATAGGATTAGTTGTCTGGATCATGGGAAGAGCACACGGGGTCGTACACCACGATTCGCGACCAGGATCTTCGTCAAGGGCCCGCTGTGACCTGCAGCCTTCCTCCTCATCGTCTGGATGGAGTGCACCGGAGTGCCCGGTGCGCTGGGGGTGACCGCGAAGATCGACGCGAGCCTGGGGGGGTGTAAAGTGGACATGGTAGTAGCCTGATGAGATGCGGATGGGGAAAGGATCGAGGGTCCGAGATTATCTGAGTCTGTATACGCGCGAATATCCAAAAATGGGAACGGAAGGTGACGAACGTTGGGGCGCGGTGGGAGATAGAAAGAGAGGGCAAGCTGGGACGAAGGAGGTCGATGCGAGGATGTTGTACTTATACTTGCTGTCGAGAGTGGACCCGAGCACCGGATTTAGTGCGGTCCTCGCGACGCCGTCAGCGATGCCAACTCTTGGCCAGTCTTGGACACCTCTTGGGCTGCGATATACGATGCACACAACACTCCCCTTCCCCCGCCGTCCTTTATACCGCTCTCACATCCGCCCGATTTCCTCCGATCTCGCTCACAAACGTATATATCTTCACTCGCCGCACAACAATCATGTGCTGCTTTTACCCCGGATTCATTCACACTCCTCGCCCCGCATTCCGTCTCCTCGTCGGCTTTCCGCAAATCAGGCCCGTTACTTATATCTAATCTCAGCTGCCGGTCGGCGATACAGCGTCCAAGGTACCCAATCAAGAAGAACTCTATCTAATATCTGTCCCAGCGACCAAGCTACCAACACTCCAGCGCTCCACCATAATCAGGCTAGCTACTATGGTTTCCGATTCGACAACGGAATGATCGATTCTGGCACCCTCGATGCGCTTTCTGCCTTCTTCTGATTGTTCTTTGCGATCGCGTACACAATCCCTGCGAAGAACCCGACCGACACTGCTGACACCGATCCAGTCGTAACGGGGTCGCCGAAGAAGATCATTCCAGACGCCGCGACAGGCAGCTTATTCAAGGCGCCGACCATGCTACAACGATAGCAGTTGAGGTCAAACTTCGCATGCTGAAGATTGCTAGGGAAATCCAAATCACCTGTATGTCGTACTGCTCGTCACGCGTATACACCATGCCGTAGTGTACGATATGCTGACTGCGGCCGCGCCAGAGAAGGCAATGGCAAATAGGAGGAGATTACGGGTCTCAGGCGGACTAGAGAAGGGTGTGATTATGTCAAGCAGGCTCCCGGAGAGGAAGCGTGTGCAACTCACAAGTTGCGAACGAGGTTTGCGGAACCCCAATCTTCGACTATGAAGGAGAAGATAATCAAGACGGGGATAGAAAGCAAGTTGTTGTAGAACATCGAGTCCCAATCCGAGAATCCCGTTGCCTTGATTCGTTTGCGCATTGCCAAAACCTATTAGGGGCTCAACGGTCAGTCGACGATCCCGCTATGTTGGGAAACCGCTATGTTGGGAAAAGACTAACATAGGCAGCGCTGGTAAAGCAGTTGATAAGCATCCATAAATACCCAATGTTCATACCGCGAACAACCCCTGTTACAGAACTCAGCCCACCGAAATCAGAAGCGGACTCTCCGGGGACGAGAGCGTCATTCATAGCGCTCGCAATATCCGCCCAAGCTGCGATGACCGACGAGACAACCTGTGAAATCCACTCTTATTCAGAAAAGCATCCTATCTCTTAAGATCACAGACAACGCTCACCATGAATAGGAAGGATACTAAAGTAAGTGCTGTAACTCGGCCACCGAACCAGAGAACCTCCCCATATGCCTATGTAAAATACCCTATCAATCAAACAGATAAGCTCGACAAGAGCGGTACGTACGATGAGGATGATGGTCAGGTTTTTGAATATCGTATACACGGGAATAGATAGAAATTGCTGAAGCCAAATAAGCATCGCGACCTTCATAGAAAATAACAGCTGGGCACACCAAACTCTTTGACCCAGTGTAGATTACGGTGACGAGGAGGAAACTGATGGGGAACCACGCCTTTGCGTCTTGTACGTCAAATGTGCGGAAAGAGATGACTCCAAGTTTCTTTACTGCTAGCACACAGCCGACGCATACTGTTGATTGAATGCACAAGAGCAGGAAGTTCATGGAGAAATTGCTCCCTGACACAACAAACTGACCATTTCATCACAGATTGAGTGGCCATATATACGGCAACAGACACAAGAGGACACAAGACGCACCTTGTTCACCACCGTCATAAGAATTGACGCAAAGCAGTAGCATGCTATAGGCGGGACTATGGCGCAAGGTCGTCAGCAACGTTCCAAACTTCACAATCACCACATCTCCAAGGTCTATAGAAGCACTTACGCGATGATACGGCCGTCGATTCCTTCGACCCCGTCGCAATCGCCTTCTTCATCTCGACGATATCCTCTTCCTCAAGTGCGACATTTTTGTAGTCTCCACGTTCGTTGGACGATGTGCCCGACATGCGGAAATGAAAGAATGCTGTAAATTAAAACCCGCGGGCCTAGAGATAACAAAGACAGTGGAAGGTCGAAACGAAAACGACAAGAGGCCTATGCCAGCGGTGAAAGGGTGCTAGAGAGAAACTGGCCCCGGACTGAAGGTCGGAGCTACTTAATTGTACGGCGACTGTTTTCCGGTATAACAGACTAAAAGATTACATAATTTTTGATACCAGCACAAATTTGTTTTCTAGACAGCGTACACACGTCATAGTCTGCGCACAAAGACATTCCCTTTGAGAATCCAATAAAGTCATACACAGCCGGATGATCCAAAGACGAGCGCTTAGACCCGAAGACGAATTTTTGAGGAAGGGGAACTTACCGATCTCATCCACACCGTCACGACTCACCGCCCCTCTTCATGCGCGGCAGCTTCGGGATTGAGGCGCGTCGCGACACTCATGAACCTAGCGACGGCGACCCACATATCAGCGGACATTTTTTCCTTGTCAAGGACACAATCTCAAGCTCACTGGGCCGCGTGCAGTGCCGCTAGCGTCCGCATCGAGTCCAGGTCGATCTGCAGCTGCTCGAACAGGTCCGCGGTCTGTCCGACCGACCGCGAGAGCCGCGTCAGGCTATTGGCAAGCTGCGCATAATGACGTTCTTTGGCCTGCGTCGCGCTCATGGGATGCGAGTGGTTCATGATGGTTTGGAAGCAGCGCTGCAATGTGCAGAGCTGTTTGAGTCGACGATCGAGCTTCCACAACGCTTTCACGCCACCGACGCGAGTGGTCACGCGCGTTCGGCACCATTCCCGCCTTTCTCCGGACCACAACTCTATTTGTTTCTGTGTTACTTAGTTCGAGAGCAATAGGCAGAAATGATCTCGATGATGTTTTGCGAGGATCCGAAAGTGAATTTCCAAATGGCGTCGCTGTTTTTGTTTCGAACGAAAATTTCTGAACTTGCAACCGATGATGTACGCGTTTTCCATCTTCTTGCTACTTTTCATGTTTAATTGAAGAGCCAATTACCATCGCCAATATCTCTTCTCGATTGAAGAGCATTCTACAGCACTTTTTCTGCAGGTTTTTGGCCGCTAGGATCGATGACGAAACTTAACCATGGACAGCGCAGTTTTCCCAGCCCTCGAATCGTGGCTTTTACGCGGCTAGTTTCGCTATATCCACAGAACTACAAGGGGCGCATCGTCACAGCCTCGTCGGACTCTCGAATCGAAGGTAAGGGACAGAACCCAATTATTGAGAACTCATTGTATGCGTGACGCAGGGCGCTTAGAGTTCTATCAGCACCATCTGCGGCCTCTAGATCTCTCGTCTCACCTCTTAGTAATCGTCTCACATCTCTCGTCCTTCGGGGATCCTGGGAATCAGTGGCGTCTAATTGTCTACACTCTATATGCCGATGCAAGACGGTGGCCCAGACTCGCATGACATGTCGGACGCCAGACATGTTCTTTGGAGCATGCTGACTTGTTCTGAAAGCATCACAGATCTGGATGATGTGTTTGGAGCCTACGACAAAGCTCTTCAGACAGTCACAGGAACAGGGTCTACGATGCAGGACCTCCTTGATGGCTTAGCACGAGAGTTGTATAGCCGCGTCCGGAAATGCGCCTCCATCACAGAGTCTAGCCAAGTCATCGCTCAGCAGGAAGCATTCCTCCAGGCAGCACCAACTGAATACCTCGCGTTGCATCTTCGACATGGGTTTCTGGGCGATCTATATGAGCTCCGATCGGAGCAAACTGAACACTTCGAAATGCAGTATGGCATCAATTCTGGGTTCTCTGACCTCGAAGACTTGGAAAAGGCCTACAAGCACTGGCGCGCGGCGATCGCTCTGACTACCCCATGCGAGGCTCGGTCCATCTGGTTGAGCCGTATGGGTAGCCGAATCGTCAATACTTACTATGACACTCGACTCGCGGATAAACAAAATCCTGATCGCCTTGATGAAGCAGTCGCTTACCATGAGGAGGCCCTGCAAGGCATTTCTCGAGATCATCCCGAATATCCCATCCACGTTTCTCGGCTGTCCATTGCATCTGTGCATCGCTCCAAGGCGCGACTGTATGCGCCTGTAGAGGGCATGCCCTTAGACCCTTTCATTGAAATCCTTCGCAGAATAGAGACGGAACCAGTCATGGTGCGACGTCGCTTTGTTACCTCTAATTCGACATTCACTCTCCAGCGATTCGAGAGCACCAAGGCGACTGGAGATACCTTTTTCTATACCAACAGGGAGCTGGCGTTGCAAGGCTATGCGAGGGCGTTGGAGCTCTTGATTCAGCTCGCCTGGGTTGGCACGGATGTACAACAGCAGCGCAAGGAATTGGTTAGCTGTGCAGGTGGTATCACAAGCGACGCTGTAGCCTGCTGTATCCAATACGGCCATCTCGAAGGCGCCGTTGAATTCGTAGACCAAGGCCGTTCTGTCATTTGGCAGTCAGCCTTACAGATTCGAATGCCTCTTGGCGATCTAGAAGCTGCTCAACCCGTCATGGCGCAGCAATTACAGGCGATAGCTAACGAACTTCAAGGCCTAGAAGCAGGGGATGATGCTCGCCGTCGTACGCTGGCTACACAGTGGGAGCAGCTCGTGGGCATGATCAGAAGTATCCCAGGCTTTTCCGAATTTACCCAGCCCAAACGATTCCATGATCTAGCGAAGGCTGCAGCGTTCGGCCCCGTGGTTATCGTGAACGTGTCTTCATTCCGGTGTGATGCTTTGATCATATCCTCCAAATCTGAAGCTGTCCGACACGTCCCCCTTCTCGACGTCAGCCATCGCCATATCGAGAAACTTCTTTTAGAGCTAAGACAAGCTCTGGTCACCTCAGGACGCGACATACGAGGTGCAGCTCGCCATTGGCAACAGCAAAAGGCACGACAAGTCGATGGTGATTCCATATTGTCGAAAATACTCGCCTTCTTATGGGACTTCATAGTTTATCCCATCATACACGCTCTTGGAATACACGTACGTTGCATGCACTTTTCCCCTAGCGCTCTATTAATCCCTTTGATGAAACTTTTCAAGAGGAATGTTTCTGGCACCCTTCCTCGTTTATTTTGGTGCCCATTGGGGCCACTTGCCTCTTTCCCTCTACACGCAGCGGGAAAAAATGACGTGAATGTCATGGATTTTGTTGTGTCATCTTACATCACAAACCCTAGCTCGCTTCTTAGAGCCTCCTTGTCCAAGTCTCTCATTGGGGCCCCTCGCGTCCTCATCGTTGCCCAATCGGACACACCGGGTTCTGCTCCCTTACCTATGGTCCCAGTTGAAGTGGATGTCATCCGTCGCAGCCTAGGCGATGATACGTTGACCATCTTGTCCGGCCCAGAAGCCACTGTTCAAAAAGTTGAGGATGCAATGTCCCACTGCCAATGGGTTCATTTCGCATGCCACGGCGTTCAAGATGGCCTTAATAGTAGATTTATGCTGCACGACGCCCCTCTCTCGCTGGAGAGGATCATGAAGCGAACAATTCGCAATGCGGATCTTGCATTCCTCAGTGCATGCCAAACTGCTTCTGTTGATACTCAGGTTCCAGACGAGGCGATCCACTTTGCAGGTGGCCTTCTGTTTACCGGCTTCCGAAGTGTTGTTGCGACCTTGTGGTCCATCAATGACGACGATGGTCCGGAAGTCGCGGGAAATTTTTACTCCAAGCTGCGTGAGCGACACTCTGTTCACGGAGAACAAGCTGCTTTCGCATTGCATCATGCAGTACAAAGAATGCGTGTCAAAAACATCGAGCCCATGAGATGGATCCCATTTATTCATGTTGGGCTGTGAGATTTCTCGGTACATTGGAGGTGTGTTCTTCGCTAGCAATTGTGGTAAATGATCAACTGACCGTCGTTCATTTTAATTTCTGAACGCCATCCGTACCGGGTGTTTCCATGTTCCGTGCCATTACTAGTTCGTTGTTTTGTTCATGTTCTATCACCGGGTTTGTACAATTTGAATTCATCTACCATCTTCAACAGATAAAACAACAATCATGTAGACATGATCAACCAGACATGTAAGTCAGTTTATGTTGAAACGAGGTAAGTCACCTCGAACATCGTTGATATCGGCCCGAGAATTTACAAGGGTGATGATCCAAGATATTCTCCTTATCGCCTCACTTTCCCCCTGTCCTCATAAGATATGAAAAATGCAGTAGGCCGGTCTTGTCTATCCTCGGAACGTGTCGATCGCGAATGGCGAAGACTTCGTCCTAGAACGGATGCCACTTTGTACATGGTCACGTGACTCGGGCCGTTTGTGTTTGTGGCTTTGCAGCGCTATTGTCTTGGTCCTGCCTTCCCGGCGCCTCATGATCGCTATTCTTCTCTGTGGGGCAGTCGGACAATAGATGCAGAGAGCCTTAAAAGGCGACCTCTTCCTTTTTCCCCATCGCAGTGGTTTGTGGACTCTATCTCACTCCTTCGTCTGTCTTTTGCTTTCGTACCCTCCCGCGACCGCATAAATCCGTCATAATATTTTGATCTTCGTCTCTAACCCTTCTCACATTATGCTGAGGTACGGATCAGTTGCGGTCGCTCTTGTTCAACGTCAAGTCATGGTTGTCCAAGGTACTGTCCCTCTTATATTTCATTCATCAAAGCTTGCTCAGTGAGATTGCTTCAGCTGCTCATACGTATGACCATGGAGACGGATTTCTCGAAGTGTATACTTTCGCGCCCTTTCACGACCGCGTTTTTACTGCCACTGCTGCGCCTTGTGCGCGCATCGCCCCTGGCGACCTCCTTACAATCTTCCCGGACACAGACGTCTTCAGCATGCCCGCGCGAGACACTCTTGAGTTGCCGCCCCAGGCCTTTGGAGAATACCACGAGCTGCGCACGCGCCATGTAAGGAAATCTGAGAGGCTCTGGGCGGCATGTAAGGCCAAGCTGCGGTGAGAGTGGTGAAGCGATATCCTATTGGATTTGGAATAGGTCAGGCTTCCTCGTTGGCGGCGTTGTCTTTGACGGTTCATATTTTCACGTTTCCAATTTGTTCGATTCCTCATCAAGCTTCAGTATCATTGCTAGCTGTATTTCTAGCTCCTCTGCATACCCTAGATAAAGCTGTATCCGTATTGCTTCCTCATTGTGTCATCGCATAGTTAACGATTATATACCTACTAACGAATTGCAACTACCACTTTCATCTCACCGTCATCTCCCCCACACTCTGTGTCCGTAATGAGTGAATAATGCTTATAAGTGCCAATACAATACAGAAGGTATGATATATATGCCACATCAACAGCGTTCTACTCTTGAAGCGTAAAGCCACAACACGGAGATATAGAAAATATACATAGCTGCAATGACTTGCAACGAACTATGTAACAAACTCGGACGAATCTTTGCTTGTCACTATGCTGCTGGCACGGCATTTGGATCACGATAAACCTGGAGGAATAAACATAGATCGTTTAATTCACTAGACGTAAATTTAAGAGATTACTGACCTTCAGATCCCATATATTTCCAACGCGAGGGTCCTTATCATCCGCATCGGGTTCCGCATCGCCAATACGATCCTCCAATGCTCCTTCAAGTTTAAGCCCACGCTCATTTGCAAGGTGTAAGAGACAGATGAAGCAGAAACTTGTACTGATTTCCGCAAGTTTGTCTTGTGGATAGGACTGTTGAAGCTCCGATAGTACCAAATCAAACACTCTTGCCTCCGACGGATCCGTGCCCTCTGCTGGCGGTTCGTCGAGTTCCTGGAAACCCGATGCATGTCAGTCAATGTTTGGACGGTATTCAATGAATACACGCACCATATTATCTGCGTTTTCTTCTTTCTGTTGTGGTACCACAATATTCAGGCCCTTCCAAATGTTTTCCTTTAGTTTTCGGACATCGACACGTTTGGCACGTTTTGTGTAATTGACAAATTCGGGCCGTACTCGGCGCGTCTGCCCTCGAGTTGCAGCGAGTAAATCTTGCTCTCCAGGCTCAGCGCTCGCGGTAGCGTCGCCACCATCATCATCGAAACCAGGTCCGTCATCATAATCGTCATGGAAGAATTGCGTGTTGAAGGGAATGGCGCCGCCATTGGCTGTGAGACACCAGATCAGCCGACTTCGCCCATCGAGAGACAAAATGACTGACAGTCGTCGCCGTCCTCTATATCACGTACAGCTGCTTGATCGGCAGCAGCTCTGGCCCAAAAATTCTCATCAACTTCACCATCACCGTTTTCATTTAACGGAACACGCTGCCCGCGCATCTTGAGCTAAAGTCAAAGCGACTTCAGTGACCTGGAGAGCATTCTTAATGAGACCTTACCGAGAATTTGGGCTTTAAGAATAGAGTGACAAGCTGCTGGCTAGTAAAATGCATATCATCAGGAAGTGTATGCTCATCCCGCTTCTCCTTCTCTTTGGACTTCTTGCTCTTCGATGTCCTTCGCGAGTTGGCGCTTGCCTTCGCGGTGGATGGTTTGACTAATGTGATACCCGCACCTCGAGTAACAGGTGCGAAAAGTTCTTTCGAAACCTCCTTGAAGGATTTTTCTTCCGGCGATAGAAAATCGATCTTGAATGCCTCCTTTTTCTCTCTTCGTGGCTTTGAAGTGTTTGCATCAGCTGCATCAGCTGATGGGATAAGGGGGTGACAAGTTATCAGAAATGAAACCACGAGTGAAAAAAAAGCTTACGCCTCCGTACGACTTTCCTGAGCTTCCAATGCTCAGGACCGGCCCAGTTCTTCAAGAAGTTTTGGTCGAAATAATCCATCATGCCACCATCCGCCTCTGCGTCAGTCATTGCCATGACAAGATCACGTTCATTAGGCATGCGTCGCGGATCAAAGGGCACAAAGCCCCCGGGGGCGGTATGAGCATGAATTGCTTGTGGACCCACTGAACCGCCTTCATCTTCATCATTCGGGCTCATGGCCTCACCACCGAAGTCATCGCCAACTGCCTGGTCTCCGACAAAAAAGTCCTGTTCTGGCGGGGGACTCGCATCGTTGATTTCCATACCAGCATCACCGGGGGGACCACCAAAGTCTTCGTCGTCGTTGTCGTCGTCGTCTGCCGGATGAGGGGTATTGTCACGGAAAAGTATGGTGTTATCGAATGAAAATGGATCTTTGGAAAATGAAAAACTCTCCAAGGAATGGGATATCGCTTTGGAATCTAGGACAACAAGATCCGGAAGGAAGTCTCCTAGAGTATAAGGAAAGTGAGGAATCAAACTGGATGGGGTATTAAAAATCAACGCACTTCTAAGCTGGGTAAGATCTATCTCGTCTTCTGGTTCCTCCTCCTCTTCTTCCATCTCTTTCCCCATAGAATCACTTGCATCAAACACCACTCTCAGACCACCCTCGGTGCCGACTCCGAGACTCAAATGGTTCATGAGCAACCCGTGGGCACCACCTTCGTCGAAGTCCTCGCAAGTCTTGCGAAAGAGCGGATCTACGCTGAATTCCAGATCCAGTTTCTTGATCTTAAGTTGGGCGGCGTTTTTTGCTAGTGTCGATTCTGCCCGATGATTCTTTGCTCGCTTGCGCTGCTGAGGATCCTGAGAGTCAGGGCTGTCGGACGTTGGCTCCTCTTCGTCGTCACCTCGGCCCTCGGAAGCAAGATTGCTCAAGAGTTTGCCTGTTTCTGTACCAACACTGTCCACACGACTTGTCCAAATCTTGACACAGCCGTCAAGCGTGCTCGATGCGCGTTGAAAGTTGATGGTGTTGTCGTTGTTATTCCGCAACAACGACATGTCATGGAAGTAGTCGATTAATGCAAAGTTCCAGGAGTTGGCAGCATTGATTTTCTGTGTCGCAAGGGTAAGCTACAGGAACAACAGAGATAATCAAGACTCGCATTATCCATGGCCATCTTCATCCATTCCTCGAAGTTTGAGCTCATGACATCTAAAGGGACATTGATCATCGGAGTCTCGACAACGGATGCCAGCTGTTTCTGCCGCGCCTGTGCGGTGCGGGAGCTTTCGCCGACTCCACTTTGCCCCATGTCGATACCTTCCGACGACGGCCCCGCCTCAGCATTCTCTGATGCCAGTGGTTTGGTACTCTTCCTCCTCCTCCTTTTCTCTGCCGCATCATCGTTGATATTGACTGCTCTCAAAGGTGGGCGGCCGGTAGGAGCGTCCGCTGAATAGCTCTTGTCCTGAACCTCGCTGAGTCGCCGTCGTAAGCCATGAGCCTTTGTAGCCTTGGGTGTCTCTTGCTCCGTATCTGCGCCCGAGTCAGATTCCTGAAGAGAAGCCTGAGGTTTTCGAACACGTTGAGCTCGAGCTGAGCGCGCGGTCGCCGCCATTGTAGTTCACGTCTAACAGACGGTCACAGCGTGACAGATCGCGTCGTATTTATCACGTGATTTCCCACGGTTGAAGAAGCCTCCAGGCACCGTTGCTCCGGCGCTATAAGAGCGACTTCGGTGTCTTCGCGCGTAGTGGCAGATAGTGGCCTCGGATATTGATACTCTAAAAAGATCACACAGATGTCAAAGGTGCAAGCAAGCCAAGATTTGTATCTATATCGTCATAGAATATCATGCCACAGCATGATCCGATCGCACGAATATGGATTAATAGGCAGTGAAGAGGCTCCAGTCCGTGTGCTACCATGATTCATCATCAAACCGCTCGAGAATAGCACCAGCATCTTCAACATCTTTCTGAGCTTTCTTCCGCATGTAGAATATAGGGCAATCCTTGCTTGAGCAAAGTACATCCTGATGAAGTGATCCTTGGCAGCGTTGGCATTGGGTCCACAGACGAGAGAATCGAACTTGAAGTTCTGAAGTTGTCAAAACCTGTTGATGTTTCCAAAGTTGCCAGGTTAATCATGCGAGACAATGACTCGTTCAAAAGACATACCTGGTTCTGGTACAGTTCACCCAATCTAGGCCGGCAGTTATTGCACACGGCGCCGCCTGTCGGTGCATCAATAAAAGGTCATAGTAAGAGGCCGGTCTGACGCTGTTCACCTTTGACGCTATTGTTGGCTCGCAATGGCGTTTTGCAACCCATGCATGTCACGGTTTTGACAGCAAACTTCATTAAGCCGCCGATAGTTGGTGTGGCAATCTGTATCGTTCTCGTGTGATCGCCGGAAACTTAAAAAAAACACTGAATGGAGGCAATGAGAACACACAGGAGCAACACGCACGTAAGGAAGATGCTTTTTCGCCAAGAATTGGTTCAAAGATGCGCATGAGGGGTTTCGACAATTGGTTCTCCAGGTAGTACTTTGTGTCAATTGGAATATTGTTCTCAAGCACGTATATTGGGTCTTCTGATTTTTCGTACGCAGCAGCTCCTGTGAGGAAACGTTAGTACGACTAGAGTACTTAGCGACGATGAAGCTGACCTTTCATTCCCTTGATGATGACATATGCCACTCGATCACCCAGTGCAGGCGCAGATCCTACGGTAGAGACTCAATATGAAGAAGCAACGAGCAGACACGATACATACCAGCATCACGTAGCTTCATTCGTTCTGCAAGTTGGACGTGAGCCTGCTTCGCAACATAATCTATCCTCAAAGTCAGTCAGTCAACGTAGTAAGGCGAGGCGAGTGCATTTACCAGCTTTGGCCAGAGCCTTTGTTATAACCAGCTGAGACATATCAATCTTGTTTTGAAGCAGCTCAGAGATCACTTGTTTGGTATAGCTAACGAAGAATAGTTAGATAATCGAAATTCCTGTATTTCGGATACTTTTGCTCACTCTTCGGCTGCTTTGACGTCTCGATCAATCAACATCTTGTGCAAACATGTCTCTATGACGGTGGACACGAGCCGACAATTGTCTCGACGAACAGTCTAAATTTCCGATTCAGACAAGAAATCCAGCAACCGAGAGGATAACTTACCTCGATGCCCTTGGAATCCATCTTATCGTATTTATCTGGTCTCGTCCAGTACAAACCTGCATAACGTTTTTTGCTGATGAGAAGGTATGGGAAATAAACCTTCTCGAACTCAAGCTTGATAGGCTTGATGAATTTCTGAGTCACAAATTCAGCGGCCTCACTACCTACGAGACCGAAGACAACGCCAAATAAGTCACAGGTCTCTCAATGATCAGTTGTGCATACCTAGCGCCATTACTTTCTCAAGATCATTCGGTCCAAACCGCACCATGACAGAGTCCGTATCACCATAGATGACCTCCGCGTTATGCGTATGGCCATTGGCGATACAATATTCTGCTTCCACTTCCTGTACGGAACCTCGCATTCGACGAGGCGAAACTTAGACACAGATCACGACGTACTGATTTCGTCTTCTCGATCATTTGTCGGCCATAGGACGTGACACTGGATGAGATAGGAAGACAGGGAAGCTTGCCGACAGTTGCACCGGTGAAGCCGTACACAGAGTTGGCGCTGATCTGGCGGCAAGCAACGCGATGAGGACTTGTATGTAGACCGGTGCAAGGCACCAACCTTCAGAGCAAGCTGCCGCCCATCAAGTACAGCCCGCTTGAATGGGTCTGTCTCTTTCTTCAAGTCCGCTTTCGCACGTTTGCGCGCCCCGATCAAGTCCTCGAGTACAGTAGGCAAGAGGCCCTTGCGTCTTGATGATGTAACAAAGAGATCTGCGAAGAAGTAGATCAGTCCGATTCAGGCAAAGGTCACAGTGAACCTGACGCACCGTTGTTAGGGGTTTGAATGTAGTCAACGTTTTTTTTGAGACCGAGCCGATCGATTGTCCCCTTATCCAGCAAAGTTGTATAACATAAATTATGGGCCATCATGATGGACGGATACAGAGAACTGAAATCCAACGTCGCGATGGGAACATCATAGTAACCCTTCTTGGGTTCAATGACAGTAGCACCCTCGTATTGTTCGTCGGTTCCTGTAAGTTCCAATGAATACGCCGGCATAGCCACAATCCTTCTAACCCACCTTCGCCCTTAAGAGCGGGAACAATGTACCCCTCGTCATTTGCTTTCCGGAAGAGCTGAGAAAGGACCTTGATGGACTGTCCTCGGGAAAGTAGATAATTGAACGGCACGCCAGTCACACGGGCCATCTCTGTGTAATTGACAAAACACATCAGTTTGTCCAGAAGGCGCTGAGGAAGATAGGCATCCTGTGAAAATGTCAGAGACAAATCTAGCGCTATCCGGAGAGGGCTGGAGAGGAGAGTTACCTTCAAGCAGTAAACAGCCAGACGCCTTCTTGACTCCGAAGTGCCGTTCTGGAGTTCCGTGATGACGGAGTGGTGCACGTCCTCCTTCTGCTCGCCTAAGAACTGCGCACAGACTGAGTTCAAAGTGTAACTGCGAAGCTTATGTTCTCGCTGCATGAACTGCAGCAAATCAAGCTGCAAGCGACCCTCCATGGCCGTGTCTTTCGAATCACGTTGTCCAAATGCCTTGGACGAAAAGTGCGTATCTTTTGTCTGCGTTTTGATTCCTAGTTGACAACAGCTGTTGTCCCACAATCTCATTTAATGAATACATGAATTACCCACCCTTGAAACGGCCCAGGTATGGGAACTGATTCGCCCTGAGAGCCTTTGCACGCTCGATCAAGTAAGGCAAATCAAAATTGGAGGTGTTGTACCCGATGATTACATCCGGGTCGACTTCCTCTACGAAGTTCCTCCATGCTTGAAGCATCTTCGATTCATCCTCGAAGGAGAGAACTTGAGAGCCGACAATATGCGAACAGGTATTCAGGGTGAAGATGTTCCGGATGAATGGCCTACTCTCTCCTGCATCAAGAGTTATGCCTCGACGATCTCAAGGACGACAGATGATTGTACCTTGACAAGTGACCATATTGGCAATTTGGATGACAGGATCGATGTTAGCTTCCGGGAAGATTCCTTTGCGCCCCGCACATTCAATATCGAAACTCAGAATGCGAACGGGAGCCATCTTCGACCACGTTCCCTCAGGAGCTCGCGAGATGAATTGATCCCATCTAGTATAATTCAACGAAACGCAGAGTTGATGATGAAAGAACGCTTTACCTGACGGCGAACTCTATCTGGCAATGGGACTTTTTGTCCTTACCCTTGACCATTTTATACTTGCCAGCAGGAACCTCTATCCAATTCATCCCGACGACCTACAAAGTTGTCAGAGGAGTGTGTCATTACAAGGAGATAGACCCATACTTTAGTGTCAATCATGAAACGTAGAGTATATGCAATGTTACTCTCGTATGTTGGGATGGGGCCGTTGAACAGATTACGAAAATTGCATTCTCCCTTCTCGAAGATGCGTAAACACCATAGATATGTCAGTAACAAGCGATGATAGATGCACAGGATAGATAGATCACTCATCTCGAACTCTAGGCAAAGATTTTGGGTCTGTGACAGTAATTTTCATGAACATGGCAAGATCGTCTCCTCTATAACCCCAGAGGCTTCGTTTGTTGGCTAATTCAATACCACGGACTCCACCGCCGTTCTGATTTTTTTTAATTGACCAGGGATAGCGGGACGGGAGCTCAAGAGACGTACGTTGATGGAATTTTGGAAGGGCAGTAGGTCGTCGTCAGTGAATCCTCGAGGTACAGCGATGTAAAAATAAGGGAAAAAGTCTGTGACGTGGGCAAGGACACTGTGTCCAACCTATAAGATGCAACAGTCAGTCGTTCAAACAAGTGCCTGGATAATACTACAGACCTCTGTTACTCCGAACATGCGCAGCGTGACCCCGCCACTGTTACCGTCAATGGACTCCAGAATATCAATCTGTTGAAAGACTACGGACAATGTCATTGGGTATGTTTGGAGAGAAAGCGTTTCAACTTACTAATGTTATCTCTCGCTGGGTCAATGGGTTCCAGTCGAGGGCGTGCCCATGAGTCCGAACCGCCTTCAGCTTCTACTCCGCACATGGCTGTTTAGAACACTCATTCGGACCATAAATTAAGGCGCGCACCTGTGCTATCTCCTGTTTCTTCCTTCAATTTCTGAAGGACATCTGCGAATGAAGACTGGACACCGGTGGCCTGAGGTTGGGATCCAGATGGTTGCGACCTAGAAGGCTGAGATCCGGAAAGCTGAGTTGCCAGCTTGCGCCTCTTCGTTGCAGGTTCTTGAGTCGCACTTTGAGCTTCCCTATCGTTCCACAACTCTGTTCAATATGGTATGTCGCGTCAAAGTGAGCAAGGGTGGGTACCGCGTCCGTGGCAGATTCTGCATCGTCGTGCGGGTTGGTCCAGGCATGGTCGGGATGGGAGAGCTTCGGATACGTTATCAGACAGAGAAAAACTTCGGATAGTCGTATATGTGGCTTCAAAAGAGTCAATGGAAAGACAAGGAAGATCAACGTTCGGACGCGTGCTTGGTGATCCTCCAGACGCGTCTGCGACCTAGGTGACGCGGTGTGACGCATTAGTGACGCGTGTGGTCACACTCAGCAGTGACCAAAGAAATTAGGGCGCGAAGCTTGTCGGTGCCAGTGTGTACGAGAGTAATACAAACGGTACTCTACAAGATAGGCTGATAGTGGGCTGACATACTAGACATACACAGAAATTCAAAACATTCATTTTTCACCGCTGAGCGCCTTCATTCGAGCTTCAGCGGCTCTCGCCCGCCTCTCCCTCTCGACCTTGGCCCTCATCTCAGGTGTCAACCCCACAACGCCTTCCGTTGAACCTGAGCTTCCACCAAGTTTTCTCGCGCCCAAATAATTATCTGGGCCCTGATGCTGCTGTTTGGGGGCAACCTCTTCAACCGGGTCACTCTCAACCATTTCCTTCTCCTTCGCCTCTCGTTCCTTCAGCTTGTCTTTCAGCCCCTTCCGCCTCACCTTCTTCTTTTCCTCTCTACCTTCCTCCATCTCCTTGCTCAGGGCACTGGGCACATGTCCCGCGGTGAACCAGTCCCACCAATCTGGGTGAGCGCCTGCGCATCGTCGAAAGATATCTCGGACCCCGCGCGTCCGAGCAAGATCGTACGCTGTCCTGCGAGACCCGACAGGTGTTGGTGCCGTATCTGAGGCGTCAGACTGATTCCCGTCTTCAACAGAAACAGCCACAGGGACCTCGATGGTAGGGTCCGCCCGCGCTTCTTCCAGAAGCCAACGAGTGACATCCTCTTGACATGAGTGTGAGGCAAGCTGCAAGAGCGTTCCATACTTCTCTCCAGTCCACTCTGGAACGGGTGCATCGACGCCGCCAATATTTGAGCTTTCCCGTTCCCATAATGATTTCAGAGCATCCAGACGGCCTTTGGTAACCATGTCTATTAGCCGCGTCCATTTATCGCGAAAAAGCTCTTCTTCTTTGGATAGCTTGGGTTCCTTTTCCTTTTCCACTGGGGGAAGGGCTGGGGAAGGCTGTGGCTTCAGCCTCGGTTTTGGTAGCGAAGCGAGGAAAGCTTCGTCTTGGGCTCTAAGGGCATCTTCCGTGAGATGCGATACTTTGACCTTGGTCAGCTCTAGCAAACAACGTCCCAGTTCCGATTGCGTCTATGGTAGAATGAGATACAGCCGCCATCGCATCGAAGAATACTCACTGGTCGGCGGGTCATAAACGGGAACGTTCGAAGTCGCTCATCTCCTAACGACAAGTTCAGATGCTGAACATGAAGCAACTTGAAAATAATTGCATACGTTTGTTGAATACTGCATCATCGTAGTCCATGAATATCCGCTTGTTGGATGTGCTAGCTCTAATCCATATCCTCTCGCATTGGGCAATGTCTTCTGCCCAGTCTCGTAGAAGATTACGAATGTCCTGACGAGAACAGTGTCAGTAAAGGGAGCAGCCCAACACAGAGGAAACATGCGCACATCACGAAGGGCTTGCTCTCCATACCTTCGAAGTTGAGCACCTGCGCTTTTCGCTTTATGCTTGGCGTTATCGTTTACAGACTGCGAACCACCTTGCTTTCGGCGGGCTAGAAAGATTCAGCTGTGTCAAAGACTTAGATTGTAAGACTCTGTGAAGATGACGGACTGGTATATCGATGAAAAGTCTTGTGCTTCAGCACCTCCGTATCAGGTTTGGGTCGCTTTGGTTTCTTTCTCATGCCAGCAAAATCTTCTCCATCCTCAGCTGAACTGCTGACACGCACAATGGCACCTGCGAAGTGTCCCCCAGCGACCATAAACATGGCCCACGTCCGTCCTTCTTGAACGCCTTTCTGCATGGCTTTGAGGTCATCAACATAGGACTCATTCAAAGATGATGCGTCAAATATTGCTTTGTAGACGCCAATCTGGGTGGACGGTGGTGAATGAAACCAGGCAAGAGCAGTCTGTGGAACTGTCGGCCCAGAGGATGGGGATGGAGAGCGAGAGGATACTCTCGCCTTCTGCAGTAAGGTCCTAACTGTATCGGATTCTTCAGAATCACTGTCATCGGATGAGGATGCAGAGCCAGATATTGAATCCTCCAGACCTGCCATAATGAGTGAAGGAACTTTTCATGGGGCTTTCTAACTACATACCATCGACGAGTTTCGAGAAATCAGCCTCCCCGACAGCTTTTCCTCCGTTCAACCGTACTTTGACATTATACCGATGCCAATCGGAGCGGTAGTGATTCCGTTGCTCGCCTACATCAATGAAAGAAGCTCCAAGGCAAATATTGCAAGTCCTGGCTCCCGCTGCGGTTTGTGAGACAATATCTGGAGGCTCTGCTCGAGAGGGAGAGATGACAAGGGCTTGCGTTACAAGATTTCGTGGCGTGAGCGACTCCAGGAGCTCTTGAGGGAGAGAAAATACGTGATATTGAAATAACGGAGGCATACCGGAGAACACAATTCGAGGAATGCGGAGGGATGGCGGGGGTGGGTTATTCAGTAAAGGCTTGAGGCTCACTAGAATTTATATATTTCAGTCGCAGGCTGTGCGAGCTGCATGCGGAGTCACGATTACTGTGGAACGGAGGAAAGAGTCAGGGTGGGATCCGTGAAGATCTGTCGAGAGATCTACAGCAACGGAGATTGCCGGCCACATCTTCGCGACCTGCCGAAATCTGCACATTTGGCGGCCTGGCTTCATCTCACTTTCGTCTATCTCATCCAGCAACCTCCGACAACCCACCCCACGTACCCGAGCAGACTGTCATGGTTTCCTCAGCCTTTGCTGATCGTCCGATCAAGAAACTAGTCCTTTTCGATGTCGATGGCACCCTGTCTCTCGCGCGTCAAGTAAGCCATCCGAAAGGTCACTAGGGGTCCTTCAATCTCTGACTCCTTCAATCAGGCTGCTTCGCCAGAAATGCTTCAGTTGCTCAAGGACCTCCGGAAGAAACTTGTTACCGGGTTTGTTGGCGGCTCCGATCTCGTCAAGATTTCGGAGCAGCTGGGAAACAATGGTATGTTGTGAGGTGTCCATAGGACTTCGTTTAGGCTCATGAAGCATGTTATAGTCGTGAACGACTTCGACTTCGCGTTTGCAGAGAACGGCTTGACAGCGTACAAAATGGGGAAGGTGCTACCGTCCCAGTCCTTCATCAAGTTTATCGGAGAAGATAGATATAAGAAGCTTGTCAACTTTATTCTGCACTACTTGGCGGACATAGATATTCCTATCAAAAGGTACCTGGGTTTGCCTCTGCTCCTGTGTACCCATCCAACGCCTCGTCAGAGGCACGTTCGTGGAATTCCGGAACGGAATGATCAATGTCAGCCCCATCGGACGTAGTGCGACGTGAGTCCACGAGCACGCATGTGTCTGCGAGAAATGGTCTGACGGCGATACTCATCCTCACAGAATACAAGAGCGTCTTGACTTCGCAGACTACGACAAGGTACCGTGACTAGGCATCCTTCTCTTGTGAAGGGATCCCGATGACTCTGTTCAGGTGCATAATATTCGGGCAGCATTCGTCAAAGTTCTGCAAGAGAAGTTCCCAGACTATGGCTTGACATACGCGATCGGAGGTCAGATCTCTTTCGACGTGTTCCCGAACGGTTGGGACAAGACGTACGCCCTCCGCCATGTGGAAAGCGAAGGGTTTGAGGAAATTCATTTCTTTGGGGATAAAACCTACAAGGTACTTCTTGTCTACTTGTATAATTTGACTTATGACGAACACAAATTGCGCCCGCAGGGCGGAAATGACTGGGAGATATTCAATGACCCTAGAACCATCGGTCACTCTGTAACAAGCCCCGCGGATACAGCAAGAGTTTTGAAGGAGCTATTCTTTAGCTGATGACCCAACATCGACTGTCTGCATGGTCATTTCAGGCTCCCTTTAGAAATTTGGGATACTTTCATAAAAGGTGGCTGAGGGTCGAATGAATGCACGAGACCGGAGCGCGTTGATTTTAAAAGGAACACTTTTTGTATCATTCTTTGAGCAGACGGAAGACGGATCTGAAACTCTCCGTAGGCTGGGAACCTCTGAGAGCTCAGAATTCGTGTCGCTTCTGTGCGTGACAGGCTGAGGGGTGTAACGTGTAACGTCACTGAGCCGCGAGCAATGCTCAGGCCACAATTTGGTCAGCAGTAATCCTCGCACTCCTTTCCATCATGTCCGCCCCAAATTCTCCCAGGTTGGTCGACTCGTTTACTGTGCCCAAGGATGTCCTCAAAGAGTTCGAAGAGCTCGCCGAAGAAGAGAACGTTGATCCGTTCGCAGAAACTGCTTCCAAGCGCCAGATTGCCTCTCGCCAGTCCGACTACCACAACCGTAGATTTAGCCGCGTGGCCAACGAGAGCGCTGATGCATTCCAAGGTGCTGAAGATGGGAAGGAAATGGAGGGGGGATACAAAGAGGCAATGCGATTGCAGATGTTGGAAAAGGAAGAGGCGCGGGTGAGGCGGGCCATTGAGGAAAAGGAGAAGAAGGAACGAGAGGAGGGTAAAGAGAAGATGGACCTAGACAGGACGCCCCCCGCTGCAGAGATTGAAGCGGCTGCTAAGGAGCTGGAGGAAGCGAGCGCAGGTTCGAAACGCAAGCGTCGTTGGGATATCCCCGACTCGTCAGACAGAGCAGAGGAGAAGGCAGATACCGGAGAATGGTCAAAGGAGGCTCTCGAAGCATCTGCGCCCAAGAAACGACGCTCGCGATGGGATGCTACCCCTGTTGACGTCGGTGAGACTCCCAAGCGATCACGTTGGGACCAGACGCCGGTCGCAGGTGTTGGAGGTGCAGAAGCTCCCATGACACAGATTATAATGAACGCGCCGGGATTCATGTCAGAAGACAAGCACAATCGCTTTCTTACAGACGAGGAACTCGATGCTGTTCTTCCTTCGCAAGGCTACGCGATCGTCACTCCACCACCAGGATATGCTCCTCTGATGACGCCACGGAAGCTCATGGCAACGCCCATAACGGAGGTGGGTGGTTTCCAAATTCAGGACAGCTCTGATGCTGCAGCTGCAGCCGCAGCCGCGGGTCTTGCTCCTGAACTGCCCACCGAAATCCCTGGAGTTGGCAACCTTGCATTTTTCAAAGCCGAAGATGCACAATACTTTGCGAAGATTCTCAAGGAAGAGGATGAGACGGAGCTGACAGTCGAGGAGATGAAGGAGCGGAAGATCATGCGTCTTCTCCTCAAGATCAAGAACGGCACCCCTCCAGTTCGTAAAACAGCGCTGCGCCAAATCACAGACAAGGCGCGGGATTTCGGTGCTGGACCCCTCTTTGATAAGATTCTTCCGCTTCTCATGGAGCGGACGCTCGAAGATCAAGAGCGGCATCTACTCGTCAAGGTCATTGACCGCGTTCTGTACAAACTGGACGATCTTGTCCGACCCTATGTGCACAAAATCCTCGTTGTCATTGAGCCTCTTTTGATTGATGAGGACTATTATGCTCGTGTCGAAGGTCGCGAGATCATCTCTAATCTGTCCAAGGCAGCTGGTCTTGCCCACATGATCTCCACCATGCGGCCGGATATCGACCATGCCGACGAATATGTCCGCAATACTACTGCTCGCGCGTTCTCGGTCGTCGCTTCCGCACTCGGCATTCCTTCCCTTCTTCCATTCCTGAAGGCCGTTTGTCGCAGCAAAAAGTCATGGCAGGCCCGTCACACTGGTATCCGTATTGTGCAGCAGATCGCTATTATGATGGGATGTGCCGTGCTCCCTCATCTACGGAATCTCGTCGAGTGTATCGCACATGGACTATCAGACGAGCAGCAGAAGGTTCGCACGATGACTGCCCTCGGATTGGCCGCACTCGCAGAAGCTGCTGCACCCTACGGTATCGAGTCTTTCGATAACGTGCTTAAGCCTCTTTGGCTTGGTATCCGCCAGCACCGTGGCAAGGGTCTCGCTGCCTTCCTCAAGGCTATTGGGTTCATTATCCCGCTCATGGACCCTGAGTACGCGTCCTACTATACCAAAGAAGTCACCGTCATCCTCATCCGCGAGTTCCAGACTTCCGATGAGGAAATGAAAAAGATCGTGTTAAAGGTCGTCAAACAGTGCGCCGCAACGGAGGGTGTCACACCCGCATACATTCGCCAGGACATTCTCCCTGATTTCTTCAAGTCGTTCTGGGTGCGTCGTATGGCGCTTGACCGGAGAAACTATAGGCAGGTTGTAGAGACGACGGTCGAACTAGCGCAGAAAGCAGGCGCATCAGAGATCATCGGGAGGATCGTCAATGAGTTGAAGGATGAGGCCGAGCCATACAGAAAGATGGTGATGGAGACAATCACAAAAGTTGTCGCTTCATTAGGCGCTTCAGATGTAGACGAACGGTTGGAGGTGCGCTTGGTCGACGGCATCATCTATTCCTTCCAGGAACAGACCACAGAAGACCAAGTCATGTTGGATGGGTTTGGAACAGTAGTGAATGCTCTAGGTCAGCAACTATTTGTCTCGTGCATCCAAGAAATGTAGCTCACCTGTATTTGCCAGGCATTCGCGTCAAGCCATACCTCACCCAGATTGTGTCGACCATACTTTGGCGCCTAAACAACAAGAGTGCCAAGGTCCGCCAGCAGGCTGCTGATTTGACCAGTCGTTTGGCTGTTGTCATCAAGCAGTGCGGTGAGGACCAGCTCTTGAGCAAACTTGGTCTGGTTCTTTTCGAACAGCTTGGTGAGGAATACCCCGACACACTCGGTAGCATCATTGCAGCGGAAGGTGCAATTGCCAACGTGGTGGGAATGACCCAGATGAACCCTCCGGTCAAGGATCTCCGTGAGTGTGCTCATCACTTCTCAATGCCATTTACTAATGTGTCAATATCTAGTTCCCCGTATGACGCCTATTCTTCGCAATCGACACGAGAAGGTACAGGAAGCTTCTATCAACCTTATCGGTCGCATTGGTGAGCTTTTTTTGCGGAATATGAAATATGCATCACTGATGATATGTCCATAGCTGATCGCGGTGCTGAGTTTGTTCCCGCACGAGAGTGGATGCGTATTTGCTTCGAGTTATTAGACCTTCTCAAGGCACACAAGAAGGGTATTCGTCGTGCGGCTGTCAACTCCTTCGGTTACATCGCCAAGAGCTTGGGTCCTCAAGACGTACTGTCTGTTCTCTTAACGAATTTACGCGTGCAAGAGCGTCAGAGCCGTGTCTGCAGTACTGTTGCCATCGCAATTGTGGCAGAAACTTGCGGTCGTAAGTGCACTGCACTCTTCCATACAAATTGAGTCTAACTTTGTCGCTTTTAGCATTTACTTGCATCCCCGCCATCCTGAATGAGTACCGCACGGCCGAACTCAATGTCCGCACAGGGTGTCTCAAGGCCTTGTCCTTCGTGTTTGAATACGTTGGGCCACAATCTGCCTATTACGTCGACTCAGTTGTTACCATGCTCGAAGATGCCCTCACAGATCGTGACTTGGTTCACAGGCAGACCGCTAGCACCATTGTGAAGCATCTTGCCCTTGGCGTAGCTGGTCTGGGCTGTGAAGACTCCATGATGCATCTCATGAACTTGGTTTGGCCAAATTGCTTCGAAACGTCACCACACGTCATTGGCGCGGTCATGGATGCCATCGAGGCTATGCGAGTCACGCTGGGTCCCGGTGTCCTCCTGAACTATGTGTTGCAGGGATTATTCCATCCTGCAAGGAAGGTTCGCGAGGTACGCATCGATTTTTGTCCCTTCTTACGCGTCATCGTCTTGACTCGATTTTCTCGCTCAGGTCTATTGGCGCACTTACAATGCGCTTTATCTTGGTGCAGAGGATGCTCTTGTTCCTTTCTACCCCGACCTCTGCGAGTTGAGCGAAGGACAAAATGTTTATGACAGACATCCCTTACAGATGTTCATTTAGATTACCGCCGTTCTCTTGTGTTTGTATTGGTTTTGACTCGTTTATTCTCTTTAGCTATGCTATCTGACTCCTATACGTTCCATGTACTTTATATAGGTCTGCGATGAACCGATTGTCCCATTTCCCGCTGAGGCGCGGATGTACGTCGCGTGTCAAGTGTGTCACTTCTTCGAAACAATTTCTCGGGGCTCGATCACGGCGTTGCCTTGTATCTTGTAATTGCACACCTAAGGATATCTTTGCGGCTGATTTCGTTTGCAGTTCAACGAACTCTAATCCTCTATATCAGCCTCCAAAACACTGGATGACGAACTCGGGTCAATATCACGAGACATTAATTTAAGTTCGATGCGCACCAAGGCTCCGATTCTCTGTTCGCAGGAACATATGAAGAAAACGTGAAGGATGGGCCAATGAAACTCCCCGGATTGAGGACGTGACATCCCTCATATGTCATGCGGTAGCTCTCATACTTATCAGCAAGAATGAGCTGCACAGGAACGGACGTTATCATGCAGATCTACAATGATAAGGCTTGGACGCACGGCAGTCGGTAAGGGGTATAATCGTAGAGCGTGATCGTACTCTGACAACATTGGTTGTATGTTGTCTGTCAGGGGAGTAAGATGACTCTGGTCCAAGATCGTTTGGACAAGCTTCAGGAAGGTCTATTAGTCCTGAACCAGTGTGCTGCGATTCTTTACACGCACATATCTCTTCAGCTCTTCACCCCTGACTGTCGGTTTCACTCCAACGAGGTTTCGTAACATCCTTGCCATCATGTCTTCCCGGAAGATGACGATTTCTTGATCAAAAAATTTGATACGATATGGATTACTGCCCAGTTGTAACTTCGGTACCTTTGACTTCAAGCGGGAGACGAAAGACGAGAGCAGAGGTCGTCGAGGTAAGATGGAATTGATCGCTAAATCCAATGGTCCTGGCACCAGTACGAAATGTGTATTTTGCGTCATTTGAGGATAGGAAGCAATCAAATCGGCTAATGAATCAAATCCCTCTGTATGATCACCACAAGTTAACTCAATCCATAGACGCCGAGATTAAATACCAAGTACCTTGGTACTTTGAGATATCCCTGTTGCTTCCCTGGCTGATGCCTCGACTGGTGAAGTTGCCACACATAATCATTACTTTGGGAATGAAATTGGTTTCAATGCAGTTGTCAAAGAGTTTTTGAAGGCCGCGAAGGGTATCCGGATGATCGAGCCAAACATCGGACAGGACGAAAAACGTAACATCTGAAAGATCTTCCTGGATGCGGAGCGCATATTGGGACTGCAAGGCAACACATCAGAGATACGACGATAGATGGCGGACACAGAAACTCACGTCTTCTAAAGGGGTAGTAGCACCTTTCCCCAAGAAGTCTACATGGCCGTAGATTGACCTAATGAATGTCAGACTTGTGAGCCAAAATCATGAGATCTTTGCTCACCGCGCTGTTTGTCTGCTTTCGCACGGAGGATGCCCTATCGCAATGACAATGAAAGTTTGATCCTCTGTGTAGTCCCCTTCAACTAGAACGAAGGCCCCTTCCGTAAAAAAGCCTTCGCTCGGCTGGTTCTGGACGCAAACTATTAGGGAAATAAAGAGTGATGGTTTTTGCTCCGATGCCCACAAGTTGTGAGAAATCAAGCTCAACAAAGCCATCTTGATCTTCAAGACATATATTTCCTTCTTTTGTGTGGGCAAGCATGCCGAAGAGCAAGAATCGCTGGTCAGCGCGTCCCAAGAGCTGCTTCGTAGATCTGATCTTTGGCATGTTCAGATCACATGATAATTGAGAGCTGTAAGACGCTCTCACAGTCAAGAGGTGTTCTCTGTCTCTTGTCGGTAAGGTTGAAGGTGTAAAATGTTCATTTCTCAATATCGTCTGCCTTATGACATTGAACCTGTTCCTCATCGCCGTAACTCGCGATTCAGCGGAGCCAAGCGGTGATAATAATTGAGAGCCTCTTAATCCAACAATTAAGTAGGCGGATAGCGGTGTTTAAACGTCTTGCTCACTGTTCAAAGGTACCCTTTTCCTGAGACCAATGCCACGCGGGCATTTCGAAGGCGTTGACAAAAAAAAGATGGCTGTCCGGATGGATGGAGACGTCTTCTTTCTGCGTACCATGCTCCCCTGCATTCTGGAGATTATCGTACACGCGCTTTAGAATGTGGAATGCAACTTTCATATTCGCGTCTGATTTGCACTAGTCAGGTCACATTATGCGTAGGATCTAATGTGATTCTTGACTTACCATCTTGTTTATTGTACTCCTTCGCTATGAGCTCTATTGAATTCTCCACATCATTGTCGGAAATCTCGTGTCTGTCTAGGACATCCTCCAGGAAATCGAGTTCTTCAGGACCTAAAGAGTGGCTGTATTTGCGGAAGACCTGAAGGAAGTAGAACCTCGTTATTCACGATATGTCGTAACATCTCACCTGGATTATTATCCTCTGTCGTGATACTGACATAGTGTGGCAGGTATACGGTAACAGTTGAAAATGCGGTTAGACCTGGTCAGACGCGTCGCGCAGCGCGGCGGCAGGCGCGACGCGCTTTCAAATATGAAATTGGTAAGGATTTTCCACGGCCTGCCGTGGCCCGGCGCAGTTTTCGCCAAAGAGAACTACTCATTGACGGCGTAAAATGAAGTGTAAAGAACTGCTTTCATTGTCGGAAAAAACAGCAGGAGTGATGTAGCTATTTATAAAAGTGCATGCAAACAGATGAAAGGGGATTACAGCTCGTTCAGACCGTTCAGAATGCAATGTATCAAGGAGATTCAAGGAGCAAAATCTCGAAGGTGCGTCAGCACATTGCAGGCAACAGCAGAAGATTTCCATGCTCACCAGTTTCGTCCAGTAGGGTGTCTTCGTCCAAGCATGCCTGGATCCAATCAGCAACTACAATATTGCGCCGCTTGGGTCTGAAATAACCGAATTAGTCAAACAAGATGCCGCATATGAACTGTGATAGTCATCGTCGTACTTGGACGTTCTGGAGATCAGCTCACGACGACGGCTATCATCACGCTTGTCGATTATGACATGTGTGAGCTTCGGGTCGTCTAGCTCAACGACGGCCCCTCCGTTTTGAATGATCATCTTATCCATCTCGAAGAAACTGCCGGGGATCAGTGCGTGGCCTTTGGGTGAACATAGAACATACTTTCGGCTTATATCGTCTTCGTGCTTGGCCTTGCACGGCATTCCATGCTTCCGAGCATTGTCAGGAGAGTCTAGGTAGAAGCATCTAGCAGAATGTGGAAGTCACGATGCGGACGTGTACGAAAGCAAGGATGAACATGAACATACAGATGTTTGAAAATAAGCTCTTGATCATACTCCATGGCGTTGTCATTTTCGCCCATTTTCACGTCAAGGCTGGGCTTAGTCTACGGGTGACGGTCAGAGATGTTCATAGAGTCAAACCCGCAGAAAATGTACTTCTGAGACTGAAACTGCCAGCTTCGACTAATTTTATCGTCAGGCGAGAACGTCACGAAGGAGCTGAATGGACATACGGAATCCTGAGATACCTCATTATCCGTCGATTCCTCTGGTATGTCCACGGATAACCATTCGTCATTGACACCAATAGGCTCTTCGAAATCCTCATGATCCGAATCAGGATCAGTAGCTGAGTCCGACATCTCTGCCGATGTTGGAGCGGTGTGCTTCCGTTGGATTTGAAACCAATCTCTCAGCTCTGAATCCTCGTCCCCGGTATCCGTTTTCTCATCGTCTTCACGTCTCGATTCTTGTATGAGTGCGGGCGCAGTTGGCGTACCCGATTCGCGCACAGCATTCAACTCGTCGTTCGCGCTACTATCATCCTCGATATTGTAGTCGTCGCTGTGCATCCGCACGGCGGTGGCATGGAAGAAGTACCTTGAAAGTGCCATCTAAGCCTGAGATATCAGAAGAGTCGGAAGAATATACTTCTTTGACATAGCAACTTTCTCCGATGCAGCTACACAGTCGATGATCCACTGCGGTCGGATGATATCGTGCAACCCCTTGTCCATGATTGATTTGATATCGTACGCTAGTCTAATATCAGACACCGCGCGTCAATTGAAGAACGTACTCACGGGTCGTTCTCCCTCCATAAACCACTAAAAGACCAGGCTGATTCTTTGCAATCTGGACAATCTTTCCGCCATTTGCCCGAATTCTAAGATAAGTGGGGTGTATTAAAAAAACGCTTTATCAACATGTCCGTAGCTTACATCTTGAACATTTCTTGTGTGTCTGCGTCTCGCGTTCTTGACCTGGGATCTGATACTACTGCTGGATAGGTGTCAGCTTTGCGTTCACATCTTTCATGCACGAGCACTCACTGAAAGTCATCCCCTCAAATAAGTCGGATTCGACTTGTACACCCTTGACATTCGTGCTTTGATACTCCGGTAGCATTAACGGCTTGAGAGGTCCCTTAGACCCTAATTGAATATCGAAGAAAGCGAAACGCATACTTTTCCATTGCCCTTGCGTTTCTTTGTGAATTTGCTTCATGGAAAAGGGTCAGTGTAACGTTCTTTGGTCCAAACAGAGAGCGAGAGCGCATACCCTGCTTCATTCTCTGCCTTCCTTTTCTTTTCAGATCGATGACTCTCCATGACAGCTGCATACAAACTTTCAAATACTGTTATGCCACGAATGATCGGGGACGCATACCTGTAGCGGTTACGCAATCGTGAATTGATAGATCATCACGGATTGACAAGGCTCTCGGGAAGCGCATCGTCATGCCGAGGTGATACTGGTCTAAAGCGAATGGATTCAGACACGGTGTAAGGGAGTGTATATCTTTCATGCATACCCGAAGATGTAATCTCAGCAGCCTTGACCTTGATGATGAATGAACTGTGCCAGGTTTCAAAGGGCTGAGCGAAGAATACGGCTTGAGCCTTAAAACATGGACAAACTCTTCAGGGTCAAGATATACATCGCCCTTATCCTCGAGAGACCTCGCTGCGGTTTGCAAAAAGCTGGGTGAGTTTTGTTGATCCCAGGTCTTCCATGGTTTGTCTCGAATCCATAAATAGTCCGTGTAGGAGAATCCAGAGCCTATCCGAACAAATGTACTATATCTATTTTGAGGTCGCTCTCAGCTGGTGTTCCAAAAAGAGCGAGATTTTGTTACTTGGGTTCCTCCCCTTCATCAGAATTGCGATCATCAAGTACGGCACAGATGAGTGTCGAGACTCCGCCTCCTCGTCTTCCGGATCCGTAGTTGGCAGCTGGGCTTCTTGATGAGGACATTGCGGGAAACGCACAGAGGACCATATTGGCACCCACCTACAACTAGAATATCAATAGTCTCTCCCATGTTATCCTACGCAACGGCATGAACACATGGAAGGTTTTGAAAGTTCACGGAGAACATACCATATATTCCGGTTTGACCTGTTGATGTCACGTTATAAGGCATGAACAAAATGAGTCTCGCCAAAACTTGCCTTGATCCAATCACGATTTCGGCCGTCCAAAACATACTCTGCTTCTGGATGTTTCATTACTAACCCTTCTCCTCTATTAGCCATGATTTCGTCCATTTTTTCACGGACATCTTTTGCAGTTTTAGCTTCAAATTCTGCGACAAATTCAATTCGCCCGTGAATCTCTGTAATATATGCTTTAAGATTGCGTTTGCGAAATTTGGTGGACCTGTGAATGAGGGATATGCCATTCAGGTAGAGGAGATCGAATATCTTGACTGAGACGTGACAATTAGCAACGAGGGCGAGATCTTAGATAGTAAAGCACTTGGACGCACAGCACGGCCTAGGATTGAATTCTTTCTTGTTGTCATCTGATATATAGAATAATTGAAGCGATATGAAGATAAACAGAAATGTTGCTTACTCAGCGCAGCAGTCTTGAGCGTTCCGAATGGTAGATTTTTCTCAGAGACTGGGTCCCAGACAAGCATTTCTCCATCCAAGATGACACTGAAACCGATTTTAAGGCAGAGTCTCCGTGGAAAGAAGCAGCTCACTCTTCTATCCGCTCATCGAATGCAGCATCAATGAAGGGTGTCAAACTTCCTGTACCGACATGCTTGCCATACAGATATGTATAGTCTTTGCCTTTCCTATCGTGGATTGAGCGAGTATTTCAGAATAGATGGATGCTCGCTCACCTCGAACAATAGAAATATTCATTGCCTCTTTTGTGAAGCTGCATGCGTTCCCCATCTAATTTTTCCTCCAAGATGAATGTTCGTCCTCCCATGTCTTTGACCGATTCTTCAATGCGCTTGGTCGGCCTCTTGCAGAGCATGGGTGCGAAAGCATGAAACAATTGCACCGCTTTTTCCTGCATGGACTCAATCACAAAGATATTTTCCATGTAATACGGTGTATACCTCAGCGTTCAGCCGGCGCGCAGGATCCCAGAGCTCCCATGCCACTTTTTTGAGGTCTGAGCAGGTATTGAACAAATCGTGGGCATCTGGGTGAAAAACCGAGAAGATTGTGGTTTCTTTGACGTTAACATTCAGGTCTGGACAAAAGGTTGGCCTGTCTTGACCCCCTATACTTTCAGTAGCGGCGCACGTTACCTTTCAGGATAATCCTTACGATCCAACGCTGTTCCTCCGGCGTGGTAGAGTTGTAGATGCGTTGCAATATCTTGACCTGAGCGTCACTGAAAGCGATGGTAAGTATCTGCTCATGACAAAGCTCTGGAGCGATGATGATACACACTGTTTTCCGGTATTCTTAGAAAGATCGTCCAATATATTATTCAGCTCATGGACTGATAACAAACTCTCAGTCACAGAAGACCGCTTGTTGACGACTTCGTATAGGACGAGAGGGAAATCGCCAGAAGATCTCTGAGTCGTCAAATATGTTTGCCTGAGTTGCTGCACCCTTATAAAAACAGTGAAAGTTGCGCACGTATCTGTCCGAAGGCTTCTTCCAATTTAGAAGCTGGATTGCATCCGGGTCCTTTGAACCTAATGGAATCAGTTTAATGTAGGCTTTGGCCAAATTCCTTTCTTTCAGGCCATAAATTGCTCGCTCGCGATCTTTCTGGGGCAGAATGAGGCGAAGGACAGGGTAAAGGTCGTAGCCCACTTGTTTTCGCCAATGCTGAGCCACAATTTAGCCTCTGCATTCACTGACACCAAAAGCTCGACAGAAAGCGTACATCAAACCATGCATGCAGAAGCTTCCGTCTTTTCTCTGGCTTTCTCTCGCTCTGTAGTTTGTCAAACAAGCCAGCAACCACGGAGAATGGAGCAGTTCCATGGCGAACTGGAGGTGGTGGCGGGAAGTCGGGTTCTTCATCGAACAGTTGTGCAAGGATTTGGGAACTTGGAGGAGAGGTGGGAGCAGGTGTAGGTTGCATCATTTGAGTATTTGCGGTGTTGAGAGAAGTCATTCAAAATAACGTTCGATTCGCGAGACACTTCCTGACGAAGTTCTCGTCAGTGGCTCCAACTTGGTCCAAGGAGGCGGCAAGTCGACGAAACCACATTACGTTGCGCAGCTGAGTCAGACAAATCTCGTGACCGTTACGCGTCGCAGTGTTTGGAGTTTGCCCTTGCTTTCGGCTCGGACTTTCACACTGTACACATACTAATTTCTATACTACCCGCCACCTCCCTCATGCCTACTCCAATTAGCCCCCGGATGCCACGAAGAAACAGAAAGGGAGACGACCCCAAGGTCATTGGTCTCTGGAAGATTGGCAGGACCATTGGGAAGGGAAGCTCCGGTGAGTCGATAGATCTGTGATAGGATTTAAACCGTTTCGCTTGACCCGCCGGTTTCAATATGGACCAGGTCGTGTACGCATTGCTCGACACTCAAAAACGGGCCAGTATGCTGCAGTCAAGATCGTCTCCAAGGTCGCTCTGATCAATTCTCGAATGTCGATGCAGAACTTAGAAGAACAAGCTGACCGTGTCCTCCTTGGGATCGAGCGGGAGATAGTCATCATGAAGCTCATCGATCACCCAAACATCATGCGCCTCTATGACGTATGGGAAACATCGACAGAGCTGTATCTCATCCTCGAATACGTCGAAGGAGGCGAATTGTTCGACTACCTCTGCACCAAGGGCCGGCTGTCTTCTACCGAGGCTTTGGAATATTTCCAACAGATCATATCCGCTATCAATTATTGTCATCGGTTCAATATAGCCCATCGCGATCTCAAGCCTGAGAACCTACTCCTTGACAGTGACAAGAATATCAAGGTCGCAGACTTCGGGATGGCGGCCTGGCAAAAAAGCAACAGCAGCGGGATGCTACAGACTGCATGTGGGAGCCCACATTACGCTGCACCGGAGGTTATAGAAGGGCAGGCATACAATGGGTCGATGGCAGATATATGGTCTTGTGGTGTCGTCCTCTTCGCCTTGCTTGCTGGACGGCTTCCTTTCGACGACGAAGATCTTCATACTCTACTCGAGAAGGTCAAAGTCGGCAAGTTCACGATGCCGCCGGATATCGACTCCAGAGCAAAGGACCTCATCTCCAGAATGCTTGAGAAGAACGTCTCGAAGAGGATCACGGTTCCAGAGATTCTAAAACATCCTTTCTACGTCTCCCACAAGCCGAAGGCCGTCTATGATATTCTTCTCAATCTTGACCAGATTGCACGTCCTCTTGCAAATGCGCTTGAGATCGACTCAGATATTCTGGCAAACCTGCGTACTCTATGGCACGGCACGCCGGACCAAGAGATCATCAAGAAGTTGACGAATGCCGACCAGACTTGGGAGAAAGCGGTCTACCATCTTTTGATTCAGTTTCGCGCGAAGCACGCTGAGGAGTATAGTGAGCAACAGGAGGTGATGATGCAACAAGCACTCACCAAAAAAAGTAAACGAACAAGCTCAGCGCATAATAGTCCCGACCCTTCTGCAGCTCAACCGACCCAGTTGGGTATGCTGCCCTCTATGATTCCTCCTCGAGCAGATCCTCCTACTCCTCGTCGTGCCGCTGGGCGTAATCTAAAACTTCTTTCGCCCATGATAGAAGGAGCTTTGGATCTTGAGAGGTCGCAAGTGCCCCCCGGCCTTGACACACCACAGGATTTCTATTCCCCCGTACCTGACATCACCTTGACCACTGCTACTCCCGCTCAGTACTCCAGATCGCTATCAACATACTCGCCAAACGTTCCAGGATCTCCAAACAACCCTACAACTCCTATTTCCCCTCTCTCACCTACTTCTCCAATATGGGAAGCATTGAACATGGCGCCCCGGGACATTCCAGAGATACATGACGAGAAGGTCCAGCGATTTTTCCACCAGATCGTAGAGCACCTGAATGTCATGCATATGCGATCCCCTGTTGTTGCATCTGGGGAATATCTGCCGCCTACTATCGAGTCGCCATCACCCTACGCGCAAATGACTAAGGGTGATGGAACGCCTAGGCCTGACACGTCCCGGGCTACAACTCAGCCGCTTAGCATACGTCGAGTCCTTCGACGCCCAGCTCCATTGGTTCTAGACACGAACAAGGAAAACACACCTTACGCCAGGCATGATATTCTAGATCACCTAGATGGGGCTGCCATTGCTCGCAAATCGTCTTTGTCGAACAAGAACGAAAGAAGAGCAGCATTAGCCGACCGACGTGTGCAGATCATCGAGCCACAAGAAGCCGTGCGGGGAAAGCTGAGACGCAAGCGAACAATATCCGCGACATCAAGCTCACCCACCACATCTGATGTCTCATCTCTGCCTTCCCCGTTGTCGCCTACTTGGTTCGGAAACCTGTTTAAACTCAAGGCTATCACATTCAGTCTCCTCTCAATCCACGATGCCGATATCACGCGTGATGAATGCAGAAGGCTTCTCACTATAATGGGCGTACGTATCGTGCGGACGCGGGCAGAGAACCTCGGAGTCATCAAATGCAGGATGGACGACAGCATTGACCCGATGGGAACCACGAAAGCAGTGAGGTTCCGCGTGGAAGTGCATGGGACGACTCCAAGCCAGCTCGTCGCAGGATATCGGACTGCTTTGCATCTAATCCAAGAAAAAGGGTCCCTGTCCACGTTCAAGGTGGTGTACAATCGGTTGCGGAGGGAGTGGGATTTGGACGCCCCGAGAATACCTCTTCCAGCTCCGAGTCCTGCGCTGGCTGAAAGTAGCAGATTTGCAGAGTTGATGTACTCGTAGAAAATCGGACCTGATTCATGGTATATCTGCCCTGTGGACTTGTACGATAGCACGGACCATCAGCATCATCATACATCCTAGAATATATGTACAAATACCACATCGTATCACATTATCCCATCCATAGCCATGATTGTGCTGGCAAACCGCGAAGGAGGTTCTGTGGAGAGCGGTGCCTCGGCGACATTCATGGCCTGAGGTTCAGAAGAAGTGGGATTTGTGTCGAGCTGTAGCGTGAAGTGTGTTCCGACGCGCGAAAGCACGGAAACCTCGGGTTTGGCACTGGTTATTCGGATGAAACGTAGCATTTGTACATATGCGACCTCGATTTGATCCCACTTGCGGAAGAGAGAAACATTGGCGGGATGTGTGAGATCGGGTACATCTGGAAGAGAGTTCGGTGAACAATAAAACGATAGAGACACTGTAACACACCCATGCCGGTCCGATACTCATTTATCTCCTGTAACTTCATTTCTTCTAATTTCTGCTCCTTCACACTCTTCGGTCGACCCTTCCGCCTGATGGATCTCTCTTCATCCAGATCTGCATCATGTCGAGCGAGCCATACGGCAACGATCGAGTGCAACTCCCCCAGGGTCAACTCCCCCTCTTCTGGCAGAGCGTGATAGAAGAATCCGTAAAAGTTGACTGCGAAGCGCGATATTAGGCAATCGAAGAAAGGACAGACAAGCTATATGAAGACCGACCTTTTGATGAATGTTTTTTTGATCTTTTTGATGCCTGACCAGCAAGTTTGCTCTGCCGGAGCTGGGTACGAGCAAGCTGGCCAGCTTTGCGAGATTGTGGGTGAAATATCTTCTCCTTTTTTGCTGGTTTTGCCTTTGCTTTGGTGGAAGAACTCTCACTTGTAGAAGATGTCATTTTTGTGATATATAGAGATGCAAGTGAGGGGCTCGGAAGACAAGAGAGGACAAGGGACTCTTAGAAGGCAAAATTTATCATTGACCAATATCCGCTGGCCAATGCACCGGGTCAGGAATTATTTGTACTTGTTGAAATCTAACGCTACAGCCAAACAAGACCACATGTGAATCGTAGGTTTCGTTTGAGATCTTGGTCCTGTAGACGATCTCAGAATGACGAGACTTGCAACTTTCGCGGAGTAGGGAAATATCATTACCCCGGCTCATCTGACTGGGGTATCCTATATTCTAGCCTACCAATCGTCGACGATGGTCTAAAAGTGAGCGCTGCCAATGATTTTGTTTCATTCCAAGAGCTCGCGCCACCGTTCTTTGCGAAGGCTATGTATGCCTCAAAGCACACAATTCTGGAGAATGTCTCAGGTCATTGTCAGGGGTGTCTCTTGAACGATCGGCTGCCCTAGTGGCCAGTATAAATGGACCACATGAGGTATTTCATTCCCGACTCTGACCTCTCCTCTATCATCTGCCATGATGGATTCTCTCTCGACGCGCTTCCAGCACCTCCTGATCATTGACCCCATCATACTTCAAACTTCTCAGCCTTCCTGGCCTTATCTCCCCGTCGAGCTCATCCAACGCATTCTCGAAAAAGCTTGGACTTCACCCCTGACCGGAGAGGAGGTGACCAGCATGCTCACTTCCCTACCCCTCGTCAGCAAGACGTTTCTCGCTATCTACAATCGACTCGCTTTTAGAGACGTACATGTTGCCACCGAAGATTACTCTGATCGCTTTCAACCCCTTTTGAGCTCGCGTACCCCAGAAAAGGAGGCCTACTGTGAAGCTCACCCTCTCCTATCCATACCGTCGCCGACAACAATCAACTCTTTATGTCGCAGTATCACCTTTCACATCCCAGGTCTTGGAGGTTATCCCGGCAAGGATCCCATTCAGCTCTATAGCGAAAACCATCCCATGGGACAAGCCCTCTCCGGGACTCTCTACCAGCTCAAGCGCCTCCCTTGGCTCCCCTCTCTCCGACACATAACCATCGAGTACACCAATTGGGGATACAACGACATCTTTGATCAGGACCGCCTCCTTGATTTACCACTGCGCGTATCCACTCTCGAGCTTCGCTATCTCTTCACGGCCAACATAGGAAAGCGCTCCATCCGCGGTCTATCAAATCGCTATTTCGGTCGCCAACGCTGGCGCAGTGGACATTACTCTCTGCCAGGCGTCCGTGAGCTTATAGTATCAGGGGATTGTCTCGACATCGTCGTCGACGTCGCGCACATGTGCCCGACTCTGAAAGTGCTTGAGGTGGACGAGCTCAAGGGTATCTCCGTTCTGGCGCCGCTTCCACCGAGCGTGCACACGCTCGTGCTCCGCAGCGGACGCGGGTTCATACTGAATGACGATAGTCTTCAGGAAATGCAGCTCGAGCGCGCACTGAAGAACAAGCTATTCGGCTCATCTGAACATCCGCGCATCATCCTAGAGTCAGCAAGTGTCGACCCAACGGTGTTCAACTATACCGTGAATCTATGCCAGAACCACGACATTGAACTCATTCATCGCTCTCTATACGTTTAACTCTTTTTATCAATGATACGGGGGGAGGCACTTACTGTAATCAACTACGATAATTTTTAATCAACCTAATGGTCATTATACTTACATTTTCCCCGTCTCTTATACTTAGAATCATAACATTGCTGTTTCTTGCCAAGTGATCATGATAAACAATGCGCTCTGTGCATTTGTCATGATTCCATCTTGACTTGCAATTACAGAGTGAGCGCAACGCCGCGACTTTGTGTGTAACGTCCACAGATCCAACAGGGAGCGTGGGCTATTTTTTGTGTATCCGCACATGCCGAGCTAATTGATCAGGCCGCGAAAACGCCTTCGCACAGCCTGCTTCGCTGCATACGTATGGGCGTACTCCGGTGTGCGTGCGCAACTGTTCAAAAACGGATTAGCACCGGCGAAGATCAAAGAACGTCGATCCCCGCACATGTTTTGACAGATTCGACGACTCTGAGAACGCGCTACAAGCATCAAGCTATTAGACGCGCTATGCTAATAGTAGAACAATGTCCCACATACCGATCGCAGTACGTGCATCTGAAGGGTTTGTGCCCGTTATGGATGCGCTTGTGTATTGTCAGCGCACCGGCTATTGCGAATGCCTTGACGCAGCCCGGATGGTCGCACACATAGGGTTCTGGTTAAGATGAGCAAAAAGATGTGAGATAATTTCTGGACAATCTCGCACTTTCTTGGGTATGACGACGCATATGCTGTTGTAGTGTCGCTGCCTCCGAGAAGGTCTGCTTGCAAGTACTGCACTCAAACGGTCGATGCCCTGTATGGCTCTGAAGGAGAAATGGGGTTTGACGTCCAGCTGTCAAGCTAGGAGCATCGCGCAAGCAATTGATCTCACCTGGACGTGCCGACATATTTTCTGTTTGCTCGAGAACCCCTTGTCCCCATTGCGTGCGCACCCTTCCCAATAACAATCATAATGGGCCTTGCCACTGCCGATATGGGTTGTGTTGACGTGCATCGTCAACTCGTCGGTGCTTTCGAAGACATTATTACAGCCGAGCCAGTGGCATATATGCGCGGTAACGGCACATTCTTCGCAATCTGCAAGATGAGGAGGATGCATAGCCGATACGGGACCTGACGTGGATGCGTGTGAAGTGGTCGGGAATGTCGATGCGTAGTCTTGCGCAGAAGATTGGGCATGAAAATGGTGGTCTGCCGAATACGGAGGCGGCAGGAGCGCCAACATTGGGGAAGGGGGCTGTTGGAGGCCAAGATGATCATGAAGAAGGTGGTTAACGAGCACGTTCAGAGCTTCATCAATAGAAGTCCCTTGAGAAGAACCAGGGATGGCATGGGCAGAGGGATAGTCACTGCAATCGTCCCATTGACACGACAGCTCCTTCAAATCGAATGGATTCGAACTGGGCGTGGCCAAAGAGGTGGGCGACTGGACTGGCTGTAGGCGCAAATGCTGCACATTTACGTGTCCCACGAGGTCAGGAAGCGACGAGAAGTTCGCATGGCAATTGTTCCACATGCATGTCACCGTGTTCGACTGGGTCTGAGGGATAAAGGATTGGGGTTGGAAGGGAGGTGCCTGATTGAATATGGAAGGAGGGGACGACAAAGCAGAAGAGAGAGACTGAGATCCTGAAGGCGTTGAGAACACAGAAGATGGATATGTTTGTGACTGGGCCCCATCCATCGCTGAGACAGCAGCCATGTTGGCCTCGTCGTTGGAAAATATGTCCCCACAAGAACACAGAAACGCTTCGAGACTTTCGTCGTATGCATACGGGTGGTCTGGGTGCAGAATGGAAGGATAGCTCTGATGGCCATCAGGCTAGATATCGTTCTGAGCATATTCATATCACTGTGTCTATGTGAGGACTCACGATTTCTTGGGAAAATGAGCAATTGGGATCCGCATCACACAGAGCATCGCACTTGTCGCCCATGCATGGCATACCGCTATGGTTTGGATCGTCGCAAGCGACGATGACGCACTGGTCCGTACATTGCGCCGCGCACGCCGCATCATGGCAATCCACAACGCATTCAGTGCAAGTGGGAGATGCGATTTCGGGGACAAAATTGTTGATGTAAGGGAGGTCTCTGTGTCCCATGTCGAACACAGTAGCAAGAGTGCCAAGAACGCTGTCTCGCGAGTGTTGTGCCGATGTCAAGATCGCCATACGAGTTGTGCGGCACTCTATGAGCGGTCGGGCGCTGCAGGATATGGAGTCGTCGACAATGAGTGGAAGGAAAGTGCAGAATGAAGAGGAGAGGTCGACGATCAGGATGACTGTCGACTGCGCGGGTCCTCAAAGCAGAGGTTTCTTTATCTCACGTGCTTCTTATCGACGCTCGCCTCTTCAGTACTTCAGTTGCTGAAGTGTTGCGATACACCTGTCAATACACCGAGTTCTGCTTCAGGATGGGGACAGAGGTACATGATCTTGAAGCTGAAGCGTGGGTAGCTCAGGACCGTCGCAAAAAGGCCATCCTTCTTGCAAGCACCGGACATATGCCATGCACCACCGCCGAAGAACATTCGAATCTAGACACATCTCGTCCTCAGAAGCGATACCTCATCGACATCCTCTCTTGTTTTCTTAGCTACTTATTTCGAGTAGCCATCCCTGTGCTCTCGCTCATCATCATCACTCTCTACCTTCTCAGCCATCTAGTAATCGGGGCTCCGAGCCAAGGTACCAATGCCGCACCTCACTACCCCCTCCCTCCCAACGAGGATTCCGCGTACTGTCCTCAGACGGGGCCTATCTTTCCACTTCATCACGCAGGCATTGATAATCAGCTGGAAACACTGTATGCTCGGAGTCAATTCCAGCTTAGGGTCTTCGACATTCTGAAGGGCATCATCCAAGTGCCGTGGGCCTTTCCGCCGATCCCTTAATTCTCACTACCGAAACCCTTCCCCTTCCAGGACAGAATCATACGACGACCTTCTTCCCGTCGGTCAAGACCCGCGATGGGAGGTTTTCGATTATTTACATACGCGCCTCAGGACTTCTTTTCCCCTCGTGTGAAGTTATATCCCCTTCCATTCATTTAGCTCCCGCCCTGACACCCGTCGATAGATATGAAAAGTTGGCCGTCACCACGGTAAACACTTACGCCCTCGTTTATCATTGGCAAGGCTCGGAACCTTCGCTTAAGCCCATTCTATTAACGGCTCATCAAGGTGCATTCGTCCTCTTCTCTTCATTCCCCTTTTGCTCATCAGACGACGGGTCGATCAGACGTCGTTCCCGTTGATCCATCGACAGTGGATCAGTGGGAGAAACCGCCTTACTCCGGATATTACGACGGTGAGGCGCACCGAATTGATGGCTTGATTCTCATGATCACGGTACTTCTGTTTTAGGAACATGGGTATGGGGTCGTGGTTCGGTCGACGACAAGGCGGATCTCGTCACCCAATTGTCCGATCTTTCTCTCTATGCATCTCTTGTCTCGTTTTCATACCTCTTCACAGAATCACGATAGATTCCCTCCTCAAGCTCAAATTCGTACCTACAAGGACCGTTATCCTTGCTTTTGGGATAGACGAAGAAGCGTCTGGGCTAGAAGTGATTCCACTTCTCTCTTTGTATTTGTTATTAGTGACTGATGCTGTGCGATGGAAGGGCGCCGGACACCTCGCCGTATATCTTGAGCGGAAGTACGGGAAAGATAGCTTTGCCATGCTGGTTGATGAAGGGGGTGGGTTCTTTCCCTCGTCTTTGGTAGCTGCTTCGCCTCATTCACATCCTCAAGGCGGCTACATAAACCAACCCGGCGACAACCCGATCCTTGCATTCCCCGAAATCTCCGAAAAAGGTTACCTTGATGCCCGCATTGAGGTCAAGGTACCTGGAGGACATTCCAGTGTCCCTCCCTTACATACTGTGCGTCGTATGTTTCATAATTTACCTTCACTTCTATCACACAATCTCACCGAAACGATATCATAGGGTATAGGCATCCTTTCTTCCATCATAACCCTCATTGAGGCCAACCCCCACGCCCCCAGTCTTCCTCGCACATCAACTCCATTCCGTAGCGCCCTGTGCACCGCCACGTACGGCCATGCGTTCTCAGATCACTTGAGACACGTTGCGTTTCAGGCTGTGAAAAGCGATAGCGCACTAGAGAAGCTGCGCAACGATCTCCTAGCTCTAGATCCCGTAATCAAGGCTACGTTAAGTACCACACAGGCCGTCGATTTGGTATGGGGGGGTGTCAAAGTCAACGCGTTGCCCGAGGGTGCGACCGCCGTCGTGAACCATCGGATCGCAGAAGACAGGTACGCGTCTTTTCGTTCTCCTTCTTGTTCCAGGTCTTGCATCGCACGAGAAGGATCTTGATCTCACGGTTCATCATTTTCTAGCTCCGTCGGGGCACTGCAAAAGCACCTCACCGATCTCATCACCCCTCTTGCACATTCTTTCAATTTATCCGTCAGGGCGTTCGGCAGCCCTCCCTCCCTCGTGGCCAAACACGCTGTTGGCGAAGTTGTACTCTCTAACGCCTGGGGTAGGGCGTTGGAGCCCTCTCCGATAAGTCCGACAGGCGAGAGTGGCCCGTGGAGGCTGTTGAGCGGCACGATCAAGGCCACGGCAGAGAGTCGCGTCCAAGGTTTAGGTGCAGCTGTCATACCCAATCTGGCAACTGGTACGTGTCTGATTGGAAGTTCCCCGTGTCTCTCATGTTGATGATCTCCCTCTAGGAAATACCGGTGCGCAGCTTTCGCTGGAATGAGACAGCCATGAGCATAATTGACGTATCCTACTTGACACACTCCAAGATACGCGGTTTTACTGGAATCTGACACGACACATCTTCCGGTACTCTCACAGGAGCGCGGACGGCGTCTACGATGGAATTCATACTATCAATGAAGGCCAGTCGATTGTCCGCCCAAATTGCATCTTCGTGGTGCTAAACTAAACATACAGCTGTGCGTGGCGCCGACGTCATTGACGAGATTCGGTTTTTTACGAAGTTGATTCTAAACGCCGACGAGTCGCTTTTGTTGGACTAATTGAGATATTCACTCCGGCCACTTTATCGACCGAACTTAGACTAGTCTGTTCGATAGCATGTGGCACTATGACATGGTCTGTGCGCGGCGTCCTTCATTGGAAGCACTTTGAAGCACTTTTTTTAGATGAGGCCTCATGAAAGTCTGTCACCAGCGGGTTTCGTCAATGAAGGTTGTATTTGGACTCCAATATGAATACAACGAAGGCATCGGATCGAGATATTCAACCGAGTACAAGGCCATTACAAGGAATGATGTGAAAATATAAACAAAGTGTGGTATATTCGCTGCATAGCAACGAGAGCATTTTGGGGACTCGGAAACAAAGAACGTGAAGACGAAAGAACGTGAAGGACTGATAAGGAAGGATGTCAAGTACGCAAGACAAGCTGTAATATGGGCTGCCACGTCCCCGCGGAGGTGTGGACAACGCCGACAAGGATGATATCGCGGGCAGTGATGCGGCCGTCACCGATAGCCCATTGAGGCTGACGGTCGTGTTCATTCAAAAGGGCAGGGGGTTCCTAAGTACGGCACATCACTTCCAATGGCTTTGGAGCTCGAATGCAATCAACACACCTCAAGAAAGCGGCTCACGGTCGTAGCGACATACTGGGCCCATCGTCCTAGAGTAATCGGGTTGCGGCTTCTTGTCTGATCCTTCAGCTGGATCTGCCGACTGAACTCCTCGTAACCACTCCACTGGCATGCATACTTTGTCAGACAACACCTTCCCACTCGACGCATTGTCGAAGACTCACCAAGATGCGCAGCGAGGTAGTCGTCTTCCCCCCAAAGTCGACCAGAGCGTCGTAATCATAGAGGCAATGGTGCTGCCTGTGCGTGGCCTCCTCTAAGGTGATCCCGATGCCGTCGAAGTCACGACGAACGAAAAATATAGGCCGACATAGCGCGCCATTGTGGACGAGTGACGATAATAGCTTGTCCGATTGAGGACGCCACAGCCTCTGTGGGATGACAGGTCCGATGGAAGGCGGTACGTAGTCCAACACCACTCGTGTGGGAGTTTGAGTTTGAGGGAGAACCTCTGCTTGCCAGTGTGCGGGACCGTTTAAACAGTAGAGCGGAGTAATAGCGTTGGTCGGCATTTTCAGAAGCGAAGAATGGATGCGCATGGAGCCTTGAACACCGAACGTCGAGGCAATAAACCCATCTTGATAAAGACATGGAGACTGCGTTCACCAAGAGAGAAGGAACAAGGATAAGGGAATGAGGATACGGAATAATCAGACTCGAGGTAGCGAAGGTATATCCCTTGAAGATGCGCACCTGAAAGCCCGACCAGGAGATTTCAGTGAGGGTGAAGGGGAATTGATCCATGGAGAGATAATTCTTGACCACGACCAGAGTCCATTTTATAAGGCAGAAAATCTGTACCTCGTGAGCCGCCGTCACTCTGGTTCGATATCCGAGGGCTATTGGATCTGAGCCTCAATTCACTGATTTTCCACGGAGCGAAGCGGCGAGGTAAATAAGTGAAACCGATCTGTAAATTTGGTCTCAAGTCGCAGCTGAATATCCGGTTGCGGCAGACATGTGTGCAAGAAATGAACGTAATTTACGATGACAAGCAGACCTGATCCGAGTCCGGCACACGTGTCTAGAGGGAGCACTGCACGATGTAGATTTGCATCTAAAACCCGCTCCTCAGTTGTTCGTGGCCAGTTTTCGTCCGGCCATTGAGGAATGTTGTCCATAGATGAGCGTTGAACTTAACAGGGCCCGTGTGATATTATGTGTCACGTTCATAGGGTCACGCTTCAGATCTGTAAGATCGCCTCCGAGACCCGGCGGCCGGGCCTTCAACTACTACCAGGACATCTTCGTAATACCGCCTGGTTCCCTGACCAAGATGATTTCGAGACGATTTCCGTATGCGTTGCTATGCTGGAAGGCACCCAGATCCACCCTACCACCCAATCTTTCGCGTATTCATGGTCGACTTTGGGCCATCATGCATCAGGAAGCACGACATACTGAATGGGAAGACGCGTATGTGAAGAGGTTTGAAACTCTCATGGGAGCGAAATACGATTCTCTGACAGTTGACTCGCCTGCGCGGATTCCTCATGGGAATAGAATGTCTGGATCCTTCTGCGGCCCCGACAGAGTGTACACAATTGTCGTCTATCCTCAGCTGATCCCCAACGGAACATCTCTCACTGCAATTGGGCTGACGACCACTTGGCTATCCCCAAAGTCCAGAGGGCTCGAGGATTGAAATCATTTTCGAGGGAGGCTGATGGCAGTCGTTCGGCCTTCACGGTCCCTAGTATCCCAGGTGTAGGTGTTCTATCAAACTATCAAACTCTATCGTGGCACGATCTCAGTACTGTATCACGTTTTGTGCGTGATGTAAATATTGTTGTCGACTTCCCTCGAGCTCCTCAAACTACGAATTCGACTCCTCGCCTGCTACGATGATAGACAATCTGGTACCTGCTCGTTCTCGCTTATGGCCTTTGCGGCTCCATCTTGATCGATTTTGTTTTTACACCTTTGCCCTTTTCCTCATGAGTTGTTTCTCTGACATACTGTGGAAGCGATGCTTTACGTTTAGCCCTCCGTCACACCCAGTACGTTTGGGTGTCGTACACATGACTAGTGATGTCACCTGAAATGATCGGCCGAACTTAGACGGTGATACTTCTGATATCGTCGCCAGGCCACACCACTCTGGGTACATCTCTTCTGAAACCGCGCAACCACATTGCTGGGTGGTCTTCTTCATCCAAGTTCTTTGTTGCTGTCAAAATGCTTGTCATTATTTGGTTGGGAGATGTGACGATGGAAGGGGTTTGGTGATTGCCTGAGTCCCTCGGTGCGGAGAGCACTTTCTTGCTTCACCCAGCGTCTTCAGATCCCTTCCCGTCGTCCAAATTGACACCGTCAGGCCTCATATTGGACTACATCCTCTGGATCTCGATGATTCACCGGCTAATAGGTAACTCCAGATGACGGCCCCTGCGCGCGGGGAGATATCGGAGTTGTTCAAGATCCATGATATGGTCCTCTCATGTCGACTCATTTTCCACACGAATCTCCTCTGGTCAATTGAAATTTTGTCGAAGCACTCACGAAAAACCATTCACATCTCTCACGTGACATGCCTTCGGCAGAAAGAGTCACATTAATGAAAGGGAGGGAGATTGGGAAGCGAGTAAATAACGAACACATGAGGACGAAGGAGACTACCATGACAGTCCCTCAGAACTCGAGCTAACCCTTCACGCTGGCAAGTTTCGGCGACGGGGCCACAATCGACCAATCACACTTCCGTAGACTCGTCCACGTTCAGAATCAAGGTAGTGAAGTATCGGATGATCTCGACGAAATCAACGATACGGATGTCTGTTTATAAATCACACGAAGTCAGGAGATTTTTTTCGTGGAGTTAGAACGAATCACGGATGACAAATCAGGTGGACACTCACGCTCATTCACGGTATGCACGCCATTTGCCAGTGCGGAACCATTACCAGAGTTGTGGTGGTTGTAGCGGAAAATGTGGGATGTCAATTTCCAGTAGTACCTCGTGTCTGTCAAAAATAGCCCCAACACCCTTAGCTTCCACAGAAAGTTCTGCACCCAGAGATCAGAAGGGTCGCACTAACCCGTGTTGCCGCTCATGATGCCAGGGCTCACGAAGATGTTGTCCCCACCCACAAGGTCTCTGTGCGAATCATAGGTAGCCCTAATGGTGCCACTCAAGATGCGATACGGGACCGCATCAGAATCGGTCGGGGTGATGGGCGCAGGCTCGAGGGCGGTGCCCCACGCATCGGTGAGGGTCAGGGAGCCGTAGGCAGGAGCGTCCTTTGCCGAAATCGCAGCACCGAAAGCCGTGTAACTAAGATTAAATTGCTGGGCCAGAACCTTGAGTGCCTCCGTATCGCGATGCTTAGTCTCTGCGACCGAACTTCACGAAGCGCATGAGCGTGCTAAAAGCTTGTGAAACTGAAAGATTGCACACCTCTCAGTCGCAAGGCGGTGATTAACCACGGCCCATGCCTGCTCTGGGAGAGCATTCGTCTTAACGCCGCCCTGTATGAGGTCAATGGCTTGGGTCGTGCCCACGAGAGCCTTGAAGGCAGGGTCCACGAAGAGTTCCTTCTCGGCCTTCTTGAGCGCCTTGTCAGATTTCGCAGAAGCTTTGATAGAAGCGCGAAGCTTCTGCGGAAGGTTCTTTGCATGCGCCGCAAGGCACTGTACTGTGGCGTAGACGGGGGTCCCACGAGATAGATGGACCTCAAAGGGATGTGCTTCGAGTTCGACGAGAAGTGCTGAAAGTATGCCTATACTCTGAAAAGGAAAAGTGACGGATGTCAGTGGGAAAGTAGGGGAAAAGATTGAGAATGATCAAGGCACCGTGTGCGATGGAGGAATGCTAGAGTGTCCCCCGGGAGAGGCGACCTCAATCCTTGTATCAATATACCCTTTCTCGGCAATGCCTGGCGTGGCTATGATCGACCCGTGCTGTTCCGAGAATGATCCTGTAGACAATGTGATCAGCTGTGCTCTGTCATTGCGAGTGCACAATCAACTTGCCGCCTTCGTCAACCAGCAGAGCAAAGGAGTTTTCACCGTAGGTTGAAAGAAGGTATTCAGCAAGTTTAGATGCACCCTGAACACCATTATTGTAAGCCCTTTCTGAAAAATAAAGAATTTTGGCATACATGGAGTCCACTTGTCTCCTCATCGAAGCCAAAGGAAAGGACAATGCCACGGGTCGGGTGGAAGTCTTTCTCCAAAAGGGATTCAATAGTGGACCTGAACAGTGAAATCAAGAATCAGGAAACAACTCATGATTATGAGACTACATACATCACACCGATCAATCCGCTCTTGTCGTCAGAGCTTCCTCTCCCCCACACACTCTCGCCTGGGAGTTGTGGTGCGATCAGAATCGCATCGTAGAATTGGGCAAAACAAAGTAGGAATGTGACTGACCGTCAAAATGACCAGAGTAGGGAGGGTGCTCCCACTCATCCACAGTCCTGGGATCAACAGGCACAACATCTGTCAAAGAATAAAGTTCCTTTGAACTTGACGCATCTCGAGCAGCCCGGAAGGGAATTGGGGCTACCTTGGTGCGCAGCCAACAAGAGCGGCTTGAGCGATTCGTCGGAACCCTTCCACACATAGATGAGCCCATAAGTGTTGACCTTCGTGATCTCCAGCTTCGAATGGCTGTCCAAAGCGCAGAAACCGGTTTCAACGGACCAGCGCGGAACGAAAGGGGAAACCCGCGGCTTACATCAAAGGATACGCCTTCGCGAGGTAGTCGTGGAAAGGACCGAACGCGTCCCACCGCGGATCCACGCCAACAGGCTCCATCTTGTCATACGACTCCGTCCTACTCGTCCCGTTCTGTCAGCTCGCAGCCGCATCGTCATCAACGAAACCACGAAGAAAGACCGACGCACGGGACCCTCACTGCGCCGCCCAGCCACTCCACGGCCCTTCCCTTGAACGCCTCCGTCTTGAGCGTCTCTCCGAGGCTCTTCCACAGCTCAGCGTGTCTCGTCGGGTACAGCGCGTCCACCTGCGGACACAGATCGGCGGCGCGGCCGGTTTCATCCCTATACACAGTGGTCCGAAGACGCGCGTGCAGGTCTCCAAAGACGGGGTTGAGAACGAGCAGCGAGCAGAGGACGACCCCGGCGAAGTAAGCCCATTTGGACCTCGCGGATGGACGCGGCGCGATCGGCAGCGCCGTCGAGGGCAGAATTGCCCGCTTCTCGTCGCGGATACTGGAACCCTTGCCTGGCATTGTTTTGGGCAAGTAGAAAGGGCGCGTCGAGCGGCGTTCGCAAACTGTTTCCCGCGAGCGTGAGCACTCAAGTGCTCAACCGTGCACGTATTTGACTCATATAAGCAATTGGACTTCCGTCTGGCATCATCAGACGCTCGCCGACATTCGCCGTCGCGGAACACGATAAGATAGGCGCCTCGTGACTCGTATAGATTGCATCATCGGTGTTGATCCTTATCGGGCAGAGTTCGGGCACCATCGACTCATTCATCAAGCGCTACTCTTTCCTTCGCGATCTTAAGTACGATGAAGGCCGGATTAACGTATAGTCCAGCATGGGACGCCCCACTTTCAAAGGAGTTGCTCAGTAGAACTAAACACCTACGCTGCTCCTGCTGCCGGTGACCAGCACGTCCGGATGCGGACAACTCAAGCGCAGGTATAGGCTACACTGCCTGTGGTTGGCCTAGAACACCAGACGCAGAACACCCACCGCTCGGTGGTCGATCACAGAGGAAATACTCTGCCGCTGATGGCAAGGCACTTCCTCTGAGATCGTAGGCTCCCATAAAGGCTCGAACGGACCAACACAAGTACTCGTGTCGAAACCAGCCTTCTCCTGACTGCCAAAAACAGAATTCGTGGTCCCGCTCGATACCCGTTCCCGCGTTGCCATCATGTGACTGTACGTAGAGTATTCGGAGACAGGCGCTGCTTGGGAACCCCGCTTCTTTTCGAAGATCGTCACTCCCAACCGTGTCGCAGGCATCTCCACAAACGCTCTCGTTCGTGCTTATGATATCCCTGTATCGAGGCAGACCGCGCACATCCCCTCGCCACGACGAACGTCGGCGAACGCGCTCCAAAACCGAATTCAATTCCACTCACCGTATCTCCCTCACCGCTCTATGGTAGTCGTACAACAGTCACACAACCCACGCCGTCACCCGCAGAACGATAAGATAAGCGAAGCACACCGCACAGGGCGCCCACCCCCCGCGGCGGTGGTGCGCGCTTCCACGTCGAGAGTTCAAACCTACGTACACTTGGTCGCTTACTGGCGAGTCACAGCTTCGCGTGCTCACCGGAGCCCGGGGCCGTCCCGGACGCGGTGTAGCGCAGCGCCTTCCTGTTCCGGCGCACGTCCTCCGTGACGGACGCGTACCCCGCGACGGTCATCGTGATGTCCAAGTCCTGCGCAGCGCGAGCAAAAATGGAATGCAAAGGACATGGAAAAAGAAAGAAAATCGCGTGTCAGCCGCTCATATTCGGAAGGTAAGGCGACGCAGGCTCACGGCGAGGAGGGACTTGATGACGTGCCGGCACCCGGCCTCGCCCTCGTGCGACATGCCCCACACGTACAGCCGCCCGACCTGGACCGCGTGCGCGCCGAGCGCCAGCGCCTTGAACACGTCCGCGCCCGTCCTAATCCCGGAATCGAATATGATCTTCATCTCTGGACAGCGGCGCAGGCGCGGCGCGGCGCGTTAGTTTACGCGACCCGAAGAGAGTGCGAAGGCGCGCGCGCGCGGACTTACTGCCGCCTACGGCGTGGACGATCTCCGGGAGGACCTCGAGGCTGCCCACCGCGCCGTCGACTTGCCGCCCCGCGTGGTTCGTGACGACGATGCCCTCGCAGCCGACCGCGTCCTCGACGCTCTGAATCCCCTTGATCACGAACGGCCGTCCGCTCGAGATGCGCTTCCACTGCATATACCGGGGGTGTCGTGAGCGGGACGTCCGGCGGTATATATTCTATATGAAACGGCCGGGCGTACCTCGCGGATGAGCCACGGCATCTTGTCCCATGTGTGCGCCTTGCCGTGCCACACCGCCGAGTCGATCCACTTCCCAGAGTCCGTCTTCATCTCCTCGCCGTGCTTCTTCATGAACACGGCATCGGACGTGCCGACCTCGTTCCCGACCTAAGCATCAGCATCAGCTACGGATCATCAACATGCTGTCCAAACCTCCGTTTCGAAGAACACTGACCGCGTCGGGGTAGTAAAATCTATCGAGAAAGCGAGGAGGGGCGGGCGCGCGTACGTGTAGTTCGCGATGGCGATGTCCGTCGGGCGCCAGCCCAGCTGCCACGTATCGACCGTCAACATGCACACGTCGAACCCGCTCTTCCACGCGCGCTCCAGCAAGCTGACCGTCTGCGCGATCCGATCCGTCAGATCTCGACAACAACAGACGCACGTGCGAAACGAGCATTCCGGCGAAAAAAGAAACGCGCGATCTCGTCGTCGTGCCCTATGTACAGCTGGAAGAAGCGCGGGCTCTTCGCGTTCCCGCCGTTGGGGCCCGACGCGCCGCGGTCGTTCGCGGCGGCGACGGCCTCGATGGGCTGCGACGACGCCGTCGAGAGACAATACTGGGCACAGAGATCGCGTTAGTCACGTGTTAGATGAAGAAAACAGACTCGGGGATGATGGAAGGGGGCGTCGGTGATGGGGTCGGGAAGGAGAGGGGGATGATCACCGGAAGGCCGAGCTCGCCGGTAATCTTGGCGGGGACGAGATCACCCTCGGGGGAGTAGAGCTTGTTGATCCCGATGGGCGCAAAGAGGATCGGGGCGGGGATGCGGTGTCTGAAGAGTTCGGCTGCGCCGGAGGCGGGTCAGCGTCTAGAAGCTGCGCGACCAAGAGACAAGTTATGTGTGGGCGAACCACTTACTGGTGAGGTCGCGAGTGTTAGTGTCGACGAGCATGCGCGGGACGATGCGCCACCTGTAAAAGGCCTCCCTGGAGTCACGCAGAGGATGTCAGGGTTGGAGGAGCGAGATAAAGAGGGATGGATGCAGACCTGTTTGCCTTGACCGTACCAGCCGAGCCCGGCGTTGGAGTTGGCATAGAAGTAGGCGCGATTGTTGAGGGTCTCCTTGGTGGATTCTGTGAGCTCGTCGGGGTGCACGGAGAAGCTTGGTACTGTCGACATAAAACGTGTTAATCAAGTGGGTGGGAGAAGGGCGAGTGAGAGACGCACAGAGGCCTTGTTCTCCTCCGCGACGGAAGATTTCGCGCTGGTAGAGAGAGTAGTGGGGCGAAGGACCCTGAGGCTTGTTGGTTGGACCCATGTCACAGTGTGCTCAAGAGGGTTGAGACGCAGACAGACGAGCTAAGCTGTCGAGAATTTACGGCGCAAGAAAGAGACAAAATTAGACGAGACGAGCGCCAGGAGCGTTGAAGGGCCCCCGTCGGTTGTCCGTGAAAAAGGAAAAGCCCGCCTTTAATTCCTGGTCGTCTCGTTTGCCGTAAAAGAGCGCGCAAGGCTCCCCGCACGCGTCGCTGTGACGGGTGGGCGTCGTCGGCATCGCACGGCAGTGGGGAGTGGCTGCAGAGCGAGACGTCATCGTGGGGGAAGGGGGAGGAGGCGATCGAGGGGAAGACCGAATCGGGCTGTCGGGGCCGCGGGGTAAGGGCCAGCGGACCAATCGGCTGATCCCGAATCGACAGCCGAGAACGCCCGAGACAGCCTTTCTCCACACTCGACCGCTCTTTCTCTTTGCTCTCCTCGCCCTTGCCCAAGTCTGTCTCCTCGTCGTCGTCGTCGTCGTCGACCTCGCCACTTCTCTGCACCGCACACACACGTCGCATGCAGCCATGTCGGCGTCTGGCTCGACCATCAAGACTTTTCGCACACGGCTCTACACGGTCCTGCCCCGCGGCGTCGCAGCCTCGGGCTCAGCCCCCGCAGCCTCGTCCTCGCCCCTCACCCGCGTCCGCTCCAACTCTGCCTCGCGCTCGCTCTACACCGCCCCGCCGCCCTCGCTGTCGGCGCTTCCCTTCTTCGATGCCGCGCTCCCGCCGCCGCCGCCGTCGCGCCCCGGTAACCCGCACGTGCTTTCCTCCCGCCTCCCCATCCAGCCCAAGCCCGAGCCCGAGTCGCATCCCACAAACTCGCCGTCTCACACAAACCACTCCCACTCCCACTCCCACCCCGGCCAAGCACCGCCCTCCTCCCTCGCACTCACCGCCCCCCAGTCAAACCACTCCGCCGCAATCCCCCTCTCCCATACCGCCCCCTTCTTTCCTTATCCCCTCTTCTCTTCGCCCTCTTCCCCTGCACACACACCCGTAGACGCCCTCCCACACACTTCCCTCCCGACCAAACGCCACACCAAGCACCGCTACCATTTCGACGTTGGCGCATATGGCATCCCAAAGCACTCCTCCTCCTCCTCCTCGGCCCCTACCCCCTCGCCCCTTTGGGGGCTCTCTCCCAGCCACGTCACCGACGGCCTCGACCTCGCTGTCCAAGTCGGCGAAGATGCATATTTTGTCCGAGAAAACGCCATGGGCGTCGCAGACGGCGTCGGCGGCTGGTCCCGGTCCAGTGAGCACCCTCCTTCCTTTCTCCCTCTATGCATACCACCCATGCACGCGCCCTCCCACGCGCACCCATGCGGCACTCACCACCCACGTGTTTCTCTTCTCTACCAGAAGTCCCCCTCCGAGACCCCTCAGACCCCTCGCCCTCCGCCCTGTTCGCCCGCCGCCTCATGCACTACTGCTCTTCCGAGATCGCCTCCCTCTGCGCATGCCCCCCGCCCCCTACCACCTCCCTCTACTTCCACGAGCCCGACCCGCACACCCCCTTCTTCCCAAACCCCTCCAACGCCTCGGTGCCATGGTCTCCGACGGCCCCCCTCGAGGCCCTCCAGGAAGAAGCTGACGATGCCCTCGAGCTCGACGAGTTTGAGGAGGGCCTCGACGTTCTCTTGATCCTCGAACGCGCCTACGAGCGCGCGCTCAAGGCCCACGTCGTGCCGCCCGTGACTGGGGCCGGGCGGGCAAACACCCCGCCGCCTCCACCTCTCCCACGAGCCCGGGCACGGGAAGGTAGCGCTGAGCCCGTTCCGCTCATGACCGGCTCCTCGACCGCTCTCCTCGCCGTGCTCGACCACGCCCCGCCTGCGCCCGTCCGCCCGCCGCCCGTCCCGCCCGTATCGGGCTTCTACCCCTCGCCGGCTGCCCCGCCGCCGCATCCCAGCGCGGCTGCGGGTGCACACGGCACGACCGCGACCGCGATGGCCGCGATGGACGAGTGCGATGCGGTCATTAGGATCGCGCATCTGGGCGACTGCATGGGGATGCTGGTGAGGGGCGACGAGATCGCGTGGCGGAGCGACGAGATGTGGTGGTCGGTGCGTCTCTCTCTCTCCCTCGTTCGGCGCGCGCGCACGACACTCGCTGACGTTAATTTTGGCTTCCCGTCTATCCGTCGACGCTTGTATGCGCTCTGTTTGCCCCGCATGCAGTTCAACACGCCACTGCAGCTTGGCCCCGCGTCGCGCACCCCGCCGGAGGCCGCGCAGATCCTGACGCTCCCCGTCAAGGCGGACGACATCCTCATCCTCGCGTCCGACGGGCTGAGCGACAACCTGTGGGACGAAGACGTGCTCGACGAGGTCGTGCGCTTCCGCCGGACGTTCCTCGCGCCCTCGGCGTCCGCGCCCACGCCCACGTCTGCGTCTTCTGGCGTTCCCGCCTCCGCGACTGCGCCTGCAGAGGCGTCTGCGAACGGAGACGCGCAGCAGGCTGCGGGGAGGCAGGCGCAGGGCCAGCAGCGGGGCTCGGCCACGTCGCTGTACGGCCGCCGCACGCTCGCGGGGATGCTCTCCGAGGCGCTGTGCTCGCGCGCGAAGCGCGTCTCGCAGATGCGCGGGGCGCGGCCCGGCTCTGGGCACGGGCACGGACACAGACACGGACACGGGAAGCGCACGGGCGAGCGTGAGAAGGGCGAGAAGAGCGAAAAAGGCGTGCCGGTGGACGAGGACGAGATCCCGTTCGCGCGGCGCGCGAGGGAGGAGGGGCGCGCGTTCCGGGGTGGGAAGAGCGACGGTGCGTGTTGTTTCACCCTCGGGTAGATCGTCGTTCGGCGGTGGCTGACGCGTGCGTGTGCGCTTTTTGGTTTGGTCGGCAGACATCTCGGTGCTCGTTGCGGTGATCTCGCCGGCGGAGGCGAAGGAGCGCGCCGAGGGCGCGTCGTCCAAGAGGACCAAGGTGCATCTGTAGCCTGTTGGTGTGTAGAAGGCCGGATTTAGAGCGGAGATCCGCGGCCGTGCGTGGGCGCCGGTCTAGTCAGGCCTCAGGCCTTTTCGGTGTCGCGCGCCGATCGACGAAGTTTTGGCCATCTATGCGTGTTGTTCGTCTGTATCTTTTTTGTTCACGCCGTCTCTCTCCTCTCTCGTTTCTCTCGTTTCTTTTGTTTATGTATGTCTGGTCGCTCGCTCGCTCGCTGCTTTATCCTACTTGCTACTACATGCTCCCTCGCGCTTATTTACATCTGTACTCCACATCTCGCCATCCGTCTTTCTCGCTCGCTCGACCCGCACCCACGCTCACGCGCGCTACGCACATACGTGTCCATCGTGTCGTTATACTCGTACAAACACAAATACAAACCAACGCATACAGTCAGGTCATGAGCGCCGCGAGAAGCTCCAGTGCCGAGGCTCGCTCGAGGGATCTGGGAACCCGCACACAGCCGCACATGCGCGTGCGCGGGGACCGTATGCGTACAGTACAGTACGCGGCGAGGCGTGCCTGTCTTATGGGCCTGTTCGACTCGGTGCCCCAGGGTGCCTCTGGCAGTGAGCGTCGCGCGTGATCGGGATCCCTTCCAGTGCTGGCTGGCGGCGGAGCATTATACTTATGTGGCTTGACGCTCGCGTGCATGTGCTCTCAGACGTGTCGTCGGCGCCATCGTCGATCCGGGCGCGCTGGCGCGCTGGTACCATGAAAGAACAAGGGAGGCGGTCGACGCGTTTGCTTTATCGCTTGTACAGCGAAGATGCCGAAACGGCCCCCTTCCCCCTCGCTCTCCCCTCCGGGCGCCAAACCCGGAGCTAGGGGGCGGCGAGCGAACCGCGCACTGCATAGGAAACAGCGGCCCCTCGCGTCTGCTCGCATCCGTCCTCGACCCATCTATCAATCGCCTCACGAGTCGAGTCGCCCTGACCAGCGACCAACGGAGCCGTGCGGAATTGCCAATCGGCTCGTGGGAAGCAACAGGAGGGAAAGCAAATTATCTCTGCCTTGGGAGGTAGTCGCTGTATGAGGCCCACGCCGATCGGCTGTCGACGCGGGGAGGAACGAAATTGGAGGGCCGCACCGGGGTAGTACTGTAAGCGCCTCAAAACCAAACACGACAGCGCAGCCGCACACAGGGCCCCGTGCGTCCGCCCCGACGAGCGGGTAAAACCCCGTGCGCGCATACGCATACGGGGAAACGTCGCCCGAAGGACGAGGAGGTGCAAAGAATTCGGTGCCGCGGCGCGTGGGTCGGCCACCCGCTCGAGATGCGCCGACGAGAGCGCGTCGAGACCGCCGGTGTCGAGCATTAGCACGGCTTACCCACAGGCACCCAGGAATGCGCGCCCATTCGCCAACGGAGCCCGTCCCGCACGCATGGATGGACCGCCGTACGTCCCCGGGCGTACCTACGAGGGTGAGAGCGAGGGGGGTGGAGAGGAATAAATTCGGCGCCGCGGTGCGTGTGTCGGCCACCCGCTCGAGACCGCCGGTGTCGAGCATTAGCATGGCTTACCCGCGCGCCCATTCGCTGACGGAGCCCATCCCGCGCGTGTGCATGGACCGCCTTACGTCCTCGGGTGTACATACGAGATGATGAGGAACGAGAAGCTGAGACCATGGCTGCGTGCCCGCCCGGTGCCGGTGCCCGCCAAGCGCGTTTTAACAGCGAAAGCATGACTGATGCCTGGGACACAGCGCGTGACGAAGCCACGTCGCGGGCTTCGCGCACTGCCACTACCTATTCTGGTGGTCCGGCTTGAGCGCTGGAGAAAGGAAGTTGATGAGCGAGTCCTAGAGCAGAAGACAATAAGAGACTCGCACTTTCTTGCCCTCGTCTTTTGTCTCCTGGCGGAAAGTCCAATTAACGTGAGATTCGGGACCAACGAATAGTGGACCCACTCCCTATCCTCCCAACTTAAGCGCGATGACCTGTCGGCGAGCACCATTTATTGAGGATATATATGTAATGGCCATCGCGACGGTCTGGAGCAGGGATTGATAATTAGCTAAGCATTCGAGGCAGGAGAGCGGCGAGCATACATTCATATTTCATGTAGGCTATACGACATCCGCGTAAGTTTTGATAAAGAGAGTCATCATCGATGGCTTGACGAGAGAGTACGACTGAACATACTGCAGATGGCTGAACCGTGCTAGGATGAGGATGTTACCATTGTTCTGTATCTTAGATCCATGTTGTCTGGTACTTCATGGGAGTTGCGATATTGCCTAGGTACTGTTAGCGAGGTAAGAGTATATGGAATACATATGCCATAGATGGGCCACACAGATCAGATGAGGGGCGATAGCCTCACTTCAATGACGTAGCCATGTAGTCAGACTGAAAAGTGTTAGGCAAGTAGAAGAGGCACATACTTACCAGGATGTTTGCGTGGACGATGGTGATGGTCGAGAGGCAAGAGGCGATATGATCCAGACTGCTGAGGGGACGCCTTATATACTGTAGGGCATCCGCGCAGTTAGAAATTCGCACTCAGAATCCGTATATCAGCATGTGGCGGAGATGTATGACAACACAAGGACACAAATACAAGGACCCACAACTGATACGGTCCGATCAAGATAGGACGTCGACTAGCCGCGTCTTTTGCCATCTAGCTATCGGCCTCGAGGAGGTGAGTCCGCCTATTTTTTTTGATATTCCGCATTTATTTTTGTGGAGTGGAGATGTATAGGTGGAATGTTCCTTCCTATCAGGTGCTCTGACTACGTCGCAAGCAGGAGGCAGGCGCGCCGACATGGCGCAGTGAACGCAAGCCACGTGCCAGCAGCGGAAACCGGTGTCGGGGAACCCTCCATTCAAGAATCCCCACATAGAAGGTAGAGATGGTACGCGTTTCAAGTTGAATGATCATCAAAAGGATCGAATACACGCTTGAACGAGGTGAGCGAATGAAGAGAACTCGCGGCGAATTGCCACCTAAGTTGAATCGCCAAACACGCACGTGCTGCGAAGTATTACTCCGACCTTCGCAGCCACCAGGTCGGAGTTTGCCAAACACTGCCATTGCCGGCTTTTTCTCAAACAGGCCAGCCTCGGCGCTCCATAGGCCAACAGCAACACTCATAATCTCCCTTTTGAGTATATGGATAGGCACAACCTATAGGTGTATGGGAAGACATCTGACGGCGCTGACGCACTGAGTCTAATACGCGTGCGGATCGATCAGCCATTGATCTGTAGGCGAGTAGTCGAGACTCGACGCTCCTAAGTAGGCTATCTATGTTTCTTACTATCTATCATTGCAATAACACTCTGACTCACAGTTACAGAGTTGATTGTATTTTGATTTAGTGCTTTCCACGGACTTGGTTCTCCTTCGCGAGAATGCTCACTACACATATACCGACCATTCCGCCAGACCTAGATATATTGGTAATAAACGCCTAAGCGCTGAACCAAGGTTGCTTGGGCACACAGCATTATGGACATTGACATTTGACTCTGAGTTCGATTCTAGGGCTGGTTGTGTAGACTTCTATAGAACCATAGTATGCTCACTCGTTCGATCTCGCCAAAGGTTGGACGTTCAAGGTTTAAGCGAAGTACTGCAGTTTGGACATCAGAGATGCCTGGCCACACATAACAAAATGCCGCGCGGCGCTTCCCCTTTGACTTCAATCCCTTTTACTGGTGTATCAACGTATGATCATACGAAGACGGGAGATGATCGTCTCATCGTTTTGAGATGTGGATTCACCACCTTTCTGTGAGAACAGGTGAAGGGCTGTGATTTATCTCTCCAAGTAATGTATCTGTCAGTTGTAGGTGGATGTGCTACTGATGACTGTATGTAGGGCTCGGTCCTTCGGTGACGAGTGTTGGAAGAGCCCCTTGAGACACACACCCCGGACTAGAGCTGTCTCAAACGTTCAGGATCGCCTATGCATCGCTCCTGTCGAGTCATGTTCGGATCTTCCACGTCTTCCGATGCCTAATAGCCCCAGATCTCGGCCCGCCACTTGTTGACCGTTTATAACAGGTATCCGCGGGCGTCCGTGGCTGCTGCGCCCGGACTGGAATCTGGCAATTTTTCAGGCAACACCTCCGTGATGCTTCTGCTATCGCTGCTAATGGCAATCGGCTGTCGTCCTCAAAATGCGATTAGAGATGTAATATGACCTACACCTGCCTGTAGGTAACATCTCCAACAGCTTAATCCAAACGACAAGGTAAATATCCAGTCCTCCTTCGATGATGATTCGATGATATTCACTTGCATCCTGGGGATATACTAGGTTCAAGAATGATGCTTTTCGAAGGTTCGACACGAGTCTTCTCGGAGGATGAATTAGTGCCATGACATAAGCTCTGTTTCAGATTACCTGCTGTTCTCCACCACTCATCAGTGTTCTCGATGGCCGTTAGGCTAAGTTATTTTTATCAGTGATTGATTCAGATTGGCATGGTTGCAGCCATGTGTATATAATTTCTACACATGCTTGTACGTCCGATCATCAACACTTGCTGGTGTCGGCCTCGAGTCTTCGTTTCCTTGAAGCCAGTTCTACAGCTCGAACAATGTTCATGGTACGTGTAGGATCATCCTCTACCTCTCTAGCTGTGGATATCTGCATCGTATGCCTGGTGTCGCGTCAACCGGGGTCAATTGTAGAAACATAGCTGTATCTTTGTTTGAAGGGTGTATAAAGTCGCGCTATGTTGTCTTCTGGGTCTCAGTATCAGCATTTCTACTCTCTACCTCCGCAGTAAATTGTCTCATTCATGAATCCGACAGTAAGTTCGTTGTTGATTCTCGACTTTCGACGCGATTCACTAACGTCTGGAGATCTAGTCGACCGAGCCAAATGTTTTCTCCGATGGTTTTCTCGCGAAGACCTTCGGAGTCGATCAGGCAACAGACCTCATCACTCTGTTCACCTCAGACGACGAGGACTATGCAGATTATATTTGGAACATCTACTATGGTGGAAGAGTCATCCCCCAGAAGCTTTTCGTGCCGTTCGCGGGTACAGCGCGAGAGAAGACCGAGCGCGAGAAAAACAAACCCCTTACTCGCCCGCGCTTTCTAATACGCAAGGAAGGGGGTGTTGGCATTCCCCTTGCTGACATCGTCAGCGGGGACCTCTCCGCTTTGCAAGGGTACGATGCCCCGATGGGCAACAGAAGCTCGATAAAGTTAGACATTTGGGTACGCCTCATCCTCATCTGCGCTCAGGATCTACAGTGGTACGATGCTACTCCCCGTGTACAGCTCGGGGGATACCGCAGATGGGAAAAACAGATACAGACAAAGGATGACACGGCTGCTCGTAAGCCTATCACCTTCGAGAAGCTTGTAACGCACGTCGCAAACCGTGTGAAGGACTTTCTCGAGGTAAGTGCTCCTTCGCAACACTGTTATGATAGTCGCAGCGAGTTTGACCAACGCCAGAGCGGTGAACGAGACCCGACGAGACAGATGGACCTGGAATGGACCATCAAAGGAATGAATCAGACAGTGCAGGAAGCTCACGAGATATCCGTGGAAAATCTCGCTCTCATTGGGGTGACGTTCGTCTCCCAAGGAGCCATTATGCCGCTTCTGCAGCGCATGTCCTAGTGTAGTCTATCGCAGGCTCGCCTTTTCTCGAGAATTTTTGATCGCAACCTTATTTTCATTGCTGTGCCATTTAATAATACGTAATGTTTTGACGAGCCAAAGTTCGAGAATACACGTTGAAACAAGCTACAAACCGAAGCCCAAGAGAACACTACGGGTGTGTTTCAGTCATAGGATGGTGAGACTGGTCATCGGCGAGCAAATCCGAAGAGGCAAGAGGCAGTACCCAGCTTGAACTGTCGTCAATCCAGCGCCCGCCTAGAAGTAACGACGGCTCGCGCGTCGCAAGGTCTTCTAGAAAGGCGGGATACGACGGTGCCGTGCCGGGAGGCTCGACAAGCAGATTGCCCCCGCCGGCGGTGTAGTATAGCTGTGTATCTTCAAACGGGCCGTCGTGGAAGGGAGAGACCAAGGCGACCAGGCTTTCAAACGTAGCCCGCGGATAGACAGAGTAGGCTGTGTCGTGTGTGATAAAGTTCATGACCGATGCTGAATGAAGGATATTGAGTTCAACCGAGCAGGGACCCAGGAATAGGACGGACGTACTGCACCGCGAACAAAGAACAACCTCGATCGGGGACCTGAGCGCAGCGACGAGCCGAATCTCCACGCTTTTGTTTGATCCCCGACGGGCCGCTGAGTTCACGAAGGTATAGACACCAGCAATGCCTCCCACCCATTGTCCGTGGGACTCCATTTGCTCGTATTCATCGCCGATCTCGTCAATCGCGAGCTTAAACGCACCCGAGTGGCCTCGATCAGGCTGAAAGACGTATCCAGAGTCTTGGATCCAGTCGCCGACGTCCTTCAAGTGGTCCCTTGGAACACAGATCTGCAGCACGAGATTCGGATCCCAACGCGAGCGAGCAAAGAAGTCGGCCGCGGCAGCTCCAGAGATCACGGTATCCGTCCGTGCTTGAAGAGAACGAAACGTGTCGGGGCGATCGAAATAGTGCGAGAGAAGGCGGTCGACATTGAAAGTGCGCTGGAGGTAAGACTGGAATGCATCGCGGCTGATGCGACATATCCGAGAGAGGCGAAACAGAGTGACAGTAGAACAGTAGTCAAAGACGTTGTCGTAGATGGCCGGCTCGCTGAAGATGAGATGAATGAGAGTCATGGTTGCGGCGTGAAGCAGAACGTGATCGCCGCCAACTTCACCCAGATTATCGCACTCGTTCAAAACTCCCACGGCCTTTTCGACAATGTAAAATATCTTCTCACACATGTCTTCATCCCCCGCCCGCTTCACCCCCTCTTACGACCACACAGGCAATGTCTCATTGGCTGTATCCAACCGAAGATTCAGGGGGCTCTGGCTGTGACTGGGCGGCCCCACCGCCCTGCTACCGACATTCCTTCTAACACAGATCATATACTTGCCGGCCAGCTCGGCCTGTGCATTGCGGGCGGCGGTGGTCGCTCTTGGGACATGGGTAAGGCGTGGGTGGCCGTAACGAACAGATCGATCATTATTAAATCCCATTCATTGTCTTATCAAGGTAGTAGAACCCTATGTTAGACATTACAAGTACGAACGATTCTCCCCGCTCTTTCCTCTGTGCTGAGAGATCGATCATCGAAGGCTTGACGCACCGGCAAATACTCTGATCCTCGAAGCATCTTGACAGTTTTCGTGTCAGGTCTTTCGCCACCTTTCACCACTTGAGCATGAACCCACAAGTCTCAAAACCTTAACAAGATGGGCTGCTGCCATGGCACCGGCCCGCCTCGAACAAATCACTGAACGCATCGAAAAAAGAATTTTGGCGCCCAGGCATTGATGACGGCGGCGGCGGCTACACCCATTAGCTAGACCAAGGAGCTCGTGCTGGGATAGCAGCCGCACCCGCAGAGAACGACAACATGCCCTATGTCGTCGACTCGTACCTACCGACAAGACCGCTACATTATCATAAACCCGCCGAGCAACGGCACCACTTTCCTCGACGACGACGAGGATCCCACTTGGGAGCCACCAGACGACGATCTCGACAACTGGAATGGCGATCCCGAGTGCACTGCGGCGGATACACGAGGTCCACGGGCCGTCGCGGCGATTGCGGGAGACGGAGGAGACGAGCCGGCGGGCGGGTCAAGCGGTGGCTGCGGTCGGGTCACGGCTCGCTCGGAGCATCCCCGCATGACCGCGAATCGTCTTAGCAGCCAATCACGTCGTACATATCCGATGTACATGTCTACCTCGTTATTTATTCCCATGTCTCCATTTTTTCTTGAATCAAAACCACTCTTGGGACAGCCCGAGAGCTGAGTGTCCGCTTCCGCTTCCACTCCCATCAGTGTTGCCCCCCAACGCAGTCTGACATCGCACGCGTTCCATACCGTGTTTGATTCTCCACGGATGACGGACCCCTAATCATCAACCAGCGACAATACATCCAAGTAAATACTATTCGCAAGACATCGCATGGGTAATATACCGTCCAAACAAACCATCGAGCAATACGCCCAACCAGCGGCCCACATATAGATCACACCAACCTCAAAGATCCACCGAACACCACACCGCCTCAGTTCACGATATTATCCTCCGCGTCGCTCTCCATCGTCCGCCTCGACAGCGCGCCCTTCCCACCAGCCCCGACAAGGCTCCGCCGCCGCTCCTCCACGAGCGAAGACGGCGGCCGGCGGCCCTTCAACCCGCCCGCCGACGCAGGCGGCGACGTCGCGCGCGGAGACCCGCCCGCGCCGCCCTGCAGCGAGTGGCGGTTCAGGTTCGCGACCATGTTGCTCACGCTGCCGCTCCCGCCGGGCGTGCGCGGCGGGCGCGAGCTGCGCGGCCCGCGGAGGCGCGACGCCTCGCTCGAGACGGTGCGCGCGAGCGAGGCGCGGCCCGCGCTGAGCGGCTGGTCCTCGTTCACGGACGGCGACGGGCTGCGCGAGCCCTTGCCCGAGAGCGGGCTGGCGAGCGCGGGGGAGATGGGCGAGCGCATGCGCGCGGACGAGGCGGGGCTGCCGGCGCGCGGGGACGGGGCGTAGCCCGGGGACGCGGGCTGCGTGCCGACGACGACGGTCGCCGCGGACGGCGTCTTTTCGTCGGACTCGGGGGGCGGCTCGGCGAAGGACGGCCGCGGGGGCGGCGATGCGTCGTCGAGCGCGGGCTCTTTGAACGCGGCGGGGCGGGGCGGGAGGTCGTCGAGCTCCGGGGGCGGCTCTTTGAACGACGGGCGCGGAGGCGGGGCGTCGGGCTCGGGAGAGGGCTCCTTGAACGACGGACGCGGGGGCAGGGCGTCGTCGTTCGCAGCGGGGGGCGCAGGCGCAGGTTCGGGTGTGGGCTCGGATTCGGGAGAGGGCGCAGGCACGGGCTCAGGCTCGAGAGGAGCGGGGGGCTGCGCGGGAGACGCGACGGCCTCGACGGCCTCCGCGATCGGGCTCGGCGACGCGCCCTGCGCGACCCACTCCGGCTGGCGCTCGCCGGCAAACACCGGCGTCGGCGCCGAGATCTGCGGCACGGGCGGCGGGACGGGCGGGGGGACGTTGCCACTGGCGCGCTGGGCAGCGAGCCAGTCGCGCGCGTCGGTGCCGACGGAGAGCCTGCTCCTGCTCATGCGCATGTCGACGGGCGCGGTGCGTTTCCGGAGCGGGACCTTGCGCTCTGACTCGCGCTTCTTCTTGGCGAGCGTCGGCGGGAGGACCGCCGCGTAGTGCGTAACGAGGTCGACGAAGAACACTGGAAAGCGGTGGGGGTCGGCGGCGCGCCGTGGTCTGAGGATCGGGAGGGGGGGGGGAGGAACGCGGGGACTTACGGGCGGGATGACGGTCCTGGATGGACATCTCTGTCTCGACCTTGGGCCGAACGACGGCTGTGCGGGGCATCATTCAGCGCCGACCCCCAACACGACGAGGAAAAAAACCGCGACGACCCACCTCTACCAACAGAAAGCGCGAGCTTCGTGATATACACCTCGTTGCTCTCCGCCGCCTCTGCGGTGGCGTCGATGAGCCTGCCCAAGCGATACACCGTCAGTCAGTCAGCCACCGGCGCCGTCGTCGCCCCGCAAAAAAAAAGACTCACGAGCGGAGGTGCCCGACGATGGCGTCGAGCACGGACAGATGGACCCTCGGCCACCGCTGCAGCACGGTCTGCAGCGCCTCGATGCGCAGCTGCTCCGCCTCGGGACCCTGCTCGCCCTGTGCCGACGCGCCCACTACCGCGTCCGTCAGCCCCTATCCTCCGCGCGCACAACTGCAGACGGGAGACACACGCACCAGAAGGGTATATCCGCCGGACGTCGTCCCAGCCCTCCCAGAGCGCGAGCGGTGGGTCGAGCTCGAGCATCCAGAGCTTCACCGTGCTCGCGAGCACCGGCGCGTCGTACTTGTCCATGATCTCGAGCGGGATCGCCTGCTCGGGCGGCACCGCGTTCAGGCTCTCGCGCAGGTGGTGCACCGCGGGCAGCGGCACCTCGTATATCCACACCTTGCGTTTCTCTGCGCCGGCCGCTTCCGCGTCAGCACGCGCATCGCAGAAACGACCGCACACGGGAAGCACTCACCGTCGTCGCTCGGCAGCCGCGCGTACGCCGCCGCGAGGCCCGCAAGCAGCGCGGGCACCACGGGCGGCAGCGCGTCCTTGCGCTCCTCCCCGGCACGCAGCGCCGCCCAGCCGCCCTCGGCCCACTTGCGCAGATCAACCCCAAACAGCACGTCCGCGTCGTCGTGCGCGACGCTCTCGTACACGGGCGCGCGCGGGCGGAACGGGCCCGTGCGGTAGCGCTCGATGAGCGCGAGCAGGTCCGCCTCGGGCAGGAACGCGGCGATGCGCGCGCGCGAGCGCTCCAGCGCCGGCTCGAGCGCGCGCGGCAGGTTCGCGAGCGTGCCCTGGAACTGCAGCAGCACCGTCTTGACCGCGCGCAGCCGCTCCGCCTCCCACGTCTGCAGCGTCTTGAGCGCGTCCTCGATGCGCTCCTCGAGCGCGAGCCGCTGCCGGTCGAGCTTGCGCACGGCCACGCGGTACGCGCGGTCGGCCGCGTCCGCGTCCGCACGCGCGCGCACGTAAGGGGGCTCCGCGCTCCCGCCGGTGGTGGTGTTGAGCGCCTTGGAGACGACGCTGAAGAGGTTGTTGGACCGCTTGACGAGGTTGTCAGCGAGCTTTGCCGTCGTCGGCGACGGCGCGACGTCGCCCGCGGCGGTGGCGGTGGCGGTGGTCGCGGCGCCATGCTTCCCGAGCTCGAACGCCTTGGGCCTGAACTGATAAAATGCGTCGTCAGACGCCTCGAACATGTTGCCAAACTCGCCGATGCGGCGCAGGAGGCCTTCGCGCTCAGTGAGGTCGCGCGCGGCGTCCTCCGCGCGGTCGAGGCTGTCCCCGAGGCCCTGCACGTTGTGGACGAGCCACGTGACGAGCTCCTCGCCCGTGAAGCAGTCCTGGTACTCGCCGAGGATGGGGAAGCGCACGGGGCGGAGCGGGAGCTCGGCGGCGGCGCGGGCGAGGAGGTCTGAGATGGCGGAGGGTGGGAGAGAGAGGCCGGCGAGGAGGAGGGGGGAGGGGGGCATCGGGGGCATGGGGGACGCGGGGGGCTGGGGGATGAGGAGCTTCGCGGGCGGGAGCGGCGGGGACAGTGGCGGGGGCGACATGCTGATGTCGTGGACGGCATCGGGGTCGAGGGCGCGACCCTTGCCCTTGTCGGGCTTGGGCGGGGCCGGGGGCGGGAGGTCGTCGGGTCCGGGCGAGGCGGTCGCGTTGGCGGTCTTGCGCTGGATATCCTTGAGGCGCTGGGCGATGCGCTCGGAGATGCTGGCGCCGCGCTGAGGGTTAAGACGCGGACTGGCGGACGCGCGGGCGTCCCGGGGGGCGAGGCGCGGCGAGGTGGTGTACTTGTCGCTCAGTTCGCTGCCCGGGGCGAACTTGGCGCTGGCGGACGATCATCAGTGATTTTCGGGGTCAAGAGAGATCGGGTGAGCCGCTTACTCGTCTTCGGCCTCGTCCGCCTTGCGGACTTTGGCGAGGTACTGGTGTTTCAGCTTTGAGACCTGGAGACAAGAAGGGTGCGCGTGAGAAGACGGCGGTGCGAGACCGATCGCTGCGCACCTCGCCCTGGGCGTGCTCGTAGGAGCGCAAGTAGCCGTCGAGGAGGGTGGCTTTGCTCTGGTGAAGGCGATCCTGGGGGAGGGTGTGTCAGGACGGTGCGCGGGAAACGGGTGCGAGTGCGAGTGCGGGGTGCGCACCTGGTAGGCCGTGGCCCATTCGTGGAAGGGGTCGAGGACGAGGGTGTTGAGCTCGTGTGCGATGGACTTGTGTACTTCGCCCTGCTTTACGGATTCAGCCTGGAGGCCGCGGAAGGCCATGAGGAGGGTCGCGCCGTCGTCTGCGGTGAAGCCCTTGCCTGCGGGCAGGAGAGATGGGCTCGGGAAGGGCGAGGAGAGTGGGCGCCGGTGACGTACCTTCTGGGGGAGAGTGCATGAGGGCGGAGGCGAGGTTGGCTTCTGCATCTGCGCGAGCCTAGGAAACGAGCGTTGGGTGAGCGGAGACTGGGCGGGGGCGGGGGCGGGGGCGGGGGGACGCACCCTTATGAAAGCGACTATTTCTGCATTCTCAGCGGAGCCCTGTGCGATGCGCGGTGAGTGGGGGCGAGAGGAGGCAACGTGGCACGGCGGACCTGTTCTAGCTTTTTGTAGAGGACGTCGAGGCCCTTTCTGTAGTCCTGTGACCAGAACGAGTTTGAGAAGGACAGCGGCAGGGAGAGAACCGCCATGGGAGGGCAGAGAGGAGGGAGAGGGAGGAGGAAGGGGCTGAGGCTGAGGCTGAGGCTGAGGCTGAGGGCAGCACAGCCCAGCTGGGCGTGCGCGAGGGCGGGCAGGCGATGGAACCCCATTGGGACGAGCGACCGGCAACTGCCGAGAGAGCAAAAAGCGGGCGGCGGGGGGACGGGTTGGCTGGCAGACGACATGGCCGCGAAGCTCGCCGCCGCAGTGCCGCTCAGTGCGCTCAAGGCCTTCCCCCCAAAACACGCCCTCGCAGGCTCCTCGCGGCTGGCCTCCTTCGACCCCGACTCCTGGGCCGCCCTCCAGCCCCCGCCCCCCGCCGCCCTCTCCGCCCTCGCACACCGCATCGGCCTCGGCGCCACCCTCCAGCCCCCGCACATCCAGCAGGCGTGCACCCACCCCTCCTTCCTCGCCCTCCACGCGAAGCACCGCCCCGCTGACCCCGCACCCGCCGCCAACGCCAACCTCGCCGCACTCGGCAACTCCCTCCTCGGCCTCTTCGCCGCCGAGCACCTCGACGCGTCCTACCCCCACCTCCCCACCCGCGTCCTCAAGGCCGCGGTCAGCGCCTACGTCGGGCCCCTCACCTGCGCAGCCGTCGCCCGCGAAATCGGCGCAGCGCCCCTCCTCCGCTGGAACAGAACAGTCCGTACACTTCCCTCTCTCTCCTCTCTCTCCTCTCTCTCTACTCTCCACCCTCTCTCTCTCTCTCTTTCTCGCTGCTCACGTGCTCCCAGCCGCCGACCCTCACCCGCTTCGGCGTCATGCACTACGACGCCCTCTCCTCCATCCCCCGCGCCCTCACCGCCCTCATCTACCAGCAGCGCTCCCTCCCCACCGCCCGCGCCTTCGCCCACGCCTACTTCCTCTCCCGCGACATCGACCTCCGCGCCATGATCAAGTTCCGCGACCCAAAACTCAACCTCGTCGACACCGTCGCAAAGTTCGGCCGCGAAAAACCCGTCTCCAGGTGAGCTTCTCCGCCGCGACACAACCCGCAGCGTCGGGTTCACTCACCACCGCGCCCGTGCCCGCCCGCGCACAGGCTGCTCAAGGAGACAGGCCGCTTCTCCAACTCCCCCGTCTTCGTCGTCGGCATCTTCTCCGGCGCAGACAAGCTCGGCGAAGGCTTCGGCAGCTCCCTCCAAATGGCCGAATTCCGCGTCCGTCCCTCTCCCTCCCCTCTCCCCCTCTCTCCTCTCTCTCGCTCACACCTCCCCACCTCCCCCTTTTCATTTTTATTTGCCATGTATGTCTGTCTTCACAGGCCGCAGAGGACGCACTCCACAGGCTCTACCTCACCCGCACGCCCCCGCACCTCCTCCGCCTCCCCACCTCCACCTTCCCCGCCCCGTCCGAGGACGCGGAGGACCCGCTCGCGCATGCGGACGTGTTCGCGGCCCCCGCGCACGCGGAGGCGCCGTACGTCCCCGGCGAACTCGGCGAGTCGGAGGTCCCCACCGGCAGCGCGGGCAGGAGCGCGATCAAGATGCCCCCCGCCGCCGTTGCCGCGGCGCGGTAGTGCGCGAGGGGGAGGGAGAGCAGGGGAGGGGAGAGCAGGAGGAGGGGAGGGAGGGCGGGTGGGGTAGAACGAGTGTATCCGCCTCTCGCTCGTTTGTCTCTACATTAATCAGCAACTTGCTTTCGTTTGGCGTCGGCGGCGCGGGGTGGCGCGTGCGTGTTGTCTTTGCGAGGTGGGGTTTCGAGTGGGTTTGTTGAGGCGGAGGTTTGCGCGGGGCGAGCGACGGCGGTCCCCGATGGCTTTCTCCCCGTCGCGAGGCGGCCAGGTGCGTGTCGCTCTGCTCTGCCCAGCGCCCACGGATGCGCGTCGCGACGCCCCGAGAACGTCCGTAGCTCATACTCATATTCGACGCGCGCGCATATACGCGCACACGCGCGTCCTAGTCTCCGCTGCTGACCGACACGGAAGACAGTCGTCCTGTGTTAAGATGCGCGTCCGGACTTTGCACGTCCTCGAGTGCGGAACAGCCGTCGATTCGCCTCTGCGCGACGCGTGAATATTTGAACCTTTGGGCACTTGGAGCTGGGGAGAGACGGAACGCGTCGATCGAGGCTCTGAACCTGCTGCTGCTCATAGTGCTGTATGGTGCTGCTGCTGCTAATATTTGTGGCGCCTTCGGATGGCTCGCGCCCTACGGTTCAGTCATGTGTGCTCGTACGTTGCACAACGCCTGAGAGTGGGCGCGGGGATCGGCTTTCGAATAGAGCGCTCGAAATGCATATGAACGGTACAAGTACGGTACTGTACTATACAGTAGCGACGAAGGGCGCGTTCGCTGAGTCGAGCGGCCATCGTCGGGAGTGACGGTTTGGTGGTCCGCCGCGGCTCCGCTGGCATTGGCTCCTCGGCCGGACAACCGCGATGTTGTTATTACTCTCCGATCGGCGATCGGCCCTCTCATTCTGCTTTTCCTCCGTCTCTCGCAGTCGACACCTTGCCTCCGAACACGCATGCCATTTCTTCAGTCGTGTGAGCTATTCCGACTGCGACTTCCTCGAGCCCCTTGCCTCACAATATTCGAAGAGATCGTCATACCATGATGCTCGTATCCCCACGACCAGCTTCCACTTTGGATTCTCCCCCACTGTCTTGCTCATGTCATAGCTGTTCATATGGCACCATCGTATCACCATTAATACTCTACAAATCTGCCTCCTTCGTCTGCTTGGCACACTCTCTGGCGACTGCCATACTGATCGGCTCTTCATCAAACGCATACCCACCGTCTTGCAGTGTACCACGCACGCGATGAACATGCCGCATCGAATCATCGCTGGTGTGTCTGAGACCGTTTGACGCTCGAACTTCCGCCTCTTTCTAACACCCCTTGCTCAATCGGGGATCCTTACCAGGCATCTTCCTGCTTTTCCCCATAAAAAAAAAATCAGAACAGTGAAAGCATTCCCTTTCAAATGTGTTTAGGTACTCTAATTGGTATTCAATTTGCGGTCCGGAGAACAGTGAGCTCATCACTGAAACCCTGTACAACTAGGGGTCTATAGTGTCCGTGGATCCGCTCTGTGGCGCATGCACTCGAACATGTCACTCGCGTGTTCGCCTTCCGATAAGCAGCTTCCAATGCGGGATTTCTGAAGTGATAGGTCTCTTCAGCACATCACCTGTGTGCGCGATGTCGAGATATGAGGACATGCTGCAGTGCGTCTATGCTGCGCAATTACCTTCTTCGCCTCAAGCACTGCGCCCTAACGGAGCATGCATCGCAAAATAGGGAAGGACAACTCGCCCACTTCATGGCGATATCCACTTTCTTCGTGCACTCCAGCGGCTGCACTCTTCCAGATACGATGTACACAGTCTCTATTTGCTCTTCGCCGTCATAGCTGATCAAAGGATACAGCAAGACCTGGAATGGGCGTTTCCATCTTAGTACCCAACACGCCTTCAATACCGGCACGAGGCAGACTTCTCAGCTCACCCCAGCACCCACCGCATGGGGTGATATCCAGAGAGCATGGGTGAGCGCTCCTCCTCTGAACGGATGGGTCAAAAGCAGCAGGGCAAGGGCGAACGTCCTCTCTCCGCTCATCTATCTGCCTACCTGCCCACATCGTACACCCACCTCACCATTGACCGTCGTCGACACGCATGGCCCCTTCAATACTATGCCGATACTACAACACCTCCGGCGGCTGCCGAAACGGTAGCGCGTGCCGCTTTGTCCACTCTCAGCCTTCGGATAATCCCTTTGCCACACCGTCCCGCACGCTCACGCCCACGTCCCCGTCGTGGAGGCAGCGCGACGGCGGGGCTCGCCTATCGCCAGACAGCCCCTTCGCCACGCCGTCCCGCGCGCTCACGTCCACGCCTCCGTCGTGGAGGCAGCGCGACGGCGGGGCTCGCGCGCCGCCGGGCGTCTGCACGTCCTTCTGGAACACAGGGCTCTGCCGATTCGAGTTTGCCTGCCGATACGAGCACCGGCGCGCACCCGAGGCGGGGGCCGCAGACGGCGACGCCGTGCGCTCGTCGTGGAGAACGGGCCTTGCGTTCCGCTCCGCGGTCACCGCTCCCCCGCCCGCCGCGGACGCCGTCGCACCGCCGTTTCTCACCGAGAGCGGGCTCGCGAAGCTCGTCGGGGCCGGGACGGACGTCTTTTTTGGTGCCGACGACGCGTCGACGACGACGCCCAGCCAGGTACAGGCGGCGCTCCGACAGTTCCTGCACGACGATTATCGGTTCGCGACCACCTTCAATATCTACGCCTTCGTGGCCGCGCTGAGCAGCGCCCAGAGCACGAACGCGTCGTGGGTGAGTGTGTGATGCGCTGGATTCGAGACGGATGAAGGCTGACTTGGCTTGTTGATGCCAGACGCCTGAAGATGGACAGGTGAGGCTCAACTTCCGACTGACCACCGTCTCGTATGTCCTGTTGTCTGACCAAGGTTCAAGCTGTTCCTTGAAGTCGTGGCTTCGGTGAGTCGGCTATCCCACAGACAATTTTGAGAGTGCTGAAAGTGAGTGTGTGTCACAGGATAAGGGTTTGCCTAGGATACGCAACATGATCGAATGGTCCCCGGTGTCTACAAAGGCGGGCCAGAGCAGCACCACCCTCTCTTTCCAGAGAGCGTATGTGCCGTTGTTAAAGGTGAACAGATCGGCTCTGTCCGGCCGTGGATTTTACTCACGAATGTCGCTCCTCACAGTACCTGTCGTCCGATTTCGTCGTGAAAAGCACACAGTCTAAATTCCAAAAGTAAGGAATCTGATCACGACGTGTCGTTTCGTTCCTGACGTCGCGCGTAGCGCTCTGTTTCTGTGTGTGCTGGACAATATCGAAGCCTTTGCGGATGTTGTCGAAACAAGCATGTCGACTATGATGAAAGAGCGCTCGTTCCGTGATCCTGCCTTCACCCGTATGAAGCCCCCCTTCGGGAACCAGATATTGGTCACTTTGGCCAGTCTTCTCTTTGAGTGAGTGGCTGCTAAGGTCCTCTCGGCAACCACATCTCACCGAACACCATAGATGTCTCACGCGATTCAAGAATTCCGTCCAAATCTACCCACGATTGAGTTCTCTCGTCGACAATTTGGACATGTGGACGGAGGAGTGGGTCAGCGATGTCGAATCAACCTTGCCCAAATTCGAGAGCCCCTTCCAAGACTCTCCGCAGAGCACACGAGACTTCATCCTCCGAGAGCTCCGGAGGAAGGTCGCGCTATCTGTGAATATTGTCAAGCGCGAACGAGAGCTGGCAGATCGTTCGAAGCAAGAGCAGAGCCTCCCACAGTTCCCTATTGCGGGCCCGAGCGAAGGCATCGTGGCGGCCTTGAGGCAAACATACGAAGGACCGGGAACGGAGCGCAAGCAGGGGTCAGCATCCGCATCTTCTGTGCGTGGATCATCTGAGTTGACTGGCAATTTTAAACAGGCCCAGACACGATAACGACTTTGTCGACATAGACAAAATCCGGATCGCCCCGACGCACGACGAACTTGTATCGCGCATCCCCCCATTTTTGCCTGCAAATATCTACAATGCGCCGCATCCGTACCCTGCCGACAGCATGCAGCGGCTCCTCGACATACAGTTCCGGCTGCTTCGAGAAGAACTGACGTGCGTATCTTGTTCTCCGCCTGCATTCGTTCTCGCGCTCAGGCCAATTTCCAGCGCGCCTCTCCGAGCTTCGATTCAGCTCGTCCTAGACGATCTGCAGCGCATGGATCTGGGAAATAAAACGCGACTCGGGGATATTCTGAAGAAGTGTGGCGGCAAGTATCGAGGGCCTGCCGATAGCCAAGAAAGCGTCATATTCAACATCTACACGAACGTCGCTTTCAAGATCTTGACCCCTGGCCGCCGAGGCATCACTGTCACGATGTCTCTGGATACGCCTCCTGGTCGAGCGCGGTCGGCACGAGCACAGGAGCGGCGGATGTTCTGGGACGGTGCGGGAGGAAAGCGGCTCATGCAAGGTGGTCTGGTGGCGTTGGTCTGGCGATCTGGGAACAACACATCTATCAACTTGGGAACCTTGGCCACCTCTGCTCGTGACTTGAGCGAGTCAGCGGCGCGCTCGCCAGATACAATCGACGTTCGCGTTGCCTTCTTCGACCCAGAAATTGAGCTACGCATCCTTCAGAGCTTGAAGAGCGCTGGGGATGAACAGCATGGAGAGCTCAGGTTGCTGGTCGAGTCGCCCGTCTTGTTCGAGGCCATTCGGCCATTCTTAGAGGCTCTCCGAGCGGAGCCAACACGGATTCCATTTGCGAAATATCTTGTCCATCACCCGCCAGGATATCTGAGCACGATCCGTTCTGATCCTCCGTTGTATGCAACAACACCCGGTTTCTCTTATAACTTATCGGGGCTGTTCGCCTCCGCGCCGGGTGAAGAGCCGGTTGATCTTCAGATGTCGACGGAAGATCATTCTGTTGCGCATGCTCGACGGGCTTTGCGAGAAGGAAGCCGTTTGGATCCTAGTCAAGCAGATGCCATCGTCGACGCTTTGACGCGGGAAGTAGCTTTGATACAAGGGTAAGTCCCGCGTCTTTCCCCGCGACCTCGAACTGAATCCCTTCTCGCTTTCACAAAGCCCTCCTGGCACGGGTAAAGTGAGTTACACGCGGGTCTAGTCGTAATTTGTTATAACTGACTTACTTACCCAGAGCTACACTGGTGTCGAATTATTGCGCGTCCTCGTCGCCAACAAATTGGGGCCCATCCTCATGATCGCCTTCACGAATCATGCGCTGGATCATATGCTGTCGTCCGTTTTGGACGCTGGTATCACAACAAACATCGTAAGGCTCGGCTCACGGTCAGCGGATGAACGTCTTTCTCAATTCTCTATGGAAACGCGGGAGTTGGCCGCAGGACAGTCCCGTCTCGATCGCTCATTCGCTCAACGGCATCGCGATCTGAAAGTGATGCAAGAAGCCGTAACGCATAGCATGGAACAGCTTCTCCGTAGCGCCATTGACCCTGCAGAGATCAGTCAAAGCCTCGAGTTGAACTATCCGGAGCATCACTGTGAACTCGTTTGCCCACCCCGCTGGGTTTCCGCGCTTCAAGAAATATCGCTCCAAGCTGACGGTGCCGTGGATGCCTGGTACGTGGTAGGCCACCATGGCCGCCAACGTGCAGTGGATGATTCGTTGTATGACTTCTGGGTCAATGGCAGAGATCTCGAGTTTCTACGGAGTTTATCGCTACCAGCTACCCATCATACACAAGAGGACGTAGGCCCTGCGAATAAGTACGCAATCTTGTCACGCGAGCATCCCGAGAATGAGCTTGCTGGCGATGAAGATATATCTCCAGAGGACTCGGACGATTCAAGCTCAGAAGACAATGACATGGATGTTGCGCCCGAAGAAGTCTGGAAGAAGTCTTTTGCCCTCGATGCAATGCCTCCAGCAGAGGTCACTGCTTCTACATCTATCCCTTTTTGGAGAGATCTTTCAAGGCCATGGCCTCCGACGCCACCTGCGCAGCCAAGGAGTTTACAGCTTGACAGCTTCCAAGGCATCACCGAATTCCTTCGTACTTTCGACCTCCCCACTGTACCTGTCCTTCCTTCGACGACGCGCCCTTTAAGCCAACTTCTTCTCGATGGCTGTGGCAGAGTATGGGATATGTCACTCATCGAACGCCAACGTCTGCACAAGTTCTGGGTCGACCAATTTCGGCCTGAGCTGTTCAGCTCCCGAATAAACGAATTCAAGCGATTAAGAGAACAGCTTGCAGATGCTCAAATAAATCATGAGGAAGGGAAAGAGGAGGTAAGATAACACTGGTCTCGTAGTGCCAGAAGAAATGAGCTTTTAATTCTTGACCATTTTCGTGACAGTCTAGGAGGCAACTCCTTGCAGATGTCGATATCATTGGATGCACAACAACAGGTTTGCGTAATAGGTCACTGAAAATTAGAGAAGCACTGACGTACTGTCGGTTTCTGTTACACAGGCGCAGCAAAGTTAACTTCTTTGCTACAGGTATGACATCTTTCGAACACATTTCTTTTTAATTGCTAAAGCACACCTATTTAATGAGGGGATTGGCCCGCGTATAGTGCTCGTTGAGGAAGCAGGTCAAGTCTTGGAAGCTCACGTTCTTAGCTCGCTCGTGGGAGGCTCGGTTCTACACTTGATCATGATCGGAGATCCTCTCCAGCTTCGCCCTACGATTGCAAATTACTGTGAGCTTTGCGTCGCGGGTTGGCATGGGTTATCTGACGTAAATGCCCAGCTCTGTCCGTCAATTCAAGAAGGGGCAATGAATTGTATAAGTTCGACCAGTCGTTAATGGAGAGGCTTGCACTGGCCGGATTGCCGATGTCGCCTATCAACGTCCAACGCCGCATGCGACCAACGATATCGCATCTCATCAGGTAGACTAGAATATTGACACCAGTGCATCCTTCACACGCTCTGCATGCTGATTGCATCGACAGGAACACTCTCTACCCTGGACTCAAGGATCATGAGATTGTGACGGATTACCCACCTATCCGAGGACTGGCAAAGAGTGTATTCTTCTTCAACCATAGCCACGTGGAAAACAAGCAAGGCGAAGAATCGGAGAGCCGGCATAACATATTCGAGGTCCGTATTTTACGACACGTTGTCGACAAATTTCTCTCATTCAACTTTCACACCAGGTTCTCATGATCAAGGATCTTGTCCTTCATCTACTGCGGTGCGTCAGTAGTAAGGAATCGCGATGTGATCTAAACCCCATCTTCAGGCAAGGGTGTTACACAAGCGATGGGGACATCGTGGTTCTTTGCGGCTACCTTGGTCAGCTAGCACGAATGCGAGATGCCTTTGCCGATGAATTCGTGGTTATGTTGGATGAACGCGACAAGGTGGCCCTGGATGACCAGGCTGAAGATCCGAACGACGATGCACCCTTCACTCGAATGGAAGAAGTAAAGCTCACGAGCAGGGTGTGTTTTCATTCTGTTGTCTGGGTATTGGCGCATTGTTGTTCATTGCCTTGCATCACAGGTCCGCCTGCGAACTATCGATAACTATCAAGGAGAGGAAGGAAAGGTAAGACAAGGTCATCTTTATTTCTTGCAGTCACTGAGGTACATCCAGATAGTCATTCTTTCCCTTGTTCGTAACTCGGGAGCTCCCGAGAGCAATTTGGAGGGTCTCGATCGCAACACAAACGAAAAAGCGAACATCGGATTTTTGAAGGTGAGTGCTTCACCGTAGAACCGTGATTAGTTCGATTAATGTTTTGCTTTGATCGCAAGTCTGAAAACCGCACAAACGGCAAGTGCTTGTTTCAATCGACTATGTTCATCATAAGATTAATAGCATGCGACCAAAACCCAGTTGCTTTGTCGCGTGCACGCGAAGGGCTAATCATATTTGGTAACACGATAGACCTCAGCTCTCGCAGTCAGATGTGGCGCTCGATTATCGAGGAATTAGAGAGTCAGGATGCAGTCGGAGATGCACTGCCAGTGACTTGCAACAATCATCCGCAGGCTGTTGAGTACATCTCCGAACCTGGCAAGTTGCAACAGGTGTCTCCCGACGGTCAGTGAAACATGCAACTTATATATCTTGGACTAACTTCGTAATCAAATCAGGCGGTTGCCTACGTCCGTGCGGCAGACGTCTACAATGTGGCCATTTGTGCCCGTACAAGGTCTCTTACAGATATTCTGCTGCGACACGAGACTTACGCTGACGACTGTGCTTCAAGTGCCATCCGGATGACCCTCAGCATATCCATGTTAAATGTTCGCAGTCTTGCGCTCGACTCTGTCTGAAGGGACATCCGTGTGATAAGCCATGCGCTGAGGCCTGCGGAGACTGTAAGTTCCTCCTCTACAGTGTAGAGCTTCCATGTGGGCACAGTAAAGAAAATGTACCTTGGTACGTGAAATCGTCTCCAGGTGTATCAGATCATTCAACGGGGTTTATAGCCACCTGTCGGACAAGCTAGAGGATGTCACTTGTGATGTCTTACTAGAGAAGATGCTTCCACATTGCGAGCACACCGTGGCGATGCGATGCTCCGATGACCCGGAAAACTACAGGTGTAAAGCTACGTGCAAGGGTGTGATGGCTTGCTGTGGGCGGGATTGTCGGTCGCAATGTCATGCATGCCAGCGTGAGAACCTTCCGACGCTGGGACAAGTTCCGAGGAAACAGCACTGCAAGCATAGTTGCCAAAAGCCACTTTATTGCCAGCATCTCTGCAAGAATCCATGCTCGGAAGAACACACGCATTCTCAATTTTGTACAGAACCATGTCGGCAGATGTGTCCTCATGCTCGTTGCCAAAAACCATGCTCCACGCCATGTGCACCCTGCCTGGAGAGGTGTACTTGGTAAGTTCGAGCTCATCTAAAGACAAACCCATATATAAATCTTACTCTACATGTGCGCAGGGTCTGCGAACACTTTACTTGTCCAGTTCCGTGCGGCTCGGTCAGTATGGCTTAATCCTAAATGTCCATCCCTAACTCATGCGTTCTTCAGGTCTGTGCAAGACTTCCTTGTGATACAAGGTGCAAAAGAACACTGCGTTGTGGTCATCGATGCCCGTCGGGTAAGGTTTTCCTTTGATGATCATGCGTTGCGTTGACTCAAACCGATGTACTTGTTGTCAGTATGCGGAGAGCCCTGCGACATTCAACAGTGCCCCATATGTGTGTCGGAAGAGGGCAGCCAATCCATTGTCGACCTTGTCATGCAGAGACCTCTCGCCGACATTGATCCGGACTTGGAAACTCTGGACGAGCTCGTCATCACTCTGCCTCAGTGTAGGCATGTCTTTACCGTTGAAACCTTGGACGGCCATTGCGGAATGACAGATTACTATGGACGAGGAAGTGATTATGGTCCATGGCTCAACTGCAAGGAACCTCCCCTGGGCTACAAACAACCTCCGGTGTGTCCAACCTGTCGCACAGCCATCACGTCACCTCGTTATGGGCGGATCTTCAAGCGCGCCGACCTTGGTAAATAGCTTCAAACTACATTGAGAGTCTTCTGCTGAGATCGCTACATACAGATATCCTAGAGCGGAATGTTGCATCTCAGTTGGCTCAACTGCTCGACGAATCTCAAGCAGAGATTGGAAGAGTCTCAACAGAGGACATAAAGGTCAATCTGAAGCGCCGCATTGGAAACATCCCAACATCAGAATCTTCCATTTCCAAAGCAGCATCGAAGGCGCGTCGCAAAAACAGGGATAAAATACTCAAAGTCTTCCGTGAAACACCCGTCCCCTTGGAATCAATCACGCCCACAAACACACAATACCATACAATCCCTGACGCCATTGGCTCACCATGGGGGCAAGTGATTGCGCCGCTTATGCTTGGCTATAACAAGGCATTGAAGGCAGCCTCTACTCGTTCTTCGCACATCCAAGCATGGGAAGCAGCCTTCCACAGCATCTTTGACCAAGAATCTGAGGCGGTACTGCAGGACCCTGTCCATGCTCCACGTCGTCCTCGTGAACACGCTATGCGCATGGCAAAAATCAAAGTTGGACATCCACAGCCGCGAGCGGACAAGCGTTTCATTGTAGAGGCCTTTTGGATTACTCTGTCGATCCGCTTTACTCTTGTTGAGCTTGTACTCTCTTGTGTCAACAGACGCCAAACAGCATATTGGGAGGCCTGTGGACTCTACGCTGACTTTTTGCTGGATTCCTGCGTGAAGGATGCCCAAATTGCCCTTGATATCGCGCGGGGTTCAGAGGCACATCGCCAAGTCACGAAGACGTCTCTCTTCATCATGCGTGCAAATTTGGAGAAATTTCGTTTCCAGGTGGAGATGTCCCGGGCCAATAACGTATTGCTGAAGATTCGAAGCGATTTGAGTGACACAGCTGCGAGCAGAGGGGCCGCTGCAAAGCGATTCATGGCGCAAGTCATCAACAGTCACCATAGGGCAAAACCTTTCGTTCTCGCGGAGAAGAGTTGGCTACAGGAAAACTTTTCGGCAACTGCTCAGGTCATCATTGACCAGTGGAGTGAATTGGAGCGGTCTCTTCGACAGGACGTATCCTATCAGCCTGTTTCTCTCGATGACAAGATGGAGATCGTGAGGGCGCTCAACTTTAGTGAGTACTCGACACATGTCGTGTTGCTGTTTTACATCCTGACGTGGAAACAGCCCACACCGGCCATTTCTACAATTGTCCCAATGGACATACCTTTATTATCACTGAGGTGAGTGTATGACCAGCAACTTATCAAGAGAATGAAGTGTTGAGTTTGATGACGACTTACAGTGCGGAGGTGCCACGCAACGAGCTAGTTGCCCAGAGTGTGGGGAAGCGATTGGCGGAACGAATCATGACCTTGATAGCAGAAATACCAGAGCGACGGAGTATGAGGAGTTGCTGCGGCAACAAGGTGCCCAGCGGAGCCCATTTTCATGGGGCAACTGAGGCTTTCCATAAGCACGGTCTACTGTTCACGAGCTTCGCAGTTGTTAATATCGAATTTTGAATTTTTGCTTCCATCAAACAAGGACACGATTTTTCGCATTTTGCTCTACTTCGGTACACTGGAGCAATGTGATTGAGACCAATTTGACAGATAGAGCGGCACATGAGAGAAACCGCGTAAAAAAACGGGGTATGATTAAATAAGGGGCTTCAAACAAACAAATCATGCTTGCCTTACACTCCTTGCTTTCCCTGAGCAAAGGACATTGGCGACGATCCCGACGCGACAAGGAATAGGACTGGGCCGGTTTCCTGGTAGACGCGTGATCTGGCACATCTTGTAGTGTGTAGCAGGAGTGTGGCCACGAGCTCTTGTTCGTGATCAGGGACATAATCATGATTGTCCTTATACCCGCAAAAGTGCCTTGCAATGCAATGGCCATTCCGCAGTAGCAGCCCGGCCCAGAGCGTGCGCGGCGATGTCAAGAACGTGCCGAAGGTCGATGGCGCGGTGTGTGTACGCTGCGGTATACGCTTGCAACAGATTTGATCCCGAGCAGCGGGCTCTTGGTTTTTGATGATGAATGGCAGCCGGACATGTTGAGCTGAATCACGCCTGCTGCGGCAATCTGCCTGCGCGGGTGTGGAAGCTGTGTGAAATTGACAGTGCATACAGGACCGCGCGACGGGAAGTGGGGGCAATGCGAGGAACAGGGTGACTGTGTACTCTCACCGATGCTATCTTACGCGTAATCTTCTTCCATTTACTAGAAGCGATTCAAGCGATGAAATGTGTCAGACACATGAAAACTTCAAGAGGAGAGAGGGGAAAGAGTGGTGGGATGTTGAACACAGCATCTGCGATGTCGGATGCACACAACATCGTTAAGCGCGACTTCCATGCTGAGCCCGTAGGAGGAAGGTTCGATGTGCCAAAATTAATAGACATGCGGCAATAATGACAATGCGCTGAGGGCCATAGAAAAGATGAACCAAAGTCAATGAGAGCAGCCCGGCAGCCATCTCGAGCAAGGTGTAGCCATATGCCACCGCGGCATGAAAGGTTCTTGAGCGCTGCCACACTGCTGTCTTTGACGCTGCAACAGAGACTGCCATGGACGAGTTCGGGAAGATCCTGTTGTTTCACTGCGTGCTGAATTCGAAGACGAGACAGATTGGCAGGCCTGTTCAAAGGCGCAAGCGCAAGCGGAGCCATCTGAAGCCAAGTGGATGATGCCGAGGTTTACGGAAGACATAGAACGAGTGCGACGCTGAAATAGAAGGAGATGGAGGCCTGCTCAAAAATGCAGGCCGTGAGAGGAGCATCTTTCCTGGACTATGGATGCTCCGTGGCTGAGTCGGTCACAGCGTCCGACTGTTAGCCCACCTGCGATCGGAAGCTCGAGAGCTCGACCCTCTCTGGAGCAGAAAGAATTTTGCCCGCAGAGACCAAGCGAGACAGCGAGAGGTGCTGGAAGAGCGCCACGTGATGCGCCGCGCGCGACGCGTCCATGCAGGTCCACGCGTCCCGGAGACAAAGACGGGTCACCTGCAAGCCGACACGAGGACGACGAAGCAGAAGCGGGCAGCTCGACAGCAATGGAAAACCGCGCATTCAAGCGCCCACAACTGATACTTATACCTTCAGCTGCCACCCTGGGGAACGTGCGGTCGACTCTCGAGCTGATCTGCTCCCCCTCTTGATCCTAGCTGTCTTGCTCTGCTGGATCGCCCTGCGTTCGCTCCTCAGGGTTTTTTCTTCTTTGGCATTTGCATGCCCCAATGTCCACTCGACCGCCCATTGCCCCTAAAATCCACATGAGCCCCATTCAGCCCACACACGACCAGGTACGTCCGTTCGCGTCTCTCATTGCGCGCACTCGGTGCTCTATCGATAACCGTCAACATGCTTGTTGTACTAGGTTCCTGTGCTCTATGTCGTGAGTTATTCTGCCATGCAGCGGGTGTATCACGGGGCGGTGCTGATGTACTGCAGATTGTTGTCTATGCTGTGATCCTGTTCGCCTTGTGGAATATCCCCGGAGCGCGTGTTGTCATTAATCCACTCAAGCTGTTCGCCATAGGATGGCACGAGATGTGCCATGCAATAGTCGTGCGTGATCCTCTCTTCTGCGGCATCAGGGCCCGTCTCGCATGTCATCTCTAACTTCCCATGTTATCACAGGCAGTGTTGACAGGAGGTTCAGTCACCAAGATGACTATAGACCCTATCATGGGGGGATGTACACAGGTCGATGGCGGCCATCCCCTAAGCATCCTCTCCGCCGGGTATATCGGTTCCACCCTCCTCGGTGCCATCTTCGTTCTAGGCGGGTTCGACACTCTGGTCGCAAAGATTCTCAGCTTCGTTGCTGGCGTGGGTATAATCGCACCTTTGGCATTAGTGCGGGACAAATTGCGCGTACAGTATCATCCTTGGACCTGATATGCTGACCATATGATTCAATACACGCAGGACGATCCTCTTGACGCTCATCTACGAGGCGCTGCTCATCGGATTCTGGTTCATCGATCATGGGTAACACCTCCCTATTGCCCGTGATATATATTCTAAAGGTGAACCCACTCTAGGCAGGCTCTGAGGTGGTATATCTTATTTTTGGGGATCAATCAGTGAGCACCGCCCCTGTTTTGCACGTTGCGGTTCATTTCTCACCATCGTCCAGTATATTCTATGCCGTTTGTGCGCTTCTATCACATAGCTGCTTCGAACGATGTTTCTGACGCTTGCGTCGTGATATGCAGGGGACGTCACGGACGATAAATTTTTCCGAAAGCCAAACGAATCCGACGCGACCCAGTTTTCTTTGCTATATCCAAAGGTCCCACCGCATGGTAGGCGGCCGCTCAGCCGACGGCCCTCCGCGTTGTTGAAATATGTCTTGCGCACTCACGGAGACGTGTGTTCTGATTTGCAGTGTGGGCAATATTCTGGATATCGTTCCAAGTGGCCGTGCTCATCGCCTTTGTGCTCATCGGGATCGCCTCGTTCAAGCGCACGACAGACCAGATGTATCTCGAGGCTTGTACGTGTCGCTATGCATCCTCGCTTTCGCTGGAACCGGTCTATTGATAGCTTCCCTGCTACTTCATCAGCGCACTTCCTCCCGACGTGACCGCGCTCGTATAGTCCCTACTTTCCAATCTTTCGCATCTCACCCTATACCTCCGCATTTGTACGCTGCTCAGAAATCTTGGTCATAGTGTTTTCTTCAATCCATGTCTGTATTGCCTTTATTGTATCCTAACCGCATGGCTATCCAGCACAGTACACTTTCTCAAACTGCATTTCATGGGTGTTGATCGCCGAGAAGACCCCACATGAACCATATTGTACAAGGACTGCAAGTATACATAGATATGCAGATATGTACGGATAATATATTTGCTTTCAATGCTGGGTTCATGTCATGGAGATGCGCCACGTAGCCTGTCATATGCTACACATCACTTGCTGCTATTTCATCATAATCATAGGGATAACATGGGTTGCAAGGTAAAGTTTGAGTGGTGAGGAGGAGCCATAATAGGTTACGAGGATACGTTACGAGGAAGAGCCATGCCCATGCGGTCATCAAGAGAAGTCGTCAAACAGCGGGAGAACGTGGGTGGCGGACAAGGGAGCAATCGATTGGCAGGAATTTATACACGATGCAGTGAATTGAGAGTAGAGGCAAGCAGGAAGAGAGGAGATGAGCACTGGGAGACAGGGAAGGACTATTTGCGGGTTGCTCGCCGTATGAGATTTGCGACGATGAGCGTGCCTAATGCAGCCGCGCCGCCTACGAGGGCCATGCCAATGTAACTTTCTGCGCTCAGCGGAAGGTACGGCGATTGTGGCATGACGGTATGATTAGAAGCATGTTCAAGAGCGTGAATGTGTACGGACCTCGCTTGACTCCATTGTCAATCAGCACACCAAGTGAGTGCGCCTGCATATTCGTTGGCTCTTTGTCAAGAAGCAGCGCTGGGAGAGACCGACTCGTGTGAGGACGCCAACGAGGATAATCAGAGGCTACACAACGTACCATTGAAGTTCCTCGCTTCCTCGAAATTGCCCATCTTGTAATGACCCAGCGCAAGATAGTATAGACATTCACGCCGCCGCGATGGCTCGGCGCGATATATTTCTGTATGACGACGTTCACAGAGACCAACAGGCGGGAAAAGACAGCACACACCTTGCAGCAACCGCACGCCCTCAACCTGCTGTTCTCTCAATGGGCTCTTTACGAGCGCCCACGCGTAATTGAACTTGGTCTGGACGGTGACATGATCCTGGCTGAGCTCCTTCTCGTATTGAATCTTCAACACTTTGAGCTCATCGTAAGTCAAGGAGACATGTGCGTCCGCGGCGTAGGGAAGTTCGGTCGGCATGGGTGAAGAGAGCAAGCTGAGGGACGCCCCGTCCAGTATAGCACCATATTAGTCACGAAAGTACGTCCCAACTGGATTTTATCGTTATTTGGACTAAAACGGGCCCGCTTCGGCCCGCTTCGGCTTACACTTATAACGCTGGCGGCAGCGTTCTCAGGCTGACAGGCCTCATTTAGTGCTCCAGAAGCTTCAGCTCTGGTCTCCGTGGCTGACCTTACACAGGATCAAGTCATTCTGTGTCTTAGCTCGGTCAACTTGCGTCTCTTCCAGCTTCATCCCGTAAACGAATAGATCAATACACCTGCGAGGATACACAAGATGACAAACATTTTAAGCACGGCGCGAGCATTTTATGTACAAGACCACTCGCAAAAGCACACCCTGGACAGCCAAACGATTATTTGCACCCTCCCACCAGCATGTTGCCCATCATTCACGACTGAGGCAACGGTGGCGGAGCGTGCGGCTGAGGCGCGAAAATCAACTCCAGGGGAGGCGTGGTCTGACTGTCCTCGCTGAGCACTGTCGCAATGATCGACCTTCCTGCAAACGCTCTGCCAGCCAACGCCTTCATGGCAGCAGCAGCCCCGTTCGAGTCCGTGTACTTCACGTAAACCCTGCCGACACCTGATGCTTCGTCTGCCCTTTGCGCGTCACCTATCCCGGCTCCCTCGCTCGGCGCCCAGCGGCCTCTGTCCCGCCTCACGGGCCTTGGGATGCGCACGTCCTCCACGGTACCGTAGTTCCCGACCTCTTCACGAATGTCGTCCAAGATATCGGCATACTCCTGGTCGTCGACCAGATCGTCAGGTGTTACCATGTTCAACATCAACAAGATGCGCGCATCACTTGTGGATAAGTCGCCCGCAGGGAGAATAGGTCGAGGAATCTCGGGGAACTGGTCGTACGGCAGATTAGGTATGCCCGGTTGCCCTGCTTTCGCGCCGACAGATGCTCGCTGTACAACAAGGTAGCGGTCGCCGAGCTCCATACCGCTCAGAGACTGTATCGCGACGTCAGTTACGCTAGGATCATTGTATTCGAAGAAGGCGAATCCCTGGTCACAGTCATGAGCCAATGGTTATTCAATAGATCGAATTTTGCGCACCTTGGAAGCACCATTTCCGTTCTCGCGAACCAGGTTAAACGCCCTCAATTCGCCGAAGCTCTTCAAAAGTTCCATAACCTGCTCCTCATTCAAATATGACGGCAGCCCGCCCACAAATATTTTGTTCGCAGAATCCGGCACATTCGTGGAGACGACGCCAGGCACTATATAGGCCGGTGCAGACATATCGATACCGCCATAATCCTTCGGCCTACGAATTTTGAGAGGACCGTTGAGAAAGATGATGCCATCAAAAGCCATAGCTGCGGTCGCGTCTTCCGCACTCCGGAACTGAACGTACTCAGCATCGTAGTGTCAAAGCGACACAATCTGCTTACCTCGACGAAAGCGTAGTTCTTTTCGTAATTGCACTGCACGGCAAGGACAGGGTTGCCAGGTGCGCCTGTGCCGATGTTCATCTCAATCATCTTGTTATTGAAGAAGTCGGCAAGGTTCTGTTCATTGATGTCCGATGTGATGCTACCGATATAGAGTCTGCGAGATTGACGCGAAAGGTTCGGATTGACACCCATGCCCATGCCGAATGTTTGGACGGGCATAGGTGGGGGAAGACCTGGCACGCTCAAGATGGGCGGAATCTGAGTACGATTAGCGCCTGGAAGATTGAATAGACCTGTATATCGAACAAAATCAGTATGGATGTCGATGATGCAGCCAAGCTCTTCGTCAACGAGCGTTGCGCGCTGATCTTCCACAGTAGATCATGAGCGAGTATGGCCGGCTGATTTAGGCTGCAAGATACAACCAACAAGGACGCAAAATGAACAAAGCCGTTACAAAACCGGTGAAACGTATCGTTGCCTTCGCCATACACAGACCCAACATGTCGCGAAGTATGACCTGTCACGCTTGTTGTTCTAAATTGACCCGCTCTTTGGCCAAAGAATCGACCAAGCAACGAAGCTCCCCTAGACCAATGAAGACGACCGCTCACCTGTTTGCTTTGCTTGCATAGCGCTATACTGCTCATAGCCGGGCGCGTGTACATCCCACCCACTAGCCTTCCTCCTGCGTTGGGAGAGCGGTATGACCCCTGGTGGGGTCGGGGAACGACGTTCAGGTGTGCCGGCACCAGGACCACCGTCCCTTTCAGCGCGCCGACCACGTCGACCACCAGCACCAGGACCACCACCCCGAGGCATGTCACCATCCTCACGACGGCCACGAGGGTCTTCACGGAAGTCGCGGCGACGGTCATCGTCATAGCGTCCCCGGCGCGCGCCATGGTCTTCGTGGCCTCTGCCTCCTCGTGGGAACCGCTCACGATCTCTGTCCCCTCTGTCCCCTCTGTCCCCTCTGTCTCCTCTGTCTCCTCTTTCGCCTCTTTCTCCCCTTTCTGCTCTATCTCCTCTTTCGCCTCTTTCGCCTCTTTCCCGCTCGCGCTCGCGTCTGCTGTATCGCTCCCTATCGCCTTCTCTGTGTCTATACTCACGGTCTCGATCGTCATGACGCGAGGAGCGATGACGCTCGTGTTCGTCGCGGTGGGAACGGTCTGCAAAGAGAGAACAACGAATGGGATAAGTATGATGGCTAGAATCGTCTGTCAGTAGGCACAGGTCTCTCGTTCTTGTTGAGCGACGGGAAGGAAAAGAAGCTAGCTAGCTGAAAAGAGCATGGTGCGAAGGCAAATGCACCATGAGCTGGTTGTGACGTGCTGCAGTTTTTTGGAAGAGGATAGTAGTTACCTCGCTCTTCCCTCAGCCCGTGTGCTCCAAATTCTGACTTGATCCCTGGGCACAGTTTGATAGATAGAACAGGATACAATGAAAGAGAGCTCACCAGCAGAATCGGCCATGGCTGTTGTTCTGAAGTTGGAAGTGGCGCGTCGAAGTTGGAGACTTGCCTGTCACGAAGAGAATTTTCTCACGCCACATTAAGTACTTGCTAATAGCCATTTGATTTCCCCTCGCCGATGCGTTTGTCGGCGCTCGAAACACATGCATCATTGCCGCGTAGACATGTTCCAGAAAATGTTTCTGGGTCTTTGATAGCAAGGGCTGCTTGATACTCCGCTGCGCGGCAGGGACAGGAAGGTACAGGATTGCATCCGACACGTGACCTTGCTGAAACTCTCACAGACTCACACCACCTTGTTTTTCCCTCTGAAACTAGCATTCAGCAGCATGTGGCCTTTCACATCATCATTCAAGAGCATTGTTGAAGGCAAACGCGCTCAACGCAACGCAGCTATAGCTAACGCTGTTGCTTATACGATTGAACACCAAGAGTATCTGAACGCGACAGGTGCGCGCATGTGATTCGTCTACCTGACTAGCGGTACGACTCCAGTCCAGCGACGCAGATTGTTCAGCGGATCGAAAAGGGGGAATGGACTGCTTCAGGTGTCCTAGAAGCGTACATTGCGCGCGCTGTGCAAGCCCACAACAAGACAAATTGTTTGACGGAAAGTATGTCTGACACATACGAGTGCCTGCAGGCCGTAAGGCTGACGAGTGATTGTGTAGTTCTTTTCGAACAGGCGCGAAAGGATGCTAAGCTCCTCGACACCGAATTCTCTAAGACGGGGAGACTGAAAGGGCCCCTGCACGGTGTGCCTGTCAGCCTGAAGGACCAATGTGCGTTAGGCAATTGACCGCACTATCGTAGCTCTTTATTGATTAACCCTTATGCTTTCAATGTCACAGACGATGTGAGCGGTGTAGATACCACCATTGGGTTTACCCAGTGGGCCAACAATCCTGCTGCTGCGGATGCTTCGGTATTACACATTATTTCCTCGCATCACCTCATTGTTTGAACAGTCAGGATGCACCCGTTAGATAGTCAAGCAACTCCGTGCAGCTGGTGCCATCCCCTTGGCCAAAACGAATGTACCACAAACGATGCTTGCCTTTGAATGCTCCAACCCTCTCTGGGAACGCACCACCAACCCATGGAGTGCCGCACACACCTGTGGCGGCTCCTCTGGTGGGGAGGCTGCGCTCTTGGCAATGGACGGCTCTGCGCTGGGTGTCGGGTCGGACATAGGCGGCAGTCTGAGGATCCCAGCATCGTACTGTGGCGTCTACGCGCTAAAGCCCGGATTCGGGCGGATCGCCTACACTGGCAGCAGAGGTGCGAATCAAGGCTTCGAAGGTGTTCGCGTCGTATCGGGGCCCATGAGCCGGTAAATGATTCCCCCCCCCCAACGTTCGGACATTCTTACGAATGATTTTTCAACGACAGCTCAGTCGAGGACATCGAACTGATCTCGAGGCTTGTCTTTGGTGTTCAAGATGACAACTACTACCCTGCACCTATACCCTATAGAGATGTTACATTGCCCGCGACGTTGCATTTCGGGTACTACACATCAGGTCCTTAACCTCCGTAGTACATCTCTCAAAGGGACGCTGACGTTCCGGGACAGATCGATTTGTCAAAGCCTCTCCCGTCTGCAAACGTGCGGTTTTGGAAACTGTTGAAGCTCTAAGACTCGCAGGACACAAGTGCACCGAGTTGGAACTTCCGGAAGGTGTGGCTCTTCTCTTTCTTATGGCTTCGTCGGGCTTGGATGGAGACATTTCTACCTTTTTCAAATCTTTATAGCCCCACGTCCACTGGAACTATTTGCTGGCTTGACCTCTGCAGACGGTTACGAGACACTTATCTCACCCCTTGGTCCTGATCCCAAAGTACGACCATGCGCTTTCGAAATATTTGACTTACGACCGAACGGCGTTTTCATCAGGAAAGTAGTCTATTTCTAGTAACTCTTGGCCCGAGCATGCCAGGTATGTCCGCTTGCCAGCTAGTCCTCCGTCCCACTTACCTGTCATTGGTAGACTTCGTTAGAAGAATTGCTTCTTGGGCTATCACGACCTTCATCGGTGACTCCATCTTTGGAAAGCTGATGCTGCACTCGAGGAAGAAAACAGTCGCGGAATATTACAAGTATACGGACCTCAAGAACAACTATACACGCAACTGGAACCAGGAGGTGAGCTTCCGTTGGCTCTCCTCATTAGTTCTATACTCATTCGGCGTGATGGCAGGTATGGGGCAAGTATGGTTTCGATGGAATCATTGCGCCTGTGCAGGCGATGCCGGCACTTCCACATGGGCGAGTCTTTTTACATAAAATTTTGGTGCGGATTACGCGTTAACAAACGCCTTTTTCTATCTTCAGAGGTTGCGACAAGCTCTCGCCGCTTGCAATTGCCACGATTCAATACAATATTGTCGATAGCCCTGTCGGCGTCATCCCCGTCACCCGCGTCGACCCTACTCTGGACCAGCTCACTGACGAATGGCGCACCGCATCCGACCACGGTTCGAAACTGCTCGAGGCAGAGCTCTACGGCAAGAACCCCGTATACAATCCAGAGTTGATGAAGGGTCTGCCGGTGGGCGTGCAAGTCGTTGGGCGTAAATGGGAGGAGGAGAAAGTCATTGCGATGATGCATGTCGTGGACAAGGTTCTAAAGAAGAAACGGACGGGATTCGGACCTGGCAGCTGGACACCGAGCGCTGTGTAGAGTCTGATGGGGACTATACGCTGGTATAGGACTTCGAGTGATTTAGCGGATATGGGATGGATATTGGATTTATATTGTAGGCAGGGCGATGTGTTCATGCTTTCATTTATGTTACACACACACACACACACATGATGAACGAGACATTGTGAGAGGGTCCGAGGGGACATCATCGTCGACCTGCTTGACGGTCTGCTCGCCGCTGCTCCATCTAATGTGTTTTCCCGTGAATGTCCATCACAAATCGAAGATGGACAACACACACCCATGCTTTCTTACAGTCCCTGTAAGCCTGGAAGAAATCCAAGCACTTGTCCCGGTCATAGTCATTCCGGTTCAGGCAATCCATGGATGCCTTCGAGGCATCCTCACAGGGGCTGGTAGAACAAGCAATGCTCAGCCACGGTCGCTGGAAAGACGAGCACAAAAGATGAAGGACATACTCTGCAAACTCAGACGTTACGGAACGTTTCTTCACGCGAATTTGAAGTGAGCGATCATGACGACGTAGGCAAGAGGCCTAGAGCGACGGGTATGGGGTGGAGCACAATGGACATGGGACGTACTTTGAACGTTTCTTTGTAGTTCTTGGGCTTCGTATTCTTCCAAGGTGAAGGCTCTAGTTGGGAAGGCAACTCTTGTTCTGTTTTCGAGTCTGGCATGTGCAGTGACGGTGGAAGGCAGGACAAACTATTCCCCACAGAGCCTCACAGCCACACGTACCGATGCGATTCTGAGTACTTTCTGAGTCCCCGCGGAACATCATAGTACATAGTATAGTTTCGCGCGGCCCTTAGTATAAGTGACGACTTTTTGAGTACCATAGGCCTTGCACGCTCACCATCCATGGAACGATGCTACAAGCGTTCCATGGAGAATGTGGTGTCACAATGGTGTTGATTGATGTATCAAAAGAAACTGGTGGAGACAGTCTGTCAGAGAACAACGTGTAAATTGCCCATAATTCGGATGTATATATACAAGCAAGAGTGCATCGTGCGATCGTTCTGGGTAATGATATAAAGAAAACTCAAAGGAATATGACGAGGTAAATAAGTTTAAAAAAAGCGGGTCGAAAGCAATCGAACGAAGAACGGGATACAGAAGACGATACAAGTACACATAAGTAAGCCCACAATAAGTCCTAGAAATAAAATCGATAGGCTCAATGTCCCCTGTGGGGCTATGACGCCGACGCCTTCACTTTGTTCTGGTCTCCGCTATTTGTCGCTGACTGCGCGCGAGCGGCCTTGAGCTGCGACCTCCTGAGCTAATGTCGCATGATTGAATAGAGAGTACGAACCATCTGTATGCGTTGTCTGCGCTCCACCCACTCTGGAGTGAGATTATACAGCTCCTGTAACATTGAGTCGACCAAGGATGCATAGTCAGCGGCTTCTTTGTGCTGCACCACCGTTTCTTGTGTCTGCGTAGTCTGTTGTATACTGCGTACATCAGCATCGCTGCTCTCCTGAGCGCGATGTGTCGCGCGATCTCGGGCGCGGCGCAGCTTCTCCTCTTGCATTCTCCATCGATAAGAGCCAGGAGTTGGTAGATTGCGTTGGTGGATATCGTAGGCCTATACCGCAGTCAGACAGGGTATAAAAAAAACATATGTCGCAAGAATGAGAACGAAAAGGGTAGGTGCGGCAGCCCGTTCTCAGATTCCACAATTTGTAGACTCACCCTGCGCTGATCGATGTCTCCAAGAATCTCAAAAGCTTCGCGAACCTAGATGGGGTATTGGGACAACGGAACAGGATCAGAAGAAGCAATGCATGCGCGCCCTTCTGAACAGCTCCTCAGCCTCTTGCTTCTCCCCCTCGCTCGCGTCAGGCCCCAGTTTATCTGGATGTGTCTCCAATAACTTCTGCTTGTATGCTTTGCGCACTATGGACACACAAAGCGCGCGTCGCGTCCTAGTTCAGCGCGGCGCGAAGAACTACGGGCTCACGCACGTACCGTCCTCGGTAGTCGCAGACCTCGACACTCCAAGCGCCTCGTAGTAGTCGGGCAGTTGATCGTTCATGTAAAGAGAGCCAGTGCTGATAAAGAGAGAGGAGAAAAGTTGAACATAAATCACCGGAAACTCGAAGGGGAAATCAACGCGAATCGCGTTAGGCTCACGTGCCCAGTCTTGCCGTCGGCCGAGTCCTCGGCCAAGTCACTTACTCACCAGCTTACTCCATCCATTGTGGGCTTTTCTTTCTGCTCTCTACGGTCTCCTCGCTGCCGTTGACGGCATACACAGATGATAGCAGTACAGCATCCAGCGCAGATACCAGATCCTCTCTCTGTTCCGGAGAACGCTCCAGAACACTGCCCAGTGTGTTCACAATCTAACTTTCCCTGAATCATCCTCCTCACGATTTCATAGGGCACTGAATCTGAGCTTGCAGGGAAATCTGCAGCATGCGATGGATGCGCAAACCAAGAGATATGCGCAACGAATACACCAAAGGGTCCTGACCCTGCTCTGCCACTCATCCGTCAACGTATGTTAAATGTCAAGCGCAAGATCCTCGTTCTCTCGGGCAAGGGCGGTGTGGGCAAGTCCACTTTCACTGCCCAACTGGGTTGGGCATTTGCTTCAGATGATGAAATTCAGGTACTTGCCATGTCTTTATTCTGGCAGACTTCTGGACTTTAAGATCGCGATGATCGCAGACAGGAATCATGGACGTCGATATCTGCGGGCCTTCGATTCCCACCATCCTCGGTATTACATCTGAACAAGTGCACTCATCATCATCTGGATGGTCTCCTGTTTATGTCCAAGACAATCTAGGCGTCATGTCTGTGGGCCTCATGCTTCCCTCTTCAAAAGACGCCGTCATGTGGCGAGGGCCGAAGAAAAACGGCCTTATTGCGCAGTTCCTCAAAGACGTAGACTGGGGTACACTTGACTATCTCCTTGTCGATACTCCACCCGGAACGTCTGATGAACACCTCAGCATCGTGCAGTACCTCAAAGACAGTGGGATCGACGGCGCCGTCGTTATCACGACACCTCAGGAGGTCGCCCTGCAGGACGTGCGCCGTGAGATAGATTTCTGTCGAAAGGTCGGGATCAGGGTGTTGGGCGTCGTCGAGAACATGGCGGGCTTCGTGTGCCCAGGGTGTAAGACGGAGTCGCAGATCTTCAAGCCATCGACGGGCGGCGCGAAGAAGCTTGCGCAGGACATGGGTGTCGAGATGCTGGGATCTGTCCCCCTCGATCCGCGGATAGGAAAAAGTGCAGACTATGGGGTTAGTTTCCTAGATGAGTATCCGGACAGCCCTGCCACGACAGCATATTTGAACATCATCGACCGTATGTGACTTTCAGCACCATACATGCTGTCCCCGCTCATTCCTCCATATAGGCATTAAACAGATTCTAGGGGACGATTAGTTGAATATCTATTCACCTTCTATCCGGGATCTTATTCGCGCTCATTCCCGGCTTTGTACCTCCGCCATACTCACCCTTTGTACTAGATATCATGGAACTGTATTATTCTTCGAGAGCTGTAATTGATTCCAACGTAGGGGGGTGTATTGTACATTCATTCTATCATGTGCATGTTCGTTCTATGCCGCATCACTCAAAACAAGCTAAGACAGCCACTTGAGTGCACGTCTAAACACTTTCCTCTACCACGCCAACACCTCAACTTGACTTCTCCTTATCACTTTCCTTGTCCTTGCTCCAGGACTCGCGCTTTTCGCCCCTGAACTCCCCAGGCATCTCACTCGGTGGTGCATCTGCCTCTGTTTCCGCTTCTCGAATGTACCGCGCAATCGGTGCACCTCCTACCTCGCCGCTCTCGCCAGCGTCCACACTTTCGTATATTGACACTGTCGAGAGCGTACGTAGGAGCTTCCTTGGGACCTCCGCACCACCAACAGTACTCGCCGTCCTCGACCGAGCGGGTATGACGTACCCATCGCGTTGCGCGCTAGGGAATGCGATGCCGCCGGCGCCGCCTTGTCCCGTACCTCCACCACCGTCGTCAACGAATGAGGGCGCACGCCCGAACACTTGCTCCGGTGAACGCGAGAAGTATGAGTCGCGGTCGCGCGTTGAATGTGCCGAGTGTATCGAAAAGATACTTGCGCGTCTCGCGTACGAGACCAGCGGGTCTCCATCTCTCCTCCTCGCGACTATCGGAGCTAGACTTCCCTCGCTCGCCTTTCGCTCTTGCGCCCTCTCCGGAAGATCTACTGGTTCCTCCTCTGCGCTTTGTCCAGATTCCACAACTGTGTTCAGTTCGGTCTGATCCTCTTCTGTTCTACCAACGGCGATCTCCTCCGAAAGCACACTCGGACTCCTCAATGATGCGGGTTCCTCGGTCATCTCCAATGCAAAGGACCTGACCTCCTTTCTGTACTCCTCGATCTCCTTCCACAAAGTCTCTCTGAACTGCTCGATGGTCTCTAATGCTTCGATCTCTCGCCATCGATCAAAAGGTGTCGGGCAGAGGGGCTCGTCATCGACATCGTGATAACCCGCAAGCCAAGGGTGTTCAAGGGCTTGTCCAACTGTTATTCGCGATTCAGGGTCGAAGCACAACATTTTTTCCAAAAGGTCAAGTGCTGAACATAGTAGAAATTAGCAGATCAGTAGCAATCACTCAGACTCAAGCGTACCTTGAGGGTCAGCCAACGGGATAAATTTGCCAAACGGAATTCTTTTTCTGATAGGCAGAGATCGGACGTATGCCCGGGCCTGTGATGAATCAATACTGACGATTCCCGGGACGGTCAAAAGCTCGACATACCCTTTCACTCCCAATTTGAGTGATCACACTCTCAGTCGGCGTACCTGCATCCTTCGTTAGTCCAAATATGCACAATGTTCACACCATCTGCATACCAAGGACATCGAGAATCTTATTGAGCTGGTCGACTAATAAGACCGTTGGTCAAATTTGAGTCAATGATTGAGATACGAAATCGAAGTTCACCATAACTTCAGGAAATGACACCGATAGATCAGTGGTGATGCGTAAAAGAAAAAGAAGAACAACTGGAGCACTGACTCTTTGCCCTTGAATATTGGCTTTCCGAGGAGCAATTCTGCCAGGATGCATCCTATTGACCAGACGTCGACTGCAGACCTCAATCAGATACGAGACGGCGCTAAATTCATGAGACATACTTGCGGTATTATAACGTCTTGCAGTCATCGTCAAGGATAGAAAAATCATAGTAAGTGTAACACCTACTTGAAAGCCAGCATGATCTCTGGCGCCCGATACCACCTGGTTGCGACATATTCCGTCATTTTTGTCGCAAGTTCGTCTGGTCCGGATTCGAATCCCCTGCTCAGACCGAAATCACAAATCTTGAGTTCACAGTCGGAGTTGACCAGTAAATTCCCGGGCTTGAGGTCCCGGTGCACTACGGACGCAGAGTGCACATACTTCATGCCTGAAAAGCGTCATTGATCACCTCGGGCGAAATAAACCGAAGAAGGGAGACTAATGTGTACCTCGCAGTATTTGATATGTGAAATATTGTACGTGCTCGTTAGTGAGCGATTGTCCAGACCTGATGATCTGGTGTAAATCAGCTTGGAGAGGTGAGCTCAGGAGATAGATATGGCGGATGGAAATAAATGAACAAGCACCTTCCATTGGCTGATGAGATGAAGCTTTAAATCAGTGTTGTAAACAGTATAACACCTTGCGCACCTCCATGAACAAATACCTGGGAATTTGCAAGATGCATTCAGGAGACTGGCTGATCTTCGAAAGAGAGAACATACATCTCATTAAAATTAGGTGCTATCGCATCTACATCGATTAGGCCAGTAATATTTTCGTGGTTGTTAAAGTGTCGGAGAAGTGCAATCTCGCGAAGTGCACGCTTTGCGAGCGACGTCTTCTCAAATATTCGGGATACCAGCTTGATGGCGATGGTCTCCCCAGAGATATCGTCTGCTGCTGAGCTGCAAAACTTTTCCGTTTAGTGGATCGCGGGTTGGAAGCGTTGCTGATAGAAAGCTGACATGACTACACCATACGCGCCGGAACCCATCTCTCGAACCAATTTCCACCTCTTCTCAACATGAAAGATTTTGTCAAATGAGCGAAAGCTATGATATCCCCTTATCCACGTCATAATATCGTGTGAGCCTAGTAAAGTCAGTCATCTAGGAAAGATTCGGGGCGCACCGCTTTCGCAATGCAGCCTCAGAGAACGGATCAGCTACCTCTGATTGTCTACGTACGCGCGACCGTCCGCGCGTCACACCCCACGACCCCGGCGACGGCTGTACCGAGCCTGATGACGACGATCCTGAGCTCCTGTGTCGCCGTGACGTGGGCCTGCCGCGTTCAGATGAAAGTGCGGACTGTGCCTCTGACATGCCACTCTCCTCCAGGCTTCAGATATCTGGTTTACGTGGGTCTTCTTTAGAGATACAAGAGCAATGTTATGGGGATATAGTAGGATGGTGGTGATGTTATGCAAGGCCTAGGAAGAGACGTCGAGATGGTCGCGGTGACAGAAGTTAAAGACGAAGCATGAGTTGAAAGCCACTGACTCTTTGTCGCATCACCGATGCATTGGCGCGGATGTTGAAGCGCGATAAGATAAGATTGCAGCGCTGGTGCCTCAGTTGACAGCGGATTCATTTTCGCGGACGTTTAGGCACTCAAAACTGGAACGGGTGCTCGCAGATCGGCTCAATCAAGATTAAGATACATTTAACACTCGAGTACCTGATGCTACACGCAAATAGGATCATAAATCCGAATATACAAAGACTGTCCTAAACACCGTCTCAAGAACTAATCGGGTGGTCACCAATTGCTATGAAACTGCAGGGCTGGCCGGAATGGGTGCTGGTGATGAGGTTGGGGTAGCAAGAGGTGGAGTTGGAGTTGGAGGAGTAGCAGCGATCGTAGGAGTACTATCGTCTTCGCCGAAAATATCAAGGTATCCCGCAACCCTCGCCTTGTTCCCTGCCTTTTTCATAACGTACTCCCGTAAACCCGCCTTCAAACTGGGCTGTTTGTCAACAAGCTCACGCAGCTGCTCCTTGGGAAGTTGAAGTAAAGCACCAAAGCTCGCTGGAGCGATGACTTTGGCACATCGTATGAACCCCTCCCATAGTGGTGGGTTCATCCAGATTTTTTTGGTGATCAGTCGTGAAAGCAAAGTGGTCGATACAAAGCCAACAAGCGACTTGTACGTTGTCACTGCTTGGATCACCTGTGCAAAAAAGTGAGCACTCTACACATGCCAATAAGGCGAGATTAGACTTGCAGTTCGCAAAAACAGCGTTGGAAGGACCGGCTCATCGACAATCTGCTGCATGACCACTGCAAGAATCTCGGATCGGAACACGTCTGTCATCGAGAAACAGATCCCGATAGCTTCAAAGAGGATCAGATGCCACGCCAAACTGATCAAAGGGCAAAAACAACCCACCCTCGATTGCACTCTTCAACCCTATCTCTTTTTCGAAATCATGCAACAGTACCATGAGCTCAGCAGGCGTCAAGAGCTCGCTCTGCCTTACCCTTGGCAGATTGCTTGTCACGCTTCCGAACGTCTGCGGTGGTGTTGTCACGATCGCACCAAACACGGACCGGACGAGATTCTTCGGTTCTGGTGTCCCGTTCAAGATCGACACGATCTTGGGCAAGTGCTTTACAATATCTGCCTTGTCCATCTCGGCGATGATTGGAATGAGGAACCGAGCGTCCAGGTCACGTTCCGCAATAAGCGCCTTGACGAGCGCGACCAATTGCGCAGAGGGCCGGCCATGCTCAGTGAATATGCTAAGAACACGAAGGGCGAGGGTGTCTGCGCCGGGTGGGAAGGTACGCATGAGGGTCAGGAGTTTTCCGTGTGTCGGACCTAAGGAACGAATGAGCGCGGTAATCAGGTCCTGTACTGCTTCTTGCACGGTAACATCCATCTCTCCATATGCTGCAAAAGTCCTGCAACATTGTTTAGCTGGCGCGTAAAGTATATGTCATGAGAAGGCTCACTCTTCGAGGAAGTCCGAAACCTTGACAGACAGTGCAAACAAGAGCTCAAGATGTTGCAACACCTGCGCCTTCTGCGCTGGCAGCTCCAGTTGCTCGGGGAGATACGGCGTCTGCAGGATATCGTCCGGTGGTAGCTGACCGTCCTCAATATTGTCCTCGTGTTCGTTCATCTGAACATCTTCCCCATGAGGCTTCTCTGCTTTCGGCTTTGACTGCAGCCGTCGGAGCAGTTGCAGCGCAAACTCGCGGATCATGCCGTCCATTGGCTGGGCATCACCCACCCACCGTTTGACGGTAATGATAGCTGCACCTCGAGTGACCTTTTCAGGGTGAGTCGTCAACTCGAGAAGGACGTTCAGCGCCTCTGCGCGCATTGTTGGCCGCTGGGTGACAAAGTCGCGAAGTGTCGTGAATCCGACCTGCATCCTGTCATCCCAAGAAACGTCAAATGATTATGTGGCACAGAGCCGGCTATAGCGTACCTGTCAGGCTCCACACACAAGTCCCGCAGAAGAGTGAAGACATCTGGTGGAACGTGTGGCAGGTCGAGTAAAAATCGTCCAAAGGCACGATCCTTGCCGTCTAGCTGATTTTGATATACGGAAACGATCTGGTTGAGCCAAGTATCGTAGTTCGGTCGCTGGAACGCAAGATGTCAATATATTCGGTACCAAGTGCATTTCAAACGAGAATACGGACCCAATCACGGTTCTTCGATGTCTGGATCTGGTCATTGTACCATTCCTCGTTCATCCAAGTGGTTGCAAGTCGTATTCTGGTTCGTGACACCAGCATCAGAACTCGATCGGAAATGGAACCTTCTGCGACCATAATGCATATAAGAAAACGCACCGTCCGGAAAAATCTGTCATGATATAGTCGCACAACGTTCTTCTCAGCTTGTCCTGTCTCTCATACAAAGTGACCATCTTGGCGTCTTTGACTTCCTCGCTATCCTCCTCTGCTGTATCGTCCTGCATTTGTACATCTGGGTCTGGATCGACCACTCGTGTGACCATCCTGATAATGAGCAACATCCACAGCTCCTGGCCCCCTCCCCCTGTATTCGACCTTGCGAGAGACATTTCGTCCCCTCCACTCCATATGCGCGTCAACGAACTCTTGACCAACGCTTCTCGTTCTGGCTCTGCGAGTGTTAGTGGGGGCGGGATTTTAATGTTAGTCAAAATGATATCTTTCGCGTCCAGCGTTGTAACCGCCGCCAGCTCTTCATCTTCTTGCATTGGTGCCAGCTGAAACACACTCACGGTTAGTGACTGTTTGAGAATTTTGCAAAGGAACAAACCTCGAGGTTAAGCTTATCTGGCTCGTATTCAAGCTCGTCTTGGTCAATGTCCATCTGCAAAGGATCGACCGGCTCGTCCTTCACGATCGACAGAGTCCTATCCTCCTTCCCTTCATCGATGACAGCCGCCTCGGGTTTGTTGGATGCATGCTCAGAGTCAGTAGCAGCCGATGGTAGAGTTGAAGGGCCAGCGACTGGCGTAGCAGCGGGCATCACAGCTGGTGTGGGCGCGGGCGCAAGGGGGCTTGATGCTTTGTACGCCTGCATTATTGCCGTGAAAGCATCCTCGCTAAACGCCTGAAGATTCGCGACTACCAACTCCGTGATCAGTGCTGCAGGCAACGACGTGAAGTCGAATGCCGACAAAATCGATGCGGCGTGCGGCGTAGTATGGTCGACCTTTTGTCGTTTTGGGTCGGCTTTGTTCTCATCCGTCGACACGGAAGGGGGACGCTTCAGTGCTGCCTTACGTGCTTTCTCTTCTGCTGCCGCTCGTTCCATCCGCGATGCCTGTACAGAGAGCGCCTCATTGATTTGGGCCTGAAAGGGCGCACCCTGAGGTCCACTGAGGTCAAATTAGATGGGATCATATTGGGGACATGCAGGAGCGTACCGCAGGATATGGTTGAGAAGTATACGCACGGCCTTTTCAACGCTTTTTATACTGTTGTATGATTGGCCTGCAAGGGCAGCTGGCGTCCATGATGCCAGAGTGGACACGACGAGCTGGACTAGGTTCGGGCGAAGCTTTATCAGGTTTGACCAGCTGTTCAGAATGGCAGAGAGAAGGTCGACGTTTCTGCGGAACCGTTCTGTCAGCATCCCAGCTCACGCCTGCCTGAGGCAGATGTCTATGACGCACGGATTCGTGAACAGCGTCGTAATAACTGCTTCAATGAGTCTGCTGGCCTCAGCCTCGAGTTGCGCGACGGGGATAAACGGGTGGTCTGTAGGACACATGGACAAGTTGGGATCGTTCTTGTTTTGCAGCTGATATCATATGCGGCGACGTAAGTGGCTATATACAAAGCGAAAGATTGGGCGTGCACTACCCTAGGATCCGCAATGCCGCGTGTCTGCACCAAGATTACTCGCTGCATGAACTTCACCGCCGCCAGCCGGACACCCGCGTGCACTCCCGACGCCCATACGAATTCGAGGATGCGGGTCTTGGAGTGGGTAAGGATGTCCCAGTGATGGCGGTTATTCCGGTTCGTGCAGCTGTGTAGAAAGAGGATAGATGAGGGCTGCGCCAAAGTATGAAAGGTATCGAATACTCACAAGAAACGGAAGAGAAGAGGGTAGATGGTTCCAAACATCTGCACTATGGTCTTCACAATATGTGGACTAGGGTCATGTAGCAGCCCAGCAAGAACTTCCAAGAACTGCGACGCGACTGTGAAGGATGAATGCCATTAGCCAGTCAAAACACTGCAAGTCGATGTTACGTACGTTGGGTGCGTGCCTCGAGTGAAAGGGATGAGCGTATCATCCCAAAATGCAACAAGTCGAGGAGCCATCGTTTGAGAAGAGTATCGGGTGCACCGATGACGCGTTGAATGATAGTCGAACAGAAGATGGGGATTGTGCTGGGGTTGGCCTCCAGGAACTGCCGGACGGTCGCAAGCAAGTCCGCCTGCTCCTGCGAGTCCGTCTGCGCATGGAGCGCGGCCTGGAGGACCTGCAGGGGGTCACCAGAGTGCGTGGCCATAATTTGGCAAATAACAAGAGGCCTGGCGACGTCGAAGGGCGTGTCGAGGAGGCGCTGAACCGTGATAGTGGCAAATATAGGCTTCAAAGTCGCTGCACACAGCGCACAGGTGACGCGCTCAGCGGAGTTCAAATTCACTTGAATCACAACGATATGGTACTCATTCCACTCCATCCAGCCTTCACGGCTCCTTGATAATAAGATACCACATTATAGGCCGCCCAACATTCTCAAGGGATACAAACGTTGCTCGAGGCTGAGAAAGATGCTGCTAAAGTTGTCCAGGCAGCGCGCCAATGTATGCCGAGCCTGCCTGTGCATCTATGTCCTTCCTGACCATACGCTCCTAGATCGCGTGCAGAGGCTAAAGGACGCGCGAACGGAGGCCTCTAAAGAAATAGAGGAGTACAAGAGATCTAAAGAGCTGGAATTCAAAGCGTTCGAGAACTCGGTGCGCCGTATCAGTTACAATCACATACCACCTCCCTAACCTTGCTCAATATATGCAGCACGCTGGGTCGACCCAAAGTGCGCAGTCCGTCATCGACAAGGAGACCGAAGGGAAGCTCTTGGAGATAACAGAGGCGTTTGAGGCACACAAAGACGACGTCGTCAAGAAACTGCTTGAGCGTGTCGTTCTCATCAAGCCCGAGCTTCATCGAAACCTCAAGAAGGCGGGTCTCGATTGATCAACTCTATTTTCCTTTGTCACACTCCACATTATACGGTGTACAGACATTCACAGCGACGATGCAGGCATGCGGAATGAATCATATAACTCCTACATCGTAGTGTGATCCTTCACCCCTCGTTAATGACATCACCTGCACTGAAGATTATATCCAGCCTCAGACATTTTCTTCCCGAAGGGTCACCTCGAACTGTTTCTTGCCATCGCAAGCGGCACCAATCACAGGATATAGCTTTAATTCCAGCCTACATGTTCTGTGCAAAATATCGCGAAAAAGACCCCTCGCCATTTTCGGTGTTCCGCACCGAGCCGTCTGTCCCTTCGTCCATTCTGTTCCTCCTCTGATCTAGAGATCCTGCAAATTATCTACATCCGACTGATCAGTGCACAGTACTCATCCTTTGGAGGAGGATCAACGCCCATTGTCTCACCCATCATGTCCTTTCTTGCAAGCATGATAATAGCCAATACCTCAACACACATAACGGGTCTCCAACTCATCGGAGATGAACCGCAACAAACCACACAACGCGTCCATTTTAGCCGCACATTTTTTTTGAGCACGTAAAGTAAACAGATAAACAAAACTAAAAGGCAGCCGACAGATATACACATCTGAGCGTATAAAATACAACCACAAGGCGGTCAGCGCCTCGCTCCTACATCGAGAACGGCGCCCCGGGCGTAGTACGAATACAAGTATGTGCATGGTGCCGTGAGATGACACACGCCTCCCTCGAGTGGCGACCGCCGTCCGGCACCGCCGCTGAGCGATGCATGAGCGCAAAGTCCAAAAACACGTCCTCAGCAGCGATTATAAAAAATGAACTAACACGAACTCAGAAAGGCGCCAAAAACCGAAGCCCCCCCCTCAGAAAAGGAGCAGAAAAATCAAGAATATCCAGACCTGCCAGACGCTGCCGCACAGCGCACATACAGAAAAAACGACAGCCGAAACGAAGCAAGAATGTTTGTATGAGGAAACCAAGGACACGCCGACGCACCGCTCGGCCCCTACCGCTGTTCTTGCTCAAGCCAATGCAATCCGACCGGCATGCTTGCCTTCCCCCCCGAGCCGATCCCCTGCCCATTCCCGTGTGCCCAATCACCCCCTGACCCAGACCTTGATCTGGCTTTCGCCGCCGCCGAGCCCGCAACCGACCCAGAGATCGACATCTGTACCGCCCTCGACGATGGTGGCAGTGGCATGGTTGGCATAGACGGCATTGACATCGTCATCATCATCGCCGTCGCCGCATGCGCCGTCTGTACCGAGCTAGAAGCCGAAACCGATGTCGAGCTACTCGCCGCCGCTTGAACTTTCGACCCTGCGCTCGCACCGGGTTGTGCGCCGGCGTGGGCGCTCAAATTCGCTTTCTGGGCTGCCGCAGAAGCCCCCATGAGCACCGTCCAAGGCGGCGGAGGCAGCCGCCCCGCCGCCGTCGACGACGACGGTGACAGCAAAAGCTCAGACGTACCGTTCCCGCTCCACGAATCCAAAAGGCCACACGCCTTGAGGCCCGGCAGGCTCGTCCCCCCCGCCACACTATTTCCGTTCCCGCCGCCCTCTTCGCCCACTTCCACCCCGAACTGAGGCGGTGCACTCACGCCAGTGGCTGAATCCCACGGCCGCTTGCGCCTTCGCGAGCGTCCTGTCGCAGTCCTGATCCCCGCGCCCGAGGCAGACCCGCCGTGCGCCGAGGAGGGTCCAGCGTCACGCTGGCCCCTGGAGCCGGAGGCGCTGGTCCGGCTCGACGCCTCGCTGAAGGCGGGCTCGGGCGAATCGTGCAGCGCCGCAAAGTCAGCTGACGCTGACATGGCGGACAGCGGTGCGCCCGCGGCATACTTTGAGCGTGAGCCGTGCAGCGCGACGTGCGCAAGGCGTGCACCCCAAAAGGCTTCAAAGTCGCGTGTGAAGGCTTGCACTTGGGGGGTGTCGGCGAGGTCATAGCGGAAGAGCGGCTGTATATACCACCAAAGACGGACGACGAAGAAAAAGAAAACAGGTTGGTAAATAGAAGGTTCATCGCGGCGGCCGGCGACTGGGGGCTGTAAGAAATCGGGAGAGACTCACTACGAGTGCAGAGGCGGCTGCAACAAATAAAAGATACGTCGCATTACGGAGAGTCGACACAAGGAGATGGACTCAAATACGCACCCAGGAATGACAGCTTCTTACACCTATTCTGTCCGACAGACGTTAGGATGAGCATCATGCGCTCACGCGCCCACAGGCGCGCGTTATTCGTTGTCACGGCTGCCGCCGACGGACTGACTATTACTCCCTGTGCCTGTGCCTGTGCCTGTATGCGAGACTTTCCCTAGAGAGAGAACAAAAATACGCAATTCGTCGTTAAATGACGTGAGCGGTTTGACATGATGGCGGGAGAGATGTCACGCACATCGAGCAACGCCAGTACGCACGTTGCATGCGTGATGTGCGTCAAGAAATACGCCCATGCGCCACTGTTGGACCCCGTCTCGAACATGGACAACTGCAGCTGCATGCTCTCCTCGGAGAATTGAATATGGTCCGCAAGCGATGCCTCCCACGTCTGTCATATCCCATCAATCCACCAGAAGTAAATGCAAGGGATCGATATCGGTCAAACCAAGAAACATGTCAGTGTATACTCGAAACAGGTGCATGAATGGTTAAATGAAAAACAGAGACGCACCGCCAGCGCGCGCTCCGTCTCTTGTACAACCTCTTTGATATTGTCGTGCTTGGTCGAGCCCGCTATAAAATCAAGTCCAGTTAATGGGGTCAAAGTCAAGGGGCCCTACCGAGTTCTAACGAGGATAGGGCATGGAAGAATGTAATTTGGACGCACCATTCGCGGCGCGGAGCGTAGACTCAAGCGCCCAGTGAATCGACACGATCCGCATTAGGTGTCCAAATTCGGACGCGTACTGAGTTTGTGGTGCCGGTATGTGGAGATACTCTGCGCGCAACGGATCAGACCCGTCCATGACACAAACAAGGGAAGTGAGTGAAAGTGCAGCCCCATATCAAAGGCCAAGAAAAATGAATCAAGCCAGGCAGAACTCACCCGACAGCGTCGAATGCACAGCTAACTCAAAGCTCGTCTCATCGACGGGCAGACGGAGGGTGAGGTCCAGCTGAGCCGGGGGGATGGGCACATAATAGTAGGTGAAGGCCGTGAGATGCATGAAGCGGATGAGCCAAAACGCGCGGCGGGCGCACTCGCGGTCGATCGCGCCGAACACGAACTCGGCGCTCGGTACAGGGGTAAGGATCGGATGGCTCTGCTCGTGCACGTGCAGGTCCTCCTGGAGGATCTTCAGCGCCAGGACTGTCGTGCCCAAAGGAGGGAAGCGGAAGAAGCGGCGGCATAATAGAAGCACGGCGGCCCGGAAAACCAAAGGAAGCGATTGGTCAGCGGAAGCCGCGGCATGATATATGAACGAATCAGCGCGGAACGGAAAGGATGGCGCGGGGCAGTGAAGAAAACGCACCAAAAAGCTGCGTCGACGCCGTCCACGGCCACTGCGCGCTCAACTCATGGCTCTGCAGTATACAAAGCGCCTGAACCGCAACCAAGTCTCTCGGGACCGCCAACCTCCCCTGCCGATCGAACATATGTGCACGCGCCTCCTGTGCATAGGGATTGCCTGCTGCGCGGGGCGGCTGCGCGCGAACAGCAGGGTGATGCGAGAGCGGGGCTGCAAGCGCACAAATCGTATGCAGGAGAAAGCACGGGACGCGATCGTGACTCAGTGCGGCGGAGAAGGTGGGTTTGTGAATGATGAAGCTATATGGCTGACAGTGCGCGAAAAAGACTGGTACACGCATGCGAACCAGTCAAGGGTGTGAGTGAAGGCGGTAAATTGAGAAGCGTGATGGAGATATGTAGATGAGCCAAGTGCGGTCTAATGCGACAATATAAGGCGCTCACGGTTCACAAGCTCGCGCACGACAGACGGGTCCAGTCTCGACGCCTCATACGTCGGGCGGAATGGTATTTCCAGCTGCAGGTCGAACTCAAGATCGTGTTCCCCTTGCTGAAGTTGGTGCTGATGTGTTTGTGGATGCTGCGACTCGAGGTCAAATTTGCGACGCTTGCCCGCATGATCGTCGGCCACCTGAGGTACAGGTGGATGGTGCGAATGGAGGTCTTCGCCTGTGCCCGCATTAACAATGACCGATAGGTCCAAGGCATTGCTGCTGGCAGGCTGAGCGTTCTTTTCTGAAGGTTTGGAGGCGCGGGGTGCGGGGACGGGACGGCCAGCTGCATCGGTGTAGGTGCAGTCCTTCGATGCAAAGTAACTGGAGGGGTCGATGGAATTGAAATGAAGCGGTGATAATGAAATGGAATGCAACAAAATGGAATGGAAAAGGCAAGGCGGAAATTAACAGAAATTGACGCGAAGATAGGAGATTGGAAATAGGGATGAGAAATGATGTGACAGCGAAGAGCGTGGAATTCGCAGAGAATAATGGGAGTGTGTGGCGGATTCCAAGAGCGTATGAGATAATAGCAGGCAGGCAAAGGAAATAGTCAGTCAGACTCAAGGACGGTAACTGAAGAAAGGATTTTACCAATTGCTGCAGGGGGCTGATGGTCGCAGTCGTAGTCATCGTCGTCACAATTGCGGTGGCCGGCGGGTGGAGAGTATGACCATCAAAGTCATCGCGGGGGAGGACGGGCCATCAGATTCATTCGCCATCGCCATCGCCATCGCAGATCGAGGATCGTGTACGCGTTCGCGTTTAGGGCCGGGAACGGGGTCATCGCAACAAAGATAACCCGTCAGCTTTCAGCCGCGCCGCCAGCATGAATGGAACTCTACCCCCCCGCACATACTCGCAAGGACAGCGGTATGTTCGAAATGGGGGGGGAGTTAGGGGGGAAGGAGGGGGAAACAACGTACCTGTGCCGTCGCATCTGCGCTTGCTCTTATGACAGGCATCGCAGGCCTGTGAGCAGCGTACGAAAGAGGGGGCAGCGTGAGTAAGCCTCGCAGAGGCGGGTGCGCACGGACCCGGCCAGAGCGAGGGGAAGAGCGACGGACCTTTGCGAGGCGCTTGCGCTTTGGGCCCTTGAGGAAGGCGTAGTTTGTGGTGGTGTCGCGGGGGTCGGGGTTGTGAACGGAGGGCTCGGAGGAGGGCGGGGGTGGCGGGGGTCGGGGGTGCTGTGGCTGGAGGATGGAGAGCTGGGGGTCGGGTTGGGGGTTGAAGGGAGGCAGGAATCGGGGGTGGGGGTGGTGGGGGTGCATGGCGGGACGAAGGACTGGAGACTGGAGGGTCGCGCCCATAAAGCACTCGCCAGTCCTCGGCAACAATCCCGGCGGCATCCATCACGCGCCTCTATCTCCGAACAACGCGGTACCGAATCCTCCCCGTCAGCCACACCGCATCACAGCGCATCACTCGCATCCCGCCGGTTCCTTACCCTTCTCCCTTATCACCCGCCAGCGTCCCGTCTCCGCCCCTCTCGTCGCCTTTGAACGTTGTGTCACGCATGTCTGGCTCATATTCATCTCCATAGAACACTGCCCGGTGCAAGGCGACAACAAATACAGCAATGCTAGCAATAAGTACGCCCTGGTCCCTCTCCCACTTAATCGAACAGACCGAAGCCCATGTCATCGTCGGATTCCTCCTGCAAAATATTGCAAATCTCGTCAACACGTTGCATCCATGCCGAGCCGTAAATGAACTCGATCTCACCTTCTCTTCTTCCTTCTTCTCTTCCTCCTTCTCTGCAGCCGCCGCGGGAGCAGCGCCGCCTGCCGCAGGCGCAGCCGCGGCCACAGCGCCGCCGGAAGGAACCTGATTGACGCAAGCGAGCGGTTCAGTACTTCGATATCACACGAAATTCCCCGCGTGAGAAACATACCGAGGCGAGCTTGCCGTTGCCCTCGGCAATAAGCTATGTAAACACACACGCAGTCATGAGCATTCGTTGCTGCAGTTGACAAAATCGCAGCGTACCTGGTTGATGTCCTTGCCCTCAAGTTCGGAGATCAACTTCTCGAGGCGCTCGTCGTCAGCCTCAATTCCAACTGCGCCGAGGACCTTCTTCACGTCGCTCGCGGACGGCGAGGCGTTGCCACCGATCTGGAGGAGGAGGTATGCAGCGATATGACGCATCTACTCGTGCCCAAGCAAGAAAACATTCGATCAGCATTGTCAACCTCGGACCAGAGCGAAATAACAGACGTACTTTTCAAGTGGTGAAGTGGTGTGAAAGGGTGGGTAGCCACAAATCACTACATCGGTCATAACAAGTCAGCCAACGTTGCACCAAAATTGTATCCACCAATACCACCAAACGCCGAGACTGGTGTCAAAACTGCATCCTACTCACATTTAATCCGCTAAGGGAGGACCTGTGGATTCTATCCGATAGTGTGGAGACGATTGGATACAGTCCATTCACGCGGGCAGGTGGCGGTTGTAAACTGTACAGTAGCACTGATTAGGGTTCACGCCACCGTTTCCTCATTCAGACTCCGCCCCATCTGCACGCAACATATCGACCACCCGCCACTGCCGCCCGCCGTCCTCAACACACAATCATGGTGCGTTGCCGTTATGGTGTTCGATGAATCGTGGGAGGAAGGTTTGGTCTTTCTGATCTATTGTTTTTGGTTGTCGGGTGTTTATAGGCTGATTCCGCCGTCACCGATCCCCAAGTCGCCGCCGACCTCAAGAAGAAGCGCGTATTCCGCACATTTTCGTACCGCGGAGTCGAGCTCGACAAGCTTTTGGACTTGAGCAACGAAGAGGTGCGTTCAACTTTACTTTGTTGCTGTATTTGGGATAATATAGTTGATTCTCAATTCACTCAGTTCGTTGAGGTATGGGTCTATCCTCTCTTGCAATCACCATCCCCTCATAACTCTCGTTCTTCCCCGACTCCATCATCGTCTACTTTCATCTCCCTTTTCCCGTACAAAAATTCGCACCATATCACAAAACACTCGACATAGATCGTCCACGCGCGCGCGCGCCGCCGGTTCCAGCGCGGCCTCAAACGGCGCCCCATGGGGCTCATCAAGAAGCTTCGCAAGGCTAAGAAAGAGGCTCCCCCCAATGAGAAGCCTGCCGTCGTTAAGACCCATCTCCGTGACATGATTGTCGTGCCCGAGATGATTGGCTCCGTCGTCGGTATTTACAACGGAAAGGTTCGCATGCTCTGCTCTGCTTTCTCCATTACATGCCCATCCCCGATCCTTCACTTCTGCTCGTCATCCTCGTCTCTTTTGGGCCGGCGGACCTGAATTGCAAGTACTGATTTCTTGTATATTTGCTTTTGCATCTCTGGTGCGGATTCAATCGTTGGCTGCGCACAGGTCTTCAACTCGGTTGAAGTCAAGCCCGAGATGGTCGGCCACTACCTCGGAGAGTTCTCCGTATCATACCGGCCCGTCAAGCACGGTCGCCCCGGTGTACGTCCCCCTCCTTGTGTAGTATTCATATTCATTCTCAACTTCGTGTCCCTTCACAGATCGGTGCTACCCACTGTGAGTCCTTGGTCATCCTGGCTCTTCTTTTTGTGTTGTATCATCTACTCATCGCTTGTCTTGTTCGTGATCACGTTTAGCCTCGCGTTTGTGCGTCTTTTTCTCTCATGACCTGCACTTTGAATCGACTGACGCTCACCAATTACGTTCACAGCATCCCCCTCAAGTAAACACACGCATACATGCCCTCTCCGCATCCAGTTGTCTTCCCCATCTTTTGTGTTCTTACTGTCACACCTGTCTCGCTCTGCCTTCGACCCAAAATATTATGAGCCATGCATCATGCTTATGGGCTACATGTGCCTCGTTGCATCAGGATCTCAACTGTACGTTCATATGTGTGATTGTGGCTGAAGGCTGAAAAGCAAAGATGGCGGTGGGCGCTTGAGCGCCAATCAAGCTTCACACCTGGAATCTGTTAACTGCTTTCATCCAAATTTTAGAGATGTGCTCAAGCGCCCAACAACGATGCAAAAAGGGAAGTTACACGAAGTGTGGACACAATTTACTAGATCCTCCAGATAAAAGTTGCTCGAACTTTGAATCGCGCCGAGTCACGGCTATGATCAATTTGTGACAGTGGTGGACAGAGGCAGCGTAGACATACAGTGCCTGCTGAATTCGATTCGTTGTCGAGTCAGGGATGACCATTGAGCATATCATTCATGCTGTGCTGTCGCACCTAGGCCCCGATGGGCGACCGACTCGAAGAAGTTTCGTGAACGTCGCACTCAACATTCCCATTCAATTGTATTTATGATGAAATACATGTGAAAGAGCGATGGTGAGCTAAATTGTCATAACATGATCTCGAAAGGAAAGGCGAAGATTGCGATATGCCCTTAGTCTAATCGAAGTCCTGTGGATGTCCGTGTCCGAGAGAATGTAATGTAATGCCCGAAGAGTCCGTTGCGTGCGCGCGTGAAAATTTGGTCGTCTCCCGAGTGTTCATAGTTTAGAGGCCTGCGGCTGCTTTCAGAGCGTTGAAGTTGGGCGAGCCAAAGCCGGTTACCTTTTTTGATTCGCGATCGTCAACGCAGGATAGAGAGAGAAAAGGGAGGAGCGACATACTGGATCCCATCCCGGGGCAGTAGGGAATCCGTTGGTGTTGCAACCAGGATTGCTGCCTGCCAGGATTAACAAAAAAAGCAAGTGAGCACAAGGCGCAGATGCCGAGCAAAAGAGATTGCGTGTGCGCACCGGACGTGATGTCGTTGAATGCGCTGGGAGACTGGTAGATCAAGGGGTTCAAGAACCCGAGCGGGCTCTTCCCCGCCGCGATGAGCTGGTCGTTGATGAGCGCGACGACGCTCGAGAAGATCGGGCTCGCGCAACTCGTCCCGGCGACGGCGCCGAATCCGCCTTCGAATGCGATGATGACGTTCTCCGCGGGGCCCGCGACATCGGGGAACGCGCGCGAGCTTGCGTTGAACAGACCTGCGTTGGTGCCACCGAGCGATTGCAGGTAGGCTGAGACGGCGTCGTCCTGGTAAGATGGGCGAGGGAAGTAGTTGGAGAAGCCGCCTGAGGAGAGAGAGGCGGCGACTTCGGGGTTGACGCCTTGCGTGCCGCCGACAGAGGTGATGCTGAGAGGGCAGATGTGGTAAGTTAGTACTCCTGAAGCGGGGACGGGGAAGGAGTAGATAGTACTAGGGGCAGGTTCCTGGGAAAACTGGGATGAATGTGGTACAGTCTTGATCCTGACCACCAGAGACGCCACCGTCGCCAGAAGAAAACAAGATGGAAACCCCGCGCGCACCAAGTTGAGCGTATGCATTGCACAGGTTGCTGAAGCGACAGTGACGTTAGACAGCTCATTGGATAGAGGAAAGCAAAAAGCATACGTGGCAAGGTCAATTGGAAGTTGGTCTTCGTCGAAACCGAATGAGGTCGTCAATACCTGGAAATTGGTTGTAAGGTTATATTTATGTCGTTGTCTTCGCCATCGGTCTCACCTGTGGCGGTGAGTCAAGGCTGAGGAGAGCATTGATCTGGTCTAAAAACCCTTCAATGCCGTCTTGGGTGTTGTCACCAACGGTGACAAAAATGACGGGGACGCCCGACGCGACACCAACAGTATAATCGATATCAAGGCTCTATTTTCGATGGGAATATAAGTTTGAATTCGGATATGGTCACATGAAATAGGCTTGCCGCTTCGACGCCAGGGGCTTGATCCTGAGAGTCCTGGCCATTGTCAACACTGATGACGCTGAACTGGGTTGAGGAGGACAGGTCGGGTCTGAATTGTTGAAGGAACAGCTACCCAAGAGATTTCTTCATGCATCAGCAAAGAGAATACGGTGTCTGTCGATGCCAAATACCTGCAGATCGCCCAAGTTTGCGAACTGACCACCAAAACCGGATACTGCTAGTGTGTTGGACGACTGCGTTGCAGGGGCTGAGGGGATCCCATACTGCGCTTGCAAACAGGCTGGCGTGACCTGTGTCTCACAAGATGCTGGCACGTCGTCTGCGTTGGCCCTGACAGATGCTGTGAGGTTGGTCTTCAGGGCGAGTTTCGTGACAGGCGGGATAGTGCTCTTCACTGGAAACCTGCAGAGACGTCATTCAGTCCCAGAGTTATACAAAAAAAATAGATTGGGAGAAATTACGCGATAGTGGGATGGATGAAGCTTATGTGGTCCTTCAACGAGGCAGGGATGGAATATGACAGGGTACGGACAGCTTTCGTTCCCGAGTCTAGTTGCGTAAATGTCGAGAAATCGGCATCGAGGAGCTCGTTGGCTTTCTCGACTGTCGTATTGACGGCAATCCAGTCGCCCGAGGGAGACACCTTGGAGGATGTAAGGCCATTTGACGAGAGCCACTCATTAATAGCCGAGACCGTATCTGATGAGGGCGCGACGAGCTCCTCGACCTGAGTGGCAGAATAAACGTCCGAGCGCAGCAAATGTACAGGGTACACATTACCTCTTCCTTGGATAAGTGTTGCCCATAACGTGGATTGCCGGGAGTGCTGACAGCATAGAGCGCATCTTCCAGGCCTTGAAAGTTGTTCTGAGTGAGCGCCAAGCGGAGGTCGAGCGTATCGGTCGCAGGAGCAGGACCGCTGTTCGCATATCCGGTTGGAGGGCTATCGCGGCGTTCGTGCACTCGCATGGCACGTTGGGCATGAGGTTTAGCACATGCGAGAGCGATGAAGGGGGCTACGAGGGCGATAACTCTAACCATGTCGAATGCTTCGAAGACGGGTGAGATTTCTGGGGGTAGAGGTGGATGACGGGTCTCGTTTTATAGAAGAGTCGGAGCATAGCAGTCCAAACTGAAGATTCTAGGCTGCACGGGCATTGTTCTGTGCAGTGTGACGCATCAACAAGTACTGCACAGGGACAGGGAAGAGGAGGCGAATCTGCGACATAGTCCTGCTATAGTTGGCTTGATGGGTGGACTCTTCTTTGCAGTGAAGAAGCATCGATCGGACCTGCCTGAACATGCATGTCACCTCCAGACACATGCATGTTCCCTCCAGACCCGAGCGAAGCTATAAATAAAACCATACACAGCATGCATCGGTTCCATCTCGACGTTCATGGACCTGCGGGATCAGACCCAGTAGAAAACTCATCGAGGGAACTCACCACACCATGATGTAGGCTGCGTATCGGCGAGCGCGGGCAGTACAGCATCCAGACATCCATTTTTCACGGCGCTTCTTGACCCGCTCCGCTGTATCCACACTCAGGACAATCTTCTCTTGCCCGCCGACAGGGCTACGGCGTCTTTCTCATCAGGAGTATTCTGCTCTTGTACTGCCCGTGATCTCATCGTCGGAATCCTTGCGGCTCATCTGTGTGTATCACCTATGATCACTCCCTCCGCATGTATAGCACATGCATCTGCTGAGCGCCGGGCACTCGAGCAGACTCGAGCTCAATCTATGAAAAGAGTTGCTTGGCTGCGAACCTTGAAATGGGCACCCTCTATCTCCTCTCGGAATGTGCCAGTGGTCGCTCAATATGGCGGAAGGGCTCTGGTAGATCAGGATATTGAAGTGCAGCTTGGACGTTGTTTAGGATGTCACGGTAAGCGCTGGCGAGTGGTTTTGGTTTGAACCGTGCGCAAACGGCCACCTTCCGAGTTTTGTCAAACTGATCATTTTAGTCTGCAAAGCCTTGTAAACCTACAATCGTTTAGGATCTCAGTCGACATGCTGTACGCATTGCCTTAGCGTCTGAGGCGTGACGTCTCCCAACAAATTCTATTTGTAGCCTTGGCTGTGACGCGGAACGGATTCGCAAGAGCTCTCATTCCTATACAGTACTTTTGTAGGTGGTGTATAGCCTTTTCAAATGTGAAGTTCTTGATCCGAGTTACCCTGCATGACAGATGCGTGAGCAAATACATGACCATATATGAGATGTTTTGCTTCGGGAGATCGCTGCCTTTTCCTTCTCGGTCAACCAGGCGTTCATACGCAGGCTCTGCCCGAATTCAACAAGATGAAGCTGTGTTTTTCCCTGTGTCTTCCCACCCTTTATGGTGTTCAGTGTGAATGACTTGTATGTTGAAGGCAGCTTGATATGGATGTTTGACAATGCATTCTATCCGCTCGGCATCATAGTGCAGTGCCAGCGCACTCCGTGTCACTTGAAACACATAATGCATCTCGACTGAATGAAATCGGGGATTTCTCTGTACTGTTACAACCCTGGACCACGCTTTTGCATCTTCGCGGGTTTCATGACGGTTCCCGTTCAATGGCGAAGAGTGCACACGGATGCCAGATCTATTCCGGCCTCAGATCTGAAATCAGCATCTTGACTCGATAATTCACCACGCTTTGCAGAAATTTGATATTCACAGTCTCCCAACCTGCAGTCGATGTTCACTTTCATGATTTCCGACAATATTGTGGTCCGTGTAAATATGGTTCCCAAGAAAACAATGTACCAATATTTCCGCTTCAATTTCTTCGAAAACATAACGTGCTGATGCTCTGATGACCTGTAGAGAATTGCGCAGAATAACCCTATCATCCATGTCTCTACCAAACAAGCCAATCTGCCGAAGCATTATAGACTGTTTGGTTCCAACCGTCCTCTCCCTTCTGCAAAGTCTCAACTCTCTCGACCTCTCCCTTCCCTAACTTGAAGTCATTATACAAGTGCGGAAACATCCCCTCCTCGCCGGGCAGTCCACTGACTTCCCCTATGAAATCCTCCCACTTGATCTGTTCCTCGATACGGGTGTAAGCTATGCGAAGGACATAAACGCGTGGCTCATCCTTGAAGAAGAATTGGAGAGTGCCGGGTACTTGTGGAGCAGTGGAGAGAAAGATGAATCCAGAGGCCTGATCGGTATCACTAACGGGCAGAGCGTCAGGTAGATTGCCAATGTCAGGGATGGGAGTGGAGGATGAAATGATTTTGTATAGATAGTTCGGTTTAGATTCCTCGGACATTGTGGCAGGCGTTATGGGAGAACGAGCTTGGTGACTGAGATTTAGTGAGTGTATGCTCCAGTGCGAGTGCCCTTTTATAACTCATCCTTCCGATATCCAGTTTCCACACGGTACGTCGTGCATTCCTCTGTGGGGTCTTCGACATCAAACCGCAGTCCCCAATTGAACTCTCACTGCGGTGTTCCATGCATGTTGGTCATCAGAGCCAACACCATATAGAACCTCTTGGGCCTTTGCGATACGAACGCCCTGACGTGGAGGAGCACTTTCAGACTCCATACATTTATGAAATGTACAGTACCCTCGGGCGATACTCGGAATTGCGGTAAGTCAACTTGCTGTGTACCGTCATGTTATGAGCTGACGTACTTGATGACCTCCAAAGCACCAACATTCATCTCAATGGGGTCCTGAGGAGTCGTGTCACATGTGAGTATCTCAGGGTCCAAACTATTCACCTTTTCGCCTGTCAGTACTAGCCGCTGTCAGATCTTCTCATGCAACGTCAACAGCAAGTTGCGCAGAAGGCGTGGTTCTCCCCAAACCATGTACCGACTCATGCAGCCTTGTACACGAGTCGATTTACATGGAAGGCGTATCAGTGCCCTCGTTTGGTTCTCGTCAATGACAGGGTTTCAGAATAGTCATGTGAAAATTACATCTCTGTTGGAGCTTTTGACGTTATCACAGGCCAAAAGTCTTCTAGGACAACCAGAGGAAAGGGCGAACTTGAAAATAGTCATACAGAGAAGGTGCGTAGGCGGTAGTAGCAACCGCAGGTTGCTAAACCCCCGTGTCTCGTAGGTCTAACAACAAGACTCACTCTCGAATGGGCCCTGTCCTAGGAAGTAGCTCGAGCCTCTCCCTGCGATTGAAGTTACATGGAAGTTCGATACCTCACCTTGGTGGTCTCATGTTGGCATATTGGTCGACCAAGAAAAAGAGCTCCGTAAAGGCCTACATTGTCCGACTTGTCTGCAAGCGCGGAACGCTCCCTTGCGAAGTCCAGTCACCTTTCCGCATCATACCCACTCCAATAGATGCGAGGGCTCAGCACACCAGCTGTTCATGAAGCACTTTGCAGCGCCACGTAGGAGACAGACCAAACACAGCATAAAAATATTGCTCACCTCCCCTCCCCAAGTCAAACTCGTCTCTGACGTCGAACAATCATATGCTCTGCGACATCCCGGTCAAGGCAACATGGGCACTGGAGTTTCAATTCGAGTCCAGATAGGCACCACAGTCCATGATAGTAGTCGTTACGAGAGAGAACGTTATGACGCGCGTTATGATGTCCATGCATTGTCAGAAGTACTCGAGCCGTTCACACCAACTGGACGTTTCCTGCTCCAATAGGCACGCTGAACATCCCAAAGGGAGGCACGCGGTAGTCGGTTCCGTTGTTCAAGGACGGTTGTAAGAATAATTGATTCGACGTAAAATAGAGGCGGTTATTGGTTGCGACCGATAGTGTATCCTAACGTGGCGAAAAACTGTTGAGCTGAAACCGATCACAAGTCGTCAAAAACATATGACCACTCACAGGCCACTGAATCCTAGGATCCTTGACAAGGGTCTCCAAGAGGCCGGTGTCGGGATGAAGAATGGTAATGGCATTGTGTTCAGGTGCGCTGATATAGATCAATCCATTTGCATCCGTTTCAAGGCCGTTCGCGTGGCTAGGCAGTTCTCCGATGAACTGAGTTCCGGCAATGGCGGCAATGGCTGCATTCGGGTGCACAGGTCCTGGTTGTACAAGGAGCAGAGAGGTCGGGACACGGTATAAGCGTCGCGAGGCAAGTGGGGTGAAGTAAAGGAATTCGCCATCTTTGATACAGGGTTTGCAGTTGGCTCATATTGTCAGATACACTATATTACACCGGGACAATTAAGCTCACCATTGCTCAGGGCAATTCCATCCGCTCCCGTGGTGATACGCGTGAAGATGCCAGATGGCGTAACAGGCTGCAACGGTCGACCATCGTAAGAGCTTCTAAAATTATCATCTGCCCTGGTCAGCGCGACACTATCGAGGTGCCTCCAAGCCTTTCCGGTTCCCAGATCTACCACGATGATACCGTTCCGTCCCTCGTTACTTTCGGCAAAAATCATATCAGCTTAAGACACGGTTTCGGACCCATGCACAGGCCACAAACCTCGAATCAGCGATGTATGCGACGCCCTTGCCCGCCGGTAGCGTACTGGTTCTCAAGTCGAAGCGCACATCGTTCAAATACGAGTCCGGGAATGCTACTCCAACGGGCAAAACGAAGGTGGCTAGCTTTGTTCCGTTCTGATCAAATGCGACCAGCTTGGGACCACCCTCGCTCCCGAGCAGCGACTGTGCATTCAGAAGAGGTCGCCCAGAATCAAGGGCCCATACACGATCGAGCGCATCCACAACCACGCTTTGCACGCTGATGAGATGATCGCTATCGCTCGAGCCGAAATGAGATGGATCCGTGGAAGAGAGGAACCCCGTAGGTGGCTGATTGACCTCGACAGAGGGAAAAGCTGCTTCCGTCGTGTTGCTGGTGATGATACCGAGAGAAAATTTCGAATTGGTAGAATTAACGTCTGTGGGAAAGGTCGCATATATCTTGCCCGTTGAAGACACGCCGACACCCGTCGGCCACTGGTGCCATAGATAGATACGAATTATACCACTAAGTCAGACATATGCGAGTTTGAAGAGCTTGAGGCCATGCTCTTACCTGGTCCAAAAAAAGATGTTCTACTGTCAACTCAGGACCAATGCTCGCATTTCCGAAGACTTGAAAAGGGCCATATGGATTGAAAGCCAACGCTCCTGTTTCAAATGTCCCTCTAATCGACCCCGAAGCAAGCACGCTTAGCAATAATGTCGACAACGAGAGAAGTATGGCTGCACGCATTTTGTATCAGTGCAACTTTAGGTAGCTGAATGGGGGTCAGACCACAGTGGACTCACTGACGACCATCTGACCGCGAACACGCGTATATAACGCCTTAAATCCCGCAGAAGCTCTATGTGACTCCGCTGACGTCAATAATCATCCCTGGGTCAGCCTCCGAACGCTTCCTCGGGCGCTTCACCCTCTCTGTTATGTGAAGGGGAAGAAATCGACAGCATAAGCAGCAAGATTCCCTGAGATGAGCTCAACGTGGTGGAGTCGATTGTCGAAGCACCAAGCATGATAATGTAGCTTAGAACAGTAAGGATATCGCAGTTAGAGGTTGCGAGGCATGAATCAGAGAATTGAAAGAGAGTTAGGGAATGTTATCGATGTTGCAGCAGTTACACAGTACGTGATAGTCATTGATGAGCGTAAATTGAGTGTTGCCTGCGTGTGATTTTTGGAGCTGATTGAGTGAAAGCTGACTGAGTGAGGTGGTCGGATGGGTGTCGGATGGTGCCCCGAGCTGGGGTGCCGCAGGCTGACGCCGAATTCGTGCCGGCGTCACGACGACTCCAGTGCGCCAGCGACGACTGCCTTATATATGTCGGCCAGATCACTTCTCCACAACAAACTTGAACCAAAGTCTGTGATCTTCACATTGATTATTCCCTCAGAACCAACATCTACAGCGACTTGAACGATGTCGTCGGTGTATGAATTCTGTAAACGGGTCTACTCTGTACGCCGAGCGAGCTCATTTCTTTCTCTAGACCCAGAATCATGAGACCCATGTAGGTGCTGTACCCCCCGGCGGCAGTGCCTTCGTCTACACCCCTCAAGTTCGGCATTCTTGGCGCTGCAAACATCGCGCCCATTGCGCTCGTGCGCCCTGTCAAGAATCACCCTGATGCCGTTGTTTACGCGATTGCGGCGCGCGATAAGTCGCGTGCGGACGACTTTGCGAAGACGTGGGGCGTTGAGAAAGCATATGGGTCGTATCAAGGTACGACAGCTTTGACGTGCGTGAATACATATTGGTCAGGCTCTCAAAGGAATTGTATGAACAGAGCTCTTGGACGACCCTGCGATAGATGTGATCTATAACCCAGTATGTTTTGTCCGTAACGCTTGTAACCTAACAAATATCCGACGCGCCTTCAGCTTCCAAACGGTTTGCACTACGAGTGGACCATGAAAGCACTTGCTGCAGGTAAACATGTCTTGCTCGAGAAGCCTAGCTCCAATACGGTAGAAGAGACGCAGAAGATGTTCGCGTTTGCGAATCAGAAGGGGCTTGTACTCCTCGAAGCGTTCCACTATAGGTAGAGTTTGTCTGCTTCTCTAGTGGTTGTCTGCTGATATCAGCCAAGATTCCATCCTGCCACTCAGCGCCTGAAGGAAATTGTCGACAGCGGGGAGCTTGGGAGATCAAGATCATTGAAACGAGCCTCGCTCTTCCCAGGGGATTCATCAAAGACAATGACATCCGTTTGTCCTATGATCTGGGAGGAGGGGCCATGATGGACATGGGATGTGTGTCCAAATTTCTTTCCTTCTCAGCCCCACTCATGGCAGTTATAATAAAATGTCGCAGGCTACACGCTTTCCTTTGCACGATATCTAGCAGGAGCGGATCCCGTCAGAGTTTCGAGTGCTTCAGCTGAAACTTCGCCTGCTTTTCCGCGCGTCGATATTGGCACAACCGCTCAGCTGGCTTTTCCCCCTGCTTCCAGGAGCGAGGGAGACGCCCCGATCATAGCCTCTCTCAAAGCTCACTTTCGCTTGCCTGGGTGGGGCCCATTTGCTCTGATCCCCAGTATGCCTTCTCCGAGCGCTCATGTCGTCGGCACCGATGGAGAAGCGTTCTTATTTAATTATCCTGGCCCATGGGTATATCATTATATATCTGTAAAAACGTACGGAAAACACGGGAAAGGCAAGGCGATCAAGAGGACAGAGAAGAGGTACGGCGAGAAAGGAAATGGGGCCTGGTCAACGTGAGCTCTCGCCTGTGACTTTATTTATTGCGGCCAGCGACCTCATGCGTGAGAACTAGGTATCGCTACCAGCTGGAGGCATTTGTCGACAAAGTGCGGGGGCGGACGCCGCAACACTGGTTTGATGCCGAAGACTCTGTCTCCAACATGAAATGGATCGAACACATCTATGAAGAAGTACGCCGATTCTTTCTGACTTTTTGACATTTTTGGATGTTGATCTCCTTCATCTCTCAAAGACGAAGGTTGGTGTCCGGCCAGCTTCGGAGGCAGTCATTCCGGAGACATGAGAGAATTCAACAAGCTTGTCACGAGCGGGTGGGGGCGTTGAAGGATTGGACTGTCGGGTAGCACAGATATGTTGTGGAAGTCCGAATGTCAGAGCGTGATTTCCGCCGCATTGGTTCCGCGATTTGCCAAGCGCGTAGCACCGACGGTGACGGCGACGCCGCAGCGCTTGATGGCGAACGCTCAAAGATCGAGGGCAATATTCCGGAGCGCCGAGTCTGCGTACCAGGCTCCTCACCGCGGACTGTTTGAGCAACTGCCGCCACTGCGACGGCTATGAAAATCCTGATTGGAAAGGCAGACGGACGACGTGTGCGCCGTGCGGACTCCGGAGCTGGGAGTGGAGAAGTGACGAGAGTGTGACAGACTCATTATGAAGGGTGTGACGGGGATGTTGGTGAGTGTGACCTGTAGCGAAGTAGTGAGCGGAGCTCTCCCTCGTCTACACACTCGACGACCACAGTCCTTCCTCGCCCTCGCCGTCGTACACGACGTCTTCTCACATCCCTTCGAACCATCCCCACCCCCATCAACTCTGGCGTCGTCTTCCCGCTCCTACCCATGAGCTCTCAACAAGACCAGGGCCAGGTCCCGGCCGACTACAGAGCACCAGTCCCTGTCCAACAGCAGTCCGTCTACCCCTCCTTCACCGACGTCAACGGCTTGCTTCCATCTCCACATCGATCCCCGCCTCACAACCACAGTGGTCCGCTCTCTGCCCCGCCGGTAAACTCCGGCCGCCTACCCGACCGTCCATACGTCCCAGCACGCGCATCCACTCTTGGCTCGGCCCTCGAGCTCGAACACAACAAGCACGACCACGACCACGATGTGTTCGCCCACGCTCATAGCGAGGACCTCAACCACTCAACTCCGGCGCGCAACGGTGTTCTGCACGGCGATTATGCCTTCTCCGCCTCCGCACCTTCCCCCGCTTTCCTCTCTCCGAGTCGTCCGACCACCCCTGGCAGTTCAAGTTATCCGCTGCCCCCCTCGTCTTTGGGACACTCAGAAGAATCCAGCAAACGTCTCAGTACAGGATCCGCGTCTTCCTTGTATTCAGGGTCGTCAAATTCCAACGCCCCTGCTCCTCGTCCACCCCCATCGAATACGTCTGTTAGCAGCGTCTCGCCTACGTAAGTGCATCTCCTTGGCATTGTAAATAGAATCAGGCTACTCGGAGTCTATCGTGGCCGACTCGTTTCCCGTTCAGCGCTGATATCATTTTATTTCTTATAGAATATGCTCGGCATGTGGGCAGACAATGCAGGGAGCATTCGTTCGTGCATTGGGGACTGTATTCCACCTCCAATGCTTTAAATGCATGGTACGGTGTCGTCGTCTCGTACTTGCTTGTTCGGTCTTCTGATCATGTCGCAGGACTGTGGGACAGTCGTAGCCTCTAAATTCTTCCCTATCGACGGGAACGATGGCAAGCAGCAACCCCTCTGCGAACGGGACTATTTCCGTCGGCTGAATCTCATTTGTGCAAAGTGCGGAATGGCGCTGCGAGGGAGCTACATCACGGCGTGCAGTACGTTATATCATCTTTGATCGTACAAGGCCCATCTGATTCGTGCACAGACAAGAAGTTTCACGTTGAACACTTTACATGTTCCATTTGTCCAACGTTATTCGGCCCCCAGGACTCGTACTACGAGCATGACAATGACGTGTACTGTCATTATCACTACTCGACTCGATTTGCGACCAAATGCGCTGGGTGCAACACGGCGATCCTCAAGCAGTTTGTTGAGATCAATCGAAATATGCGAGACGAGTGCTGGCACCCAGAATGCTACATGATCAACAAAGTACGTTGCTTGCTGTTATCTTTTCCCGAAATATGACCGAATGGTTATTGTATAGTTCTGGAATGTCAAGGTCGTTACGCGTCGGTCAATGAATCTCACAGGCCAAAGTATGGAGGTCAGTGAACCTCTGTACGCGGATGAGGAGCGCAAGGAGACAGCAGCGACACTCAAAGAGAAACAAGTCAGAATGGAACAGCAAGTCTACCGTATCTGGACGTGAGTGCTTCCCTTTGGCTTTGCTTTCAGAGTTAACGAGGCCCATCCCCAGGGTTTTATCGGCATTCGAGGAGTCGAGTGCCGCATGTATATCAGATATGTTGCGGCAGGTCAGTAGCGGACAATATCTCGAGGCCATCAGGATGGCGGAGAAATTCATCTTGCACGTGGAGGTATTGTTTGCCACCATCGATGACTTGGAACATTACTTCGGACGTCTTAACCTCAAGGGTACGCAACGTACGAGTTGAATGAGAGATCTATAGACATATACTTACACAAGTGTGTTATCTAGGAATGTCACATGTACGAGAAGCGCGCATGTTGTGCCGCAAGACGGTCGACCTCTTCACTCTGTTATCGCATACACAAGAGACCGGTGCGAAAAGGATGGGGATGACCCAGGAGCTTCTCGCGCTTGTAACCGGCCTCGCGCACTATCTCAAGATCTTGATTCGGATTGCGCTTACAGGTGCATTGAAGCTTGAGCGGGAGCACGACATGCGTGAGGCCATGTCTTCTTTCCTCGACAAGCTACACCTTCTTGCCGTTCAGGGAGGGAACCCGTCAGCGCGTCGTATGATGAAAAGCGCGAAGGGAGAGACTTTGACCGCCAATCGCTCTGGGAACCAGGGGACCAGTGGTGTCAACTATGGCTTCCGGAGTCTAGCGCCTGAGAATGCGGGCGAGTCGCCCTTCCTCGGTGCACCGCGCGATCCTGGACTCAGCAGTGTCCCTGTGGTCAATCCACCGTCGGATCTGTGCGTCAAATGCAATCTGACCGTCGAAGAGGACTGCGTGCGGCTGGGGACATACCAGCGCTGGCACTCACATTGTGTGCAGTGCGCGACATGTGGAAAGGTGGCTGCTGTGGCTGTACCACAGGAAGCCCCCAAAAGCCTCGAGGAGAAAGAGAAAGAGAAGGACGGAAGTCCGCCGAAGATCACCACTGTTCGGCGGCCACCTGCCAACGTCGAGCAGTTCGTCTATGAGCTAGACACTGTCAAAGATACACCATCCTTCGGTGCGATACCGACCGTCGTCTACTGTACAGAGCATGGCCATGGATATTGTCGATCTGGTTTTCAGGCAGTGTCGCGGTTGGAGCAGTACGCCTTCCTCCTCAACGTTGCTCTCCGTCGCCTCTATTTGCTTCTCAAGAAACGCAAAGTCATTCCGCTCACACCTAGTACGTCATTTCTCCTTAGCATCCGTAAGGCACAGCAATCGAACTGAACGCCGGCACAGCTACGGGACAGGCTCCGGAGCTCCAGCAGGATCCGTACCGAAACTCGGGAGACATCATGCGTATGAAGTCTCACCTCGACCGCAAGTTGTCCGCAACATCCTCCGCTGCGCGGCTACCCAAACGCTCGACGATTGTAGAGAGCCCGACGGGGAAAGTCGCGCAGTCGACGGATGTACATAACTCACACAAGGCCCACCATCCCGATGTCACATCGGCGTCATATGGGCAACGCATACCTGCACAAGCTGCGCAACAGTCTTCAACATCTGGGCGATCTCAGCCCCAGCGACCTCCACAACCACAGCAGCAACAGTCATCTCCACAGCTTCCTCCACCGACGAGTACCTATCCACCACAGCGACCCAACCTCATACCGCCCGGACAACTGGATATGACGCCGCAAAGTCAGGTCATCCGGCCATCGTTCGCTCGCAACAATACTGAGATCATGATTGTTGACGATTCGGCACCAACATCGCCTGCTGGCGGACCTCCATACGACCCCCTTATTCCGCCTGTGGGGGAGGATAACATCACATTAGCAGACATTCCCCAGCTCGTAGAGGCTGCTCAGGCAATTGAACAGCATCGGTCGCTGCCACGGCAGAATTCGATACCGTATATTGCGGAGCTCACACCCCTTGAGCTAGCTATTGTGAAACATTGTGCGGTGCTCGTCCTCCAACGGTCGCCGCTGCGCGATCAGTTCGACCTCGACGAGATCTTAGAGATGGTGGAGGTTAAGAAGCAGGGATTCTGGAAACAGCTATTCAAGGGAAACGATAAGAAGAATGTGAAGAAGAAAGGTTCGTATGCCATCTCCATCTCGAGGGATTGGAGGTCTGATGAGGTGACAGGCGTTTTCGGTGTGCCCCTCGAGCTGCTTGTTGAGCGAGAGGGCGCTGACTCCATGCATGGCGCCTCTCGAGCTACCCTGAGAGTTCCCAGTTTCATCGATGACGTGGTATCCGCGATGCGACAAATGGGTAAGCAAATCGAGATTTTGTCAGAACCATTGACTCACTGCTTCACATGCAGATGTGTCTGTGGAGGGTATATTCCGAAAAAATGGGAACATCCGCCGGCTGAAGGACCTGACCGAGACCATTGACCGAGACCCTTCATCTGTGGATCTGAGTCAAGATAACGCAGTGCAGCTTGCGGCTTTACTCAAGAAGTTCCTTCGAGATCTACCAGATCCGCTCATGACCTTTAAGCTACATCGGTTACTTATTGCGTCTCAAGGTACGTAGACAGATCTCCCCCGCAGATCGTGGCTGACGCTGTCTCCACGCCGTAGCATTGCCGAATGAAGCCGACCGTCAGCGATTGCTTCATATGATCTCACTCATTCTTCCTAAGAGCCATCGGGATACTATGGAGATTCTCTTCGTTTTCCTCAAGTGGGTCGCCCAGTTCGCTCACATGGATGAACAGACGGGCAGCAAGATGGACCTACCGAACCTTGCGACAGTCATTTGTCCGAGCATCCTTTACTCACAAGGCCGCGACGCCGTCCGGGACGACAGCTTCGGCGCGATCCGCGTGGTCACCGCGCTGTTGGAGAACCAGGACGAGTACTACGCTGTGCCGCAGGAGTTCTTACCTATCCTTCATGATCAAGACTACTTTGCGCACAGCATGGACCTCCCTAGCAAGGAGTTCATGAAGAAGTGTGACACGTATATGCGTCTCAAGGCGAGTGGGCGAAGTCTACCAGGACCCAGCATGTCGCCCGGAGGCTCGTCGTCTCCATTTCAGCCCAACAATGCTGGTTTAGCGCGATCAAACGAGAGTGTAGAACCGCGGTCAGTCCATTCATTCTCAGTGGATTTACTCTCATGGGCTGATTGTGCCCGAATTTGGTATAACAATATGTCTCAGGTTGGGTCCTTCATTATCCCGAAGCCCTGAACGGCCGGCGATATCGCCATCATCACAATCTGATGGCCTTCTCCGCAACGGCTTCCCAGGACAGTCTCGCCAACAGTCTATGCCTTCGCAGCCAGGTCTCATGCACTCTCCCAACTCCTACACGTCTCCTAGCCAGCTTCCTGCATCCATCTCACAGGGTGTTGCGATGATTCAGCAGCAGCAGCAACAGCAGCAGCAACAACAACAGTCGCTCCAACAGCAGTCATCGGACCCAGACTGGGTGAATGCACAGCGACCGCCACAAACACTTGTATCAGCATCACGGCCGGTGTCAGCTTCGTTTGGTCGTGCGAGCGGGGAGCATGCGTTTGCACCGCCAAATGGGCACACTCCGCCACCAGTACAGATGCGGCAGCGCTCGTGAGGCGCCCTTACCATGGTCTCTTGAATTGGATGACCACTCCAGTTGTGCCTACGATTCATAGTGGCCTTGCTATTCGCTCTCAGAACTTTCACTCTCTCCATGCTGTATAACTCTTTCTGACTTGACTTTGACTCTACGTGCCCATACGCGGCGCCAGCTCCACACCACACACCATAGCATTCTGCACGACGCGCGCGTCTGTCTGCCAGGATGATATCGCATATCTGTAGTCCACTATAACGCTTTGGAATTTTCATATTCGTTATCCTTCCTGTTCTTCGTTCTCTCCGTTCCGTTTTTCCTCTTTCTTTTCCTTGCGAACTCATTTTTTGCATCCTCGCTCGCTTAACATGCACAGGTAACATTATGAACACGGACAGTGGCACGAACATCGACAATAATGATACCCCTTGAAGCTCGAGGCTTGACCAGTGACCAGTCGACCGTCCAATCAGTTTCGCAGTCTCCTTGATTACAGCGAGCGAAGAATCGGTGGATGGTTCGCCGCAAGGGATATGGGGCAGTTTCATGAGAAGGTAAGTCCGATGCAACTATAGAACCCTATCGATAGAACCCTGTCGAACGACAATGACGCCAAACCACCGCGAGTGACACCCTGCGACAACCTGCAGTTTTCCTCTATAATAGGAAGATTTTGCCTTCTTTGGAAGACACCTTCTCACAGATCCTCGGGCGCGAGACGTATATTGATTTTTCGCTCGCTGTAAGCGTGAAGAGCAAGGGTTGCATTAAACTCGCTGGGCGACGAACAGTCACATTGTGCACCTGGTAACTGGCAAGCACTTATCAGAGACTGGCAGAGCTCTACCGTGCTGCAGCCCTTGTACTTTTCAGCGGATCCATGCCTCTTGTCTTGGAAGGTGAAGCTTCGACGTACCTGGTCCCACCAGCATGGCTTGGTCGCGTTGACGTATAGATTTGTCTACATATAGACCATGGACCGCCTGTGCGTGTATGTCTCTGCTCTGCAGGCGTGCGATTAACGTCCGTGCGTGAGAGTTGAGTGTCCTCAGCATTCTTAAGCTGCCTAGAGCCCAAGAACCCTTCGTGTCAACTGACCATCTGTAGCACACTCAGTCATGGCCATAGGTACCGTCGACTGTACTGCGGTCACCGCTGAATGGCTTGCGCGGCTCAATAGCGTTGCCACCAGCGGCGACGTCAATGCGTTCTCAGACCTCTTGTCCACCGGTTGGATGCGGGGTACGTTTCCTGTGCACTTATCAGGTAAATCCCTGGACTGAATTTCCAGTCAGATCTCCTCTGCTTCAGCTGGGACTTTCGTTCTTTGGGCGGCCGCGATAAGATTTCCGCGTATCTTTCAGAAGATGTATCCGAAAGCGGAGATAGCAGCAACCACTCTCGTCTTGCTCACGCTGGTCTGTCCGACATCGTCCTCGAAACTAGCTCGTCCCTTGGCCTACCTTCTTCTTTCCCGGTTCCCGACGAATCTCTTAGTGCATCAGGTGTCATAGCTGCCTTCACATTCACTCTCAAGAATCCTGCTCGCACTGGCCGCGGTCTTGTTCGCCTCGTGCAGGACCATTCCGATGATTCTACGAACGAGTCTGTATGGAAGGCCTTCACCCTGCTGTTCAATGCTGAAGACTTGGTTGGACATGAAGAGCTCAAGGGGCGTCCTATGAGTCCTGTTTGGGACCCTCATTGGAAGTCCTGGTCAAAAATAAAGGCAGAATGGATCAAGGGCGTCGAGTCGGATCCCACTGTTTTGATTGGTCCGTGTTTGTCATTTCTTTTCATCCGTCTGTTGACTCCAAACTATCTGGACAGTCGGCGGCGGTCAGGCGGGACTCATGTGTGCAGCGCGCATGGGCCGAATGGGCATCCGCGCTCTTGTGGTAGACAAAGTGCACAGAGTTGGTGATAACTGGCGCAACCGGTAAATATCTCGTTTTCGTCGCACCCTCAGTTTTGAATACCCTCGTCAGATATTTCAATTTATCTCTTCATACGCCTGCATCTCACTCCACAAGTACGTGTCTTCTATCTATTTGTTTGTAAAAGCACTGATGTCAACTGATATACAGTGCTGTACCATCCATGGCCGTAAGTTTGATATACAGTGCTTTCTAAGCTATCATCGTTTTGATTGAGGCGTCCAGAATAACCTATCCTAAATTTCTACCTCGCGACGTCGTTGCCGACTTCCTTGAGGCCTATGCTATCGGCCAAAACATCGCTATCTGGCTCTCGTCCACGGTGCTTAGTGATCCAAATCCTGTATATGATGAACAGACGGGGACATGGACAGTGTTAATACACAGACAATACCCCATCGGTGATGGCGGTGAGTCCTTCAGGAATGCCATCAGCACTTGTTTTGCAGTCATTTCTCATTATCATTGGCAAAGTCAAATCCCAGATTGTCACTCTACGTCCAAGACATATTGTAATGGCAACGGGGACTGGACATGCTCATATACCGCAATTGAAAGGAATGGGAGATTTCAAAGGCGCTATCTACCACAGTGACCAGCATAAAGATGCTGAAATATGGGCCGGCAAAAAAGCAGTCATCGTTGGTGCAGTAAGCGTACCTATGTTCTTTACACATGAGGTTCTCTGCTGACTTTCCCTGCCAGGGCAATGCCGCTGCTGATGTGGCTCAATCTTTTCTGTCGCCCAGTCATCGTGCAGAATCTGTCACTATGATCCAGCGCTCTGCCACGTGTGTCATTTCATCTCGAACCGCGGACATCGCCCTTTTTTCCTCCTATGAACCAGAGGCCCTTGCCATCGAAGATGCGGATCTGCTGGATCATAGCATGCCCTGTCATCTGGGCCTTCAGCTAGCCGTAAACGGTGGAACTGAGCACATAAAGGAAATGGACAAGCAAAAACACCTGACGTCCATCTCAGGCACCCCGGCACCCCTAGGACCCCGGATTTTGTGGTCATCGCTGTCGTCTCAGCACCGCTGCATCTCGTCAACGCGACGACTTCTCAGAATCCACATACTTCGAATACACCTAGTTAACCCCACTGCATAAGTCTCATTAAGGAGCTCAAGGTCGCATCATGACACCCCTAACCCGGGCGTCGAAATCGACGAAGTCACCATCGACGGTTCGGGGTCTTGGCTCACCTGGGCGCCGCCCAACGCGCTCAATGGACATAGACGAGCTCATGGAGGCCTCACCTTCAGAAGTAAAGGATGCGGATGAAGCAAAAACTATACTGGAAAAGAATTTGATGGTTATCCTGGGTGAAGAAATCACTATCGACACTCTACGCACCTCGCTATGGCATATCTCTCAGGGTGCCAAAATGCCGGCTACAGCGAAAACATTGGTTCAGGCAGTTGCCTTGCTATTGGGAGAGATTGACGAGGACCTAAAAGTGGAGAGCATTGCAGGGAGAGTTACGGAAATGGTCCTGGACAAGCTGAGTCCGGACATTAATCAACTCGCTTATATGAGTGAATCTTTGAAGGCCTCCAGCTCCTCGGTGGAAATCTCGATCGCCTCCCTATGCGACTTCCCCTCCCATTCACAGGCGGAATCAGACTCCCTTCAGAAGCTAAAGGACAACATAGAAAGTTCACGCCAGAGCCAAGCAGAGGATAGCAAGATGCTCCTTACGGGAATGCGGGAAGTATCCGAGAAACTGAAAGAGGTCGCTAAACGAGTTGATTCCATCCCCATCCCCTCCACCCCGTTGACCTCCTCCGTCCCACATCCCGACCCCTCCTGGTCGTATCGCAACGCGCTCCTTAATACCTCCGCCAGCGGTCATGGGCAGAACCTTGTCGATCCCAAAGTAGCCCGACAGTCTATTCTGAAGGCCAGGCAAATTCTTGTCGATCTGAGCTACCCTGGAAGCGAGACGGTCCCGGCGCGCAGTCTCGAATCCATCCGCGACACGGCAATCCACTTCTGCAAGACGGCCGAACCCCGCCCCTCTTGCGACATAGTTATCGAGGACATTTTTAGAATCCAAAACGGTGGAATCATCTTCCAATTCAACTCGAAGGAAGCCGCAGACTGGATTCGCTCCCCCCCGGTGAGCTCGCCCTTTGCAAATGCCTTCGGCAACGGAGCAGCAGTCAAACTCCGTCTCTTCCCTCTCCTCCTCCGTTTCGTCCCCTTCACTTTCCGCCCAGATGTCCCCGCTGATCTCAGGGAGCTTGAAGAAAGGTATAAGCTCCCCACACTGTCTCTTCCCTCCGCTCGCTGGGTCAAGCCCAAAGAAAAGAGGCATCCTACCCAAATGGTAGGTCACTGCATTCTCAATGTCTCTTCGATGGATATCGCAAACCGATTGATCATGGATGGTATCACCATCCATGGGCGACGGGTTCTACCCGAACGGCTCAAGGCCGAACCAATTCGGTGCAGTAACTGTCAGGGCTATGGCCACATCGCTCGCAACTGTAACCATCAGAGCGCATGCGGCACCTGTGGTCAGACCAGTCATAAGACTGTTGACTGCAACGCATATCGGACCCTCCATTGCGTGTCCTGTAGGGTGAACACGCATGCCAGCTGGGACCGGAATTGTCCGGAATTCCTTAAAAGGTGTCAGCTGCTCGACGAACGCCGACCTGATAACCAGTACAAGTACTTCCCTACAGAAGACCCTCGTACTCATTTCCGGTTACCAGCTAAAGTCCCTATGGACCGCCGGTACCCTGACGAATTTGCTGTCCATAGTACTCGCGAGAAAACGGCTTCGGCTGCTCCTCGCACGCAGTCCACTATTCCGGGCTACTTCGCACCGACGCAGACGCAGTCTCAGAGTGCAACTCATCAGCGGTCTCAGAACCGCCACCCAGATGACCTCGAGCGTGATCAGCGCCCCTACAGGGAGCTGTCCCATGGGCTGCCCTTAAACGTGCCATCTCAGCACTTGCAGGTGCCCTCAAGGGGCCAGTCGCCGCAAACGTCGGCATCTCCTTCTCTGTCCTACATGACCCTACGTCCTGAGAGCGACCTAGGTCCACCTGGTTTACAGAGGCAATTGCCTCCCACGCGCTGGGACGATCAATGATTCACGCTCCTAAGGAGTACTCGTCCCAATTACGCATCTGGCAGGAAAATGTAAATACCTCGGATATCACCCAGCATGGGTCTCTGAATACGAGAGCGTATGATGAGTATGATGTGATCGCTTTCCAAGAGCCGTACATCGACTTCTTGGGGAACACCAGAGCCTCGCATGACTGGCATGTACTATACCCTTCGACTCACTTATCTTCAAACGAGCCTAAACGCTCGGTACTACTAATCCGCTCCAATTTGCTCTCCTGCTCTTGGCGACAAATAGAATTCCCCTCCAACGATGTCACAGTGGTTCAATTCATGGGCGATTTCGGCATTCTCACCCTGTTCAACATCTACAATGACTGCAACCATCGACGCACGCTGAACACTTTGGGAGATTTCTGCCGACAGAAAGGTGATGTCATTTTCCCCTACGCCGATGCGCACCTGATATGGCTAGGGGACTTTAACCGGCACCATCCTCTCTGGGACCATGCTGACGACACACGACTTTTCACGATGGAGGCAATGGAGGAAGCCAACTACCTGCTTCATACCCTAGCCGACCTCGACCTACGCATGGCCCTCCCTCCTGGTATCCCAACACACCAACACCTAGTCTCAAAGAAATGGTCTCGGCTCGACAACGTATTCTGTACACCCCACACGCTAGAAGCCCTCGTTTCATGCGACACCATGCCCGCTCTTCAAGGACCCACCTCCGATCATCTCCCCATAGTAAGTATTCTCGACCTCCAAGTCCCGCACAAAAACCTCCCCCCAAGGCGAGACTTCCGTAGCACGGATTGGGAAATCTTTGAAAAGAAGCTAGATGAGTATCTCTCGGCCAAGCCCCCCCGTGCACTGACCACTCTACAGGAAGTCGACGATGCGGGAAGGCACATCATCAGTGCTATTCAGCACACGATTGATGAGGTGGTCCCTACAGCCAACCCGTGCCCTCACTCCAAGCGATGGTGGACAAAGGATCTGGGAAAACTTCGACGATCGATAGTCTCCCTCACCCGCAAATGCTATAGGCTGCGCGATGTGCCAGGTCACCCTCTCCATGCTGACCTACAGGCGGCCAAGGCTAAGTACACCAAGGCCATCCGCTTGACAAAAGAACGGCACTGGAAGGACTGGCTAGATGAGGCCAGCAGTAACGACATCTGGACGGCAAACCGGTACATCTCAACCCCGTCGGGTGATGGGGGAAAAACTCGGATCCCAACTTTAAAGGTAAAGGATGCGGAAGGTAACGAACAGTTAGTGGACTCCAACGAAGACAAGGCAAAGGCCTTGGCCACCGCCTTCTTCCCTCCACCTCCAGAGCATACAGACATTGACCCTGGGTTTGTCTACCCTCGGCCGGTATGTAAATTTCAGCCCATCACTCGAGATACTATCCGTAGGAATGCAAATCGGCTGAGCCTGTATAAGGCACCGGGTCCTGATGGAATCCCTAATGTCGTCCTGGTGCGGTGCATGGATACACTGATCGAATTTTTATTCCACCTGTATAGAGCTTTCTTTGCCTTAGATACATACTTTGATCCGTGGCGGGAGTTCACAACCGTTGTCCTTCGCAAACCGGGCAAGCCAAGATATGACGTTCCCAAGTCATACCGACCAATTGCTTTGCTGAACACTACCGCTAAGCTGCTGTCTGCTATCATTGCCGAACAACTTACCTTTATAGGAGAGAAGCACGAGGGAGTACTACCACCCACACATTTCGGAGGACGTCCGGGACACACCACCACTGACTCGATGCACTTGCTCATACAGAAGGTCAAGCACGCCTGGCGTCAAAAGCAAGTTGCCTCGGTCCTGTTCCTAGACATAGAAGGAGCATTCCCCAACGCTGTTACAGATCGGCTCCTGCATAACATGCGGAAACGAGGCATTCCAGCTAAGTACATTTCATTTGTGAAAAACCTGCTCAGCAACCGTCGCACCGCCCTACGCTTTGACGACTATGTCTCGCCGGCCATTCAGGTCATCAATGGCATCGGTCAAGGCGACCCGCTTTCCATGATCTTGTATATTCTCTACAACGCTGATATTCTCTCCATCCCCAAGGTAGCCCAAAAGACAAATGAATACGTCCTCTCATATGTCGACGACACAGCCCTCTTGGCCATTGGCCACTCCTTCGTGGACACACACCAAATCCTGGCTGACATGATGACACGCGAAGGAGGCGCTATGCAGTGGTCTCGCGACCACAACTCCCAATTTGAGCCGAGCAAGTTTGCCCTTCTCGACTTCACACAAGCGAAGGAAACGGACCCTACGCGCCCAGGAAAGAAGAGGGCGCTCACACGTCCACCGCTTGTCATTCCCAATCTTGCCATTATCCAGCCCAGCCCCAGCGCTCGTTACCTGGGAGTCCTTTTTGATCAGGAGCTCCGCTGGCATATTCAGGCGCAACAGGCAGCGGGAAAAGGAGCTGCCTGGACTAACCAGCTAAGTCGTCTCGCTAAGCCCTCCTTTGGACTGAAACCTGCTCAGCTCCGGCAGATGTACATAGGAGTAGCGATCCCAAAGATGCTCTATGCAGCTGATGTATGGTGCACACCCATCCACGGCGGGGGTCTCAACAAACGTCGGTTAGGCTCTGTCGGTGCTATAAAAGCGCTCGCGCGGGCACAGAGAACGGCCGCAAGAGCCATTATGGGAGGGTTGCCCACGTCTGCCACGGACACCCTCGATGCTCATGCCAACACCCTCCCAATGGAACTCCTCATCGAAAAGCACTGCGCCCGTGCCGCCACACGCCTAGTATCGCTACCACCTTCACACCCTCTCAGTCCTCTAGTCAAACTCTGTGCCCGCACATACGTCAAGCGACACAAGTCCCCGCTTCATCACCTCCTTCACCTCAACCACCTCCACCCTGCGCACTTTGAGAAGATACGAGCTGTCACCTCCCGTCCAGGTGCCCGCCCGCTTGCTAGTTGGTCTATCCCAGACTCCCGCGATGACTCTGTAGCACAAGACGGCTCCCAGCAGGCCCAAATCAGGGTATACTCCGATGGCTCCGGTCAGGACGGACAGATCGGGGCTGCAGCAGTTCTTCTGCGCGACAACAAACCGCCTCGAACCCTGTTCTTCCACCTCGGCACAGACACAGAACACACTGTGTACGATGCTGAAGTTCTAGGCACACTTTTAGCCCTCCATCTAATTAGCACTGAACGAAACTCCAACGTACCCATCTCCATCAATCTCGACAACCAGGCTGCGCTGAAGGCGACCCTCCACCCCCGCGCTGGTCCAGGCCAGTACTTAGCCGTTGAAGTTCAGCGCCTGCTGCAGGATCTCAAGCGCAGTCGAAAAGGGACAGACTTTCAAGTGGAATTCCGCTGGGTAGCTGGACACGAAGGGATCGAGGGAAATGAAATGGCTGATGTGGCCGCCAAAGAAGCGGCCGGGGGTCGCTCAAGCCCAGTTAAGTCTCTACCCAAACTCCTGAGAGACTTTAAAGGCAGCCCTCCCATAGGAATATCTGCGACGCGCCAGATCCTGCTCCAGAAGGTTATGAGGAAGTGGAACACACTATGGAAGGCCTCCCCGCGATACGCCAAGCTCTCTCGCATTGACCCCAAGCTCCCATCTAAGCACTTCCTCAAGCTGGTCCAAGAAGAGGAGCTTCGACGAGGCCAGATCAGTCTAATATTTCAACTTCGCACAGGCCATATCCCGCTTAACAAGTACCTGCATCGCATTAAGGCCGTCGACTCCTCCCGTTGCCCGGCCTGTGGTGAGCCGGACGAAACGGTGAAGCACTTCTTATTGGACTGCCCAAAATATAGCTTCGAAAGGCACGTTCTACTCAGTAACTGGCCGAGGCACCGTGATGTCCCACTTTCCTTTCTACTTGCAGACCAGGAGGCCTTCAAGCCTCTCCTTCGCTATGTTCAAGATACAGGCCGATTCCCCACACAATACGGTGAGATCCGCCCTCGTACATAAGATATGATCACGCTTCGCTGTCCCTTTTTCCTCAGGGCAACGACTCGCATCGAACAGCCCTCCTATCTCGATGACCCATGGCATCCTGTCCAACATCTACCCCACAATTCACCTTTCTTCAAACTCCACGCTTTGCTCGAATGAAGTACGCAGGCGCGGACTTAGCCTCCCGCGATGCGTGTGTAGATCCGGTTGAGGAGTAGGAAGCAACGGGGGAATTGGGGCAGCTGGCAGTGCAAGGCTCAGATTCGGAGGGAGTTGCCGAGGTTTCTTTTCAGGTCACTCCCCACCTACACCAAACGTCCACCGCCGACCACATTCGACACGCCATGCCCTAGTTGATCAGAACCCCCCCCCCCCCCGCCCTTACCACTTCACAGCGTTTTTTCGCCAACTCACAGGTCTCACGTCTCTCATTCGTGCATGCCCGCGCAAGCGGGCGAGCATCATTCTTGAACGAGCCCAGTTCTTTTCACACAATATTCGCCGGCAAGGATCAACCCTCAAATTCACACGACCGGAGCTGGTTCGGAGGCAAGGTTGGGCGCACAGGAAGGAAAGGGAAGGTTCATATGTACTTGAAATGTCGAACATAGGGTTCTGTTACCCTGATACGACAATAAATGGGATTAAAAAAAAAAAAAAAAAAAAAAAAAAAAAAAAAAAATGGACAAGCAACTGCTAGAGGGACTTCGCAAGCGTGGGTTCAATTTGACATGGGAACTCGAGCCTGGCGCAGGCGAAGTTGGCTTGATCGGGTTTTTACTTCAAAAATCGAATAGTGGCACAAGTAAGTGTTCCTTTACATGCTGCCTAGACTATTCGTTTGACCTCTGTGGCCTCAGTGATCGACTTCACCTGTGGGCAGTCAATAATTGATGGTGACATTCAGATCAAAAGTGGTGTTGAGATTGATCGATTACAGCCCCACGAGCTTGTGTTAAGCGATGGATCACGCCTCCCGGCCGATGTTGTAGTTCTTGCGTATGTTCTGCTCGCCTTGTCTTCCGTATCATCTTCTCCTCATGTCTTCGTCAGTACTGGAAACCTTCCCATGATAATGAACGCCACGTCTTTATTTGGTCCCCGGATTACAGACAAGATTGGCAACAAGATTTGGGGACTAGACGCAGAAGGAGAGCTGAATAATTGTTTTCGCCCGACCGGCCAGCGCGGTCTGTGGATCGTGACCGGCGGGTTCCAGCAATCGAGGTTTCTTAGTAAGCACTTGGTTAGTGCGTACCTCTTCTATGGAACCGCTCGCTGACCTTCCTTTTGCTTCATTTTCAGGCAATGCAAATTCTGGCAGAGGAACTTGATATGAAAAAATGAATAAAACACGATCATGAGTAAGACGGTGAAATCCAATGTTTCGTTGCATATAAGTATCAATCAGAGTTACAATCCGTCTTCATTCATGTTCGAAGCTTTTCTCTGACGAAACCTCTATCAAGACTATGAACTTCCTGACATTTTTAAGCACGTTCGCTCCTGCCAGGCGCCTGCACTCAGTGCCGCAGTGACTGTTCCAACTGAAGTTCGCCGCTAAGAGCTAGACTCGGATATATGATCTACTGGCACGTCAACATGGACCTCATAACTAGCACTTATAGGCCTGCTTCCCTTGTTGCCCCTACCGCCTCCGCCCAGCTGCTCAACATCGATCTCGTGCGGTAGATCCTAGACAGTACGAGTTATGAGATCGAGCTCATGAGCAAACCCGCACCGAGGAATCTAGAATGACATCGCTCAACTAGAAGGGCAGGCCTTTGATTTAGGTATTAGACTTGACTAGTTGTATGTCCCTCCTCTCTTCATCATATCTAATAGTGCTGACCTGACCCGTCTGTATGTTTTCTGTCTCTAGCGAAACTCTTTTTCCTTATCGTCTTTCTAATGAGAACTTTTACAGCTTGAATCCTTACTGATTCGTCTCTTGAAGCTCTTACGTGGGACGGCTATCTTCTGCATAGGATCAGCTGCAGAGACTACTCGAAGCTCGATGATTTCGTCGTCGGACCTTTTATATTCAGTTCAGTCAACCATTGATCATGATCATTGCTCCTTGCTTGCACGCCTTTTATCGCTGCATATTACTTTCTTGGTCACATCTCCAGTTTTGTCTTAGCTTTCCTCTTGCTACTCGTTGCATCTCGCTCTCGCTGGCTCATGTGTTAGTCCGTGTTATCACCAAAATCACATGTTAAGAGATACTCATCGTCACAATCATCTTGCTTGCAAGTTCTCTGGCAGGAAACCAGTATATCATGCTAACTTGCGATCCGCGGCGATGTCATCAAATCTTGTCATCCACGTCCTAAAGCGTTGTAAACAAGGGCAAACAAGGTTCTCCACGCCCTCAACAATCACAGCAATGTCGAAGGCTTCGATTGATCAAAATCACCACCATGTCCGATGATTCCAAACCCAAATACGTCTACAAGCTCATCCCATCCTCCTCTCTGGTCCCCGAGCATGCCCAACTCCCTGATGCTCTGCCCGTGAGCGACCTCGACCAGTCCTCCGGGTTCATACATCTGTCCACGGCGACCCAGGTGCCAGGCACTCTCAAGTTTTTCTTCAAAGACGTCTCGCGCGTCTACGTCCTGCGCATCGTGTACGATAAGGTTGAGGATAAAATTAGATGGGAGGATCCGCAGGCGCAGGTCTGCGGAGCGCGTGGCGGCGAAGGGGTGTTTCCACATCTGTACAATGGGTTGAGGCTTGGTAAGGACGAAGTTGAGAGAGTAGAGACCCTAGAGAAGGGCGATGACGATTGGGGTCAAGCGGTTCATAGTGCTTCATGGCTCGTTTGGTAGATGCGCAGCATTATACACTGCGCCCAAGACTCATGTGGCCAAAGAATTAATGAGAGAGGTATAAAAGTGCTTTCCACATCTGACAGGGAACGCAGCTGACCAGACTGTTTAGACTGCGCGAAAAGTGTGCATGAATCTCTACGCAAAACCCAGATTGCCGTTCATTTGGAGGTGCTTTCGCTGCTAAAGCGCTCACTTTGCCACCATAATGGCAAACTGCTGCACAACGGCAACTCGGCAGACGATGTGGAGCCTGAATGTCTGGCAGTGATTGGAAAGGACGATATGGATACGGTAGAGTTCACGTAGATCCCCTCGAGAATCATAGTGAATGCAGGCGTTAACCTGCTATTCCGGGACGTGGAACCAGACGGGGGAGTCCACACATGGGCTGACATGTGCACCACCCCCACATTCTATCCTCCAAACCCTTCTCAACCATCCTTTGACCCCCTCATACCAGTAACCGGACTCATACCACAGCAAGGATCTATGTCTAGCGACACGAACGGCGCACAGCTCGTAGTATTGTGTCATTATCGACACCGAGACCCACACCGATTTACTTTCGGGTCAACAATCCGTGCATACGGTTATCTAGTAGAAAAGGTAAGTATGGGTCGATCTTCAATCCGCAAGTGCTCATTTGTTTGTCTTAGATCAATTGTATTTACGGTATCGCACCGCAGTTCTTGAAAATGATTTGGATGCACGATGACTGCGACGAATGTCCTATCAAGAATGATGCCGAATTTGACGACATGGTTCAGCTTTGTTTTGGGTACGTTTAGAGTGAAAAACTTCGATATATTCCTTAACGTGTATACCACAGGAACAGTCGTGATGGAGGGACCACTGTGTCTATCCGTATACACGACCAGTGTGGTGGGCTGGAGCCGTCAGTCTCAAGCCATTCTGCACCTACGGTAATCGCAGACGATGCTGTCACCGTCAGCAGACATGTTAGATCTCCGAGGAATGGGGATGGAGACAGAAGATCGATTGGAAACACGCAGTCTGATATATCAGGACCCGTCAGTGCTTTCTCTAGAACTCGTTCGCAGCCCCTGATCCGCAGGTTGACTGTGTACAGACGACAAATAAAAACAGAATACAGGAGTGGCTGATCGCCTCTCGGCCTTTTTTGCTCACCGTGATGCCACAGCACGGCCATACCATACCCACCCGACCTATGTCCCCTACCGTCGACATCTCGGATTCAGGTTTGGACGGCGATAGGTCCAACTCCCAGCTGGACACGTCCGAAGAATCGAGTAGCAGTTTCATCCCTCCCACATCCATCAACTCAGACTCCGACACCATGTCTGACGTGCTTTCATTGGAGACTCTGAGTACAAATGCTAGCCCCGTTCGGGCCGCAAATACCTTGCTCAACGGAATCACTAACTGCTCTGGGTGTGGTGGTGCATTTGACCTCCTCCGTTACGTGTGCGACACATGCGGAGAGAAAGGGTGTACTGCTGGGTCGCACTTCACACATGAATGCGTAGATGGAGGGCTTCACTCTCCCGATTATTCGCCACTGCAGTCGCCAACAAGGTCTTCCTCGTCGACCTGTGTCCTAGAGTACATGCTCTGTGTCGACTGTTTTAATTCTCATGGATACGACCACACCATGAGTATGAGTACTCGCGCAGCATCCAATTCCCGGACGCAACTCAGGCATGCATTCTTTGAGCAATTCTGTATGGATGGCTGCTGGGTCGACATTGGTAAGCTCAGAGAAATCGCCGCGGAATTTGATGCGAGTGGTCTGTTCTTCAGAGCAAGGAGGGGCCGGTCCTTCGAAATGCTCAATCTGCTCCGCTATGATCACAGGGAAGAGGTGGGATTGTGCGGTTTGCGAGGATTACATCTTGTGTCTGGCTTGTTACCGGTGAGTCAAGCTCAGTATGATCAAGCGTCTACGCAATACTCAATGGATGAGAAAGGGCTGTCCACGAAATCCACCCGGTTCACACCTTCTTGACTGCAATACCCTCAAGGCTCAGGTCAAGCACCAGTGTGGGAGAACTCTCGATTGGATCATCCACTGACACTACAAGGCCAGCAGACGAAAATCGGTCAGTCAAACCTATTGCATTGGCGCCTTAATTCGTTGATTTTTGGACTGCAGCCGTTCATGTAACGGGTGCAAGCAGGTATGATCATTCGGGAAAAATGCTGCGGGCAATGTTGACTTTTGAAATGGTTTCTTTCTTTTAGCCCATCATCGGCGCTCAATACCGGTGTGTTTCGTGCCCCTCAAAGTCGCCTTTGTACTATCTGGTGTGTATGCCCAACATCTTGTTTTGATACATCAGTCGTAGACGGGGCCGCGTCTTTGAATTTTTCTATGTAGTGTGATGAGTGCGATCAGGTCTCATTCATACTTCATGACCCTTGTCACATCTTCGTCAAAATCCGTGGTCTTGATGGAGCCCGAGAAATACCGTCGCTATCTTCCATTTCTGGATTGTAAGGCAAATGATCTGCTATCATCGTCGAATCTGACTTGCTTCGCAGATACAAAAGCCCTGCGGGTCCATCGGTACATACGAGTAGTAAGCCAGTTTGTTAACAGTTTGCGTCAACCATGAATTCTCACTATATTATCAAGCAGCTGTGAAACACAAGCGCACGGTCTGCCAGCGCCATCCTTCCCATTCCATCTCCGGCAAGTGGTTTCACTGCCCAACGTGTCCTGCAGATTTGTGCAGCCAGTGTGAGGAGGATGGGGCTCACGATGCGTCGCATGCGCTCATCGTATTCAAAGCCCCGGTTAACATGGACCATTTCAAGTAATTTTTTTTCCATTGACCAACGCTGCAACCACACTCATGTATGCTTTCCTAGCATTGACTCTGGCACCTTCAAGTCGGATAGGTTGATTTTCAGTTCCTGATGTGTATGAGTTTCTTCGTGTGCACTGTACTGCAAAGTAGTTACATGCTGTAAATTGCCCTGCTTACGTCAATGTCCTGGAAGTGAATATAACCAACAACTTTTCCCACCAATCACTGTCATCATCAGAGAGCATATATGTACAGAGAGTGCAAGACAAGGCCAAAAGTATCGAGGTGAGAATGGAAAAATCACCAGCGATGTTCAGCCCTTGCTAACCCTTCTTAAATCCTGTAGACAGCCGTCAGTGGGAATAACTTTGTGGACAGGGGAAAGATATACCTAGACGACGGCGTTCATAGAAGAGATCCGTCCTACTAGCTCCTAGATTCACGATCTTAGGGCACCCGTCTCGATCCTTCTCTAGTCTCGTACATTCAGCACAGTAATATGCATCGGAGATTCCTAAGATGGAGCAGTCAGTTCGAAGAATCGACGAAGGTAAACGGCAGAGACGCACCAGGAGAACCGCATATGATACATCGTCCTCCGTATGTCCCAAAGTTACATTCGTCGCAGATCCGTACAAGGGTCTCTGGCCGCACATACGAATCACAGACGGGGCTGTGGCATGTACACAGTGAGCTCAGATATATGGATGCTCTATACCCTGCCATTGTACTCACCACTTTCCATCACACTTTTCGCAGAGGCGGCCGATGGCTGCAACAAATCCCAAGGCTGTCAGTACCCAGGCAGCATCTCTCTTCCTCAGTATTACTTACCAATCCCCGGCTGGCGTCTGCACATTATCAGATCTGAAAGGCAAATGTTTCAGGCTCCTCCCCTAGTAAATCCTATCAAGCACGTACCCGGATGATGTTTGGACATGGTAGCGGACTACAAAGAGTGGTACTACAGAACTTCAACGGCTGCTCACACTAATTAACAATCGCTGACTCAGCGTCTCGGTCATCCGGATTTTGATGTTCATTTGTGTATCGTACAGAGACATAAAACATATCGAAGAAAGTCCGTAGAACGAATTATGTTGTATAACCACGATGGATGAGCATTCTAGTGAATATGATGTAAAAGCACAATACGAGAAAAACACGGATGATTCTAGTGCACAAACTTCGATGGAAAATGAGATGATCATGACAAGTGGAAACTACCAACGCCTTCCCTCATCGCCAGCTGTAACTTCTCTCGCATAGATTCTTTCGAGCTGTATTCGGGCAGCTTCAGGTAGTTCACACACGTCATCACACTTGGGAGATAGTCATCGGCGGATAGAGGAGCCTCGTGTGGCTTCCGTACAACCGTCAATGGAGGATTCAAACCACGGAAACCTGAGGTCGCAGGTTCAGTAGAGTGTATGGAAGTGATGATCAATTTACTCACCTCCAATGGGCAGCTTAGGACTACCGGAAAGGAACTGGAGATACTCGCGGCGAGTTGGGAGATCGTAGTCTGACATGATATCAATCAAGTCCCGGATCGCCCGACTCTCGACAGTGAAACCATGATCTGCTTTGATGGATTCACTCAACGCTGCAGAAGAACTGTGATTAGCTAGAGTCGACAATAAAAACAGGCACCAACGAACTTTCACGGCTCCAATCTTCTTCAGCGTTGCCGAACAACATGACTAGTTCATCGATGCTGAAAGCCTGCAGGTCGGCAATGGGGAAGACTTTAGAGAATCCCTCCCGGAAGGCCTTAGTCTGCAGTTTGGCACCATGCCCAACGATTGCATCGATGACCTCGTGAATGTATTCTTCGACGTTGCTCGCGGTTACGGTCATGTTTTTACCTTCGGGCTAGATACCGACGTTAATCAAGCTGTTGGGAAACAGTGGAATAACTTACTCTCAGCTCGATGTCATACCCAGGGATGGTAAAATCTAATGCCAAATCTTCAATCTTGACTCGGTCATCCACGACCTTGTGCAACTTGTTTTCACGATCAGGTTCTGTGGTCAATGATGTGGCGGGGGTCAAATATACCTTGTCCCGTGAGCTGTTAACGGTCGCGCCCGCCAGAGAATGGAGCTTCTCTAGTGAGGTTGCCAAGTCGGGATCGACAAGCTAGTAGGCAGATGAGAGAACAGCACCTTCTGATAGGATGACAACAAACCTTGAGTGTGTCAAGTGTCAAAGGGACTTCTTCCCCGAGCGCGAGTCTGACGAAGACTTTGTTGAATGACATATCAATGATCCTAGAATCTAATAAAGCCTTCGCGACAAATTGCCCGATCACTCGGAAGATGTGGGTCCTCTTTTGTCCACCGTCGTTAGCGATATCTTGGGGGCTGATTGGTGCGGGAAAAAGCCCGCATGGATGGAAGACATATACTCCTGTCTTCATCGAATCTTCATCGCGCCATATCTTCAAATCTCTTCTCGCAAACTCTTTTGACACAAGGGAATAGAACTCCAGGGTAGGCCCTAAACCCGTACCAACCTCTTCGAAATATTCTACCTCGAGAATAGATGAGGAGGAGCCATACAGTTCAAATACCTTCATGGCAGATTCGAGAATGTGTTTACGCGAGATCCGTACTTTCTGGCGTTGGAGGCGGCCCAAGAAGCCAACACCATCATCACGACGTGAGCTGTCTTGCCCTCGGCTCTGTTGACTCTGCCACTTGAGGATAAGACGGGCATAGCCGAATGAGGTGGACTGTAGAAAGCTGTAGCGGGTCGCGAAGGGGAACAAGAAAGGAAAATGTTGAGGTAAATCAAGAGCCCAATCTGGCAAGCATTGGCTATGAATCTACAGTCAAAAAAAACATACACGAATAAAGCCACGAGAAAAGATACCTCGCGACGATCATCGGCTCCTCCAGTTGGCGTGTCAACTTGGCAGTCAGCTTATTATTCACAAACGCCGAATCGGGCAGGTTTCTCTTGACAAGGCCTGAGCGTTCGGCCTCATTGACATTCCACTTGTGTAGGACGCGGAGAAGGCGTAAAATCTTTGCATGCGGGGCATCGTCCGGGAGTGATGACAGGGTTGGTGTTGGCGACCGGCTTCTTGATGTATCTAAGCCTTCACCCCGACCTGACATTGTGTTACATCAGATATTTGGTACCCTATAACTAGGTTATACGCACCTTCAGACGATGGCGCCGGGCCAGGCACTTTTTTGAACTTCACAGTGTATACGCCTTGCCAAAGGAGGTTGGATGGAAGCTGCGACTGTGATGCGGAGCCTGTCGCTTTCTTCCGAACCTCATGCTGGTGTATAGCACCGTAAACGGTGAGATCAAGAGGAAGGATATGGTCATCCATAGAGAATTCGAGATGCCAGTCTGCTGGTTTGGTTTTGACTGCTGAAGCATAGCTCCCCTTGTTTGATGTATTGCGCAAAGTAGATATTGGGGGCGCTTCCTTGGCTGCACCCGGTGTACCCACACGAGTGCCGTCAGGCGTTTGTGCCTCAACTTTAGATCCATCTACAAGTAAATGAGATCGAGTGTTCGGGGAAATCAAAGTAATCCATACCATCAGCCACAGAGAGCGTCACAGTCTTTTCGGTCACTGAGTTATCTGGGTCCATTTCCTCATCGAACACCTGCTTCAAGGATCAGAGCCATACAATTACAGTACGAGACGATCTTACCTCCGCGTCAACCTCATCATCCGTGAAGTCTGCAGCGAAGTCTGCCTCCTCATTTACGACAGTCTCACTCAATGCTGGCTCTCCGAGGGCAGATGTGAGAGCTTCTGAAACAGAATTTCCGGACGATAACTCTTGGCTGGAGTGTCCAACGTCGTCCATTGCGGTTACTGGTTGTGGGAGACCAACAGGACCGCCATCCGTAGGTCCAGATGTACCACCATTCTTGGCACTCAAACGGAGACTACGTCGCTTTCCGAGATCGGATGGAGGAGCAGATGCAGATGTACCAGGTGCATTCATCTCTGCTAATGGCTTGGTCCGGGGCTCCGCAGCGCTGGATGACCCGCTAGGTCCAAGGCCAGAGGTCAATGCAGCCAACATGCCGGAAAGTCGTGAGCCGTTGAACATCAGCCCAGCAACGCGTGGTCGGAGATAATCGTGGAGAGCTTGGAAGGTGGCGATGGCATGTATTGACACGACAATATTGTTGAAATTACGAGGTATATCTGAGCCGTCAGCGCCTACTAGCCGAAGACGAAGTTGACGAGCGAGTAACGAAGGCGAACTCCGTTTGGAGTCTAAAGGTCGATTGTTAAGTCCGCTTAACCAAGTATGTGTTTCAAGATCGTGACGAATCATACCGTCAATTCCCTGAGTCACTGTAACGACATCAAAAGACTCCATCCGTGTCAAACTCTCTTGTAGCTTCTTCACAAATACCACAAGCGGTGTCTGGACACCACTAGAGCTTTTTGCCTTCCGAGCTGTGAAGGCATTAAAAAGGAGTTCTTGACGTGCTGCAACTGTGACTACAGATAGACTGTCAACATTCAATGTAGAAAGGACAAGATTTTGACTTGCGATTTCTCTCCTTGTCCGTTGCAAACTGCAACAGCGAATCGATTACTCCACTTTGCAACAGCTCGAAACTTGACACGGATGTATGAGCAGATGCAAAGAGTGCAGCAAGCTCCCGAACGGCACTGCTCGACTCCTTCTCCGTCGCCTTTGGCTCGACAATCCTGTCGGCCAACCGCCGCAATGTTGAGAGCACATCGTCTCCCTCAGCACTCTCTGTGGACGCAAGGTACCTGAAGCGTATGACTCGCGCACGCAGCGTGACAGCATCCTCTGGATCTAACGACATTGACGACAACTTTTTGAAGCCTGGCATACTGGCCGCTAACGCTGCTGGAATCGGTATAGGAGGGGGAGCGTTAGACTCAGGGACCGTCGAGCTATCCGACGAGTCTTTGTCCTTGTCCTTTTCTTTCGACCGCGAGGAAGTGAGACTTCGGGATGCAAGGTTCTCAATTTCGTGAAAAACGCCCTCTCTGCGGAATGCAGGCTGGTATTCTTCCGGAACCTTGACAAGGAGCAACTCGACAAGTTGAAGCGCACCGATGACTAGATTTGGATGGTCCTTCGAGGACAAGATAGATGATGCAAAGCTGGCCACAGGAACAAACTGGTCCGGAATGTTAATCTCGTATCAGTGGGTGATTGAGACCAAGGTCAGCTTACGGTCAAAACCCGTTTCGCCTCCTCCCCGTCCATGAAGCTGATTGCCTTCAACAAGCCTGTCAAGGTCTTGATTCTCACCGTGGCCGTGACACTCGCAGCATAGACATCAATAAGTATAGGGACCATGTGTTGCATGAACAATCCAACAGCTTCTGGTTTTGTGCGCAGCATTTCTGTACGATCGGGGGATGTGTCTTTGGAAAGCGGCACGGATACGAAGAAATCGTCTCCTTCTTGTGGCTGATTCTCTGATACGTTCTCGACAAGAGCAGGTGTCGGTGTCGGGGCCTCCGACGCGATAGTAGGAGTGGACGATGTCGAAGCTGGTAGACCCATCAAAATATTGATGGGAACAAGCGCAGCTTGACGAGCTGCTGCACGGTCAGACTTAGCCTTGGCCTTGGCTAACTTAGCGAGGGCCTTCTCCGTATATCCTCTGTGGTCGAAAACACCATCTGGGAGAGTATGAGGGTGATAAAAATAAATAAATGATGAATAATCATACCTTTCGGTAGTGGCGGGAGAAGTTCGGAGACAAGACTCAAAGCTTCTTCCACTTGATCTTTCGGCCTGTGCGCCAAGTTCTGCATCACAGTCATATCGGTCAACCCCCCTCCTAAGCCTTGCCCACTAGACGAATCGATCTGCTCCTCGATCTCGGGAGTCGATGACGGCAAAACACCAGTAAGAATTTGGTACAATGTATCGACGATCCCGGCTTCGAGCAGAACCACTGTGATGATTGCGCTCGCCCTAGCAGAGGTTGCCAAAGCACGGAGTAATAGCGTGTAAGTATTTGAAGCGATCAAGGGAGAGCCACCAGCAGGAAGCAGAAGGAGATTGACAGCCCTAATGAGCTCGGCATCAACGAGGAACTCCAGGTTCTCGGGAGAAGAGCGATAATACGAGTCAATGACGCGGATGACACAGAGACAGGAAAATTCGACAAGACGCTGGTCTGAATAGCCAAGACAGTTGCGAATGATAGGCCAGACTCCACGAATCATCTGGAAATGTTCTGGTGGAACATTACGACAGCAGTTCGCTGCCGCCTGGAGAGCCGTACGCTGGACAGCGATGGAGAAAAAATCAAGATAGTTCAGTAGAGCAGCAAGACCGTTCTCGCGGACGATCGAACTAGGAAACTCCTCAGAAATCTTCTCCAGCGTCTGCGAACAACGAATATTATCAGCACAGAAGCGTCATTCAAATCAGTTGACATACGCTGAGAGTCTGCTCTGCGAGGTCGATGTACGAGATCTCGATGAGCTTGCTGCACAGGACAGGGATCGCACCATGATAGACAACGGTATGAGCCACGCCAGGGAGCGCTTCCATAAGATTCGCCAGACAACGTGCAGCCAAGACCTGTGCCTCGAGATTATCGTCGCCTTGATACTGCGTGCCGCCGCTGAGGGCAAGAGCAGCAGCAAGCGCAGCATCCTCGTCTTGAGGCCCATCGTCATCCCCGTCGTCGTCGTCGTCACCTTCACCGCCCGTCCCTCCGAGAATTTTGACCAGTTCTCGCACAAACGAATCTACTTGGAAAGAGCCAGCCAGAGTATCTTCTGTGCTAATGCTCAGCAGTTCGCTGAGCTCCTGTAATGTTACGAGACGGGTGGTAGGGTCGGCTGTCAGTTTGATATTGTTCAGCATCGTCTTCAATCGCGAGTTAAGCGACATCATGTACGATCCGAGCTGCCGATAGTCAGCAAACATTCCCATGGAGGAAGATTCGTCCGTCCCTCTTATTCCTCTCCCCGAACTTCCGCCATTAACGTCTCCCAATTCGTCCCCCGGTTCATCCCGCCCTCCTGGACCTCCAAGTCCTTCATCCCCGTCCGCTTCATCAGCCCCATCATCATGATCCGACCCTTCGTGCTTAAATTCAACGTCCATCATCTCGACGTCTTCGTCTTCGAGTCGTGAAGGCCCTGCTGCCGCCATGAGCTTGCTCTTAGACGCAGCCTTTCCTTTCGCTACAGATTGTCTGCGATGGATGATATCAGATTAGATAGGAGGCCACAGAAGGAAAATAACAGAACCTTGGCTTCTTGGGCATTTCGTTGGTGACAGTGTCAGTTCGGGATCGGAGGGAATATGCGGTGGTTCGGGGACGCTTCGAGGGGCCAGAGGCAGTAGTATGAACTTCTTCTTCGGGGAAGGCTTCGGGTGCAGCACGCTTCTTCCCCTTGATATCGCGGACAGGTTCGTTGATAGTAAGGCCAGAGGCAGTGACAGGATGGGTTGCCTTGCGGGCTCTGAGGACAAAAGCAACTCAGTCAGACTGTCATGTCTCAAGAAAGTCAGACGAATTAGAAACATCGACATCTCTCTGCTCCGTTCCACGACAGGTGAATCGCAACTCATCCTGATATACAGCTGCTCGCCAGTCCGACGCCAGCTATTCCATGAGCTGATGCATGTATCCACATTTCACGAGGATGACACCATTAAGGATACAATGAGGAGCTATCCTGGACCGTCCCCGGATCATACGGAGGCCGTACGCTATATGCGCTAATGTCAATAGTAAATGATGAACACATACTTCTTGGCTGAACGGGCGGAGGACTCCTCTGGGGCTTCTTTGGCCTTGCCTTTCCCTGACGGATCGCGTGCGCGCTTCGAGGTGAAGGGGCGGGAAGGGCGAGTAGAGGTCTCCGAAGGGGATACGGTGGCTTTGTCGGATGTGTCCTTGTCTTTCTCCTTCTTCGCTGCCTTTGCTCGGGTGCTCGATCTCAAGGTTCTGGTGGTGTCCGGTGCTGCGACGGACGACGAGGGCTGCGTGATGGCTTGCTGTTCAGATGGATTGGGCTCGATGGAATCCAGTGATATTGTAGGTTGTAGGTCCATTTAGAGCCTTCTGCCAGCCATCGATTCGAAGTGAGATATGAAAAGCGCTGCCTGGAGTCTCGCGACGACGGTCGACGATGTGGTCAGTGCGAGAGAGTGGCGGGCGCGCGCTCACAGCACAGGCCCTGTCAGTCATGCAATTTCGTAATCTTCGCAGCTAACCACTTGCACGCTCTGAGAACACATGCAAACCATCCCGTGACTATCAGACAACCCCTTTGCCATGATAAAACCCTATATGTGATTCTCCGGCATCCCCTGGCGGACGTCGCGGTTTGGACGGTAAGTACAACTGGTCAAATAATCGACTCTTTCAGCACCTCCTCAACAGTATCTACGAAGATGTCCACGATCTTCTCTAACTCTTCTTTTGTCACGTTGTACGCAGGTGCAAAGATGCAATGATCCCCCTTGGTACCCTCCAGATTAGCACCTCCAGTCATACCCATCACGATCAAGCCTTTCTCCAAGCACCGCGCCTGAACAACCATAGCAAATGCTTTGCCCTTTAGATCTGCCTTCGATGCCTCGGGGACAGTGAAGTCGAATTCGACAGCCCAGAAGCAGCCACCACCACGCACGTCGAACGTAAATGGTGCGGCCAGAGAATTTGGAGATTGGAGGCGAGAGCGGAGAAGAGATCCCAGGTACTGTCCTTGAACGCGAGAGTTCTCCAAAAGATTTTCCGACGCGATTACTTTCTGCACGGCTAGGGCAGCAGCGCAAGCAAGAGGGTGGGCCTAAATTTAAGTATGATGAGCCTTAGTCGTGTAGAGGGAGGTCGCTTGCAGCTCACCTGATATGTATGCCCATGCTTCCAGAAGCCGGAACCGTCACGCACCCCGTCTGCGACTTGCTTCGACATGAGGACAGCTCCAATCGACGCATAACTAAGTTTGGGGTGAGCAAGTGTACGATAGAGTTGGACATGTGGTCCTTACCCTCCACCTAGACCCTTTGCCACGGCCTGAATGTCGGGCGCCTCACCATCACCGAAACTCTCCCATGCATGTAGCGTTCCCATGCCTATGCAGATGACTGAGTACCCACGGAATGCACAGCGTTGACATCACACTCACGTCCCATCCCACTCATAACCTCATCCAGGATGAACAGGGCTCCGTACTTCTTACAAACAGACTTCATCACCTTGAAATATCCCTTGGGAGCAGCCAGGGCACCTGTCGTCGCACCGACTACCGTCTCTGCTACAACTACATTCGCAGCTGATCAGTACATGCCAAACCAAAGTCAAGGGCATGCTTACATCCAATAACGGTATCTGGACCCAATGCGATGAATTTATCCTCTAGTTCTTGTCGGAGTCTCTCGACGTACTGCTCCTCAGTCTCGTCAGATCTTTGGAACCGCTTCGCGTACGCAGGAGAGACGTGATGGAAGTTGTCGTGACTCAAGATAGCTTCGTATGGAGCACGGCGAGCGGGATGTCCAGACAGAGATAGAGTGGCGACCGTGTTCCCATGGTAGGATAAGTTTCGAGAGATGAAGTTTGTGCGTTGAGGCTGGCCTTGTTCGAAGTAATACTAGGAACAGAAACGCGACTGTCGGAAGCGGTTGGTGGAGATGAACAAGAGATCCTTACCTGCTTGGAGAGTTTTATGACACCCTCCATCGCCTCAGAACCTGTCCAGCATTCATACCTCAGTATACATTTACATTCTAACCAAGATCGTACTCACCTCCTGAGACGAAGCCAACTAAATCAAATGCGCCATTGCTCGATTCAATCAGTACCTTGGCAAGTTCCTCCGCAGGCTGATTGGACAATTGCATGTTGTACACATCTGTTCATCTCCTTTGAACGCGCCAGATATTTGTCATGGCGAGAAGGTACGACATACAGGACACTTTCTCGACTTGATCTTTGATGGCCTGCTTCACTAAGGGGTTCCCGTTCCCGATGCATGCAACAGCAGCACCCCCGACAGAATCGATGACAGTACGTCCGTCTTCCAGCGTGATATAGATGCCCTCAGCCGAAATAGCAACTGGAGGCGTCCATGGTGTCCGATGAAGGATCGACGAAGTCTTCACAGCTGTCTTCTTCTCTGCTGCAGGTGTGGTGGTGTTCAAAGCAGGCGACATGGTCATGTAATGGCAAGATCAAGATGGCTGGTGGATGATAAGAGGAGTCGAGTCAACGAGGCCACGGCGAGGCTTATAAGCAATACAGTATCAGATTCGAAGCGGCACATACATGATACACTACATGGAGCATCTGGACCCCGCCTTCCGTCGGCCGAAGACAAAAGCGGAGCGCTAGAATGTATGGTCATAGCGATAGAGCGTCGTCTTGAGATCTTTCAGAGAAACGCCCGGCGAGCTCGAAGATATCGTGGACTCATGTCTGAAGATCAGGCACGGAAGATAAGTCAAATTATAGGTTATCTTAGATGCATCGGGGGGCTCGTTAGTAGTATTATTGGCACTGAAATGTGCACTAATGTGCACCTCTCTCTATTATATCTCCCTCCACGGAAGGCTGCTATTGGAAAATCTAGAATCGGTCGAACAAGGAGTCGAATGATAGTTTTTTACTCTGCCGTATGTCTTGAGAATCACGATTTTAAGACTCGTGAGAATTTTTGCGGTTAGCAAACCAACCGCGCCCTACCGCGCCAGCCCATCTCTGCCAGTGCGCGCGACATTGGGGATACCATCCAAACCTTTTATCTGGAACCCCTCTATCCTCTTGACAGACTTTTGATTTTCCGAATTTCCGTGATCCGCCGCGCCATATTTCCGAACTGCAGCTTCAAGCTTCAACAGCCAGCCAATCCATCTACTCTTATCTATGCCCCCTACCAGGAAGCGCTCAGAGAATGGGCACCTCGGCACAGGAACTCTCCTCCAATTCTTTTCTAAATTGTCTCCTGCAGAGGCTCGCGCAGCGTCCCACTCCAATCACAAGTCTTGTCAGTCACGAAAGAGTTGTAAGGGTAAATATCGTGCTTTCGCGCCCCCTCCGGACGCAGAGATTATCGTCATAGACTCCGATGGTGAAGAAGCAGGATCAACCAGTCACAATAAACGTAAACTCGAGGGCGAGGGTGATGCATCAGCACTACGGACCTCCGTTGTATCGCAAGGTGATTCCGGTCGTAAGAAGGTTAAACAGGAGGTGACCTCAGACGTCCACATCCCTGGAGACCTGTCAAATTCGACGGCAAATAAAGGAGTCCATCTTTCTAGGGAAATTTCGGATAGCTCTTTTGAGTTTGGCCGAACCACGACCTTGCTGAGATCATCAGCCTCGACTTCTTCGAAGGATTCGGAACGCATTGAAGATGCAGACAATGCATGGAAACCCAAGATTCTTCTCCAATCATATCAGTCTCCCGCGATCTACTCGTCGCCTGACCCGATTTTATCTTCAGAGAACGCCCGCTCGTCCTGCAGGTCAGAAACCGCTTTACAATTTATTCCAGAAGCGACTTCGCATTTACGCCATGAGGGTTCGTCCTCCACCGAGAAACCCCATACAGCAATAGATGTCATGAATGACATAGTCGAGATTGATGATGAATGGGGTACCGGGGACGACGAGCTTGGACAGGTCGGTGGAGGACCTGATACGTTCATCAATGACGAGCTCGAAGTCGAAGATGTGATTGAACTATCGGATTCTTCGCTTGGGGACGATGTTGGCCTATGTTCAATGCGCGGCAGGACGCTACAAGGTTCTCCCGGTAAGGTGAGCTCCAGTTCTCCTCGAGTGATTTCTTGTTTTTATTGACCCATCGCAGGAGGCTCGTGCCCACACATGTACCGACCCTCGCCGACCTTTATCGACCACGCTCTCCAAGAACAACGCATTCTCGGTTCTCATGTCTTCCCACAAGGAGAATGAGGCGTGGAAAGAAGCAGATGTTGTAGAAGATCGGACCTTTCGACCTACCAAAGGCAACGGAGGACGCAGGAAGGCCCCGTTCTATAAAGTCATGCAAGGCATGCCCATTGCCGTGGACGCATTCAGATATGGCTCAATACCAGGAGTCTCTGCCTATTTTTTGACGTGGGTTTCGATTGCTCCATCACATCTAAATACTAACGCCGTCATGAAAAAAGGCATGCGCACTCTGACCATTACACAAACCTGTCCTCAAATTGGAAGACGGGGCCGATATATTGCTCAGGTGTGTTTATACTTTTTCTTGGTAGCTCGTCCAGCTGTTCAATGGTCTGATTTGTCGCCAGAGGGGACCGCAAAGCTAATAATACACATGCTCTCTGTTGATCCGAAATGGGTCCACCCGCTTCCAATCGACACTCAAATACCTATACCCGACTCTGGAGGGGTAACGGTTACATTAATTGAAGCCAATCACTGTGGGTGCCTTATAAGCAACCTTCATCACCGCCGCATCACCATTCACCGGCTGGCTCCTGTTGTTAGGTCCTGGATCCTCGCTTTTCCTTTTTGAGGGCCCACAAACTGTTGATGCTGGGGACAGCACCTACAGGTCGCCTTTCGTAGGCTCCGCAAAGGTCTTTCGATATCTGCACTGTGGCGACTTTCGAGCGTCTCCACAACATGTCTTGCATCCTTCGGTCAAAGGAAAGCATCTAGACCTCATATATCTAGATACAACTTATCTTAATCCTAAGGTATGATATCATCTTGTCTACTGCTTGCTATCGTCTAACAAGCGGGTCTAGTATTGTTTTCCTTCGCAAACCCAGGTTATTTCTGCCTGCGCTGAGTTGGCCAAGAGACTAGTTTCTGGGGAGAATAGATTCACAGAAGATGACACTGGGAAAAAGCGGCATCAGACTGTGGACAAGTGGTTCACGACGCGCTCGAAGTCGGATAACCAATGCCAAAGTCAATCAGATAAGACCGTCGTAGTTGTTGGGTAAGTCCCGCGTTTTGTAAGAGCGATCCTGTATGTTGAAGCAATGGAAAGGACATATTCCATTGGCAAGGAACGAATCGTTAAAGGTTTGCTCACCATGCTCCAGATAATTTGACTGGGCTACTGACTTTCCGAACAGCCATCGCCAATGCCTTGCAAACGAAAGTGTACTGCGACTCCAGGAAAGCAGCAATCCTCCGATGTCAATCCGACCCAGAATTGGAGACTATGCTGACAAAAAATCCTCTCGATGCTGGCGTGCACATCGTCCCCCTTGGCGTCGTTAATTCTGATAAGCTGCGGGAGTACACACAGCGTTGGAAAGGTCACTTCACGAGGGCCATCGCATTCAGACCCACTGGCTGGACGTACAGCCCACCTGCCGGGATGGACACACTGCCCAAGGTCTCGACGATCCTTTCCCGGCAACCTCATCCCTCTTTCACCCACACACATCTCAAACCAATGCGTGGCTCCACTGCGACGCATCAGCTGTTCGGCGTCCCATATTCAGAACATAGCTCGTTCTTCGAGTTGACGTGCTTTGCGGTGTCGTTGGATTGGACGAGGATCATTGCAACGGTCAATGTCAGCAGCCAAAGTAGTCGGGGGAAGATTGCTGCATGGATCGCCAGATGGGAAGCAGAGAGAAAGAAACGTGGAGGACCCGCCTCAGGTGTGGTCCCATATCGTGCCACCGATTACTGGTAAAGAATGGGGGAGGAGCGTAGCATGTAAGCGGCGGCGATTATAACTATGGTATCATCTGGAATACTTCATCTAAACAAAAATGCAACCTGAAGGACACATAGCCTGAAATATCGTGTCGGGGTTGGGTGAGCTTCTAAGATGTCTACCTGCCGAGGTCGTCAATTCGACATCTCCATTGAGCATCTGCGATGCGAACCAGGCCCGGAATGAGCCAATGTCTGTCATATCCTCACACAGTCTAGACTTCTCCAACAGAGGACCGAACTTTGAAGAGCTTGCCGCCATGCAGGCTGCTGTCACGATATCGACATTCACGTGCACCGCATTCCGGGCTGGAGTTGTGCTCAAGTCAAAAGCCTCCAGGAACCTAGAGCAAACATTGTGATTGTTGCCATATCTATCGTCTCTGAAGGGTGATCAAATGCGAAACACATTGTGGAGAACCTAGTATCAAGAAATTCGCTCAGAGCAGTACAGACTACGGGGCCATACTATTACATTGATCAAAATGCAAAACACCATTCGAGAGCATTCGTGCGACTCTCATTCTAACCCGGTAGATCTGATGTGTGTATAGCAGTCAGATCCGAAAGTAATTGGACAGTCAAACTCACCCAAAGACCTTTGTATCAACTGCAGATTTGAAGACAATAGATACATGGGAGCTATCATGCTCCGCGAGATCTTCACACTCGGCACATAGGTCTCGGCGACAGTCTACGCAATGAAACCATTTCCCCACGATAGAGCGCCCGTGACGGTCGCAAAGCACATAGTCGTGCCGCACGCTTTGGAGATGTGCTGTTTCACCTTTAATGACCTGCTTCACTGCATACAATACAATTAAGGACTTACATATGGAACTACTTCTTCTAGTAGAGTATTTGTACCTGAAAAGTCTTTTAGCATATAGAATTTCGAATCAAGTTGATGTCGTACAATGCCTGAGGGAGATGCAGGGACCTCCGCCGACCTGAAGTTGTAGAAAGAATTTTGACAAAGATATGCATGGGATCATGAATTCGAGCAGAGTCGTTCTCGCAAGACGAGCACTAAATTTAAACAGAAAGGATCGTGCAGGCCATCATCAGGTCGCAAAATTCTAGTCAGACACAAGTCACAGGCCGCACCAGACGATAGATTGATCCTGTAGGACAAGATGCACAATCGTAGTGAACATCGCCAATGATCTGTGAAACGGATGATATTTAATACTGTTCACTGCGAATCCGAATTCCGTGATGCTTTTCTACCTGGTGACATCCATCACAGGTGCCGCTGCAGTGAGAAATCCTCAGATGAGTCACAAGGAAGAAAATAGTACCGAAGACCATGCTGTGGCACTCACCTTGTGGCTCCTAGATTCATGCGCGTAAATCATGTCATTTTAAGCTATCTTTGCTCGCGAGAACTTGGACACCACTCACTGATGGTATGAGATGATCCACTAGACTGGGTCCCAATTGTTCCTCGTCGTGAACGTGTAGTCTGTGATGATATCGCTAAGAATACGTGGATGGGATGGATATCGTGTACATTTCTATTTTTGAAAAGTCACTGCGAGGTCATACACAGAATAGTGACAAACCAACTTGTAGCAAGCCATGCATAGTACGTAGACCGGACAGGACGCGCATTTGTACCTATCCCTAGAGATTTCGTCTTGGCACCCAGAGCATTTGGATGTTTCAGGCAAGGAATCTAGAGAATTATGAACATGATCAATAAATGTGATAGTAACAAAGTCTTCTATAAGCTACGCACCAACTTCTTCCCATTCACTAGAGCTACCCTTACTGACCCATCGTTTCAGGACGAATGCATGCCGTAATTGACCTTCCTGTCTCGGAGCGCTACGGATCCAGGTTGAAGGATCCTGTACGCTCAAAACACCGGCTCGAGAAGGGTCTTCTCCTCGAATGATAGCAATTGAATGATCTATGCCAAAAGATTTCAAACAACCGGAGCAGAGTTCGTAACCCATGGATTGTGTCGTGATGGCCCCCGAGCGAGACATAGTGGTTGAATGGCCAAGGATAGAAGATCGGCTCACACTGCCTTCAATTGGAGTCTCGGACTGCAACGGTTGCTTCTCTCCGCATGTTCCGCATACATACCGCTCCAAGTCGAGTGACCTGCCACACTTTGAGCAGTCGGTCACTTGCTCAGCTTTGTCTATCTGAATGGAATCAGCCATCGGTCGTGATACAGTGGGTGGGCTATGGGTGGGCTCCAGGTGGTCAGAGAGGGAGTTTCGGGTGATGTCGCTTGGAAGGGCTATTGAAGGAAGTTGGCTCTTAAAAGAATCGATGGAAGTGGGATAGGAGTTTCTGCGATTGTTAGAACTTGTTGGATAAAACATCCGATCGGTTCGCTGCTGCGGAATTTTTTCATTTGGATCAAGGGACAAATTCGAACTCAAGCGCGAGCTTTCATGCAGCGAACCAGTTACCTGGGAAGTCGGAGGAACGCCGGTGCTGAACCTTGCTAAACCCGAACTATGGCGGCGATTGGAACCATTATCATTGCTGGAAGATCGGTACGCATCTGTAGACGATGAGTCGGAGAGATTGCTGGTACGATTGCCTGTGCTCGAGGACTTGTCTGATCCAGACAGGCTGGGATCGGTCTCGATCTTGAGCTTTAAAGTAGGCTGCTCGTCCAGCGACGATGAGCTGATCCAAGGAACGATGACATGTATCTGTGTATGTTGGAACTTGTGGTTGCTGCGCACCTTCTGATGTATTCGATAATCTTCACCAACTCGTCATCATTGTTAATAGACTGCAGTTCATTGTCATCGTCCACCCATGAGATATTGAATTCCATGGTCCCGAGATCGTGTAGTACGCTTATAATCTAGTCATGATGTATCAACGCGTCCGAGAAGTTGTTCGACACGATCATGGCTTACCTTCTCCTTGAGTAACTGAACACTATAAGGCCGAAATATAGGCAAATATGTGCAACGTGCTTCCGGTTCATTCACGAAAATAATCTTGAAAATTTTCACTGGCCTAGCCATGATTCAATAGCACCACAGGAGTAACGACGAAGGGTGCTGCTGATCAGCGATATACAGATTGCCTCTTGAGGCTTGTAGGCGCTTGTAATATGTATGGCTTCTTAAACCTTACATTTCAATGACACACCAGAGTCTAGTTTAGGAACACATCATGCCTCCAATTCTGGGTTCAGCGAGGAACTCGACATCAGCCTCCATCGGCCCCAAAGATGAGATGCACTGGTGGAACTTCATGACCACTTGCTACTGCTAGGTTTCGATCTGCTTCTGAACTCCCCGCAAACCTGGGCATGCATCAACTAGACGAGATTTAGTCACGAATCAGTCATCGAGGAAAATGCGGACAAACCAGTGTGTCGACAATGAAATCAAACATCGAGGTCTCAGGTCGACGATGAAAAGATGAAATTATGTAACAAGATGAAAAGGAGCGTATTTCAATTTCGTTTGGGTCAGTGCAGCCATTCGGAGCAACATGATTCAGGTATTTCGTCAAGCCATCTCCGAGATTGTTACATGGGTTATGCTTGATTTTCATCCGTACATGCTAATACACTCAGATGTCAAATGCTACATATCGCAAATCTGATCCGCAAATCTAGACATACAGAAACTATCATTCCATGCAACTATATCCCACGGGTTACATAGACTGTTATGGAAAATACACCGGTCCACGCAACACGGGTCGAGAGTCATCCGGGTTGTCAAGGTTGGCAAAATGTCTGGAAACGGATAAACCTGCGATCAAATGGGATAGATCGATGGACTACGCACCGGAATAACTGCATATCGACCGGTGCTTTGAAGACAATGAAGACGTGCGTGAAGTCGTGCTCATCGATCTCCTCGCAGTCTGAGCAAAGGTCTTTTGCGCAGTATGCACACCGGTACCACTTCCCGATAATTTGCGTCATGTGTCGATCGCACAGTGCGGATTTATGCAGCAAATCCTTCAGGTAGGCTGTTCGGTCGCATGATCAGGTCAGCGGCTCCTGATTCTCTAGTTCATACGCTCACCGGTTGGGTTGCTCACGCTAGACATGTTATCAGTCGTGCTGCCTGCAGGGTCCTTATACCTGCAGGGGATATGTCACAGTGCAAGTGCATAGATGGCGAAGACGTACAGTTTGGGTATGATGGGATAGGGAGACTGCAAGGGTTCTGGGTTGTCAACAAAGCGAGGGAGCTTGAGGAATATATGAAAGGGATCGTGGATCTTGTAAGATTTCTCCTCACACGAGGAGCACTGTGTGCAGATAAATAAGTGAGATAATGTTGATACTTAGATCTGAACTTGATGCACCAGGTTATAAGATGCCGGTTTTGAGGGACACGAAGCGCACTGATATCGGATGCCAACAATTGACTGTGATCCCCATCAGTGGGTTAAACGATGATACCGCTCAGAGTACCTCACCTGGCCGCAGCCATCGCAGAATAGTAAATGATCGTCCAACCTTTGAACCGAAGCGCTGGACAAATTGTCTCCCATCACAGTCCCCCCATAGTTAGAGATGCTACCGGGACTCGATCGGGAGAACGAGCCGGGAATGTTAGCTTGGTCGCGGCTGTGTCGCAGCCATTGGGCACGCCGCGAGACAGAATGGACTTCCGTAGTCTTCAGTGGGGTCGGCAGCTGTTGAGTTTGATGTAATGGGTTAGGACGATGGTACATGGAAGCTCGACATAAAGTTTCCGCAGTACCTTCAACATGACATGAGAAGAAATGTGACCGCCATCTGACGAGTCGAGATTGCCCGGTAGCCCGGCTGCTTCACAGTTGGAGCAGATGTCTACTTCAATATTAGTACAGTCTATACATCGGAAGCGTGCGCCAACGACATCTTGCATGCAGCTGCCTAGCGGTTAGGATATACGCGAAGGAAGACGAGGATGATCAAACCCACTGATAACACTTGACACCTGGATGTTTCAGGGCTGGACATGATCGTAAGTCGGAGTCGACGAAGTGAATTCAAGCGCCCTCACATGGCTCGTCCGCAGCATCTACAATCGATGCATCGTCCAATAAGTCGGAGGCGCTGTTCGACCTCATGAATTTATCTGGCATCATGAGGAACGCGTGGACGGGATGTATATTATGTACATCACTGTCCAGCGCTCGTTTAGTTTTGAAGACTGCGGACGATGCGGCTCGCGCTTACTTGAAACATGCCTGACACAATGTGTAAACACAGGAGGCGCATTTGTAACGATGACCGTAGATAAGGGAACTGCAAGCCGAGCACTTGCTCGTCTGACTGTCATCTTGCTCTGGAAGCATGCCAGTGAACCGGTCAACGATTGGTTCGATTTTTATATATATGAATGCTGCGCACCGACGTCTTCCCAGCCGCTAAACCCCCACACCTTCTCTCGGTACGCATGCCGCATCTGACCTTTCTGTCTTGGGGCGCTTCGGCGCCAGGCTGATAGATCCTCTGGGGAAGAGGGACTTTCTCCACCACTATTGGACGAACCATCACCACCAACGGCTAATAGCGAGTGATCATTCCCAGATTTCTGGATGCACATGGAGCACAATTCATAACCCCCGACACGAGTGGAAGAAGACGATGTCGAAGAGTTGCTGCGGTGGCCAAGTCCGTAGATGTTAGGTGACGGTCTAGTGGCATCAGTCAGAGCTGATGTCTGGGGAATCGCAGGAAGTGGTTTCAGAGTGGATGAAGAATGCATCTGCCGAAACGCTTCCACATCGATGTCGTCAAAAGGAGATACTGTAGCAGACGACGACGACGACGACGGTGTACTGCGATGTGCGTGCGGAGGATATGTCATAATCGCGCCCTCCAACGGGGGTGTAATCGCTTTCCACTTCCCCTTCACGGACTCCGCAACAGCTTCCAGCTCAGACCGGGAACAAGGTTTCTTCTCACCACAAGTCGCGCAGACATACCGAAAGGAGTCTAGGATCGCCCCACACTCGGAGCAATCAGTGACCTCTTCAGGTATTAGTAGATGAGGTGGAATATTGAAGTTTCCGAGTTGCAAATCGTGTGAATGTACAAACAAATCCGATCCAGATGCTTGAGGTAGCTGTCGGCCAGAGACTGCAGTCTCAGAAGGACGTTGGACAGATGACTCGGCTGGCAAGAAATTGTAATCCATCGTTACGCCATCTCTATGAGCACGATCCTGTATACTTCCAGAAGAATTATCGTCAGTGATTGGAGGTTCGTCCAGTCCGTACTCGCGCGATGCTTCGGATGCACTAGATTTGTACTCATAGTAGTGCTTTCCTCTGTCATCAACTTTAAAGGAGATGTCACCAAGGGAGAACGTATCTTCTTCAGAAGGTGATGGCAGCCCGCCCAGTGTGGCCCTAATCGTTCGTCTGCTCTGGTCCTGTAGCCATGCGGCACTCCGGTTTGTGGGTAACGCATAGGAGGATGGATCTGATGGTTGATCCTCGAGTTTGAGACGCTCTAGGACAGCGGTGGAGTCGTGGGTAGCATCTCCGACAGATGGAGAACGCGTTACAGAACCTGCAGCATGCGAAGGTTCAACGGGCAGATGCACAGGCTGCACCTCTGAAAGAACGTCCCAGTTTTCTTCAGATTGAGATGACGCCGAATGTAGAGTGGAGCCGGAATTCGATCGACCAGGGGAGTGCCCAGGCCCTGTGAACAGCTTCCGGAATAGACTGTCTGGTTTTCGGCGACCTTCCTGACCGCCGAAATCTTTAGAGCTGACGGTGGCCGCATCATCATCGGGAGGAGGGGCGGGAAAGCGACGGGATATCAATGGGAACACGCTGCCATTGTGATTCTGGTAGTCGTCGGTGCTAGCGAGGGACGAGCTGTCAGACAAGCTGGGGCCGTCATAGTCGACTTCGATCTGAATGTGAAGGGTGATCCTACGACTTGATGCGCTACGATACGAGAGGATCGAGCCCGAAGAGGATATGGGTGCGTCGTCGTCTCCACCTTGATAGAAGTACTTGATTGCTTCGGTCAACTCGTTGTCGGTTGTGATATATGACTCCTCGTCGTCGTCATCCTTCCATTTGATAGAGAACGGCTGCATGGAGAGTGCGAATCCCCTTTCCACCTAGATACAGCGAGTGAATTCAATTCACCGGGAGCTGGAACGGCGACACTCACCCGCTCCCTGAGCAGCTCATATGTACAGTTCTTGGCTGACTCGAAAGACACTTTCTTGTTACGGGTGTGATACGCACATTTCACAACGAGTGGTTTATCTGGATTCTCACTTCTCGGGGATCAGAAGACGGCGCAAATCCGAACATTAGAGACTCATCGTACCGCAGTAGGTGACCCATGTAGTGACTCTCACCGATGAGACGCGCTGCTTACTATTTGCTTCCAACTGACCTTGTGGCTGTGTTGCGCTTCCGATCACCTTTCGCGCTTCACGGACGCAGCGATCCTCCTTGAACCTCCCTATCTGACTCCTTCACGGTCCTCTCACGTTGAAAACTTGTTAGTTTTCGTCAAGTTACAGTTCGTCTAGAATCTTCCTCTCTCATTGGCCCTTTTAGCACCGAATCATGGCCCAATCGACTCGTATATGCATCCTCGGATCGCTTTCCTACTTACGACCGCCCTTCGCGTTTACCACATAGCTCATAATTTGCGCACAAGAGCCAAGTTTTTCTTCGAAATAGCCGTATTTTTGAGGCCGCCGCCTCAGAATTCAAGTACTCAGTCTCGGCCACATTTCGGTCAAAATTTCTCCATCTTCGCTCGCTTGCTATTCTCTGACCTGCCGAGAATTCTGCGACATGCATATAAGTACGAGTGTTCAAATTCATCAACCTCCAACGCTTGACCATGAAGTTATTGTTGTCTGTCTCACTTGCAACCGTCTACGGTGCCATCTTCGTGCATGGGACACTTGACACCCGCGCCACGGGAGGCTACGTCCAGAACTCCTCCGGTTCCGCTTCCTTCACCATGTATTCTGGCTGTGGTTCTCCAGGTACGTTACACGTCATCATCACTGCGATGCGCAAGCAAGCTGCATTTATATACCTCTCGTTCCCCTGTCCAACAGCATGCGGAAAGACTGCCTCAGGTTTCACCGCAGCAATCAACCAGTTAGCGTTCGGGTCCGGGCCTGGACTGGGTCCGGGCGACGCGTGTGGCCGCTGCTTCTCGCTGACGGGTCAGGCGGACCCTTACTCACCTGCTTTCACGGGCCCGTTCAAGACTGTCATCGTGAAGGTCACCGACCTGTGCCCCGTCTCTGGCAACGAAGAATGGTGCGGCCAGTCGACGTCTGCCACGACAAACCAGCACGGCGCGCCTTTCCAGTACGCAGCGTTTCACATTGGACTGTCTGCGGCCTAGTACTAAGTTAACCCGCACGGCCCGCCGCCGACGGGTGCATTAGCTTCGATCTATGTGAAGATACGGGCGCAGCTGCGGCGTTCTTCCCGTCTGGTCACGGTGCGCTCACGGGGACATTCACGGAAGTGTCGTGTAGCCAATGGTCAGGAACTGACGGCTCAGGTTTGTGGAATGGAGCTTGCCTCAACGGGGAGTCTGCAGGTCTTTGGCCCTCAGGCGTTGGCTGCGGCAACCAAGGTTCATCTGATCGATTTCTACTCATTCGAACTGTCGGACTCACTCCGCGATATTGACAGGCACCGCTCCTTCGTAAAATACCCCGTGTCATAATTATCGTGTAGATAACTATGAGTAGTCACTGGTATCCCAATTGATGTCTACTTCCTTGATTTCCTGCGTGAACAATTTGATGTGCCAGACGATATTCTTATGGGCCCGATGTTCTCGAGAACAGTGAGAGCCTTGTCGAATCCCAAACAAGCCGCTCAAACATCGGAAAGTGTTTTGTGAATCCTCCGCAGATGAATTTGAGTGCCTCAAGGGACCTTCCAATAGTGGCGGCGGTCGAGCTGTATCAAATGAAAACGATGCATGCGTTTTCGCAATGTAGAAGCCCATGCACATTTACGATTGATCTACAAACAATCATGATTACAGACCTAGTTGCGAGCAATCTTCTGCGCCCGAACTTCCGTTCGTATACGGCGCAACACCCCCGGGTTGATCTTTGGCCATATATAGACTTCTGACCCCGACCTGCGTTACTCGACCGACTCAGCACACTGTGGACTTCATAAAAATAATGCGAAGAACTAAACAGAAGTGGGGAAGAGGAAAAGGTGATGCAAAAACAACTCACCGACTGGTATCTCCGCTATCAGGGATACTGTCAGAGAACCACGCTCCAGCCATCGCGCGGTTCCAATTCCTACGCCATCCGAGGTCATATAGGCACTCGTCGGGCAGAACGGGAAAAATAGTCCCCTTCGATCCAATTGGATCCGCCCCCAGATGCACATCCGTGCTTGCGTGTGCGTGCACCAGGTCATCCTTGGTATGCGCTGGACGGGAGATAAGCAAGGAATTGATGTCTGGGATGCAGATGTATCGCATCCCATTGGTATGCGTGCGCCCGCGAATGTCTGGGCGCAAGTCTCGGATGCCGCGCGTAACACGTCGGAGAATGATGCCGTCGAGTGCAGTCTGCCCGCGTAGGATGTCGCGCACGGTCGCGACTACCATGCCCTGATCAGAATAGCAATCAGAGACCAGAAGAAACGCAGATAATTAAGAACACCAGGAAGACCAACCAGCGAAAACAACCCGAGCACAGTACCAGCACAAATGAGGACAGCGAGTCGCGCATGCGGAAGCTCACCCGCTCTTACCCTGACATGCATCTCCCGCTCCCGCTCGGCCTCGAGCAATCGAAACCCTATGATCACTCCCACAAACCATCTCCCTACCGGCCCGCCCCACACGACCCACGACCACCATCTTGCCCACCACGCCTGCACTGCCCACGCATCTGCACGCGAAGTTGCGAGCGCGAGCGCAGCATATTTCCACACATGTTCGATGACAGGGGTTGCTGCGAAAACGACAGTAGGTGGCGTTAAGAATAAGAGGGCAAGGAAAGGTTTGAGGCGGCGCGTGGTAAGGCAATTGCCTAGCTAGAAGGGTGCGGAGTCGTCGAGGCAGCTGTAGTGGAGGAATAGAGGATAGAAGCTCCACTTACCCATGGACAGTGATGATCGAATCCGAGGCGGCATACCCCGCAGGCGGAGCAGTGGTGCGTACCGGGGGGCTTCCAGCGCCCCTCGCAATTGTCTTTGAAGCACACATCCAGCGTGCCGTCGGCGCGGCATTCGTAAGGCTCTGTGAGATGCCCCGCGACGGGTATAAGATAAGACGGAACGCTGTGGGTTTCACGTCCGAGGCAGAGGTGGAGGTAAAGAGCAAGAATGGTTGGGAACAGGAAGCTCAAGGTAAGGATATAAACTGCTGACGACCGGATTTACGAGTCAGTTTCGTCCGCAATGGATCAAGCTTAGTGATAGATTGCATATACCGCCTTGAAATAGTTTATTCTGGCTCTGAAGAATCCAACCAACTGAAAAATCATCCAAAATCATCCCAAGCATTGTATGGCGTGGAAAAAAGCAACGTACCGCCAACATGGTACACCGTCGCGTACCACGCATAGCTTCCTGACACGCGACGATCTGAGGAAAATCCATTGATGTGACCAATTCAAAGCGTACCAAATGACGCCAGAGACGACGGACTGTAGAGATATCTCGACGACTCTGGTGAAAGCCCTGGAGGCTACAGAGAACAGCGGCAAGCCTGGGTGGTTGCCGCACATAATGGATTTAAGCGCCCATTAAGCGGAAGCATGATCTTGGCTGGATCTGGGGCACGCCAGGCACCATCGACTCCATACGACCCATCCAGCCACTATCAAACTCCTCTTGACACAGCCCATCATCTATCAATACTCAACGGCGACGACGAACAAGGACGACGACGACAGCGATGCTTTCCTTCAGCTCGCCCAGCTGGCAAAGTTCACTGATATCTGCATCTAAAGCTTCCAAATCCCCAAAGTCTGCTAGCAGCAGCAAACCTTCTGTCTTAGGATCTGGTCGCGCAGCGAGTCCTATTTTACCGCGACTATACCTCTCTGACCTTTTCACTGCGCGCAGCGAATCCGAGCTCACGCGTCTCGGCATCACACACGTTCTTTCCATTATTGAACATGCCTCTACATTTCCTCCATCGATTCCCCTCGTCACCGCACATGTAGCCATTGCTGATGTCTCGTCTGAGGATCTTCTGGCCCACTTTGACGAAACGACCGCATTCATCCGCAATGCCCTCGCCGAGAATGAGGAAAACAAGGTCTTGGTGTGTCTTTCCTTCTGCTCGTGTCTCCACAACCGGCAGTACAATTTCTGACTATTGCACGGGCGCAGGTACATTGCTTCATGGGTATAAGCCGCAGCGCGTCCGTCATCTGTGCCTACCTCATTGCGACCTCCGATATGTCGGCGGCTGCAGCGCTAGCCTTCGTGAAAGCTCGCCGCGGCATCGTCTCGCCCAACGCTGGCTTCGTTCGTCAGCTCGACGCATATGCCATACGCTGCCACAACATGGGAGGTTCCGCCAAAGCCCCACGTGCGCGTATTGGTTCAGGCGTCGCGGCACGGATACGCTGGTTGAAGGAGGCAGCAGTGGGGGCTAGCGTGAGTGTCTCTGCTGTAACAGCATTGACAACGCCAGGACAGAACGGAGAAACAGTGGACGTGGCTAATACTTGATTCCGTAAGGGAAAGTTTTTCTCGTAGACGGGTTCTAGGGCATTGTAGGTCGCTCAGTATATCACGGTCGAGACAACGGACTCCCCTGTTTACCTTATTGTCTTTCTTTTGAGGCCGTCGCCGCAGATCGATGTCGAACTTGTAGATGTATCTCTTTTTCACGCAGTGGTACCTTCTGCATAAAGTGTTGAGTTTGAGCACACGCACTCGCATCGATAACGGTTTACATTCGATTTTAAAAGAGGGTGTTCAACTTGCGGTCATACCCACCTGTGTTGTCGAAGGGTCGCCGGGGTCCGTCAGTATCCACTCCGACTCAATTCCGAAATAGCTTGCATCCTTGTGTCTCTCTAGTCTCATTCCAAGACCGCTCACCTTCACGCGGTGAAGGGTCTTGCATCAAAGTAGTGATCGCCAAGGGGGTCCGCATGGTGGCGCGTTATCTTGAATGCTGGCTACAAAACCTTTCGAGCCCCGAAGGGGTCATTAGAGATTATCTAATATCGCAGATCTGTCCATAAAGATTAGATTGTCCAAAAACACAAAAACACTACGATTCAGGCTTAAATGATGGATCTCAATCCACAGACACCCCCTAAGATAGGCTGGGCTTGTGAGAGAGGTGAGAGAGGAATTTTGAATGAAGACATCAGAAGAACTTGGAGGATAAAGCAATTACTGCTGATATTGTTGCATTTAGCTGCTTAGTGGTATTGTCAATGCATTGTCCTGCCTTGCAGAGGGTAAAATTGATGTTGTCATATACAATGGCAAAAATGTGGTCATTATTATGTACAAATTTGACAGCATCTGCATAAGCACTAAGTGTAAGTGATTGAAGACAGCATTAAACCATTCTGTGTAGCATATGAGTATGATATGGAGAAGGAACAGTGAGGTGACATATGAGTAGCTTATTGAGAGCCCCATCTGAGGCCCCCCAAAGCTCCTATAAAGGTTTCCCTATCAAAATACCCCTAAACAGGCCAGAAAAGTGCTAACATTTTCCCAAATTTCCTTGTGAAACATGCTAAAACTGGGAAGGGTAGTCACATTTTGTTACATTTTGTCATGGCTATTTTGAGATGGTATAAACTACCCTATGGCACTGATTTCTTCTCACAAACAACAAAGAATGAGTATATGAGATACATGAGGTATATTCTAAGGCTCTGGAACCTGACTACTAGGAACCACAGGTATCGGCATGGTTAGAAGAACCTTCTTCACCTTTGGATAAGTAAGAGCTCTCTACCTCAACCCTGCTATCAGTGTTAAATGCATTAAGTCTCACTGCTATCTAACTAGTGCATTAGGTCCAAGGTTATAAACTATTTGAGAAGCCTTTGCATGGGTGTGTAGCTTGGTCCAGTGGTTAAGGCATGAAAAATGAAATAATGGGAATTTAAGGTCTCACAGGCAAGGGCTAGCTCCTTATTAGACTCAGACTCAGACTTGGACTTGGACTCATTAGAGTCCTTATTTTTGAAGAGTCTATGAGACTGCAAAAGATCAGTATCTTTTTTGTGAGAATAGCACCAAAATCTGACTTACCAATGTTATAGGCAAATATAAACAAAGTGAAAGATACAAGAGGCCAGTCGTAAAGACAGCTACATCAATTGATCCATGCTACTTGCTAGCACTCTGCATGTAAAGGTTGAAAACCTCACCAATGTAGAAGCATGTGCCCGATGGTGTGTTGTTTTTCATTATTATATAACAGCCTTTGTGAAGAGTATGAATGGCATTCACATTCTTTGCAGACAGATTTGGAACAATGTCTGCAACACAATTAATATTTGTATCTTGGAAAGCAGAAGATACTTATCTGATGATATAATAAGTAGAACTTGCTTGGCAGTCTCTTGCTAATGGAGCTCACAGTCAGTTTTGGGCTTTCAGAAGGCTGGGTCAGTATCTTGTGCTAGTCGAACATGATGTGATGCCTCACGAATAAACATTTTCTTCACTTTTACAGCAGCTGCCTCCATTGCCTATTTAGTAGCTTCAATGACATGCTGAAACTTTGGATCAAGCATTACAGTCCTTTGTGACTTCACTGATGTTACGGTGATACACTAGAGGTGGCTCTAAGTGCCAAGCACAATACCAAAACAACCTCTAATGCAGGGGTGCTGGAGCTAGTATACGAATATACAAGGAATCGTTAGTGAGGACTTTAGAAATAGAAATAGATGGTGCACTTGAGACACAGCGAGGAGTGTGGGATGATAGCGCCCGAACGGTTTTGGGACTGTACCAAACGCCGACCAAACATTCGGTCAGTCATGTCGGTGATTCGGTCGGTAACGAGGAGGTAGTTTCACGACTGACAACTACGTGCTTCAAGAGCCACATGGGACTCTGACAATATACGAGGGAGGATGAAGGGTACGAGCAAAGAGATGAGTACGAACACAAACAAGGCCAAACAACAAAGATGACAAGTTTTCAGGAGTCAATGAAGATGATTTCAATGGTTGAGACAAGTGCAAATGATGTTATGATCACGTTCTGTCGGGCCTTAACGGTGGTCTATACCAACACGATCATCACAAATATCAAGCAGCCTCACAAGGTGAGGCGTACAATAAGGTACAGATAGTAACCTTGGTCATCCACTCCCAATGGATCACCCTATCATTGGTCGAGTATCACGAGCCATATTGCGATGGGCATGGAATGCCGCCTTACAAACTACTCACACACCGGGCATCAAGCTCCTAGTCTTTCCTGGCTGGAAGGAGACGAACGGAGAAGCACAAGAGTAGTTGTTATTGAGAGAGATGACTTAGAGAATACCTGCGGATACATATACGGTATTCTCACGCCCTATTTCCTAAAGTAGTATAAAAGGCCCATAGAGTAGGCTGAGGTTCTTCAGTCTATTCTCTTCATTCTTAGGCAGTCTTCACACTGTCTACTTCATTCGCTGTAGTCTTTCTACTACAGCCTTCATTGCTACATCGCAATACATCTCTGGCTCCTGTGCTGCATATACAGTCGAGACCATCATTCCACACATCCTCCTCAAGTGACCTAGGGAAGAACCTCCTACTCTTGGGGTTACCGAACAAGCAGTTCGTAACAAATGAGCTCTGAACTGTGGGGTGCAAAAGCTGGTTTATTCCAGAGTTGTATGTAGGTTTTTATAGTAAACAGAGCCCCTAAGTAAAATATTAAACAAGAAATGAGAGTAGATGTCAAAATGGGCGCTATGCCTTAGCGATCAGAGAAGATAAGAAGGTAGGTGAGATGTCTATATGGGTTCCGAAGGTGACAAGGTAAAAGTTAATCAGTGATGGCGAAGTCCCAAACGTTTGGGATCCGTTGCCCAAGCGTAGGTAGATGGAACAGGCATTGGAGAACCAATGAAAATAAAGGAGAGGTATCGTATGACCAGGGTGGCCAAGTAATGGTGCAAGATTGCATTTTGACCAACCATGTGGAAGTCGGGAAGATAATCGATAAGGACCGACTGACTCACGGAGGACATCAGCCGATACGGAATACTGGCTCCGATCTCGTAAACACCTATTGTAACACTCCTGTGTGGTCATGGTAAATACGTGAAGTGTGGGCGAACTGACCCAAGGGCTGCCGAACATCCTTCGGTGGCTTGTCGTCGGTCAGGCAGGAACCAACCGTGTTTGGTAAAAGTTGGCATCTTTAGTACTTGTCGAGCGCTGTTTGGTATCTCCCCAAAGCTTCCCAAATACCTCCCTTGAACCCTAGCGTGGGTGCATGCTCATCAACAGTAATGAGCATGGGTGTTCTCTAGGCACCTATACCCCACTTTTTGCAGCTTTTCAGTATTCTTTGACCATTCAGCATACTTAAGACTAACCAATCCCAATCTGGTCGGCAATCTCAGCCATTTGTCAGGTGCTGACTTTGCATTTAGACCTCCACACAGTTGTTTGGAGCTGTTCACAGTCATCTTATCCATCTATCATCACTTTCAGCAGTAGGGGCTCTTCACAGACTATCGCGGCCAATTGCCAATCGGTTTGGTATGCTTCACATGGTTGGCACATTTGGTCGGCTTCGGTGTCCCACATCAGAGGCAGCTGAACACTTTGTTGACTCAGAACGGATCTGTCTTTCTATCTCTTATCGTCCTTATGACTTCTGTTGACCTATCCTTTGTTATCCTCAGAGCTCCCAAGTTTCTAAATGGTTTACCCATGTGGCATGTGGTTCTTATCTCCAGGTCCATGTGGACTCACCTTGGCAATCTCTCCACTTATTTAGACTTTAGAGTTATTGCTTCTTATCTTCATCTGGAAAACCACCCCTTTGTATTAAGCTCTAATTATATCTATTTATGCTTAATTAAGAACAATTAGGATTAGACATTTTTAGCTTACCCCCCCTCCAAACCTGTTCTAATTAGACATAATTTTCCTAAATTAGGAATTATTAGAATTGATTATAGCTTGAAATTTTGGAAAAATAATAATAAATCAAGCATCATAATTCTCATAGCCTTCTTATAGAGTCATGTCTATTAGAATACAAGTTAAATACCTAAACACAGAATATACCTTATAACAAACTTGCCACTTGCCAGAGTTAAACCAACAACCTCATGTATACAAGCACTTGGAACAGATGCTCTAAGCCACTGAGCCATAAGGTCTAATATATGAACTTGGTAATCAAGATAAGCAGACATAATATAGGCAACCTCAACATCTCTGATTTTATTCAACATTTATCTTTCCTCTATCTTATAAATAAATAGGTCAATAAATACCTAAAAAGTCAGGTCTTTCAGGATTTAGTTTAAACACCAGCTAAGAAGATAATAAACCAATAGAAAATAAACAATACACTTTATATAGGATAAAAATAAATTATGGCACTTATACAATTTGGACTGAGAATGTGTAAAACTATGATTGAGTGTAATATTCAATAGGACTCTACTAGTATAGACAATGCTACCTGAATTTGCAAATTTGATCAAAAACATGATTATGAATAATCAAGAT